TCTGCAGTGTCACTGGAGACATGGTAACCCCAGAAATAGAAAGCCGAACGCCTTCCCAATGGGATGTAGCATGAGGGCATGCTAAGCGAAACCGAAAATCAGACAGACAGGAGGTTGCGAGATTTTGAGTATTCGTCAATCCTGCTCGTGCAGCGCGCAGCCTTCAGTGCAAGAATAGATACAAGCGAATTATGCTGAGGACGCTTGAGGCGGTACATTAGTAAGCTGACCTTGGGGGACCTCTGGTGCAGCTGGTACTACCCCAAGACGACCATATGGGTATCATTGATCCTCGAGGATGAACCACACAGGAGCTGTAACACCATATTCGCGAAAGATGTTACCCTTTGGCGTTGTCCAGTTGTACAGCAACACGGAATCCAGCCAGGCAGCAGGTTTGGGCGAAACACGAGCGCCTGTGGTGTCTCGTAAAGGACCACATGAACCACCCACCGCCTTCATGGTCTACCCAAAAGGCATAGACACAAATGGAAGCTGGAAGCCATGTCGTGCTGGATCACTAGGTGTCAGGGTACCAATTGTTTCACGAAGCCATAAATACGGGCAAAAGTCGTATGCTGTGTATGGAATTGCGAAAGATGCCGCCAGTCTTGGCTTGGCCAGACTCCCCGGCAAGGCAGTCGTGCCCAGCGAAAGGACTGTAACTGAGGCTCTAAACACCTCTCATGCAGGCGTCATGGTGCGGAAGAGGCACAGGCTGCCGTGGGGGCTGGCTAGCCCTGTGTATCAGTCAGCTCCGAGGCAAGATACAAATTGCGGAAAATGGATACTTTGTGAGACAATCTTGCATGTTGCATTGAAGTCATGACTTCAATCCCACGCTTCAGCGTTGGGATCTGTTGGGCTCGACCTTCGCTTCCAGGAGACTGGGGATAGGTATCTCGAAAAGGAAGGTGTTTGATGCAGTGGGCTTTGAAGGCCGAACGGCTTTCTCGAGAGTGTCGGCGGGCACCGAGGATCATAATAAAAGTAACCATTACCAGTACAGAACCCAGTGTTGCGATACATGTATTGGCCGAGCGGCTGACAAGATCCTTTGGCTGCAAGTCAGTCGCACTGTTTTCAAGTCTTTCTCGAGCATGAAAGTCGTCGCCGTGCCGTTCTCACATAAGCCGAAGGGGAAACCGGGGTGTCTCCATTCCCATTGCGACTATCTTGGGGGGCAGATGCATCGAACCAGCCTATCTAGAAGCTTTCTATATGCAGCTAGCTCCTCCCGAGGTATCTACAACTCGTCCAACTCGTCCAAATCGTCCAAATCGTCCAAATCGTCCAAATCGTCCAAATCGTTCGCATGCATCTTCTTGCCTTCTCAATATTTCATTGACACCTTAGATAGAGATTGGCTGGAAAGAGGTCACATAGGGGAAATGGTTGTCAATTGTCCCTCGACAAGACCAAGGATACAAGCTGATTAGCTCCCGCATGTGTGATCCACCTGAACACTGAAATGAGCTCGATAAGATGGCGGTGGTTTCTCCCGCTTCGTCCAGGTGCATTATTAACGCTATAGAGCTGTCTAATTTGTAGGCAGAGCACTAGGTTAGCAAAAAGGGCAAACACGTCCGCCGTCGTCTGGAGTCTGATCCCTGATATCGGAAAGCAATTCCCAAACAGCAGGTGTGCCGTGAAGAAGCATTTCAGCTTAAAATGGGTGCTCAATCACGAGTTCGCGTGCGTTTCGGGCGGCTTGGAGCTAATTCGAGCGAGCAGCGCAATCGACGAAAATTAATCTAGTCTATGAGATGATGCATACATAGTAGAAAGCCTGTCGTCACGCTGCATCTATCGTTGTACAAAGATGCATTGGAATGCAAATGCTGCATACTGTGTACAGACATTTCCGTCTTTCTAATAAACCACGAATAACCTTCTCGAAGCAAGGGACGAGCTTCCACGGCGATATTGCGGGTTGATTATGCAGCCTCACGATAAATATTCCGATCAATAGTTCGCGGGGAACACGAGCCGTGGTAACGTCGAGGCTCACTAGGCTCTGGAGTCCTGGGTTTGCTAAGTGGTTTTGAGGAGGTTATCTTACTGGTCTAAGGGTCTGTTCTCGTTGGCAGCAAACCGTGGAAGATTATGCATTATGTATGTCTCAAAAACAAGGTCAACGACGATCACCATGATTTCGGTGGAAGGATGTTCTGACATGGTGACCTGTACAGAGTACATGTTGGTATGCACTCAAGCATCAAAAAGCACAGACTGCCAAAGCACGTGTCTCCCATGCCAACCATCACGTTTCTGTCAATGCAGCCGGCAAAGGTTCTGGGAGCCAGGGTTTCAATAACGCCCGCCAAAGGACATAGCCAAAGAAGTTTCGCTAAGCAAGCCAGCGGTAGTCGTAGACCAACTACTCCTCCATAGTACCGTTCTTATGGTCGTCGTTCGATATATCGAATGTTTTTTTTTTTTTTTTTTCAGCTGTCTGGATTGCTCTAGGTTAGTTTGTCTTCACCGGTCGAGAACCCAGAGTCTCGGTTTCCTCTAATTAATTAAGCTTACCCTAGCGATACAGCACGTTCTGATCTGATAACCTAGTCGACTCGTCACCCAAATCCATCTCCACAACTAGAATAAGACACCGAGCAGGGAATGAATGCTGTTAAGCGACGCCCAATGTCCACGCGGCAATGCAGCGCTGAAAAACGGAGCAGTCTGCATTTGTCCGGCTCACAGTACGGATGTTCACTGAGCCTTTTTCGAAGAACCGAGAGAACCTCTTACGAAGCTGTGACTCGGGACATCTGTGTGGACGGTACTTTCGACTAGATAAGCAGTTTGTGCCGCAGGCACGATTATCTTAGCGCGTACCTTGAGGCATGCAAACAGTACAGTGGGTTGTCCAGAAGTCATGAAGAGAGAGTCATGCACCGGTCGTTGAAATGATTGCGAGTCTCGTTCATTTGAATTTGCCATGTGCCCTTCGGCATTCATTGTCTTCCCCGCAAGGGGTCTAACTTGAAGCAATGGGCAAAGCTCTTAGAGACAACCATAAAACTGAGGTGGAATCCTTTGGGGGCATCTCGGGCCGTCTCCGATTACCAGCAATGTAGGTCTCGAGTTGACGTACTGTAGGGGCTGAATGTACTTGGGTCAGCGGTCGATACATACATAACTGTCAGCCACTCTTCTCCCTGTACATTCTAATTCTACCCAGCCAGTGATACGCTTCCTCGTGAGAACCATTGACTTAGAACGGGGCATTGCGCCTGCATTTGCTGGAGCCGGAGCGGTGCACGCAAGGATTCGGGTGACACCTCGATTGTAGAGGACGTGCAATGTACCAGTACTCTTTGGTGGTAGGGTCTTGACGTTGCAGCAACTGGTCGGGTTAATATAATTTACCAGAACTGATGAGACAGCTCGCTTATGGAAGCGATTTTCCAACGGTTTTTTCCCCCCAGGTACTGAGCACGCATAGAGGAAAGGCAATAAACGTAGACATAGGCGTAATTGCTTTTGTTATATTTGCTTTGGCTACATACAGCACAAACTTGGCTCTTACAATCAATACCTGGCGCGTATTATCATAATATCGCTCCAACGAAGTCGAGGAAACTGCGACATTTGCTTCGAGGTCCGGACGTGATAGATCGACAACAGAAGATTCAACTGCAGCGGGAGACTCGCTCTGGATCTTATTCTGACGTCTGATTGCAATGCTTCGAGTTTGACACACACACATACTGCATCACCCTGGTACCGAGACATCTCTCGCATACTTACATTTTCTTTGTTACATGTATGGGTCCGTACTGTACCTCCTGTTCGGGTGAGCTACCTTAGTGTGGTGTGCTAAGAAGGTACATACCTACCTAACCTAGGTAGACATCGTAATAATCGTCAAGGGAAACAAAGCCCCGAAGAAGGGAGGGGCTCATGATCCAAGCAAAGCTGTACATGTATGGAGACGGAGTACCAAGGGTAGGTATTTTCGCACTTTACCTTATTGATCAAGTAAAACTGCTTGGAACATACGGTAAGGTAACCGCAGCAATTTGGTCTGGTGCACTTTTGGAGTGGTAGCAGCGACTTTTTAGTAGCAGACCTCCACTGCTTTGCCTTTACCTCCAGTTTGAACCACCTGGTCTAGGCATACTATCTTTCTTGGGGACCTGGGCACAAACAACAGAAACGGCAATTGGCAGAAGCAGCGGAGATCTCTTGGTCAATTCAACCAACAACAAGCCAACGGCCGTTCTAGATAGCCATTGTTTCAATCACCGCAACATTGCCCAGTATCTCCACTGTCGGGACTTGGACTTGGCCCACGGGAAACGGATTGCCAACCCAAACTCTATAGGATTTTCAGCTGTCAGCCAGGTCCTGGGAGGTCTGGGGGCGACCTAGTTCCTTTTCCCATCAGCGAATTGGCCGACTTAACTCACATCTCTACCCGCCCGGTTAGGAGAAAGGTCAACCACTCACGACATTGCTCGCGATCATCGTCGGTCTGCATTGTCCTGCTAAGTTAGCGCTTGTGACAAGACTTTCGGCGTTCTTGGAGCTTGCAACCCAGAGAAGGCAAGACCTGTACTGTATTTCTCTCCTTCTTCCGTCTGGGCCAATATTCCCATACATACATACACACGACTTTTTCTGACCCCTCGTTGACCGCGCTCCGCTATTTTCTTCCCCTTTGCTGGGCTGGAGGAGGGACGACCACAACAACAATAACAACAAGAACAAGGAACGACTACAGCGGCCGGCGGTTTTTGATCAAATCGTGTAGGAGAACTGCTCCGTTTTGCCCTTGCTGGTCCTAGTAGCAGGAAAGGAACGTTTTCCCGCTGTGTTGTGCTGAGCTGCTGCCGTGCCTGTAGATCTCGTACGTAGCGCAAGGGGCTCCCAACTGACTCGTTCCATTCAATCCACCCCCTTTGCGTCTTGGTGCTACTGGATAATGACTTGATGTCAATTCCGGTACTCCATCAATATCCACTGCAAACGCCGCATCCGACGACATCACGATGCTCATGACCGTGAACCCTTCTTCAGCATTGCGACACACACAAAGAGGCACCAACTACAACCTCCGCTCCCAACACCAACACGACCCCGACTCCGCTATTGATCTCCCCGACTCGGCCTCGGCCTCGTTGGCCCGCTCTAACGGCGATCGCAACATCCTCAAATCCGCATATAGCACCAACATGAACGGCATAATAGGTTCTGCCCCACAGGGCACTATATATGTGAGGGCTCTCTATGACTACGAAGCTGACGACCGGACGAGTCTTAGCTTCCACGAGGGCGATGTTATCCAAGTCATTACTCAACTGGAGAGCGGCTGGTGGGACGGCGTGATAAACGGGGTTCGAGGCTGGTTCCCGAGTAACTACTGCCAGATAATCACAGGTCCTGACGAGGTTCCGGAAGTTGCGCAGAATGGAACAATCGCGGCACAAGAAGATGACTTCGAGGATCAGGTCCGGTATGAAGAAGAGGAGTTCGACGACGAGACCGAGTCGGACCAGGATGATTTTAATGGCCTCCCCTTGGAAGGAACCATCTCCAGCAGCACGAAATCAGGAGGCGCAGACTTCTGGATACCTCAAGCGACCCGCGATGGAAGACTGTTCTACTACAACACCATGACTGGCGAGAGCAGCATGGAGCTACCGTTGGAATCGCCAACATCCATCAATGAATCTGGACCGCGGGATCGAATGAACGTGAACATGCCAGAAAAGACACGACCACCGCCAGAGATGATGGCAAGAGGACTCACGCAGGACGAAGACGAAGACTCGGAAGCAACCTCAGCATCGGAGATGGATGGCGAATCAATCATGATGGCGTCCAGGGGTTCCATGGTAAGTACCTACCTTGCTCCCGATTACCCTATACACAAAATGACTGACCGCCTTTGTTCTTATAGTCCTCGCGAGCACGACGCGCCTATGCAAATGATGGCGTTGCCATTGGAATTTCCCCGGCACCTTCAATGGACTCCATGAACGGCGCATCTCCGATAACCCGTATCAGAGGGGATACCTTTATCAACACAAACGTCCCCATGGCCCTTGGAACTGGTCAAACACCTATGCTAGCTTCAGCTACCTCGTTTACTGGCGCTAGCTTCAGCTTGCCACAAGCTGCCACGATACCTCGCTCCTTCTTTGACGACGGATCTACCTATCCTCTGACATGGACCAGGCTAGTTACGGATATGAAGAAGGCCATCGACCGATATCGCGATGCCATCACGAGCAACAATCGTTCCGAATACGTAAGCCGCGCCGAGGACATTTCGGATCATCTCCGCTTGCTGTTGGCTGCCGGCTCAGGGACCACAGATAACCACTCGGGTCAGCCATCCATCATCTCCACCAACAAGGCTCTATATCCACATTTTAGAGACATGATGTCCAAGTTCTCCAAGCTAGTCATCTCGTCCCACATAGCCGCTGCAGACTGGCCGAATGCCGAGTCCGTCCAAAAGTGCATGCAAGAGGCGGACGGTGTCTTGATGGGTGTATTCAGCTTTGTCGAGGTTGCCAAGCAACAACGGGGAGAGGACATTCCAAGACTATTTCCTGGCTTCGTCATCGGAAGCACAGTAGGTGGCAGTTGGCAGAACAACGGGCTTGGTCCTCGTGACCCCATTACCTCAAACTTCCTCGACGACGAGCAGGAAGGGCTTGTTGAGCCAACCGCTGTGCTGGATGGCAAGCTTTTGGAAAGGTTGGATGAGCAAAAGAGGATGCTGGTCTCCAGCATCAGGGAACTTGAGAAAAACTTGACAGTCACAGAAAAGATCATCACCCCGTACAAGCATGAAATTATTGGCAACAACATCTGCGTAGCTGGTGGCAAGGTCATGGAAACATTCAAGCTTTGGGTCCAGATGATCGAGTCTATCGACCTCTCGACGCTTGGGAACAACTTTCAGACACCCCAACTGGCCGACTACAGCACCTACAAGCAGAGCCTGTATGATAATATATCGGATCTCATACTAGGATGTCAGGCTGTCGCTGGCCCTCTTGGTGACGAGTGGGCTGAAGTACGGGGCGAATCATTGGAAGCTCGCCTTAAATATGTCGAACAATGTGCACGTGCTCTGGAACAGAACTCTTCCCACATCGGATTCTCATTGCAGCTTCTGTCAGAACAGGTCGCCGTCGCCTCCGTACAGAACAATCAGTTCCGAGACGACACATACCAGCGCGAGCAGCTCAGGAGAGGCGAGACTATGCCATATAACCCGATACATTCCCGCACGGAGTCACGCACTATGGCCATGGGTGGTCGGCCGCCACTCGTCGCGTCGCAGTCATTTACTGAAGGGGATACCCCGACCAACAACTATAGAAAGGGTGATTTGTCAAAAGTGAGGAAGATTTTGGGAGACGACCCCACGCCACAAGGCTCTATACAACAAGCGGAGGAGATGCCCCTGTTCTTGCGCCTCGATCTTGAAAGCGAGTTGTCTTGGGACCTCAAAGCATCCCCTCCTGCTGTCAAGGGTGGTACTCTGCTAGCTCTAGCAGAGCAGCTCACTCGCCACGACAAGCTAGACTCGAACTTCAACAACACTTTCCTACTAACATATCGCTCATTCACAAGTGCACGTGAGCTGTTTGAGCTCCTAGTACAGCGCTTTAACATACAACCCCCCGAGGGCCTTAGCAATAGCGACTTCGACGTGTGGCGGGATCGCAAGCAAAAGCCTATTCGTTTCCGAGTTGTCAACATTATGAAGAGTTGGTTCGATAATTTCTGGCTGGAAGAGAACAACGATGAGTCAAAGCACCTTATCCGTGATGTGTACCAGTTCGCGCGGGACACCGTCAAGTCCACAGAGACACCCGGTTCTGCACCACTAATGGCGGTGCTCGACCAACGGTTGAGTGGCAAAGAGATTTCTTCGAAACGACTAATTCAGACTTTCAACAACAATGTCCCTGCGCCTATCATGCCCAAGAACATGAAGAAGCTCAAATTTCTGGACATTGACGTTACCGAGTTTGCTCGTCAACTAACCATTATTGAGTCCAAACTATACGGCAAGATTAAACCTTCTGAATGTCTTAATAAGACATGGCAGAAAAAGGTCGGCGAAGGCGAACCTGAGCCGGCTCCGAACGTGAAGGCTCTAATTCTCCATTCTAATCAAATGACCAATTGGGTGGCCGAAATGATCCTAGCTCAGATGGATGTCAAGAAGCGCGTGGTGGTCATCAAACATTTCGTTTCGGTTGCTGATGTAAGTCATGTGCTCATTGTTCGTAAGGGTTGTCAAGAACTGACTGTAACAGAAATGCCGTACGCTTAACAATTTCTCTACACTAACCTCGATCATTTCTGCCCTTGGTACAGCGCCGATTGCCCGCCTCAAGAGAACTTGGGACCAGGTGCCGGCTCGCACTCAGGCCACGCTTGAGACGATGCGCCGACTGATGGCCAGCACGAAGAATTTTGGTGAATACCGCGAGGCTCTACATGCGGCCAACCCGCCATGCATTCCTTTTTTTGGTACGCCCACATTCCGCTCTTGTTTCAATCTACGCTGCTAACAACTAGTTTAGGCGTATACTTGACAGATCTGACTTTCATTGAGGATGGTATTCCATCGATTATCAAGAAGACTAATTTGATCAACTTCGCCAAGCGTGCAAAGACTGCCGAGGTGATCAGAGATATCCAGCAATATCAGAATGCGCCATACTCTCTCCACCCAGTCCCAGATCTACAAGACTATATACTGTCCAACATGTCGGCTGCTGGAGATGTACATGAGATGTACGACAAGAGTTTGGTTGTAGAGCCACGCGAGCGTGAAGACGAAAAGATTGTGAGGTACGTGGCATTGCGGTCGCAACAAATGGCAGCACTGCAGGGCCAACTATCCTATGGTTGAGACCTCGCATTTGCTTTATTATGACTCCAACCAAGAAGTACATGTGCTTCTTTGGGAATTGCACCCAAATGCATTCACAAAATGATTGATAATATTGGAACAAATGCTTACTCAATGCCGTCGTGATATAGGGTTTTGGCCGAATCAGGATTTCTATGAGGTTGTACAACGACATCAAATCCCAAGCTTCCGCGCTAGCAGGCGGTGCCGCATGCACACAGCCTTCCATCGCAACACAAAATCGGACGGGTATTTGACCCTGGTAATAAGGATGAAAGTTATTTTATGTGCGACGAATCATTTGCCGCACAGGGGTGTCTCGACCCATGCACTGCCGGGAGGCTGTTGCGAGGATATCGTACAATGGAGCGTTTGTCAACGCCACAACTCAGGGACTGGAGACGGGGTGGTGGGATAGCAGTTGCGGTCTCTAACCCGTTAAGTGTTACCATCCCTTTTCGAGGTACATGGCACGATTCCATGCAAAGAAAACGGTCCTGGACGGAAGGATATGTGGCGTGAGCATGACACTTCTGGACCTCATCCCTTAATGAACGGAATGCCGGGATGGTGCAGATGACGCGCAGCCTATCAAGCGAGCAGGATCACTCGTGGGGCCATATCTCCCATTTAAGATAAGAGCCAATTAAATGGACGGGGCCTCGGAAAAGATGACTGGAAGGAATCAGTTGGGATTCAGCTGCGGCAGTGAGATCACCAAAGAAAAGAAAAAAAAGGATACCAAGGCTTTCTCTGAACGGTAAATAGAAAGACAGCCAATGAAATCACCGCAAGAGATGAAATAGGCTTTATAGAGAACGAAAGTGCACACATTGAATCAAGCCTCGTTATGCGGGGGACATCCCCTATTGTAAATGCACGTTTCGAAGTACTATCCTTGCCTGACTTGCCACCTACGAATTAAAAGTCCAGGGAACAAGGGAGCGTGAGTACTACCGGCTAGGTTCACAGTTCAAATACCTCTAAATAATAGAGGTTTAGAGGAAACAAGCATGCTCGCTCGTGAGAGGTGGCGATGAGTACCGGAGGAAGGTTCCTCAGCTACAAAAATCGTATAGATTGTATGCCGTCCGTGCTCTCCCCAATACTAATCCAAAATCGAGAGCATTCGTGGCCTATTGTAGCGAAATGCAATAGCCATCCCCAAAATTTCGGTGCCAATAGCCTCGAACAAGGGAGTGAGTGCTATTAGGCGGGACTGTGTGTGCCTTCCATCTGGTGGGTTAAACCCGAGACTAGCCTGAGCAGGCGGTGGTCTTCAAAACATTCTCACATGATCAAGATGTGACTAACCTAGAAGAACTCTTGCCAGCTGCAACTGCGGACGGGAAGGGCCTCCCCTCTCTCGACGCGAGAGAGAGAGAGATTGTGTGTGTACGTATGCGTGCGGCGCGGCGTTGTCACTTGTTCCAAGTTGAAAGGAAGAGGATGAAAGCAAAGCCTTCTTCACCGGTCGGCTTGCACATTCGTTACACATGCATGTTGTACTGGATCAGATCAGTACCCTGGTCCCGCGGGAATCGCCGGTTTCGATGTTCCTTCGCGAAACTTTGCTTCTAGACTAACGCCACCTTCACAATATTACATGGTTATTTTGCCCAAAGAGGATCATTGATCAGTCGTTCTGCGGATAGAAAGTCTCCATGTTCTGCTACTCAACGATCGAGACGCTGCTAATGAACCTCTGGTCTCTTCCGGAGGGATAAGTTGACCAACTTGCACATGTTTGTGCTCTTCTTTTCGAAGCGATATTCATTCCGACGTGGTTACCAGCCTGCTGGGAGACACTAACCTTAATAAAGTGGGATGAGGGGCCCGATTTATCCGCCAACGACATACTCGAAGAGTGAGGTCCTGGACTTAACCTGAAAATCGAGGTTCACTGGCACGCGCCCCTGCCGCCCTTGACGCAAATGCAGACGCAGATTATTATGTTTGCCCATTATTCTAAGGTAAGGTGAGCATTTCCCTGAAGGAAGCACGCCAATAAGCCGACAAGTCGCAGTTCTGAAAGATTCTATGCGAAATAGAATCTCATTGGTGCTCAAAACGACAATTTCGGTTCCGACAGAACAAGCGAGAGCAACAGCCTGCAAGCTGTGCATTGCATATAAGCCCAGGACGAGATGATGTTACCATCCACATATGCAAGGCACTTTGACGGTACACGGATTTGTAGTCACTCTTTCTGTGAGGACCTGCCCGGTAAACTGTATCTATACGTAATGGTCACTTGAATGTTCTAGCCCGCATTATAACTAAGACTGTATACACGAGTCTGACATCCCCATGGAAAACAAGGGTCAATGGAGGTCTCTGTACATCAAGACCGTATCGGTATATCGTTGCAATACTGTGCCATTGTGCTTGGTTTTTCTGCACAAATAGGTATCAACCAAGCCATGTATACTCGTGCCTTCAGGGTTCACACTCCCTCCCAATCCAACCCTCCAACCCCACCAATACTCCCGCCGTATCCTGCCATGGTGCAGCGAGTCGGCCCGCGGGTCAGCACATTGCATGTAATTTAGCGCTACAAGCGTTAGCAAGTACATACACCCAAGCTTCTACTTTGAGGCACCTACGATACAGCGTCGCTATGCCCGATCGAGATGCTAGGAATCATGGAACTGCATTGGTAGACTAGGGACGGCTGCCGGCCCGGCTCTGCATCTACTTCGGATAGGTGTGAATGTGATCGTTCTCTCAGCGATACTGTCACTTTTTCCTACTTCTGACACGGATAAATGTATCATCACAACATGCGGGCTGGATAAGTGCCATGTTCCAGCACGATCACAACACTGGACAAATTGTTATTTAAGACTTTCTTTTGTCGGGGCTGTGCAACATTCATTCATGTGGCCCTTAATGAACCGCTTCATTGATGCGCTGAACGATGACCCCGTACCATTTTCGATCCCTTAGACTCGGGCTCGGTCGCTGCACTTCTGGGGACATCTCCAGCCTGATGATATGCAGCTTATCACAAAAACGCCTGCCTCGGCTTGTGACGACCACAGCTCCTAACCTTAGTCGGTTTCATATGCAGCATCGCCTTCTTATTATTTGCTGCCATTTCTCTGCTGGCATAGCCTATTGTTGCTGTTCTATTGATCCGCGGTATTTTCTTGTGCTGTAGTACCCACCATTGCCCCAGATTTTCCTGTAGTGTCTTGGCCGGCCTCGATCCACCGAAAGAGTATTCAACCTCGGATCGTCTTTTGCCGACGGCGGGGAAAACCAAACCGTCCTTGATGAGTTTCGACGATTTGAGGCATTAAACTACTAAGACACCAAATGATTTTGTGGCTATGACCTAGACTAGACTTCATCCACTCACACCGAGCCCTCATCGGTCCGTTCATACAATCTGGGGCAGAATCTGGGGTACATGGAGCCAATGCATCGTTTATGGGGTTGCTCTTACGAGGACACCCACCCTCGTTAGCAGTTTCGTCATGAGATATTCGGGCCTATTAGACCAGACTAGCACAAGGTTTGGGGAGCTCAGAAAAGAAAAAGGGAAGGCGCCTTGCTTCATTGTATTCCGGTTGTTTAGTATATGGCGCATTACGTCTGAGATTTCGCGCGACAAAACATACTGTACAGGAATACCCTCAAATCCCGAAACGAGGCACCTTCGCTCCGCAATGATAGGTTACGTTACCACGTAGAGACGTGCGCGTGGGCGCTCGAATGAGCTGGCGCGTTCCCGAGACAAGTGCCGGCATGTTCCCAATTCTGTGGTGACTGCAAGTAGCCGGTGGGAGGGATACAAAAGTGTTTCATCCCATGTGTTGTCGGCCCTTACATGCATTAATTCACGGCAGGGCCCCGTTTGAGTGAGGTATCCTGCCTAAACAAGTTGATAGCCGAAAAAGAAAGAAAAAGAAATGACATGGATTCAGAGTAATTATCAGCAAACAAAGAACAACAAGGGTCATGGTTTATGTGCTGCTCCTGTGTTGAGAGATAAGGTTGTATGAAGTTATCGTCCTACGCGTTATCCACACAAAGTATACTACTTCATAACTAATAGCCAAGATAGAGAGCTCATATATTCGTCACACATCTCTTTTAACCCCAATTTACCGTTAGTCACAGGAGTTTGACAAAGATATAACTAAGTGCCTCATCAGGACAACTGAATTTGCTACCACAGATAAATAATTAAAACAATTCACTTGCGTCAAATTAGAACTATGAATTCCAAGTCCACTTCAGAAAGCTTATTGTTTAGATGGACTGGTGTTTTGGTAATGAAAAGGCCGCCTCTTTACACAGAAGTCTTGCTACATGTCTTCAAATCGAATTTGAAAGCGTGGGTTTTTAGACCGATAACTTCAAACTTGATGATCTCATGAATATCTTGCCGTAGCTTTCCTGATCGTATTATAAGGCTCTGCATATACCACAAAGTCGGCGTTTAGGTGCTTCTTATGTGCATAAGCGACTAAGCTTCGCGTGAGTTTTGACGAAATGTAGTTTGAGCTCGGTAATGGCTTCAATGGAGCAGTTGATAGCGACTGAAGGTTTTGCCGCCATTGTTCATGTAATAGAAAACGCTGGGAGCATCATACGTTCCAATGCGATGCAAAAGGTGCTGTAGCACTTTGAGCCTTTCTTGAAGTGTTTACTCCGAAAGGGGCACCAGGTATGATACCAAAGAGTGATCTGGCTTATGACAAAATTACGTATGTGAGGCCAGGTTCAAACTCCTTGTCGGCAATATTGAGATCCATTTTATCAATTATAACTCCAAGGGCTGTTTTGTACGGAGACTGCAAAGTTGGAAGGACTCACTTGTCAAAGTCAAAGGAAAATACTATAGGAGGTGCGTATCGCTAATCTGTCACTTTATTATTCCACGCAATATTGATAAATATTCCCCATCGCACGTTTCAGCGAGCCTGAGTTCGCAGAAAAATTATCTAGAAAGCAGGACGAGGGCGGCTATACATATAGTAATAATAAGCTTGACGTTATCGGCGTTGCGAGGGTTGGTGTTTCCCCAGTCCTATTTTGTTCCAGTAGTCCTGACGACAACAACAATAATTGCGAGAGCACTTATGTGCTCAAAGTTCTGGTGATGAAGGGGAGTATTGGTAGGGTATACACGAAAAGCATTGACGAGACATTTGATAATCCCTTGTCCCAAACTCGTACGGCGACGTAAATTCATAAATTTCTATAACTAGGCAATGCAAGACGCAATGCAAGACTTGGCACGTACCGTAATAAGAGTGACTCTTCTGTAATTAATGTGCAGGCAATGATTTCGGCCTGCTTGTTAGAATTACCCAAACGACTTATTTCCAAGATCACCAGTGTAGTACAAGTGTTTGTCGAACAGAGGAGCAACGCGATCGAAATCACCCAGGGGAACGATGCTCGTCTTCCCAAACATGTTCATCCTTGGAGTATCAGGATGACCCTGTAGGAAACGGCTGGGGATCGTTGCGATGGAGCGTAAATCAGTTTTGCCTTTCTCGTCGATGACTGACTATCGAATATGCTTGAAGCGTTGTAGGCGAGCAGGTTTAGTCCTTGTCGAACGTCGAGACTTCCGCCCCTTTGGATTGACAGTCCCACCAGAGAATTAGGAGTTCGGTCGTTGATACTTCATGCTGCACCATCAGGCAGCGCGTTGCGTAATACAAAATGTTCTCGTCCGTGTTGACTAACCTAGCCACATGGTTGATCTTGGCACGTCAAATGCTATGGCACGAGTGCGGTCTGTTACGCTATGATTCTAGCAGCAGTTTCGAGTAAGCATATTTTAGCCACGAACGAATGGAATTGCCTTATAGGAACGGTTGAGTCGAAAGATGGAATCAATGGTTGCTTCAGCATGAGGCGATTAAACTTTAGACTAGTTCTCACGCCGCTAACTGCGGACACGATAGACTTAGACAATAAGCCAAATCATGAGCTAACACCAACGAGAAGTACAGATAAATTCAAGTTGTAGCATAGATGAGCGCTCTACCAATCATTTCCCGAAAGATTACATTGCCTGCTGTTTCTAATGATTTCGCTTTTGCAGGCACGTCACCTTTCCCTCTCCGTTAAGTCCGCAATGTGACCAGCATGAGCCGAGATATCAGCATTCCTAGCATTCATAACATTCATATTATCGAAATGATTCGTGACGTTTGCTTGAACACAATTTCACTAGATATTGAAATCTACTTTCTTAGACTGTGGTCGTTGAAGAAGCCCAATATCCACGTGGTAGCATTGAACGATGTCAGGTGATGGCCAGCATTGTCAGAGTTGTTGAAGCTTGCTGGCCAGTCGTGCGGGATATTGTCGCCATCGTAGACAAGCATTACCGTGCCATTACCATAAGTGCGTGTGAAGCCACCGTCGCTGCCAGGGATATGAACATCTGACGGGTACGCTTGCAAGCCATTGCGTTGTGCCCACTGGCGCACCCAGTACTGGATGTCGGGTAGACAAGCGCCTTTCCGAAAGCCGCCGTGGTAGCTGATGGTGCTGTCGGCACCGCCGTGAAAGGCTAGGATCGGGATATTTGTTCGACTGGGGGAGCATGGGGCTGGCATTGATTCGGGTTTGCAGTCGCTTTCTTCCGTGATGTTTGCGTTGTAGTACGCACCCGAAACGGGAGCGAATGCAGCAAATCGAGCGGAAAGCTTAGAATTGCAGGCTAGTTGCTGGCCGACAAAACCTGCACCTTGTGACTTTCCAGTGGCGTATATGTGGTCACTGTCCACACAGAATTGCGACTGGATCTTGTCGAGCACAGTGTTGGTAAAGGCAATGTCGTCGGCAGGGGCGCCTGGGGCGCCTTGCCATGTCGTACTTCCATTGCTGTTTTTGACCTGAGAGACATGTCAGTATTCTCGCACAGCAGTTTGAACATAAAAAATGGATCAGAAGAATAAAGTCACTAACGAGAGAAATCAGTTGTAATTATACATGGAGGGTAAGAGGTGAAATAGGATACTGCTCAATGACTGATATCATCCCTGTGGGCTACTGCTGTTTTTTGGGTCATGTTCACGTCTGACAACATTTCGCAAGTGTTTTCCGGAATTATCTCCGCGGGTATACTACTCATAGTACCTAGATGTACCCAACACTTACACCTTGAAGATAGGCGACTATGTAGTCTGTGTTGAACTCCGGATTTGTCAGTTGATCTAGCGCGCGCTGGTTCGAGATGTTCCCGTTCGCTCCATGATAAGAGAAGATCAATCCAGTTTCGACAGTGTAATCGTAGTTTTCCGGAACCCAGATGCCGAATTTTCGAGATCCGTTGTTTGTCTCAATGGTGGAGTTGATGAATGTACCGGGAATGCAAGGGGCTGGTGAACCGCAACCACTGGTCGGGTAGCCTCTGTATGCTGTAGTAGTAGCAGCAGCAGCAGCAGCGACGACCGGTTGCACAAGTAGGTTAATAAATGCCATGAAGTACATGATCGAATATGTATGAGAAGTATTTGTTGTAGTAGGTTGTAGAAGAAACTCAAGACTGAAGAAAGAGGTTGTGTGGGAAGTATGCATGTGAGAAGGATTGAGTTCTTATGGTAGTGAAACTGTTTAAATAGTATTTGTGATGGTCCAAATTCCGCTACTTTAATCTTTCCTGATATTTGTTTAGCTCTAGACTTTCCTATTCATGATCTTTAACAGTATTGACTTCTAGGCAGATCCATATCAGGTGCCAACGGACCCCTTACCTCATCAACTCCATCACTGCCAAATTATCTTGAGCTTGCTTAATAAAGGGAGAAGATTCGAACTGACGTATCGATTAAGACAAAAGCCCCAATAGCTATCCATAGAGTTTGCGTAAGATCTGGTCAATGCTGCCGATAAATGTAGTTACTAGGCGGCTGATCATAATGCCATACTCTAATTTATCAACAACAACGTCGAACTCGTAATATTGCCGAGGATCACAAACATGATTGAATTTGTCACATGTGGAAAACCCGTGCCAAATAGATTTGAAATATTGATTGATCTACAATGTTGTCTCAAACTGTAACTTGATCGCTCCACATCGATGTGATTCACTGTTTCTGCCCGCCCAGCTAAACGACCACATATCTCTACAGCAATTCGAGCCCCAATAAGCCGAAGGATCCGAGTTAGATGAGACTTAACCACTGTCAGGCCCTTTGAGTGTATTTATGAACCTTGGGTTATTCTCTTATGTGGGGTCTGTCATATTGTATGGCCTGGGTCTAGAAACCCAACTACAATATAAAAGGCATGGGCTTTGGATTCTGCTGAGATGGGTGTGTAATTTTTGTAGTGAGCCCCTCATATATCGAGGATTCCATTTACCTCTCTTATCCGGGTACTTTCTTTGGATGGGTCTCGTCGCATCCAGGATACACTCGCAGATCTCTATACCTGGCGTTCTATTCCATTCATTGCACAGTATAGAGATGCCGGCTATTGAAAGTTTGGTGTTTAAGATACTTAGGATCTTGTGGTTGGAATCCTCGGGGAGCATCCATTGTCAGAAGCCTTCGTCGGTCTTGTTCAGGGTTTAAAGGAAATCTCCTGACTTTCAGGACCGCATTTCAAACTTTGCGCACGTACAATACACGAAGACACGGATACACTGAAAAATGAATGTTATTGGATTATATATACGATCTTTCATTTAATCTAAATCTAGAGATACTTGACTTCTTATGCCGTAGCGTTTGGTTGGATAGATTGAGGATAATAGAATAGCTCTTTAGGATCAACAGCTGCTTTGATGCGCTGGAGTCTTGGTAAGCTCGCCCCGTAGTACACATCCTGTGCAACGGCCCGACTTAGACTTGAGTCGGCGTAGTTGATATACATGCCCCAGTCAGGCTTCGCCAAAGCTGCCGTAGTTGTTGCTACCCAGCCATCGAGAAACGAGTAACCGTTTGCTGGATAAGCGCCGCTGTACTGACGATCATAGAATTGAATGAGATACAGCTTATCACGGTGGGCGTATGACGACGAGGCATGGTTGCCTGTGGTGATCGCGGAGCTCTTGCCACCATGCATATCAAGTTGGAAGTACCAGGACCGCGATTGCATGTTTTTTGCGGTATCAAACCAATAGTTAACAAAGTTTTTTGCAGCAGTACCGTTTAAGCCAGTTAGCTCCAAACTCTTGGCATATATCGTCTCTTGCTAAAGTGGAGTGTGAGTATATTCCCAATATTGAGAATTGATCTTACAAGCGAACTTACCAGTGAGTATGGGTGAGTGACATCCAACTTGCCATTGGCATAATGAGTCAGTGCGTCTAGCCATCCTGTGCTTTGCGACTGTTGAATAGATCCGCCCGTCTTGGCCAGAAGCGGCGCCAGGGCTGTCCCGAGCCCTGTAGCATTACCAAAGAATTGTCCCTCAAGCTGGGTGAATGCAGATGACGCGAATATTCTCATATTCAACTCCGCAGGCATCGTATTCTTCACAAAGTCTTCGAGCGCCTCCAGTCCCGCAACACCGTTTGCTTTCGTGAGTGGCAGCGACGCAGTGAACCACGTTACGCTAGAAGGCGCCGCGAAGGTGTTGAACTCGTACGACGTTGCGATACCGAAATTAGATCCGGCACCTCGCATCGCCCAGAAGAGATCCGGGTTCTCGGTCTCGGAGCAGTGTACGAGTGTTGCATTTGCTAGGACTACGGTCATACCCGAGATCCAATCCAGAGCTAGACCGTGTAAATGTGAGCTCATTCCGAAGCCACCGTGAAGCGAATGGCCGGAAACACCGACACTGTAAAATTCAAAACCGTCAGCGACCAGTTAAGAATGACTCCGCAAAAATAAGTACAGCTTACCCGGGACAAGTCCCATGTGCAAACGCCCTTTGTCCCTGGTTATACAGTTCGGAGGCCACATGTCCCAATCTTGCGCCTGCCTGAATCGTAGCTATATTCGTGGCCTTGTTCAATGTGACATTGTACATCCGGTCCAGCTGCACCATCAGATGTCCATCTTCACCACCGAAGCCGAGAGATGCGTAGCTGTGCCCGCCAGATTTAGCATTGACTTTCAGACCTACTTTCGCGGCGCATGAGACGGCGGACTGTATGTGCTCTGCTTTGGTAGGTACCGCAATGGCGACAGGTGTATAAGTCAGGCGAGGATTGTAAGGTGCCGCATCGGCTTTCCAGTCAGAGGAGCCTGGCGTGTCAACGGGGACGGAGGCACTCTGAAGACAGTCGTCTATTGCGGCGCGCTTATTGAGGGCGGTGGCACCGGAGAGTGCTGCGAGCAGGCTGGCACCTAGCCAACCAACAGTAACGTAGCGCATCTTAGCGCAGATAGGACCGTATTTAAAGTCGTCGTCGTCGTTACAAGAGTCTAGAGAAGACAACTTATTGGACGCAAGAGCGTAGCAATCCAGACATGGGGCCTAGTCGTCGCAAATGATCCAGGAATCAGGCCCATTTTGTAGCGTTTTATCATAAGATTTCAATCTTCTTTTTCGTCGCTGTTGTGGTTGCTCTGAGCTGAGCGCTCGGACAGTTTACCCGGAGTATATTGCCTATCGAATGTTGACATGCGAGCAGCGATGCCGGTCCGCCGGTGGCGGCGGACTCTCTAGGCACAAGCACAGAAGCCTGAGAGGACACCCGAGTATATGCATAGTAAAACAACAGCAACATGACAGCATCGCAGACGTTCCGTAATTCGTCATAGAATGGACGGTTAAGGTGCCAATTAGCCGCAAATCTTGGGTTTCATCCACTAATATCACAAATTAAAATGTCGACATGATCCTCCGGATCTAGCCCTTTCGGTAGACGGAGCTGTGTAACACTCCCTATTACAGTATGTTTATGACACGGCTCAACCAAGATTGCAATAAACTACCTCGTGGCAGCAAGTAGATTGAATTGGCGCTCACGTGCATGCAGATCACTTTTCATGTTCCTGTGCTTCCGCTACCCAGCAACGGCTGCAAGATGTCGCCAAGAGAACAATCCTTTTATTCTGATTTCAATTTTTTTATTACATATTTCGAGAGATTCCCCTAACCATTGTTTCCTCAGACACGCCTACTATAGCGCATGACGATGCCTCTGTTCACGCCCTTCATGATGTTAGCCTTTGGGCTTGCGCCCATTGTTATTGCTGATAAGCTGCTGGTATCACACTACAGTGGGCAAGTCTACTCTCTAGATTTGACAGTCAGTGGTAGCGTTGGTACCTTGAAGTCTACCTCTTCAACTGGTGGCTGTGGAAAGATGCCATCATGGCTTACTCTTGACTCTGACAAAGGTATACTCTACTGTTTCGACGAGTCCGGGGCGGGCCAGCAAGGCATTAGCGGTGGAGTGGTGACCTCGTATACCGTCAATACAGATGGTTCTCTGAAGCAGGTAGGACAAGCAAAAACATTAGGTGGAGATGTCCACGGGTGGTTCTATGGTGGTTCAGACGGCCGTGGGTATATTGCGGCGGCCGAATAGTAAGTCAAATGACCGTGGACTGAAGCGGAAGGATGCAGGCTGACCTTGGTTGACAGCGATGCCTCAACTATCACAGCCTACAAGCTGCCACTGTCATCTAGCAGCCAATCGCTGCAAAAGGAGACTTTCACGATGTCTAAGCCAGGCCCGAACGCAGGCCGACAAAACAAGCCTCATCCGCATTCAGTCATTACGGACCCCACAGGCAAATACGTACTAGCACCAGACCTTGGTGCTGATCTCGTTCGTATATTCAGCATCGACGCTGCCAGTGGCAAACTCACGGCTTGCTCTGCTGGACAGGCTGGCTCTGGAGACGGTCCTCGCCACGGCGCTTGGTGGTCGCCCCAGGCTGGAGCAACTGATGGACAGATGCTGTACACGGTCAACGAGCTGGGCAATTCGGTTTCCGCATGGAAGGTAACTTATCAGAGCTCTGGCTGTTTGACACTGGCCAAGACCCAGACACTCTCTACATACGCGGCTGGAAAGTCGGCACCATATGGTTCTAAGGCCGCAGAAGTGCACGTGTCAGGCAACTTCTTGTATGCAGTCAACCGCAACGACAAGACATTTGGTGCAAAGGAAGACTCGATTGCGACATACAGCATCGACGCTGCTACTGGTGCTATCACTTTTGTGGAGGCCACAAGTGCTCATGCCTGGTATCCCCGAACGTTCGCCATCAACAAGGCGGGCACCCTTGTCGCTGTTGGCGGGCAGACATCGTCCAATATTGCTATTATTCAGCGCAACACGACCACCGGGAGGCTTGGTAGTCTCGTTGCTAATCTGGCGATTGCGACGCCAGGAACGGATGGCGGTGAGGATGGACTCAGCGCTGTCATCTGGGATGAGTGATGGGGACACTAAGCAAGGCAAGGCTCACATCTTTTTCTAAAACGTCCTAGTCGTTGAGATATAAGTTCCCATATATCCCTTATCAGAAAAGCGTTTCGCCATCCAACTGCACTTTGGAAAGTTGCAATTCATGTCAGCTACATTGAGATTTATAGCTTCGGGTTCGGAGGTTTGATGAAATCAGAAGATCATAACTCAACGGGCGGATCGACAGCACCACTAGCCCTTGAGCTGTAAGGACAGTACTCACTGCTGAAGACACACGCTTTCAAGTAAACCAAACGCTTTTATTGATGTCCAAGCCAAGCTCTCCAAAAGTCCCAAAATGGTTGAATGGTCGAAATCTCTTCTACCCCACAGAAACCCCAGATTCGCTTCTAAAAATCTGTACAGATTGCGGGGTAATGCTACGTTATCGAGACGCCAGCATGTCAACCATTTCCGGCTTTATAACACGGCATTCAAGTTGCGCACAGCCACCAGTTCACTTTTCAGAGTTGAGTACTGAGGCGCCTTCGTGATCACAAGAGTACCTACCATCGTACGTGTTGACTGCATGGCATGTAAATTGTCTCGACGCTTCTAAACAATAGTAGCGACTACAGGTGCAAGTATTCAATCGCCATAGTCATGTCTTCTCGGGACGGACTTTGTGCCATGCCATAATATGAGTTCATGTCTCCACCCGCCTATTCGTATATTGTCACTAAACTCGGCATTTCCGTTTCGCGGAATCCCTTAGCAAACCTTGGCGGCAAGGTTACGCACTCGGATTACTCGCGTTTCTCCAACTCAACATCATGACGAAAGCGTTCTTGATATTCACCTCCAGTTCACGTGGAAGGTTTTGCTCGGTATTCTTTGTCCCGTAAAATGGGGTCGTCATGTTCACTGGACCGAGACCTCGTCAGTGATAGCTATGGATCTGCAATACTTATACACGCCATCCACCGCACCCAATATGCTCCTGTATATTTGTGTATCGATTTGCAGGACTGCAGGACTATATCTCACCAATGTCAACGATGAGAGCAATCACGCTATACTGCCAGCTCGCCCTCGCCACGCTTGCGGCGGCCGATGTTCAATACGGTGAATATATCCTGGCTCCATCATCACGGACACTAGCTCCTGCGTCTGTATACCAAACAGGTGGTGATGTGGAAGGCTTCGATGCCCTCGTCGACCCCGCGAGCCAGGCTTCTACGACACTAGATGGAGAAGGTTATGTCACTCTGGACTTTGGCAAGAACATCGCTGGCACTGTTAGCTTCCAGGTCGACACGCTGGAGGGCGATGATGAGGCCATCGGTTTCACGTTTACCGAGAGCTCAGAATGGATCAGCGCCGAGTATTGTGATGCTACACAAGATGATGGCATTGATTTGCCCTTATGGTTCAATCTGACTGGACCTGGTCTCTATGAAGCTGACAAGGCGCACCAGAGAGGTGGTTTTCGATATCTCACTGTTGTCCATAACGCAACCGGCACTGTGAGCATCTCTAACTTGACGGTCTATTGGATAACTTCGCCTGAGATGGACAACCCCGCGGCATATACCGGTCACTTTCACAGCAACAGTGAGAAGCTGAACCGCGTGTGGTATGCCGGCGCCTATACGAACCAGCTATGTTCTATAGATCCGACCACTGGAAATTCCCTTGGTCAGCCTCTGGAGGGGTGGCACTACGACTACACCATCTCAAGTGAGTAGCTATCTTTTTGAATTATTTAACGTAGAAACACATACTGACCACTACCCCCCAAGATGGCACCTCGGTTCTCGTTGACGGTGGTAAAAGAGATAGGTTGATCTGGCCGGGTGATATTGCCATCTCAGGCCCCTCTATCTTCGTATCCACCAACAGTCTGGATCCAATCCGCAATGGAATCGATGCTCTGTTCCTTCAACAGCAGGCCGATGGACGCTTGCCATATGCTGGAGAACCATTCAATGAGTTCATTGGCAACAAGACAAACACGACTGTTTGGCTCTGGAGTTTCACTTACCATTGCCATACGCTCAACGACCTTTATGACTACTACTTGTTTACTGGTGACATCGAGTACTTGGAGTCATACTGGAGCCAATATACACTCGGAGTCAATTATCTGCTCCAGTTCATCGACTCTACGGGCTTGGCGAATGTGACCTCGAGCTCTGACTGGCTGCGTGTTGGCATGGGTGGGCACAACATTGAGGTAACATTCCTTAGTGGCCGTCCCCATGATTATGCTGACGATAAGTTAAGGCCAACTCAATTCTATATTTCACTCTAAAAAACGCTATTAGTTTAGCGGCCGTCGTCAACGACAAGAGCGACGTCGGCAATTGGACCATATCTGCTGCTGGCATTCCGCCTGCTGCCAACGACCTCCTATGGGATGAGTCAGTTTCGCTCTACAGAGACAACGACACTCAACAGGTTCTCTACCCGCAAGACGGCAACGCCTGGGCAATCATTTCTGGCGTCGCAAATGGCTCTCGAGCCGAGGCCGTTAGCGACTCCCTCGCAGCGCGCTGGATCCGACCATATGGGGCACCAGCACCTGAGGGCGGCGAGACCATCTCACCTTTCGTGTCTGGGTTCGAGATACAGGCACATTACAAGGTCGGAAGGGCCGACCGAGCCGTCGACCTCACAGAGTTCATGTATGCTGACTTCATGCTCGACGACCCGCGCATGACAAACTCGAGCTTCATTGAGGGTTACTCGACCAATGGCAGCTTGCACTATCCGGCTTACAAGAATGATCCTCGTGTCAGTCATGCCCATGGCTGGGCCACGGGCCCGACGTCGAGTTTATCGTTCCTGGGCGCGGGCATCCAGCTTTTGGCCGCCGCCGGCAAGACGTGGAAGATCGCGCCCGCGCTTGGTGGGCTTACCAGCCTCGAAGCGGGCTACGAAACGCCACTTGGCGCATATGCTGCTGAGTGGCATAACAGTAGTTGCGGTTTCACGGGGAGGTTCGAAACTCCTGAAGGCACATCGGGATCATTTGACATAGCGATAGGACCGGGCTCGACGAAATTGTCGCTTGATGGTCCCGGAGGCATCACCGAGGTCGATGTCACGAACGAGGCAGTGGTGAGTGTTGATGGCCTCGCTGGTGGCAAATATACCGTGACTATTTCGTGAGGACAAGGGTTAAGATATAGCTTTTGACAAAGTATTTGTGCGAGATACTGCGAATATCGCTATCGATATTTTCTAAAGAACCCTGACCAATTTCCTCGACGTACTTTGAGGATTCTCGTTCTATTTCAATACTTCCCCTATCACCTCGTAAGATTCCTCAAATTGAAGCACCCAATCTTGTTATCGATTTTGTGTGGGTGACTATCCCTATTCATCCCGAAATCCCTATAAATCATAAACAAAGTCATACTAACCGTGTGGAATGCAAATGATCTGGCCGTATTCGCGCGTTCTTGATCAGTTATGATCTGATATATCCAGGCTTGATGTGTTTAGGAGAGGGAAATACATTAGCACTTCTTGTTTGACTGGACGACGTGCACAAAGGAGATTCAGTGTTGGATCCTTCTAACCACTCACAGCAACTTTCTTTCGGTTCATCCCATCGACTCTGCTGATACCTGATTCGGTATCACGACAATAAAAGCACAGTGAACGTGCCCTAGACACGGTTGGCTGTGGGATATATGTATTAAATACATATTTTACAGAGCTAGGGATTCCTTCTGCACCCATCTGAATGGGATATACCGATCGCAGTAGGGGAAGACGAGATGCCGTAGTGCGCATGATGTAAACAATGTCAATGGCCACGATGCAATTTCCTTGCGGGAAGTGGCGCTTGTAGGATTTTACTTGTCTCTATTATGGTATGTAGACTCGAGTATGGAACCATGGCAATATGTGCTGTCATTCCTCCGTGTCCTTGCGCTCAGGACCTGAACTCGAAGTGGACCTTTCGCCCATACCGATGAGTCTTCCAATTCCTCCGAGGTCTATCGCGGTGTCTATGAAAAAGCACTCGTTTCTGTCCTGGCCTCATAGCTTCCCACTCCTTTTGTCACCGAGTCATAAAGCACCAACGCTCTTCAGCAGCTGGGGCAGCTCGCCGCTCTTGGCCTGGAGGTCGCTGTTTCCACCAATGTGCTTCTGGCCAATGAAGACGTTGGGGACGGTGCGCTGGCCGCTGATGTCGAGGAGGGCGGACTGAATCTCGGCGCCATCGGGGACCTGGTCGAGCTCGATCGCATAGAACTTCGCGTCTAGGGAAGAGAGCAGCGATTTGGTGGCGCTGCAATAGGGGCAGTAAGACTTTGAGAAGACGGCTGTTGAGAGAGTGGCAGAGGGGTTAGTCTTGGGATTTCATTGAACTTGGATATGGGAGCGCGACGCAAATGCGCGGGCTATTAAAAAAAAAAAACCACTAACCGACAGCATTGTCGTCAATGATCTTCTGAGCCTTCTCCTTTGCGGATGCCATTACTTCTGGAGTTGCGGAGGATGCGAAAAAGCGACGCAGGAAGGACATGAAGTTGATTAGGGATAGAATCACCACAGCGACTCGTGGACAGAACGAGGGGTAGATATTTATATACAGTATGGACTTATGAGCGAGCGCCAGTTTTTGCCGAACTGTTTTGGTTACAGATTCGAAAGCCGTCCGGATCGGGTCGTCGTGATTTGTCAAGAGCAATGGCGAAAGTGGACTCGACGATCAACCCCGGCCTAGACTAATCGATTTGCATGTGGCTGTCACGGAACAGCTTTCGAATGTATTCTATGACTGATTACTGATAACAAAGCGAATGCATTTACACTTTCGCGTAGTTCTGGAATGCATGCGTATTCACATTCAGTTTGTTTTGTTTTCCGAGGCGATGCGAGCAATCCAAGGGAAACCACTGAACGTTCCAGGGCTTTTCTTTCGCCTGTCGCGAGCATGGGATTTGCTGCGGGATGGATGACGCAACATGGCATATGACATATTGGCACATGGCATCATGACCACCCTTATCGCCGATAGCATCTCTGAATACTCTCAAGGTTACGGCGAGAATTTAGAATTCCTATGACAACTTGTGAGAATGCTATGTCAACGCATGACAAATCTGGCTTCCGTCAATGCTGCGCTCTATTGAACGGGACTTCAGTAGACCCTTCGACACGTCAAGCCGTGGACTTCGTGCTGGTTTCCGAATCTTTGTCTTGTGAGTAGAAATGATCAACACGATCCATAAGATTGACCGAGAATGGCTTGAACGGGTAGCCATCGCGCTGTTATTAGCTGTCCGCACTGAAGCCCACTGGATACCCGATCCCTGCGATGCGTTTCTGCCACCGCCTTACCCAATGTGACACGAATCGTCCTTATCCAATTGATGCCTCGATAGAAAGTGAAGCTCGTACAGCAGTCGGTTTTTAGACAGATCGGCCACCATGCAGATCACTTCGGCATGGGCCATTTCTCAAATGTCGTTACTTTGCGCAGGTGGACTTGTACAACAACTTGAATATACTTGCAGATTGTTGCAGAAAGAAACTTACGGCATAAAAGCCTCTCCCTTCAAAGCAATTCATCATTGAGAGGAGACGTACCTCTTCTTCGCTTACCTAATACCGACAAAAGTCCTCCGGCTGCAGCTATGAAATTTGTGGAACTTGTCGCCCGGGCCCATCCAATTAAAAGTCTTGGTAGTCTTCTACGTTGCCGTTCAAACCGTTTGTTGTAGTAGCATGATTCCCATCCTACTCCGTACATCCCTCATTGCTTCTACGAATGACAGCAAGGCTCCGGCTGCAGTAGCTGAGCGTTGATGCAGTGGACAACGCACCAGGATTGAAGAACGCAGTACTGCCTGGTATCAGATCCAAACACGACTTGTCTCCCTCGAAGGCGTTGCCCATGTGGGACAATCTTTAGCCTTTGCAGATCTTTCTACCGTAAAATAAACAAGCTGCATTGAAAGGGGTCTTGATTTTTTTTTTCTTCCCCAGCAGTCACTCACGACTGGAGATTGACGGACCGGCCCCACAAGCGGCGCTCACGACACGAATCGAATCGAAGTCTTCTACTCATTGACGTCCGCTGACAGGACGCCGTCCCAAGTTGCCTCGACTCCACATTCTCCGTTCCCCTCCTTTGTATTCGATTCACTTCTTTTGTAAATACTCTAGTTTCCCCGGGTTTGTCCTCAAACGTTTGAGGACTACCCAAATTGGTTCAAGGTGGCTTCGGATCAGGTAATATTGGCATCTTCTGGTGCCCTCCAGAACCTCACTGCATATCTGCCACCGGGATTGGCAACATACGTCAACGCGACTATTGACCAGCTATCGGGGGCTCTTGCTGGCTCCAACGAGTACCTTGCGGCTCAGGGACTTTCACCGACAGTAATCTACTCGACGCTTGCCTGCGCCGCTTTTGCAGTTCCCTTAGGCATGTCTCGGTACTACCGCGAAGGTCTCTCACCCTTTGCCTCCCAGGACGGCGGCGGCGCACCGCGGGTGACGGAAGACGACTTTAGCTACATCACTTCCGAAGACTTGGAGCACTCGCTGCAAGTACCAGCCCGGAGCTACGACCCAAAGAGCCAGCCACCCTCGAGTGCCAAAGTCGATGATGATGTTCTTCTGATCAAGAACAAGGCTACCATATATCCCGTCCACTTTCCCGCATACTCGATCGGCGATGGCAAGCTCTACGTACGGGATGTGCGCGACCGGGTCGGTATGGTCATGGAGGTCGGTCCCAAGCAAACAAGGCGTATCAAGATGCTCTACAAGGGCCGACAACTAAAAGACGAAGACGTGCCGATCCGCGCATACAACGTCAAGAACAACAGCGAGATCCTGGTCGTTTTGCCGGAAGGCGGTGTTTCAGACGACGAGTCCGATAGCAGCGAGGAAATCGTCGTTGCTGATTCCCGAGACGGGCAGCCGACCAAGAGCAAGGGCAAGAGCAAGAACAAGCGGGGAAAGAAGAAGAAGAGCCGAAGCCCACGCGAGGGGAGCAGTCTCGACATACCAGGAGCTGGGGCGGACGGCAGGAGATCAGACACGGAGGAATCGAGACAACCCAGCAGAATGCCCACGCCGCCGCAGGTGCCCAGCGGGGCATTGGAGAAGCTGCAGGCCATCTCGTCGCATTTCAACACCAAGCTGCTGCCGTTATGCGTCGAGTTCTCTGCCAGTCCGCCAAAAGACAAGAAAAAATGCGAGGACGAGCACAGGAAAATCAGCGAAACGATCATGCAGCAGGTGATGCTCAAGCTGGACGAGGTGGACACGGGGGGAGATCCGGACATCAGAGCCAAGAGGAAGCAGCTGGTCACTCAGGTGCAAGACGTGCTAAACGGTATCGACCGGCATCTGCCGGAGGGTTCTACGAAACCACAACTGTATTAAGAAGATGGGCAGAACATAGGCTGAGCTTTACTCTATACATTTTGTCTTTTTTTAGTGGTCCTACGCCTGCAATTAGATTTACACTTACTCTTTGTACTGGTCTTGCCCTTTCGTTCGGAGCGGACGTTCCAAGCAGCGATTATGACGGCGTGTATGTTTTAGGCTTAGGGGGGGACTGAGGAACAGGAAGCAAACGGGTAGGTATTGTTGTGCTAACTACGGCTTGGCCTGGGCAGGGCACATTATGAGTTACGCAGATTGCTTTTGGCTCTTGACACGGAGAGCAATCTACAAAGAGACAGATTATTATGATGATATGGAAATGGACGATGGACATTTGCACAATTGTCGCTGCACAGTGCACAGTGCCGCTAATGCACATAGATGTGCACGCCAGCTCCAAGGTTATGCCAAGGTAGTGCTGGCTTGTGCACGCTGCTCAGTGCGATTGATGTGTGATATGTAATATGTAATGCTATTTGCCCTCCCCCGTAGGTTTGGAAAACCCTAGCGGGCCACAGCTCTTGTCATTCCTCAATTCTCCACTATTCTGGTTCGGGGCAAGCGCGAACGGGCAGCGCACTCCGCCCAGCGTGTGCCAGCGGCCGATTAATTTTCAATCACACAAGTCCTCTCTGCTGGATTTGCGACTCAATCAACCCATTTCACGACACCGACGACAACCCCAGCGAGGAATTAATCTTTCCTAGCTTTCAAGGTAAGCCGAATTTCAGAGGATTCGATCCATTTCCAGTCTGGAGTTTGCGTTGCGAGCTTGGATCTGCCAACACAACACCCTCTTCTTCCCTCTTTTTAATTCATTCCTTCTTCCCCAATCCACATATCTACATCAGACCAGCCCGCGCTGACGATTCCGAAAGAAGATGTCGTCCTTCGAGCCTGTTGTGAGTACTCTCCAACCCTGTGCCCGAACCCAGAACCACTCCCCGGGAGATCATATGGTATCATGTGCAAGGAGCGGCATGGACGGATTGGAAGCCTACGACAATTAAACACCAAGATCGCAAAACTAGGGCAAGAGCAGGGCAATGATATCAGAGACGCCGGGAACTCGAAAACCAAATTTGATAGGCACACAACCACTGGAAGCAACGAGACTGACTGTGTCCCAATTAGGTTGTCATCGATGGCAAGGGTCACCTCCTTGGTCGTCTTGCCTCCATCGTCGCCAAGCAGCTCCTGAACGGTCAGAAGATCGTCGTTGTCCGCACTGAGGCCCTCAACATCTCTGGAGAGTTCTTCCGCGCTAAGCGTACGTCGCACCCTGCTGTCCACGTCTGTTTTCTTTTTTTGGTCGTGTCTCTGGATATTTGTCGTTTGGTCCAGGCTAGACCGATGTGGCATCGTGTCTGCTTGGTCTAGGCAAGAGACATGGGATCGATCACCCGCGGAATGTAACATTTGGATGCAAGATCACGAGCTGACATGATTTGGATTTACAGTCAAGTACCATGCCTACCTCCGCAAGATGACCCGTTACAACCCGACCCGTGGTGGTCCCTTCCACTTCCGCGCCCCGTCGAGAATCTTCTACAAGGCCGTCCGTGGCATGATTCCCCACAAGACTGCTCGCGGAGCCGCCGCTCTTGAGAGACTCAAGGTCTTCGAGGGTGTCCCTCCCCCCTACGACAAGCAGAAGAAGATGGTCGTTCCCCAGGCCCTCCGTGTCCTGAGACTGCAGCCCGGCCGCAAGTACTGCACTGTCGGCCGCCTGTCCCACGAGGTTGGCTGGAAGTACCAGGATGTTGTTGAGAGGTTCGTGTTCTGTGTTCCAGGTATCATTCTACGGAGCAGCTTGCTGACAAATTCCCTCCTTAGACTTGAGGAGCGCCGCAAGGCCAAGGGTGCCGCATACTACGAGCGCAAGAAGTTGGCCCAGCGCCAACTGTCTGACGCCAAGAAGAACGCCAAGGTTGACAGCAAGACAAGCGAGAAGCTCGCTGGCTTCGGCTACTAATTGTCTGGTCCTGTCTTCGTCATTGTTCGTTCTGAATTCAAATCAGTCTACGACTTTCTGCATCATTTTCGGCGGGGGGCAACGGTCAAAACAAATCATCATACCACGACACCATGAGAAAAACCTTTGCACTTAGATCGGCGTGAGGGAAAGGGGGTACGGTACTCCTTCGACTTTTTTGCTCTTGTTACCGGAACAAGAGCCAGGTCATTCGGATGAGCGTTGGGGGACACCAATTGATATGTTTCACAACCTCTGGGGCGACCTGTCTGTGTTCATTCGGTCAATGCTAGGAAGTCTAGGATCCGAAATGTGAAATGAACCAAAACAAGTGAATCATGCCGTGTCTTCTCATGGAATTATGTCTCGTGCTATTATGGATGTGGATGCTGAGATGAGGCTGACCAGCAGTACGCTCGTTTGATGATGATAGGAACCAGATTAAGCGGGTTTCCCTCAAAGACAACTCAGTCTACAGATTTGGTTGAGTGCAGAATTCCTGAATCGTCAAGCCCGCAAAGGCGACAAACGCAACCTTGTACATAGCCTCACTTTATTTACCAGCGGCATATATCTATCATCCTACCAGGCGCCACATGACTGTTACATGACATATGAAGCTCGGCTTTGACAGGAGAGATGTGTTACTGATTTATAATGCTAGTGGTCGTGCTTGGTGACCGAGGATAATTCCCACAAAGTTACATATTGTGATCCCAGCGCCGTTTTCCAAAGCGTTTCGTTTCAGAGATAGCCCAACGAAGCATTGTGTTATCTTGTTGACCAAAGTATCAGAGTTAAGCAGTACCGTATTATGACAATTTCTTTAGTGGTTTGTAGGCTCCTCTCCCTGCGTCCCGCAACTACACTTCCAATCATGCGATGTTGTGCATTACAGTCTTGGTAAAGAGCCACTAGTTATAACGTCCCAGCCGTCCTGTACTAAGGCCAGGTGATGTAGGCTTTTCCACATGAATTCAATGACTGTCAGAAAGCTAAGCTTTGATATGGCCGCAGGCGAACATAACAATATTTGAGGTGAGACTGGAAAGCTACACTCGTCCTTCGTTATCCACGGCATGCAAGAGTTGAAGTCGCATGATCACTACACATTTAATTCCAGGGGTTAGACTGTCTCAAGACTGCTAACCAACAAATACCTTTCAATGCTTAGCGGTGTAAGAGCACCGCACTTGCGTGGATTGAGCAATTTGCCTGAAGCTGCTTTGACTTCCCAAAGTGACTAGAATTAATATCTCGTTTAGAGACTATATGACCTACGTACGAGTCGATCCTACATTTATCTAGCCAATAGCAACCGGGCGCATTCCCACTAACACTCTCTGAATTGAAATTAGAAGTATGGTTTTAAAAGCTATAGTTGCTGTGATATTCCTCGAAAATTTAGCGAGAAATGACTTTGTCGATCGACACCAACCGGCGACTATGTACAACAGTTCATCCCCAGAGTGGCAGTCTTCGATGCCCCACATTCCCCGCGCACTATAATCCAGTGGGGTCAGGGTTCAGGGTTAATTAAGCATAGGCACTCGATAGGGAAAAGACATGTTGAGATGCCATCGGGTAGAAGAAAGCCTAGCTGATATTGTAGCAGAAGTCGGTCGAAGTAGTTTGTCTTGAAGGGTAGCTTTCGCAAGTATTACCGGGGAAAATATGTGATGTCGAACATGGTAGAGCCCAATCTGATCATGGAAGCATTTTGTATGGTCATGCTTATTAGGTTACAAAGCTTGAGCACCGTGAGTCAAGATGGGGACTTCAGAACAGTTCATTTTCACGGCGTATGGAACCGCAACTGACCACTCTCATGCACTTCACCACTTTATATGTATCAAGTATCTGCCAGCATGTTCGTCTATCATATGCTTCGCTTTTGTTATTTACATGCCTGGTAACCAGGAAACATTCAGCAGACAGCTACATACTCAGAGCTTGTATCAGCCGTTGTCATCTCCCTAGGCTATCCTGGACCCTAGACGCCTGTCTATGGGCCCAAGGACGTTTCGTAGCTGTATTTCGTCGCGCCTGCCCATTGCAAAAATGAATTCCCAGCCGCCTGATATTGTCCATGCGGTAGCAGACTTTGGACTTGATTCGTTACGCAGCCGTTCTTCTTGAGCGGCTTCCCCTCAAAGCGGTCTTGGATCCACTGCAACCAAGTGTGCATTGTACCGACGAGCATCGGAACATGACCCACCCCCGGCGCAACGAGATACTCCAGGTCACTATCAGAGAAACGCTCGCACGTGTCCTCGACAGTCTTGGTCGTCGTTGGGTATGGAACATACATATCATCTCCTCCCTGAAGCACCAGCATGGGGCCCCTGAACTTCTTCCCGCCCGCATTGGCGAGCCCGCCGTACGCCGCCGCATAGTAGCTCTCATTCCAGCCAGGCTGCAGGAGCTCTCCAGCAGGAAGCGAAAAAAACAACTGAGTGCTGACGGCGATGCCGCCTTGGATCTCCTTCAGCAGCCCCGCCCGCGCGATGCCGAGCGGCGTGAGCCACGTATCCTGGCGGAAGGAGGGGAAGATGCCCCCCAGGAACAGGCTGAGCCACGGGACGATGAACGAGGGCACACCGGTGAATACGTCTGTGGTGGGGGACGCGGCGACCGTGCCCACGTGGGCCCGCGCCAGGTCTGCGAACCCGGCCGAGCTCTCCAGGGCCTCCGCGACCGCCCACGCGACGCCGCCGCCCTGGCTGTGGCCCAGGACCGCGAATCGCCCGTCCAGCTTGTCCCCGAAGGCCCCAAAGGCGGCCCGCAGGGAGTATAGCGCATCGCTGGCGCTGACAGGGCTCGCCAGGTATTGGTGAGGGATCTCGCTGCCGTCCCAGGACGCCGAGATCCCGAGTCCGGCATAATCCGGGGCGATCACGGCGTACCCGGCCTGCGCGAGCGCGAAGGGGGCGGCATGGCCGTACCACAGGCTCCTGTCTGTCGACGGGGCCGCCCTGGCGAAAAAGCCGCTCGTACCGTGGGTCCAGAGGACGACGGGGGCCTTTTGAGTAGAGTTGTCATGTACATCACGGGTCGAGGTTTCACTCTCAAACTGGCGTGGCGTGTATGGCCACAAGACGAAAGCGCTTGCCGGTATCACCGTGCCGTTGAGGTTCTGCGTCGTGTAGAGAAACCGACTCAACGCAGTATTGGGCGGAAGTGCGAAACTCTCCGTCGGGGTGAAGTCTTGGAGCTTGAGGATCGCACCCGCTGCGGGTACGGTCCCGTTGATCAGCGGCGGGAGCGTGTAGAACTCGTCCTCGAACACGCCGCCGTTGGCATGTTGGCTGCGCTCGAAGTTGACGACCGTGTTTATGGCCTTGGCTTGTTCTCCGGTAAGGTTTGCGCCAGAGATTTGCGAGTCTGTCAGGGCGAATGTAGAGTTGAAGCTGGTGGACTGCTCCGCTACAGGTGGTGCTTGTGCCTGAATCGAGGGCAGGAGAAGCCAGCCTACTAATGCCAGGTACCGCATCTCGGTTGGTCAACTGAATACAGGTTATTTACCAAAGCTTCTAGTGAACGAGATTTTAAAGGCTCGAAGTGGTGCACTGGGAGAGTAGGTCACGTCTGGATTCATGTGGTATTCAATGTACTTTTCTCAATTATTATACTAATTCTCGATAGAAACTGTTGTTCGTCAGCTTGATGGTGTAAGCTCCTACTGCCATTGATTATTCATTAAAAATGGAGACGATACATTCGTTCATAATGTCTCGCTATAGAAGAGGTGATCCGCAACCACTTCATTAACCGCATCTGGCGCTGGCTCCCAGAAGTTAAGTGGGACCCGATGTCCGCGGACTTCCACGGCGTTGAAAGTTCACTAACAATCCCGATTCCACCCATTCAGTTGGCACAGATTTATACTAAAGTGCTTATCGTTGGGAAAACTTATTATGAACTAACAGCTCAGTTCCGCTTTACACCTAGTCTTCGTTCTCGAGCGAATAATGATGTGTCTCCTAACGGGACATTAAAAGGCAACGCGTCCTGGCACAGTTCATGTGCAACCACATAAAAGCCTGCTAAAGACGCCAGGAAACCAAAAGCTCCAGCTGCGGTCGTCAAATTCTGGCTGGCGGCTGCTTTACCGTCGGCGATCGAGAAGTGCGAAGCGCAATTGAGAACGTAGGAGAGCTCCAACCCCGCATAGATGACGATGTTCGCGACATTGCTGAAGGAGGATTTAGTAGCAACCCTGCCGAGAAACTTCGGAATGGTACCCACGTTGTTAAGGAAGCGACAAGGAAGAAGAAATTGAGGATCGACCAGACTAGTCCGCTTAGTTACGACAGACCAAGCGTTCTAGCAGCTATCTACTTACCTAGAAGGTACAATCCAAACGCATTGTGGTACTCTGCAGTCTGTCCGCCATACGAAGAGACAATGCCCATCGAGGGCATTAGTAACACACCGTATCCGCCATAGTAGAGTCCTTAATAACATTGGCAAAGTCTTGACTTTTTCACCTCTAGGTTTGGAGACTACTCACCGAAAGCAGAGAGCACTGTAAATGCAAACGTATTACCTCTCACCATCTCCCACTGGGCAGAGACGAGTAAACCAAGGCCAGCTATGAAGCAGAGGTCTCCGATGAAGACGGCTTGGTTTGACACGTCACGAATGCCCATCATGGAAAGCGAGAGCGTCATTAGCACCGTCGCAAAGCCTCCGAAGCCTAGTGGACCCTGTGGTATTATGTTTCAGCTCTTAATTCTTTCCCCGGAACTCGTCGTGGTGCTGAAAACTATCTCACAGGATTGGCGAGACGCTTGGTAGACATGGCTAATGCGTCGGGTGTTTTCTCTAATCCCGGCGAGGGTAGCTTCTCCACATCTAGATCTGGTGGAGGCATTTGTGTGAACTATATTTGGTGAAGTGACTGTCTTCAGTGTGGTATTGTCTAATCAGTGAGATGTTAACATCGTCATTTTCTTTTTAAATGCGGCGAGGTGAGGTGAAATTGAACACTAAGGGCAGATTCCGTATGAAATGGGCGGTACAGCTATATCTATAAGGAAGAATGTGGTGGACACGTGTACCGGGGAAGGCCGGGAAATTCTTTTTTTTCTTCTTCCCCTTCTCTATTATTGTTAATAATACTTTGTCGCTCAATTCAAGATCATATGCCGGTCTACGTATACATGGAGACAGTAGTCATTGAGTTAGGTCGAAGCATGCCATTATGACTAATATTTTGGAAAAAGAGTTCTCAACAATGCTCATACCATTAGCGAGGTCCACTCCCGCGGGTGGGAATATAAAGAAGAAACCGACACAGCTCGACCTAAGCAGAGCCCGATCGGGGCAGCTTGACTGGTCAAGTGAAAAGGCCAGCCTAGCCTACTCTACCTATCAATGATGGCGCTTCATCACCCGATGTTAAAATTCTCTAGTAACTGCAGAGACAGCTGTCGTTCACGAATATATTCCAAGGACTTCATCATTTGGTATGAAATTAGACATCGCCGGATCGACTTCGGGAACTCGGCGATCGTCCTTGTCAATACATGGCACCCGATATCCACAGAATGGCCTTGGTAGGAACAGGTATGCTCGCGAGCTGTTAGCTTATTTTTACGAAGTCGAAAACGGAAACATGAGGCCGAGCACCAGTAGATGAATAGAGCTCAACATCACAGCCATACGATAGAAATTACGATGCCAATCACTCACTTATTACTGGCAACTCAGCGACCCTTTTTTTTTTTTTTCATCTTTTTTTTTTTTTTGGAGCTGTTGAACTTTTGGATAAGTAGAAACACCATCTGAAATGCTTGCTTGTATATTTATGTGTCGTTTTAAATGTGATAAAGAATTCAATGATATGTACAAACGCCCAACTTCCACGCTGAAAGAATCAAACTAATGCTTCAGCAATCTTATATACAGGATACGGCCAGAATAACACCATTGACATGGGGGCATATCTGGGTGCAAGATCAGCTCGACGACCCGTTCGTCGTTGAATATTCTACTCACAATGACGCTGTCCTCCATGCATGCCTGGCTAGGCGGTACCAATCTGTTGGTTGAGAAGGGGTACCCGCAGGGAACAGTTGGCGGTAGAGAGACTGTTTGGAAGCGTGTCGCATCTGTGGTAGAGGAAGTGGCTTTCGTGGCAGTCGTCTCGCAGCTCTGAGAATTTGAGAGTTCATAATGACGGTTTTGTGTATTATTTGCAGGCTGACAGACGATAGCAAATACAAAGATAAGGAGGTTGTCTAATTCTTAGGAAATTGAAGTTTCAATTTGGTTTCAAGGTTTGTTGTGCCTTAAATCTCAATGAAATAATTCCGGTGGTAACAATCAATTGGAAATGAGGAACTAGAAAATGGCGGCAAAGCAGGTTGTGAACTGATATATACAGGTTTTTAGCATAATTTCAGCATTATACGCCACATACAAACAAATTAAATCTCAGGGCTTCGTGGTTTGACTCTGATCAGTTTGAATGATTACAATCACTCTCGGCCACTGGCTCGTGTACCGGCCAAGCCCGACGAATCCGTTCCCAATGAACGCCGCCGGGTAGAGCCGAATAGGACAGTGGCAAGCATTGCGCAATCTGTGGCATGAATGTAAGGGCCTTCTCTTTCGGCAATCAAGCGTCGGGATTTGTGGTGGTACGTTTATTCTTAAGGGGAAACAGGGCTGGCGCCGTGTGGATCGCCGGGGTTTGGCTCGGCAGGGCCGGACGGAGATATCGGGATCTGAATGACTAGCGTGACCGGCAGTGAGTGTTTTCACCGTCAATAAGAACAAATGCATTAATTGATCATGGGAATTGTAATATCCCCAGTCTGCCCGATTTGAGAGAGAGAATACACTTCGCTCAACATACATATGGATGGCTCAACGTATTATTATTATCAGAATTGGACTCCATTGGATGACTGATAATTGAATAAAATACACGCAACCGTCCGTTATTTCAGTAAGAGCACAAACTGCGTGTGAGTCGTGTGTAAAACGAGACTGGAAAACCCCGTCCAGTATGCTTTCTTCATGTACAGTTCTGTCAAAAGCTGATCGCGTTTGAGCGAGTGATGCAAAATCCGACCACGGAACTAACTTGCCCACTGATTGGAACGTCACTATGGTTGCTCTTGTATATGGGTATGTAGATAAGATACATCGACTCTGTTTGTCTAATCTAACAGATTCAATTGGGTTGAAGTGGCTGAACATGTTTAGAAGGGAACTTCAAGGCGCATCTGAGACTTCAAGTTTGTGGGGAAGGAAGAAAAGTGGGCCACAATTTTCAAGATCCTGACGCGTTCCTGCTTACACGTTGCATACTTATAATTCGCTGGACAATCAGGATAGACTGCTATAGTAACATGCTAACCAATCAGAACTGACAAGATCATCGCAGGCTCGTCTGCAAAGCCAGTTCACCGCTTCTGCTGAAGCTTCCATGCCAGGCTCATGGTCATTACCTTGTCGCGTTGGTTCCGCGACATCAGCTTGAGCGTGGACATCGTAGAATATCCTGTGCACAGAAACACTTCAACATGCGCCTCTTGAATACAGAAACACTCGCACTTGAGTTCTTTCCGGGGAGGGGCAAGCCAAAATACGCAATTCTATCGCACACCTGGGGCCACGAAGAGGTACTCTTTACAGATGTCCAAAACAGTCCGGCTTCGGAATGGGGACGAACAGCAAGCGGGCAGAAAGTGAAGCGAAGTGCTGAGTTGGCCTACAGCAATGGATATCAGTATATTTGGATTGACTCGTGCTGTATTGACAAAAGTAGCAGCGCAGAGTTATCCGAGGCTATCAACTCGATGTACCATTGGTACAAGAGATCTAGCGTTTGTTATGCCTACCTCTCTGATGTAATAGCAAAGGACTGGCCAGTTCTGGGTAACAACGCTCGTTGGTTCAGTCGGGGCTGGACGCTACAGGAGCTCATTGCACCGCCGAGTGTGCAATTTTATGATCGGAGTTGGAAATTCATAGGCAGCCGAGAGTCGTTGGCATCTGATATTGCAGGTATAACGTCTATTGACGTTGAGCTGCTCAGAGACAAACATAGCAGGAGTGCTTCTGATCTCGATCGTTATAGCGTAAGCCAGCGAATGGCATGGGCGGCTTATCGTCAAACTACCCGGCCCGAAGACGAAGCCTATTGTCTAATGGGGATATTCGACGTAAATATGCCATTGCTCTATGGTGAAGGTTCGCAGGCGTTTCAGAGGCTGCAGGAAGAGATTCTCAAGCGAACGCACGACCAGTCGATCCTTTTATACCATCACGACTTCTCTTCGGTGGAAACTTTAGCGGATTGGCCATTGTCTGCAGCTGATGCCCTGACGGTTTCACCAGATCACTCTCGAGGAGTACCAATCCTGGCGCCAGCGCCGCACCATTTTCGGGGGGTGCCGCTGGTTAAGAGACGTTTGCCAGACCCTGGACCCAGCGCCATACAGCTTACGCCAGACGGACTAGTAGTTCATCTATACCTATATCCTGTCAGGCATTATGACTCCTTGAGACTAGGTTTACTCGATTGTTTTGCCAATGTTGACAATACATGGGTCAGCCGGCCCGCCATTCTGATATCGTTGGAAGACGGATGTTACCATTTAAGACGTAGACTGTATATTGTTCAGCCGGATCAGGAAGATGTCGCATCAAGGGTCTTAACCTTAGGTCTTTCGGGCCATCAAAAACGTAAGTCAGACTCGCAAATATCTAGCATGTTGTCTAAATGCTCGATTTAGTACATTTGAACCTTGATGAGTTGGTACACAAGACTATCCTTCTTCACCCACAAGCACCGGTTCTTGGTGATTTGCGTGGTCACAAGATCGGTCCAACATTACGCCTTCGACCGATAGCCCAAACACCAGAAACTGTATACAGGTTTGGACCGTCGATTCCAAAACGATCATCCGCCTTGGTAAACATTGAGAATATACTGGAGAGTGCTTGGTCTGCCTCGACCACGGCAATTATTGCCATCGCGGCGGAGTCTCAAGGCACGGTTACATATCCATTGCTACTCCATTTTCGACGTTCATACTATATCGAGTTTATCCTTATACGGAACCTGTACAACTTCCCGGCTGAAGTCGAAATCACACCAGAAATGTTCCAAGAAGCTGCGTGCCAGGATCAGAAACGTGCCGTAGGGTCTATTAAGCCAGACGAACCGACCGTTGTTGCAATGGAGCTGCCAAATGGAGATATCTGTACTGCTAGAATCACTGAGGGGCAGTGGCTTGAACGCGAACTATTGGATCTGAAAATCACGATAAAATCCAGGGGTCTTGAAACCAAGACGCGGAATGTTGAGAAAGATAGTCGTTCCGTCCAATCGGAAAGTCAAGCATCTCGAGTCCTTCGTTGGCTCAAGACACGCAAAACCAGGACTGCATAGCCGCATCGTCGAATATCGATACTGGGAAATTCATCTTTATTCAAGCCTTTCTGCAAAGCTGCAGAACTACTCGTATTATATGCCCGCGGTAGCCTGCCACGGTCCTCAGAAAGGTTTTCTGTTTTCAAGGAAGGACCTCTTCTTATGCGACAAAGGCTCTCTCTATCAAAGCGTTGGGTAATCCGAGACCACATCGGTGTCTTGAGGCACCCGACAAAAGAATCGGCAAAAGCCTCCGTAATTCTGCGAGCATGAACTCTGGTATAAAGGCTGTGTTCTCCATGACCGAATATGGGGCTCAAAACGGACTTGATTTCACGGGATGCGGAGCAATTCATCTCATCCGCATGTCGCGATAGTTGATGGACCTTCCTGGCCAAGACGCCCTTCGATCAAAAGCACAAGCATGTAGATGTGTACATTCATACATAAATAGATACATAGCTGCCCTGCGTACATGGGGTAATGTATTTATAACATAGCGCTCAATAATTTACAAATCTTACCATAGATTGGGCTACAAACATATCGACGGCTTGTCCTTTTCTTACCCACCTATTGGGCGGAGTGAGCCTCGAGGTGCGATCAAAGATAAGTTGTCAGTAGAACTAAATCATGTATACAAATTATTATATTGAAGTGTGGTTGATTCGTCGCATCTCGTATTAGCGAACATGGCCATTGTACATAAATATCCTCCTCGAACTAGACTTGCCCTAGCCCGGCCCTCCAGAGCTGGACGGATAGCAATACGATAAAGACACGACACAAGTCACTTATCGTTGTTTCCCGGCCTGCCCGTGAACCAGCTGGTGAAGCTGTTCGTATGCGTCGCCGTAGGCCAAAGCGAACCCTGACCCCTTGATCTGAAAAGTCTTCTAGATCCCCCATGGATGTCGGATATAATATATCGCCCGTATAGATAAACCGGCAGCGACTTGGCTCATGTTAAAAGTATAGTTTAAATCGACACCGATCGCGTTATTAGAAACAATAATACCAATGCTCGGGTGAGATCGCAACTCTCGGTCAAAAATTGAACGAGCGCGAAGCGATTGTCTAATCTACTTTGGAGAAAGCCAGGAGAAACGCCTGTATGCTTTCCCATGTACCAAAGCTGCCAGTGTTGTGATGTCATACCTGAATGGATCTGTGAGTGGATATCGACCGCCTGGCTCAGAGCTGTTCCGCGCAAACAAGGTCGTCTCATTGATAATTTCCCTTAGCCCCCTCTTGAAATAAAAAGCCGACACCAATAGGCTGCGAAAGAAAGAGCAGGTTGCTGGATTCACTCTAGCTGTAAGGGCTGACCTTGGTAATCAGCTCATGTGTTACGTTGCAAGGACCAAGCTCCGTGAGAAGTCAAAATTTGGCTTCAGAGTATGGGACCAGATTTCTGAATGAGCTTCGAAAAGCTTCATCAAAGCGTCTGATTCTGGTCATGCCCTGTGAAGGCCGGTGCAGGACAACCCTAGATTGGGCACGAATCAAGGTGTGCCATAATTACCACTCTTATACACGATTTCAAATAATCGTCACCGCAGAGCCAAGACGGGTTTGAAGGTGACCAAGGCTAGTTCGGAGATCGTCAATCCAAAGTAGCACTATACACAAGGTAATTTAAGCAGTAAAGCCTGATTGCGGTTCCAACGGCATCGATGGCCATGATCGCCTACCTGTCCGGCTTCGAGAATATCGTGGCATGTTCATGAGTAGGCACAGTTCATATACTCCAGCGTTAAAATGTGGCCCTGAAGATTGAAGAAGAAAATTACGGGAGCCCCCTCGATTCGTGAGCCAAGCAGCAATATACAGCAAACCCAACCTTACAAGGCTTAGTTCTGCAGTATACCGTGCGTCCTGGATCCACTGTAGAAGGTTCCTTTGGCTCAAAGCCGTGCAGCCTGAGAGGGGGGTTCCTGGGTTCTTTTCGATTACCCACGCTGCTGGAGTTAAGCTGCAGCGCTGATACGTCGAAGACCTGCAGCTCCGTGGCTTATCCACGATCGCTGCATGGAAATACGAGAAACCCTGTTGGTACATATGCAGCCGCGAAGCTTTTCCGGTTGTAATTTGAACATCAGCTGTCTGATATATTAAACCTTCGATTATTGTCCATACTTGAGAAGGGTATAATTGGAAGATCTTCGTTTCGACGAGCACGTTCTATGTCGATGTAGGAGATTTCGTAGACCCCAGGGCCACATCGCTTGTTGTTTTCATTCTAATTACTTGCAGTGGGGACTCCTTTGTGCATTACATGCTGTGGGTATAAATAACACCAAGACCGTGCCGCGGATGATTGAATTTCTAAGGTGTTTGGTGATAGTCAAGTCAAATGGCGGCGAATCCAAGAAGCTAATCATCAGCTTCATAGCTACTTGCCGCTTTAGTCCCTTAGCTCACGACCGCTTGAAACCGATGGTGAGAGGACTGGTTGCTGGTGTATCTGATATTGTACATGGGTTGTCAAGTCCCATACATTAATATACAGGTGAGCAGAAATGTCGCAGGACGGAGTGGCCTTGTCTAAACCCTCTCTGCATGAATAGCGTACCGAATTTGTGCCATCTCAAACCCTATAACTTTTACACAACCTGTGCGGCGACAGTGCCCACAGGCCTCTCGACGAACTCCATAATACCCTCAACGATGTTATTTCTGGCAGGCTCACTTGCTACCGCCTTGCCTCCGAGGTAGTTCATCCACAGTGCGCGGCTGACACGTTCATCGGCAACTCGGCCGAGGGTGCCGAGGACCTTTTCGTCCTCGGTCTTCTGCTTCTGCTGCTTTCCTTCATCGTACAAGATCGTCAAGACACCCCTCTCGTCGCGAACCAAAATCAACTCTCCCTTGGCGGGGACCTTGCCTCGGTTGAATAATGTCCTGAATTCCGCCATGGCCGAACCGAATAGTTCGTCATTGTACTCTTCCTTGTGAGCTTGCGACCGGGCCGTGATAGCCCGCACAAAGCCGTCACGCAAATGAGGAAAATCTGTATTCCTGACGGGGACAATTCTCATGGCACTTCTTGGCTTGACGTCTCCAAGAATGTCGAGCCACAGCCTTTCGCCTTCCACGGGATCCAGTAACTTCCTCTTCAGCTCATCGCGTTCGCTGGGCACCAGCGTTGTGGCAATTGGGTGGATCTCCTTGACAAGTTTACGTTGGATAGCCGCAATGTCGGGCGTTGCGATATAGTACCCGACAACGTAGACCTCGAAGCCGAGGAAAGTGACAGTCCTCGTACCCAAACCAACAAGTGTGTACTCGACTCCATTCTTGGCTTCCTGCCCATCGGCAGCACCTGTATCCAAGTTCAGTAGGCGGGGGAACCATTCGACTGTCTTGTTGCCCGTAGGAACCATTTCCCTGCCCTCGCTATCATGCACGACGGTCTTGCGCTTGCTGCCAGCCTCGGTATTGAAGGGGTCGACATTGCTGGGAAGTCCTGAATCGAACTTTGCGGGCTTGGAGACCTCCTTCCACAGCAGGTACGCGGTGTAAGTAAACGCCAACACGCCAGCAACGGCGCCAGCTGCAAGGAATCGTTGCCGCTTGACGTGGTAAGAGTATGAATCGGTGCGCATGCGATCGAGGTTCAAGGTTTCAAATGCGCGGTGCGACGTCCTCTGTTGGCGGCGAACAAAGGTTCGTGTCTGGTGGGGGGCATTGAGGCATTGTGGGAGTCGCTGTAGACTGGGGCGAGGCGTCTGGCGTAAGGAGCGCACGAGAGCGTCCGGATGGACGAAAGGGCGTGATAGCTTCATCATGCTCGAAATCCGGCGAGTTGAGGGTTCAAGGTATCGGAGCTACGGAATTGCCATGGATCAAGACGGATACAATTGGGGTTCGTGGGCAGACGAAGGAGATCTGATTTGTCGTCTATTCTAGAAAGCCGCAAAAAGCTTTGTTCGGAAGCAGGTAGTTTGATGCTGCTGTTGCTAAAGCTATTTCGCAGACCAGAGCTGCCAGAGGTGGAAATATCGTCATTCAATGGAACGATATGATAGAGATCCGAGGCCAATCGCGTCGGCCCGGCAGAGACACTGTCAGATGGCGGTCTGCCCCCGTTCCGCTGATGTCAGTCTCTCTCTTCAGCCTGCCTGGCAAGCCTGGCAAGCTGGGGCAAGAGTCTAATAATAATAATAAGTGCCAAGTATTACAGTAGGGTGGGGAAGGCCGTGCTGCCATCAACCCTGCAATCAGTCTTTATCGTCGACGACAAGCAGGGGTCCGTCCTGTACTGCGGATCCCGTACTGCGAGTGCGACTATGTATGAGTGGGAGTGTGAGTGTGATTCTCCAGATGACTGGCTGGATGCTAGCTTAAGCGCCCATGTCATCACACCCAATCTCTGCAATTTTTAGAAGTCCAGCCTGCATATAGCATACATGTTTGGAGGTTTGACTATTGAAGAAAATAAGCATGGCTCAATTGTTGGCATGGTGACTCAGATCCCAAGGGCACAGGGCTTGATCGGCTGCGACAGGTAACGAGGGTATGGGCTTGGTTGGGCATCGTTTTCGTCCTGCAAACTCGGCAGACACAGATGATCCCTCCTGTACGGAGGTATGCGCGTCTCAGTCATATGCATTTACCGGGCGTGCATGATGCTGCTTACAAATGACTTGCTTACGGTTCACACACGCAGTCTGACATCTACTGGTGTGTAGTGTATGTACAAGTAGGAGTAAAGTATCCAGCAGAAGATTCGAGTCTGCATATCGACACGCGTTCTGTCCAGCAACCCCTCTATTTGAATCTACGACCAGAGGCGAGCTTACTATGTATGGCTTCACAACCTCAGCAATGAGGTAGTTGGGAGAGTGAACCGACGAAGAATGGATGCGATTTCGTAACCATGTAGAACCTGTCTATACGAGATCGTAGAGATCTGCGTCCGTTTCTACGGCATGTCCTGTCCTGCGTACCTGCTATACAACTACCCCCGAGCAGGCTGTATTCATGGCGGGGTAACATTGAACCAATCTCGTAGCAATTGAATGCGTCGTGCTGCAGCCTCTCTTTGTGGTCTCTCGATTCCTATGGTGTGATGCTGACTATACATATACATGAAAAGAAAGAAAAAGAGACATTGGCCAGCTCAAGTGTGAGGATGCTGTGATAGAATAGTGCAAGAACTTTTGGGGGCCTCGGAAGACACGGAGGGCTTCTCAGCCAAGATGCGGTATCACGAAGGCTGGACGGACAGAAGAGATGATGTGGCAAGTGTAGTTGGTGGAGGGAATTCAGTGTGCTTGGAACGTGCTTGCGAGAGTCGATGTCAGTTGGATTGGAGAAGTTTAGCATCAAGGCTGGTACACAGTAAAGTATATTGTGGTTAGAGTTATCAACGGTCTGGAAACCCGTGTTTTCCATTTCCTAAAAGCGTAATCTGATTTGCCAATACTCCATCGAGGCTTGAAGGAGGGGTCAACAAACCCTCCAAAAAGTCAACAACAAGAAGCAATCCGTTTTTCTTCTTCTTCTGCTTCTTCTTCATCATCATCATCATCATCATCATCTTGTACCTATTACTCATATGCTGTTCATGTTGGCGAGACACCTACACCTGTGACCGGATCAGACCAGATCGGATTGCCAGCAAATTTGATGCTTGAAACCAATTCGCCAAATAGCTGTGCTATGTCTGGTGCTGGCGTGCAGTAGCAGGGTTTGGTTTGTTTCAGGAGGTCCTCAGCACTAAAACACAGCTAAGCAGCAGAAGAGGAGCGTTAAGCCTTAGCGGGGTTTACTTTTGCGCCTCCTCGAGTATCAGCATCTGCATCAGCAATCTGCATCAGCACCAGTATATCCCGTATCCGTAGTGACCTCTACCTCTGGGCTCTCTGTGATCTTAGCCAGTATATTCACCTAAGCACTTCTAGAACCCCACGCGTCCCGAGACCAAGACCAAGATCAAGAGAGACCCCAGCCCCAGCCCGTCACCCAAAGTTGAACCCAAACTCCGGGTCCTCTCCCTGGATCCATTTGATTTGATTCGATTTGATTTGATTTCGTCCAGTTCAGCCCGGGTCAATCACCACCACATTTCAACCTAAATCCAGAGTAACAACACCATCAACAAGAAATCCTCGGCGGGCGATTCCAAACCCATCGTCGGCGACACCATCACCAGGGACCTGGACGTCGCCTCTGAGGCACACACCTACCATACCGCCAGGGCCTTTCGGCTCCAGTCTGCTTTTGTTCCGTTCCACCTCTGGGTTGGGAATAGCACCATCACGTCACAGTTCAGACTGAGCCCCCCCGAGCCCGCACCCGCACCCCGAAGCTGACCGTGTGCATCCATCGATATCGACCTCGATACACCTCGAAAAATAGCATGCGACCTCCCGCTCCTGCTCTTGACGTTATCGCTGGCCAAACACAGATTGCGCAAGCTGCGGCCGCGGCAAGCCCAGCGCACATCAACACCATGGAACACCACGGGCAAGGACAAGTACAGGCACAGGAACAGGCACAGGCTCAGGCACAAGAACAAGGACAAGGACAAGCACAACAGCGACAGCCGTCGCCCCTCGCCGTAGTCATGGACGCCGAAACTAGAGACTCCCGATCGTCCTCGTCCACAAACTCCCCCCTGCCTCGCGACAATGACGAGTCCGACTTCTACGGCGTGAACAACGATTCAGAGTCGTCGCTGGGCGTCATGCCCAACCTACAAGACATGCAGGTTAACGACCAAGAATGTCTACCCCCCGCCGCCACCCTGCCCAGCGAGATCCTCATCAGCATCTTCTCTCGTCTCAGCTCCCCCGCCGACATGTTCCGATGCATGATGGTATCGCGGCGATGGGCTAGGAACGTGGTAGAGATGCTCTGGCACCGTCCTACCTGTACCACATGGCCCAAACACACCATGATCTGTCAGACTCTGCAGCTGCCGAACCCGACTTTCACATATCCCGACTTTATCAAGCGCCTCAATCTGGCAACCCTCTCGGATGATGTGAATGACGGAAGCGTCATGCCTCTTGCCGTATGCACCCGCGTCGAGCGCCTTACTCTGACTAACTGCAAGGACCTCACCGATGCTGGACTCATGGCTCTTGTCCAGAACAGCCCACACCTTCTCGCCTTGGATATCTCCCAAGACGACAAGATCACCGAGCAGTCTGTCTTTGCCATTGCCGACAACTGCCCCAGATTACAGGGACTGAACGTGACCAACTGCAAGCGCATCTCGAACGAGAGTATGATCAAGCTGGCCGAAGCTTGCAGGTACATCAAGAGGGTAAGTCTACCTCGCACCACATCCCGTGCCCTGGGTTTTGCCGCCGTGTAAATATGAACTGACATGTGCAGCTCAAACTGAACGACTGCAACCAACTCAACGACGACGCAGTTCTTGCCTTTGCCAACAACTGCCCGAATATCCTCGAGATCGATCTTCACTCGTGCCACAACATTGGCAATGAGCCTGTCACGGCCCTGCTAGCCAATGGTCAGTCCCTCCGAGAACTCCGCCTCGCCAATTGCGACTTGATCGACGACTCGGCCTTCTTGTCTCTGCCCTACAACAAGATGTACGAGCATCTCCGTATCTTGGACTTGACTTGCTGCGCTCGCCTTACCGATCGGGCAGTCGAGAGGATCATCGATGTTGCCCCCCGTCTGCGCAACCTCGTTCTCGCAAAGTGCGGAAACATCACTGATGTCGCTGTTTACGCCATCTCGCGCTTGGGAAAGAATCTCCACTACGTGCATCTTGGACACTGCCGCAATATCACGGATGAAGCAGTTAAGAAACTCGTCCAGGCGTGCAACAGAATCCGCTACATCGACCTGGGATGCTGCCAGCATCTCACCGATGAGTCTGTCATGAGGCTAGCAACATTGCCAAAACTCAAACGTATTGGCTTGGTCAAGTGCAGTAATATCACTGACGCCAGCATGTATGCTCTTGCTAAGGCCAACGAGCGAGCTCGGTCACGGAGAGATGCCAACGGCAACGTCTCGACCAATTATCACCACAGTAGTAGCAGTCTTGAACGAGTTCACCTGAGCTACTGCGTCAACTTGACTTTGCCTGTGAGTACACCCTTATATTGTTCACGTTTCTGCAAGACTTATGAACTAACCTCTCTTCTTCTCCACAGAGCATCATCCGCTTGTTAAATGCTTGTCCCAAGCTCACACATCTCAGCTTGACTGGTGTCACTGCGTTCTTGCGCGACGATCTGGAGGCTTTCTGTCGTGAAGCCCCACCTGACTTCACAGACCATCAGCGACAGGTCTTCTGTGTCTTTTCTGGCCCCGGTGTCAGTGGACTGAAGCGTTTCTTGAACACAAAGCCCGAATTCGCCCAGTTCCACAATGGCGATGAGAACTTGCGAGTCGCCCCTGTTCCCCACGTGGACATGGATGGATTCGAGGATAATGATGTGGTCGAGGATGATGACATGGGCGATGGTAGTGAAATTGCCCTCGGCCCAGATAACGACGAGCCTCAGAATAACACGATTCCTCCGCCACCTCCGCCACCACAAGCACCACAGATTCTAGGTCTAAACACAACTCAGGGTAGCTGGTTTGATCACGCTTCCAGAAGCCATGCTGCCATGCATCAAGCAGATCCTAATGTATCCATACCGGCTGTTGCACTCGACACATTCGCGGTACCCGCACCCGTCATTGGATCCACTACACCTACACAGGAGACGCCCACGATCCAGAACCTACCGATATTCCAGCACCAGGAATCCAGTCTCAGAGGGCCCAGCACAGCCACAGGCAATGTCTCTGGAGGCCCTGGCCAAGCACATGCCGGTCCCAGTACGGCCACCATTCAGAGTATCGAACAAGACGATGATGAAGGCTCCATGGACTAGACATACCACATGGTCACTGAATGAAGCCTTCCCTGGTTTGTGTTGGCACCAGCCATGTCTGAGCAAGCCGACTGCGTTAATATTGCATACCTACCAAGGTTTACACAAATAAGCTTGCACTTTTGCCGCTGACTAGAGCGCGGCAAGGACACTCTACTAGCTCTGTTTATATCGAGCAGAGAGCTTTATGTCAGAGTGACGCACGGCTACTCGCCGAACGATCATATTGCAAGTTTGTCTCAGGGTGTTACAGTCACCAAGGTGATATTGTGAGCGTATAAGGGCATCTTACACCGCGTTGTGTTCCAGAATTGAAAGCGTTGGCATATTGTATTTTCTGGTTCTTGCTTGGTACAGGCTGCTGGTAGGCAGCCATTAATTCACGCCGCGCCTATGGTGTGAATTCGTCTTTATTTTTGGGCCAAGATACCCAACCACGAGAATATGTCTTTGAGGCGTCGCATAAGGGAAAATTGAGTTCTGCAGGAATTCTTTTGGTGGTGAACTGGTAAATCCCGTCGAGGATGTTATGATACCAAAGACATCTGAAAGATTGTCTAGGACATGGACGGAAAGGTCACAAGTATTGCGAATGTTTTTTTATATTTTTTTTTCCCCGTTCATTTGATCCAGTCTACGCCCTGACAAGTTCTGGTCCAGCAATGAGTTCAAGGCGTACAGGGTCTGGGGATGGCATGCACATAGATTTACGCACAAGCAATCGAACTGCATTGAACTGTTTTCAAATCCTTTCTGTTCACTAGAGATGTGGACGTTCCGTGTCATGCCAACTTGTGCCCTTCTAGATTTGTCTGTTTGTTTGCTTTGAATTCAAAGTGCCCATGACAAGGTCAATTTTCCGACCGTCCCTTCCTCGGGAAATTGTGGACCTCTAGGAGCATACTCCGTACACGCGGCCGCTGGAGTAGGAATATTGAGATTTAGCCTTTTGAATTGAGGTCTGCTCCTCACTGTCTTGCTTTGACGCTTGGGATTGCCGAAGCGCACACGCGCAGGCCTCGTACGTCGTCCGGTGCGATGCAAGTGCTCAGGGTATTTGCTGGGCTCCACGGAATATTCGCCCACGTCATGGGCATGTAGTCGCTGCTCTGGATCACATTGCCATCACGTCTGCCCGCCTCTCGGTACTCCGTCCGAGTACCTATAACAAAAGATTTGAACCTGTACCATCGTATCCTCTGTCCATGTCATCTCCTTGACTCTTCCTGGTTCCTTTATTTCAATACCAAGTATATATACCTATTTTGACCGTCTTATAATGACGCTCAAGATCGCCATCCTGGGTGCCGGTCCCGTCGGACTGACCCTGGCAGCCATACTACACCACCGCGGCCTCGCATTCGACATCTTCGACCGCGATGACCCTGATTCTGCCCGCTCGCAGGGCGGGACTCTGGATCTGCATCCCGACGGAGGCCAGAAGGCCCTCAGGGCCGCCGGCCTGCTGGGCGTGTTCCTGAAAGTCGCCCGGCGCGATGGCGAGGCGATCCGGCTGCTCAATGGCGGCGGTGAGGTCATCTTTGAGGGTGACGGCCTGCCTGGCCCTGGTGAGGTGCTCGAGGACAAGATCGAATCGGGGGATGATGACGAGCAACAAGAAGCAGAAGAAGCCCACGGGAGACCGGAGATCGATAGAGCGGCCCTGAAACAGCTCCTCCTCGACGCGCTACCCCAGGGGACGGTCAGATGGAATTGGCACGTAGACTCCATCACACCCTCTGCGTCGGGGCCGGGGACGTGGACCGTAGGCTTCGATACCCAGCCGTCGTCCCCTGCCGCGGCCCGGCAAGATTACGACCTCGTCGTCGGCACCGACGGCGCCTGGTCCAAGGTGCGGTCGTCGTGTCTAAGCAGCGCCGAGCCGCACTTCTCGGGCATCACAGCCCTCGACGTCTGGATCTCCGACCTGGACCGGGATCCGGACACCGCGGCAGTGGTCGGGCAGGGCAGCTGTTTCGCCTTCGACCCCGACCGCGCCCTGCTCTTCCAGCGCCACGGCGACGGGAGCGCGCGGTGCTACGCCTGCGTGCGCACGGGGGAGGTCGGCTCTGCCCCCCTGGATCCCGGCCAGGCCTTGGGCCGCGGATCGGAGACCCAAGGAGAGGTGGACTGGCTGGTCCCCGCGAACCGCGAGGCGTTTCTGCGGAAGTGGTTCAGGGGCTTTGCCCCCGAGCTGACGAGGGCCGTGCTGTCGATGCGGGATCGCGCGCTGCTGAGACATCTCTACATGCTGCCCGTGGGCTTCCGGTGGGAGTCGAGGCCCGGCGTCACGCTGGTTGGCGATGCGGCGCATCTGATGACTCCGTTTGCCGGGCGGGGCGTGAATGTGGGTATGGTAGATGCGGTCGAGTTGGCGGAGGGCATTGTTGGGTTTGTCAGAGGTAATGGAAGGACGCTGGATGATGTGGTGAGGGAGTATGAGAACAGGATGTTCGAGAGGAGCGTTGTGGACGCGAGACTCACGGAGAGATGCATGCTGGCTTCCTTCGGTGAAGATGGGGCCAGGGCTGTTGGGGAGATTATGAGTCAGTTGTGAGTCTCGGGTGGGATCGTGACTTGATTGTATTTCTAGCTGGTACTTTTGATATTAAAAAAAGAGATTTACCTAACCTAGGTCGTTTAATTCCACTTACTGCTTTTGTTAGTCCAGTCATGAAGCTTCCTCGAGAGGTCCTCGCTCTTTGTTATATCCGATCGCGTCTCAGGTACGCCTACTGGCTCGTGATACATGCTGCCGACAACATCTAAGCTTATTGCAGCCCACAGGTGGTTCCTGGTCCCCATTGATACAGGCACAAAAGAAGCAGCGCGATATGTTTCGTCCAATAGGCAAAGTCGCTCCCCTTTTGCAGCGACGTAGTCATGACCTTCAGGATCCTCCCGCTCCATAAGACTTCAATCTATCCAAATCGATGCCGACCTTAGGCGATTTACACCACAACATGCTGAAACCTTGGGGGGGGTTATGCAGTTTGTGACTTGTGTGATGTTCGCAGGATTTTAGTCAAACAGTTTCACGATGGTGTCAGAACTTTCCTTACTGGTGCTTAACTTTATTTACTTCGATTAAGTGGGAAGAGGGACATTTATAAAGTATTGGAGATTTGGTATTATGATATAGTAAGAGATCGGAAAAGTGACAAAATCTCTCCAAGGAGTTGAGCGGTTACATATTACAAAGTCCTCGTAGAATTAGATGGTCTTATGGACGTCGCTTGAGAGGAGCGGAGTTAAGTAGTAATGGAAATGCCAACTTACGCTCTGTTACGATTGTTGAACTACACGTGGATTATCAATCTGTAATTTAGTCTGCTGCTGATATCGCAACATGGCGGTATAATCGACTTTGTCATCGAGACCTCAGATAAGTAGAGAGAGGTCTGAGGAGATAATTGAATAATGTTACAGAGATATAGAAAGGAAGGATTTCTTCCTGAATAGGTTTGGAGTTTACGTAATCTTAGTAAACAAATGAATGCGGTTGCATGTAGATAAGCTTCACTAGATTTGCTGTGAAAACTGTTAGCTCGAATGAGGAATACAACATACCCTCAAGTAGAGTTTCTTACAGTCGTAACCCGTACTGAAGAGATGCCCGAGAGATGCCATCTATTAGGGTACAATCAAGAGTCTGTCCGCCTATAATTCAACTCTGCCTATCTAGGTAAATTCTCGGCGCCGTCGCCCGGCCATCTTCTTGTTGCTATGGAAGCCGTACTCAGAGTCAGTTGCCCCTATCAACAACTTCAGAACTTTATGTTTCACATAAAGTTCCCACTTCCCACTTCCTATTTATTCGAACCACAACGAAAACCACAAACCACACACCAGAGCACAAGTCACAATGACAGATCGAGACTTGCAGCAAGCGACCCAATTTCTACTTTTTGGAGACCTTCCGGCTGAGTTGCGACTTGAGATATGGAACATGGCCCTGGAATCGGAAACCACAAGACGCGTGGTCCCTTTCAGTTGCGTATTCAACTCAGTCTTGCCCACAGTGCACCTTCGCTCGCCCCTTCTTGAGGTAAACAGCGAAAGCCGAGACAAGGCAAAGAAGTTCTTCGATTCTCAGGTCAAAATACATGGTAAGTCATGCCGGAGAGCGACCCATAAGTTTGCTGAAATTAACATCTTGTACAGCTTACCAGCCCGGACATAGTTATATGCCAGTGCGCGGACGCGTGTGTGGCCTGCTTTACCTCAATTTCAAACGCGATGTCGCCATATTCGGCAAAGATTTTGGTCTGCTTGATCACAATAACCAAAGCCGCGATTTATCTTTTCCCGAAGTCGTGCCACGCAAGTACATCAGCGAAAACGTAACAACAACAACAACAACAACAACAACAACAACACATGGCGATCTCTCCAAGAAGTGGTCAAAAGGATGCTGGACATTTCCTACCTCCCAGCGGTTATGTGGTCACTCCCTTCAGCTGTGCTGCTGGAGCTGCTATTACATGGCTAAACCAGAAACACATTCACATATCAAACGCTGCCTCACTGTTTTTCGACATTCAAACCTCAGTGTCTGCTGCTTGTTGATATTGAGTGGAGAATATAGGGAGCACTTTTTACTCAAAGATTTGAGCACATTGACTTCAGAGGACTGCTGGAAGATTCTTCAGCAAATTTTGGTAGTGCCTCATAATCGACGATGCGGATCCTTCTACCGCGATATCGATGATTTACGCACGGTGGAAGGGGAGGAGCATTAGTCTGGTACACCCCAGCTGATGACTTCCTAGGATGGTATCACGGCTATACTTTTTAGAACCTACTGAAGCCGGGGACGAGTCATGAATGGGGGTATTCCAGCGATCAAGCAAATACAGCAAGCCAAAGACTCACGGAGTCTGATCGTGTCACAAGCAGATGATAATAGTATGCCTTGTTGCGTTCTATCCTTGGTTTGTTTCGAGACTATTTCATCTATATGCCTATGACCACGCAAACGCAATCCGTACTATCGTCCATGGACTTTTGGTACTCACCTTTTGCATAGGTTGCCGTGTTCGACTCAGTCGCATGTGGATGAAGTCTATACACGACTCACAAGCTCCACCATCCATCTCCACCTGGCTTCCTGCAATGTCGCCCACCTAACTGTACATCCATAATATCATCATCTAGTCCAAAAGAAATCTTCTCAATCTAGCAACATAAACAATGTTTAACTTCAAAATTGACATATCAAATTACTCAGCACTAGTGGTTTAGTGGTAAAATCCATCGTTGCCATCGATGGGCCCCGCGTTCGATTCGCGGCTAGTGCAGTACATCTTGATTCTTCTTTTTACTTGTCGAATGTAATAATGTTACCGGTAGGCACATTGGTCTCGATAGCGCCGAAGACCTGGGCTTGATAGCCACACACTACTGTGGCCATGTCTTGGAGATAGCGTTTTGACTGTCATGGCTTAAAGTGCGTTAGATAGATTACCCAAGTGATATTGCTCAGGTAGATTGACGTCGCCTCACCCCCATAGGTTTGGGTTCTCCAAGAAGGCTTTTGCTAAACTCCACCTCGCCACCAGAAATCATAGCAGTACCGAAGCATAATACCGTTGAGCGTGCGTGACTGAGACACGTTGCGGAAGGGATTCCAATTGGTTGGCACGAAAGTTCACGGAAACTGAAACAGATCCTTCGTATACTCGCGCTAGTATCATATAGAGAGAATAACGCTAAAAGCTGCTAGATTTGAGTTTACATGCCGCGTATGAAGCCATTGCCGTTGTATGGAATAAAGTGGGACAACTCCAGCCTTGTAGAAGAAGAGTCGGGGACATATAGCTCGCAGAAATTCTGTGCCTACAGCTCGCGTATATACAGTGATGATATTAACTAACATTCGAAATATATACAATTGAACTCGAAAGCGTCCAGGACCATCCTTCACTGCCCAACATACTCAGGGCTCTACAGTTTTCACGGGATCTGCATACCATCCGCCTACGCTTAGACAGTCGGCCAACCACCAGACCAACTGACCACGTTCCAACCAAAGATATAGTCCGCATCGCCCAGGCCAACGTTTGTGTTTGCTTCAAAAAGGAAATCCGATTAGCCATTTTGTACCCCCTTGGTAACGTCTCGGCCTGAAAGAAATAACTCACCATAGTGGTAGTAGAGCACAGTGCCGTGTGTGCTGTCGGCAAAGACGCCCTGGCCGCCCGGCCCGTATACATAGTCGTGGCTGGCGAGGACGGTGGTGCCGCCGCCGCTGGTGCAGCTGGTGCCGGAGGCGTCGACGAAGCCGCTGGTGGCGCTCGTGCTGCGGCACACGCGGATCTTGTACTCGGCGCCGGTCGCCGGCTTGCTCGTGTCGTACCCGCAGCAGATGCCCTCGCTCCAGAACAGGTAGTAGTACCCGGACCGGTAGTACATGAAGGCGCCCTCGGACGCGTGGCTCCCCGAGGGCTGGTACTCGATCTGGTACGAGGACGAGGCCGCCGTGTGCGCGTTGGACGCCATTGGCGCCTGGTAGATGTCCCCCCAGAAGGACCCGAAGTTCATGTAGTAGCTCGAGCCCACGGCGACCAGGTTCGGGTCGATGGCGTTGTAGGCCTTGGATGATGAGGAGGAGATGCCCGTCGCGCCGTGATCGGTCCAGGAGCCGTATTCTAGGGTTGTGGATGTTGCGTATCCTGTAGCGGGTAATTTGTCAGTAAGTCGGAGAATGACGTGATGCCCTTAAAATGAGAGATTGTGTGTGGTACGCGAATATCAAAGAGGAGGGGGACACTTACCGATAGCCGAGTTCTGCGAACCAAAGGTTGAGACGGCGTAGTAAAGGATGTAGGTATCGCCGACCTTGTGAACATCCGGTGCCTGTCACGACGAACTTCCGTTAGCCCCCAAATTTACCAAGCCTCATCTCGCAGAAAAGCAATGCTTTGTATTCAAAGCAGTTATGCTCAGGACGAAAAGAAAAACAGGCGCTAGTCTTCACTCCCTTAGAAGTTTACAAAACGTACCCATAGATCATCGTTACCATCCAGATCGATACTGCTGCCGGCCGGGATAGCAGCACCTTGGTAGGTCCAGGGACCTTCCAGCGCACTGGACTTCCAGATGCCGATTTTGCTGCCCGTGTTGAAGCGGAAATATACGCCGTCGCTCGTGCGCTGGATGACGGCCGGGTCGTGAGCCCAGCACGCACCGGAGCAGGACCCGGGGTTGGCGTAGGCGGCAACGGAGCCGATCAAGGCAGCCGCGCCAGCTAAGAGACGCTTGAAGATCATGGCTCTGGCGGTGAGCCGAGTGGATGGTCACACAAAGAAAGACCCGCAGTGCAGGGCGGATAGCGTTTGATATTGCTGGGAGCTCGAGTCACTGGAAATTGATATGTCGATCAGCGGACAGACAGGCATCTATTTATTCAACCACCTCCTGAAGCTTCCAGACACATTTTTTCATCAAGGTCCCGTACCAGGCCCTTACACGTTGACCATATTACAATCCCATCGTGCCGTGAGTGGTGGAAACTTCGCACACAACAGCGGTGATGGCCACGATTCCCCCTTTGCGGGCCGTTTGTGAATAGCTTGGTAAGTCGGTCCACTGACTTCAGCATGCATACTCCGCCTTGCGTTCAGCATCGGAAATTAACATTCGCCCTGTCAAAGTTTCGCTGTGCTTGCTTCTGGAATATTGCAAGGGGGGGCATTGCCTCTTGTGAGCGACAAGTGCCGATGCTATTGGTGGAACCAGGGCCATTGACTTTAAATCGGAGGATACCCCAGAGTTACCATATTTGGAAATACGTGGGGTGCATGCCAGAAAGGCCCCGGTTTTCAAGTGAACTATGTACGTTGTCAGGTCCCCTTGACCCTGGGGTTTGCGACAATAGTCCCAGGTTCATGGAGTCGGTCTGGGGTACATCAGGCACTTGTTTCCGAGCTTGTGACCTGTGTCAAGATGCGCGCCAATTAGAGACGGGCCACAAGAACATACAACTATACAATGTCAGACTAAACAAGCTCTTCGTTGCCATGTGTTCGTGCCTGCCGTGTGATATCACATTGCCGGAAGTTCAATAGTTGGTTCGACTGATGCGCCCCAATCACGAAAATGTCCGAGAGGCGACTGAGCCGGGACGGTGGTCAGCCATGGCGATCATTTCCCAAATGCCCCCTAAGTGGCTACTGAGGTATAGTGTGATTGTTGCGTAAAAAAAGGTCTATTATGTTCGACAAGCTTCAAATCCAAACAACCATGCAAGGCCATAACCCGGACGCCGAGATAATGCATAATCAAGGAAATGCTAACGCGCAATTTTTGCTAGCTCATCTAGTTCGATTTGTGTTTAGAGCATCCTCTGACGAGTCCTTCTCAGCGGGCAACACGCTCTTCGTTCTTGCCCAACGTGCTTGGGCTCTCTAAGTCGTCATCATCAAGTCCGTGCATTTGAGCGTGAGCGCGATCTCGCCTTGCGTCGTCCTCGTCATCACTCATCAAGCCCTCAAGCTCGAATTCCTGAGCATCCCGCACGGGGACGTGACCGTTGAGACGCGGGCCCAGACGACCGTTGGCTTCGGGTTTTGCTAGTTCGTCGACATTGGCGTTACGGTCGTAGAGATGTACAAGTATCATGGTGAATAGGAAAACCAGGAAGGCGAGCGAGTATAAGATCAGGATGTAGGACACTGCATCCATGCTGGAGCCGGCAACAAGGGCCATCTGCTCCTCCGTAGCACCCATGAAGAGGAAACCCGAGGCATAGAGAAGCTAGGCAAAGGTCAGCACCAATGAACAAGTGACTAGAGGGCGGGCGCAAAGAACTTACGAAGACGGGAACATATTGAAAGCTATTGGTCTCACGACCATTCTCAGCTATCCCCTGGCGGTCGCGCAAGACGAAGGAAACCTCGATAATACGAGTAAGACCAGTTGCCATGAGGGTGTAACCGAACATCTTGTGTGTCATGGCACTAGTCATGAGTTCCTGAGGGTGAGAGCTCATACCCCAGCCAGTGATAAGGATGACGAAGCCGGGGATGAAGTTGCGCTGAGGCCGGCCGTCACGATCTTTGCTCAACCAGACACCAGCAAGACCAGCGGCCCACCAGATTACGCCCATGGTCGTGTGCTGCCAGTCATTCTTGACCCAGGCGGTCCCCCAGCGGTGCTCGGTGAATGTGTTGACGCATCCCCAGGCGGCAATGACGGCGCTGTCGAAGAACTCCTGGGAGCGGCCGGTGCGGCGCATCCAGATCTGACCGACGAGTAGGACGATGGTTAGGATGATACCGTAAGCGATAAAGGCACCACCCATGATGAAATGAGCAGCACATTGACCGACATGCTCGCCCTGGCAAAAGCCGAGGGCAGTAATGCCGCCGAAGATCATCTGGGTCCAGGCAAGGACTGGCATGGCCTTGCCAACAATGCCGTGTCCCAGCTTCACGAAGCGTCTAATCTTGCCATTGATGCCCTTCTCCAGATGTAGCTTCAAGTAGATTCCCATGATGACCTGGGCGAAGAGCAGGAACATGAGCGGGGTGGCGAACTTGGAGTGGACGTTGGAGTGGAGGAATTCACGACCGCCATGCATGTGGCCGAGCGCATAGCCCAACAGCGAGAGGATAGTTCCGAGAGCTTGAACGGGGACATGCCATCGGTTCTTGGCAATCTGTACGTCGAAATATAGTTAGAAGCAGTCTCCTGGAGAGAAAACGTCGACCAAGAAGAGAGAAAGAAAAAACCTACACCGAGAACCATGCCTATAGGGAAGATGATTCCCCAGGCAGAGGTTTGGATGAGAATGTGAATCCATAATGTCGTATCCTACAGTCCATATCCTATTAGCATCCTCTCTCTGCAGCGGTAGTGGCAACGACGGTATGTGCCACGGGGGCAGTCGCACCAATCGGTTCGCCTGGGGGCAGATTGACGTACAATTGGATCTATCGAGATGGTTTCACCCTCGGGGATATTGGTAGAATCGTGGTCGTGTCCGGAAGCCATGGGGAGAGTCGCGGCCAGCAGCAACGTCGTGGGTATCGAGAGGGAGGGAAGCAGGCCACGCGAAGAAGTCAAGATACTGGCGACACTAGGTCTCGATCGTACGATTGTGTGCGCCATGGTTGTGAGTATCCGGTTCCTGTTGGCCAGTTGAGTGTTCCTTTGCTGGTGTGATGGGATGCTCTCTGACCCCCTGGAAGGCTTGGGTAGGTGTCGCAGCTCAGCGGGGCCGACGTTGACGTTGGACGGGACGCGACCACAAAAAGACGTGTCCTGAGGTAGGATCAGATCGGATGAAGCGGCAGGCTATCGCAGTAGTGCGAAGGATGTGCCGAAATTAGGTATTGCAGTACAGGGCGTTGTTGGACTCGCCGCCATCAATGCTATGGCTATGGCTGTAATCCGAGGTGAAGATGGAAAGTTGCCAGGTTTCTCTCGCCTCAGTGAAATGCAGCGCACCCGTATGGACACACAGCAACCATAGACAGCGACACAGCTGCCCACCTGCCCAGCGGATCAAAAAGGACTGGATGCTGACGCTGCATGCTGACATTGCATTCGTGTCGAGGTACGTACTTTTCCTAAATGGAAGTAACATCATTGGCTCGCCGCAGCAGGAGCGGGGCTTTTCAGGGGTTCAAATGCCCATACTTTTATTTTTTAAAATGGATTATTCTTTCTTTCATGTCACTACCCGAACCTGCCGAATGATACAGTACTGTGACTGTTCAAATTAACTCTCAGCAACCAACTATTGTTTTCGTTAGCGCGATCTGCGATTAGTCCAGTTGGTCTCTTCAGCACGAATGTTTGGTCGGTTTTCTGCCGGTGATTGAACCTGCTGACTTGAACCCTTATAACTTGATGCGATATCAGCGTACAAAGCCACCTATCTCCACAATCGGCTACCTTCCCCGCACTAAATGCTTGCCTTCTTTGCCCGGTAACTATGTACTCCGTATATGCAGATCGGTCCCGGAGACGGCCTGAACCATTGATTTACCACAGCATCACGTATATCTCTGCTCCCGCGCCGAGTAAATCGTTATCCACGTGGAAAAGGGCCGGAGCTGATGTTGCACAGAAGGCATCATGTCATTTCTGAACTAGGTGTCAACAGCAACCTCGATGGTTTTCGATACTGGTCACACCGCAAATGACAAATACCCTTCAGCTATGCCGGTTCGATAGTCAGCTTGTCCGGACCATGTACCGCACTAGGACAGGCGAGATTCATGTTGCGTGCAATGCCACTGTCAACCTATTAGTACTTAAACCTCGAGTCGTCACATGAATAAATGTCACCATCTCGTGGACACGGTAACTCCATGGGCCATGGTCGGTTGCAAGCCGCATAACCACAAATTCACGTTTTTGCAGGAGGCTGAATCACAAGCGAGCACATCCGAAGTCCTCCGCAGGCGCGTAGTGATTCTGATGGTAATTTCTGGCGAGCTTTGTAGGTGTCAAGTGTGATAGCTTATTGTGATGGAGACGGCCCCTCTGTCGTGCCCGGTACAGGCCCAGGACGCTGGGCATATCAGCGCCGACGGGCATCAGGTGCCAGTGCTATCAGAAGTAACCTGGGAGGCTCCTATGTGCCGGCAGCGTGGCACTGCGTAATGAGAACTGGGGGAAATTTTTCTTTTCTTCAGGCGACTCATTTTATGACAGAAGTCAATTAAACCGAAGCGTTACAGATGACAGGATATAGTCGCGGACTGGCCCTGACGACAAGGTTGCTAAGATATGCGGGAAACCGCAGTCACCCAAGCCGGTCGTTTTGCTGGGAGCTCTCGTAGTCCTCTTCGTTACCTGTTGGTCAAAATCAATGAGTGTCCTTATTCCCAAGGTAGTCAATCAGGTCAGCTTGTCAGAAAGTCCATACTTCCGGCAACTTTGCAAGTTCTTCAGCACACGAAGTTGATATCTGGTTGTCACCTGGCTATCGTGCTCGGTATCGTATGGGCCTAAGCCACATCGTACACTGACAAATACCAGAAGCGTGCTGTTTAAGCGTAAGAGTATTGCAGTAAACGCTGGATTCTCCCATGAAGATCAAGAGAAGAACAAAGTCAGAAACCACCATCAGGATTCAGCACGAGTGTTGTGTCTTTGTTTATAATGCATCGCCTTGTAGCTTGTCCTAGGTTGAGCAGCCAATTTGGAATCCGGCGGCGCAGAATACAAGCTGTGCCATGTTAGGATGATATGTATATACAGACTTGACGAAAATGCGATAACATACTGAACAGTCAAAGACCTTGTAATATATAGCTAGATGGGCGAGACTGTTGCGGCCAGGTGACCTTTGTCCATACAATATAGCCCGCGCACACCGGACATACCTTTTCAACATTGACCGTTACAGAGGCCTCGCGTTCTTGTCAATGGAAATATGGCCGGCAAAGATCCGGTGGTATTCAATGGTGAGAGGACTAGAGCCAAGTCCCAGATAACCACTCAATGAAGATTCACCAATCATTTATCGATACCAATCTTTCGGTTCGCATCTAGGCAAGGCCGCTCTAGCTTGCTACCATGTCATACCGACTAAAGCTAGTCCAGCCGCCAACCTTATGCGGAGCCAAGGGGTCAAAACGTGACGCTAGGTGATCACCGGGGTGTTCTGGCCTCAAATGCAAATGCTTTGCAGACTTGTGGCGGGTCCAGGTACTGTGGCTTGGATGTCGGGCATCTGCTTGTCAAGCTTGTCAATGCCATCGGGATATCTCCCGTCCCTGTTCGCCACGTGGTGCCATCTGTGCTGCACACGGGCGCCTGTGCTCGCTCTGCGTCTCGTAGCCGTCACGCGGCTGCTTTGATTCCATATATATCGAGTGTATGCGAAAGTAGATACAGCGGTCCCGCCCATCTGCGGCTTTACGCTTGGTGGTAAGCACATCGAAATGAACACGAGATGGCCACATTGTTGATGAGTTTCGCTTCTAAACATGCTAGCTATCACCCGGCGATGCTGGAAAGAAAAGCCACAACGGTCCTTGACCAAACACCACTTGCCGGTTTAGCTCTTGTACCTGGCAAGAACTCGTTGTTTGGTGCTGATAATGCTGAATGATAGATTTGAGTTCGAAGAGCGGGAGCCAACGCCAAAGGCTTTGAGTTTAGACGGTCCGCCATTTTCGCTCGAGCTAATTACGCGGCTGTGGTAGTCGCGAACCAATCAACATACTGCGCCAGGGCTAGTGCTTGAGGCATCGTTTACTGAGCATGGCATGTAATTACCTAACAATAGAATTTGAGGACTGATGAGAACACTCCTCATCATCAGCACTTGCCCCTCGAATTTGTGTGGAGGTTGACGCAGAACTGGTACTTTGAGAGTCCTCGTAGCATAACAGGAGTTTCCCTACGAAGGTAGAGACTTCCGAATTCGTACGGCTGCATTAGTCAAGACAGTAGGCCAACGACTAACTGACTCGCCTTGTAATCCAAGCTGATCGTTTCGTGAGTTCTTGTCCGTGAAAAAAGGCTAGCACGGCTCTCAGATCCGACAAACGGGCTAAGTAAGGACTATCCGCTCCGCAAGATACTGGCTGTGATCAGCCGCTACCATTGATTTGGGGGACTCCCACATGGGTAGACGTCAAGATGACTCGCAGTTTAGTGTTGCGATTTCATGTCAGTCACCGTATTGGGCGATCGAAGCAGGTGTGCTCGGGCCCTAAGCAGTCTTTGCGTTGAGATTTTGGCCTTTAGACTAATAGTGTCAACATGGAGAACGCCGAGTCCAGCCGGTAGTCCATGAGGTTCCTGCGAGCGCAGACTTCCCTTATAGGTTGAGCCATGCGCTCCGGGCACTGGGACATCGTACGATTATCGTACGACTTTTCTTTTCTCGACGTGGGATGCTATACAGTGTTCCCACAATTTTCTTCATATCGCTCGTTTAATTAAGCGCGGGAGTGTATAGTCACGATGCTGTCTCGTATGCGCGACATAGCCGCGGAGGCTTTGTCTACTGATGGGCTATACCAAGTACCTTTGCCTGGCACCGTTTTCAGCATTCTTCTCGCTATTTTGTCATTGACCTTATTATCAGCGTTTTTCGGTTGGTTCACTTTTATTGCTTACATATGACATCCAGTATATTGACGGTTCGTAGCAACACGTTTCAACGCAATCACATCGTGGAGAAGATTACCACTTGTCAGCTGGCGTATGTAGTAGAATCAAAATAAGCTGTTATGTTACTAATTTTTGAATAGTTATTTTTGCCATTTACACAGACTCTTGGTTGTTTGTTGCCATAGCGAGTGTGCTGCGATGGGGCCCTGGAATTAACTCGGACAATGCGCTTTGCTCTTCCGCCATCTTTCTATGCCTAGCCTGCTACTTATCAACGAAGATTGTATGTGATATCGTAGCCGATTGTGACGTGGGCTATAGCTAACTTCGATAGCTAATCTACTTCTTCTTGGTGGAAAAAGCCGTAAGTAATTCGCCAACAGCTGACAAGGAAGACATGTTACTAACAACGCTCAGTTTGTTGTATGGGGTGGCAGAAAGTCGCGACTACAATCCAAGTTGTACATCTTCAACTCATTTGTGATGCTCAGTAGGTTACATCGTCTCTTCGTTCTGATAATAATGAACTCTTCTAACGGCAATAGGTATTTTTGCTATCATTGGGATATTTAACTTCATCTACCGAATCGATTACATCGAGAATGGCAAGTGTGTCATTGGCATGCAACGCCCCGTATTAATCCCACTTGTCTCATTCGATCTTGCTGTCAACGTAAGTGCTTGCCGAGAAATTGGCTTTTGCAACGTGTACTCGCTAATACTGGTGTAGGTCTATCTCACTATCTTGTTTTTGATTCCCCTTCGAAGCACATATTCTTTCAATATGGACAAGACTTCTGGAAATGCAAAGCTTCGTGATCTCGTCTTTCGAACTTTCATTGGTGCTGTAACATCAACAATCACTTGCGCGTTGTGAGTATTTCTTTTCCTACCCAGATGCAAACTGTGACACTAAGAAATATAGAAACATCATTATTATGATGGCTCTCAATGGTGAGCCAGGTTGGGTGTGCTTGATGTCATGTAACATCGATCGTGAGTGTTCCCCTAGCAATCTAATTTAACGCGAGTGAGACTTAACTAACACCATTCGGTGCAGTCCTCTTCGACGCCATTATCGTCCAATACGTTACCACGCGCGACAATCAAGGTACACAGACGACCGTCTCTGATAAGAATAACTTGTCCGTTGCCGTCGAGCGGTCCGTCGTTGTACATCGCAGCACGAACCGACACGACAGTGCCATTGATAAGAGTGCTAAGAGAAACAATCTAACAGAGCTGGAGGAAGAGATTGGAATGTCCAACTTCGGAGCTGCGCCTGCGAGAAGCCCGCCGTCTGTCGAGAGAATCAAGGCAGATTACGCAAGCGACAGGAGCTCATCATCTGTGGAAGATCTGGAAATGGGAAACAGGACCAACGTAGCAGCTGCCAAGGAATTTGATTGGAGTCGTAAGTAAGGATGCAAGACAATGGGTGCGCAGAAGAATTGTTTTGATCCTCATGGGGTCCATTTCCTCTTAGTCACTGCCATCGTGGCACAGTAGTTGCGAGGCATCACGTTTCTGGTCAGCTCGGTATATAATTAATATAAGTTAGAAAACAATGGGGAAAAAATAAGTCAAAAACTGTCTCATGGTCGCTAGAAAGGGCATCGATGTTGAAACCAGGTCCTGGTCTGACATTTCCATCGAGCTATCTCACGCCAACCGCAGTGTCGCCAATGATTTTGGTTAGAATAGTCTCAGGTATTTCCGTTTCCCTAGTCCTCCTACTTGCTTTTACTGGGTAATTTTGTCTCAGATGCTTGTGTTCAGAACCAATCGCCGCATGATATTAACTTATATGCAAGCGAAATACTTTTTTCTTGTTATATGACATCTGTTAACCGTCTCCATTAAATATTTCACTGTTCACCGCGATGAGCAAGTGGGTGTGAGCTAAAAGGTAAACTGGATGTAACGCAAATGAGAGCCCTGGACCATGGACACTCGCTCGGGATGGGCCTCACACCAGAAGCACGCTGACTCAAGTTCCACTGGAGTCGAACTGCAGTTGCGTAGTGAAACTAACAGGGAGAAGGTACTGCATTTTCTGTCCTGCTGTTGTTTGGCGCTCTGGACGTCGCATTTGTTCAAGTATCGTGCAGGGTTTGGGAATGCCCGTAGCTCAGCCAACAAACCTCCCTGCTCCGCGGCAGCCGGCTGTGCTGATTCCGATGTATATGAGTTGTAACAACAGAATCGGGCAACCATATTTGCCGTTGACCGGTGGTAGGCCAATAGTTGTATTTCTTTCCATGCGATACGCAGTTTGTACAGGGCAATAGTGATCTGCCGCATGTAGCTTTCGTGAGCGGTAAAACCACACAAGTAGTGACCCTTACGATGCGAGGAGGCCGAAGTTCGCATCGGCGCGCCGAGTATATCTGACGCATGTGGAAATAGCATTGGAACCGGCTCTGACACTACAGGCATTACTTTGAGTGCAGCTCCTTATCATTTGTGCACGAACGAGAGAGTACTGGAGAAACTTCGAGATGAGGTCGATGGTTGATTCAATCAGGACTTAAATTTAGTGACATTCCAGGAGGCGCAGGCTGTGCCCTGCCTAAAAGCCATGATCGAAGAACACTCTACGCACCCACCCCGCCGTTGGAAAGATACTAGCCCGTACGGTGCCTAAAGGTGGAATACGAATCTCGACTCACTACTTTCCTGGAGGGGTGAGTTGCCACTGTAATACATGTCGATTAGGTTCTGGAGGGAACCGTTCGTACTGGTCGTGCGAATACGGCCACCAGCATAGATACCGACAGCGGCGGCGTTACTGTGCGCAACCAGGAGAGGTCCCTATGCTGTAGGGCCATGTGTGGCGAGTTGCTCCTAGAGGGCTGTGGCAGCCGAAACTACATCATAGTTCAGAGTTGCACCATTGCTGCCGATTGAGACAATCTAGAGTTCCACGACATATATTCGACCTACAATTTTCATTTCTGTATTGGACATCCTGCGATTTAGTATCTTTTGGCCGTTGACTTTCAGTCCCCACGAACAAGAGCTAGTATAGACCAAGTAAGTTCTCCTACGGAATATTAATATCGGATTTCGTCTCAAAAGCAATTCAAGGACTTGTATACGAATTTAGCACGGCAGACTCGGGCACATTTACCAAGCCCGTTCAACCTTGCGATTATTTTAATTTATCGACTGCGAATATTCATAACAGGTCAATATTGAAGCAAATAGCCTAATGCCGTATTGCTGGGGGCTAACAAATCAAGCAAGTTTCATTGTGGCACGCTCCCATTCCAGTCTCGGGTTCTGAACCATGGAGAGAATAGCCCCCGAAAGCATCGCCTCTCAAGACCAAATGTTAGATACCCGTTTACGTGCCTGTGCGGCGCATCTATCCGTTCTGATAGCAACTGCTCTGAGCTGACAAAGCGAACTTCTACTGTAAAAGTATACGTACTATGGACCCTTGCAGCCCCACAGGCTATAGGAAATTTGGACTAGCGGACACGTTAGACTACGTAGGACAGTATGTCTGTATTTATTGGAAACGCTTCAATGGTCGCTCAAACACTTGTAATACCGACTATAGGCAGGCCATGAACGGATGCATCCGAGCTAGATTCCATTCAATTCGGAATAGTCATCTGGGCTGGTTTTGAAGTTAGTCTAGTCTAATTAATTCTGGGTCGAAGTCCGCTCATGTCTGGCCGAGATCTGAGAAGGCAGCAAAGTCCATTCATCTTTTCGAAGCTAGCTCCAACTACTCCGTAGTACTGTCCAACCTGGAGAACCAGCCCGGCATTCGCCCGGTCCCATCTCATTAATCCCGACTTGATTTGTCGCTGGCTGATGACCAAGTCACGACTGTTCGCAGATCAAGATAGTCTTCACCGGCGGAAGAAACGACATGATTCCAAGATTTCAAGACTTTTCCACTCTTTCTGATCTCCTTGAGGTCCAGTGAATTCACAGAAGAACCTTACCTTTCCTCGGTCTTGCGGAGCGTTGTCACATGGCAAATAGAAAGCAACTCACCACGTTCATTATTATTTATATTTGGGGATTCACACAAAGACAATATTTTTGGGCGATTGCTTCTGGCCGCGCCGAGGACTCTGCTAAGAACTCAAATCAAAGGCTCGGCAAGTTCTTGTTCCATCTTTGGCAACATTCCCATCTTCTCGCACTCCATGTACATCTCATGCACACTCTCAAGAGTGTCTACAGAACCGTTGTATCCAAATCTCTTGCCTTTGCTCAGGGAAGCAGTGCCGAATGAGAGATATGCAAAGTCTCCGTTGAATATGGCGTCTTTGTTCTCCTTGAAAGGATTCCAGGTGAGCGTGCCCTGAGACCTGTCCATCAAGTTCACCCAGACTTCCTCGTTGGCCTTGTCCTCAGCCCAATCCCTAATGGTGAATCGTCTCCTCATTTCCTTTGGCGGCCCATAACCCAGGGGATTTTTGTCAGCTCCACCTAGAGTCATGACCTTGTCATACTTGGCACTGTTCAGGTCAGGGCCAACAACCCCACGAGACACTCCCCACCATTGTGCCAAGGCCCCGAAAAATCTGTCCCAACTAAGTGTCACTCCATCAACAGCGTTGAAGGCTTCGTTGGCACAGTCAGATTCGAGGACAGCCCACTCGCTCAGGTATCCTGTCAGTCGTGCAGTTGAATGAGCTGCTTCGAACTGCCATGCGTCGAGATCACCGCCAAATTCGATTGGTTCCCCCTTCTGTGCTTGAACAATTGCATAAACCGCGAAGCACATGAACATGTTGAGTGGCGAATTTGGAGCGGAACCAACGATGCCAAATGGCCGGACAATATTCCACGCAGTACCAGGGAACTTCTCGCAGAATGATCTCATGGCATCTTCTTGATGATAGTAGAAGTTGTCTGCGATGTGACGTGGCTGAGGGTCGGACTCGACCAAAGGCGTGCGCACACGCCCAACATGCATACCGTAATTTTTACCTCCAGTCTGCATCAAGATCCGTCGAGGTATGGTATCCGCCAAAGGTAGTGCATCCAGCAGGTTTTGAAACATCGGAACGTTGGTTTCGATTAATTCCTTGACTGCTCCTGGACTCATGGGGTCGATCACCGACTTGGGCTGCAGATATGCGTAGTAAAAGAGGTAGTCTGCCTTGACATGGGCGAGCCGCAGATCTCGGGCGATAGAAGCAGCTGACGACAGGAGATCAACGGACACATGGGTGATGCGAGAAAGCTGCTCTTCAGTGAGAAAGGCCTTCGCTTTATCTGACAAAGGGGAACGTGATAGTATGAAGATGGAGGACCAGCGAGGGGTATCAAGCAAGGCGCGCAGGGCATGGAAACCAGATATTCCGCTTGCACCACAAACAATCGCGGACAAGCCAGTGACCTTCGAGTTAAACTGCGGCAGATTGCGGTATATTCCGCTCACGCGAAGAGGCTCGTTGCGGGAAGACATGTCTATGACTGTTGGGAGTTCTGTTGAGTCAAGCTGAAGGACTGAAAAAGTCGTAATGATCGAGTCAAACGAGCAGAGAACATGTGCGGTGATAGTCAGACTTTGATACGAAGAGGAAGTCGCAACGCTCTTTGTTTATACTCTTGGGAACGAGTGAAGTCGATAGCTCATGCGAGCAGATCGGATCGGATCGTGAGACTGTAAGTTTTTTTTTTTTGGGTCGGCAGCTACCAGTACCAACGGTAGGCAACAACGCAGGTCGCCCCATCAAATTATTGGCAATTCACATCTACCGCAAGATGGTGGACTCGTCCATGGAGTTTCCAAAATGACTTCCTAGGCCCATCTTCCATGATGTATCCAACACAAGCAACGACGAGTATCCACTCAGACTCGAACTCTAAGTAGACCAACGGGCGAAACTCAAAACGAAAGGTGAAGCTTGGCGCTGCATCGAAGAAGCAAGGACGGCTGTGAGGAAAGATCATCATACACTTCTACTATCAGCTTGAACGCGGAGAAACAGTGCGTTCGTTTCTCATTGCAGACTGAAATAACGGCACCGGCAGAGCGCTAGAGGCCGTCGCGAGCCAACTCACGTGTGGACCGATGAACAGGCCGCCGCTGCGGTAGGTTCGGGCATTCCGTTACATTGCGGAGTGCTTCATGACGAAAGCGCAATTCACGCGGCTCTAACATCTAGATAAGATGATGAGTCATGATAGGGCGGGTAGGGGCTGCTAAGCAATAGGGGGAAAAGAACCATTACGGACTTAACAGGCTGTACAAAAGTCCGAAAAATCTGCGATGGTCATAAATTCCGCGCTTGTAACCCACAATCCCTGCCGCTCATGACGCCGTCCCGCCTAGCCCCAGATGTAAGTTTCCGCCTTTCCCATCTACAGCTCTGATTGTGAGAAGGAAGTTGCTGCGCGGGTTAACTAATCTCAGCGTCCCACACTGACGTTTAGTGGCATCAGTGGTATGTACAAGAATTGGCGGACAAGCAGGTGCGATATAGTGGCCGCCGCCCCAATCCTTGTGTCTACCGCCTGCACCCCAAGGCTCCTGGCGCTTCAAAGAAATTATTGCATTGGAACCTGCAGTTTACAGCTCTACCCCTAGCCTATGGTCGTACCCTTTTCTATGAGTAAGAGGTAGGCTCGCTTTCCATACGTAGTTCGCTCCTTGGAAGCGTTTGTATTCGCTGTACTGGTACATTTGTAAGGGTATCCTGGAGTGCAGATTGACTTGCTCGATATGGATTGTGAACTTAGACTTGCGCTAGCCCAATCGGCGGTTCATTCACTTACCGTCACTTACTTCAGATGAGCCCATGTTCCACGACGACAACAACAACACCGTTGTAAGCCACAGCTTTTGTTGATTTTCATGCCTTCTATGGGCAATGCGAGACTGTACGCCTCGACCATCTCATGTCCCAGCCACTAGCGATACAGCAACGGAATGCAGTTATTGCGGTCAATTACCCAGCCAAATACTTTAAAATACGAGGGGGAAGCTACAGTGGCCGAGGTCAAAAGGCATTGCCCACACATAATGTTGCCACATGTGGCCACATGGAGGGAATGCTTTTCAACCTGGGCTTTACCGGCCGGCTGCGAAGAAAAGGATGGTCGAGGACAAGGCTGCTTTGGATACCTATGGAGTATAATTCCGCCGGAGTTCAGAGGTTATGAGGCGCATTGCTAGTCTCGCCCGCGTAGAAGATCGGAAGTGCTGGTGTGGACGAGGTTTGCATCGATCGTTCTACCCAAATTCATTCGATCATCATAGAACGTTATGGAGATGTGTTAGGATTCTCTGACAATGTTGATGAGGCACTGCGCTTACTGCCTGAAGAACGCCTTCACTGGCACGCGAAAAAGTGTTATCAATATAGTTGAAACCCACGACTGCCCCGAATGCTAAGATATCGAACCTCACACTACTAATTGTAAGCGGACCTAAGATTGACCATCAAGGGATGTTACCATACCATCGGAGAATGTGCTTCGTTGAGGGAGTAGCCTTTGGAGGAATAAATGACTGGGAAGTACGCTTGCCATCTCGCTGACAGTGAAACTACAGACTCGTAAAGGTAGTTGTCGCTGTTGTAATGTCACCATCAGTCTTGGCGATATCTTCAACGATGTGGTTACAATGTCGAATGAGATGAGTATGTGGCTTTCTACAACTTCCTATACGTTGGAATCTATCTAGCAAAGTTCCACTAAATCCGTTTGAAGTCAGCACCGACCCCAAATTGCTTCCATGCCATTTCAATTCCCAAATCTAGCCTGTTGTTTCTTGCTGGGACCATCACATCGGACCCATCCGCTTCATTTGCGTAAATGACGTTATGCGTCTTTCCCAACGTCAGCTTAATGGCCCCCTCGAGAAAATAGTTTGGTTTGTACGTCCGCTGAGGCTTCCGTCCTTGGATCATGCTAAGAATATTTTCCAGCACCAACCCCGACTGCATCCAGCCCGCCCGTGCCATACGTGGCCCGACGTGATCAGCTACATCCCCGAAAGCAAATATGGTTGTATTGCAATCGGGTTGATCTGGAGTGAGTACTTGAAGCGTCGGCTGAACAAGGATGCGCGAGTTTTCCGTTGAGATGGCGCTGGGGTGTAGAGACGCCAGTATGGATGAGTTGGGCCGCTGACCAGTGCAAACGATCTGGTAGAGATATGACCCTGTTCAGAAAAGCACACGTAAGAGTAAAAGAAGGCACTTACAATAAGATCAAATTGCTCCTTGCGGCCGTCAGAGAATGTCAGCGTGTCTGACTTAGCCATATTCCCTACAGCGGGGGCCTTGGGCCGCTCATTAAGGAGAACGCGAACCTTGAGTTCGTCCTGCAGCGCAACCAGCGCATAGTCGCCTAATCGCTTTCCGAAGTGGCTCAAGAGCCGGTCATGCGAGTGAATGAGTGTCACGTCCTTGTCTGGATAGAAATCTTTGATATCACTGGCGAGCTGCACACCCACGGCTCCGCCCCCTATAATGGCGACCCTGTGATTTTCTTTGATGGCCTGCTGCACACCTTGCAGCTCGTGGCATGCATCGTCGATATTCGTGGCTACTACCTGGACGGGGAGAGGTTGTGATGAGCCAGTCGCGATAGCGAGGTAGGCATAATCGATCTTTTCACCCGACGAAAGTAGGACCTGATTCTCGGTGAGCTCGATTGCAGTATCCTGGACGCGGGTGTATATGCCAGCAGGAGTGCCACGTGCTAAACCATCATACGGGATAAACGCCTGGTGCTCATGCTCTGTCAAGACCGAGAAGCGAGGGAAGGCGAAGCTGTAATTCAGATGCGAGTTTTTCTCAATCAATACCACTTTGTACCCGGTCGGTAGCAACCCAGCCAATTGTTTTACCAACTGAACGCCTGCAAATGAACCCCCAAGGACTACCACGTTCTTCGCGTCAGGCGTTTCATGCCATGTCCAACTGTGGTACACCACTGCCAACCACTGAACCACGAGTTTGCCCGCGTAGGGGACGAAAAACCCCAGTGCTTTATATATCAATCTGACGTTGTCTGGAAACATCGTGCCGAAAGGTGTTTGCTATCATGAACATTCCTTCGCGGGAGCTAATAATTAACGATAACAATTCGAATACAATGGGAGTACCGCATAAAGTCGGATGCCAGGGAATATTAATGGAATTGAGTTCAAATGCCGTAGACATGGACTCAATCTCGTCTGAAAGCCGCAGTGTCTTGTCGGCAGACGGGGAGGAGACTCGGGAAATTCAACTTTCATATCCATGCAATCAAATCCGATAACGGAGTTTATAAGAAACCGGTTGTACAACACTTTACCGAGTCCGTGTCTCTAAACTCCGTGGAAAACTAAGCCAGGTAAGAAGTGGAGACGCAAGTGTATTGCGGGATAATAAGCTCATGCTTTTAACAAGGAATAAGTACGCAAGTGACTTTCTTATATTCAAAATACGTTAGCCTTTCTAATGATTTCTAATAGGAATAATTAAACAAAAACAGTTATGGTCTTATTATTAATTATGATATAGGTAACGAGTTGGCTAGGTGTCTATCAGTTTGATCACTTGTTCATATAAGCCTTAATCCTCATATATCGAGGACAGTCTTTCGCACGTAGAAGTATGGGGGTGATGTGGTATATTGAAAACGGATACGGAAGAGATGATATCCGTTGATCCGTGATCATATATACATGCCTAGCTGGCTGCATTGGGCAACCGTGGTGATAGCCCTAGGGTATCGAATCAGACGTTTATAGCGCACGGTATTCTCGAAAATTGAGCCAGGTATGACATAAATCTATGCGACTACGACTTTACTCATAGAAAAAAAATATAGGGAGCGATTGCGTCAGAACTAGCCAAGCTTGCACGGAAAGAGTCCAACAACCCCATCGTGGAAGTGCACAAGGTGAAAGGTAAGTCTTCGACAACATCCTACAAGACTTTCAAGGCATCGTCCTTAAGCGTGGTGCCAAAGATCACGTAATTCAAACAGTCCAACAGATTTCTAGGTGAACGTATTATCTGGCAAAAAGAAATTTAGATGACAATTTGTCCAATGCATCCATTGATATTGCGTATCAGGTGGTTGACGACTTCTCTTCGAAGCTCGGGCTGGGGCGGTGGGCTTATACAAAATGGCCAACACAATTGACGTGACCCATACGCAGATAGCCAAATGCATTTCTCATATTGTTCGTGTCCGATACCACACAATTTTCATTGGCGACCATTTCAAACCAGAATCTTCCCACCTAATCAATATACTGTATACAGTTGCTTATTTGTAGCAAAATATTCATCAATACTATCTCATTCAAAACTGGGAGCAGCGGAGCAACACAGGAGCTCAGACTAGACTATTTCGGGGATAATATGTGCAGAAGAGAGGAATTGAAGCCATCTTGGGTGCAAAGGAGCCTCAAAGCGCGACAGAATACGTACTACATCTTCCTCTGGGAGACGGTCAGGAATGGATTCAGCAAAACTTTCAAATGACACTAGAAATTGTATTAGCGCAACGCAATTTACCAATTTCCCGAAGGTGATGGTCACTGACAAGTCAAAAGTTTTGGTAGCATCCAGACCTTTGCGAAATGGTTAAGTTGTAAACGAAGGGCCGTTTGATCCGATCTAATTTTCGACTCCAGATTCGGGTCGGACAATGCTGACGACTTCCTATGAAGCTCAAGCATGATGAGTGCGGTAAAACTGACGAATGCGACGGCAGGATCTACTTTTAGACAAAATGCACTATCCCAATTCGCTGCGACGGAGGCAATATCCTGACAAGTCTCAAGAACTCGTTCCCAAGCGACAAGCCAGTTTTCTGACTGTCCTTGGGTGCAAATGATGGCTGACAAGATGAGCTGCGCCATGAGCAGGTGAAGGACTGTAACTAGCCTTCCGTGCTGAGCATCTTGAGATTCCCTTAAGAACGCGTTGCGTCTAGGACTGAACCAGTGAGTCGGAAGTGCAAGGCGAAGTGCGGAGATTTGCTGCTCGAGATCTGCCGTATATGCGGTGCTTTCTTCTTTCGATCGCAAGAAGTATACTCGCGCCATAGATCCAGCCTGCCGCATGGCGGCAACAGTGACATTGTGAATGTTCATCAATGCGTTTTCGGAATCTAAGAGGATATCGGGGATTATGCTCCAAAAGCCTTGGCTTCGGGGTGGCAGGCGAAGATCTCCAGCTGTTATGTTGCCATTTGGCGACATATGTGTCTGGGCCACAAAAAGAGATGTGCTGAATAGGTTGTCCTCAACAACGTATGGTGTTCCGGATGCAATGTTGGAGTATGAATCAAGGCGATATATGCACCACCAGATAGATCGCCACTCCTGCATGTCCTCCTCCTCAATAGTATTCCAGTCGTAGTACAGTGAACGGAGACTCTCGAGCCGGTCAAGTCCCACACGATATGCTATCCTGGCTAGTCTGCCGATTCGCATCCAAGCTTGGTGCCCAGGAAACTGGTGGAACTCATAAAATGCAAGTATACAAGCCTTGCGAAATTGATCGAGTGAAGCATAGTCACTTATCATAACATCATCTTGTAAGCTTGAGGTCAGTAGCATGTCAATGCAGGTATCGAGTTTTGAGCGGTCGATTGATTGTACCATATTAGTTATTTTGGCTGTGACTGCTACCATCGTAGTCGTGAGATCCGGACTACAATGACCTTCGCCATAGCGGGCAAGGAATCGGGTTTTGGAAAAGATCGGATTCGCATCACACATAATGTCGAAGAAGGTATTGACCCTACGAAGCCCAAGTGGATATCAGTACAGATCTTGCACAATAAACGTTATGTATCTTACAAGTACTGCTCTTGTTCCGTGGTGATATCAAGCCCAGTAAGGGCTCGGCGGCCGTTTTGAGTCTCAGAGGGCTCTGATTGAACATGTGGCGGCGCTGTCTTTTCTGGTGTATCATTCTCAACTATCGCGGATAGTATAGTTGGGGATGGATTCGGACTGTTGGAGGTGACCTCATGACGGTGGGAGTCTTCGCGTGACAAAGAAACAGTTGTCAGTTTTCGATATCTTCCATGTTAAACCCATAGAAGCTCATTCAACCACTCACCTAAGGCTTTTCTGGGTCTTACTGACCCACGAGGAGGACCTGGCTTACGTCGCGGCACTGAGTAGGTACAAGTCTGCCCCCGCTCATGGCAACGAGAACACGCGGGTCGGCCCTGGTTGCCTGCGATACAAATCTCTTACTTAGCAAAAGGACCAGGCAGATGAGAACCAAATGGACGATGGGCGTACACTTGACCTTGTGTCTATTGATATTCCTTAGTTCATGAATTGTCACACGAAAGGCAGGGATTCCACTTACCGTATACATCGATCGCACACTCTGAAGCTGTGAGATGGCGGGATCCGAATGCGGTGGTCATGGAGCTGTGCGCTCTGCTGGAAAACGCCTGCGCTGGTATCCAAACCAGGTTCATCCATATCCTACGAATTTGGCCTCAGCTCTACTAATTCGGAGGATAAAAGAATGAGGTAATCTCGACGAAACCCCACGGCGAAATTGTCAACCATCTCGGCACATGTTCTGCCATGCCAGATTCTCCGACGCTAATTTAGCAATCTTTAGTATCCGCTGACTATTCTGGTCTAGCGTACGACTAGCCCACCAGGTGGTGAAGTTGTAGGAACTCGATTTTATATTAGCCACCACCTACCTCAAGAGTTCTTCACAATTCACAAACAATCGCTCGAAGAATACTCTCAATTCTCTTACAATCGGAACCAATAAAATAAAATGACTCCATTCTCCCACCTTATCCGTTTTGAATGCTTAGAAGGGAATATTCACTTTGCAGATATAGGCCCTAATGCAGATGGACCACCTCCTCATGGAACACGTATTGATGCATACGGGTCGCTCGACGAACTTGCAACTAAGACTGGGTCAAGAACTGTAACGATTCGACGGGTATGGCCACACCTCACCAAGAACTCCACAGACATGAGGTACTGATTGGCAGTGTAGTTTTTGGCGCCTGTTCCTCATGATGGTCTTCCTATCTATTGCGTCGGCCTGAATTATCGGACTCATGCCACAGAAGCAGAGGTGAGTCATATTGCTGTATATGGAGTCATTCGTGGATCAACCTAGTTAACCAGCTAAGCTCACCATTCCATCGTACCCACCTCTCTGGACAAAACCTGCAGCGTCTCTTGCGCACCCGGACGAAGATATTCCCGTCAACAATTTCTGCGCCAGGAGTTTTCTGGACTATGAGGTGAGATGATCCTCGAACATTGCTTGTAAATTCAAAACTGACCAATCTCTAGGGCGAACTTGTTTTCGTAACATCTCGTGAATGCCGAGACGTCTCACCACAAGACGCGAAGGAATACATTCTGGGATACACAGTTGGAAATGATTTGTCGTGCCGCCTCTTTCAACTGCCAAAGAACTCAGGTGGCCAATTCTTCTATGCCAAAGCGTTCGATCATTTTGCACCAATTGGTCCTTCGCTGGTAAGTCCGGAGATTTTTGGGCGACAAACGTTTCGTGTGGTTACGAAGGTGAATGGCCAAGTCCGACAGATGGCAGATCTACAGAATGACATGGTTTTCTCGCCCGAGAGGATTTTAAGTCACATGAGTCAAGGTATGAAGCTATTGATATGCTATGGTTCTCTCCTACTAATAACCTGCGAAGGCACTACAATTCCAGCAGGTACGGCTGTAATGACAGGTACTCCTGCAGGCGTGGGCGCTTTCATGAAGCCAAAGACCTTCTTGCAACATGGCGATTTGGTTGAGGTGGAGATGGAAAAGGTAGGCACACTAAAAAATAAGATCAACTTCGAGTGAGCTACCGTCAACAGGTCCTGTCCGATGGATCCTTGCACTAACGATACTGTTGAGAACCAATATTTGGACAGTCATTATCGTTTGGATTCAATGGGCTGCACTCCAGGTTAGTACACGGTGGAGCTAAGAGAACTTTACTTGAAATTTAGCAGACCATGTCGAATATATGCTTATTCCATGATTCATAAGCGAGATACTGGCTTCCTTGGCCAATTTGAAATGATGATTTGGGTGATATTTTCGTATGCTCGATGAAGCAATTTGTCTATGCTGGGGGAAATATTAAGTCGTGAAATCTAATCATTGCGAGAAAATATAAAATTGATTCAAAGCCATATTTTGAGCATTTCAAACATCCAGTTCACTTAGAGGAACAAAGAATTCAAAGGAGAATTTCTTTTGGGCTCTTAGAAAACTGAACACCTATATCTGCTCATCAACTTAAGAATCAAGCTATATCATACCGCAGATAAGGAGTAAAGCAGAGCAGAACAGTATAAATTATATATCTTCAGATCAATCAAATGGCCTCAGGGGTTTGTTGATTATTTCATCGTGCAAGTGAGTGTCCTCCATCCGTTTCTCCAGTTTCAGCCTCATCATTCTCAAATTCTCAAATTCTCCCTCAAGCATTGAAGGTTTGTATTATGGACTTTTTGTGCTAGTGATAAGCGCATCTTCTTTTGTGGTCGCATTGCGAATGATTGTCAAACGACTGAGTTTGAATTTGTAGAATACTAATATATGCTGTGTCATCATATGAGTCTCGCGGTTCCTGGTGTGAGGAATGATACGTACCAGAAGTTTTCGCGGCAACAAAGTGACGAGAGCCCACAGTGTCCATGCTAGCGCGCCTTCCCATATCTCTGGATTTGTTTTTGATTTCATCAACTTACTGACGACTGACCTAGCATACGTTTCTGTGGGCATACCATTCGCATTGCCTCGGTATTTGAAGTCTTCAATGACGTCTTTGATCGCCAAATAAGGCGATCCTTCCGGAGCGTGTAATCCATGATGTAGAATGTTGCTGCGCACAAAGCCAGTAACCACTTCAATAACTTCGACGCCAAATGGTTGAAGTTCCTGAAAGGTTGTTAGAAAAACGAATATCCATGTCCTGATAGATGTTTACTAGACGCAGAGTTTTGGTGTATTGGCTAAGAGCGGCTTTCGACGCATTGTAAGCGCACTGCCATACCATAGGAACATCGCGAGTTACACTGCCAATTTGGACGATCTTTCGGTGGTGTGAACGACGGAGAAGCGGTGAAAATATCTGACAAAGGTGCATAATTGCGAACACGTTGACTTGGAACAGTTTCGTCACTTCTGTTAAGTCTAGATCTATCGCAGTTGCTGCATAATGTGTCCCTGCATTGTTGACTAGGAAATCAAGACTGTTGTTGGTACGCTCGGCAACAACATCCTTTAATTTCTCAATGCTCTTGGGGTCGTCCAACACCAAAGGTATGGCTTCAATATTCTTGTGTCGACTTGTCAGGTCGTCGAGCGACCTCGTGTTTCTGGCAGTAGCGAGGACAATTACCCCTCTGGCTGCAAATTCTAAGGCCAGCTGTTTTCCGATACCACTGCTACACCCGGTAATCAATGCATAAACAGGATTTTGCGTCATCGTGAATTTTATGACTTTGGAAGGTCGTTAGCAGGAAATATTTGCGGACTTTTGTAGTCGCGCTGCTGACATGCGTTTATAGCGACTACTTTGGCAGCAGGCCGAAAATCTCGTAGTGGGGCAGGTGCCTCCCTGTGCGGGGTACATTCACGCCTAACTAGTCTAACCTAGAAACACTGTGGAAAAAGAAGTTAGTATAGTATGTCCTTGCCCCATTATGGTTACTAACCCTTCTACCATATCTTATAATAACTCCGGTGTCAGTGGAGCCGTTGATGCCTCCTAACCTTAAATTTCATGTACCCCGCGTCCCACTCGACTCGGGACAACTTCTAGTTGTGCCGAAGTCAACGTTCCGCCGGCAGTCCTTGGTTTCTTTCGGATTGGTTTACGAGGCTAAGCCTTCTGTAAGAAATCCTTGCCATGTAGACGGAGAATTAAATGTAGTTCCTGAAAATCATGTAATCATGTGATCATGTGCCTACGGTAGGAATAATATAGTACTTCTTTTATGTCAAATACAAATAGAGGCCGTTCAAGCATATTCTCGACATTTCTCGTCGAACCGTCATCATTTGCGCTGCCGGAATGTCATTGATATTCAAGCTCTTGTTTGTAATACTTTCCAAACTCCCACGCTTTATACGCGAGCGCGTCATGCCCGACATGCTTATTCCTCATATCGTGAATAACGCTGATAAAGTCCAACTTGACCGCCTGGCACATGTGTACTTTGAACATCCCGACCTAAGCAAATTCGACAATTTTGCCGCCGACTTCGGCTTTATTCAGGCTGGAACATCCCCAGAACGTATATACTATCGCGGGTACGGCAAGGACCCGTACGTGTACGTCGCTATACAGAGCAAAGACGGCAAACCCAGGTTCCGTGGGCCAGCATTCGTCGCTCGCTCTGAAAAGGAGTTTCGAAAGGCTGCCAAGTTGCCTGGTGCTATTGTGAGCAGCCTGGATGATGCACCAGGTGGCGGGGAAATGATACGTTTCACTCGTCCCGACGATACCTTCTTCCACATCGTCTATGGTCAACAGGAGCATACCATTGAACCCCGAGAACCAACTGCTACCCATGAGCAGCAGGGGCCATTCAATAAACCATTCCATAAAGAAAGATTGGGTTTGTTGGTTCCCATCTGGTGACACCGCGCAAATACTGACGGACTTTGGTAGGAAAGTTCCAGAGATATCATACGGGCCCAGCGCTTGTTCACAAGATTGGTCACTTTGGCTATGTTGTCCCTGATTTTGACAACGAGCTTGAATGGTATACAAGCAATTTCAACTTTGTTCCTTCAGATGTTCTCTACCATTGGGACTTCTCAAATATGGATGTCATGACCTTTATGCACTTGGATCTTGGCAAGGAGTATTCGGATCATCATGTTTTCTTCATGCAGCGAGCGGAACCGCATGTGAAGAAAACCTTTGTTCACCATACATCATACGAAGTCGCGGATTTCGACACACAATTGATTGGACACGATTGGTTGGCAAAACAAGGTTGGAAGAGTATTTGGGGCGTCGGCCGACATGTGTTAGGGAGTCAGATATTCGATTATTGGGCGGACCCGAGCGGATTCAAGATTGAACATTACGCAGACGGTGATGTGGTGAATGAAGATACACCTACCCAGCGGGATGTTGTGGGGCCGTTCTCAGTATGGGGACCAGAGATCCCGAAAGATTTCGGAGACAAGGGAACGTGAGGCTTTTTAGATAGACTATTTGTGACACACTTTTACCTCTCAGTACGCAGGGACACTTGGAAGGAGGCTTTTCTCAAGTATCAGATTCCAAATTCAACAGGTGATACACAGTATTTCGCATTATTTACGGCGTTCGTTTTTAAGATAATCACAATAAAATAGTTTATGGCAAACCAAGACCCTGATCAGACCTAGCTGGCGAATTGGTCGATTACTTATCTTGGAATCAGCAACTGGGATTATGCCATGTGAAACTCCAACTATTGCCAGCCTGAAACAACCCATAAATTGGCTGCTTCTGTACAAGATCGCCAAAATATACCTGCATTTGCTCCATTTAAGTAACAACTCTATAGTGTAGCAATATCCAGTTCCTTCAATCGCTACGCCTATCATCAAAAGAGAGCACTGGTTGATAAAATGCCCCGAACTGCCCAATCCAGGTGCTTAAAATATCCAATGACAATTATTAGGGATCTTCTAGTAATTTCTTAATCATGGTTAAAAATTGTATGGTTTCAATTTCATCGATGATCAGATGATGTTACTAGGTATATCCTAGGTTGAATGACTATTTTTCCTTTTTACTATCACCGGTATTTGTTCAATTGTATGCACAGTTGTGCTCAAAGGACATGGGAGGATGCTCCACACCACAAGCCCTCCGTGTAGAGGGCGGCCTTTCGCTCTGCATGAATCTAACATGCGATCATATGTACGCCTCAAGAGATTGTATTTATACGGAAAAATGTAAGGTAAAACAACATATAAAGAAAGGGGCCCATAGAGAACGATAGCCACAATAGTCACGATGGCCTAGCCATGATAAAGAACGCTACCTAAAAGAGATGAAAGTTCGCCTTGACCCGATTCTATGAGCAATGAATGTCAGCCCTCCTACGCGTCGAGTATCCTATGTGTCGGTACGTCGGGTACTATGATATCTGGAGAAAATAAGCCTCAGTTGGACCCAGACTAGTGGCAAATAGACTTTTATGGATTGCTCTGGATTGCGCTTTGCCGGACAATACCTTGGCACGCGGAGGAACTGCCAGGCTGCGAAGTTGCGCATCAATAATTTGAGCATCTTCGCCAAGCCCCCAGGTGTGCATTAGCGTCGTTGCTGGACTGTGTTGGTAGAAACCAACGATTATTTTGCTTTAGATGCGCCGAATACAAAAGTGCGAAATGCTATCCGGCATATGCGGCTGCAATCGGAGGAGATTCGGCTACTTTACATGAAGATCATATTTGCCGCGGAGTATCTAAGATTGTCCTAGTTTAGACGAGTGCAGGGGCAGCACAGACTGAGTAAGGCCGGCTCACCCATTTTTCACCTTCACGGCTTATCATATATTGTCTAACTTGCCGTAGTATGACTTCCTGATGTCTTTATCAAATGTGATAAGCTGGAGAAGTTGTACGCGAGCCATCGTTGACATCCCGTGACCTATTACCGCTGCGAAGAGATGATCGAAGAAACCCAGGTGGTCATAGTTGGAGCTGGTCCTGCTGGGCTAACATTTGGTCTGTGCCTTGCACAGTATCAAATCACCGTAAGATCTTTCCAAAATTTTCACAAATCACAGCATAGCATATATTAATTTTACATTCATTTGATACAGTCAGTCATATTAGAGAAAGAGCGTGAAGTCACTACAGATCCTCGTGGAGTATATCTTACCGGTGATGCTATCAGGATCCTCTGTAGCCTAGGCCTCCACGCAGACCTTGCTAAGATAGGACATGGTAAACCTAGTCACAAGTCAAGACATCAGAGTGTTACTGACGAAATGATAATCAGTGGTAGAAACTATCCACTATCATGTGAACAGCTTTTCTACGAAACCGTATTTTAGCGTTGGCCTTGCAGAAGACTCACTACACCAATCGCTGCCCAATGGTCTTCTGCAAAGTCAACCTCAGCTCGGTTCGTACTCTGCAGTGTCTTTGCCCTTACCAGCATGAGTCTAACAGACACAGAGCACGCATTGCGGCGCCAGGTTACACTTTCCAAATGGTGTACATTACGGACGGGTTGTGAGGTTACTGGCCAATATAGAGCTGAGCCGCCGGTAGTTGAGTACCTGGACGAACATGGAACTCCACGCCGCATCCAAGGTAGTTGGCTCATCGGTGCAGATGGTAAAGTAGGCATTGTACGGAAACACTTCCTCGAGCCGACCACCGGAATTAGACAACAGAGAGGGTCATATGACTATACAGGTACTTGGGTGGCTGCAAACCTCAAAATTACCCCACCAACGCCCCAAACACACCCAAAGTTCCCACTTTGGCAACTTGGATATACGCCAGACCAAGTATACAATCTCTTCTGGCCCGAAGGCTGGCATTTTTGTTGCCCTCCAGGCAAAGCGACGGCTACTGGCAGATTTGGTGCATACCATGAGCGGCTTTGGCGTCATGAATTTTGCCAGGACGATTGGCATGATGAGATGGATGCTGTACGATTGTTCTGGGAACACATTACGCCGATGATCACACGCGGGCAGGATACCGATGGCTACAAGCTACCTGAACAAGTGCAATTCCCGCGAGATTGTGTCGAAATTCTTCGCTGCAGGCCATTCAGATTCGTGCACAAGGTGGTAAATAGGTGGTTTGATGGGCGGGTTGTTCTCATCGGTGACGCTGCACATGTATTCCCACCCTTTGCCGGCCAGGGTATCGGCAGTGGAGTCCGAGATGCGCAGCAGCTGGCTTGGCGACTAGCCTTGATGCTCAGTCAGCCTCAGATATCCAACCTCACGAAGAGCAACATTCTCGACGCATGGACGCTCGAACGGCGCCACAGCGTGGATGCGGCAGCATACATGTCTATGTTGAATGGAACCATGATAAATTGAGAGCCTGCACGTTGGATTTGGCTTTTGATCCAGTTTGTGAAATACACGATGCACATTCCCTTCGTGCGAAAGCTTTTGAATCCGGAGGCACGAATCGAGCGAGTTGGCTTTATCAAGGTTCAAGGAGGCTTCTTCTTGAAAGACTATAACGGCGGGGCTCGATTGGCTCAAATATTCATGCAATCGGACGCCCGGGAACCAATTCTCTCTGACGAGCTATGGCGGCCTTCTGAATCCATTTTCAAGCTCCTTGTCGTGGGATCCACCCATCATGCCCAGAACTACCAAGACGCCGAGACAGCTATCAGAAGGACTATATTGAATTCTGCTGTATTGGGGAAAAGTTCAATCGTCTTATTTGACCCCGAATCCACACAAGAAATCAACAAAGCATCTGCTGGCAAACGTAACGGACAGATAGAAATATTTCGTGCTGTGGCCACTCCGCAATCCTCTGGTCGCGACCATCCGCCAGAATACAATCATCAATCTTTTAGCGATCGTTTGGGGAGCACGAGCCGGTTCGTAGTTGTGCGACCTGATTTCTTTACGTTCGGTTGTGCCAGGAATTTGGAAGAACTAATTACAGTTTTGTCTGAGCTGAAGACTTGTTTAAGCAATGAAGTTGCTCCAGTATGCAATGATTGCTCATAAACGATGTAAAGACAAGAGTGCTCTATCTGTATTTATGAGTTTTACCAATTTTTGCAAAGGGGGAAAGCTTTTTCCAATCATAAATAGGTCTAATCTTAAAATACAATGCTCTCAGGTAGATTATGTTGCAATGTTCATGACGACTCGCCACAAGAAATCATTGAACTGTGGCGACTCTGGGCAGAGGTTGATATGACCAGGGAAATCAGCCGAGCATTTTGGCGTAATTGCTACACGCCCTGAGTAATTACCGATCTTGTCACAGAAGCTACAGCGATTCGATTGGACTTCAAGCACTTGAGCCACTTCTAGGTTTGCTGACAAAACCACAAGAGTGTGTGCTACGAGAAAACGTGGCCAAACAATCACATGCAAGTAGAACGGTGATTCCGAAGCGATTGGCAATTCTCGTGTCGCGCTAGACTATACTAACTCATCTGAGCGCAAGTCACGGTTTGACTTATTTGGACTTATGATCATAGGAGAGGGTTCCCTCCGGATCTGCGCTTACCGCCAAATACCGTACTCACCATGGAGCGCTTACTGCAAAAATGCCGACGGTGGCTTTGTAGTATAAAATTGCCGAAAGCCCGTTAACTTGAGACTAGCGCTTATGCACCCGCCCGCAGACTAATGGGTCATTTCTACTTCTACTCCGCCGCACTTGATAATTGCCCCGTGCCCCCCACCCGGAGGAACTCGAATTGCAGAAGATTGGCGAGCGGACTGGGATGTCTACACAGTACCATCATACTATGTATGGTACATCCTGCGCTTCCAAGTCAAACGTGTCAGAGATTGGGAGTTCGCCCGACAATCGATGCGATATAGCAGTGGGACGGATTGCCCACTTTGAAACAAGATGAGATCCATGCAGAGACGAATGAGAATGTGTGGGCAGAGATAACGTCACCACTTGCTAGGCGCCATGGACACACATGGTGCTTCTGAAGGGCCGCGACACTGAAACTCGAATAGCACGTCTCCATTTCGGTCTTACAGATCCCATCGACCCGATAATAAAAACGATCAATTCGCATTTCATGAGCATTCGGTGACGGCTTACTAAAGTTAAGTGTTTACTACTGCCATGAAATGATGGAGAATTTCCCAGTAGCCAGTTTCGACGAGCTTGAACCTTGGTCGAACCGTAGGTCGGTGCTATGAGGGCTCCCAATCTCTTTTTAGTATGCCTCTACAAACGGAACCATTACGCTCAGCAATGTTTCTCGGAGCAAAGAATTGACTGAGATTCTTAGATAATCTCTTGGATCAGCGTCAGCTGTCGACTTTATACTCGCACTTGTATACTACGGTCTCCATGGTGGGACGATCTTTTTGTTTTGTTATACCCAGTAAGTGGTCTGAACCTCCCACGTGGAAAAAATAAGCATCAATACTAATGATCTTGTAGTTGGTGACCACGACTGGCTCTATTGCCGTTTGTTCGTGTGAGTCGTTTGTCACTTACGTATCATAATATTGGCCTGCTGATATCAAAAAGCCGTCAATCATGGCCTTGGCAAACATTTTCTCACTCTGACATCAATTGAGCTAATTGAGTTTTTGAAGGTTTGTAATTCATCCTGATAACATCTCATTGCCCTGTCTAATGAGAAATAATAGTGTTTTTTTGTTGCAAATGCAGCATACACTAGCGCGACGACCTTCATCAAGCTTACTTTGCTCTTCCAGTACATGCGAATTTTGGACCGAGGTACAAGGACTTACATGATCTGGGTGATTGTTGCAATTTTTACCGCACTATGGGGAATTGCATTCTCATTCCTCCTCGCATGGGTCCCGCGTATCCCCGTTTCTGAATTCTGGACACAGTCTTCGGATGGATTTTGCTACGGATTCGGAGCCAAAACCCCCCACGAGACTGCTCGTCACCTATAAGACACATACTTCAATCAATGTGGCACTGGACGCAATAATTTTGATTGTTCCTCTCCAGATTATTTTGAAACAGGCCACAAATTTCCCTCAACGCCTGAGGCTTATTGGATTATTTGCAATGGGTACTCTTGTCATTGCCATGGCTGCCTGGCGCCTAGCGACCATCATTCAGCATGCTTCTTGCGGTGCTAGAAGTAGACGCAGCGGCCATTTGTGCGAGTATTCCGATCTTTTGGCCCGTGATGGTCACACATTTGGGTGGTATATTCGTGACAAAAGAGATGAGCATTATTCGAGAGATGAGATATACCCAAGAAGATGGGATCGAGCTGATGGGAAAGCAATATGATGATGTTGAGAGCGACTTGAAAGCAAAGCACACTGGCGCTATACAGAGCAGCGAAGATCATTATCGAGATCGTTACGTAATGCAACAAGTCGACCCATTCGGCATCTCTGAAGTATCAGTTGAGTGTGGCGCCGAGCTTGTGGCAGAGAAAAATATTGGGTGCTAAAAGGTTACATGGGATACCAGTCACATATAGTTCACAACACAGACATCTCATTAGCCATCTCTCTTACCGCTGTCCTCCACCTTCTTAGCGTTAGACCATCTTGCATGATACAGGCATAAGAATATCCAGATTTCATAACGTATTCTAATAGGATATACATATAATTACTCCTCGAACAAAGTATACCTTTATGCGTGCAGGATAGATAAAACAACGAGATCTTCAGCTCCCAGTTTAAGACCGATAACCTCGCTGTACTGGTGCCACCATTCTTCGAACTGGAGGAATGTCGTCCCAAGGGAGGTTTTATGGAGGTTCCAAATGATGGAAATCATAAACGGGCTGGGCGGAAATGAGGGCTACGATAAGTACGGCAGGCGAAGAAATTTAGCAATAAGAGGGCATAAATATGGCTAGACATGAAAAAGAAGAAAGAAAAGTGACGCAAGAACATTTAAGTTATAAGACAAATAGAAATGGTAGGTGACAGTGTGATTCTATTTGTAGGAAGGAAAAGAGGAGTTAAGCCAGGGACTAATAGTTCTCTTATTTCAATATTAATAAATTAATATTCCAAGTTCCTTTCGTACATAGGTTATTCCTTAATATATTCTAATTCCCTTTAGAAGATAAAAACCGTACTGTCTAACGACGTATTTAACCAAATGTAGACGATAGTATAGTGAAAATTCAGACCGAGGGGATGCCGTACATAGGTGCAGTTTAGTTTTTAATACAGCTTCTTACCATATCCATTCCAGCTACCAATCACCCCGATATCAACCACAGACTTGAGTTTCACGCGTCTTGAGGTGACAGTTGACAGCCACCTAATTTGTCACAGCGGCTACGAGCCATGTCCGATTGCGCCGCTTCCCCAAAGCGAGTGAAGGCACTGATCTCTAGCCCAGGGCCACTCACGATCCGAACCGCCTAGTATGGTTTGATATAAACGATTCCACCACCAACCGCGATTAAGAATTGTCGCGAGCGTTTTATAGCGGTCACTAAAGCCATGAGGCCGTTATGACTTGCTGTCCAAATCGAAGGCATCAAGACTTCAAGATGTGAATGCTTAGTTGTTGATTGACATGGTGATGGACATAATTTCTACTGTTAAATTCCACTAGTGTAGGAGCACTGATATATATGTATTTCCTCCCTCCTGGTATAACTCATCGAATATTTCTCACACTTAAGGCTATAGCCCCATATGAAGCTTGAGACATCGTTATCGCCGTCTACAGAGCAATCTACACGCTAGCTAGCGCACCTATATCGTAATTTACATGTCAGCCAATAGTTCCACTGTCAATGAACGAGTTGGCGAAAGCTAATTCCTCGCAGGACGGGCCGCGTCGAGAATCTATTTCTAATAGTTCATCCAATCGTAGTTATGGATATATGGAACTTACATGAAACTTAACCTACTTCTGCTGGTATATGAACAGTCCTAAATTTGAACTAATGTGAGCAGCCGAAGTGTGTGAGTGCGCGGAGGTGAAGTGGAAGAAAGATAATGTATTGAGGAACACAACGGAGATGGAATCATACGGTAGCACTAGAGTTTATCACAATAATTATATGCGAAAGGTCGTGAACAATAAGAGCAAGGTAACATGATTAACGAGCAAAAAGAAAAAGACAAGATACTTCAAGAGCCAAGTCCAGCCTGTGATTACGTAGACTTATGTTGTATAGTAATTTTGGTCTATAGAAAGTTGTATGATGTTGATAGATCTCTGACTATTGCTGTATCAGTTGCCGTGGCCGGTGAAGCCCGTCCGACGGATACGTACTGTATAGAAGATACAACTTGATTCGTGAATGGAGAGAACGTAACCGTAAATGCATGATTTCAACGACATTGTTCACACTGTTTGATGAACAATGAATTTGAAGTCGCATTCATAATACAACTATAGAAGTCTTGATGAAACTTCAATTACTTTTCTTCCGGTAATCATGGTTTCTTCAAATACGCGCCGCAACTTATTATTACCAGTATTATGAACCTATGGTTAGACTAGTCTAACCTTAAGTTAACCTAGTTGGTTGTCGAGTTAATGGAGTTAGCGGTTCACGCGCGCTAGTTTAAGGTTCTTCAACTGGGGAATTAAACTAGATCGGGATGCCAAATATTCCCGACTCGATCTTGATAATCAATCCTGGATTATTTTCAACAAAGCGTAATTTTGCGAAAAGAAGATAATCATTCATTATGTTCTGTAAGAAAAGCATACCAGTCTGTGCCACTAAAAAGCCTGCAGTTCAAGAGTTGTCGTACACCCATTTAACTGAGTTCTCTTAGTTGTTGTCCTTGTCTTTAACAGCATAATCGGTGCCACGGACGCAACTGCACCCTAACAGCTGCTCAGGAGTGCGATCCTCGCCAATAGTCTCCAGCTTGTTGAGATGAGCTTGATCAGATTATCCCAGGGGCTACAGGCGACTATACATGGGGCTATACATGGGCACTATATAGGTCCGGGGTAGTATGTCTCACTCTTGATAACTGGATCCCCTTGCTTGCGGGGCATGCCAGCAGCAATTTTGATGCTGTTAAGAGCACTAGCCATTGGGCTTGGCAGAGCATTGCGGGGTAATTGATGTGCTGCGCGCTGCTTTTGATGTTATCCTGTGAGCGAAATCCTGAAGGGTTTCGACAGTATGATTGTTTGCTCACGTGCAATTTTCATCTAGTCTAGTCTAGACTAGTCTAGACTAAGTAGCCAAATTAGTGTTGCTCACACGACAAGAGCGTCAACTTTTGTTCAACCGTCCAAGGTCCCGGTCTACTAATCAAGCTGAGGTCATCAAGATTATCTTCGATATCGCCTCTACGTTAGTGTTCGGACATGAGACCTCTGTCAAGCGCACATTCAATTCACTGACCACGTTACTGCTTGTAAGACAAGTTCCCAAGGCGCGACAATGATGGGTTTTTCTGTCCTTGGCGCCGTTAAAGCTGGCTTGTCCACTTGGTTGAAAAAAGAAGCATCAGTAATTGCAAGAACATGTAAATAACCGATTCCAAGACACCTCTCATATATCACTCTGCTATGTGATCCAATGCAGCATAATGCCGCATGTGGCTGGATCCAGCTATGATGTATCCGTAATGATCCGCGCACAATAGCAGATATGCAGAGGCATCAACGCCTGGCCGCCTATTGCCTTATTATGTCGACTCAGCCTCTTGGCTTAGCGGACATGTATCCCTGTAATTGTGTCCTCACATGGCAATAACGAGCTAAAGTGTAGCGAGCCGATCGCATATGCACACGCAGGAAACTCGACGCGTCCATATGCCAATAGGCAAGCTTTCAATCACGACACTCGCAGCGCATGATAGCAGCTAGCAGCCCCTAGTGCAGCCAGCGGCATAACTAAAACGGTTACCGATCAACCTTAGCTGTCAGCCTGAGTTGTCAGGCTTATAAGAATCCAACTGATGCCGCAACAATGCACGGAATCTCAACCTCTGAAGTATCAACTTTCTACCTTCCCCCCCCCCCCCCCTTCCCCCCACCAGGACTTTGTCTTGTTATATCTCTAAGTCTTGTTTTCCAATCACATGATCCACTCAAGCAACGTGCGTCTTAGAGTCTCAGTCATGGCCATTATGGAAGAACACAAGTACAACCAGCCCAAATGGTCGCAGAATGGCCCACCAATCATCATTCACAATACGTGCCAAGCCTCTCACCCGGTGGTACAGCCCAGTGATGATTGGGATTGCTATAATTGCGGGAGATGCAAGAATACAATGCATGGTCTGCAACGTATAATTGGCTGATCACCAAGTAAGAGTTCCCATCCATCGCCTTGCCGACGGTGAATTTACCAGAAGATTGCATAATTCTTGTTGCTGTTCATTCTGGCCGTTACTGATGCCTTTCCGCGCAAAGCGTTTTAGTCAAGGCTATCTCTACCTCCGATAGCTGTCCACTCTTTATGTCCTTCAATGCAACCTGCTACGGCTGCAAACCCGATGGTGCATTGCCTATCACACACTCACTTAGCGAAAGCTGAACTGCAGCATCATTTGTCAAATGCATCACGATTATACCCCACGATGGCCATACTCGACTGGATTCATGTCGTCCCTGTTGCCGAACTCTTCAAGTGGATCGGCATACACAGGGATATACTGAGTTCGATGAATTCAGAAATCCCTTGAGGATTTACGAATTCGCCTTCCGAAGAATCTCGGGATTCATTGGCCATCAACATACCTCGGACGATGTAAAGAAGTTGAAAAGAAAATTACAAGAGAAAAAAAAACACAGAAAAACCCACCGAAAACGAAATGAAGGGGCAGGTCAGGAACCCGGTATTAGCCAACAATCAGATGATGGGTCCTTGAACTCATCATCTGGTTGCTGTATCAGACCGACAAAGCGAAAAGATTCTATTTCTCATTTCTCAGTTCTTGGTTTCCAGCAGCTTCCTCAGCAGTCATTTGGGGAGCTGGCGATTGACCTGGAGCACGTCGATAAACTACTCTGCTTGATCACTAAAGCCTGTGACAAGGACCAACTGAACCAAATTTCTATACTGCCACCAAACCAACCACTAACCAGAAGATATTCAACCCAAAGTACGCAAACCACGAAAAGACCAGACAATATGTCTGAACAACAACCATGGCTATATGAAGTCAGGGGTGAGGAGGAGGGAATCACGTTAGTTTTGGAATTGATTTGCTCTTGTATATCATTACTTACACTTTTTCAGAGCTTACGATGACTTTACCCTCATGGGAGAACATCTGCCCCATGTGCCATCAGACCAATATGTGGACTTTACGCTCTTCCCTCCAGGCGACGAGCATCCCGTACATTTGGATCTCGGTGATGAGTTTCAACCACTACCTCCTGATCCAAGTTTCATGGGTCAGGTCCTATATCCTGATTTGAGAGGCCAGAACTCAGGCCCCAATGATATGCAACTCACTGATTACTCCAGACACGATCTGGGACTTACGCCTGGACTCAGCTATCAGACCAGTCCTTCCAGCTGGCCTTCGTCACAAAGCTATTATACAAGCAGCACGCAAGGATCTCCATTTATGACGGAACTCATGGCGCCTGTTCCATCATATGTTCTTGATAATGCCAATGCCGCGGCTGCACTAGTTCCGATAATGTGCGCTGGGGGAGCCTACTCACAACCAACCTCACCGCTGGGGCTGCCCCACACATTAGACCAACTGGATGGTCCTATAGATTTACAACAGCGTGCGCCAAGCAATCAGCAGCTCCAGCGCCGGCGCAGCAGAAACCCAATACAGTGCCCAGTAAGAGGTTGCCCACAAGCAAACAAACGGCATCGCTCAAGGCGTGACCTAAATCGTCACATCTGGGCAAAGCACGAGGAGTATGCGGTTAAACATAGGATCCCCGAGGAGACAGATACTTGTGATGTGTGTGGTGCGGAGGGAAGAAAAGACAACATAAAGCGGCATATGAGGCTGAAGCATGGAATTGAACGACCTTGATTGATTTTCTGAATGCGCGTCACGAGTATTAGGGGATGAAAGGCGTAGATGAGCTTAGTTTGTTTCTTTCTGGTAGATTGCATGATATTGGCTGTAGGCGTTTAGCGGGACATGACTGCTTCTTGCAATAAACTCTTCTTATTAAATCCCTTACATGCATAGTATGTTAAACTAACGGTGTCAATGCATCACTGGGTTTTGTTTGGGTAGGCAAACCATGAGCGTTCTCGGAACTAATGCTCACCCTCAGTAGCGTAAACCTCATCATGCACCTGAATAGAGCGCTTCAGCAGCTATGTAAGAGCTGGGGTTCCCGGGAAGTAAGTTCCTTTAGGAAGCGACTCGATAGAATCAAGGTCAATGTCTTCGACTTTAGGGTACCCAGCCACGTTCATCATGATGTCAAACTCCGCTAGCAGAGCTCTCATTTCATGGCGCACGCCCTCCTCGCCGGCGGCACCCAACGCCCAGACCCAGAGTCTGCCAATGAAGACGAACTTGGCTCCCAAAGCCAGTGCCTTAAAGACATCTGCTGCACCTCTGACTCCCGAGTCAAACATGAGCTATTGCCATGTTAGTGATAATAAAGGATACATTGTAGCGCACTTACGTATGTCTTATCTCCGACTGCCTGTGCAATCTTCTCCAATGCATCCAGACTTGCAATGGCACCATCGACCTGTCTGCCTGCGTGGTTTGACACAACAATACCGTCGACGCCTACCTCGACCGCCTTTTTAGCATCCTTGACATTCTGGATGCCCTTTATGCAGAACGGTTTCCCCCCTGAGATGCGCTTCCATTGCTCTATCAACCACGGAATCCGATCCCACGAGAAGGAGTGACCGTGCCAAATATGCTTATCAATCCACTCAGCTCCGACTTCCTTAGGTTGCTCCTCATTGTCCAATCCTTTCTTCTTTAGGGTTTCAATGAATGCCGGGTCCTGTAGTCCCAAGTCGCCCGCGCCGTGCTCGTGGTAAAAGGCATAATTGCCCATGGCGATGTCATCGTGTCGCCACGCTAGCTGCCATGTGTCCGTGGTCAGGATCAACGCCGTATAGCCCTGATCCGTAGCGCGCTGCAACATAGATAGCGTCACGTCGTCATCGGGGCTCCAGTATAGCTGGTAAAACCGCGGTCCGTCGCCGTTGGCCTTGGCGACATCCTCGATACTATAACTTCCGGCCGACGAAAGACAGTATGGCAGGTTGAGCTCTGCAGCCACTTTGGCTGGTGAAAGTTCGCCCGTTGGATGGTAGATCTTGTTGATTCCGATCGGAGCGAAGCCAATTGGTGCTGAAACATTGTGTCCGAAAATGGTGGTTGCAGTGTCCCGGCGACTGGTGTCCACCAGCGTCCTTGGAACCACTTGGTGGCGGTAGAAAGCCAGGCGATTGGCATAATGTGTCCAGGACTGGCCAGCATTACACGACGAATAGAGCCTAGACCATTGGTATCAGTGATTGCGAGCCTATATCCTAGTCGAAGAATGACTCACCAACCACCTTTCGAGAGACGCTCCTCAGCAAGGTCCTTCAGCTTATCAGGATCTGGTCAAGTTGTCAGCGTTGCGACCGCCGAATCGGATACTTTTACGACTGACGTGTATTGAAAGGCGGGTGTTTGCCTTCATTCGTTCCCCAAAACAGCTCTCGCTGCATGAGCGCCCATTGTGGCGTCGTGCGATTGTTGATGTTCGGATTAGTAGGATCACTCATTTTAACACTGCTTGAAAATAGTTGTTGAAACACTTTCAAGTTAGACTCAAGTCTCGAGATCATTCAAATATAAAGTTGTGTCTGCATGGTAGTTATTACCGAAATAGCCGTTTGAATGATGATATCAATACGCGAGCTTGATCCGCATATGACACCAAGAACGGCAAGTGCGGCCAATCATGATTGGATGCCACTAACCTAAAGCCATCCAGAGTTCCATATCCCCGAAGTCCGACAATCGGTACAACACTATACTGTTCTTGGCATTGTAAATCCTGCGCCGCGATAAGCGTGATAACCGTCATAACCATGGTGGACAGTTGTCCGCCAAAAGCGCGGGCAGTATCTTCAACACCGGTCATACAACCGTTACCACACTTCGGCCAATTTGAACATGTTCATTATACCAATTATTTATACAAACCAGTACCAAAATTTCCGATAATTTCTGAACATGATATTAGGTCCTTAAGACTTGATGTGCCATGCAGCACATGTGCTTGTCTTTATCCATTATAATCTGGCTCAGACTTACAAAATACTGTAAAATAACGATGGGTACTTAGAATGAGAGACGCACAAACACAGCCAGGTAAATTTGCCTGTAACTTGTTCCTGGGCAGATCGGTATTGGCTTTCCACCATGTAAACTATCACGTCGAGCGTCGATCAACCGCGAAAGTATGAATCAGTATAGTATTCATAGGATAAAACCCAACATACCTATGTAGTGACATATAAATGGGGTAGGCGGGTTTGAAAGCTTCAATAAAACTCTCCCGAACTGAATGCTTCTCATTAATCACACCCTGTGGTGAGTGTCTGCGAGGTCTTACTACAGCTACCATCTTGCACGCTCCGAACGTTCCACGTCTAGGAGGGATGCCGAGCAACTTCCTTTCCTGAAATCCAAAATTTTATTTTGGAATGGCAGACCTTGATCGCGGCGTCGAGGTAGACTTCAAGTCCCCAGACATCAGCTTGACGATATCCCCATTCTAGCAGCGCATATCCTAGCCTTTCTCATGATAGGTTTGATCAATGGCAAGAAACTCCAACGCCAGAGGACGAGGTCACTCGTCAATTGCTCGATGATACTTGGTCGATGGGCATTGCCACAGGTTCCAATGTGCTCAAGACATGGGTTGTGGAGGATCTGTCTAACTGCGATAGCCTAGCTGCATGAGGACAAAAGTCGTGTGAGATATTTCTCGTCCATGAGATGGCCTCCCGAACACGGAAACCCTTTGGTGGGCAATGAGTAAACATGGTGGTAAGCATGACAACGATGCCATAGGAAAGCTGTGTATGGTTTTCAAGCAACCTTGAGACGTCTGCCATACCATCATCCGACTTAGCTCATGAGTATATTGGACCGGGCATGCTTACGTCTAAATTCAAACATGAGTTCAAGTCAAGAGCCATAGGTATACTCACAAGTTCTGTTTTCCCAGCGAGCTTGATCAATGACGTACGCGTTGTGAACCGTGGAAAATAGTCACCACGGTGAATATAACTGAAGTCGTCATTTGAGAAACAGAAGTTCAACTGGCTTCAAGCATAAATCTCGACCTTGAGGACCGCGCCTTGAAACTAGAGCTGGTATGCAATTCAATTGTTACCGAAGTATGGTATGAGTGGCAAACCCACTGGATTGATGGTCCTAACATTGCCGAACGGCTTCAGGGTGACCGTGGTGTTCATGCCATCTTTTCGACAGTAGACCGACTCCATCATAAACAGAAGTCATCAAGCCCATTACCTCTGACCCGTTTAATATCTGACCGGGCTTGAGACCTGCCAGGTTCTTGCTGAGGTGGGTCTGCTTAGGCATGGTAATCAAATCAATATGCCTGAAGACATAGACATGAGCTAAACCTCTCACTTGAAATCTTTTAAGATAGATGTTCTTCTTGACAAAGGAACACGTCTGGGGGTTATGAATGAGTCAGAATATATCCGCAATCCTCACGAAGCCAACATTTATTGCTTGAGAGCCATCCAACCGGAGTTGAGATGGCAGTGCCGTGTCACGATGCCAGTAATTCTGTATGATCACCTCACTATGTATATCTTCAAATCCGCTGAGACATTCTTTGGCCCAGAAACCTGTCGACTAAAACTGTTTGCTGGTTTTAGCTTCGCGCTACGGACGCTGTCGGCGACCACGTCATCAGAAGCCAGGCCCGTGATGTTCGTGGCATCTCTCAGCAATGGACGCGGTGAATACAACGATATCGCCTTGATTTTCCATCTACTTACCAAGAATCCTGCATTTTGATACATTGCCAAGTTTCTACTATGTCACGACACTATCTGAACACGCAAGATTACGGTTGGGCATCGAAAAGATTCATCTTTACAACAAAATTGCTAAGCAATCACTACGTCCCAAATAAGGTTCTATCTTGGCTAGTATCGTGATATTCGGCAACTCCTATTGCTGCGCTCAAGGGCGAAAATCTGGGATAGAGACATGAAAGAATCGCGCATACGCGGGCTCCTGATTCGACCCCTGCCGGATCGCGTGTTGCCCTAGATCCTCTATGACTAGCTTCACACGAACTCCGATCTGGAACCACCAGGTTTCTGTCGCTGTCATGAAGTTTACAATAGCTAAGACTCTCGTGAGTCAGGGCATCAATATAAGAGTGCATTCTTACTGAGCTGATATCATTATCGATGAGTGTCCAAGTTGCTAAGCGGTATATTCACTCAATATTGTTGTGTCCTTACACGACATGGAGGCATCCCTTTTACTGTTTACTCGCACTTGGCCAAACAAGTCATCATAGCCATTGTTGCGAAGCTTTGGAAAGGGCAAACTCGTGCTGAGGTTGACGGCATAATTCCAATGTTGGCCGATAAAGACTTTGCATCGTTATACCTAGTGCTTAGTGGGATCAAGAACATACCAACTTTAACGATTCAATCCTGGAAAGTTTCAACGCGGTCCGCAGCTGGTTATTTTCTCTATATGCTCTCATACTGTGTACTTGGTCCAGTCATTGCCCGTTTCTAGAAAGTCAATTTATTGAAGTCCTGGCTCGAACACAAAGCATCGGAACTTTTACTGGTGGAATGTCCTTTTTGGGCCGCCCTCTGAGACAGAAACGAGCCCCGGTTCCTAGGCGTTTTTACGAATGGCAGCACCATGGGTAATCGTGTGGGTATCTTGCTGCTTTACAACAGTATCCTGGCGCTTTTGTATGCTCTTCAACTGAGACGTATTACAGTGTCATCAAGACTCTTCGCGATCGTGGTATCATCGCCAGCCGCTGCTTAGCATTATGCCTTGAATACATGGATCGCCTCGACTGTCTGTTGTACCTGGTGGACAGCTTGTTCTACGAGAATATCTCTAAGAATTTTGCCGTTCACATCGCATGCTATCTCATAGAATTCGGAATCTACCCATTTAACCCCATCACAAGGCTACCAGAAACATGGTTTCCAGCGAGATTATCTGTCATGGCATCTCTGAGAGCTTGTTATTACTGTTTGTGCTAGTAGATTTACGCGTCATTCTCGAGTTGTGGATGTATTAGTAAATATATACTGTATATGATTTAGATGTTATCTTCAAGTATTGTTAAGCTAATGCGAAACGTCTGGGGACTGGCGTACTGAACATCGATGTTGTCACAAGACACAATATGAGCGTTTACCCCAGAGGCCTACTTGTCAGAAGCGTTTACAGTCGTGCCACGAAGTCCTTACGCAACATTTCCCAGCAACTATTGGGATTTGCTACAGGGTATACGTATGCGACTTTAGATCTTATGTAAGGAAGCTACGATGTCTACAGTTGCTGAAAAGTGAGTGGGCATGGCCTTGGCTCCAAATCCGACTTTTCAAACATCCTTGACACAAGAAATACACTGACAGATGAGACAAGACAATCCAATTTAAGAGACCGAATAGCGTCAACTCTAAATACTTTGACATAAGTACTTACGGGGAGGATACACTGCTATCCTTGAATAAAAACAATTCGGGAGACCCCGCAAAGGGTAAACACAATTTCTCATACCGTAGCTGGTTGCCAGGGGGTGCCACTGCTAGAACATGGAATATGTCGTGGAAAGTCCTAGAACACACTATGTAAAATCATTGAGTGGGTAATAGCAGTTTCACATGGGATAATAATGAGGGTCATTACGCTTACGCCGAGCGGATGTTATTGCCAGTTATCACACCACCAGAAAGGGTTGTGTGCATAGTTTGCCTCAATATACAGTGACGATTACATGTTATCCCGTAGTTTGGCGTGGTTCTTTAAACATCCTGATAGGGGTATATCTTTAATTCGTTAAGACATCATGATGGTCCAAAATGCCAAGCCTCGTGATCATGGGAAGGAACACCAGATAAAGTTCAATTCATCTGAGGGACTGCAGTCGCAAAAGTTGCAGCAACATGATAGCAAAGCCCAGAACTTGGTACACAGGGGGGCCGACCTGTCACCAGGCAGCAAACTCCCCTCGTTCAGTGGGACCTGCGACGTTGCAACTCTCTCATCCACAATGTTACACTCAGTGGAACATCGGGTAGCAACGATTTGCCCACAAGCAAAAAGTCCCGTATGACATGGGGATAAAGCAAGGGTATTTGGTGCCCGAGTTCCACAACAAATGGAACTGTTTTGATCCCATGAAGTGAAAAAAAGAGATTCTAGAATCGATGCCCCCTGGCAATATAATGGGCCGTGCCGAGGAGATAGCTCGAAAAAGTTTACGCGACACGCAGCCCACCGGGTCCAGCGATGGAAACCATCGCAATTCGCAGGTGGCTATGCAGTGGTGCGGGTTATGTTGCAAAGGCACGCTCGAGTCTGTGCATATCCGAAAATCCGAACCATGATGAGAATGTGCGAGGCTGCGAGAGGCTGTGCAGAGCTTTGTAAGGCTCGAGAGTGTACTAAATATGCATACGAACGAGCTCTAGCGTCCCAGCTTGCGAACGGATTACGCCTGGTCTTTGTGGCAGGACACCGGACTCGTAATGCAGGTGAAGCTTTTTCAATGGGGTCACAGAGTCAGGGGATTCCACTCAGAGTGCGTGTGTCGCGGTTTGGGGTAAGTTAGTGGCACTAACTTAGTGCTGGGTCCTTGCCGGACAGTCCTCGGCTAAGACGGAAATACGCGCCACAATCTACACCAAGCGGAACTTGATCTGTCCCCAGCACAGATGATCGCGCCAACTCCGCGCCGCAATGCGCATTCACTACAAATCAGTGTCCTCGTTCCAAAAGGTAATACCTGTGTATCACCGATATCTCCATTTTGTCTTCTCGTCGCATCACTCCAACGCGTATCCGATTTCTTAATTCACTACGGTTAGGATTGCCACAGTGGCCACTCGTGCCGTACGCTAATTGGCACACGTTAGCCATCAGCTTTCCTGATGTATAGTGCAATCCTTCGTGCCAACGACCCCTTGGAAAATAGTTCTGGAACCTGCACTCTATCATAATATGCCATCAAAAACCGAATCCATTCAACCTGGACCGCTAGTCCGAGCATTAATAATCATCCTCGTGAAGGCACAAAACCAAAAATACCTTCAACGAGTATGGAAGCTCTTGCCTGGTCTTACGTCGGTATATAACCTATACATCAAAGTCAAACCATTCGACAACATGGCTGAGGCCTACGCCATGCAATTTGTTGCACAACGCACATCAATTCCAGTGCCAAAGATCCATTACGCTTTCATCCACAAGGGCGAAACTTATATCGTTATGAACAGGATCGAGGGGCAAATGGTGTGGCACAGGTGGCATAGCCGTTCAGAAGAATCGAAGCAACGGATTCGTGAACAGCTTCGAGCGATGGTGGCCGATCTTCGCTCAATTCCTCCCCCCGCGGGCACAGGAGTTGCTAGCATGAATGGAGGCCCCTTCTGCGACTGCCGCCGGCCCTCAAAGCTACTCTGGGGTCCGTATCCCACGACCCGCGCCTTTCATGAAGCGCTTGCAAACAATGCAAACATAGACGTAGAGTATGAGAACTTACCTCTTGAGGTATCGGAGCTCTTTCACTTTTATCAAAAATCGAGCAACAAATTGGTTTTTTCGCATAATGATCTCAGCAGTCTAAACATATTAACTCGAGGTGATAGGGTGGTTGGCATTGTCGATTGGGAAACAGCAGGATGGTTCCCGCCGTATTGGGAGTATACATGTGCCAAGTACGTGAATCCTAAGAATGATTTCTGGGCAGAAGAGGTAGACCATTTCATAACGCCTCTGCCGTATGAGCTTAAGATGGAAAGCATCAGACGTGAATACTTTGGCTCTTATTAAGTACTGTTACGAAATGCGTGCTAAGACCTGTAAATGCTTAGTACATTTGGTAATGTGCCTGCTTTTGGCCTGAGACGAAAAGTACTATTACGAAATGCGTGCTAGGATTTGCAAAGGCTTATGCCTGCTTTCGTCCTGGGACGAATAGTACTGTTATGAAGAGTGCCAGCACGGAATCCGTGACGGTACGTGCCAGCGCCCAGTACGTTCTGTATCATTCCGGCGTGCCAAGGTACGTACTACTGTCTAGTATGCGAGATCGTCCTCGGCGAAATAGAACTTGGTCGATTATAGCCTCGCAGTTTGTGCCTTCCAGGTCCATATTTTGTTCATGTATGTATGACGTTAAAAAGCCATAAATGAATGTTTAAGTAAAAATACAGGGAGGCTAAAACCGGACCACAGATGCAGGCTTTAAAAGCCAGAGCCTGAAGTCACAGTGTTCCCACCATCTAATTGCAGAGTTCCCGCAAGTACGTAGCCATTATTGGCTGTTCCAAAACACCGGGACTTAGTTGACTTCGGATCCACTTAAGTTACCGCTCAGGTGGTCGCTTCTGTTCAGTCCGGGGACCAAGCCCTGGGATATCGGTTAGTCCTTGGTCGGTTGATTTTGATATTTTTACGCACTGAAATAAGTAGACCTTTTCTTCCCGCGCGAAGGTTGGTCCATGAATCTCATTTTTGTCGTAGTGTTTTTCATCATGGTGTTACGGAAGATTAACTCTTCTTGCAATGATTCTTGGAGTTGCTTGATTTAATTCTGACCGTGCTCTCTTGGGGTACAGAAACGGACTACAGTTTTTACAATGCTGTAAACAGACTTGGGGGATTTGGAATCCGGTATGAGACATGTGTGTCCTTTCAGTATTTAAAATTGCAAAGAATGTCATAGGAGTCGTATATCCATTATAATTGGCAAACTATTCGTAAAAGAAAACGCAGCGACTACAACCAGAATGGGATACAATCCTGAATTGACGATACTTGTAGAGCCTTGTTACGGCGCAACCACTTTAGGGGAGCGAGTCCCCAGTGGAGGTCATTGACTAGCAAAGTGTTTTTCTGCCATTGAGCTCCATTGCGGGGGCTTGCTCCTATATAACCAATATCCCGTCTGAATGGTGTAAAAGATAGACCCTAGACTGAAAATATCAGTCGCAGGCGTCGATTCCCACGGCATTCGAGGGTCAAAAAAGGTGTGTCGGGCAAGTGACCGCCATCCAAACCTAGCTTTGTACAAAATGACCCGCTGAAATCACAGAGCCAGATGCTTACAAATGATCCATGGACTTGATCAACTAGGATATTTTCTGGTCGCAAATCCGAGTGTATCACGCCCTTCTCATGCGCATGTGCCACTCCTTCAGCTATCTGCTCACACATTTGGGAGCGCTGGGAGGGAGCAATTCTGAGTTGTGAGAGTCGATATATTTCTGTTGATCCCTGAACTTGGCCACTGAAAGATAAATGCCGTTGTTATCAAGCCCCAGATACCTGTTAACAAAGATTAGCTCTGGCCATAAAGGCCGAAGAAATATACAAACGGGACAATCCTGGAGTGTTTGCCTAACAGTTCTAAAAATCTGTCATTCAATATCAATAGACTTAGCGTTTTGTTCTTCTAAACCTTTACGATTGTCATTATTGACCCGAATCTCCAAAGGCGCCTTAAGAACTACACCTGGAGTTTGCTGGCAGAAGTCTGAACTGGAACCGCGGTACGGTAGAGATTGCATCCTGTAAGCATATGAAGATTAATTCTATCAAGGTAAAGTAAGGAAGAGCGGTTTGATGGAAATCTGACGTTGAAGAGTTTCTAGAATCTAAATATCCGTTCACTAACTTAAGGTCGATCATGAGAATTCATTCTGCCTGCGTGTTATTTGCATTGCTGTTTTAGGTTAAAATGGCGGCAAAAAGAATTATTTAGCTGGCTCGGCGATGGATTTATAGTAGGCTTATTTAATGGGCCTAATCTTTAATCTTGGCACTGTCTCAATTGTTACTTGGGCTTGAATTTGCAACTCGGTAAAGACAGACTAACCTAACGTAGACAGATGCGCTAACAATCGCCGGCTTGTTCGGGACTGCAAGGTCTTCTCCTCCGGTCGGTAACCAGACTGTTGGGTCTGCTTTTTCATGATTGCGACTAAATAGACACAGAAACAGAATAGTGCAATGCAATGTCTACTATACAAAAATTTCAGCGGTCCTAAAGAGTACTGCGAAAAATCTTCGCTTAGGCAAAGAGTTACCCTAGATAGTGGCAACCTTGAGGCACTGTGTTGCAATCTGCACAAACGCATTCCATCAATATGGCCGCTACACAAGACAACAAACGAGGGCGAGAGTATTGCAAGTAATTCTGCGAGCTAGTGTTCTGACAGTGTTCCCGAGTCAAATTCTGCCGTTGAAAGGGGCATGGTAGCATGTGAAGTCGTTCCAAAGACATAGCTTCTAACAGTATTCAGGACTATGCATTACTCGAGCTCTTGGGAACTAGAAACCGTACACGGCGCTGAAGGTCACTGACATGGCAGAGGTCGCTGACAGCTCCTGGCAGTGCAGCATGGCGAGACTAGCTCCCTCATTCGCAGCTAGTCTAAGGTTAGCTGGGATTGCACAAAGACGGGCTTGTGCCTGGTCTCTTATGGCTACTGCGTTACTTCTGCAACTAAAAGATCGGTATGCCAATTTGGGTAATTCGAAATTATCCACGTTCGAATTTGAACAAACCCTTGCTGGATCTGGTTTTGGAGATTTGACAGACCCGCCGGGCTGGGTTTGGTGGCGGCCAGACCTTAATATCCATGTTGGAATCTACCAGGACCATGTCGCAATCCCGTACCGTCGCGTCTTCCGTCTCGAAACCGTCTGATAGAATTGCCAATCTGGTGAATCAAACGAGCGGCGACAAAAGCTGCTTCGACTATTTCTGTGCCGGAAAGTCGCATTCATCCAAACGACGTTGCTATCAATACACAATACATGTATCCGCGAGATGAAACTTTACGGTTTTGATTGAGTTTGGACGATTTATTCCTGGCTTGCTCGAGATTGTGTTGAGCCGCACAAATTCCAGGCGTTTAGCTAACTTTACAGGGCCCGACCACGTTGCATTAGCCTTATCGCTCAGAGCATTCTATGTAGAACCTGATCGCCACCAAGGTCCCTTACCATTGGCATGACTCAAGCTCATGCATCATCCCGCGCAGACCAAGGTCAACAAATTTTCATCCACTGATCATTGCTGGGTCATCCCACGCAGCATCGTGCAGCAGGCATGTGAAAGAACGATCGTCCCCTGCGGCTCTGCTATGTGCCCTGCGCTTCGAGCATCAGCATCTCGACGTTCCACCGGTGTTCAACCCAGGGTCTCCTTGCCTTCGTCAGTTGCAGTTCTTATCTGCTTCAGGTCACGCAACTCTTAGGACGGTTTTTGACGCTCCATATGTTTACGAACGTACTGTTGTGTTCAGTTCACCGACACCCAAGCCGGCGCAACCGGGGCTCGCAAGCCGGGTCCACCAGAGCTGTGGGACGTCGCTCACATTTCACGTCCGTTCCGCACTTCCAGACCTTCACGATAATCTCCATGGTGTTTCTTCATGTCCACTTTCGTCTGGACACATCTTCTGAATCTTACAGTCCCACCGTGTGCGTCATAGAATTCAGCTGATACGAGCATTTCCTCACGTTTCTGGTTTACTGGAGCTTGACCCCGAGCTCCATTCTCCACTGCGACATGTTGCAAAACCGGACATCTCTGCCAAACCAGGCGGATCGTCCTCTGGTGGAGTCCACAGATAAGGAAACAGCGGCATGGCAACTCCATCCCACTGCATTGTGACCAACAACTGAATTCACATTGTACTTGGTTTGTCTTGGAAGCCATCAAGCTCCCACGTCCCTGCGCATCCTACCCGTGCAGATCCGTGCCAATGATTGAGCAGACTATGGCTGCCGCGTAAAGAGCAAGCGCTCTATATCGGCCCGTTGTCACGCACCAGGCGAATGCCACAAGCAAATTGTGGTGTGACTTGGCGTGCTCTCCTATTCTGATCACTCTTCTCGACTGACCAAAGGACTTGATAAGACGGACATTCAGTCATATTGGCAAGTCTTTTCATAAAACCGAACATCTTTTTTTCCCACAAGCTAGCTAGGCCCTTAGTCACGAACCTTCTAACCTAGGCTCTGAGCTCTCAAGCTTGGTCCCCTGTCGCTCTCTTCGATCTTTGTTCTCAATTGCCACCGCATGGAAGCGGCGGATCCCCATACGCAACCCGTACCCATAATAGTCTTGCATCGCGCTTTCTGGTGAGGAGGTTCGTCGTCACCTTGTTGCACACGGCCAAGTAGCTGCTGTCATTACCAACCAACCAACCGACACGAACGTCATTCGGCCAACTGCATTTCTGACCGTCTTTCCGGAGCATCGTCGTTCTGGATCATTGCCATTCTGAGATACTGCTTTTCCTTCGTTTATTTCGGGACCTTGGATATCAGCCGAAATCATGAACTAGCCTGGAGTTGACAAACCAACCCGGCGTAAATCGTCAAACATTGTCTTACATAGAACTTTCCACATACTTCCCGGGATACATCTTACTGGCCACTCGGTACCAATCCTAGGACGGATCCGTCAGCACCACCCAGGCTCAATGATTACAGAATTATCCAAATCAGGCCCCGGATCCAAAATGGAAGGACAGCAGGTAGTCACTGGCAAGAAGGAAAAGGGTAGAGTGCGATTCAACAGCACTGCTACCGGTGAACCTCCTATTATACCATCACTGGATATTAGTGAAGTGCCATCACCATCCGTGACACCTCCCAATGGCGCTGCTAGCCCACCGACACCACTTCGTAGGCCCCGGCCGTCAATTATTCGAGGGAGCTCTTATAATTCCGTGCTGGACATGGATGCAGATGGTGGCAATTTGAGCCCAACGAAACGGATTTCAGCAGCGGCAGCCCATCTTCGGGCTCAGCAAGTCGCTGCTACTATGCTGGGCTCTCACTCGGCCCCAGGATCAAGAAGGGGGTCGATTGATTCTGACACTCTGTCGCAAGTTAGCACCGGAAACCCTCTTTTATCACCTGGCCACCATTTGGACACGATGCAAGAGAAACATGTTGATGAGATTGAGCTGGAGGCTGGTCCGGCACAAGACAGACGGAACCACAATTCTGAAGCTTATGAGCTGGTTCGAGCTCACACTATGCTACATGGTGCTTCGCCTGATGGGACCCCTGCACCCAATGAACACAGCCGAACAGCCGAAAATGTGATGGACAAACTCATCTACTTCGATGAAGACGATGTCTTGCTCGGACCAGGAGGGAAACCAAGGGAAGGTGTTCTTGGAAATTTGATGAAGCTCTACCGCGTCGATGATGCACCCAGGAAAGATTACAAAGACTACAGCGGCTACACCACGCCTGGTTCTTCTGGTACAGCTACTCCGACGCGCAAGAAATGGTATAATCAGAATATGAACAGCTCGTCCACAACACTCGCCAGTTTAGCTGCCGCGTCGGCTATCCTGGCGAATCCGAACGAAAAGCGATACCGGAGCCCAGGCGATCCGAAACAACATAAGAGAACGCACAGCAGCAAGATCAAGTCTATGATGAATTCCAGGCCGCGAATGGAGGAAGAAGCCAGAATCACAATTCATGTCGCGAACATCCTCAAGCGGCAGGAGTTTATCATTAAGCTCTGCAGAGCGTTGATGATGTTCGGTGCCCCGACTCACAGACTCGAGGAGTACCTGCGCATGATGGCTAGGGTGCTCGAGATTGATGGACAATTTCTATACCTTCCTGGCTGCATGATCATTTCTTTTGATGATTTGTCTACTCACACTACTGAGGTCAAGATTGTTCGATCAGTGCAGGGTGTCAATCTGGGCAAGCTGAAGGACTCTCACGAAATCTATAAAGAGGTTCTGCACGATGTCGTCCCTGTTGATGAGGCCATTGTCCGACTGGATGACATTATCAAGTCCAAGGACAAGTTCAACCCCTGGTTTCGTGTCCTCATGATGGGTCTCGCAAGTGCTACTGTTGCACCGTTCGCCTTTGACGGTCGTCCTATCGATATGCCAATCTGTTTCCTGCTCGGCTCCCTCCTTGGATTCTTGCAGCTCATCGTCGCACCAAAGTCGGATGTGTACACAAACGTGTTTGAAATCGGTGCTGCTGTTCTGACTAGTTTCCTTGCAAGAGCTTTTGGAAGCATTCAAGGCGGCGAATTGTTCTGCTTCTCGGCCATCGCTCAGAGCTCAATCTGTCTTATCCTTCCAGGTTACCTCGTTCTTTGCGCCGCCTTGGAATTGCAGTCAAAAGCCATTGTACCCGGTTCCATCAGAATGGTGTATGCTATCATCTACTCCCTGTTCCTTGGTTTCGGCATCACCATTGGCACAGCCATTTACGGTTGGATAGACGACAACGCGACCTCGTCGACTACCTGTAGTAACACTCTCGACTCGCATTGGAACTTCCTATTCGTGCCTGCGTTCGCCTTCTGCTTGACATATGTCAATCAGGCGAAATGGAAGCAAATGCCGGTTATGATTCTCATTGCCTTGGTTGGCTATATCGTCAACTTCTTCCTGTCCAAGAAATTCCCAAACAGTACACAGATCTGCAACACCATCAGCGCCTTCGCTGTCGGCATTTGCGCCAATCTTTACAGTCGCCTCCGGCACGGTGTCGCGGCCGCAGCCTTGCTCCCTGCCATATTTGTGCTGGTGCCTAGCGGGTTGGCTGCTACCGGTAGTCTCCTCAGCGGGTTGAGCACTGCTAACGAGTTGACTAACTCGACTTCGACGGTCAACGGAACCTCGACGGTAGCGGTCTCGAGCGATAGCTCCCTCGACACCATCGTGTTCAACGTCGCGGCAAGCATGATCGAGATTGCCGTCGGTATTACGGTCGGTCTGTTCTTCGCCACACTCATTATTTATCCTCTTGGCAAGCGGCGCAGCGGGTTGTTCACCTTCTGATTTCGCATACACCTATATCGACAGAAATGTTTTCGGCGTTTTTTTACTTTTGTTCTCGGGCTTCATGTTTGTTTTTGAGCTTCTTGGCACACGGTCGTTCACACCTTTTATTTGTTTATATATGCATTTGGTAAAGCAAGCGAAGCGAAGCGACAGGTGCAATCGGTTCACTTCGGGGGTTCGGATATACATACAGGCTGGAAGGAACAGGGTTAAAGCATTAATACGGGATAGAGGAGCATTAAGTAGGGGCATCTTTAGACTATGGATATTACTTGAACAGCATTATAGGGCGTATCGAAAAAGGAAACAGATTACGATACACTCACTGCTCCCACGCCTTTTCCATGTGCTTCGCGGTTGAAGTTACACCTTGAATTTTCTTCCGTACCCACCCAAAACTTCCCCTATGCTTTAGAAAACCTTTCAAGCTTGATCTTCACATGCAGCTCAAAACATGCTCCCCTACAACTCCCTCGTTATAATTATTTTGATGTGGCACTATCTCTTTCTGTAGGAAATCTACAGCTTGGATTTGTACACGAAATCTTGATGGAATCCATGATTCGATGGGAAATTGAACTTGGGTTACTTGTCCTTCTCGTAGTGCCCAAATTCAACAACTTGCTAAACCATGACAGGCTCCGCCGTTTCGATTAAGACGCTTCTGTGCGACGTTCTCCACGTTCACCACAGTCTGGTTCCGCAAACGAGATCAGAATCCAACACGAACGTAAGGGCTATGCTATCCCTAGACTCGTGTCGTTTCCTCGTATTGCTCCGGTCTACGCGTTATGAGTTCAAACGTCATCCCCAAACCGGCACCACTAGCAAAGCTGAGGGACACAATCCGCTGAGCTATGGTCTTGGAGATACAAAATTGTGCATGCAAGTTACGCAGCGCTGTCATACAAGCGTAGAAGCTGATTGGGTGCCTAGGCTTATCGCTACACTTTTCATATCAGTATTGCTCAGTTGGCAACATCGATTGGCAAGAAGGCCGAGCACATCGTACCCGTAATTGTGTTGTGGTATGTCTGAGACCTTGCACGGCAAGCAAGCATAAAACTCTCCAGCCGATTTATGGAGGTGTTGTAGGTAGCCATGCATGTGTTATGTAGAGATAAAAACATTCTGAGCATATTCTGCCGCCAGCCATTCTGTTGTCGCTGTTTTAATGGTTAGAATATATTGATGATGAGTCAACGCATGAGTTAGCTATACGTGCCGTTAGTACCAGGCCCTCCGGGGATATGGGGGAACTGGGCGGGTAGATTGATGTTAGTTAGATCTTCTGTTTTCCAACCTTACAAAGGTTCAATCGACATGGGCCAAGGTGCGTAACTCAACAGCCACCCGCTGACCAAAATAGTGGTGGGTGTTGGGTGAACAACCGCGATTGTGCTTCTAAGCATAATCTGGATCACAGATCTCACAAAGAAATTGGAGTAGACCCATTAAGTCTAATTGGCCAGATTTGTTGGCAGCCAACATTTTGTTGAGTAAATTTGGCTGAGCGTAAGGGTATGAAAACTCTTTGGTTCTTTCACTGTATCAAGAAAATTTTGACATTTGAAAACAAAAAGAGAAAAAAAGACAGAGAAAAAAAGACAGAGAAAAAAAGGTAAACTATGAGGTAAGATGCCTCGAACCAATACGCCGGAATGAAGCGGAATGTTGGGCGTGAGGGATAAGCTTGGCAGCCATCAGTACATACTTTAGTTGTTACGCATCATGATAAAATCCGCAGTAAATCGATTCCAGATTGGAGCAGCCCTATAAGGCTGTGCGAATATACTCTTATACCATCTACCTAGTATGCCCTAAGCTTTTGCTGACGCATCGGCAATCTTCTCAAAGATGCGCTTGAAAACATCCGGATCTACCGCGCCGGGTGCTTCAAACATTCCATTGATCCTGATATTCGGCACGCCGCTCACACCCAGCTGCCGCGCTTTCAGCACTTCATTCTCAACTTCCTCTGCGCCCTGATTCGTTTCCAGGTAAGACCTGACCTCCTCTCCATCCAGTCCTGCCGCCTCTGCCGCGCTTTTCAACATGTCGCGACTGGTGATGTCCTGCTCCAGCTCAAAGTACCTCTTGAAAAGCTCATCAACGACTCTATTTTGGGTCTCCTGGCTCTTTTGGCCCGCGAGGCGGATTAGGCGATGCGAGTCGCGCGTGTGGCCCGTCCGACCGCCAAAGCTGAAGTCGATACCGACTTCCTTCCCGACGGCACCGAGAGTCTGTTCAATCTGGGCGAACTTCGCATCGCCAAATCGACGCTTGTATCGATCTGCTTTGACCTCTCCCTCGACGGGCGCATTTGGATCAAGGTAGTAAGGATACCACGAGACGTTGAAGGTGTCGCTTGAATTCGGGTGCGCGGCCTTGTATGAAGCAATGCCGGCCTCGACTCGGCGCTTGCCGACGTAGCACCAAGGGCAGACTGAATCACTAATGATCTTGATATCGAACTTCATTGTTTTTTGAAATATTTTTTTTGGATGAGCTGGGATGAATTTTTTTGTTTCTATCTCTCGACGTCCGGTTATAGAAGTTATTATATACGTCGGCGTTAAGGATTGTGGATTTATCAGCAGAAGTGTCCCAGTTTTATCACCGGGCTTGGCTTGGCGATCCGTGATCTGCTTTTTTCCGGAACCAATTAGCGTTAACCAAATATGGTCCCTCTGACCAACATCTATTCTCTCCAATTTCGGCCTTCCTTCTTCATCTTGTTTCTCCATTCGCCTTCCAGCACGCCGTAGGTCACGTAGTCATGCCATTCTCCATTAAACCAGATCTCTTCGCGCTTGCGGCCTTCCAATACAAACCCCAACTTTGAGTAAAGTCGCATAGCACCCGTGTTGAATGTGAACGTCTCGATGCCAATACGATGCAGACCCGCCATTTGGAATCCATAACCCAACGACCACTCGATGGCTTCCGCGCCGTACCCATTGCCACGATGTGGCCGCAGAATGTCAATACTGATGTAGCTCACTCTATGGTGTTCTGCGCCTTTATTGTGGGCTTTAAGCGCGACGACACCGATCGGTGTGGGCTTCGACTCCGGACTTTCGGCAGGGAGGCATATGATGGCGCTCATGAGTACACGTTCCTGTAGAGACTCCCTCCATTTGTTGCTTGACTTCTTGCTTTCGGGTACGAGAAGACCAAAGCTGGAGCCGGACTGGGCCTCGGCATCTCGCTGGATGTTGTAGATGAATTCCTCGTCATCAGTGTTGTCCTCCACGGCTCGGTAGAGCAGCCGCTTGGAGGTGAATGGGTCGAATGGCTTGACCATAATGAGACGGTGGCCACGCGGACACAACAGGAACTTGAGTGGAATCTTGGGGAGATTTACGTCAGATTTTAGAGGAAGCAGGCCCTTTTATAGTGTATTCATGGCATTGCGAGCATCAAAATCTCACAATAGGTAGTATCACGCTAGGCCTCTCTAGGCTCGCCGTGTCGGTTACAAGGTTGAAGCCCCACCAAAACTCCATCATACTCTTTCATGCAGGGATAAATCCTCAATTAAAACAAAAGGCGGTTGATGATATAGTGCAGTATGTTGGGACTTTGTTTCTGATGCATGGGTAGTTTCGTGTCAATCACGAGTTGAGTCACATGTTGTTTGGATGAAAGCTCATCAGTGCTAGCTGGAGAAATGATCTACAGGTCATGCTGCCAAACACTGATAGTGACTTAATGAAAATTCCAAAAGCAGCCCAAATGTATGATCAATTGCAAGATACAATGCATATTCACTCAACTCAGAACCTCCCCCACCCCTTCCAGCGTCAAACATGCTGTGATACTGCGTCGAGCACTTCTTCATAGGCTTTTACGCCATCGCTGGAAATTCCATGTCTTGACTCGTGGTCCCTGCGCTCGAGCCACGCTCTCTTCGTCTATCTTGTTGAGCTCATTGGCGTAGAATACACCGTAGAACTTTTGGACAGTCTCGTCCATATTCGGGTATTGTCCCTGGCGAAGCTCTTCAATGACAACACAAGAGCGGAGCCAAGCCGAATTCAACTTCTCGCGTAACGACTCCGTAGCATACTTAATCTCGTCAAGAGTGATCTTGCCAAACTGCTTGAAGTGGTATTTCTTCCCCCGTTTCTCCTCTGCCAAGGCCTCCTGTTGAAAGTGGTCTTCGCGTACCTCGTCATCTTCCTCCGGAGAGTTGCCAGTGACAGTAGCAGAAATTGTAGTAGAATCAAACTCAAGTCCATTCTGAAGACTCAATGGCTTGTTGACGACTCCTTCTACCTCTTCTCCCACAAGGCGCGAGACTCCCGTAGCTTTGGCTCGTATCCGTCGCTGCAAATCGTCTGGAGTCACGTTGCAGATGCTGTCCATGAAATCGCGACCTTTTTGACTCAACCTGCCATACCGGTTTCCCTTAATATCAAAACCAGTGTCGTAGAAATTACCGCATACGAACTCTGTCCACAGCTTGATAAGTGCTTTCGCGTCTTCCGGGTCGCACCTGAACCATTCTTGATGCCGTCCCTCGCAATGCGGACATTTATATTCATGATTGAGAAGATTGTGTTCTATGAGCTGTTTCTGAACCAACTGCTCCACACGGTAAGCTCCAACGAAGGCCTGCTCACTTTCCCAATGTGGCGTTGTGTCTATTGCGTAGCAATTGCCGCGTTGACCGTGTCGCGCTTGAGAATCAGCTCTTGTCCAACCTATCTTGATCAAAGCGGGCTCCTTCTTGTGCTTGAAGATATAGACGACTCCCTTTTCATGATCTTGTTTTGTCCAATCATGCTCAATTGCAATGAGTAATGGAAGCTTTCCCCTCTTCTGCGTCTTCATGCGGCGGATCAAGCCGTCCCGCATTCCGGGACCTTTGCCGTCTTCCTGCGCCAGCAATTCTTGAACGTCACTGTTGTGTTCCAAGTCCTGCTCCGTAATGGAGTCATTGGGTAGGGATTCGGGGATGGGACAGGGTGTCTCAGGGCGACTAGCAGGCTCGATTGGCAACGGGAACTCCTCGGAGCTCATCGGTGTAGCATCGGGAGTCGTGAAGGCTGTGCTCGCAAAGCTTGTGTCACTGAAACTAATGCTGGACTCCTGTCCCGGCGACATGGTGAGTTCGGAAAAAACATCGGATATAGTGTCATCTTCTATGCTGTAAACTACACCTGTTGGTGAAGTCGACGGCGATGCTTGTTGATATGTCCCCGAACTGGGAGAATCGAGTTCTCCATCCACAGAGCTTCTCTTTTGTTCCAGAGAAGAGGGCTGACTTTCGCAGTCAATATTTCCACGCCCTATAGCTGAGTGGTGATCGGTCTTCCATGTCATGAATCTTGCAATGACCTCTCCAACGTGGTCATGACAATGTCGACTTTTTAGGAAACTTTCGACTGATGCGAGACCTTCTCCATCTAAAGGCATGCTTTTGATGCTTGAGAGAAAGTTGTATTTCTCAAGGGCGTGCTTTCTTCGGGATTTACCGATCGAACGCGCACATGATCGCTCTGAATCTTTCGACTTTACCCATCCCATACAGGTACTGTATTCTGTCAGAGCCTTGGTGTTTGCTGGGTGCAAAAAACCCCAAACTAGACTTAAGACTGCGTTTTGTTTGTGGGCGGTGTCCATGATTGTCATTGGCAACGCGACTCCTAAAATGTTGATTGATATCCACGAACCAGACAAAACTTGTCCGAGGGCACTGAGCGCCATTTATCGGCAGCAGAGCCTCGTCAATCGCGAGCAAGCTAAATTGAATGGCTGGGAACATAGTGCGATAAAAGTCCCAGCAGGGTTCTTTGTGCATAATGCAAGAGATAGGAGGTTACTGGGATACGCACTTCTCCTTACCATGCCAGCCTCGTCGGGTTTGCGTCGACGAGACCATGTGTCAAGACTTCATGTATTGAAACAAAGAAACTTTTCCGCGAGAACTTACAGAACATCGATTACTTGATGCCGCTTAAAACTTTTCTTTCAGCGCGGCTTGAAATTGTTATCGCGAGACGGCTTTCTATACCTTCACGCACAGTTGCGACAGCCTTGAGACAAGGAATGGAAATACATACGTTGGCGCATCTGCAGGAGTCAAGGTATGCTCAGCCACCCTTCATTGTTGGTTAGAATGCGGTGCTGCGGGGTACTGTCCTCAAAATCGACAGGTATGATTGGGGCATTCACCTGTCTTGGTTGGGATATGAGAAAATCATATCATCGGTCCGAGAATCGTTAGCGCTGTCCGGGTCAAAAGCGCTATTAGCATCCGGGGCCAAGCATAGGCGCGTCAAGCAACGAGTAGCTTTCGAGGGTACTGCTATGAGGGCGATCTATCGCAACCATGATTTCAGGAAAGGAGATGCAATCTATGGGTTTTAGGTCTACCAAGGGCAAGCTCTACGATACGGGTCAATGGCTCGGTTTGTGGTGGCAAGGGTGAGGTCCTAGTTGATTCTTCAAGAGGGGTAGTAAATGAAGTTCCAGCAGTGGTTCCAGCAGAGACATCAGATACAGGCCGAGTAAGCCATTGCAGTCATCTATCTTAATTTAAAACTCCGTGCGATGTGCCTTGTGTAAGGTCTGGAACAATGTTCCCGTGATTAGTTAAAGAGCTGACCGGGCCTTTCACGTAGGACGCCAGCGATTCGTCTCTCTGGCAATCGTCTAGCAAATTGTCAATATCAAAATCGTCCTATCTAGCGAGGGCAGGTCGTGATGATTGCTTAAAGGGTCCGGATGCTCCGTGAGACCGCCCGGACTATAGTACGACTCTTCCGGCACAACTTCCCTTGTAGATTGCTCCGTAGCCTCTCCAACAGCTTCTTTTGCCAGCTGTTCTGGACCTCTGGAGGCACCATGGTCATTAAGCGTAAAAGCATATGCCTCACTACTGGTGGAGGTACCTATTACGAAGACAAGGGTCGAGCTGTGCTACGGTTGCATCAGTGGGCTCCACCAGGAACACGCCAGCATTTGTACCTACATCCATGTGGGCGGTGACTGCGCCATCGACGACACCGAAGTACGTCTGCTTCAAGGTTAAAGTACCACTGGTATCCAGCTAGGAAGTGAATGCGGCTCTCCACATTTACCTATGGGCCAGATGTTGAAGACCGGGAGCTGCACTGGAACTTGCTACCCGAAAGATGGGCGGGTGAGTGTTGGAAAATGATTGAGCATACAACAGAGGATCAGTATTCACCATTGCAGATCCCAGAAACCTGGGTGGATGATGTTTCCGGCAGCTTTGATGCGGAGTCGGACTCATATTTTGGGTACGAATACTAGAATTCCAGCGATTCTGATTCGGCGCAATTCGGTATGGAGTTGGAGAATGCGGAAGATGACGATATCTCATAGGCAATACGATTGCACTTTGAGGAAGAGGTATAAAGATGACTCGATGCGGCAAGTACGTTTCAATTGACTATTCTATTGACGAACATCTAAAGCTTAGAAACGAGTAGAAAGTCAACGTTTATGCATATAAATACATCACCTGTAGGTGCATATTCGCCATCTTGTCGTCCGTCAAAAATCTGTTGCTTAGAAAAGTACATGCTGGTAGCTGTCCCCATAAAGTTACTCGGGATTGATCTTCATGGTCGCGCTTATCGTTGAATGCTTTTGGTTGACAACTGGTACACGGGCCATAGCCCGTAGAAGAATCTAGCCGAAGAACCTTCTTGAGCATGAGACTGTTATTGAAACCACGTGTTGTAAAGAGTTTAGCGAATAGAGGACTTGGCAAGAGTCCCGAGTTGCCGAAAATATAAGTCTCGGGACTATTGAATGATGGAGCAGGACCACAAGAGCTCGGGAGCATCACAGGAAAAAAAGACGCACGAATCAGAGATCGACTCGAAAGCGAAAACCTCGCCGATTGGGAGAAGCTGTGGCCCTCAAACTCAACGACGCGAAAGTGGCCAAGCTCACTACTAGCATGGTTGACCGCGATGCCTTCTTATATCTTGCAAAGCACTCTGAAGAGCTCATTCATCTTTGGAAACTAGTGCGGTCGAATAATAAAAATGACACGAAATACGCTGTTATCGAAGCCTTTAATTGGGTTAATCACATGTCGACAATAGCCAAGAAAGAATCATTTAATAAGAGTGAGATCAGTTTAAAATCCACCTACTTCAGTTTACATCTTATGCTCGATGGATATAAGGTAATCGTTTCATAACGTTGCAAGAACAAGAAGGTTTTGACAGAAATGACAAGACGAACGAAATCTGAGCATGAGAAGGATTGCCGTTAACTTAACTACTGGTATGTTTGACGAGCAATACGATAGATTCGACACGTTTTTGCAATAGCCCCGATCCACATCTTCGAGAATTCGGTGCAGGATGAATTATAATGAGGTTTCTTGGATCGGTCAACTAGTTCCGGCGGAAAGCTGAGGCTTGAGCAGGACGGGTGTGCTAGGTGTAGTAGCACACTGCATCAGGGCTACATCTCGTAGTGCAGAAGGTAGAGGAGGCTACGAAGACAGAATTCAAAGTTCGGCACGTGCGTACACATACATGCATATATTTGCAGTCGAGTGCAATCGACAAAGTTCCGAAGAGCATGAATCATCTCGACAGAATTGCCTTTGATTGTATACACAAGTTGACAAGCTTTCAGTACGAAGTGCTCGCCGCCGACGTGGCGCTAATGATTTTCCCGACGTGCGGACAGGGAAAGCCTGCCGGATTTGCCGAAAAGGCAGGGAGTGACTCTGCCTACTAACCTTGGTGTATACCATTCGAAATGCTTGGCTATAATGCCCTGAAAGCTTATTTATCTTTGACAGGAATGTGTAAGCGACAGGGAAGGGAAGGGATTGCTCATGGTGACACGCCGTCGAGTTTGATCTTCCCTCGCTTAGCGCCAGGATAAAACTTGCCAGCGCCCAGTCGGGGTCAGTCAGCAGACCCAGCAGAGGAGATTGCTCAATGCAGTCATTTTGTCGCATCATTTCAACCAATCGCAACGGACAAACCTTGAATTCAGACGAAAGAGAGGAAGGTTATCATCTGGTGTTGAACCCTGCGTTGATCTGGTGGATCACCGTCAATCTCACATTGCTCGGATCAGGCCCATCTTGGCATCTGGATGGTGGTTCGGCTATGCCTCAATCGCCGCTGCAACATCGTGACATGGTGCGATGCAGTGCCATAACGCCTCGGTTCACGGCAATATTTGAAACTGAGACCACAACGCAGTATACATCTTCATAGGATATATAACTCTACATCGCCGCCATCAAGGAATCCGATACCACATCTCCACAGACCCTCATCATTTCATCACTACTGATTCCGATTCACCTCTCCACTACCCGCAACCAGCACTTCGCGTCTATATCATGATACTCAACGAACCTCTTTGCAAAACAATCGTGGCCACCATCAACACCACTCCTATTTCACCTCTTGCCTAGAGTCACCATTCATCTAAGCATGGTCTCGTTTCCTCAGCAATACTGCCAAGATCCTTGTCATTGAAATCAAACGTCATTCCACCAATTCATCCAATCTGATTTAGCCCCGTACCCAAACAATCAGGCTGACACTACATAAACGAAAAGCTATACTATACAACCAACCATTATTTCCGGAGCACACAACATATTCCGACATTAGCTTGCATCGCCTTTTTACATTTCAGCCCATTCAGCCCTTGCTCATATAGGCGCACCTGTTCGTCCTCCGTGGCATCTACACCCCAAGAGTTCCGTTCTTCACAATGATTTACCCAATCGGATAATGTGCACTATTGACCTCGTCCTACGAGCCACACCTCGCCCAGCACATCTCTTCATTTCTTACCTGCTGCTTCGGTTCTACCTGACGCTTATCATAACTATTGCCCATATGAAATCCTTCCCGTGCCCTCCTTACAGCCTCCCCACTCCCATGCACCGTCACATACCTATGTACACTCGAGCAGGCTCATCACATACACAACAACAGTCTACAATGCACAGCCCGTTTTCTTCACTAGTGTGATCCCTCCCACATGAGCACATCATCCATGAAACATCAATTCCTAATCGCTTATTGTTCACTTCTCTAGCATTGCCATTTGTTCATATCACATCCCCACAAGTCCTGAAGCCCGATGTCACAGTACTTCGTTTCACCACGGAGCCACCCCTTATTCTTCTTACCTTGACGATAAATCCTCACACAAGCATGACCATCACACTACAACATATCATTCAGTATAACTATCACGCTGCCTTCCACCGAACCTCCCTCCATCTATACCCGCCGCGCGACCCCTCATTGGTACCCCCTACCACGTTCCGGACGCGAAGTTCATATGCATGATTATCCTATAATCGCCTTCCCTTAACGCCTTCTATTTTCACCGCCTCCCACTGCATAACACCTCATCTTCTCGTACACTTCGAAGCACTCTAGTTTTTAAAGTCCTTTGCCTTGCATAAATTCACCATAACCTTACTCTCATACCTTCAGACACCAAACATGAAGCATGCTACACCATATATCCACTTCGCACTAGGTTCACTCCGGTACCACTCCCCTTCCCTGAATTGACGACTCCAGCCACAGGCCGCATAATAGCGTCAAGGGTGTTTGGGAGTCGAGACAAGCGCTGCAGACAGGACAGAGGCTGCATGGTGCATTCGGGTGGGCCTTTACGAAGGATTGGGACTTGTATGAGATACAGATGGAGGTTTTCGCAGCAAGTTGAACGAATGGGTGAAGGCAAAGCGCTGTTTCAAGAAGACCTGGCTGAGCAACAATACATCACAAGATCACTGATTAACTCGACTGCGTTATTCTTGTTACCCCATGTAATCGACGTTGAGTCTCACACTTAACACGTATGATGACTCCTGTCAATATAGTGAAGGAATTGGCGATACATAGACAATGCACAAGCAAGAAACACTTTAATAAGCATATGTGCTAAATACAAGTCATGTAAAGCAAGCACACCTTTCTAGGTCTACGTTCTCAGGCTCTTTTAAGAGACCAGATGAACGACTTCTCTATACCCATCTTCCACTTTCCTGCCTATCCGCACGTTCGTGTGTTGGCCACGTCCCATTACATCCTAGACCTCTAAAAGATATCTCAAGCGATAAAAATTCCAAGAGCCACTACACAAGCCACCAAGGATCTGTTCCCGACCGCAGAAAAGAGCCCTGCTCTGCCACCAGCCTCGCTCTTCTTGTCCTCGGCCCCATCACCGTCTCCGTTGGCGACGCCTTGTCCACCATTATCGCCGCTTGATTGAAAGCTGGCACCCGCCGCCGCGTTTCCGCCCTCATTATCACTACCGCCCTCTTGACCCTCTCCACTGCTCGGAGACGACCCGTCGCCGCCGTTGTGATTGCTGGGCGCCGGACCCCTCTGCCCGATCGCAGCACACGCCTCCGGATCAGCCTCGAGCCCCTCTCCTACCCTGGAGCCCAGACTCGCGACGACGGCCCGCGAGTCCCTGACCAAGAGCTCGAGCGTGCCGTCCTCGCCGACCGAGGCCGTGCGGCCGCTCAGCCCGTCGTCCTTCTGGCTCGGGGTGCCGTCGCCGCTGCTCTCGTACTCGAGCCCGTTCCACGTCGTGCCCTCGGTGGCGTTGGACGACGCGCCGCTCAGGTAGCTGAGGACAACCTTCTGGCCCGCAAGCTTGGCCGGCAACGCCACACGCACCGTGAGGCCGGGTATTTCGTCGCCCGCGGCGCCGTCGGACGTGAGTTTTGAGTTGATCAGCACGAGGCTCTGCCACTTACCGGCCTGGTAGACGGCGTAGGCGCGTACATAGCCATAGTAGCCCTCTGGGACCCCACCGCCGCCAACCAGCGCGACGGGGACGGGGGCGACCTGCGCGGTGCAGGTGGGTCCGATAATCTGGTCGAAGGCGGCAAAGCTGTAGTAGATGGGGCGGACGAAGGGGCGCCTCCCGTTCATGGCGAGCGGGAGCCAAAGCGACGCCTCGCTGTCGTCCGTCATGTGGAACTGCACGGTGGCGATGCCCAGCGAGGCGGCGTACAGCAAGAAGTTGAGCGCCCACAGCGCCGCCCCGAACGTGTCCGTGATGCCCCGGAGCCCCACGGGCCCGACGACCCCCATCTCCCGCAGTGCGTAGCCGTACGGCGTCGCCCACGCCTGCGCCACCTGCTTGCTCCACGACACGAACTGGTCCTCGGTCGTGCTCAGCTGCATGAAGTGTGAGAGCGTCAGCGGGTAGTTGGAAACCCCGATGTAGTAGTAGTAGTCATGCTGGTTCCAGGAGGCCACGTACGACGTCTCACTCTCCGCGGCCTGGGCGTCGATGCCGAACGACGCGAGGTCCTGAATCTGGAAATCTGTCCCGCTGGTCGAGGCCGTGCAGCCGGGCTCGAAGAAATCCGTGGCGATGTCGTTGGGCTTGAGGACTTGCTCGTAGATCACCTTGGCGCGCTCAAGCCAATCTTTCGTGTATGCCCGTCCACCCCACCCGTCCGAGCGGAACGCGTTTTGCAGGTACAGGTCAGGCTCGTTGCCAATCTCGAAGGAGACGAGTTTGAGGTTTGGACAGCTTTCGACGACCTGCCGCGCCATGGTGGTGATCTGGTCCGCCCAGTCGTCTTCCTTATATGCTAGGTTCAGACCCCAGGTTATGGGTGTGCCTTCAGGGAATCGGTTGGCAGCCTCGAAGAAGCGTGGCCCGATCAGCATGTGGTCGCACGCGTAATCCCCTTGTCCAATGGGGTGGGGGTTTTTGACCCAAGTCCATTCTGTCTGGTCTTTGCGGAATATCATGTAATCCTGTGTGTTACCGCCTAATCTGACATGCGGCGGCTTGCCCGTGTAGCTTACCAAGTTATCGATCAGGTTGAACGTCAATGCGTTCGGCTCATCGTATCCGGTAAACGAGAATAAGTTGGACGGCTCAATCCCAAAGCCCGCAAATGACGGATTAATAGGACCAGACGTGCCTTCCGGCGGGTTTTGTGGAATCTCTACTTGCAAAACACTCTCTGCTTGAATGCCAGTGACTAGCCAGTGACTGGTGATAATAGCAACACTAAGGAAGTGCATAGTCGCCTATATAATGCTCCCGTAAAATGGCGAACGGCAACATTGAGGTGAGTGGACGCGAAAATGTAAAATAAAATAAAAACAACAATGCAGCTATAATGCCGTCCCCATTTGAGTTCTCATATCAATGGCTGAAGAAAGAAAACAAGGGTTCTGAGTTGGCCTCTGCATAGTGATTGATTGGCACTGTCATAATGCCGATTGGTTGATCTGGAATCCTAATTAAGGTTATATCGTACATAGCATCGCGCTTGCAGCCGAAGCGCATCATGCTGTGTTACGCGGAGCACCCGCCAACTTCAATTCCCAACTCGGACTTCTTGATAGGGATCTGAAAGAAAGTATAAACGTTCTAATTTACAAAAGAGAGAAAAAAGGAAAGAAAAAAGGGAGGCAATCCCTACTGATTAAAAACACTTCCTGTGTTAGATGACAACTTGTAGTGTGTCTGGGCTCGTTCTAGTATCGCCAATTGCTCTGCGTGAAGTGCCATATCTGAGCGTCGCGAAAGTTCATGACCTACGAGGGCAACACCCCCAACCATCCGCTCTGAAAAAATGCTTAAAGTGTTGACTGGTGACACATGAGCTTCTTGACGTCAAACACACGTGATCATGAAATCTGGGATCAGCGCGGGGTACTGCGGTACATGCACAGATGCAATCGACTGTCAGCTGGCAGCTACCTGACTCGGGTGATGTAGAACTTAATTTGTGAACTTAGCATTACTCGAGTAGGATTGTAAATGTAGGTATCTGCAATTTGCAGTGCTAAACACGCAAGAGGCGGATGGCAATAGCGTTTCAAATAAGCATAATTGAAATGTTCATGTATCAAATGCAACGCCTGTTCTAATGCGACAAGCCGCCCTGTGTCTGGTCTTTTAAACTCGGAACTCCATCCTTCTCTCAAATCATCCGCCACGAAAAGATGAAACAAGCACACCAGAAACCAGAAGCCCCCTTTATAGTTGTACATAATGTTTCAACACTTCGCAGTGAGCTACAAGCAACAGTAAAACCGGATATATGTCCGTCGCAGAAGAGCAGCGTCATTAGTCCGAATCCATCATGTCCATGGCATCGCGTTCAGCTTCAAAACTCTCCGTGGTCACGGCGGCGGCGGCCTTGTTGCCATCACCAGCTTCATCATCGACATTGGTGAGGTCCATGAACATCCTGTCGACGTCCTTGTCATCTCCATCCGGGCGCATCTCCGCATCGGGCATGCTTCCCGAACCACGCAGGCCTGTCTCGTCGTCCCATACTTCTGGTCCGAAGATCTCCTCAGCGCGGCGACGGCCTTCCTCGGTGCGCTTAAGAATCTCGAGAGCCTTACTTTTCTCATGCCCACTCTGCAAGTTGATCACATCATCTTGACCGCTCAACAGACGCTCCTCAAGTGATAATGACTCACGATCAGAAGCCATGAGTCGCGGCCCAGGACCACCACCTTCAGCATGCATAAAAAAGTCGGGATGTATGTTGGCGGTATCGCTTCCATCAAGATCTAATGACCCACCATGCATTGCGGAGCCGGGTCTACTAGACGAGGTAGAGTCTCCGCTGCGACTAGGGTGGCCATGGCTGTTAACTGCCATCGCTGGTGTCGGAGGCTGCGAAGTCCTCCCGAAAAATCCGTGAGTCCCTGAACCGTAGGAATGTGCTGAAGGGCTGACAGCGCCGTGTCCACCAGATGCTGATCCAGATGGCTGATTCGATATTGGGATGATAGCGGCAGCATCTGCATTCAAAGCCTTTCGTTTTAGACTAATGGCTTTGGCTCTCAGATTCTCAGGAAGGTCTTCAGGTTCGTCAACACCGTGCTGAGCAAGCATTCGCTGCAGCTTTGTTGGGCGCGGCTTCCTTGTGCTCTTCGACACATCCAACACTGGTGGCGGTTCAGGCGCAACGGGGCTCCACTTATGCAGCTCTTGGCGGAAAAAGTTGGTCTCGAATGCGAGAAGAATCTCGGCACCCTCGATCTTGCGTAGATAAAATCTCTGAGTCTCGGCCTCGGAAGCCGTTGCCATGATAGGATTGCAGTAGACTGATATGTGGTTTCGAAAGTCCATAGCGTTGTCGATGATCTTTCGCAGTATCTCTTCTTCCTCAGGTTGGAAGGGCAATCCGGCGATCTCATCCTGCCACGAGAGCAGGTCCTCGAGCTTCGGTCTAGCAGCATCACGTGGAATCTTCACTCGCCAGTCGCAGATCGGGCATGTGTACTTATCATCTTCCTTGACCTTGCCGCGAGCAATCTTCAGACACTTGCCATGATACCATTCGTGGCAGAGTTCACACTCAATCATCATGCCAGCTTCGACGCGTCGACAAATGCAAAAGACTTCCCGGAATGTCGGATCGTCCCATGACCGAGGAACCTTGTTAGTTTCGCGCTCTTCGCCAGGACTAGGAGCTCTGGATGCGGGCTCGGCTGGCAATCGAGGCTTATCACTAGTGATGTCGAAGCAGTCGAGGTTTCGGTCCAACACGTATTCCAAGTGGTTCTTCAAGATATGCAGTGGCGCGTTTGTCTTGCCGAAGAGCTTCTTGCCTTTTCGCATCCAGTCCTCGTGCCGTCTTTGCTCTCTTTCGAGATCCAGAGTACCCGTAGGTTTCGAGTTGAGATCCTCCAATTTCTTCATCACATCAATGACCTCCTGGTATTTCGGGCGTTTGGTATAGTCTGCCTCCCTTGATCGTTCCATTAGGTCCAGGATTTGTCGATGTGCTTCTCGCTGTTTGTGCAGAATCTGGTCAACAGCCGCCAGGGTTTCCTGCGATACAGGGAGAGCGCCATGTTGCACTTGGTTGGATAATGCTTCCAGTTGGGGATAGTGAACAGTTTCAGCATTAATCAGTTCGGTAGCCTTGGCTTGCCATTGTCGACCTGCAGCGAGCTTCTCGTTAAAATGCTTCATGTGGTCATTGTATGGTGGGATGTCTAAGCGAACTCCTTCCTCAATGAGCTGGGTGACCTCATCTAGTGTCATGAAAATGGTGCGGTTAACCTTAGCCTTTGTGTTCCAACGTTTCTGCTCTAAAACGAGTTGTAGTTTGTCGATTTCAGGCATGTCGACGTTGAAGCTACGACCTTCTTCGAGAAGTTCCTCGATGGACTCTTCGGACTGGATGATGACGTGGTTGAGTGCGGACTCTGCGTTGTTTTGGAAATTTTTGATCGCATCGGCCCGCTCCTTGAGCTGCACGATCTCGGGGCAGTCGAACCCAATTCGCTCGGCGTCCTCGATCAGCCGATAGATGTTATCGACCTTTCGCATCTCGCGCTCTTTCTGTTCCTGGAAGGAGTTGCCGATGGACTTGCGCATCCCGCTTTGCCAGACCTTGTCGTTCTTGCGGCGGTTTTGCTGCTTGCGGACCGTATAATTAGTCGCCTCTTCGACCCATTCATTACAACGATCAACAAATTCTTTGAGCGCTGGCAGAGAGGGGAGGTCGTACGGAATACGTTCACCCTCGCTAAGAAGGTTCCGAAGTGTCTTGAGCGTGGGTGTGCCACCCTCATCAAGGAGCTTATCATACTTGTCCTCCCAAGTCTCGGGAAGATTGGCCTTCTCGGCGACCTTTCGATACGTCTCGCTCATGTCTTCCGTCGTCTTCCGATAGAACAGGATGTGCTCTTTGCCGGCGAAACGCTCTGATTCGGACATATCGCAGCAGGCATGAGACCCCGCGTGCTGGATGCAGAGGTACTTGTTGGATCTGTTGCACTTGAATCTTGTGAGGTAAGCATAACACTTGCAGTATGAACATTGGTACTCTTCTTCCGGTACGTCCTCGTCCAAAATTTGGAATCCCAAGGCGCAAGTTTCGTGTTGCTCAGCTCTGAGAACGCAAGAGTGCTTGTTGCCCTGGACATGTTTGTTGTAGAATTGTTCTCGTTGCTCGAGTTCCCTCCTGTGTACACGATCCAGAGCTGGTGCCAACCATTTTGCAGTCTGGATAGTAAGACCGCTCGAAGTGCCCTCAGCAGCAGTCCAAAGGAGCTCGTCGTGCGAAAAGCAAGACTGCTTTCGGAACTCCTTGAGACGCTCAACACCAGCTAGACCATATGGTTCCCAGTCGTGCGGCGCAAAGTTGACAGCCTCGTTGAAGTTGAAACCATGGTTGAACCCAGCATGGTATGCTTGAGGGAATGTGATGACCAACTGTCCCGCCCTCTGGTCCAGGGCATATACCCGGACGCCGGCTTTCTTCAACTGCTCGGGGGTCAGGAGAGTGACAAGCTGGAAGAGGAGATCGGGCTGAGTCTCGAAAAGTTCGGGAACTGCCTCTTTCATGGCAGCCTCAAACTTCTGCGTGTCTTCTGCCGGAATGCCGTACCACGTCTTTGTTGCTCCAAAATGTTGATAATTGGCGGAATAAGCAAAGTGGTCCTCGTTGTGCCAGCAGAACGTCGAGAAAATCATGCCAACATAGACCCACGGGACAGTCATACCAGAGATGTCGGACTTGATATGTCTAAAAAGTGATTCTGGGTGCAACGGTAGAATGTTGAGATTCCAGAAGTCGGTTGAGTAAGGGTTGTTCGGATTGCGTTCGGCAGTCGGGAATCCGGAGCCATGAGTGGTGCAGTGAATGTCAGCTCCATATTCTACTTCCACTGTCTCCTCTATACTAGTGACCAAGCGCCAGAATTCGCGTTCGACATCGTCTTCTGTAACTGGACGGGGGCAATTAAGCACCGGATCGAAAGGCATACGGTTTTCGAAGTATCCTTGCTTGAAGTCTGCAGCCTTCTCCTGGAACAGCTTCAGTGAGTAAAGGCCTCCCTCTTCAAACCCAAACTGGCCGTCACCGACTAGACATCGTGGGCAGTTCCACTCTGATCCTGGGTTGGATTTGAGGGGCGGGTCGACACAAGGACCGTGGTAAGCGAGGTCACATGATTCGCAGACTGCGAGCCAGCCGGCCTCTTCAGCTTTGCCACAGCTCTCACATCGCTAAAATCACTGTTAGCTGATGCCGGTGCATGCTTGAATGCTGAGTTCTAGGATGCCCGAGTGTAACATACCTCTCCTGGGGGTAAAGTCTCATCGCGAGGCACTCGCGGCCCAAGTGGGCGGAATAACGACATATGTGAGCCAGCAACAGTGGGAACAGTGTCTGAAGAGCAAGTTGTTAGTCATCTCTAATTCAGCACCAAAAGTAGGCCGTGGGAACGTTGCTCCTCTCGTGGTCTTCAACGTAGTGACCGTCCATCCTGAAGCTCTTGAGTGGGTTTGCGGCCAACCGCATAGGTTTCTATACTGTCCCCCATCCGATTGGTTCACCATCCGCTAGTCCGGGGTTTACGGAATGGACTGTCATACAAAATTCGGAAGTACCAGGCAGGGTTGCGCAAAGGGGGAAAAAGTGTTACGGCCAAGAAGAAAAGAAAGAAAAGAAAAAAAGGGAAGAGAAAATTTGCGTCCCAAAATCGTCCACAAAAGGTGTGAGATGATATTGGTGCATGATGGACGGGGTTAAATACTTGCCTTGCTTTAATCGCTTACTTCTGCGACTGCCATTATCTGCATCGTCCTTATCTGCACCGCCCTCCTTCTTGGCGATGTCGAGGCTATCGCAACTCAGTTGACGCTTGAGGGGATTTGTTAAGCCCAACGCAGAGGGACGGAAGTCTGGAGTATTCTTCGCTGATGACATGGGGCTTCCAAACTGCTTCTGTGGCGGCGGCGTGAAGTTCTTGACTTCAGCGGAGAGAGGCCGGTTGACGCTGGTAAAGCCTGCATTTACTGCAGTGAAACCAACTGGCCCTCCAGAGTTAATAGCCGTGAAGCCCCCGGATGTTGGCGCCGGGCCTTTGGGGGCAACTGGAGCATCGCCCACAACCCCATCGCGGTCGCTCTCTACCTTGACGCCGTGGTTCAGTGCGATAGTGGCTTGCAAGGCGTCCGTTGCGCTTCGTGCAGGCGAATCACCCCGCAAGCTTGACGGTGTATTAACTGCGGAACGCTTGATGGGACTCTGGGCCGGACTAGGGGTCAGCGGGCCACCATATTCAAATTCCAATTGCTGATAGACACCTGGTTTCGCCTGTCGTAAATAGTTTTCGTAGGGCGTGAGCCATCGATCGTATGAATTCTTCAGTGACGTTGATAAGGACGACATGATCTTGCCGCTGTAGCCCAGATCTCTGCCAATCTCTGCCCATTTCTTCATCTTGCAGACCTTATCGAATCCACCGCGGGCCTCGACACATTTCTTGAGGCGGTATAAATCGAGTGGCTTCTTGTCGACATAGGGCAATCTGTTGAGATTCGTGCCTTGTTGCTTGTGGAACTTGGCAAGAGCATCGAGATATGTGAGATTGGCTCGAGTACCTAGCAAAAAGGTCAGCCGTTTTCAGTGGCAAGTGGACGACAGTGGCCGACGAACTTCCTTCTACCGAGTTTAGTTCCTGCTTTCGTGTGCGAAAGTGGAATTTCTGTAGGAACCTCCATTAGCAAGTCTAGAGAGATGGACCCGAGTCTCGCACTATCGATCGCTGCATAGGATACGATGCGCGATGGTTCGGGTTGTAACAGTATAGGGGAACTGCGCACCTCGGTGTCGATGGCGAAGTCTGGATTCCACGAATCCGGGGGTATGATCTTGCACAAGCCATATTTCGAGGCCTCGGGGCTGATCCTGCGAATGTACTCAAAAGGATCTTTCCAGTCGTCGTCGGTGGGGCGATATGTAGGGGCTTCTTGCAAGCCGAAAGGGCGATTGCGTTTCGTGGTCTCCCTGCCCTGGGTGGGCTGCCCACGTCGCTCTACAGACCGGAGATCGAGGGGCGCGCTGCGCATTGAGCTGAGGGGCAGCTGAGGGTTGGCCGGGTGGTAACCGTTGCCGTTGAGTGTGATCTTGGGCTTCGTGGCACTCGTCGTGGACATGAGCCCAGCAGAGGAACCTACAGCCGGTGAGCCACGGCCACTGCCATTCAGACTGCCTGCGCCGCTAGCCGTGAGGCCCATCGTGGGTGTTTGCACCATGCTAGAGGACGAATTGACGAGCTGGGGGTTACAAAGAATATGTCGGGGACCTGCAAGTACGATTGCTCAAATGTTGGAAATAAACGTCTGACCGTCGCCATGCAAGTAGGGGAGTGAGGTGTTCACAGCCCAGATTGGCGCATGGCTTGAGATATTTGGTAAGTAAGTGCACAAGCAAGACTTGTAAAAGCCGATATGGCTGAGATGGCCAAGATTCCGAATAGACCAGACACACAGGGGACAGATTAGTGGGCTCGAAAGATGGAAGCAGGAGATTCGAGACGGGAGGGCCTTGGGGTGCGAAGGTGACAAAGTTTGCCCGTACGAGCGTTGTGTGAGAATTGAATGCTGAGAGTAAGGTTAGGGATGAGGGTGGCCGGCACCACATTTAGGTATGGGTATGGATATGGCCGTATGGGAGTATGGGACTATGGGACTATGGGACTATGGAATAGACAGGTACTGTACACACGGCGTCTGAATCTTGGTCTGGGTTCTCACAGGTGCAAGTACAGGTGCAAGGGTACGAGGTCTCCACAAAAAAAGGACCGGGAGGTGTCGTCCGACTCAGATGCAAATGCTTCTTCATTCAGCTGGCGCAACATGATGAAATCGGATCATTAAGGTGCAACCTACATAGACTAGGTGATAACACTGGATCGGCAGCTGTCACTTTCCGCATTGTATAATCGTCAAGTCATTCCTCCTCCTTCAACTGCACTCCCGTTGTTGCTATTGTTGTTGGTGTTGTTGTTGTTGTTGCTGTTGTTGTGATTGGCGAAAAGAAAAACAAAACTGAAAAAAATCCCCAGAGTTTAAACTACAATGCTACCTAGGTACCATGAATTGAGGTCAAGTGGATACGACTGATAGAACGGATATGGACGGGAGAGCAAAGCGGAGGGCAGGACAAGACGCAAATGCTTTGCACATGTAGTGGGCAGCGGCGACCGGCAAGGGTCAACGACGTATGGGCTTTGTCGGGAGATTTTACTAGGCTGGGTGCTGTGCATGTATTTAGTCCACAGACTGACAGTAGAGAGTCGAGACGACGGGTGTGGGGCTATCTTGTTTTGAGAAGAGGGCTTGGAAGCTCGGAGGCTTTGAAGTTCGTGCCAGATAAGTTGCTGGTCTAAAATTGTACGTACATGTATATGTGTATGCGCACAGGCACAGGCACAGGCTCAGTTAGTCAGACGATGCGACACGAATTATGGAAACTCCCCAGGTTCCGGGTGGGAGTCGGGTTGGGGGTTTGGAAGTCATACGTTTCGATTGATAAAAAATACCACTATTTCCGTACGTATAAATCACGATATGCACCCAAATGCATGCATGCGTTGTAAAGCTACAGCGGACGACATCAAATATGAAAAAGTTGGTCATGACGAGTAGTTACATGCTATTCCTATATGGGCAACCAAAGATTGCCGGTTTGGTGGGAACGCAAGATCAGCGAGCGCATGAATCGTTGATAAAGGTTCGCTACTTGCGGTATGCCTGCTGAAAAGGCAAACGGACGAACCGAGGGATCGAAAATGAAAACAGACCACGTCCCCATTTCAGGGATTGGTTGGTAGCGGGATCTAGGCGCATTTGGTCAAGGGTGGGTTCACGCCAGCAAGCTTGCCGAGCCTTGAGGTTGCACCTCTTCATCAATCAATCAATCTGTCTATCCATCTAAAGGGATCCCGAGCTCGTTGGGACAAGTCGCGAAAGTCCTAGCTTGGTGCACTTCTTGAAAAGCGGTGAGAATTGGTTCAGATACTAATTCCATGACCCGACGATTGATGGGATGCGGTCAGATTTAGCGATGCGGCTGCAGGCAAGGCAGGCGTTTGCACGGCACCTGACGTCGAGATGGCACTTTTGGCATTTTAGCACTCTGATATCGAAGCGGGGATCATCAGCCCTGGGTTGTACTCATGGATTTTCAAGCCAATGAGAAACGAGTGACGTTTGAAAAGGCGGGCCGCCTGACGAGACCCCCTGGAATGGGTAGAGATGGGCGATGGAAGCCGCACGAATCTGGGCACCTTTTCGAATTAAAAAATAAAAAGGCTCACCAAGCAGCGGAGTTTGATTTTGTGGGGCGATTACCGTACCACCAGATCCAGATCTGAGTCCCTCCAAGCCTACCAGGAGCCTCTCCAGGAGCCTCGATCCACGAACGGTACATACTCTGGATGACTAATAAGCAGATCGAGATGAGGTGGCTTTGCATTCGCATGTCATGGTATGGTGAGGAATGTATATATGCCAATTATAGTCGCATAATAGCTGCTGCAATGTGTGTCAGAAACGAGGGCAATCAATGTCTATTATGGGTAATAATAGACACGACGGCAAATTACATGAGCTTGCTTGCAGCTAACCAGGTAGGTTAACGGATTCTTAATAAGAGCCGCTGAAATCAAGCGGGTAGGCTCAAGCATCCACTGATTGTGAAATGCTGTCCAATATGTTTGTGCATTGCAACATCAACGCCATTAGTTACAAACTATGCTAATACTGAATCTGGTGGGATCTCAATTATCACAGATTTGTTCTCGAATACATGACCAGTATTACATGGCTCATGTATAATTGTGTCTGTCGCGATATGTAGCCGACATTTGCTTGGGGCATCGCCGTTGGCCAGTGCGCTCATTAAAAGGAAGGACATTTGACATCTGCCCCTCCAACGTTGCTGTGACGCCTGTCCCGTGCAGGTGAGTCGTGAGGCAGTAAGCATACCAAATGTCGTTTCACTTTCATCCTCTGCTGTGGCATCGCTTGTTGCCTGTCAGAAGTATCCGAGTTCCTGATTAACTGCGCATATTTTGTCTTCACATATTAGCAATTTAATTCATACGATGAATGCCACGCGCTTTGTAAATTACACGCCAGAACGACTCCCAACACAGCCTGGATGAGGACAAGACGTACAGAATGTCCGTTCTTGCTAAGCCGATACCCCCTTTATATACCGTCTACATCTTGCGGTCCACTGTCAGGCATGCTTCTCTTTATATTGGTAGCACACCACACCCCCCTCGGCGTTTGAAGCAGCATAACGGCCAGGCCAAAGGTGGCGCTGCTCGTACATCGCGAAATACGCTGAGGCCATGGGAGATGGTGGCCCTAGTTTCGGGCTTCCCTGGCTCAGTAGCGGCTTTGAAGTTTGAGTACGGAGTCCTCTCTTTCTAAAACCAGTGCTTGGCTGAGGCGACCTCTACTGATGGATACAGATGGGCTTTAACGAATCCACATTTATCTCTACACATTCCATCCGAGTCACGTATCACCATCGCGACGCAGAAAAAGCGCAATGGCCACCCCAAGCGGCCTCGCCACAGCCTGACCTCGATCCTCTCAAACCTTCACCTGCTTCTTCGAGTCGACAGCTTTTCCAGGTGGCCTCTGAGTCTACACTTCTTCGCGCCAGATGTCTACAAGGCTTGGAACAGGTGGTGCTCGACTGCCAGCGAGCCTTTACGGAGCAGCTTAGAAGCGTTTCCCGACTTCGCGCCTACAATCGCCAACGTCGAAGGCATCACAGATTCGGGTGCGGCCCCGGCACCTGCGCCATGGGGTATTCATGCTCTTCCTCTGGATTACGCTCCGCTCAAAGATTATGTTGCCAAGACTAACTCCATCTTCACATTCGAAAGGGAAGGCGACTGCGTAGTATGTAAAGAAGCCATAGGCCCTGGTGAAGGTCTACATGCCGCCTGCTATAACGACGGCTGCGAAGGTGTTGGTCATGTAACCTGTTGGAGTCAATATTTCTTAGCCGAAGAGCAGGCGGATCACATTCTTCCAGTGTCCGGCAATTGTCCCGAATGTGGCGGCAAACTCGTTTGGGGTGACATGATGAAGGAGATGACCTTGCGCTTGCGCGGACCGAAAGAAGTTGAGAAGCTGCTCAAGAAGCCACGCAAACGAAAAGCCACCTCAGTCGAGGAATAAAGATAATATACGCACCCAAAGATGCTTCTATATTACCAAATAGTACTCGGTGTCCCTGATTTTGGTTGTTAGTAATAGTCCGTCTGTCTCGCTAATTGCTACAATCGGCTACCAAATTATCATCATTCTTCTATACTACAGTTTAAAAGGTTCTGCTCGCAACTTCCAATGCATCACTCTGGGCGTGATTAGGCTTGCTGTGTGAACTCTTGTATTGACCGTTTGGTCGAGTTTCAGTAATGTTCGCGCTCCTGCCTTTCTGGGATGGTCTATCCCATCTTCCGCGAATGAGCAAACTCAAGCATTGCGGCAGTAGCATTCAATGGACAGCTCCAGCTTGGCAACTCTTGGCTAACGGCACACAAGCTTCGTTCAGGAAGCTCGTACATCAAACCGTCTTCTAGCCATCGTGAAATTTACCATGATTGGCTCAAGGACTGTTAAGCTTAACTCACTAACATTATTGAACGCACCGCCAAGCAACAAAGTCGCAAATTATCATCTCGCATTAGCTGTTCATAGATAGTCATTCATCCACTTGCCCCATCATTTGGCCATGAAGTTATGTTGCCTGCCAGTTTCGACCATAATGAAGATGACGCCCGTTACGCTCATCCATATTAAACGGAACCGCGGAGTCCAGAGGCAAAAGTTCAAGCAATGTGACATCCTTCATCAAAGATCCACCAGCGCGAGCCTTTCTGGGAGTACTTGAGTAGTTGACACCCCGTCGTTGAAAAACCACGGGCTTTCTGTCCTCTTTCGATTTTCTTTTGCAGGTCTACCTAAGCTGTCAAGGTCGCTATAATGGTCCGCTCACTCTTTTACGCCTTGGCTGCCCTTGCGGCATCAGCTGTAGCCCTTCCTCTTGACGTGCGCGAGAGATTGTTCACTATTGAGCTTGCACCAGGTGTTACGAAGGAGGTGACCGAGCCGGAGAAATATGAGTTGAAGGCTCAAGGTATCAGATTCTTCGACATCACCGAGACGGGACCGAACGCGGCGGATGTGAAGGTGGCAGCCGTCACGTATCCCACGGCCGTTCAACAAACCACCGCTGTCAACGCCCTCATCCCCAGCTTGAACCAGAACAACCTCAAGACTACGCTGACAACGTTCTCCAACTTCCAAAACCGCTACTACAAGTCTACTTACGGCCAGCAGTCCTCGGCTTGGCTGCTCCAGCAGATCCAGAACGTCATCACAGCCGCAAACGTTACAGCTGCTGTCAAGGCAGAGCCATTTACTCACACCTGGGGTCAGTCCAGCATCATCGCCACGATACCCGGTAAGACGACGAATGTTGTCGTGCTCGGCGCGCACCAGGACAGCATCAACCAGCGCAGTCCGCAGAACGGACGCGCTCCTGGCGCTGATGACGATGGATCAGCCACTGTGGAGCTCTTAGAGGCGTTCCGTGTTCTTCTGACCGACTCAAGAGTGGCTGCCGGCCAAGCAACAAATACCATTGAATTCCACTGGTACTCAGCCGAAGAGGGTGGTTTGCTGGGTAGCCAGGCTATCTTCAACAGCTATAAATCGTCCGGAAAGGTCGTCAAGGCCATGTTGAACCAAGATATGGCTGGTTACGTGGCACCAGGAACGACCGAGACTGTCGGTTTGTTCAGTGACTACGTCGATACCGCTCTGACAACCTTTATTGGAAAGTGCATCAAAGCCGTAAGTTCATGGTATTCTTCTGGTGGTAAATTAGACCAAGCTAATCATGGTTTTCTCAGTACACCAAGCTGCCAGTAGTTTCCACCAAGTGTGGCTATGCCTGCTCTGACCATGCTTCAGCGCGTAGTGCCGGCTACCCTGCTGCGCTGATCAGCGAGTCTGCCTTTGAGGACACCAGTCCTTACCTGCACACCACCGAAGACACGCTCGAGACAGTCAACTTTCCTCACCTTCTCGAGCTGGCCAAGGTCAGCCTTGGAGCTGCATATGAGCTTGGCTTCGCCACTTTGTAATATACGGAATGCAAGCCAGTGCATCGGCGCTAGAGAAACAGTGCTCCGATCATGTGTACATAGATATAATCAACGTATATGAATCAACTTATAAAAGTATCCTAGAACAGATCTTATTGGTGGCAGTGTTGTGAATAAGCCGTATTTGTGGTAGGTATGACGCAATGTAATATGCGACACTTAGCAGTTTGCGTTGCACGATCCGAGATATCCAGTATAATAAGTTATTGGGCAAGACCTGCATCCGCGGAAGTGGGAAAGTCAAACTGAGAGAACCACTTGTGGCAATGGTCGAAACGTAACAAAACGTCCATGGTGAGTCAGATTCATACTTTCAAGCTCTTTGGGTCGACAAAACCTTTGGTGCGATAGCTCAGTAGGCTTAAACATATAAATGAACGTTCTTCCCGAGTGTACCAGTGGGATTTCACTTTCGAATTACCATCATGAAAGCTACACATGCAACCCGCAAGATGGCGCCAAAGTTTTCACAAAACATCGAGACAGACCTGTGCTTGGACCCACTGACTGGTGAATTGTATAGAGGGGATGGCAAAACATACTTGCCATCGCAGCCATGGTTCTCAATGACAAATTGTGAGAGCCTGTTGGCAGATATCTGTAAATCTCACCAGACTGCAAATATCAAAACGCTGTCTCATTTCCTGAGAATCAACTACTTTGTACAAGCTCTCTCTCTTACTCTCTAATAATATATATGTCGGTGTCTTACTAATTAATTGCTACTAGACCAAACCACAAAGAATCCAACCGTTGAGCGAGCTGGTAGGACCCGGCAAGACCAGCCAGTTCGATGCTGTCCCAAAGCTAACGACCAACCCCAATTTGCACTTGAGCTATACCATTTCCTATTATGACGAGCTTCTCTTTCTCCAGCCCATACCGCTCTACATGCTCAGCAGCGATTTCTGGAAATGGCTCTCCTCAGCCCTGGACTTGAGAGACGCACTTACCACTGGTCGTGATCCGATCTACGAATGTGCACAGGACTTCATGCGCTCGTGGGCGGACCTGATCAGAACCAGGGCCGACTTCACTGCAGCCACGGCCAACAACCTCATACCATCTCACAGAACCGACGGCCAGCAGATCCTCTTCGAGGACTTTGTCGAGTTCATGACGTCGATGGGGTTTCACAAGTCCGCGGATCGGTATATCACCGGAAGATACAGGTATGGCCTGCTGCGGCAAACCCACTCTGATCGGGCCGCGGAGGCACACACGCACGGTCGGTTGCTGATGGAGCCGCCGAAGATGCCATGGAGCCACCTGGGGGCTCTCTGGGCGGTGCTCGCGATCTGCTGGGCCCTCGTATGGCTCCAATCGCCTGGCGGCCCCTTTGCGGCAGAATGTTGGACTGTTAGCTTCAGTGTCTTTGCGACGGAGGTGGTGGCGGCTTTGACTGTCTACAACGCCTTTGGACAGATAAACGGGTTTCTGAAATACAAGGAAGTCATCAAGTCCGGGGAGGATCGCAGGGTCGAGCGGTGGGAGCAGGCTATATTGCGAAAGTTGAATGCTGGTGTGTTCCAGCAGCAAAATTTGAAATGATTTCGTGGATGGATTGGCATTCGATATAGGGATTGTAATATTGCATTTGGTGAACTTGACTAAGTATGGCTCATGGTATATTTCTTGGTATGATCAACTGCTTGGAAAGATGGCGTAGTTGATACGGGTTTTCTTGTGGGATATTAGGTTGAAGTCTTTAACATTGCTGCGGTGTTATAGAGTGCATACCGAGAAGCTTCTTGGGTTTCAATCTGATTTGTGGCACTAGTTCAGACACATGCGTCCTCCTCATTAATTCCCAGCCAGTCTCGAGGTGAGGTGGATATGTTGCCCGCTCGCTTTGTTTTATTGCTTACAAGCTGCACTCCTTCGTCTTGAGTTAACCATGTACGACGACCGAGGGGATTTCGTGAATTTTAGGCATGCGGAGAACCCCTGTAGAGATCCTTGGCGCTGTGCCGTATATACACTTGATTGGTATGTGGCTGAGCCTAGTCTACCCTTGTTGACCGAGATGCATGTAAATCTGCCAAAAGTCAGCCTTGTCTATTCCAATACCCCAGAATGATGTGATTTGCCTTGTTGATATGTGGTTCTTAAGAACTGACGTTCGTCTTTCATCGATTCTCACGTTTCTCGATCTACCACAATCATTACAAGTTTCATCGACGCAATGACTAGCACATCAGAGGTTGACCCCCCTGCATACCCGCAGCAGGGGCTCGAGTCCTCGTTATCATATGATTCATCCACCAGAAAACTGTTACGCCTGGATGGCCAGACGCATCTACCGTCTCAGCCATGGATGTCTTTGAATAGCGATGAGCTGACGGTTCAGCTCCGGAAGGCGCATCAGGTCTCAACCATCGAAGTCCTACGTCGATTAATAACCGTGGATTCTTTCGTAAGTTTTAACGATGTTATTTACACCAACGACTCAAGTTCTGACTCAACTTTTTAGACAGAAGACTCGATAGCTAGTCCGCTCCCGCCGCTGCATGTGCTCACTACCATCAACGAATACGCTCTGAAGACAGCTACACACCCCGACCTTCATCTGACCCGCACTACCACAACCCCAGTCCAGTTGTACATCCAACCTCTGCCCATCTACTTTTTATCCACGGCATTCTGGGACTGGCTCAAGTGCAACTCCGGTCCAGAGTCGAACCACGATCTCTACATCAGCGCCTGTGGTTTCATGCGGACATACGCAGCACTCATCCGCTCCGAGACGGACTTCAACATCGCGGTTAGCCAAGAAGCCGGTCTGATCCCCGCGCAGAACAGCGAGGGCCGCGCCGTAACGTTTGAGAGTTTTGTCGGGTTCCTGAAGGATGCCGGCTTTGACCAGATGCAGAACAGCGACGTCAGCCCGCGCTGGCGACACGGAATACTCACCATCGGAAACCCTTCCAAGATCCAGGAACTCTACACCTATGGGTGCGTCGTGGCGGACCCAAGAATCGTCTTCTGGATCAGGCTGGTGCAGTTTGGGCTGTGTGCCGGCTGGATCGTGAGCCAGTGTTTTATCTATCGGTCCTTGAAGAAAGACGACGTTGGTGGCGGTGCTGCGAGGTTCTTCATCAGTTTTGCAGTGTTGCTGTTCTCGCTGTTCGTTGCCAGCATTGTCAAGGCCCAGGCGAGGAAGTCTGCACGCACACGGGTCGGCGAGCAGACTCAGGATGGCAAGAAGCAGGTGAAAGACGCCGATGTCGAGAAAGGGTTGAGCCAGGGGGTATAGAGCTGAAGTACACCAAATTCTCCACCTCTTGAACCTAAGAGCATTGTATACCTCGATACGTCGCGGCTCATCTCATATCATTTGTAATACCATGAAATTATTGGCTAAGGAAACAAGGCGAAGTAATTGGCGTTGTGGCATATTGAAGGAGTATTAAACATGAAGATCCAGATGTTATGGTAGGAAATATTGATATCTGGAAGACCAGAGTTTCTTAAATCCAGACGTGATATTATTGATCACTTAGGCAAAGATACCTTGGTGCAGAGCAGGATTTTCGCCGAACGTGCTGCCACTTCACCATCTTGTTGTTTACCAAACAACGTCGAACGCCCATCAACAAGAGTGTGGCATCATTGGTATTCCGGGGTCTGGGGAACATTGTGGTAGGAAATTACGGGTTTAATCATTGAAGTCTCAGCGTTAAGTGGTAGAACTAATATCAAGCACGTCCCCTATATTCGTAACCTTCTTACTACAGGCTGACCTACTATAATACAAAATATAACAAGAAGTCTTTTGAGTCGAGTGGGTGATCTGGTCGCTGAAAGGAGCCTTACTTGAGAATAAAAGAACAACACTAGGTAATTATGGTCATATCATTATCATAAGGCTCATGTACAACTACTGCAATCGTTGTGTCTCTCAGGTGGGCGTTAGAAATCGGAGAATGCCAGGGATAGTAATAATAATTCATCATCAACTACAAATTACATGGATACTTTATGTGAACAACAACATGAAGAGCACTTTAACGAAGGATTCTATTGGCTATCTCTAGGGCGCCCTCGCTTTAGCTAAGTCCGTCTCTTCCCAAGAATGCTGAATCCTTCAAAGTCCTCCGCTTCATCGTACCTCCTGAGCCCTCGTGAAACCCGATGTTGGTATTAGCTCACAACATCTAGCATGCTGCCGCAGGTTGTCTAGCCAGTGTACTTGCAGGTGAGCGAGCCACCAGAAGTGCTGCAGTCAGTAAGGACCTGGCTGCTGCTGGAGTCCCTGATATCGATGATAGTACCGCCCTGAGGAGTGACAGTGCCAGCAGATCCGGTAGCCGAGGCACCGGTGAAAGTCACGGAACCAAAGTCGGCGAAGGGAACCAAGCTACCACCAGACTCGAAGTCCTCAACAATCCATTCAGCGTTGGTCTCGCAGAGAGTGGAGGGAGTGCTGGTGAAAGTGTGGGTGACCTTCTGACCAGTGGTCAAGTTTTCGAGGATAGCGACACCCTTTGTCTTGGACGAAGCATCAACCTCCATGTAGATCTTATCACCGACGCTGATGTCGAAGTTCGAGAAGGAGTGAGAGTAATCGGGAATCCACTCGTACCAGGCGTCGAATGTGCCGTCTCCGTAGAAAGAGACACCAGTCTGGAGAATGGCGGTGCTGCAAGTGTCACCGTCAATGCCGACCCATGCGGAGGCAGCGGAATCGCTGTCTCCAGAGACACTGGGGACAGTGATAGTGCCAACGACCTTGGTGAAGCCCTTGCCGATCTGAACGGAACCAGCCCAGTTGCTGGAGTACTGGGGGTAGCTAGTGTTGCGCATGTTGGGGGCCGAAATGTGCTGAGGACGGGCGGAGCGTGCTCCATTGCGGCGGGCGAATCGTCCGGCAATGTCAACCTCCTGGGCAGGCTGAGGCAGAGCGGCCGCAAGGGCGGCAGCGCCAAGGAGAGCGAAGGTGTACTTCATTGTAACGATTGAGCAATGGAGCGGAGGAGGCAAGATGGCAAGGCTTGGCAGGAGATTGAGGGTTCTGAGGCTTGGTTCTCGGAGACTGTCCTGGGAAATCAAAGCTACGAAAGCTCGCTGGCATTATAGTATTTATAAACATCATGATCGGAAGTCGTAATCAGTGTTGACATAACGTGAGACTGTCGACCATGAACTAGACTAGAAGCTATTCCCTCTTTCGCAGGTGACATGTGACTCGAATGAGGCATATTCATGCAGTCGTGTCATGATATCTGGATCATTCTCTTGAGAAGATTATACTTAGTTGAGAAGGTGATATCCCATGAGGGCGGAAGGAATCCATCTTTGCCATGGGGCTCTCTGCAGTTTCTCGGGCTAGTAATCTGCGGTTGAAAAGGGACGCATGGCCGGTCCATCGGCAGTCTCGTTTGGATTAACCACGCTGGTTTGCGTGATCAACGTCAAACGGCAAGGGGATTTAGCCGTTCAGGGGTTGGGCAATGGGATGGGTGACTGGCCAATTAGGATGTAAAAGCAGTCCCACAACTGGAAATGTCAGCTTTCTAGCGCCCACCTGGTTCTCCATCTCAAGTGTTGGGCTGGCATCATGAACTCAGGACATATTCGTTCTTTCACGGCCGTTTCATTCGTATGTAAACTTCCGAAAAGTTGATTTCGCAACCATTAAATCGACATCGAAGTTGAATCAATAACTGCAAGTCGCTATACAGATCTCAAGACCACCTCCGAATTGTTCTGCTTGGCCGGAGTTGGAGGTTCGTTAGGTGGCATTGCAGTCGCTAATCTGCACCCTGCAAATTGAGGAAAGCTTATTTCATGCCAAGATAAGCTTGTTTTTAAGCCTAGCGACGGATATTACTTGGCGATCTTCACCTGTTAGAACTTAGAGCGTTTCTGGAAAACATCTCTTAGGACGATTAGAGAAGGTGTCTGACCAGAGTAGCATTCGTGTCCGGAATCAGTACCGTGAGTGCTCGGAATGGAACCAGCTCAGGTTCTAGCGTCGGTTCTAACCGGCCAATCTTCATGGCTTACCATCCAGCTAGTGACGACCCACTACGCAGCCAGTGCCTAGCATACCATCCCCGTGCCCCAGATCTTGGCTCCTTGGCTATCTCGAACAGTGCTGTCCATCAACGCAGAGCCTCGTCATTGGGGCAGTGTAAATGCCTTGCCGACCGCCCGGGAAGGAGCCGTGTGTCCTTCTCAAATTGGCCAAGCGCCTATACATGACTGTTCCATTCATGATGCCTCCACCGGCATCGTCCAGGTCGGAACTTAATTCTTCGTATAGCACGATGTGATAATAATGGATATTGGTAAATGAGTGGATAACGATGAGTCAAGCGATTGCTCCGGTAGACACGAGTGAAAGTGCTGGGTTGGAGGCATCTGATCGTATATTTCTGTGCTTGGTTCTTATCAAATCTGCTTATTTCAAAAAAGTTCAAGAGCTAAGACACTTCTCACACTAATCGCCCTTCGTCTTACAAACCAGTTGAACAATGGTGCGTTCACAACCGCATTTGGGAAACGGGTGGCCATCGATATCATTCGGTCGCAACGAATTTTGAATCCATCGGTTTTTTATGAAGGTGAGTCGTATTTACTTGCCAAGTGAAAGACACATTGACTTGAGTGCCACTATTTTTAAGCCTTTCGAGTCAGCTCCGGAACTTTACGCTCCTGAGGCTAAGGTAAATGTGAGATATGTTGAGGTTCATCCAATCCCGGGCTATATTAAACCAGCATCAAAGTCGAAAGACGTCAAACCTATCTTTGACAATCAAGTCTTGCCAGGTAGTCTGTTCATCACCGCGTGCTCGCTTTTCCCATATGTCGTATATCATTTCCTCCAGGATGATAATGTTTCTGAAGCCAAGTCTTCTTTTTATCGCAAACCAGCTTCGCATCCGGCGTTGCTGGTCCGTGGTGCTGCATTCCGCACCCAACACGAGAGGTGCCCACATCATAACCGAACCTGATGTCCCCTTCGTTGCAGCTTCGATTGCTTCCAGTTGCAGCAGACCCTTCTCAACAAGCGTGTGCACAGAAGAGATCGCCGCGCGTTGAACAGACCGCTGGTAGTATACCAACAATGCATAGTAAAAGGCCTGCGTCATATAGTGTAATATAGCTGTGTGAGCCGCCGATTGTGTACCACCGCTGTTCGAAGGAAAGTCTAGATAAAGCTGAAGCTCAATGGCGTCTAGCTCATTCTGATTAGGTGTGCTGGTTGAAGATGCAAATGTGTTGATGTAATCTAGATGTCTCAGGAACGACTGTGATATTCCGTAGTACGGAAAAGAAAGTTCGAGCTTCTCTGCATCGTCTTCCAAAAAGGTTTTGAGCTCAGCTGGCACTTGATACCCGCAGAATATTGCCATGGGGACCAGGTGGATCTGGAAGGCCAGCGAAACCTCTAAGCCGATCACCGTCTGCCGTAACTCACTAAGGTATGCTAAGGCACCATCAAGATGGGTTCTCCACCGGCTCGTGTTGCCAGAGATAGCTTCGATGGTTATGCACTACAGCATTCGGAGTTAGTAATTGTTCCTCTAGGATGGGCTAAGGGGTCTTTGGGAGCATTATAAAAAAATCATCAAGAAACAATTGACTTCGATAGGCAATATCTGGTCTGTAGACATGCTAGAAAAAATAGCAAACGATTCTGAAAGTTGCTTACTGCCATGATTGCCATACCCAAAGACTGGGTGCGTTGTTGGTCGGCTTGGACAAGGTTGTGCCGCAAATGGTGGATGGCTAGTTCATCATGCCTCCAAGCAAGGGCCTTGTCTTCATCGGATTTTCTCCCGCCCAGTTCGAACAAATTATAGGCCGCACCCGCACAGATGGCGTGAAAGACAGCTATATCCGCTGTAGAATCATTCCACTTTGACATGAGCCCTTTAAGGGCCATTGGTAACATCATTGATCGGCATGGGTTATGGGCCTCGTCGACAAGGACCAACTTCCCACTAGTATAAGCAACCCAGTGGTGTATCAATCGTTTCTCCGAAGAAGGTATCTGGAGCATATCTAGGTGTCTCGGAGGTTGCTGTGCAATAGGCTGTACTGGGCTAGTGCGACCCAAGTCATGGATGTCCACCGCCGCATTGCCACGGCCATGACGATCCTGCGATGGCAGTTCGGCATTCTCAGCAGTAAGGGTGCCTGCTACTATTTCCTTCGCGTTATGCGCAAGTGCTGTTAAGTTCAAGTCGCCTGCATTGGCCACGGAACATTGAGCAAGGCTGAGTTGATTTTGAATAGTCGAACTGTTGGACAAATTGGCGCCAGGCCGCAGACTGGCCGGATGGGACGCCGTACTAGTCTCCGATCTGTCGCCGCCCGAATTTCCGCGAGTGTCAAGCTCAAGTATGGAGGTCACTGCCTTTGGCGGCTGCATTGGAAAGACCGAGAAAACGCCATGCTCAATCCTGGATGATTCGGAAGGACAATCATCAATCCGATTTAGCATGGCATCAACCTCAAGATCTGACCAAAGTGGAGCTAAGCAGGCCTCGGGATTGTCAAATACCCGCATGTTGCGTCTCGGCCGGGAGGCTTCGTCGACTTCGGCACTGAAGTGTCCTTCACGCTGGCTGGTTAACCAGGTAAGTCGTACGCCATAACCCTCGCACTCGACGCCGAACAGCCTGCACCTCTGACATTTTGGCGTCTGCTCATCGCATTTGACCCGGCGGGACCTACAAGTCCAGCATCCTGTGAAGGTCTTCTTACGTTGCTTGCTTCCATAATCCATAAATTTGGAGCATTGAGAGACGGAACATTGTAGAGTGCGGGTGATAATAATTAAGCAGATAAATAAATCCACGGCAAGCAGAAGCGAGAATGTCTCGGCGTCAAAAGCACTTGCGAAAAGGAGAGGCTTGTGTTATGCCGAAAGTGGCTAGTCAGTGGACCCTGTCCCAAAAGAGAGGGCACAGAAATTCCAGGGAAGGCAACGCCGACTTAGCTTATTTTTGGTCGCTTTCAATTGCCCACCGCGGATTCTGTGCGTATTTGCCAAGCCAAATAATGACTTGGATTAATTCGCTTTGGTTATTCAACGTACTATGCACTTTACCTAAACAGAAATAATATCATTCGACTAGCGCATCATGCCATTGGTTTGCTCGCTGTGTCCTTCCTGACCACAGCTATGGGCTAACAACTTGAGCATCTAAACACTTGGCACTCGCTCTCATGAACCGTGACATTAATTTGTTACATGAGATGATGTTCGGCAGCTTGCCACGAGAGCCAGGGTGCTCCAGTCAGAGGAGATGAATTCATTTCGAAGATCTGGATGCTGGACTTCCTCTAACATAATATATAACCCCATCTGCCACCACTGAATTGAGCTCACTCTGGTTCTACCATCAACCTCCGCTTATAATACAGGCGGAAGCGTAATTCTTGGCACCCTACCTATGCACAGTCTGGCCAATCTCAACGTACTCACCACCCAGACCATCATCAGTTTACCTCAACTTGACTACCATGAAGCGACGCCATAGTACGAAAGCCGACTTGGCGCCACCATCAGCAACAGTACATGCTGTCCTTGACGATGAGGGCGTACCCCTAAATCACTTCGAGTTTGGTGGCTCTCTCGGGAATGCAGCACTCATCGTCGGATTCCCATTGCTCATGTGGTACATGTTTGTTGCTGCCAAATACTACGATGGCCGCTTACCACTGCCAACTGGCGGAGAATCTTGGACAGAATTTGTGCGGCATATGGTCGGTCTGGCATACGCTGGTGCTTACCCAACGCGCAAAGCCTGGCTCATATATTGGTCGTTCTTTGCCCTGGAAGTATTACTCTACTACACCTTACCTGGAGTCACGGGTTATGGCAAACAGTTGCGTCACGAAGGTGGACGACAATTGAAGTACTTCTGCAACGCTTATATCAGCTTCTATACCACCATACTCATCGCAACCCTCCTTCACATCAGTGGGATCTTTCCTCTCTATACTGTCATTGACGAGTTTGGACCTATCATGACAGTGGCCATCTTCTCCGGATTCATCAACAGCATCGCTGTCTATGTGTCTGCAATAATCGGCCAGAGGACCCACCGATTGACCGGATACGCAATCTACGATTTCTTCATGGGTGCTGAACTCAACCCCAGGCTTGGAATTCTCGACTTGAAGATGTTTTACGAAGTGCGGATACCGTGGTTCATCCTCTTTTTAATCAGCTCTGCGGCAGCTGCCCGTCAATACGAATCATACGGTTACGTCTCGAAGGAAGTCGCATTTATCGTAATGGCACATTTCCTGTATGCAAATGCATGCGCTAAAGGTGAACATTTGATAATCACTTCATGGTAAGTCTGTTCTAGCTTGAGGGTACCTGAGTTAATGCTGATTTGATATTAGGGATATGTATTTCGAAAAGCTAGGATTCATGCTGACATTTTGGAATATGGCCGGTGTTCCTTTCTCGTACTGTCATTGCGCTTTGTATTTGGCGAGCCATGAACCCTCAGAGTACCATTGGGGCATATGGCCGCTGGGAGCCTTGGCTGTGGCTTATCTGTTCTTCTACTGGGTATGGGATACTGCGAACGGCCAGAAGAATGGATTTCGGCAGATGGAGCGAGGCCAGCTACTGGATCGCAACACCTGGCCTCGCTTGCCATGGCTGGTAGTGCGGAATCCGAAGGCGATCGATACGACGACCGGAGATCGAATTATGGTCGATGGCTGGTTCGGAGTTGTGCGCAAGCCACATTACACAGCTGACATGTTCTTCGCAGTCTCGTGGGCGTTGGTTACAGGTTTCAAGTAAGTCGTCCACTCATGCGCTTGACACGGACCAATATACGAGCAAACCTCCCACTGACACTTTAGCAGAAGTCCCTTACCTTGGTTCTATCCAGTGTTCTTCTGTATCATGATTCTTCACCGTACGAGGCGGGACATCCATAAGTGCAGGAACAAGTACGGCGAAGCATGGAAGCAGTATGAGAGAGCCGTGCCTTACCTTTATGTACCCGTAAGTAACCACTCCAACAGATTTTATTACTTGTCTCTATTGAACAATACTAACAATGTATAGTACCTGATATGAAAGATGGCATGCATGGATGGCCACTTATAGCGCAGGACTAGTCCGGTGTGATCACCGCATCATCGTCTACCAGCGTCGCGCCGTGGAAATAATATGTACAATTCCCCTGATGAGTTAGAGAAATACAAAATTGCTCAACCGTCATCTCATACCAAATTCCAAAAAGAATTCTCAAGTAAAGTCCATAGTATTGAATCAAGAATTCCCAACGTCTTCAATGACGACTAGGAAACCACTGTCGGTCATGGCATCATTCTCGTTCCAAGTCAACTGATAAACACCCGTATCGGTAGTGGACGAAGCCTAGAACTGAGACTCAAGTTCAATGCTGTTGTTCTACACAAACTGAGTAGCACACAAAGCGCAGCCAGAGACCGTTCGGTTGATGTCAGCTGCAGGAGTGATAGGGAGAACGCCGAGCGAGTAGTTAGCTGCTGGTCGGATGTAAAGCGAGCTGGCGGACGTCTTTTTTCTAAAGGCGGCATTCGCAATCCAGTTCTCACCAGTGATTGAAGCGAGATCCCGTCTCAGTTCTGCCAGGTTGTATAATATATGGACGATGAAAAAGACGTCTTTCCAAACTACCTACGAGTACCCCATGCTGATGCAGGTCACCGATGGCAAAGACACGTGAACTTCGAAGTGGCAGGTCATCCAGCTCCCCAACGCGGATGGCCACTCGCCCTTCGCACAGGACCACCCCATGCACCCGCACGGTCATGATTTTTGGGTCCTCGCCTCAGACTATACAAAGTATCACACCGGGTCAGGCCTGCAGTTGAATAACACCCCGGGACGGTATGTCGCCATGATGCTGGAGAGTAGTTACTTGGGCATTGCTTTCAAGACCAACAACCCATGGCGTAAGTACTCCCTTCCACATTCCGGTTGGCTCAAGCCGACCATATTTCTCGAAGCCCAACAACTGACATCCATTTTAAGCCTGATTAAAGCACTGCTACGTTTCTTGGCACACCTCTGAAGGTTTCGCCATGCAAATTCTGGAGCGGAAGTACGAGATCAGCTATGACTATGATGTGCTGAACAGCACTTGCACCAACTGGAAGAGCTACGTAGCCGCGCAGGGCCTGATTGAGTATGATTCAGTAGTATAAAGTATTTAATATAATATTAGGAAGATGAAACTACTTCCTCAGAATGTAACGACTCTAGCAGGATATTTCTAAAGGCAATGAATGGGGTGCCCGTAACACGTGTACCATAGCAATGATCTTAAGCGGCTGACGTGATATTGTACAGTTAAAAATAAAGTGAGATGTTCTACCTCTGCACACAGTAAACTGCCGTATGATGAAAGCATGACTAGCCTTACGGGAACAATTGGCTTTCCACTTCGCACAGCGTGTTGGGTGGTGGCAGTATTCCATTGACGAAGTAGTCGCTGATGGCCTTCGAGGTGCATGCCGATTGCTGACCCAATGAGGCATGCTAGCCGTTCACGAAGAGTTAGCATACAGGCTTGCCGAACCACAATGAAGGGCTGCGAACTAAGAAATATCAACTTACCCCAAATCCGTGTTGCTCGAGCACGACACTGCCCTCGAATGCGGCACTCATTGTGTGTGCAGACACAAGGGGCGTCGCGGGGTCCCAGGTGTTTCCGATGAACAGGATAGGATTGCGGGTTTTGACCTTGAAGTCACCCGTGTAGCGTTCCTTCGCCTCGAACGGCCACTGCGCGTAGAGGGTGTTATGCGCCGTGGTGAGGCCCCAGAAGATAGGGCTGGTCTGTTTCGTGTGCTCGATATCTGGCATCACGTCTTCGAGCTTGCTGTATCGCGGGATCGTGTCACCGCCCTTGATTCCGTATAAGGCCTCGGGGTTGCCCAAGGCAATCCCCGAGTAGGCTTGCTGAAAGAATTCAACCACGGCCTCTAAGTTTTGCTGATTGAGGATATCCAAAATTAACGGCGCCGTGGCTTGGAACAGGCCTGCCTCTTTGATTGAAAGATAGTAGGTGTTCATAATGAAGTTATAGTCGATGATAGTAGTGTTGACCGTGATTGGAGCCGTCTTGAGGTCGTTGGCCAGACCCAGGAGAGTGACTTGGAGATCGATTGCTGTAGAGTTCAAGTGAGACAGCGCACAGCGGTCTCCCGCTTTGATGCACTCTCCCAAGGCTGCTGTGAATGTAGCATCGGCTGCTGAAAGCTGATCAACATCACTTTATGCAGATTAGCCAACGTGCTTGTGCTCGAAGCCTGTGGGGTTTGCTTGCACTTACATGCCGGTTCTGTGATAGTAGTTATGTCCATTCACAACCCCATCTAAAATGATCTTGTCCATTCTGTCGGGAAACATAGCGGCTACCGTCTCACCAAGTACCGAGCCATAGGAGAAACCTTACGATCAGGTTAGCGGACGATTGACCCCTCGGTTCACTCATGAGCCTTACCCCAGAATCGAAGCAGACCGTCTTCCTCGATGGCATCGACAACCTGCATCAAGTCTCTCGCGACGAAGGCGGTACCAATGAGTCCGGATATATTCTGCGCTCTCTCATGACATATGTTTGCCAAGACTTTGGAGCTGGCCCACAACTGGCCAATGACAGTATCGTATGCATCACCCACAGGGAAAGGGTACGTGGCGGTAGCAATTGTCCTCTCTAGGCTGCTCTCGAAACAAGAATAAGCCAGTGCAGCTCCCGTACCTCTGCGGTCTTCCAGTCAGTATGTATTGCGATCCTAGCGGTTTGTATGAAAAGAAAAGTCCACTGACCGTGGGTCGAAAGCGACCAAATCATGGTAGCCACCGGTGACGCTAAAGTCGTGTTAGAGGAAAACGTTGTGTCAATAGAAGGCTGCAAATACTTCTGAAGGTATGCTCCGAGGCTTGCGAGACTCTGGATGGCTTCATAGCCCGGGCCTCCAAAGTTGAACAATATACTACCTCGAGAGGGCGCATTGATCGCAGGTACTTTCACTAGCGCGAGACTCAAGGTTTCGTGGGCGCTGGAGTCGGTATAGTCCAGCGGGACAGCCAGTGAACCACATTCTATCGGTAGCGTGCCGTTGAACGCGCAGGGTCCCCAATTGATATTTCCAGACGTCGAATTCTGAGAAGAACGATGGTGCAGGGGCTTCGATATCGCGCCGCAGGCAAAGGCAACCAGCAAAGCCAGCTGGTTTCTCATCATCATAAAAGGCTTTTAAAAGTAGATTAAATGTGCTGTCGAGTTTGCGAAGTTGATTTACAGCATAGGGTAGGTAGTGTCCAGGAGCTCTTTATACCTCTCACGGCCGATGGCTGTGCCTCGTCAAGGGAATTGGAAAAAGCACGAACGGCCGGGTTGAACTAAACTCAATTTCCCAATGGCTTACATCGAGTAACAATACTTCGGCAAGCTGCCAGTGAAATTACGCTTACCATGTTGATCGGTTTCTTGTTATGGCCTTCTTCCATGGTATAGCAGGAACGTGATCAGACCGTGCTGACTGCGGCTGTGCACTGAAGGACGACTATTTGGCTGAGAGCCCTAACCAGATCGGGAGTATAGAAGTATTGTGTACATCGTTTTACCGCTTTTGGACAAAGTCAGCATGTTGAGCCATGCACGACTGTGCCCACTTATATAGAGCAACATCTGAACTTCCGATCGGCCAATTGGCACTTTCTTTACGCCGTATGGAGTGAGTCTGAATGGTTCATTCGTCGCTTTCTCGCGCAACATTCGGGTGATTATTTGCATGACGCTACCCAGCTTGACTCATCTTAATTCAAGCCAGTCGAACTGCTCAAGTAGGATAATATCGGTACTCGGGTATTCCCAAAATTAGTGAGAGGATTTTGAAATGCCTTGACATAGGACTTCCGATTGAGAACAGCTCACTGCACAAATCGGTGGCCCGCCGCACTAGAATAGTATTACTGCGGTGTCCGAAATAGATAGCCGGTAGGCAACATCGAGGGAACAGCCCGTTGACCCGTCTTATACTAATTCTCACTTATTCCCAGACACTATGTAATTGTAGCATGTTCATTAATTAGATTCTGAAGTATTTTATTTTTCCACCATATTTTGATTATCATACTACCATTTGACACTTACGAAGCTTTCCCCAAATTTTAATGTTCAAGACACGTACCCCCGACTTTTGTGCCCAACGCTTGCCAGCCCCCCCTGCGCCTCACCTGGCAGCCTGGGCATGCATAGCTTCCAACGTAATTTTTTTGCACCCAGACCATGTGCAACGGTATGGCAATTCGACTTCTCTTTAGTGACAAGATTTGTTGCGCACAACCATAAATTTAAGCGTTACCGAACGAGGCTCTTGGCATATACACTTCAAAAATGCTTCACGCCGGTCTGACTGTTACGAAAAGGCAGATTGCCTTGCTGGTGGTAAGAGGCGTGTGAAATCATTGCTGAATTTGATGCTATCGTCATATAAGCACAGCAGTACTGTGATTCTCCCCTAGCTCTTGCGACCGTGTCTTTAGCAGCGAGACCTTGGTTCACTCTGGCCCTACTTTCGATTATTCATGTTGGTTATTTCAGCTCAAGCAAGACTTCTTCGGTTGGGTCACTGCTGGTAAAAAAAAAAAAAAAAAAAGAAAACACTTCTGCCACTTATGACGCCAACCACAGGTATTTTTTTTTTGGATAAGGTGTATAAGTGAATGAGGGGAATAAGGGGAGTGAGGGGAATTTCGATGGGTTTACAATCGGTAGAATTTCGAAGCATAGTAGCTTGCTCATTGAGACTCAAATAGACCACTAAGACTGTCTATGACAAGAATTGTTCTGCGAATGTTGGAGCTCCACTTCAACGTTAGTTACACGCAATTCTTAACGAATCATGTGCCAGGAAGCTGTATGCGTCACGGCTATAAACGTGTCGAAGCACCGCTAGAAGGAGTCTTGAACGCTGGCCAAATTCTCATAACTCAGTGTACATTGTCAACCAGCTACTTTAAAAGGTACCGTTCGGCTACCGCTCTGCGGCTCTCTGACACAAATCAATGTGCTGCACCGCTTTTTCGAGGAGATCCTGCGCGTACAGTCGATGCAGCTTCTGGGTCCACTGAGGAGTCGTCTTGAAGTCCGGTTCTGCCTGGCCATTCGGATACAAGTGATAACACTCAAGCATCACATATGTAATCCTCGCAGTATCCTCAGAGCTTTTCTCCACTATCAACTCGTGGAAGCCGCCCAGCATGAACCGCCATGGGTAACCATAAGAAGCAGCCTTGTCCGCGACGCTGGCGACATGGCTAGGAAAGCTCCAAAAAGTCACGATGCCCGCGGAGTCCCCGGAAGCAGTTCTGATTGCTTCTTCGTTGGTAGGAAACTCGGCCACGGGGTATGAACGCGACAGCGAGACGGAAGGTGGCGAGATGTCAGACCCGCCCCTCATGCTCCATACGCCCAGCACATTTGTCGACAGGCCATTTGCCTTGCCGTAGAGTGGTGTTCCCGGCTCAAAAGACGAACACACAATATCATCCTTGAACAAATGTACGGACTCTGGTCTTTTCGCTCTCGCATCACAAAAAGCTCGCATGAGCTGCGTCGCCAGGCTCTTGGCATCGTTTTCCTCCGTCCCGTAAGCAGAGAATATAGAAAGCGGTACTTCTTTCTGGATGGCAACACAGTACGGCACCCAGCGGTCCCGTCTCGTACCGGTCCACGCGGCTACCAATCGTGGCTGATACGAAGAGTTCAAGGTTGTCCCGAGGGGTTCCCCTACAGTCTCGATGAAATGTTGACAAGCGCTGCCTCGAGGTATCTGCTGTACAGAGATCGAAGGACATTTTCGTTCGAGATCGCGCGCCCGAACATAGAGCCAGCTCCCTCCCAAGGCGCATAGACCAGTGGAAAGCGATATGAGCGGCCGTCGACGAATGAATGCCATTGTGATGCAGCTATTAACTGTGTGAAAGTAAGAGTATTTGTATTAGGTCCTCGTGGTATATGGCCGTTGTCCTCCCTCTCTAATGCCAATTTAGAGATATTCAACGAGAGCATCCAGGTCTAGCTAGATCCAGAATAATGTAATAGCAAGATCATGGACTCTGTCAAAGTCATACGACTCGGGCAGGCTACCCGGTTTATTACCGGTAGGAATCGGGGCCGAGACAATCCTCCGGTAAAATCTGACAGTGGGGTTTCAGCACTGCAACTTTTGGAATCTGTGAATATGATAGCGACATGATGGTGATTGCAAATAAAATGTACTTATTTGGATACAATTCTGCATTTATTTTATATCATCAAGCAGTCCACAACCACGGGGTATTGTTTATCAAATACACAAAGCATAAGGCATGGTATTGACATGGTTCCTTCTTTACTGTCGTTAATCGTCAATACCCAAGGCGATTCTGGTATCACTAGGATCTGATCTGAACCACGTGAAATTCGTTTACTCTGCGCGACTTCCTTGATGGCCTGTTTCTCGCTTCCTCCACGTTCTCAGCACTGAAGGCATCTGTGCACCTTACGTCTCCCAATGGCATTCTCCCGTTGTAGCAGTCCCCTAGCAGCATGGCCCGTACCCAGCCGGGGCTGGCAAGTTCGTGTCTAAACAAGCACGGTCTATCATACGTTCCCCAAATAGTCATAAAATTTCTGTGTAGAGTATGTCCTTCGGTGAGTGGCACGGCATCTAGTAGCTTATACATGCTGATGTGCACAATCCAGCCCTGCTCTGGTTCGTGTGTATATTTCTATGCTGGTCATTGCGAAGCACCATGTTGCGTCTCTCGGTAGAAATGAGAGCTGCGGCAGGATAAGCTCGGGTTGCACGGTGAGACTGCAGGATTCTTGCTTAAACCAGCCTCTGTGAACTATAGATGTTTCCTACTTTAGGATTGGATTATATTTCAGTCTAATTGTCGGGATTGAAGCGTTTCAGGCAACACCAGAGGTTTGAAAACAAAATACGAAGATGTTGAAATACCATGGAGCGCTCCAGCTCATGCCATTTCACCCAGTCTCGTGGCCATCGAAAATAGCGTATCTCATCCGTATAACCTCTTCAGTTTTACACACTACCGGATCTGCTGAATTGAACATGATAATAGCTGTATGCGCTACTGCATTGGCCCCACGTCCGGTTCACACCAAGAATCAACATACTACGTAGATCTGCTGTCTCTACCAAAGCGCAAGTTGCGATTATTGGAGGAGAAGGCCAACCCTGAATAAGAAAATCATCATCTTTTATCACTGTTGGTAGATCGAGAAAGTGAGCGCTTCAAAAGCAATTTGGCCGATCTGACGCATGTATCTCCTAAGCCCTGCGCATCAAAAGCAGGCGTCCAACATGTGTTTTGCTTCATTGCATTCATATCTCAAGTCCTATGTCGACAGTGGCTTCGTCTTGCGCGCGCCCTTCAGTTTTTTCTTTATTTTTCATTATGCAGTTTGAGGTTTCGCCGTTTCACAGGCGTCTATTTCGATTTTCCATCAGGGATGGCGAAAAGAACGGCCTTGCCGTCGTTCTCGTTGGCAGCCTTGTCCACTCTGTAGTATCCACGTCTTTCCAGCTGAATGATATCATCCTTCTTCAGATCCTTGACGCCCTCGTCGCACCAAGCCTCCTCCATCTTTGCTGTCTCGGGGTTCAGGAATTTCTCCAGTTCGTCCTCCTCTTCCAACTTGTCCTTGGTAAGGAGATAGTCGAACTCCCAGAGCTCAGCCTTGACGAGCTCCTGGCCTTGAGTCGACAACCAGGTAACCTTCTTATCGGTGGAACGAACGTCACCCTTCAGGTTCAGCTCGCATGTGATTTGGTCAATTGGTTCGCCTGATGAAATGGCTCGGACGATGGCGTTGCCCCACTGCATGAGAGTAATCTCCTCGCCGTCCTTGAAAAGCTTGACATCAGCTTGGTCAAGGATAAGCTCCTTGCTGAAGGCAACCTTCTTGGTTCCAATTTCGGGGTTCTTGGGGTGCTTGGGCTTGTCCTCCTTGTAAGGCTCGGCAGGCGCATCATCTCCCATGATGACAACCTTGACGGCATCTTTGATGGTGATGGCGGTGTGACGAGGGGCAATGGGGTCAATGATCTTCTTGTTGGTGGCCCAGAAACTCGTCCAGTCCATGACGACGACATTTCTCGAAGGGCCCTGCTTGAGAATGAAGTCGCGCAGAGCAGGGATGGTCATGCCACGTCTACGAATGCCGCGGATGGTCGGCATGCGAGGGTCGTCCCAGCCCCAAACACGTCCAGTATCGACGAGCTTGGCCAGCTTACGCTTGGACAAGAACGTCTTGATGAAGTTCATACGAGCAAAGTCCCACATGTACACCTGACGCAACTTGAGGGTGTCCAAGAACCATTGGAACTGGGGGTTTCGGTCAGTGTACTCGGTCGACCTGAGAGCATGCGTGACGCCCTCCAGACTGTCGACAACGGGGCAGGCGAGATCGTAGGTAGGGTAGATGTTCCACTTGCGGCCTGTTCGGTGGTGGGAGTCGTTGGCGTTGCATCGGTAAATGACGGGGTCTCTCATAGCCTTGTTGGGGTTGTCAAATGAGATCTTGGCACGAATGCAGTTCTTAAGACCCTCCTCGGTGGCGCTCTTCATCTCGTCGAAGATCTTCAGGTTCTCCTCAACGGTACGCTCCCTGCGCTTGGACGGGGTACCGTTTCCTCTCTCCTCGCGCATGGTCTCGACATCGGTGTCGTCAGCGTAGGCGTGGCCCTCCTTGATCAGCTTGAGGCAGGTGTCGTAGAGGTGGTCGAAGTAGTCGGAAGTGTAGGTGAGGGAATCGGGCTTGACACCCATGAGGGCCAGATCCTCGACGATGGCATCTTGGTACTCCTCCTTCTCCTTGCTGGGGTTGGTGTCGTCCAGTCGCAGGCGGAGCTGGCCCTTGTATGCTTCATGGCCGAAGTAGTCGCTGAGGAGAGCGGCCTTGGCGTGACCAATGTGCAGGTAACCAGAGGGCTCGGGCAGGAATCTGCACACGACTCCCTTGTCGGCATCCTGGAGGGCGAGGTTGTAGCTACCGCCGGCCTTGCTAGCGGCCTGGACCTTCTTCTTTCTGGCGTCGTCGGCGGCCTTGACCTCGCTCTGAATCTCGGGGTGCACCTGCTCAATGTAGGCGAACCATCGGGCCAGGTTGGCGTAGGAGCCCTTCTTGACAAAGGAAACGGCAGCACGGTTGCTCTTGATGGCGAGCCAGATCTTGGTATCGAGCTCGCTCAGGGTGTAGCCGGCAAGGTACGTTCGCAGGACGAGATGCTTCTCGAGTCTGATCAGGTGGGGTTCAATGGACTTGAAGTCCCCTCCCAGGGAGGTAGAGATGGCTACGAGCTCATCTGCCTTCATTTTGAGGGAATTTGTCAATGGGTATCGATGAAGGGACGGTGTTGTCAACCAAATCAAATCAGATCAGATTGGACTCGAGTGCCCAATATTTACTCGACGGTTTGTGAGTCAATGACGACCCAAAGCACCCGTACGGTCCCGTTCATACATGGCCAAACAGCTGGTCTGTGGCGGGGTATCCAAAAATTGGGTGAGCAGCTGAAGCGGGGTGAGCGTCAACTGCTGACGACGGGCAGCAGCACCGTGGTGCAGTATGTGCAGTACGGATCCGTACCGCAGTGATAAGATAGATAAAAGACTCTGCTTCGGCACGTAGACTTGCGCTAACTTCCTTAGGTAAGCTGCGTCAATGAGCAAAAAGGTCAAAATTGATCCCAACGGTGGCTTGAACATCGTGGCTTGAACATCGTGGCTTGGCCATCCGTGGCTTGACCATGCGGCCCGAGCTCCAGAAATTTTGTAGCAGCTCACGGCATAACTCAAATCCCGTCGAGGCCATCGGAGCATGCAGGAGCAAGGCAGCCTTTGAACATTCAGGCTTGTCAGCGACATATCTGCATCACATCGGCCGAACATGGCCACCACGAATCAATGTCTTGCCTCTCTGGCAAGGCTCAGTCTCTCGTCGACTGTCAGACCTGCAGCCGCCTCGATACCCAAATTCCTCGCACCTCTGGCCGTCCAGACGCGATGCGCCAGTGCAGGTACACAGGCCATGCAGGCGCGCGCGAGAGAAAAGGAGAAGCTCAAGAGGAAGAGGAAACAACAGAGATTCAAGGAGTACAAGTTCGCCGTACCAAGCAAGGAGGAGTCGCACTCGCTATGCGACGCCATGAGGTAAGCACGAGGCAACAAGCCCTGGGAAACCCCCCCCCCTGAAGCTACCCGACATTAACATTCGTCCAGATACCTCAGAGCTGCAGAGGTCGGCCGTCCCCCGTCGTCCGTCACATATGAGGCATCTTTGAAGATCCGAACCATCAAGAACGGTCCCATCATCCGAAACCGAGTCCGCTTCCCTTACCCCGTCAAGAACGACACCCGAATTGCCGTCATTTGTCCGGACGGCAGTGGTGCCATGCACGATGCGAGACAAGGAGGAGCCGTTGCCTTTGGCGAGGAGTCGCTGTTCGAGATGATCAAGAAGGACGCCAACAACCTCCCTTTCAACCGACTCATCTGTCACACCGACTCAGTCCAGGCCCTCAACAAGGCTGGCCTGGGAAGAATTCTGGGTCCCAAGGGTCTCATGCCTTCCTTGAAGACCAACACAATCACCAAGAGTGTCAAGACCATGATGCACGAGATGGTCGGCGCTGAGCAGTACAGAGAGAAGATCGGTGTTGTGCGCATGGCCGTCGGCAACATTCTTTTCACCCCCAAGCAGTTATCCGAAAACCTCAAGGCTCTCGTCGGCCAAGTCAAGGTCGATCTCACGGCCCTGGAGGATAAGACCAACATCGGCAAGGACCTGATCGAGGTGGTCCTGACATCTACCAACGGCCCCGGTTTCCCTCTGAACGGAGGCTTCAACTCTACTGATGGGGAGGTTGACCCTGCGCATTTGAGCACGACAATGTAGATATAATTTAAGGCTGGGGAACTGTATCATCAATGTATACCATGTATATTCATATTCGATGACCACGATCATGGCGTTCCTATTTGAAATGAAAGACCGGTGACTTAATATTACACTCTTCATGGTTCAGATTCTCGGGGATACTGCCATAACCAACGGATAACCTGGAATAAGCTTGGTCGGTGCTAGATATCCATTTAAGATCAGATGTTCACTAACCAGCATAAGAAGGTACGTGCCAACTTGTTGAAGAAAACGAAAAAGAAAAGAAAAGAACCTCGCACCTACCCTGCTGAATCCCATGTCCTCGCCATTAGTCTAGTCCGGCTTCCCTCCTTTTCCTCACACATATCTCTCTCCATGCTTCAAACGCTGCCAACCGCCTCGGTAATGTGTCTGCTCTCCAGGAATCCACTGGCGGATTCCTCTCGTCTGGAAATTCCAACGTCTGGAATCTCTCCTTGATATCGAAACGCTCCAACAACTGGCCGCCCACCCGGATCTCGATAGCGTTGAGCCGTTCGTAAAGCACCGAGCCATACTCCATCACATCCATATCAAGCTGCAGGATCCGGCCGAGCCACTTCTTGATCCAGCCACCAAGGACCTTTCCAGCTATGAGCTTCGGAGCGCCGTACAATGCTGTGTCGAACGGTTCCGGGGCAAACGTGGTAAAATAATCTTTCGCCTCGCCTTTGCCGTCCCAGAAGAAGTCTCTGATCCCCGAGAGGCGCACCAGCCATCTGGAGCTGTCGGCGTTCTCCAGGTTCCGGCGGCTGCGGAGATATCGGGAGACGTCGGGACCCAGCGGGAGGATCGTGGGATCCGTCGGCTCGAAGTCGAGGACCAGCTCCCTCACCGTGATGCCGTCCCGATGGATCAGCCGCGCGTTCGGGTCACAGACGAGGTCCGAGTCTTCTTGCTTGATCGTCTCCGTCCCGAGTGGGCCCCATCGGAGACAGGTCCGCAGCGCGATGGAGAAGATGTGGGTTATGCTCGGCGGCCCGCCCGCGCCCAGGCTGTAGAACCTCTGGGCCGAGGGGGAGAGCGCGACCTCGCCCGGCACGTCTAGCATCCGGAACCGGGCGACGAGCCGGTCGGCGTGCGGCCGCAGGAGCGGCACCGAGACCCACGTCGGGCGCAGCGAGACGTCCTTGAGGTACGCCACGTCGAGAACCCACTCGACCGGCTCCCGCGCCCGTCTGCGCAGCCAGTCCTGCACCTCGCCGTGCAGCTGGCGGTTCGTGAGCTTCAGCGCAGCGATGTCCCGGCCGTGGCGCGGCGACTTTTCGAGCAGGATCTGCTTTTGCTCTTGGCGCCACGCCCTGGCGAAGTGCTGTTGCAAGGCCTCACGGTCTTCTGCTTGGAATGCTTCGTAGTCCTTTGGCGCCTCGGCGCAGAGCTGTGTGACATGGGCGATGATCTGGTTGCGTATCTCTCGCGGAAGCCTTAGGAGACCAGTCATGGTCAATGTGACGTGGGGGTTGATGTAAGCACAGGGCAGTATAGATGCTTTCGGTAAAGATCGGAAGCGATTGAGAAATAAAAAAAGGGGCGTGTATACACAGAAGATTGAATGCTGACCAAAAAACCGTGTCCAGGCTTTTTCATAACAGGATGGATAGTACAGGCCTAACCATACATCAGGCATATGCAGGACTCTAGGCTACTACACAGTGCGAGCGTGGCACAGCAGCCGACTCAGCAAAAGTCAGACATAACTACTAATTGTAACAGAAGGACTACGCAGACGGACCTAGGATCATTTCCAAATATACCAGAATTCAAGGTATCTCGGGAATTGTTGAGCAGTTGATGGCAGCTTAGTGCAGGGATTTCCATGGCTAAAGGAACTCAGACGAAAAGGACAACTTCCAAAAGATTTCTCAAGGTTGTTCTTATAACTACAGGGAATATGATATTTGATAATACATATCAAATAATGACGATATCATTTGATAGAATACCTCTTTACATCAGTATTATTTGTATCTCATATTATTTTGAACAATTTTTCGAGTGACGTGTAATGAAGCAAAGTTGATCGAAGTTATGGTTAATCGCTAGTTGTATGGTCCGTGCGATGGTTCTAGCTTTACCTGCTCCGCATGGATTGTAATATTATAGCTTCAAGCTGAATAGTAAGCACCTTACAAGTGCTTGACACAAAAGTTCACAACCGTCGCAATTTTTTCCCCAAGAGTTTTGGGTTACATAATGCGAGATGACCTCAAAAGTCACCACTAGGCTTAACATTCAATACAATTAACCAGCGGTGTCATAAGGGTTGAAATCATGACCGGCAAGTCATCCTACTTTAAGATTGAAGTTACGATCGTACTTGCTGACAAACAATCTGACAGTATCTTAATCTAGCAATTATATTCAATTATATCTTCTGTGTCGATGGAACAAAGCCCTGCGTGTTGTTGACTATGCAAATCGACGGGTTCCACCTGCGCTTGTCCCGTTCATCCCGACATGGACATCATATTCCGGCCGAAGGCACGCACAACCCATGCAAAACTACCCAAAGAGCTGGCTGAGCAGATGTTGGGCTGAATGCAGCACTGCTTCTTGTGTTATCATCGGAGCCGTGGATGAGCCCACACCAATGCAGTATGCATGTCGGCCATAAGTTCGTCAAAAAATCGCTCGAAACACCTGGGTTCTCAGAAGACCAACAGACTTCGATATGTCAGACAGAAAAGCCCCATCATCGCTATCAATATATATACAAATCCAGCATCTTTAAAGAATACCGAGACTCTATCCTCAAAGATATTCACAACCTCTCGTCGCCGACCTTGGCATCAATTTATCACTAACATGGAGCTCGTTACCGCCCCAATTTACAACAACTCAAGGGCGCAGTGGCAGAGTGGTCTAATGCGTGAGACTAGAATCGGTGATTCTAATCACAGTGCAATCTCATCTCTTCGGAGGCGTCTGTTCAAATCAGGCCTGCGTCGCTATCTATTTTTGCTCGGGGGGTGAGTCGGAGCGTCGTGCTAATAACATACACTTCCATCGAGCTACGTGAAGTGATCGCATAAGTCCCCGGTCAAACTACAGAACTTTTTCGTCTTTTTACCTCGCTTCAAGCGGTTAAATCAGTGTATTGACGAACTTTGTTTTCAATTGTGCCACCGTCTAGAATCTCGGGGCTATATAGTGTACAAAAGCCATCAACCTAGTTCAGATTTACGGTCTTAGTGTAGAATTAGTGCCATAGCTAAGAAGACTGACTACGAAGGCATCCCTCATTGGTCGAGGTGAATTAGTTATCCGATAGCGTCTTGGCGAGCCTATCTAGAGACGCGAAAGCAGTCAGAACTCTATCGATTGCCGCACAGTCGATCTTACTGTGTATCCTATAGTGATGGGGCGGAGGTATGACCTCATCTTCTGCTGCATGTGTATGTAGAGCTGCATCGCCGCTCGCTTCTCTGAGAAGAAGCACGCACCAGCAAACCAGTTTGGGTTCAGAGGCTTCTAAGCTCAGGCGGATCATATTGCAATAAAATTGGCGGTCAAGTGGCAAGGGTTAACAGGGGCAGTACCATCCTGAACCTGCATGCTTTGATGCCTCGATCGTACCTCACGCTGGGGGGCCATCAGGCAGACATCCAAAGTAGTGCAATCGACCTCTTCACCAACACTAGGTCTGAGAATGGTTCGGGTAAGCGAGATACCGGCCAGTTTGTTACTTCCGAGATTCGGTTGGCACAAGGTTTGGCTCAGTTAATCAACTTGTATCCAGCAATATACAATCTTACAAGGTCACTAATGTGAATAGCCACAGCACGAAGGTCGCGCTCAGATGGTGTTGGTGTCCCTTGGATGTCTAGCTGTTCTACTTAAATAAAATTGTGTCGGTGGCTAAGTAAATCCTGATGGAGTTCGAGTCGGGTTCTCCGTCCGGACCCTAGACATGTCGGTTCTCCATTCGCAGGTACTGACTGGCGCTGAACTTGTAACGATGGACGACACTATCTTGTACAGAGTTGCTCTTTTCAGCCTGGGCTCCGGTCGGTAGTTTGAGGCAACAAGTATTCCTAGATTTTGCAATTCTCCCATCGCATTGTCTCGATATAAATCAAACCTCAACCTGCATCCAAGAGCTGCTTTTCCTTTGAACCACTCGGCTACGTCTTGGATACCGTGTGCACGTCGTGCCGTGACCAGTACTGGTACAAATATGGGGTCTACAGGAACGGATTGTGCTGATGTGCCTGTTAATACTATTTCCAGAATTTCATGGAGGAACTCATCATCATGTTCGCCATAACTAGAGATTGACACGATCGGCTTTTGTTAGAGGCTGATACCCATAGCACTGATCCCCAAAGGGACCTTCGCTGAGACCTTGGAGCAGGTGCTCTAGCTGCAACCAATGTCGAAGTGATTTTGGTCGATCTGCTCCCAAACCCAGCCTTATATAGGGACCGTTGTGTCAATTATCCTACAAGTCACAATTAGTGGTTATCATATTATTGATATATGTGGGCTAGTAGGATTACTCTTGATGAGACGTAGGTCTGAAGCCAATGTCTCGTACAGAATATGGCCTCGGCCACTTTAGACCACCACATGCTGAGATGAGCGGCAGTAAAGGCAGGACGAAGAACGGAGTTCCCATTAGGCAACGGCCCAAATGGCCACAGCACAATAATCGCCGAAGTACAATGTCGGAATATATAATTGAAGCAGAAAGGTGCGTCACAAGCAAGTCGTATTGGCTGCGTCGGCGGCACTTGTAAATTTACCCGGCTGCAATGATTAATTATATCGGGCCATATTTTCGTTCAATATGCTTCAAATGTCAACGATTAGTATGATCATCGATTGTAAACCACTATGCATGTACCAATAGATGATAACAACAATGCTCCAACCGCTATGTGTCGAGGACTAAATGCAAGCATCTTGGCATTATAGCGTGGCACGTTGGGTGACTGATTATTTTAGTAAGTATAATACTGCGTTTGTTGGAGGCCGGACTAGTAACACAAAACGTCCGGCGTTTCTCGATCATGAGACTCTGAGAAACGCGTTCACAACTTTTCTTGCGTCGTACTCTTGCCTTGACCTCCACTGACGGTGCTCCCACCATCAATCACAATCGCATTACCCGTGATATGGGCAGCACCCCTGCTCGCTAAAAATAGTACCAATCCCGCAAAGTCTTCGGCCTTGCCAACACGCCCACTAGGCTGCTGTGCCAGCACGTTGTTCATGGCCTTCTCGAGACCAAAGCTGGCCATGCGACTAGGGAATACCCCGGGGCAGATAGCGTTGACCGTGATATGCTCATGCATGAGTTGTGATGCCTGAGCTTTGGAAAGATGAATTACAGCAGCCTTGCTAGGTCCATAGCTGTACGTCCCGTGGCCAGGAGGTGCCAGTCCTCCCACTTTGACTGTCGAGTCGCCAGTTTGAACGCCGGCGGTGCTGGCGATGTTGATGACCCTGTTCGGCGCATCGGCTGTGGCACCCCTGACGAGCAGGGAGTGCAGGCCAACAGTCACATAGAAGATAGATTTGACATTCAAAGCCATGATCTTGTCCCAGCCCGACTCGGGGAAATCGTTGTAAGGTGCGCCCCAGGTGGCCCCGGAATTGTTGACCAAGACCGTCAACCTGTCTGTCTTCTTTTTGACCTCAGCAACTAACCCATCGCAACCAGCTTTATCTTTCAGATCGGCCACAACGTACTCGGCTGTTCCAGGCCCCAAGCTGTTCAGGCGCGCCACTGTATTTTCCAATTCGCTCTTCTTCCTGCTGGCAATGATCACACGCGCCCCATTTTGGACGAAAGCCTGCGCGGCCATCTCACCAAGGCCTGTGGCGCCTCCTGTCACGAGAACCACATGATCGTTGAAGCTAAAGAGGTTCTTCACTGTAAGATTTGCAGAGCCCGCTGTATGAGCCATGATTCCGTTCTTTGATTGCAGATTGCGGATTGCTGCCTGTTACTGTATTGGTCTAACGTTCAGTGGTTTGTTACTGCAAAGAAGTGCCAAGTCGTGGCTTTCCAACTGCTGTGCCACCCCTGCTGCGGGGTTGTCGTTGTTGAACCGAGGCATGTTTTATCTCATGCGTTCCTGTTTCAAGTACTCACAGCTGAGGCTACTTCGAAGCGCGAAGGCCTGAAGAAGCTTAATTGAACCTCTGTTCGATCTTACATACCTAGGCCGTGGGCCATCTTCACCACATCAAGAGATACCCCGACTTCCAGTTGCACAAACTAGGTAGGAGCGAAGTATATTACAATACGCTAGCAATTAGACAGCGCTGTTGCAAGAGTCCGTTACGTGGCCTCTCGGATGGTTGGATTGAACACCTTGACGCACGCATGTATGTTTCTTTTGATGTGAGAGGTGAATACTGTATCCGACATAAGAGAGAGATAAGATCAAGATCAGATAAGATTCCACATACTTCCATGAGTGATTGTGCATCACCAATTGTGTGCTGCGGGTTGTGGGGCCCGCATGTATTCATGTTACAGGCAGCGCGACCGCCCTGGCCATGAGAGCTCCGAGCCGGCTGGAGCTGAGCTCCAACCTTGCTGGCCTGGGGACTCCATATCAGATCCGGAGGTGATGGGGAGCGGATACGTAAGACGCCAAGACAAAGTCTTTGGAATACAGATTACTGTTCTCGTCCGCATTTTGCATTCGTCATTTGCTGCGGGCTCACCCGCAGTTTTAGGAATCAAAAAGCTATCGGGCCGGAAGAGAGACACACCAATCGCCTCACTTTGCCCCTGTGTGGTGGCTTATGTAAGGGCAGAATTAGCGCCACGTTTACCGTCGGATATGGCCGGTGATAAGATAAACTCTGTTGGGCGGTAAAAGGTGTTGCAGAGCTACAGTATGTACAAAGTAGGACAAATTGGTTTGATTCTAGTCGAACCTTTTTAGGTTGAGGCGTTCTCAATCAATCCAAACAGCAGAGTGACCAGCCGGGATTTGCAATCGGTGTTTGGGAATATCTATGCGAGGACGGACAACAAGAAACGAGCGTGGTACATAACTGTAGAAGGCTTTGGCTGCACTGCTGATAAGATTCACGATTCAGGGCTGGACTTGCCAGGCTTGTACATAGTACCACGTATCGGGGATTCTCCAACTGTTGTTTCAGTGGTTTCTCCAAGCATGCAGCCAATCCGGAGCCGAGGACGATAGGGGTCCTGCAAGCAGGAGAAAAAAAAAAAAAAAAAAAAGAGTCAGCTTCTCCAACGGCAAATCTAAGCTTAGTACGGCATGCACGGGATGACATGTTTTAAAGAAAACATGGCAACTTTCGCCGTCTGCAGAACATGACAAACAGCATTCAATTCCAGATGCCTCGATTACTAGCATGGGCAATGGCATGACCACCGCCCGATCGGTTTCCTTTCGGAGCTTTAGATGCGGATACCATGACTCCACCGATAGCAGATTTCGATCCACTCGCCGCCCCTCCATCACCCCTCCTGCCCTCTATCAGTACGTATCGCATTGCTGTAGAAAGAGATCGAAGTCGGAGCTTGGTCGGATAGAAGGCTATTATGTACTTGCATGTGTGGAATCAAAGTGGAAGTAGGCAGGTTACCGTAGTGAAGTGGAATGATTAGTGGGATATGTTGCAACAGTCGGCTATTCCACTCTCTGCTGCTCCAAGTACATATGTGACGTCTCTGGCATCAACCGCGTCTGCTTGGTTTCCTCTCTTCTCATTCATCCATTCACTTCGTCTAGGTCTCTAATCGATCACCGCCAAAATTTCGTCCTCGACGTCATCACCATCATCTCAACTCCCACGCTCTCGACACCACCAAACCACCAAACAAAACAACCAGATCACAATGGCTCCTCTCAAGGCTGGCGACCAATTCCCCGAGGGTATCACCTTCACCTACATCCCTCCCGCTCCCGAGAACTCGGACTTCGCTGCCTGCGGTATCCCCATCAAGTACAACGCCTCTAAGGGTAAGCCATCCTCCCATCCTCCCTCCCATTCTCTCTCCCATTCCTAGAAAATTAAAAAAAAAAAAAAAATACTGACTCGTTCCGCCTCGCAGAGTTCCAGAACAAGAAGGTCGTTCTCTTCGCCCTTCCCGGTGCCTTCACCCCTACCTGCTCCGCCTCCCACGTTCCCGGCTACATCGCCAAGTTCGACGAGCTCAAGTCCAAGGGCGTTGACCAGGTCATCTGCCTCGCCTACAACGACGCCTACGTCATGTCCGGCTGGGGCAAGGCCAACGGTGTCAAGGACGAGTCCATCGTCTTCGCCTCCGACGACGGCACCAAGTTCTCCAAGGAGCACGCTTGGGTTGAGGGCGAGCGCACCAACCGCTACGGCATGATCATCGACCACGGCAAGGTCATCTACTCCGAGGTCGAGCCTCACCTGCAGGCCCAGGAGGTCTCCACCGCCGAGGCCATGCTGAAGGTTCTGTAAATTGTTTCGTGAAACACGGGAACAAACATGGAGGACTGAGCAACACCGGAGGATCATAATGAGAATGTTTTCTGAGCGGCAGTCTGAAGAGGGCTGCATGCACTTCATGACCTGCGACATAGACGATAGATCACATAGACTTTTGATGGCTGAATGACACTTGATGAACAACACCACGCCTTCATACTATATGATTGTGCCACGACAAACTACAGCATATCTTGCCGTTATTTGAGTGATTCGTTGCTGGGATGATGTGAAGAAGCTTTAACATGGCCATCTAATCTACTGTCTGCCTTTCGGTTACGGGCCGCCGCTAGGCATTTCAATGGTAGATACCCAAGCTTGTAGTAATTAATCTCCAGGCATGGAAATATAATCATAGTCTTTCACCCAGGGAAACCCAACCACAGGGTCTAAATTGTGTTTTCTTGTTATTTTCTCCATCTTCTCCTTTCTTTGGTTGTTGGCAGCAACGCATCAGTGACCAAGATGGGGATACTACAGTCAGATCACTTAAAGTCCAAAGTGATGTGAATGCCGTGAACGTCGGGGGTTGATGACTCCATTTGACATGCGTGGCCCGCACTCGAGGTCCCAACGATTCTAGAGTCAGGGCTAGGACATGTAGTGGGGTGGTCGTTCCCGCTCTGCGATAGAGCCCGACCGAGTCCTGTCGTCGGGAACACCACATCGGGGGCCAGGCGGGGAGCAGAGATCCCTCTGCACTTCCTGCCGATATTCATCATAGTCTCGGCTGCTGACAGACGAGCATGCGGAGGCCTTGAGTTTGACCGAAGCTCGTGATCAGACCGAGACGTTGTTTTGTGTCTTTAGTCTTGTCCCATGTCAATGTTATATATTATGTTACCAAACCAAGTACGCACGCTTCCTACAAGCCGTGATTAGAGAGGCCTGTGGTTTCATGATTTTGAGTTTCTGATGTAGCCCGGTGTTCAGATCCAGCCACCGGTCGACTAAATATTCAAGTAGTCAAGAGAATGGTAATAATATAGGATGACACGGGGCTGTCACAGTTAGAGCGATTGGTCCTGCAATTTTGGGCCACTTCGTAAAATTCCATATTTGTAGCTTGTCCGGTTTTCGGAAGTGTCAGTTACACTATGCCTACTTGGTCCACGCAGAGTATTATGAATGAAGAATTTGATCATGATCCATTGTCAAGGACCCTCATACGCGCGTTTAACCAACATCTTATACACTTGCTTTGCTGTGCCTATAAAGGGTTGACAAAGCTAACGATCATCAGTGCCTTGGACCCAGAACTGAACCCTGAAGCCTACCGCTTGGTATTGTGTACGACACATAGCTGAGCGGCAATGACTTCTTAACAATACCAAATCGAGATTTTCTGTTCGAGCGGCCTTTATGATTCGGTGCGCAGAGACATTGTTCCATGCTTTATTTATTTGTGGCATCTAAGCAGTCCAAGAATGCGTATGCTCACCGACCCCCTGGTATATCCATCTCTTTAGCAATAAGCAAACATGACATCTATATAAGAGAAACCTCGATGACCACCTTTCTCGGAGCAAGCGGCGCGATAGATTGCCGAAACATGTCTTACTCGAGCCGATAATAGACGCTCGGAAACAATCCACGACAAGCCTGGAACTACCGATTGATTGTGGCAAGTGCAGTGTGGTATAACTCGGAAATATAGTAATTTTGTACCAAGATCCAGCTGTCCAGCAACAGAAATAAGAACGTAATACTTAGAATGGAAATGATGAAAACTAGTCGATATCCTGTACCCATGACCAAATACGGGTGTGCATGCCACTTCCGTTGATGAATGTCTGAGTACGCTATATATAGGGGTATAATGCTGGTGAGAAATCATGATAACGTGTGAAAATGTGTGATATATACGGCTGCATCATGTGCGGTTGATTTCGTTTTGCTCCAGGAACAGCTTCGCAACTTCGTCGTCGCCCTGAGCTGCAACGCCAAACCAGTGAAAGGCGACACAGTGTAAAGCTGGATCGTTCTTGACATCGACATCCTTGCTGCCATCGGAACCCCCAGCAGGAGATGTCGAGGATCCCAAGCCGCGAATCCTGTCAGCAGGGTGTCTAGCACTGCTTCCTGGTCTCGCGCCAAACTTCTCCATGAGAGATTGTTTGAACACTTCGCGCGGTTTGGAAAGGGGCATGATAGTTCTCTCAACAAGCTCTGGATAGCTGAGATTGAAGAAACCAAGCTCCCTTTGCGCTGTGTGTGAACCTTCCTTGGCCGTGATGGTTAGCATTTTGGCAGCATCCGAAAGTGAGTACGCAGTTGGAGACCGTGTTGAGTCTGTACCGTCGCTACTACCGGCTGTTGACGAAGGCTTTCTGATCTGCTGGTCCATCTTGATGACTTCGTCCGCAACCTCGACCATGGTTTTGCAGACCTCTTGCTTGAGTGCCAGTGCAGCTAAAGTTGTGTCAAAAAACGCCTTGCCCTTCTCCGAACGATCCAGAATATCTGCCGGAACAAAAGACGCAATGTATTGTAGGTCGCGGAACAGGGTCTTGGGACGTATGCTCGGGTCCTTGAATAGTGATTCAAGCACGATCGCGATGGCGTCAGTGTTTGCAGGGGCCACAGACACAATAGAACGAGTTTCGACATTAGCTGACGAGCGCATGTGGACAGGAGACAGAATCGGCGATAGAACTGCCTGCGATCGACGCTCCCTGACACTATCAATTGCATCCTCCAACACCCCTGTACTGCCAAGATGGTCTTCTTGAGCTGCAAGTTGGTTTCGCAAAGCCCATTTCGAGCGTCGACCGCTTGTTGCAAGGGACGCCTCGACCAGGTGCTTCATCTCGAAGAGCGCGGCCAGCTTAGTCTGGGGATTTGGGTGGACACAGAATTGTCTAAGCAAGCGCTGGTAAGCTTTCTTGTAAGGAAAGTCCGTCGGACTATCCTTGCTCGGCCGTCGGCTCCGTCCAGAAATGGTACTGTTGGATCCGGTGCTGGTCTGGCTTTGCACGGTCGGCGTTTCGGACTGTTCCGAGGTTGACTCAGCAGCAGCGTTTTCGCCTGCGACACGAAGGTTTCCGAAACTTTTCTTCTTCTCGATGACACGATGCTTTAGACCATTCTTCGCAGTTCGATCCTTTTTGGCAGATTGTCGACGGTTGCGCTGCTCCTGCTCCTCGCGTCTGTCGATACACTGCTGGCCCAGCCCGTCGAACCAAGCATCGGTCTCGGACCCCATGGAGAAGACATAATTGCCGAGGTCGGAAAGTAGAAGACTGGCTAACGTTTGTCGCAAGTCTTCAAGAAAGCGTTGTTTCTCCTCTGATTGACGCTGGAGATGGACAGTCTCGTTGGACGACGTAGAGGTGCCGGGACGTCCACCGGACTGTTGAGATGGGATTGGGCGACCATAAGGATGAGAGAAAGAGTTGGAAAAGTTGGAGATGCTGGTTGTGGGAGAATGAGCTCTCGAGGCTACCGAAGTTGCCGATGGCATTGTCGAATGGAACGGAGACCAAAATGTGGAATTGGTATCCATAGTATGCACTGGGGATGCGACGCCAAAGTAGCCCTCAGAGTCTAGAATATCAGACATCGCAGCGCTGTTTCGCGAAAAGTTGTATCTAGAGTCGAAAGATATCTGGCTGACGTTGTGAGTGGTCATTGATCGAAGGTCTCTCGCGATGGAATTGGGCCGGTTTGATGGTGATGTGTAGCGTCGTTCGGGATCACTGATGACACTGGCGGCGTCATCTCCTCCCCAGAAGCTGTCTCGCTCTCTGAGAGTCTTCGTGGCGCCTTCGAGCGCCTTTCGATCTCGCTGAAATAGCTCGCTTGACCAGAGCACTGGGCCATCGACGATTGTGTCGCCGACCAGTTTGCTAACGCAGCTGTCAAGTTCACAACAAAAGCGATGTATACGCTCCTCTCCTTGGCAGATGTTCTCGATACGCATTTGATGGAGCCACTTGCTCGTCTTGTCTGCTTGGTCATCGCTGAGCTTATTAGGACCGCCTTGTTCTTCGCTTGCAGCTAGAATGTCAAGCATTTGCGACTCGTTCTTGTAGAGGTAGTTCGCTGCTGGGCCACGCGATAGTTGAGCTCGAGTGCGTTGAAATGTGCCCCATCTCCTCGGCACTCCCATGATCTTCAATGCGCTACAAATGCTGCGCGTGTGCTCGTATGGCGCGGAGTTGTGCACGTCAGTGACATACCACATCTTGTCCCGCAGCGTCTTCAGCCTTTTCATCATGGAATCGATGAGACCTTCATGTCGTTCTTGGCTTTGCTTGAGCCATACCAGCCACGCATCGTACTCCTCGACAGCCGCATGGGACCGGCGTATCGAGTCTCTCGGTCCACGGGAAAAAATGTTCAGCAGAGTTGCATACCCGTTCTTGCGAAGTGAAGGCGACGACAGGGCGTTGAGCTGTTGCAACGTCCTCCAGTATAGGTGGGCCGACACGAAATCTGACTGCACTCGAGACTGCGACGATGCTGCCTCCAGCATGATCACAAGAACTGGCTGCGGCTCGGGCCCATGAGGTGGTTCTTGATCAGCAGAAGACAGAGCCGTGGGTGATGTCTGAGAGCTGCTCCGCTCTCTCTTTTCTTGTTCTAATCTTCGGTACGGATTCCTACTAGCCATAGAGGATTCGGTGGTAATGATCTTGTTCTTTGACCTGTACTTCTTGAGTCCGGTAGCCCGGTTGCTCAGAGTGGTTTTTGCACCGTCGTCCTCGAGACCACGAGGAATTTCGAAATCCTCTACGAGTTTGAGGATAGAGTCCCGCAATTGATGATAATCCTTATCAAGCTCTGGCCTATCATCCAAATCTTCGTCTTCCGTGTCACTCGTAGTTGATGAGTTCTCTTCTTCTGGGTCATCATCTGGGTCATATGTCATCTGTAAAGACAAATTGTTGCCATCGGCGGAAATGAAGAGCACTGCCCACCGTTCCGCACAAGGATGGCAGGAGCCGGAAACAACATCGTGGCCCAGGATCTGTACCATTTCATGCATGGCGAGCCTGAGCCGATATCCATCATCTTCGTAATTGCTCGATCTTTTCTGGCTACCGCTTTCGAGTACAGGTGGAGAGTAACGCTGGGGGGTGCCCATCGGGTCGTCCAGTAGGGGCTCCTTTGAGGTTGCTGCATCGCTGACGACGGAAGACGTGCTGAGACTGAGGACTGAAGCGGTGTCGAAATTGCTGCGAGATGTTCCAAAGGAAATGGGCTGAGATATGGCAGAGAAACCAGAAATAGATGGCGCGCCGGAACGAATGCTACTCGAATGAGCAGATTGTGGCCTCCGTTCAGGGAACAAGGCGTTCACTAGAGTCAGCAGGTCAGCAGGGCTGATAACCAAATATGGATGCACTTCGGCTGTCTCTCTCAAAGAGGTTATGGACCTGGCTGGCAAGAGTCTTCCAATCCGCTGGGACCTCGAGGGCTTGAAGCGTCTCAGAATGTTCTCGACATGTGTCTTGACCTTGGGAGGCGTAGCCACAGGTTTCTTGGCACTGGTCCATGTCATATCGATGACTAAATCCTTGGCCTTGGCAGCGACCTTCTTGAGAATCTTCTGTCTTCCATACTCGGTGATATGGTACTCGGCCATCATGCCATGGCGTTCAGGATAAGCGACAATATCAGGGAGCCAGTGGCCGAATAGCCATTTAGATACAAACCAACGCCTGACACTCTCAATGAGCCTAGGATCCAAACGCCTGAGTATTTCGCTGCCAAGTTCGATGACGCCTTCGGGGATGCCAGTTGCGTCTTCGTCATCTAGGACTTCGAACAGGTCATCAATGGCCCGGTCATAGAACTCATCGCTGGCGACATTGTCTTTGTGAGTCCACTCCGAAATATTGAAGCGAGTTCCATTCTGGTCCTCTGCTCGGTCAAGCAGGAAAGCCCCGTCTTCCAGGATCTTCATGAGATACCATTCCATATTGGACCGACCTGACCAATCTCGCATAGCATACCAGACGTCAAGTACGGAGTACAGGATCGATTCGTTGGCCGAGTTGGAGAATTTGGCTTCCGAGATTAGACGGGCGCATGCGTTAGCCCAGATGTCATTTCGTCGTCTATCCTCAGCACTATCCGGTCCGGCGGAATTGGCAAAAGTGGTATGTATAAGTGCTGACAGGGCATCGTGGCGCTGAAAAGAAAGAAGCCGCTCAACGGCGTTGGGAGACTGGGGTGCAGTCCTGATGGAAGTGCTTGGTGGACCACGCCCACTAGGACGGCTGCTGTACAAGGGTAAGACAGACTCCACCGGCTCAGATCCCTGGTGGAATGTGTTCAAGGCTTGGAGTTCAGTGTTGGTCAGAGAAGAAAGTCGAGATGCCAAGTAGTCCGGATTTGTGCGGATCTGTGTTAGGAAATTTAGAAATGCTTCCCGAGCAGAGGCAGATATGTCGTTGAGGAATGGCACAACGGAGCCGATACCAGCATTGCTTCCAATCCCGCTCGTTGGCGTGTCCAAGTTCTCGGTCGAGACCAGTCCAGGAGAATTTACGGATTCCGTATCAGGTTCCAGCAAGGCATATCGGCGGGTATCGTCACAGCTGTTCCGGACATCATGAATGGCACCAAAGAGATTTGCGAAAGCCTTTTTGTCCTCGGTCCGAAAATGGTCAGCTAGGTTCCTCTGGGTGATTTCACCGCAACGGGTCAGGCGCGCGGAGAGGGCGGTCGAGATCAAGCTCCTCTGGAGCCGCACTCGGGTGTTTGCGCGCTTGCGCTCCTGGTACTTGGACAGGCGAACAAGGTGCGCAAGCTCTTCCAGCGTGGTTCCTTCAGTCTCAAAATTGAGTTGCGGATTCGAGTATAGGGATGCATCACGCAGTAAAGGTGGTGGTTTGCTTGTCAATGTGGGCTCAGTCCTTTCATATGTGGGTGCCTCCTCCGGTGGATTTGACGACTTGCTCGGTGTCGGTTCACTGCTTGGAATTGCAACAGCAGCAGCAGCGGCAGCGGGAGCAGCAGCAGTAGCAGCAGTGGTCGGATTTGACTCCTGGGCTACGAGGGGCTTCTTTTGCGCACTTGCGCTTCTGCGGTGTCCTGGTGAGCCATAACTATGCCTTTCGCTATCAATACTCCGTCGTACGGGCAGCGAGATGACAGGTGCGACAACAGGCTCGGGGAGACGGGCCTCGCTTGGACTCCTTGAGCGGAACCGACGCGGACGGGACTTGTCGCTGCGACGACTCTCAGGGGAGGGCGTCGGTGACTCTGACAGCTGGGTGTTGGTGGGCGATAAAGCTGGCGAGGTGGTTATTAGCTCATGCGCACTTATAGTGAAAGGGGAGCCTGGGCTGTTGTTCTGCAACCCGATGGGCTTGATGTCTATGTATTGGCACGGACATAGGCGTAGACATACGTGGTGAAGAGTGTATGCGAACAGGAGAAGAGAGGGACCGCTGCATGGAGATCATGATGGGCCATGTCCATGCGGTAATGGACTGGATGGTGGCTCAGGCCGAGTGCGCACGCTGACCCAAGCGCGACCAGCAATAGCTGCTAGTTAGCTATGGCGTTGGTATTTATTCAGACATGAAGACTTGTTCGCGCAAGGTCGATCGGTGGTGTTGATGGGAGTATGTTGCATCGAGCACGTTGGGCGTGTCTCGGCCTGTCTTGTGCTGCTCCTCTGTTGCGGGATCAGGATCAGCGTATGTAGCGGTAATGTATTGTGTTGTGTTGGCTGTCGTAGATAACTTAGGCCCCGAGGTACCTGACTGTTGGTGGGGTGCACGCTATCCGCCCAACCCCTATTGTGTGTGATGCGATGGGTTCTCAAGGCTCACTTTACAAGGTGGTCATCCCGTGCTTCATTCGTAATGACAGCCCTGGGTATGCAAAATTAAAACAAAAAAGAGAACAAGAACAGGATGAGATGCGCAACACAACAAAACAAAACAAAAACAGCAATGCAATAGAATGCAATGAATGGTTTGACCTGTCTCGTGCTCCCCCTGCAAGTACTGATGTGTTGTGTTGTGCTTTGCTGGGTGCTGCCCGCTCATGACCTGCTTGCTGCGTTTAACCCTGTCCACGCCGCTGTCATCTAACCTTGCTTGTACATTCTTCACCTACTTTAGCAATACGACGGCCAGCAGCCAGCCAGCCAGCCAGCCTACTACGGATCCCCTATGTACTGACTAACCAAGTACGTTAGAGTACCGCGTCCTGATATGATCCATGTGGCAGATGTGGTGGTGTGCCTGTGCGCTGTGGGCTGTTGGCCGCGGGGCAAAAGACAGGGGACCGAGTGCTGTGCTTGTGCTGTGCTGATGCGACACGCACCCGAGCCCCGTCTGTTCTCAAATAGGCCAAGTCGAGGACGGGCGGCACATGCCCCGAAAGCAGCCACTACCGTTGCTACATGTGCGGAATCAATCGCTCGCCCTCCGCCACTTCTTCTCACCAGTCTATTCACCGTACCCCTCCACCACTTTATCCTCCATTCACTTTCAAGATGGCTCGAGAGAGAGAGAGAATTGGACGGGTATTTTGCTTCTCGAGTGAATAACGCATGACCTGCTAGCCCACACCAAGTACCATATCGCCTTCCAGGTCATGGCCACTCGCAGAGTGTTGTCCAGCAGCATCAGCAGTTGCGAGCCCGAACCCGTTACTACCCGCCATCTCGGTACGCTTGCTACTAACCATAAGTTAGACTAGTTAGACTAATCGAATTGTGTTGTTTGTGTGTTGTCCTGCATGTCGCCTTCTGACAGCCACAATATAGCGGGCAAACCATGCAACAATGGCAAATAAGATTCATGTTCGCTATAGCACCAAGGCGACTCCGCGGCCCCAAAACCCAATCCATTTCTGCTTCCATTTCCGCTTCCATGCTCGCTTGCCAGTCTGTTGTTACTACGCAGCCACGGAGCATCATCCATCCTCCCTATCAGCTTCTGCGGCATGTCAGATGACTCGTTCGAACTATACCTGGGTGCCAGCGGCCGAATGGCAACGGACAGGTCAATGAGCTGGCTACGCATCTCTCGTGTCCTATCAAATCCCAAACGCAAACCCTTTTCTTTTTTTGGCTTATGCGGTTCCGCCTTTTGACGGCGCTCACCCAGCATCCAGCGAAGTTGCGAGTTTGTAATCTCTGGGCTGCACCTTACAGTAGACTCGCGCTGACAGTCCTTCTCCAGCCAATCCCCGCTCACCACGCTTCTATGACTAGGATGCCGGCCAACGCATGAACAACCAATAGCTGTTGCAAACCCGCCACCATTTTGACCTCGGAAATCCTTGGAATTTCCATCCACCACGAACCAATAGATATCTTCACCGACTCTATGCGCAACCGGGTTGGCTGTCTCCCACAGAGCCCACCCACTTCAATGCATGAATGGCTGGCGGGAGGATTGGGAATGGGCGGCAGTATCCGGGCAAAGCAATGCCTGCGTTCGCCATGCGGGCAGGCGGGCAGGCGGGCTAGCAGGTGACTCTTTGCGCCTGCAATCCGCTCCGCTCTTTTCTCATTCCAGACGAACAATGACCAGCAGCTTTCCATCCGCAGGCAATGCCCCTTTCAGCCTTGTACATCTCCCGGTGCTGCACGTCAGCTGCAACTAGCAGCCTGTTGCCCTTAGTCATGGATACACGAAACACATCGAACAACGGCTCCTCTTACATGACACTAGGCATAGGCCCAGCCAGAGACGTCTCATCCGCCAACTTCTTTGCCTTGATGCTGATGACCATCGCCCTGAGGCTACCCTATCAATGTCGTCCCGTAGCAAGCGTGGAAGAAGATGCGCTCAGTCTAGCTTGTAATGTCTGGCACTTAGTCATGCCGGCCTATACAAGCAGAAAGCAGGTTGTTGCGGCCACTTCCCGTCGAGACCAAAGTCAGTGAGTCGTGAAAAGGAGACTCATGGCAAAATCATCGACAGTTGGCTCACCTGGATCGAATGCAGAAGGTGCGTGTGCGAGTCACGTGCGCAACATGCAAATACCCATAGGCGGGAAGTATCAGATGCAGTGCACGCATCAAGTATTATCCCAGCTAATCTTTGACAGCCTTTATATGTTGGAGGTACACGCCGTTCTTCCTATCGCCCGCTCAGTACGATCAAATGCGTCTGCAATGGTTATATAATCACGGTTGCCATGTATGCAAATTGTAACCAACGTGACCGGCAATGACAACGTTGCACAATATACTCTGCGATAGTGCTCATGTACCACCCAATACGTAGAGCCTCGCTAGCTTCAAGGTGTATAAGCGTCCAGCCTGCTTGCGAAAGACGTTTTCTGTGTGACGTTATGGCCGACCTACATAAGCAAAGCAACATGACATGCGGCAACCAATAAATGGCCTACTGCTTCATATTTAATGGAGTACCGGATAGGCACACGTACCCGTGAAGGTTCAGTTAGCTGTATGCAGTGTTGCCAAAGCAATCATCACGACTTCAATAGGCCGATGCGGCGGCTCATGCATGATAAGGCTCGCAAAATGCACATAATACAGTCGTCGGGCCCCCGGTATCCCCAGTTCCTTTCTGGTTTCTTTTCACTTATCTTTCCTCAGAAGGTCCTGGTCACACTTAGGCTAGACTCAACACATTGAGATATCAATAAATAATAATACGGCAATATGGCCAAGATGTTTTTCGTTCAGATAATTGCCAATCTCGAGGGGTACAAGAGAGTAGACGTCGCAAGACCATACGGAGACGCCACACTCCAAAATGTCGACCTTCGTCTCATCGTCCTCGAGAGACTCTACAACGTCACATCGCCTCCGCCAATGTTGGACCCGACCTGGGAGTCTCTCGAATTTCGTACCAGACGTCTCAGCAGAAACCTCCCATTGCCAAATCCATTGCCGAACCCATCGCTTCGATTCAATCCTAACGAAGTTGAGATTCATGTCACACCCGAGGCCGTGCAAAAGCTTATGGTTAGGCTTGATCCTCAGTATCTCATCACTGCTCCCAAGAGCGAAGATTTTAGCTTCGATGCCATCGCCCAGCACGTATGCTATATCGCCGGTACTCAAAACTGGAACGTGCCTGGAACGATCAAAGACTTGACGAGGCTTTATGCAGTTGCTTCAGAGTTATGTATCAGGATTGAGGACACACTACAGTCACACGGCCCACTCCATCGGCCAATGCACCCCATGAGGCCAGGTTTCCCTGGAGGGCCGATGCACCCACCTTCTCCGTGCTTTCGTCCTAATCCATCAGTCGGGACATGCTGTTCCTGTCACCATCAAAAGGGGAAACCTAAAGTATTGCAATCCCGTAGTCTCACCGCCCAGCTTTTCGGTGCCAAACCTAGCCGAAAGCGCAATTCCAGCTCGCTGGGGTGGGGATGGCTGGGCAGACTGTTTGGCAAAAAGAAGGTTGATTACCATAGCGACACGAGCTCCAGTGGCAGCGAGTCAGACACGTTGAACGATGAGTGAAGGAGGGGAATCGAGCAAAGTAGCTCCTCGGCATTCGGCACACCTTGATAAGAAAGACTCGAGGTAAGCTGGGTATAACAATTGGAAAACAGGGACAATCTATGAGACCATCCAGCGATTTCTGTCGAGGCAACCTGAAATAAATTTAATGGGGAGTAGTTCTGGAGGTATTACAACGATGGACAGCAGTTTCCTTACTTCCCAGGGATTTAACAAGAGTGCATTTCATACTAAACAATTGTGCCAAATTGTGTACAAGGCGAGATTGCATGTTGCATTTATTGGACTTGACTACGATCCGCAACCGTAGAGCCCGAATTTATATCTTCATGAGTGTAGGACTCGAACTGTTCCAGATTATGGCAATGACTTTTCATTCATAGTGACTCCTAAATACCAGTGATCGTCGAATTTGTCCTATATCCTGTCAGTGAAGTCCCTCCAGTAAACGACCGTGACCATAGCGAAATTTGGTTGCCCACAATGCACTGACAGTACCACAACCCGCGTTCCAAAACCCCAGTCAGGCCACAAACCTCATCGGGAATCATAAGACCTGTAAACGGCTCCGGCAAAGCCACGGGATGTGGTGAGCTGGAAACACATCGCCCGCCGCCTCAGTCCCGTCTCCGTGCCCCCGGGTTTCGAAGGAATTGGTATAGACAAAGATAATTCGGAGACTAAATAGCAGACTATCGGTTCCGTGGTGGTCAGAACTCGAGATATTGGTCTCCCCAATGCCCATAGCTTTCGGATTCGTGAAAAACCAGGGACCAGACAGACGATAGAAGTGATTCTCCCGGCAATCAGCATTCTTTGTGCAGCTTTGAAAAATTTTGGTCGTAGCTTGTATTGGCGGCGAGCGGGTCGTGGCGGTGGTGTTGTTGCTCCTGCCACTGGAATCGACAGACGGCTGCCCAAACAATCATGATGACTGTGAACGAGTGGCAGGTTCTTTGAGAGCGGGGCAATATGATTGGTAGATGATGGAGGACTGGGTGCAGTCGGTCATAATATATGCCAGGTCTGACAAGCTCGTGCGCTTCCCTCAAGAAAACCTGAGCCCATGAAGTGAACTGGATCCCGGCAGCCCTTGACCTGTTCTCCTTTGAGGAAACCTTGAACAGTCTAGGCGGGAACTCGCATTCAGCTTCGACCCGCTGGTGAAGAACCCACTCGTAGTTATCAACGACTTGATTATATGGTCCTTGGGAAGGTGCTGTAGCATGTCTAACAAACTCTCTACATGAGTGTTGACGTCGGGGAAATCGAGCAGCTGGAGACCATCTATGACGCAGATCAACAACTTTGGACATAACGGCAGTAGGCGTCGAATCAGCTCAAGTGACGTAGATATTGTCTCGATCGTTCCGTCTAAATGCCCAATCGATGTGGCGTAGTTGAAGTCTTCGCTGAAGTCAGGTGGAACGAGCAGGCAAAGTTGGCGTATCAGAGAGTACATAAGCGAGATCAATAAACCCTGTTGAAACTTGCTCCCAGTAGTCGAGTCTTTGATTTCAGGTAATCTGCACGAGAAAAAGATGCATGGAATGCTTGTCGCTTCTGCAAGGACGACAACATGAGCTGCCGCGATGGACTGGTCGGAATTCTGAGGCGCATGTGCTCTGCCCATCATCCATAACAGCTCCGACTCGGCCGCTGTCAGCCATTGTTGTAACCGAGACACAATTTGAACCGGCATATTCCGAGCGTTAGGTGGATGAGCTAGATCCCTCATGAAGTCGAGTTCCTGATTAAAATATGTTTGAAGGTGCCGTGATACTATTTCCAGCTCACCTCGTCGGAACGCCAAAGGGGCGCTAGGAGACATGTTGTTTCCAGGCTCAATTGACAGTAAGGACTTCTCCGCGAGAATTGGATCGTTCTCCAAGAGCCCACGAAACTTATTTTCTGCACAAATCAGCCTTGCCTGACGCACAGTCGTATTCTGTGGTCACTTACCACCCGCCGATTCCTGCGCATGGAGCACCCTTTCCACAGCTGCTATCGCGGCGCTTTGTGCTACCTCGCCGAGCTTTAAGCTCATCACTTCAAGTTGTGAGTGTAATTGCTGTTCAGAAAGCGCTCTGTTTTGGTCCGATACCATGATTATATTCGAGATGTGATCCACCACCCTGCTTGCAAGCGCCCCTACTTGTGTGAATGTGGGCAAATCTACGACACGACTGTGAGTAGCCTCAACTACACCTTGGAACTCCAGTGTGGCTTCTTGCTGAATCTTGGTCACAACATCTCTTATGTCCTTAGTTTTCTCCTGTACATTCCTTCGAAAATAGTCTTGATCCAACGAAGACTTGAGTCTTTTCGATTTTGAGGAGAACCAATCCATGGTGTGACATAGAAACCGGATGTATTTGATGTAGAGTAATATCACCAGCATCTTCATTCTCTCGCTCGGATACAGCAGACTCTGGCGACGGCTGAATCTCATACTGTCGGAAATTTCTGCCAGAGCTTTACAGAACCCGTCGGCAATCTCTTTGTGTCTCCCAACAGCCTAAATCGTGTGAGCCTAGGTACTTCAAGATTGACGCCACTTACCTTGACGATGGAGGCCATCACGCCAGTGAAAAGGGATATGTACTTATCACCTTTTGGGATTACTGCAAACAATTGCGAGTGTGCAAGCAGCGTGTCACAGTACCTGGTCAAATAGTCCTTGGCTTTGCCCATGCCTTTGTCCTTCTTAGCCTCCCACTCTCCCACAACCCCGTTGACCGCCTGCTTGACTGTACTAATGTTTGGGATTTCATTGTCAAGCAAAGTGCTTGTTCCGAGATCTGGATACCGGGATTGAAAATCTTTCCATACTTCTATCAAGTTCTTGCATTCCGTGTCAAAGTCAGAAAGATCATCAGTGCTAGGAATGACAGCATTAGCTGTGTGAAAATAAGATAAAGAGGATGCTCACTGATCAAATGCGTCTGAATGCAGCCATCTCTGCCACTCGAGGCGCTCACGGAGTTTCTCGTCTTCTGCTGCTTGTTGTCGAGTCTCGAATTGAGCAGTAGCTTGGGCGACTGGATTCTCTGGAATGTCATTGGCAACTTGAAGACTGTTTTTCCTTACGAACAGGAATGCCTCGGTTTCTGTTAACATCTTAGCTATTTTCGTCATTACAGAGCGTAATCTCAATCGTCTGTTCTCGAGGCTGGCAGGGCAAGCAGACGCTCGCGCTCTAAGACCATGCAAATCTCCTGCTGTTTAGAGCCTGATTTTGCTGCACCCAGGAGCCTGTCATGAGCCACGGTCTGTCTGCATACACAAACAGGCTACCGTAGGGGGCTGACAGAACGCGGCATGGTCAAAGGAAGCGGGGTTGATGTCGCACAGGACGACCCAATGTAGGCTGTCCAACATCACACAGGTAAATAAAACATGCCATCCCCGCCCAACTTCTGTGCAGCCTCGCTTTTTTTAGTATATGGTAGATTCGTATCATTGATCAGTCATATATCGACATGATGTCGATTGTTTTGGATCATGCAAATGTCTCAGAGGTGCCATCAGAGACCTCTGCCGCAACTCTAAGTGCAGAAAATATTTTTGCCAGACAGAGTCATGCATCAGCCAAGCCGCAAGATCCACAATTGAATGCTGATAACCAGATATCAGAGGATGCTTCTGTACCATTGGATATTGAAGTTAGCAGGGTGCCAGTCATTGCCAAGGAAACCTCTACTCGACATAGACCAGCTGCTAAAGCCGCGTCGCTTTGGTGTTCCAAAAAAGGACGTAGTCATGCAAATCTTTATGACTGGGAGATTATGGAATGCCCTTCATGCGGCCAGAATCTTCGACCACCTGGTGAGGTGGGAAACTCTCAGCAGGGAGGGCGTACAAAAGACTCTGGCTCTACAGAAACGTCACTTAGCAGGAGTTCGGACACAACTTCTGCATCATCAACTTCAGGCGATTCTGAGTCCGAATCGAATGTGCATGTAGCAAGTGACCGGCCATACGGTGTTGACATTTTCATTCCTACAATCAAATCATCAGACCAGGCTAAGAAGACTGCCGCAGGACAGGTGGTGGCACCACCTGATATCATTTATCAGATCAGATTTCTATATGAAAATGGACACGAGCTTGGAAATCGGCCATACCATGAGCTTCTTGACCTACAGGAGGAGAAAAAAGCTGTTGTCAAAATTTCAGACCCAATACTCGAAATCGTTTCGATCGTGCGAACAAATATTAGATGGTTACCAAGTTATGATGGTAATCGAGAGGCTACTATCATGGCTGATGGCATCCTCAGAAACCCCAGATACGACAGTGAACTACTCTCTCACAATATCAGAATACGATCTCGTCGCATCATTGATGTACTGAAGAGAATCGTGACGTACTATCCCGGACTTCGTTTGACAAGAGATGTGGTGACATTCAAAGAGCCATATTGTGTCGCATTCCACCATATGGCCGATATCAAAGCATTATCAGAAGGTGAAGGGTTTGCCTCCGGCGCCGTATCTGAGGTCGATAAAGAGACCCAACATCACCTCAAAGTCTTCCGGGAGGCAGTTACACGTAACTACAATCAAGTTGTAGAGGAAGAAACTAGGAGGCACGCCAGTGTCCCTGCATCAGCTACATTCAAGTTGCTGTGGTTGATCTTCAAGCCAGGCGTGACAGTCTACACGATGATGGACGAGGGTCTTCAAGCTTGTGTTGTGAAGTCGGTGACATTCGAGTCCCATACCGTTGCCAAGCTGTCCAGTCCCTATAGCTTACAGCTATGGTATTTGGACTTCGATGGCCGTAGACTGGGTAGACGCGAGTGCTCCCGCTTCATTTCACCATTTGATGGAGAAAGGGATATCACATCTCTCAGTGTCTTCCCAGCACATTTTCTTGATAGGACAGATGGAGGTGCAACCCGTACAATACTTGAGAACAGAGGAGAGAAATTCTTCCGCTACCTTCGTGGCGCTCAGGTCCAATACAAAGGGGAAACACTCGGCTCAGAATCTCATTGGGTATGTTGGCTGCCGTAACTAATACCTGACTTCAAGCTGATATTTACGAATTATAGTATGAAGGGCGGGCTATTATTGATATTAGCTCGTATTTCACTTATGGCATAACTCAAAACTTCGACCATGCCCTCATCTTTGACAGACCGGCGATTGGGGAGATGCGAGACTGGCCGGACGGAAATAGGAACGTTGATGACAATGATGACGATTTCTTCACGTTTCGCCCACCAGGCGCACCAGCCCGACCTGGACGTGGACCTGGACCTGGCACTACCCTTAGGACCCGGCGCCCTGGTGCGAGTATGCCTCCAGTTCCGCCCACAACAGCTCAGATACCCAGTTATCTACCCGCTCAGGATCCCGATTCCGAATATGACGTTACTAAGTCATACAATGCTGGTTTTCCGTGGCGTGAATACGAGGATATAAATCCCAAGAAAACCCACAGCTTAGAAATCGTCGATGCTGTGACAGGGCAGAAGAATCGCCATAGATACTTGCTTTGCCCTAGGAAGGTGATAGGATTCACATTGAAATCTCGGATCTGGGGTTTGTGATCCTCCTGGCTATGCTTTGTCCGCTTACTTACATCGACTAGAGCAGCTAGATATAGATTGCTGTCAAGAGCCCAGGCATAATCCACAAGCAGTTGATGCATTGGTCATGCCGGATGAGCGTAAGCTTATGATAAAGGCGTTAGTATACCAATACAGCGACAGAGACCAAAGCAATGACGATGCATCTGGACCTTGGGCTGCTGATTTTATTGAGCATAAAGGTACTGGACAAATATTCCTGCTACATGGAAGTCCCGGGGTTGGGAAAACTTACGTGAGCACGCACCTTCAGTTGCTCAACATCTGCTAACTTTTGAGAAGACCGCAGGCATGCCGTCGTATTTTTCTTGTTCTGCTAAACCGTTGCTGACTGTTGTTAGAGTGTATTGCTGAATCCACCGGCCGACCTCTGTTATCACTCACTATTGGCGACCTTGGAACACATGTGCCCCAGCTGGAATCGAAGTTATATAAGTTGTTCCGCCTCGGTGAAATATGGGGCGCAGTGATACTCTTAGACGAGGCAGATGTGTTTCTCGAACGCAGGGCGACATCCGATCTACACAGAAACAGTCTAGTATCAGGTGATTTAACGTTCGAAGTCCATTTTAGCTCTGCTAATTTTATATCGCAGTCTTCCTGAGAACCATGGAGTACTATCGTGGGATTTTGTTTCTCACCACTAACCGAGTGGGACACTTTGATGACGCCTTCGTTTCTCGAATTCATGTTGTCCTGCACTATGAGAGCTTCTCTGCTACAGACAGAGAGAGGATTTGGACTCAATTCTTCGAAAAGCTGAAAAGGGAACGCGGCAAGTTTGTCGATATTTCCAGAGCAGCCAAGAAATATGTGCTCAAAGATCCTGAGATGACAAGTATCCCCTGGAATGGGAGAGAGATCCGCAACAGTAAGTTGACTCTCCGGTACCTACTTGCATACGACATCATGGCGACGATACTGACGAGGTTGAACAAGCTTTCCAAACTGCTGTTGCCCTCGCTGAATTTCGCTTTACCCAACTCTCCGACAAGGAGGAGGGCGACAAGGCTTGCCTCGAACGGGAGGACTTTGAGAAAGTTTGCGAGATGACCGGTGCATTCAAGAAATATCTGCAATCCGTTTCGGGTTTCGACGAAGCGCAGAGAGCTCGGAATGACTTGGCTCGCAATGACCAGTTCGCTGATCCATGATTGGATTGGATAGCACATCTGGAGGCCAAGGACTTCCCAAACAATAAATGAATGAGGCAACGATTCACAAAGCTTGTAGCTTATCTGTTGCATACTGTCAATACAACGTATAAGAATGATTTTTTTTCGCCAGTGGGTGACCCAGAATCGTTGACAACAGCCCCCACTAGCACAACATAGAATAGCATGAATGATTCTCTTATGCCGGTGAAGGTAAAACTGAATGTAACCGCGCCAACTGTTGTAGTAGTCCCTGCTTATCAAATTTAGCTGTGGTCGATGGGCAAATTCTTGCACTCGACTAAATTACGAAGTGTATAGGATGCCATGCCATCTAACTCGAAAGAAATTACTGCTTTTGGCGTGTCTCGGCAGACTGGTGTGAGATGTATTTGGATCATATCTCAGCACGTAGCTTAACCCACCAAATTCGATAAGAAGAACCAGGTAGGAGAGTAGCCACTAGATGAGATTTTCGCGTCTGGTAGGATCGAATGCTTGCGTCATCGTAAACTTGTTTGCCGGAACTGCGACTCTGATGCATGAGATAAGCAGGAGCTGTCAGGGAGCACACTATACAAGACCTCATAACAGTGTCTGCCACCTTCAATGTGTCCTCTGGAGTGACGCCATTTGATTTCTCGAGTATAGAAGTTCTGCTGCATGTCGTCTGGACTGTTGGTCCAAATCATGGAAACACTACCTCTGTCAAATGGCAGAAGCCCCAAGAGATTGTTCATTGCAGAATGATCCAATAGTTTCGTTATCTGGAATGATGCGGGAGAACTTGACCCTGCAAGTATTTACGCATGCCTCTCTGCGATGAATCAAAACGTGAGGGTCTCTGTACCCGCTGGGTGTGGACAAGCAAGATATAAAAAGAAACGGATCTCTGCAAGAGATGTTTTACGCAATGCGCCGTTCGGGAGTCGAACCCGAGTCTCAGACTATCTCTCAGTAGATGGAAGGTCTGAATGATAACCGTTACACTAACGGCGCTTTGAGGCTTGTCTCTCATAAACTGTTGAAATTTCTCGTCTTACCAGGGTATATCTAGTATGTGAATTACGCTAGAAGCACAGGGCAAAAAGTCCCCCACACGTACCCATCTCGGTTGTGGGGCACGGTCAAGTGTGATCGGAAATAGCTGGCTGGGGCATAATATCGAAGTCATCAAGCTGCCGAACAAGCTGGCAGCAGGACACGATTTTGAATTTGGTGACAAAATAGAAATGTTGAACGCCCGAGACTCGAATACACTCGGAAATGTTAAGGTTTTCGGTTAGACCATTTTGTCGGCACGGTGCATCTTCGAGGAGGACATGGCGAGAAGGTTAGCAAGGTTAGGTGTTATGAGAGCCCACTCTTTCTCCCGGGGGCACACACGCTAAGGCATGAACTCCGTAGCTTATCGGAGCTGGATTTAGAGCACTACTCCGTATGGACAGCAGTGACGAAATTAACTGTCTTGCGGTGCGGACTGTTGAGACTCAAGTCAACAGTGCTCTTGGCCTTGTCTCGTATCTTTTACATCGCTGAAACCGGCCATCTTGGTGACTGTCCGCACGGAATCCGGATTTCGCGATGAAACTACTCCGTAGGGAGCTTATCAACTGGTAGGGATGTTGTTCCGTGCTGACATACAACCCCGGGGTTTTTCGTCAACCACATATACGATTTCGACATTTAAACTAGTCTAGGCAGCTGATGAGGACAAGCGATCCACTTCAATATTTTGACTCATCAAGTCATATAGTCAAGCAGCGTTCCTGTTCTCGTTTAACATTATTCAATGTGGACTAGATATCAAAGACACAGCTGATTTTAGTGTCACCATCATTTGCCGCCGCACTACAACCGGCAGAGTCGAGTTCCTTGTGTTTGGGACAAGATGCCATTCTTCAGTGGAGAAGGAAACTTACTAGAGCTGGATCAAGAGGGTTTCGACTTCAATATCCAATTTGAGCAGCTATTCTTTTCAATCATCCCGTCCGTTTTGTTTATTGTAACATCGTTATGGCGGACAGTCGCCCAAGCGCGGAAGCCCACCGTGGTGAATGCTCCAATCTTCCAGCTCATCAAACTGGTATGATCTTGCCGTTTAATTATAAAGTCTTAACTTGCTAACATCTCCGCAGGGTGCTATCGTAACTTATGCCGCGCTTGAGCTTACGCTACTGATCATGGTTTCGGTTGGCTCCATCCGCGTTACTGGCATGTTCATGGCCTCCTCGGCTCTCAAGCTTGTATCCGCTCTATTCATGACCGCGTTGAGCTTTATTGATCACAGCAAAAGCCCAAGACCATCCGTTCTGCTCAATAGTTACTTGTTCTTAACCCTTATTCTGGATGCGGCCCAGGCAAGAACACTCTTTCTATCGTCAGGTGGCCAGCCCGAACTCATCTATAGTAGCGTTTTTGGTGCCGCTATAGCTCTGAAAGTTGGAATACTACTGCTAGAGGCTCAACGGAAGTCTAGATGGGTTAATTGGGATCACAAAACGCACAGCCCAGAGGAGACCAGTGGGATCTTCTCTCTCGGTGTATTCTTTTGGCTCAACCGAATCTTTTTGGACGGATATCGAAAAGTTCTGTCGGTCCAGGACCTCTATCCTCTCGATAGCTCTCTGGACGGCAAATCGCTTCACGAGGAATTCTCAAGTCATATGGATTACTCCAAACTTAAGGGCGATAAATACGGTCTGGTAAAAGTGTTAGCGCGCACACTTAAGATCCCCCTGCTACTTCCTATACTTCCCCGTCTGGCACTTCTTGCTTTCACCTTTTGCCAGCCATTTTTTATCGAAAAGCTGTTGGACCATTTAGCCAAATCTGAAGTCGACGCCAACGTGGGTTATGGCTTTATCGGTGCTAGCCTGCTGATCTACTTGGGGATTGCAGTTTCTACGGCCCTTTACTGGTATATCATCCCATAGTAGTAATTCTTGCACGATCGGCCACTGATCTTAATACAGGTATTTTCATCATCGAATGCGTGCCATGGCGAGGTCGATATTAGTCACTGAGATCTACATCAAAGCTACACAAGCTCGCATCGGAACGGGCGATGATAGCGCTGCGTTGACGCTTATGAGCACAGACATAGAACGGATCAACATGGGCTTCAGGGCTTTACACAATATTTGGGCGAGCATCATCCAAGCTGCACTCGCCGGATGGCTTTTGTATAACCAACTTGGGCCTGTCTTCGTTGCCCCCATCGGACTTGTCATGGTCTGCGTTGTTGGATTGACAATCCTCATGAAGTTCGTTGGCCAATCGCAGCGAGCATGGATGGCAGGGGTCCAAAAACGAGTTGGCTTGACAGCTACGGTTATCGCCAATATGAAGAATCTGAAGATCTCTGGCCTTTCTGATGCCATTGGCGAGTTTGTACAGAAACTTCGTATCAAAGAACTGGCAGCGGGAGCTCGGTTCCGCAAAATAACGATTATTGCTGCAATCTTCGGCTTCACTCCATACTTGATCAGCCCTCCACTGACCTTCGCATTTGCACAAAGCACACTCACCACTACGAAGATCTACACAAGTCTTTCCTATCTTTTACTACTAACACAGCCACTACAAGATGTTTTTCAGTCTATTCCTCAACTATCCTCTGGACTGACCTGCCTGGGCCGAATCCAAGCTTACTTAGAGTGTGGCACTCGCCAAGACTTTCGCGAAGTCCTCTCTGATATTAAAAGAAATTCGGAGAAGCCGTTAGGGGTCAAGGCTGCTCCGTTTGAGTCGAAACAAGAATCAGTACACCCTATCGTGATCAGGAACGCAAAGTTTGGCTGGGAAGCGGATAAGTTTGCCCTATGTAATGTGAATGCTCGAGTGTCTCGGTCCTCTCTCACGATGGTTGTCGGGCCAATTGGCTCAGGGAAGAGCACGCTCTGTAAAGCATTGGTTGGTGAGATTCCATATAGGGAAGGCAGTGTGGTTCTGAGCACTAGATTTCCTCATGTAGGATTGTGTGAACAGACAGCATTTTTGTCGAACGGATCGATCAGAGACAACATCATAGGATTTTCTCAGCTCGACAACGAGAGATATGACGAGGTTATACACGCCACAGCTCTTGGCTTCGACTTCGACACGCTTCCACAAGGCGACAGGACGAATATCGGTTCTGATGGCATTACGTTGTCAGGGGGTCAAAAGCAGCGTGTTGCTCTCGCCCGAGCTCTGTATCTACAGACCGATCTATTGATATTAGATGATGTCTTCAGCGGTTTAGATGCTGATACCGAGGAACAAGTCTTTCGGCAAGTCTTTGGGCCCAATGGACTACTCAGGCGGAGGCGTTCTACAGTTCTGTTGTGCACGCATAGCGTAAGGCATCTACCAGCAGCGGATCACATAATCGCACTCGACAACGGCCAAGTCGCCGAGCAAGGTACCTTCGACGAACTGATGAGCAACCAAGGATATATTCAGCGTCTTGGGTTAAAAGACTCTTCTGAAAGTGATATATCATCCGAAACGACGTGCTCAGACAAAATTGTTCGAGAACGAATGCTACCGGTGCTCCAGAAGACGACTACTGACACACCCCTGGCACCAAGCACGAACGTTTCGCGGCAAGTCGGCGATAAGACAGTATATAAGCATTATGCGAAGAGTATGGGACTGCTCTTGGCAGCTTTAAGTCTCGTTTTTGGTGCCCTTTGGGGATTCTTCACAAACTTTCCCACAATATGTAAGGTCATCTTTTCTTCGTATGGAATTGAAGGCGAACACAATTATGCGAATGTCACTAGTTGACTCTTTTGGGACAACTCCGTGTTCATTCTTAATGTCCCATCCTCCTTTCTAGTTTGACTGGCTAATATGATTGTTTATAGGGCTCAAATACTGGACAGATGACGTATACTCAAATCAACCGAGTCAATCTTTTGCTTACTACGCCGGCATATATGCTTTGCTTCAGATAAGTGCCATGATATCGCTATTACTCCTTGGCTATGCTCTCTTTGTGGTCTCTGTGAAGAGAGCAGGTGCCAACCTCCATCGAGACGCTTTGCGAACACTTATTCGGGCACCACTGCGGTTCTTCACGGCAACAGACACCGGCGTCGTGACCAACCTCTTTTCGCAAGACCTGAACCTTATAGACACAGAACTTCCAAATGCCCTGTTGGACACTATATACAGTGTAAGTTGCTTGAAGTCGCCCATCCCATGTTTCTTGGTCTCTTTATGTATCCACGAATCTTGTGTTGCACCTAACAATTGAACCATAGGTTTTCCAAGGCATTGGACAAATGGCTATCATGCTTACTTCATCTCCGTATATCGCAATCAGCTACCCATTCCTCGGCATTCTGCTGTACTTTATGGCAAAATTCTACCTTCGAACATCCAGACAGTTGAGGTATCTCGACCTAGAGGCCAAGAGTCCCCTATAGTAAGTCCAGAATGCCTACTGCACATTTAGGGCGGTGTTCATACTGATCCGCATTGATATAGCACACACTTTCTTGATACTGTCAAAGGCATCGTAACTTTGCGGGCTTTTGGTAAGTTACACGCAATGCCAAACATATGTCCTATGAGATATTTGTTGTGTTACCAAGCGGCTTTGCTGACAATGGACCTTCCCAGGTTTCCTTTCTGACGATATTCAAAAAAACGGTCGTCTGCTTCATTCAAGTCAGCGACCCGCTTATCTGCTTTTGATGATCCAGGAGTGGCTGAACCTCGTCCTTGCCCTTGTTGTCATGGTTATGGCTACAATCCTGACAACCCTTGCTGTACAACTTCATTCTAATTCTGGTTTCACTGGTGCATCTATGGTCACTCTTATGAGTTTCGGTGAGAACCTCTCAGGAATTGTTATGTCCTATACCAAGTTGGAAACCTCCATTGGAGCAATAGCCAGGCTCAAGACATTCAACGATACTGTTAAGCCAGAGGATAAAGACGAGGAAGATCTTGTCCCGTCTGAGCAGTGGCCGGATCGTGGTATAGTGGAGTTGAAAGGCGTTTCCGCAAGTTATGAGTAAGGGAGAATTCCCCACGAGGTTTACATACCGTGACATTAAGCTAACGCCATGAATAGTGCGGATGATCAAACCGAAGGCACGCCACATCTAGCCCTACGCGACATTGACCTCACCATCAAATCAGGTGAGAAGATCGCCATATGTGGCCGCACAGGTAGCGGCAAATCCAGCTTCATCGCCCTTCTACTCAAGCTCCTCAATCCCGTGCCAGAAGCTGCGAGCAACACGGTGATCGACAATACGCCGCTCCATCGCATAGACAGATCTGCCTTGCGTCTACGTATCATTGCAGTGCCTCAAGAGGCCGTTTTCTTGCCGGACGGATCCACCTTCCAGGCTAACCTGGATCCGTTCGAGGTCTCGACACCCGGTGATTGCCAGGCCGTTCTTGCTGACGTCGGCCTGTGGAAATTCGTTCAGGAACGGGGCGGCCTGGACGCCGGCATGAGCGCAGGAACTTTGAGCGCGGGACAACGGCAGCTCATGTCGCTTGGTCGCGCGTTGCTAAGACGGCGCTTCCGAGCGCGGAACCTGGGGATAGGAGGGGGTGGCTCCGAGGGCGGTATACTACTGCTCGATGAGGTCAGCTCAAGTGTGGATCACGAGACGGAACGCGTCATGCAGGAGATCATCAGAGTCGAGTTCAAGAATTACACGGTCATCGCAGTCAGCCATCGCTTAGATATGATCATGGACTTTGACAGAGTCGTTGTCATGGATCAGGGAAAAATAGTGGAAGTCGGAAATCCGATGGAGCTGGCTGGAGACGAAGGGACAAGATTTGGGGACCTTGTGAGGGCTTCCGGGGCTTAGTAGAGATACAGGCCTCCCCGGGTATTAGGCATGATAACGGTGGCCAGCGAGAGCCCTTTGATTATAACCACCTCTATTCCTTTTTGATGTTTTCTTTTCCACTTTTGTCTAATTATATGATATATCCTACGTAACACTAATTTAGATAAACACTGCGCCCATCATCTCACTCGTAAGCAATCCCCTTAGGGCCAGCCACGTCCTCTTGGGTCCCAAACAGAAGTCGCCCCCGTTCACACCCCGACCGAAGGGGTGTCGGCCGTCGATAATACAAAACGCACATCTTTAACCCCGATCGGGCACGGCCCCCTATCACTGCATCTTCTTCGCCAATCGGATCAAGGTCACAATAGTAACCGCCGACGTCACCATGATCAAGAGGCTCCCCATCACAACTAGAAGTAGCGGCATGCTGCACAGAGATTGACGGGCAGTGTGCCGCGTCATGGTGACCGGGGCGGGCAGCGACCTCTGTCTGCGCGCGAGCTTTGCAAGGCGCAACGTCACGGCGCTCGAGATGAAGTCTTGGTTCGAGGACGAGTCCGGGGAAGAGGGAGCATTGGAGCTGGAGGTCGAGCTGTAGTCTGAGTCGAGCCCACAAGCGTCGCGCTCTAGGACACGAGGGAGGGCGAACCTGTTTGTGGGGCGGTTGTCTATTGGGGTCACTGAGGAGGCCATGTTGGTCTCTTGGTCTTGCTCTGTGTGCATAGGAGGTGTGGTAGATGGTCGGGCCCGGTAGAGTTCCCCGGTGGTTGATAAGCTTGGCATTTGGAAGATTCAGAGTGCGAAGATGATCAAACGAGGATTTAGATTGCATCGAGATTATGATGTGCTCGATTTTATGGCGAGAAAACTGGTGTGGCCTTTTGAGCAAATATGCAAACTCCGGTGGACACCAAATGTACTTGCATCACCTATGTGCATCACCTTTCAAGGCTATAATATAAACCTCTCATACTCCGCACACAATGATCTCGTTTCTGGAATCGATATGGCTTCGTGGCATCATGAAGACTGCGCCATGTCAGCTGCACGTTCAGAATCGCACGAGTAAACTATGCCAGGCTTAAAGTATTTCCGTATCATTTCTTAGATAGCCTATATAATGGGTATTTGATTTCCTTCCGCTATTTTGAGATTCTTATTAGTTCAATCTATCTAATTTTGCATGATCGACGTCCAGTTTTGACAGGTTGTATAATCCAGGGCGAGAACTTCAGAAAGGTTCCCCATGAATCTATTCCACTGCACAAAATCTTGGTAAAGAGGCCGGACTGGGGTTCCAGATTGTTGAGATTAAGGTAACATATGGCTCCGGACCTATGTGAAACCCCGCAAGTTCTCACAACCTAACAGGCTCAAAGATGTCGAGGATCCCCAGATCAAAGCTTCAAATCAAGACACAAATCTCCTTGCAATCCTAGTCTGAACTGGCTCCAGTGACGAGCTCGAGCTTGACGACGATCTTGATATAAATCCATTCACATTAATGGCCCTTCCCTCAGATGCGGCGGTGGCGCCATCGCCATCGCCATCGCCGTCTACCGCGGTCAGGACACTTTTGCTGCCGCCGCCGCATAAGCCGATTTCATGGTTAAACACACCGTCCCTCCAATAGTTGCACGGAGCCGCGAATGTCTGACTACCAACAGGCGAGGAGGAGTCCGAGCCCGGCGTTGTGAGGCTATAACCCCCATAGGCAAGGCCGACGATGACGGCAATAACCCCGAGAGCGAGGAGGAGTATGCAGCAGCTGGGCCGCCCCGGGGATTTTCGTGGTGCGGAGATTGGCTCACGTTGAGGTGGTATGTTTGTCCTCTTTCTTGCGGCACATACATTGGCTCTGGCGGGTTTAGTCGCTGTTACCGCTTTGCTGGGGCATGCATAGTATGGCGGCGGCGGTGCGATGGGACATGGTGTGCCCGAGAAGGCGCCGCTTGAAGCGCTGGACGTTGTGTCAGAGCAGATCATTGTAAGTATTGAGCGTCTCGCGATGAGTTTGTGTGGGAAGATGAATATGTTTGGTTGCAAATTAAAGAACGGCGTCCAGAGAGATTTGTGGTAAATGAAGGCGAATAGCGCGTCCCTTAAGATGGGATTTGTGGTCGGTCTTGTAGTGTTCAAGGTAGGGCATACAATGGCTAGAGCGTGTATGTACTGTGCGAGCATGTTACTGCAGGAGCATGTTTGACGATTTGCAGCGTAGAACCGTAACAAGTCACAATGACATAGAGCAACATTCAGCATGATGTTTCATGATGAACACTTTCTACAAATTGCTGTGTTTCCAATTAAAGCAGTCATATATGGATATAGATCGCAAATGTAGATTCGTCAGCGATGCCTCTCGATCTAACCTGGGTGACATACACAATGTGCTCACTGCAGCCTGGAGCCACAAATATGATATTAGTAAGTTACTCCACAAGTTCAGTAGGACCATGGAACCGACTGTGGCTTGGCTGTCATCCATCAGTATATATGAGAAACGATTCCAAGCTCCTCTCACCGCCCTCATCCCGTAACGAAATGCAACCAAGATACCAGAGGCCAAGGCACTAGCACCCATCAATCAGGCCATGGATGTCGTTCTTACTAAAGTTTGTAGAGCTTCCACCGACATGATCGGAGCAGATGAGGGAACTTACGGAATCGTATCAGCTGTAGCTCTTGCCTCATCGACAGTTGCGACGCTGCTGCTGTCGAACGTCGACGCGATCGCGAGACCGGTGCCAGTTCCGCTCCTGTTGGAGGTATATTCAACGCTTGATAAATGTTGACCACATATGGCTCGGCAAGAGCTGTGGTGTTTTTCGATCAACCATGTCCGACAACCACGATAGACAAGGTTCAAATGGTGATAATAGTGTCGCAGCCTCGCGCAAGGAGCAACGCCTTGCACCATGCTTGACCCAAACGGAGGTTGGTTTTCAGATCGTAATTACCACATGTTCTAAGGGGGGTCTTTCCTACAGCATTGAAGTCGAGGCTTGGATGGGCGGGTTGGCATTGTTATTGTATCAATTGTCAAAGCCCGGCGAACAGTTCTAACTGAATATTCGGGTGAAAGTGTCGTATATGTTGGCATATTGGACGTCATGCTGAATCGAATCAGTGACGGGTTGTGTGGCTTTTTGAGGTTAGTAAACTCTTGCGAGCTGGGAGTGTCTACTAATGACTCGATAATCGAGGAGAACGCCACAAACGTATAAGAGAAGCGACGTGCTTTGTATGTCCTTCTTCGGCTTCACAAAGTAGATCATACAATAAAGTTTGTCTTACACGATCGAATACGAAATCTTGAACGATATAATTTGATGGTACAAGACCTGCGTAACGAAACAGTTGAGCCACAGGGTATTATGCGCATGATATCCGATGCATCAAAATCAAGACCGCCGTTCAAGAGAATTATAAAACAGAGCTAATACGTGAGTCAATGTAATAAGTAACAGTATATAGATTTCGTTCGTATAATTGAGGTTTCTCACCGTATCTCGTGTCGGATTTGCGGTAGCTGTCACAGCAAAATTCCAGCACCGTAGTGCTAGTATGATTTATATAACGCCGAAAATGCAAGCTGCCATCGTAAAAGCCCCCTTTTCGCCTTCCCTCCCTACTAGGTTATGTACATAGCCTCATCATATCGGGTATATGCATATGTACTTTTATCGTCATCAACTGCTCACGCTTCTCTGCCAAATCTGACATCGAAACCCTTCAACACACTCATGATACTAGCCGTCTCTACCTCTATGTGCGAACGTCTCGTGGTGCTCTCACCAACCTCTTGTGGTCTCGGAACGGCGCGCAACTTTGGTAGCCACGTACCAATGTCTTCTGTTGCCTTGTCGAAGTTACGGTGACTTGATAGCGTCTTGTAAGCATCCACCACAGATAACCCGATGTTTAAGCCAGCAGGCTTCGACTTGCAACAACCACCACCACTTCGGGAGCCACCACAACATCCTGCACCAGTCTTGGAACTGCCGCCCTGTTTATCAAATGCAGCGGCGAGGCTCCGGCAGAAGAGGCCGGCCTTGGGGTCTGACAAACATGTAGCACAGGATCCAGGTCCGCTTGGTCCGCAGCCACTAGTCTTGCTGAGAGGCTTTGAGGGATTAGGTCGGTTGAGACTGGAGAGACGAGGCAGCTTAACGGCTCCTGTTGATGTGAACTCCATTGCCAGAGGGCCGAAGTCGTTGTCGGAATCGGGTGGGGGTGTTTGTACCTCGGAAGCGATTGGGGGCAACTGGGATTCAGCCGCGGCAGCCTCAGCACACATACAGTATGTGCCTTCTGTACAGAAGCCACATGAGTCACGGGGCCGTATGGGTTCGTGTTGAACAACAGGTTCGGGTACGACCTCAACGACGGCCGGCGCTCTCTTCCTAGAGAACATGGCAGTAAAATCAATCTCGTTTTCATCGTGATTTGGTCTCAGTCTCTTTTCCTCTGGTTCGAGAAGTGAGCTGGAAGATGGTCTTCGCTTGAGATCTGAGTCTGTATTGGCTGATTGGTTCAGAGCGGCTTCGAGGCATTCGCACCTTGACCCGAGGGTACATTTGCCGCAGTCTACCATGGGACCTGCATGGGCAAGGACCTCCTCCACACATGCGCATGGGCCATCAGGGTCACATCGGCCACAGACAGCATCATGCGACCTGTCGGCGTCGGAGGGGTCGGAAGGTGAAATGAGCTGAGAAATTGCAAACGTGGAAGAATTCCTGTGACCTGAATGTGTGCTGGTAATGCTGCTTCGTGGCGTGTGATGCTGCGAAAGGGCGGCATGCAGTCCAGGTAGACTAGCATGCCGAGACGAGATGCTTGCCCGTTCGTCTCTCAGTTGCCGCCGTGTGGCTTCGAGCTCGCTGGATATCCTCTCTCGGTCCTTTCGCTCCTTGTCCAGCCTGCCCTCAAGCATTGTGCAATGACTCCGCAGGTTGTGGACTTCGAGATCCAAGCCATTGACCCGATCTTGAAGGTCCTGCTGGATCTGTTCATGCTCACGGCGATCCTCGTCAAGCTGCTCCTCTAGTTCGCCAACACGGGCTGCCCTACGTTCACGGAAAGCTCTTTGCGCTGCGCGGTTCTGAGCCTTCCGCTTCGTGGGTGGTGTATCCGTGGCGGGCTTTCTCCCAGGCTTTGGCCGCGGAGGGATGACCCATTCTTTACTGGTGATGGAGTTCTTGGGCAACTGAGACTGAGGTTCAGGAGTTGAAGCCATGCTAGCGAGGGGTACAGACTGGCAACCATTGGCTGCAGGCTTGATGGCTAGCTGAGGAGCGTTGATGGAGGTGGGGGTTGATGCACCTGAGGTCGGAGATAGTTGTAGCGCCGAGCTAGGTGACGGAGCCGCTGAAATGGGAGAAATGGCGAGCTTGCCAGGTCTCTCAGGTCGTGTAGATGGCGCAAGGGCAGTTGGGCTGGCCATTGTATCAAGTTGAGAGCCTGAGCCGCAGGAAGGACATTAGTCGTCCACTATCTGTTGTTGTGCATGCGGCTTTGGCAGGCTTATATGGTGGAGCGGCAGCCAGAGTTGGGTAGTCCGGGAAGATCGATCCAATGGAAATCCAGCACAGCATCCAGGTAACAGGTAACAAGTATCGTACGATGGGAAAGTTGGATGCAAGATCCAAAGGAAAGATGCGACTTGTGGTTTTCTTGATTTCGCAGTGTGCTGGAAAAAGGACACGAGATGGCTTTGACTGTTTACACAGCCCCGTAAACTCCAGGTCCGAGCTGCCCTCGGCCGAAATGCAGGGTAGATTTGTTTGAGACTTTTGATGCCTTTTGGGGTGGGAGATATTTCAAAAGCGAGAACAGGGGTAAAAGGAAACCCCAAGCAAGGTGCAGGTGCGCCTTCTATTAATGCTTCAATTCCTCAACAGCGGGTACAGAATGTGCCGCAGGACGGGAGTTGGTAAGAGGGGTTTTGTGTGGGAGGTGGGATGAGGCAGAGATGGATTTGATCAGAGATGGACTGATCAGATTGATAAGATAATGCCGGGGGTTCCTAGGGTGGCATCAGTTTAGAACCCACATGGCGCGGCCGGTCAGAGGATGATCCGTATTCATCTGCTGAAAATTTGCGCAATCTGGTCATGCATGTGGAGAGACAGAGACAAATAATCGGGCGCGTTCGGGCAGTTCATTGCTCATGGCTCAGGTTAGGCCAAGAAGCTGGGAATAGAGCCAAGAGCGACACCGGAGCGACGACAGAGCTAAAAGCGAGGTATTTGTGTCGGCGTTCGGATCTTGGGGAGCGGGCTGGTGGCTACTGTAATAAATGGGCATCCAAGCAAAGCAAACAAAACAAGGCAAAGTAAAGCAGAGCAGAGCAAAGCAAAGCAAAAGCACAAGCACAAGCAACCCTGACACTGACTGACGTCGTGACGTGAAGATAACCGTACTAACCTAGTCCAACTTAACCTACATACGAATTGAGCTTATCGGTGGGCTGGTGATAAGCTGTCAGGTTGGAGCACGGGCCCTTCACCTCGGTGACGCTCCTCGGAGTGAAGTGGGGTGTTCATACGTACCACCAGTACCAAGTAGCATACCGCATTCAGCATACAACTTGACTACCTAACTGACACAGTTGACAATCGAACTGAGTGTGGAAGGGCTCAGGGACAAGCCAAAGGGCCCAGCGAACACGCCAACAATCAATTATATCACCACCACTGACAACAATCTCATACAAAGCTGCCGGCCACAAACCTCATACGTGATACTTACCACAATACATTAAATTAGAAGAACTCACAAAGATCTGCCACCACGATCATCCCTCCAGGAGCAGAGAGTTCGGGGCCTTTATATCATTGACTTGCGAAGCCCATATCCACTTACACCGACTCCGGCGGCCATCAAATCCGAGCAAAGTACGGTGCTCCGAGCTCAACCCAAAACGGTACCGAGTATTCACATCACGATGCCACCTCAAGGGCCCCTGTCGCCATCGCGACCTCTGCCCTCGCGAACCTTCAATCTGCCCTCCAGCTCATCGTCTTCCGACACAGAAGACGATGACCCCAATGCTCTCCCCTTCCCGACAGCTCTTCCGCGCACCGACTTCCTAGCACCCGACTTCGATGCAGCCACATATCTCTCTTCCTTGTCAGACAGGCATCAGACCCTAGAAGACCTGCGATCAGACCTGAGAGAGAGAAGCGCTGCGATATCCTCAGAACTTCTGGAATTGGTCAACGCGAATTACACGAGCTTCTTGAGTCTGGGCAGTGAGCTCAAAGGCGGAGAAGAGAGGGTTGAGGATGTAAGGGTCGGTTTGCTCGGTTTCAGAAGGGCAGTCGACGAGGTCAAGGGCAGAGTTTCTGACCGCGGACGCGAGGCCAAAGCTCTGAACCACGACTTGGGGCATGTACGAAAAGACATTGAAGCTGGCCGCAGATTGCTAGAGCTCAATGACCGGCTAGAGTCTTTGGAGAGCAGACTAGCAGTCAACGGTGCCGAGCCCGAAAGTGAAGACAGTGAAGAAGAGGACGACGAGGACAGCGACGTAGTAGGGACAAGTATCGCCAAGCTGACCGACCTCGCCAAGGACTATGCTACGGCAGACGACTTGGCAGACACAATTGGCCGGGATAAGCCGCTCGTCAAGAAGATGAACGATAGGATGACCAAATGCCGGAGCACTATATTACTAGACCTTGCGGCAGCCTTGAAAGAGGCGAAGAAGGCCGGATCTGCCGGTCAAGGAAAACTCTTGAAACTGATGAGCATATACGCCCTTCTGGACGCGCAACTAGAGGCAGTTAAGACTTTGAAAAGCATATGAATGACGCGATGCAGCTTTTGCCGGAACATGTTTTCAAAGATACCCAGACCGACTCAGACTCGGTCGAATAAATTCTATTGCTTTACCTCTACAGCTCGGCCTTCATCAAGCAGACATCAATTGGAAGCCCCCTAAAACCTTTTGGCATCTTGGAATGAAAGCTACGGTGAATCTATGGAGACCTACATTGATATCGGAGTGAATCAATGGTAAGAGAAGAAGGCTCGTCAGGTTCTGCCAATTATCCAAGGTTGATCTGCTGGCAATAGCTCCCAGCCTGTTGTGCGACACACGAAGGTCTTTATAGGGGAAAACGCTGACATGTATCCTGCCAAGCTTCAATCCCGCTTACTTCTGAACATCATTGTGGTTGAGCCTGTGAGCGAACCCTTGAAAGACATTTTGAATCTCTGTACGACTCAAGACATTTAGACAAACCTGATGTACTGGATGTTTACACTGAATTCGTTAAGGGAAAATATTTCATTTCCTAGCGTCAGCAGGGCTTCGACGACTCCTAGAACATATACTCTCACCATAATACGGAATTTGAACTGCAAGCCGCTGAAATTTAGTGGGCGGTTCAGAAACATCGACAGAAACCATATCAGACTCGACCTGTGAGAACCTGAAGCCCATCCATACCACATGGATCGTAGCAAGTCGATTATGATCTTAGTTTTGACACGGGGCTGGAGTATGATGCCCCGTTTCTTCAAACCTCTGGGGATGCATGATATCGACCTCCCGTCTCGCATGCAATCGTAGGTCGAAATGACTATTCGATCTCGATGTTACCGACATCTCTGGGATATGATCAAACTGTCACACCTGTCGTAAATAGTTTCAATATTAGGTTTCTCTCAACCACAGTAGAGAGGCTTGGCATGTCTACCCAAGGTCTACGCCGTTGATGTAGAGTCCCGGAGCGCACATGTATGACATGTTCCTGCTTATCATCTTCAACCTTGCCGAGTCTCAGTGGCGCAGTTTCGACCCCTGGAGTTTAGTATGTCACTGTGTCAACGTTAACGGCTTCCGACACGGTAAAGGGCAACGTTGACCTGACGAAGTCGACCGGCGGAGTGTTCGATACCCAGCTGGTATTCACTCACAGATCACGATATTACGCACAGCAGAGTTTGGCCTAAGATGGCTTTTCCCACCGCAAACAACCTCATCATGAATTTCATTTCTCAAACAGGTCACATCCACACCATGATGGCAACGGACACCACAAGGATGGCTATTATTCGACAGGGTATAGCCACCAAGATGGCTCGCCGACGTGGAATAGCCGTAGTGGAAATGGTCACTCGAACGGCTTCAACTCGAACGGAATCCACGCGGTTGAGAAAAGTAAGGTGGTCGTGGTACACTTCCCCCTTCCGCTATGGACGAAGAAGGATTCCAATACCTTCTGAAGCAGGGAATCAAGGTCGGAGGACCTATACTGAACAACGTCCTGGGCAGGGCTCTGTCTTTCGCCCTTGGACCACTTGGTGGTTCAGTTGTTTCCCTTGCTAGCATCGCCATCTCCGCTGCTCGCAAGCTCACTGAGTCGGGAAGGGCCGAGATTGGCCTCGGACCTGCCATCCCTGAAGGTATAACCGAGCGCGCCATCTTGGCTGAGGCTGCTTCCCAGGCCATGATGCAGATAGACAAAATGACCCTGGAGGAGGAAGGCTTCTTCAGTGACACGTGGAATGTCATCAAGAAGATCGCCCCATGTAGTCGCAAAGGCCGCTTCCGGTGTTATCAAGGCGGTTGTGCCGGTTAGTAGCCTGCTTGGCGGTGCCAGGGCCGAATCCTTCCATGGACCTCGACCAATCAACCACTTCAACTCCGTCGGATATGCCAAAGAAACGCCCAATTGTGAGAACGACGTTCGGAGCCAGCTTCAGAGCCATGATACCGCGGGCGAGGAGTTCCTTAGCATCTCGAACTCCTTGCCTCAGCGTCGATATTTGAGTTTTATGGAGTTGGTTCTGTGCTTTGCACACTAGCATCAATTGGTCCGGGTTCCAAAGTAAGGTGTTCGGGTTGGATTCAATACAAAAAACGTCTCTTTTGCATTAGCGGTAAATCTGTTCTGTACTATTGACACGCTCACTTCGAACATACCATTCGTTCATGAGTAACTTGTTCAGCGAGAACTCACTGGTGCAATATTTGAACTTCATAGACAAGCCATAGATCCAGGTCTTGGCGTACCACTTATAGCTAATCGGTTACTCGTCAAAATGAAATTCAGAGAACGTAGTAAGCCACTGAACCCAATAGTTGATTTTAAACTTCCATAGCGTTCTCATCACTGAACCAGAACAAACTGCAAACAGAGAGCATAGAATAAATAGCAACATGACTGGATAAGACAATAGGAGACTATGCTTCGTGCTCGTCTCTTCTTGTACAATGGACCAATCGTAATGTAACGTGTCATATCATGGCAGGGGGTCGAGAAAGATTGTGGTTCTATTTCTATTTCTATCAATTTGTATTTTCTATTTTTTACTGTTCATATATCAAGGAACCACGAGTGAGGGGTCTGGTTCCATTCGTCCAAGTCGTTCAAGTCATTCAAGTGAGTCTGTTACTCAACATCTAAGGACGGCCTGCCTCCCAGGTAGTTGCGAAGCGGCCGTTGCTGGATCGGATGACGGGATCACCATGGTAGTCGTCGACGTAAGCATTGGTGATGCCGACCTCGGAGATGTACCAATCGCGCACTGCGGTGTTGATGGAGCCATCCAAGTTCTCGCTGGCTGCGAGTACCTTTTGTCCGTTACTTTTTGTGGCGTAGGCACCAGTTGGTGCACCGTCGAGGATCGACTGAGTGAATCCTATAGAAACGCCCGTTCCATCGAGAGCGGAGATTGAGACAGCGCCGTCGCATCCCCGGATGAGGCTGACGTCGGAATAGGCGATCCCGCTTGCGTCGTAACCAATCTCGAACCAGGTTCCCAGCCATTGTGCAGATTTCAAGTTGTACTCGTCGGTGCCGCGAGTGATGCGACCCTGAAACTGGGCGGGGAAAGAAACGAACTTTGTCTCTCCTGCATCAATCCAGATGTATTTGTAAGGCATGGTATCGCAGTTGTTGTGGTAGATGTAGTAGCCACGCTTTTGGCTATCAGCGTTCTTGATTGTCACACCTGCGCCTCCATTGTCGGATTCACCCGTGGTCAAGGTCGCCGATGTGTTGCAAGTCCAGCGCTTAGCGACGGTGGAGTTGGGCCTGAGATGGCTGTTTTGCTCGAGTCCATTCTTGCCGGCAGTTGTGGCAGATGGAGAGAAGGGCATAGAAGCTGCGGTAGCCGCGAGCAGGGCCAGGGTAGACAGTGAGAAGAACATCCTGATGTTGAGGTTGTCTAGCAGTCAGAGAATGAAGCTATGATAAGGGAGTGTTTTGAAAGCACCAGGCTATGTATTGTAAGGAATGTGTATATTGATTTATCGACAGGTAAAAGAAGGACTGTCGATGTGGAGGTACTGCTTGGTGAGTTATTATCAGCCATCCGGGGCTGGGGAATTCTGAGACTATATACACGGAAGACGAGCCACTCCCAGGGCGTTTTAGGTTCCTAGGAGCATGCCTACATTGCTGTGTACATTTCAAGAGAGCACGATTCATGACATGCACACACGCTGCTTGCATCCTAACAGAAAATGGCCAGAAGCCTGACTACGTCTTCTGGGTCCTTCTTGACGTGTGTATAGGCCCACATTTGTCGTTATAGCCAGACCGTGCCGTCGGTAGTTCGCATCAGCTCGGTGTGGCTGTCATACGGTTAGGGCTTGTTTTATAAGGGTGACCTGTGTCAAGCAGTGAGCTGATAGTCTGGCGTGAACGTGTAACAATAGGCTGAGAAACCCCTCGATTGCTGACTCAAGTCATCCCAGCAGCTCACAGACATTTGTTAGTCTATATCAGCAAGTATCTCCAGTGACCTTTTTTTTTGGAAGATTTGTAGAAAGAGTACGTCGCGTAAGCAAGGAAAACTTACCACCGGGGTATGTCCGAGACATGGATAGCACTCACAAACTCGACACTTATTGCCAGTTGCGGTATAAACCCAACAATGTGCAGATAATCGTATCGGTAGAACTTCCGAACTTAGCAGGATTCTAGGTCTCTCTCCCACTTGCACGAATGTGATTGCGTGGGCACTCTTGCAGTAGTGTCTTGGTACCTGGCGGACCTGACCCGCCCCCGGTGCCAAGTCCGTGGTGTCCATACTTCGGAGGGCTTTGACAGGCGTCAACGGGAGCTTGCTTGCTCGGACCAGTACTATCTTGTCATGATTGGGCTGTAAGGGCTTCGATTTATTTCCACATCACAATAGAAGCGTGCTTTGGAAACGATCCGGCCGGTTCCAACCACCGCTGTTATATATCCAATCACGTTGGGAAGTGGCATATACTGGAGGTGACGGGCGTGAAACGGACGTCCGAAACACTCTATTCGAATTGAGGTGACAGGAGCTGAACTGACAGGCGCCCTTTCTCACAGCCTGAGACTTTAGAGGCTCTATTATGACTCTGCAAGGGACGGACCCGAGCTAGTGGTTCGCCGTTTAGGGGAATGACATCGATCTACTCGCTAGTGCCCCCAGGAGATGCACAAATTTCACCCCATAGATTCATCCAGACCAAAGAATCTGCCGCCGTTGGAAAGTTGTGAAAGGCGCCGGGCGCCATGCAAGCCACATGCATGTTGAAAAAGAAGAATGGCGGTCAGGAACTGTTCAGCCTGTTCTAATTTGTTCTACTCATTGATGGATGGCCATTCTTCACAGACAGCTGCGCGAAAATGGTTACACTTGACACGCGTGCGTTTCCCGCATCTCCCACGTGCGTTGACAGAGTGGAGAAGTACCGAGTACTATGCTTTTAAGGTTTCGTGATGTAGGGGAGGGGGCATTATTCAAAGATCCATTCCAGGACAGAATTTTCACAAAACGAAAATCAGTTTCCACAACTATGCATAAGACTTTGGCTAGTTTTGTCGCATCCCGGTCATTTATGCTCAGTGCCTCGACAATCAGCAAATGGACGACGTTGGGGCTCAGCACCGAGTTGCGACTGCACGGCAATAATACGTAATCCCAATTGCCTCGTATACGTATCCATATAGCCGTATGCTCTTTCTTACTTACTGTTGGGGATTGCGTATCATTTCAGTTCATCATCTTCGAAGAAGCACGTATCGGCGCCATGACCAAGAACACCAACCGTTGGACCATGATCAAGTTCAGCCGTAGTTGTAGCAGGTGTGCGAACCGGTTACTGTCGGCGTCGAGGTTCTGGTCCCGGCAAAATAATCCGATCACGCGATTTGCTCGATGTTCTTGTTTCTCCGTGACTCGAAGGACTCATGGGCAATTCTACACATGGTTCAGCACATACTGTAGGATATCTCCGATTCGTCCACATGACACATGCTTAGTAGCAATCCATCGCCACTACTTCTGGCACCACGAAACTCGTCTATTAATTTGCTCAGTCAAAGGAGCCACTGTAAATTTCTGCGGCGGCCCATACTCAAGCGAATTCGTCTTATTCCCGCATGAATATGCGACTTCATGTTATAGTGTCTGCAAGAACGACAAGTACGAGCTGCGTCGCCACGTATCTTGCCATCCCTAGGTCCAGCGGTGGTGGCATCGTTCCAACGCTTCGCCTGGCCTGATCCTCGCCAAGGTCGACGAATAGCACGGCGTGGCTACGCCGTCCCACACCTGCATCGAAACTGGTCCTTTATGTCTGGGCCTTATCGTCACCTCGCATGTACGAGAGGCAATAGATGCAGCATTCTCTTCTCTAAACCACCCCCTCCCTAAAATTCTAACTTCGATCAGAGTTTCCGTGAAGTCCGCCAATTCATGTCATGAGTTTATACAGGAAGGTGATTGGGTGAGCACAGAATATCACTTATCGAAGCAAACCTCAAGCAGTGCCGAAGCTCCCAACAGCGAAACTAAGGACGCTGGCCCATAACGTGTTCAAATTTATGACATCACAAATTGGGAAGCGCTCAACATATTGCCGACCAGCAAAACTACGTCTCTTTTGGCGGTTGCAGTTGCGTGCGTACCTACATCGTCCAGGGTCCTGTTCTGTCATTATATGTCGTCCTACTTTCATCGCTATTAGTTAGCGCAAATTCGTTAAAGAATGAGAGTTATGCTACAAGTATGTGTCAAGGAAAGTATGCATAACGGTACAATACGCTGTTGAGGATGCATCCAGCATCTGTATTTCGGAACGCTGTAACGTTATGTCTCAGCTGCAACGGGATCCATAAATCCTGTTGTCGGTCTACAACTTGAGATTCTGAGTCGCTTGTTCAAGATTGGCGATGATTCAGCGATTCCGTCAGTGGGCTAATCGTGATAGTCAACGGGACGCAGGCCACCTGCTCTTACAAATGTTCTTCATGGACCAAGCCGAAATATGATGGAACTAGCAATGGGTCGAAGCCCCCCTGACATTTGCAATAGCTGGGTTGTCCAAATATCTTCGTATGTCGAAGCCTACGCAAACATGTCCCCTACATCTCAGCTACACGATCTTAAACGCAACAACCTCGGTAAGGTTGGTTGGTCTCGGCCACAAGTCATTTTCGTTTGCGCAATCATCTACACTCGTTCTATCCAAGTATGTGATGATATGCCATCGCAGCGCTGAACTTGAGAATACCGCCAACGATGTCGCCTCACTAAAGGTTGAAGAGGTGTGGGTGGCTTACACTGCTGGGACTGAGACTATTACCAAAGTTAATTGGCTATAAATCGGATCGCATTTGCACTCGGGACACTTGAGATATTGATTTTTCCATGAGTCACTTGGGTTCAGCATTCCCATGCTATAGTTTCTGGACAGTTGTTAATTCAGCCGGGTCAATGTTGTCAAGAGTCGTGCGACATCGGCCCGAAGCACACTGCACTGCATTTCCCATGTACTGGTTGACAGAAGCTTACGATAGATCAGTGAAGCTGTTCTTCTGTCCTATCCGTGATAAAGCCGGTGCTCATTCACCAATCGGAAGCATGGCATTGCCATCACTACCCCAGGACTCTATACATTTGCTGTACTATCCTTACCCCACATCGAGACCCGGCCGGAGATGGCCCTCCACTCTGCCCACATTCCGAACAACAGCATTAACCTAGGTTAGGTGAGTATTGTGTTTGTTATATTGACAATAAATACGGCAATTTCACAGTTGCACTGCCAGGTTGAAGGATAGGAGGACGGAACATTGCATCGCAATATCCATACCAAGAACATTTATTCTTTTCTTTTCCCCCTTGAATTGTTATATTCGGATCCGCGATTATGGGTGCCAGGCATTTGAAAACAGCCGCCTCTGTAGCTAATACTACCATTAATCAGAAAGTTTCTGACATAGTGCAAAATGTTATCGCAGATATCAGGACCAACGGTGACAAGGCGGTGCGCTCGTACTCGGAGAAGTTCGACAAGTGGACACCCGAATCCTTCAAGCTATCTGAGGCTCAAATCCAAGACATCATTAGCAAAGTTCCGGCGCAGACAATCGCCGACATCAAAGAGGCACAGAAGAATGTGAGGACATTTGCGGAAGCACAGAGGGCTAGTATCACGGACTTTGAGGTCGAAATACAGCCAGGCGTTTTCCTCGGACATCGTTCAAATCCGATCAATGTGGCCGGCGCGTAAGTTATGGTGTTTACATTCTATATAGACACTTCAATTGATACTTTCATTAGTTACATACCCGGAGGTCGATACCCACTTCTGGCATCTGCGCATATGACCATCATCACTGCCAAGGTTGCTGGCGTCAAGCACGTCATTGCCTGCACGCCTCCCATCGCAGGCCAGATCCCCCATGCTACCGTCGCTGCCGCGCATCTGGCAGGTGCAGACGAGATTTTCCTGCTTGGTGGCACGCAAGCAATCGCCGCCATGGCCCTGGGTACCGAGACCGTCCGTAAAGTGGACTTTATCGCCGGTCCCGGCAACGCCTTTGTAGCTGAGGCTAAACGGCAGCTCTTTGGTGAGATTGGCATCGATCTGCTCGCAGGACCTACGGAAGTATTGATCGTGGCGGACGAGCATGCCGACCCTTTCACAATTGCCACAGACCTGCTATCACAGGCGGAACATGGGCCGGACTCACCAGCCGTGCTTATCACCACAAGTGAAGATGTTGGTAACAAGACGATCCGGTTTTTGGATGAAATATTGAAGAAGATGCCGACCGCAGACCTGGCGGGAACCTCATGGCGAGAATTCGGCGAAGTCATCGTGGTGGACGACCTGGATGAAGCGTATAAGTTGGCGGATATTTATTGCAGCGAACACGTTCAGATCTTTACGGAGGAACCGCGCGCAGCACTTGGGAAAATGCGGAACTACGGCGCATTATTCCTGGGTGAAAAAACCTGCGTCAGTTATGGTGATAAGGTAAGTGGCATTGGTTATTACGGCCAAGCATCTAATATACCTTAACTCCATCTGGAAGTGCAAGTACGAGGCAGTGAGCGAGTCGCTAATGCATCCAATAGTGTATTGGCACCAATCACGTCCTGCCCACCCGTGGCGCTGGGCGTTACACCGGCGGTCTTTGGGTCGGCAAGTATTTGAAAACCCAGACGTACCAGGAAGTTGTGGATGAGAAAGCGTCAGGGGAGATTGGGCGGTTGTGTGGTCGTTGCGCCAGGGCAGAGAACTTCGAAGGCCATGCTCGTTCAGGCGACCTTCGCGCACACAAGTATCTTGATGATCAGCACGAGTGGATCAGTGAGGCGAAGGCATGAACTGCGTATTGCTCTGAATGACCGCAATAGCGTTCCTAATTGTGTCCCGCCGACTATGAATGGACAAGCATCATTTACCTTATGCCATAGAGTCAGCTTCGCGTCTGAGAGCTGATATCGTGATGTGTCCTAACTAAAATGGACAGTTTCCAGTTGTGTGGCATGTCTTGACCGTTCCGGATGTTTGAGTTGGATATAACTTGGGTTTCGAGTCGGCCAATGCAAACTTTAATTGCTTTTAGGTCAGTGTTTGTGTTAATTATGATCCCATAACGAGTATGATCGTGAACTTCAGTTCACGGTTCGGAGCGAAAAGATTTTGCGCGCTGGCGAGCGCGCTCCTTTGCAGAGAATGAAGGCTCCCTACCCGGAGCGCTCGTGGTGAGGAGCATCCCACGTTGAGGACTCACAATAAGTACCTGCCGACCCGGGTCCGTCCACATATCACCGAGAAAAAGAGCTGCTTCTCATCACATGACTCAAAACCAGTCAGGAGGAATGACTATCAATTAATCATTTGATGGCTTTTGTACTCAGACAATGCCCAGTGTTCTAACAAACATGCCCAAGTCTACTTCCAGCCATCAATTCGTCATAAATCTACACAGCGACAAATCGCTTTGGGCGCAGCTGTACGAGCTTGGGAGACCGGCTGCTACGCTTAGCTAATTCAGCTTCCTGTAAGAGAGACTCTCTAACTACCGTGGATCTCCTATGTTTAGTGCTTCGGTACGTTCTCAGCTGTTCTTCCACAATCTGGCTTACTTGTTGTTTCATTTCCTCATTGACGTCGTCAGAACTAGTCTGCTCTGATATGTTCACTCCCTCGAGCTGAAGCTGGCTGTTCACTCTCTTCAACACCGTTTCCTCATTGAGGTTACCTACTGCCCGAAAATGGGGGCAAATGTGGTGTAACACGTGCTTGAGGGACTCCGTCTCTTGGTTTGTGAGAGGCGCAGGACGAGCGGCCCATTCAGCTTTCCAACGTGTCTCAAGATCGTGATGGGGATTGATGCTCTGTCCCTTGGCGGCGGCTTGGATACACTGAGGACAAGGACGAGGAGCCATCGCGTAGAACGAAGTTCTGTCATCGGCCCGGTAATAATCCCCTAGGTACTGTCGCCTGTAGCGCTCATCCACTTCCTGGAGAGTATCCACGTTGAAGAAGGATTTAAAGTTGCAACTGCAGCTATAAATGGTCCAGCCAGTGAACTGAGGCATTCTGACTTGCTCTGCAAGACTGAGTGTGTCCAAGAACGGATTCAAAGTTGATACTCTGCGACGGACGTTTGTGAAAACAAATATTTGAAAAGAATGACTTCGGTTCGGTTTGGTTGGCATGAACCGGGAAATTGCGCATTACTTATATCGTAGATTAAGACGATCTGGGACAACAGCCCTTTGTCGCCATGGCTCGAGACATTCTTTGAACACCTCAACATAATCGCGTTTGACGAACAATAGCAATGTGTTGCATTAAAGAAAGAAAATAAAACAGGTGAACAACCGAGAAGGCATTACAATCATTACTGTACAGCATTTCGTTGTTCTACCTACCTTAGCGGTTGCCAAGGAACACATTTCAGAGTTGTGTCGCAGTATAATGATTGTGACTGCATGCGAAAACAACAAATTTTGCGAGATATCTCTCCACACCATTTTGCAGGCACTCCTACTTGTTCTACTTGATTATGACTGTATTGCCAAGTTGATGACGACATAGAGTATGATGCAATGAGTCATAATGTGATTCCCGGTATCGGGAGCTAATCGACATTAAATTCATTGCAGCTAAACTGAGCTCTTTCACAACACTATACAGTATTGGATTGTCATATAGCGCTCATAAGTTACGAAGGTCATCAACATGCAGTCAATATCTGCCGAGCTACGCAATCGTGCTTGGAGGAAGGACGATTACCTGGTCTCCACCGACTCCAAGCTCATCCCCCTCCCAACCCTACATGCCGCATTCGCCTCATCAACGCTCTACTGGGCAAAAGAGTTGCCCGATAATGTTATGCGAGAGACTTTGGATAATTCATTGTGCTTTGGTCTGTATAGACTGGCCGCAAATTCTTCTGGGGAGCATGTAGAGCGCCAGTCAGCCGATCAACCGCCTATCTCATCCAGTACGACGACCGATTCTGACCTCGTCGGGTTCGCGCGTTGCGTTACAGACTATACCACATTTCTGTACCTGACGGATGTTTGGGTAAATCCGAGTTCCCAAGGAAACGGGCTAGGAAAGTGGCTCATTGCGTGTGTGCAAGAGGTGATTAAGGACATGCCACACTTGCGGAGAAGCATGCTCTTCACCGGTGACTGGGAGAGGTCAGTGCCGTTCTACGAAAAGATTATGGATATGAGTGTCCTCGAGACGAAGAGGGGAAAGGGTTTGGCCATCATGGAGATGAAAGGAAAGGGGCACTGCAACTATGATGGAAGTGGGAGCGCTTATCAATAACTAATGTTTTGCACAGTTTTGCACGGCGCAAACTGAATCAAATTTCTAGATGATCATCAAATATACTTGACGATATAGGAAGAAATTCATAACACTGTCCCGGTACTTCCCGCCAATCAGAACTTGTCGGCAAGGAACTTTTGAATGCCGAATTGTAATCCCGTCACCGCTGCGCTTCCGTGATCTTCGCCAGGGAAGTCTCGTGCCAGTACGCTACGAATATGCGCACAACTATTCATACGTGCCACCAGCGCTGTGGCACTGTCTCTCGTAGTTCTTAACTCCGCATGAGAAATCCTTTTCTCAAAATCTACCTCAGATTCCTCTTCTCCCCTCACCAAATCTTGTGGTCCAGATCCCCACGTAATTAATAGCGCAGGTGCTAAATTGACGGGATGCTCGCGCGCAAGGAAGGCTGCTTCTTGCTCCTTGACCAAGGACGAGTTATTCCAGCAAATATTGGGACTTGCCGCAATGAATGTATCAAAGAGCGCCGGCTTGGTATACAACGCGTTCAATGCGAATATCCCGCCGTAAGAATGTCCAAACAGAGCCTTACGGTGTGTGTTGAGTGATACCTGCGGGAAGAGCGTCTCGTGGACATACTTCATCACATCGTTCTGAATAAAATCCAGGAAGATATCTGCTTCGCCAAAGGAGAGGTCTGTTCGAGGATTTCCATGCCGATCAAGTGGCATTTCGAATTTGCCATCAGCTGTAGATGGAGTGAGATCCGGACCCCTGCGCCGATCGTAGACAATTTTCGATGGAGGATACCCAACGCCCACAACAACAGCTCTGGTGTTGTGAGTGAACTCCAGACGCCGAACAATATCGACAGCTGTGAAGAAATAGGCATTACCATCTACCAAGTAGCTGGTGATTATTAACGACCCTCTCTTATTGCTCGAGAACCCTTCTACTCACATAGTGGAAATATCAGCAGAATCGCTTTCAGGGGGGTTCCGATCTTCACCCCATCGCAGTGGCCATGCTATCTGCACTAGATAGTCTCCTCGGCTTGAATGTGCCGTATATTGGCAAGTATTCGGGGGATGAGCACGCTCAAGGTTCAACGCCATTTGATCTGGATCTTCAGAGTTACCAATGCAAACAGGACATGTATGGTACTTTAGGCAAAGCGGCTGTGAATAACATATTCAATATTGACGTGGCCTTCAGCCCCAGGGTACGGCGTTTGACCCTGTGTAGGTAATCGCCACATTTTCTCAGGTCGGTGGGTTCGTAGGGATGTACCATATGTAGAGGGAAGCTTGGCTGTGGAAATCGCAGATATATTTAGTATCCGCATCAGGGACCCTAGCATTCCAAGCGACAATCCACGAAAACGTTGTAGAGATCCTGAAAGAAGTCGCTCTTTGAACCTATCATTTCATTTTGCACAGCGATTAGATATCCAAATCTACTCTGGCTGTCTGGCTGCCATAGTTTACTACAGATTAGGATTTTGGGATCACCATAGTTCCGGTTCTGACTTTCTTCCGTATACACGAAACTATTCGCCAGGGAACCTGTTCAGGGTCTCTCATGTGCATCTGAGCGCATCAGGTTCTTTGCCTAGAATTACGTACGTGCTATATTCCAGTGAGGTGAGTCAGGATATATGATGGGGTAGGGTGGAGTTGTTGTGCGGGGAACGTCGGATGCTCGACCGAATGAGAACTGGGGCATGGATTTGATGTTGTCTTCTTTTTCTTATCAGATGATCTGATTTTCACCGTTGGGCTTGGCATTATCCAATAAAGACTAACTAATGCAAGTTCCATCCCCTATGCCTAGCGCAGAAACTCCATGGAAAACCCACCCCTAATGATGCCAAGATCTTGGTGGAGATGTGATAGCATCATTGCTGGCAAGCGTTAATCACAAATACATGTGAACTAGGTGCTTTGGAAAGTGCATACGGCACTGAGGGTGATGTGATATCGGCGAAAGCATGTGACACATCGCGCCAAGAAAGCAAGTCAAACATAATGAGAGTAGATGTAATAGAAGTGTTAATCGAATCGCATTATTTTCTGTCCCAGTGTTTAACGTACGAAAATAATCTGTTTCGTTCTGAGGGACACTTTGTATTCGCGTGGTTAGTTTCGCGGTGCCGACTTGAAAGTAGTTCAACTAATTTACCCGTCCAAACCAACCGGACGACCTGCAATTCCCTAAAACACGACACCCTTGGTCTGTGACATCTTGGATACATTGAAATTCTGTAGCAAGAGGATCCACACGAAGCATAATACCATGATTCCAGTTCCCGCAGCAAGCATCCTAGTTTGCGCATAGCCGTAAGCTTCCTGAATCGCCAGTCGCACGGGGCTGCCGACTGGGTAGGAGAGCTGTACAGGAAGGCTTGCATAAATGGTCGCTAGTTCCGGTAAGGCATCTGCAGGTAGAAAGCGCTCGAGAGCGGACTCAAAAGTGTTCGTCCAGATGGCACCCGAAATAGCATTACCGACAGCACCGCCGATTGTGCCAGACACAAACAGTACCGCTAGTACTGCAGCGACATATTGATGGTCAACTGCAGCGAGGACCGCCAACTGTACGCAGAGTATGAATATGCTGCCAGCGATAGAGATAAAAATTTCGCACATGACAATATATCCGATGTTCTGGTTAGGGCGGCGGAAGTAGATCATTAGGCCCTGCGCAAAAATGTAAAGCGGAACGGCGATATAAAAGAGCCACTTGAAGCGGCCCGTTCTACGGATAAGGTAGCCGACAATGAAGAGGAGTACACCTGCAGGACCATGGGTCAACGAATTTATTCAACGCAATGACTGGCATAGCTTGATTGGAGTTGCTTACCTGACACTACTTGAAAAGTGCTGTTAACATATCCAGCCTCCGAAACAGATAGGTTGTTGACGACTTGAAGGAAAGACGTGAAGTAGCTATTCCAGCAGTAATAAGACATTTGGTACGTCGCATCAATAAGACAAGCTCCAACAACAGTCCGGTTGGTGAGGAATTTGTTCTTGAGGAAAGGCGCAGGTGCAATATAGACCTGGTATATTGCGAAGAGAACAAGAACAACGAAACCCACGACGATCATGGCAATGATATAGTCTGTCTTCCAGCCATTTGGAGCAGATCTAGCAAGAGTGAACGGCAGTAAAAACACAGTAAAACCACCGGCAAAAAGCATGACTCCTGGCACTATGTTCTCAAAGGTCAGCATTCCAACTGCTTCGAATAAGTTGCTGCAATCCACTCACAGTCAAATTGCACAATGACATGCCATATTCTCTGTCCTATACTTCTACCACTGCTTTCCGAGTACAATATACCTTGTTTTTTGGCCTTGCTTTCAGCAGACTTCAACACCAAGTACAGAGGTACTGTCACGAAGGGCAGAATAATCGCAAAGGCTCCGAAGCCCCACCGCCAGCTGACGTTGAGCAGGAAGCCCTCGGCTGCTTTCGATCCAGCAAATGCCGTGATCATATATGGGGATGATGTAAATGCGAAAGCCAAACCTCGATTTCTCAAGTTCGTCGCATCGGCGGCAAGTACGACAATTGTATAGATGAGACCTGAGAAACCAACAGAGTAGAACACCTGACATATCACCAGAAGTTAGCTTTCAAATTTAACGAGACTATAGAGTCGAATGTACATACCTGCGCTGCGCAGAAGGTAGCAAGATCGTGGGATGCAGCCATGAGAATTAGTCCCAAAGTGGAAAAGCAAACCATAAGGAGGAAGCCCTCAGCACGACCCCATACATCCAACATTTTGGCCATCGGAATATAGATAGCGGCCGTCATTGCGTCCGCCACAACGTTGATGACAGTCAGTAGGGAATGCGATTGGAAGCTGCTCGTGACAAAAGGCACCAAGCTATAAAGAATCGAGATTCGAAATCCATTCGTCAAAAACAGAAGCCATATACTGTCAGAAAGCAGAAATATTAGCGACACAAGAAGTACTCGCTTGGCTATCGCAATCAAACACTTACAGACACAACAGAGCAGCCAACGATTTTTTAGACCACGCCAAGGCCGCTGCCTCCATTTTTCGAACACCCAGTTGTGCATCTGGATCTGGCACAGCATCGTTCTGCTTGAGATCCCCAGGAAAGCCCGTTTCAATATCATCGTTGGAAGGTGCAATGGCATCAGCCATTGTCCGAATAGTTGGTTGCTCGACCATCGATACTGTGTTTGTATCGTTGGTAGTCTCACGATCAAAATGAAGTTTGTCAAGGATCGCCATTGTAAAAATTGATGGTTTGTCACGAAGAGCAAGATATGGAACATGCCACTTGGACGAAAACCAAACGCATATATTTTAATTTGACAAGAAGACTTGCATGCACACTGATGTTGGATGGAATCATTTCATATGGATTCATCCCTGTGGTGCTTCAGATCCCTGCTTTAGCAGTGATCCGCCGTGTTCGGCGTCGTACAGCATACAAAAGTGTGTACAGAATGGTCTCGATGCCGCGCTGTTGCTTAAGCGAGTTCTTGGCGCTGAAGGTTTTGGGAGACATTGCGTTCCCATCTTATACTAGAAACAGCATAAGCCTATGCTCACCAGCATGGGTTCGCACCTTTGCGCATTTGTTAGTTCGGCTCAGACTGTTGGAAGTCTGAAGACGAGCCTGAACCATTTGCGGCTTGTTGCCGGCCGCCCAGGCGCTTTGCGGGAATAACAGGAATAGAGTGGATATGGGTGTCTGGGCGAAGGATTTTATCATAAGTTTGCCAGGTTTGATCTAATCTGATTGATCGATAAGATTAACTTCTTCACGGCTACTGGTGACCAAGGAATGATCTAATGCAACGTCAGTCATATTGTTGTTTAGACCGATGTCCGCAGCTCTCTCCATTCAATATTTCTAGCCAATACCTCTGGGTTGTGCCCAGCCTAGTACCAGCTCAGGCTCCGCGCGTTTAACGTGGCGCGATTTAGGATAGGAAGCGAAGCTGATGGGACGATCTGATAAAAAGTTTTACAGTTTGATTTACTTCACGGGCGATGAAATTTATGGAGCCACGGTCTAACAACGTCCCAGCCACTTGGCACCTGTGTGGACTTTCCGTAGGAATGCCCAGGAATTTCTTGACAGTCGCACGTGGTCAGCCAGTAATGATTTAGGTAGACTGACAATCGAAGCGCTCTCGTGAATAAGCCAAACCAAGTGTAGTTTCTTTATCCATGCACACGACTTGATTACATCCTTTAGCATCTGCTACTAAGTCTTTCCGAGCAAATCGAGGTTCAGAACCTAAGAGCGATACATTTGCTCGTTCGCGAATCAGCCGTGCATCATCCTCTTCTTCTCACGAAGTACGTTTGAAATTTGTGCTCTCTCGGAAATCCATTTATACACCAATCTAAAACGAGAACAAGGCATTGTTCTTCCTACCGAAAGGATATACCACCAATGCCGATATGAACAGCCCAGTCGCCAATCCGACCGCGACTTGTATCATTTGTGCGCCGACACTGAAGCTCTGGTATATGTTCTGCTCGTAGACATCTTGAGCATCAGTCGTGCCGTTGTTAAACAGCGGCGTTGAGATACCCAGTAGCAGACCCCCCTGTGCTGAAAGTCCAGATGGAACTAATACCATAATGCCTGCTACGACAGCGGCAAAGGCGAATGCATGCTGCGAGCGCGCCCAAAGATGGCCCATGACGCCAAGTGCGAAGGCCGCAGCCGTATCTGATACTTGGGCAGTAGCATATTGAGAGACAAAGTAATTAACAGTGTATGCAGCAGACCCGATTAGCCTAGATATAATGAGAAAATTAGCATTTCCAATCTGCAATACAGACGTCGAAGCGCACAGAGCAAACACAACTTGTGCGCGGGTCCAAGATTTCAAGAGAGAAAGAACAGTTCACTAGATTTCGACCACTTACACTTGCACTGGAATTTGCCTCGGTCTTGAGCGAATGAGGATGGCCTGAACAACCAGATAGCTAGGCACAAGCAAGATGCGCCACTTTGGATCAAGAGATCGGGGACAGGTTGCCGAAGTCGGCGCGTTCTCATCTATGAGAAGCCAAAGCTGTGCGCCAACGTTGATGCCATATCCTAACAGCAGAGAGTATATAACGGCATAGAACAGTCGCGTTGAACCTGCAGTGACGGACTTGCTCTGTAGCTCCAACGTTCCGCAAAGGACGATATATCCGGGCAAGATCGTCGTGATGGATGACTGCGCGATGGCGCCGAAGCAGAAATACTTTTGAGAAGATCCACCAATGGAACTAAACGCTCGGGCACCAAATGCGGTAACTAACGCAGCCGTGACTTCAAGCACATTGCTGTAAAGAGGATTCCGCGCCGAGACGATAATTTGCAGCGTCCCGACAATACAGCCGAGGAGGAATGATATAGCCATATCGGACCACCAGCCGCCATAAGCCCACAGGGCAGCAAGGGCCGATGCTAAGCCATAGAATGGTACGATGAACCAGGGCCTATAAAAAGGGGGACTTTCGATCAGCTGGATGAGACTCTGAGTGGCTTCTTCAATCTAGCAAATAATATTAGCAGCCGATGCAAGTTCTCGACGACGCACTTACTGTCACCTCCCCGTGAACAACGTTCTTATAGACTCGGAATGCGATCTCGCAAGAACCGATATCCAGACCTTGCGCTTTCACAAGAGTGGTATACGCACTTCGTGTCATGGGATCAGAAGGGTCCACTGGGTTGATAAACGAGATATCCGTGCATCCGACTGTATAGTTGACACGACCTTCCATATCGAGTGCTTTGAATAGCGCAAGAGTATACTCTTCGATGCGGTGTGATGGTGCACCATAAGCCATGAAGGCATAGACCATCAGCAAGACCAAGTTGCGCCGGTGAGCCAGTTCTGCCTTGGCCTGAATGTATTTAGCTTGTTTAGCATCTTTTCCGTCGAGGGTATGTCCAAATTTATTCTTCAACTTTTTCAGCCTCCGGGTAACTTCATGAGGATCAACTCCAGCATAGCCCTTCTTTGGTGTACCCGGAGTTTCAGATCCAGAACTAGATGGTCGCGAATGTGTCCATGGATGACCTGGTGTTGGAATCCCAGAGCTTGTGTTGTTGTTGTTCTGTACATAGCTAGAGTCACGATGTTGTCCAAGGCCAGGCCGGGCTATCATTAAAGATGGAGCGACCTTGATAGATGTAAGTCCATTGCAAATATACAGCCAGGAGACTGGGATGTGGGACAGGAACTGTGAGAACTTACCAGGTTTGAGATACTTCCCATCTTCATCTTTCTGATGATCTGTGGGTCGATCCCAGCGTCCCCAATCAAAGTCGTGATGTCCTGATGCGCCTCTGCGGACCCGTAATCCTCTCGCCAATCATCAACCCAATCTCGAAAGGATTGCCATACTCCCCGATGCGCCGACGGCTCACGATCCTTTTCACCCGCTGACTCTGATGGTCGTGAAACTATAGGTATTGGCCGTGCAGAGAACACTTGTTGTAGTTGCGACTCATCATCTGGAAACCTTGCTCTTGGCGCAGGAGTGCTCCGACCAGTCTCATTTTGTGGAGATGGTGTGGGTCTCTCATGAACGTCGTTAAGACTGTTGCTTTGGGTAGTCTCTGCCGGATTTGATGTTTCTGGGCTGGTACTCAGGCCGATGACTGGAGGCGGCTGATTGTAGAAATGTGAAGCATTTTCGGTGCCTGAGATGGCAGGCGCGCCTGGCATAGCACCCTCCGCCATAGTGGAACGAGAGACCTCAGTCGATATATTGTGTCCTTATTCCTCGTGACTTAATGTGGAACACAATAACTTCTCCAGAAATCCGCCGAGAATCTCTGCCTGTATGCGATCCAGATTTTCTAGTAAGAGAGGTGATAAGAGTACGAGAAACAGAAGGATGTACAACCATTCAGTGAGGCAAATGAGCTCGCGACACCTCCATGAACAGCTGGGAAGTCTTGTTCGCAACGAGCGCACTCCTGAAAGGCGAACCACGATTATTTGGCCGCTGCGGGTTAACCGAAGTTGCCGTCCCACTGCAGATCGTATTCGCTGCACAGATCTGAGCCTGGCTGTTGATGATGACAGAACCCTTTCCAAACGCCAAGATGTGGCCGAGCTATAATATGTTCAGACCATATAGAAAGGACATCAAACAACAACGATATATTTCATTGAGGTCTTGGCGCAAATTATTATTACCAACCCGGATCAGATGGCATTTTGAATTGCGACCCGACTCCCTGAAGCACAGAGACACCGTTCGTCATTGTGGAACCACTGGTGGATATCTGAACGCTTCGGGGCTTCGGTCTTCGCAATGAAAAGTTAACCGAGTCAGAGACTAATAAGAAGAGGCGCCATCTACTCCAATCTATTACGTGGAAAAGGGGCTCGCGCAAGCATCGTATCCTTTTAGTAAAGCGAACAAGTCAGTTCAGAGTCTTCCATGGTTGTTCATCCGGTTGCCAAAGTCTTCAGTGACACGATTATTAGCGCTCCCGGTGCTGCAAGGGGTTTATTAGGAATTTCGCAATGGTTAACGGTTTCTGCCAAGGCCCTACCCGTCATTGTGGTTGGTATCCGCGAACGGTGCCGAAACTGTCAGGTCTTAGCGCAGTCCTACTTAGAATAACGGGCAATCTCATCTTGTTGATCGGGTCCCACAATAGGTCTGCTACGTCCCTTAGTCTTACACATCGTTGCAAGACCTCCAGCTGCTTGGTTAGTATCGGGCTGAAATAAGGATCCCCATCAGAGACAAATACCGAATATAGCATGCCCATGTAGACCAATGCAGCCAGGCGCCCTTTCGTTTTAATTGCTGATCTTGCCAGGTTTACGTATGAATTCATGAAGTGCACAATCATCTCGAAGGAAACAAATGGTATCTCTTGATATGGCCTTATCCAATAACGCTATTACTCTCGTTCGCATCTCATGACTTTGCAGGGATGCCACTCCGGATCTCGTCGCTCAGAGTCTTGTTTGGGGTGATCCATGGCTCAAGGTAGTCCTTCTTCTCCAACAACAAATCTGCTACCAGCCTCCCAAACACAACACTGCCCCAAGCATTCAGATGTGTCATATCGGCACCGTAGCCGTTCAGATCATAAGCTTGTGCCGAAGTGTTGCCAATCTGGTTTACGTACTCCAGCGAATACTTGTTCAGGTCGAGGTAGGTCGTGTCGGTCGCCTCAGCCGCGGCAATGGTGTATAATCTCTCATTATGGAGGGAGTCCGTCGCATTGTGCTCTGAGACAAAGTTTCGTCGCGAAAGAGGTGTCACTAGAAGAGGTGTACCGCCGCGAGACTTGATGTCCAATGCAAGGTTTTCGAGGTTCGTCTTGTACTGGTCCAAAGAGATGTTGGCAGCGGCTTTCTGCGCACTGGTTAGTCATTCGAGTCAGCATTTCGGGCTCTTAAGGGACTTGCCTGGTCGTTATGGCCAAATTGAATTGTTACGTAAACATCAAAACCTTCAGCCTTCTTCGATTCGACGTATCCGGTCACAGTCGCCCAATCGCCGCCGTTTACAAAGCTGACAGTCGTGGCACCGTTATGACCCTTGTTGATGCCCCAAGCTGGCGATATCAGGAACGATAAAAACCCGTTGCCCCAGCCGCCTCCTCCTGCAGATTGCACAGCTGTAGTTGAGTCGCCGGCAAGAATGAACGCCGGAGGCGTGCTGTTTCTTGCGTCGTGGTGCTTGAACGGCACGGCTGGCTTCGCGTAGGGAGTCGTTGGCGAAGCCGTAGCCATTAGGGCTGAGAGTGAGAAAAATAGGAACTTCATCGTGAGCAGAGAGTCAGTACTGGAGTTTACACTCGGAAAACACTATACTCTCAAGGGTAGAAAAGGGCAAACTCCTACAAGAGATGCGAGGCGACATTAACCTTATATTTTCGGACCAGCTTCCGATGGCCTAATCTGATTAGGTGGCAAAGTAACGGTATTACACCAACGACATGCAGCTCTTTGTCTCTTGGCATGAATTATGCGCGAGCTGATGGGCGAGTATACAATTTCTCCGGAATGCGGAGGTAGACCCGAATCTTTTTTGGGGAAAGCGTTATTGAGGTCTTTCGCTAGAATTGTAGCCGAAATCCAAATGCCGGTTTGCTGGTTGGAGGATTCCGGGGTCCCGCCTATACTTGGAATGGGGTTCCGGGGGTATTGCCTGCAGAATTGCCCACCTCCCCACATCCGGGGTAATGGAGGAGTGAAAACCTGGCACCCAATTCATTGGCAATGATGGATTAATAACCCGAATTTCTAGTTTGTATGGTGCTGCAACGGCGGCATGAGGTTGAGTACTCCGTAGCGATCATTGTGAGCGACCCAGCATCGCAGCGGCTGTTTGACCAACAAATTCCTCCGATCAGCTTGGCGAGAATTCAACACTGACGGAGAAAATGACGTGCGAACAGAGCTCTTTCTGACCTAGTCTGGGTAGATATTTGCGACGAATGAACTGCTAAATTGGGTTGCCAGACCTCTGTTACTGCTGGAATACGTCAGGGAGTTCTACTGTGGTCTAGTCTTAGTTCGCAACATCTATTACGTACTGTAGCTACGGTCCAACCAACTTCTATCAATTAACGGTGGTCATTGTCAGTCCTAGAGCAACAAAGCCTTTCCCGAGACTGCTAAAGCGTTGTGATCGGTGGACATCACAAAAGGTTCACACGCGACAACTGCATGCTATAAGGACAACTTCTTTGGGAAGGTTGCTTCCTGGGCTTAAGGGGAGACAGCCCCCCGTGTGTGGGTCATGTTGCCGTTAGATACCACTTTGCACGGATTATCACAGTTCGGCGCTCTGTTACACGCGCAGTTACCGTGACCTTGCGCTTGAGCCCGCAAAAGAACTTCAAATGACATTATGACCCACGATTCGGCAGGAGGTGACTTCATAGTATGCCATGTTTACGTTCAACAAATCACGGTTCGTTCGAGTTTCGCGTTCTTTTCCGATTGATATTAATAACGCCCTTTGAAATTAATTTTGTTTTCAACCTCTTTGAGCGTTTGCCGATACAAGTAACCCCTAAAACGTGATTAGCGGTAATGCTAACTAGGTTACACAGTTCGGTTGACGATATGGTCTTAGGGCCAAAATTTCCCTGGCCGGTAATAGTAGCAGATTAAATCGTCTATACTCAAAGGATTAGGACAGTGGATGATCTCATGCGGCCCTTTTCACTTACAGCCAGCAGAAGTCAATCTCTCCATCACCTATTATGGTATTATGCCCTATGGAAGGCTACGTCCGACTATGTGTTCGAGGAGATCAAGAAGAGCATAATTTTGTGTAGCATGACCAGGGGTTGTACCAAGGTTAGGTAGATCAAGTCTTTGTAGGTGCGTGAATTCGTCGTACCAACGAACAAATTGACGGGTGCTCACAAACTTTGATCGTTTATTCTTTTCTTTCCCGTCCACGTGGGCAAGTGGGCAACTGGTACTTACAAGCAGATAGCTTGGTTCGTTCTAGAACTTTTAAACTCCTTCAATCTATCCATACTTCTATCGTTCTTATTGTCCTACTACGCCCATAAAACCACACCAAAAAGCTTGATACTATTAAACGATGTGTTCAAGATATGAAACTCGTCTTGTACCGAACTGGTTGACATCCCTCAGAATCAGATGTCAAAAACACATGCGACGGGGACACCAAAACACTCATCTCAATACTACAAATGAGTTGGTCCTAATGATCTTGTAACATTTGCCTCAGGCATCTTTTATTTGCTTTGCTTTGGCTTGCAAGGCGGCTGTCAGACGTTAGTGTTGCAAGGTAGTGCTAGGGTGATAGTATTGACGCGCTGCGCCCTTCTCTCTATCACATATGGAGGATTATAGCCCTTATATAACCAATAGCAGTCCGATACCGGATAAGCTCTGACAGCGGCATACAGGATGTGTTTCCCTTGCAAGGTCAGCCGCGAAATCAATACACAAATATAGCTGCTCAATCTGCTAGAAAGAGATACGCCCAGATTGTTTTGTTGTTCGAAATGCAACAAAATGCATCGTTGGGGAAAGACAATTACGGTCAATTTCGTCTTGGAATCTTCTTACGTTGGGATAATCATCATCGGTCCTTGCTAAACAACCAAGCAATCACTATCTGGACGTTGCATCATAGGATCGATTTCATAACGCCACGTCTGGTCTGCAATGCTCACCTCTATGGGCCATCTCATGGCCTCCTATCACAATCGATTAGCTATAATGACATACATGACCGGTCTCCTTGGAAATCGAGCATACATTTTGAAGAATCCGGTCGTGCACGATTCACCTCGCATGGTTTGACATTTCATACGACGTTCGAGATCCGTCACAGAAAGGGCGATGCGGCTGAACTAGGTTTATTCTTTATGAAGTCCTTCGAGCCCGAATTCCTCCATCATAACCCAATATGCCAGCATATCGTAGTGATGTGCACACAAAATCATCGCTACTCCGCCAGTCTGCGGATTCCGGAGCTCCATTGCTCGCCTGAACAGCACTTTGTGTGATGTAACAGTCTCAAGAGGTCATGCCCTGCATGCTTCACTGACTACGATATTACCATCATGAACACGGATCTGAGTGGAAAGGTAATGTTAGTGACGCAAATCTAAAGCTGCTACACCACTAACGAGCGGTGAATACGCAATAGTGGACAGGTGAATATCACCACTCTCTACTCAAGATGGAAACGATACGAATCTAGTCAGCCCAATCAATACTAAAATAACTTTTACTCAGTCAGGGAACACAGAAATTAGTGAAGTCGCCTCTCAAGGCTTACAAAAACGACACATGTGCCATTCTACATTTAATTAATAAAGCTTTCCTTTGATAATCGCGGATGGATACGATATTACCAGCGTCTTATGTTCTTATCCGTATTACGATGTGGGTGTTAACAGGCTTCAACAGCCTGCCGTTGGTGGTGGGTGCTAGCCAGTGCTTGTCGGCGCTCCCCGCTAGTGTCAAAACCATCATCAACCTTATCTTCAGGGGAGGTAATGAAGGTAAGGATAAACACTCAGCGGTGATTATACGTACTTCTCCATTGGACCCAACCGTATGGGAGTCAAAAACCCCATTGTTTTGATTGCACCACTCAGATGTCTATCATGCAAGGATTCGGCTCGACATTGCGGAAGTGGGGTTGATCATAATCTCTGCGGGCCTCGTTAATTGAGGACTCTGTGAAAGTGCATATGGAAGCTAAACACTGGGCATATTATAGTTATTCCAGCGCTGCAATTTCACTATATATAAGAGATTAGCGCCATTACAATTCTTTAGTTGTTTGTTAGGAAAATTGCGACATGGAGGCCGGATGTTCTATCGGCGCACTGTCGTATCACTGAGTGTTTCTTGATACAGTACTTCGAGGCACTGCACGAACTGATGTCTAGTCTAGACCTTCGACAAGTTCACTGAACGCGGAGTCGACCCACGCAACGTTACCTAGCGCTAGGTTAGTCTAGTGGTTAAGAGCGCTTTGCCCATCTTACGGGGTCAGTCAATCAATTGTCTTGGAAGTGTTGCCGATCCAGTCACGACTTTGTAAAAAGAATAAACAAAGATCAATATGAAAGTTGAATCGTCATAAAAGTAAGGAAAACCATAACGAGATGGTTCGCTGCCAGGACTGTAGGATGTCTCGACTGCATCTATATATTGTGCGTCCTGTGGGTTGCTGTGCAGGCACTCAGGCACTCAGAGGCTCAGGTACTTTCGCACACACATCTTGAAGTCGCCTAATTTTAGGTTAGATGCACGCGCAAGCATACAAGGGAACCCGTCCTTGGCTAACTGCAAATGGTAGTCTGATAAGGTATACTCCCCGCAATGCTACGAAAACTACCACCCACCCGTGGACTGGTCCCGAAAGATAGGAAGCTCCAATCCGAGGCCCATGATAGAACAGCGAATGTGTCAATGGCCTTGGCGGAATTCCCGCCACTTGGTCATGCTTAAAGCAACGCGATGCATGCCAATGTTCTTGGGAACCCCCTCCAGTCGTTGCAGTCTTGTCAATTTCGGCTACCATGAGAAATCCGTTCAAGGCTTCTGCGGATACCGCAGTTGAGGTTATACAACCTGCCATTAAGGATGACTTGAGTGAGAAAGCAACAAAGACTCCTCAAGATGTGGATGTGTCCGTTGCGGCTGCAGACCTGGACAAGATCGCCCATTCTCATCAGTATGATCCTAATCTCCCGCAGGAGAAGCTGGATGCCTTGAAAAAAGCGTTGGCCGATGGAGACGCCAACGAAATCCTTGAAGTCGACCATCTTTTCACTGATGACTCGCCGTACGCAGAAGTTCGCGCGGCTGTTCGCAATACGGATGGAGGAGAGATTGCAAACACGGTTCGCGCCTGGGTCCTGGGCATGATCTTCGTCACCATTGGAAGTGGAATCAACATGTTCCTGTCCATGCGGAGTCCGGCCATTAGTTTTCCATCTGTCGTGGTACAACTGCTCGTCTACCCCATCGGTTGCCTATGGGCCAAAGTAATGCCAACTCGAGTGTTCAACACATTCGGAGTACAGTGGACTCTCAACACCGGACCTTTCACAATAAAGGAACATGTTGTCATCACACTTATGGCTAATGTATCAATCGGATATGCCTACAGTACCGACGCTTTACTTGCCCTCCAAGGCAAGCCATTTTACAACATCAATCTTGGATGGGGCTTTGCGTTATTGTTTACGCTCAGCTCTCAGCTTATTGGTATCTCGTTCGCAGGAATGTTCAGGAGATTCCTGATATGGCCGTCTGCCATGATGTGGCCAAGCATATTCTCCAACACAGCACTCTTCTACGCGTTGCATGACAAAAGCAAACAGGATAAGTCGCAAGCCAATGGATGGGGGATCAGCAGATATCGATACTTCTTTTACGTACTCTGCGGTATGTTCTGCTACTATTGGATTCCCGGCGTTTTGTGGCAGGGATTGTCTGTCTTCGCTTTCGTGACGTGGTAAGTAGGACTGGGCGCCAAGTCCTTGGCCTCTTGGTCGAACTGACTATAAGTGCTAACACTTACCAATAGGATCCGCCCGAATAATGTGGTTTTAAATCAGCTCTTCGGTGGTTTCACAGGGCTAAGTCTGATCCCAATTACGTTCGACTGGACATACGTCAATGCATACCTGGGTGACCCTCTTCTGGCTCCGGTGCACACTCACATCAACACTCTTATTGGACTGTTTGTGTTCGTGATTCTCACCAGTATTGGCATCACTTACAGCGGCGCCGTCTATGCCGACTACCTACCATTGGTGACGTCTCAGACCTACGACAATACTCAGAGTGCGTACAACGTCAGTCGAATTCTCAACAGTGACCACACTTTCAACCTCGAGAAGTACACCAACTATTCACCACTTTTCCTCCCACCCACTTTCGCGCTCAACTACGGACTTTCATTCGCTGCACTCACCGCTGTCCTTGTCCATACCGGCCTGTTTCATGGAAAAGAGATCTTGTATCGTTTCAAAGCAGCCCGCAATCAGGAACCGGATGTGCATTTGAAATTGATGAAGAAGTGTAAGTTGCACATATGCGCCCTTGAAGTCTCTACAGCCAGGCGATCAAATAAGTCTTGCTTCTTAAATAACAGCGCATCGCTAACTAAGACTTAAACAGATCCTGAAGCTCCTGACTGGTGGTATGTGGTATTATTCTTCGCAACCACAGCAATGGGATTGGCTACGTGTCTCGCCTATGACTCGCAGCTTCCTTGGTGGGCCTATTTCGTCTCAATCATTTTGGCATTGGTGTTCGTGATTCCCACCTCTTCTGTGCTGGCTATCTCAAATATTGCCTTGGCATTGAATGTCCTGTCGCCTTTCTTGGCTGGCTTCATGATTCCTGGTCGGCCTATTGGCGTCATGATGTTTAAAGGTAAGTTTTATTGCAGGTCGTAGATTGATCTGTCCATACTGATAACTTTCAACTTCCAGTCTATTCCACAATCGTTCTGGGACAAGCGCAAACTTATAGCTCCGATCTCAAGATGGCGCACTATGTATGTGACTCGGCTTCTGAACATACTCTAGTAGGGAAATACTAACCGAAATGACTTTAGATGAAAATTCCTCCCAAGACAACATTTTGGTGTCAAGTGGTAGCCAGTATCTGGGCTGTCTTTGTGCAAATCGCCACCATGAACTGGACGTTAGGCAATATTCCGGACTGCTGCACGACAACTCAGCCGTCCAAGTTCAGCTGTCCCAACGGAAAGGCCTTCTTCTCCTCATCTATCGTATGGGGAGTCATTGGTCCTCAGCGTATGTTCGGCTCTGGCGCCATCTACTCACAGTTCAACTGGTTTTGGTTGATCGGCGCCTCTCTTCCTCTGATCATTTGGTTCTGCGGACGAAAGCTTCGGCTCGGCTTCGCACGTCATCTGAACGCGCCCATCATGCTGGGTGCCATGGGCTGGCTGCCGCCTGCGACACCGCTCAGTTTCTCGTCCTGGGGTTTGTTCGGACTGCTGTTCAACCACGTCATCAAGAACAAGTACAGAGGATGGTGGCACAACTACAATTTCGTCACCGCGGCGGGTCTGGATGCTGGGTTGATCATCAGTACCATCGTAATTTTCTTTGCCATTACTCTACCCGGAGTCGATATTCCACAATGGTGGGGCAATGTTGATGTTTACAACACTTTGGTATGTGCCCGGTTCGCTCCCTCGAACAAAGATTTGTATCGCATGCCAGTACTAACCAACTTCGTTCAAAGGATGCTTCATATGCAGCCTGGCTCAAGACAGTTCCAGATGGAGAGACATTCGGTCCGACAAAATGGTAGTGCTGTTTCGAAGCCGGCATCGCAACTGAGAGGTCTCTTGTGTTGCGGAAGGATTTATGCATTTACAAGGTGTCTTCATGGCCCGGCTAAGCCAGCAGCGGGCCAAACTCAAGACGTAGTTGATAACAATAAGAAGACAATGAAATTTTTATAGTGCTGTTTCCATTTGTTTCCTCACATACGCTGAATATAGTCAATGTTGCGACACTGGGACAAGTGACGCATACACAAGTCCACGGAGGTGCAATTGATTTCTAGTACTCTACCAGCAATATAATATGGAATAACCTTGGAAATTAATAGAGTCTGTACGTCCTTTTAACAAAAAGCCAGTAGGATTATATGAGATATAGTGGAATATTGCAGTGAGACTGATGAACATTTGAGTCCATACAGCTTCGTGAACTTTTGTGTCGATGGCTTCTAGGGTTTATCCTTCGCGATCTAAGGCAAGTGGGTGATGATACCTATGGTTGGATACCGAGGTGCTGTTTCTACAGGTTGTGATTGTCTGAACCAAGTTGAACACTAATGACAAATCTATTGCGTAATGCAAATCGCTGTGACAAATCAAAATTGGTGTTACAATATTATATACAAATTACTAAGGTTAGTTATTGACATGGTCGAAAAGACCTGCACTCCACTCAGAGCATCAACAAGCTCTCATGCATTGATAATCCCATCAGCAATCTTCTCCGCCAACGCGTAGATGGTGCTCTGCGGGTGACCAGGCGGCAGGATGGGGAAACTGCTCGCATCCACGACCCTCAGCCCCTGAACACCAAAGACCTTGGCCTCATTGTCAATGACCGCTGTGGCGTCGCTCTCCTTGCCCATCTTGCACGTGCCGGCGGCGTGCCACACCGTCATGAGCGCATCGCGGATAACGGCAAGAATCTCCTCGTCCGTGTCTTGGTCTACGCCGGGCCAGTACTCCTCGCCGATGACGATCTCCTGGACGACGTCCGTGTTCCACACCTCGCGCATGCGGCGCCACCAGGAAACAGCGACCTCCTGATCCGCCTTCGCGGTGAGCCAGTTCGGGCTCACGAGAGGCAGGACGGCCGTGTCGGACGACTTAATCGTCACATTGCCCCTGGAAACGGGCGCGACCATCGCGCCGAGGATGGTGGCGTACTGCTTCCCGTCGAGGGGCTGCTGCAGCGCCGGGAAGCGGAAGTTGCCGATGTAGCCGTTCCCGGAGATGTGCTCGACCTCGGGCCAGTCGGCGGGGAAGCGCGCCATGGCGTCCCGCGTCTCGGCGGACCAGGTCGCGCGGTACGCCTCGGGCAGCTTCTCCCAGCCCAGGAACTCGACGACGTTGGACGACAGGGCCCCGGTTCCGTCCGCCACGTAGTCGGCGAGCGACTCCGCCAGCACCACCGGGTCGTGCAGCACCCGGTCCAAGGTGTCGAAGTTCACCTCGTAGGCCGGCCCGAACATGATGTGGTCCCACATGTTCTGGCCGACACCGGGCGCATCGACGACGACGTCGATGGCGAGCTCGTCTAGGGTCGCCTTGGGCCCGATTCCGGACACCATTAGCAGTTGGGGCGATTGGAAGGCGCCCGTTGAGAGGATTACTTCCTTGGAGGCATGGATGGTGTAACCGATACCCAGACTGTTGACTTGGACGCCGGTTGCGGTGTTGTTCGAGTTGAAGACTATCTTCTTGGCCAAGGTCTGGGTGTACACCTTCAGGTTGTCCAGATCATCGTTGACTGCGGTGTATATATACTCTGCAGAAGTACTGCGGGTCTGGTCGGAGGCGCGGATGGTGGACTGGGAGTAGTGGTATCCGAGGAGGTTGCCACTGCTGAAGCCAGCCGTTGCATTCATGCCAATAGCCTGCATCCCCTTCTCCAACCATGTTGACCAAACTGCTACCCAGTTGGTGTATCCAACTTGTACGGGGCCACCAGGTGTGGTGAATGCGTTCGGATCGTATTGAGTTGAGGCGTTGGCTCGGCGCTTGGTAATGTCTGGTGGGGTGAAGTTGACGGACTTCTCGAAATAGGGGAGGAAGGACTCGAATCTGATGCGCAGTCATTAATTAGTTGTTCACATCATAGGGGAGATAATTGAGTGTTTACTTATAGCTGTCATCGCCAACCTCTTCGGCCCACATATCATAACTCCCAATACTACCACGGTGATGAATCATGAAGTTGAGGGCGGAACTGCCTCCGAGACACTTGCCTCGGGCATAATGAATTTCGCGATTGTTGGCACCAGCCTGCGGCTCTGTGAGAAACTCCCAGTCGACCGTCGGTATCGAGTCAAGAATGCTAGATCCGATACCGATAATGTCACCACCAGGCGTCGTGCCGAGGACGGGCTTAGCAATCTCATAATATAGACCGGCCTCGATGATGGCGACCGAGAAGCCGGCCTCCGCCAAGCGGTACCCGATGGCGTTACCTGCCGTGCCTCCGCCGACTACGACGTAATCATAGGTGGCTTCGACACCAAGGGCACCCTCCACGGCGCCCAGTGCCCCTTCAACCAGTCCGTCGCCGTTAATAACAGCTTGGACGGCTGAAAGAATGGGGTTTGTGATCGAGACACCGATGCCCCCAAGAGCACTGGTCAGGTCGCTTAGGATCGGAATGTATAGGGCACTGGTCCGAGGTACAGCAGAGAAAAGGAAAGCCGAAGAGGCCAACGACAAAGGAGAAGCCCGGAAACGCATCTTGGGATAGTAAAGAAGGACTCAAGATGGGAAAGAAAAATAGGCCTATTCTACGAGGTTGAATGAAGAAAGACCACAAACCTCAAGTCGTGACCTGCTTGTCGAGGAAATACTCATGACCAACGGCACGATCCCGCCGGGTTCTGCGCTGAAATACCATGGGTACACGAGGTAGACGGCTTTAACTTTGGCAACTTGACGGTTGCAAGGTCGTTCTGCCGAACTCGATGAGTTCCTTTCCCAAAGAGATCAAGAGAAATGGTGATTGTGCAGTTCTTCAGTCGAAACTGAGGAAATTTCATGACGATCTCAAGTATTGCCCCTGACAAGAAGCTAATATTGGGAAAGGTGTTGGGGGGTTCGTGCAGTTGAATACATGGCGAATGTCAGGGAAAGACAAGGCAAAGGTAATGGGAGCGGGTTGCCCGAACGAGGTGACAGTGCTCACAATCTTACTGGGTGTATGTTCCAACCAGACTTGGAAAGATACTTGAACAATGTATCCTGTTTGTAAGGACAACGAATTTGAGGATCATATTACAAGAGATCATGAATTCCTCTTAAACATGTTAGCTTAAAAGAAGATATGAGACAATGTTGGAAACACATGAGGCAAGAATAAAGACACTTTGAGATACCGAATTGCTCACCAAGTTCAATAAATCTCGGGCTATGCATAGGTTCCTTAAGTGACTACAGAATACCACGGTCTGTCTCGACTTCAAACTCGTTCCCTGCTGCAAGGCTAGACTGGTTCTCCGTAAGCCCATAGATAGGAGAGTACACTGAGTGAGTGTGAAGTATAAGCTGTATGATCTGACGGGAAACTCAACGAAACCTGCCCGCTTGACTCTCCATCAATGACTGAGTTTCTACCGGCACATGGCCAAAGGGGTTTCATCCAGCAATGTCGTGCCGCTGTAAATACGCGAAGGATGCATCAATCTCCCCCTCCATCATATCATGTTTGCTGTTGGATTGAGGTGCTTGGCATTGCTGTGCCTCAGTCAATATGCAGGGGCCCCAGTAACGAACGACCAGTGAGCAGCTGCATGCTGCAGCTGAGGTTGCATCGATACCCGGGTCCGCCAACCCGGATGCGCAACTCCTTTTGATTAATCGGGCGGCAGAAACCGCGTTTGACGCGGCATCTCCTGGTATTTGTGACACTGTTTCCAATGTGAAGAATACCACAACAGGGTGGACTTGTTCCCTGCATGTTTTTCCATAAGCTGGGACGAGTCGCAAGTGACATGGAATCCCAATAGCACCACAAAAGCCTACGCTGTCCACTTCATAAGTAATCATAGCTCGACAAGTGCGCGAGAGCCGGGATCTTTTCGTATTTATATTGTTTGGCAGCAGATTGCGCAAGTGCCGCAGAATGGGTTGATGCAGTGTTCCCTAGATCTTTCCGCACGGCATAAATCATACCAAAAGCGTCCCCAGACGTCATTGGCCTCACTCGTTGGAGCATGGCTACTTCAATTGTTGGCGGCCATGTTCGCTACGACCCGAACATCGCAGTCCAAGTCGTTCCTCATTTCCAGGTTGTGTAAGGGTGAGAGCCATACTTATAATAGTGGTAAGGGATCGTGTGCGATGTGGTCAGGATAGTGATACGGGGTGGAATAAGAGATGTTGCTATATCGCTCGGTTTTAGATAATCCGATTCATTCCATCTGTAACCAAGTCGACCATGCTTACCGCATTCAGATGCAGAGAATCGGAGTATGCTTGTTCGTCGTTGAACGTATGAACACCAGATCTGTGAGAGAATCGAAGATCGATGGCAACCCGCCGGTGTTGCCCACCCACAATTTTCCAAAGCACCTGACTGGCTATCCCCATATGTGCCTGCTTGTCGGTGCATACCAGCAAGGCACGGCAGTAATGAAGCAATGTAGCAATGGATCAAGTGCGAGAGCCGACTCAAAGCCATCGACTCTCTATGCAGTGAAAGTTGATTGTCTGCTGCAATTTATTTTCATTTCTTTAGTCTATCTTGGGTGTTGCATGGTCAACAACGGTATTTGCAGTATGGCGGTCTTCGTCGACCGCAACAACACTCATGTCAGACTTCACTTGAAATTCTTTTCCTTTCCAGTTTACAGTGGTGCCAAGGAGGACAGCCCAGGTCCATATGGGCAATGCGAGTACTTCCCGTCCGATCCAAGCAAGAAGCCATTGGCCAAAAGGTCGCCGTTCAGCGCCTCCACGCTTGGCGCCTTGGGCGAAGGCGGGCGTGTCCTCGTCAATGTCAATGCTATAGCCGGCATGTAATCGGTTGGAAATGAATCTGTCGAGGACCATCCATACGGTGACGCCTATGCCCCAGCCTCTCAACATTGAGCCCCAGGTTTGAGCAATGCCAAGGTGTTCATGAAACCACGGGACAGTCGTGATAGCGAAGGATAGATAGAAGCAACAAAGCAGGGATTCTATACCGGGTTCCACAAGAGTGGCCAGCAAGACCGTCCATTTACGCGCTCGAAGCCATCGAACACGACGAGCGGCGTAGGCTGTAACCGACATGCCAGCCACAGGCTGGACAACGAGGTCGCCCCAGTTGAGCCTATGATTCTTATGTCCAGGGAAGTCCGTCTTCCACAGGAGATCTCCAATCAGATGATCCTCACAAATGAAGTGAGAAAAGTAGTCCAAACCAGTAGGCCGTCGAGTAGCTGACGCAGCAATAACTGGATTTTGTGCAGGGTCGGTTGCTTTGTCTAGTTGCGACTTGCGAAACATGGTACTCTTACCAACGACGCAAGGGGCAACACCTAGAATGTTGATTGCAGCGTAGAACTTGGCATGGGTGGTAGACATGAACATTTCGTCAAGCCGGCCTCCACCCTGTGCCCTGATTGATCTGTCGACCTCGTGTTGCATGGTGATATCTTGAGAGCCAGATAGGAGGGCCTGGGTCTCACTGCTGTTGCGCGGGAGGGACGAGACAGTGTCCACAACAATGGGAAGTTGATGTACCAGCTTGCATGGCTTCTTTCGCCCACCATCCGGGCCATAGCCGCAGAGGTGGTCGACCATATGCCCGGCGGCGTTTTTCGACAACCAGACATTGCAGTCAGAAATCCAGACAATGTCTCCTTTAGCCTCTCTGTACGCGTTGCTGAGGTTGCGGATCTTGGGGTTCGGTCCCATGTTATCGATCGTACCACGGCGTCCGGTCAGCAACGGGTCTTCCTCCTCGATGAACAATCGGGCGTCATGGGCTGGGAATTCGTCGATGACTCGACGCATAACGGAATACGCGGCATCATCTTTAGAGGAGACGCAGAAGTATATTGTGAACTTTCCCAGTGGGTAGGTCTGCTGGAAAGTGGACTTTAGACATTCGTATAGATATGGTTCTAAGCCCTTGGCCGGTCGGATAATAGTGACATGAGGTACATGGTCATCTTTGAGTGAGGGTGATGTCGCTTTCTTAGGAACGGAAGAGAAGTTCTTGAAACTAGGGATGGTAAGCCAAGCGACGGGATAGAGAGATGTTCACATCATAGTCGAGGCAGGCCAACGGTGTACTAACATGCCAAAGGTGCCAACGCTCTGTACAAATAAGACAAACGAGCCCCAACACAGCCAAGCGTAACCAACTGCTTGACTTGCAGGAATCATCTCGACATTGCGCGGTATTGGGATACAGCGGGATAGAAAACGAGGGACTTTGGATGAAGACTCTGCTGGGTGCTGAAGATCACCTCGAGGTACCTACTTCGACTTCGGTAAGCGGTGTCAAAATTAGATGCAACTCTGTGTAAACAAAGGCAACTACGAAGTAGCGCAATAGCCTCAAAAGCCCGCAGCAGCAATTGCTGCGATCGTCATATAGGGCAGCATGTTTATTGTCGCTTGACAACAATCATTAAGTGGGCTCCATCAGCATGAGCGGAGTCTCGGCGGATGCATAACCGAATTTCTTACCAAGCCAGCGGATTGACCAGTGGATTTGATTTGAGCAGCTGTAGCTGTAGCTTGTTGCGGCTAGTTGCGCCTGAAAGACCGACACCGCGACCGATGGCTTGCGGCACGTTGGAATGAAGAGTCACGCGTTCAGTTGCGAGCTGACATTTGGTACAGGAACAGCTGCTCTCAGCTGCTCGGATGACTTGAGCTTCTTTTAGACGCTTGGGCCATTCTCTGAGCTCACCGAGATTTGCCGGCGCGCTTTTTCTCCAGGGCAAGCGCATGGGCCCCATTGGCAGAAAATTCGCTTCAACTATTTTTTTTGAGCTGCAAGTCATTCCGAGCTTTTCCATTGCATTTTCTCTTCCCATCTCCATGCAACTGGCCATGAGAAATGCTGGTTGTGACTGAGCTTTGCTGAGACCAATTGGATGGCCTGGTCAAGCAACTATTCCCGGTGGCAACGGGAAGAATATCCCTCATCTGAGTAAGTACTTCATATCTCATATGCCCTCTCGTCAGGCTTGCACGTTTCTCTGTACTTTGTGAGTTTCACCCCTCACACCTACGTCGCGGTGATGACAGAACTTTTTTTTTCCAACTGGAACACAGAGGGCGTCAAACCTCTCGATGAGTGTACCTAATAGACTACAACGGTATCTGAGCGACAGTATTCTGCAAGAGATTTATTACTTTCCTATCTCCTCCTTTGGAGCACACGTTTATAGCTTCCTGCAGCCTACTGACGCAACAACAGACCGGGCTGAACGTCCGTAATGGCAGACACGCAGCTACCAAATCAAAATGGGGCAATGACACCACCAAAACCGGTCGCCGAGCAAGCACCGTCTACCCCAGATCCATCGGCCACGGTCGTACCCCCTGCTCGGCGAGAAGTGCCGCTTTGGAAGATCCATGAGCTACCTGTGCCCATTCGCACATTCCCACTGCCATACTTCCACCCGAGTAACCCGCTTTCCCTGGCCCATGTTGCATACGCATGGATTCGTCAAGTCCTCTCCCCCCGAGGGAGCCGGCTGTCGTCTACGAAGGTGTCTGGTCACCAAGTACTAGGTCTGTCTTGATTAAAGACCCAAAGTCAATACGAGGTCTCTGGGAACAGGGCTTCTATGGTAAGGGTCACCTCAGTCGAAGCGAGCCGAACTGGTTGAAGCGCGAGCAGGCCCGAAAGGGTGCTCATAGCGATCACGTCGCAGAGGTCTTCACGAATCAAAGACGCCAAGAGCGCATAGAAATGAAATGGGCACGTGCCAGAAAAGAACAGGAAGCAATTCACAGAACCCGACATGATGAAGCCAGAGTCGCTCCTGTCGGACCTCTAGAGATATTGGCTATGCCAAACTCCCAGCGCGATCTAGACGTCTTGGTCTACGGCAGTATCGCGGCTCTGACTGGGGCAGTAAACGGTGATGTGGAAGCTCCTGATGCTGGTGATACAATCGATTCTACTGGTGTAGCAAACTCTTATCAGAACGGACACGTTCAGAGACCAGTCACGCCTCAGGACAACCCTGTCCCTGCTGCTGGGGATTCTTCATCGGAGCGCCAGCCTCTCAAGCGACGCAAGAGCGTTCGCTTTTCCCCCAAAGTAGAATCAACCACATTCCAACTTTTCGATCCACCGAGTCCCAGCCAGACTATGATGGTCAACGGCAACGGCAAGGCGCCGGATGGCATTCTCACTAATGGACTCGCTGAATTTACTCGAGACTCGAGCCTGAGTTTGACTCTGGAACCTGCAACTCTTGAACCAGTCCCAGAAGATGTGATCCCCATCGAGCCAGAAGCCAGCGAGGAACTCACTGACAAGGAGCATTTGCAGCTCACGCTCGAGGAAGCCTTCTGGCTCAGTTTTGGTCTGGGTGTGCTCCAGGTCAGAGACGAAGCCGATGGGAGCCTACTATCTGTCGAGTCTTTGCTCAGGCTTGGTCGGGAGTACTCTTACTTCCCGCCTCGTCCCGCCAATCTCAGACCAGACGACCCATTCCTCATGCATTACGCTGTATATCACCATTTCCGATCATTAGGATGGGTCACGCGGCCGGGTATCAAATTCGGATGTGACTGGTTACTGTACCATCGTGGTCCAGCATTCAGTCATGCGGAGTTTGCAATTATCGTCCTCCCATCATACTCTGACCCTTACTGGAAGGCGCAAGGTCTCGACACTACGGACAAGTCGTGGCATTGGCTGCATCTCGTCAACAGAGTACAGAGTACTGCGCTGAAGACGCTCGTGTTGGTTTATGTCGATATCCCAGCGCCAAGTGAAGCGTCTTCAGACATACCTTCTCTTCTGAAGCAATATAAGATCAGGGAAGTGATGGTGAAGCGGTGGCTTATCAACCGCAACAGGGACTGAACACTTACTGTATCCACGAACAAACACATGCATCACCGGCGTTTTGGTTCGACGTAGACAAAACTCATAGGCGAATCAATTGTATTATCAATATGTACAGTACTGCGGAGAATGGGTAGTTTCTGATGTTCCTAGCCATGGTGGACGTAATATACAGTTGAAATCTAATTGCACAAAGAGTATTCCGTTATTCTCCCGTACGAGGTCTGAGCCAATTTACCCACTTGGACATGACCATTGTTACGTTTGATTTTGATTCGAAGACCAAATTAGTCGACGGTTTGTTGATGATTCCACATTTGATAACGCTATGTCTTGAAGTTGCTAGAGTTATGCACGGCAATGCAAAGCCACATCCCGTACCGTAGCCGACGCTAGTCAACATGGATCCCGGCTCAGGTACCGAAGCGCTTACGCCATGATACGCGATCTTCCTTGCAGCTTTTTTTTGGGGGGTTTGGTTTCTTTTGGTCTTTGTTCCGTCACCATCGTTGTGCTTCACAAGTTTCGCGTTGAATTTTGTTTGCACTTGAGACTATACTCTGGCGGGAGGGAGTACATCATGGCTTCCAACAAAGAGACGTACAGTCAAGGCGCAAGTGAGACCACGCGTTTGCTGGCATCATCATCCTTGGCGCTGTACCAGGATTCAGATGTAGCAGAGGCTCTAGTCGCATCACCTACCCACGGTGATGCAACGGCACCGGGCAGCAGTTCTCAGGGAGGAGAAAAGCCATTGGCTAAGACACAGATCATTCTACTCTGCTACGCGCGGCTGGTCGAACCCATCGCGTTCTTTTCCATATTCCCGTACATCAACCAGATGCTTCAGCAGAATGTCGATCTACCTGCCACGGATGTGGGCTTCTACTCGGGCCTGATCGAGTCGCTGTTCAGTCTCACGCAGATGTCGGTCATGATGCTCTGGGGAAAGGCATCGGACAGAGTGGGTCGCAAGCCCGTCCTGGTATTAAGCTTGGTCGGCGTGACCATCTCGACAGGTATTTTTGGTATGGCAAAGAATCTGTGGCAGATGATCTTATTCAGATGCTTGGCGGGCGTTTTCGCGGGCACTATCGTTACGATCAGGACGATGATCTCGGAGCATAGCACGGCAAAGACGCAGGCGAGAAGTTTTTCATGGTTTGCGTTTGCAGGTAACTTGGGTATCTTGTTTGGACCCTTGATTGGTGGAGCGTTGGCGGACCCTGCAAACCAATATCCGAATGTGTTTGGCAATGTGGCCTTTTTCAAGGAATACCCTTATGCCCTGCCAAGTTTTGCGGTCGGTATCGTTGGGTTGACAGCAGTGCTCACGAGCGCCTTCTTCGTGGAGGAAACTCTGAAGAAGAAGCCCGGAGGCAGCGCCGAAAGCGGTCATGCAGAGGTATCCCAACCAAGGAAGATGAGCTCACGGGAGCTTTTGAAGTCGCCCGGTGTTGCCATGGTCTTATACGTGTACGGTCACGCAATGCTCCTCGCCATTGCCTATACCGCAATCATACCCGTCTTTTGGTTCACTCCCATCCCACTTGGCGGTTTTGGGTTCACCCCGATCCAGATCAGCCTGTTCATGGGTCTGACCGGATTCTCGCAGGCCGTATGGCTCCTGGTCTTCTTCCCGCCGTTACAACACCGCCTGGGCACGAACGGCGTGATGCGGCTCTGCGGCATCGCCTACCCCATCGCCATGGCATGCAACCCGATCCTCAGCGCGGTTTTGCGCTCGGGCGCCGCGACCTCGTTCTGGGTTGTGGTGCCCATCTTCATGCTCCTCGCGCCGGGTATCAGCATGGCCTTCACGGGCGTCCAGCTGATGCTCAACGACGTGTCCCCCTCGCCTGCAGTGCTGGGCACCTTGAACGCCCTAGCCTTGACGGGCACTAGCGCGCTGCGAAGCTTCTCGCCTGCCCTGTTCACGAGCATCTTTGCCGTGGGTGTGCGCACGCAGGCCCTGTGGGGCTACCTTGTCTGGGTCGTTATCGTGCTTATTGCTGCGGGCTTCACGCTTGCGACGAGGCATTTACCAGCGGCCAGTGAAAAGGATTATCCAAATGATGGCACTAGAGAGGCCATAACACAAGCCGAGGCGGCAGCTGAGGAGCAGGTGTCGAGATAACGTTTAGAAAGAGTATGTAAGCGTGAGTGTCAAAACATGGAACACATAGACAAGGTGTGATGCTTTGCATGTTTTGGATCTTGGGCAATATGTCGACTCGCGTTTCTCAATGTCAAAATTTCTTACTACCACCAGGGTCTCAAAACCCAAGCTTTCACACTTCCGCGGTTGAGGTAATGTAACCAGCAGAGCAATACAGATGGCTATTGAATATATAATGAATAGCACCGTTCCGGCTGCCTCGCGTTCATGGGTCTTTGGACTAGTTATGCCCAAGACCACCGTTCTGTCCAACCCCTTGAGTATAAGAAGCCCAACCATCGTCTTTCTGGTCAGGATTCCTTTTTCTTCTAGCATAGCGGTTCTGAAGGCGAGTAGTCTGCTCATTACATTGATAACTCCTCTGAAACATGCGAAGCTGTTACGTCCTCCTAGACCCATACATACGAACACGTTCCCCATCTGCTCCATCATGTGGAATATAGTCCGCACCATCGCCACAGGGCTAGCGTACACTACCCTCGTGGCAGCTGTGATGAAAAAACCCCATGAAAAGACACCGCCCCATGAAGACCATGAAGCCTCCCCTGAAGATCGTGGTATCATTCCTGGGAAGTGGATTGTCACGTTCAAGGACAATGTTCCCGACCACGTCTTCACCCGCTTTCAGCAGCATATCCACAAGCGCTCAGAGGACGGCACTTTCAAGGTCAACCATGTCTACGACATGGCTGCCGGCGCCTTCAGAGGTCTCTCGCTCGATGGCCCAGCCGACGCCGTCGAGGCCATGGGCGAACATGAGTGGGTCAAGAGGGTCGAACCTGACAGATGGATTCATCTCGCCGAAGACAGAACTAACGGCAAAGAAACCGAGTCATTCGAACCTGGCGACGAGAAGCAACCGGGCAACGCCTACTGGAATCTGGATATGATCTCGCATCCCAAGCGCCTCAAAGAGGCCAGTAACCCGGAGTACACGTGCACAGGAAGCTGCGGCGCCGGCATCGATATCTACATCATCGATACTGGCATAAACAACCATACCGAGTTCGAGGGACGCTTGACACATGAATACAGTGCCTGCGCTCTTGAGGGAGATAGAGGATATGGGTAAGTGCAAGCTGAGGCATGGGTCGACAGGGAGCTCGGTCTTGTGATGGATAAGGTCATGCCTTCTCTGTCGGTCTGATCATCACCTTGAAAATCCCCCCTCCCATTTCTTTCTTTGTGCTAAATTTGAGATAGTGCTGGAGACAGCGAAGGGCACGGAACGCATGTCGCTGCTATCGCCGCCGGCGCCACCCGCGGTGTGGCCAGAAAGGCCAATATCATATCTATCCGGGCGTTCTGCTCTTATAGCTGTACGTACCCAGTTCAACATTTCAGGGCAAAACGTCTTGCGCGCAAAATACTGACCTCGCGTTTCAACTAGCCCCAGCGTCCAACACCGTCAAGGCTATCGAGTGGGCAGTAAACTCTATGACGCTCAAAAGAGGTAAGCCTTGCTCCAGTCTCCCCTTTTCATTTCTTCTTCTTCTTCTTCTTCTTCTTTTTGTGTAGGAAGGGAATGCACCAAAGTCGGCCGAACGACCACTAACCGCTGTGTCATCCGCTGTAGCGCAGAACCGCACCGTGATCAACCTTTCAGCGGGCGGGTGGAGACTCAACGACCGAGATGCCTCTATGGACGCCGTCAAGAAGGCCGTGGAGCTGGGCGCATTCTTCTCCCTCGCCGCCGGCAACGACAACCACAACGTGAGCGGGTACTCGCCGGCGGCAGAGCCATCGGCGTGCACTGTCGGCGGTGTGGACCGGAATTCCGACCTGTGGGCAAGGACGAACTGGGGCAACGGAATAGACATCCTGGCACCGGCCACGGACATCAGCTCCGCAGACTTTGGCGCCACCGCGAGGTTCGTCAAGAAGTCGGGCACGTCGATGGCGTCACCGCACGTCGCCGGCGCCGCGGCTGTCCTCCTATCGACCTACAAGTGGGACAGTAGTGTCGTCTGCGACAGGCTCCGCTTGTCCCCCAACGAGGTGGCGCACGATATCGGGACGAACACCACCAGGAAGATCTTGTATACCTTCACGGATGGTGAGCCGAAGTTCGACAATGGGACAGTTCGTTTCCGGCCGACCTCGAAGACTCGTGGAACTAGAAGCATCCGCCGCTCCCTTCCGTGGTATGAGGTTTGAGCCAAACATGGCTCCACGCGGATCGCCAGATGCAACTTGGCAGGTCTATAAGTTGACCGTGCTCGCATAGATACAATATAGTTAATGGACTGTGACACTAGGAGAATTCTGGGAGAATATGTGACGCTAGGGAGCTGAGATAGCTTCTCATCATTGAACTAATAATTCTCAAAGCAATCGTTAGTCAGATGAAATCTGGGATAATATCTTGGAGGACAATAATGCTAGGTATTTCATAATATAGAGGTTTATCTATGAGCCAATGATCCCCAAAACATCACAATCTGCGAAAACTTCCCTGATATTGGCTAAGTAACTCCTCCATCTCCATACCAATACTCCAGGCTGTGGATGACTCCAGGCGGTTCGACCAGACCTCACCCATCTCTAACCACTTTCTGGCCCGAATAACGACGTGTGAAGAGGTGTGCGTCAAGTCGACGATGAAAGAGAGACTGCTGTTCATAGCATAAGTCGAACTTGTAGAATTCCACCCTTGCTCTGCTTGCTTTTGCGCTTGGTGATTCGTGCGTTGGCTGTTCGGTCAAGAATCTTGTGTAGGATGCCAAAAAAGCGCTTGTCGAAAGTCAAACGCAGACGCTGCTGCTGAGTGAGTGTTGCGTCGTAGAGCCTTGGGCTCATGTCGCGGCGGGAACACATGTTGGCAGTGAAGGAGATTTCTTTCCGGCAGTGGTCTAGGCTTAGACGTCGAAGACTCTGTCCTGTTGAAGTTAAATAAGAATTAATCGGCCTGACACTAAACTCTGGTGTTGCAACCCTGTTGAGGTTGCTATTTGCAAAAGCCATTGTTCCGGACTTCCTAAGGCGGCATGTTGACTAAGCATTGTTGAGATGCTCGGCTACCATCAAACACGGAAAATCGCAACGTTGTATCTAGCATCAATGGCCTCGATTGGGATTTGTGTGATTGTAGTAGTGTCTAACAGATAATAGCTATGCAAATGCTCAAGCTGACACGTTGACGAATACTTCCCTTCGCAGGTGCGGTTCCCTGCAAATGAATCTAAAAAGACAAATAGCCAATTGTATTTTTACAATTCATATTACTGGCACACTTCATTTTCTCTGCAACTCGATCCTCACTGATCAGCCTCGAGTCGACCACCATTTCACACTTTTCAACATCTATTTCACTGTATATCTGCCCCATACACCTTTCAGTCATCTCGGCTACTGCTGAAATGGACGATCCAACGAAGTCAGCGGAGACTCATTTCTTTTCGGAGTCACCATCTAAGTGTCGCCAAAATGCTTTCTGTCAGCACACCTGGACAGGCATGTGCTATCCGCCGGTTGTGCAACTACTGTGAGAAACTTGCTGCAAAAATATGTGCCGGCTGTCGCGCTGCCTTACACTGCTCCCGTGACTACCAGCAGAAGGTTTGGTAAGTCGAAAGAAAGCCTTACTCGTATTTCAATCTAACTCTTTTGTAGGTATTTCCACAATCTCCTATGCCGCCAATACCCCGAGCATATGAACAGCAAGCGCCCATTACAGAATCATGTCCGGTCAAATTTCTTGTTTTTCAATGGCCAGATCAAACACATTCAGGTTAAGCAAGCCACGAGCGAGACATGGCCTACACACTACTCGGTCAGTTCCTTGGAAATGCCAGCAAACCTTGCCTCTAAGTAGCCGAAATCACAACGACCGCTCTGAGCTAATCAACAGTACAATCGAGGGGCTTTCACAGTTATTACCCGATCAATGGGCCCTGAGCTTGTTCCCTTGACCGTTTTCAATCAACAAGGCAATATTCGCCTGCGGCAAGCCTACCTAACGGAAGCTCTGGTATGGCAACATGTTGTTATGGCGAGCAAGAAACCTACCACCTTGAATGGGTGGTACATGCACTGGCGTCAACTTTCGTGATTTCCATCATGCACTGGACTACGACCAGTTTCATTCACGCAATCCATGTGTCGGCGGTCCAGACCGCTGCGTAAACCAACCATGCAGAACTGGTTATCGACGACGAAGCAACGATGAAGCTTCTTTGGCAAACTCCTCCCGAGTGCATAGCGTGACTGAACAGAACGGTCCCGCCATGCGATCTATCATCGGCTGCGGTATTCTGACCATCTTAATGAACGTGGTACACCACTGAAGCCTGTACATGCAATGGCAATAAAGGATTATTGGGAAGCCGCCTCAAAACATGGCGTTTAGGATGGGAGAGATGGACCCGACGAATGGTAGTCACCATATGTGGGGACTGGAAGGTAGCCGTGCCAATATGGAAGGTTTCAAAGCCTTCCGGAAGAAGTGGAGGCGGCATGAGATTGCACAAGGCAACAATCTTGGAGAACGTCAAAACGCCTCACGAGCTTCAGGGTGCATTCCAGCAAGACGATGACACATTCATTTTCGGCACGATGGACCAGGCTTTTTGAGGAATGCATACATGATTTGCTCATGCTTGGCCTTCGGACATTGGAGTCGATCGGACCTGAGCTGGTACTAATGGCAATACCGAGATGAAATGATAGAGAGCTAGAATGACTTCAATAACATTGGACGGTGATTGCGTTCCTCTCGTAAGGGGAAATGTGGTGGACCATTGTGATGGGCAAAATTGGCTGCCGTTTCGTCGTGCTCGTGCTCAAGTGAGCCGTCACGGCTTGTGAAGATGCTGTCCGATCGATTCGACATTGCAAATCTGCAGCCGTTGAGTACCTGTGGATTCGTTGGTGAAATGGAAACCCCTGGAAATACTGACCCCACGTTGCCAGGCAGAATAGCGGGGTTGGTAATCACCTCGACTCCACGATGAGATCTGTTGGTGATTTGCTGCTTTCCACAATGGTCAGTTTGAGATGCATTGACAGTCTAACAGCCAGTGCTGCTTCAAAATGTTGGGTGCAAAGAAACTCGGTAACGAAAATATTGATCACATGGACTGCCCCAAGAAGCTAGAAGTGGATTGTTGGTCGTTAGGTATCAGACGGTGTGCCACCGGCCAACGGTTAAGGTTCCGAGGTAGCGCAGGTACTGCTTTTCAGCGTTGGTTGCAAGCTGCACCACTGGAATGCAGGTACACTGACGCTATTGCCCCTCACTCGCACAACTGGTCGACGATGGAAATGCTCTACCAACTGATGTGCATCTACCAAGGCCCCGTCATCTTCCAAGCTCGAAATAGCCGTAGGTGGTGCAGGTGTTTGATGAGACTGCATGTGCCTTACTTTTAATTCGTGGGCATCTGAGATGAGCAAGCAATCCTTGGGGACGCATGGATGGTAGTCTAGATGGATCGGCACGGAGTGCACACCGCGTTGCGAGCTCGCATGGCCCGCCAAAAACATGGTCTTTTTCACGAACTCACGAAACAGCGCATGCGACAAAAGCTATTCATGCAAGGCAAGATGATGTATTGCCACTTAAGACGAAGCCCAGTAATGACTCGGGACATATGGAATGGGAGAACCTACGGCTTTCTCAAACATGGCTGTGAATTGGAATGCTTGATCTGGTGGTGGTTGTTGTCGCACTGTTGTTGTTTTGACACCCCCTGGGCATTAGTCTCTACTTGATTGGGTATCGTTCGCGGCGGCGCCGAGCTCGAACTTCCGAATCGCGTCGCGTTCATCTCAAATATATGAAACTAAGGGGCCACTTCAATGCAACCGGAACACGTGACCCTCCCTAAGTATTCCTTGAACATCCACCTGTCTTGATCAACCTTGTTGCCGTCGTGCGATTTCACAGTCAACGCTATATGCGACCAAGTTATCGTGACCAAGTTACAGTTCTTTGTAGAAAACTGATACTGGGAACAATGTTACATGGTTGAGGGGTCCCTTTGCTGCAGAGGAAAGCTGACCTAGAACCACCATCATGGCAGGCAAACACGACACCACAAAGCCATCATGGCTGTCAGGCCTCGTCACAAGGCGTGGCTCGGGGAAGAACAAGAAAGTCGACGACAGTACCGATGAGAAGAGCTCTGTCTTCAAATTCAAGAGACAGAAGAAATCTCCTGCTCAGGAGAGCACTCTGAGTTTCAAGCCACTCGAGGTTGACTTGAAACCTGTAGAGGCATATAAGCTTGCAGACGGTTGGCTGGAACCAGAGCCACGGAAGTCTGAGCATGAGCAGGAGAAGCAGCAAGCCCCGGCTGCAGTCCCGGAGGATACTACAACACCAATAGCAGCCATGTTTGCCAGCATGTCTGCTCTCAATATCCTGGAATCCGGACAGCCTCGACGATCTTCTTCACACAACCGTGGCACTAACAGTATACGACCCGGTTCTGTGGTCGAAAATCAGATTAACACACACACTCGTCCTCTAGCCGAGGTTGCCACAATACGCCTCGTCCCATCCGAGGGCAGCGTTTTAAATCGTGGACGACCTGTCGAACCTAAGCACTTTGTTACTGACCCGCTGAGAGATACAAAAAGCTCGCGGCAGGAGGACCGTCCCCAGAGCAGCGCCTCCGTTGCGGTGCCAAAGGAGCTTCGTCGGAAACCTGTTCAGTTTGGCAATAGTGGCCTGTCTACGGCGACAAAGCAGATTATATCGTCTCAGCGCCAGCCGCAAGTTGAGTACGACCCCTTCAACGACAATAACCGACATTCCATGTACGCGGGAGCAGCTCCGTCTTCCAGTGATGGAGGTGTCAAATCGAGGCCTGCGCCGCTGAGAAGTGCATCAGCCACGCCATTGGATCGCATACAAGCCTGGCAAAAGACCGTCACCTCGGCGCCAAACTCTGCGGCTTCCACTGTTTCCCGTTTTGCTTCACTGAAGACTTTGACTCCAACTGTTCCATCCCAAACAGCTCCTTCAGTTCGTAAGATATCGCCACGTGGAGGAGCCGGAAACCGACTAGCTTGGATCAGAGAACTTGAAGAAAAGAACTCGAGCAGTGTCAGCCGGGATATGGGCGTTCTCAAGAAGCAGAAAGGAAGCGTTTCAGACAAACTGGCCATGTTCGAAAAGCAGGGGCAAGGTGCTGCTCCGGCATCACGTCTGCCTCCATTGACCAGATCCAACTCAACCACTAGTCGCCTCTCATCAGTGGGCCTGGAGTCCACTTTTTCTGTTGCCAACACCTCAGCCACACCGCGCACATCAATAGACACAGTCCGGTCTAGCCATCGTGCGTCCTCTGTTATGAATTACTATGATGACGGGTTCCGCGAGAAGATGGAAACTGTGGTCAGCGGATATGCCGACAAGGATAAGCCCGATGTACAGAAAAAGCAGCGGGTCACGACTCAGTTTATATCGGTGGAACCAGTCAGAGGGGGGGCCGAGACGCCCTCTCATCCTTCACAGGCCGGTTCCGCTAGCTCCAACTCAGGAAAGGAAGTCGACGAGGAATCAGATAGGGAGTCGAGAAAGGAGTTGATGAAAGAGATAGAGAACCGATGTGGAGAGAAAGAAATGCCGAAGGAGGTTGAGAAGGAAACCCAGGAAGAAACCGAAAGGATCTCTGAGACGCAAATTGAAATGGAATCTGAGAAAGAACTCAGCAAAAAAGCAGTCGAGGAAATTGGAGAGAAAGTTGCTGAGGAAGCTGAGGAGGAACCCACAAAGCAAGTCGAACCAGAAATAGAGACGGAAACTGAGAAGAAAATCGTGGTGGGAGAGGATTCAGCGGAAGAGTCAGAGAAGACCCCAGAGATCTCAAGAGAGCTGGAGACTTCGGAGGAACCAGAAAGCTTGAAGGAGTCAGACATTCCAGGCGTTTCTAGCGGCTCCAAGGAGGTTGAGACCTCAAATGAGACAGGTATCTCGAGCGACGCGGTAATTTCACCGAAGTCACAAACTCCGCAACAACCGGAGATCATGGCGCATATTGAGACCTCACAGCAGCCGGACCCCGTGTTGGAATTGGAGAAATAAAGTACGAAAGAACAGGTGGGATGCAAGGCTTCAGTCTTCCTGGCTGAATGCAAGTACTAAGATTCACGAATAACGACTCGATCATTCAAAGAAAAAGGTTCTGGAAACCCCAGACAAGTGTACAACACTCTAGACTGTTCTTCACGCCGCTGTCTGCGACGATATCATAATCACTAGCCCAATATAAATATATTGCCTGATAACAAACATAATTTGTGTTTAACCCAGGCAGGTGCCTGAGTTGTGAAAGCCTAACGTTTGAAGGACTTTGGTCCAGGCATGATTGTGATATTTAATACTTGGTTTTCGGGGTGGCTCTTAAACAGCAGTCAGTGTGAGGGAGGTACCATTTCTTTTTTGCTTCAATGCAAGCGATTGCCTAAATTCATACTAAGCTTCTCTTCAGCGGACTTTGCAGCAAGCTCATCGCCGACAAACAACATCAGGCTCATCGCCGACAAATAACATCATTTCACCCACAGAGCTTGTGGAGTTTCATCATGGCTGACAAGGACGCCAACAATTCGCCTGATGTCGCCAACGCCAAGCTCCTAGCAGGCCTTCCTGATGAAGACAATGCTGTTCGTTCGCGATGCACCTACTGCGATAATCCAGCAAGCTCATTCTGTGGACGCTGTCGATTTGCTCGATATTGTTCTGCTGCCTGCCAGAAGAAAGACTTCCTCTTCCACAAGAAGCTTTGTTCTGAGTATGAGAAATCTTACAACTCTGACAAACGTCCCTCGCCCAACCATGTCCGAGCTATCATCTTCCCGGCAAACGAGTTCAAACCAGCGTTCATATGGCTACGCCAGGTAGTCGTGAACAATGGTCACATCTCGTTTAGCGACATGGGGTATCTGGGCGATTACGCCAAAGACCTTCTGGGTATGACTGAGCTCCATAACGTCTTACTCGATGTTGGACATGGGCTTTTGGTGATCTCGCGTTCTCACAACGTTCTGCCCGAAGCGCCGCTCAACAAGTGCGTCATGAACATTGGCAAGGCTGGCCACATGTAAGTAATTTGTACATATGTACCTCCACATTCGGTTGGACTATTGCAGAAATACCCATCACATTCAGACCCTAGTTTCAGCAAGACTCCCAGCAGCAGCTAACCCGATTTCTATTACCAGGAAGACATGGTTCGGCAACCAACTTCTCGTCGGTATGAAGCGACAATCCTGCATGGAAGGCTATGCTAGTGAGGTCGCAGTCTACGACGATGTCGATTTTCGAGACTTCCGCCATGCTCTTGACTATTACCAGCAACACCCGGCCAACCCTTGTATCGTCGATTCCAATCGTGACCGCCGTCCCGCAATTCCAGGCGTCATCCTGTATTGTGATGGAACCCAAAAGCGTCTACGGGAATTCGGTTTGGACGTGCCTGCTGAACAGGTTCGTATTCCTCGTTATCAAACGATGGTTCTCGAGGAGTCAGTATGCATGCGTACGCTCCAGCTTGGCTTGGAATGGGGTTACCGAAGATACGAGCCTAACAAGGAGTGGCATAAAAAGGATATCAACGTGATCAACATGTACAACGACCTCGCCACGTCCTTCGTGCAAGGTGTGACAGGCGACATGATTCTTACTCCGCTCATTTACGTCGGTACCGTTGTCCTATTCGACAATCGCGGTGCTATAATTCAGCCCATGCATTTGATCGGCATCGCTGCGTTCCTGGACTCCGTCGCCAATAAGGCTGTCGGTATCGAATTGATTACTCAACCGATGACAAAGTTGTGGGAACCAGACCCTGAGAACAAAAGCAAGGAGTCCCAGGAAGAGCTTGAGAAATTCTGGGCAGAGTGGCAGAAGGATGACAGCATCGAGGGATTTGACAAGAGAACCATTGTGGCACCTACTAGACTGAAGTCGACCTTGGACGCGGAAATCGTGGGTGGGCAGTTCTTCGCAGATGTACGAGCCAGATTGGCCGCTCGTGACAAGTCTGGCAACAAGAATGCAGCAGCCTGAAACGCTCAGCATCCACATTCTATTCATGAGAGGGAAGCCCACTCGGGCTGGATGACGTGTAAAAGATCTGACTTGATAGCAACACTCAGCTTCGTACGAATATAGTACAATCAGGGCGGTAACCTCGAGACCCTGCGCAGATGGACAAATACAGAAGTGCTTGACCAGTTCTGTTGGCTTTTGCCACGAGATTCCTTTGATGGCATAATGAATACCCCCATTGCCCCACACCCAATCCAGGTCATCAGCAACATAGAGTTTTAGCCATTTTAGCCGAGAGCTTAAGCTCAACTCTAAACTTTCCTTGGTCATAAGATCGACACAAGAACCGTGCCCTACCCACCTCTTCCTCAATGCGAAACATTGACTGAACTAGCACTGAATTTGTTTTGGGAAACGGAGGCTAAGGAGCCAAAAGCTAGTTAACTTTTATGACCAGTATGCAATACCATGTTTCCTATATAGACTTCGTCATGCGGTTAAATCCCATTTATCCGACCAATCAAACATGTCGGGTATCCGGAACCAGAAAGTCTATACAAATACCAAGCTTCGCCAAGCATATCAAGCTTTCTTGGTTCTGCATACCGCGCTCCATTCCCAGTACAGTACTCCAGCTCCAAACGCCTTGGTTTGCATTCATCATGGTTGCTTTCACTCACCTTGCGCTCGCCATTTCGGCACTCTCAGGAGTCTTCGCCGCACCCACTGCTGGCCCTGATGCCCCTGATTTCATGATCGGGCCTCAAGACCTGGACCGCCGCCAGAACTACAACCAAAACTACAAGACCAACGGCAACGTCAACTTCTCGCCTGGCAACAACGGATACTCGGTCTCCTTCTCTGGCGCCGGAGACTTCGTCGTTGGCAAGGGCTGGACCGCCGGCACTAACAGGTAAAACAATCCGACATTTTCCATCTTAGTCTTAGTCGCAACGTGCTAAGTTAATCTTTTCCTGTAGAAACATCACCTTCTCGGGCTCCACAACCCACTCCAGTGGAACGGTGCTCGTTTCCATATACGGATGGTCGCGCAATCCGCTGGTAGAGTACTACATCCAGGAGTACACCTCGGACGGCAAGGGGTCGGCACAGGGAACTCAGGTCGGCACGGTCGAGAGCGACGGCTCCGTCTACGACATCTGGAAGCACACCCAGGTCAACCAGCCCTCCATCGTCGGCACTGCCACCTTCACTCAGTACATCTCGAACCGTCGCACTGCCCGCCCCGGCAGCGGTACTGTCACCACCAAGAACCACTTCGACGCTTGGGCTAAGCTCGGCTTGAACTTGGGCACTATGGATTACCAGGTCCTAGCTACCGAGGGCTGGGGTAGCGCCGGCGGTAGCTCCCAGTACACTCTTTCGACTTGAGTTCTGGAAGGGGGGGTAAGGTACCAGGTGGTTGCCTTTTAAAGGGGCCATGAAGGGAAGTGATGGGGTTAATTTTCCCCAGTTTATCCTATTCTTTTCGTGTACACTATTTAAATAAAACATTTGAGTAGATATCAGCATTTTTGACGCCACAAAATCAATGCCATGGCGTGTGATTGAGAAATATTTACTGTTGATAAGATGCTTCTGAGACCAAGTGATGAATCTATTAGATTTGTTAATACACAATTAATCCGTCACTTTTCAGTAACTCTCCCAAGGAAATGTCAAGTGAATTTACAGGTCGCAGCAAATTATCGTTGACCAGGAGTTCCAGATGCAGTATAGCGAGTTTGGTTAATTTACCATTTACCTAGATTGGCTGATTCCCAGTTAGCCCTCTCTAACTTATGGGTGCTTTTACTTACCTTAGCTGTCGTCGCCTATCAGTTTTTATACATAAGATCATCATCGGGATGATCATAAATATCAACAAGGCTGTTCTTGATCCCTTCCCATTTCTTCAGATACCCCTCTCGTTCTTTGATGCCCAAAGTGATTTTCTCCGATATAGGATACATCCGATCTTTCAAGCGATTAATCGCGTCCACAGTGCACTGGTTAAGAACTGTGGGCTTTGCAGTCAATCCAATGATCTGCCAAGGATCGTTGATTTTCTTGGGAATGTATACAGACTGTTGCACAAGAGCCTTCTTGAAGTCTTCCACCTTGCGATAATCGTGAAGCAGGCCTAGGGCTTCCGCCTTCATCAGAGCCACCTCCTGCGAAATAATATCTAGTAGACCATCAAGGACGGGTACGTTACCAAGAAGTTCCTGCTCTTTGAAGAAATCAGATGGGTCAGCCAGGCTATCCGCGAATCATGTCTGGTAGTCACTATTACGGCGGCTTACAACATTAAATCTCTCGTCAATGATGCGCAAGTCATCTCGTCTCGACGCTTCGAGGCCTTCCAGAGTGAAGGTGACCCGCTGTTCCATGAAAGTAAGGTGCGCATCAACAAAGCACAAGTCGCAGCGTCTCTCGAGCTTCTTGGCGTGCGTCATGAGCACCTGTCGAAGACTGTCAGTAGAGAAAACCGAGGAATGGATGTCGACGAAGCAACCATCCATCGTGGAGGTGGCATGCTCGCAGAGGTAAAACACAAGGCCCGACGCAAGTATCTCGTCTACCCGCTCCTTCTGCATATCCTCACATAGCTCATGAAACATTTGGGTTGGTGAAATTGACTGGTGGGTTTCTGGTACTTGAAATTGATGGTGTAATGATCGAAAGTGTTGATTGGGGTAATGATTGGGCTTAACGATGTTAGTGGCATCTAGTTCTTATATACCAGGGGCGACTACACAGATGTCCTCAGGATGATGGCTTGTTGAAGACACTTGATCAAACCTCGTGTATATGAGCAGGTTTCATTAAATATACAAGACCTGTGTGCTTGTTCTTGGCACATTGATCATCAAAGAGTCATATGGGAACAAATTCTTTGTGGTCAAGGTGACCAATGTACCCTCTCCTTACGTTATATGGTAATATAGGTTGGAAACCATCGATACAAGAATCCAGGAAACTGACATTAGCTTGGGATATCAAATGGTCTAGCAGGATGCTGCCATATCATCTCTAGTAGTAATTACGGCTTAGAAACGAGCCACGGTGTATTTCAACACATTCCGAACATCACGTTCAAGATACGACTGCACTATACGACAAAGCAAATCATGGACTCGCTTCTCACCTAGTCTAGTTGAGAAAAGTGCTTCCCGAATTCTCGTCTCATGCTTGCTGGAACACATAGAGATTCGTGCCCCAATGATGTCGATTTGTAGACACATCGGAGGCATTGGAACACTACCGTTATGTTCTCGTAGAGAAAATATTCACGGCAACCGTGCATGACGGTGGTCTCAATGGCACAACCGCAAGCGAAAACCTCGTAAGCAACGAAGATGGCCTAACGATTGTGACCTTCCAAGGAATATGCAAAGTCGAGAAGCTCGATTTTAATTTCGTTTGAGGTTTTGGTGAGATACCTTGGTTGTCAGATTGCAGGGCCCTCTTTACATTTCCTCTTTAGATGAGGTTTTAGAATCACAGGTAAGAGCTGCAATATCATAATTTCAAAGAAGTCAGTCAAAGAAACTTGATCTCAGAGTAAAGTAAACCCTAGAACCTCCTTGTCTTTGAAGTAATCAGTGGAGAAAACTCCTTGTTTCAGATCTTCCTGAGCCTTGGTAATACAACATTCTCAAGTGCCTTGGATCGAAATAACGCGTATTGCGTTTCAATGAACCATAACTGTATCATGTGCCACAATGAACTATGGAAATAGCAGCACGATCTAGATGCAGGAGTCCTTGTTGTTAGATGAAGCATATATTCACTGCATGTACCACATAGTGACCTGTCATGCACACCTCATCCCCCAGATAGCGACTAAGACTAGACAGATTCAGAGCAAAATACAAAGTCTTCATCTGAATTTAATTACGAAGCAGTTCACATACTATTTCTTGTAAACATTCGAACCGAAATCAACATCACTGCTATGCCGATTAACAGTAAGCGGAAATGCGAAGATGAAGTCATAGGAGCCAAGCAGGAACCGGAAGGGCTGGATTGCCTGCACGAGCATTGGAAAGACGCCAAACGAGTCGAATTTGAGCAAGGCTGCGTATAATGTATCTAAATGGACAGGCACAACCATCCAAGAACCCCTAAGCAGGCTCAAGGGCCACAAAAACTCGTCATGCCCATGAACACAAAGCCGAAAAGTATTGAGATTGAAGAGAAACCAACAAAGTGCAAACATGGCCCCAAGATTACTGAGGTATCACAGCAAAATCCCTCACATAAAAGACGGCCTGCGGTCGCCGCCAAAAGATTTCAGCAGATTAAGCGGGTGCAGAAAAAGCCACTTACAGTTTTGAGACCTATACCTAGACCGAAGCCGAAAGGAAGCTAGACTAGTTTGACGTCGGCCTTGGACAGTATAAATTATGGTTAAATAACGCTTGGCATCACGGAACAATTAGTACAGAACTTGTTCACAACCAAATTCAGTCATATGTGATGTTGTTACATCACTCGCATTCGGACTCAATTGACTATGCAGACCTGGGCGTCTCTTTGAAGTAATTTAACCAAGCACAATTTCCTTCCACACAGGACCCTCATCCCAGGCATCCTTGACAGCCTCCTTCAGAACTCGTCCGATACCAACCCTCTCAGCAGTAGTTAACTGATTTCTGTTTCCTTCAGGTTGCCGCTGTTTCCACTCAACCATCATGACATGGAACTCAGCCCAGTCCGGTCCCATACCATAAAACCTCTTGTAAGGATGATTTTCGTGCGGTCGACCCCAATCGCAATAATAGTTGGCCTCAGATAACATCAAAAAGTCGTAAGTCTTATCTGGCGAGTATTGCTCCCTCCAGTCAGAATGTAATAATACGTACCCACAGGTTTGCGATTGATGGTTCAGCAGCAGAAACACCATTCGACCATTAGGCTCCCATACGGGATCGATAGATCCGTACCGGAGGTAATGCCCGGAAGGCTGGATGCGAAATTTAGCAGTGAGAGTACAGAAACAAAGAAACTCTCCCTCGGAGGATGGCGACCAATGCCTAATATGGTACGGGGTAGCTATTTGAGGCTGCACAGTCTGTTGTGAAGCATAGCACGCAATTATAGGATCACGAGTGGTGATATCTCGTCCATACCAGCTTTCCTCATTCACTGCTGCTGAATCGCACCCAACTTTCTCATTGCGACTATGTTTCGTGTCGTCCACAGCCAATGGAACATTTTTATTTCCTTTGTTGGTTGGCAACCGTTTCCAGTTGATCCACGTGCGTTCTTTCAGCCAACCCATGACTAGCGTCTGCTCTTGCTCCTTTGTCGCGGAGTAGCCATACGAGGCAAGTGCGAGTGTATCACCGATCCAGTGTACTGAACCATCCCAGCCCGTCCACGACCAGGAAGGGCCAGAACCCCTTCTTCGCTTGCAAGGGCCTACAGGTTGCCATAGTAGTGCAAGGTCGAAGATGCCCTCCGGAAGTCCACAACTCGATTTCGTTGCGAGCTGGTCACTTAGGACGTTTCCGACACCTCTAAATGCATTCATCATGTCTAACTCAGGATACGTCAATTTTCGGGTCGTATATGCTTGAACAGCCTTGAAATATAGTATAGTCGGTTGCACGCCTTCGCGAATAAATCTTTTGGAAATATGAGCGGACAGGAGGCTGTGGTCGGCGCCGAAGTTGGATGGTGGGTAGACGTCTTCGTTGAACACGTGCGACATGCAAGAGAAATATACTTGGTTGTTTACAAAGATGAGGGTCCTGGTACTCAGGTGCTCCTCTTGAAATCTAATCATCTATCAGCAAGCTAATTCTCGCAGAAAGTACTCAAATCACATGGAGAAAGAAATGCTTGTCAACTTACGTCCAGCCCCGTGATTCGTATATACTGCGATCCATATAGGTAGAATGATTGAACACGCCTAATACTCTCAAGCCTTGGCGTATTTCAACTTGGTGCTGGACGGGAGTCCGCGTCTTGGTCACTCCATGTAGTCCTCCCTCCACAGCCTTGTCATCGGCGGCGGCGATGACGAGGTGTGCCTGTTGGTAGATTGTGTCCATGGCACCAATATTGGCTTGTGAGTTCTCTGCATTATCCTGGAGGATACATAAACTGTCAATCCAGATATGTCGCTCGCCCAACTTGCGTGTGAATATTATGGCGTCTCTTATGGTGGGATTGAGTTGATCCCAGACATGACCGAGCCCATTCTCCCGCTTCAAGTCCTCGACATTCGACGATACTGTCTTGAACTTTACGCTGTTACCCCAAACGTAACTCAACGCAATGAAGCGGCTCACCGTAGTTGTCTCCACGAGGCGCAGATCCACAACGTCAATCAGCATGAAACCTGGGGGAAGGGTTCGAAGATGTCGAAAACGCGACGCCACATTGCCGCACTCGTGGTGCGCCTGGCAGATGGACATCCAGGCCGTGACCATCAAAGGATCGATTACAGAATCACTGATCAATCTCCCAGATCCGGCAATCTGTGTGTCATCATCACCAACAAGTCTAATGTTGAACGGAATACCATTGTCTTCGCTGCGCGGCATAAGCCAGATAGCCAAGCATGCATTGGGTGACCCCTCCGAGATTTGGTTCCACGACCCTTGGACACGGGCTCCTTCCACCGCACCGGGAGGTACCGGTCCATCGCGAAATGCTTGCGAAATGAATTGACAGAGAGAACAATATGTGCGCGACGTTACATCATCATATGAGCCGAGCTGGTACATCCGCTTCTCGTCAAAGGGTGACGACGTGAACCTACCCTTGCTTAGCTGGAAGACCTGGCATTTGTAGCAAAGTCCATCTTCAGCCAGCGTACCGGCGGCCCTCACGGCTTCTAGCGTCATCTTCAGAATGTTGGGCGCTGTGACTGCTACCAAACGACCTATTTGCGGGGCTTAACGAGTACAAGGCAATTTGACACCTACAAGTCTACAAGTCTACAAGTCATCAAAACATACCAAATCGACCAGTGTCACGTGCTCGCAAAAGTGCATTTGTGCAATTCAACCTAGGCGCCAAGGCTTGGTCTACTAGACCCAACCTCCTCATACCATTCTCAATTACGGGTGCAGCATTGCATACCGCCTGTGCGAAATCTGACTCCTATCTTAAGCAGAAGTCCGCACCAGTGACATCCATTCCGCACTTGCTCGCCGGTCTGTCGGGGTACAGAAAATTGTTGTAGACCCATCCAGTCTCAGGAGCGCAAGCATAGTGAATATACGTAATGGCCGACACGAACTCGTCTGAATAACAACTTTCAATATGGCCACGGGCACAGATGTACACGACGGTTGACCCCCATTTCGAAGCAACGTTCTGGTAAGCCTCGACAAAACCTGTGTGGTCGCAGTAGTCAACCATTTGCTGCAAAGCGTGTCGTAGTTCATCGTCGTTGATTAGATTTTGACCACAGCCTGCTCCATCGCGTGCTGAATCTGTCACCGTCAAGGTGTCATCGCCAACCGATTCGACATTCTTGAATTCGCCGTCAGGTTGCTGTTTCACAGTCTCCATACGTCGCCATGGCCAAGCAGGCCTGAATCCGGAGCCAGATTGTTGAGCAGGATCACCACTGGATGCACAGATAGTTCGGCGCCAAGTCCAAGTAGATGCCTCTGTGCGCTCCCTCCGGTCATTTTCAATCAACTTTGGGTCTGGTTTGGAGGTATGGTCGAGACGGATTGGCGCTTCCGAGTTCCAATTAGCGTCGCCAGTAACAATCCAGAGTCCATTTACGGCATCATTCGGCAGCATCATAGCTTGTACCGGCGGAAACATGGCTACAAGCCAAGAAAGTTGGTTCTCCCACATGATTCCGGAGACCTGGATATTGAATAGTTGAATTATGGCCGCTATTGCATATCAACTGTGATAATTTGATTGCTAAAGGATCGTGTGATGATATGAACTATTTTCAAGCGGCCACAGGCACATAATATTTATATCTCCATTGGCTCATGAATAGCAGAACTGAACTGTGGCTGAAGACAAGAGTCGGCCCGGATCTCTTGTTACTTCCGTTCAAAGGTTGTTACACAGAGCAATACTCAGTCGCCAAAATCCCATAAAAAGCCGAGTGTCACACCTTGAATTTTGTGTGCACATCGTCACAATGAAACATTACCTACTCAACATCTTACAACACGAAGTACCCCCTATATGTGACAAATCGTTGATAGCCAGCCAAATAAACGTTGCATTATTTGTCATCCGAGATCATTTATGGTGATTCGTGAAACACATTCAAATCGCTGATTCTTCGTCAGACTAGCCAGGTATAAGCCATCAATGTAAGCGAATCTCGCGGATAGACTGCTGGATTCTGATCACCATAGCCACAGTAAACCACAAATTTACATGGTCGCCGCTGACCGAGGTGTCCACTTAGCTCTATGAGAACGACAAAAACAGCGCGAGCGAGGAAGCCAACACTATTGTATGTTGCACAGCTCTTATGCTGTTCAAATCATATTGATAACTTAGAGGGTCGAGGAAACATTTGGCAGGATTCCCCTAGTAAGTCTTTAAGTTCTGCGGGATGTGCTCAGGCCGGCAAGATCGTTGCAGTAATATGACCGATAGAGAGCACTGGCGCAAGTCGTTGAGTGAGTAATGATGTCATGCTTGTAGCGCTGTGAAATGTTGATTCTGCAGATTTTAATTTGGGGCGGCAGAGTTTTGATTGCGAACACGATTGCCAGTTGCGTTAAATATCGGCTGTCATCTATCTATTTCTATAATCGTTAAAACGGAGCTGACCCTTGAATCGACTTTTTAAACAAATAAGCGGCTAAAACCAAATACATTAAGAATAGTAGCAATATAGTAGGAGAAAAAAGCTCCGCGGGTCAAGATCTACGGATTTGCCAAAGAGTACATCAATCTATCCATCCCTGCTCAGAGATATCAAAACTTCTCATGCAATGTAACATTGAAACAATGACCTCTATGCAGATTTCTCGTTGCATCTCTCACTTTTCCGTCGATCTCAGAGACTCAATCTTTTATAGGGGTTTCAAACGATGGCCCCATCATGTCGTCATTCCAAGCCTGGGCGAACATACGCCAATCCCATTGAGTACAATGCTCCTCGTCAAATATGGATCTTCACTATGCGCAAAGATGCTTAGGTTAGGTAAGTTACACGGGCGCTTAAGAGCGTTCCTGTCCCAAGACTTCTTGACGAAACAATGCATCGGTCTTTGCTTTTGCCTCAGGTGTGGCGCTTAACAATAACGCTCACACAATACGCCGCTTTCGGTTCATTGTTTCAGTACGAGTCCATAACGCATACTATAACAATGGCAAAGAGGTCAACACAACACAGAACATTACATTTGAATCATTGCCACTACTCTTTTGTTCTATATGAGTTATTGGTGAAGGAACATGTTTGATAACGCTGATTTGTCAAACGGACGATCATCTCACCACTTCTTCATGAGCACAGCATCAAATCACATTTACTAGTCTTTTTGAATATTGTTGCTTGATATGTTACAACTAAACAGCGCCGCAGAGTCACCTGCCAGAAACCTGCCTTCACGCTCGCATTTGAATTACATCGAACAGTCAATTGACGCATTACGCAATCTGTGGCAAGAATGGTTTGGTGACAGCAAAGTATCTGCACAGACGCACGAGAATTACAAAAACGAAGCAGATGTATATATACCTTCGTTCGGTGTTGCAGCACACGACACAGCCACAGAAAACGAAGATACTGGCGTCGTTGCCCAATTAGCTGAGCTAAAACGAATGTTTGCCAAGGAAGACATCATCTATGTAGCCGTTGAAGTTGAGATTGCAGAAAGCAGATACGGCGGGGTTACAGATATTGGTCTTGCTATATGGTCTCCTGAATATGGCGGCAATGACATATGTTACCATTGGCATATTGACGAGACAGGCGGTGTGCACCAGAGCCATGACTATAATCACCCAGACTCATTCGCATTTGGGCGGACTGAGTTCATTGATTCCTCAAAAATTCCAATTGTTCTTGACGACTGGCTGCTATCTCTTTCCAAAAGACATAAGCGAGTATGCATTATTCAGTATGGCAGAAGTTCTTTGCGTCATCTAGAGCCAGAATGGTTCATCCCGTCAGATGTGCTCAAACTTAACGTTCAGGAAATATGGCAACAACAACGAGGAACAAGTCACGACTGGCCACTGCAAGAGGCTTTGATGGATGCAGGAGAGGGGATCGAGGTATCCTTTCTTCTCACAAACCTCGGCAACAAGGCGCATTTTATAATGCGCCTGATGCTCAAACTTTTGCACCGAATCAAAGAAGAAGCGAATGACATTTCATATCTTGAGGCGCTGGATATTACGAAAACATACCAATAAATTCTTTTTCGAGAGCAGTAAAGCTTTTACGCAACCACGTTCTCGGCGCTTGGCTTCATTTTGCGACTCATGAAGCTTTACAAGGCTTTTCCGTGAAAATAACTTCGACAATCACCTCTGCTTTGCCGTTACAATTCCACAAAAAGTCATCATCCATAAGCACAAGCGGGGTTTTGCCTCCAGGATCAGCTACCGCGCTTTTATAAGTTATGCGCAGGTCTTGATGAGAACTTTCACAAACTGTCTCTGTTGTGGCTATATTTTCCAGAGATTGTAACAAGCTTGTTTTTAGTTCGTCGCTGCCCGTATCCTCAAATATCGTGTGGTTGCGAGTTCGAGGCTGGCAGTACTCATCCCAGGAAATACTCAAGAGAACAGTGAACGTCCCACCCGACACGAGTTCATGTGAAGTTCTGGAGGGACCACGAGAAGATATCGGAAAAGTGATGCATCTCGAAGGAGCCCATATTTCATGATAAGCTCGACTGGCCGTCCTCATATGGCCAAATCCCTCAACAACTCTGATTCCCGACTGTGCGTAAGTACCATACCCAGGTTGAATGCCACATACCCTTTCGTGTTCCATTTCTCGACCTTTTGTGATAAGATGAAGGTCAGTTATGACCGGTCCTATTTGTACAATGTACGACGGTTGCAAGCAGACCAATGACTTTTGCGATCCAGATCTTTCCCATAAGGTGTCATTCCCCTTGCGAATAAGGAGCCAAAGAGGAAATCTGCGACGAACGTTCGCAACTTCCCCCAGACTGTTTTGTCTTTTGTTACCACGTAGTTCATAAGAACAGTTGAGGCCCATGAAGTATGTTCGCAGGCCACCTTGCGAGAAAAAGTGCGTGGATACAAGTGGCACGGTTAAGCGTAATCCGAGATTTGTTTGCAAAAAGGGGAGTTTTGTAACCTCGGCGTCATAAACAACTGACCCACAGCCTCGGAAGCTCGATGGAGATTCTGCGAACGCTCCTGTCCAGGCGTCAATCGCGCAGGTGTAGGACGCCCAGGCGAATATACTTTGATCATCAGATCGTTTGATGATTTCTTCTTGCAGCTTTCTAAAAGCGTTATTTCCTTCTCCGTACAACATTGGTATGCTGATATCAAAGATCCCAAGGAGACAGTATGCCATGTCTTCAGGAACAGTAGTCGTTCTATCCGCGGCCCACGACATCCGCTGCGCTACTGAAAAACTTGGGATGGTAGAGCGATTCTCCAATGCCAGCTTATGTATATTGGTTGAGTTTGAGATCGACAAAGCCATTTCGGTCTTGTGGGCAAGCGGCGACCAGTCCTTGGCAAAGAACACCACGTTCTGAGGGGCAAGAAGCTCCTGAAGGGTCCATCCCCGTGACCACCAACGACTACTCAAGAAGCGCGGTTTGATATCGCGAGCCTCGTTATCCGACAGGTATCGCATTGGACGAAATTCTAGACCATGACTGATTTGACATTGTGGAACAGGTGCTTTATCACCCCAGACCCGACGGAAGCGCTGCTGGGACATTGGAGGTGCCACATCGGTCAAGTAAGCATAGCAAATTAGGGTGTTACTGTACCATTTGCTACAACGCACATGTTAAATTTACTGTTTCTTATAATATATACCTGCCTTTTGAAAAGGGGCAACACTCACAACATGGAATTGATAGCCTCGCTTAGCTCAGCCGAGCTCTCTTTATTGATGCAAATGGTATCACACCAAAGGTAACGAATCCCGTCACGTCGAGCTTGATCACAGGCACCCAGAATCTTCAGATAGCCCGACTTCTGACGAATTTTGATCGTGTGCTCCGGTTTGTTTGAATGGGGACATTGGCCCTTTATTGCGCCCGAGGGGTGAACCTGCTCCCATTCCTGGAAGGTGACCTCATCACAGCCCCAGGTGTGCGATAGGATTGCATAGTCCATACCGGCGGCATCCCAAGGCTGGAGGAGGAGAAGTGTTTGGGTGTCAATGTGACGCATGGTGGTGATGTTTAATATTACGGGAGTGGAATAAAACAATATTCAATATGAGAAGCGAAGAACGCTAGTTTAGAACTCAATGATAATCAAGGAAAATGTGAAGATCTCAGGATTAAAATTGAATAACAGCGTAAGTCTCTTAAAATCTCAAGAACTTCAACGTGGAAGAGCCTGAGCATGTTATGCTAGCAATGTTAGTCATTGGTCGTTTCTCGCTAGAGAAGCCATGAAACAAGCTTGGGGCGCCATATTTGAGCCATGTCGGGTACATCATGTGTGTGAATGACAGATTTGCGCCTGTTTGGAAACCTTGGTCGATGGGATGGAGTGATCGTGTGACTTACTTTTTGATACTCTTTCAAAACCAGCTCGAAAGCCGATGTTTCCACGCCTCTGGCTTCAGACAAGAAGGAAGATCTGTCAAGTGATGTATTCCTAAGTCACTGACTGCGATACTCCAAAGGCCATAGATTCAATATCAGCTGGGCGTCGTAATTCGCTCGGACAAACAACTTCTTCATGATGTGGATCCGAGCTGTTGAATTCACCTATTTGGATGTATAACATTATAACCATTATCTAAAGCAATTACCACCAAGTGAAGCCTGACACATTGGTTTGTGGATAACTATGCTTGAAACTTCCTTGTCTCCTACAGCGGCTCAGAGCAGCAGCACTAACGCCAGTGGAGGTCTGAGCAAGGTATACCGGAGGCTGAGCAGGACGTCTGATGATCAGTCAATTATCATTTTCTCAGGCAGAGAGCAAGCTGTTAGCCAGAAAAGGCTTCGTGTTGATCACGTTCAGATTCTGTTCGTCGTTGGCAAAAAGCAGCTAACCTGCAGAAATCATTAAAAGGACAGGAGGAATATCAGCTAGCAGAACTGTTATAGTACGGAATGATCCGAATGAGACATTAAGATGAGAAGGAAATAATTGTGATGCTCTTTAAACATATCAAAATACTATAATGGAGCGGGTGTCGGTGGCAGTACTAGTAACATGTGTAGTATTACATATATAACCTAGGCTTGAACAAATACTGTGGTCGGCATAGGGCCTTGGACGTGTTTTCGCTGGACATATATATGTCAGACTAACTTACAAACTTCAGTTGTGTGATTAGGTGCGGTTACTCTATTCTTCGACTAAGCAGCACGTTTCCGCAAGGCAATATTGGCAACCGCTTCGAACCGGCCCTGGAAGTCACAATGATATTCATCATGAACATTGACAGTCGGAATGTCTGCAGTCTCATCAGAACTTTTTCCCACGCCCAAGCGCAAGTATAATGGTTCGAAGAATGTCGGAGATCTCGACGAATGCCATTGCGAGTGCGATCATAAGCGAGTCAAAGCTACGGGAATTGGTTGGCCACTTCGCTGATAGTTCGCTTTTAGGGCCTCTCAGCATTACAGTTAACAAGTTATAACGTTTTGATGGTAAGCCTGAAGCCGACCATCCAAAACACTTTTATTCGCAAGAGCCCTTGATAATTTCTCCCTGTATTTCAAGAAAGTATTCTGAAACTAGAATATCTGTAGAGCAGCCTGCCAAGAAAATAGTAGGTCGTGTCTTCGGGTGCGGTAAGTTCTCTTCCAGAGGCCCCAGGACATTCATTCTGCGCCAGTCTTTTCCTAACTTTTCACAAGCATATTTTGTTATCGAGACTTCGAGAAGATGGCCGTAAAGCTACCTATGCACAATCCCAAGTCAAACCTATCGCCGAGCCATATCCAATCGGTGGTGAAGAATGAAACGCGGCCGTCTTGGGAAGTCCATCCGCGTGGCCCTCATAGTCTTTTCAAACTGCTGTCGCTATCGTCAGGAAAGAAAACCTGACACGCTGTCGTGAACGGACGCAGACGCTCAGTATCTCCGTATGTCCAGCATTTTCGTTAGATAAAATCAACGCGCTTAGGCGTTCGGGGAATATAGCCATCAGGATTGCGCTTGGACAACACCGGAAGGGTGGATTTGTTCCCATTCATGGAATGTGACTTTCTCACTATTACCCCACGTATGAGAAAGAACAGTGTGTGTCATTTCAGAGTTTCGGGACAATATCAACGAGCATCAAAGCATAAGATCGATGCGATGTATCGTGGCAGATGTCAACTTCCAGAGACTGGTATTGGCCCACGCCTCCCACCCCCGGGCCAGGTTACAGAGGTGGAAGGAGCGGCGAGGAGATATTCGCGACTGCTGAAATCAAGGATCGGCCTGGTCGTCGACCCTGACCAAACCAAAGAGTCAGAAGACGATGGCGCTACTGGCACACCACGTCAGAGACTGCAAGCACGCATGCGAGCACCAGAAGAGACAGTCACTATGACTTGTCATAATGAAACAACACCCATATGGAGAAGGAGCTGGAAAGCGCAACCCTTCAAAGCAAGTTCCTCCACTGGCGGTTGGTCATCGACATGTCTCTTGGTGCGAAACAGACCCTCGCCTTTCGCAAGACAAAGAAACAACCCCTGGTATATTGATTGATATTGAATACATGATCGGCGAACGATAAGCTAGTTGCCTCTAGCTCTAGGGACATGAGCTGCAGCGAGAGCTACGGGACAGCCTGAGGGCTCTTTGTTCGCTGTTGAGTACCGGAAGGGTTTCAACGTCTTGTAGTCCAGTCACGATATATGACAGGTCGAACGAATTAGTTTAGTCATAATTCTATTCTCATAAGGCGCAGCGCCAAAACCAGATCGCTCGCTTTTCTCTAGTCCTGGATGTGCCGCTTGTACGCCTACTCCACTATCATTACTTAAGCCACATCTGGCAACCTCACCGCAATGTCTCCTGACTGTGTGATATATCGTACCCACGGCAGCGAAGGATATTGTAACTGAGGATTTGTCAGTATAGTGTCACCATAAGAGACTATTGGCGGCAACGTACCTTTGGCTCCGTGATCTTCAGATATCGCACCTGGATACCACTGGTGGTGAAGTATGGAATCTCAAACTTGACCTGGATGGGTCTCTTGGCGCCTTTGCCAGCATTGACGCCTCCCATGCTGCCACCAAAACCACCTGTCATACCGCCACCATGTTCATCGTCGCCGCGCACACTAGGAAGACCGAGCTCTGCGCGCATTAGAAACTCCTTGGCGCCACCGAATTGCTTGATCTTCCAGACGATGGCGCTCTTCTCTGGTGCATAGTGGACGCTTCCAATGTTCGTTCTGAACCTGGGGGAGTCGGCGTCATCTGGCACTGGAACTATGATCTCGACGTTGTTCGCGGTACTCCTCCTCTTGAAGTGAGCTCTTGCCTTGAGCATGTACTCTATCCTGGATCCCGAGTGGCTCTCCACAACACATTCCACCCAGATCAGAGGCTTGACCTGGGTGTTCAATCGGTAGCTCATGAGTTCGAATTCGCCATCGGGAGGGATGAAGGAGATAGTTCTGTCGTTCTCGAACCGGGATAACCGCACACACTGATGAAACTTGACGTCCTCCATTTCGATAGCCTTGCCCCTCGTCGTCCTTCCAGTTGTTTCGAACATGACCTTATCGTTCAAGCCCAGTCTGAGTTCGGGCATTCCGGACAGATAGCACTTCATCTTGATGGCCCCCAGGATTTCGGACCGTAGTACGTTGCCATTGGCGGCAACGAGTAGATTCAGGCTCTCAACGACATCGAGGAAGACCTCGTTCTTACGATATCTGATACCCTCTGACCGCCACGACACGGCGTTGGTGACTGCGATTGGCGGCCTGGCCTGTACATCCAGCTTGTGCGATTCCTGTGTGATATACTCTTGGAGGATCTTGGATTCGGTCGTTTGTGGATATCCAAAGTCCATCATCTCGTCCAGCAGTTCGTAGATGACGACAAAGTTGTCGCGGATTGATTCTTCCTCGAGCGCCTTGAAGTATTCGGTGAAGACCTCGACGATCTTGTGTAGGAATAGCAATATCTCGGCGGCATTCGTGTTTCGTTTCGTAAGCGCGAGGAGGTAGAGGTTGTTGTGTCGGATGTAAAGATACTGGAGTGTGTTAGGCGGTGCGGATGAGCCAGGCTCGAGGTGTTATGCCTACATTGATTCCCTCGTGTGAGAAACATGGTGGGACTGCTGATGATTCCTCTTCTGCTTCGCTCAAAAGGACAGGGAACTTCTCTACAGCTGACATGGGTAAGTCACCTCTGTAGTTCCGGGCAAGAAGGGTCTGATGAAGTCTGGGTTAGTCTCGCTGGGCTGTGTGGTATACGCTGAGCACATATCATACCTTGCCCTTCAGGTCGAGGAAGAAGATGGCAGAGGCCATGTTGCCAGATAGCTGTCAGGGGAAGATGATGGAGAGGATGTTGGAGCGGATATGGATCGGCACTCGGGCCAGACGGGGCGATTCAAGAATTATTGCTCATGCGCCGTTGTCTACAAAAGAGCAATGGGTGGAATTCGGATGCCTGATCTCACCGTTGCTTTGATACGTAGAGATCACGAACCCGGTACAGCAGCAAGTAGCACCCCTCGATGAATGATGAGGTGTAGCTTGGCGGACTGTCAAGCAACTGGACAGCTGTCCCAGCTGATGCTTGTGGAACATCCACCATGTGTACTAAGTAATAAGGAGACGTGTGGATCTGTGTGGAGCTGCGAATGACGGAACAATGAAGCTCAGTGTCCGAGAGCTCAGATTGGTCTAGCTCCACCGGAAAGCTTGGGCCTTCTTTGGTGGGGCTCTCCCACACGGTTGCAATAAAAGCTCGTTCGTGAAGATTTTCGGATTCCCTTTCTTCTTTTACAACCATGCGTTCATTAGACAGTAGGTGTTTCACCACGCGACTGGGACTGGCATTCTGCTGGGTTCCCGACTGTGTTAGCAATTGATTCCACTCGATTCAGCAACGCATAGATTATTCTATGAAATAGGTACCATAAGAGCTGCCCGGTTACGCCTTTTTGGCAACTACTCCGTAGATCGGGCGGCGTCAGAGGGACCGGACATTCCATGATTTGACCTTTTCAAATTTGACTGTAGAAAAGACCCATGTACCAAGGGGAAGAAAAAAAACCACTTTGGCTGGGGTGCGCGAGTGATGGATAGCATTGACTACGATGTGAGCGTTGGATCGCTACCTCGCGTGCGGAATATCAACTGCGCAGGAATGACCCATTAATGAGCTTCGGTACTTGACCGCGGCTTCGTCACCTTGGCTCGCCTTGGCTTCAGCTCCATGTATGGAATGATTCCTCAAGAGAATCCTTCACAAGCGGAGTACGTCCCTGCTCACACTTGCTTACATATTAAGGTTTTCGTTGGCCTGAAGTATCTCTATCATGGCCAACCCTTTTCGACTTTCACATGACTGAAATGAGGTCAAATCTCCCCGTTCAGGATTCCTGATCGCTGATCGGGTAAATTTTCGTTCCCCTATCCTCATGCAGCAATCTTGGGCGAAGTGCCACAGGAACCATCGTCTCATGCTTGAAGTTTATATCACGACATCGTCAAAGGCTGGCTTGTGCTATAGATAGTCTCATGCCGTTCGTCTGATATATGTTTCAACAGCCGGAAGACGAGGGGAGGTTTTGCCGTCCTTCAATGCGAGTGCAATGGGAGCGTGTAGGGCATTTGGCTTGTGACAGCAGTGAACACGAATCGGATTGGAAGGATTTGGACCGGACGTGGGTGAAGTGAACTGGCAGAGCTGGCGGAAAAGGCTGGCTGGCTGGCTCAAAGCGTTGCTTCTTTGCATGTGAAGAGCCTAGTCGAAGTGCTCCCACTCTTTCGCCGTGGTAGGTAACAACTCACAAGGCGAGCAGACGCTAGCCTTGCAAGCCAATTGGCCAAGTGCCACACCCCCATCAGCGCTTGTTTGAGTTTTTGCAGTGGCTCCTTGACACGTGCTTGCCTGGCCGTCTCCCCCAGAAAGTGGTTCCGTCATCCAGGTCCAGAATCCGGCTGCTAGGTTACAAACATTGCTGCATTGCATTTTCAATTAACTGCGAAATGGATGCTCATGTGGCCCAGCCGACCAATCTGCATGGGGACTCCGGGTTTGTCTAAAGCCCGAGATCAAGCCCTCAGATATCATCGTCGACGGGTACTCCTCTCGCTCATGGAATATGCACTGCAACATATGGCTGGTGCTCGGTAACCATGGTCATTGGTAATGCTCGACTTCACATGGAGAAGATCCCCAAACGAGATCGGCTTCCGTGAGCGACGCCAAAACACAACGGGTGATTTAGTGGAGTCCCGTCTTCCCCTTGTGCCTCAAAGACCCTGCAGGTCTTGCAGCTTGTGTGCGACCAGCTGACCAGTGACGACGAGCCGTGTCTTGTTCCTCTGCCTTTTGGCTGCGTGTCTGCCACCAAAACAACCTGGCCCCCAGCTTCTGTTCTGCCCCCAGAGAGGAACAAACGGTGCAAATCGACCGACCCGAGGACATTCATTCTCCCCCCCGAAACCCACCTTGCCAGTCCAGGGCAACGTGCTGGGTCTCCCTGGGTCTCTGGGTTTCTGGTCCTTTGGGTCTCTGGGGTCTCTCATTGCGACCAACAGCCAACCGCTGAACGCGCCGCTCTGCTGCTACGCTGTGACCCCCCCAGTCCGTCCGGGACAGGACGCTCTTCTGGGTGCAACGTCCGTTAATCGTCTCATCATTCTCATCAAACTCTACCTTTGCCCATCACACCTCTAAACACACAGTACATTACATACGTGCAACTATTAGTTCCTCGTTCCCTTACACAGTAGCACGTATTCCGGTCCATTGACGACAACCCTGCGCATCTCACGTATAGGGCCGCTCTCAATGCATTGGACTATGTAAAAGTCTCCTTTTCCACTATTCGCGAGTCAGACACCACGCCCCAGCGTGTCCGATCTACGTCCTGACTTTGGCTTATTACTAGAGGCGATCTACGACGGGAATACGTCTGGGTCATCTACGACTGCGCAGCCGCGCTTCAACCCTGGAACGGTTTGAACTCTGGCGCCAAAAAGGTTTGCACAAATGAGTTGCACCTTACGTGAAGACTTGTCATCGTAGCCTTCGCGCCAGGAGGCCATCTCGGCTTCCGCTTGGGGTGCAACTCACTAAGTCCAAAGTATGGAGCACAATCACATGTTGCCCCGGCCGGCACACCATACCATCTCAGCCGGCCTCGACCAGAAGCACGACCCGTACCCAAACGACCAGCGACAAACACCTTCATCTGATGTCGCATCCGTCTTTCAGTCTCTTGATCGTCCCTTCAAGCTCCCCATGTATTCTTCGCCGCCGTCATATGCGCAAACACATGGCGACCGTAAGCCGCCCATCGCCTTCCCGGATGCCCCCACGACGGAACTGCCGCCTCTGCAGTTGAGAAACGGCTACCACGGCAGTGACAAAAAGGATAACACGCTTCCGTCTCTATCGTCGCTGACGGTGTCGTCGCCCAAGTCCATGTATATTAGTCCCCCTCCCCAAACCCAGGTCCAAAGTCGGCCGACAATACCGCCTCCGCCGACATATGCTCCTCCACCGCCACCCAAGCCAGCAGAACAACTTCAACCGACACACTGGCCCAGTCTGAACCCTTACACTGCCTACTACACGCCTAGTCATGCGGAAGGGAAAGCCGAGCCGTTGCGAATGGACACAAACTCGCCGAGTACCAGTGCGATTAGTTCCGCTTCCTCGGAGACTGTAGATCAAGAGCGATCCAGCAATGTCAGCCTAGACGATCCCGACGTCAGACTAGCTGCCGAGGCTCTTGGAGACTTGAGGGCAGGTTAGTAAAGATCATCTATCATGTATACCGTGCGCTGCCGGCAGCGTGCCCTCCTTTCCTGCCATACTAACATGTATCTTTCACGCCAGACTTTGTATCTTCTCCCCGCAATGTCGACGGCTCTTCGCCATCGACGTCTCGGTCACGGTCACAAGTACCGCCGGAGCCATTGTTGCAGCTGATAACGACGAATCATCCGCTGCTTGGCGGTGTGATAGAAGGAACACAGACAGCTTACGTTGCCTCAAAGAACTACTCACCAAGGTTCAAGTCGGGGGCCGAGTACGTCGAAGGATATGTTGCGCCTGTTGTCAACACAGTAGGGTCTGTCGGTCGAGTCACTGGCGTCGAGGGCAGCGTGCGGTGGTTTTTAGGTGCTGGCAAAAGACACAAATCCCAAAATTCTGCAGATATGGAGGAGGGGTCAAACAAGCGGCGAAAAGGCGATGATGGAACCGAGGCCATGATACTCGATTCGGAAGAGACCCCGTCTGGAATGACAACACCACGTCCGACGTACGACCCGAACGATCCCCGGAGGTTATCCATTGCGAGCACCATCCAGACCATTGATACCTTGCCAGCTTATGACGAGCACAGGTCGCCTGCGTACGAAGCAGAGCCTCGGCGGAACTCTTTGCAGTCACGGTTGATCATGTCGACGTCGGGTTTGAGCATCGCAATGAGTCAGGAGAGTCTGCGCAGCCTAAAGTACTGCCTGAGCTGGCTTCGATGGGCCAATGTGCACATCGCCAATGTCATCAACTCGTTGAAACTGGCGCTGGACAGATATGACAAGATGAGCGATTCATCAGCCGGCTCCAGCAGTGACGGCGATGATAGGCAGAAGATTGTTGACAGGATCAACACGGTTAAGGCCGACGTGGTCAAGACTTTCCAGGATGTCATTCAAACCGTCAGCAAGTATGCCGGAGGTGCCTTGCCTGAAAACGCTAGGGTGCTGGTCAGACGCCATCTTACCAGCTTGCCGCAAAGATTTGCGCTCGTGAACATGCTTGTCCAACAACAACGCGCCCGCGAGGATCAGAACGTGGAAGAAGGAGATGCTACAGTAGACAGAGACATGCGTGATGGCGCTCAAACAGTGTTGCTGATGGCCAAGGAAGGCCTCGACATGATGTCTCAAGTTTCCGGAGTCCTTGATGGCACCATTGTCAGTGCGGAGGAGTGGTGCGATAGACTAGGAAAGAGAAAGCAGGAACAAAAGGAGGTGCCGTATAGCGGACAGTCAACACCTTCGCAATATTCGCTAGAAACTGTGAAGACGGGTTGAGCTCGAATTTTCGAAAAACGCAAAGAAAAAAGCTGTTCTATTTCTGGAGTTTAGGGGGCGAAAGATAAAAGCGTGTCTCGACGCAAGAGGAAGGTCGTGACATTCGACCACCCCACCTCATATAATATCTATGGTCACCACGCATCGCGAAGCGGCGCACTCCATTTCGTCATCTGGTATCAGACACAATCGGCGTTGAGTACTGGCGACCCTGGTGCAAAACTGCACCAACATATCACCTCATTTTCTTATTTTTATTGCTATCATAGGTGGATTTCTGCAAGATGCAGCTTATACCCCCTTTTTCGAGCGAACGTATACGACTTGCACATGTATTATGCCATAGTTGCTGTCATCTTTGCTACACTACCAACATACAATCATTTTTTGTTTCTTCAATGTTCAGTTCGAGGCATATGAATGGGATCTGGTTGCGGGAAAGGGCGAGGGATGTCACCACATGTATGTCAAAGGGAGTGGGACTTTTTTTTTTGTCTTTACTGGATTGGGCAGAAGACACGCAAGATATATATTTGTGTCCAGTACATATCGAGACCCATTATGAGTGACAATTACACCTACCATGATCGGCCTGTGTTCTCCAAATCCATTGTTCGGCATACCGTATTGATTTTCCGCAGCATCGATGCCCTCTGCAAGGTCGCCTCTTCCGCTGGAATTCCTGGTGCCTAAATGCTCCTCAACTAACAAAAGACCTTGGATCAAAGACTTATCGGCAGAAACTTCGCAAATCTTCGACTGTTAACCCGAGACCCCTAGTGTGAGACGAATACCAAGGAGACGGTGAACTGTTTGTCACGGGCGTGTACATTGCCAGTTACGTATCGGGGGGCATCGTTCTATTCCCCAGAGTATCTCCCATATACCGAAGTGCATGTGCCATATTGCCTACGTGTAACCTAACGCCTACTGTAGACCTAATTCCACGTTGCTAATGTAGTATATGATCACTTGGAGTTCGAAATACCAAGGAAAGCCCACTCGATCTTATGATACGCACTAAAAGAAGGGATGTTAGTATATTTTCCTTTAATTCTTTACTTGTGATATTGCGTAATGTATACGCCCTCTGTAAATTTTAAATGCTTGATTTTACTGGCTGTCGAGACTTGGACTCGCAATTCAGGACTCTATCATCTTCGCCAGGGGCTGGGATCTTCCGGGAAGCTGTTGCTGCACACCCACCATCGACGACACTGGAACAAATTCCCGCATATTAGCGAGTGTTTTAGCTCACATCTTGATCTAAAAGGGCTCAATGGGTGTGAGGTAGGCCCTTGGCTCAGGGAGACTCCGTTAAACTCCGAATCTTGGACTTGGAGTATCATCTACGAGCCCCTCAGCAAGGTCATCACTATAGAGCCACCGTGCGAAGATGCTGGGATGCCGTGTTAACTGGTCGAGGGAAATATGAGCTTGCCAGTGGTGGCGATGTGCCATATACACCCGCTCGGTTGTTATTTTGGGCGGTGTCTTGGCCCGACAAACCGCCAGGGAAGCCACGGGGGAACAGCAGCTGGGGACGAGACCATCCCAGAAAAAATAGTTCGCCAGCACCAAAGGTCCCAAGGTCTATGGCAGTGATTCTATGCTTTTTGGCAAAGCGGTTCGTGGAGTGAGTGGCGGGACAATCAGTTCACCGTCCGATCACCTGATCAATATGGTTACTTGTATCAACCCCGAAAATGAGCTTCTCAATCTCTAAAGCGCGGGAGATCTAGCTTTACTGCTCGTATTCTGTTCTCGACATGTTCTACCTCACCTTTTTTGTTATCCTTGAAGCCAATGGCTCTTGTGGCACTGAGCTTGCTGGTGGTGGCAAATCCTCGTTGCCAACTTCGGCATCCAGCACCTGGTCTATCGGGGTCTTTCGCAGATGACTACGCGTTACAAAATGACCCATGATGCGATCATGTCATGGCTATATACCTTGATCTTACCAGTGCGGTCGAGTGTACTAAGGTTTGGGAATTGTAAGGCTACCCGCTGATGAAAACAATCAACGATACGTCGCCAGATTCTCCTCACGCTTCTACATCGCCGCTTGGAGCTTTTTGAGGACTTTATCCAGACCAATGACCTAAAGACTAATTTCCCAGGTGCTATGCTTCTTAGTATCGTCCTTTGCTGATTTCAATGACTGTTGTTACAATACACGGCGGTGTTAAACACGACGACCGAACCATGATGATAGTAATCATTAGCCTTTCCTTTAGCAGAGCCATGCAGAGAATATCGCGATATCTGATCAGACAGGTCATCCATCTGGACACTCTCGCGCTTGAGAAAACCAGCAGGTTGTCGACGGCCAATAGGGGTCGATGCAGGTGCGTTGGCTCTGGCTGGACGTTGACGAGCAGGACGAGTACCACTCGCCGCCACGTCACGAGCGTGTTCGTCGGCATTGCTGATAACGACTTCGTCGATATCGTCGTCAACGAGATTAGGAGATGGAAAATGGTGAGACGACATGGCGTAGGTGAGCTGGATCACCAGAATCGTGCATAAGGGCCCTTTGCCAGCGGCAGAACGGTAATAGAGATTTCGGCGACTACACTTACTGTTATGGCAATGAGGCGTCGATACTTAAGATACGAGATAATCTTATGGATGAGATGGTGTGATATCATGTCAAACTTGGGATGAGGATTGGATTGCTCTCCCAGAAGACTTTTCACTGAGCCTAGGTGCCGATTGAGTGAGCTTGAATTTGTACAGGGCTGAGTGACCAAAAAGTAATTAAGGTGAGTGATATGAAAAGCTTTCAAGTAGAGTCTGGTTGCGGTTCAACTGATTTAATTCTTCTTCTTCTCGAGTGTGGAATCCCCGGCTCGTAATTTATGAACTTCCTGGGGCTATCATAGTATGGTATTATTGGAATATGGTGTTAAGACATGCTGCCATGAGGATAACTGCTCGGATCAACTCAAGCGACGCCGTATTTCTCCTGGTAGTCCCGCAATATCTCCAGTGAGATATTCGAGCCACCGCATACAATGACAACGACATTCTTCTTGCACCATTCCTCATCGGTAAGTCCCTTACCCAGCCAATCTCTCAGGCCTCCGTTATACACCATAGCGATAGTCGCACCGCAGGCCACCTCAACCATAATCCTAGCATCATTCGCAAGCTTGACGGAGCCCATGACCGCCTCCGCATCTGTGACGACAGCGTTGGCGAGGTGCTTCTCCTGACTCCACTCAAAGGTCTTCTTTGACACCGTTGGAGCACCCAGGCTGGTTGCTATACTCGTGATCTTCGGCAGCGTGACCAACTTGCCGGCCTTGACACTCGCATTGAGGCTGTCTGCACCGACGGTCTCCACGGCGAGGACCTGCGGCTTGACTTTCCAGTCACGAGCTTGTTCGACACCTTCCATGATACCGTTGAGTAGACCGCCGCCGCCACAGTTGCAGACAATGCCGTCGGGTTCGACGCCGCCAAAGGTTCGCATTTGAGGAACGAGTTCAGTCACAATACTGCTTGCGCCCTCCCAGACGTGTGGGTGGTCAAAGGGCGGCACGTAGACACCAGCCGGATCATTGGCTAGTAGGTGCTCGCGGAGGTGTGCATCAGCTTCAGCCCAGTGCTCACCGACCTGCTTGACCTTGGCCCCGAGGAGCTTGAGCTTGTCGATCATGTATGGGGAGGTTGACATGGGCACGACGATAGTGCAGGGCTGCGCCAGCGTGACGGCTGCTGTGGCACAAGCGAGACCAGCGTTACCACCAGAGGAGCAGTAGAAGTGTACCTCGCCGCTGGGTTTGGCGAGCGTGGCACGCAACATCGCATTGCCTATTCCCCTGGACTTAAAAGAGCCCGAAGGCTGAAGGTTCTCAAGCTTGAGGAAAATGTTGCTGTGATGGTATGAGCGGTGGAGTCACATGATGCGACGATGGTGGGAGATGTCGCTTACCAGCCTGCTGCCCGAGACATTGCTGTCGATGGTATCAACGGTGTCTCTATCCATAGCTTTTCTGGCGCAGGATCGGGTACATAGGAACCCATCTTGTCTTCAACAATATATTGTTACGGGTTTTGAAATGGTGTACAGGTATGTGTTTATTGAAAGGAAGATTTCTTATTTTGCGTCGGCGTTTCTCAAAGGGCTCAAGAGTATGATCTATACTGCTCACATCGGCGTTTTAGACACAGTGTTTGGGTGTCCGATATCGCAAGATTCTTGTGAATGACGGATGTATTTAGAGTAAAGAATCTGTTACCATCCGTTGAACGGGAAAAGGAAAAAGGAAAAAGGAAAAGAAACCACGAAAGTAAGTTTTGTCTTGGGGATAGTGGGTAGCTTATACTGTAATGTGGTCTCTTGCCAACACGGAAGGGGGTTGAATTGAGTACATCGTTATCGGTTGCTCAGGCTGCAGGATTGAGGGAGTACAGGAATACAGTGGACTATTGACCAATCAGCGGCAGCTCAAGACGTGCATTTTGTCATTTTTTGTGGCCGAAGGGCGTGATCACCGCGCTAGCAATAGGCGATAATGCATGAATCAAGTGGACTCGATGGACAAGGTAAAAAATGTCAGATCTGAGTTCATCACCTTGCGGTCGTATCAGAACCTCACGTCCACAGTAGCGCTATACTGATAGGTTGGGCGGCCGCGTCTCTGGGCCTGTATCGCTGCAGGTACATGGAACGCAGAATGACATTCCAAAGAGTAAAATCATCTCGGCGCGACCAAACAGCTACCGTGGATTGCCGATAGAAGCCGTCTGGTTAGTTAAGCTCTCTAGAGGCAGGTCTTTTGAGTTTGGGTGTTGGCAAACTATCGTTATGGTGTTTCTATTACCCTAGAATTACCCTATACTCGCAGCGGAGAACAGTGCTGAGAAACAGGTGGCGGCAGAGAAGGTCATGGGATGACAATCGTTGAACATGTATCGCCTCCAACTGGTTAGTACTTTACGTATGAGACAAAAATTTGATCCTAATACGGCAGTCTTCTTGACGTGAAGGTACATTATACCAGGTGCGAAAAGAGGCGATCTGGGCGTAACCGGAGCAGGTTGGAGTCCGGAATGGCTGGTTGTCGGTGCATACTAGAAAGGAGCAATATAACAGCTTCTGAAAATGTAGATTCCCACGATCTGAATTCGGATCAAGTGACCAGAAGAAGCGTTTGCTAAGCAGTATCTGTTGTTCTCGTGATGACTCCTGCTAAGTGCATCGAATCTATATGCGGCTGCACTTCCTGTTCCTGGACAATGAACATGATCGAAACTGGGATAATCTCGTACACTCGGCGCTTCGAGGTGGCGTCAGACGTGTGCTTCTGCTTAAGGCGGCCGTGATGTATGACCATTCGTTCCCCATGTGTATCTGCCATCTGAACCCTCACAAGTACCGTGAGTTCTGGCTTACGATCAACCATCTTTGCAAAGTCCGCGCCGCATTCCTTCCTTGCGCTTCCCAATGAGGCACGAGCATAAATGCATCGTTGAACGCCCTGATCGTGCCGTCTTCGCCCTTGCCAAACTTGACCGTTCCCCCAACCTGGATTGTAAAACTCAGCTTGTCGCCCTTGTCGTTCTGAGCCTCCGGATTTGTGCTTCCCAGGACGTAGTGCGGATTGATCGGGTGCGCATCCACGCTCTGGACCTCAAAGTGAACAGGCCTGCCCTGCTTCTCGATCAGCTCCTCGAGCTCCGGGACGCCCGCTGCGCAGACGTGCCCGTTGATGCTAATGTCGGGCTTCAGACCCGCGCCAGTGAGTTTGGCCGAGGTGGAGACGTAGAATTGGGACAGCTGTGTACCGCGGTGGTGCTTGTTCAGGGCATCGTAGTAGTGCTCCACGAAGCGGTCAGCCGCTACGATCAATCGTTAGCCTCTCTGTCATTGCATCGCACTGCATTGTAGAGGGGGTATCAATGCGGATTTTGCTTTGCGCTTACCTTCGCTGGCGACTTTGACCTGCGTCTCAATACTCGGGAGCGGCATTGTTGCTCGTGGTGCACCGCGCTGCTTTTGGTGTGACAATTCAGAGAGACCTGCGACAATGGTCTAGGAAGGCGTGTTGGAATTAGGGAGTTAGAGGTGTGATCTTCCAAGTAGCACAGGTCATCAAGCTTGTTGCACTTGATGGGTAGATTATTGTGTTTCGAAAGCTTCTGCAAGACTTGCGACTACCGTGAAATTTCATGTCAGGTTTCGGACACGCAGGTTCCAGATTCTGCGCTTGGAACATATGACAGTACTAAGTGAAGTACTTGTAACAACCTCTGCTAATCTGCCATGGCGCGATATTTGACTTGGCTCTGGTCTAGTCAAGATGCATAACTACGCCAGTTTGCAAGTGTGAAGAAGAGCAATTCGTCGTATTTTCAAGCCAACTGCTTGCGTATAGCTTTCTCATTATCTATCAAATACAATAAGTACTGGTCGTCTTGCCCTATGAAGTCGTGGGCTTAATGACACATTTACTATTACATGAAACATTTCGTGGGCATCGTCCAATAATACACTCCCAACGCCCCTTTTTCTTTGCTTTTCGTTGCTCAAGTCAAGCAATGAACATGCAGACCAAGTGGCAACGGAGCAATATACACACATATTAGCAGAAGACAACTGCGGTTGAGAAAACATAGCGGAACCTTGACGTGACTCGGTATGCACTTGCGTCGTGCGGCGCAATGCGGCCGCTTAACTTCCTCTGAACAAAAATTGCAGATCCTCAGGAGTAAGCGACTCCATTGCAGCGTCGTCAGAGTTGATAGTGGATCTGATCATGTTGGCCTTCTTCTCCTGAAGCATTACAATACGGCTCTCAACAGAATCCTCGATGCAAAGGCGCTTGATGGTACAGGGGCGAGTCTGTCCAATACGATGGCAACGATCAGCAGATTGCCACTCAGCTGCAGGATTCCACCATCTGAACCGAGTGATGTTAGTTACTGTTTCATGATACGGATGATGGCAACTTACGGGTCAACAATGAACACTCGCGAAGCCTCCGTGAGGTTCAAAGCTACACCTCCGGCCTTCAAGGAGACCAGGAAACACTCGACGTCGACATTAGTCATGAAGTGGTTGATCGACGCTTGGCGTTGAGCAGGCGTCATACTACCATCCAGCATGACCGTTGTGATTCCTGCTCTTCGCAGTCTCCATTCGATGAGCTGAAGCATGGTGGTGAACTGAGAGAAGATAATAGACTTGTGTGACGTATTATCAGATCTAAGTGAGTGCAACTCATGCACAAGAAGTTCGATCTTCGAGGACGAAGTCCATTTTTGCATATTGATGCGATTGATGATCGAAGATTTCTTGACGAGATTCTCATCCTGCTCGATCTCGGGTTGCTCAAGGTCAATCGACAGTGGTATGTGACATGTAGGACAATCAGGCTGATCTTGTGAGTTGACATAGCTCTTGGCACAGGCGCGGCAAAAGTCGTGTTTGCACTTGGAACGAATCGCTTCCTCGGCAGGTTCGTCGCAAATACAGCACTGCAGAACGTTTTGGCCGCCTTCGCCAGATTTCTTCAAGATGAGATCCGGGTGATCAGCAACTTGACGCATCTGCATAATCAAACCGAAAATGTTGGCGTAGTTGTTCAGCATTACACCTTGGGCAACGTATGTGTCAAACTTGCGCTGACCACTGGTCATAATGCTGTTAGCAAAGTCATTCTCCTCTTCTCCAAAGAACTGGCGCTCAACAAAAACTTCTTTGACTGGCAGTTCCATGGAGTCGGTGTGATCCTTTTTGAGACGTCTGAGCATGATGCGATCGGTCATGAGGCGAAGTTTCTTAAAAGCCTCCTTGCCATGACCTTGATTGCCATATTTCTGAATCGGGTTGAGGAGTTCCTGGTTAAACACTGACACATGTCTCATAGACACGTGATTGCCTAGAAAAGAGTTTAATTACGACAGGTATAAAAATATGGAGAGGTGAACGTACAGTGCTTGCATCTACCATCCTCGTTCATCGCCCATTCTAGACTAGAACAACTGCACTGCTTGCAAAGATAAGACGAGAACGGGCTGATGTTCAAGAATCGAATCAGAGAGAAGAACTCACCGATTCGATTCTGTAAAGGCGTGCCAGTGAGACACCAGCGATACTCCACGTTCAAAGCGAAGCATGCCTTGGCTGTCATGGTCGTACGAGTCTAGAAATGGGTCAGCACTCTCCGTTGTGGTTTAGCGAAAGACATCTAAATAGCGTACCTTGATCGAATGTGCTTCGTCAAGAATGACTCGGTGGAATTTGACGGAATGAACAGCGCTCTTAACCTTGTACAAACCCGCTTTTCGTTGAAACCCCTTCTCTTGTCGGCGGTACATTGACTCCAAAGTGTTGTAAGACATCATTATCACGTTGAATTCTTTGAGTTGCTTTGCTGTCATGTCTTTGGCTTTGGAGTTGGTGCCATGAAAGACGAGGGTCTTCAGAGTGCCATCGGTATACGACTCGATCTCGGCAGTCCATTGCATGAGTGCAACGGGAGGCACCAGGACGAGAGTAGGATTCTTGGCTGGGTAGTCTGACATGATCAGAGAGACAGCCTGAATAGTCTTTCCCAGTCCCATCTCATCTCCAAGAATACCACCCTTCCACTCCAGCTGTTCCATCTTCTTCATCCAGGCGAGACCCTCGAGCTGGAAAGGCTTCAGCTGGCGAGATATGGAAGTAGGCTGCTCCGCCTTTCCTTCTTTCAGGATGGGCATAGACCTGAGATCCTCCCACATCGTCACAAGCTCAGGGTGGTAATGCTCAAGTCTGAGTCGCTCCTTCTTGGCACGCCTCTTGTGGCGAGGTCTTTGAAAAGCTCTGCGAGTACGTGCGAGCTGCTGCATCCCGGTTCCCTCTTCACCATTGTCTTCAGAATCTTCAGACAGGTTATCCGAGAAATCTGACGGTGTTTCAAAACCTTCGGCGTCGCTCATGGCGATGGACGTTTCAGTGGTGCCGCCGCGAGAAGCTCTAGGGGACAAATATTTAGCTTTCTTGCGGACAGGACTGGATCGCGATAGGCGACTAGGAGCAGATCGAGATAATGGTTCGTCATCGTCTTCATCAATTTCTGAATTGTCAATAGCAAGTCCAGCATCATTATCGAACTCGTCCTCTTCATCGAAAGATTCATCATCACTCGGCTCAACTATAGCCTTGCGCTTTGTGACAGTGGGTTTGGTAGTAGCCTTCGCCTTGCCTTTACGATTCGATGCAGTTTCAAGATTGCTAATGACGTCTGCCATGAACTCATCGTCATCGTCATCAGCATCTGCATTCTTGGCCACAGAATTCTTCTTACTCCGGCGCGATGGAAGCTTGAACGACGAGGCTTTCAAGGTGGTGGCAGCATCTGCTTTGTTGTCCTCTTCTCGTTGAAGGCGACGAGCCACAATAGCATCAGGGGATGAGTCGGAGTATAAATCGTCATCTTCCGAGTCGTGCACAACGTAAGAAGTGGGTCGTCGAGCTCTTCTGGCTCTGGACGACGCAACAGAGGCGAATCCTTGTGTATTGGGCGCTTCTTCGTCTGAGTCGGCAACATCATCAGGCAACTCAACTACAAGGCGACTGCGTGATAGCTTGCCCCTAGTCTGAGTGGCAGTGGTTGAGAGTGCCGGTGTGACAGCATAGTTGGTAGCGGGTGTCGAATACTCGCCACTATCTGAGACGGAAAGAGCCGGTGAAGGGACAGAAGAGACAGACTCCGAAACTGTAACAGCTACTTGAGACTTCTTAGGACGGCCACGCTTTCTAGGTGGCTCTGATTGCGTCGCAGCTGCAGAAGCTGCAGAATTGGCAGGTCTGCCAAGAGTGAGAGTGATATTTCTCATGGCTGAGTTCTTATCTCCGGCGACGGATCGTCGGGTTCTGGGCGCCATTATGATCCAATCCCTTGGGTTGGTATTAAAAAACGTTTTCGATTGACATCAGTGTATTTTCGTATCAAAGACTGGACGAAGCTTTGTGCTTCTGCACAATATCGAGCTTGTGTACAAAGGAGAGGTCGCCAAAAAGCTGCGTGGTGTGAGGTATAAGATCAAATGTCGTCAGACGTCGTCAAACGAGGGAGAAAGGACCAACTGCTTGCAGCATGCAAGAGCGACGTCAACTCCGAAAATGGCTGGATCAAGAGCGTTGACTAAGATCCAGATGGATGTTGAGATGAAATGGAATCCAAAACAACCAAAAAAACTCAATCGGCCTTTGTGGCGAATTTGGACTCCTGGAAAGCTGAGAGACAGCATGGGCAGTGACTGCCCCGCGGTTTCCTCGCGAACAGGGATTCACGAGTGCACGTGACATAATTAAGCCCATGCCGATACTATTCTAGGCTTAGCGTCCAGGCAGCCAGATCGATCTGATGCCTGAAGCATGGATCCCAAGCACCCTAAAGATGGATTATGGTGGATTACTGCCCCCTCTAGGGGTACTCTAGCGCCTCGCTGATAACCGAATAATGAATGAGCTTAACGCCGGCAGTGGCGATCTGGATAACCTGTCGCGTCTTCTGGTGTGACCGAGGCAATCTTTTTCCACTTGGTGAAGACGCACAAGGCAGAAAACTCTATACCAGCGAGCTTTGTTCGTCGTTCGTTTTTTGATCTGGAGTTGTGGTCATCCGTTTAATCATTCCCTTGACATCATCGTCGATTGATCCACCAACTCAAGTGTCATCGTCGTCGTCGTGTGACATCGGCGAGTTTTGGTCGCGGCGACCTCCTCAAAAACACAAAAGCAGACGCCGAAGAAAGCAGAATTGATAAACATGTGAGTATAAAGAAGTACGGTAGTACCTCACACACTCTAACGGTTTTCGCAGGAGCAGTCGCCAGAATCGTGCACCGCGCCGCGCTGGGATTAGAGGCCCGTAAGTGATTGCAACCATGACAGACTTGTGCGTTCTGCTAACGGCTCCTCCAGACAGTCAGCCCTCACAGATTTCTTGGCCGTAAGTCGAGATTTAAATCCTCATTCGCAAACACTTGGCTAAAGCATTGAGCTGATTCTGCAATAGTCTCAAAATATTTCTGCCCGTCAAATTCGTGCTGACGCCGATGCGCGTCGTCAGGCCACAGAGGCAGCTGCAGCTGCAGCTCAGCCAGATGACAATAATGTTCCGCCTAGTGCTGTTGAGCTCGACGGCGCCGAGTGTGTCGATGATGAGGATGAGGATGAGGATGAAGATGAAATTGCTCCACCTATTCGTGCCACTCGCAAAGCTGAAGATTTGAAGCGTAAGAGAGAGACTGAAGCCATTCAGAAGATCAAGAAGTCAAAGGCCTTCAAGAGGCGAAAGAAGGATGCTGACGACGAGTCCGACTCTGATGACCTGGCCAATGCTATCTTTAAAGGAAAGCTCAAACCTTTACCGGGTCAAATGGAGAATTGTGAAATCTGTGAAAAGCGTTTCACTGTCACTCCTTACTCCCGTGCTGGTCCTAATGGAGGATTAGTGTGTGCGAAATGTGGGAAGGATCTGGCCAAGGATGATGGTGCAGTCAACAACAAGAAGAAGAAAAAGACGGCAGGACAAGGTGCAAGCCGACGAAAGGTGCAAAGCAGAATTCTTGACGGCACATATTCAGTCGGCGCAAAAAGTATGATGACTCTTTGCATTGAGAAGCTTGTTAAACATATCGATCTCGCTTCTGAGCTTGGCGATCTCCCAACATCTTTGATCGACAGGATTGCACGTCACCTGGCGAAACGACGACTCCTCACCGCCCAGAGTCTCGATTTGTTTCTCGAACCGCAGCACGAGGTGGTGAAAGTGTACGATGGTGCTCGACTGAGCTCCGACGACTACATTCGTATCTTCCAGAGAGTCACTAACCTGAAATTCATCAAATTCCGCAATGCCATCCAGTTCAAAGACATCGTCATGCAGTACCTCATAAACAGAAACACCAACCTGGAAGGCATTTCCTTGCATGGCTCCAATCTACTTTCTGAGAAAGCCTGGGAAAAGTATCTGTCAGCTAAGGGTGAGCATCTCAAGTCTCTTCAGATCTACTACACAGATCTTCATGTAGGCGATAACCTGCTGCTATTGTTGCCAAGTGTTTGCCCTTCTTTGGAACGTCTCAAGATTGCCCACAACCAAGCAGTCACAGACAAAGGTGTTGAGCACCTTGCCAAGTTCGAAACCCTGCAGCACCTTTCGCTAGAACTCAGAACATTTACGACCACGGAGCCTTACGTCGAAGTGATCAGTGGAATTGGCAATAACCTGCGGACTCTGTCGCTCAAGGCGGTACCGGACCTGGATGACCGTGTCCTTGACGCGATTCATGCCAACTGCCGGTCATTGACCAAGCTCCGTATTACCGAAAGCGAAGTCATGACAGACCCTGGCTTTGCCAGACTTTTCAAAGGCTGGGCCAACAAACCACTCCACTTTATCGACTTCCGAAACTGCCGCCACATTGATTCCACAAATCCACGCGAGAATTCACATCAGGTCGGCCTCTGCTCCGATGGCTTTCGTGCATTGATGGAACATTCTGGCAGCAAGCTTCGAGAACTTAATGTGCATGCTTGCCGACACATCAGCAAGGAAGCTTTCGAGGACGTCTTCGCTGCTGAGAAAGAGTATCCCGAGCTGGTCAAATTGGAGGTCAGTTTCTGCGAAGAGATCACCGATTTCATCGTGGGCAGTATATTCCGAAGCTGTCCTAATTTGAGGGAGTTGAACGTGTTTGGTTGCATGAAAGTGAAAGACGTTCGCGTCCCACGCAACAAAATCCTTGTCGGAGTGTGTACTGCCAAAGGAATGGTCATCGAAGGTACTGAGGACTGAGAAATCACACAGCACAATAAACGAAGGGTCGACTAAGAGTATTTGTTTCGTACCAGCCACAGGCAGGTCTACAAGTCAAGACACATGTTTCCGCTGCATATTCAGGCACTAGCTATTCGTTCGATGAATTAAGGCTGGTTCATCACCACTATTCAGGCTTATTATGACGAGTACGTCGAACCACTAGACACTCGCTTTTAGTTTGAGCGTCTTATGTCGATGGTAGTCAAAGGACTCTGATGTATTAAGAAGATTGTATGTTTGTAGCATATGTGGCAGACAAAAGTCCACGAACGCTTGAACTGGCTGCCAGTGGACTACCGTCGGACCTCGAAACGTCATCGAAACCCAAAATTCATTGAGTATTTTATGAGGGTCCATTTCGAAAAGCAGTGTATAGGATTTGATAGAATAGCTTCAGAGAGCTGGTGCATTAAGTGTTTTAGTCTACACAACTGTACGAAATTTTCTCTATCTGGGTTTTAGTCGCCAGTTCATGTCCATCCAAGGAACAAATGAGAACTTGTCCCATCCAGTGATTGATACCGTACAACGATCAATGAGCAGAGACCCAGTAATGCTAGAAACTCCAGAAAGTGGTCTTCAGCCCCAGTAGCAGTTCTCAGCTCTGCTTGATATGTCGCGACTCTCTATACTTTCTCGCGAGTGAGGTCATACCGAGCATATAGCCAATGATAAGATCCCTGATGCTATCCCAGCCGAACTTTGTACCCATCCAGCCGATGGAAACCTGCCCACCAACCCACATAGTTGTCGTTGGCCGACTGCTCAGAGCGTTATTTACTACCTTCTTCGCATATACCTCTGGCGTCATGGTCTGCAGGCTGCTGGCAGTGTGGCCGGCGACCGCTTTTTCGATGTCGTCCGCAATAGGTGCATATATACTGTTCTCAGGAAGCTTCTGGCCAGCGCTGTTGCCGTAGAACTTGGTGGAAATACCGCCTGTGACGATATGTAGAACCTCGATTCCAATGGGCTTGAGCTCCATGCGCAAGGTGTCGTTGAGCATGGCTAAGGCGCCCTTGGAGGCGTTATCTATGCACAATGTCAGTATAACCATCATCAATAGAACCAGAATGGAGCAGTCGCACAAATGCCTTGCCAAGGAACGTTTACACGCGAGACAACAGAGCCGATATTGACAACACGCGGCCTGCTACCCTGAGCGGCCGCTTCAACGAGAAGCGGCGCAAACGCCTGAGTGACGGCCAGCAAGCCCCAGAGGTTGACCTCAAACAGTTTTCGTGCCTCGTCCAGGTCCGCATCCAGCAGTGACATCTGGTAACCTCCGCCGGCATTGTTGACCAGGATGTCCAGCGTCCCGCCAGTCAGCTTGGAAACAGCCGCTACAGCATCTCTAATCGAAGCCTGGTCCACCACGTCGACCTGGATGATTTCTAGCCCAGCGTCGTGTAGATGCTGCACTTTGCTCAGGTTGCGGGCTGTTGCGAAAACTCGTAGGCCCCTGCGGTGGAATTCTTGCGCCAAGGCGAAGCCAATGCCGCCTTCACTGCAGCCCGTGATGAGTACTGAAAGCTTCTGTACGTCTGCCATGATGACCGTCGTTTTTCAGATTGCAACATAAGGATGGAATGAAGCAAAAAGGTTCTATTTATTACACCCCCCTTTTACGCTTCGCGCAACTCCCGAATCTCGCACGAGAATCATTGCACGAAGTGCGACAACATATGTCTTCGGGAACGTCCCCAATCAGGTTAAGAGATCCGCTGCGATAATGTAGACTAGCACCCGCGCGTCTGAGTCTATACCTGTCTAGTTCATCTAGAGCAGATCTGGGCTCGTTTGAGATTTGTTACCACCGAAAGGGGAGCTGTTCCGTTCCATCGATCCACATTGGTGAATCTTTTCGTGTTCTGTATCCAGTTCCTCTTCGATGATGTCGAGCAATTCGAGCCTGTGGGGGAGCGGGATGCCGGTAATGCTGGCAAAGTCATTGGGTTATTGGCACCAAACGCATGGATTGGTGGGATTCGCATCTAACTTAACTTAATCTTGGTGAATGAAATACAGCCTATTCAGTGGTCAATCCCAGAGGTCGCCAAGCATATGGGCTGATGGTTAGCACCAACAGAAACTTGTAATTACGTGGTAAAGAGCACAAGAAGTTTTCTTGTGCATCTTATATAATGGTGCTAGTGGTTCACGGTCAAGGGGTTCAGACGGGACATTCTCGAGTCTGCCTCTTTGAAAATGGAGTTTGTCTGTCCCACTTGAGCTACTGGCAGACGTTCACTAAGATCTCCAGGGACATTATTTTATTTATTTTATTTAAATTTTTTTAAAATTTTTATTTTAGTAACATATCAAATCTTTGAACGCCGCGGATCAGTACTTAAGTCCTTTTTGCTTGCACGTCTGAACATTCATGCGCCATTGGCATATTCGCGTTCTGATTGGTCTAGGTCTTGGCCTGTATTCAAGCGACGACTTTGATGGTCGAGCGTTCTAGCGTTCCAAAGATTCTTCAGGCACATTTCTCCTAGCCAGCGCTATCCGGGTCGAGAATCCGACACTAATTAAAGGAGAGCACAGGCGATTACAATCCACCGTTTGTCTGTAGCGAGAACATGAAACGAGCCGGCGCGAGTATACTTCAACGGTCGAGTCCAAGTTAAGCGCCTAAGTTGAGAGTTGTCGAGGTTGTGTCAAGTGGCACTAAGCTTTTGTTACAGTAAGATACTGTTGCTAAGTCGACAAGATCACGGGATATCCCAGCAAGCACACGTCAGTCAATCTGCAATGTTGATCGCTGGCTGCCTCCCTTGAGAGTCTCGACCATGCACTTTTTTGAAACTCGCATCACAACGAGATGCCATTTTCGCATTTCGTACCATGTCCTGATGTTCCTCGCCAGTCAGAGCCACTTGCCTTTAAGGCTTGCCAGATTTGACAGCGACCCTTGCAGATCATCTCCGAACAAAGCGACTCTGACAGGGTATCGTGCATGAGCACCGCCACTTCTTCAAGGGTCCAGCCCAAGCCGGCTTGCCGGATTCCAAGTCTGAACCTTGTTGCTTCCCAGTTTCGCTGGCGCTTGACTGACTTTGTCATGGTCACACTCGCCACAGCTGACGGTTCTACTCGCATACAAGGCCCGTCGGCAAGCCACAATGGTCCCTGAATCAATCTCCAGACACTTTATTATTTACATACAGCAAGATACATAGCAGTGGATGCGCCGAGTTTTCCCCTGTCGTATTTACTCGACTTGCGCGCGGGTCTTTTTTTTCTGCGACTCTACTGCGAATGTAAATGTCTTCAACGGTGTGTGTGTGATAACGTACTATGGCTGCTGCGGTTGAGGAAACATCTGCCACTGGCGCTTCTCCAAGTGAGGAAATCAAGCCATACCAAATTCATGTGAGTCTTACCGAAATTCGGTTCAATAGACTGTCGATCTTCCGCAATGTTGTGGCTGACGCGCCCGCGACCAATTCCAGGTCTCATCACGATATCTCAACCTCACAAAAGAGAAACTCGAGATCACACGACTGCCTCATGAGCTTTCAAGCCCGAGATCAGAAGATTGGTGGGAGCCTAAGCCTCAGATTGAGCCTTTGATTGACTTCTGGTAAGCTCGTCGCAAGTCATGCAACTTGGTCCGGATAAGGTGTGGCTAACAGAATTCACAGGCTTGAAGAGTACTCATGGCGCTCACACGAGGCTGAGCTCAACGCTCAATTACCACAGTTCCGCACTGGCTTCTCGATACCACAAAGTGAAGCCCCCATCAGACTGCATTTCATTCACATTTGTTCTACTCATTCTAATGCACTACCTCTTCTTATGATACCCCCTTTTCCTTTCACAAACTTGTCTTTTGGGCATATTATTAAAGCTTTTACGGATCCTGAGGATGTCGCTACTAATCAACCTTTCCATTTGGTTATTCCATCACTCCCTGGTCTCGGCTTCAGCGATGCGCTGCCAAACAACACGCCGGTTATCTCAACTTCTGGGGACATGCTTGATTCTCTGATGGCACGATTAAACTACCCACGCTATCTTGCGACCAATATGGGTTCAGGGTCAGGTTCGCCTGCTGAGATTGACTGGCAGCTCGCCAACTATTTAGCGATTCATCACCTGGATTCCTGTCTAGGAGTTCATTTTATTTCACCACCGCTAGCACAACCCAAGTTGCAGGAGGCACCACTGGAATGGGCGAAATGGTCTCTCGCCAGTCTGCTCAAACTGCCGATGCTAGGTTATCTGAAAGAAGACTTTTCCGCGCTTGAGAGGAGTCGTCCGTCTACGAAAGCGAAGGCAACTGCTATGTCAGCTCAGTTTGGCTTAAATCAGTTGGGTCTGCGGGAACCAAACACACTTGCGTATGCCCTCTGCGATTCGCCGACTGGCCTACTCGTCTTTGCACTTAAGAGCTTGCGGTTGTTGGGCCCGAAACGCGAGTTCACGCAAACAGAACTTATCACTTTTACACAACTGGCCTGGTTGCCCGGCCCCGAAGCCGCAATGCGCTTCTGGGCATACTGCTTGCAACATCCAGAAACATGCATCCTTCCCAAGAAGGCTGTATCACGACCGAAGATCGCTATCACTGTGTTTCTCGGTGACGAACCAGATGTGGCTGAGGTCCAACCTGCACATCAGGTCGGCGACGCTGAAGCACAACCACAAAAGCAGGTGCAACCTGAAGGAAAGGACGGTTACGCCTGTCCCAGCTGGGCGAACGCCAAATACCACGTCGTTCATGCTCACAGGGCTAGCGGCAAATCTGGGCTGCTTGCGTGGGAAAGACCTGAGCTGGTCTTGGCCGGTGTTCAAGGGCTAGCGAGAGAAGTTTTAAGACTCGACTCGAGGCTCCAGCCTTCTGCTGTGCCCGAAACGGTGCCGTTGCAACAAGTAGTGGCAGGTACAAGTGGCGCCGCAGAACATGCGAACGATGCGGGGCCAACGACTGGGTCAACGGAAGCGGCATCGTCAATCCCTGAGACGAGATTACAGCCCCCGACTCCTGGCCCAGGTGCTCTCACAGATGCTCTCCTAGCCCCTATACCCGAAGAACGAGGGCAACCCCACCGAGAGATCAGTGAGGAGACGCGAGTAGCATCGGACGCTGAGGAGCAAGAGGCGCATTTAAAAGCGAAGAGCGATGATACCTTAGCTGGAACGAGCCCTCATGTGAAACCTCTCGACTCACCTAGTCACGTTTCTTGATGATGAATGGCATGAGATTAGGATGATGGAGATATGGACGAAAGCGCCCGGAACATTCACCGGGCGGTACTCTGCAATCTAATGCGCATACATACGATACCCAGAATTAACAATAATCTGATAATAGTTTTTGTGTACAACATGTGTAGTTCTCCGATCGTTACCAACTTGTGTAAAACATATCATTCTTACATCCCCACTGGTGCACCACACTTCTACAAGGCTCGCGGCGTCTCATCACCTTTCTCTTGCATCGCTGCCTGCCGACGCCAACTCACGGCCAAACTGGCCCACAAGACGATTATGATGAGGGGTTTATAGGCGCGATGCTAGCCGACTGTGCCACAGAGGGGTATACAGGGGCATAAGTGAAAGCTTAGTGCTCACGCAGCACTTTGTAATCTTTGAGGTTTCAATCGTTCTCTTGCTGCATGTTTGCATGCCAAGGTGATACTATATCCGCTTGGACTCCCTTGTTCTATTCACTGCTTTTATCCCTTCTACGTAGCCTATTCTTACTTCAAGCCCATTACAGAGCTTGGGACTTCCAACTTTTGAACAATAGAAGTATTTGCCAGGTCACGTAAGCCAATATGGATAATGTTTTCCGGGAGATCAAAAATGGAAATCTCAGTGGGGTGAAAAAAGCCGCCGAAGCAGGAACCTTACTCGGCGAGTATTCGGCGGCTGGATTAACACCTCTTGGAGCAGCGATCCTCCATAAGAGAGCTGATATTGTGAAATGCCTACTTGAAGCAGGCGCCGACATCCAGCTGGGGTACAAATCAGAAAGCTGCCAGGACAAGGATAAGCTCCAGCCCAACTGGCCTGAAGTATCCCCTCCGATCCACTGCGCGGCAGCCTCAGGCGCGGCAGACCTGGTTCGTATACTGGTTGACCATGGTGCTGATGTGAACGACCCCAGCGGTCTTGACTACGGCGCGGAGATTCTCCCCCTCTTCGCGGCTACGGGGCACGCAACCCAGGCGCTGATTGAGCTCGGTGCGGATGTGAGTCGGATGAACGCTGTGAGGTTCACTCCGCTGGTGCACGCGATAGCAAGGGAGGATGTACACTCTGCCAGGCTACTCGTGGAGCACGGCGCCGATGTGGAGATCGAGCGAATGGCAAAATATAGGATCAGGATTGCCTCCTCCGGTGATGCCAAGGATTCGGGCGAGCAGGTCGTTCAGGGCACTTCTTCGCCCTTGATGGTGGCGGGTCATCAGGGACGTCTCAGGCATACGTCGGCCCAGATGATCGAGATACTGGCCGCGGGTGGAGCGGACGTTAATAGGCGGTACTTGATCAAGAGCGCCGCAGGTGATGTCAGTTTCGCTCTACTGTCACTGATTTGTTGCTCTCGTGTCCCGATCCCGAAATTGAAGGGTCAATATGCTACGGATCTTCTCTATGGTGAGAAAGAAGTGGCAACGATCAGGGCGCTCATTGCGGCTGGTGCAGACGTCACGGACCCTCCAGTTCTTGGTTATGTCTGTGAGGGAGAGATGCCTTTCTCAGATTTCAGGCCACGGCTCGAAGTACTCAAGTTGCTAATTCAGCATGGCGCGCTGGCCAATTCCTCAGCGGGTATTGCTGCTCAGACCGCACTGTTGAAGTCGTTTAGGAAAGAAGCGGAAGCCGAGCTCCAATTCCAGGATATGGCACAGGCACTGGCAGAGGCGGGAGCCTACTGGGATGTACCAGAAGACCTTGATCAGGCTGTCATGCCTAAGTACCTCAACAGGAGACTGCATAACGGGTCCAATTGAGGGCCAGTTTGATGAGGTGCTAATCACAAAATATAGATAGAGCTCGGCCTATCTGTTCGTTGTACGAGTACAAACATGAACATATCTGTACTGCGAACCAAAAATCAATGTTCAAACGTTGCAAAACAAAAACCAACACTGCGTTGCCATACATCTACAGAACGTATCCAAAACCCAAAACATCAGTCCACTTCATACTGGAAATATCGGAGTTCAGTGACAGCTTCGAAAATAAATTGCAGCCACTACCAAGGGCACAATGTTCAAAATGGCGAAAACGGTTTGACATTCTCTAGTCTTGGGTCTCCCCGCAGGGGGGCAAAGTGCTGATATGCTGCACGGCCATAGTAATCGTGCGGGTTTGCGGGCGGATATTGGTCTTGCGGCTCCATGGCACCAACGCAACGTCAAGGATGACGGGGTGCGAGAAATGTAAGAGAGCTGTGGTACCCTTCTGGGGCTGTTAATTGACTGGATTGGTCATGGTACAGCCCAGTGGTAGCCCAAGACTTTGAGGGCTCATAGTATTCGGCAAGAAATCGTGGGTCGGGCGTTGTTTGAAGCTTGGCAGCAACTTCAGGTGTGTAGAAATGACCGCCTGGATGGAATCGAAAGGGTGGAGATATTGATATTATTTAGAGAATCAGCAAAAGTCCAATGAGAAGTCAGCGCGAAAAACTGGTTCAAGAGTATCGATAGCATGCAGTAGTGAGATGGAACTGCGTTTTAACTATCGTTATTATCATAAGTACGTATAACCCTCTGCATTACGACTCGGGTATGCTGTTGACAGGTTGTCTTGAGAACTGCTTGTTCTTTCAACTAGCATTTATTTCATCCGTGCAAGCTGCATGCTAACAAATGTAGTCGGTTGTGTGGTTGTAGGAGCCTGATATGCTTCCGCTTTGTCTCGTATCTTGGTCGTCAAATCTGCCTTCCTACATAAAATGCGTTTCTGCCTCCCAGGTGCCTATATATATTGTTTACTTCACCCCAAAGACATCCATACGTTCAACGGCAATGCGGAATCCTGCTCAGGACCATTCCATCCGTGGGCACATTGCAGCTCTATCGGAACCCGACAACGACATGAGCTACTCGATTGCCATACATCATAACACGTACGTGCGGCTTATCTTTTGGACGGCTGACTACTGTATGATCATATTCTGAGGGACCCACAGTTGAGGTGGGCGCCAGATTTAGGGGGTAAGGGTGAGCACTCCGTGGGAACTCCAGTGCATTCGCCGCTGTAACTTGGAGTGCACTGTGCTGTGCCGATAAGATAAGAGCTTTTCGTGGCTTGATAGCGCGCTACTGTGCATGAGCAACGCCAGAACTTTCGACTCGGAATAGCTTCGCTCGAATGCAATCCTCAAGAATATAACCGTCAATCGCATGAATGGGTGGCAGTCTACGTCTGACATCTCTTCCCATGCGACCATGCCTTCACACATTGCGCCAATGCCGACCTTATAGCACCGGCTTCAGGTCAAGTTGGCGCCTTTCTGGCCGTCACCATGACCTGAGCACATCGCCGCCGCAGCTACAACTTGCAGCTCTTTGCGCGCATCGTACCGCGGCGCCTCTTGTGTCTAGGCACTATGCGAGTACGAAAGCAGTTGTCGGCGACCTTGAACGCCGGATAGCTGCGATACCCATCTCCCGATTTCGAAACTTCTGCATCGTAGCACACATTGACCACGGCAAATCCACACTCAGCGACCGACTCCTTGAGATCACCGGCACGATTTCCTCTTCCGCCGGCAACAAGCAGATCCTGGATACCCTCGAGGTCGAGCGGGAGCGCGGCATCACCGTCAAAGCGCAGACCTGTACGATGATCTACAACCACAACGGGGAGGACTATCTGCTGCATCTAGTCGACACCCCTGGGCACGTCGACTTCCGTGCTGAGGTTACGAGGTCCTATGCAAGCTGTGGCGGCGCACTGTTGCTTGTCGATGCCAGTCAAGGCATCCAGGCCCAGACTGTGGCCAACTTCTACCTGGCTTTCGCAGAGGGACTAAAGATCCTGCCTGTCGTCAACAAGATCGACATGAATGCCGCAGACGTACCAAGAGTGCTTGAGCAACTCCAGTCGACCTTCGAAATCGATTCCAGCAAGGCCATTGGCGTCAGCGCCAAGACAGGCCTAAATGTCAAGCAGCTTTTGCCAGCTATCGTCGAGAACATCCCAGGACCCGTTGGGGACGAGACGAAGCCACTGAGGGTCTTACTGGTCGACTCCTGGTACGATAGCTTCAGAGGCGTCATTTGCCTCGTTCGTGTCTTTGATGGTACCGTCAGGCCTGGAGACAATCTCGTTAGTTTCGCCACGGGGACCAGGTACACGGTTGGAGAAGTAGGCATCAGGTATCCCATCCAGACGCCTCAGACAGTTCTCAGGGCTGGCCAGGTCGGCTACATCTTCTTCAATCCCGGCATGAAGAGGATCAAGGACGCCAAGATTGGCGATACTTTCACCACGGTGGGGTCCGAAGCTACGGTTGAGCCTTACCCCGGCTTTGAAGAGCCGAAGCCCATGGTCTTCGTCGCTGCTTTCCCCACCGATCCCGCAGACTACCAGCGTCTTGCTGACGATATCGGCCAGTTGGTGCTCAACGACCGTAGTGTCACCTTGATGAAGGACCATTCCGATGCTTTGGGGGCCGGTTGGCGCCTGGGCTTCCTTGGCAGTCTTCACTGTTCCGTTTTCCAAGACCGTCTGCGCCAGGAGCACGGAGCCAGCATCATCATCACTGAACCAGCCGTTCGATCGAAAGTGCAGTGGCAGGATGGCACTGAGACCGTAATTACGAATCCGAATGAGTTTCCGGAAGCTGAAAGCAACCCAAAAGTCCGAGGTGCCACCTTCTTCGAGCCCTTCGTCCTTGCCACACTCACATTGCCAGAAGAGTACCTTGGTCGCGCGATTGAACTCTGTGAAGCTAGTCGCGGCGAGCAGGAAAGCATCGAGTTCTTCCATGGATCACAGGTCATCTTGAAGTACCGTATTCCCACGGCAGAACTCGTCGACGACATGTTCGGCAAGCTCAAGGGCGTGACGAAGGGTTATGCGACGCTTGACTACGAAGACGCTGGTTGGAAGAAGTCGCAGTTGGTGAAGATGCAGCTCCTGGTCAACAAGGAGCCCGTGGATGCCATCAGCCGAGTCGTGCACGCGTCTCAAGTTGAACGGCTAGGGAGGCAATGGGTCACCAAATTCAAAGAGCATGTTCAAAGACAAATGTTTGAAGTCATTATCCAGGCCGCTGTTGGTAAAAAGATCATCGCCCGAGAGACCTTGAAGGCGTTTAGAAAAGATGTCCTGGCCAAGTTGCATGCCAGTGACATCACGAGAAGGAAGAAGCTGCTCGAAAAGCAGAAAGCTGGCCGTAAGCGCCTTCGTGCTGTGGGCAATGTTGTCATTGAACAGGAAGCCTTCCAACGCTTTCTATCTAAATAAGGTGACAAAATCACATGTAGCATATGTAAAATAGAGATATTTGCAAAAACTTAATACCGCGTTGCATTGGACCAGATGTTTCTCAATTGTTCGAGATTGGTAGGAGATGGCAGATCACTTTGGACAACGCCCGACATATAACTAACGATACTGGCAAAACAAAGAGGACAACCCTGTATCACGATATCGCCCGTGGTCGAATTCGAGCAGTCCATCAAAAAGCCTCACCCGGCCGTCTTACCAGACCGAGAAATGTGCCTGCGTATTCACCATGCCAAGGACTTTGAAGACCACATCTGACCCTTTCCGCAAGCCTTGGGCCTACTGCCGTCGGTAGGATGACAAACACACTCCGACCCACAGCAGAGCCTGGAATACCAATAATGTTTGTCCTTTGTTTCACTGCATGTTAGCAATCCCCGAAGAACCTCAAGTCTCAGCCATCTTCTCGTATTCCATCACCCTCACAGAGGTATTCTCAAAACGTTGTACGATTTCCAAGTCGGCCGACTTTACGTAATCTACGTGCGTAGTGCATAGCAAGTCGTTTTATAAGGAGGTTGCAGGGATGTCGGTTTTCGCAGGCATAGCTTGCGGCAGTTTGGTTGCCGTATGGCCATTTTGGGCCCAGAGCGTGTGATTTACACCAATCCCATCGCGGCGGCTGCTCGGTCCCACAAATGTGTATATACTCGATACAACACCAGAGCCGCCGTTTAAATACGCACCCCACATATCACCTCTATTACGAACGCTGAGTTCAGTAACCAGGAGGCAAGAATGCGACATCACTTTCGACTTCGACCGCCGAGAACACGGCATTAGTTGGTACATAAGAGTGCTACTAACCCAGTGCTTGGGTTCGTGTTGAGACCACATCCGCCAAAGTATCGTCAAGACCCAAGGTTGCCTTTACAAGAGTCCGAGCCACTCACAGCGCCCTTCAAAATGCATATCTCTTCGATTCTACCGTGCATGGCTCTCGCCGTCAGCCAGGCCACGGCGGCCACCGTGCACATATGCGGCGACTCGACAATGGCCAAGGGCGGCGGCGGCTCCGGCACGCAGGGGTGGGGCCAGTACCTGCAGTACTCGCTGCCCTCGAGCACTTTCACCGTGCAGAACGACGCCATCGCCGGCCGCAGCGCGCGCTCATACACGCGCGAGGGCCGCTTCCAGGCCGTCGCCGACCAGCTCAAGTCCGGCGACTGGGTCGTCATCGAGTTCGGCCACAACGACGGCGGCAGCCTGTCGCCGACCGACAATGGCCGCTCCGACTGCTATGGCGACGGGTCCCAGACTTGCCAGACCACTTACAATGGTGCTGCCGAGACGGTCCTCACGTATCCGGCTTACTACGAGAACGCGGCTAAGTTGTTCGTGGCCAAGGGCGCTAAGGTCATCATGAGCTCGGCCACGCCGAACAATATCTGTGAGAGCGGTACCTGCAGTTGGAGTGCGAGCCGGTTTGACTACTATGCATGGTAAGTCTCATAGATTTGGAGCAATTTCGGACCGTTCAGATGCTAACCAAACCCTTAGGTATGCTGCTTCCGTAGCCGGCGGAACAGCGAAAGGTGTCTACCACGTACCTCACGGCACTTATGCGGCCCAAGTGATGAAGAACTTGGGAGCTTCGACCGTCAACGCCAACTATCCCAACGACCATACGCACACAGGTCCGTACATGGCGGATATAATGGCGAGGGCGTTCGCTTTGGGACTGAAGTGCGGTACGAGCGCTTTGGGAGCTGCCATCACGAACTCGACTAGCTCCATGACTTCGACGGTCCTGGGGCCGTGTATCACTTACAATAGTACTGTTCCCATTTGAGGAGGGTCAATAGATGCAACTAAGATAATAGATATCAACCAATTTAATCAACTTACAAGTCAAAGTCAAGAACGGTCCCCCAACTTCGGCTTCTTAGCCAGCACGTGTATCAGACTACCGAGGATGTCTGGGCAGCAATTTTGCCTTCTTCGCCACATCATAGCCCGGAGTCCGCCTATTGCTAGACTACGGGCCAAGCCCAGACCAAAGCGGAATTCCAATAGCAGTATACCAATCAAAGATCTGTGTTGTTTTTTAATTAGTACCACTCCATAGATAGTGATTCCAACCAATTAGATTCTACGTACACAGAGGACGAGAACTGTAAATACTATATGGGGACACAGCATGGTCGGTAGTATGTTAGATTTCCTCAACACCGGCATTGTGGCCTGGGTGAAATAGGCGGCAAAGAAGAGGTGCAAACTGTGTGGTGAGCATGCTCAGCTGGTCTCTGAAATCAAGGAGATGAATAAGAAACGCCATCGGAGAAGATTTTCTGAGCTTTCAAAGGAGACTTTTCCGTGGAACTTGAGCACCTTGTTGCAATTTCTTATAACGTTCTCGTCAGATTTGCTGAAAGAAAGCAGCCTAAGCTTATACCGATGATAAAAAACGATCCATCTCTTTTCAGAGAGCAACAAGCTCATCAATAACAAACGTTCAAGCCAAGACATGTCGTGGTCCGCAATACTCACTCCCTTAGAATGGCTTCGCAGGTCTTCTCGAGCTCGCTCCTCGGGCTATTGGGCTATGCTTGCGTCACCATCTACTGGGCTCATCATAATATTTTATCATGTCAGCGTTGCTGTTCATTGCCTCCTCATGCTGCACATTTGCCAGCCCTTAAGCTGCAAACGAGAATTTGGCCGTCGAAGTTCTTGCTTGTGCCGTCACCACGGCTGCTGAATAAAGAGTTGATAGGTTGAATTATCTCTTGCTCATCTATAGGCTTGAAGCTCTTTATACGTCATTTCTCATCACCATCGCTGTGACGACTTTGCTATCCTTGCGAAGACTCTCCGTGAAACGTTTGGTAAGCGATGTCTGGACTCTGGTTGTCTCTTGAGAATTTCTTTTTGTGGTGTCAGGCCTTGATTCCGGTAGTGTTCATCGCTTTGTTCTCAATACGTCTCGATGAAAAACCGGAAGGCAGGTCGCCTAACAACATTCTTTGACTTTGTTAGTGATCTCGTTCCAAGCGACATTGACATTGCGGTTGCAGCATGACGACGAAATTCTAGCGTGCACTTAACTGTGTCCTGGTTTTCATATAGCCTAGAGCGTCTTCTGTTACGCATGTATCTCCATGAACCTTGTCTGACCATGGTGTTTCTGGTAGGCGACATCAGTCTGCTCGAGGGCTGTTTCCTTCACATTATTATCTTGACTAGGTCAAACTGCGTGGCATCTCTTCGCAAGCGATGGCGATATCTCTCTTGGATACTGAAGCTGGTTTTAGAGGTGACTAGCTCGATGTATACCAATTTGATAGTGATAGTCAGAAGCTTACCGAGGATTTCTCCGATACATTTATTAGGCATGATGGATGAGTATGATGGCAACTAGTAGACGCATAAAAGTGATGTTTCATACAAAGATATTGGAAGAAGCAATAAATAATAGCTTGAGATTCTATGGAGAAGACCTAAAGAAGCACGAAGTGAGAGTAAGAAGAAGGCAAAAAGAAAAAGAAAAACAATTGGGTATCTTGGTCAACTCGTGGGGGTCGTACTTACTTGAGAAATTATGCCATATGCCATTATTATATCATTTTGTAGATGTTCTTCCTAGATCATGAAGGAACTGGATTATCCATTAGTGACATGGGGTAGGGAGCCAGTTGATGGTGACATGGGGAAAGCACGGGTTGTGTGAGCCCAGCTCCGACGTGGGTTTTCTGGGTTTTCGGGTTTTTTTTGGGATTTTGTTTTTTTCCTGCTTGAACTGTTAACCTCTAGATCTTAAAGTTCGGCGATCTTCTGAATTGACCAGGACACCCAATTGTTGAAAGACAGCTTAAGTAAATTACACTGTAAGGCTTTCACCCTTGCCAAATAACCATTGTTCCGGTCATTCAAACCTCGGAGCTCATGCAAACTGCATCAACTTTGTTTGCTTCCATCTCAACACTTGCAGTCTCATTCATTCACACCGTCTTCACATAACATAGTTACAGCATACTGGCATGGTTCATAAAACCCTCCATGCCGTCCACATTCATGAACTCATTCAAGTTTCCAGCCACTGTAACACTCCACACCTCGACGACGTTAGGATTATAGAAACTAGCTCCCTGTTCCAGAAATCCACCTCTGTGCATTTATTTAGCCTAGTAAAAGCGTCGTGGTGATCAAGATGATTTTGTTATCAACTAGGAATGTGTGACCCGTCAGTGTGCATTCAAATTCATACCAACAATCATATACATATTGATACATGTTAGAGAAAAGTCAAATGAATACACCTTGGTCTTGTAGTGCTATGCCGTTTCAAGCACAAAGGCAAATAATAATACGAGGACCATGGTGCATACACTAGTTATCATGGTTGGGCGAAGTTACTAAACCCTGCTTACGAATAAAACTGCGATGAAGTAAGCTCTACAACATAAAATGTAGAAGAGGCCCAGTCGAGTTCAGGTTTCATGGACTACTTGCTCCTAGTTGGTGTATTTAAATACTCCAAGCTTTCCTCAGGGTGTTCCATAACAGTATGTAGCTCGATGACGAGAATGACATCGGATCCCATGGTTCTTTGCGATGTTTGGGACTCCAGTTACACTACGCCGATTCAGATTGCGCAAACCCTAGAGAGGCCGAACGATTCCATCACCCATAGCCGGAGAGACGTAATCACCCAGACTCAGTACTTCAAACGCCTACACACCACACAGAGTCGTGCGCTATCTCTCATCTAGTCTAGGTGCATGGAATACGATACACAAGGAGCCACTTGACAGAGCAGAGAACCGAGCGTCTTTAAACCATCGGCAATTTTGCTTTATCGTTCATCACCCTTCAAATCTTCCCCTTGATTCGGTTTTGGTATGATACGAGCAACCGCAAATCTTTTCGTCCACAATGGCTGCCGCCGTTCGAGCTACCTGCACCATCCCTTCCGCAGGCCTATCTGGCTGGCATGAATTCGACATGGAGGATGCCCAGGAGTTTCCCGTCTTCTTCAATATCGTACCAATACGTTGCCCTGAGTGCTAGGACTTCAAGTGTCTAGCTGACGACGATCCTCCGAGTCGGTGGCCGGACCTATTGTGCCGACTTCTCGTCACGCGACTGCCGAGACAGCCAAGAGGGCCGGGAACTTTTCTTCATGGAACGAAGGATGGGACAAGAAAATCATAGAAATTAATCCATATAGAAAGGCCGTAGTATAAATAACAGTGAATTTTCGCAAGACTTTTCCTCAGAAACGTCACGAGGATCCTTCCTCTGCACCACGAGCTGTCCGCGGTCTGTACATGGCATACTGCGGCGCGCCGAAAATCTCGTCTTCAAATACGTCTACAAATCCCAGTTTCCTATAGAGCCTGGCGCCTGCATGCGAAGCCAGCAGATAGATATCCTTGCCGTCCGCGTCCGCCTGGTCGATGCCCCACTGCGCCAGCAACGTGCCGATGCGTTGCCCCTGAAAGTCCGGATCCACGGCAACTGAGTTGGGCCCTGGGAAAATTCAATGTTAGCATGTGTTTTTTGCTACCTAGATACGTTGGGGGAAAAGAAAACACCCAGGTTGATGAGTACAGGACGAACGAGTGAATACGTACACCACATATCCTTCATGGCTTCCTCCCCCAGCTCCTTCCCCAGGGCATCCTCCAGCACCTTGACGCCCGCCACATGGTCCCGCATGGCCTGCCTGTCCATGGCAGCTGGGAGTTTTTTCAACCTCTCCTCCAAGCTCTCAGGCGGAGGCTTCTTGCTGCTGTCGCCATCATCATCGGTCTCCGCCGGCACGGGCTCGGGCGCCAGCCACTCGGCGCACCCGACCATCAGCTCCTCTCCCGACACCGGATCCTGCCGCACGGCGACGATGCAGTGCGCCCAGGGTTTGCTTCCGTCCAGGAGCTTCTCGATGCGAGCGCCTCTCCATACTAGGTGGTCCCCGGGTCCCGGGAGTACTTTGAGGTGGCTGAGGTGTTGGGGCCAGAAGGCCGCGTGCACCTGGTTTGTCCCGAAGGCGCGGTAGAGGATTTGGGTCATGGCGGGTACGTCCTGTTTGGTGGCTGCGCGGATGCGAAAGGGGCTTGTTTCCGCCATCTTGTGTAAGTTGGTAAGTTTGTGGTGATGAGGTTAACCTTTCGATTTGATCTTCAAGCAGGACGGGTGAAAAGATTGAATGCACAGCAACGTCTTCAAGCAGGACGGGTGAAAAGATTGAATGCACAGCAACATCTTCTACGCGGGTATCAAGGCCACGAATATTGTTTAAATAAGATATGTAGTACTGATGACACTTACAAGTATTACGAGGCGTTCCACGAGTACAACTTACAGAATTCGCAAGCTACGTATGATCTGAGGTTCAAATTGACGAATGATATGATCAATATGCAGGTAGCAATCTCTGCAGACTGACATAAGACAAACAAGAGTCATACATGCCTACTCCGGAGTTCAAACTCCCCTGCGCGACTTGCGAATCAAATGACGACACCCACCAGGGGCACAACTGAACAGAGTGAGTTTATGAGGTTCGACAGCAGTTCTGTGATCGTCTTCATGGTTGCCTTGCGCCAAAGCGGGTCCTGCTTATGGTCGAGTCCGGCCAATGCACCATCGGAGTTCGAAAGAAACGACGGCTCTAATCCGCTTATAGTGTGAATACTGGCCCATTGCGAACAACTCCGATTGCATGATTGATTGACTGATCGCATCTCTCGTGTAGGCTCGCAAGTAAATTCCAATGAGGTAGGTGCGCTTATACAGATTAATCTTTACATGCAACCTGTCATGGACCGTGCAAAAAGCTATTTCTGTGCTACCCAGAAATCGAACTAAGGGGCATATATTTCGAACCCATCGAGCGCTAGCTTTTAACAATGTGTACCTCAAGGACAAAATTTGCCAATGTTAGCAATAATGTTTTCTTTCGAGGGCCATGTTGGTGAAGAGATGGTTGTGATGATGACGACGTGGATTCAGAGGAACTTTTGAGATGTAGGGAATAAAAGTTAGGAGAGTGACGTGTTTGGGAAGCAAGTGAATGCTTATGAAGTTCAGAACTGTAGATCTGATCTTCCCCTATACTTGGTATCGCTTCTTAGTGACTTCACTATGCGCGCCATACCTGGCCATTGCCTCGCTCAGAGAATGAGGATTAAATCATGCTGTATCGACCTTTCAGCTGCCCATGTAGCCAGCCTCCTGCTCCTCGGTGCAAATGATGGGCGAACCAATTTTTGAAAGATTTCTTCGTGCGATATTCCGTTGAGCCCGAGATGAGATAACTGAGTGGAGTGTTTGCCGAGTCTATTCCGAGCGATATTGATACGTCCATCCTATGCGGCCTACTCATATGGTACTTTCCCAAAATCCAGAACGCCGGAAGTACACGACGGAATAAGAGGGGAGGTTTTCACACCCGAACCCAACTCTCATGATACCGTGCCATATGCAAATTTTCAACACATATCGTACACTTGTTCTCCATTCCCAGCACTAGTGGTATCGGCCCTGAGCGCGCTTCGGGGGTTCCAACTCGGCCAGGTTTTGTTGGACGCTCTGCTCCTTCTTGTATTCCTGCTCCAGAGCCTTCTGCATGTCGAAGTCGAGCTGGCGCTCCTTCTTGATGCGCTGTTGCTCCATGTCGCGGATGACGCCTTGGTGCATTGCCTGTGTGAGGCGCGAGGGATTAGCATGATTCTTCAGGCGGGACTTTGCAATGGACAGTTCCCAATCTGCCGAGGGGTAAAAGTTACATCTCCCTCCCACTTCTGCTGGAAGTGCACAAAGACAACGGTAGTGACGGCAAAGAGCGAAGTGCCCAGCAGGGTGAGCTTGGACTTGGTGGACATTCTGGCGGTCAGGTCTGAGAATCGGAAGATTGTTCTATGAGAGTTATTCAATTGTTATGATACCATCATTCGGGTCTTGACTATTGCTTCCGGTCGAGGCGCAACATACGATCTGCTAGAGGCAATCGCGACGATACTTTTTGAGAGCTCAGGTGGGGACTGAATTGACGTCGGTTGCTATCGATAGCGATTACATGCTGCTGTCGTACTGTAGGTGTGAGTGTTAGCTAACTTAGTGGAAGGGAGTTCCGCTCTGCGCTACTGCAAGTTTAGCCAAGCCAGATTCAGATAACTACAGATACAGCAGACGGATACAGTACATACAGAAGCCCGAAAGCCTGGGGGGGCGCTGCATGCGGTGCAGGCAGCTCGAGCCCCCCCCCCAGAAGCTCCACCCAGCCTGGCGGGCGGCTCAGCCAACGACATCACTGTGCTGCACTGGGAGCTTCCAACTTTGGTACGCAAGCTTAGCTACACATATCAACTCAACCGACGACGACCTCGACTATTACCTCTGCGATACGATCGAATTCGTCTTTTCCAGCTTTCCACCAGAACAGCCCTCACCTATCGCCACCTCCCCTTCCAATCCAAAATGGTGCGCAACGCTCTGATGGATCAGCATCGACCGAGGAGGAAGACCTAGCTAACAGGATATCTCGCAGTCTGCCCAGAACTCGCAGGGCATCAACACCCTGCTCGAAGTACGACGACTCCGGTTCTACTGCATTCCGGACCTTGAAAAGCTGACACCTCACTCTCAAAAATAGGCCGAGAAGAATGCCTCCAAGATTGTCCAACAAGGTGGGTTTGCACACAGACACCTCTAACTCCCCCCCTTCCCCATCCCATCCCAGCCCCGACCACCACCGCCGCCACCACATCTCATCGCCCAAGGCTGACTCCTCATCTTCCTTCCCCCAAAACAGCCAGAGAATACCGCACCAAGCGCGTGCGCGAGGCCCGCGACGAGGCCAAGAAGGAGATAGACGCGTACCGCAAGGAGAAGGAGGACGAGTTCAAGAAGTTCGAGTCGGAGCACGCCCAGGGCAACAAGCAGGCCGAGGACGAGGCCAGCAAGGAGGCCGACGCCAAGATCCAGGAGATCAAGGGCGCCGGCAAAAAGTCCCAGGAAAAGGTCGTCGCCGACCTGCTCAAGGCCGTCTTCGACGTCAAGCCCGTGCCGCCTACTACTGTCGCTGCATAGATTGTCGGCTATGACGGGCACGGGCAGCCCGAGAATGCGGTGCTGGACCACGAGAGCGACCGTCACAGATGTGATGATGGGACTTGGTAGCGATTCGACAGATACTGCCTATGCCTCTCAGGTGTGGAGGCTGATCAGCCAGGACAAGAGGAAAGGGGAGTATGGCATATCACGCTTGTCAACGTCATAATTAGAAACCAAGTCGTGACGTTTGTGTCAGTTAGCCCATTGGGCAAAATACGATATTTTTTTGGCATTTTTTCCTATCGTCTTATCTTTCTGACATGTGCTATTGCAGAAACTGGGCCAGCGTAGTGAGCATCTCACGGGTATCTTTGGTTTCCTGATCTTCAACGTCCATGCCCTCAATCTGCTCCTCAATCGTCTGCTTGACCACGGCCAATGTCTCATCCCGTTCTGCCAACAATGCCTTGATCTTCCTCCGGGCACCACCGTCCTCGGCTACCAACCAGGCCAACAGGACGTCGACGGTTTGTAACGAGAAGAGTCCTGCATCTAACCTGCGGGAGAACCATTCATCGGCCATCTCTTCTCTGTCTTGGGCATTCATCCGTGACTGCTCCGTACGGATCGTCTCGTCAACAGTGGCCACTCTTGATGCGTAGTCCCGCCGTAATTTGACCAGCTTGGTCGTCTTTTCATAGTCCTTCTCCACGAATTTGGCCAAGGTCCGTATCCTCTCCGCCGAGTCGGCCGGTAACGATCGCAGCATCGAGCTGAAGATGCTGACGAGGTGCTCCGAGGTCTGGTTGTCGTTCTTCTTCATGAATAGCGTGAACAGGTTCTTCAGCCCGCCCGCTTCGACGATCTTGGCGCATACTTCGGCGCCGGTTGGACCGCCCGCGGCGTGGTCTAACAATCGGAGGGAGGCGATTTTGCTCATCTTGCCCTCCTTCAGCATGATCAGGCACAGCTCGATGCCTTCTGCCTCGATAAACTTGGACTTGCCCTCGGCCTCGTCCGCGATGCAGGTGAGCGCCTCGAACAGATTCTCCATGTACTCTTCCTCCTCGCCGCCCTTGTCGGGATCACGTTTTCGATATGGTGCTATCAGCTGCAGCATGATATCGACCGCGTCCAGCGCGGCCAGCTGCCTCCGGTTTTTCGAACTCGATTGCACCAGGATGGCCAAGATCTCGGCTGAGTACTGCTTGTTCTGGCTGACCACCCTTTCCTTGGCCTGCATCCTGTCAAGTAACCACTTCACCAGATTCTCCTGTCCTCCTATCCTTTCCGCCGTGGCTGTTCTCGAGCACAGATTCTCGCAGATGTTGAGCGCGTGGTAGACACCATTCCGGTCCACCTCCTCCTTCTCGTCCAGTCGCTCCATGTTACTGAACAGCAGTCCCAGCAGATCAGCATCCAGACACGCATCGACCAGGGCATTCCACTGCTCGTCCTCGGCCGGCACGTCCTCATCCGTGAGCTCGTTCAACAGCTCTAGGACATCGATGGCGATGTCGCTATTCTCGTGAGCCAGCAGCCCGACCAGACTAGCGGCACAGCCGAGCCTGGCGAACTCCCTGTACAGATCGGGGTGCTCGGCCAGGATGCTCAGCGCCTTGACGTCGGCGTCGAGGTCGGCCTCGCTCTCGATGAACCTGGCGGGCTGGTCCTCGAACCTCGCCCTCAGCTCGGCGTTCTTGGATATGTGCCGCTCGAAGTTGAGCGCCGTCTTGCGCAGCCAGGCCACGTCGATCTTCTCCTCCCGGAACTCCCCGAGCTGGTCGTCCGCCCCGTCCACGTAGTCCAGGATCTCGCGCTGCTGCGCGCTGATGCCGCCGCCGAAGAACCGGCCCCCCTCCTCATCGTCGCCGGCGTCCTCCTCCTCTTCTTCTCCTTCGTCGGCTGGTAGGCTAGGACCGTAATCACCTTCCTCATCGTCTTCGGGTGGTGGTACTGGTCCGGCTTCGGTGTCGTCGGCGTCTTCTGTGGGCCCGTCTTCTACCCGTGCATGTCTGCTGGAGCTTCCATTTGTGCGGGCGGATTTATATACTTGGTCTGAGAGTTGATAGCGTTAGTAGGTGCATCAGAGAGTAGGTTCCGATGAAGCTGTGGCTTACTTGGATCTCGAAGCGGTTCGAGCTTGCGTTTGTTCCCGCTTACGCCCTTTGGATTTGTTAACAATTGCTTCAATTGGCTGCAAGAAGCGACTGGACATACCTTGAACAGCTCGTCTATGCTTGTCATTGTGGTGGCGGTATGGGGGCAATCGCAATGCGCTTTTGGCGTTGACAATTGTGATTCAGCTCACTCAATCAGTCGACCAGGGAGCTAACTTAGAGGAACCCCGGGCTTGGAACAGCATAGTGCGTAGACTCGCTTGAAACTGTATTTGGCGGGTTCCTCGGCAGCACTATCTACAGGTGTTCTTGGTAGCGCAGCACAGTGCAAAGTTCTGCTCAGCGACTTCGGCGGGTATTACCACAAAGAAAAGAAACGTCACGCGAGTCGGGTGACATTCTCCGATTCACCAGCACTTCTGGGATTTTCTGCTCACTCCTTTTGGTCGGGTGCTTACACGTCAAGGTTTTCTTCGTTTTTTAGATTTGCTGCATATTTGTTGTAGATAGACACCATTAGATCATCAGCCATGCCACCCACTCTGATTCTCATCCGCCATGCTCAGGCACTACACAACGTTGACAGTACGTCTCTCTATATTCACGAGGCATGTTGTAAGTGCTCAGTTTGACAAATCGTAGAAAATTACGACATCCATGACCCGGATCTATCCGAGGCCGGCTTCGGGCAGCTCAAGGCGCTCAGGGAAAGCCTCATGAACAACCCTGTCGCCCAGAATGCAGGGCTTATTATCACCAGCCCCATGCGCAGGACTATACAGACGGCACTCGGCTCAGTGGACTGGCTCATTGCTAAGGGAATCCCTATAGTAGCAGATGCCGACTGGCAAGGTACGTTCAGCATAGTTTGCCCGTCTGCGTGCTCCCATGGATCCCTTGTGTGTCTCTGTTCAAGCGCTCCTGTCCCATGTCCACTCCGCAGGCACGGACGGCAGCAAATCGTATTATCGCCATAAGTTTGCACCAATTTCGAATTATGGCTTCATTTCCGTGACACGGTCACTGATGCAAGCCGTAGAAAACACGGCCAAGCCTTGCGACACGGGCACGCCTGCACCTGCACTGGGCCGAGAATTCCCCACGATCGACTTCTCAACTCTGGACGCAGTCTACCCAGACAAGTCGACTCCAGCTGGTGCCAAATATGCTTACAACAAGAAGGCCCTCCTCGCGCGCGGCCAGTCTGCTCTCAAGGCGCTTTACAATCGGCCCGAAAAGGTCATCGTCGTGGTCTCTCACTCTGGGTTTCTGAGGGAGTGTGTATCAGGATGGTGGTACTTCAACTCAGACTATCGGGTCTTCGAGTTCGAGGAACATAAAGACGATACTGAGTTGTACGCACTCCGACAAGATCCCACGACGCTGGCGAACGGTGGCGGTCTAGGCTTGAGTTTTAAGGATCCAGTAGAGTTAGGCGGTCGTTTGCGGCAGGAGAATGCTACAAGCTCAACTTAGTCTATAGTAGACAGCGCGAATAGACTTATATGAACCCAAAAGTTCGGCACGTATGATCGAGTTCATAGTATAACTTCCATTACCATGTGAATTTTGAGCCCCTATTAAGACGAGAGGATTGTGTTGAGGAGTCCATGTCGATGGTCACATGTGAACGGACACAAAGTTGGACCAAAAGAACCCCAGAATTATCAAAGAGCCTCTTCACCCAGAAACATGGAACAGCCAGCCCGTACTTCAAAAAAGTTCAAAAAAGTTCAAAAAATGCGGGGTTTCCACACACACGCACACACACACACACACAAAAGAGTTCAAGGGGCGAACCCCACGATTCGGGTCAGGAAGCGAGAGGCATGGTGATACGTGACCTATGCAAGGGGCCTATCACAGTCCTCTTGAGGACCTCTTAGAACTAAGCCCCAATCCTAAGCAACATGAACATACCCGTTACATACGCGATAATTTCTAATTGTGATAGTGTGGGATTATACACTATGTTGACTACTTCATTTGTTTCTCTTTTTGTGACTGATCACCTCTGCGGCATTGGCCTTGTCTACATCACCGATGGGTAATGCCCATTACTAGCCCTCACCCTATTGCGTTATTCTAGTCGTGGCCAGACGAAGAACGAAATTATCCGAGTTTGACATGATAAGATTGCGTGTGATGAAACAAACGGGAGACGCAGGGTTATGTTATTCAGTCAAATAAATACTAATCGTTCTTTCATATAACCACTCTCATGATCTATAAACTTACCGGGGAAAACGAGGACTAAGGCATTCAGTCGCGAGGAACAAGTTTTGTCCGTACCTGGTATGTGAAAATGGAACATAATCGCTAGTATTTAGTGCTCTATACATCTATCAGTGTCATAAGGCCACCGGTGGCCGACTCGGCAGGCCCGGTGCTACAACAACAGATACATCCCTCCGCACTTGGATACCTAACTCCACATCTTCGGACCGCCCTCGACTCTCTATCCTCTCGAACCGAGACGACCCCATCCTGCCGTAGCGCATCGATGTCTTCCCGGCTGGCTCGGCGGACGCCATGAAGCTGCCGCCCGACGGACTGTCAAAGGCCGTTTCCTCCCCCTGGGATGTCCGCGCCTTGTACATCTGGTTGAACGGGGAATTTGTGAAAATCGAGAATCTGTGCGAGGCCCGGTCAGACGGCGTCGCCGACGTGGGGCCTCGGTATCTGGCGATCAACGAAATCAGAGGGAGCCCGATGACGACGAGTGTCATAACCCAGGATCCTGCATCGAAGGGCAGGATGCGGGTGCCGCTGAGGTTTGCGGCGACGTCGAGACCAGCAAAGATACCTGTTCAAATGTGTTGGTGAGTTTTCCCCCGCTTTCGGCTGACCATCGGAAGGAAAAGAGAAAGCATATTGTTCACTTACTTGGCAAAACCATCAGGATACCGTTCCCGATGGCCAGGATCTCCATGTTTGTCAAGCCCCTGTCCATGCGTTTTAGGATGCTTCTCGTGGTAACCAAGTGTACGCTCAAGTCGACGGCGAATATTCCACAGAAGTAGAATATCGACGCGGCGCCGAGTACCGTCGCCGCCTGCCCAACGGCGTCCATGGTAACCGGCAGGGTAACGGTATGCAGTGCCCAGGTATAATGCACGATCCACAAGCTCTTGATCAGGACCGTCACGACAGCGAGCACGATCGCAGAAGCTCTCGTGAGACGTCTCCAGCCGTTCGGCCAGGTCTTCATCAAGCCCCAGCTCTGCATGATCAGAGCCGTTTCTATGAGGGCCCACTGGACGACGTTGAGGGCGTTCCCCGCGGTGTTCATGTTGAAGTCCTCCTGGTCGACTGCGCTCCTGTCTTTGGTCCAGATGACATAGTAATCGGACAGCGGGCCGGGGAAGTACTGGATCAAGAGACTCAGGCGCATGACCGCAACAACGAGCGAGCTGGCATGCACCAAGCAGAGAGACCTGCGCATCCGGGCTGGTGAAGTCAGGAGCAGTACTGCGAGAAGCGCCATCAAGCTAAGACCAAGTTGCACTCCATAGCTTATGCATATATTGGCAAGCCTGGTTCGCAGTGCATCGATGACCACCATAGAGATGGTGATCGGGGTTTTCCCATCAGGACCTAGGATGGTAAAGTTTTGTGTCTTAGGGTTGAAAGACGGCATTCTTTGTGGACGCGGCTCGCCGATGCAATTTTCGGCGCATAAAGCGTTTCGGTCCTGTGCCGCCAAATTAGTCTGGTCGAATGATAACTCGCCAGCGACGATGATGTTGATGATGCATCAAGGAAGTTCCATTTTTTTGCCTGATAGAAGCTGAGACGTGTGTTGTTCATACAAATGGGGACATGTCTGCTGACGTTTTTGAACTGGGTCCTCCATTGTTTGGCTGAACATCGAGGGCCATCAGCCTGTTTAAAGGGCTGATGTCTCGGAAAGTGGTAGTTTGCCCATCTTGGCGTTTGGTGCGAAAGCAACGTTAAAAAGAGAAAAGAAAGAAAGCGCAAATGAGGAATGTGAACACATTTGGCGCATTTGGCCAGAGCGTGGCGGCTTGGTGCACTCGGGCTGATGAAGGCGTAGAGGGCGTACTCTTGGCCATGTGTTTGCATTAAACACATATCCTTAGACATCGACCTAGTGACAGTCGTAGCTCACCGGATTGGCCAGAAAGGTTTCCGAGACTCTGGGTCAGGGTATATGGTTGGACAAACGCGTTGGAATTTCACTAATGACGGATGCGGCTGAGGAGCTGGTTCATGCTCAGTCCATGATTGGCAGGGGTGTTTAAGTTATTTTTGTATTCACCGACTGGGCGTCGTTTATATGATACATCATGGGACTTTTCAACAGGGTCTACATATCATAGGACGTTTGGCAAGGAAATGGATGAACGCAAACCCAGCCGGCAAACTTGGCATCTGTATTAAATTGGACACACTATAATAGTGTGACCCAATGCTCTGCTGCTAACAACCTCTTATATGATATGCAGTTCATGAGTGAGCTCCAAATAATATGCGAAAAGGATCATGTCCCAACCAACCACGGTCTCACCCTTTAACAAATCGGTGCGCCGCCTTTAAACCATAAAACCGCTTAGCATTTGACACCGGGAACCACCTCCAACCCCCGCTTCCCACTTTCTATCCCGTTCATGATTCTAGGTTAAGCTATAACTGGCGCAGCACTGATTCATGCGGGTCCCAAGAACTTCTAACTCATCAGTAATCATAAGTCAAGTAAGTACTGTCTTAGTCTGAACCGGAGCCATCTCCGCGTCCACTGTTGCCTCCTCCGCCGTCATGCCATGTCCAACCCCCATGAGGCGACCTGGAGTGGGCGAGACTTGTAGGCGCACCAAAAAGACGTTCAGAAGCGGAATGTTGCGAGGAACCTGCTGAGCTAGGTCTCCGTGATTGTCTTGCCAAAGCCTTCCCTTGAGCCTTGGCGATATTCCCAGTTTCCGCCATGCCTTCCTCGTGAGCCTCATGATTCTGAGAAGACTCTCTCTTGTCCGCAGGAGTAGGTGACAGCGCCGTAGCACCGTAGTCGGCCGCCTGCTGGTAGTCCTCGGGCGGTGTCGGCACTGCAATAGGTGCCGGCAAGAGCGGCGAGATCTCACCCGCGGCTGGCAGGCCACGCTCTGGTTCTTGAGAGGATTTCTGGAACCTCCTCGGGAGACAACGACGGACGCCGAATGTGCCCACGAAAAGAACGATGATCACTGCAAATGCAACGCCAACCACACCGACAAACTGTGGTGCGGTAGATTTGTCGTTCCCTGTCGGTGCCATTCTTTTTACATATCAACGGCAATGTCACCGCAAGGGAAAATAAAATAAATAAATAACAGCAAAACGGTCAGTTGGGCGAAACAAAAAAGTTCGTAGTCCAACGCAACATAAAAATCGACCGATTCCCATGTGGTTGGGGGTGGCTAAAGGCGTGCGAGAAGAGGGGTCCATTCCTTGCAGCTGGGGTGCATGTTGTTGCGGTGTAGTGGTGTAACTGTGCAGCCTCCAGAGGTCTCTGATTGGGGGGTTTCATGCAAGATGTGCGTACGACCCGTTTCGTGTGCCGTATTCGCAGTGATAAGTCAATTGGCCAATAGGTCAGATGTCGAGCACCTTGACGTTCATTTGTAATGTTTTGATTGTTGTTGCTGATCTGTTGCCGATCTGTTTCTGTGATGGAGTCGCAGCTCTCAAGCGCAAGTAATCGACATCTGCACATAACACAACCTACCATTATTCTCCACTTCTTGAGTCATTCCCGAGATCATCGGGGCAGCATTTTCGATTGTTGTATTCTTAATTTTTTGGTATATTTTTGTTCTTATATTTCGTTGTTTGTATCCGGTCCATCCCTTCACACTATCTATTGGAATTTAATGGATGTGGTGCTGGAAGATGCTGGAAGGACTGAGTTGGAATATGTGAAGTTAATCATAGTCCCTCCTGAGATCTCTTCTGCAGCTCTCGTTCCACGAAGCATCATAACACTTGAGACATAGCGAGGTTGACTTGGACTCCAGAGGGACAAAGTATGAGTTCTTTTTATGAAATCAGTTTTGTCGGTTGTTTGTCGAATCTGGCGGCCAATTGCTCTGTATCCTTTGCTTTCTGGTTGACGGCATCCTTTTCGAAGCCTGCAATGGCCTTATATGTCGCACCGATGCTCTCTAGTTCCTCTTTCGGGATAATATCGTAGACGTTTTTGAAACCGTCAGGTGCTCGCTCGTGGGCAAGCTGTAGCACATGATCAGGTCCATTAGCTCGGTTTGCCATGACGATCTGAGCCGTCGGAGGCAATCTCAAGTCCTGATACGCGGTAAGAGCACCAGGCAAGTCATCATGCTTCTCGACCAGGCATTTAGCCAAGGTCTCTGCATCGATAATAGCTTGTGTCGCCCCATTGGATCCGATGGGGTACATTCTATAAATGCATGTTAGCACCTATTCGCCACGTCTTAAACTCTTGGTAGTTGGGCACATACGCATGAGCAGCGTCTCCCAACAGCGTGAGTCTGCCAAAGGACCATCTATCGACCGGATCACGATCGCACATAGGAAACTCAAACACTTTCTCTGTGCTGTCTATGAGTTCCTTCATCTGAAGCCCTCCACATTGCCATTGTGAGAAAGGGCCCTCAAATTTGTCTTTTGGAACCGCCTTCGTCCAATCTGTTGGTGGCGGAGTCACATCCGGATTGCTTTCATCACGGACTCGAAGCTCAGCTATCCAGTTCACCAACGACTTGCCTGCGCGAGCTGACCTGCCACTAATAGGGTATGCGATAAACTTCTGATTGGCATGTCCTGCCCAGATCATCGAGGCTCCAGTCAAATAGGGCTCACGCTCGATACAGCCGCGCCAGAGGATGCGCCCGGAGAAATGTGGTGGTCCCTCGTTGGGATACAGCAGGCGTCTTGCTGTGCTATTGATACCATCTGCTGCTATCAGGACATCACCTGTCATGCTTGGGATCTCGGCTGGATCGTCATTTCCGCGTCGGACAAAATTGGCCGTGATAGACTTGTTATCTTGCTCGTAGCCGACAAGAGCGTGGCCGAGATGGATACAATCGCTGCCAACGCGTTCTTTCACCGCATCCAGTAGTAGCATCTGGAATTCTCCTCTGTGAATCGAGAATTGTGGAATCGCATATCCTGCACCTACACCCCTCGGCTCTGACAGAATTGGGTTGCCCTGACGGCTGTAAAAGTTGAGCTCCTGAGTCTCAACACCGATTTCATGAAGCTTTGGTAGTAAGCCTAAGTTCCTAAGAATCAATACTGCTGATGGCTGAACGTTGATTCCAACGCCAAGCGTGGTCAGCTGTGAGCTTGCCTCGAATATGTGAATGTCTGTGAGGCCAGCAGCGTGGAGTGACAGTGCAGTACTGAGACCGCCTATTCCAGCTCCGGCTATGAGAATCCGGGGTTGAGGGTTGAGAAGGGGCATCCTGGCTGCAGTATTTGGACGCAGTTGTTACCACGTCTCGCGGGGAATGGGCTGTTGATGGTCGTGGATACTTGCTTCGAGCAGGCCCGTGACAGCGGCTTTATGACAATTCTCGAAAGAATTCTTCTTGGTGACAGCGAAGTCGGCCCTAGCCCCACGCCAAGTTGAGATCATACCCGCTATAGAGTCTGGGGAAACCCCACCATCATTCGATGCAGCCATCTTGGTTCAATTGCTTGATCGTGGTGTATGATAGAGTTCGCATTCGCGTCAAGGCTGAAGACCAGTATATTGTCTCCAACGGGTTGGCGTTCCCTAACCACAAGATATGAAGCTTTTCAGCCGAGAGCGACTCATTTGGTGGACTTCTCGGCATCAGACTACGATGCAGAGCGCCGTAGGAGAATTAAACATCTGAGACTTGGTTAGCCTTGCTCGAATCGGCACCTGAGTACGGCAACTTCAACTCGGACTTTACCCTAAGGAGTTTGGCGTCTTCATCCCCGAATATATGGAGCTCTATCTGTTGCCGACGGGATGTCCCGTTCTGGCATGAGCTACCATAGTGACTGCTCTACCTGATCGAAATATCATATATTCATAATTTTGTCGAATCGAGCTTTTAACACATTATAGGAAATTCAACTTTCAGAGATGGACTGTCGATGTCGCTGGCGGCAGACAGACTGGAGTAAGGCAGAGGAGGACTTGGCGAATCGGGAATTGGATGAAAGGAGAGCAGACGGTGTTGTTTAATAACTTATGTACTGCGTTTGTCAAACGCATAAAACTTTCTTGGTAGATATTTATGATAGCTTGATTATACTTTTCAAACTTATTTATATTATATCCTAAATTTACTTTTGACATCTAATGTACTCTATCACCCTAATGACCTTTTAAACTATTATCCAATGCAGTCCATATGCATCTTGAATGAGGCTTGAGCCCTCTCAGCATAGTTATAGAAAACAGTCTAAAGGCTGCCTATACTGATGAACGGCAGCGTGCTAACGTTAGAGCCCACGAGTCAAAGATTCACAACGCCGTATGAACTGCATCTGCTGTGCCATGACCTCGAAATCGACAGGGTTTGAGAAATATTTGAGGTCGATCTGTGGAACCGTTGCGCTATCACCAGACGTGATAAACACTGCCACGAGAAAAATGTCGAATAACATGGCACCGAAAGTGAGGAACTTTCTAGGCATAGACCTTGTGGGGACGGGTTGGCATCATATCCGGTTGGAAATACGCTCCGAGTGATGACGGATATATAGACACCGAAGGTGTCCTCGTGACCCAAAAGAGTTTTCGCGGATATATGGTAATAGGCTTGAGCGGGATTCTTATCTGGGCAGTCTTGTCCACTTGGCCTGTTATCGTCTAGTATTCTTCTTGTTCTATTTTGATGTAGAATGTCGACAGAGAGACTCTCCACGGCAGGTAGGTAAGCGCAAGTAACAAAGAGCCCGATAGACGTCAATAAGCCAGTCCGGTTCTCCGAATAATCCGCAGAGCCGTGAGCGAGCACGTCCGGCTCTTGTCAGACAAGCCTGTCCATTGTCTCTATAGTGTCATTGCCTCGTTCCCAATGCAGCATACTAGATGGTTCTGCAGGTTTCCTCCCACGCCAGGCAGGTGCTGGATAAACGGCATATTATGCTTTCTAAGCATTTCAGTTCATGATCGACATTCTCAAGATAAGGAATCTTCCAATTGCTCACGGGCAATAGAAATTCGTCACCAACCAGCGTAGCTCCCATGGGATTAGTGCGGCGACTCGAGCTTCGCCATTCCCCAGTGCTATTTGCAGAGGGTATTTTCTTGTTTCACTGGGCTTCCGAGGAATCAGGGCGACATGTTAAGAAAGATCCTTGGTAATTGAGGTTGGCACTAGTTGCGATAAGCAGCTGACAAGTAGCGCAACAGTCTTCCCACGCTGCAATATGCAATACAGATTGCAATGCTGACGTGGTTTCAAGGCAAGGAATAGGTGTTGTGCTATGGACCACGCGTGCAAACAAATTCATTAGGCGAATTAACGGCAGATGATGTGATAATAATCTGTTGAGATACATGCCCAAGTTCAGCAGCCACGACGTAAAATCCGGTTGCCAGTGAGTGATTGAGCCTCGGAAAAGTTTCTCCAAGAACGCACTGAACATAGGTTCGCTCAGTATTGAATCTCCAGGCCCGAATCGACTCTACAATATGCCTGGTTTTCGAAGCACTTGCCATAGCTCGTCGTTCTTAGAATATGGCCGAAAGCCACTGAAACCACGTAATTAATCGCGTTAGCCAAATCAGTGTGCTACCATTATTCTGCGGGATAGGAGCAACGATCACATTACATACGACGAGTTGAAAATGCTGCGTGGTGCTTATTAACCTCTTCCATTATTTAATAATTGAAAAGATGATACATAGATACCGAAGATCAAAGGTGGCTTTAAGAGTCGTACTAACGGGGATTCCGATATGCATGTTTGATTATCTTTCCTGGGCCAATAATTCATGGAAGATAGTGGTGTCAACCGTGTCAAGTTCCTGTACAGCACTAACTTCGTCATCCATGTTTTCAAGGAATTTCTTCTCGTCCCATTTTGGTTGCCAACCAAGTCGATACGCGTTTATAGGTCCGAATTCTCCACTAATCATCCGTCAGATACTGTTGCTTCTGCCAACGAGCAAAAGCACTTACCTAGAAGCTCCCATAGCTCGCACATGCGCAAGCGGAAAATTCAAATACTCCGCTGCCATCTTATAGCTTGGCCAGATCTGTGTTTGAGAGCTTGTTACCAGCCCACGCGCATGTAAGGACTCAGCAATGCGCTGCATAACGTTCCACCAAGGTACTGTGTGGGCTATCGCAAAGTAGTAACCAATCTCACCACTAGGAATCGGCTCCATCTGCAAGATCTTCTCCACGAGGATAGCATAAAACGCAGCTAAATCTGAAATATGCGCACCAGGTGGGCTCTGTCAGGTTTTTAGTCACATTATGTTGGGATATCTACTGCAGAAGGGGAAAGAAGGACTTACGCCATCCTGGTCGAATTTATAGACAATTTTGTGCGCGATACTAGTTCTGATGTATGCTGGGATACTTACAGACAGCCTCCTGCACTCGCCACTGCCCCTTCCGTCTATCGAACAGTTAGTATAGATGCAACAAGATATAGGCACCGCGCGCCGGGATAGCCGAAGGAGTACCCACAAACAGTTGGTATCAGAATAATGAAGCTTGTGACCCCCTCTTCTTTTGCTTGTTTGATGACATGAAGATTGGTCTTAATAGGTTAGAAACAAAGTTTTGAAAAAGAATCATATGAGTTGTTCTAACTTACTTGTCGAACGGGGTGTGATCCCCCCATCTGCTGCTCCATTTCAAATATAGGGTCAGTATCCTTAACCTCTCCGTATGGCCAACCGCTTTCGACGGAATAAATCGTGGTCACCGATGACTAAAATCTTAGTTGAGAAATTCAGTAGCTTTAAATTTGTAATAGAAACTTACCTGAACGAAATACGCCTCCTTTCCAGTGATCTTGCGTCGTCGGCCCAGGGCCGTGATTAGCGGGGACACAAGGCTCATATCAAAAGAGCTTGCTGTATGAACCACGACATCAACTAATACATGGTGAGTCGTTCTGTTCAACAGGAAGTCTTGGTTTATATACACACTCTCGTGTTGAAGCACGGCGTCATTGACAGCGACCTCATCGCTGAGATCTACCAAGATTACATTGACGCCCAAATTTGACAAGCTTTTGACTTGCTTTTCCGACCGAACAGCGGCGCTGATGTGCTTCATTTCAATTGGGCTGTTCCTACGAGATAGAAATTCTGAAAGAACAGATCCTCCACTAAAGTCAAGTCAGTTTAGGAGAGATATAATGTACTTTAGATCATACATGTAGCCGGCGGCGCCGGTGATGAGGATGTTATATCCCATAATTATATATTGAAGACAAGGTTAATGCACTCGTAACTAGGACAGTCTCTGGCTTGCTGAACATACGCATACTTATACTCTGGTAACATGGCGCCTGTCAGCCGATCAGGACCCAAGACTGGAAGCTAGTACGTACCGCTCAGCACTGGCGGAAACGCGCGCGACTCCGTTAGCAACATTGACATCACTGCGCCGCATATCCGCGCAACTCCGTCCAATTTGTCATCTTAACCCCAATATCGTCACAAATCAAGTTGTCGTAAGTCAAGACCCCTATTTCACCTCAAGACAAATGAATGAAAGGGTGAAGTTGTCTCCTGCGATGACAGATGAGCGATCAAAGAGACGCCCGGCGATCGTTCGACGCTCAGTAAGCTCAATCGTGATATCACCCATCACAAAAGTGAGCTAACGGTTGGCGAAACAGTGTGACCAGTGCCGCGCTCGAAAGGTCAGGTTCCTCAATCACATATGGACACGTTATCGGGACAGCGTAGTTAATAGATCATGCTCGGCAGATTGGTTGTAACAGAGGTTCGCCTTGTGCGAACTGTACCACAGCTAGACTCGATTGTACCCACAGCGCCATTGCATCCAATGCAAGCCCTCCAAGACCAAGGGTGTTGATTTCAGCACAATAGTGAGTCATTGCTTGTGAATTTCTCTTTTACTCTGTAAATAACTTACAAGGCCCTCATCGCTCAGTGATCGGAAAATTGAAGAAATCGCAAAGGGTATCGACGGCATCAAAGTTCTACTTCAGGGACTTAACATCTCCCTGGGAACAAAGCAGCAGGAATCTGGTTACCCGGAGCAGCTCAAGTTAGGTAAACCGGCAGACGCTCCACCATCTCGCCAGTTTCTCCCCGAATCTGCCAGCAAATCTTCTGTATTGGACCATTCGGCTCACATAATTGAATTCCTTAAGACTGTTCTGGACGATCAATACTCAAAAAATGACACATCAGAGGCCAGCGAAGTCATCTCGTCGTTGAAAAGTCTTGTAACGGCTCTTGAAAATAATCATGCGGGGCAGTCTATGTCGTTTTCGAAACTTGATATCGCGAAACGTGATACCAATCCTCCCATGCCCCCTGTTGAAGTCGTGGTGGCGGCACTGCGTTGGGCAAAGGGTTCGTTTTTGAACACGACCTATGTTACGATGCTGCTGACGTACGAAACAGAGCACGACGGATATGACAGAATTGTCTGGATTGCCAATATACTTCCTCTGAATGTGTTTACCGATATCTGCCGGAAAGTGTGTTTTGCAGTTGACGACTACAGCGAAACAGATCTCGCCATCGCCAATGGATATTTGTCCTATATCTTTGCCGAGCATGTCGGACTTCAAGACTATATAGAGTACTCCCAACTCTGTCAAAAGAACCTCCACAGCGCTCTTTTACGACTTCCACTTATTATGCCGCCATCCATGGAGGTCATTGCTGCGTTGACGATAGGCGTATACACCTACCTCATGAAGACAAGGGCTTTACTATACTGGCTAACACTCGCAGCAGGCATTTAATGCAATTCAAGACTCTAAAGCTATCATGGCTTGGACCTTCATTTCTGCCGCATCAAACCACTGCCAGACTCTCGGATACCATCGACATCGTTCCGCAAGAGAAATCGACCAGACCCTAAAAGATGTGCAGGATCGTCTGTTTTGGACAGTCTATAGATTCGACAAAAGCCTATCACTTCGATTGGGTCGATCATCCAGTTTCCGTGATTCTGATATCGAATTGCCATTCGACGTGAATACTACACGGCCTACTATGGTTGCAAGAATCCAAGGGAGGGTTTATGATCAACTTTATAGCCCTATGGGCCTTTCTCGTCCCTACGAGGAGCGCGGGCATGAGGCCGAACTACTCGCTGAACAATTACGAGAGCTGATTAGTGCAACACATATTGAGGCTTCAGTATGTTTTGACTTCCCGCAGTGACTAAGTCCATTATTTCTGAGCTTGCTGACAGATGCCACAGAGTGCCAATAGCCAGCTCGACCACTGCGGAAGCGATCCGATGCGGGTTGTTTATCTACAATTCGATTTGGTCTGCCAGACTTCACTACTTGCTCTAATTCTTCGGGCAATCCCCTCCACGCAAATCTCTCCCAGTGATATTTCAGGCGAATGCGTCGCAGTTGCTCGCGACGCTTTGAATGCACATGAGCAGTGTATGACTAGTCTGCGTGGACACGAAAGAGACCCATTCATGTTTACTAAATATATTAGCTGGTAAGCTGATCAGTCTATCCACCGTTGCGTCTTCTTGGGGGCCAATATTTGGGTTGTCTCTTATTAGCGCCCCTTTTTGCTGTTGCCCATTTCTCTCACTAACTGACTTCCAATTAAAACAGGGCCGTCCTGCATATTCCATTCATTCCTTTCAGTATACTATTTACCCATACTGTTCAGCACTTGGATTTCGCCGACTTGGCCCGTCTGGATTGTTTCGCTGCCTCGCTGCGGCCGAAGGCGCCTTCCCAAACGTCAATCACGCACCCACATCGACTGTATGAGATCCTGTGCCGGGCCGCACGAATCTACATTGCTCCAGAGACTAGTCCCTCACATGTAGACTTATTCCCGGATCCAGGTCCATTGGATCCCTCGGAGGTATCTGGTTTTACGTGCTTCGACTGGGGAGCGGACGATGAAACTAGGCAATTTGCCGATGCACAATCGCTTGGACTGGAAGAATGGTACTATAGTAACCAGCAGATCATGAGCTTATTGGACGAGAACGTCACCATCTAAGCATCCATGATCTTATATTTATAGTTATCCTTAATAAAGGTGTGGATAACAGCTTGTCGAGATTATACGCAGCTAGATCCTATCGTCTACTATCTAAGATCGGTCTTTTCAAATCGCTTCGATGGCAATCAGTCCCTCCACAGGTTGACACCATTCCCGTCGACCTATCAAGACTTCGTAGCAATTACTGATTGGAGTTCATCTAGAGATTGAGTACTAACGTGGGAAACCAAGCAACAAAGTACACCTGCTCCACACAGACAGATCCTGCCAGGGACCTTATCTCGTTTCGTCGCTTCCCTTCATTAGAAAGTTTACGTAGAGTCTTGAAGATAGCATCGCCGTCAATAAGAGGGCTAAAGTGGCTAGTGTATTTTACAGTTCAACCTAAATAAATCACAATACCGTGTTATATAAGTGACTATATGAAAGCAAAGATACACAAGTCAGGCTTCAGCATACTCTTTTTAAAAGATTGAGACAAGACTTGAAAAAGGAATTTAAAAAATCATTCTTTATAACAAAATTCTTAATTTTGTAAGAAGAGATAAAATTTGATTAAATTAAGAAATAAAAATAAAAATAAAAACATTAAAAGAAATTCAAAAGTTCAAGAAATAACTTGTCAAAATATATAACACCAGGTGTTCCCCTGTGGTCGCCCACTCAAGTCCAACTCTAAGCTCGAATGATAGCTACTTGGCGAGAAGAGACCATTTCTCTCGCAGCTGTGAGATGTAAATGTGAACTCCGTAATCAATTCCAAGCGTTGAATTACTTGATGTTTGGATCTCGAGCCGATTATCATAAGATTAAGATCCTTACAATAAAACAAGGCCCATGTCACTAAGCGGAATCAGTTATTAGAAATTTCTTTGTAGAAGGCATCGATTACAACGGGTCATAGGACGTGTTGTACGATTCTTAAAATTCGCTGTTTAGCAAAGATATGCGGACCATTGAGAAGGTGTGAGAATCACATTATGACATGTTGCTGAATCTGAGGGTTTCATGCTCCAGCTAATGAGTTGAAGCATGATATTCACGTATGTCAAGCTTGGCTTGGAACAGCTTCGAGTAAGACTAGACCATGTTGCCGACTATAGAAATATTGACGGATGAAAGACTGTATACGGTATAGTAATATCTGGTAAATATAGAAAAAGAAAACTAACCTAGGTTAGTTGACTTGCCCCGCATTCTTTTAGCATAGCCTTCTATCGAAGCGACAATTTTTTTTTGTACCCTTGCATACCTTAGGCAATTGTGGTGCTCGAGTATGTATCGGTAGGATCGGGTGAAGGTTGTAAATACGCTGGAGTAGAGAAAACGGCATAGATACATTTAACGGTCGCCTTGTCGGACCGAAGGACACGACGCGCCGGGTCACTCTAAGATGTGGGGCGCGGGCCAAGAAGTCTATGAACAAGGAGTTTCCATTTTATCAATGTTGACGAAGTAAGTCTTTGGCATTGTTCTTTGAAAGAATTCGGGTAAGCGAGGCGCGAGCTTACACAACCACTATTGACAGGTGAGATGAGAAGACCGTGTATTCTCCTCGTAGCCTGTATATTCTTTAAGATTACACCATACCTGCCGTATAGATTCGAGCAATTCCACCCTAGTCGAAAACACATCTGAGAGCTGGGAGGTCGGACAGTGAAGTTTTTGCGGCGATGAGCTGGCTATTAGGACTATCTAAACCTTTTATTCTCGTTTTCCGCTTGTCAATTAGTTGCTCCCACTACAGTTAAATGTAATTTCTTATGTGATTAAGATGACAACTAGCACGGCTGTCGAGGCAAAGGAAAGGCAAAATTTGATTTAAAGAGTATATAAAATCAAATATTTTGATGCTATCGAGCCTGATAAGTGGCTAAAGCCGACTGTGGAGATGATCCATGAGAACTCGAAACTAGATAGAGCGCAAAGCATGTTCAGAAAGCACAGGACTGTTGTCAAGATGGTAGTAATAAAAGAATTTGGCGAAGTAAGTTTGAGCCACCGATTTTTCCGAGATTTGAGCACGAAGTCATATGGTGCGTTAGAAATCCTGAATATAATTCCGACAAAATCAAAGATTGCTGATAGGTTGTTTAATCGGCGCTGTAGAGCAAGGCTGTAGAGGTTAGAGATTGAGGTAGTTGGGTTCTTTAGCGTGAAGAACCAATTTTTTATTTTATTGATTAGTCCACATGATATGATCATGAGAACGCATGGACAGGGAGAACATGTTACCTCGGACAATAAGGTCACTCTATAGGTTTAATGTACGAGGACATGTTATACGTGCTGATCACCTTCTCGGCTTTCGTTCCGCCTGAATGGGAATCGACTCGAGAGCTATGTTACTTTGCGGTTTCAGACGACGCAAAGAGAAACTTGTTCAAAACAAGCTACGTGGCACTGGTAGGAGAGTCAGCAGAGGATTCATGAGTCCGTCTTATCACCTTGGACGAGCTGTTGCCGCTGAAGTAGTGGGATGGCTCGTAAGTTGCGACAAGCATGCCATGGTCTCCGTCCAACATATTGCGTACTGAGATTGTTGTGCCAGCGAGTGCCCCCGCGCTTAGTGATGGTAAATCGATCGCGCAATGTACCATAGATTGCTTTCTTGTTCGCGACCGTGTACAAGCAGGAAAGCTACTGCCTACTCTTCGCGACAAAAAGCGTCCCTTCAGCTATTTCTTTTTCCCCTGCACAGAATGAGTTAATCCAAACAGGTTTCGTGAGGTGGGATGGAGTGTCACCTGTTATATTTGGAGGAGAGGTGTAAAGCAAAAGTATGAAGACATAGTAATATCCATAAAGCAATATATGGAAAGAGACTCGAGTCCGCGTGGTACTACAGATTATGTAAGCTCCGAAGATAATAAAGATGGAGATTACGACCCGGGAGGAAACCTCACAAATACTCAAGGAGCTTCCACTGATAGCGAGCGCGCTGGTTACAATTATATGGTCAAAGCGTGGATGTTGAACATCCAAAATAGGAACTTCCAGTTGTAATATTAAAACCTGATATGCTCCAAACTATAAGCTTGCTCCCACGCATGTGTATGCAAAACTAAGGTACTACTCTCAACCTTGCATCAAGCAAGCGACATGCGCCCCGCATCAAGACGTGGTCGGCGTAACATCTGTGCTAGTATAAGTAGCGCAGCTCTGGCCCTGGGTATCCACTGTCATCTGGGCGAGGTTGTCGTGACCACTGGCGCAGGCACCTCCGCTGGCAACGAGCTCGCCGTTCTGGTTGAACGTGACGAGCTCGACGCTAGAATCAGCACAGTCCGACGCCCGGAAGTGCGTGCCGTTGAAGCCCACGCACGCGTTGACATTGACGAGGTCCGGCCGGAAGCCGGCCGTGAAGGTGCGCTGGACCTTGAGGGCCGAACCGCCCGAGACGGTGGCCGGAGTCAGCTGGCGGTCGGCGGCCGTGTTGACGCATGCGGCGTCTACGATTTCGCCTGGGAAAAGGGAAAAACTGTTAGCTTTCTGTGGTCATCTCCAGACATGGTTGGATCAGCTTGGTGCGTACCGTTGTTTCTGAAGGTCAGGCACTCGTTACCCGGGATACCGTTGACTTCCTTCAGGACGACCGTGCTGCCGGAAGCGGCAGCGGCAGCACCAGCGTTGGTACCAGCTGCCGCGGTGCCGGCTGCCGTTGCTGCGGCCGTCGTCGCGGTTGCAACAGCTGTGGTGTCTACGGCTGTCGCCTTGTTCTTATTTCCGCCTCGGCCCTTGTGATGTCTTGGCTGAACGGCCGCGGCGCTCACGTAGGCAGCAGAAAGAAGGACGACGAGGAACTTCATTTTGGATTAATTAGTGGTTCTTCGGTCGGAAGGATGGGGAAATAGATTGCGATGGTAGCGAATGATCGTAAAGAAGCGAATGTGGTCCTGCCAGTAAAGTGATTAAGAAATGTCAGGTGAAGTTCCGAGATGCTTATGCTTGATGGTGAGATATCAAAATCCAAGTCAACTATTACAGCCAATGGTGACATTATATAAAGAATGCGGCCTGCCTCTACCCCGGACACTGCTGTCCTATGACATGTAAGACCTCATTGCCGGGAATCTCTAGACGAGATGATCTTTTCAAACTCGTATAGATGCTACGCTCCTGTCCATGGTTCAGAGACGTCTCATCACTGATCTGAGGCAAGGGGTCGGTCTTCAATGTGGGGAAGATTGTAGTTTTGGTTTGCGTAGACGGGGGGTTGCGGCGCCTCAATCCCTGTCGACAGGGTTCCAGACGCCAAAACAGGAAAGGAATAGGACGAAGTTGAGACGACACCCAGAGCCTCAAGATGGACCCCTGTAAGCTTTGAAAAGAAGGTTTTATACTTATGTACCGTAGCAGGCCGAAAACCCCACAGCGGGACAGGTGCTTTTCTAGGGGTAGATCTGTTGTCGCGAACAACAGCATCTGGAAAAAGAACATGACTTAGCATTGGCCTAGTACGTAAACGATATATAGTCCGGGCCTTGCTTGTTTTTATGTCATGGAAATCATCGGAAACAAACCAGACAAGGTTTTGGTGCTTCAGCAGTCCGCCTTGTCCCATGTTCACACCATGAGGAAATATCAGCAAGTGCCGCAGCAAACCGTCCCCGTCTATGTTGGATTGAAGAAGGACGAAGCACAAATGGCAAGATGAGTCAAGAACATGATTTTACAGTCTTTATTAGTGTTCAGTTGCCAGTCTAAACCTGTTCGTCTAGTTACAGGCTTGGTTGTACTCATACAACATTGCGTCCCTATCCGTTTTGTCAGAAAATCGAAAAGTCGTGCAGAAACCCCTGGGTTCTATTGGCACTGATGCGCATCTCCAAACGGTTTACAATTGACTCGTTGTCAAGTCACAAACGACCTTCATTTTCAAATACAGCATAACGCCTGCCCAATGCAACTGCACTAAACTGCATCAAAAACTCCTCCCCAAGGACTCAGCAGCGCTCATCTTTTCTAGCAATCCAAATTACTGATGTTTAGATGCAAGCTTCTTATCGCACCAGTCATAGAACCACACGTGCTTTGCCACGTGCAGCACACTACCTGACGGAGGCGCCTGACCGGTCTGTAAACATACGACTAGCAATGTTCATGGCCTGCAGCTCCTGGAAGAGTAGCTTGGCGGCGTAAGGGATGTGGATTTGAGCGATCTTGGTCTTGTTCTTGCAGGGCCTGCATTCGAACGTCTGGTTCGTCAAATGCCTGTATTCAGTTAGCATGGAGCAAAGGAGAGTCATGATTGTGATGGGTCGATTTTCAATTCACTTACGCGATGGGTGTCATGAGACCACAGATCTCACAGACGTGAACTCTGAAAGCATCCGAGACCTCAAAAAGTCGCTCCTTCAGGAAAGCAGCAGCACCGTGAGCAATCATACAGTCACGTTCCATCTCTCCGAATCGCAAACCACCATCTCTGGCACGACCTTCCACGGGTTGACGTGTCATGATCTGCACGGGGCCACGTGCACGAGCGTGAATTTTGTCGTCCACCATGTGACGAAGACGTTGGTAATAGGTAGGACCAAAGAAGACCTGTGACCTCAGCTTCTTTCCAGTGTGGCCATGGTACATGATCTCGAAACCACGAGATTGGTAGCCGTGCTCGCGCAGGAGCGACGACACGGAGTCAACCGTAACATCGGTGAATGGGGTAGCGTCACCTTCTAGGCCCTTTAATGTGGCCACCTTACTCAGTAGACACTCGACCAAGTGAGCAATAGTCATACGCGAGGGAATAGCGTGAGGGTTGATGATGATATCGGGGACAATACCCTCCCGACTGAATGGCATATCTTCCTGACGGAAAGTGACACCAATGGTACCCTTTTGACCGTGACGAGAAGCAAATTTGTCGCCAATTTGGGGAATCTTCGTAGTTCGCACACGGACCTTGACATACCGAAGACCATCGGCATTAGTAGTCATGATGACCTGGTCAATGATACCACTTTCTGTGCTACGAAGAGGTGTAGAAGCATCGCGCTTCTGATGTGCCTTGGTGCGCTGGCCAAATTCCTCGTTGTCGGGATTGATAGGAGACGTTTTTCCAATGATGATATCTTCTCCGTTTACACGGACGCCAGGAGCGACAATGCCATCGTCGTCAAGCTTGTCATAAGTGCCGTGCTTCAGGCGAAGCGTGTCAGATCGGAATGGTTTCTCAAACTGCTCGATGGTGTTGATGCCAACACGCTTCTCGCAGTCGCTGTATGATCGGAAGAACAGACTTCGGAACAGACCACGATCGATACTGCTCTGGTTCATGATAACGGAATCTTCCTGGTTGTACCCAGAGTAACAAGAAATGGCTACGATGGCATTCTGGCCAGCAGGTAATTCTCGGAATTTGAGGAATTCCATGGATCGGGTCGTACCAAGAGGCTTCTGAGGGTAGTAGAGAATGTTTGCCATGGTATCCATACGTCGGTTGTAGTTCGTCAGGAAGAAACCCATGGCCTGCTTACCCATGGCAGACTGGTAAGTGTTACGAGGGGACTGAGATCTTGGTTAGCTTGAGCGTTTGTAACGGAACGAAAAACACATACCTGGTTGTGATCAGGGAAAGGAATGATACTGGCGCAAATACCCAAGAGCATACTAGGATGAATCTCGCAATGTGTATACATGTGCGTTGTCGGGTTCAACTTTGTCTTGAGACGGGCGTTTGCATCCTCGCTCGTGTCCTGGGTGACATCGATACCCTGCTTGGCCAGTCGATATGTTTCCAAATCTTCAGGAGTCATGCAGATCATGGCTGTCTCCTCTTCTTCAGCGTCAAGGTATTCAATGACACCATCGCCCACGAGACCTTCCCAGCCATAGAAGTCCTCACTGTCAGCCGGTAGCGTCGCATCTCTCTCGAGTTTCCGAACCATGTCCTTGCTAAGCACCAGGTTGCCAACTTCCACGCCCCGATCAGGGTCCTCCTCTTGTTCTACAACGAACAACGGACGCATGACACGGCCAGCATCGGAGAAGATCTTGAACTCACGATCACGAATATCACGGACCAGAGAGACTTCGGAGGGGATTTGATTGCTGCGACGCAGCTGTTGTACATCCCTCACCAATGACTTCGGATCTTGGTGGACACCAATCCAGGAACCGTTAAGGAAAATCTTGGTAGCGTTAGGGTAGCGCACAGCATCGTACTCCTCAAGCACCTCCATGTTTCGAGTGATCATGTAATCAATAATGGGCTCAGTACTTGTGCCCACACTGACCGAGCACATGAGAGACAGATTCTTGACAAGGCCACAAGCTTGGCCTTCTGGCGTTTCTGCCGGACAAACCAGTCCCCAATGGGTATTGTGCAGCTGACGAGGCTTGGCAAGCTTGCCATCACGGCCGATAGGGGTGTTGGTACGACGCAAATGCGACAATGTAGAAGCGAACGTGTATCTGTTCAAAACTTGAGAGACACCGGCTGTCGAGCTCATGGCCTTCTTTTGATCGCCCCAGTTTCCTGTAGCGAGAGAGTACTTCAAACCGTTGGTAACAATACCAGACTTGATACCAAACTGGACTTGGAAGTCCTTGTTCTGTTCAACGCAGCGCTTGAGAGTCATGGTAATCTCGTTGGTTAGCTTCCGAACAATATTGCGGAACAGCTTGGCCAGGAGAGGACCGGCTAAATCCAAACGCTTCTTGCCAAAGTGATCACGGTCATCGGTATCTCTCCGGCCCAGTGCGCACTGCAGGAGCTTGTGGACCATGTAACCCAAGAAGAAGGCCTTTCTCGTCTCGCAACCCTCGGTTTGGGAAATGTGAGGCAGAGTCTCCTTCTGTAAAATGTCCCTGGCGGCCCGCACACGCCTGTCCCGGGTGAAACCAGAGACTTGGTTGCCACGCTTACCGATAAAGTCCAGCGCGACTTCTCGGTCCTGAATGCAGAAAGCCTCCTCGATACAGGGTCGCAGCATTTCAAGCATTTGACTGTCGTTTCGGTCGTAGCAAATTTGGTTCAGGATGTCCTCGTCAGAAACGACACCGAGGGCACGGAAGACAATGGCGATGGGCAGATCGGATTGCACATAGGGCAAAGTGGTGGCGATAGTCTGGCCATGAATACCACCAGTAGCTCCTCCCTTAGTGTACAACTTGAGCATGAGTGAAGAGATCAGTCTCGAACCCTTCTCAAGCGCGCTTCGAATCTCGGCCGTATAGGAGTAAGGACTTGGCTGGGCCTTCTTGAAAACCTGGACGATGTTTGCAGCAGAGCGTTCTTGGGCAATCAGGACCTTCTCACTTCCGTTGATAATGAAGTAACCACCTTGATCGTAAGGACACTCGTTGAGAAGGAACAAGTCGTCTTCGGTCTCGTGAGCCAAGTGGCAGGCTTTGGACTTGACCATGACGGGAAGTTTGCCAATAAAGACCATGTCGGGATCTTTATCCTTGGTATTGTTGTCCTTGACGGTGGCGGGAATCGGGACATCCTCTTCCTCCCAAGCCAAGCGGGTGGGCTGTTCGCCAGTGCGCTTGAACTCTTGGTACTGCTCATCGTCGAGCTCGTCGTTGGGGATGGGCACTTCCACGCAGACGGATCGCTTCTGGGTGATCTTGACATAAAGCGGAGCCGAGTATGTAAGGTTACGGTCTCGACATTCGTAAGGCAGAAGCGGTGCCATGATACCTTCTCCTTCGGTGATGACGGGTCTCGAGACGGCAATGTGGCCGAGCTTGAGCTCATACCGACGAAGAGCGATGGGACGATCGGGGGTGGAATCTGGCGGGTTGTTCTGGTCGAGACTGATGTGTGAATACTCGTCGATTAATTCTTGCACCGTGGTTTCCTGAAAGTCGTTGAACGAGTCAATTTGTTGAGATACAAGACCCTTGGTGTCGAAGTAGGATGAAATGACTGTCCAGCAATCCTCGGGGGTGATGCCCTCCTCGCCGCCATCTTCGTACGTGGCATCGTACTCGTAGTCCTCGTATTCGTCCATATTTGCGGCTGATATTGAAGCTGGGTTCGAGGGTGTAGGTTTCTGAAGCTTGAAGTGGACCTCGACTCGCTGGTTGTGCAGCGAAGACAAGACAAGACAAGACAAGAGCAAGGCGCGTGAAAGGGTGCTGGATATAAGCGCGAAAAGATTAGATGGCAAAGAGATGCAAGAGACAGCTGGGCAGCGCAGTGACTCGTGAGGCGCGAATGAATATTAGAAATCGACGGCGATATATCGTGGAGCTACACACGAAGCGCCAGGGACGGCGAGTGTCTCGTCGACCGATATAGGGTGACAAAGGAAGGGAATGGGGCGAATCGCGACTGTTGGTGGTTATGGGCTTCTAACCAGAGCAGCAAGCTACCGTCACAAATCAGGTCAGCGCCGTGCCCAAATAATCAGCAGAATATCCAAAGCATCAAGAAGTACCTTTCTGATGCACGGGTCGTCCTTCTGGGTGGATGCGCGTGGTTGTTATGGCGGCCTCAACGTCCTCAGGCCAGGAATGTTGATGCTTGGTGATGGCGCCTGGGGAACAATTTCAAATGCGAATTGCTGACGAAGGGCGAGACGAGCGAGAGAGAGAAGCTCGAGCCTCAAACGAGAGGACGGACGCTATGCTCGAAAGGCGCTAGCGTGCGGTGACGAGGAACGGGCAGTCACGTGATCCAAGATAATCGTTTATACGGATTCGTGTATATATTGGGAGGCCCCTTCCCATTGTCATTGTGGTTGTGACTGTCCGTCTGCAACGCTTGCCTCAGCCATGCGCATCCTGACTGCTTCCAGTCAAAATCCATTCCTTTGAGCATGTCCAGCACTACATTGTCATCGTCAAATGGTGTGGAGTCTGGACATACTCATGATAGCTTCCAGGTCGACACGGTCTTGAGGGCTATATATCTGTGTGCTGTATGCGACATTATCCTCCATGTCCAGATCCTATATTCACGAACAGCATCCACCCCCTTGCCATTCCCCTTCAGCCCTACGTGCGCCGCTTCGACACATACACGGGCCAGCCGTGCGGCACAATGGTGAAGTAGCTTGTTGCATTGTTAAACTCGATCATTCATTCGGACGGAAAATTCGAGAACCACTTACGCCATCCATTCCCACTCTTCTTTCGGGTCAACTTGCTTGACATCATAATCTCTGACCAGTGTCGCCTATTTTGCCCGAGCGTCAGGAATCTTCGCCATGCTTACAGAACAAGCCGACTCACCGCCATCTTGGACATCTGGATTCTGGCAATGTGCTGTCCTGGACATGTAGACCAACCAGCACCCCATGGGCAAAAGAACTTCTCCAACCGCCCAGCATCTGGAGCAAGCCATCGTTCAGGCTTGAACTCCCCTGCATCAGGACCCCAGAGCGCCTTGGAGGTTTGTATAACATACGGATTGACGGAGAGGATCGTTCCCTCGGGAAAGAAGCTATCACCGAATCGAACACCTCCCTTAGGCGCGACTCTCGGTAAACCCACTGTGTTACTCGTCAGCTTTTGCGACCCGCCAAGCCTCCAGCCTAATATTACATACTCGGGATCGGAGCAAATATACGCAAAGCCTCCTTAAGAGCGCATTGCAAGTACGGAAGCTTGGCAGCATCATTGTACGTGATAATCGGGTCTTGGCACTCGCCATTCCTCTGGGCGACGCCAATTTCTTCCCGAATCCGCTGCCAGCCATCAGAATGCCTGATCAAGTGGTATACGAAACTCCTGTTGTGGTAGTCATGGTTACTCATAAGGCCGACTTCCTTTCGACACTGGTCAAAACTTACTGCATTCCACAAGATACAGTATCAGAGCCGGCTCCGAGGTTGGAAATAGCAGCGGCGACAATTCGGTCCTCATTCCAGGTGTTGTCGTTGTCTCCGACCTTGTCCAAAGCACGAAACCAATGGGCCGCAATATCGAAACGCGCATCCGGGGTCTTTCGACGTTCCGCAAGGACTTTCTTAGCCGTGGATCCCATGTATCCAAGTGGCAAAATCTCGAGCCATGTAGTCAAAGGGTTACAGAGAAGTAAGCTCCAATTTCTGAAGTAACCAAGGACAACGAAGAAGAGCTCCATAGCTTCGTTCACCGCCACGGCACCACCAATGTCTTCTCCCTTCTCGGTAAACCCGAACGACTTCGAAAATGTGACTTCTCCGGTCACATCATACGCAGCATACGAAAAAAACTCACCCATCTTCATAGGCGTACCATCAGCACTGTGCCGGTCTAACCAAGAGAAAAACGTCGTCATCACTTCGTCCATGTGAGGTTCAGAGCGAATGACATGTTGATGCTGGAAACCTGGCTGAAAGTGCTTGTTCAGTTGCGCCTTTTCCTTCGGATCTCTAATTCCTAGCGGTGAGGATGTGCGGTAGTCAGGGAGCACAAAAATTCTGTACCAGTTGCTCTGCCAGGAACTTTAGATGGTTATTCGTAAGGTAGGGAGAGTATAAATACCTTGTGGAGTGGCGTGAGGAGAAGCGCTTTGACGACATCTGGATGACAAACACTAACTTCATTATGAGCCAATCGAAGGAATGGTCCATGCTTCTCGTGCTCTTTAGCGATGGATACCTGTTGGTCACCTTGAAGGATTTTACGCAGATGCCAAAGCCTCGAGAACGACGCAACAAAAGGGCCCGGAATGTGGCTAATGGGAGAAAAATAACGACGCTTGACGATTATCAAAACCAAAAATGTCGCAAGAAGTATACTCGACTGTAAAACGATGAATGACAAGCTCCATTTCGAAGGTTCTCGGAGTATATCGGTCATGGTGGAATTTTCAAACAGGTGGCCATCGTAGATGAGCTTAGCCCTCATGTTGACGTCCTCTAGTACTCCCATTTCCTCTGCAGCGAGACCGAGTGGACGACCGAAATCTGTGTCTCGAATGTCACAACGCACAAATGCTTGCAGATCACATAAAATTAACAATCAAGAGCAAATTCCTTTCATATATGATGACCGATGACAGGTATGTCGCATGCTCTTCAACGATATCATGCCACATTCATCCGCCATACCCTTGACTATGCATAATGGGCCCGGGATCGGGTTTGCGAGGTGTGGATGAACACAGAAGTTCTTGATTCGGCAATTGGTGATCTGACTATATTTCTGGCCTAGCTTGCGTAGCTTGCGGAGCCTGCATATGTACACACATTTATGCCTACACAATCACAGTGCATTAGCGATCGCTGATAGGCGGGGGAATGCATTTTTGCAGATGCTATTGTTGTAATGACAGGCATTGTAAGCCGGCCTCGCATGTGGGTTTGACTCCATTCCGCGGAATACGGAGTCTCAACCGGGAGGAGCCCGGCCCGTGCAATGCTAGCAGTATCCTTTTGTAATGGACCTTGGCAAGCCTACTGAGACGGGTGCGAACCGCCGGATTGGAAACCAATCACTATGCGGGTTTGTCTTGCGGCATGAAGAACACATTCAGAGAAATGGAGTGTGGATTTCGAAAGCCAATCTGATTCTTGGTAGAACATATGTATGTACAGTACCTTTCGATCCCAAAGCCCACATTTTCTCAAGATTCGGCCCATTGAGTCTCCCCAGTGGTACTGTATGTTCTGTGATCCTTTCCTTCTCTAGGTGGGTATAACGGAAGTGGGTGCCCATCCGTGGCACGATCTCGCAAATTCTACAATAGCCAGCCTACCGGTTCATAGGTTTGAAGGGCTCGGAAACCACCAAAAACAGACTTGAGGTGTACACTCTTAAGTAGGCAGAAAGGAAGCTAAGGATTAAAAAGGAGAAAGCCCTGACGAGGAAAATGATGAGTGGACATCTATTATCACGTGAAGTGGGCGAAACAAATCCTAGAACCAGTCCAAGAAACTTTATTTTCTCTTGTATATAATTTACAGCGTACGGGTTTGACCGAGCTATGAGAATCTGTCAACGTCGATTGAGATGTAGTATGTCAATTCTCTACCATTTACACAAGAAACCCCCGCCCCCTTCCTGAACAGTGCCTCTCGGCCGCTGACTCACCCCGCCTGGACTACTACCAGCCCTGGTCAATTCTTCACAGGTTTTTCCTCCAGTCCATATACGTCTCACAAGGTGAAATTCATCCAGCAACAGCAAGGCCCCTCAAGCCCACAACCTCACCCGCCGAGCAAGCCCCGTCATACAGGCAGGTGTGCGCCGGCACCCTGTTGTCCTTGGTCGGTATCTGGATAGCGATGGTCTCCGTGATGCCAGGATACTGAGTCCGGTGCCCCAGGCGACTCACATCCGCCGTATCCGCCGCAAAGATGAGTCCGAATTCCCCGCCGGTGACATATGCCTTTGCAGAGTTGTTCTCGGGCAGTGTGATGAGGGCTAGACCTGTGGTGAAAAGGACCCATCTGAAGAAAGTGGTCAGCAAAGTGCGACAAGGAGAAAGAGGCCTGCCAGAGGTGGCGACTTACTGGTTATGCGGGGCATTGTGCAGACCACCATCGAAACCGGAAGGTATGACGACAATGGAGCTGTTGGCGGCATCACTCAAGACCGCGCTGGCGCTCCCTGCAACGCCTGCTGTGTTGGAAATGATGAATTCTTCCTCGAGCTGCCAACACTCTAATGTTGATCTACCATCGCGCGCACCAATTGCAGTGATATTAAGATGAAGCGCTGTGGTTGCCCCAAGGGCAATAAAAAACAGTGATCTCTTTAGCAGTTGCAGTAGCATCGTGGAGTCGGCGACGTTGGTGATGTCGGTGGTGTCGTACAAATCTGACAAAGAATCACGTCGTTGAATTTGGGCGAATTAGGCGTGGGAGCCTGTATCTGGCTGCAGGCAGTATTGTAGATTAGAGAAAGTCACTTCCGCACTAGATCGCTGTTGGTTATTGTAATATTACAAACAATCGGGAATATCGAGGGCCGACCCCCAATTCGTTAGCAATGCAACTGAACCGGTCCTGCTCCAGTAACCTTCTTTGTGCACAGGAACTGCTGCGTAACCGAGTATATTGTTGCGCCAATCACGCTTCGTGGAAGGGTACGCTTTCCGACACAACAGCTGAATGCAGGGGAACAAAAGTGTCTGACCAAACGAAGAGACACGATACAAGACCTAAAGCATTTACAACTTACGACATTTAATCCCCTTGATTAATAGTGTTGTCTGTGGTTTTTGTAGGGAGGAATCGTCATGCACGGGAAGTCCATGTTTGTTAGTGGGCCTTCTTTATGGTTATTCATACTTACACATCCTGACTTAAACAACCAGAGTGACTCTGTTGCATCGGTCACGCAGTCACTGTCAATCAGGCTGGCCTGCTTGGTCCGAATGCGATGCTGTGGTACATCTGAAGTGCCATGTTGTGCGCAGGGATCAAACACCAGGCTTTCTGAGCCGCTTGCCCAAACTTTTCAGCCAAACAATAGCATTGGAATGTCTCATGTGTTTGCGTTGAATGTGTGAATCACTCGAAAAAAATCCAGGCAGCCCGTCAAACTTGCTGCATTAAGGCGTCCTAACTATAAAATTTGTTTTCATCCTATAGGTTGATGTGCGGGTGACCGAGATTCTAATGAACGATGTCGTGTAACAATAAGCTTCGCATCACAGGCAGACGCGACCGCATCTTTTGTTCAGCGAGAGCCCACGATGACAACTCTATGAACCCTCCCTCTTCTCATGGCTTTCTAATTTTTCAAAACGAGCGACTTTAAACTGTGCCTCACAATGGAGCCTGCTCCTACCACTGTGAATGACAACCCAATATCCGGGCCTGCAGTGGTTGGTGTCATGACTACTTTCATGATCTTGTGCACTGTTGCGACACTCGGCAGAATATGTACTCGCTATATGGTGCATCAACAGTTTTGGTGGGATGATTGTGAGTGAGCTTGCATCCTCTCTCTTAGCGGGATCTGACTACCAGCACAAGGGACCATGGTTGCCACATGGGCCGGAACTGTGTCCATGTGCATCTTGCAGCTCCTCATGCTCGATCACGGTGCCGGAAAGAACGTGTGGAATGTGTCCGGTCCGGATTTCAAGGAGTTCTCAAAGGTGAAGACCACATGTAGCTCCTGTGACATCCTCTAATCGTCAACCCTAGCTGTTCATAGACTTCCAAATGGTTGCCCGAGTATCCATCTGTTTTGCCAAGGTCTCGATCCTACTACTCTACGTGAGGGTCTTCTTTCCGGTTGGCAGCGATAGGACAACATTGTGGTGGATCATCCAGGTCGTTTTGCTACTCAACTTATTATACACCATCGCGCTTATACTGTTAGTCGCGCTTCAGTGCGTCCCGTACGGTCTTCCTTGGGGAACCACCTGCATCAATCAGTGGCTGCTCCTTGTGATATCATCGATCGTCAATATCATCAGTGATACCGCCGTCCTCGTGATACCATGGGCGTCTGTGTGGAAACTGCAGATGGCACGAAAAAGAAAGTGGGCCGTATGGGCTTTGTTCGCCTTCGGTACTCTCGCACCGCTTGCGAGTCTGGCTCGCCTATGCTACCAGATCCCGTTGGCCAGTGGGTCGAATAAGACGGTCATATACACAATTGTGGCATTCCTCGCAATCGCGGAGCAGGTTGTTGCTATTATTGTCGGATGCATGCCTGTTACTGCCTCTTGGGTTGTCAGGAAAAGGAGGCAGAGCATGGAGCGCCAGGATCGGACACTGACAGACAGGCTCAAACCTGGTCGGGAATCGCACACATCGCCTGGGCAAAAACGATCAAATCGCAGAGTGCCAGACCCATTCGCCTTGACTGACGCGACGTACATCAACAGCCAGGAGCAGCTTTGCTCGCAAGCCCCAAACGATGGAACTAATGGCTACAAAGGGCAGGATTTGGAGCTTCTTCAGTTACGCACTTCGCATCAGAGTGACTCAATATTGCGTATTTATTGACCGGCATGCACTCAATAGGAGCATTGAAATATCCTCCAGCATCAGAGGTTGGAGGAGAAGTGCTGGCTACGTTCATGAGAGTATCTGAGGGGTCATGTAGTAAGACGATGACTTTGTGCACTGTCCCCACAAGTGTACATATATGACACAAAAGAGACACACCTGCAAGGTACTCTAAATGAAATAAAATGTCCGCTCAAAAACTTCGACGCCCTGACCATTAGTGATAAGTAAACGACCGCTATAATTCCGGACAGAGTCTACCGAGAATCACATGACGTCGAACTCTTTGGTGGCAAGACATCATAACGATATTCAGACCAAAATTTGGTGATCTTAGCCCAGGTTTCCCACGTGATTTTGACAACAAAGGCCTGCGTGCGTCGGATTCTACGCAATGACATGATGGCCACCGTAACTCGTACAGAGCCAGTGGTTGTAGTGCCCACTCAGTTGACAGCCAACGGCAAGAAGGTCGTGGATTTCTCTCAATACTTTAAAAGCTTCCTAAGAACAAGGCGGTCACCTTCGTCACTTTCACGATCTTTCTGATTGAACCGGCAATGGCGAGGCCAACATGAGTTCTCAGGAGCCTCTTTAAGAACTCTTGGGCGCACACCGGTATAAAAGTTGCCATGATGGCGTACGGGAATGGTGCAGCTCCACTGCATCATTGTAAAACTTGTCGTAACTCAACAGATGGACAGGATGGCTCGCCGTTGCAAGGTCTTTAAAAGAGTCGGAGAATGAGTGCAAGCCATGTGTCATAATACTGGTCTCATGTTCATGAGGTATGGCGAGGCTGTTCTTTATTAATGCGTCCAGCACTGAGTCACCGCTCAAAAGTCCGTGATATGTAAGGAGGCTGTCGTCTGTGAATGATATTTGGGATGGGCTTGGATCCCAGGGCCAGGTCTTTGGTTAACTAGTATAAAGAATTGATAGCTTTCTACATACCAGAACTCGACGTCCCCGATGTGGAGCAAGCCATTCGGCCATGCAAGAATGTTCTGGATGTAGTATACCATAACAAGAACAAACCCAATGTATCTGGGTCTTGTTTGGCATTACTTCAAAGAGGAACAAAGGAGAGGTTTCACCTATCTACGACCAATATCGCGCTTTCGCGCTTGCAATGCAACTGATGACGATGGTGGAATCATGCATAGAGAGTTCGAGTGACAGCTTGTCGGGTGAGCACTATGGATCTATAAGCCTGAATGAAAGCGACGAATTTGCACACAGCCAAGATCATAGAGTGTGAGTTTTGGGCTCGTGGCTCGTGGATCTGAATGATGAAATCGAGGACCCAACTCCGCGAGGCTCCTTTGATATATGGCTGGGGAAGAGGAGCAAAGCAGGAGATGTCATGCTCGCAACGTCAGTTGGTGTGATCATCGCATTGATGTTAGGAGTGCTCGGACTCGCCGTCGCGATCTTTCAAGCATGGGTCGGGTATGAAGCTTGGCAACAGCCCGTGAGCAATGGTGATTAGACGGGATGCAGATTCGTGGTGAGACCCGCGTGGCCTGGTCTGGTGTCCATCAGTGATTGAACTCAAGTTATAGTACACTTGCATGGCTGCCAGATCTCATGTTCGTCATTTGGCTACGGTACGTATCGCGATCGACCCTGACGGAACGGTCCAGAACCGCGACCGTCAAAGTAAGCAAAAGCCTAAATCTACCTAGAGTCGAAATCAGTGGAGCGTTTCCCATTACCGAAGATGTCTCTAATACATACCTACGGATACCTTACCCCGAAATCCGAGTCAGCCCACGAGAGGCCTGGGGGGCTGGCTGGCTGGCTGGCTGGCACCACACCAAACCCATGGAAATTCAGAGCTGAAAGGGCAACTTGGCGACCCTTGGAACTTTATTGGGCTTTGTGCTACCCCCTCCTCAGATCTCGTTACGCGATCGCCAATTCAGGAAATACAGACCGATCGCCCGCTGCAGCTCGCGAGATGGTGATTCGCCCTTCCCCTCCCCCTCGGGACCCAGGGCCTTGGTAACTTTACAGGCGCTGGTGCGGCTATCTGTGTCTGGGATTCGGTTATTGGTTTTTTCTTCTTTCTTCGGAGTTTTGTACGTCTCATCCCGTCCTGCCCAAATACTGACATGGGCCGATCTGAATCTGACACCTTTTTTTGACTTTTTGGTTTCTTTTTTGTTTCCTACCGGCTTCCCCTTAGCCACGCGAGCGCCACCCATCTAGTTTTGTTTTCTTTTTCCGGAGATCAGAGCGATCGATGTTTAAGATCCCGTTCTATTGGATTTGGGTTTTTGCAAGCGCCCCCAAAAAGACCACTTGGCAACTCGCATGAACTCCTGCAGGTCGCGACGACAAAGTTTAGAAAAGAGCGCCAATTCTTATTTTATTTTATTCCACAACTTGCATGCAGCGCAATTGAACTGGCCATAGCGGACGCTTCCGCTGATTAAGAAGCGAGACAAAACTTTGTCTCCCTCCCTTCCTCCTTCCCCTCTACCGTTGAAGAGAGAGAGAGAGAGAGAGAGTGTGTGTGTGTGTTTGTGAGAGAATGGCGACGCCAAGCGTGGCGGCGGGCGGTGCTGACCCCGCGACCTCAGCAAATGTGGAGGAAGAAAGAGGCACCGCCACGACGACAGCGGCGGCGGCGGGCTCAACGGCAGCGGACTATGAGAGGGAAATAGGCGTAATGGCCGAGCGCACAGAAGCAGCGGCGGATGCGACGGGATCCGAAACAACAGAGACACAAACAGAATCATTGTCGCAATCCGTCAGCGCGGATGAGGCCAAGCCGGCAGGAGAGCCGAGCGCAAATAATGATGGTGCATTCTCAGAAGCCGGCGCATCGTCGTCGACGCAATTACGGCCAGCAGAGGAGTCGAGCTCTCTCGGGACGCCGAGCTCGTTCTCGATAGGACTGAGCGTCGACACGGATTCCGACACGGACTCGGCCATAGGAAGTTATATGCCAAATTCGAGCATGTCGGCCACTTCCAGCGTGTACCACTTTGTAGAAGAGTTTGGCAGGACATTCCACAGGTATAAAGAGGGAAAATACTTCCTCCCCAACGACGAACAAGAGATAAGTAGACTAGATCTGCAACACCGGATAGCCCTGCAGGTACTGGATTGGAAGCTCTACCTGGCGCCCATCGACCAGCCCAACAGGGTGTTGGACGTCGGCACGGGGACGGGGATCTGGGCGATAGAGTTCGCGGACCAAAACCCGGGGTCCGACGTCCTGGGCACCGACCTGTCGCCCATCCAGCCGGAATACGTGCCGGCGAACTGCCGGTTCGAGGTCGACGACTGCGAGGACGAGTGGATCTACAGCCACAAGTTCGACTACATCCACGGGCGGTACATGTGCGCGTTCCTGACGGACTTCAGCAAGCTGTTCCGGAACATCTACGACAACCTGAACCCGGGCGGGTGGGTCGAGTTCATGGAGACGCTCATCTTCTTCCAGAGCCACGACGGGACGCTCGACGGGACGGCGCTGCAGCGGTGGAACCGGCTCATCGTCGACGGCGTCAAGAACATGGGGCGCAACCTGCTGTCGTGCCGGCGGTACAAGCAGTGGATGCTCGAGACGGGCTTCACCAACGTCGAGGAGCGCAAGATCATCGTTCCCGCCAACCCCTGGGCCAAGGGCAAGAAGAACAAGGAGCTCGGCGCGCTGCAGATGGTCAACAACCTAAACGGCGTCTACGGCCTCACCATGACCGTCCTCACGAGGGGGCTGGGCTGGAGCAAAGAGGAGGTCGAGGTCTTACTGGCCGATGTTAGGAAGGATATGGGGGATCGAAATATCCATTCATATATCACCATGTAAGTTCTCTCCCCTGATCAATTTTCCTCCTAGCCACATCGTTGAACTGATATCGAAAAGCATGGTCGTATACGGTCAAAGACCATATTGACAAACGGGAATGAGGGTTTAGCGATTACATTTGACATTTACAGGGTCCTGCCTGGAACATGCCATTTCATTTTTTGTCATCATGAGATACCAGCAACGCACAATGCATATATAGATCTGACGAGTTATGTTTATCTAGTATAAAAGATCTTGACTATTGCTCCAAAGGACAATATATTGTTATCTTCCAAAAAAAAGAGAAAAAGAAAAAAAGAAAACAAAGTTCTAGGTCAGAGACTAACTGATTATCAAAGCTCTCTTACCGTCCATCGTCGACACGTAATTATATATCCAATAACGAGCTGTTTGGCACCCTGTTGCATCCGCAATGACATATAGTTCTACCCATTATCCCATCACACTCCCCATCAACCGCAGTTGTCTTGCGGGTCTGCTCGTGTGCCTGGCCCCAGACTTTCGTTTCAGCAAAGCCCTAACCTCCCAGATACCTCTCCCAAACTCGCATTGAAAGTTCTTGCAAAGTATCCTGCGCTCCTAACCGTTGTTAGGCGTGAAGGGTCTTGCCTTCTCCTTGCCCTTGCTCTTGCCTCTCCAACTGCTCTTCTTTTGCTCGAGAGTATTTCGAACCTCGTTATCGCCGTCAAGGGTCTCTTTGCTGCCTTCCTTGCTTGTTTCTTTGCTTCCACCGTAATGACCACCACTAACCAAACGCAGCATACTTGTACTTGTCTCCTTGTAGAAATTGACAACCTTCTTCACCTGCCCCGGTCGCTGTGGCTTCGGCTGAAGCACCTCGCCAGAATCTAATTTAGTCTGACGTACCATGAATCCACTTGCTGTTTGCTTATCCCACACGCGATCTTTATCTTTAGGGGTATCTTTTAGGCTAGATACGTTCGGCCGGCTGCCCGTCTGGATTCTATGCAATCTCTGTGCGATACGGCCTTGACGCTCCTCTCTCCTTTGTTGCTTTTGCCGCCTTTCCTCTTCTCTACGTGCGGCACGTTCCTGCGTCGCAGCTTGCTTCAAAAGCTTTTTGCTCGGAGGGACTGTGCCACGATTTGCGTCGCTCGAGGGGCTGCCGTGATGCGAGGCCTCGTTGCTATTGCCTTTTCCTGGTCTACTGCTTGGTCTAGCAACGCCATTGTCTGAAAAGACATCCGCGTCTGGAATATGGATTGTGGAATTGTTCGCACCATCGAGGCCAAATATGTGAGGAGCCACTCCACCACTAGAAAAGCGTTGCATCAGGGGGAAACTCTTGCGAGCAGGTAGCAAGGGAAATACAGTGCGGTATAGAGGTGAACGGCTGTGGTCCATGCTTGTCGATGATTCTCTATACGAAGCGGTGTAGTATTCTTCGGTGTGATTACCCTCGAATGACTGTGTAAGGGACTGCGAGATACGTCTCCAAACGTTACGTACAGGATGCCGGCCCTCGTATGATTTCGGTATCGGTTGTACAGGTTCGTCCTTTAGTTGTTCAAACCGGTTTATTCGATCTTTCAAGGGCGAGTCATGAGTGACAGTGACAGCGGGTTTCAAGGTTACACTAAAGTCATTCTTGAAGTCGCAGGTGAAGTCGTCGGTGCTGATCGTGGTCGTCAAAGCCGGGGGAGTAGATTGTGAGACGGGAGTTGAGGTGATCGAAGTTGTCGGCTCGGAATCCTCCACATGCTTAAAGCGGTCGAACAGTTTTCGAAGGTCGCCGACTTTGCTGTCCCGATGGACCGGCTCGCTTACTTCTTGGAATGCGCCTTTCCTAGTCGTGCAAAGTTGACTTGGAAACGACAGGTGTGTCTGAGTACCGAAATCCTTGCTTCGCCGGCTGGCATCAATGTGATTCACGTCAGAGAAATCAGCCGTCTTATCAGCCCTTGTGTTGTCTCCTGTTATTCCGCTTTGTAACCCACCGATTAGCGGGTTTTCAAGGAGAGCAGGATGTTGGAAACTGGTGGATTTGCGAGTGAAAGCAGCCGGAGTGTCCGCAATTTCAGATGCTGGGGGTACTGCGGAGCCTTTCTCGAATGACTTGCGGAGGTCAGCAACACTGGGTCGTTCTCGTTGGACAGACCTAGTCGTGATGGCAGGTATGGTCTTCGACGAGTTGGATTGTGGAAGTCGTCGAGACGAGCTGTTCAGGAGCATACTTGGCTGCTGCACACGGAAAGCCGTGGGGTCAAGAAGAGATTTAGGAGGTCTAAAAGGTGAATCTGCCGGAAATTAGTGTCTTGTTTGGGATATGTTGAGTAACTAAGCTTACACTCTTCGTTATCAAGCCCCTTCTTGCGGCCCATGACAAGCCTGGGATCCCATCCACTCGCTTTGCTGGGTGAGACTGTGGTGCCAGCAGACAGAGAACCGCTCATGGTTTCTGTCTCGATAGGTAGAGATCGAGGAGACTGCCGTGCGCTCGGTGTCTGTGGAGGTTCGCCTATGTTGCCCGTAGTTGAGCTTTTGACACGAGTGCTGGTTGGCAGTTGTGACCGTCGAGCAGTGGGTCTTGCGTGTTCAGCATGTTTCGAAGATGGCTCACTTGAACTGTCTATCGCACTAGATTTCGAGGCAGGCGTCGATTGCTGCAGAGCTCTACGCGTAGCCGGCGCGAGAGTAGGTGGCGTTTTGACAGGAGCCACAGGACTACCTAGTCCCTGCTTGCTCCTGGACAGACGAGGAATTCGTGATGACTCTGCATCCGCGTTGTTCACGGCATCTAAGACCTCGAATTTGGAAACTAACGAACCAAGCCGTGCTGATTGACTACGGAGTTGGTTGGTGAGCCCCCCTGGAACTGGCATTGTGGCCGTGGTTCCATGTATCTCGTCGTCGTTGTCTTGTTCTGTGTGTACCAAGAAACTAGCATGTGGGCTTTTTTCGTATGCTCTTGGGTGAGTAGCAGTCTTTTGCTTGCCTTGGGAAAGGCGGAGTGGCTGAGGACGTAGATCCGGCGTTGGAGTTTCGAAGCGGACAGGAGAACTGGGTACAGGGCTGGGGGAGGTGGTTGAAGCCATTGAGACGAGAACCATGATACCTGGTACTGCGAAGTCCAAGAAGACCAAGAGAATTTCTGAAACAAAAAGTAGATTTGACGCTGAACAATTCAACTCATGGTGCTAGCTTATGGCATGCAGACAATCAAGATGTTTCAATTCCGTTGAAAACGCTCGAGTGCTCAGCCGTGTGTACCTTCTGACCAGAACCGCATGCCAGGGAAACTGCCATTGAGGAGCTAGATCGATACGAAAAGGCTGAAACCAAAAGCCGGTCAGAAGGTGCAATGACGTGAAGCCGCTTGCCAGAACATCCAGAACATCCATGTCTGCCATGCGCTAGTTCTGGTTTCACCCGTCGAAAGTCACTACATGACATGATGAGACGGACGTGCATTGATTCGTTTGGTCAACAACATGAGGGAGCATTGTAAAAGAACATAGTGTTTATAGAAGGTGACTCATGACATTCCACTATCTCCCACCGCGTTTCGTCTACTCGATAACGTGGTGTCCAAGTCACTGCAACTTAGTGTTTACAGAAGGCTTAATAATGAATAATAAATAATAAAAACCAAGAGTTGCCAAATGTTTGGGATTTGAACCTGCTGTTGGCAGCATTTCAGGACATGTCTGAAATTTGGCCAAGGCCGGCTGACACCGGTTCAAGCACGTGGGAGTGCTTCCCTGGCAGCCGTCGTATTCTCCAACGGCTCAAGCTGGGTATATCCAAAAACATACATGCCACGTTAAGTTCGAAACTTTGACCGTCATCTAACACAGCTTCAAAACCTTCATCAGGGCCTAAGCGGCCAAGCCCATGCCGCGGCCAATTTTCTTAACTAATGCCTTCTTCAGATACCACTCTCTGGCTAAACTTCGTGTGGTCTTGGCGAACACAGCCGGCGTTATCCTACCCCTTTCCACAGCCCGACCCAGCATGAAGATGGCATCTCCCAGTGCGCGTTCTTCTGCCACCACGTCGTACAACTGATTGCCCACTACAGTTGGCGCGACTAGAAGCTCATCAATGCCAGGTGGTGCTTGCCTTCTGCTATTAGCGATCACAGCGTCGGCTTCCTTTAGTGAGGACTGAAGATCGGATGTGTTTGAGCTCAGAACGTTTGACAGAGCCCCAAGAGCATTCGTATCGGACTGAATATTCTGAAGCGCAGTAAGCATTGCGTTGCGCTGGGCGTTCAAGCCTACTATGGAAGACTCGTTTTGCTGACGAGCGCGCATACGATGTTGATGGAGTGTCACGGCAAGTTGATGAAGAAGCATATCTTTTTCTGGATTTGGCGGAATGGGGGGAGGGGGCAAATTGGACGGAGAAGGTAGAGCCAGTGTCAGGGGCTCATCCATGATATCTGGAGGCGGAGGAGGTTTGGCTTTTGGCTGTATGGGATGTTGTTGGAACGCCTGTTGCTGTATGGGAGGTTGTGGTTGTGGTTGTGGTTGTGGCTGTGGCTGTGGTTGTGGTTGCTGCCAATTCGGGGGTGCCCCTGTGTAGGATGCCCGGGGACTTTGATAATGTGCAGGAGGCAATATCACTGCCGGATGGCGTGCATCTTGTGGGGGATATCCAGCTTGGCCACCACCTTGTATGTATCCGGGCTGCTGATATTGGGGTGCAGGAGGTGGCTGCTGATATTCCTGAGCTGAAGATCGCGGCGCTTGCTCATGACCGGTGGCCTGGGAAGGCAAAGGCGGAGCAGAATCATATCTAGACGGCCTGTTGCCTTGTTGTTGTTGTTGTGAACCATACTGGCTCTGTGGTCTGTGGGCGCCAGGCGGAAGGGGAGGCAACGGAGGACCACTGTTTGCGTTGATAGCCTGACCTGGTACAACCTGCGGACCATCGCTCCCTTTGGGAGGAGGCGGAGGGGGGCGCCCATCAGAGATATGGGGAGAGCGGGCCTGAGCAGGCGTTCGCGAGATTTCGTGAGGCAGCGGAGGGACGGGCGGTGGTGTTGCAGTAGGCGTCGCTTGTTGTTGGGGCGTCGATCGTGGTTGTTGTCGTGCAATAACAGGAGGTTCTTTCGCAAAGATATCGCGCAATATGGCCATGAAATCGAACAGTGACGATTTCTGCCGGTGCAGTCAGTACCCATCACGAATAGATTTGCTTGGTCATGATGTGGGCAAGCTCAACTCACGTCCCAAAATTCAGCCCATCTTGCCAAGTATGGATGATATATGCGGCCTTGGGGATCGACATGCTGACCTGGCCTGATCACCATAGACTCAGTGGGCGTCACGTAGGCCAACGGTGCTTCCCTTGGATATGCGTGAGGAACCCATATCGAGATTGGAAAGCGGTAGGTCGTTCCTCTGAACAGGATGGGTATTGTGCCTGAAAGGTGCACTAGGAGCGCCGAGACCCCATTGTCATATGTGTGTACGTCTGTCCGTGGCGACAGGGACGGGTATTGCGACAGAGCTTGCGCGACGTCGTTATACGTCCGCTGGACATCGTGATATTCCTACCTCGCCGCATTAGCCCAGATGCATCATATCACGTAGTGGCCGCTGTTTGCGCTGGGTTGCGGTCATACACTAGTCAGAACGCTGTACAGCCAGTTCAGGACATGCTGTTGGACAACCATTTTCGCGGTGTCTTGTCTATTCTGATCATGAATCACCTCATATTAGAACCGGATGAACGCGACGCTGAATCATGTGTGGGAGGAGAGCTCATCCCAGCCGCTTCTTGACTGCGGAGAGCTTCAAGTGAGTGACATCAACCGCGAGCTGGAGCCTTGTTCTCCCTCGTGTTAGCTTTGGCTGCCCGCCAAGGCTGAAATCTAGCGGGGTGCCTGTCCGCTGAAGCCACCGAAGCCACTGGAGCCCAGCCACTGGAGCCATTGGAGCTGGTGGAACGAAACCTTATGTACATAGTTAACTAACCTAACCTAGGCTACCAGGCTACATAGTTGAAGCGATCAGGACAGTGGAAGATCTAGCCCCCCGAATGCCCCAACTGTCTGGGGCCCAGCAACCATCGAATTCAAGGTTTCACTTCTCTGTGCATGGATTCCATCATTGACAACCCTTTTGCCCATTTCCCGTTCCGTGCCATCTTGTATCCGACGAATGCCGTCCGGCTTTCTTCTGATCAATGACACATCCTGACGGACCAATGGCTTGCTGATTAGCCCACGTACCTCATGGACTCATCTGACCCTTATCTACTACATACACTACGTTGAAGTGTTCTTGCCGTCGAGTCGATGCGCCACCCTTTCGACCGTCTCTCTCCATGCGCGCACACGACACAGGGCTATCCCATCATGCGGCTCATCTGTGTAGGGCGCCAAGTACAACGCCACAGACTCGCAGTGTGATCTGGTGTAACAGTAGCCGACATCGGTCACTACTTTTTCGGTGCCTTGCCGCGCTCTCACAAAACCAACTTGTGTGCAGAGGTCAAGTTGTTCGCGAACGCCGCCAGAAAGTTACAAGGTTCTTTCAAAATCCGTTTATTTCATTTTATTTTTCTTTATCGCGAACAGGAAAGTAGCATCGATTGCGCAATGTTGTTTGGGGGGCAATCACAAGCGCTTTGTCACTTTGCCGTTTTAGACCGTCTCATCCCGAAGTCCCTGCATACAAATCGATCGATACTATTGTACTGGTGTCCACTCACAGGAGACTTTTATGGAAGTTCCAAGGCTGGCCAATTAGTAAGATAAAAGCGACCGAGTTCTGGTTCGACTATTGCCGCACCACCCGAAAACTCATGTCCATAAAAGTCGCTCGCCTCTCTTTCCCATATCTTGCTCTTCGTTTTGCACCTCAAGGTTTTTGAAACATTATTGCAAATTAGCAATAGTATTCGCTCTGAACCCACATGCCCACAACACAACAAAGATTTCGCACGGCTGAGGAGTATCACAGAATAGAATCTGTATACTCCTTGCGTCAGGACTTCACTTGAAATTCTTCCCATTACTGCTTGCCTCGAGTAAGACAATTGAAAAACTCGACCCCACCCTATTGACTGCGGTTCTATATTAGTCTGTCTAGGCTACGCCCTTGAACAAGAATTACAGCCGCAGTTATGATTCCTCCCATCCCCAATCTTGCTGATTATGGAATCTCGCCAAACCATGGCTTCCTTCCGGATGTCCTCCCCTTGACGAGGCTTCCAGATCCATATTACAACAAGTGGGAGGCTGTCGCCACCAATCTTCAGAGCTTGATACTGAGCAAGCGTCTTCGAGGAGTCATCGACCGTCTTCCGGTCCTCTCCACCATCGGTCTGGAACATGATGCAGAATGGCGCAGAGCCTACATGCTCCTCACATTTTTCGCTCATGGCTACATCTGGGGAGGTGACATTCCTCAGGAACGTGTGCCGCCCAGTATCTCAGCTCCACTACTCAAGATCTGCGAGCATCTCGAGGTTCCCCCTGTCTCTACATACGCGGCCTCCGTTCTATGGAACTTCAAGCCGCTCTTCATAGATGAGGGTATCGACGATCTCGACAATCTTGCCACTTTGATCACCTTCACTGGTTCTTTGGACGAGTCCTGGTTTTACCTCGTCTCCGTCGCAATTGAAGCTCGAGGTGGTCCCATCATCCCGCTCATGCTTACAGCTCTCGCTGCCGCCCGTCAAGGTGATGCTGCAACCGTAACACGTTGTTTGCAGGGCTTTGCCGAGCGTCTTGATGATCTGGGTGAGTTGCTCCACCGCATGCACGACATGTGTGATCCGAGCTTCTTCTATCGTCGCATCCGCACTTTTCTCGCTGGCAGCAAGAACATGGCCGAAGCCGGACTTCCCAACGGTGTCCTCTGGGACGATGGCACCGGCAAGTCCAGCTATGTCCAGTACTCTGGCCCCAGCAATGCGCAGAGCTCTCTTATCCAGTTCTTCGACATCATTCTGGGCATCGAGCATCGCCCTACCGGCGAGAAGGCCGGCGCCTCGGAGTCGGACCGCGAGGGACGCATGCGCGGCCCAACTCACAACTTCATTCAAGACATGCGCCGCTACATGCCTGGTCCGCACGCTCGATTTCTCAACGACGTAGCATCCATTGCCAACATTCGTGAGTTTGTCGAGAGCCGCGCCACGACAGATCGTCCGCTGGCTCTCGCTTACGATGCCTGCCTGGCCATGCTTCGCTCTTTCCGCGACATCCACATTGCCATCGTCACTCGCTACATCATCCTGCCCTCGCGCGAAAACCGCGCGCGCAGTCGCAGTCGCAGCCCCGAGGCTGTCCGCAGCCGCCAGAACCTCGCCACCGCCTCCAAGAACGCCGCCCATAAAAAGGTCAAGGGTACTGGGGGTACCGCGCTCATCCCGTTCCTGAAGCAGGCCCGCGATGAGACTGGCGAGCCGGCCGTCGAGAAGTGGTCGAAGCGCTTCATGAGTCGCGCCACTCGCGCGACCGGCCAGAACGACTTCTTTCTCGGTAAGGCCGAGGAAGAGCAGGTCGTTGACGAGCCGGTCGTTGAGCACGGTTTGGCTGGTATTTGGGCCATTGACGACGACGTTGGCGGAATCTGCAGTTACTAAGTCTTGGGATATGTCAGCACTTGATAGTTATCGACACAATCTGGAGGGTTCTCCTAATCCTCGTCCGAAGTCTCACAGTGAGGCTGCCAAATGTTACTCCGTGACGTATCTTTCCATGAAAAGGGAACAGGCAAACGTAGCAGTTGTGTGACGATTGAAAATGCCTTTGGGCTGTAATGTTGCAGTGCTCTCGCTTCTCAAATGTTTAACCATCACGGGAGAGATCCATATTAGTCCCCCGATTGTGTTTCAATCCAGTCCAGATCACACTTTCAAATTCCACCTCTGACTCTCTAGCAAATCCCCGTATTGTTCTATCCCTCGAGTTCTGAAGCAAGCTTCAACGCCACAGTTGAGATTGCCCGAACGTCTCGCATGCAGGTATATACCCCCACGGGCCTTTGTTTGGTCGTTCCAAATCATTGATCATGGTACTTTTTAGCCTCTTTGTAAAGTCTGTCCGAAAGTCCCATGCTACATCTGCAGCACGGCGCGATGAATCACGACGACGCCATCATCCTGGCCCTCTTCATCACAATCTCCGCCGCCATCCTGGTCACGTTCTGCATATGGAGGACCGGCCGGAGGCTCTTTAGGTGCTGGTACGGCTTCTGGAGCTGTTGTGAGTATGGAGACTCTGATTCTGAGAGTACTAGTAGTGGTGTTGTGTGATTCATGGGGTATTAGTGTAGGGTGGGGAGTCAATAGGGGTAAGAGGGGATGTGGTTGAGAAAGGAGGCGGTGGGTGCGATGGTGACTCTCATGGATGTGTGCACAATTTGACGTAAATCTACGTTCTGTGTTGGGTAAAGACCTCTGGATGACTCAAGTTATGGGCTCGGACAAATTGAGCGTCTTCCATGACTGTAGCATATGGGCTCTGGGATTATGAGCGCCAACCTTGCCCGAGGTAACTCTAAATGATATCTGGCGGCAGACCAGGATGGAATATCAAGATATCGTCATAAGAGAGGTCAATCTTAGTAGTGCCTCAAGGTAAGATCATACACGTGGAGCCAAGAAAATCTTCACATAGAAATATCAATACTTCGAACTCTAGTGTCCGCCTACTGAAAAATTCCGAGACCCTAAACATGACGCGTGTGCTCTCGTGCATAAAACACATCAGGTCTGAGACTGTACCACCAATTGCTGTTATCTAACAAACGATTGAAGTCGCCACTGTCTATGGACTAGGTTGCCAAGCAAAGTCTTGGATCAAATTCTTGGAGGGTGCTGCCCGCAGAAGTAAGGCTGTCCGCATGTTTGGAGGGCACAAACTTCTCTGCTCCATACATAAGAGCACATGGTTCTATCCACTTGAGCTATCATTCTACCGTGGTCACAAACCAAACCTTTGGAAACGTTGCAGTTTGATATTTGCCTAGCAAACACGCCCACCCCTACCTTCGGAGCGCCTTTGACCCACGCAACTTGACTCATCGCTTTCATGGCGGGCTTTGGATATCAGGACTGGGGTACCACCACATGTTAGATTCGGAGGGTCATGAAGGCGTTGCAGAAATATTGGGATGAACTAAACTCTCAACAGGCTGCAAATAATTAATTTATGGAACTGGACAAACATCTGCAGTGGTGGGGAGGGTTGCGGGAAGCAGGTCAGGTCAGGTCAGGTCATTGTAGAGAGTTGAAGAAAAAGCAACTGGGCTTCCCGGTTTCCATATGCTCAAATAAATCCTTAATGAGGAGCATGTTTGAAACAGACGAGTAAGATTTTGGAGCATGTTATGTTCTCATCTAAATACCTCGTAGCAGTACTAAATGGCTTTCGAAGCGATGGTACTCAGATCCTGCTTTCGAAAACAGATCAGTGGTCCTCCCAATATCCGTCAGGATATATTATTTCGAGACTCTTGAATCGCAACGATGGCCCGCCGTTCCTGCGATTAAGATGCAGTAAAAATGCTTCATACTCTGCGTTATGAAGAGTCATGTCTGAAATGTATACACTTTCAAGCTGTGGCCACGTGCGTGAAGTTAAGATCGGCCCGAAGCTGTAAGATTCCGTGTTCATATTGGAGGGGTCACCCCATACCGGAGGCATCTCCAATATGAGCCGCTGGAGACCTGGTATGTCAACGAGTGCTGTCAGGAGTTGTATTATTACTTCTGGCCCCACTGACTCGTCGTATGGCCAAAGGTCGCTACATCGATTGCTCTTGAACTGAAAAGTCTTCAGCTTCTGAACTGAACATGTGATATCCTTTCGCTCCTGTGTTGTCGTTGTCAGAAGAGTATAGTCATGCATGGGTGTGATGTCAATGCAGAAGTTATCAATCCAGTTCCAGGCGTCCCCGACTGACTGTAGGAGACTGAATAGCACCTCGGTGGGCTCAAGATTCGCCCTTGCAAGCTGGTCAAGCTGGTATGGGAGAGAATCGAGCAGAGGTTGTTCCCACACGCGAGGTGACAAGAGGACGCGCATCAAGTCTTCCTTTGATCCTTTGTCCTCGGAATATGGATCAAAGCGACCTCTCCCAAGTGATCCATCATTGACTTCCAACCTCTTCATGCCCTTCAACTTCGCCAAAGCGGCACTGACTCTGCGAACAAAGCTCCCATCTTCCCGCAATCGCTGCTGGTCCTGGTATAACCTGACGTACTCAGGGTAAGCTTCTTTGGTTATCTTCAACCAATGGTCACGTGTTTGAGATCCGTCCAGGGAATTCTCCTCTTCGTATAAGCCGCTCTCCGAAGACTTCGCATCGAATACGCCAGCAGACCACAGAGAGCCCGCCTGTTTTAGGTCAGCATTAAATATTGACCTAACCCGAGTGGTTACAGGTTCCTTGTTGTTCAAGATGCGACTCCATCGTCAGGCTAGAGCAGTATATTATATGCCAAGCGACATAGTTGACCGAGCAGCAGCCTTACACGAAAGAATATGATCATCCATTTCCTTGAGTCGGCGACAGCCATTTGGAAATGCCCTGGTCCATTGTTGAAGAGGGTAGGTTGGCAGACATACCGAATTATAGAGTTTACCCATGCTATATTTGGAGAAAACGCATTCATCGGCAGCCATCCGTGGATCGAAATAGTGTAGGGTCACTTGTACGCCCCGAATACTTGGTCCAATTGTTGGATGTCTGGATAACTCTTCGAATTTCGCTAAAGAAGCTTCTCTCAAATCTACCCTTGGGAAGGTCAGGAGAAAAGGCGTGCTTGCATCGCGGAGGCGTCGACATGTGAGCCGCAGACTCTGTATGGCTTTATTTGGCTGCACGAAGTTATCCATCATACTTATAGTGGCAAAGCGGTCCGAATCGAGAAACGCCAAAGGGTACAAATAGCGGCAAACATCTGTCAAAATCTCACCAGGCAGGCGCATAATGTGCGATCCTTGTACCGCTGGTCTGGATTTAATGTTGATGGTACTCCGCAAAACAAACCGGTAATCTTGCAGTGTTGCGTGGTCCGATAATGAGCGCCGAGTTACAGCAATGGTGTCCCAGATAGCCTCTGAGCATGATTCAGTATCGCGAAGCCCGTGTTTTATGAGCGTCCCGACTGTTGTTGTTTCTGAAGCCTTCCCTGTGCGTTCAAGCTGATCCAGAAGACTTAGCACTCCAAAAAGCGAGTCGAGGTTGCAATGCGAATCCATTATTGGCGCACTATGGTTTTATCGAAAAGAAATTTCTGCTTGCCACGGGCTTCACTCCAGATGAGTTATATGTGATGTCTACTGAAGTGTGACGAATGATCACGACCACTCCAGGCTCCCGAAGAAGTTTTGTTGAGGGTGCCGAGTAGCAACGTCTTGCAGGCGGCAGCATCAAACGGTCGTAGTACTTGAGAATGCCCCACCCACACAGGAACTCCTGCGCCTCTCACATTAACCTAGCATACTTTCTAGCTTGCACAGCGCCACGCCTTCAGGGGTCTCAGAGTGTTCTTTGAGAAGCGCTCCTTCGCACCCTTTGTGAAACATCTGAAACACGGCAGTGACAATAAGAATTATAAATTCTATGATCGTAATATATCAAATACACAAAATCATAGAAAACAAACGACTAATGTCATATTTCCATATGTTTGAATTGTAATTAAGAAGGGTGGTTTGGGAAAAGAGAGTCCTGGATAAATTTCCAGTTATCGTAACCTCTTGGATCGCACTACCGGCGTCATAGGCAACTCTTCACTGATGGCATTTATTGACAATGGATATCGGAAAACATGTGTAAAATTGTGGTAGCATTTTAGTGCATCATAGTGACAGCTACTAAACTGATAAATGTTCTACCAAAATACGTCCTGTGCGGCTGACGGAAATGGAAAGTCAACTGCACATTTCCCCGGCCAGTCCTCCCCTAGCTTACGACTTCCGGTCTTCCAATGCCGTGCTGCCATGGCATCAGTCAAAGTTTCCTCGTTAACAGATTCTGTATCTGAGGACAAGTTGTCGGACTCGTCCTGCTCTTCCGCAGCTCTGTTCGCCTCATCAAGTTGCATTCTATAATAGTTGTAGTCAACCTTGACGTTCTCGTCGGTTGCTGGAAGCTGAATGCCGTGGGCCCAGCTGGAATAATCATGCGGGTCATACAGCTCCTTGATATAGCGTAGCTTGTCTCGGTTCTTGCCGTAATACGCCGTCTCGTGGTCACCTGGCTTCAATGAGGAATCGGGAAAATTGACATATGCAGCGCAACCGGCCATGGCGAATGGCCGTATCCTATTCTTAAACGTTTGGAGGTAACCTCGCATATCTCTCTCCATGAACTTATCTTCCCATGTGATCTGCAAATATGCGTGGTAAACAGATTTTCGCCATCGGAAAGCCGTGTCCGAGTCCTCCCTCCTACTACCCACGCCTCCGGAGTGAATGAATGTAAATGACGCTAATACACGTTCTCCTTGAAACTGGTGTTTGAAGCTTCTTGGTTCTTGTTCGGTAACAGATACGACACTTCTAATGGTGTCTTTGTCATTGGTCAAGGCGAACGAGGTATAGATACTATATGAACGGCTTGTTGGAAACGACTGCTTTGTTTCTTCGTACCACCTCCTATAGTCATCGTCTTGGACCCCATATCAAGATGAACCTCGTTCAAGTTGAGGAGATCTAACAAGACTCCCGCATCGGTAGCTGAGGAGCCCGAGTAACTGTGCCCGCCATTCTTGATCGTCATCGGTATCTTCAATTGCTTTGCTTGGTAGACAATGTACTGAACTTCAGTAGCATTCTCTGGCTGCACGACGACTTGCGGTCTTGAGTAGCGGTATAGTAGATTTGGGTTCACAACGGTTCGCTCATATTCTAGCTCTCCAGGTCTATACATAAGGATCTCTGCAGTCTGTAAGAAGTCAATCAATTCGTCGATTGGCTTAAACATAATGTTTATCTTCTCCTCGAACTTTTTCTTGGGCCGTGTAGAGTTCGTGGCTGTTTTAGCTGGTAGTTTTCTCTTGGCAGCTTTGCCATGTTTGTTATCATTGGTATCCTTGGTATCTTTGGTATATTTGGCATGTTTGGCACCTCTGGCACCTTTGGTAAGTTCTGTACCTCCAGCAGCCATTTCGGCTTTGGATCGAACCATCGTTATCAAAGTTGAAGGACATCATCAATTCAATTTAGATTGTGATTCCACAGACACGTATGGCATTCAAGAGGGAAAAGTCAAATGTTTTGCTGTTTGTCCTGCGGAATTTTCGACTTGTGCCTCATTCTTATCAAAGAAAGTCTTTATTGTAGAGGCATGTATTCAGCAGCACATAGAGGCACAACTTGCTAGAACGGGACATTGTACGCAAGCGAACATCCTTTGTGCGCGGTTTTTGGTGATTGTGTGCCCACGACAACACAAAGAACTCAAAGATCTGTGGCTGATCCAAATGAGAGTCTCTGCAAGCTACGAGCGGGTTTGCAGGAATATGAGAAAAATAAATGGAATTAGGAGTGTGCAATAATAGTGGACATGCAAGCTCCTCTCTGGATTTGCACTACGAATGCCATGATGCCACCAGTATTCAAATGTCCTAACGTGGTGGCTTGTGTGCTTCTTGCAACATCCATTCAACTTCAAGATTTCCAAATAAAAGCCCACGCCTCAAGCCCATGGATCACACATATGTGCAACATCTTTGCTCCGTAAAGTCAATAGAAGTCAAGAAATGACTTCCACGCAGTTTCTTCATGCACTAACTGATAGCAGCATCGCTCTTGAAATAGTTTCCATTGACTGTTGAAACACACATGCGTCATGACGGCCATATCTACAAGCCTGCAGGTCGCCAACTCTCTTGTACATACTGGCAATGATCCTCCTTTTGGTTGTTTCTGTCTTCGGAAACAACTTGCACCTCATTGGAAACCATGATCCTATGCGACGGCAAGTTGTCAGGTACACTGGATACGGCAATGCCCAGGTTTTGCATCTTCACATCTGTCACGATACGCTCCTCGCTTCCATTCATAGACACCCCTGCGGTTGCAACTGTCCTGTTGGACAGCCCACCTTTCCTGTACCTTCTTCCGTGAGAATCGCCGTTGCCGCCGCCAATTGTCTGAAACCCGTCGGGAAAGTTGTATTTGGGCGTATGTGCAGAGCTTCGCAGAACGTTGCCGAACAACGGCTTGAGCCACTTCTTGAGGAGAGAAAAGATCAGAGGAAGATTGGTCGTGCATACTGCCACAAAAGCCTCCCGGGTCCCCCACTCTCCAGCAAGCTGGGCGCCGTTGGCAGAGTCCTTTGAGGGTAGCGGGCGTTAGCCTAAAGAACCACAGGGAGGAATAATTTGTAAACAACTTTGAGTACTTACTTCGAAGACGAAAATGGTTTTCAGTGCCGCACAAACGAGAACGAAAATACCGGCACCAAGTACAATACTAGCTACAATTTTATTCACCATCCTCAGCCTGGACTCCCACAGCAGAGGCAGTGGAATGGCGATCAGGTAAAGATCGGTTACTACGTTCGAGGAAAATGTCGTCCAGATTATCGGCTTGGAGATAGCAGCTTGGCATGCATCTGGAAACGCTTTGGTGAGCTACAAAATCATGTGATCGCTCGGGAAGAGTGAACTCACTTCCAGGGTCTGGATATATTTGCCAATATCCTTCAAATGGGTGGCAAGATAACATGATTGCCAGAATCGACACCACGATTGTGATTCCCACAAGCCCAAACCCTATCCAAATCGGCATGCGGTAGCGGCTGCTCAGGCCATCCTGTAATTGCGTGTAAGTTCCCATCACAGATATATGTATTTGAGTATCTTACAGTGAGTCGGATATAGAATATCAACATTGACAGTTTGAGTAGACCAATAAGAATGGAATAGCATGTCCAGCCTGCGACCTGAATCTTAGAACCCAGGACCCTGAAAACAGTAGAACTGGTCAATACAATGATAACTGATATATTTCCATCCGGATTACTAACCTCAAATCATATTCTGGATCGTTCGAAGTGAGCGCAGCCCGTTGCTCATCGGTCATGCTATTGTTGGCAAGGCTTTGGGCAAAGGTACCTATGCTGTATGCCAAAGCCGACTGGCAAGAGTAAAACAACTACACAGAATCAGATTGTAGGCCAGTTACGTATGGAAGGCAAGGTTCGTACCGCCGCGACCCATATGAGATAGTCATCCACATGGAAATTCCTCCAGCCAACATTCTTCCATTGAGCGTACGTTCGGAGAATCGTCATCAGCATGCCGACAGCGTAAAGAGTCCATAGTTGGATGTTGAATGCACGATTTGCAGCCGTCGCGGCTTCGTCGGCCGAGTTCAGTGCAGCATTATCTGACATTTGCTCGCTCAAATGTAAAAATCAATGACACGCAGCATACTGGAAACACAGAAGCAGACGGGCGGCACTATCATATCTGCGAAGCCAGGTTCCTATCTTGTTTGAGAGTTGATAGCTGAAATCGACAAAAAAGCATGAATACGCCCATGGTGAATTGGTGCCCAGGACCCCAGTCATCTCACACTGCCGAGCCAGGGTTTTCATACTCATTGCGTATCTTGCTGCAAAATGCGGCCCAATACGAATCCTTTTAGCGACAGCCAAACTCTATTTGACCTTTGCGCACGAGGTTTCCAGGTTTCCTCCAGGGGTCTTGTAGCAGAGATTGGCGTGCTGCATTGTAACCCCAGTCACACCTTGGCTGCGTGAAATTGCGACGCAATGCACCCTGGTAAAGGGATGATCTGCGCTCGGCTATGCCGTTGTGTTCCTAGTCCAAGTTCCTGCCAAAGGAACAGAGAATCTTAGAGTATGTTAACGTAATCGCTGGTCCTACGTTCGACAGAAACAAACAACGGTTCTCAATATTTTGAGAGTCGTATATTTTCTTCTCCGCTTGATAGAGTTAGGCATTCACCCAGAATGGGTCAAGATCACTCGGAGAGGTGGGCCTTTCGGTCTATACCGCGGTTAGATTCGTGTCGGTTTAGTTCCTGTTACGGTGATCCCCCGTAAACCCCACTCATTCTGAGCAAGACAAACAGAAACATGATATCTATTCGATTTAGTCAGAGAAATCCCGGATCTCGCTACTCAAGGACCAACTGTGATTTGCTGTAAAGACTTTCGGAAGTGACTTGCCGACCGCTCCGGTGAAGGGACCTTTGACGCTATGTCGCTGTCCTGAAATAATCCCTGGTAACGTGGGATGTAGTCGAACTTTGAGAACATATCTGCCTTAGCTTTGCAGTGACCATGTTACACCACGAACCTTTTCTGCCATGCCAATATTAGGATGCGATTGTAAGGGTATTTCAAAGGGGGTCCAAGCAATTTCATTTGAGCAAGCCCTGCGTCTCTGAGGAAGAAGATCTTTACCGCTTCTCACAAAGCATAATTCCGGGGGCTTCAGTATATAAGGATTGCCGAAGTCCCGTGGGTATTCAACGGAGCCCTCGTTGGATGTTGTCCACCTTGCCCGAGTGTCTTCACGATTGAAAAGTCTATTTAGTTCGGCACGTCCTGCATATATGCACAATATATCGGTTCTTGCATATGGGCCCCTACTACGTCCCGAACGAACGGGCTCGTACGAGATGCCCTTTAAAAGCACCCTTGCGACTACTATAGAGACCATGTTCTCCGGTCCAGAATGGGTGATATGGCCGAAGTGTGGGGTCATGTCGTGCAATGCAGTAGGCAGCGCCTTCGACGTTTAACACCGCATCTATGGGACCCTGACAGCGATGCATGAGAGCTTGCTTAGATACCTCCCGAGCCCTCTTTCGAGAAGATTTCTCTCGGTACCTCTCTCTTGCATCTGAGGACGAAAAGCGTGTAAATTTGAGTTCTGACGCTTCTATCTCTAATTTTTTTCTTTTCACCACCAAGATGCGTGGGTTCAATTTTGTAATCTTCGCCGCGGTGGCGGCATGCTCGGTCGTCTCGGCGAGCGGGGAATCGGTCTGCTCCCGAGCGGCAGCTAGTGTTTCGCGGTTGAAGGAAGTGCTCTCGGATGAAACACTTATTTACCTGCCAGGCACTCCTGAGTTTATAGCTGCTTCCACACGATGGTCTGTTTTAGATGCGCCAACCCCCAATATCGTCGTCGTGCCTGCTTCTGAGAGTGATGTCGTATCTACGGTAACCTTGAAACCACGTTCGCCAACTTGCAAGATAATTCAACGACTGACAAATCAACTAGGTCAAATTCGCAAACCATCTCGGCATTCCTATTCTTGCTTTCAATGGCGCACATGGTTCACTCACCACATTGGGAAAGTTTGATTGCGGAATCGAGATATACCTGAGCAAGCTCAGCAGTGTCAACGTTTCTGAGGATGGCCAGACAGCCACTATCGGGGGTGGAACACTAGCAATTAATGTCACGAATGAGCTATGGGATGCCGGAAAACAAACAGGTGAGTTTTTGGGTGCATTCGGTAGGCGTTTTGACCACAATGAAACTGATTACGAGGGACAGTGACTGGCACTTGTGAATGCGTCAGCCTTCTGGGACCCGCATTAGGAGGCGGTCATGGATGGCTCCAGGGACATCATGGGCTTGTGGCAGATCAGTTCGTCTCGATGAATATTGTACTCGCCAACGGAAGCTTGATCACGGTCGACGAGACTTCTGACCTTTGGTGGGCTGTGAAGGGCGCTGGCCACAACTTTGGTCTCGTCACATCGCTCACAGTAAAGATCTACGACATTGAGCACACGGATTGGGCAATTGAGACCATCATTTTCAGTGGCGACGAGGTCGAGGCCATCTACGATGCGGCTAATGAGTATATTCTCAAGAACGGCACGCAGGACGCGGGCCTGATTAATTGGTCGTACTGGCTCAATATTCCTGCGATTGATCCGGAGAAGGTTGGTTTTTTTCTCTGACCTGAGGCCTTGGAGAGGATCAGCTGACAATTTGGACAGCCGATCATCTTGTTTTACATCATCCAAGAGGGCGTCGCAGTGATCGACTCTTCGATTACACAGCCATTCCACGACCTGAACCCCCTCTCCGTGACCGCAGAGTCGGGCACCTACCAGAATCTGGCAGCGTGGACTCAGATCTCCCTTGGCGATGCCCCTTGCCAGAAGTCAGGCCTTGTCAACCCACGCTTCCCCTTGTATCTACAGACCTACAACCTTACCGCCCAGAAGGAAGCATACCAAGTATTTACATCCAACGTCAACGGCAGCTCCCCATTCAACAGTTCCATCTACATGTTCGAGGACTACTCCTCGCAAGGCGTCAAGGCAATCGACAGTGACTCGTCTGCATTCGCTTTCCGCGATGCCAACATTCTCAGTGCACCGCTTCTCACATATGTCCCAACAGACGCAACCCGGGACCAACAAGCTGCAACGCTCGGCAACCAACTTCGGGACATCCTGCATGCTGGAAGTGATGAGCAGGATTATCGGGTGTATGTGAACTATGCATACGGAGACGAGAGCCCTGCGGAGTGGTATGGAAGCGAGGGTTGGCGGCAACAACGTCTTCAAAGCCTGAAAAAGAAGTACGATCCCAAGGGTGTCTTCAGTTTTTACGCGCCAATTATATAAACTGCAGGGAACGTATAAACCTGGCAACATTACACGATAATATCATAGCATATCTAGCTTCTACTAATACTAAGCACTTACAGTGCATGCATCCTCTACTCGTCATTCAGCTGATCCAAAGCTTGCTGCTCTATATTTAGTCAGCGAACGATTCAATAAGGCAGTGGCGGTTGTGATCAGGGTTTCGAGCATGCTGACTGGTCTTTCTCTGCGAGTCTGCTTGTTGAAGGTGTCATTCCAGTTGCAGACTAGATTGCAAGTAATACATAAGCAGTCCCGCCATATAACATAAAACATGCCGGCTCCACGTAGAAGGCGATCATCCAGGAGACATCGCGGTTTTGGGACAGACAGCATTCACAGAAAACTATCCAAATTCGATATGTGACATGACCTAGGTTAGTCTGTAATTGCTGGATTTCAAAATGAGAGCTGAAGTTAGCGTGTAGTCTAGAAGCTAAAATCTGAAGCGGCGTCCGCTTCGACCTAGCTGGTGTTAGCATCGCAACTATTCAACGCCACATTGAAATATCACGGCTAAGCAACGCTTCCGACCCCTGTAGTGCTCAGTTGACCTGCTTTCTAGATGTGTTTACTTGTGATGAATGAGGCGCGCCAGACCTCTAGCAATGATCGTCTTCAGTTAGTCCCCGACACAGAGAAATGAGATCAACGGTTTCTTAGGAGTTTTCCCATCATGGATTGTATTAAAGCCAACGCGCCTGGCCTCGCGGCTTCTGTGCTTCGGGAGCCCTGGTATTGAACTCGCGTGAGAGTATAGCTAGCGACGATAGGCAACCACCCAGGATGCAGTTAAGAAGAACATTAGCTGTGTTGTCCCTCGCGGGCGGCTCACTTGGAGCGCCGCAAAGTTCAAGGAAGCCATGTAGGCCAGTTTCGGCGAGCTCGTCAAGCGACTCTACATCCTCGCGCGTCAGCTCCGGATATAGTGCCGCGCCATCGCTCAGCATACCGAGTAACTCGTCTCAGAGCAGCGGCTTGTCAACGACTACATCGATTGCATCTCTCTCTAGCACTTCTTTGGGAGCCACTACCTCACAGGTCGACGTTTCTCTATCAGTCGCTTCTGCATCAAGCTCGACTTCTATTAGCAGTGCGTCGTCTGTTAGCAGTACATCCTCTAGTAGCAGTACATCCTCTGTCAGCAGTGCATCTTCTGTTAGCAGTGCATCTTCTGTCAGCAGTGCATCTTCTGTTAGCAGTGCATCTTCAGTCAGCAGCACATCTTCTGTTAGCAGTGCATCTTCAGTCAGCAGCACGTCCTCTGTTAGTAGTACATCTTCAGTCAGCAGCACGTCCTCTGTTAGTAGTACATCTTCAGTCAGCAGCACGTCCTCTGTTGGCGGTACATCCTCTCTTGCCAGTACGACAACATCATTGTCTTCAACTTCTACAGACTACCCCCTTCCAACACCCGGTGTTGCTCAGCCGACCCGCACATTCAGCGGGACTATCACCCCTTTTAGTACTGGAACACCTGTGCCCATCCAAAACCCATCGTTTGAGAACGTCGCAGCTGCAGGTGACAGTCAGCGGCGAGCAAAGCGCCAGTCTGCATCTCAAACTGCAGCCGCCACTGAGGGCTGGAATATCGTGTCCTGTGGTACTGGAGACTCCTCGAATTGCGTGTTCGAGAACTACGACGCCGCCGATGGCACGTGGGCGTTTTCCGGGAAGGACGGCGGACTCCTCTACCAGGATGGGGTCAACCTGGCCGCCGGTGGCGCATATGCGTTCACGTTCTATTGGAAGGTCGTGTCGACGTACGACGGGGCAACTTCGAGCTCGACTGGAAACCAGATGACGCAGGCTCTGTATCTGGGCAGCAGCGCGAACCCGGACGTTACAAACGCGTTCGTGCCGATGATATCAAGCAGCACCGTCGAGTCGGGAGCCGACTGGGCCCAGCAGACCTTTACCGTCTCGAAGCTAGACTGTCAATACGTCAACTTCGCCACCGAGGTGCGCTCGGACGGCTCGCTGAACTTCCGCATGTTCCTGCAGGGCAAGACGGCGACGGGCACCATCGGAGACTTCATCTGGTACGTGGACGAAGTGCGGGTCCAAGAGCTCTCCCCGCCCACGGGCGGCACCCTCTCGTACCTGACGAACACCTGCAAGAGGACGGCCCCAGCTGCGACGACCACGACTGCTTCGGCAACCTCGACCTACACGGTCACGCAGACGTATGATGCCACGAGCACGCCGACCGCGGGCACCAACGCCCTCGCGAACCCGTCGTTCGAGACGACCGCCTTCACCGAGACCACCGACGTGAACGGCTTCATCTACAAGGCCGCCGGGTGGACCTCGACCGGCTGTGCGGGCCGGCAGTGCAACCTGTACTCGAGCGCCTCGGGCAGCGTGGCCTGCCAGGACGGATCGCGGTGCGAGATCTGGAGGGCGCCGACCACGTATTCCCAGACGATCCAGGTGGCCGTCGGCTCGACGTACTACGTCGATTTCTGGGTGCTAAGCGGGGCCGCCGCGGATAAGACCGGCAGCAGCGACCTCCGGATGACGGTTGAGGCCCCCGGTGCGACTCCCGGGAGCGGTGGGTTGGTGCTCGGCGCGTCGAACAGCGCCGCACTGTCCGGGTTCACGCAGTATAGCAAGATGCTGGATCTGGATGCGGACTTTGCCGAGAAACTCTGCGGAGCTTCTGCTGGGGACACGACTGCGAGCTGCCAGGTCACGCTCTCGGCGGGCTATTCGGGGTCTTGGGGTGTCACGGATAACATATCTAATTATTTTGATAACGTCAAGTTCTGGAAGCTAGAGTAAAGGATTAAGACTCCTGGAGCGGGGAGTATTTCGAGTATATACTTAACTAATATTTCAACTTAATCAGGCTCTGGATTTGGTCTGTCCAATTTGACAATTTTATATCACTATGCTCATGGCTGCTTATTCTGAACGGCAGTGTGCCATTTAAAGTATCCCCCCATCCCCAGACCATTCACTTACCTAAACTTCTTTGAACGGCTCTCGAAACTCTGAGTACTAGTCCAGGAGCTTCCTACACCTGACATAATATTTGTCATCAACATAGTACGAAGCGTAATCACGAGGAAAAGCAGACTTTCATCATGAGAAAACAGCTGCAATCCGTTAGAAAGCGGGCTGCTAAGGAAGGAAATAGTGGTGTCTTTAAAATCATTCGTTCAAGGGGTATATGCCAGCCGCTCGTTCCCATTCGTTTTTCCATTAGTCCTTTCGTCAATCGCCACTAATTTTGGCATGCCTGAAATATTTCATGCCAACCCATGCCGTGACTACCCAGACCCAGGCCATTATACACGTCAAAATCATCAAGCTTGGATAGTATCCAGTTATAGGCAAGGTCGGGTCGTCTTCGAGCTCAGGAGGCGCGTAAGGGGTGGTCCCAACGTCCCATGCCCAGCTCCAAACCCCGAGACAGCTCCCCATGCCTATCACAAAAACAACCCAGGTCACAACTAGGATGACCCAACCCCACCATTCCGTTTCGCTGTAGTCGTATTCCTCGTCGGGCGCCGGCAGGGGTGAAGCAGCTAACCCTTGCAAAGAAAGCGGCGATTTGGCATGCTTCACGGAGCGTCGCCGTTGGATAGACAGAGACGGCCCGCGAGCAGGCTTCAGGTAGGATTCGGACCCAGAGGAGAGGTTGGTGAGGGCGGCACGCAGAGGTGCCACATTGTGTTGCCTCGATGGTATTATGTCTTCTTCGTCGGTGGTCGAGATGTAGGAGATGTCGGGGCTAGTACCTTGCGACTCCGGGGCCGACGCTGGTGGTGGTGGTGAGCGTGCAGGCACATCGGCGCGGCGTGCGTAGCCGTCAATAGATGGTCGAGGCGTGTCGTCTGACGTTCCGAGATGTACTCCCAGGCCAATTTGTTCGATAGGCGCGGGGCTTGTCACAAGCTCTACCTTGTCCGCGGCATTCCGGGCGGTGTCGGCTGGTCTGCTGGAGTGGGCTTGGCCTGTCGTGTCTACAACCAAGGATTTGGACTCCCTCCGTTCCCTCTGCATGCCGCGACCTAGTAGGGCGACTTTGCGCAGGGAGCCCTTCCTCCTGCGCGTCTTGGGCTGTTGGCCATTCTCTACTGGGGCCAGGGCGCGGGTCGGCCTGCTCAGGGCCTCCTCGGCAATGTCGATATGTCTCGATTCCTTGAGGCTTGAGTTTGACTTGCTGTCGGAGGTGCGCATGAAAGGAAACCTGGACAGCAGTCCACCACCTGAACCGCTTCTTTTCCTGGTCTGGAGTTGGGTTATGGCAGGTACCGGGACTGGTACTGGCGCTGGCACTGGCACTGAGGCATGGACAGGTACAGACATTGGTATTGGGGCAGCAGCCGGGTTGCCGGCTTGGTATTGTATGCTGGTCCCGGCGGATTTGGGTCGCGGTGGAGTATTCTCCATGGTGTGTGTGGTCAAGTCAATCAGTCGAGCTCGGGGGTGGGTTCAGGAGACGATCCGGCGCCCATCATGACATGCCGATGGCAGGGTTCACTCAATCGTGGTAGTGCACCTGCCACGAGATGGGTATCAAGTGATGGATCGCCAGTGTCTCTTCGGTCTACCACCTGCGAGGCCGAACATTGAGGGGAGTCATGGCTTCGCAGATAAATATACGGGAAAGGTCGTCTGGGTAGAGACGGCCGAAAGTAATGCAATGCAATGCCGCTAACGTCCAGGTCCGCTAGTCGACCCCCTGCAGGACATGGAATTTTAGCGTCTCCTTGCGCCGAGAGGCAGGAGGCAGGACTTTTTAGCGAGACTCGCACGCCGTCGTCGCCGTCGTAATGGGCCAATACAAACTGGAATGACCGACCTACGCCAACACCAACGCCAGAGCATCAAAAGACCACGCTTGGAATGAGAACACGGGCCCGGGATTGGAAAAGCACTAGTTCAGGTCACTACGGAGTACGTGCACTATGTATGCACACACGCCCCCTGCGTGTCTGTCCATCCCATGAACTGTATGACCTGTCGTTGAGTATTCCAAGCAAGCTATTTGAGACAACAGGACACGACACGGTCTCCGACTCGGGGCTGGAGTAGCCCTGGCAGCCCTGGCAATTGCTCTTCTCTATAACCTATCTCCTTCTGCATTCGTGTTCAACGCATCTGCCGAGATTAAATCTACCATCTCGATTGGGCTAAGCGCCAGGAACACATACGTTAGATAGATCACTTATCCAAGGCTCAAGTCCCAAAGCAAGCCCAGTTCCCAGCCTGTCCAGCGCTACCGAGCCATCGTCCCTACACTACGGATTACATACGAATCAGATCGGTGGTTCCCTGTCCACTTCCAGGTGAGGTTTGGTGCTACTGTATCCATTCCTCCATGATCACATTGCATGCGACTCATCAATGGCGCCCGGCGGCCACCGTCCCACTCCCATTCCAATTCCTGTCATTTCCCCCAGTATAGAACTCTCTCCCTCCTCCCCAGAGCAGGCGAACAGACCTAGGACTAGGAGTACGAGTAGGAGCAAAAGCTATCACAAGAGCAATACCAGCGCGCCGCTTCTGCATCTGCCCCGCGAGCCCCTCGAGCAGTCGCGCGACCAGGAGGCGTATCACCGCTTCGAGGAGCCTTTCTACGACCCCAATCGTCTCTCGCCCGTAGCTGCCACATTCCAGCAGAGTTCCGGTCTGTTGTCTCCCACCTACTTTTCTAACATGGCCTCCAATGGCTCGGCTGGCCACGGCGCCACCTTTACCAAGGAGAACACGCCCCCGATCGAGATCCCTAGCGCCGCCCCGAACCCATTCAACTTCCAGACACAAGTGATTTCTACCTCGCCAGTCAAGCCAAACGTCGGCCAACGTCGCGGCCACAGATACAAGCACAGTTCCATTTCAGCGCAACACCAGATCTTCTTGGAGCCGCCGCCTCGGCCGCCATTGGCCCTACCGCGAGACCTGCCCATTCCGACGTGGAGGGAAGCATGGAAGTCCATGTCGACTGATCAGCGGCGCCGACTGTACTGGTGTTGCTGCCACCTGGGCGTGGCATTCTCCATCTTTATATCCGCGCACAACTCGCTCGCCATGACTGCCCTGTCGCATCTGGTCTTCTTTGACGTCGGAAGCGCACTGATCGGTGTCACGGTGGACGTCCTGGGAAACTTCGAGGTCTGGAAGCGAAGCAGTATCCGCCACCCTTTCGGGCTTGAGCGCTCCGAGGTACTGGCTGGTTTCGCTACGAGCGTCTTCTTGATATTTGGTGGCTTCGACCTGGTGAGCCACAACCTTAAGCATGTGCTCGAAGGGCTAGGAGACCACGAGTCCCACCACCCTGATCCTCACAGCCACGGACCTCGAGTCCAGCCGGGACACTTGGATATCACCAGCCTGGTAGCTATCATCGCAACCCTTGTCAGCGCATACGGGCTGAAGAATCACGGGCGTATCAGTAGAATCATGCGGACCAGCTACCTGGCCAGCCTGCCGAGCATCCTGTCCAACCCCTTTCACTTCCTCACCTTGTCAACTGCATTCCTGTTGCTGTTGCTACCGCTCCTCTCCATCCCAATATATGCATGGCTGGATAGCGCTGTCTGTGGACTGGTCGCCATATCCATGTTCGCACTAGGAACGCGGCTAGCAATAGCCCAGGGACTCATGTTGCTCATGTCTTACGGCGGTCGCTCTGGCACCTCTAGCAAGCACAAGGATGTTGGCGTTGCCAATATTGTCAGCGAGATCGAGACGGAGCCGAGCGTGGAGCGTGTGGAGGAGGCACAGTTCTGGCAGGTGCACTACGGATTGTGCATGGCCAACCTGAAGCTCTGCGTCTCAAAAGGCTGTGATGATGGGGCTTTGAGTAAGCTGCGGACGCGCATATCGAACTTGGTGCAAAATAGATTAGGCGAGGGGTATGGCAAGGGAAATAGTCTACGATGGGAAGTCACACTTCAGACAAGGACTGATGCTAAATAGCACGGTTTGCACATATATGATGTGAGGAAAGGGGATTAGTCCACGAGCATGACGCTTCCCATCGAGTCGGTCCGTTCTTACGATAAGCAACACCTAGGCTATATACCCATTTATGTACGTTCAACCATCGGACCAGTACCACATGCCTCTTTTTGCCCTGTGTCGCAACCCTGATGGACAACATATACATGTATATACCTATGTCCCAGGTGGGCAGCAGTAGCGTACTGTGCGTATTGATATCACACTGTGCTCTTAGACTGTATCCACAATCAGAAGGGGGATCCACAGCTGCTCTACCACAAAACTTGAGCTCTGAGTTTTTTCCAACATCATTCCCTTCCCTTCCTCCATACAACAATGGGAAAACCACCAACGGCCGAGAATGCAGAGATCCGTTTCCTCCTTTGGGCGAATCCTTCCCAAAGCAAGAGCAATGCTCGAATCTCAGACCCGATCAACAAGGATATTGAGTTGATTAATGCGCGACAAGAGGCCTAGATGGTCGTAGGTATGCGACGCGGCGCCGGCATCGAAAGACCGGGCGCTCCGAGTTTCTCGCATCGAAACACGCATCACATGTCTTGAAATCATAAGAAATCTTCTCCGTCCGGAGAACAAGACATGACGGTGGCTCTGTGTTCTCATGCTGTCCATTCTTCTTGCGTTGTCTTGATTTCTCTCCCCCGTTCATTCTTTCGTTTCGTCTCCGGGTTTCATTTTTCTCTGCTTCTTCTCCTTCTCTTCCCCCCCCCCAAATTACACACATACCAACCAGCTTCTACAAATGCTAGAGCTTGCCGTTCAGAATTTATTTAAAACAACGAGCAAGTGTGGACAATGAAGCAAGATGAAAAGCCTTTTTGAAATACAAGAGGTGCCTCGTTTTTCGACCCTTCAATCGAACTTCGAGGTTCCCGCGTGCGCTTGAGTTTCGTCCTGCTCATGGTAGGACGCTTTGTGCGCGTGGGAGACAGATATAATATGATACAATGTGATGTGTGACGGTGCCTTGAGAATGTGTGTTTGATGTGAAGCCGCCTTACATCTGAGCGATGTAAGAATGGTTCTGGGTTCAGATTTCGCTGTAGACGAGGTATGGCTTGTTAATGTCTGGAAACGATCATGCATAACACAAGAATGTAGCCTCGCTATTTACTTGGCAAGAGTCTCGCAATGAGAGCGCTGAATCTTCATTGTTCATGCCACTCCATACTGACGAGGCTGCACTGCTCCTAATTCTTGTTGAACATGCTGCAGCGTGTTTGATGATCGTTGGATGTGGTGTTCCATATTGAAAGTGAAAATCGCAACCATCGGGTTGTTGAGAATTGAGACACCCGCACTTGTCCACTTGTGCACTACGACACAGTCATATGTGGAACAAATCTGGCAGTTATTTTTTCTTATTGATCCGTAACTCCCATGGCTCCTAGCATTCGCGCGAACGTGATCCAGCCCCCCATAGTTTCCTTCTGGTAAGGCTATGAGTCCATATTTCTAAAGACCTGGAGACGAAGTGGCGCATCAGGGTGCACACACTCAAGGTTCAGCGGCCGCGACGCGATGGATGATCGAAACCGGTACCAGCTCATGACGACGCATGAGGCATTTAAGCCTTGGCAGCGGGGACAGGTGTGACCTTCTTTCCGTCCTTGTTGTAACGAACACGGGGCGGGGGAGCACGGTTTCGGCGGCCTACTCGCGAACGAACACTGAGGATTTCGTGTTAGAGGGACAAGGTTGACGACATGGACCACTGAGAATAAAAAAACGTACCGGACAATCTTGCCGTGAATGGCACAAGAGACACAGTACTGGAGCTTCAGGTACATCTTGGGAACGGTGTACTCTTGGAAGACGGAGGCATCGGAGATATCACGGATAGCTGCGCTCTCAACCATCTGTCACTCAAAGTTAGCGATTGCACTTTTGAGAGGCCCCAACAATGGAATTTGGAAACGTACGTTGCGGATTGTGAAGCGCTTGATGGCCTTGTCCTTGGCTAAAAGACACCCAAGTTAGCGAGGCTGAGCATTGGTGGGGGAAGGGCTCATGTCGAGGAGATATTCGGGGGCCAAGGGCCAGCGCAGTTGATCGGATAGGAGTACAACGAAGGAGACGTACGTGTGCATCGAGAGCAGTTGGAGCATCGGACAGGCTTCACGTGGCCGCGGCCCTGCTTGTTACGGCCTGCAATTCGTGATATGTCAGTATTGAACTTCGTCAGTCATTGGCGCAAAAGGTATCGGTACCATTGTTCTTTCTCCTGAGGGACGATGTTGGTTAGCTAGTGACCTGCGAGGGTAGTCGAGGAAAAAAAAGAAAAACCTACTTCTTGACCATCTTGGCGACTCAACGCAGTTATTCTATAGAATGACTTATGCGGTGAGGGCGAATATGCGCTTGTACTGAGAGGAAGTAGAGGAAGTGAGTGGGTTGTTTTCGGAAATGTTCAAGTTGTGTGATGCGCAATTGCAAAGTGGGGCTCCAAGAGGTGGCTGGTGGCTTAGGGCTGGTGGCTTGAGATCAAGTAACTGGACATATGACATCGTCAACTCCTCAAGCGGTCGAATAGTTGACTCGCTCATACTTAATCTACCTCAAGGTCCTCCGGCTTGCTTCGAAAATAAGAAAAGGAAGAATCTAACAGGCGGATGTTCATTTCAGTTCCCACCGGAAACCAGTAGTATGCGTACATTACATGTAGTCGGAGAAACTCTCTATATAAAATCTAGTCTAATGGAACATCTGAGTAACTTGAGCTAGAAAATGCAGTACGAGGGTTCATTCCGTCAGGGTGTGTTCGAGGTGAAAAAAAATCACTCCAAACTTCTGAGAAGAATATTCAAAGACAATATGCGCTTTACATATCTATCGACGACACCAACGTTTCGGTAACTATGTATGTGGCAAGTCTAGATCCTACTCAAAGGTGGTGGTCTATCATCATGTCAGGTTCCGATTCACCACTAGAACCATGACTCTTCATAACTGTGTACTTACTCACTTGAAGTTGTTCTTCATCTCCCGTAGCTTGCCCATGACAGAGACAGGGTCTGTCTCGCCTGTGGCCTTTTGTATTACAGGATCCTATTCCAAGTCGTCAGCATTTTCATTGTGGCCTCTTGGCGCCAGTCTAGAGCATACTTCGACACGCATAAACACGTTGTGTTCCTAGTACCCCGTTAGTCTAGTACTCATCTGCCAAGAGAGCAGATCAACCGCACCTTCTCATCACCAATGGTGAATTTGCCCTGTGTCTCCTTGTTGTTCTCTGCAAAGGATTGTAGCTTCTTGACCGCCTCGCTCTGTAGCACCGAAATGCCGAACTTGACGTTCGCCTTGGTGTATTCGTGTCCGGGCTGGTTCTTATCAGCATATTGCGTAGCCAAGCAGGATCGAAACTGTTAGATATACGTAGACTTTGGTGTCATCTGGCAATGAGGCCAGCGTCTTGTTCAAGGCCTTGTGCATCTCGGTTGGGGTTCCCTCGAAAAACCGACCGCATCCTATCATTGTCCTTGTCAGTCTCCTAACCCCGTTCACTGGCTGTCGGTTGAACATGATTCAGGCATCGAACCTACCGCCATGGAATAACGTGTCGCCAGTGAAGACCACCTTATCACCACCATCTTCCATGAACCAGCAGATGCTGTCTTGTGTGTGGCAAGGCGTGTATAGACCCTTGACGGCAATGCTGCCCAGCTTGAAGCCTTCCCCGTTAGGGGGTGTTTGCGTTACGCCATCGCACTCCTTGCCGCCGATGATAGGGAGCTTCTCGTTGCCGAGCTCTTGCAACTAGGCCAAAGTCAGCTGCTTGTGGTAACATTTTCCTGCCAAAGATGCTTTACCAGTCGCTTGTTGCCTCCGGCATGATCCCAGTGGCTGTCATCCTGGTCAATTTCTACCCTCGAGGTATATGTAGCTATCATGAACTCACTGGTGGGTATTTACAATAGCTGTGAGGTTGATCTTGCCATCCTGGATGGCCTTCTTCAGTACAGGAGCGACCCTGACGAGAGATTAGTACGTATCTTACAAATAGGCATGATGGTAAGGGCGTTGCATACTCCTCGGGGTTTGCGGGGTCAATAATGACGGCATCTTTGGACTTGTCATCGACTACCAGGTACGCGTAGTTATCACTACTTCCTACCCCTAGTGAGTTTCCGTATCAGCAGATGCAGCCTTGCGAGACTCTAGACATGGTAGACTTGCACATAGGAATCGACTGGATATGCATGGCGCGGGTGAATGCAAGCTGATGATTGGTGTTAGTTCGGGACACCCTGATGGGCTCTCGGTTTCAAGGCAGAGCCATCGAGCCAAGAACCGTGGCTGGGCCACTCACAGCGGAGGTATATGTGCTGAGTTTCGTGAAAGGTGACAATCTGGGTCTCATGAAGCGATTCATTGATTCAATTCTGGGTTCCTTTGAGCTGTTTTCCTCTCGAGTTACTGCTGGCCTGCACTGTTCATACCTGTTGGCCAATGATTAGCAATGACGTTACACCCCCCGGATCCACCGGCAATGTGAGCCCCGCAGGTGTCTGGCGGCTGCAGCTTGTATTCTGTATAATCGAGAAGGCCTCAAGGAGCATCGCGAGAGTGTTAGAAGATAGTGTTTACAATGGTTTTTTTCTTTTTCTTTTTTCATCTTCTCTTTTCTGGGGTTTTATCTTTGTTCAAGTACTTTCCTTCCGAGTGACTAAATTACTCCTATAGGTTTCGGTTTCCATGTCCCCTCATATCTTGACCACCCCTTAGCCTGTGGCGCAGCTTTGACTGGTCTCTCCTCAGAGTGAGGCCGCTCGATGGGCTGCACATCGTCCAGTTCGGTCGCCATTCGACTCATCTCCGCTTGGATTGATTCTAAATCCTTTAAGTTGCCTGCGTATTCACGCTTCGGGGTAGAAGTTGCGGATAAGCTTATCTTGCCATCTAGTATTTGCCGCGATAACTTGGATGCCCGCAGCAGCACACGCGGATCCTCTGCAGACTCCTCGATCTCGGTCAATGCCTCAAGCAGAGTATCCTCGTCCCAGTGGCTAAGACGTCTCTCATGAACCTTCCTTTTTGCCACATCTTCGGTGAGAAGATAACTTAACAGCGCCTCGGAGCACGTACTCCCACTCGCAACATCCATATTACCACCGTCGGCAGACTCCCCGTCGGTAAGATGCTTCCAGTAGTAATCCCAAATCCAGACCAGTGACTTATGCGCCGCCGATCTGAGCTTCAGCAGGGAAGGAAGCTGCTCGTGCGTGCATTGGTGCCTAAGTTCGACAAATGTTGCAGGCAGACCGATAGTTTTGGCTATCGAGTACATGCTTTGTTTCATTTGCTTATCCTGGTGGCTGTCCAGCAGCCCTGTGACGAAACTGTAGATCTGATATCAGCCCTTGTTTCAACGGCGGGGGAAAGAGATCTACGAAGCAGCCCCCAAAAGCAAGCTACAGCAGGTAGACTCCAAAAACGAATACCAAATGTCTGTTCTCCTAGATAGACTTCATTGGACTGCTGCACTACAAGTCTCGCCATGGTAGCCTCATTACCGAAAGCGCCATTTTGCTTTCATACGAGACATGAGAAGCAATGACAAGGTACCGATGGGCTGGCAACGGTACTACTGCTAAAGCCATACTACAGGGAACAGGAATTAAAACTTCTCACAAGTTTTCTCGTGTTCCGCCAGCATCTTGATGGATACTAAGACACTGCCACATCTGAGACACAACCAAACTCTCGGACACACCCAGAAAGAGCAGAGAAGCAAAAGATGGCGTGCGTGTGCAAGATCCCCAATGCTCAAAGGAAGGAACAAGATGATTACACTTACCGGCTAAAGGCAGCCGAATAGGCCAACCTCACAGCGGAAGTGCCCCCGGTGCTTCCTTGGGCCTGTAGGTCGTCCAGGATGGCCGCCATCAACAGGCCCGTGGACTCGACCATGTGGGGACAGCTGCCGCGCTGCACCCACATGGCGACTCGGGCGACGGCGTGTCTCTGACCAGACTCTGCCTCATCTCTTATCCCAAAGCTTGTTGCTGCATTAACTGATGGCGTTGTGTTGGCGGACGCGGTTCTGACAATGGTGGTGCTGGCGTGCGGTGATGAAGGATAGAATTGGGCGCGGACCTTGAGTAGTTCTGCGCGGTCCCGCCACGGTGTGTGGATGTACTGAACCATTTCGAGTAAGACAATCCGAGGGGGGAAAGTAAATCGTACGGGTTTGGATACAGATCGTCAGATTTGAGATTGTGCTGTACTAAATAGGCGGGCGTTCAGAGTAAGTTCGATAGTAGCCAAGTGAAGGGTCTCAGTTGCAGTAAATTTCACTAAAAATTGGGCTGCGGTATGTCCCGCTACTTGGAGCTGAACCCCTAAAACCCCCCCTCCCACATGGGTATGAGGCATGCAAAAGTCCGTCAGTTTTGTCGTTCGGTGCATGCACAAGGTTGATCATGGTTTCTTTTCGAACACAAAGTTGCAAATCACGGACCTTGTTCTTTTGTCTATGCTCTATCTAACATGTAGCTTTTAGTTGTGGCCGCAGACTAGCTAGCCAGCTTCAGAATACACACATCCGAGAACGAGCTAGTTGCGAATCTATGAGATCGTCTTCTCGGTACAGTAAATGCCGTACTTCTCCTTCAGTTCCTTCATGATTGGGTCGTTGATCTTGGAACCCATAGGAGCCAGGACACCCTTCTCGGACAGGGTTCCGTTGAGCACCTGCTTGACTGCAACAGCGCATGGCACACCAACAAGACGAGCCATGGCACTGTAGCCTTTAGGCTCACCGTACTCGACCAGGGTCGATGTTCTAGTCTCGTGGCTGCCGTCCTTGTGCTCAATTTCGAACTTGTGCTGTAGCATCACAAGATCTCTCTCGTTCTCCTCGAATTGCATCTTCTTCTCAAGAGTCGCGCACAGCGTGTCGAGCGGGTTGCCGCGGGGAATGGTCTTCTCATCGGAGAAGATACCGATCCATCGCAGTCCACCGAGGATTCTCTGCTTCTCCTCCTCTGAAGCGAACTTGGCCTTGGACAGAACAGACGCCTCCAAGTCGGACTGGCTGCTGGATGAAACGCCCAGAACAGCCTTAGTGGCCTCCTTCCAAGAGACAGACTGCTTGAGGATGTCTTGCTCGTTGTCGTCGAGGAAACCAATATCAACCAGAGTCTTGATGAACTCGGGGAAACCTTGGTACCTGAGAGTTCCACGGATGATAGTGTCGGCCTCGGGAATGTTATATCTGGTTCAAGTATCAGGAGTCAGCAATGTTCGACTGCGCCAGAACGGGCCAAGATTCTTGGTTTCTTCTTCACACAAAGAAGGAACAATCCAAGAGTGTGAATCTTGTCTTGGCGATGGACGTACCTCTCCTTGTAAGGTGTAGAATCTCGGTTAGGGTATGCAACGAAGGCATAGCCGGGGTAGATGAAGTAAGGCTTAGCAGTAGCCATCAACTCTGGACCCTCAACCTCAACAACCTTGCCATCCTTCCAGTACTTGGCGGCATTTCTCAAGGCTAGCAGGACACCGCGGGGCGACCAAGAGAACTTGTAACCCAAGGGGTTGTCTGAAGCCTCCGGGGCGGGAAGACCACCGCAATACGACAAGAAGCTCTTGACCTTGCCTCCGGCGCTGTGAACCTCCTCAATGGTCTTGACGGCGTACAAGTCTGGTCATACACGTGTCAACATCTTTGTTCTTATCGACAGATTGAAAAATCCCAGCTGATACTCGCGCAAAGCAATTGGCACGGCCCCGGAAGTGTAGCAAGCAGCATGTATGTGGGTTGACTTACGATCAATACCAGGGTCAAGACCAATCTCGTTCATGACGGTAATACCAGCATCCTTGCACTGTTGGTCGAGCTCAAGCATCGCCGGTGAGACGTAGCTTGTGGTGACAACATGCTTCTTCTGTCTGATGGCGGACTTGATGACGGTAGCGTGGAAGGTGTAAGGAATCAAGCTGATGACGAGGTCGTGCTTCGCAACCTCGGCATCCAGAGCTTGGTCGTCGGTAACGTCGAGGGAGATGGGAGTGGCATTCTTGACGCCGGCCGAGAGGGACTTGGCGGACTCGAGAGTTCTGCAGGCTAAAGACGGGTCAATGAACTATACTATTCGTGAGATGGTTTCGGCCGAGGGGTTCATACCGACGGTCACGGGGATGCCGGACTCGGATAGGATATCAAGGGTCGGTCTCGTGACGAAACCAGCGCCGAGCATCAACACCCTGCTCAAATCAACATGTAAGTAAGATGTCCTTCCCCTTATGGTAGCAATATGCGGGGCCAAGGTTGTGCCTTACTTGTGGGACGCCATTGTGAATGTGGTTTGAAGTTCTGTAGATTTGTGGCGATTTCAAGATTGCCTGTCAAAGATCAATGACGAGAGGTTATAAAATAAACTATTCACGGTCCTTTCTTCAAGACCTTTTGATCGAGAGACAGTACGGCTTCGGCTTCGGCTCCCATCAATATGTTGTGATTGTACCCCTTCAGCTCTTCTTGGAGGGGTAAAAGCTGCCCGTTCAATTTCTCAGGTGGGGTTGCCTCCGATGACGGCAGAGTGTCGGCAAGTTTGACTCGGGGAGCAGCTACCACGATTACTCGGTATGGTGATACGGGCATCCGTCCTCCACTCGATGCAGAAGACTACTATCTATCACTTGCACATTGTCACGTGTTGCTGCAGCACTAACATGGCAAAAACTCTACTGCAACACATAGTAAGAAGTTTCATCGAAAGTTTTCTCGAACCGCGATTAGTGCCGTCGTGATCCTTGAAGGCTTAGCTGATATCACTACTTTGGTGGGTGAGGTCACGTCAGCTCCTTGGTGTGCATTCGTGCGCGGCCTTATTTACGAGCAACAATTTAATAAATTCACTTCCAAGGACTAAACCAAGCTATGCATATCAAGTAGGCATATATTCTGAATGGGGCCGGCGGTGCCGGTGTGAGTGTCAACAGTTGGTCATGTTGTGCTGCGTATTCCCGGCTCAATGAATCGCCATTAAATTAATAGCCTCTTGGTGCTACTCGTTACAGAATTCCTTCCTAGTGTAGGTTACGTCGGTTTCTCCAAAGAAACTATGAAAAGAAGATCATGGGGCATCCTACTCCGGAGGAAGACGTACAAAGTACCGCTAAGGTTCGACGGCTGTACAGCCTCAAATGTGGAAGGCCCTTCCGACTCCTTGCCGTGGTAGTCAAGGCGGTTTGCGAACAGCGCAGTTTGCGCCGAGCAACAGTCTATTCTTGTACATTGGCTGATTTGCCACATACTGCCATTATGTGTATGTAGTTGTCTTCATAATCCGGCACGGGGTGAAATCTAAAGCTACACATCGTGACATTGAAAGTTAGGTGGTCCATTTCGCGTCCAGCGACGTGGGCTCTTATTGGTCATACTCCACTCCGCCCATCGCCATCCGTAATCCACATGAGCCGACAAGATTCTTCAAAAGAAAAGGGAAAAAAATTTAGGACCCAGCGCCAGAAACTAAAGTCCCCTGTCGTCCCACGTTTGCGCTAACTTTAGTCTTCAGGGAAAAGAAAAGGCGCCTATAATCCCTGTCCCTGCGTGCAGTCATCCCTGTTGGCAACGGGCTTCTAAACCATGGTGTGGGGAGCTGCCGGAAACAACCCGCTCCCCGTGGGACCTCAATCTTGGAAATCTCGACCCTTTGGGCTGGAACCGAGGCTGGTAGTGAGCTGTAGTGTGGCCCGTTCGCCGGTTTGCTGCAAAATGCACGGCATTTCATCACAAGTCACACAGGTACGTACCTTTTGCGGCATCGTGACATTGCCTGCCAGGTTTCAAACAGCAAAAGTAAACTTACAGTTTGCGGTGTACATATGAGTTATCAGTCTTCACAGGAGGGTGGCAGAATCTCACAATATCATGGTTTGAGTAGAACATCTTTGTTATTTGTCTTTTTTTGCGTAGCGTGAAATGGCCCTCAGCACATCTTAATCGCCTTGGTTATGTATAATTTTACTATCTTATGTGAGGCACTCAATTGTACCAGGCTTGACGCCTCGACACGGGAACACACGCGCGTCTACGTACACATCTCTCGACCCATTGTCTGGGGAGATGTGCATTAAGTTCCTCCCTCAACCCTTGTGAATGCTTGGTCCCTAGCTCTGCTGGACATGCCGTGCTTGTTGACTGGGAGTAATGGCAGTACTGCACTTAAGCCTCATCATCGTCATCGTCGTCTGCCTCTGCATCGTCTTCATCGTTAGAGGACTCATCGTCCTTCGGTGGCTCCCAAGCCTCCTCCAATTTCAGACCTGCTCCTTTCCTGTATGTCGATCCTAGCAAATCTGAGGTGGTTGTCCTGTAATGGTCCAATCCAGGATCTGTCTCTGATTTTTCTGGAGCATCATAGAGCCCCATTCCAACCAGGATTTCTCCCTCCTCCTCCTCTGGCTCATCTAACGGCTGGTAAGGTATCGCTTCCTCCGTAGGCATAGCAGCTTCCGGCTGAATGATTTCTTGTTGATAATTATCTGGGGTGGGAGGTGCTGTGCAGGTATTGAAGCCATTTGCAGCAAAAGCCTCCCACTCCATTGAGGACTGATTCGCATAAGCAGGGAAAGACTCTGTCGTATCAGGACTTCCGCTTGGACAGAACGGTGTGGCGTTGATATATGTTGGCGTATTCCACAAATAGGAGTCTGCAGGCATGCCGTGAGATATTGGTTGCTGCGAGGTTGGCATAAAAGGCATGGAGAGTGGAGAGAATGATGATATTGGAGACGTTTGTCCAGAGTAGACCGCTGGAGTAGGCGGGAATTGTTGGTATCCGTTATATATGTCTACATCCGTGTATGGAGTTGTGGAAGACATCATATATTGTGATACATCGAACTGGGGCATCTGTTGAATTTGCATCTGAGATTGTTGTGGGATATGTGAGCTTGGATGCCAGCTCACGGGCCGTGACGTTCTTTTTACTGGTTCTTGGTATGCCTCATAGGTTTGTCCTTGTATTTGGTGGTTGAGAATGGCTTGATCGAGAGCATATTGTCGCCGCCTTGCAATGTTTCCATCATTCATCAGTGTCCTCCTTCTTTGCTGCATGGCCTGTGGGCTATTGCTGGCGCTGCTTGGTTTGACGACGCGCATCGAGCTTGCTGGTCTGTACCCATTGGAGGATCCACGAGACATCCTCCTTACCGAGTCTTGTAGTGCCTGTTGTCTTGAGAAATCGTCGAAGATAGGCATTGCTGAAAATGCCTGAGATGCATGATCGAGCGTGCCCGCTCCCATAAGGGAATGCATCATATTTGTGGTTTGGAAGTAGTTCATGAGATAACACAATACTGAGTGTCGAATATATTGTACCGTTGCTAAAGTGAATTGAGTATTTTAGACAGAGGGTGAGAGACGAAAGATTATGTATGAGAGTAACAAGATCCACTTTGGACCTATACAATTCAGGAATGCTCGAAAGTATGGATCAAGATTCAAAGGAGATTTATCAAGTACGGATCGATCAAACCTAACATGGTGTGGTCCAACTTGCTGGCATATAGATTATATTAGTCCTGGAGCCGAGAGACAGTACTAGGAAACATTGTCTGGTTTGGCATGTGTATGCAAGTACATAGTAGAGAGAGAGTGTGTGTGTGTCCGCGCGTGTCTTTAGCTCCATCTGTAAGACAGCAGCCGCTTGTGGTTCTGCGTCATATGGGACCGGCAGGGATTCTGGAAGCCATAAAAGAGGATTCATTGTGTTGATACCAAGTTGACCAGGGACGGGCGGATAGTGATAGTACATTTATTAGTGCGGACACGATCCAGGTTACAGAGCCACTGGATCTGGATGGCTGCAAGGTGTGTTATGATTTGGCCGGCGGTCAAAGGGACGGGTTTCGAAAGAGTTCAAGGGGTTCGGTCGGCACTAGGCGCTTTCACGGGTGGCCCATGGCATTTCACCGTCTTGCCTGTTCTGTAAGTAGTGGGCGAAAAGCCGATCAAGACATGGTGGGTACAAAGGAGCGCCATGAGCTTGTTCGTTTCGAGAGCCTGCTGAGGCGTGCACATAAACTCGCACCGGAATGGGTCACAGAGGACGAGGGTATGATTTGCTTTTGCCGTCCATCCTTAGACTGCAAGGGGGTGCACAGCCGCAAGGGGAGGCGTACGTCCAGTAGTTAGCCTCGAGAGCAGGCTACTGTGCAGAAGTTGCAGCACTGACGCGTGAAGCACCATCAACAGCAGTCCATCCGGCCACTACGTAAAACTAGGGATCTTGCTCCACCTTGTCGGAGGCCCAAGACACGCTTTCGACGCCTGCTCTACATACCAAGTGGTAGCTTGGCGGTACCGTCGGCTGGGTATGCAGTGTCAGAAGGGTACGGAGTACCCACATGAGAATTCGACACTCTTTGGGCTTTGGCGGATGATTACTACTTCCGGTTCGGTGGTAGCACGCATGAGTTCCAGCGGTGCTGTCTTGACTGCAACCGACATCTGGACTGGTCTTCTTGAAAAGGGAGACCTGGTCTGGTCATTGATGAGGACACCCCAGGGCTTGAATACAGCTCAAGTCTTGATTTGTTGGATATCTGTCGACCGCTAATCCCTAGGGTGAGACGAGTAATACGATCCATCTGTGATGTAGTGCACGACAGCAGTCCCCATACTCAGGAGGATGCACACAAATTACGACCCCCTACACATTGTGCATGGCACTTATGGAAACACTCACGACGCAAGGTCTTCCGTCTGAGGCGTTGAGTATAAGCGGAGATCGTCATCTTCAACAACGATCGGCCATTCGCCGTGTGGATGTTTGTTCACCGGGCAAACTTGGATATCGAACGTGGTGTTTGCGGTGGGTATCTTCGCAAGCTACATGGTACAGCTGATAGCTATATGGTGGGAGCCAATTTCTGCATCCAATGTAGTGCGTTGTTGCTGCTCCATTGCCAATCATGGCAACTTTTCCTTCCATTCCTTTACTGCCGCTCAGTCCCGGTTGGCGATGGTTAACACTAGTCAAACTTCTCGCGCACCACGTAGTAGTCATGGGAAACAAGCGGCAAAATTTGCGAATTGCAATCCAAACACAAAGCCCTGCAAGTCTGAAGTTTGGTGGCCCTTGATGAGATCAAATAGCCACTTTTCGTTTGCGAACATCCATGTGAGACCGGCTTTTATTATTATCACCCTACATGCTCAAAGATAGGGTTGCAAGATCCACCTTGAAAAAGAATGGCCGTGGAGACAGCGTTTGCCCTGCAAGCACCTGCCAGACTCTTGGCTATGCTTCATGCCTGTGGTAGTAGTTTTGCACATCACGACAACACCAAAAACAAGATGAGCAGAGTTGCACATGCAAATGGCTTGAACAGCTCAAATGACAAAGAAGTTCAGTCGCCTGGGTGTTTTGCATGCAAGGCTTCCTGAGCCGGACCATGCGCCTATTGTAAGCCGCCTCATCTGCTCATTAGCATTAGGTTCGCATGTTGTGTACCTTGAAGTGCTGCGGGTGCTGTATACTAATTAGTTGCTGGCACGAGCAAGGTTTATCAGTAGCTAGCGAAGTTTGTGATTGTTACAGTGTCCTCACAGCCACGAAATTGGTGCCAGAGCCGTAATCCACCGGCTATCTTCAGCGCTATGAAGTAGCCAACCATGGTGAGGTCCAGGCGAATCAGGCAGCTTTCACGTCAAAAAGTTGTGCATTGGCAAGCATGGACAAGCCAGTCTCACCGGAGCGGATGACAGCGTCATCTCCAACGCCAGGTTCTTTGTGGCTGTCGGTGATGATCGTTTTCGTTTCTGAAGCAATGTCCGCTTCTGCTTATTACCTCTTACCTGAAGCGTACTGCTGGTGCCATCGCATCAAAGCGGCACCCATCCTCTCGGCCCCCGCTTCATTGGTCTCAGGAAGTTGATCATGGTAGACACCATTTCCCGTAATTGCTGTACTATGTAACCCTTCTGAGCTCCGCCGGCTCTGAAAGGGCCGCCAATAACTGCCTAGGCTTGCGAGGCGGTGGAAGGGGTCGCTCAAGGGGTGTTCAATCCCAGCTGAATGTATTGTAACGGCACTCGCGTAGATTGCCACTTTCGAGTTCACCACTTCTCATATGACTCCGCCATTGCTCATTACATACGGCATCCAAGGTACGATAATCTCCACCAAGCTGGATTTTCTACTTACAGTCTCACTCACTATTGGCTATGTCGTGGCCAGAAGCGACTATAATCTGGTTTCCACTTGTGGTTCCATGGTTTGACGCTTGCTATGGGATTATCACAACCGTTCATCACGGCGACGCTTGCCGTGGCCCCTGTGTCGAGGTCTGTAGGCCACATATGCCAGAGTAAGCTTTTGCGTGTATCAAGTGATACGATGATTGCGACCAATGGAACAGGAACCAGACTGCATGCACGCCAGCAGTGAAACCTTGGTTGCCTGATGGGCGCAATGGAAAAGAACTCGCAAGATATCACAAATGACCACGAATTTTGAGGCTGATCCAGGCCGGATTATCGGAAACCTTTGCTGGAATCATCCAAATCCTTGATCCTAATAATGTCCATAGGGATCGGGAAGATCCACCCAGGTACAGAGTGTTTCAATCCTCTTCTTTTCACGAGAGCCTAAAAGCGATCCATGCGATTGTAACCCGAGCCTGTCGAGTATGCAGGCAGTAGTAGTCGGCAAATTGTGACCATGGATATTTATCCCTGGTTCCGACCTTGCGTTTTCCAGGCGCAGAGAATGGTGGAGATCCCAACCCAGTATCAATTGGGTTACGCAAATGGCATGTCCGTACTTGTATCCTTGCTCCTTCCGTGTGGGTGTGAGTGTTGACTACATACATACTATGTATGAAAATCACTCAAGCTTAAACGGTCAGGCGACGAGCGGGATACTGTTATGATAGAAAGAAAAGTCTTACCCTATTGGATCCTCCAACCACAAGGTGCTGAGCCAGGCTTAATTCCCAGCCCCTCAAAAAGGAAATCCAAGACCACGCAGCAGCTCTCTGCGTTCCCCACTACACCATCAAAATAGTCAATCAAGCAATCTTGCTCTCAAGCTTTTCGTCCTTACTCCAGTTTGTAAAAGTGCTTGGGGCACAGAGCCTACGACTGCTTCAACCGGGTTGCATGGGCTGATAGGCCTCGGTGAGACCAACAGGTGGAAAGCAACGCAAGCGACTACATAGTATGCATGCTCCGAGCCATCGCCTGAGATGATAAACCTCATGCGAGACCTGGCAAACTCGTCATCATTACACACTTCAGCCGGGCAAATTTTTGTTTTAACATGTCAAATACTCGTCCACAGACTGAACTACGCAGCCTGCGGTAAGAGCAGGCGGCATAGTACTGTAATTATGCACGAGTACAGTCGCCACATTTTCCAACCAAATTGATACTAGTTCTTTCAAGCCCTCGTCGATAAACCCAACCTCCATGGTCTCAAAATAACAAGCGCCTGACGCTTTGTCTGCACCGAAGACCGATCGAATAGACAAGCGGCCTTGTGCTAAGTGCTAGAATCAACTGTGCATCATCACATTTGTTGGCTGGGGTAATTTTAGCGGCGGGCTACGTTCATTACATGGGACAAGAATGTGCCACGCAGAGCGTGCCAGCATTTCAGGCAAGATCGGTAGAAGTACCTTTTCTGTCTTGTAAGGATTGGCTCGGAGATGATCACTTCGTCGTAACGCATCCAGTCCGTGTCACCGCGCTCACGGGAGGGTCCCGCAAAACACGCTCAACCGGCGCCATGGGTAGAGCTCCATCCTTGTCTTGTCACAGCCGTTCAAGTGGCGTTCGAGAGCGTTGCTCAATGCAAGGATCAAAAGTATGCAAGGAAGTGGCTACAAGGTATCGCGCTTTCTTTTTTCGGCCGTCGACACCTTCATCAATCTCCACGCCATGATATAATGCAAGTTTCACCCCGTCATATCCTCGATAGTTGTGACCAGGCTTTCACCTCTGTTTTATGTGTAACAACGAGGAATATACTCCACATCATTCAGATTCATACATTGTGTCGCAATAGCCAGTAGCCAACCCTTGGGAGACCCTCATAATAATGAAAATCAGTGTCAGTACCATTAGTGAACAATGAACAGCATTCCTCAAGGCTTCAGCTCGTGCCCAAAAATATATCATGGTAAGCGAGGCGTCATCACTATGGGGCCAGGCAATCCTTGCGATAGACATTCGGCAATTTTCTGGAAAAACTCATGGCCTTTGAATTAAACTCCCAATAGGCCTTGAACCTTGCACAACATTTCTGACTCGTGAGACCGCTCCTCAGGGGTCTTGCTTACCTTGGGCCTTGCGCATGGTACTCCGTAGCATTATGCGGGCTCAGTGCTCAAAATCCTTGTAAGACAAGGCTGAGCTGGAGACCCCCACAATACGCACATATCCATCAAGCCACCAGAATGTTCGCCAAAGCGAGTGGCCTGCAAAACTGCATGATCCCTGCTCGATGGTTCCAGGGGTTTAGTGGATCTCGTGTCTATGCCACCGAAGATCTACGCTTGTACTTGGATACATCTGTAGCGAATGGCTGATCAACGGAAACCAAAGAAATAAGGACTCTTTGTGATGATGGGTATAGGGACGAGGAGCCCTCGAAATGCCATGCTTCAATTCTTCTATCTTTGTCACAAGTTTGGCCTCATCTGCATCCAATCGTCATATTAACGGGGGAATGCAAAAGATTTTCTTGCTGCGGGTCGCTGAATTCGATGGTTTCTCTGTACCAATGAAAACGTGCTCTAGCCGCATGGGTCTACTGTATCGACAGCAAAGACGTACCTCAGGGCCGATCTTAGTTCGTGCTGCTCAGATTATACTAATAAGTACGATCCATGGTCCGACGAGCATTTCTAGCCTGGACTGCATAGTTGACTAGTCAGCCGTACGAGTCAATCCAGCGCCAGATGCTGCGGTGACACAAATTTCGTTCACCCTTATGCTGTTTTGCCAGTAGCACCTTGTTACGGGGTGCGACATTCGATGGCCGAGCATACCTGTGCCTGCTAGCTGATCAATCACTCTCACATGAGTACCGGTGTACTTTTCGGCACATATTTGGTACTGCGGCGGCGTGAACATTATATTACGATGCAACAATACAAGGTTGTAAGATCTTCTCTGCGAGTGGTAGATGAGTTGTGATCAAATTGGTATTTGAAACAAGTCTGGACCGGCGGATTATCTCGGTTACTTCCTTGCTTACGACCCAGCGTGTTATCAGATGGGATGGATGGAGGGACATTCCTACCATTCGATAACGTACGGATCCGTACTGTGTATGGCTACTACATAGCATGTATGCATATCCGTGCTTGGGGTGAAGGTACTTATGGACCTGGCTGATCTTCACACTTTCTCAAGCCTCTCAGCAATATGCGCATTCCTGTTGGATGTGCCGTGCCCAAACGTCGTGCCAACTCGGCCGCAGCCTGCCCTTGTGTTTAATTGCCAACAGTCTATCGAAGCGCTAAACTCTCGAATCTCATCCAAGGCGATGAAAAATAGTACCGAACCTGGCTTTCAGTGGTCACCACCAGATCGTCGCTTTGTCAAAATACCCGCTGAGCCATTCTTCAGATTAGGGTTGATTGCTATACATACCAGGCAGCCAGGATTCAAACATAGTTTCTTATCCACTCCTGCAGACAGGCGATCTGCACTGAGAACCGTCTTCGTACCGTAGTTGAGGGTTGACGCCCTGCCGCTCTTTCTTCCGTGTCGCATCTCGCCGTCCGTCACCACTATCCCGGCTTGTAGCAGAGTCTCTGCGCGCGATCATCTGATGCCCGCTCATCTGGTACAACACTACTAATAAGAACTAACGTAGAAGAATCGAGCCGACATCACACCTTCGCTACGTGGGTGCCAAAGACCGCTCGCGCGTCACTAGCTCCTGCGCTGCGTAGGCCGTAATATACTCGACTCAATGAAACCAAAGTGCCCGGGCGGCACCAAAAGAGTCCTCAACAAGCACCAATCACACTGCGCGCAGACACGAAGCAGCATTCTTAGCAAAGTAGTTCCACTAGCGAGATCATTGCCTGTCCTGGGTCCGGCTGAAGTGCATGATCAAGTTTGCGTCATCTAAAAGTCTAATGGAGGATTTCTGGCAAATCGCGAATGGGCAAAAATAAACATGGGAATTATTTCAGGCGTCAATAACAATATCCACTGCCATTCTCGTGTTGGAACCCTCGTTTCGCCAGATTCTGGTACAGGCGACAAGACTTGACGAAGACCTGAGCGCTTCATAACGAGTCTAGCGACAACATCGACACGCAATCATCCAGCCCTCAATTAGATCGGGAACCCTTTGGACGCTTTTCACATTCCTGTGGTCGTGTTCAATTCCGGCACACCCACCCACCAGCTACAGCATACATTTGTAATCCGTAAGCATGATGCAACAGCCTATTGTTGCATCGGGGCTCGGCGGATCGCATCACCTGCCTAAGTGCTGCAAGGCATGAGCGATGAGATGGAACACTAGCGTTTCGACTCAAGCATCACAATATTTTTGACGGGAAAAAGGGAACTCAAATATCCGTCTTAGTTCGCCAGCTATTGCTTGCAGTCACTTTCATAGTATTCTCTTCACTACTGTGAATCTAAGGATCCACCACCAACTCACCGCTCCTTCACACCCAGCTGTGACGGAGTTACCAGTCCAGCGGCCAGCCAGCCCCTCAGCTCGCCCCACGAGTCGTCTTTTGTCCATCATATCACCAAACAAAGTAGGGCCATGACCATATGCAGGGGAGGATACATCGACCCGCAGACATCTCGGCCGCTCTGTTCATTCAACTATTATTCTTAAAAACAAGGCCGCGAGTGCCTCGTGGCGCCCGCGTTAGAGAAAGTCACGTTGATCATGTTGAATATGCAAAGATACAAACCTATCATATCGTGTGCGCCATCCCAGAGACTGCCCACACACCGTTCTCCGGATGCAAACTTCCAAGACTAGGTGAAGACTACATGATTACCTGTCACACGATTAGACATCGCTGCAACTTTCCTGACACGGTCATCTCTCACACCAACGAAGCCTGTCGGCTTCCCATTACTTCTCGGCCAACGCCACCAAATCCCTCCTTCTGAACCTTGCAGGTAGCAAGCTGCACGGCAAACCGGACTGTGCTCTCCACATCCCCATCCTCAAGGTGACACAGAAGGGCGAAAAGAATCCCGGCGACGAACGTGTCACCTGCACCTACTGTACTACAATTCATGGATATTAGTCACTTTTAACCATCCACGAGGCTTTAGGGATATTGCTCCTCTATCCCTTTGGTGGTTCTGCATACTCAACTACGCGAACCGTCTGCCCAGCAGATAACGCGGGGCAGGACGAGTAATTCCTGTTCGGAAGTGACATCCACGACGCTCCATCCGACCCCCAAGTGCACAAGAGAAGAGACCTGTTGCAATGCATCAGTAAGGCGGTTGGTCAGCTTATTACGGAATGGCTATCCCGCTTGTGACATACGCTTTGCGAGCCACGATGCGTTGGGCCTCCAGGCATTCCTCGGCTGTCTGGTAGCCTTTATCCTGCCTACTCGTCAGCCTTTTCTGCTTGTTGGCCTTTGCAGCCTGGCACCAACCTGAGCCCAACCTTTCGAGTAAAAGACGACGTCTGCCTCGGACGCCAGCTCTTCCAAACCCGACCGCCCCGGTTTTTCGACCTCCACACTGATTTTGGTGTTCGGATATGCTTTCCGCAGATGTCTAATGCACCTTAACGTCGTTTCCGGAACTCGCCCCTTTTCTCGCGATCATGAGTGTGCGGTTCGTTTCATGGCTCGGTCATGGTCAACCGTACCTCAAAATGCCACCACGTCCTGCCTTGCAAACCGCTCGCTGCGGCAAGGAATTCATCCCCCGTCATGTCTGGTAGGTCATTAAAGTTTACCGAGGTACGGGATCCCGTGTCCTCGCTACGTATTATGTAGCTACTCGCCGGATCTGAATGCTGCTCCCGATAAATGCACCTAGTCAAATCAACAATCGAGTCGGATCCGAAGGAAGCTTTGATACTCGCTGTCGCCTGAGACGATTTCGACGGCAGCACCGAGATCAGGTACGGTGTCACATTGTGACCTGGACGCTGGGCTAGAAGCTGTTGCAACACCTCGAGTGAGTTGGGACAATTGCCGCCTCTGCGGACTTTCAGACTAGTCGCTCGTAGCTTTGAATCTTCCTCGGGAAAGTAGGGCACACTGTGTTTTTCATTAGCAACCAGGCGACGGGATGTCTCGGCGATGTTGTGCCCTTGCCTAAGAATTGTGTCGAGGTAGCATGCCCCAACACAGACGAGTGTCGTCATACTGTTCGTTTTGCAAACCAGGTAACGTTTCACAGATGATCCTGGGTCGTTATGATCAAACAAAAGCGATTTGGCGACTGTTTCCAAGCACGAGTACGATTAGTTTCGCGGTCGATAGTCCAAAGATACGGGTTGGCTGTGGCTGATCGATAAGAACGGCGGGTCCCCCATGAAAGGAAAGCATACTCGCAACCATGTCATAATGCCATCTTCAGAAGCTACTCAAGACGGCGACCAGCGAATATAACGATATTCTGCACCGTCTAGAATTTGACCGAATTTGCCGCCGTAATAGTTTACTTTTTAACACGTCTTACGAATCGCATTTTTATGGAAGTTTTCCTTGCATTCCATTCTTTGCAGATTTACTTCCTAGGGAGATGACATGCTAAAACATTCATTCGGGTTCTGGGATTGACGGCGTATGCTCATTATGATTTACATTGCCAACACTCTGTATTTATCTCTGTGCTAGTGATCATCCTCACACGAGTCGTCAGTTTACATGTAGTTGCCATCGTTGGATTAAACAAATATTGCGAATCATGCATTCAACTTCAACCTTTTGCTGACGTGTTTTCAATCTGAACGAACCTGCGCACATCTGCTAGAACTCTGTAGCCCAATATCAATCCCCGCCGTTTGGGCGGCCCTTTCCTACAACTCTAACCTTACTCGCTCCGGTCGGGGATCTTTGGTATCATCCACCAACAGACCCCGCCCGCCACGATCAAGGCCAGCACGATGGGCTGGAGGACGGCCACGCCGGCACTCGTAGCGATCACGCCCGTGATGGAAGGAAAGATGGCGCCACCCGCCTGGGCCACCACAAAGACAAACCCGAGGGCGGCGGCCTGCGCGTTCCGGGGGAACACCTTGGACGCGACCGACATGCCGGTCGCGAAGAAGGGCCCGAAGAGGAAGCCCATGAGACTCAGGGCCGTGGCGCTGGCGATGATGTTGGGCTGGAGCCAGAAGACCAGCTGCAGCGCGACGCACAGCGCGCTGTAGATGAGCAGCATCCTCTGCTCGCCGAGGCGGAAGGTCGGCTCCGCCAGCAGGATCCGGCCGAGGAACATGCCGCCGGCGTAGCCCGCCGGCACGTAGCCCATGCGCGACAGCTCGCCGCCCCGCGCCGTCGTCAGGAACTCGACTACCCAGCCCCCCGCCGTGAACCAGGCGCCCAGCTCGAAGAAGTAGAACAGGCTGAGCAGCCAGACGACCTTGAGCTTGAGCAGGCCGGTCATCTCCTGCAGGGCGACCTTGTTCTTCCTATCGCTGCTGCCGTCCCCGGGTCGCGATCCAGATCCGGGCAGCTTCTGCCAGAAGGTGTCCTTGAAGGCCGACATCACCCCGGCCATATTCAGGACCGCGATGCCAACCAGCACGAAATACACCATCCGCCAGCCCTCGACGGCGCCGTAGCGGCTCTGCGTGGTGTTCGCGATGCCTGTGGCGGCCAGGGGACCGATGAATGTGCCGAGGGCATAGCAGGCGTGGATGAAGCTCAGCCAGCGGTGTGGTACGTTCTTGAGGCCGCTCACAAACGTGTTGGAGTGGCTGTCCTGATATGCCATGCCGACGGCTTGGAGAAAGAAGGTGAGGCAGAACAGAGGGAACGGGGACCAGGGACGCAGACATTGGGACAGGAGTTGCAGGAGGGCGCCGAGACCGAGTAGTTGCCCCAAGGTGAGGTGTGCGGTCAGGAGAGGATTTGTAACGGCGGCGAAGAGCCAGCCGGCAAAGGTTGTGCCATAGCTGTCATCAAGGTTCCATGTTAGCACTGTATGAATTTACCTGGTGAACAGATAATGAATATTTACATAATGGCTATCTCGCCTGTGCCAATCTGGAATGTCGTGAGCATACGAGGGATCAGTGGCCCCAGTGTGCCGTCGTTGACTCCCGCGCAGAAGAAAGAGAAGCCGGCAACGACCAATTTGTACATTGGTGTACCAGATTCAGCCAAGACGGCGTCAGCTGGAGCCTCTTCTGCTGGGAGCGAAGCTTCAGGATCCTGCTGAGCTGAGTGTATACGCAGGTCCGTCATGGGTATCGGCTGGGGCTCAGCGACCATGGTCCGAGTGGTGGCCATTTTTACGAGGTCGATGAGAAAAGCTTTACACAGGCCAAAGTTACATCTTGCTCCTACAATCACCGAGACGTGAGCCTTCCTATGTATGTCATGTATATTATCATGTCATATCGAAGGCATGGCCCCTCGGGAAAACGTCGGCGGAAGGTCTGTTGGCGCTTTGGTTGATACTGCACGTCGGCCCGCTATCCCCGGTAATGGTGAGTTGAGGCCGGGAATGACGCATATCGTGATGGCTGTTCTCGGCGGGGTTGTTCTTAATTGGTTCAAACACGTGGTGAAGCATACATCTGGATTTATTTGGTTCGGAGCAGCTCCGCAAGCTCATGATAGATACAATCTGAGTCGGGTGGCAATGCCCCGCGATCGACTCACAAGGCGCTCACATTTGGCGCGTCTGCAGGCGCGTTTGATCTCACAGCTTTGATTTAGGATAATGATCCTGGCGTGTCGAGAAGATGGAGCGGCAGCCACAAGACAGGACAGGAATGTTTAACGGGCGTTGACCTCTAGGCAGAGTGAGAGTAAAACCTTACTCGTCAGGCTTGATTCTTACGTTTGAATGTTCCTACACGGTGCCCGCATTTTATCGTGCCGGACGTCTTTTCTCTGGCGCACCAAGAGCTTCGACGCGTATCGCGTATCACATAAGTATCATTGTCAAGAACTTGTCGTTTCGCAGCAAACAGGTGACCGACCACCGGGCATCGACGAGTTCGCAGATTTCACATTCTTCTTCACCTCGAACCTCAAGGGACCGCAAGCAACGAAAAAAAGAAAGTCTTCCTCATAGAGGTAGTGTGTGCCAAAAATTCCCTACCCAGCCGTAGCCAAATAGGAGTGGTCATAGTCTAGAAAGCACGTTAGAATCGATCCCTGGTATGATATCAGGAAAGGCTGAAGATAACTTACTATAGTTTTCAACTAGCAAAAACGCAATCTCGGACGAATCCTCACTGATATGCGTAACGCCCGTGCACCTGGGACGGTTAGGATTGCTGCAAGTATGGGGTGGCATTGAGTGTGACTTACTAGGATGGAGAAGACAACATTCTCGAGGGCGCGAGGAATTGGTTTTGTAAACACAAATGTGGGGCTGCTTTACTGCCGAGCGGTGAGTGGCAAAGCCCAATGGTAGGTGCCCAAGGCTGGCGAGGCTCGCACGCAACAGCTTGGGAGATTAGCTTGGGAGATTAGCTTGGGAGATCAGCTCTCAGCAGTGGTCGCCATGTTATCTCATGTTTCTACAGTGATCCTACAGTGCCGTGACGGCAATTGGCAGTGGGTGCAACAGCCGAACACTAGCCACCTTGGCCTGCAATCGTCAGCTATCAGTCACTACAGCCACTGTGTATTCTCCTTGTAGATTGCGACGTCTGGCATTGGAGATGCCCGTAAACCGCCTGGCCATGGACATCTGAAGTGATGTGAAATTGATAACAGCGGATTGAGCGTCTTCTTGCCCGCAGGTGTGAATAACCCCGTGATAACATGTAACGAACTGAATGCCAAATCCACGCTCATATTCACACTCATACTCTTGCTCGCTATCCCTTGCTGTCATTGTCCCGAGTGAATTCTACTGGGGCTAGTACGGACGAGCAAAAGCAGCAAGCTTCTCTCCCTCTCTCTCTCTCTACACTGGAGTAGCAACCCGCTGCCCCTCGTCAACCCACTGCATAGACACGAAATGAAGTTGGCAACATGGGTGCGAGCGACTCGAAACTAGTCTTCAAGAAAGGCATCTTCAGGCTTTCGGAGGAGCGACACATCCCTGCTGATGATGAATACTGGACTTCGGTGAGTCCAAGTCCAAGTCCAAGTCCAAGTCCAAGTCCAAGTCTGAGCTGAGCCTCGACCCTCTTATCGCGCACATTCCCCATCTCGTACATGTACTCACATGCCCCTGCCGCAGTTCTGGGAGTTACCCGAATCGTCCGAAGACATCTTCAGTCTCTTCGCACCTACCGACGTCCGGCGAACCAGAGATAATGCCATAGAGAATCTAGAGACCCTCATACTCGCCGTCACCTCCCGCCTCTTCATATTGCGGCACCACCCTTCGTTCCCCGACCCTGAGCTGGCCCCCGAGAAGGACGCCCTCAACTGCATACGGATTCTCAATCGCATTCTCCCATACCTCTACGAGGCCGAGCATCTGCAAGGATGGGAAGAGAAGTTCTTCTGGGGCACGAGGAGGAAACGCACCCGGCGAGCTGCCATAGCGAACGAGGTATTGTTCGACGAGGCGCAACCAGACGACGCCGACGATGGCAAGACGCCCCTGGACGAGTTTGAGGAAACAAAGCCGCTCGCCGAGGAGCTCATCGACACTTTGACCGACCTCCTTTTCTTCTCCGACCTCACTGTGCCCAAACAGCCCCATGGCAAGCCCAAGGTCACATATGCCATCTGGCAGAGCGGCGTCGGCTGCAACACCACCCTCCCAACAACCAAGGAGCATGAGGCCAACCGATGCGAGATACTGCGGTTGCTGCTCACCTTGGCGAGTCAGAGCATGTACATGTCGCCCAGCGTCCTGCCCACCAAGGGCACGCGAGCATTGACATACATATGCACATGTCCGGACAAGCAGGTGGTACTATCCGTGCTCTGTTCCTTGCTCAATACAGTATGCCACCACCACCAAAGCCGCTTCTAGTTGCTTTGCTAACATTACCCAGACCCTCAAGTATAACCCTGCCACCTGGAAAGTGCCGTACAATACGTTGGTCTTCAAAGACGAGAAGCAGATACTTGTGACCTATACCTTGCAACTATTGCTAGTCATTCTCCTCTACCCAATACCCGAACAGGTCACCGGAACGACACCAAAGAACTACTATCGACACTTCCTCGGCAGATTACACAGACCCCAGGATTTCCAGTTTATCGTCGACGGCATGACCAGAATCCTCAACCAACCCTTCCAAGCCAACACGTCGTATATTCCCGGGACCCAGAGCAGCACCAAGTTCTCCCCAGAGATTATAATGCTATTCTGGGAAATCACACAATGCAACAAGCGGTTCCGAGCCTATATGATCGATACCGAGAGAGCGCATGATTTCGTTATCCTCATACTATTTTACGCCACTGAGTACAAGACGGATGCTTCGAAACAGGGCGTCGTGCGAATGTGTGCTTTCTTACTGCAGACATTGAGCGTAGAGCAAAAGTTCGGCATCAATCTGAACAAGGCATTTGACGGTCACGACATGCTGCCTGCAGTCATCAAGATCCCAGGCTTCCGAGGCACATATGCCGACTTCCTCATACAAGTAAGCAATGGCTTCCCATGACGCCGTTCCATATCTCACCTCTGTCTAGTCCATCTACAATCTCATCACTACGAGCCAAGGAAAGCTCTCGGCTATTTATCCGGCTTTGCTCGCAATCATCAACAACATTTCGGCTTCCCTGGAAGGCATCAACACAATAACATCCACAAAGCTTATGCAGCTGTTCTCGTCCATGTCGTCGCCATCGTTCCTACTGACCAACGAGAGCAACCATAGCCTGCTCAGATCACTGCTTGAATCGATGAATACCATCATCGAGCATCATTATAAGGGTTCGTTCAAACTTGGCGACTGACAACCCAAAGCTTACACCCCTCCTAGGCAACCCATACTTCGTATATTCGATACTGAAAAACAAGAAGCGATTTGAAGCTTTGCGCTCCTTCACACTAGAGAGTGGCCAGGAAGAAATCGAAAGGCGCAACCGACGAAGGAAGGAGAGCGGCCAACCTACGGACCCGTTCGATATGAGTAATAGAAACTCCGTCGACAGCTTGCGGAGTCCCACCACTACCCAGTCACGAACTCATTCTCTCAGTGACGTACCAGAAGAAGACAACACGTTCGCGATTGGTGACGACGAGGATGACAGCGACGATGACGAAGAGCGCCCCACACCAGCACAATCAAGCCCAAGCGAGAACCCTTCACGCGCATCGTCGGTGGTCAGCATCGATGATGCCGTCCCTACGCAGCTTAGAGGCATGTCAGAGAAAGCTCGAGGCAAAATGCCCGCAGGTGTTCCTTCATTTTCCCGACAGAACAGCACTACCAGCCTAGGAAGCTATTCTATAGCAGGTCAATCCACTTCTGGCGCCTTCGAACCTTCTGCGCAATGGATCGAGGGCTGGCTAGCAGAGCTACCACTCCACACGATCCTCACCGTGATACAACAACTTACTGCCCTTATCACACGACAAGGCTTGGATATTGACAGCCCGTCTAACGGGATACTCAAGGCAATCCGGGATGCAGACCTGGTTGGCATCGAGCTCTCTTCTGTCAGAGTTCACTCATTCGAATGGTCGCCTCTGGCCTTGGGTTGGTACGAGTCACTGCTTTGGGCTTTTGTGTTTGCCAGCGAAATGCAAGTCGCCAAGGGCACAGTTGGCATCTGGAATGGAACTGCCATCAAGTTGTTCAAAGTACAAGAGACAGCAGCAGAGGGCCCAACATTGACCTCACCACGAGGAGCGGTGGATGCCGTAGGAAACAACATTGTGTCACGAATGGCTGCCATAAACTTGAGAGGTGGCCCAGCCGCAGCCGGCACTGGTAATGCTCCGCAGCCTAGAACCGTCTGACCGAAGCATCACCTTGTAGTAGTGGGAAAGACAGTTGGCCTTACAAGACCTACCGTACGTGGAGTAATCTCGATTAGCTTAGCCATCGGCGTTCTGGTTGAAGGACGTATTCTAGCATTTAGAACTATCAGCCTGCTTACCAGAGCAAGGTTTCAGATCATTATAAGAGTACTCGGATTGATGACCTTTCCACCACTTTTTGAAACGTATCTTCTTCCATCTTCTCTTTTTCTAGATACTGCACTTATCAGGTAGGGATACAAAACAATGGAGACTTCCTATCTTGAATTCTATAGAAAAGCTCGATGGGACACAGGGAAATCGTCGTAGCACGCTGCGGCTGGTCATAATTCACGGGAAGACGACTACAGGCGGTCCTTGTCTGGTTACGACTGCTTTAGAAGTCGGGACGGATTTGTCCACTGGAGGTACGGTAACAGTAGCATAAAACCCATCTGCACATGGCGGGGAGGGGGGGTTTTCCCTCCTCATTTCGAGTAAGAGATGGTGGCCGTCCGCGTCTGCAGTATAACCTCCTCGCTGCCCGAGTCCGCCATGGGCCCCGCGTCGCCGGATCCGTAGGCTTCGACGCCCACGTGGTAGTTGTCGGACCTGAAGCGGTGATCGCCGTGCTCGATCTCCGCGATGCTGTCGAAGCGCCGGCTCTTGCCCTGGCCAAACGTCCGCAGCACGTGGCTGTCCTTTGAAACCTTGCCCGACGACGGTCCGGATCCCCCGCCGCTGGTGCCGTTCTTCTTCTGGGTCGAGAACATGTGGCTGAGGAACACTCGGAATGTGGGAAGGCAGCCGCAGAGGACGATCAGGTTGGATTCTACTACCCTGTGATTGTTTCAGTCGGTTAACAACAAGAAAGAAAGAAGACGAAAGAGAGAGAAAACCCGCCGGACGGACGACGAGCGGATCTGGGAAAGATGAGAAATAACTTACAACCAAAGCATGGCATCGGCCATGGTCCACGGGACGTCGGGGCTGTCGATCATGGACAGGAGACTGACCAGCCGCATGACGGCCGCGGCCAGCGTTATTATGCCGATGCCGAACCAGGCGACCAGGGCGGCCTTGTGCTTCTTGGACATATGCAGCCGCAGGACGGTCGGGATCGGCTGCACCATGAGCAGGAGGTCCGTCACGCCGCCCGCGATCGCCTGGAGCATGTACCACGGCGGCCGCGCTATGCAGTTGTCCCCCGTGTACAGCCTGAGGTTCCAGGCCGCCGCCACGGGGCGGCACGCGAACAGTACTGCGAACCAGACTGATCCGAAGCAAGCGATGCACAGGAAGCCCGTGAACAATATGCCGTACTGGTACCAACGGACAGGGGACAGTCGGTAGTAGAAGATACACAATGTCAATTTGGCCAGAACGGTCCCACTGCCCATAGAGAGTCCGTCAGATTTTGGCCGTTTGCGAGTAGGGTTGATTGATGTTTGAGAGTACTCACACGATGGCGGTCAATGTCAACGCTGTGATGATCTGCGATTTTCGGTGTTGAGTGGTGCGGTGCACTGCGTAGACTACTGTCGGAATAAACCTACCTGTGTCATGTAGATGCTTTTGTCCAAAGACTGCTCCCAGCCATGAAGTCCTACCAGTCCGAGGCGCCAGAGGTGTAGCATCATCACTTGCGTTGCCACCAGGAATCCCTATTTGAGAAATATCAACGCCTTTATACTCAGCCGGTCGGTCGAATCACTTACCCATGCAACAACTATTATGTCTGCAGCATTATTAAGTTCTAAACTCAGAAGTAATTGGTTAAATGATGGATGGTTTTCTTTTCTTACAGTCATCGATTCGGACTTTCCGCAGCACAAACCATGATGTGTATATTCGCTGAATTAGGAACAACGTTGCGATGGGAAACTCTATCCCGAATGCCCACAGTACATGTGTCTTGGTCGATTCGTCGCGGTAGGGATGAGTGAAGTTCACAACCCAACCGTCGGGAGGTGGAATCATCACTTCGGTGCCATTGATGATTGGAAAAGCCATGATGTGTTGGAAAATGGAATTGAGTTCTACAGAGACGGCATACTAGGCAAGAAACTCGACAATAGTGATAAACAGACCATCAGAAGCCGACGCTGAGACTTGCCGCGCAGTCAACATATCATATGAATTTGACAACCGCAACCATAACTCCGACTCCTTTGCAGCTTTGCAACGTTCTGGGCGCAATGTTTTCGGTGTGTGTATCCACTCTTTGTCTTGTCCGGGGCAAACCTCCAGGATGTTTTTTTGGATATCATTTTTATTCAGGAACAATGTTCGATGATCTGCACTGTTCATCATTCCTGCACTCCATCAAGTGCCGAACTGTTGAGACATTTTGACATTTTGAACAGCTGGCATACACGGGCCACCTTTTCCCTCCAACGCAAAACCCTGCCTATTTTTTTCTTTTCAATTGAGGTGGTTTATATTACCTCTCATGCATTAACTAACCGTAGTGAATCTTTTTCTAGTTTAAGCTTTGTGTAAGAAGGAAAGAAAGAATAAGAAAGAGAAAAAGGGAATGCCTTGGATATATATCATAGAGTCTCATTCTCTTACGAGTGATATCAAACCGATGGGCGATAGGTAGAGCTGCAAAGTCACAAGTGCGTATCCCTTCAAAAGCTTGTTGAGGCACATAGTTCATTGACCCCTGAATTGAGTACTGAATAACTAGACACAGGTAATGGCTCATGCAGGGGAGAAAAACCCCGAGTGATCTCACGTAATCTGCACAGAAGATGCTCCTGTTTTGCCTTAAATCAAAACATATATAGCCATGCTCAAAGATTAAAAAAAATTAGAGATATATAATCATGTTTAGCAGGCGAACATAGTTCTGGGTCTAAAGCAACAAAAAGCCTCTATTATGTTACGTTAGGTCACATTACGTCGCAAAACATGAGAGGGTATTACAGATGAACAAGTGTCGGGTTTTTCTTCCCTCTGCAAGATGGTTATACCACAGGGCAAAGATTGTACTATCAAATAGCGACTTGACGATTACAGGGAATATTCGAACAAATCAAACACTATGATACAAGGTACAAACACAGCCGGTCTTGGCCTTCCATTGTCATCCTGGAAACCGCAATCTAATATTTACCGGTGGAGCAGCCCGCACCTATAGGAGAGTCTGTCACAGCGGACCCTCACCGGGGGGTGCAACAAGCATTTCTCGGGCCGGAGGACTCCCCGGGTGCCATTTTGCCACGGACTCCATGTACGGTTACATGGTACCCGGGCTCAGAGTTAATCATTTCCCAATCTGCCCGCTTCCCTAGTCGTATGTCATACGAAAAGGCAACAGTGAAGATACGCAACAAATAGGAACAGCGCATACGTAGCCAATTGATCTATCTCCCTCCCTCCCTGGCCAGGTCTTGCCCCCAGTGTTTAGAGCGGCGACTTGTGGGTCACTGCAAGACCTTGCATCTGTTCCTTTGCACTCTGTGTATGCCCAATTGGCATGGTATTTGACGAAATGAGCTTGCCCGCGTGCCATATTAGGAGCTTTTAGATGGATATCCAACGGTGCGGTGATCCTGGTTTGTGGTTCGCAGTTGAGCCTGGGGTCATCTCAATATTGGACAGGTCACATATGGCGTCCTCGCTGCATAATCTTGCCTTGTACCCCTTTGGACCATTTATAACACTGCCTTGGCCGTCGTGGCACGTCGTATCGGGATTCTGCACGTTAGGGCTTCATCTTTATGCACTCGGCCGTGGTCGGTGTTGTCTGTGTTTCAGGAACATCGTTGGCCGATCAAGTAATAGCGCGTGATAATTATACATCCATCATGCGGTCCCTCATCCCTTTACTGGCGCTCCATGCCACCGTACCGACCGTGGCAGCGCTTTGTAGCAACTACAACATGACTGGCCCTAGCATCGACGAGACGGTGAGTTGCTGAGCATGACTGTGTGCTGCAATCTAGACGTCTCTGTAGCAGGATTAACCATATTGCCGTAGTGTACCGTACTCGAGGATGCCGGTATCAATGTCTACCGTGCTAACAGTACAACATATGCTGCGCGTGAAGCCGACTATTATTCGGTGTCGGCACGCATGAACCCATCCTGTATTGCTATGCCTATCTCTGTCGAGCATGTATCCTACATCATCAAGACATTGACCGCCACGGCCACCACCAATTGGGCCGTTCGCTGTGGTGGACACATGGCCTGGGGACCGGCGGCCGATAGTGAGCTTCTCGAGTCACTGGCCTGAAACCAGACACTGACAAAGTATGTTTTAGTCCACGATGGCATCACAATAGACCTTGGTAACATGTCTCCCCTCTCACGCCTTGCCTAGGTTTCTGCGGCATCCCCTATTAATACCGTGTCTTAGGACTCATGAACCAGACAAAATATGATGTAGAGACCAAGGTAGCCAAGATACAAGGCGGTTCGCTGTGGAGCGACGTCTACACGACGCTCGAGCAGTATGGCGCGACTGCACCAGGAGGGCGCACCTCGACTGTAGGAGTGGGTGGTTTTACGCTGGGAGGCGGCAACAACTTCTACAGCGGCAAAGTGGGCTTCACCTGCGACAATGTCGTCAACTACGAAGTTGTGCTTTCAAATGGGTAAGCCGGAGACCAAGGCAGGACTCTGTCATCTGCGCCGGGGCCAATCCACGACTAACACGTCTCACCTTCTCAGAGAAATAGTCGAGGCGAACAGTTCGCACAACGCTGACCTTTGGAAAGCCCTCAAGGGAGGCTCATCGAACTTTGGGGTCGTGACGCGATTCGACGTGCAGGCGTTTGACGCAGGCAATCTCTACGGCGGCCTCGTCATCCACCCCCTGAACCTCACCGGGCAGGTCATCACGGCCTTCTCCAACTTCGTCGACAACATCGTCAACTATCAGGTCGGTTCCGCCTTCAGCTTCTGGTCCTGGGTCCAGGGAGCTACCGAGTCGGTCATCATCTCCGCTCTCCACGACACCACCGGGGCTGTCGACGCACCGGCCTATGCCGAGTACAACGCCATTGAGCCTGTGTTGTCTTCGACACTACGCGAGGACAGCCATCTTAACTTCACCAAGGAGCTTGAGTTTGCCAAGGGCAACCAGTGAGTACCCGACATCGGCCCCATCCAACCTTCCGACTACTATCGCGTATCAGCTAACCAGATCCGTCCGACAAGGAACGTGTGGTTCGCCATCACGGTCAAGAACGACCCGGAGACCCTCCAGTACATCATTGACCAGCACAACGCCTTCATCCCCGCCTGGCAGGAGGCCACGGGGGACGAGACGTTCAGCCTGTACACGGTGTTCCAGCCGCTGCCGACGATCCTGTTCGACCACGGGGCGGAGAAGGGGGGCAACGTGCTGGGGATGGACCGGCAGAGGGAGAACTCAGTGCTGTTCCAGGTCTTCATGGTGTTCAGGGGCGCGGGGCTGGAGCCCGAGGCGCGGGCCCGCCTGGTGGCGTACCGCGAGGCCGTGAGGGCGCGGAGCATCGAGGCGGGCACCGACGTCGACTTCGCCTACCTGAACTACGCCGACAAGACGCAGGACCCGATCGGTACCTACGGTGACGAGAATATTGCCTTCCTGCGCGAGGCCTCGGCCAAGTATGATCCGGGGCAGATCCTGCAGGATCGGCTGCCGGGAGGGTTCAAGCTTCCTAGAGCCGATCTGAGCACAGCGGGATTTTGATGTGTGCTGGAGGGAGATGGCCATGTGTTTACAATACAGGATAGCGTCACAAAGTCTGTAGACAAGCAATGATACAGTGCCTTACCTAGAGCACGGCGTGGCCGATTCCGGCAGCTCGGCGCCTGCTCTACGAGGACTCTGATCTTTGAATCTTGCTGGTGCAAATGCCTATCTTCTGTTGAACTGGACAACCTTGGAGGTCGAAGCCAGCGAGAAGTCCAACCGCTATATCTCATCTATGGAAACAAACGGCTCATGACCCCCGGGAAATATTGTAAAGCACTATACTACAGACGAACCCGCACTCTTTATCTCGACTCAGAGCGAACAACTAGTAATTCATATACAATCCATGCTGTATCGTGTACGACATGGATCTGTCAAGCATAATTGCACAAACAAAAAGAGAAAGGGGAGAGAAGCCGTCAAGGTTTAAAAGCTTCACAGGAAGACCGTGACAATATGTAAGAGTCGCTATGGCCAGAGACTCGCAAGCAAAAGCAAATTTGTCACCGGATCTTTAGTCGGTGCCTGGTCACTTGGGTATATCGAATTGCTAGGATGCCCATAAACGCCACGATTCTGTACCGATATACACGGGCCGGTGAAGCTAATTTGTACCGTCATTTAAGCTTTGTCATAGTCTCGGTACTGGAACACGAAATGAAACCAAGGAATTATAAAGTCAATTGCTAGCTTGGCACTTCACCGGAACGCATTAGACTAGTAATCTATTTCAGTAACTGCAAGGAATATTTTCACAGGTGGCTCGGCAACAAAGCCAGCAAGAGCATTCACAGTGTAGAACAAGAAGACATGTCGGTATTGGTTCATGATCTTTCTTTATGTGTGATGTAGAGATACAAAACAATGGTGGAGCTTATGGTGAGGTTTGGTATAGGAAGCTCGACTACAGCGAGCTTCAGTAGGCCTCCAATTTGGTTCTCCAATGAACTCTTCCGCCAAAGCAGGCTACCATCCCAAGCCCAATGTCTGCATGACAGACAGATGATGCCTCCCCGTCGTGGCTCGCGTAAATGCGTGCCCTCGTCCTATTATCGTCTTTATCCCATAACCCAGACGCAATGAAAGTTCAGTGGTTGACAACTTAGTCCGGTGATCAAGGCCCATAGTGTGTTCCTTTTTCCAAGACTAGTCTCCCGTGCCCATAAGCCCAGACGTCGAACGGAAAGGAGCCTGTCGAGCGGACTAGAACACCGGACAGTAGATATATATCTTCAGTCCCGATGTGACAAACGAAGAACTATTCACGACCACCAGTCAAGAAGCCCATAGCTAGCAGACGACGACGCGGTAGACGACGGCAAGAGAGTTGCTCGGACGCCCCCCCCCCCCCCAGATAAACAAAAAAATAAGTATAAAAATCAAGTGGACCCAAACCGAAAACAAAAGAAAAACCGTGATGCAAGTGGGAAGAGCAGTGGTGGTATCAGAGCGCAACGCCGTGTTTCGTGAGATGCTTTGCTTCGCCATGCAGTTTCAATCGACGAAATGAAATGGATCATTTGTGGAAATAGACATTATGCTGAATAACGCCGGGGCAGAATGATGGAATTGTTGCAGGTCATTAAGGTCGTAAGGTCATTGGGAGGCCTGAACGCACCAGTGGCGGTGGAAAGCCCAGGCGCTCTTCTGACACTCCTTGCTGCAGTACTTGGTTCGGCGGCACCGACGGCACTTAGCAAATTGCCGTGTGAACTCCTCCCACTTCCCACACTGGTAGTAGGCACACTGTCGGATACCGCCTCGGGTGTCGTCCTTGCGGCACAGGTTACGCATAACGACGCCAGCCCAGTATTGCATATCTGTGCTGTGATATCGGACAGTGAACTTTTCCACCAGAGGGAAAATGTTGAAATCGTTTGGCAGTAGGTACTCCTCTTCGTAGTCCTCCTCCTCCACCTCCTCCTTGACGGGCTCCGGCGTTTCGTCGTCACCATCGAGCAGCTGCAGCTCCTTTCCGATCTTGAGCTTGGGAACAAGGTGACTGTGCTGGAAGTAGGAGCGGAGGTTGCAGTACTTTGAGACATATGCCAAGAGCTGCAGGGACATGAGAACGTCCTCCTCTCTGGGCATTGCCGCGAGCATCTGCGGGTTGGAGTTGGAAGGGAGAGGCCTGTCGAGAAGATAACGCGGCATGGCCGGCTGATTCGGCAGAGGCGGCTGCGGCGTTGCGATGACAGGCCGGTTGGGTGATAGACCAATAGTGGGTACGGGTGTAGCTGTGGTGGTCTGGATGCTGCCATCAACAGGCGCCCGGTGGGTGATGTTGAAGGTGCCAGCCTCGGGGACCTCCGAGACAGTGGGTGTGGTCAACTCGAGCGCGGTGCCTGCGAGCGTACTGTCACCCTCTTCCATAGCAATGTCCTGGAAGCCTACGGCAGGCTGGATCCCATCAGTCCCCGACATCTCCGCATCGCCCGACTCGTCCGACTGAACACTGTCGGTGTTCAGGTCGTCGGCGTCGATTGCGGGATCGGCCGTCGAGTTCTGATGTCTGATTGAAGGACGTCTCCGAGTGCGAGCTGTAGGACCGAGCACGGAGGCGGGCCGCACAGTAGGAGATCGGACCTGGGGCGGCGGCAGCGGTGTTGTGGGGGACGCAGGCTGCGATACGTTGAGATTGGGATGAGGAAAGACAGGCATCATCGAAGGAAGTCGGTCAGCATCCCGTACGGGACGGATAAAGCTATCTGCGGCACTGGCCAGGGGTTGAATGGATGGCCCTGCGGGAGATGCGATGTTCTGACGGGACTCGTGGCGGTGGGTGTGGTGGTGATGGTGATGGTGGTGGTGGTGTTGTTGTCGCTGGCTGGGGAAGGCGGTCGCAGCCCTCTGCTCGGCAGGGGAGGTAACGGGGAACGAAGGCACGGTTGGAGTGGCCTCGAAGACACCGTTTTCCGCGGTAGCTGATGTCGAAGGACCGGCAAAGCTGGCAGCCGAGACATCGATGGAGGGCGGAGGAGCCTGACGACGGAAGGACTCGGCACGACCAGAGCGATTGGTGAAGGAAGAGGATTTCGAAGAGCCATCTCTGTGCGAGTGGCTGCGGTGACGGTGGTGATGGTCGCCGATGTGCTTCTGCTTGGCCTCCTCGGCCTTTTCGCGGCACTTCTCGACGACCTTGATGTAGTTGTCAAGAATGGTTGCGATGACAGGAACCATGTCAGCCTCGACGACTCGGGTACGCACGCCCTCGGTGCCGCGAACTCCTATGTTGACCACACACTGGAAAGCGAGGTTCCACTTCCACATGTCCATCATGTCTTTGCTTCTTCCCTGCTTCAGGATGCATACTAGCCGCTCGATTCCGCCGTCGACTGTGAGGATGTCTCGAATGCGAGCGGATGAGGTCGTAAGATAGGCCAGGTGGTTCAGCGAGTTGATGAGCGGCAGTGTCGAAGTGCAGTCGAGAGCTCGTCTGTCGTAGAGGGCCGTGGTGATGCCGACCGAGGCCTTGTTGACATTGGGGATGCTGAAATTGACTTCCCTCATCTTGGCGGCTTTGTGTTGGCAAGTTGGAGTGGCAGATGAGAAAAATCCGACGTCGGGAATCAGCTGAGACAAAAGGGCGATTGCTGAGGATTCCGGCAGATGACTCGGGTTCAGTCAGCCCACGACAAGACAGCAGACGAGGCTGTGGGAGCTGAGCTGGTTGTGGGATCGAACGCAACGAAGGGATGGGACCTGGTAGAGTATATAAAAGGAATGATGAAAAGATATGCCACGGACCCCCCTGATGGAATTGCGAGTTGCTTGATTGAGATGAACGCGTTTGAGGATCAATGCGGAGTTCGTTAATGCAGGCGGGCAAGCTTCCGATGGCAGCAAAAATGCTCCTCTCTCCTCTCCGTGGGATTGGATTGGATTGGGCCTCAAGAAAGAGTGCTCTGCCAAAAAAAAACAGGGAGCCCCAGTCAACAGACCAACAAAATATTAAAAACTGTCGTTGAAGCTTTGGGTATTACTGGGATTGTCCAATGCTGAAGGTCACCGACGGGCCAACTTTTGTTCTTGTTCGGGAGGAATCCCGCTGGTTGTGGTGCTCGTGGTATTTGACTTGATTTGATTTGTAAATGGCGGCGAGCCCGAAAACTGGTAGCTCAGATGCTCTTGGCCAAAACCATGTAAACGGAACCCACAGAAACGACCGATGTCTTTATATATGCAACGCAGCTTTGCGAGGCGGTTTGTCCGTAAATACACTTTTGAAAAACAAGAAAGAAACAGACTTGTCGTTTCGAGTCGTTTGCGATGAGGATTTTGATCCAATTCTCTTCTCTATATCGGTTCTTCGGTTCGTGATTCGGAATGGGTGTGTTTAGAACCTGACCAGACCGCCGCTCCTAGAAATCAAAAAGTGCAAGTCCTTTTTACAAGCGGGAATGATGGGAACAACACTCGAGAGAGATCCGGGAAGAGACGAGAAACCCGAGAAATCTCCTACTCCATGCAGTATCTAGAAGAAACGACACTGCTCCATCAATGAGCCTCGATGCAGAGGACGGGGACAACGATGGCAGGTGAAGGTGTTTTGAGCAGGGACGGCAAAGGACGAGACTGGATGGAGATGGAGGACCAGAGACCTGACAATTGTGAAAGGTAGTTTTGAGGCAACTAGAGTAGAGCGGTAGAAACGTGAGCGTGTGAGCCTGGGCATGAGCATGGGCGTGAGCGTGAGCTTGAACCCGAAGCCTGAACTCGACAGCCAAAAGGAACCTTAAAGTGGTCGGCTGGTTGAGTCTGACACTGACACCACTCAGGCCACTGGACAGGGATTCGAACCCCAAGAATCCTCTCTCTTGTCTTGTTCTTGCTCGTGCTTGTGCTTGTGCTTGTCTTCTGGCGGGCCCCGCAGAAGGCCCCAAAAACATGCCCCTGGGAGCCCCTACTGGCTACTGCGCTGTAGCGGGTCTGCCGGTTATTCACTGCGTCGCAAAGCAAAAGCACGAGAGATATCCGTGAACAGCTCTAGTGCCTGTCGCCTAGCGCCTGATCGCAATCGCAGTCATGAAGAGTAGCGGCCACGGGCTACAGACTGAACTACACTATGGGTACCCAAGTAAAATTGCACTCGATTAACTTACGCAATCCTGTAAATTAACTGCAGAGATGTCAATATCATCTGGAAATGATGCGTTGCGTACACGAGCTTTTGTTTTGATCCAGATGCAGCTTCACCAAAGACCGTCTCGTGTCCTTGCTTCAACATAATTTCTCGCCCCTCGGGCCTGGCCATGAAATACAGAGCCTGGCAAGCCCCGGACCCCAGTTATGTGCTTCGTTCACTGCATTTCGTGGTTGACGAAACTCACCAGTGGCATGCGGCACACTAAAGTCACAGGCTTGGCCACTCATGCATGATCAAATGCACCCTGAAAAACGCATCAAAATCGACATCAAAATCGACATCAAAATCAAAATGTTTTCGAATATACTAGAGTATATGGCGTTCCACAAACTTGCATATATCTATCCGCCCGACTTTTGTCGCCCTTCCAATTGGTAGTTCTTTGAGCGGAGACAACTTTGAGGGCTCGTTTACAAGCACCTTGGAGGCAACGTAGAAAGTATGTACATACGTACTCGACAATGGAATCATGTTGTTCGCTGGGCGCTAGGCTCGCCAATGAATCTCATTGCCGGTGCGGCACAGACTGCCTTCCATCTACTATGTATAAATCGGAACATTGGTCAGCAGGAACAAGATGCCCATCGGGCTAAAAAGTAAAGGGGGGGAACAGAAACATCGCGCTTAGGTGAGCATAGTGAAAACAATCCTAGGTCCATCATTCTTCTAAACATTTGAGTCCGAGTCCTACCTAGCGTTATTGTATTTGGCTGTAGAATCATTCTTTGTGGCACCGCAGCCCGGGTTTCTCGAAACCTCGCTTAGTACAGAGAATTTAGCCATGGAGATAATTCAAAGTTTGTGATCGATCTCAAAACCGCCATACAATTCTATTTTGCACGGTGACGGAACGTTAAACTTTATTGAGGCTCCCGCTTGGACCCTGATTCTGCTTCGGTTGAGCTTCGGTGGGGCCTTCCATTTTTATCCCTGAAGTCTATCGTGATGGCAAGATTATTATACTTTGTGCTTGTAGCTCTAATACTCTCGATTCGGAGGCGAAAGAGAAAAAAATTGGAAAATAAAGAACCGACGGTCAGCCAAGACGGTCCAAAGTCCATCGTGGCCTCGATTGAAACCAACGTCGCAAGATCTTCCTACCGGCATACTCGAAAGAGTCAAGTGTGAACGAACAGTTCACTTTTAGTACAACCCTCAGCTTTTCTCCGGTTCTCTTACTCGCAGCTTTCCTCCACTTGGAGCTGCCCGTGATGGTTTTCACCCATCTTTTGCACCAACCACAGTGCTGGCATATGCAGCAAATTCATATCCTCATATTTTGGGTCTGTTCTCGCCCTTGATGCTGCAGATTTGGTATCCGCCACACCTCCACAATTGCCTTCAGAATGCCATAGGTTCGCGGTTGCTGCTTTTACAACATGTCCCCTCATCAATACAATGTAGATTTGGCGCGTCTGGTGCACCTACTGCCGAAGAATTCCGAGCATCGCTCGATTCTTCAAAGCGACACGATTTAGAGCGAGGTTGTGGAAGCGATCTCCAACCTCCACACAGGCCATGCAAACCCCGCCCATCTCCATGTGGGCTCATCCACAGGCAGGCAGGTCCGCCCTGCAACGTATCATACACCCTGCAAATTATTTGCATTTTGCAGCACTGGATGCTCCCCGACTTCTATTGAGCCATGGTTAGACGATGTCGTACAGATCACGACAATACTACCAGTAACGCGCTCTTTACCGCATCGATTCTTTTGTGCTGCTAATCTATTGCCACTCGGACTACGCCGGCATAAATGAGTTTGCTTGGCCGGAAATACTCGGTGGAGGTCAACTGCGCTCTGAGGTTGCATCAACTCCGTACACTGCATTTAATTCAACGCTAATGTGCCACTTGCCGTCTCAACTATCGACTCTCGGCGATGATATTGCCGGACCGAATCTTTCACGAACGATTCGTCATCGTCTGTGCTTCGTTCTTTAGTGGTTGCTAGTCATGAGAGACACTGACTCTTAGATCCATCCGCTCATCGTCAAAATATCTACCGTTGTACTCCGTAGCCAGACTATACTAGGCTTGGCAGACCCATGTTCATATGCCCGCAAATAGTGTGGGAACTTTCCCGAAGACGCTGCAAGCTTGTGAGAAGATATAGTACAAGCTTACGAACTATGGTTTTCCTATGCTTTGCTGTAGCTCTATGCAATTCCATAGACCCAGCTATTTAGAATCCCGTGGGGATCTGACCAAAACATGGTCTCATATGTTGGAACACCTGGACGAACCATCACGGCCTTCATTTCTGCCTGGTACCACGAGGGTCGGAATGCTCCACCGACATTTCCAGGGGAGATTCTTTCAGCTCTCTTGGATACGAACAACTCCTCCGTCATCAGGAGTATACCATAGTACACCACATACAACAACATGAACTTGGTGCTGACGGGAGCCACATGGTCACCACGCGGCTTTCAAAATTTGTTCACCAACTTGTTTACAAACGCGCGGCTGAACCCCTGATCCAGTTCCCTCCCCAAACCTCGCGAACTCTATCGTCAGAGACGTTGTTGGCTTCAAGCTCTGAGATCTGGCGATGCGTGACTGGTTAGCTTGACGCCTGACTGACCCAGAATCCTTCCAACAGTCACCGAATTTGGATATCAGATAGCCCAAGGGTGCGGTATAGGCCGCCCCCAAGCGCAAAGGCATCATTGGTTCCGAGCCGTCATAGTTGCCGCTCGCGGCGGCGCTTGCAATGCAGTCTAAAATCCTCTAGCGCCAGCCCCCTACAAATTGGCGGTCTGCGGTCTGCGGTCTGCAGTCTGCAGGAGTTCTGATCTTTCGGTTCGGCTACCTTCCAGTGGCTGGGGCTCCTACTAACCTTGGGCTCTCCCATCTGTCCGTCGCCTGGTGTTCTGCATGATTCGTTGCAACTGACACTGACGTCGCCCGCAAGGACAAGCAGGTCCCCATGTCGCGTATCTTAGGGTCCTTGCGCTCAAAACCCTCATCCGCAGCAGCATCGCCTAGGATGGGCGGGGCCATCTAACTTTTGCTGGGTGCGTCTGTGCTGGAAATGAGGGAAAGCCGGGAGAGCGGGTGGGGGGTCCATGCCGACCCGGAAGAAAGGCTCGGACATACTATGATTGAATATACATCGTTTGTCGTTTCACAAGAGACAACGACCAGTTCTTCTACCGTACGAAACAAGCATTGCGGGAAATATGTTGTGGTCATACCTGCCATCTCAAATCAAACGCAAGAATCCAGAATGCAAAGTTTTGCTCAATATTTTTTTTACTGCTTCTAGAACAATAAGCATGGCCATGATTCTCGGGCTGAGAAAGGATGAAACGTTACCCGTCTCGGAGCACAAGGCGCAAGGCGCAAGAGCGGGACAAAGCCAACAAAACACTTGGAATTCCCCCTGCCCTTCTGTCTATTGATCCTGGAGAAGAAGAACAAAAACAAGGATCTCACAAGAATCTGTGAGATGTTGATTAATGATGCTTCTGCCGACCCCCCCGACCACCGAGAGAGATCTGATCGCCGGCTCCACAGAGCTTCCAAAACGTTCTGCGGGATCCGCGACGGGCCACCCCTCCCCGTGGGCGTCAGGTCGTTGCTGGGATTTGCTTAAGCTCAAGTGTGACAGGTCCTTGGGAGAAAGCCCGTAGATACTTAACTCCTTTGGGAGGAGGTCGTTGCGTATCGGGTCTGCCTGGGTTTCGGCCATGACTGACACAATGGTACAGCTATCGCCTGGGTAAACAGGATCCTACATGGAGTGTTAATAGACCAAGTGCTATCTCTGCGAGGAAATGTGGTCCCGGGCTGCCGCATGTTGTTCGAGCATTCCACTGAGGTGGTGCTGACAGATATCTGGCCTACTCTGAAAGGCTGAGAGCATATCCAGCAAGAGCTGAATTGCTCATATGCTCAGTTCCACTCGAAGTCGATGTTCTCGTGCCAGTGAGCTCCCCCTGCTTGAGCTCGAGCAGGGTTCACTGATGAGCCTCGTGCGGGCAGAACAGACTGAAAGAGAACCTGGTGCTCCGGCCGGTACTGGATCGGATCTTTCCATGCTCCGATGATGATCCCCTCAACGATGATAAGTCCACCAGCCGATCGCAAGACTGTGAGGCGGAGTCCAAGGACCCAAGCTTCTCATGGACTGGGGCCAGGACTGTTTATGCTGACCGTTCTTATCGTTGTATGAACGCATAAAACTGCTTGGCCACATTTGCTTCTGATCAGAGCAGAAATAGGGCATTGAATGTAGTCTGTTTGGCTTATTGAACAATTTAGGACCGGTTTGAATGGACTATCAGGAGCTTAACACTCGTCGTTAAAATACAGTGTGGTTTGTATTCAAGTCTCTATTGCAGCATGCTGAGAACAGGCCTCCTTATATATCATAATCCGGACAAAACACCTGCGTGGCAGGAGATCAGGGAATCATGGCAACAGATACTGCTCAATGTCAAGCTCTTAACAAAAAGATTGTTACTCAGATGATTCGTAAGAGTCTGCGTAGTGATTCTGACTTGACGATCATTGAATATAATCAGTCAACTTTGAGGTGTGACCCTATGGCATACACATATAACTGAAAAAAGCATTTCATTGATAAATGTGCAGCTTTTGGGTACCATTGCTCGAATTATGGCTTGTTTGGTATGTTTTATTACCTTTCTCTTGTGATACAGTGGGTTCTGTTATATTTCCCCGTACGAGTGTCACGACATGAGTTGAAGGTATTGTTACGGATAAAGTCGTGCTGTAGTCGACGGGGCGGAGGAAAGCTGGTGCTACACGTGCACACTGCAGCCACCTCCATTGCTGGCCGCATATTTTGACAAGAGCCCAGTTAAGAGCCTTCTCCTTCTGTATCTTCAATTGTTCTTTACAGTCGTGTTGCGTTGGATTTATCGAGCAATGGATCCCTTGGGCGCAGTCGGCATTGCATCTACGGTGGTCTCTTTCCTGGATCTTAGCATCGGCATTGCTAAAGATGCTGCGGAGCTCAACCGTTGTTGGAAGCCTCTCAAATCTGCCGATTTCGAAGCAGCTGACTTGAATTTACAGATCCAAAACAACACATTATATGAAAGTAGACATCATACTAGGCATGAGAGCGACCTCCTCTATCAACATGGAGAATTATATGTCAAGTCTCGGACAAACTTGAGAATCACTCTTACTTGACAGTGTTGCAGGCTCTATTGAAGCTATACGAAGGATTTCGTAATATTACAACACGTTTAACTAATACGTTGCAAAGCTTAGAACCAGTGGTCAATGGCAAGAATTGGACAAACTCTCGCGAAGCTCCCAAGTTCAGGGTGAAGCAGGTGAGCTAGAAGAGCTTCAGTCCAGACTTTATAATTATCGAAACAGTCTCTCGAGGGCAGTGGCATGTGTGGATGCAGAACTTGATGCCTCTAGCGCGAAGCAGTTGGAAAGCACCCGGCAAAGCAAGACCGAGGTCATCTAAATTCTCTGTCTCGACTAGCTTAAGCTCACACTATCTCTTGCTAGCCAAGCCGAGCTTCTCTCTGCGTCCCAGACCGTAGGAAGTTCAGACGAACTGTTTGATTCAGACGCTGTCGCAGCGATTATGGCATTGAGGAGCGGAAAAATAAGATTGGCCAAAGTGGTGGTCCGCTTTCTAATCCTGAGGATGACCAATCTGCTTGAAAGATGGTCAAAAGTTTCATAAGGTGGCAGCAAGCTATTGGTGGAGTTCCCTCAGCCAATTTAGGGAGCCATATACAATTCAATCTGGATGTCCTACTAGTTCTACGTTATCTCTATATCCAGCAAAGATACGATACAAGTCTTGAAAACCATCCTCAAACATTCAACTGGGTCTTCGAACCCCCGGATATTCACGATCGGTCTTGGTCGACCCTTCTCGTTTGGCTGAGTGGCCCGTAAAGCATACAGTGGATAATGAAAATGGCTTCCTCTTTTACGGACGAACCCAAACATCAAAACGGCCAATTCTGGATTTGGGGCAATCCACGGTGACACTTCACAAAGAATACGGGACTATAAGAATTAGGTACATGAGCTCAGTCAGAAGTTAAGGTTAGTTAGGGCTGCCGGTGCTTACTAATCATTTCCCATTCTGATGACTATGTTGTCAAGCTGAACGCAAATGTAGTATATACGAGACAAAGGCAGAATTTACTGCGATTTTCTAGATTCTTCTTAGGATCTAAAATACGAAATATTCACAAAAGCCACACCCTATACCCCTCCTTTGCAAAGAGATTCTCAAAAAAAAAAAACCCCCCTAGTCTTAAAGAAGACAGCTTGCCCGCGATTATTAAAATTGTAAGCGCACCTGATTGTGAAACTGCATGATTAAAACCCACCGAGAAAGCGCATCCAAGAACGACAGTCGAGCCGGAAACAGCTGATACTTCTGGCCGAAATTCCACAGGCAGCCATAAGATGTTGTCCCCCTGGAACATGATCCAGTTACCATCTCGACTGATACCATACCCAACACAGGTTCTGTCGTTAAAATGAGAACGAGGTTTAGCCAAGGGAGATGCGGGATCTATACTTTTCTCGTTGGCGATGTCATCAAATTGACGCTGAATACTAAAAGCCCCAGCATCCGTCAATACCTGTGTAGAATCGGCATTAAAGCTAAGGGTGCCTGAGAAAGCCCATGTTTCGAGCAACTATAGCAACTCGCCCGTGCCGGCCGTTGACGGCCAACAGACCGCGGATACGACCACTTTCGATCGCAATTAGAGGTCGACTTGTAAGCGCAGGCAGGAATTCGAGTTGAGGCTTACAGCTTAGGGTGGAATATCAGGCTTGTTGTTCCAAGTTCATGATGACAGCATAACCAATCATAAAATGCTACTGTTCGAGCCCAAAGAGCTAAGAAAAACAAGCCAAATTCAAGACGTTTACTGCTCTCCCCTCACAAAATTCCACTCATGACCTTTGTCCTGACACCGCATACCGAACTCGTAGCATTCCATGCATATCCAAAAGTCACCACCGTTGCAGATTGCGCACCTATAGTGATCGCAATCGTCTCGAATATCCATTGTGCAGATATCACAATAGCCTGCTATGTTATTCGGTGTTGCTAGCCTAGAACCCATACCTTGATTGTTTGCATTATTTAGTACAGATTCCGAACCAGAATAACGATCAATAAGGTCTACCAATTGAAGGTTTCCCGTTTTCCGTGCCCAAAAAAGAACAGTTTGACCAAAAGCATCCATAGAGTCCAGGCAAGTACTATCAATGGAAAGCAAGGCACTTGCTACCATCTCGTGTCCATGTCGTGAAGCTACAAACAAGGGTGTAGCGTTGTAGCGGTCCTTGGTATGGATATCAATGGGGCTTGTTAACAGTAAAAATTGCGTGACGTCGAACTGGCCACGCATGGAAGCAAAGAATAGGGGAGTACGACCGTTATTATCTTGCTGCGAGACATTGACAGACGGGCTTTGGCATAATAGCCTTACCACTTCTCCATGACCGTTTTTCGCAGCAGGATGCAGCGGTGCCCATCCATGATGGTCTGCCATGGCCACGTCAGCGCTTTTCTCGAGAAGCAGCTTGACTACCTCGAAGTGTCCTCTCGAAGATGCGTCATGAAGTGGCGACCATCCATCCTTATCCGTAACGGAAACGTCGGCACCCTTCTCGAGAAGCAGCTTGACTACGTCTGTATGACCATTCGAACACGCATTATGAAGTGCTGTGTCACCATCCTCGTTTTGAACTATAACATCGGCCTCGTTCTCGAGAAGCAGCTTGACTACCTCCAAGTGTCCGTTTAGAGATGCGCCGTGAAGTGGCGACCATCCATCCTCATCCGTAACGGAAACGTCAGCACCCTTCTCGAGAAACAGCCTGACTACCTCGAAGTATCCTTTCGAAGATGCGTCATGAAGTGGCGACCATCCATAATTATCCATGACGGAAACATCGGCACCCTTCTTAAGAAGCAGCTTGACGACTTCAATACGGCCGCTATTTAAAGCAGCTTGTAGCGCATTGCTATACAGGCCACCCTGAGCATTAACATCAGCGTTGGCGTCTAGCAGCATCCGTACAACATCTTCGTGTCCTCTATACGAAGCAGCTTGTAACGCGTTGCTATACACGCTGCTTTGAGCATTGACATTAGCGTTAGCGTCTAGCAGCATCTGCAAAATATCTTTGTGTCCTCCATACGAAGCAGCTTGTAACGCGTTGCCATACCCGCCACCCTGAGCATTAACATCAGCGTTGGCGTCTAGCAGGATCTGTACAACATCTTTGTGTCCTCTACACGAAGCAGCCTGTAACGCGTTGCCAAAGTATCCGCCCTGAGCATTGACATTAGCGTCAGCCTCTATTAATATATGTACGACCTCTTTGTGTCCTCTATACGAAGCAGCCTGTAACGCGTTGCCACACTGGCCACCCTGAGCATTAATATCAGCCCTAGCTGCCACCATTAATCTGACACAATTTGACAGCCCACCAAGTGAGGCGTAGTATAGACCAGGCGCTATCTTGCTGTTCTCTAGAGTGTTTTTCGGCATATTGTTCCATGGTCGGTCTGGATCATGAAGTCGGCACCAGCTTCTGACTCTATTAACACTTGTTAATAGCTGCATCGTTAGCGCAAATACCTCCTGCCGATTATTGTCCCCAGCTATAGCATGGTTCATCCAATATTGCGCTGAGTAGCATGAGAAAGGGAAAAGCTTTTTGACGTCTGCTTCCGGTTTAAGCTCAAGTAGATATGACAGGCAGACCTCGGCTATGGAGGCTCGGGCTCGTCTCTGCTCTAAGTACTGTGCAGTCTCTCTTTCTAAACGGCTAGAAGTAAGATAGTCTTTTACCGAAAAGTGCGCGAGTTGAATCTCTTCCACAATTCGCTCTTCGTCGTATCTGCCCTCTCTACATACGAGAACAACTAGACTTGAACAGTACTGGGCGATTTCTTGCGGAACCGGTAATCTATCTCGTGGATCGAAACGAGACCCCACATCCTCCCCGACATCGACGGCAATGGCATCAATTGCTTCGTCTAGCCGTAAAGGCCTCTCTGAGTATGTCAGGAACTGTAAAATACGTATTGTATGATCCCTATACTCTGGAGGTATGTTTGCCAAGATCCGTTCATACGTCGTATCGAGTGTTTTCGGTAGATCGTTAAGTGCTTTTAGTAAAGCTTTACGTTCCAAGCACTTTTCCAAAGCGTCAAGCTGACATGAAACCCACCGAAACCTGTATAGTCTTAGCAATAGTCTTGTAAAGTTCATACCTAAGTGTCTCACATTCCATTAGCTTTCTCTACCAGGCTAGCCTCGATCTTATCTTGGATGCACGGTCGTCCTTGCCACCGCCTTAACCCATCATGTTCTCTAACCCTTGCACTCACGTAGTTTTGTATATCAGCTTCTAACAAGTCGCTTCGTATAGCAATCATCTGTTCATTGTTGGCGTGACGTTCAATGGCTGCCTTAATATCTTGTTCCGGTCGACTCGTGACAAGGAGGTGCACAATTGTCTCCGGATGGGATTTCTGAGCAAGATCTCGCATCCAGGACAATAACTCGGACCGCAGTGTGCACTCGTCCAATGCATCAAGCACAATCCATGCCTCTCCGAGCTCGCGAATCATACTTGTGAATATCTTGTACAGAAAGTCAATACTCGGCTGATCCTTTCCGTTTCGGCAAGATGAATAAAGCGAGTCTAGATGCTTTTGAGCATTTTCGTTCCGATGATATATTTGACTAACGAGGGAGTGGAGAGTGTTTTCAAAGGACTGCTTCCGGCTATCGGTAAAGTCAAAATAGAAGTAGAAAGTTTGCGACGGATTTCGGTTGTTTTGAAGATCTTCGATCACAGTTGATGCGAGAATTGTTTTGCCGCACCCGGGAATGCCATAAAGCCAAAGAAAAGAGTTTTGGCCGTTTTTCCACGTCAAATATGACTCACTCTCTAGTAGTCGCTGGCCTGAGCCTTTATGACGAGCTTTGATAGCTTTGTTGAAATTGGTGGAGACATTCGGAGGCGTAAGCCATTTCAGTATATCGTCGAAATGCTTGTCCGTTCGAATACTTTTGATTTCGGCATGCGTTTCATTGGTCCTGGTTTGAATATCTCCAAGTTGAAAGTTGACTACTTGCTCATTAACACACTGTATGGAACGCGGTTTCGTGTACAAGATGCACTATAAAGCTTATAACAACATACCATCTGTAAAAACTTCAGCCAGCCTCCTCTCAGCCTCTACCCTATTCGGCGCCACCTTGTGAAGCAGGTCTTTCGCGTAAGCTACAGCTGCCATTGCCGCATACCCTTGCCACCTCTTGTTCTTGTGCGTGTCCGAATAGTCACAAATGCCCCGGATTACGAGGCATGGGAAATGGTTCACCAGCCCAGCGGCCTCCATCTCAAAACATAACACATCCTTCTCAGCCGCCAGCTTGTCTCGTATAGTCGCATTCTTCATTAATTGGTTGGCAGACGCGATAAGGCCGAAATGGATCATTGGGTTATCTTCTTCTTCGGTTCGCCCAGCTCTGTTTATCAAATTTGAAGTGTCTTCACATACAACCGCACAGTCAGCGTCATCACCCTCAGCATGTTCGAAGGAAGATATATAGAGGCGGTCTGAGCTAGGGTCCGGTCGTCGGTATTTGGTTCGCAACCGTGGCTTTTTTGCAAGAACTCGATCGATCTCTTCTCCGATGGTGTGACCATCGCTCTCGTACTGGGCCTTAAGCACAGACATCGCCGTCAACATAAACTGTGGTGGCTGGTTCAAGTGTCCAGTCATGGCAAATTTCGCATTCTGTACCGTCTTACCATAATCGTATTGCAACACACCTCCAGTACCATAACCGGGGGAACTGACAACAATATCGCCTAGTCGAACATCGTGCTTCGAGCTTGGTGCACCACCACCGATACCGACCATGAGGCCGATCCTTACGTTGGAGAAACTGCGTACCAAATCTCTGGCAGCAGTCGCGGCAGAGACAAGCCCATATTGCGAGTGTGGCAAAGCGGCAATCACGACATTATGCTTTCCGATCCGACCTAGAGTATATGTGTTGTTATCGTTGACAGGCAAGTGTTCCGGGTCGTCGTGCTTCTCGTCGAGGAAGGCTGCGGCTGCGACAAGCTCGGTTCCGACGGCGCAGATCCAACCGATTGTGTACGCGTCTGGGTTTGGCATGATTGGATGCGAGGTATTCTGCTTGATTCGATAAACTGAAGTCGGTGGTACTCATTCGACTACATCAAGTATTGGGAAGGGTCTAAGGAGTTGGTGATCAGCAACGAAGCACTTGCGGCCGTCGGGCAGTCCTGTGAAAAGTCTGCCCAACGTCAGACACTTCCGCATGGTTTGGAAGCCCTCAACTTGGCCTCAGCCTCAAACCTGAGCTTGCGTTGTTAGGTCGACCTCCAAATCAGCTACATGCTAGAAGATGAATGGCCAAAGGTCCACTGTGCAATTGCGAGGAACCCCTCGCTTGTAGTGCAAGGCATCTTTGACCAGGGTGGGGGATGAGCCTTGCGGCTTCGCTGAAGACTTGCATATCTGCGACGGATGACGAGATCATACGGAAGTCTCTCTGCACCATCCGCTGGGAGTGCTGTCTGATAAGAGTAAAAACCATCACTGCTCAATCTGAACGACATTTGTAAAATAAAACCGGCCTGTAGTGGTAGCGATGCGCCGCCGTAAAGCGAAGTGATTGAGAACGACTCATCTCCTTGCGAGAAGAGGTAAAGAAAATACTCTAGAGTGACCCGCTGAATCACCCAAGGTTAAAGAGATCGCTGCTAATCGCAGTAATTGCCATCCTTCAACACAATAATAGCACCGATTGTGGCACCCAACCTTGCAGAGTCAAGACGAGAACTGGCCCGAGGTGTGATTGAAAGCAATGATTTAACTGATGCTGTAGTTGCAGATGCCGTCGGCTGCACCCCGCGGTCCATCTGAGCCATACGAGCGAACCTCGAACCTTGGATGCTTTCTAGGACAGCGACAGCCCCTCGCAATGCGGTCATTCCAGATCACAACGCTCTTCAAGCGTCAGGATCCCACACAGCCTGAATTCGTTGCACCTTTGAGACTTCATTGTCTACTTCAAAGCGTTCCTCCATAGTGCCCTATCGCGAAGCATCAGGACATGTAATTAGGATGTACACAACGATCTCGCATATTATGTGGGGTAGATCGTTGCTGCGAGGAAGCTCGCGTCAACGAGTTCATGTAAGATTGACGGTCGAGAGTACCGAGTATCTTCACTGCTGTATTGTGTCGTACGGGCTGATGGTAGCAGGCTTAGCCATTTTATGCTCACACGGGCATGCGATGGTGCTACAAGTTGTATGCTGACCTTAGAATGCTCATCAGGTAAGTTGGTTTGAACCAGTTGGTAACAGTTTGTGGGCCAATGTTGACACAGCCAAAGGCCAAAATCGGAACTCATGATTAAATATTTTGACCAGCAAAGAGGAAGGCGTCCTCGTTGATTGCTGTACATTGGATCAACGGCAAAGCAGCTTCTGGAAAGTTCACGCTCATGAAGTTCATTGTTCAGAGGAAAGAGACAAAGAAAATGCTGTGGAAAATGGTCAAAACCACAAACACTTATCGTTGAAAGCTTCTTTTTCTGGCAAATGTGTCCACCACTTCATAAGTCACAGGAAGGTTTACTTCGGTCTCTGATCCATGGAATCCTCGAAAAGTACCCATATTCCACTCTCGAGGTTATGTAAGGCTTAGTTTGGGATACGTTATAGTCTAGTCACAATGAATCTTAATAACTTATTCATCCGCCAAATGTAATCAAGTTATCCCGTTTATTCGAGAAACCTTTGGCAATAACCAAAGATTCGTTCTGTATTGCTTTCATCGTCGATGATTTAGATGTATACAGCGGTCATGATTCGGAACTTATAAGTCTCTTTTAGTCTATCACTACAAGCTATACGCACGTCAAGTTTAATTTGTCTAGTCGACCCATACCGGCTTGCATGGAAGCTTTTCAATCGTATGCAGTATTATGCCTACAAGAGCTCACTCGCCAGGATATCCTTCAACACACTGGTGACCATCTCGGCTCACGACTGCATTCCCACGACCATGACCAAGTCCAGTTGGTCGGGGAGATTACCGATAAATCATCTGGTGTTTTCTTGTGGGTAGTCTAAATCACACGCTCTCTTTTGGCTGGCCTGCAAAACGGAGACACTTTTAGCGAACTTCGTGAACGTTCAGATGAATAAACCGCCGGTCAACAGGAATATTTTGAAGTGGAAAAGTCTCTACAATTCTCTACGGATAATAGAATGATACGGTCAGGTCCATGTTTTGAATCTTCGGTGTAACGAGTCAGTTGGCTGAATTATATACGTGGTTGGTGGTGTGAACGAGCCTCTGCTCGCCGAGCTCTACACCAATTTCAGACAGATATGGTTATCATTATTCACTCTGAACACAGGTGTCAGCCATGATTAGGCTTGCATTTGTAATGCCCGTTCTTTTGACTCATGAATGTATCGCGGAAAGAATGCTGCGGGGACCTTGCTCTTAAGAGATGCACCTATCGTAATTCTTCGGCCGCAGCCTCGACCATTATTGCTTATATACACTCAATGTCGCCAGTTCTTGCCGGCTAAGATTCAGAGTCGCCACACCAGTGCCTGTATCATATTGCTCGACGCGTATTCTTCGAGTTGTTGAGACGTGCTGCGACGAGGACCAATCCACATTATCCATGATCTACCATAGCACTTGCAACTCATGCCATCATCAATGCCAACTAACGAATTGGGAAGATCGTGTCTCGATTTCTCCCTGTTGGCGAATGGCGGAAGCAGACCAGACTGCTTGGCTCCTACCGGGTCGCCAGCTTGTCGGGCTATCTGCACTGGTCGCAAGGTTTTCCGTCTATGATGGTGAGTGGTCCTGCTAGAGGTACTGTCATAACCGATTACTGACCACATCAATAGGTGGCCAACTTCTAAGGAACCGTATGAACTATACAATGAGTATAGAGTCTAGCCACAGTTATGAAACAGTTTTGTATGTAGAGATTTGGCGTACTATTGTATGTATTTTACCCTCAACAAAGTTTTGACAATTTTGAACTTAGCTCACATCTTCCGATAAAATGATCTTCCCACGACTTTGTATTTTATATCATTATCACTAACCATACATGCATGTTGTAATTTCATAGTGTCGCCGTCTGTCGTGATAACAAGGCGAGGACATTTTCCACGCAGACAATGCCTATATTTTCTCGTATGACCCGAGATATACTAGTGAATCGCAGCAAGAAATACCGTACGAACCTTGCTCTGCGGAAGGCGCTTATCGCAATTCTTCGACCTTAACCTCGACCAGTGTTGCTGTTGAATGCGTGGTGGTATGGCCCGCACGTCCCGATACCATGCGGCTGCTTTCACGGTCTCTATTCCGCCACACTGCCCTACCAGCGTATAGTGTTCTATTTTCAGCCGCCATAACAACCTCCATCCCTTCGCATGGTAATCGGAGTCCGCAGAATCTTGCGGGTCCACTCGTCTGTGGCCGGGCTTGTGCTTTGCTCTCGAGAATTGTTCACGAATCAAGCTGTTCTGGTTCCTGTTGAGTTTCGCGGTGTGCTGTCGAACAAGGAAGATTTGGTCCAGCCATCGATCAGTCCCTCCCGTAACTGTAACAGAGCGGACACTTCCGAGCTCGTGATGGGGGACTTGAAAATCTGGACCGAATGGGTACAGACAGACAGCAAAGTCCCCAACCTTGGCTCCCGGTGGCAGCACCAAAGTAGCACCGTTTTCTAGCCGCCCGAGCCTTTTTTGACCCTGATATGGGGAAAAGAACCTGCCGTCACTAGTCCACTGGGAAGCATCTTTATTAAAGAGGAGATAAAGCCTCATACTTCTGAGTATGTGTGTCCACTGATACAAATCAGTAATATCTGTTCTTTCTGGAGCGTAATCGCCGATTTCGTGTGCAATGTTGGCAGCACCATGTTCCATGAGAGGTCTGGTGAACTTCATCCATATTTCACGCACAACTTTTATGAATTCGATCTGCCGGTCAGACATTGATGCCTTGGGGCTGTTATCCGGATCGGGTTCCACGAGAATTTCATGTGCCACATTAATTTCCGTCAATAGTTCTGATGGGTACTCAGATGAAGATGGCAAGATACCAGTCACACAGACAACTTGATATGGTCTCGATCTTGCGGTAACCAGCAAATTGCTCAGACCACCTTTGGCTACGCGGTCTGGACTTTGGAGCACGCTGCTTGGTATCCCGGCCCAAGGGGAAATTACACCCCAGTCTGGGACCCAGGACGGAAGGTGAGGTCTGAGGGGGGAATTGGTTATGTAACTGAATAGGTCAGATAGGGGGCGCCGAATTCTAGAAGCGGTACCGCTGGTTTCAGAGCAGTAACGAGCCGCTGCGGCGAAGACTTCGGCCACATCTACTGAGTAATCAAATCTAATGTATCTCTGTAATTCTTCTCTATCAGCAAGCATGCTCATATGCGCAAATATCATGTCTCGAGGGTCGCTTGCCCGAGCTCCAGCTCGGCGACCCAAAATATCCCACAACGTAGCCCGACGCGCGTAGTGCAGGTTATGGAACGAGTCTCGAGTATTGTTCATCGCTCTGAGCTGCAGTAGCTCTGTATTTTTGAACGACATTTGAAATGGCGAAAGAAGCATAAGGAGGCAGAGATCTGACCACGGCACCCGTCGCACGCCGCATTGAATGGAAGGCGATTTCGACACGGCGACTTCTTGCAAGACCCAGACGCGTCCAAACCAAGGTCGCTGCACTAATTCCACCATGGCCGTATGCACCAGCTGCTCATTGAACCAGCCAAGCCGCTTCCATTCTTTTCTCAACTGAGCGTGACTCTTTCCGCGGGCCAACGAGCTAAGATACTCGAGGACATCAGGCCGAATGGCATGGAAAAGCACGTCAATCTCTCGTGTGAGGGGTCCTAGGTATATAATTGTATGTGTCGCCATGGAGTAGATCCTTGCCATGAATGCAACTTGGCTATTACGCTCGTCTACATTTCTCTGATCTATGCATAGCGCGTCTGCCCAGATGCGATGTACCCTGGCGGTGTCACGCAGATCCTGAAGAGCCAAGCTCAAGTTTAGCGTGATTATAACCTCGGTGCCCCCAAGCACGATTGTGCCTGTAGCCGCGGAGTCTCCCCAGACATACGACAATGCTGTGTAGCCATCGATGGTGTCTTGGTGATGGTTGATCAGACTGACATCGCAGAGGGAACCACGCAGAACAGCCGCCCGATCCGAGGCAGGCTCCAAAAGAAGGATCCTGATCGAGTCTGCTCGTTGCAAAGGCCGGTACATATAGCCACCCATCTCTGTTTGGTGAGGTGAAAATGTGCTCCTTCACCTGCTTTCTGTTACACATACAGCCGAAGCATTGTTCGGTTGGTTATGCTGCAGATGTGATGATAGATACCAGTGCGCGGGGCTATAGCTTACTAAAGGTGACATGGCGGCTTGCATCCCCTATGAACATTTGATAGTCCGGTCAACTTAGGCTTCAAGACGCAGTGGGGTCGCCAAAGCTTAGATCGTCTGAACGCAAACGAAGATGAATCCGCATGAGTTTGCACTAGCGACCGGAGCCGTCCCGTAGTAAATCTGGGCATTGAGGGTCTTGAGAATAAGCATTCGTCTTCCATAGCTTCAAGTTGATTGCCCACCGTCGAAGTTGCAGCCGGTGCCAGTGGACCTACGGTAGACGCTCCCAAGTTAAATGAATTAGCATGTCGATCGCTAACAGCGTGGCCGCATCAGGGGCCGGAAGGCAACCGACAGAGTGCCATGATTCGCTATAGATGGCAATTCCATCTTTGATTTAGGGACCGGTTTAGCTTATGGCGTGGATCCCAGCACCAAACCCTCGACCCTGACGAGATTCGCGGAGTGGCCTGCCGGGCCTGGGAGGAACATGAATGTTGTTTCAGCTTCTCAACCCGCCGGGGATCGGGTCGTGCTGAAACGTATGATATCTCGTTGCGACGTCAGTTCCTATCTTTTTTGGTTACGATCAAAGTGATTGGGAGCAGCATCAGAGTTGTTTCTTTGTTCCTTTATGTTTGATCCTTCTTCTTCTTCTTATCCCACCCCCCCTTTTTTCACCGCTTCATCCCTCCCCCAAGACCGGCCTTACTCCTTTGCATTCTACACCCCTCATCCCTCCCACTACCCCGGGAAATAGCCCCTCGCTATCGTTGTGTGGTACCGCATTACCTTCTGCAAGGCCAGACAATAAACGGCCCGTAGCGAACAAACTGCATCACATCACACCTGCAGCCTTACCGTACCTGGAATTTCCAGGCCCGAAATCCTTCCAAGCAGATATAAAGGGACCTGCTAGTCTACGAGTACCGCGGTTTCCCAGGAAGGAAGCGAGAGCAAGAACCAGACGCAACAATGGCAGCACCAGGAAGACCGAGATTGGGCATGTTCACGAGCGGGCTGTCCTCCGTCTCCCAGAGCAGCGACCCGAGCTCGCCCAACGTCAGCTCCCCCGCCGAGCAACGGGCCGGCGCAAAGGCCAACATGTTCCAGACGATGCGCCTGCCCACGCAGCACGTCTGGGTATGCTACTTTGACAAGTGAGTTCCTCTCTACAATACTAAACGCGAATACTGTCCACTGACTATTACCCCCCTCTCTCTCGTCCAGACAAGTCAAAGACCAGAAGAAATCTGAGGACGGCGAAGACTACCATGCCACGCTTGAGCAGCTCGACACGGAGATCAAGTCGGTCGCCGACTTCTGGCGGTACGAGAACAACATCCCCGTCGACCAGATCAAGATGCGCGAGTCCATCTACCTCTTCAAGGAAGGGTACAAGCCCATCTGGGAGGACCGCCGCAACATCCTGGGAGGCTCCTGGACATTCCGCGTGCCCAAGAGCTCGGGCAGGGAGTTCTGGAAGTGGGTCCAACTCATGGCTATTAGTGAGAGCCTAGAGGGCGCGCTCGATCAGGGTGAGTTGCGCCATCCCCCCGCCTGAGACGATCATGGCAGGAGACCGGAACCGTAGGCTAACGGAAACATGAACAGGCGATCAGATCTGCGGAGTGGGACTCTCCGTACGCTTCAACTCGCACCTCATCTCCATCTGGCACCGCGACGCCTCGAAACAGAAGTCGATCGACGGGCTGCTGGAAGCCGTGCTGACGTCTCTGCCCGAGGAGCTCAAGCCCAAGGGTCCTGACAACTACTTTTACAAGAAGCACTCAGACCACGCCGGCTTCAAGGCGCCTCCCGAGCTGCAGGCTGTGCTCGACTCCCAGAAAAGAGCTCAGGAGGTGGTTGCTGCTGCCAATGCGAAGGCCTCGGCTCCAGCGCCTACGACGACCGAGACGACAGAGTGAAGCCTTGGTCTGCCGGCAATTTCGAATTTAAACGATGTGAAGGGAAGCAGTCAGCGCCACGAATATACGAAGGACGGTTGCATAGAATGAGGCAGAAGTTTCCAGATCTAGACCTAGAAAGTCGTGTATCCAGCTATGCCTTGAGATTCGCGTGGAAAGCTCTAGCTTTCAAGGACGGAATGTGCGCAACACAATCCCATGATAGGAGATTCACAATACCCGAGGAGGTTCCCTGCAAGACAGCACAACCCCTGGCAGTCCAGACCGGGTTCCGTCGGTATGCAGCGAAATCTGCAGAGATGCTAGCAAGATTCCATATGCCTGTTAGCACCATATAGTCTTTGTTATCTGCCGTTCATTGTGCCTTGCCCCGATGTCCTTGTGACAGCAGTCTTTCTTGTCCAGAGCCTTTATAGTTGTGTTCCTCGTGGACCGTTGCACCTTGAATCCCGGGAGCCTATGCCTTAGAGATCTGAACGAGCTCCATACCAAGGCAGGAATGAAGAAGACGAAGATCGCCACGAAGGCTGCAGGCTCTCAAACCGTCTTCTTGTGTCCCACGTGCATTGGGTATCCTTCTGACTACCCTCATAACCATTATATAGCTGTTTTCGCTGTGCCCCCTGAAGACGCGATACCACATGGCTGGTATTGTCTTGATCACACATGGGTCGATATTTTAGTACATGGTTGGCTACTGTATGATTGGGGGTTGTTTCATTAATCGTGGTCTCGTCATTCATACTTCCCTGCTTACGCCCTTGGCCATGATAATAGACCTGGCCCAACCACATAAGCATAACTAGTCTAGTAGTTTGTGACGTCTTCATCCTCTCGCAACCCGGACCTCATCCTCGCTCGGCCAGGCTGTTTCTCGTCGAAGCCCGTGAGCAGCCGCTCCCCCTTCTTTCCCCACGAAAGGGCTCTGCCTTCGACCGCCGAAAGTCCCCCTTCCAGGCTCTCTCAACAGCAGGCCCCCGGAAACGTCCCAAGACGCACGCGACGGAACATGCCGGAACGGATGATCTGGGGTCATCGCGACACTCTGAGTATGATACCAATGTTTTCTCTTCTCCTACTCCTTCTCCTTCTACCCTGTTCCATCGCCTCTCACCTCCAGACCCCCGCCCTCCGCATAACCTCCTCGAACTCCCTCCTGCCCACGCCCTTCGTGACGCCGGCGCCGTTGTTGGCCTCGAGTATCATATCCCTCAACAGGTCCTCGTCGACGTCCTGCTTGAGCGTCATGGCGACCCTCTTGAGGTGGCCGAGGGTGAGGGTGTCGACGTGCTGGCCGTCGGCGGCCCCCGCCCCCGCAAACAGCCTGAAGGCGTCGTCGACCTCGGCAGCCCTGGAGGCCTCGTCGGCGGCGTCATCGCGTTGGTGCAGCTTCAGGGCGCAGATGGCGACGAAGGGCTCGTAGGCGGCGTGGCCGTCGTCGTCCGGGTCGAGGATCTCGAGGAACTCCTTGAGCTCGGGGCGCGTGGGGGTTACGTTCAGGGCTCTGCACGGCGACACCGACAGCTTGTTAGCCGACCGTCACTGCTGGCACCGTGGCGAGAGAGAGAGAGGGAGCGCGATGGTACGAAGACCACCCTCAAGAAGAAAAAGAAGCAGGGGAAAAGTGAAGACATACACCATAGCCCTCCTGACATCCCCAATCGGTATAACCCCTTCCTTCTCGCCGTCCATGGGCTCGGCGAATAGCGCAAAGGCCTCCTTGATCTCTGCCTCCTCCCGCGCCGTGATATTGTGCTCCTTGGCGAGCTTTGACTGGCGCTCCTTTGGTTCCGAGGGCGGGATCTTGCGCTTGGGTGCCTGTTTTGGTTTTTCATCACCGTTAGCTCACAACTTACAATCTTGGGGATGGTAGGGAAACCTTCCTTTTGGCGAGCAAGGGATTATAAGTCGTACGTACCATTTTTTATGTTCTTTTTAAATTTTGTTTTACGGAAGAGCTTTCGCTCTCCCTGCTTTCAAAGTTACGGAGGCTATGTGCGGCGGATTTCGACCTATTCAGGAGCGAGAAATGATAGATTGGGCGGGCTGGGTATTTTGCGGCGGTGTTGCGATGAGGGAATGTTGAATGACTGTGGTATGGATCAAATGCATACATGAATGACGTGAGGGAGGAAGGCAACGACCCCACCAACGCGCTGGATACACCATGATCTTGACGCCCTATCACGTGAAGCACTATAAACCCCTCTTGTCTAGGTAGCATGCTGGACCTAGAATGCAAGCAGCTTCCCATGAAGAGGATGCATTCAGGGACCCCATTGTAGGAGGTGACAGTGTTGACGTTAAAGGCATACAGCCAGTCAGTCGACAAATACGATTCGCAGCCGACTGGGTAGAAGGGTTATGGGTGACACTACTAAACAAACTTCACAGCCGGAAATAATTCACAGTTCACATATCGATTGTTGTGCAAGTTCGGAAGAGCAAGAATTTTTTTTATTTGGGAGTTCTCAGTCCATCGTGGATAGCATTATATGCTTGTCCACCACAACACGAAAACCGTGCAAAGGGCTGGAAAAAACATCTCAGCCGATATCTGCACTGTGATTGCCATCCACTTGTCTACCGACAAATGATAGAAATCGAGCCTGATCCTCTCGCGTGAGCAGCACGCCTGCCTTAGGCCTGATGATTCCACCGAACGGTAGAAATTTTGATGAGCCTCTGCGGCCACTGCCTGCTCGCCAGGACGCCTGATATCGTGTTCATCATGCCTCGGAACAATTACCATTTCTATGTTCATGAGCCCTCTAAAAGTTCCCTTGCCGTGGCGGGCTCTCTCCATGTGAGCCGACCAACCGGAGAACCGAGAAATCCACTTTTGTCTATGTGCATATGCCATTAACAGATCATCCAGCCGCCATGCAGCAGAACAGACCCCGTTCTATGTGGTTGTGAGAACGATATCCTTTTTGCTTTTGGACGCCACCCTTCAGGTCCGAAAGCAGTTACGTCGAAACAGAAATAGACTTCATTTGTGTCGTAAAAGCGTAGGCGAGACCTTTCCTCCGGGACATGTACCTCCAAGTGTCCCCCGTCGAAAAGTCTAACCATGTGCCTCATGCGGCTGCTCGCAAGTCGTCCTTGTAGGACTTCTATGGGTATCATGCGTATCTGTTGTTATGCAGCCGAAACAAAAGATGAATGCTGTCTATCGTATGTCGGAGTCCTAAGCCGAGGGACTCGTTCCTGCCATTGTTGGACCAAGGGCAAGTCCTGTCCACCAGTAGAAGGGAGTATGTCGCGTGAATAGTGCTCGAAAATGCCAATAACTGAGCTGAAGCAAGCATTCATGATAAAACACACAAGTATCGCAAAAAGAGAAAAAAAGAAAAAGTGTGAACCGCGACCTGCGAGTCGGACATCCATTCCCGTCGCGGTAGTGACCCCAAGACGAGTCAAGAGAATGGAGTTGGCCTCCGTGATGGAATGTTTACCACCAAGAAGACTGGCCACCAGGGCCGCTGGGGTTGCCGTAGCTACCACCACCGCCGCCTCCGTAGCCACCAGCGCCACCGCCATAGCCGCCGGCACCACCACCACCACCACCGTAGCCACCAGCAGGGGCACCACCGTAAGCACCACCGGCGCCGCCAGCAAAGCCACCACCCTGTTGAGGAGGACCTCCGAAGCCACCGCCGAAACCGCCAGGAGCGCCACCAGCGCCGGCGTATTTACGGAAATCACGGTTGGCACCTGTACCACGGCCGCCACCGCCACCGCCACGAGATCGGCCACCACGACCGCCGCCGCCACCACCGAAGGAGCTCTCACGAGCGATGGTCTCGAGGAAGGCAGGAACCTCTTGGTTAGCCTCCTTGAGAAGGTCAAGGAGCTCTCGGACGACACCACGGTTGCCACGGTTGAAGAAAGCAGTGGAGTGACCAGTGTTTCCAGCACGACCTGTACGACCGATACGGTGGACATAGTCGTCAATGTCGGTGGGGAGGTCGTAGTTGACAACGTGGGTGACGTTGGGGATATCGAGACCACGAGCAGCGACGGCAGTGGCGACGAGGATAGGGCAGCGGGCGTTACGGAACATCTCCAAGGCGCGCTCACGTTCACGCTGAGTACGATCACCGTGAATGGAGGTGGCGGGGAAGTTCTGGTTGATGAGGAAGTCGGACAGAGAGTCAGCCATACGCTTGGTCTCAACGAAGATCAGCGTAAGACCAGCACCGTGAGTGTGCAGAATGTCCAGAAGAACAGATCGCTTGTCGACATCCTCGACGTACTCGACCTTCTGGGTAATGTTCTCCGAGGTAGAACCAACACGACCAACAGACAGGAAGATGTAGTCCTTCAAGAAATCGCGGGCAAGCATCTGGATATCTCGGGGGAAGGTGGCCGAGAACATGAGGGTCTGACGGCCCTGGACACCGGGCATGTCCTCGCCCTCAACAATACGACGAATCTGGGGCTCGAAACCCATGTCCAACATACGATCGGCCTCGTCAAGAACCAGGTACTTGATGTTCTGAAGAGAGATGCGACCTCGCTCTATGAGATCGACGAGACGACCAGGAGTGGCGACCAAGAGATCGCAGCCACGCTCAATCTGGCGGAGTTGCGAACCAATGTCGGCACCACCGTAGACGACACAAGGGCGAACCCAGGATCTGTAGGCGAACTTGCGCGACTCCTCGTAGATCTGGGAAACCAACTCACGAGTAGGAGCCAGAACTAGAGAGGTAGGGTAGGCCTTGCGCTGACGGCCAAAGCCGGCGCCACCAGCAGGGGTGGGCGAAGGGCCGTTGATGAAGGACTGGGCCAAAATGGGGAAAAGGAAACCACCAGTCTTTCCAGAACCAGTTTGGGCACAAGCCATCAAGTCACGTCCGCCCATGACGATGGGAATGGAGTACTTCTGGACGGGGGTGGGGATCTTGTATCGGGAAAGCTCAATGTTGCGAATGAGATGGTCGTCCAGAGGAGGGTTGGAGAAGGTTAGGGTGGGCTCGGGGACATCGTGACCGGAAGCCTCAACGGGGATGTCGTCGTACTTCTCGAAGTTGATACCGGTGTGCTGCTTGGAAGGGTCGTCGGCAGTACCAAACAGCTCGCGTTCGACGCGGGGGTTGGCGGGACCGGCGATGTGCTTGCCGTCTTGCCATCGGCCATCTCCAGAACCGCGAGACTGGTTGCCGCCGCCGCCGCCGCCGCCACCGCCAGCACCTGCAGCGCCGCCACCAGTGCCTGGGTTGCCGTAAGCATTGCGGTCGAATCCAGGACGGTTGTTATTCCAACGAGGAGCGCCACCGGCAGGCGGGCCCTGTTGTGCGGGCATCTGCTGAGGAGGAGGGATCTCGCCGGGGGTAGGGCCAGCCCAGCCACCAGGAGCAGGATTGGCGTTGTAGTTTTGGTTTCTACACAGGACAAAAGTTGGTTAGTCTCTGAATTATGTCGGAGCAGGGGTAACAAGCGTATAGCAGAATGAAACCACTCGATGTGCGCCACGAGATGGATCCAAAACAGAAAAAAATCAAATACAGGGGGTCTTTTATGACTTACCCAGCCCAGGCGCTGTTGTTCAGGCCGCCGTTGACAGCAGGACCGGGAACGGCAGCAGGACCTGCGGGAGGACCAGCAGGAGGACCAGCAGGAGGACCGGCAGGACCAGGACCGCCACCACGCGTTCTCATATGAGGCGGGATGTAAGAGCGGGGTTGGTGCTGCTGGTCAGCGAGACTGAGGCCGCCCATGTTGAGTTGTTCAGCCATGATGGGTGATGTTTTGTTGCGTAGTCGAAGGGGTTTTAAGAGGGTTTGCGACGGGTTGGGGGGATGGAAATCGTCGTTTACACGTCGAAAATTTTCGTTCGTTCCAGCCGAATTCCTCGAAAAGAACGCGTGTTCTAGAACGAGAAACGAGGGTGTTCAGGGACCGAAATGATGTTCCTGAAGGATTGGGTGTATTGTCGCGGCCTTGAAAAGACAGCAACGATCAAGAGAGTGGATGGAAACGAAAAGGCCTCCAAATGCTCTCTATCTGGGTATTATGTGTAGTGTATTGTGATGAAGGCTGTGACCTCTGGCAGCTGCGACGAACTGCTAAAAATCACGTCTAATGAAAGTCTTCAAGATCCTCTGAATAAAAAAGAAAACCGATCTTTTTCAAAAGGAAAATAGAAGACAACCAAATGCAGAACGTTGTGTTTTGTGTTATTTCCTGTGGGAGGAAGGAGGAAGGGGTTGTGTAGGTGGGAAGATAGATGAAAGGTTGGGGAGGTGGGATGGAGGCGGGAAGATTTTTGTATTGGCGACTAGAAGAAAAAAAAAATGCTGGAGGCTTCCCCAGCAGACACACACACGCACACACGCACATACACAGAGACTTCAAACTCTGTGCTCTAACGTTACTGTCTCTGTCCACTAAGGTAACTAACTACCCGACTGGCTATTGCTGTGGTCGCCCTCTGCATCTGCGTCTGCGTCTGCCTCTCTGCCTCTTTCGGCGTGCCCAGGTGTGTTCCGCCCTCCCCTCCCCCCCCCAAACCGCAAAATTCTTAGCGTGGCTGCAATACTTTTGCTGTGGTGGCTCAAACCAATTGGTTACCAGGAAAATTGTGGTGTCGCCCCTTGTGCGTGTGCTGGTATGCAGCAATACTTACGGATCCGTAGACAAAATGACTACTTCCTGCAGTAGTTGGCTGATTCTTACTGGCTCACAAGGCGACGTTCATCGTTTTGGCCACTCTTGTGGAGTTTTTCTCCAGCCTTCTACCGCTATAAAGGCCAGCCGATCATGGTGAATCTAGCGATTGACAAACAAGGTTACTACCTGGTCGGAATTGAGTGGAATGCCCAACTAGCAAAAATCTCTTGTGCTTCTTGATTCAGGGTCTTTCGTGGCAAGTACATCATAAGAGACATGATGCAATTCCACACCTAATATTTACTGGCTGCTGGCTCCAAATGTGTGAAGGGGAGAGACAGGGACAGAGACAGGGACAGAGAGACGTGTGTGTATGCATGGATTATGCGTCTGGCGTACATCAATCAGCTTTGAGCGTACATGATATGTATCTCTGCTTAGAAGAGGTCCAGATCTCCTGTAGCCTGGAAAGAGCCATCGTTGCTAACTCAGCTGCATACAGTATGCATGGCAAGCTCACTGCAAAAATTCTGCACCCAAACATCTATACCCTCCTCAAACCGCTCGGCTTCGTCGAATCTGTACATGAGTAGAGCTGGGTTCCGTCACATTGCTACCGCCCCCCCCTACTGAACTCTGTCAAGGTGTTCGATAACAGCAAACATCCCACACTGCCACAACGTAGTCTAGGCCCATGCAAAAAGACATGGCCGCCCGGATGGGACCCTGCAGTTTGGGGGGAGGGTCTTTTCTCCAATAGGATGCTATTCCAAAAGCCGATTAGACTTCCAAATGGTCCATGGTCCAGGGCTCACCGCCTTAGAACGTTTGCATTTCCAATGTTCCCCGATAGCGTCATCAAGCAATCTGCCCGCCATCGTCATCGCCTCGCCTGCGTTTTATTTTATTTTGTTTCATTCCATTTCGCAACGATACCTCAGTCACGGATCGGATCACATGCGTTAGTGGTATTGGTAAGGTTTTGCATGACTGAACCTGAGACCATGCTAGAAAGGCCTTCAGGCAGCAAATTTACATCCAAGGCTATGATCTACAGGACTTTCGAATATACGGCTGGGCATACATAATCAGTCGCCCAGGTCAGCTAGCATGTATCTGATCTACTCCCACCCCAAGTCAGGAGAACGATCACTGCGATCTCTTCTGAGTGTTTCAGCTTATCTGCATATCCAAGTGAGCTGCCTGTTGCTGCCGAGCATAATTGTTTCGTATTGTAATGAATGTCACAGACATGTGCGCTTAAATCATGGTTCATAATCAAATACGGATCACAGAGAATATCCGATATCTGTTTGACCAGAAACCCGGTCCCTATAAATGCTAGCATCACCAATTAGCAAAAGCCTCTTAAGCCGGTCGTGAAATGGGGCGAGATGCATAGTGAATAACTTTCAAAACTATATCCAATGATTTGAGTTTGAATAGAGAGGTGGTTTCATATGCGATCAGCGGGAACTCCTGATATCAGCAATGCAGGACTATGTAGACGTTCACCAGATGTGAAGGCAAATCTGTTGGGAAACGCCGGGTTTTAAGGGAGTGCTGTCAAGCTGCTCGCTGATGCACAACAACTTCAGTTAATGAACATTCGAAATGGAAAGAACAGAAATGCTGTGGTGAGTACTAGAACTTTAGTGGTATTCGTAGCTGTTCGTTGGTATGATACAAATGCACAACCCTATGCATCTCACAACATCATATGATTCCTTCCAGATTAAGCAGCCTTAACAACCTTGTCGTCGTCGAACGGAATGTCCTTGACTCCATCCTTTGTTACTGCCTTGACCGTCATGCCTTTGAAGTCGATGGGCATTCTTCGCTTCAGCTCATCTGTGCACAGCTCCAGAAGCTTGATTCCCTGTTCCAGGTCGATATCTGGATGGTGGTGCTTGTCGAGGATGGATAGGCAGTAGTATTGTGCGTAACCGTGGGCGGCGTAGGGCAGGGGTGCCAATGCAGCGAGGTAGTCGAGCCAGAAGAGGCTGGGCTTCTGTGTGATGGGGTCGACGCCGCCGAGCAGGAGGTTGACGTTGTAGGGCTTCCTCGATCTCAGACTCTGGGCAAGCTCGCCACGGACGTAGTTGGCCAGGGCGGACGGGGAGAGGTCGGTCTCGTTGCGCATCGAGTAGAGCTGAGCGTTGGCTTGGATGTACTCTGCAAACTGTACGGTATCACCAGCCTCACCGGAATATGCGACCAGGGTGTGCTTGTTCAGCTGTCTGGTCTTGTCGTCTGAGGTCTTGAGAACGGTGGCTCCACGCATGGCGGCTTTGGAGGCGGCAATCAAGGTAAAGTCCTTGCCAGTGATTCCCAGTAAGACCTCCCTAGCAGTGGGGTCAGTATGTAAAGACTGTTCGTGGCAGGCTTCGTGGCCGAGGACTTACATTTTGAGAGAAGATCAGAAGTCACTGAAGATGCTTGGTTCAGGTGGTATTATAAGCAGCTGGATGTGGAGAGCTTCGGGGTGTCTTTTGAGATGGCTGACGCAGAAACGAAGTGACAATTTGTATCAGGGACCGTGGAAAAGAATTAATGGTTGCGTACGAGGGTGCGTCGCAACGTCAAAAACTATCGTCGTCGTCAGAATGTTGAGTTGCGCTGAAATGAAGTTGACGACTGAAGCTCCAGCCTTCCGAGCTACATACGGTACGTTATTGCCAGACGCGCAGCAGCTTTCAGCCTGGCGAGCAGAGCAGGAGCACAGGCACAAGCACAAAGCACAAGCACAAAGCTTAGACTAGGTTAGGTTAGTTAGAGTACCGATTGATTTCCCCCAGGGAGCAATCTGCTCCCCCCTCCCCGCCGGCCAGCCAGCGAAAGGGCCCCAACTGGTACACTAGACCCAAAGTTAAGTGGTAAACTATCCGGGTAAACGAGAGGCCACAGCGACTGAGCCACTTGTCGCAGCACCGAAGCCACAGCCAGATGTGACCCTCCCTCCCTCCCTGTAGGTTAGTTGACTGACTTATTTGCATCTACGCACGCAGAGCAGCGAAAGTCTTTGGAGAGCTAGCGGGACAGGGACCCCTGCAGATTGTCCCGCTATCGTTATCGGTGCTACTGGCGAGACAAATTTTTGGATTTCGGATTTGGACTCGACTCCAAAGCAAAAAGATTATTGGCACAATTAGGCACGTCCCGACTCCTGCGAAGGAGATTAGAAAGACAACCCACGACTCAAAGTCCGTCCACCATGTCGTCTTTCTTTACAGTCCCCGGTCAGAAGAAGCGCAAGGGACCACCTACCACTACCGATGGCCCTAGAAAACGACCTGCACGAGACTCAAAGCCCTCCGCCAAACCACCTCCTCGGGGAGCACCCCAGAAGCAAAAACCGCTCCGAGACGACGAGAGCATCTCCGGCAGCGACGAATCCGAGGATGACCGCGTCATAGCTGGCGCGGAAGAACTGGACGAGTCCAGCGGGTCCGACTCGGAGAAAGAGGGCGAGACCGCAGCCGAGAAGCGATTGCGTCTGGCAGAGCGCTACCTTGACAAGCTTCGCAGAGAGGAACAAGAGAGCAATGCAGTCGGCTTCAATGCCGAAGATGTCGACAGAGACATCCTGGCAGATCGCCTCCGGGAAGACGTCGCCACTCTCAAGGGAAAAGTCTACCGCAAAGTCGCAGATGAGCTTGATCACTATGACGCCACCCACTCCCTGTTCCGCGCCGATACCTTGACGAGCACCGCAATCGCAACCTGCGCCCCTTTTTGCTACACTGTGTCCAAGGACCGCACCTTGATCAAGTGGAGGGTTCAAGACCTGCCAAAAGACCAATACAAATCAAAGAAGGGAAAGAAGCCACCACCAAAAAAGCGCCCCGAGAAGGTTGCCATACTCAAGCCATACAACAAAGCGAAGAAGGACAAGGCCTGGCAAGGTCACATCGCCGGAGAGATCCAATGTATAGCCGCTTCACAAGACGGCAAGTTTGTCGTCACCGGCGGGACCGATCGTCGTTTATGCATCTACGATGCGACCACCCTGAAACCCATAAAGGCTTGGACATTGCACCGGGATGCCGTCTTGGCCCTGGCCTTCAGGAGAAATTCAAATCAGCTCTACAGCGCCAGCAAGGACCGCACAATCAAGGTCTGGTCCCTGGACGACATGGCATATATCGAGACTCTCTTTGGACATGCTGACCAGATCGTCGATATTGACGCCTTGGCTCAAGAGAGATGCGTTTCAGTGGGAGCCCGTGACCGTACAGCCAGACTATGGAAGGTTGTCGAGGAGACACAGCTGGTCTTTCGTGGCGGCGGCAGCGTCGACAAGAAGCGACTGCCCAACGTCGACCCCCGTTCCATTGCTGTCGAAGGAAGCATGGATCGCGTGAGTATGCTAGACGAGGAGCTTTTTGTAACGGGTTCTGATAACGGAAGCATGTGAGTTTGGCCTGGCGTGGATCAGTGGCTTACAGTCCATTGTTTACTAATCACTTCCTCACAGTGCGCTTTGGAGTTTGCAAAAGAAGAAGCCTTTATTCATAATGCCTCAGGCTCATGGCCTAGAAATAGCCATGAAACCCGAAGAGGCTTCTGCTGAGGTTCACCCAGACCCCAAACTTGTGCCGCCGCCTCAACCGAGATGGATCACGGCTCTACGCACTCTGCCATATTCAGATGTAATCTTGAGCGGGTCATGGGACGGTACCATCAAGATGTGGAAACTGAGCGATGACAAGAGGTCGATCCTCCCGGTCGGATCCTTGTGCGAACCTAATCCCAGGAGCTCACCGGAGTTCAATGGCGTGTCCGAGGACTCGGACGATCAGAAGACAAACGGTGCACTGACAGGGAACGAGCCATGGATGATCAAGGGAGTAATCAACGACATATCCATATTCGAGCGAGGAGAACGCGGCAAGGATGGCCTCTGTGTCGTCGTTGCCGTGGGCAAGGAGCACAGGTTAGGAAAGTGGAAGAAGGTGAAGGGGGCCAAGAATGGGGCTGTGGTGTTTGAGATTCCGAGGATACAGAAGCAGGCTTTGACGAACGGCAATTCTCACGGCTCGGAATGATGACGGGGCGGTTTTCAGCGTTTGAGAGGTAGGAGATGGTCGTCATTGTTTGCTGGCGGAGTCCGTAAGCGGCGTTGTTGGGCAAACGCACTGTACATAGGTTTCCTCGGTGCTTGCGATTCACCATGTTCGGCTGAGTGTTCCGTTGCCAGTGGTGACTCATTGCATTGCTTATACCCCAGATACTGGACACCTGGAATCTTGAGACAACTGAACATTGATGCAAAAAATATATTTGTTCCAAACATTGCTGCTTCTTGGGTGCCGTCTGGTTGAGACATGGAGGGCTAAAGCTCGTCTTTGTGTCCATCAATTCTCATCGACCTTGTCCCATAGAAACTCTCCTGGTTGATGAGTCACTATCGAAATAGGTCTTATAACAGCTCAACGGATTATAACAGCGTCTCAAAGCGAAAATCCATAGGTCAACATAAGTCTCGGGTCGTGTTACTTGTGTTGATCGTCATGACGTCGCCTCCAACCATAGCCGATTCGGCAAGCCTATTCTTATTACTGTACAAACGCCAGACTGTCACTCTATCAGACGTGTGTTAGTCAAGGTGCAGTAAGCGCAGAAAACCTGAAGAGTCAGATGGTGATTCTTTCTGAGCAAGGGAGCTAATGGCAATCTCTGGATGCGGTAGAAGTAGAAGCCCGAGCAGCTGGCCAGGGTGCTGTGCTTTGCAGTGCAGGCAACACCACCTTTTACCTCAGACTAGAACGCTTACGATAGCTGTTCTGAGTCCAAGACTGACGCCGAAGATCGCGAGACACTACGAGCCTGGTTTCTACGGCCAGTTTTCGAGGTTAGCATAGACTACTTTTCGAGCATCAACACCAGCTCGAGGAATCCAAGCACCGATCCCAGCTCAAGTAGGTATATGCCTATGTCAACCCTGCACTCTACAGCAACTGGTTCCATTAGCAGGGGGCTCTTTCACCATATTGACAGCCAGTACTTCAATATATGCCCTGAGCAATGTCACAACCAGTCTAACGACGAGTTGAGGGAGGTCTACTACACTGAGTCTTGATGCAACTTCTGGCTCAATAGGGTTGTTGGCACCAGATATGCATTGCAGGTTTGTTCATTGCTGACTTTGTATAAAACTTTCCTCGTTGTTGGATCCAGCCACAACACTACCACATACCTCAAACTCTGAGACGAAGCCAATACCAGCAGGCTGGAGTGCTGGACTATCGTCGGGTCTGTAAGTGGGCTTCCGGCTGGGGAGTACTTTTCAGACAAGGCCCAGCTGCATGGTGATTTTGGATCATAACCGGGATCATATGGGTTGCATGAGTTCATGGTGGTGTCCCGTGAAGTCAGGATATAGAAAGATGACCACTAGTTGAGCTGCCCGCCAACCATCCTCCAGAGGTCGATGATACGGACTAAGCAGAAGCGGCAGCCTATCCTGTGGGAAGGGAAACTTCCGGCTCAGAAAGTGACATGGCTTGACCGGTTCATGTTTTGGGACAGAAGGCGCACAGCCGAGCTTGTCAACGTGCAAATAAGCAACAAGATGGCTATATCAAGGTTCCCGGGTGACTTCAAATCAGGCCATTATGTATGACTGGCGTTGAGTGTTGCCAGGGGGAAACATGGGAGCGCAGAGGCAGTCGATTTCTGCCTGTTCAAAAGTTTGTGTGAACCCTTGTCTGGGTGTCGAGGACAGAGGGACGGGAAAACGCGACGCCCAGCTCAGTCATTCACAGGTGTTGGCAACGGAGACTGCTCTTTGTGGCTGCCCAGCCTGTTCCCGCCGATAGAAGAAAGGGGTTTAAGACCAATCTGGATACCCCGGATCGCCTCATTGGCCGGTTGTTGCGAGGATACACCTTAACCCTGGAAAGCAAATAGGGAGATGTCGGAAAGGAGGATTCATTGTATATCAATCTGCCGGTGAATGATTGGTGGTAAGATTAATGCCGCAACCGAATGGTGCTTGATGCCACCTCGGCTGGCGAGCCGATTATCAGAAAGCAGTCGTTCCATTCACAGAGGTTGAAATGGCTTCAACAAAGATGAGAGAAAATGTGGTGAGACTTACAAATATAGTCGAGTTATTTGGATGATAGCATAACGATAGCGGCGGAACCGATAGAAAGCTACCCCGCTACTGCACCGAATAATCCAAGGTTAGTACTTACAGTAGCAGAGTAGTGCTACTGTACATACTATTCGTATGGATCCGTATGTAAGTAAAAGAACTCAAATGCAGCAACGCGGGGGAACTTTTGAGTTCCACAATTGGATCTACACATGCAAGTCGGAGACGCCCCTATCCACCTACATCTGGTATCTGGCATCCCTCTTGTGTCTCGTGTCAGGTCAGATCCAGTACTATTGCAAGGGTTCGCATCTCTTGGTTAGACCATAATAAGCAAATCTTCCATTCGCTTTCTACGAGCATCTTGAGTCAGGCATCACGGGAAGAGAGACTCGCAAAAGAAAACAGGCTAAACGGATCTACGTGCCTTATTTTTCTTCTGGAGAGAGGTCATCCCGTGGTTACAACCAGATTCTGGGCAACATTCCTACGTCATAAAGAATATTAATTACGAGCCTCGTCCCTCTGCCTGCACAAGCACACGACCACGCCTGTACTGCTACATCCCCCCATTGCCAATTTTTTGTGCAAGAAGTATCACTTTTCTCTCTCGCTCTCTTTCTCGATTCCCTCTGCGCCCACCTGAACTCAGAACCCCCACGCCTCACCAATCAGGAAGGAGACCCTGATCTCGATCTTTAAATGCCTGCGCCTTCAAAGCAGAGAAAAGTCGCCATTGTCGGCAGTCGATCCGTCGGTCAGTAATAAACGAGAACACAGCAAAAACGATTGTTTTCCCAACGTCGCGATGGTGCACCGAGTGTGTACAGGCAGCGCTCGGTGGCCATCAGACCCAAAGACGCAATGACAATGCTGACGCTGCAACCTACCGACAGGCAAATCCTCGCTTGCGGTCCAGTTCGTCGATGGACACTTCGTCGAGAGCTACTACCCGACCATCGAGAACACCTTTAGCAAAGTAATCCGGTATAAGGGACAGGACTTCGCTACCGAGATTGTTGACACTGCTGGACAGGTACGTCTCACAATCCCCCCCCCCCCCCCCCCCCCCCCCCCCCCCCACGCGCCCACGCCTGTGATTTGTACGCCCGCATGTCGAGGCGTGCAGATCCCGGGCGCACGAAACGGCCGAAGCTAACTCGGGCCTGTTCCTGGTCGGCTAGGATGAGTACAGCATCTTGAACTCGAAGCACTTCATCGGCATCCACGGCTACATGATTGTTTACTCGGTCGCCTCGCTGCCCTCTTTCGAGATGGTGCAGGTGATCCGCGAGAAGATCTTGAATCACCTGGGTACGGACTGGGTGCCTATCGTCATCGTGGGCAACAAGAGCGATCTGCGACCGGAGCAGCGACAGGTCTCAGCCGAGGATGGTCGCAAGCTCGCAGAGAAGTACAACTGCGGCTGGACCGAGGCCAGCGCTCGCTATAACGAGAACGTTGGTAAGGGCTTCGAGCTTCTTATAGCACAGATCGAGAAGAGCGCAAACCCGGGCGAGGCTCCTGCCGGCGGAAAGTGCCAGATGATGTGAGGTGCAAGGTCTGAGGCGTGAGGTGTGAGGTGTGGGGTGTGCGATGCATTACGTGACAGAAGATGGTTTACATGACACGAAGATGAGAAACACAAAGACTTTTGAGAAGAGCAATCGTGGATAACTTGAAGATGGTCATGGTCATAGATGTGGACAAGATGCTTCAAGGCACTTGAATTCTGGTCTGGTGTTTTAGGAAGGGTTCAGGCTATTCTGCTTTTGTTTGGTGGCCTTCTTGTATTCACTTTGAACATGTGGTTTGCTTTGATCAACTGCTGAGATAGACGGCGGGCTTGAAGTATGCAATTGGTCTGTACATATATTTTGGAAGCCATTGATATTCATTTCTCAGAAGTGATCGGTTGTTCTGGAAATACACCTAAGATGATTAAGGTTAGGCCATTAATTTGTGGCCTCATGCCTCAGCGTAAACGACCACGCTGGGACAGCTTAACTACCAATTCTATAGGTAATTTGTAGATATGCTGAAAACCGCCCATAATACAGCCCCCCCAACTTTAAGATGGTGCTACATATAAGCAAGATGGAAGGAAGAAAATTACCACACCTTGCCGACATGAGTCAATCTGTACTGTAGCTTTCAGATTCCATACAGTGACTCAATGCAGTGGACGACTTGGGGATAAAATGCCCCGCCATGCCCCTCCAAGGCTCAAAAAGAGCTGATTGCTGCCCATCATTATCATCTGCATGGTTTCCCCAATTCAAGTGTCCCAAATACTTGCGCATACCCCCAAGCGACTTAAAGACGGCGATCGAGAGACTTAAAGACTGCAGACCTGACGGCCTGAAGACCGCAGGACCGAAAGACTGGAGACCGGACCTGCCTCTTGCTGCCCCTCACCCCACCAAAACTTCACAAACCAGGGGAAGTTTGGATTGGGCTATACTCATACTCGATTTCCCTCCCAGCACACGGTGTTTTCTGTCTTCTGAGCCAGACGAACACACATTTCTCCATTGTCCACACTCTTTCCTCTAAATTTCACCGTAGTTCCCTGGGACTCACGTTCCGCCGACCACCCACCATGGTATGTTCATGTTCACGCTCATGTTCATATTCCATATGCGCCGTGGGGTTCCCGGTCCCCTCATGCTAACCATCGTGACACCGTGTAGCTCGACATCACCGATTTCATAACCGAGAGGGGCGGAAACCCAGAGAAGATCAGGGAGAGCCAGCGTCGCCGCAATGCACCCGTCGAGGTCGTAGACCAGGTGATCGCCTTGTTCGAGGACCACCGACGCACCAACTACGAGGCCATGCAACTCAACACCAAGATCAACGACGTCCAGAAGCAGATCGCCACCAAGAAGAAGGCCAAGGAGGACGCCTCCGAGCTGCTCCCCCAGAAGATCGCCTTCGAGAAGGAGAAGAAGGGCCTGCTCGACTCGGCCGCCGAGAAGGACGTCGCCCTCAAGAAGCTCGTCAAGACCATCGGCAACTACGTTCACGACAGGTACGCGACCGGGTTTGCCATTATGGGGAGGGCATGTTCTGAGCCGGATGTCCGTTGCTAATCATTATTGTCGCAGTGTTCCCGTGAGCAACACCGAAGATGACAATGTCGTTCTGAAGACATGGGCCCCCGAGGGTGTCACGCCCGAGAAGAAGGACGTGCTCAGCCACCACGAGGTTCTCACGAGACTGGACGGCTACGACCCCGAGCGCGGTGTAAAGGTTGTTGGCCACAGAGGTTACTTCTTGAGACAATGGGGTGTCTTCCTGAACCAGGCCTTGATCAACTACGGTCTCCAATTCTTGGCCGAGAAAGGCTACACACCACTGCAGTGTCCCCAGTTCATGAGCAAGGAGCTCATGGCAAAGACGGCCCAACTCGATGCCTTCGATGACGAGCTGTACAAGGTTGTTGACGGAGACTCACAGAACGACAAGTACCTCATCGCCACCTCGGAACAACCCATCTCTGCCTTCCACTCCGACGAGTGGCTGCAGGCCAGGGATCTCCCCATCAGGTATGCTGGTTACTCTAGCTGTTACCGCAGAGAAGCTGGTGCCCATGGTCGTGATGCATGGGGCATCTTCCGCGTACATCAGTTCGAGAAGATTGAGCAGTTCTTACTCACTGACCCCGAAAAGTCTTGGGAAGCGTTCGATCAGATGTTTGCCAACTCGGAGGAATTCTACAGATCTCTTGGCCTGCCGTACCAAGTCGTTGCGATAGTTTCAGGAGCTCTGAACAACGCCGCCAGCAAGAAATGTTTGTTACTTCCCCAGACCTCACCAAACAACCCTCAAGAAACAATTACTGACCCAGCACGTTGCAGATGATCTGGAGGCTTGGTTCCCTTGTAAGAAAATCATCCATCTCATTTTCTATCATTACCAATATGTCCATGGAGCATATATTGCCTACTGGAGACTTCCACGCTCTTTACGGCTACCTACAATACTTCCAGATACCCCTCAGCCTATCGTCAAGAAGCAGCACTGATTCCAAATGTTATAGTCCAAGGAGAGTACAAGGAGTTGGTCTCTTGCTCAAACTGTACCGATTACCAGTCTCGCGGCCTGTAAGTTCCCATGGCTCATTTTTGCCCATGAAGTCATCTACATGTAGCTCCCTTCCCTTTTTTCCAAGATAGCAACTAATAGCATGAATAGTGAAATCCGCTTCGGTACCAAAGCTCAAACGGATACAAAGAAGAAATATGTCCATGGTGAGTACTGTCATGAAATCATATCAATCGAGTTTACTAACATATTATCAGCGCTGAACTCTACCCTGTGTGCTACTGAGCGAGCGCTTTGCTGTATTCTTGAAAACTACCAGACTGAGGATGTAAGTCAAATTATACGTCTCCCTAAAACTTCTACACTAATCAGAAACAGGGTTTCAATGTTCCCGAAGTGCTGCGCAAGTATCTGCCTGGTGCTCCTGAGTTCATCCCTTACAGCAAGGAGCTCCCCAAGGATTCTACTTCAGCAAAGATCAAGGCTAAGGAGAACAAGGGTGCCAAGGGCAAGGTTGCGGCTGCTGTTGAGCAGGCTGGCGAGAAGCTGAAGAACGTGACCGTATAGGTTGTGAGAGATTAAGCTTGATGGTTGTAGAGATCTGAACATAATCTGACGATCATGACTATCCATTAGATGAGAAAAGACAAAAGAAAAAAGAAAATTCAGCCTAACTCTGAGTCAACCAGATTTGCAGGTGATGTGCTTTGAAAGCATCGCCTTTGCCAATTGGCTCTATTTTGTGCTGTAAGTTACTGCATCTTGCTAACAATCAACGAATCATGTTCATTTTGCCAGATGTTCCCTGCCAAAAGTGAAGCACTGAGGTGGTCTCTGCACCGAAATTCAGGGTCTGCCAGGGGTCCTTTTTTAGCGATTTCAGGGTCCTTCTTGGCGCCTTGCTATTCCAGCTCTGTGACTGTTTATGCACTTAACCGTATTGTCTTGTTTAGATCGCCGAATCAGGCACTGCACATTCTTGAAAGGCTGCGGGACAGTCAGCTCGTCCTTAGAAATGAAAGAACAGACTGCACCATTTGCGAACAAAGACACCTTACAATCTTGAAATCGACAAGATAATATGGTTTCAACGTACATGCATACCCAACGTAGCTGATTCCTCTGGGCCTGCGCGCCGCCGACGTAACTCCTGGTGATTCTGGTTCTTTTGACGACCTGACGGGTTATGCAGCCCAGTCCTGATCGCATAATTAACTGCCCAGGCGTTTGACAAGTATTCTCCACACTCGCTTTCCAAACCCAAATATACATGTTCTATAAGGACTCATACAAGTTATCTTAGGGTTGCTTTGTTGCATTTGTCTTTGAAGCTTTACACAGCGAGGCTACCTCCCTCACATAACCTCCGGAGCCACCAACCATTTCAAGCTCAACTTCGCCGAGACATCTGACAGGGACATTTCAGATAAAGCACACCCAAAACAAGTTTGAAAAAAAAAAAAAAAAAAAAAAAAACCCCCTGGATTGGGGATTTTCTAGATCCACCTAATTCTAACTTGAACCTGCCTCCGTTCTGCGCCAGATTTTGAGGCTACTTCCGTCGCAGCTTCCATCGCAGCTTCCATCGCAATGGAGGCGCGTTTGCAAGACTGCCCTTTTTGTGGCTACCATCCTGAAACGGAGTATCAGCTGCTTCTAGTAAGTCCAACCATATCGGTGACCACCCTACCACCTAATATTAACCTCCTTGAACAGCACATGGAGCAACATCACTCGGAAGAGGGCCAGTCGCCGTTCGTGGCTCGTGATGGCTCACGCACCGCGAGCACAAACACACCCCCTGAAGATGTTGGCGATGGCTTCGTTCAGTGTCCTCAGTGTGATGAGTACGTGACCATTGCTGAGTTCAATGATCATACAGATCTCCACGGTGCAGAGAACGACAATGAGTCCGAGGATGAAGTACCCGACGAAGCCGGTGGTGGAGCACCGCTGTACGATCGCACAAATGGCATCTACCAATCTCCATATGGAAACAGCAGCATCGATCATGATCTGGAAGTCCTCAAACGCTATAGCAAGAAGTCTTCTGCGTCTACCACAGAAACCAAGAATCAACAATCAGGCGCCACAGACCGTTGGAAAAACATTCTGAAGCTTCCATCGACGATTAGGAGACAGGAGATGGGAGACCCTACAGCCAACGGACAGGGCCCCAAGAAGAGACTTGGCGTACACGCTCCCCATTTCATTCTTCCGAAGTTCTCTTGTGCGCACCTACTAACGTTGCCATAGAAATCCGAGCTTGGTCAGTACGCTCATGAGGATGCCATGCCTGCTTGGCTTACAGACTTGCTTCGCCGAAAGGGCCAAATCACGCAGGGTGGTATGCTTATGTAATCGTTATCCGTTTCAAGGTTTTCTTCCTTACTCATCTTCCAGGTATCATCTCCGTTTTGGCGGGTCTGTTGAAGTCGAGCCGCAGCACCGAGTATGCCTACCTCTGCAGTCCAGCGGTTGACCACGTCTCCAAACTAAAGAAAGAAGGTCAGTATTTCGTCATTCGTGCCAAGTCTCAACTGGTCTGACCCACAACTGCAGGTGGCTTCTGTGGTTACAGAAATATCCAGATGCTCTGTTCTTATATAATAGGTGCTCGAGCCGAGGGAGCCAGTTCCCTCAACGGCAGACTCCCCAGCGTTTTTGATATCCAGGAGCATATCGAAGGTGCATGGGATCGTAATTTTAACGCACAGGGGAGGATTGAGACTGGTGGAGTGAGAGGCACACGCAAGTACATTGGAACTCCAGAGGTAAGTGATTTGTGAAAACGAGTTGAGCAGCAAACTGATCTGAAGCAGGCACAAGCCATGTTTCTGAGCCTCGGCATCCCGTGTAATGCACAAGGATTCAAGGACCCGCATCCCGGCAATGCCGAGAAGCGCCTTTTCCAGCACATCGAGGAATATTTCGAGCAAGGCGACTTCGATCCTGCCGCCAAAATCCGGCGAACGAGGCTACCACCAATCTACTTCCAGCACCGGGGCCATTCTCTCACAATCGTTGGTTTCGAGAAGAAGCACAACGGTGGCAGGGAGCTGATTGTATTTGACCCCATGTTCAATGATAGCGATTCTGTCATGAAACTTGTAGGCCAACGAACGTTTTCGGTCAAATCCCCTGACAGCATGCTTAAGCTGTACCGCCGGGGAAACAAGTACCTGAAGCGCTATAACGAATTCGAGATTCTTAAGTAAGTTAGTCCATATTGTTCTGACTTATCCCACGGTATTCTAGTTGTCCTCCACTTGCTGATCATGGAATAACTAGGTTGACCTCTCGACTTCCTGACGCCGAGACACAGGATCAAACAGAGACAAGCAAATACTAGCGTAACCAAGTAGCACCAGCCGATGTTTAGCAAGGGTAAGAACATCCCTCTCAAGACAATCAAGGTCCTTCACATATTCCTGTCAAGAAGGAAGTCTTCGGAGAGTCGTCGAACCATAGTGTTTGTGTGATCGGTGGCTCATAAATAGTGGCGTACATGATAAGTTAAAGCATGGCAATGGCGTTTGCATACAGGGGCATGAGGAGTTTCAATACTTGTGAGGCTTTACATCCTAAATGTCCAAAGGGCTATATTGATCTTATTTCATGCCATTTTCCACCCAGACACGCACTTTCTCGAGTGCCTTATACCGATGTGAGATCTTGTTCTTCTCAACTTGGTCCATCTCAGCGTATGTTTGCCCGTCATATTCGAAGATTGGGTCCCAGCCAAAGTAGGTTGGTCCTCTTGCGGGAACAATCTTGCCCTGCGGTACTGTCAGTCTTAACATAAGTGCAAAATATTGATTGCCACCTACGTCTGTGATGCCTTGAAAGAGGATGGGCTCGTGCCCCGGTCCCTTGGAGAAGGCGAACGTGCAGACTGCCTTTGCCGACTTGTCCTCATACACCACCAAAAGGTTGTTCAAGCCCTCATGGCCAATCGACTTCATGAACCACTTGCTACATTTTCCCACTCGTCAGTCCACCACCAAGAAGATCAGGAGAAAAAAGAAAAAGAAAAAAAGAAACTCACATGTAAGGACCTGGCAGCCCGTTCAGCGCATTGAAACACAGGCACGTGTCCTCGACCAGCACGGGGCCCCCGATCTTCTGCGCCGCCACCCGGCACTTCTCCAGCGTCACCTCTTCGACCGTCCCCTGCAGCTCCGGCAGATCTACCTCCTGCGAGTTCACCGTGATCGCCGGCTCCAGGATGTGCTTCACCTCGCGCAGCTTGTTGGCGTTGCCCGTTATGAAGTTCACTACCGGGGGGGTTGCCATAGTGATCTGTTCTTGCGCGAACGATACGCGGCGTGAGAGGATGGATGGGTGTGTACGGATTAAAATGGGGAGAGTGTTTTGGCTTTAACGCAGCAGGAATGAAGATGGAGGCTGCGAGTTGAGGATGTGGTGGTTGATGGTGCTGTGGGTATCTCGAGTGGGGCTCAGAGTTTGATACTGGCGGAATATGAAGTGATCGCAAAAGAAATTTTTATGGAGAAAAATTTGATAACTCTGCCCAAGGCCAACTGGATAGTATCAGACAGGCACAGGTTTATTATACAACGTCCTGCTTTTGAATTTCAGTATACCGCACCTCCGATGGCCTCCTTTCATCGGCTGGCTTGGCGGAGTGACGCATTCGGCGAGCTGTGCGCCCCGCCATTTCCTGGCGGCGTGCCCTGCTGCATGGGCAAACTACACATTTTGGTCTTGGTATACCGGGAATCAGCTCAGAGTGGTGGCGTGTTGGGGTCGAGTTGGAATGGTGCGTTAGGATCAGGTCTGCGCCCAACCGGTCCGTCTCATAGGCTGCGAGGTGTCTAGATCTTTGGTCTTACGGATTGTCCTCGTCGTATTGAGCACCTTGGTCCCCTGTCTCATGGTCACTGAGTGTGGGAGGCCACTGAATCACAACCCCCACCCCCGCATTGAGAACTCTCAATTGACACTTTCCTCACCTTTCATAGATCCTGGGAGTGTCAAACTGAGCAGTTTTCGATTCTCTGCAGTGTGGCCTGGCCTGGCAACGTCCTCGGCCCTCGATTTCTGGAGTGCCTGTTGCCTTTTGTCTTCTGAAGGTTCCCACCAAAGAATACTAAGCTTCAACCAGGTATGGGCGTAAGAAACACTCACTATATAGTCAAAACTTTCGGATACCGTGTTGAAAAGATCGTCTTTATACCTAGACTAACTAGTTCTAATTCTCGCTTTCTAGCTTCTAGATTTGGCCATCCCCAAAGCAGGCGCCCGAGGTCATCAAGATCAGTGATGAGACTAACTCGGGGCCCCACAAATAAGATAGACCCGCTCGAACAACGGCGGCACAACACGACCCATGAGATGAAACGTGCAGTAGTATAGTATAGTAACAGGCTAATGTATATTGCTAAATTACAAATGTCCATGTGTATCACCTGGGTAATTCCCTACCTACCCTGGACCCGTCAATTGAGCTATATTTTTGAATCGTTCTGTTTGTCGCGGGCGTGACACGGCTTTATAGCCTCCACGGCCACTCTTCCATCGCCTAGTACAAGGCATCATACACTGATTGCATGTGCGGTCCAGACCTAATTGTACCACTCCTAACTTGACTGTCGCAGGAAAAAACCCACCCACCCGAATTTGTTATATATATCGTTCCAGCATACAATCGATCCCCGAATACCCGGCCTTTATTATCGAAGAAAAAAGAAAGAAGAAAAAGTAGTCTTCGCTATTCGCTCCGACTAGAACAATAGCGAACGCCTCCTGTTTGGTCCGAGAAGAGATGGTGAGCATCGGACTAGAGAGAAGGGTGTTTGTGTATTTCAGCCAACTTATGACTTCGGGAACAAGATATATGGCATTGGGCGTCTTGCTAAAGCGCAGCATCAAATGCTTGCCCGCGAAGACTTGAAGCACATCGCTTCTTATCGCATCATCACGACAATTTGTCTCTCATCTCTGACCACAGCACCAGCAGGACATTGGGGTCCTGCTGGTCCTAATGGTCCAGGTGAACCTGGTGGTCCTGATGAGCCTCGTGGTCCCGATGGTCCTGATGGTCCGGGTGACCCTGGTGGTCCGCATGGTCCTGATGAGCCTCGTGGTCCCGATGGTCCTGATGGTCCGGGTGACCCTGGTGGTCCGCATGGTCCCGATGGTCCTGGCAGTCCCGCTGGTCCTGATGGTCCTGCTGCCCCTCGCTCGCCCACTCTGCCTTGAGGACCAATTGGCCCTTCGCGCCCAACTTGTCCGTCTCTCCCGTCTCTCCCGTCTCTACCAACATTACCTTGAAGCCCTGTAAGTCCTTGAAGACCCGTCAGGCCTCTATCTCCGGGTCGACCATCTCGACCTGGCTGTCCGTCTGGACCAATCGGACCTGGCCTTCCGTCTCGTCCCGGCTGCCCATCTCGTCCTGACTGTCCATCTCGCCCTGGTTGTCCATCTCGTCCTGGCTGACCGTCCCGGCCAGGTTGCCCGGGATCTCCTCGAGGGCCCTGTCGGCCCTCAGCGCCGGCCGGTCCTGGTGGGCCATTTTGCCCATTTTGCCCATTTTGCCCATTCACGCCATTATTACCGTTTGGTCCACGATGTCCTCGTTTGCCACGACGCCCAGGAGGACCCATGCAACAAGTGAATAGGCTATCTCTACTTCGGCGTCTTTGTCCAGTCCTGCAGCACATCCACCATATGATGATTGCACCGAAGACGCTAACCAAAATGGCAAACACGATAAGGGCTGTTTGCAGTTGCCTATCAGATCTATCGGAAGATGTAACATTATCCCCGGAACTTTCTGAAGTTTCCTGTGGTAAAGTCTGGCTTGTTGTGGGTACGTATCCTAGAAGTATTGTTGTGTAGACAGTGGTTGATACCCGTGCAATTGTAAGAGTGACATAATGCGGAGTAACATCTTGTCTCTGAGCGACACTTGCTGCAAGTACCCTAGGAATTTGGGAATCGCCACGAAGCGTTGGCATGACGGGCTTTTACTAACGATAATATGTGTGTTGAAAATGACTGGCAAGAGGTGAAACGCCAGCCGCTCCCATATATCTTCGCTTGAGTACTGGTCATGATTCTGCATGGTTCCGAGGTACTCTCTACCATGCATGAGCTTCCGGAGCCTTACCATTTTTTGCGACAGATATTAAAATGGCGAGTGCATTCACCTGCAGCCGGTCACATATGCTCCAGGCCTCAAGAACTCAGACACGTGTCAAGGCTATTAGGGATCGTGTGGTCGCATGCATATATATGTTCCCATGGCAGGATTGATCGCGACGTGGGCCCCCCAATTAGATAGAACGCCGCATTTGAGTACTTTGATAAACCGGCTTCCCTGGTTCCAAACACTACTCACCGGGTAGAAGGCTTTCACGGTTCGGCCCGGACCTGAACGAATCGCAAAGAATCCTGCTATACCCCGATGCAACAGCATGACGAAATTAAAAGGAACAATTAGTATCGTTCAAATTAAACTTACCTTACACGATTACAGTTCTGAAATGATGCTGTGACGATCAACTAAGGAACGGAAATACTTACAGAATCTAAGGATTGTTACAGTACTGGTAATTCTAGTTGGTAGCTTATGTTAGCAACGGGCCGGTTATATTATACCATAGAACTAAAACCTTCCAAGCCTAGGCTGACTACTAAGCTTCCAATACCCGAGAACACCGTTCGAATACAGTCTTGAAAAGAATTGATATGATTGATCATTAATATGTAAAATGAATTTCAATAACATTTAAACTTTTCATTTATTTGCTTTACTCTCCGCACTGGTAATTAGGCGGGGCTGTCCGCAAATTCTCTATCACATTGGTGCATCTACCACAGATCTCTCAGCGCCCATGAGCAGGTCCGGAAAGTCACACCCACGATATGGTGGTGGTTCGAAATGTTGCCGAAATCTGATCGAATGATTCTGGATCATTGAGTCAACTCGTGTTAAGAACCTGGTAGACCCCCATCCGAGCGCTCACCGTCTTGGACACGATCAATCTCAATTCCGTGTTCACATAAGAGAACCGCATTGAAACCCCGCATCAATAATGGAGAGCCTCGTCGTCTAAGCGCCGGTTATCTGTACGTGGTAGCTGAGTTTATGCGACGGGCAAAGTGGCCAATGTTTGCGAACAATCAATGCGGCCAAGCAGATACTGCAGGCAAGGTGAAGACCATGATGCTCCTATTCGCCATCACCCGTATCAACCTACAGGGTACAAGCTGTCGGATACCCCCACATCGACACAAAGCAGGCGTCGCCTACAGAGTGCTAAATTATATGCGATTCAAGATGCGCCTCACTAATCTAATCAGTACGTCCTCGTGTGGTCGATCAAGATGGAACACTCAATCAGCGAGATGGGGCTACTGCTCGTTTTTTTTTTTGCCTCAACGCGCTGTATATCCTTGTTGATGTAGTCTTGACGCCGCTCTCATCCTGCTAGCCTTCCCAACACCATGAGTTAGTTCAAACCGGAAAGCTTCCCACCAGGCCATCATTGATTCACATATTCGGGAATCTACACCTGATCTCTCGTTCAAAATCATACCCCTTGTGTGTTATGCATTAAGTCCGTAAGCCATTTGTGGCTGCATACTACATGGCGGGCAGATTCCATGAACGGGGACAGAAGTATGGTTCGATTACAGGTCTGAAAATTGGCCAGACCCATTTCGGGATATTGAACGAATATGGCGACGCCGAAGCGTAGGCATTTAATATTGCACGCTGTAAAGAGTATCACCTCATACATTCAACATCTAATTATTCACCGTGGTCTGTTCGAGAAACACGGCATGATCTGTCCTTCCAGCCCATCCAACTATATAGGCCAGGAGCTTATCTGCCCTAACGATTTACACATCTTGTTAGCTGTCTATGGACGGCTCTGGAAACATCTTCGACGAACACTGGCCATATTGCTCTTAAGAAAAGCGCACCCACAGCCTTCTGCCCATTCAGCATGCTCAGGTAGCCCAAGTTGCGGAGTACTTTTGAGCTGTAATAGATCACATGGGATCTCTCGTTCTTCATACCACAGAAAGTAGCGAAACTCGACCAATGCAATCAGAAGAATTACAGCCTCTCTGATATGACTCAATGAACCAATCCGCGATATATCCGACAATTTGGCAGCTCATTGTGCCTAAGAATTAGGTCATATGATCATTGGTTGATGATCTACAATCCAAATTTTGGGTCTGGCAGCGTGCGGGGTGCATACTGCCAAGTATGCCCAGAGCGCCAAGGAGATATAACGGGGGCTGCAGCAACTTTTCCGAGAACTACATAAGTAGCTTTTCCGGATCTCTAGCAGCCGATATTATAACTTGTTCAGAATGTCGCCTCAGGATTGTCGGCCATCTTGGCGGAGACATCGCCGCTCATCGTGGAGTTCATATTTGCAGCTGCTGGCCAACTAAAAGCTGAGAGTCTTCGTATCTGAATCTGACCTTGGAACTCTATCAATACCTGAAGGATTAGGTATTCATTGGCACTCGGCTCAGCATGGCAACGCCGACCGTCCCGCCCAGTGGTGTTTGGGCACCCACCATCACCTTCTTTAACCACGACGAGGACACCCTAGAAATTGTGTCTCAGGCGGCCTACTACAAGTATCTCTCCACTACTGGGCTCGCCGGTCTCGTGGTTCTAGGCACGAACGCGGAAACGTTCCTGCTCACCCGCGAGGAGCGGAAGACCCTCCTCCAGACTGCCCGCAAGGCAGTCGGGCCGTCCTTCCCAATCATGGCGGGCGTCGGCGGCCACTCGACACGCCAGGTGCTGGAACACATCGCCGACGCCGCGGAGGCCGGTGCCAACTACGCGCTCGTTCTTCCCCCGGCGTACTTCGGCAAGCAGACCACGCCGGCGGTGATCGACAACTTCTTCGCCCGGGTGGCGGAGAAGAGTGCGCTGCCGCTCGTCATATACAACTTCCCGGCCGTGGTGAACGGCATCGACCTGGACTCGGCGACCATAGCGCGCCTAGCCCGGTCGTCCCCCGGCAAGATCGTCGGCGTCAAGCTGACGTGCGGCGCCGTGGCCAAGATCACGCGGCTGTCGGCCGAGTTCCCCCCGGACCAGTTCGCCATCTATGCCGGGCAGTCTGATTTCTTGATCGGGGGTCTGGCCTCGGGGGGTTCGGGCACGATCGCGGGCTTCGCGAACGTGTTCCCCAAGACCATCGTGCACATCTACAACCTCTACACTCAGGGCAAGATCGCCGAGGCGTTGGAGCTGCATAAGAAGGCGGCCCTGGCGGAGCAGCCGTGCAAGGCCGGCGTAGCTGCCGTCAAGTACGCCGTCTCGTTGACCACGGCCAGGCGTGCGGGAATCGAGGGCGCGGTGAATATCTTGAAGCCTAGACACCCGTACGTCGAGGTCTCCGATGCGGCAAAATCAGACATCGAGAAGACGATTTCACCTCTCTTTGAGGTTGAGGCTGGTCTTTGATGTTAATTACATCATTTAAATTTCATGCATGACCTCTTCTAGCGTGATTCACCGTAATGATTCTGTAACCGTATAGCCGTCCCTCCATGAGCTTTCCGAACAGGAGGTTTGCTGCTGTCTTGAATTGTCCAGTCGATTTTCTTCTTCGACCATTGGCCTTCCCGATTACCCCGAACCAATTCAACGTGGTGCGAGCCCAGGGCTGGCATTCGATATATCTTTGAAGTATACCTAAGATTATCACCAACAAGTCGCACTTTTCGTTGCTCATCATCCAACATGCACTCGTCGAAACCTGTAGGAAGACAAACGTAGAGGTTACCAATTCAACGCTCACTACGAAGCGACTTCCACCTATTACTTTCAAAAACCTTAATCAAGACATTCAATAAAATCATGTTTGAAGTTCTCGTATACCTTCATGGCTCCAATCTGTACGGACTGTTTATCTGGAAAGCTGAGCAATGGATATAGTTATCCCACAGCACAGTCTGATTGAAAAGAAGCAAGGTAACGGAGATGTACTACTTAACATACGTCGCAGCAGAACAGGCAGAGGCGAGCATTCCAGCCGAAACTAACAGCCGAAACTAACCATATACAATTGTTGTGCCATCAAAAGCTCACAGTACGTATTTGAACAGCGGCGACGAGTCTCCCAAATCCATCAACTCAGCTTCGCTATACTTGACCCTCACTTCCTCCTCGGTGATTATTTCCTTCTTGGCATTTCCTCTCTTGTAGCTCCACTCGAGGATGAAGGCGGCAATCATTCCAGTCGCACCCAACGCCAGTCCGAGGCCGAAGCCAGTGTGGTACTTTGGCTTCTCGGCGTCGATGTACATGTAGCTGCCGAGAATGCCGCCGATGTTGCCGACGCAGTTGTTGAGCGCGATGGCAATGGCTCTCCTGGAGTCTGGTGCCACGTTGTTCGCGTTCCAGGATGCCGCCGCGGGCTGGATAGGATAGATGCCGACGCAGACGACAATAGCGGCGAAATACGCCAGCCCGCGCTGCGCCGATAGGGCGCCATCCAGGCCGAGGAAGATGGAGTATCCCACACAGACGATGAGCATGGGCACGATCACGAAGGGCATCCGCCAGTAGAAGCGGTCGGAGATCTTGGCAAAGGTGATGGCCGAGATGGCTGCTGCGACATACGGAGGGGCAGACATGAGTTGTGCCGAGCTACCGGTGAACCCCATCGCCTGAGTAATGGTGGGAAGCGTAAACTTGGTTCCTATTCATGTGTAAGAGCACTAAAATTGAGTGTTGAGAAAGGAGTAGATGGCTTACCATAAGACAGACAAGACTGAACAAATAGGAAGTAGGCTTGGATGTAGATCCTCCCATTCATCAATACCATCTTGAGGTCTTTCCAACGGAAGTGGTGCTCATCACGGAATCTACCACCCTGCTTGATGAACATGGAGAGCTCAAGGTATCGAATCTCCTCGGGCTCAAGCCACTTGGTAGACAAGGCGGGCGAGTCAATGAGAAGGAAGAAGGAGACGATACCAATAAGCACGGTGGCAATTCCTTCCAGAATAAAGATCCAGCGCCAACCTTCCAGGCCGGCAACGCCGTCCATCTCAGCAATGGCTGCTGCCAGAAGTCCGGAGAAGGCGCCAGAAAGCGCACTGGCGCAGTAAAAGTAGGAAATGCGAGTAGCAAGGTCCTTGGGCATATACCAGTACGAGCATAGGTAGATGGCAGCGGGAAAGAACCCAGCTCTAGAGAAAACGCACGTCAGCAACATAATCGGAAAGAGACAGGTTACTGGCACTTACTCGAATATACCAAGCAAGACACGAGTAGCCATCAAACTTCCATAGTTCTGGACCACACCAGTACACGTCATGATGATACCCCATGCTGTCGTGATGATTCCGAGATAGGTTGACGGACGCTTGAACTTCTTGAGTAGGATATTACTGGGGACCTCGAATAAGACGTAGGGGATGAAGACTTCGAAGATAGTTGGTCAGCATCATCATCAGCGGAAAAGAGGATGTAAAGCACTGCACAGATGGGGTTCTGCTAACAGATTGCTGTCACAGTATTGTACTGTACACCAGTCATCCCCAGATCCTTATCCATTCCTTCAATCTTGGCATTGCCAATATTCGCACGATCGATGTGGCATATGAGATACAAGAGAGCTAGCATCGGAACTAGTCTGATGTCGACCTGGAGTCGCACGTTAGCCAATGACGCATAGCAGTGCAGTGTACTATGTTACCTTGTGAACGACCTTCTTCCTCTTCTCCTGTGGGTAGTTGATGTAGAAGTCGGCATCCTCAGGGCTCAAGCCTAGGACACGGAAGGTCTCGATCTGAGTGACGGCCGGTGCTTCTTCGATATGGTCATGAGACGCCTTGAGGTCAAACTCATGGTGCTCAAGTGATGATTTGCGAGACATTTCTTTTGAGCAAAGTTGAAAAGAAAAAAACCAAAGGTGAATGGGATGAGATGGTCGATCAGATGTTGAGGTCAACCATTTGATGGGCGCCGGCTTCACTTCTATATGCTAGCATTTCCGCTGGTCTTGGACCCATTTACCCCAGATTACCCCAGACTACCCCCGAGGCCTATCTCACAAGTCACCCATTGATTCTCACCCCATTTCCCCGCAACGGATACAACTCCGACCATTGTCACCTCATAATCGATATTCAAGTCAACCTTTTCCGTTGGAGAAGATATCAAGGATGAGGAGCAGTCTACCCATTCACCGACTTTTCCGTCAACACGAATGCGACAGTGATCCATGTGCAGAATTGCTTAGTCGACCACTTTCCCAACCACTGGAAGTGCTTATCCTGGACGAGTGGGCTTGGCGTCAGGGTTTATATTGACAGGATCAGCCGAGATGGAAAGCTCGGTTGGCATGATTCTCGGAAACACTCAGTGCCATTCGAGACGAGAACACAAGTCACCATGGCAGGAAGCGTAAGAATTAAAGACGTCGTCATCACGCCAGTGGCGTTCCAAGACATGCCACTATTGAATAGCGTCGGCGTACATGAACCTTTCGCACTGCGCAGCATTATAGAAGTCATCACCGAAACTGGGGTGTATGGTCTTGGCGAGTCTTACGGCGACGACGCACATCTGCAACGTCTTGAGGAGGCGGCGAGGGCGATCAAGGAGCTGAAGCCTTCGGTCTTACATCTTAATGTTATATATAAGACCTGCGTTGGGTCGCTTGAAGGCAGCAGCACTCACGGAGGTGATGGCATGGCGGGTATGGTGACCACAGCCTCCACCGCCGATAAAGTGTTCAGTCCGTTCGAGGTGGCATGTCTCGATATCCAGGGGAAACTTGCTGGGGTACCTGTGAGTGATTTGCTCGGCGGTCGTGTCAGAGATACGGTGCCATACTCGGCCTACCTGTTCTACAAGTGGGCTGGGCACCCCGGTCAGCCAGACGACGAGTTCGGAGAAGCGCTCAATCCGGAGGGACTGGTGAAGCAAGCGAAAAAGATGATGGACGAGTATGGCTTTACAGCGATCAAACTGAAAGGCGGCGTCTTCGAACCGTCCCAGGAGGTCGCGGCAATCAAAGCGCTGCGCCATGCGTTCCCAAATACACCTTTACGTCTCGACCCCAACGCTGCATGGACAGTGGAGACCTCCAAATGGGTAGCAAAGGAGCTTGCCGGTATCGTCGAATATCTCGAGGATCCCGCCGGAGGTATAGACGGGATGGCGGCGGTTGCAAACTGCACCGAGACGACCATGCCACTCGCGACGAACATGGCCGTGGTGGCCTTCACACACCTGCCCGAGTCTATCGCGAAGAATGCAGTCCAAGTCATACTATCGGATCACCACTTCTGGGGCGGTCTGCGCAAGTCTCAATTGCTAGCCGGCATGTGCCACACATGGGGCATGGGCCTGAGCATGCACTCGAACAGTCATCTTGGCATCTCGCTGGCCGCCATGACGCACCTTGCAGCTGCTACCACAAACCTCGACTACGCTTGCGATACACACTGGCCCTGGAAGCGACGTGACGAGGATGTCATCGTAGACGGATCGCTCAAATGGGTAGCCGGTGGGGCGGTCGAGGTGCCCAAAACACCTGGACTGGGCGTTGAGCTGGACCGGGAAAGGCTGGCAAAGCTCCATAAGCAATATCTGGATTGTGGTCTGCGGAAGCGAGACGATACCACATACATGCAGAAGTTTCAGCCGGAGTTCTCAGCAGATATTCCCAGATGGTGAGGACGCCAGGGCGAATTGACGTTCGGAACATTGCCGGTAGCTTGAGCTGTGAGGGACATTCACCCAGACGGCAGTAAACTACAAATTTATAGAGATTTCTGTACCAACAGTATTAGACTACTGCTTGATACAACGCTCATCGCACTTTGATGAATGGGACAACTAGTATTGATTCACCAAGTAAGCATCCCGCTGCAACTATCCTCCACTTCAACAAGTACATTGTATCTCGCAGCAAATTTGTTCCAAGGTGCCTCCCTTGTACCCCAGAACAAGGTGCTTGTTGGAACCTGATTACAATCACGTTGAGCATTGCGCATTTGATCAACAACGCCAAGAAAATTGTAAGATTACCCCATGGGGATTCTCCTCAAAGCCAAGCCCTCGCTAATGTGCTCCTCTGACTAACCCGGAAAAGTATCCGACCATAGCGACAGACGGGTGGGGAGAAAAGCCGGATACACTATAGTTCAGATATATCGCTGTCTAGGGAGAAGGAAGAGAAAGTCGGTTGTGTATCATACGTCCAGTTGCCGCAAAACGTGCTCCTGCATAAGGCGACTCTGCGTCGTTGGAACCGTCCTCATAACCCATTAGTTATTCTGCACGTGTGTAGCATCAAGTTCAACTCTACAGGGAAAAAAGAAAAAAGAAAAGAAAAACCATGGCAACAAAAACGAGGAACCGCCTGATCCTGGGTACGATGACCATCGGCCCGGACCCGAAGCTTGGCGCCCGGATCACCGACATCGAGGTGTACAAGCAATGCCTGTCGTACTTTGCCTCGCGGGGCTACCGGGAGGTCGACACGGCACAGCTGTACGTCGGCGGGCGGCAGGAGGCGTTCACGCGCGAGGCACTGGCCGGGCTGCCCGACCTGAGCTTCGATGTAGCGTCCAAGGTTTACCCCAAACAGCCCGGCGACCACGCGGCCGGGAGGCTGAGCAGGGCCTGGGACGAGAGCCTGGAGAATCTCGGTATCGACAGGCCCGATATCTTCTATCTGCACGCGCCGGACCGGAGCGTGCCGTACGAGGAGACGCTCGAGGCGGCGGATAAGCTCTACCGCGAGGGAAAGTTCGGGCGGCTGGGCCTGAGCAACTACGCGTCGTGGGAGGTAGCGGAGATGGTGGGCATCTGCGAGAGGCGCGGGTTCGTGAGGCCGGCTGTGTATCAGGGCATGTACAACGCTATCAGTAAGTTCAAAGCCGGCATGGTGCGCAGAGTGAGATGCAGTCGTTGACACCAGCAATGTATGTAGCACGCGCCGCCGAGTCGGAGCTGATCCCCGCGCTGCGAAAGTTCGGCATCTCGTTGATTGCCTATAATCCGCTGGCCGCGGGATTGTTCTCCGGTAAGTATACCACGCTCGACAAGCCTGCGGAAGGCCGGTTCAGCGACTCTAGCAGCCTTGGGAAGATGTATCAGGATCGGTTCTTCAAGCAGTCGAATTTGGATGCGCTTGCACTTGTCGAGCCCGTGGCAAAGAAGCATGGCATCCCATTGATTGAAGTTGGCCTCAGATGGGTTATCCATCATAGTCAGTTTGAAGGAGCCTCGAAAGGTGGCGACGACGGGCTACTTTTAGGGTTTAGCTCTTATGATCAGCTGATACAGAATGTTGAAGCAGCGGAGAAAGGTCCACTTCCAGATGATGTGGTTGAAGCGCTTGATAAAGCTTGGGTTAAGGCGAGAGGCGATGCACCCACATATTGGCGTTAGTATCGATACTGTGACCAAGATTAAGAATATCAAGTTTCGATAATGCCACCATCTCATGTAAGTTGCAACTTATAGGCCGATGTCTTGTCCTGGTTCGGTCAGTCGTGATCGTTTCTCGCACGCGTGATTGCCCAGAGACTTGTACGGCCTGTTGCAATGGTTCATTTGATCATTTCTCGGACCATGTCTAACCTCAACCGGCCTCCTGCCCTTCCGGGTGGTCCTGCTTCCATTGCTTCACCCAAGCCTCAATCCGATCAACATTCTGCTCCATCTGATCCGAATCATTACTCTGGAGCTCCACCACGATCTGCTCATCATAAGATTCCCTAGCCTCCTGCAGTAGGACCTCCATGATCTCGCTATCAAGGTTTTCCTGTAGCTTAGCCTCTGGGTATTTCCTATTGCACATGCGCATCAGCTCATACATCCCCCTTAAGAAAAAGTTAGGGGGGGGGGGGGGATAAACGGGAACACTACTCACCTTGACTTCAACCGATCATAGAGCACCGTCGAGTCCGTCCTCAACACAACCACGAGATCGACCCAGCGTTCAGGGAACAGATCGCATGCATGCCAATCGATTATACATCCGCCCTTTGCTGCGTCATCCTCCATGGCGTCTAATAACTGCATTTCGAAAACGTTCTCGTTAGCCGTTTTTCTTCTTCTTTTTACTCTCGAAATATTGCCCTCCTCCCGCTCGGTTGGCCACTTTCTTCTTCCTCCATCGCATATTGCTCCTACCTTCCTCCCTTCCCTCATGCTTCCTTCTTTTGCAAAAACCTTAAACCGGGAAATGTGCAGATGCCCCAAAGCCCAGAAACGCGACGACATAAGAAAACACAAGATTTCATGGACGTATGAAGAGAGAAAAAGAAGAAAAAGAAGACCCTCACCTTATCCTCATCCACGACCCAGCTCTGAAACTCGTCATCCCAGCCCTCATGGGCCCCCTTGTCCTTGACGACCTGGTTGACGCTGAGGTGCCTGAGCCCTGTGCGCTCGGCCAGGACCTCGCAGTGCGTCGTCTTGCCGACGCCGGGGGTGCCCGTGACGACGATGTTGGGTTCCGTGCGACCGCCCATGGCTTTCTTTTCTCCCTTTCCTTTCCTTTCTTGTTGTACGTTGTGTTTTTCTGCCCCGTTGGATTTTATTTTGGGAGGGATTCTCTTTGCCTTGTTCTTATGTTGTTATGCTTGGTCTTGCTACGGCTGCTCTGCTTTTGCTTTTGCGTTTGCTTTTGCTGCTGCTTAGTGTGGGTTTTTGGGTCACTAGAAGCGCAAACCCAAAGTGCGGAAAACTTTCCGCCAGATTCGAATAAATCACAAGCGATTTGCAGAAACGGCCGTGTCGCGAATTCACTAGAGTACGTAGAAGGAACTCTGGTCCAATAAATACGCCAGATATTAAATTTGACACCAGTAATGGAAGTTAGGCTTATTTATATCGAGGGTCTAAACTTGAATTTTTATTATTTTATTTTATTGGTTGATTGGTTGATTGGTTGATTGGTTGATTGGTTGATTGGTTGATTGGTTGATTGATTGGTTGATTGATTGATAGAGAATTTCAATGGTTCGCGGGACGTTTGATCGGTCACGTGGGGAGCATCCTGTCATGTCCCGTCAAGCTTTACTTTGTCTTCTTCTTCATACACTTTGAGTTGTATACAAGTGACAGTAACAGAACGAACCCAAATATCCTTTCTTGAACGATATCTCTTTGAGGCCCGCGGCGTTCGTGTGGTTTTAGTGTGTTTAGTCAAGCACGTACGATGAGGAAATATGTAAGGGCGTGGAATCTTGGACAGGTTTAACGACTCAAGATTAGATGCTCTCTGAATAATTGAGTTAAAATAGTACTTATAAATCATACATTCCTCTCGACCCTTCCCACCTTCCCTTTGTTCTCTGTCATTTTCGTACAAAACAATAACATAACAGCAGACAAATGTTATATGGAGTGGGGCCGTCCTGGCTCATGCAAGCCATCTAAAATGGAACAGAGACTGGGCTCAAGGAAATAAGTATCCTCAGGTATGTTGCAATTGCCAAAAGCGGGTGGAAAATGGTCGCACTTCTCATGACTTTGGCTGATTACACGGCATATACCCGTGTGGTGAAGTCAATATAACCTGCCATAACACCAGGAAGATGCTACATGATCTTTTAATACACTTTGTTTCAACCTCTCTCCCTCTCTCTCTCTCCATCTATCTCCGGCCTTTCCTTTTGTCTCAAAGATACGCTCATTAGCTGTCAAAAAAGTGACGCCCTCCCATATTCCTATAATGTGTCCGCATGAGTTTCTCTCTCTAATTCAATTCCGTGGTATCCATTAGACGTCTGCTCATCTCTCGCGCATCACTGTACATGGGTTTGTTGATCCCTCAAGCACCAACAAATCGAACCTCGGATTATGATCTACATTTTAAACCCTGGTGCATCGCTGTGCAGAAGATCTATTGCTGACCTCGCAACATCTACGCGGCGGCCAGGATCTCTGGGGGCTCCTCTCCCTCAGGAATGCCATCTTCGCCCTCATACTCTTCGTCATCTTCGTATTTTTCTTGCTGAGCGATCGCCTGGGCAGACACTATCTCAGCGAGGCGCTTCAGTCTGGGAGTTTGTAGCCCTAAAATCGAGCTTGTTAGCTGCTGTCACGGATGTTTCAAAGAATTTCAAGTCAACTTACAGGATGGGGTATATGTTTCTAAAGCGGTAATGACACGGGGCTCAGCGATCTCATATGGTCCACTGTCGTCCATATCAACAGCTTGGAGAAGGAGAACATCGCTCTTCTCGGAAACCCGGGAAGCAACCGCCTTCATAATCTCGCCGTTAATGGGCTGCTCGTAGTCGGCGACCAGATATTGGTTAAGCAATTTCTGGATCTGGTTAGGCGACAGCATCCAACAGATATCTTGAATGATCTCGATATCGTTTAGAGTCGCCTTCTTGAGCTGAAGAAGCTTAGTCGCCTGCATCAAGTGCTCGAGCTGGAGGGTACCCTCAGGCATGTCGTGACTCTTGCACCACTCCTCGATACGGGTGATGTTGTAGTTGATCTGAAGACCACGCTTCCACGAGAGGAAGTTTCGGCGCATAAGAAGATCGTTGAAGGCGGTGACACCGACAAGACGAAGGAGCTCAGTGACTGCCTGAGTAATAATGGAGTCCTCCAAGTAGTAGGCCTTCATGGCACGGAAGACGTTGTTGAGCAGGCTGAGGAGGTTATCCATGCTGTAGGCGGGTGCCGAGTTTGACTGCAGCAGCTTGCCAAGGAATCTGTTACTTTCATTCGTGACAAAGCCAGGCAGAGACTGAGACTCGATGATGGCAGGAATGATCATCTTCTGGAGCTTCTTCTTCAGCACCTTCATCCAAGTGTGGTAGATGTTGAACTCCAAGCTCTCGAGGTCGTGCTTCACAATCTCAAGGAGACGGTCGTACTCGTAGTTGTCCGTCTTCTGCGCCTCGTACCAGTCCTCGGCAAGGAAGACGAACGAGAGCATCTCGTGGACGTTCGAGAGCCAGAAAGCACCGGGGTTGATGGCCTCATCACCGTCATGCTGCATGACCTCCTGCTGGATCGACTGCATGACATTAGCCAGGAATCTCTCCGACTCCTTAACGAAGCCGTTGTTCCACATCTCCGAAGTGACCAGGTTAATAAGATATGACGGGAAGAGGACCTCCTTGTCGGAAGGTGGAGGGTTCTGGTTAGGGGATGGGATCTTGAGGTTGCGAATAAGGCCAATGGTGACTTCTTCGTTGAGACCGTCCTCATCGGCAAGTAACCCTTCGAGCTCCATTTCGATGCTGTCCACACCTGGAAGGAAGCTGCCCGCGCCGGCGTACGGGCGTTGACCACCGTTGGTAACTGCCATCGATACAGGCCGCGGATTGAAGGCGGCGCTAAATCGGTCCATACCCCGGGTATCCTCTCCCGCACTTCGGCGCTTGGCCAGGTTCTTCTTCGAGGAGACGAGGTTGATCAGACCGCTGACTGCAGGGGCGGCAGCGGCGTGGCCGTTGGCGAGTTCCCCGTTGATCGGGCCGCTGCGCTTAGCCAGCTCGAGCTGGTCGGCAAGGTCTGCCAACTGCTGCTTGAGGCCGCCGACGGTACCAAGATGAGCATCGCTCTCCTTCTTGACCTCTTCGAGCTCAGTTTCGGTGGAACGCAGCTTCTCCTTGAGCTCGCGCTCCTCCTCTTGCATGCGCTTGACGTTGGAGTTGGACTCCTCGTAGGTAAGCTGCAGCTTCTGCATGTCCTCCTCCATTGCCTGGAGCTTTGCGACTGCAATACCAGCCTGGTTGGCCTCGGCCTGCAACTCCTTTGTTCGGGTTTCCAGCGCCGTGTGCCTGGTCTTCCAGGACTTGATCTGGTTTTCGTAGTTTTCGACTTGACTGACCAGACCCTTGTTCTGGGTCTTCATAGAACCAAGAGCCTGAGTGAGCTCGACGACCTTGTTTTCAAGCTTGTACGAGATTTGCTTCAGATCGCGTGCTTCCTCGCGAACCTTCTTGTAATCCTGTCTCGCCGACTTTCCACGCCACAAGCTCTGGACAATGACAACCTTTCTGCGGTAATCCCTCCACTGGCGGAGCTGTTGTCTCCGGCGCCATACACGCTGGATGAGGAGTGCGGCGTTGCCCACCCGGGTCTCCATGATCTCCTTCCTTCGCAGGTAACCCTTGGCTGCGGCCTGGGCAAGGACCAAATCGGCACGGATCTTGAGGAAAGCCTTCCTCTGCTTTTGACCTTTCCATACTCTCTGAATGGTGGTAGCAGCCTTGACTGTCCTCCATTCATCGGCCTTCCGGCGGATCATGAAGGCTCTAGAAAGCGACTGGAACCCGAGGATAGCGTTGCGTGCCTCCAAATATCTGTTGCGGTAGTATTTGGCCTTCAGGTTCTTCTGGATCATGATGGCAGCAGAGTTGAGGCGCTCAGTGCGGAGGTTCTCCATGAAAGCCAGCATACCAGCACGGAAGAAGATCTTTGTCAGACCAAGCTGGTACTTGTCCTGACCCTTGCCAGTGCTCTCGCCGAGAGCCTTGGCCAGAATCTCATTCGCCATCTCCCGAAGCTCAGCGGTCCACAGCGTCGAGGGAACCAGCATGTAATAACGAAGAGCGAATTCTTCATAGGTCCATCGCGTTGGATAACCAGCACAACTAATGCGGACCGTCTCCAACACACCACAGGCTCTCAACTGGCTGAGAACCATGGGGCCTTCGAACTTCCAGGCCTCCTTGGCCTCATTAGGCTTGATACACCTGATATAGTGCACATCCGTGTTGTTGATTGTATTCATAAGCTCGATGAGTGAGGAGCGGAAGATACCACCCAGAGTCGGCTTGCGGTTAACAGCAACTCCAATCCTCCTGCCCGCACCCGGCTTTGCCACGGAAGACGACGTCGCTGAAGCGACGTCCTTTTCACGGACCGCGAGGGCAGCGGCCAAGACATCTCCAAGAAATCTGTTGCTGCTTGCCTTGAGAACCTCCATGTGCTCATCGGGCACAGTATCTCTGTTCTTCTCGATGAAGCCATCAGACTCGTATGTCACGTCGACAGCATAATGACAGACAGTGAAGGCAGACTTGCCGAAACGGGGCTTCTTGTAGAACTTGTTCTTGTCGCTGGCAAAGTTGTGATGCAACTTTGTGACAAATTGCTCGTCAGATCCCATGGGTAAACGCGACTCTTCGTCGAGAAGTGACAGGATGCCCATCTTGTTCTCGATCAAGTCAATACAGGGCTGATTGTCAGAGAAGTCGATGAAGGTCCAGTCGATCTGTTCTCTTATGTACTCTTCCTGCTCGAGCTTGAAAACGTGCTGGTTAAACTCCTGCTGCAGCTTTTCGTTGGCATAGTTGATACAGAACTGTTCGAACGAGTTCTTGGCAAAGTGCTCGAAACCGTAGATATCAAGAACACCAATGAAAGAGGTTACCCGGTTCAGGACCTCGTCCGTGGCAAGACTGTGGTTGATGACCTCAACAAGCCAGTCGAACATGCTAGAGTAGATGTACTTGGCAACGGAATCTCGCACGACGATAGCCTGTTGTTGTGTCAAGTTGGAGGTGATCTTTTCGCCACGGGTAATGAGCTGCTTCTTGACGATCCACTTGGCGAAGTTTGTGTTGTCTATGCCGAGTATCGAGCAAGCCTTGACGAGGGCCGGCTCGTCGGGAGGTAGTACACTGTCATTACGGGATGCCGTGATCTTAACATTTCCCAGATGAAGCAGACCAGCGAGCAGCCTAAAGATGCCCATTTGCTGTTCCTCCGTGACACCGATGGTTGTAAGCGACTTCTTTGTGGCTTCGAACTCGGCCTTGTCGTCGACACCGTCGATAACGGGGGCATTGCCTTGGTTCATGTAGTCGTACTGCTCGACGGGGAGAAGGCTGAGCTCCTTGCGCTGCGCGTCGGTGGCACCAGCGATGAGCTGGTAGAAGATGTGGTAGTTCCGCTCCTTGAGGGGCTGGAAGACCAATCTTGAGCGCTCGAGCAAGTATGTACGGATCTTGGCTCCGATAATATTTGTCTTGTCATCAAACAGAATCTCAATGTACTTTCCAAAACGGGACGAATTATCGTTTCGAGTCGTTTTCGCGTTACCGAAGGCTTCCATGATGGGATTCGTCGCCAGGATCTGTTCTTCCGTTTCGCTCATAGCTTCGGCGCCCTTTTTCCTGCCTCCTGGGTTGTCTGGCGATTCTCTCGTGGCGAAGTATCGCATGATGTACTTGGCGCTGACCGTCTTTCCGGCTCCCGACTCTCCCGAGACGACAATGGTTTGGTTCTTCTTGTCTCTCAACATGTCCCTACAATGATAACAATCGTCAGCCACTACTCCTCCTCCGCGTGAAAGTAGAGTACAGGACGAGGGGGGGGGTATTTACGCAAAGGCTTCTTCCGCAATGGCAAACAGATGCGGCGCTTGTGTCGCCCTCTGCCTGCCAGCGTATACTTGTACCATGCCCGGGACATAGAGAGAATCCACACGAGCGAAAGGATTCGTGGCTATTAGCACAATACCCGAGTATGTGTAGATTTCCTTTTGCAGATATCTGAGGCGGATGGCTTGCAGAACTGTAGTAGGCCGTGGTGGTCAGCAAGATGGACTGTACAATGTAGAGGCAGGGGAGGCTAAGCTCCCGCTCCCTGAAGTGTCCTTCGAGGGCGAAAGTGCTTCGCTCGCTGGCAAGGGGCTAAGCATACCGGCTGGCTCGTTAAGATGAGATAGGTTGGTAAGATCATCGCTGGCTTCGAGCATGGTAGGGTTCATGAGCGGTGGTAACGAAGGGTCATTTCCGGTCTGTAGTCCTTCGAGCGAGAGCTCGATCTTCTTGGTCTATATTTGGTGAATAGGGGGGCATGTCAGTCATCTGGTATAAGACCGTGGCAGGTGGGGGATCTGTATCAGATGCAATTGCCGTCGCTGCTGGGAGCAAAACGAAGCTCTCGGGGCCTACGCGTACCTCTTCATTTTCGAGCTTGAACTCCAGTATCACCTTGTTGCCATCGACCGTCTTGTTGACAACCTCGGAAGCCACCCAGCCCTCGGTGGCATCGGGCTGCCAGGCTCGCGTTCCGACATCGTAAGTCTGCGACATGGGGGCGAACGCTGCTTCCCTCTCATGTATATATTGTTGGTGGAATTAGGGGTGGTCGTCTGCCGCGTCCGAGGCTCAAGGTCGGGCGTTGGGAGGTCAGCGAGCTCAACGAGTGTAGGTCGCGTGTTGAGCAACTGCCACGAGTATCTGTCAGGGCAAGCGGTTCGGTAGTTGGCTGGCGGTCTGGCTTGGCTGACTGGCTGGCTGGCTGGCTATTTGCTAAGAGGGAGGAGCAGACAGAGTAGAACACATTCGTACAGGCCAAATCAAAATAGATAGATGTAAAATATTTACTAGGTTTGGAAAAGAAGGTCTGCTATGCACACTGGGCAAGTGAGATGGCAGATGGAGAGAAGGAAAGATTGGCCGTTTCGATGTGTTTGTATGTTATTGAGCTTTAGTGGGGATCTCGAGTGAGTAGAAACAGAGACGGAGATCTGTCTCGTCGATGCTTGATCCTTCGCCCGGAAAGCAACAATAACAAAGCAGACTGGTGGATGGAGGAGCTGCCAGATCAGAACAGGCCGGATGGGATGCAAGAGGGTTGAGCGAGCATCAAAAATATCATGTCAGTCGAGTTGAGTTTACTGTACAGAGAAGTCAACGCCATGCTATGCTATGCTATGCTGTGCTATGCCATGCCCCCCTGCTGTGGCCCACGGCCCCATGCAGCCAGGCCAACGCCAATGCCAAAGCCAATGCCAAAGCCAATTGCCAGGCCAGATTTTGGGGGTAGAGGAATCAGCCGCCGCGTTCTGCCAGCCCAGCACAAACCATCCCCCCCAAGCTTGGAGCGATGACCATCAGTCACTAACAGCACACACAAGAGACAGGGGTTGGAAAAGGGGACTCAATCCGTCTTGCGCTAAAAATTTGTTGCCAGCTAGGTACCGCTACAGGCGCGCCGCCCATGTCTCACCTGGGCTTGTGCACCATCCTAAGTTCACTGTACCCGGCCACTATTCTTTCTGGCCTCTCGATACCCTAGCGCCCGGATCGCGCAATCACTGGGACTGTCCCGCCAGCACGGGCACGGGCTTGCAGAAACAATCCTCAATATGCAACCTTTCAACTGCTACAGTCAAACCTGCGTCGACCCTCAATGGTCCGAATACTTGCATATGCAAATAATGTGCCCAGGAACCAGCGCCTATGTATGCTGTGCTACCGTCTTGTTCGAGTGTGTCTATGTGCGTGTGACACCGTGCTCGTCCAGAAACCCAATTCGTCCTTTTATTGGGGGGGGGGTTAGGTTCCCTCGTCAGTCCGCCGGAGAACCCTCGCACTGAAGATAACTTTTCAAGGCTTCTAGAAGTCGCGGTGTGTAGGCGGCTTTCTATTTCAGGGGTTCGTTTCCCTTTTTACCACATCGAAGCTCCAAAGGCCCAGAAAATGGATAACTTACCATGAGGAGGCTGGGACACAATATTTTTTTTAAAGCAACGAAAGGGGGGCAATGTTGGCCAGCTGGCAAGCTCCCCCATAACCACCAAGTTCGACGTATTATCCGTCATGTTGTATTCTCACACCGCAAGATCTTGTTTGATATCATTCACTAGACTCCGTATTGACATGATACTCTCTCTCCTTTTATTTGCTAATGTTGGGATTCTGAAGATTCTCGGCGAATAGCTGTAACCTTGCTCTCTTAGCGCGACGTCTAAGACCACTTGCCCGCTTATGGGAAAGCCCGGGACACCTCTCCACGTTCCCCTAAACTTTTTACGGTGGCCATTTGGAAGACGCGAGCGTGCAGGAACAGGGCGCGGCCAACATAAACTTTTCTGCAGGGGAAGGGGAACGCTGTTTGATATGAGCTGGCTAGAGTAGCATCAGGCTGTTTACATTTCCTTTGCTCATTGCTCTCCCCTCAGACCCGTTCATTCTCAGTGCAATGCTGGTAGTGTCTTCATAACGTTCTCATGGTTTTTCCCCCGGCAAATTTGTGAAATGGACATTTTTCTAGAGACCACTGTATCGTGTTCAGCCGGTCCATACGTCAACTATAGAACCCGTCGCTTCGTCTGCTGCAGGTGTTGAAACCGCATATGCAGCTCTGGTCCACGTGGAAAACCGTTCCGAGTACATAACTCTCCCAATCTATTACAAACGGCTTGGATTGGCAATATGTAGATCTTAAATCCTCATGCGGTAATGAACTCTCGGTATGGCCCCCCCGTCGTCGTCCAGATCAATTTCGGGCCCGCAGTGCATGTTCGGATATAAACTTCAGGGGCAACCCCGTCATCGTTGTTATTAGGGGGTTCATGCCGGGGGCTTTGCTATCAAATTCACCTGTTTGACAACATCAACAGAGACTACACAATTGGAAGAACTCTATTCACCAACGTGACAGATGATGCGGTGAAATTTGAATACGAAGTTACTGGAATCATCAGGCATCATTCTCAATCATCTATTTTTCTTACATCTTATGCTACTGCGTTCGTGCTTGTGGTAGCAGCCATGTCCGTTCATTTGCCGTCGTGTCCAATTCAGTCCACGAGAATCATCAACCAAGTGTGTATAACAACATTCCGCATGGGAGTTTCTCAGTTAAAGCCTCTCGATGGAATTCTTTTGTTTTGACGTTTTTATACTGTGATTTACAGTCTATATTGAATCAAATTTTTTTCTTTTTGCTAATCAACACTGAGATCAAATGCTTCATGTGTCTGTGTTGAATGGTACATGTCTATGTCGATCAAGGGGAAGGTTTTTTTTTCTCTTTTTGTCCCCGGTCCCTATTAGCCCCCAAACGCCTTTCTTTGCCGATTGTGCTCAATGAGCTTTTTCCTCCCGTTCTAGTACAAAACACGAACCAAGATTCTTGAACTGAGAGCCTCGAGAGAATCAGAGATATCCTTGATATCAGCAGATCCGACATCACTGACATCAGCCATCAGGTAGGCAACGTCACCTCTGCTGTCACTGATCTGTTTGTCGACGTTGTGGTTACCGAGGACTTCGTTGACCTTGCGCAAAACACCAGGGACGTTCTGGTGGATATAAATAACGCGGGCATGGTCGGGCTCTTCCTGGGTCAATGAACGCAGGTTGCACTCCGGCAGGTTGACGCTGCCCAGTGTAATACCCAGGTTGATGTATCGGACCAAAGCATCACCAACTGACATTTGTTATTAGTTTCTGCCATCTCCCTTATCACAAAACGAAGGCACGCAGAGAATCTTACCTTCTACACCGATCGCTCGCTGAGCTTCCTCAGTGCTACCGCCAATATGTGGTGTGAGAATGAGGTTCTTCAGGCTGCGTAGATCCTCACCCCAAGTGTTCAGGTCGTTGGTGAAGTAGTCACCGTTGGCTGCAGGCTCGTTGGGGTACACATCCAATGCAGCACCGGCAATCTTACCGCTCCGCGAAGCATTGATGAGGGCCGGGATGTCAACCACGGTTCCACGGCTGGCGTTGATCAGGTAAGAACCTTCCTTCATCTCTGCGAATTGTGGGGCAGAAATCATGTTCTTTGTTTCTGGGAGCTCAGGGACATGGAGGGTAACAAAATCGGCCTGGTTCAACAAGTCCTTCATGGTCGGTACTTGTCGGGCAGTACCCAGACCCATCAAGCTGACGACGTCGTAATAGATCACCGTCATACCCATAGCCTCAGCCAACACTGACAGTTGCGAGCCGATGTGTCCATAACCAATTATACCTAGAGAAACAAAGGGTCAGGTTTTGCTGTCCACAGTCACTGACACCAGGATCATACTCACCGAGCGTCTTGCCACGGATTTCCCAGCACTTGTTGCTGACCTTGTTCCAAATGCCACGGTGCATCTCATTTGAGCGGTCTCCCAGCTGACGGGCAAGGGTAATGATCTCTCCGATCACCAACTCTGCCACACTGCGGGAGTTGGCAAAGGGAGAGTTGAAAACTGCAATACCATGCTTTGCGGCATACTCAAGATTGACCTGATTTGTGCCAATGCAGAAACAGCCGACGACCAACAAGTTCTTGGCCTCACTAAGCACTCGCTCGTTGAGCTTAGTCTTGGAGCGAATGCCGATAACATGTACGTCACTATGGTTCAATCAGTATCGTGTCCGTAACACATGGTGACTTGCGAGCCTTTTATGCAGCATTGGTCACAGAAGCCCTCGAGGCCCACGGCCACGAACGCAGTGCACGAGTGGCTTACCGGATCTTTTCAATGAGTTGATCCTCCGGTAGAGAGGTCTTGAGCGCCTCGACTTGGTAACCTTGACCGGTTAGGATATCTTTTCCGCTCTGGTTGACATTTTCAAGGAGCAGAATCTTGATATCTTGAGTGTTGAACGGCTTCAACTGCTTGGCCGCTGCCCGGTGTGCCAGTGCCCCGCCAAAGCTGGATGGTGGGGATTGGAAAGTCGCTGTTGGTGACGTTGAGACGCTCAGCCTGTGACCGAAATCAGGTCTGGCGAGTGAGGAAGTGTTGATGTTCTGAGGGGCTGCCATTTTTGTAGGAGTGATGGTTGTTCGAGTCTCAAGGATGTAATGGGGAGAGACTTGTACAAATATAACGACGTCAGTTGAGTCAGATGTTTTGCTTGCTAACACCAAATCCCGAAATTTTGTAATGTCGCAGCAGGAGTCAATTGACCCCGCGGTCTCTGCTTTGGTGTAGGTTGCATTAGTATTGCACAATTTGTGCAGTGAGGCAGACCGCTTGAGTTCTGATTGGTGCAAGTCGCTGAAGGGATCCAGATTTGGCGCTTGACTTGACCATCGTCCTGAGGAATTTTTTCCTACTGTCACCCAACAAACCTCCGCCATCGGATGACGAAATCATCATATGCCACAACGGCTTGGGTGGGACGACAGTGATTCATGACCAAGATGGAAGCTCAGACAAAATGTCACCTTGCAAGAATCACGCGATTGAGACACCTTCCACGCACACAAACGATCATCAATAGAGCTCAGAGGATCGAGTTCATGGGCTAGGTTACATTTACATACTATGTTGCAAGAGTGTTCTGAAATATCCACAACTTGCAGGCCGTTATTTCTTTCACCTTGCCGCTACTCCAAGAAGCCGAGTGCATCTGCTATCATTTCATGACCTGGAAATGACGTCTCAGGTCCATCTGCCTCTATCAGATTATGCTTTCGTCATGCGAACATCATGCAATTCCTCCTAACCTGCATCATGCTCAATAGAAACAGTAATGAATTTCAACCAACGCAGAAATGAGATCCCGAAGTCAACCTATAACCTATTGATTGACGATGCCAGTCTATTTTGAAGATGTCTGCGCGTCTACGCAGTGCCGAGGTTTGCGGGTAGGGGTATGCTCGACAAAATGGCCCGGAGCCATCTCCGAAGCGGGATGAAGCCGAGCCCAGAAGTTTGTTCGCAAGACGTGTCCTATGATCCGCAAACATTCAAAAGCCGGGCTGCAAGATGTGACTTGCAAAGAGAAGTGCAACATCATCTAGCTCTGCTTGCACTCGGCAGCTTCCTTGTTGGGCTTAGCACCGTCGTCCTATATGATCGAGATTAGCACATGGTCACACTCAGAGGTCAGGTTGATGGGAGACAAACATCTTCCTCGGACTCTTCCTCATCATCATCACGGTCGTCACTCAGGTCATCATCATCCTCCTCGTCATCCTCATCGAGGTCGTTCTCGTCAAAGTCCTCAATCTCCTCGAATGCCAGGGCCTCACCAGTGAACCAGTCGATGGCACGGGGGATGAGCTTCTCTTTGATGTCCTCACCAAGCTGGTAGTCCAGCTCCAGGCGCTCCTCGATGTCGGAGGCGGCGTCGTCGTCCTCCTCTGAGGGGGCCATGGGAGGAGAGAAGAAGTTGAAGAAGGACTCGGTGGGGACGGTCTTCTTGACGATGCGAGTCTGCTTGGTGTCTTGTTACGTAGTTAGCATCCTCATGTCGCAAATTGACACGACGGGCAATTGCATTTGTCGAGGCAGTGTTGGGGACTTACTCTTGTTGCGCTGCTTCTTGCTCTCAACGCGAACGGTTAGGTCGTTGCCCTCCTTCCAGTCAATCTTGTCACCCTCGGCGTGATCGTAGATGAAGTCACCACCATAGCCGCTCTCGTTCTGGTAGAAGTAGGTCTTGGTGATGGTCTTGTTGGTGAAGAACTCGTTCTCGGCGAAGTCGAAGATGAGGCGGAAGCCAGGCTTGTCGAGGTACTCCATGCGGATGTCAACGAGGTGCTTGAGAGCGGCCTCGTCACGATCCGTGATCATCTCGGCGAGGGAGATCTGGTTCTTCATGGCGGACAACCAGAATTCGGGGATACCAGAGACGTTCTCGGCCGTCTCCTCGGTAGGCTTCTCGTCGGCCTTGTCGGCCTCAGCAGGCTCGTCGTCCTCCTCGTCCTCCTCGTCCTCCTCACCGGCCTTGATCTCGTCCTCAGTGGGCTCGGTGGCGCCATTGACGATCTCGGCACGCTTTTGGTAAAGCGGGGTGAACTTGGCAAAGTACTTCTTCTCAAGCTGGAGAACCTCCTCCTGGAACTCGGCCTCCAACTTCGAGTGCTCCTTCTGGATACCCTTCAGACCAGCAACGCGGCGCTTGACGGGAGCAGGGAGGGACTCGATGTAACCGGAGGAACGGCCGACCAGAGAGCCGAGGCGACCTTGGATCATGGATACAAGGGCAGGGTTCTGGGCGAAGAGGGAAGCGGCGGCGGCGCGCTCCATGTCATCTGCAATTCAGACATTAGAATGTGATGGCACGTGTTGAGAATCCTGTGTGACTTACCCTCCTGGATGCTCGAAACACCGGGTTGCTGTGCGTGGGATGAGATGGGAGCATTGTTAGCGGGTGTGTTCTGCGGGGTCCTGAACAGCGACATGTCAGTATAAAATTGCGGATGCAGTGCGGTGCGACAGATTCGGAGATGTAAAGCAGATGGAGGCCACCTACGGCGCAACGAGGTCCCGTCTGTTCTTGATAGGCTCGGCCATTGTGAGTTATGTGAATGGAAGTGCTTGCTTGGGAGAAGAGTTGAGGTTCAAAGACGGACTGCGAAAGTTGCAGTGAAGAGTTCCTCGAGGCGGAGAAAAAAGATATGGAGAAGGTGGCGGGTGGAGCAGGTCGCTGCTGTGGTTTTAGTCGCCTTTGCCTTTGCACTTTCACTTATTGAGTCGCGTCAATACTGGCAGAGGCAGTAATGAGCAAGGGGCTTGACTAATGTAGTGTGGTTTAGTGAAAATGTAAAGCAATGAAGTGACGGCTCTAGTAACCCAGGAACGTGACTTGTGATCAAATATGAGGGTGACCAAGTAGATGAACAGGCAGACGACTCGGCAAGTTCAACGTAGAGTGGGTAAATGCGAAGAGAAGGTCTCGAGAAGTGATGGTGATGCAAGGGAAAAAGGTGCTCGTTCTTTTAGTTGACCTAAGCCCTGATGGGATGGATGACTTGTTGGTGCATCTTTGGACTGAGATTTTTGGAGGGGAATGGAGGGGGGGACCCCGCCAGCACAACCAAGAGCGCAGAACGCAGAACGCAGAACACGCAGAAGCGCAGCCAGAAGGGAAAAAAAAAAACCAAGGCCGCCTACTACCCCACCTCTATTCGATTCGCAGGTTCAATGTTCGCTGAGTGTGGAAGAAAAAAGTTGTTGGGTCACGCTAAACTCAAGTCTCATGAAGGTCTAACTGTTAAGAGTACTATCCGCTGTTCGGCATGCCAAAAACGTGTAACCTCATAGGACCAACCACCGCCCATAACACACACCACTTCCGGCGGTGAACAAAGCGAACAGCCTGTCGCCCTCTCCTCTCCACCCCGTCATTAATATAACCTAGTCTAGGCCAGAAGGCTTTTGAGCTTTGTCTGCGTGCCTGCCTGCCTGCTTTGACTGCATGTAGACCAGGTCGTGAACCTTTTGTCGCAACGTGCCGCCATCTTATTGTGCCAATTTGACATTGCTGTGGATGCACTACAGTAGTTATGTGCAACGTGGGGGGTATGGCTTCGTGGGGGATTTTAGTGGTGTTTGTTGCATCTCCAAAGCAAAGTCTCACCTCTAATCCGGCTCTCCATGAGGCATTGTGATCTGGTCTTGCTGGTCAATAGGGACGGCTCCTCGAAGCTTTTTCACATATTCCCCGATGCGTCAAAGTAACCTGTAACCTTCCGACGCGTGTAGCAAGTCAGTCTTGCATAGTAACATGCATCGATACAGTTCTTTTTACTGACATGACTCAGTTGTTCTGTATGCAACCCTTCCCTTACCAGTATGTCCATTCTGATTAGTCCAGCTACCTTAGAACAAACCGCAAATGCCAAGAACTTACAGTACATACTGTACCGTAGTACTATGTTATTACACACAAGGATATGTCGTTGAGAAATTCACTGGCCGCAAGGGTATATATACACACATTACGGTGTCAGAATGAAATGCTGTTATAATATCACCAGCTACTGTCCGAGTATATATCCCAGTCTATGTGTGATGATAACAGCAGCATGTCAATAAGACTGCATCAGCCAGTTTAGGGCTGCCCGACGGGCTAGGTAAGGCCATAAGGGTTACTGTACTAACTATATGGCAAGTGGTGGCTACTGTGCTAATGATGGACTAACTTGCTGAGTACATTGATTACATACTGTCCCCGTGTCGGGTATTACCAAAGTAGAAGAGAAGACCTCGAGAAAGAGAAGAGCTTAATGGGTGGGGCCCTACAGGCACGGGCCAGTGAAACTGCGTCATTCCGTTCACAAGTTCAATCTATTGTACGGATCCCGTAATCTTGTCCCTTCCCTTCCCACGCGCTTATCCCGTACCATCTTTTGGGAGCTATGTATTAGTATAGGGAAAAAAAAAAAAAGGTCTTCCTCGGTACGGAAGCCGTCGACAGAAAAGATACACCACGGATTCCAAAAGGCGCCTATCTTGTTTTTGCTGGCGAATTACACAGTATCCTAGATCGCTACATCTGGGGTTTGGCTACCTTTATTTCAGTTCCCATCCGTGTTCCTGCCACGGCGCTTCGCTCTGTCAGTTCATGGATTCACCTTCACGATGGATAGCTACCAAGGGGACCGGTCGCGCTCCCAGTCGCGGTCGAGAGGCCCGACGAACGGGCGTGCCGGCTTGTACCGAATGAGTTCCAACCACAGCAGTCAGAGTGTCTTTGAAGATGTCGACATGTCCCAAGATGACATGTTCTCTGGGCCTGTCGCGGAAAGTTTACCCACAAGCGTGTCTGCATTTGCGCATCGCCGCGGCCGAGCCGATTCTACAGCAAGTTTTGCCCCGAGTTTTACCTACTTCAATGAGGACGAGGAGGAGCCACAGGTCTACGACGAGGACGGTCGCCCCCTATACGAGGATGACGGCTCGGCCGCAGTGGATATCGACGACCTCCCTTTTGACATCCCTTTCGCCGTCGAAGCCGTCGATGAGGACGACGAGGAGAGTAGTTCTGCCGCCGAGATGGAGAGTCCCCATGAAGATTATGCTATGCACCGAAGATCCTCGACCATCTCCCGAAGCTCGGTTCATGCCAGACTACTACGAACCGATAGTGGCCGTACCGATCAGAGTGCCCGGGAAGGTCGCATCACCCAGAAGTTGTACATGGTCAACGAGGATCTCACCATTGTCATTGCTGGGTTCCGCACCAGTTCTATAGGCTTTGCCCTATACATACTATTGTGCACTGCAACTTTCGGCGTCGCGTACCTGCTACTGCGTTGGCTTCCGCGCTGGCAGGTAAAGCTGACGGGAGAGCCCTGTCCTCTACACAGCAGTCAATGGGTTGTACTGGAAAACCAATGGGGAGAGATGCAAATCATCAATGTGTCTGCCCGTCCATACGACCGCCCGCTATCTACCGTCTTTGGTGCGCCCGAAAAGCTTTGTAAGTTCAGTCTATCAGTCTTAACGCGGCGGGGAGATTCCAAGTCTTTTCTGGGTGGCCTGACCTGGTTTCCGATCGTCCCTGTCTGTTTCCTCGGCTAACCAGTACTGTAATAGCCAAGTTCATGTCGACTCAAATGCTCGATGACGACAGCGATCCATATATGACGGAGTTGCGCATACTGAACTATCGCTATGTACGATTGTTCTTCCATCCCCTGAAGGACAAATTCGTCATCTGCAATGGATGGAAAGATCCAAATTGGACACACGTCAGAACGCTTCGTGCCGGAATAGACGGCGAGGAGAAGGAGCAGCGTGAATACGTCTTTGGTTCCAATCTCATCGACATCGAGCAGAAGTCAACACCACAGCTGCTTGTTGACGAGGTCTTCCATCCGTTCTACGTCTTCCAGATTGCCAGCCTGGTTCTCTGGTCTTTGGACGAGTACTACTATTACGCCGTTTGTATCTTTGTCATGTCGGCTGGTAGTATCATAGCGACTCTCATTGAAACGCGTTCTACAATGAAGCGGCTACGTGAAATTTCCCGCTTCGAATGCGACGTCCGTGTTCAGCGCGATGGCTTCTGGACGAATGTCTCGTCGAGTGACCTCGTTCCCGGAGACGTCTATGAGATTAGCGATCCGAACCTGTCACAGTTCCCCAGCGATAGTCTTCTCCTGAGTGGAGACTGCATCGTCAACGAGAGTATGCTGACAGGTGAGTCGGTTCCTGTATCGAAAGTCCCCGCCACGGACGAGGTTCTCAGCGTCATGAACCTGGGAGCCACTTCTGTCTCTCCGGAAACTGCCCGTCACTTTTTGTTCTGCGGTACCAAGATCATTCGGGCCAGACGACCACAGGACCACGGGGAAGACGAAGGCGTGGCGCTTGCGATGGTTGTCAGAACCGGCTTCAACACAACGAAAGGATCTTTGGTTCGGTCTATGCTGTTTCCCAAACCTTCTGGCTTCAAATTTTACCGCGACTCTTTCCGGTACATCGCCGTCATGGGTTGTATCGCCATACTCGGGTTTATCGTGTCTTTCGTCAACTTCCTACGGCTTGGACTGGCCTGGCACTTGATAGTTGTGCGCGCCCTTGATCTTATCACCATCGTTGTACCACCAGCACTCCCAGCCACGCTGACTATCGGTACGAACTTTGCATTGAGTCGACTACGAAAGAAGCAAATCTTTTGCATCAGCCCTCAGAGAGTCAATGTTGGCGGCAAGCTTGATATCATGTGTTTCGACAAAACCGGTACTTTGACCGAAGAAGGCTTGGATGTTCTTGGAGTGCGGTTGGTCGAACGGTCGAAGAAACAATTCGGCGAACTGGTAACCAAGGCATCATCGCTTGTGCAGCCAGCAAACTATGAAGCTTCCCCGGAAAACCTTAAAGACACAAATCGTGCTGCTTTATTCACTATGGCCACGTGCCATTCGCTACGGTCTGTTGACGGTGAGCTCATGGGAGATCCCCTAGATCTCAAGATGTTCGAGTTCACCTACTGGACCTTCGAAGAGGGCAGACAGGAGGGCGGTGAACACGAAGATGAAGAGCAGGGTGGACTCTCACCCTCCGTCGCCCGGCCGCCTCCCCTGCCGCTCTATGATACTGACGACCTGGGCTCGGCTCAAAGACGTAATACCTCTGTGGAGCTGGGTGTGCTGAAAGGCTTTGAATTTGTCTCGCACCTTCGCCGCGCAAGCGTTCTTGTGCGAGCATTCGGGCAGCAAACCGCAGATGTTTACGTAAAAGGTGCGCCGGAATGCATGCGAGAGATCTGCAAAGCGGACTCGTTTCCTGCAGACTATGAGGAACTGCTCTCCTATTACACTCACAAGGGTTATCGAGTCATTGCATGCGCAACAAAACATTTGAAAAAGCTGTCTTGGGTCAAGAGTCAAAAGATGAAGCGTGAAGAAGTAGAGTCGGAACTCGACTTTGTCGGCTTTATTATCTTCGAGAACAAGCTCAAGCCCACAACTGCTGCTGTTCTTAAGGAATTGACAGATGCAAATATCGGCCAGGTCATGGTTACAGGAGACAACATCCTCACCGCGATCAGCGTGTCCAGGAACTGTGGTCTGCTCGACAAGAACGCGCATTGTTTTGTACCACATTTTGTGGAAGGGCATTTTCAAGACCCCAACGCCGATCTGCACTGGGAAAGCATCGACGCGCCCAATCTGAAACTGGATAAGCACACTCTCCTACCGCTTCCCGTCCCGGCCGACCTTGATGTCTCCTTGCCTTATGATATCACAAACCTAAGCAATTATTCACTCGCCGTGACCGGCGATGTCTTCCGCTGGGTCATTGACTACGCGCCAACAGAAACTCTGCATAGAATGCTTGTCAAGGGCAAGATCTTTGCACGAATGTCACCTGATGAGAAACACGAGTTGGTGGAGAAGCTGCAGAGTATTGGATACTGCGCTGGCTTCTGTGGTGACGGTGCTAATGACTGTGGCGCACTCAAGGCAGCTGATGTCGGCATCTCGCTATCTGAAGCCGAGGCGTCTGTGGCCGCTCCATTCACATCCCGCGTATTCGATATTCGCTGCGTCCCAGACGTGATCAGAGAAGGACGAGCTGCCCTCGTCACCAGCTTCAGTTGTTTCAAGTTCATGTCCCTCTACTCGGCTATCCAGTTCACTTCTGTCAGCTTTCTATACGCTTCGGCATCGAATCTTGGCGACTTTCAGTTTCTGTTCATTGATGTTCTGCTCATCCTGCCTATTGCAATATTTATGGGATGGTCTGGTCCTTACCCGGTGCTGAGCCGCAAACGACCTACTGCTGATCTGGTGTCACGAAAGGTCTTGACTCCCCTGCTTGGTCAGATTCTCATTTGTATCTCAATCCAGGCGGTCGCATTCCTCCTTGTTAGAGAGCAGGAATGGTTCATCCCGCCACATATCAACCCGGAGAAGTCCAACATCAAGAACTCCGAGAACACAGCTCTCTTCTTGGTCTCGTGTTTCGAATACACACTCGTCGGTGTCGTCCTCATGGCTGGCAAGCCGTTCAGACAACCAATGTGGCAGAACTACCCCTTCGTCGCAACAATCGCCGTAGCACTGGCCATCAACATCTACATGGTGCTGGCGCCAACTCACAGCATCAAGCATCTAATGCAACTCACCAACATCTCGTTCAGCTTCAAGATGACACTGCTGGTGCTGGGTCTGGCATATCTCGTCTTGTCATGGACGGCGGAGAACTACCTCTTCCAGAGACTGGCGAGATTGGCGGGCAGGGTCAAGCTGGGTATGACAAAGACCCCGAAGCAGAGGAAGGAATACAAGGTCATCGCCGAGAGGATGAGGACCTAGATGTCTTGTACTTGAACATGCTTTATCATCAAACATAACTGTATATAGGTGAAGAATAACATCTCTTGATGGACAAGTAATGATTGGTATTTTCTCCGTAGCAATTACACCAGATGGACAAGCCCATGAAAGAATACTCAAGTAAACCAATTCATTAAGGCACAACGATCCATGCTTGTTCCGACACCGGTCAGTTCCCTACAAAACCAATGTACGTGCCTTGCCTAGCTCCATAGCATCGTCCTCAAATCCAAGCGTGGATTTGTACCCAGGTTGACCAAAATCTAATCCTCTGCTGTGTGCTGCCTTCCAAAGCCATTCGCCATTCCTAGCCCAGCCTACAAAACCGCTCCGACATACATCACTTGCTGACCTGACGGGCTCCAAATCATCTAGAGCTTGCAAGGTGCCTCAGCCAGTCAACATACTATTTAGCAACATCTGGAGGTAGCATTCGCGGTTGACCTAACGACTAAGGACGCCGGCTTCAGCGAGGATCAAGAAGTAACTAACCAACGTGAGGAACTAGCAGAGAACCAAGCACCCCAATGAGACAGAAGGGGTCCTATATTGCGGTGGTAAGGAAGTCCAGGAGGAAGGTGTTTAGAATTTAACTTCTGTTTTTTTCTCTAGAGAGAATTCAGGCCCCGAGCATCTAAGACCAGAAGTAAATACTGCCGAACAAGTAACGAAGCCGTGGAGGAAGCCGTTAAGAAAGGCGTGGACGGAGTTGGCGGTACAGTTTGGAGTGATTATATCATCAACAATGTCCAGTACGGACTAATAACAACCATTTATTAAGCCAGTATCTATCAAGGTGTAATGTTATAGTGTTAATGATCTTAAACCGGCAGTACTGAGCACAAGAAGTAAACCTAGGACTTGTATGGTGTAGGTTGTGCTGTCAAATCAGAACTGTACACAAGGTGTATGGATGGGGCTGGGGAGGGGCTCCACACATACTTGATGATACTTTAGCTGGTCGCTACAGATTCATGCTTGCAATTGTTCGCTGAGGCTCGAGGGTTGACCGGGAAGGTCGATGAGGATTTAGCTAGTCGTATTTGGTACAGGAGTTGATATCAGAGTCGGTGCTGCCTATAGTGATGGCAAGAAAGGACGATGGCTTCAGGAGCTAGTAGGGGAACCCATCGTGGTCGGTACGTGTGCTCTTCCTTTAATCCTGCTTACGAGTACTGTGACAAAGCATGAAATCTGGATCTGCACGAATGTGCTTTCGAAATAGACAAGTTTGGTATGTTGAAACAGCTCCGCCCTCCCCTTCCCCCGGCTGAGCAAGTTCGAGTTAATCTCGAAGAAACCTTATTCACCATATATAATAACGTTAGTCTTCATTATTTCCCACCAACAAGGTTCATTTCTTCAGCCCCCTTTTTTTTTCTTTTCAGTTTCTTTGTTTCTGGAGTAACACCAATACCAACGGAACTGAACCGGCAATAACGAACACCAGGATCACTGCCGGGGAGCCTCAACAAATTCTCTGTTTACTACTTGTTACCCTTTCTTTGAATCCCTCTCGATCAATACCCAATATATCCACGCACAGGATACAGCAACGAGACACAGTTGCCACTACATCCTCCCTGAAGAGGGGGGGGGGGGGGGGGGGAGAAAGGAAAAGAATACTACATTTCTTCTGGTCCAACATCACTTCCAGCACCCATTCCACTGAATCCATGGAGGTATCAATGCCTCCTTCTGCTCCACTCCTGACTTCTTGATAAAACGAGGGGTTAGGGTTCGCGTTGTCTTTTAAGCCAGGGAAAACGATCGGTATCTACGAACTAGATGCACCCCCATAACAACACAACCACCAGATTGCAACGAAGAGAATCAGTGGCATTTGCCACAGACAGAGAAAGAAAGAAAAAAGTTGCCAATCACATGACAGCTGTCATGGCGAAAGCAGACCATGTATATGAGACCCCAAGGAATAGAGCTGTGTGTCTGCGTAGTGTCATAACAGTGCGAATGAGTCTCGTCACATTGGGATATGATACCCCTTTTTCCTTCTTCTCCAGGGATCCCGTCCAGCAGACATGGACCTTCATCTGATGGCAGAACCATGGATATAAACTGTCAGAACATAGACAACCCAGTGGCAGGCCGCAAACCAATGCTGATCTACTCGTAGCTTCGTATTTCAAATTAAGAGCCAGAAACGCCGTGCTATTCGCAAACTCCAGGAATGCTTAGTCTAAGGGTATAATGCCGTGCCAAGTCCCACCAAAAGGGGACCGTTCGCAATGTCTGATACCATGTCATGCAATCCCTATGCTAGTCCCTAGTCCATCATGTCATGAGAACCTTGACCATCTACTTACACAAATGCAGGTCTAATCTGTTCAGTCGACGCACCATATCCAGCTGCAGAGTTTCCATTCGCTTGTATGAATGCTGGTCAAGACCTGTCGGTGACTTGTCTGCAACCCTCGCCTCTATAACTGTGTTCTGGGCGCGTCTCAAATCAATCGTGCGCAGCATCTGCCTCTAGCTGGTCAACAAGACCTTGAAGTCTTTCCGTGTATCCGCCATGAGCCCGTGGATCATCTACCCCTGCATCCAAAAGACTTGCTTCCATGGCTCTATGGTGTGAAATGAATTCATGTATCGAGTCGAGCAGCGGACCGAGGCTCTTGGCCGAGTGGCTCGACGTGAAAGCCTTGCGGGTCGGAGGGTAGAGACACAGATAGCCGAGTAGCAACGATAAGTAGCCAAATGCTACATTGAGCTGGCTCTTGGCCTCAGAGTCGGCCTGTAGTATAATGTTAGCTTCGACACCCACATCATATCTTGGGGCCAAACAACTTACTTCCGCAGTGTTCCGGTGGTTTGCAAGGAACAGACGGATTAGCTCCTTGATTGGTGATTCGCCACCGGAGCCTCGACTCTCATAGACCGCTTCTCTGACCGCCGTACCCTGCTCAGCGAAGTTGATGAGGATACCAAGTCGAAGGACTAGGCCGTCAATCAGGCCAGACCATTCATCACCGTCGGAGACCGCCGACAGTGACTGTGTGAAGCTTGTGCAGATGGAAATTGAGAGCGGCAAGATGAGGCCCTTTCCAACAAAGATGCCGGGTGCCGTGATGCTAGAGTTAGTCATGTTGAGCACCAGCTTGAGCAGTGGGCTTTCTAAAGCATTGTGACGCGTAGGATCCTTGAGAGCAACACCGAACGCATCCGCCACAGACGGGAGATACTGCTTAGCTAGTTTCTCACTGCTCTGCGCTTCCATGGCTTTCACAGCATGGTGTTCGAGCACGGAAAGGGCGCAGTGAACATCGAAGGTCTCGGCAGCCGGCTGATCCCAGAATTCTCCTCCTTGGGCGGCCGAGACAGTATCAAAGAGGCCCTTGGTGACAGCGGGCGGGAACAGTGCGTCATCGCTGCCCAGTTGAGCATCCTGAGCAATCAACATCTCAAGGCACTTCAGGGTCACTGTTCTTGGTGATGTCGACATAGGTTTGGCTGATTGCCAAATCGGCAAATCGAGCAACGCTGCCTGGCCGGCGATCAGCAGTCCTTGGTTCCGTTTTGAGAGATTGCTCTTGCGGTCCCGAACCAGCTTCTTGATATCTTCGTCAAGTTGGAGAAGTCTTCCGAACAAGTTTCCAGCTTCCTCATCTTGTAGCAATTGTATGACATGTGGCGCTGCAGAGCTCGTAAGAATTTGCAGAAGGATGACGGTAATGAGATACCCCGAGATGGGGTCTGCTTCGTCTCCGACGCTTTTCAGGACCATGGCATCCAGCCCATGATCGCGCATACGTTTTCTGTAGTCCTTATGACGTGCTTTCTCCGCAATCTGCAAGAGAGCTGTTCTGCGGCTAGAGGATGGCTTTGCAGTTGGTTGACCAATCTGCGTTGATAAATCGAACATCTCGTCAGCGACCCTGCTGTTCGCGCCTGCCTGTCTCAGCTCGTGGATATCTCGAGGTCGGATTTTGCGAGGGGTGGACACGGAAGAGTCCTCGTCAGCGTCCAGATCGGCCTTGGGCAAGACCTTGGGGGTCAACTCCAAGCGCCTCGGGGCAGTGGATGTCGTTAGATCGGGCATGGCCAACGCCTCAAAAATATTGTCCTCCTCCAACAGTGTGACCTTTGAAGTGCCGTAGGTATGTTTTAGAGAGCTCCCAGACCGGGCCAGTGTCCTAGGGCCTTGACCGCCATAAGCCCTGCGCGTCTTCGAGGCCTGAGATGACGACTGTGAGTCCGCGTCTTCGCTGTTCTGACCGGATGAAACCACGGGGTCAGCCCAGGTTACTTGGCTGTCTGTCTTGTCCTCGTCGACCGTACCATCCGACTCCTCCATTTGCTCGACCAGGGCGTCTATCAGCCTTTTTCGCCGCTTTTCAGCAGGCTTGGACGCTGGAGCCGAGATCGAGACCTGTCTGGAGGACTTGGAAGCGTTTCGAGAGACATTCGGAGCCGTGGCGGATGGTTTGAACTTGGGCCGTACTGGTATTTGGTGTTGCTGCGATGCCTTGTCCCCAACCTGCAAGCTACCAAACATGTTCATGGTATTCGGCGAGAAGGGCAGCTCTGAGTTCGATCCCTCCTTCCCCTTTGATCTGTCTAGCGGAGCAACGGGAGTGGGTGGGGGGCTTGAGAGGAGCCCGTTCGCTGCATCGACCTCCATGATGTCTGCCGAGGCCGCGCGCGCTTGTCGCGTCGGCCCATACGTCTTCGGCCTCGAGCCGCCTGCATCTTCGGTAGGCGAGGAAACCCGCGAGCGCTGTTTGGGCTTGAGGGCCGAAGGAGAGCTGTCTTCACTCACAGGGTCAAGGCCATGGTCGTCGGCAGGATAGACACTGTTGACCTTTCGCTTCCGCTCAGCATTTGTCAGGGGTTTCGTGATTGGTGGGCCGGTCCTCGTGTTCAGTGTCGGATGATCCGGCGAGGAGTCATCGGAAGGAATGTCATAAGGATCGTGTTCGACGTGGCGCGTGGCTGGGAGGTCGGAAACGGATCTCGAGATACCAGCGCGTATGTTCTTGACAGGTCTTTGCGACGGCTGTGTCGGAACCGTCTTCTTGCTAGCCCTGCCATACGTCTTCAAGCGACTCGTCGACTTGGGCTGGGCGCTCAAGGAAGCCATGGCGTGAAGCAGAAATGTCGCGAACGATGTAGCTCAATCCACAAATCGCGTGATCATCGTTGGGGGCGTGCGATGGAAGCGCTGGGGCAAGTGCTGGAGACAGATTGCGACTTTTTTCGAGAGTCAGGTTCGGAGTGAAAGATGGCGCAGTGGTTGCCGGTCAAGCCAGAAAGTAAATATAAAAAAATAATAATAATCAAAGGTTGAAGTTACTCTGCTGTCCCGCGCGATTCGGAAGTTGCGACAGCTGGAGCTACTGTAGCTTGAGAGTCGGGCTCGTCTTGTTATGGAGATGCGGAGGAACAGAACACAATGGCTATGGAGCGAGGATGGTGATGACGAAATGAGCCTGATCCCTTCCTTCTTACGGAGGCGTGCGTCGATTGTTAGGAACTACGCAAACGCGGCATTTGGGTCGTGTTCCATGACATGTACGATCAAATCAGATGTTACGGCACGTTGAATTGTCTTATGCCACCGTCCAGGGTCATCACTCAAACCACCACTGCTTGTGACGAAACCGCTCATAGCCCACTATCAATTTGACATGGGATTTGGCCCGTGGACTGTTAGGACCGACACTTGCGAAACAGGAATCCCATGGTGCTTTGTTGACCGCCCGCCCGCCACATGCAACCAGAACACCGAACACGCCCCCCCCCCCCCCCCTTGCGCGGCGGGGACAAAGAGACAAGAGACCCGGACAAGAAATCTACAGCACGTCTCCGGCAGGGCAGGCCCTGGGCCCACGCCTGCATACCAGATCCATACAATACACAGGCGCATTGGGGAGGGGTCCCAGCTGTGCCCAAGCTCTGCCGGGGGTATTTGAGGGCTGCTGCATAAGTACAAAGTATGCCAACCTTGGTCTAGGGCATAGATGAATATGGCGATAAGCCCCTGCAATACATATTCTGCATATCGCGGACCCTGCCGCAAGCACCTGGCCCATTCGTCTAGTATTGCTGGAGGTATTCCCAACGGTCTCCGTATTCTGCGTATATTCTCATACTCCTACCGCACCTCTTCTTGTTCCCGTCCAATTCGCTTGGCAAATCGAGGCTGTCGGTCACCGTCATCGGTCCTCTGTCTCGAGTCTCTCACGTCTAGTTCTCCGCCCTCTTTCTGGCTCCTCACTAAGCTGAACCATATTCTTGCACCTTCAGTTGTCACTGAGAAAGACCTATACCCTGATCTGTGTCCACTTTCCCAAGACAGATCCCACCACATTATGTAAGACCTCAAATACTCTTTCAAAGCTCGGTGTCTTGTCCTCGAGAGTGAGAGGCATTGACTGCTAATACCTGGCCAGCTGCGGTCCCATCACATCACCTAGGCGTTTCTAGCTTACACCATCCAACATGTCGACCACTCCTCAACCTGCTCCCACCAAGTGTGTAGGACCAGATTATCGATCTGAGAGCCAAAAGCCGACTGCCACGGTGTCGACCCAGGTGAAATTTGACAATGCCATCATCTTGCAGCAGACCCCTCAGCTCATTGCCTTGCTCACGTGAGTACTTCCCTCGTTAGGCGGGGATGCACCATTGCCTTCCCGTGTTCATCTTCCGAACTAACCTGAGGGCCAGAATGATTCGTGACAAGAACACTGATCGGGCGGACTTTATATTCTACTCTAACCGTATTATTCGGTTGCTCGTTGAGGAGGGCCTCAATCATCTACCAACAGTTGAGCAGACAGTCACCACGCCTGTCGGCCGCTCCTATGCCGGACTCCAGTTCCAGGGCAAGATCTGCGGTGTATCTATCATGCGCGCCGGCGAGTCAATGGAACAGGGCCTACGGGATTGTTGCCGATCCGTCAGAATTGGCAAGATCCTGATTCAACGCGATGAGGAGACGGCAAAGCCTAAGCTGTTTTACGACAAGCTTCCCGAGGACATTGCAAGCAGATGGGTTCTCCTGCTTGACCCAATGCTGGCCACTGGTATGCGACCACTACCGACTGGAATCAACACACGGATGCAGCAGCTGACTAGAAATAGGTGGATCGGCTATCATGGCCGTTGATGTTCTAAAGTCCAGAGGTGTCCCCGAGGAGCGAATACTCTTCCTCAACCTCATTGCCAGCCCTGAAGGCATCCGAAACTTTTCGACTAAATTCCCCAAACTGAGGGTTGTCACAGCTTTCGTGGACGCAGGCCTGGACGAGAAGAAGTACGTGGTCTTGACCAGGATACCCAGTCATTTCGCTAACCCAATATCAGCTATATCATTCCTGGCCTGGGCGATTTTGGTGACAGGTATTACACCATGTAAAAGCTTGCAGGTTTTCCCAAGTATATATATTGCACCAGTGGGGTCACAAATCAGGCTGCAACCAATGGTTGAGACCTGTCCACCATCCGTAGAAAATGCAAGTAGAACTGTGCAGAATCAAGTTACGCCGACCATCCAGACCAAGTATCATGTTGGAAATCTTGTCCTGACGCCCCAGAGCACAAGCCCCTCTAATAATACAAAAGCATAAACACCTGCCGCAAATCCCAGTTGAAAAGGTTGTATGCCAGGATCAGTACTCATCGTCATCGGCTACGATGCCCTCTCCCTCGTAACGGCGATCGTCCTCGTCCTCGCCGTATCTGTTTTCTTCTGTCTGTCTCGCTCGTGAACTGGACGCGAGTGGTCTCGGAGCGCCACCGGCTTCCTCCTTCGCGACGGCATCTGCAGGGACGATACGTTAGCATGCAAAGGGCTCCCCCTTTCTCGCGGAACCCAAAACGAGCGAAGGCGAACTACTTACCGGCTGCGTCAACCCACTCGCTGTAGATGTCGATCGGCGCACTCAGGTAGTTGGCGCCGCACTGGAAGTTCTGCGCGCACACGTTGCAGTTCAGCGTTCCCACGCCTGCCTTCTTGTCCACCTTGACCGTGACCGACTTCTCGTGGTTGCAGAAAAGGCAGGTGAAGGTTGTCGCGAGCGTGGCGCGCGCCTTCTTGGGCGGCGGCTTGCTGGAGGACTTTCTCTTGCCCATGGCGAATGTCGCGTCAAGAAATGTGTAGCAGCTCAACTTGTCGCGTGAGTGTGATGTGTGTCTCGGCCGTCGAAGCAGTGTGTGGCAGGTCTGTCGCGTGGAGGTATATTTTGGTCTTTGCGCAATATGATTGTCGAGTAAGAACGTATCGCAGATCTTCTTTCTTTTGTTTATTATCGGGAAAAGACTTCCTGCTTGCGTGATCTGCTTCGAAACTCTGCTATTTTCAGCACCTTTGCACAATGGATCTCCCTCCGACACAACGGCCGTCGCAAGCTTGCAGTGAATGGCGCCTTGGCTTTTGGCTCTGGCTTCCGCGGGGTGTAACTACGTAGTTCCATATAATTATTCCCGGCCTGACCACAATGAGTGCGAACCATGGTTAAATTTACACACGCTAAACAGGACGGACGGCCTTTGCCTCCCTGCCTCCCAGGCCGCGCCATCGCCTAGGTTACTATTATCCTAGCGCTGTGCCCGGCGATGAACACTGAACAAAATACATCCCTCGTCACTATACGACCTTACTAACGCCTAGGTCAATAAGTATTCGCCTGCGTGACTCATCCGTAGACCAGCCTCAGCGGCCAAGAGATGCTTTCTACACGAAAAGGCCTAACCTAGACTGGATGCCGCTGCTGATGCGCGAGCCGTTCTGCCCGTTGGGCCGTTGGGAAGGACGATGCCGGGTGTCCTCTTTGTGCTGGACTTGCTTTTGAGACAGCCCCGTTAATCGAAAGGGGAACCCGGTTGCCGCTGATCTGGAGTGACGACAAGCAGAGGCAGAAGGTTGCGCATCATACCGTGGAAGACCATCAAAGGTGTGTTGCTGGTCCTCGAGTTTTGAGGACTTTGTAAATTGTAACTGACGTGTGTAGCAGTGGGTGTGCATGGATCTTCAATGTTCGTTTAGGCTATATCGAATAGGACCATATCTCATTATGCTTTGTTCTCAAGGGGTCGATATGGTCTTGCAGCCCACTAACGGCTGATCTGCGTGCCGAAAGGAGCTGCGTTCAGTGCCCCCAATCCCCATTTAAACCACGCCGCGCTGCCTATCACTATCGCTATTCTAAAACCTTGTATACGTGACGTAATTTACCGAGAAGTAAGCTTTTCAAAAGGTCATGTTTAATTTAACACGTTTATTATGAAAACTTTGTAATATTTCCCGTGTTACGCCTCAGGTCCACCCATCGGAACTGGTGATGCCGGTACGTTTAAGATCTCATCCTCCTCAAACAAGTCGCCAAAATGCCTGGATCTTGTTGAACTGGAGAACATGAATTTTAACGTCGCCCTCGATCCCTCACGGTGAAGAGAAACGAGATGATGAATCACCCGTCGCAACTCTTTCATCCTCGCTACAGGTGTGCCGAAAAACGAGAGCCCATCCAAGATGAGGTACACTACAGCGCTGGAAGGGAGCCTCCTGACTAGACGACCAAGCGAGCTACAGATGCTGATAACATCCTCGCCATCGGTTTCATCCAGACACTCTTGAAGGTCTGCTCCCTTGAACCCGGGGAAATGGTCGATGAGCTGCAAAAGCAGGCTCATGGCCAGACTGGTGGGACTCGCGTCGACGTCGCGATAGTAATTCCGATGCTGGCTACAGAGATATACCAGGGGTATGATCTCCAATCCTTCTCTGCGCTCCAAAGATTGCTCCATCAGAGCATGAATCATCCTTGCGTTTGCGAACGATGTGGACAGGTCCAAGGGGTCCGTCGCGCCGCCATTGACCAAAAGAAGTGATCCTTCGTCGACGGTAAGCCATTCCCGGAGCCTGGGGCTTCCTTGCAATGCGTGAACACGACTCACGTCGATCTCTGTTCTTGACGCTGGAAGATTCAGCCGCAACAACGCTTCTACGTCGTCGGTGATCAAGGCTGGGTCATACTCTAATTCCTCCAGGACGTTCTCACACGTAATGGAGGGAGTTGTAGATATCGAATCTCGAGCCTCCGTATTCTTGATTGTTAGGTCTAGTGAAAGAAAATCTTTAGTGACCTAGGCAGACATGGGGAAGCCGTGTTGCACCTACTTTTCACCACCCCTTGGAGGAGGGACTGCAGGCTGTCATAAACAGCTGTCTCTATGCCCTCATATAGGTCAGACCTGTCTGCAATTCGTTTAATATTCAGGTCGATCTCGTCCAACCGGCGGCGCACTTTGACGTTTTCGTACGACGTCCATTCCTGGACTGTCGATATCTCGCTCAGCTTTTCCTGCGTCTGTCGTCGAATGACATGGACCCCACGAGCCTTCAAGTCCTTGGCAGCCAAGTTCACTTCTGCTAGTCGATCGTTGAGATTGGTGGACAGAGCGGATGGATTGAGAAGGCGCTTGGCCCCAGCAACTGCACCCGAAATATAAGTGTCAGACGCAGTAGTAATCATACATATGGTCGCAGTGAGCTTCAGATCTTACCAAATGCGTGCGTCATGTACCAACGGAGAATGTGGTCCAAGGTCAATAACACCTCGGTGTATAACTTAGCTGTGCGGCGGTGAACTTCGGCGTCCTCGTTCGCGAGCTCCAGGTATTGCACATGATCGTTCAGGATACGGGGCAACCTCTCCAGGGCTTTATACACGGCCTCTCGATGAACACTGGTCTGCTCAAGAGTCGTGAAGATGACATTGAGGCCGCCGGATAGGATGGAGCCGCCCATGTCGTCAGGTATCATCGAGGTGAACATTTTGCCGGTTCCAGCATTCTTGCACAGGCCTCGAAATGCCTTTTTCATCTTGCCTGCCATCCCCGACATCTCATTGTCGCGTGCAGAAACCTTTTCAATCGCGGAGCAGGCATGCTCCATCCTTGCTTGCACGGCGTTCCAATCACTCCCTTGGCTGATTTCCATCGGGGGAAGCTTTAGTTTCTCGAGACACTTGTTGGCAGTGTCCATAAAGTTTTTCTGAGCTTTGAAATACTCGGCATAAAATATTTTATAATCTCTACTCGGCTCATTAGTCCTCGTATCTATTCAGATTCTGAGACGTATACTTTCATCTCATCCAAGCCCGTACTTCCTCGCCGACGTCGCCAACTCAGAGCCCCGTCGTCCGCCCCGTTGAGGGCGTCCATGAACTCATCGACCTCATCGTGGCCAGCGGTCGCCGGCAAGCGATTTCCGGTGCCAGGCATGCTAAATTGGACGCGAATAAAATGCTAACACGCAAGTGAGAGCGCTCCAGATGACTGTTATCAGCAAGGATAAAGATTGTACAATACTATCGAATTGTACACGGCGGGGCAGCACGACCATGTGGAAATCCTGATCGGGATAGAAGCATGCATTGCGAAGCAGGCAGCAGGCTGCATCTGGCGCAGATTGCATTAGGCCCTGCTGTGATGCATAAGGTGGTATTGTGATCATGGGATATCTGCAAGGCTTTGGGGTATCGTCCAATGGGTGAGAACTACCTAACGCACAAGCGGTATGGCTTGTCTACCGCGACGGTGGGCAGATTGCATGAAGGCAGGGGCACCGCATGCTGACAAGTCAGATGTCGACCACAATTCCAGCCGCAAAATCCTGTGAGAATGGGGGCCGAAAGCAGGCTGGCGCTCGAATTATCTATGGGTAATCGTAACCTGCGGTCTCAGCTAGGGAGACAAGAAATCTCGACGATATCTTATGTCCACACCTAAACCTTCTCGGTTACACCACATCTTTGATCCAACTGCCGACACGGACAGAAACAAGTACGATGGCTGGTGACAGTCTCCTGGCCACTTCAGAAGCTGGTAACGATGAGGTGGCGGCGGTGGGGCAATCCATACCAGCGGTTGAAAATGTAGAAGGTCAACCAGTGTCAACTGCGGACGAGTCGACGGGATCTGAAGACGCAGCGCGGCCATTGCAGTCGAGCAATGCCGAAAAGGAGGCGAAAGAGGCTTTGCTAATAGCTGTGGAAAAGATGAAGGCGTTGAAGACAGCAACGACAGTAAACGTCTGGGCAGAGTATTCGCAATTGGAAGACATCATGGATGAGTTTCCATCACCGCCCGCCTCGCCACGACCGACGAGCCAAGTCCCTCCTCCTTTCCCACACGGAGGTGGTACCGCACCCCGAGTATATCCCATTAATTTAAATACCCCTAGTTCTCAGCCCATCATGTAAGTCTGATTTCACCCCTCAGCTTGGCGCTTTATGCATACCCAAGATAGCGTTTTTGGGTCTTCAAATTGAAGGAATCTGCTAAGACTGTTGTAAGACCATCTTGTACAATTGAGCGATTGTCGATGGGAGACTGGCGCGGGGACTCCTTAGGTCCGCCACGACCCGGCCTTCCACCACCGCCGCCGCGACCCGGCTTTGCACCTGGTCCACCGCGACCAGGCTTTGCACCTGGTCCGCCACGACCCGGCCCTCCGCCTGGGCCACCCGGCTATGGCCCAAGTGGTCGCGTCGGTCGCAACAATGCCACTCCTGTCATACAAGTATATTACCGGAACGTACGCTCTGTGCCGACAACGGTCGACAGAGAGTACTCGGACGAGGATTTCAAGAATGCCTACACTAATGCGCAAAATATTGAGAAGCCACAAAGGGTTAAGATTAATTCATCAATTCTCTTAGATGACCTAGAGCGCATCGCTGGACTGACATTGCCAGGCCTTCCTCACATGTGAGTCATAGCGGAATACCAATCTTTTGTTGATCTTTTACTCGAAGGAGCTGACCACTACGTCGACTTCAGCATCATCCCAAGCTTCAAGGTGAGCCGGTCGTGTTGAAAGCATTCAAGACCATACAGCAACTAATGTTTCGAGCAGCTATTAGTCCATAATTGGGATGGAATTAAATCAACATTGAAGAAACTGACACTTGAGCTTGAAGATTTGGAAAAGCGAGTGACAAGGGTGATAGCAGTCGAATCACCTACAAACGCTAGAACTGGTAATGAACCACAAGGAACAACAACACCCACGGACGATAGAGCCCAAGAGCAGACAAAGAGAGATATACCTGTGGAAGATGCATCAAATCACAAAGAAGTCGGCCAAGAAGAGATTAATGGTAGCTTGAGTAGCCCCGAGAGACCAACACCCTCTAGATCGAGCACACAAGCCAATGTCGACATTAGCCTTGTGCGAGAAAGAAACGACCTTCAAGTTCGTGTTTCACATTTGCGATGTCTACACGACTTCATCCTGACAGATTTGAGCCACCTCATAGGTCTAAGAATGAAGATTCAGGACGGTTCGCTTGATAAAATCAGTTTTGATGAGATGTACTACCTTTACAGTCCTGGCGACCTCATCATCGACCGGGAAAGTGATGTTGACGCACTGTATCAGGTGTACGCCGTTACCGGTGGTCGGATGCGATTACTCAAATATGTGAACAACAATGTTTATCGCCCACCAGGGGAAGAGGAGGAGGCGGATAATTCACCCGAAGCTGGCATAGGAACCTGGACAGACGTTGTCATTGATTGCTTCAGATTAGGTTGGGACGGAAAGAAAATCGGCCCTCGGCGCATCACTCATCGCGTGCCGCATTACACGGGCGAGAAGAAGATTACTGACCTCAACTACTACCCAGTCCGATTCCGCAGAAACTCTGAAGATATCATCAAGAAGCTCAAGCTTCGAGGAAGGGCCGCGCTCGAGTGCTATGGTCACAAAAAATATGCTGCGCGGACGACCAAACACCCTAGTGTACGGGAGCCATTGCCCCTTCGGAAGAGAATGCGTTCGCCTCCGCCTCGGATGTCAAGTGGCCGTGCAGAGAATGCTCAATTGATGGGAACTGCCGAGAAGGAACTTGAGAGTGATGTCTATGTTGACATTGAGACGTTCAACGAGGCATTCCCATTCTACGAAACAGACTTTGATCATCTGGGGCGTGTTCGTCCCAGCTTGAGAGAAGTGACAGAAAGCACCCCGGGCGGTCGAGATCGAGAATATCATATCGGTGATCATGATGTCGACGAGGCCCGCTCAGATGGCTTTTTGTCATCTCACTTTCATCTCACACATGCCAAACGGCCAGAGGAGCTGGCAGATATGGAAGACTATCTTATGCTATTGCCTCACTGTGTTCCGGCTTTCGATTTTCGTCAGCGCGAATGGTGTAAGTGACATTGCTCCCGATAATGCTCAATTTTTTTTCTAGTGGTTGACAATCAGAATATAGATTGGCTCGATGTCGAAAAGTTGGAGGAAATTGATAAGAGTGAAGATGCCAGGAGGCGTGGCTGGGAGGATCTGGTGATAGAGGACGGTTACAGCCAGCTGCTCCTGTCACTTGTCGATAACCATACCTCAGCGTTCGAGCATAAGAAAGCGAAGAACTCAACCACGCAGAGTTCGCAGATCGATTTGATCAAGGGCAAAGGCCGTGGCCTCATTCTTTTGCTCCACGGACCCCCGGGGACCGGCAAAACCTCGACCGCTGAGACCATAGCTGCATACACGGGGAAACCACTCTATGCTGTGACCTGTGGAGATATTGGTGTCACGGCGAGGGAGGTTGAAGATAACCTGAGAGAGCACACAGAGCGGGCTGAGAAATGGGGCTGCGTCTTGCTCCTTGACGAAGCAGACGTGTTCCTGGCGAAAAGAACTTGGACTGACATGAATCGGAATGCAGTAGTCTCTGGTAAGTGACTGGCCCAAGCTTTCGAGAATCTTGCAAGCTGACCAAGCCATAAGTGTTTCTGAGGCACTTGGAGTACTACAGCGGCATATTGTTTTTGACGACGAACATTGTGGGGATCATCGATGAAGCCTTCAAATCGCGCATCCACGTCGCGCTCCGCTACGACATGATAGACCAGAGCTCAACAGAAAGGATATGGAACAACATCCTGGACCGTATCATCAAAGATAACGAGACTTCCGATGTCAAGATCAAATTTGACCGAGACCTGCTTCTCGAGTTTGCACTGTCCCACTACGAAAAGCACGAAGAAGAAGAGACAACCTGGAATGCCCGCCAAATCCGCAACGCTTTCTCCACTGCCATAGCTATGGGGCAGTTTGACAGGTTCGAGCGCATTCGAAAAGAAGGTCTGTCGCCGGACCAGGCCGCCGCGTCGGGCACGAAGAGTCTCATGACCATCAGACTGACGAAACGAAACTTTGCCAAGATAGCAGAGACAGCCACTGACTTTGAGAGATATATCAATGCCGTCCGCGGCCCCGATGCCGATAATGCGCTTGCTAGCCAGCAGCGAGACGACTACTTTGCAAGACAACTGGCACCCCCGAGGAGGAAAAATCGCAGAGGCTCGGCCGACTTCGGGCAGGGGCCCAGGCGCCGGGGATATCTTACGCCTCAATCTTCCAAGCCCGTAAAAGGCAAGAAGGTCGCCGAGAGGTCTGTCAGTCCGGATGATGATCAGGAGAACAGTGAACAGAAAACAACGCGTGCGAATAAACCAAGGATAAGGAGGGAAGAGTTTTCCGAGGATGACGAGGATGGTATATCCGATGAGTGAACCGTTCATGTTAGTACAAAGTCGCTAGTGAAGAAATATGTGTGCTACCGCACAGCACGCAAATCGGTCTATAAATATGTTAATTCCCATTTTATGTGACTGTACCGTGATTAATCACATCAACTCCGCTGGATTTGAAGAATAAACAAATATAAGCAGACCAAGCACTGGTCTTGGTGGACTATACTTCTATGAGGGGAGTAGTAGTCTCATGTCATGTCTAGTCTAGACTAGTATAAAGCTTTGTCCGGTGCCACGAATTAGAGACATTGGCACGAAAGCGATACTCGATCAATTTCAGCAATTATGACAATTCGGTTCAGGCACAGCTCAGAATGAGGCTACGGTTTGAGCTCGTTAGCAAAAGATATCGTCCTTTCATTCACTGGTGACCTGGCGCTTCTCTACTGGTCTCACTTTGAGACAGTGATGTAGTTCATAACCCCAGGAACCTAGGTTATGGCAGGCGTCCGGCAGCCTCTACTCCCGGCTTTGCGCTATAATTATGCTTATTACATAACTACATGTCTTATCTTACAGGTCTATTTTTAGCCGCTTCACTGTTCGAGAGCCATTCGCTTAAAGTGCACTTTCAGCAGGAAACCGTTCGCAGCTGTCCTCGTTAAGAACTGGAGCAAAACAACACTTTTGGTAGCGACCGTGAATTTGTCACAATGTATGGCCCAAGATCCAAGACACATTTCTTGATTGAGTGGGTATGCTTCCCAATCAGAGCGAGGGAAAATAGGATAGCCAAAACGCGCTAACCTTAATTCTTATCACTTCACTTTATGTCTATCGGAGTAAAGTGGATATAGCGGGGTAGCTATATGCGCCTATCGAGGCCCCGCCCCTTGTATCCCCATCCACTATGATCATGAACGGTCACTGGGGCTTTGATATGCTATTTGCTTTTATGATATCAACGCTGCAGTTGGAATTTGCTAATATTTATTGATCTGCGATGTTGCGAAAGTCCCCATAGGGAATGTTGCATTGATACGGAAGAAGAATTGGATTCCTCTTAATAACAAAGGGCCAGAGAGTCGGGGACTTCCCCGCGCGCGGAGGACTCCTCGTGATCGTCTCCGAGTCGCTATGCACATCACTAGCGACAACGCCTAACTCAACCCGACGGATTCAGGCGGCTGACACGACCACGCCTGGGGTACTACGACTATCCATATCTCTCTATCGAGGATCATCTTTAACGTTAGTCAACGCATTCAAGCTATCTTCTCTACAGGACAACTAAGTCGGAAGCATGCCCAAATGCGTGGTGCAATAAGCTTCCAGCCAATTACTATTTCTTGTGCCTGACCAAACCTGCATTGGAGCTCCAAGACAGCTTTCGTGACACCTCATCCATCCATCTGTGTGTACTATCTTGCGGTACTCATTCCAACCGTTCTGACCGACATCTTGACATCGTGAACTCTCATTCGCTTGTTAGATAGGTCACATGATTATTGACTTTACGCCAACCTCTCGTCCTTTGTGTGCTCTGTGCTCAACGCCACATCTTGCTTTATCTATTTCTGCTTGAGATATACATAGGCTTTTATCCTACTTGTTTAACAACATCTTTTGAAATTCAATCTATAGGTCCTGTATTACCAGTCTTACCCATATCAACTTTCTCAGATCCTCAAGATGGCAAGTGAGGACATGTCAGCCGTCCTTCAGGCATTGAAGGCAATCCAAGATAACCAGACGGTACTATCGACTGGCCTAGCAGGTGTGACGAAGAGACTTGATCAGATTGCACCGGAAAGCACGCCGGAGAGCAAGACCCCTAGAGGCAGCGTCAGCAATGGCGCCGGATTGAGTTCAAGTCCTCTCCCAACACCGGGTTCACCTCCGGCCGAGAAGCCGGCTGCAGCAAAGGAAGCCGAGAAGTCCGGCTTCACTTCACGAATCATTCTGACGTAAGTCACGATAATGATAATAACAATAGTGTCCCTCAAATCTAGTTCTCTAGTTGGCTAACAATCCATCACAGCACATATCCCAAGCAAATCGGCATTGACCCTCTGAATCTATCCTGGGGCGCCTCGACGCCCGAGGAGCGCGGACCCGTGGTGGTCTCGCGCTCGAGCAGCACCATCGGGCGCCGCAACGCCATCGGCGCCCATGGCGGCTCGTACAGCATCTACTTTGCGCTGGCGCTGGCGTCCAAACAGCTGGACATCAACCACCGGCCCGACTTCACCAACACGGAGCCGGCGGCCAACATCGGGCCGTTCCCGCAGTGGTCCGACCCGAAGAAGATCGTCGCCATGGACCCGTGGGGCCACCTGGCGCCCTGGCTCTTCAGCGAGACCATCGAGAGCCAGAACGTCGACATCCGCCCCACCATCGCCATCACCAAGGCGCACATGAAGCTCCCGGAGCTCGAGGAGAGCGTGCGGGCGGGGCGGCTGGTGCCCGACGGCAAGGTGTGCCTGAACAGCGCCGGCGAGCTGGCCGTGACCAAGTTCGCCGTCGAGCCCGTCTGGTACCTGCCGGGGGTGGCGGCGCGGTTCGGAATCGACGAGGGCGTGCTGCGGCGGTCGCTGTTCGAGCACACGGGCGGCTCGTACCCGGAGCTTATCACGCGCAACGACATCAAGGTCTTCCTGCCACCGATCGGCGGCCTCACCGTCTACTGCTTCGGCGACCCGGCCAAGATGTCGGACGAGAAGGTCCGCCTCGCTCTGCGTATCCACGACGAGTGCAACGGCAGCGACGTCTTCGGCTCCGACATCTGCACGTGCCGCCCCTACCTCATCTTCGGCATTGAGGAGGCCGTTAAAGAGGCGCAGAACGGCGGCAGCGGTGTGGTCATCTATTTCAGAAAGGAGGGCAGAGCGCTGGGTGAGGTTACCAAGGTAAGCGGCTCTTCCCATCCCAGTACAGACAAGACCCGTGGTGATCCGTAACATGGCTGACTGCTTTTCTTCTTCTCTATAGTACCGTACGTGCATTTCCTCTACGTCCTAATATTAAACCCCCAGGAAATATTTCTATTATTCTTCGATGTAATATGCTAATTCCACCGTCTAATCTACAGTTGTGTACAACGCCCGGAAACGAGGCGAAGACCGCGCATCGGATTACTTCAAGAGGACCGAGAACATCGCGGGAGTCAAGGACATGAGGTTCCAGGCCCTGATGCCAGATATCCTCCACTGGCTCGGCATCAAGAAGATTGACCGCATGCTTAGCATGAGCAAGTATGTTTCCCCTCCTAAAACCTGTGAGCGCGCGGATATCTCGCTGATACATAATTCTCAACAGCATGAAACACGACGCGATCGTGGGACAAGGGTAAGTGTTGTTTACAACTCAGAATGATAATGCTATAAAAAAAACACAGTCGCTCTAATGCAGGCACACAGGATCCCGATCCACGAGCGCGTCGAGCTCCCAGAGGAGTTGATCCCTGATGACTCAAGGGTGGAGATAGACGCCAAGATCACAGCCGGTACGTTTTATTCGTCCTTGTCAGCACGATACAACGCATGGTGGTACCCCACAATGGTCGTTCTAGAAGCTGGCGGTAGAATTTTGCGGCATATAACTAATCATTCTTTTGCAGGCTATTTCACAACCGGTCACAGAATGACAGAGGATGAGCTTAAGGCTGTCCAGGGCCGTATGTGGGAAGAGTAAGTTTCAGGCACCCCTTTTTCCTATCCTAAGCCCGATTCCAAGAGAATTGGAGGAAAGAAAAGGATTGCGGCAGAGTCTCGGCTAACAGGAAACGCAGTATCGACCACTAAACGCGAGTTTGAATCCGAGAGAGCCAGCGGTGTTGGCACGTGTGAGTGCATGGTAGAAACGATGTGGTCATGATGCATACCTATCAATGCTTTGGGACCTTGATTTGAATGAGTAGTAGCTTGGATACTCATCTGCAGTTAGAACCATACTGAGCAGTCAGGATATTATCGCTAGTGCAAGCCGGAAGTAGAACCCGATGAATTAAATCGTAGCTGCATAGTCAGTGCCCACATCTTAAAAAAGTTGACTGTTCACTGGTGCGCAATTTCCTGCTGACCTACACTTTCAACCGGTAAGTACATCTTCGAGTGCTGCTGTAGTGCTGTAGTGTCTCGTGTCCAGTCGTGTTAGGCCTGCACAAGTGCCCACTCAGCGCAGAGTAGCAAGCTCGGCCAAAGCAGGAACAGCCGGAGGAATAGCGAGGAGGGTGAGAGGCCGGGTAAGATATAGAACTGTTGCATGCAACGTTCAACGGAACCCTTTCACTCGTCCAAAACTCCGCTGGGAAATTCGGCAATGCGATTGCTTGGAAACAGTATTACCGAAATGGAACCTGTCAGCAACATTGCATTTTCACCACTTTCACCCCCTCACGTCAATCGTAAGATCTCCACAGAGCCGAAAACCAAGACAGCACAAGCAACGTAGCGGATACTGCTGCACGAGCAGCCCACAAGTTTTCGTGTGTTTTCAAGCTCATGGCACATGGTAGAACTAATCGTCGAAAAGGGGGAGGGGGGTTTCTTGACCGACATTGGGTAAATTTTCTTTCCCTCTCATCCTGAATCACCTCAGGAACCAAGGCGATTATAAAACAAGCAGACTTGACAAAGAAGCGGTGGCAAACAAGCGTCCGTGTCATAAGGCCGTTTTCGGTCAGCCCTCCAGGGCGTTGCTCCACGTCGCGACCCAGTCAGCGCGTAGTAATGGGAGCTATGGGGCTCGTTTTGCAGGAATATAGCAGCTCCTTCAAGGATACTGGCAATAAATCAGTCGGGCGTCGCATTAGTACTGTAGGGTGTGGTGCGGTGAATGAACTGCAGTGGCTGCCTTAGCCCGATTCTGGTTTCAATGGATGAGGTGACCACTTGCTCGCATTGAATGTTTGTTTGTTCGCGACCAAACTGCGTAGAAGACGTGGGTGCTTCTAATGGTGCCCCACTGTAGACATGCAGGCGGGAGAGCGGGTGGACTTTTTTTTTTTGGTCCAAATGGTTGGGCAGCGACTACGAGGTTCCGCTAGCAGGACCTAGAATACTGCAGCCCATGTATGTACGCCCAAGAATCCTTGGATGCCCACCACACAACAACAAACACGACAGCCTGGAATTGCTCTATTGGGCCCCCCTCCTTCCCCCATTTTGAACACGCCATGTGGCACTCCAGCGCACCCCCGGAACATGTCGCGAGATAGGTGCCGTAATGGTGGTGGTAGCCGGTGCCTGGGCGTCTGTAAGTCTTGGGAGGGATCACCCTCATAACCTTGAGCAAGCAGCCTCGAACCACATCGTCTTCCCTTGTTCAGGATTAATTCGTCTGTATTCTGTCAAGTCTTCAGAAAGTTGTTGAAAGTCTTCGAGACTTCTTTTGTGAACAACACTTATTGTCTCATTGAAATCTTCTGCCGAGAGGGGCAATTTGGACTGAAAGATCAACGTCATGTCTTCACCATCGACAGAGTCGCACCGTCTTGTTCGACGGGATTCCTCACCCAGGGCTGCGAGGAGTAGCAGCAGGCGGCGCCCACGCTTGCTTAGAGCCTGCGCCACGGAGCCATCCATTACGACTTCGAGTGCCTGCAAAGGTGTATTGACAAGTCCAAACTCGAGTAGGAGGGCGACGGAACTCTTGAGCCGGGTTGCAGTCAACAACGCTGCGGTGCTGAGCTCATCACCCAACTCGACGAGGAGTTTCGGAGCAGTCGACTATGAAGGTTCCGGATTGACCGAGGCCGAGAAGAGGGAGCTGTTAAGGAGTGATAGCAACCCATGTTGGTTTTCCTCAGACATGTTGGCATCACAAAAGAACGCATACTGACCACGTCCAGACTCGGTGGGCTACTTCAGCTTTCCAAGTTTTGACACTTGGGATATTGAACAACAACAAGAAGGGAAAGATGTGCCACCTTGAAAGGCCGCGGAAGGCAGCCCTCATCAATTCTACACGACCACCGGCGCGCGCCAATTGCAGCCTTCCTGCTAAGGATAGGTTGTTGCGCATAGCCTTTGTAGAGATGTGGGTGCATTAAGTCATCGAAACTTTGGACACAGCCCATCGGAGTTCAGGCGTTCTGAGGAATTATACCTTTGGAAGTTCAACGCAGGTCGTCGAGCCGGATTACAACAAGACACCAACCCATTATCGACAATGATCGAGGATGTTCTGGCTGCAAGCGTAATGGTAATGGACCGACCAGGCAGTTATTGCCCGCGAAGAGGAAGAATCGTACAGGAAGGCAGGAATGCAGGAATGCAGCGATAATAAGAGATTGATTAAGTCGAGCTCTGGGGATAACCTGGTGATCGAGAGATCTGCCAGATGACAGGGCTAGTTGCCGGCCTATGACGAAAGGTGTGCTTCCATCGTCTTTGTGCCGGGGAATGCGGAAAGAACCAATGTCGACTAATGGAAGGAACATTGGGACACCGGATACTGCAGAATGGTGGCAGGGTGAAGGTCCCTAATAGGTATTGCAAAGGCTTTGGAGCGGCCGCAATATGCCTGAGGAGAGGCTACTGTCGGATGGGGAAGAGGAGGGAACGATGTGGTTGTGGACCTCGTTGTCAAGAGTTCAGAGATAGAAGAAGGTGTAGAGATGTTATTAATGAAATAGCATTCGAACCATAGTGTTGTATACAAGCTCTCGCTATTCGGTGCCACTTGAACCAGCGCCTAGCTTAGCCAAGTGCAGATACACAGAGTATGTAATGATGTATGGAATACTTGTAGATGAAAGCTCAGTTTTAAAAGCATGAAGGCACAATACGTAGTGCTAAAGCATCAACGTCTTGGAGCATTTGAAAGAGGGCTATTTCCTTGATTTTAAATACAGCGCGAGATTTACGTCAATTGAGCAGATGCCTGTACATTAACTTAATCCATGGCTCGGTTAATGCTGATCGGCAGAGGACTCAAAAGTTTGTTCCTGTAGATCTCGGGTTGTTTGACGCTTGACGCTCAATTGCAACGGTGGACTGGATGTTTGTTGGTGGTTGACGGTAGCGCCAGCTGACGGGGAGCTGGCGCGGGTGGCGGTGCGGGATCCGTAGCCACTCGCGACCGACCAAAGCTTGGGTGAGATATGAGATACGCCTGATACGGATCCGTATGGGATAAACAAGTCAAGATAGTGGCGGCTAAACCCCGGCCCTGATTAATTCATTCCACTTAGCCCAGCCCACACAGCTTTGAGCGCCCGCCCCAAGAAAATTCACAATTTCGAACCGGACCTCGACTTTGAGATTTGACGACCCTCCTCGAAAAAGTCAACTGCCAAACATCCGCCCTTCCCACCACCAACTCAATTTATTCCCATAGTATTGCGCTGCTAGACGACTGCTCGCAATCATGGCCGTTGGAAAGTGAGTACAATTCAGAACCGAACTACAAGCACCATGTATAGCACAGCGGAACGAACAAGAGGAGGCATTCTGTCGCCATGCTTGATTTGATTTGATTTGATTTGATACCAAGTCAAGAAGTCAAGCCAAGTCAAATCAAGCAAGCGATACCATTTTGCGAAGGGACAAGGGCCTTCGAAAGCAGCATACAGACGCGACCAGCATCTTTCTTTCCTCCCCAAGACATCCCGGAAGAGTCGCAACCTCCCATGATATCTACACTTCGCCTCGCCCTTTTTCTTGTCTCTCTTTCGATCACGCACGGTCTGGCTGCAAACTGCGATGCTAATTACTGGCATCAATTAGGAACAAGAGATTGTCCAAGGGCAAGAAGGGTCTCAAGAAGAAGACCGTCGACCCCTTCTCCCGCAAGGACTGGTACTCCCTGAAGGCCCCCGCTCCCTTCAACATCCGAGAGTATGTCTTGTCCCCCCAGCAACCAGAAAATCGCCTTTGTGGATGAAATCTAACCAGCCTTCAATCTAGTGTCGGCAAGACTCTCGTCAACAGAACCACCGGTCTCAAGAACGCCAACGATGCCCTGAAGGGCCGTATCGTCGAGGTCTCTCTCGCCGATCTCCAGAAGGATGAGGACCACTCTTTCCGCAAGGTTAAGCTCCGTGTCGACGAGGTCCAGGGCAAGAACTGCCTGACCAACTTCCACGGTCTCGACTTCACCTCGGACAAGCTCCGATCTCTTGTCCGCAAGTGGCAATCCCTCATCGAGGCCAACGTCACCATCAAGACCTCCGACGACTACCTCCTCCGCCTCTTCGCCATCGCTTTCACCAAGCGCCGCCCCAACCAGATCCGCAAGACCACCTACGCTGCATCATCTCAGATCCGTGCCATCCGCAAGAAGATGACCGAGATCATCCAGCGTGAGGCTGCCAGCTGCACTCTCCAGCAGCTGGTCTCCAAGCTCATCCCTGAGGTCATCGGTCGCGAGATCGAGAAGGCCACCCAGGGCATCTATCCCCTCCAGAACGTATGTCTTTGTCTCGCTTTGCCCCTCATCGAGACATGATCCACGGTGCTAATCGTAGATGAATAGGTCCACATCCGCAAGGTCAAGCTCCTGAAGTCGCCCAAGTTCGACCTCGGTGGTCTCCTGGCCCTGCACGGCGAGTCGACGACAAACGAGGACGGCCAGAAGATCGAGCGGGAGTTCAAGGAGCGTGTGCTTGAGGACGTCTAAATGTGACACGAGGATGAGTACTATGGACATGGAACGGCGTGTGGTTATTTCCGCAATGGCATATTAGGTCTCACTTCTGCTTGCATTTGGCGTGGCAATGGGTAAAGCCGCGGAATTTTCAGAGCGGCCTCTCATGAAGAGATTAAAAATGGGAAAGTCTGCTTTATGAGATAATGACCCTTTGGCCTTGACGGTGAATGCGATACGTTTTGTGGATATCCCTATCTTCCTCTTGGCCCTGTTCTTAGATTTGATGAAAGGTTCCTGATAGCATGGCAAGCCTCATAGACCATGTTGAGAAGACGGAGCCAATATATCTTGTCAGAAAGTCCGGAACACACTTTGTTCAGTGCAATTCACCGCTTCAGTAGGCCTTGTAGCATGAAAAGAATGCCTTTCGTAATTTCTACTCGTGGTCGTGGCCGATGCTGGTATGGCCAACCAGAGAACAGTGAATGCTACGTCATGTCTTGCCCACGCCTACTACTACCTCGGCAGCACTATACCGCATGCCACCTTATCACCTGCACATCGCAAAACCTACGTGTATCAACTTCCAATTTGTCTTTGAATCTACATTTTGAGCCTAGCATTCTCATACATGGCTGGTACCACTTTTCTCCCTTTCCAAATAGACCAAGTCGTAGCAACGAGTAGCGATAGAACCTGCGCCTTGATTTGTTGCAGAAGAGCGTCGGCTGTTGAAGCACTGTTGTGAATCTAGGTGAGCCTGAACTAGCTCATTTCTCCCAGACCGCCGTTGCGCGACCTGGTTATAATAATTTCTCGTTTTTGTGATTCTATCTAGCATGACATGATGTTGACATACCGTCAAGGCCCGCTGTGTGTTCAAAAGTATTTGTACACCTTTGTGGCCAAGACTCGTTTCAAAGACGTTGCCCTTGTGGCCTGCCTCTAAATCGATACAGATCGCACCTCAGGCAAACATCCTGAAGACCCACGGCCTAGTTGTATACGAGCTCACAAGCCGATACTTTTCGCTTGCCTAGGCGCGTTTGAAGCATCATGGCGTCGGATGATGCATTACCAGTACTCAAGGTGCTAATCATCGGCCCGTCGGGTGCGGGCAAGTCAGCGCGTGAGTCTGACCTTCCACCGCTACCTTGAATACGAGAAATGCTTTGCAGATGAAGGTATACTAATCCATCGCGCATGTTGTCATAGTGTTGATGAGGTACTGCGAAGATAGCTTCGATCCAGATTCTTCCACAGCTACAATAGGGATAGATTTCAAGGTACTTCACATGCACAAACATGGCATCTTGGAAATTCGCGAAATGCCAAGCAGATACTGACGCTTACTAGACTAAGAAGCTATCCGTGCGAGGGCAAGCATACAGGCTGAACGTCTTCGACACTGTAAGTTGCATCCGCCGCCAGCTGTTCTCGTTGTTCGCTAAAGGACCAAGCCTAATATGATGCAAAGGCCGGCCAAGAACGCTTCCGCACACTATCAACTAGCTATTATAGAGGCGCTCATGGCGTGATAATTGTCTATGATATTTCGAGCAGGTCCAGCTTTGCAAGTATGGACAAGTGGATCGAGGAGGCGAGAAATAATGCCAACCCAGACGCCGTGCTATATATCGTACGCGCCCCAAGATCTTCTATGCCGGTGCAGGGCAGACACTGACAATCGCAACAGGTCGGGAGCAAGCTGGACAAGGTGACCTCGGGCGGCCGGGCAACCTCGGCCGAAGAAGGTCAGGCGTTTGCAGATGCCGAGGGAGCAGGATTCTGCGAGGTTAGTTCCAAGACGCGGGAGAACGTGCGCAGGCCGTTCATCGAGGTCATCGATCGCATTGTCCAGAAGCCCGAGTTGCTGAAGCCGCCCAACGCCAACAATGGCACCTTGAACATTGGCAATATGGCATCGGACTACTCTTCGGCATGCCCTTGCTAGTCGGCAGAACTGAACCGGCACCCAGAGGCAGGTGCTACAAGATGGAGGCTTCGTGGGTGAGGGTGGTCGGCATATGTATATTTTGATGTATCTCGCCTATGATGTGCCCCCGATGCTCGCGCGAGCGTCTATCCTTCTATGTCTATGGTTGGGTATCTCTTATGCAAAATGCTATATCCGTACCTCTATACAACCTCTCTCTATTCCTTTGGTCCCAAGAACTCGATGACAGCTGTAGAAAAAGTCCCGCGTTAGTAAACTTTCTTCTTCGTTGGTGGCGTGATCCGCTCTTCTTTACTTACCTTTCAAGAACGGCTCGGGCTTCTCCGATATGACCCAATGTCCAGCATCGATGTCCGCCATCTGAAACCTGGGGAAGAACCTCCCGATGAGCGGTATGGCCTCGTCGGGGATGTACTTGCTCCTGGTGCCCCTGACGAAGAGGGCGGGCTTCTCGAAGCGGACCTTGTCCGGGTCCCGGAAGGGGAAGTCGCCCATGTTGTCGAGCTCGCGGGAGATGATGCCGAGCGGGACGCGGAACTTCTGCCTCGCCTCCCCCTGCGGCCGGTGCAGGTTGCCCAGCAGGAACTGCCGGATGGGCAGCTCCTTCTCGTACTCGGCGAGGATGCGGTCGGCCTCGCTCTGCTTGGTGCACCCGGCCTCCTCGATCCGCTTCATGGCCTGTACGTACTTGCCAAAGTCGCTGCCGAGCGCGGCGTCCAGCGGCGCGTTGTCCACGGGCACGATGTCGCGGATGAGGTCGGGCTGGGAGAGGGCGAGCACCATGGCGACCTTGGCGCCCATGCTGTGGCCGATGAGGGTGGGGTCCTGGAGGCCGCGGGCGGCGATGAACTCGGCGACGTCGTCGGACATGGCGGCGTAGTTGTGGGCGGGGTCGTGGGGCGACTCGCCGTGGTTGCGCAGGTCCAGCGTGTAGACGTGGCGGCCCAGGTGCTGCGCCAGGACCTTGGAGACGGACCGGTTGTTCTTGCGGCTCCCGAACAGCCCGTGCATGAAGAGGATCGGCGACGAGGTCGGCGAGTGCGTCTCCTTGCCCGCCGGCGGCACGTGGTGGTCGAACGCGAGCGGGACGGTGCGGGAAGAAGAGGTCGCTGTCGAGTAGGATGCAGATGCAGCGCGCGCAGACGAGAGCTGCTTGCGCAGGGTGCGCAGGGGCATCGAGGCGGCTTGTGGGAAGGCCATGGTATTTTATGCGACTCTTCGGTTTGGTAAAACGAACCGCAGATTTGGTTGGTGCCGGAAATACGTCCTGCGATGAAGAAGTGAAAAGGGGCGCAGGTGCGCACTAAGGGTGAGTTTTGAAGCTATCGCGAAGCCTACATAAAGTACTTTGGGAAATTTTCTAGGTTCTAAACAGCGATCCCGGAGCACTGGAACTGCTAACGTTAGTGCTCTTTCTATGTGGGCCTATATAGCACGTCATACGTAGCGCTGTTGTCTCCGACTATATCGCACACACCTTGAGACTAGTAGGAAAGTTCACGGTGTACTTAAATCTTGTTAAGCTACCGGTGCCGTATACGAATCAGGTTCAAATGGTCATTATCACTCAATTTTACCAAGGTTATTTTCATGAAAAAGCCCGTTGTCAAGTCTTCATGCCTACGTAAGGGTGATTCCGATCTCTTTCTTGCGCCTCCCCGAAAAGTTTTGAAAAAATCAATCTGAGAGGATGCGAAGCTGCAGGATAGGGATAGAAGCTGCTGAAAGAAGAGCGCAAGACGCGACGATGTAATGAAGTGTACTTGAATGAGCAAGAAGTATAAGGAATGAAAATAAAAAATTGAAAATTAGAGATGCATCTGGCGTCTGAGGCCGCTCGGTTTACATTTTTCTTCTATATCCAGAACGCAATTGCTAAAGTTCTCTGCACTAACTTAAAGATGCTACAGTCAGATTGGCCAGTTATAACTTGATTTACAAGGTTTGCACCGGGGGCTGAGCCACCGTCCACGCAACACCCGACTGGGCGGTCACTGGACAAATATACTCACTCGCCACGACTGACAAGACTTACGTATTCCTCATGCGTACTCCTAGACTTCTAGACTCCTACCCAAATCATTCTTATATATTAGGGACCCTTTTTAAGCTTATTTTACCGTTGTTTGATATGGCTTTCGCAATTTATTATCATAGGATCCACTGGTCCTCGCGTCTACCAATGCTTCAATCAATTGCCAGCATGAGCTCAAAGATTTCAGATGAAGACGATAATCGATAAAGCCGCGGTCGACCTCTACAAGACCCAATTAGCTTTTGCGAACCTTGACCCATCGTGGATAGACGTAGAGACCTTGAAAGACTGGCTGTGGACTTGTGATCACAACCACGGGCACCAATGCCGCGATGCATTGGCCCCAGATGACACTGTCGAGACGCGCCCTCAGTGGCTCGTTGACATCAAGCGAGCATGTCTTGTACCCGCCGGCCCAGGTGACCAGTACGCCGCCTTAAGCTATGTCTGGGGCAAGGTCAGCGTCACTCAGACAACCACATCGAACCTTGGGACGTTCCTGGAGCCGGGGTCGCTCAAGTCATTACAGGTCAAAATTCCGAAAACTATACGTCACGTCATCGGCCTGTTGGAACTTCTGGGGATCCATTTCCTTTGGGTCGACGCTCTCTGTATAGTACAGGACGATGCTAAAATCAAGCAAAAGCAGATACACGCCATGGCATGGATCTATGCCAACGCTTATGTCACCATCATCGCCGCAGATGGATGGGATGCTGAGCATGGCCTGCGAGGAATTCGCGGGGTGACTGAGTCTCGATACCTGGGCAAAGCATCTGCAAAGAGTGTGGACAAGTCTCTCAAGGCCAAAGCGGCCAAGTGGTATTCCAGAGGTTGGACCTTTCAAGAGATGGTCTTCTCCAGACGAACCATCATGTTCCATAATCAAACTGTGCTTTGGGAGTGCCCTCGAGCGTCGTGGAACGAGACATTCTTGAACAGCGTCTTCAAGATCCACCAACATTCTATTCAGCCGAAAATCTCTGTGTGGCCAGACATTCGGCAATACATGGCTGCCATTTATGATTATAGCCTAAGAGAGTTCAGTGACCCAGACGAAGCCTTAAATGCAATCTCGAGCCTGTTAGCTGTGTGGAAGTACTCCTATGATGGAGGTTTCATATCTGGTTTGCCACAGATGTTCTTCCTTGAGTCACTTCTGTGGCAGCCGCAGGAACCACTCAAAAAGCGGCTGAAGAAGGACAATCTGGACCATGAACGGCCTTTACCAAGCTGGTCCTGGGCCGGCTGGGAGGGAGCACTCGATATCAAATCCTGGGAGGCGCATTTCAGTCACCTTCACATCTTACCCCATCCTCGCAAAGACCGCCACATATGGCAAGTCAGGCCGACAGTTCAATGGCGGTACTTCGACACTAATGGGGGGACGGCCAGCATTCAGCCCTCATCCTTGAAATACCGACCGAAGAGATTATTGACATACGACACCCCCGAAGATTGGGAACTGCGCAACTTCTGGCCTAGGCATTCATCCTCATATGTGCATTCGCGATATGAGAGCGCAGAGTCTCGGTATCCAATTCCTCTTTCCTCGCAGCCCGGGAGCGTTATCGCGTCCGGCATGCTGTACGGGAAAACCCAAAGGGGTTTCTTCATGTCAAACTGGAAGCGGCCATTTCAGATCTGCGAGAGTACTATATGTGATCAGATCGAGTTGCTAGACCATGACGGCCAAGTCATGGGCGCTCTAATGCTGAACACGGCTTCCTTCTTCCACGCGGCACACTACTATTACAATAGGGCAAATATAACCATCGATTATATCAACCGGCCTGTTAATGACGAGACTTTTGAGCTTGTAGAGATTGCCGAAGGTGCTGTACTTGGCGATAAGACAGTGAGCTGTTGGGGGGATTTTGGTTTCAAGTTAGCGCCAATGCCAGAAGTGGCTGTTCCTGTCAAGACTTTCGCTCAACGCGAGCCCGAACATGCAGTCGTGTATGTTATGTGGATCAAGTGGAGGAATGGAGTCGCTTATCGTCAGGGTCTGGGACGCGTCTTGAAAACAGCCTGGAGACGCGATGCCTCTGAAGAGATAGATCTAATGCTTGGATGATTATGCACAGAAGAATAAAAAATAAATAAAATAAAAACCATGACCAGATACATTTTTCGTACGACTGCGGTCTGTGACTTTTCCGTAATTCAATTATCTCACGGCCCCCAGCCCTCGCGAAGCTTGACGGTATGATGTGATGAGCATTTTCTGTATCGCGCACATAGTCCTATGGATTTGTTAGTGGACCGACTTAATAAGTTAATTATGCATAGTAAGGTTTGCAGCATAACATCGGAGCTACCAATCCCGTGTCCGGCAGACACCGACTAACTGCCTTGGGGTAAGCTGACATACGGAGATTGTGCTTTCCGTGCGCCGAAACCCGACCTATACTCACGCAGTGACCCTCTCGGGTTTCGGGAAGCTCTTGATCTCTCTTCTCCCCCGATGCTCATCGGCTTTCAATTCTTGATTGCTCTCGCATGCATCGTGTCACACTTATTGATTAGTGGATCGTAGTCGAACACTACCATAGAGCTCGGGATTGAAAACGCCAAACCAAACGCCGCCAAGAGTCAACCGTACTCAATCCCGAGACTCGAGTAGCCCCTGTAGTACTATAGAAATATTGAGCGGTAGGTATGGAGACGGCCCACACTGCCGCTACCGGCACATCTGCCCCTTACGGACATGCGTGCGCCAACTGCTCCAAGGCGAAGACCCGATGCATATCGCGGGCCGGAGAGCGATGTGAGAGGTGAGGGCATGTCTGCCACTGGATCAGCGTAATAGCAATTGACAGCTCTAGATGTCACCGACTGGACAAAGACTGTACTCCGTCCACAGCTGTCAGAAAGCGCCAGGGCAGCAAACCTTCCACGCCTTCCACCAAGCGGGCAAGGTTGGAGGAAAGACTAGATGATCTGGTCACACTGCTACAGTCACAAAACGCACAAAAGCGACCTGAGGTCGTGCCAGATTCAGCCGAGGCTTGCCCAGATACTCCAGCTCACCCCTGGATACCTAAGGTCTGGAAATCGAATGCGGTACGTCAAGCTGCAACAAGTGGTCTGCAGCCTTCTGGTGATGTCTCTGCCAAGGAGAGTCTAGCTACAATCAATCCATTTCTGGAACAAAGTAAGTTCGAAACGCTTGGGATAGTTCCTGTTTCTATACACTCTTAAATAGTCGTATAGAGTTGGTTCTGGGCGCTCCCTTAAAAACAACTTACACTCTCCCTAACAAATACTCCATCTGGCAGCTAGGGATGTAATACCAGCTGACTTACTTTTCGTAACAGTGGCGAGGACACCTTCAGCGACAACATCCTCCACACCAGACACTTCGGCGGCCTCATTGCCACAATATGATCTTCCGCCAGCCGAAGAAGAGCAGCTTCTACTAAGGTTTCGAAGGTTTCATATGAAAAGCCTTCCGTTCTTGTACATCCCTGGTACGACAACCGCACAGCATCTTCAGCAAACACGGCCATTCTTCTGGCTCGTTATTAGAGCTGTGTGCACTAAGTCAATGACCGAGCAGCATGCTCTCGGAGCTCACATTCGAGAGATACTAGCAAAACAGATATATGTTGAGTTTGAGCGTAGTGTTGATCTGCTACTAGGCTTGTTGACCTACTTGGCAGCGTATGTGACCGGATCCCCATCTTATCCGCCTGGTCTCCCGTCTCATTACATCGAGTTGTGCATCCCATTCACACAATCTCCTGCCGATCTGCCCGTGCCGTCCTGATACTCTCCCGTCTTGTTCCTGCATTATCCATTCTATAGCGTCATTGCTATTCATATATTGATATGCTGACTTGCATAACAGGTCGCCATGTTTCGCTCAAGGTAGACCGTACATGTGTGCCATGTCAAGTTTGGCTTCCACAATTGTCTTCGATCTTCGACTGGATAGGAAGGCACGCAATGATTTAACCAATCTCCCCGGGATGAATTGCTTCAAGCTGTATGCCTTCCCAAAGCCGCCCGTGGCCCTGGCCCCTACGTCGAAAACCCGCACAAATGAGGAAAGACGGGCATTGCTGGGATGTTTCTTCACCACTTCAATGTAAGAACGCCTTGATGTCTACCCTGCAGTTGATACTAAACGTTGCCAGCACATCCTGTTATATGAGATTTGAGGCCGCTCGGTGGAGGCCTAACCTAGAAGACTCCTTGACACACCTTTGGGAAACTCCGGAAGCTCCATATGATAGGGTACTGGTAGCCCTGATCCGAATGATGATCATTGTTGATGATGCAACGCGCCTCACATCAAGGATGGATGACTTGGACCCGACTCCGCCGTCGATGTTCTGCATAAAGGCACTGCTAGGGTCACTGCAAGAAGTCAAAAGCACCTTTACAGCGGATATACTAGGAAACCGTCAGTACATCGCTTTTCTCTTCCCAAGTATCCTCACACTGCTGACCCTCCGCAGCTTTCGTCAAAGCCCAGATGTGCAGTACCGAAGTCCTCATCTACGAGCTGGCCATGTATCAACCGCCGTCGTCACCGCCATACAAATCACACGAGTACAAGAGAAGGGAGTATCTACAAGCAGCAGTCGAGTCCGCCAAGACGTTCCTCGAAACTTTCATCTCGATCGACGCCACAGGGTATCTAGGGTTGCCGTTTTGGCTCCTGATCGAGTACGCACACAGCTCTCAAGTGCTCTATCGGCTATCGCTACTCGACGACCCAGGTTGGGATCGGAGCATGGTCAGACAAACCGCCGACATCATATACTACCTTGAGCAGACGGCCGTGAAGATGGACCAGGCCCACGAGATGGGTAACTTTGGCGTGAACGGCTCGGACGGGAGTCTGTTCACCAAGGCCGCGTTCGCACTCAGAATGACTATCCCGTCGTGGACGGCGAACCTGGAAGCGATCGGTGCCGTGACTGCTGCGCAGACAGAAGCGCAGACTATTAGTAGTACTATTGGTGTACAGAGTACAAATGTGCAGACCGACCCTATGCTGATGGATTTTGCCGATGACACGTGGTTGACAGATATGTTTGCATCGTGGGAAGGGAGCTAGACCAACTGTTTGCCAGATCCAGCCCTGTGTATGATGTTACAAATACAAGCCAGTGTGGGTCAGGACACGGAGTAATATGAACAAAAGAGCATATCGTGAACTTGGCGTGATCAATTTCGCCACGCCTCATCGGCTTGTGCGGCACCAGACACATGGAGAATAGGGCTATATCTTAAGTATGATCTGATAGGTGACATGACAGCCCCAATCGTAAATCGCTTGCCCAGCATCTTGAGAAACGATTTTCGGCGACCCAAGACCGTCAATCCGTCCGTCTTACTTTCTCATCACAACAGGGCCTAGCAATGTGACCGTTCCAGTTGAAAAATTCTTTGAGTACTTACGACCTCAGTCAGATTCCCCATTGCTATTTGCTGTGCCGCTCAACAGCATTGCGCAGCTTGCGGCGGGATTCGGGTTTGGGGACCCAATTTCCAAACACCCCGCGCATCAGTAAACAATGTGATGAATTTTAATTTGTTGGTGGGAGTCTCAGAAAAACGACAGAAAGATAAAAGAAATCATAACACGGCGACTAGCCCGAACTCAAACTCAAAACGGCCGGTAGTTGTTTTGTACCTCTGTATGACATTTGCATGTAAATATTTTTTTAGTACTACATTTCACAACATCAAGCAGTGAATCACTTTCCCCCCCACACACACATACATACCGGGAGGGAGCCTTTTTGGTGGTGGTGGAAATTCTTCCTTGAGAAGAACAAAGTTTGCATCTTCCCAACCCCCCCTCGATTGTATCACTGCTACACCAGATGGAGACGGACCTGGCGACAGCGCGGGCCCGGGGCGAGGAGCCGGCCTTGGCGGCCGAAGTCAAGTCGCACAGCGAGGAGAAGGGGGGAGGAGAACAACAACAAGATGTGCGGGAGGCGAAGACTGCGGGAACGTCGAGCGGTGATGATACCACGGAGGCGGATGCATCCGCGACCGACCTGAAGGTGCAGGGCGGACTGGGCGCGGAGGAGGAGAACACGGAATACATCACCGGGCTCAAGCTGGCGCTCGTCATGGGGAGCTTGACGCTGACGTGTTTCTTAATGTTGCTGGATACGAGTATCATAAGCACGGTGAGTGGATGGGAGTTTTTGTCCGGCAGGGAACTGCGTGCATGACTAGATGCACTAATTGGTTGCGGACAGGCCATACCAAGTATCACGGCCGAGTTCAACTCCCTCCCGGATATCGGGTGGTATACTGCAGCATACCAACTGGCTAGGTAAGAGGTGGCCAGCACTTTCTGATTGCTCGTGTTCATTTGCGCTGATGCCTGCTTTCAGTGCATCACTACAGCCGCTCACCGGAAAATTTTATACCCATTTCAAAGCAAAGGTAAGTCGTCCTTGAAGATCTGAAAATGTCGCTGACTTCAACGCAGTGGGTGTTTTTGGTCTTTTTCATTATGTTTGAGCTTGGATCTCTAGTTTGCGGCTTGGCAAGGTCATCGTCTTTGTTGATCGGCGGGCGCGCGATAGCTGGTGTCGGCGGCTCCGGTCTGATGAATGGGGGCATGACTATCATAGCTGGGGCGGTACCATTACAGAAACGGCCTCGTAAGTCCTTCAATAGTCTATGTTTTGTACTGTAATATAAGCTGATTCAGGGGTGATAGTCTACACTGGAATACTCATGGGATTCGCGCAGCTAGGCCTCATATGTGGGCCTTTGATTGGTGGTGCCTTGACGCAATATGCTACCTGGAGATGGTGTAAGTTACTTTTCGAACCGAACGTGGTTGGAAAAGGGGCTTACAATGTTCACCTAGGTTTTTTTATCAATCTGCCCATCGGTGGCCTGACGGGCTTGCTTCTGGTCATCGTGCAGACTCCAGATTTGACAGTCAAGGAGCCCTTCTCGCTATCGCTCGTGCGCAAAACAATCCCGGAGCTTGATCTTCCGGGGTTTGTACTGTTCGCACCAGCGGCCATCATGTTCCTCCTTGCCCTTCAGTGGGGTGGGAACGAGTACGCCTGGTCCAACTCCGTCATCATCGGACTCTTCGTCGGTGCTGGCGCAGCCGCAATCGTTTTCGTGTTGTGGGAGCGCCACATGGGTGATCGTGCCATGGTCCCCGGGTCGCTCGTGAGGAAACGCGTGGTGTGGAGCAGCGCTGTCAACGGCATGTCGCTGATGGCCCTCATCTTCACCGCAGCACAATACTTCCCAGTCTACTTCCAAGCCGTCAAAGGGGAAGGACCGGCCATGAGCGGCGTCGACCTCCTGCCCAGCATATTGAGTCAACTGCTCATGGTCATTGTAGGTGGCGCGCTCATACAGAGGGTCGGGTACTACCTCCCTTTTGCGGTGCTCAGCGCCGCGATCAGTGCGGTGGGTAATGGACTCATCACAACATACACTCCGTGGACTTCGACGGCGAGGTGGGTGGGTTACCAGATCCTGCTTGGTGGTGGAAGAGGTCTAGGAATGCAGTTGGTATGTATTGCTCATCCCAGACCAAGATTCCTTTCCCTATTTCCAAAAGTGCACGAGAACAGGAGCGTGCTAACACCACTGTCCAGGGCCTTATCGCGGTCCAGAACGTGCTCTCACCTCATCAGATACCTGTAGGTGTGGCATTCCTGATCTTCTGCCAGAACTTCTCGGGCGCCGTCTTCGTTGTGGTCGGCTCAGTCATCTTCACGCAGAGTCTTGTATCCGAGGTGCAAACACATGCGCCCTCGGTCTCTCCTGAGGCTGCTCTCGCCGCTGGAGCTAGCGCGGGTGCTGTGAGGGCTTTGGTGCCAGCTGGTGGCGAAGAGCTTGACGGTTTGTTGCTCGCCTTTTCCAACTCTTTCAACAAGGTGTTTTATCTGCTTATTGCCATCTCCTTCGTAGGCTTGTTTTCAGCCTTTGGGATGGGCTGGACGGACGTGAGAAAGAAAAAGACCCAAGAGAAAGGGGAGGCCTAATAGGGCCAATAAGGGGTGGAGTTTTTGCTCCACCAATTAAACCTTTGGCATGCGGTGATTAGCTTTAACGTGTCGCATTCCACTGTTATGGTACCGTTGCACCCGTAGATTTAGAAGCGATAATAGATATTCTTTTTCATCAGCTGCTATCCTGTACTTGACGAAACATTCCTTGGAAACTCTTTCAGGGTCGGTTCAAGTCACACGACTCATATTGAAGGTAGCGCAAGTTTTTGAATAAAGTTCTGACAAGAATTGGTCACGATCTAACTTGCTCGGACTTCACTCTAGGAAAACCTCGGACCAGATTAGCAAAACAGATGTTTCCCCTTTTTAATAAGCCTGTGCAAAACACGTGTAGTTGATGGGTTTCAGGCTTGAGTTCTATCGCGGACAAAGTAGTAATGGTATGATATAGTTACTAGCACTCATCTAAATAATACATGGCGTCGCGCGGCCTTCCAGTCCTTTTTCTTTTCACCTCGACGTTTTCTTCACAGTCTAGACCCCGACGTCACATATCATATGTGCGTATTGAATCAAATTCTGACCGGACAAATCTTTTCGTTGATTCGCAGCCTTTTTGGTAATCCCGTATACCGTAAGACCAACGAGACTCCAAGCTTGAACAGCAGGATCTTGAACAACACTTACCCGACCACCAGCCAGGATGTTCTCAGGTGCTCTCGTCAACCGCGGCACGGTCCGACTTTACCATATGCAAGAAGTATGCAAGCAGCTTACTTCCATATCTTGGGCAACTATCTACATAAGCTTGAGGCTACGTAAACCAGCAACGGGGCCCAGTGATCTATGCTGGCTCAACACACTGGACCCCAGATCATACCTGTGTAGAGAGGAGGCAACTCGAGGTATTATGCAACGGTTTGACAAAAGCAATGCCGCACCCCTCTACACCACTACATGTAGCTAATATCCTGTAAATTGCCCTTCAGCTGTAATTACGTCCCGTAATCGCTGTGGCATCCCATGAACCCAAGAATTAATTGAATCTTGAGAAAGCCCTTCCCAAATAGCGTGTTCCCGTACATAGGCTTTAGGAGCTCGCCACGCGTTTTCTATCGGCGATTGGTCCGGGCTAGAAACCGTATTGAAATAGTATTCTAGACCATTATTTTCTTTCCATTGCCGTACTATATTTTTATTTTCTGCTTTACCGTGGCCGGGGCGCCGTCTTCTTCTAGAATAAACTGATCACCACGGTTTAGCCAAGGCTTAACGACGGGGTCAAGTATTTGGTCGATATAGGCTCTCATAGTAATTGTACTATTTTTGTTACCAACGTCGTACCAAATCAGTTCACTTTTGAAATTGTATCCTATAGCCCCCCAAGCGTGGCACCGGAATTGGTCCTCTACCGTTGGTATAGCACAGCGTTGGATACAATCAGGGCATTCGCGCTCACCAGGCTTGCGAATAACCTTGTGTTTTCCCTCCGGCCCGAGACAAAAGTGAGTTTCGTCGCTAAACCGGATAGAGTCCCAGTGCTCTGGTTCAGGTCGTCGTTAGAAGTCTTCTGTAGCAGCCTGTTTACGGGCTTTGGCGTAGGCTTCGGATACCCATCCTTTTACACACGTTGTACACTTCCTCCAATCCTTATCGCCGAGAGCTTGTTGTACCGTACGCCAGGAACCATTGAAGTCAACCCCGGCGGCCACTACGTTCCGGGACTCCGTAGTATCTGAACAGCCGGCGATTCGAATATTGTATGCCCTCGTCGTCTGAAAACTTCCTGGTAGCCTTGATCGCCGACTTGGTCGGCGTACTGTGGTGTTTTACACTGATATGCTGTTCAATTGGTGCCATGGCAAGTGGTGGGGGGCAGTGCGGCCCAAATTCTTTTTTGGCAACAGCCTTGTATGTGGTGTGACGATGAGAAATGCCCTACCTCGTTCAGCAACATCGCACGTTCGCGCATCTTTCAATGGGCAGACCGGGAGGCATGTTTACCACCGCATAAGCCAACGCAGCTTGCTCATTACAGGGCGTACAGCTTCTTGTTTGGGGCGGGGAGGAATGCTGATTTGGAGGATCCGCGAGAATCTTACGACCTGAAGTCGGAGTATTCGTTCACTGTGTTAGCTCGCAAAACTGGGTGAGGTTCAAGAGTTCCTTTGAGTGTGGTCGGGTGGGTGTACTTGAGCATGAGATATGAGATAATCTATGTTTTTTGCATTGGAACACACTGTGCAGTGTGCTAATACCTATCTACGATTGCTGGCTGTCGAAGAGACTTGGTGGTATGTTGCGATAACTCGCATCCAGACGCATTCAGAGCTAGCTACCCAGCTCAAATGATGAACCTTTTCAGATGTGTTCGTAATGACAACCTCTATACTGATTGTCTAACATTCAATGGAAATTATAAGCCAAGAGGGAGACATTATTTCATCAAAAAGGGAGGTACATAGGTAGCCAAGCTCACTTCCATACAGCCAATATACTGGATGCGTTTCATTGCCTTCCCGAAGTGCCCAATGTTCTGCGCAGCGCACTAAATTGGCAACTGGTGAAGTTTTATGTTAGTGGGGGTGATGGATCTTGGGTGCCGTTCTTGGCGTATCAGAGGCTGCGCGGGGGTCGCTTTCCGGGGTGGAATGGAGATCTGCGATGATGATCCTGCTTGTTTGATGGACCATCTCACAGGCGTCATCCACAGGCCTACGCGTCAGAATTACCACTCCAAGTCACTTATTTTAGTTTGCCTTAGATCGGGTTCGCCAAGATGACCTAAAATATGGTGGTGGACTACAACTTTGAGCCTCCCCAGCTGGCGAGATAATTCCAAGTTGACCTTCGACTCCCATTCCAGACCAGATGTTTTCATGATGGGGGCGACGAGGAGCATCGCAAGCTCCTGGGGGATGCACATTCCGGGTTTGGCGAGAAAGTACATGTTCATTCTGTTCGCTGCCGCTTGTTTCTCGCTGCTGTTGCTTGGTGAGTGCCTCGCCCTTTATCCCTACCCCTACCGAACGCAATGGCCCTGTTTTTGTCATTGAAGGAAGCGCTGCGCCGCTCAACTGCCGCACTACGACGGTAGCAGTCTTTGCTAACCGCAATTGCTGCCAGCTACTGCCCTGCCCGAGACCGTCGGCTTCGACACCCAATGGATCTATAAGTACTACGGCGACGGCTCCGAAAAGCCAGTTGCAAATGGCATTCCCTTGCGGATTATGACGCTGGGCGCGTCCGTATGTCGAGGCGATCTATCAAATGGCACCGTGGGTTTTCGCCAGCCACTGCGCGACAAGCTGGTCTCTGTCGGCAACATGGTGAACATGGTTGGGTCTGAAAGAGTCGGCGAGATGAAGGACAACGACGTTGAGGCACATGGAGGAAACAGGGTCGACCAAGTACACGAGTGGGCTACGCACAGCGTCCCTGGCACAAAACCCAATCTATTCATAATGAATGTCGGGTCGAATGACTGCCTGCAGCATTACGACCTGCCGAACTACAACGTCCGACTGAACGACTTCATCAATTACCTGTTACAGGAGTCGCCGAGGGGTACTGTCATGATGTCGACCTTGTTGACCAACACCGTTCCAGATGTTGAGCCGTGCATCTTGTATCTGAACCAGCAGATCAGAGAGCTGTACAAGGCGCTAAGCGAGCAAGGCAGACCGGTTGTATTGGCAGAGATGCATGACCATTATGTGCCAGAGGGTGACACCCTGGAGCGGCCGCATCCGCCAGATATCACGCCTGATGGTACACACCCGGATGACGTAGGCTATGCAAAGATGGCCCGAATCTTTTACCAGACCATTCGTGAAGCAAACAGGAAAGGCTTCTTCCAGAGAGCAGAGGATGTCGGCATCCCTGATGATGGAGATGTTGGAAGGGAGGTAGAGACGCAAATATTGGCTGATCAACTTGAAACTGTGCCACCACCCTTCCGTAACCGCCGGTTTGCTCGGCGCAAGCTATAGATAGACCATGGTATATGTTAGAAAACCGAGAACACGAAGCTCTAAGGCTATTCGTACGTCATAGCCCTTACGTGTGTCGCTTCACTACATCGCCATGGCTGTATCAAGATGATCGCAACAGATTGCGTTTCCCAAGTTCAAGATGTTGCTTTTCTGCCCTAACAGTGTTTCGATTATTGTCACATTTTGATTACGCCGATAATGATTTCATGCCTTGTGAAGTTGGTTTGATCATATAGCGGCTGTCCATGCCATCTTCCGTTGAAGTCGGAGCCGCGCCTGCCTGCTTTCCAGCACCTGCCATTGTTATGGTCTGGCTTCATTCCCACAACCACGATGCTTACACTGATTTCATTGAAGATTGACCTAGCGATTTAGGAAACTCTAGATGCAATGTCTTCATCTGTTTCAGTGCCATCAGCTTCTACCAATTTCTAAGTGGCCTCATCTTTCACGAAGTGAGACAACTGGTGAGCTCGAAAAGCTGCCGATGACTATAATGCTTTACGAATGGAACTCCCATGATATGATTTTGTATAGCGGATTCTCGTGGACATGGGCTTGTGCGAATATCCTTGCCATCAAGCTTCCATTCAGAAAAGTTCGTCAATCTGAACGGTCGTCAACACACCCAGACGACCACTGTCACAATACTGCTGTGTTGTAAGTCAGCCGGCTTTTGCCTCAGCTACCGACGACCGGTACATATCCGAGATATTCTTTCTTATACTGACGAGCCAGGGATGCGAGCAAATACGGGCCACGCTCTGCCTCTCTTCCAGTGAATACTCGAGCCGCGTCACCTTTGGATTTGGGGCTAAACTGAGTGCCATATTAATCTGATAATCGTTGGTGTTCACTAGATTAGTGCAGAACAATCGGTTGTTGCGTTTGCGATTAACTCGATACGAAAGGAAATTATATTCGCACTAAGTACATCATGACAGGATATAACTATCAAGATCCTTTGAGACCCCTACATATAACAAATAACTCGAGTTTGTGACTTCGGTGTAGCTTAGCAAATGGTCCATGGCAAGATGAAAAAGTGGCCGAGAAGGCCAGGTGGCTGTACTATGTTACCGCGAATAGGGGCGTGCCGTATTGTAAGGGGGCCAACCATCCACCTTTGCGACCGTGTCCTTGTGCTTGAACACTATCAATCATTGGACAAGAGACGAATAGGGAAATCGTGTTTACCTGTAAACTCTGAGAGCTGATCTGGGTAGATTCAAGCCAAGTAACCGAACTTGTATGTCACGTTGAAAATGAGGGTTTGGGTGAGGGATAACTATATCTTGCTGGGGTGTTGCTATGTATCACAGCTCAAGCAGAATCAACGACATCTAACTACGCTATTATTAAATGAAGCTAGCATAGGGCCATAGCGTATTGCTGTGTTCACTATGCCGGCCACCTATTGAACAGATGGCCTTATGGAACTTTCTGGATCAACAAGATCCAAGGTCAACTGGAATCAGACGCGTCACCGCCGTAGAACAACGCTCTGCCACGTTGTTGAAGAGACAGTGAGAGAAATGTGCTCTCAGCAGTGCCTAGTGCTGCTTCTGCGGGGTTTGCTGGTGGCTGGTGGTCCACTTTACGTGATGGTCCACACCAGGGTTCATGCCGATATTCCCTCATACCCCACGACACAGAGATCTTATACAACGATAACAGGGCTTTTTTCAACAGCAAACAGGACTTGTGGCGCAGCGGTAGCGCGTCTGATTCCAGTTGATCTTGAATCTTCAAGATCTAGGAAGTTCCAGAAGGTCATCCGTTCAAATCGGGTCAGGTTCAATTCCCAGCTTTCCTGTTCTACTTTTGCATTTTTATCCATATCAGCGCCTGTTTTTGTGCACATTGCACACTCTTAGATCATCTGATAACTCGATACTACAACATAAAAACGTTTATTTTACAATCAGCTCAGGCATAGGCTGGCACAATAGTAAATATAGGGGTAGTGTTCCCTTACTAGAGATGCCGCAAAGCACCGCCTCTATTCAACAAGACATATACATTATTCAAACTCACAGATGTACACTTGGGATTACTGTATGTTTATCAACATCTATTCAAAGTCGGAACTAAAGATGTTCAGTGAACATGTGCAGTCCAATTTATGGAAACCATTGCAAAGCAATTTCGTATTTGTTATGGTTGCGCTTATTGTGGTCTAGGCGCCCCACATCTCTACTAGCGCGTTTGGCACTCTGAACTTTGTATACAAGCCCGTAGAACTAAGTTAATGGGATTGTTCCAGCTTTGCACACTACTCTTCATGCTCAAATTCTCTGCACTCATTAATTTGTGCTCTTGATACCATTTTTCTATTCCTTAGTTAGGCAACTACTACCTTGGTCATTTGATAGGATGCCTTGGAACAAGCTAAGCGTTGTAGAGATTTACCTGCCTGTGGTCTGCACGCGCAATCTTAGTGATGTTTTAAGCTCTAGCTGACTCTGGTTCTTGACAGGATTTAGACATGCCGTTGCAATGGTACAGTAAGGAAAAGTCTGGAAATGGTGACGTTATGGATGGAGTATCATTCGCAATGACACTGACAATCGCCAATACAGGCGCTTTTAAACAAAGTAGGACAATTTCACGCCCAGCTATTGCGTCGCGTCGCGACGCAATAGCGGGGCCTGCCATGTCATCCACTCATAGCTTGACCACCCACTGTCATTTCAACATATATACTCTCACTTGGCCATTATTTTACCAACAATGAATTATATCATGACGGCTTGAGACTCAATAGATCTTCTGGATTTTCAAAAGATTCGGCGGCTACGCTTGAACAATTGTCTCCCATGAGTATGATGCAACTCCGAATCAGGCAAGACTGTCACACATCCCAGAAATGCATGGCCTATACATGAAGAACGTACTCTTTGTGTGCGCTTGTCCCGTAGAATTGACTGAGACCAAGCGGGATCTCCATAAGTGTTGTCGACATTTCGACTCCTGTATCTATGTTATTGATCCTACAAGATGCCAATGATTATGAGTTTGGCACAATCACACAAGTTCCATGGCAAGTAGTCAGGACATTATTATGGGAGGCCTGTCCCGTCGTTGCCCCATTGAGAACGGGAACTTTGCACCACAGGTTTATGCCGTATTAGACCTTGCATGGGAAACTGCCAATGAACTACTTATTGCACGGCCATGCGCTGAGTTCAAGGCTGCCTCGCGTATCGATTTCTGGTGGCACCTACCGAACTAGCCAGGCGAACAGGCTGTCAATCTGGCGGGGCCATACTGAATATTTGCCATGCAGTTATTTTCTGCTCATCACAACTTTGGACTATCGCATATTCTTTCGACCATTCATATGAACGACTGCTGAACACTTGAGAAGGTCTTCCCAGCATTCGTGCTCCTGTGCTCGATGGCATGCGCTGGCATGCGCTGGCACTGTGATCTCATGCAGCGTTGTAGGCGAATGACTCGGAGCTTGATGGCGCTCGTCTTACCCCTTTTTGGAGACCAGTCCCGATCCCCGTGCTAGACTCTGGTGGATCTTCGATCCCATTGCAAGCGGCTTGGATTGCACCTCGTATGTTCGTCTAAGGATTCCTAAGTGGAAAAGAATCAGACCTTGCAGCAAAACGCACTATAATCTTCAGAGCGTTGGCCTTCACGACTTTGATAATAGTTCGGATACCATAGAATGTGACAATGCCTCCACCGCACCTGACCCGGGTTCTGGGCCTCGCAACAAAGCGCACTCGAGATTTTGGGGGTGACCTATGTAACTCTTCCTGCAAAACTGTCGCTACTTCGCGAACACCATGGAACGTGACAATGCCCCATGTATGACTGCCGCTGACTCACAGAAATGGGGTGGATAGATGTGTCGTGATTCATACCCAATCCTGTATTCAGTTTCTTAGGAGTACCAGCTGTGCCACTCACCAAATCAGACGAGAAGGCCATGGGTCCTAGGGTCTCATTTCGCTCCTGACTCATCTTCTGAATACCTGAGATTATTTTTCGCGAAAGAGATGGGTTGTGAGCCAAATAGAAGAGCTATCCGATTCTAGAGAACGCATCATGGAGCGTTGAGTACTAAGACTTCTGAACTCTCGAATTGGCAAAGTTCTCTACTCAAACAACTTAAACTAATCTAACTTAAGGCCCCGGGATCACAGCATCGACTATCTAGGTCCTGAGGAATGACTGTCTCGAAGGTGGTCGATCCAAGCTCTGGACTGCCGCATCAATCGGAAAAGATTGTTGCTCGTAAAGTCGTGTAAACTAGCCGATGCGGCTGCAGAAAGGGTGTCATAGATAGTGTACGCTGGAGAGAGGTCTTCCTTCTCCAGGGCCAACAATAATTGAATTTGTGACCCCTTACAGACTCTACATGACCGTGTTACATAGCGTCTTGTGTAGTTTGCTCTAATCATTGTTCTATACGACACACTTTTCTAATTACCAGGGTACTAAATCAAGCCCTAGTGGCTTCTTGATAGAAATACGACCGCAACTCCTGCTGTGGCTGTTCATCGAGGTATTCGTACTGCGGCTTTCGGACGAAAGGATGCACAGGTAATACAGGCCCTTTGCGCGGCCACTCCTGAGATATTGGTTCATAAGATCCCCATACCCAAATGTGGCTGGGTTGACCTCCGACATAAGTCCTTTCATTCTCAGACATGAGTCTCTTGGCAACTGCCGTAGGCTTTTTCTCACCACGCCAGCCAGCAGCAACTTGTTCTACTGTGGTGAATATGTAGAGGTGACCATGTAAGTAGCATGTACCCTTATCGTCACACATACGAACGGTTACGTGCTCGTCGTCATCCGCCATCTCTCGTACTGCGCCTGTCTCGGTCCTCACCCATCTAGTCGTCGCCTCAGAGTGAAGACCGCCCCTGTGGTTTAGTTAGTATCGATTGATGTTCTAAAATAAACCATTTCGCGTACATAATCCATGCTACACTTAAGCGACACTTCCTGGTTTCCTCTCTGACGATATGGGCAACAGTATCCCGTTGCCTTGGATGCGGCGGCCTGCAAAGCCATCGGACCTGGTGAACAATCAGAACTGCGAGGTGAAGTGTTCCTTGGACTTTACTAGGGGGAATACCTCAGGATGACCATGATCTGCATATAAAGGCCCTATCGCGAACCGCTCCTGCATCTTCACCGCCCGATCGCTGTGTCCAATACCTGCCAAAGGTGCTCCAGGCCCGTGCCGCATCGACGGAACCCATGAAATGGATTCTTTTCTGGTCTTAGATATTCTTCCCATTTCAATCTAAATTTAATAATCAATGACAATGCTTTCCGTGGCACATATATCCTAGTTTCATAATATGGATAATATCGGTTCTCTTATGGCGTGGCCGGAGAGAATAAATGTCTATCTAGGATAAGAGAGACTTGAAGAATGACTAAATATCACTTGCACGCATATTAAAAGCTTCTTTGATAATGATTTCTTTGACAGTCGCTTTGACAATATTCTCGGTTATGACGACCATCTTTTCCTCGTATCAGAAGGACTACCGGTACTAGTTCTCATACAACGCCAAGTATAAATCGCGTAATTATATTTATTGATATGCAGAAGAAAAAGCCACAAAAACAAAATTAACCCGTTATATGTATCCTATGTTGACTCGCAGAAATTTTGGTTTGATCACTAAAGTGTTGGCCATTAAAAGATACCCTCGGAATATCATGTTGGTCAATGGTATGCCAGTGAGTTTCAATAAAACTCCAAATTATGCCAGTTGAATTCCATACTTATCCTATTCTGTTCCATGCAATCGTTTTATAGCCTCAAGTAGAGAATGCCTGCACCACGCTCCACCACGATACTCCACGATGGTTGCCTCACTTTTCCATTGCACGATGTACGCTGATTGAAACAATGAATATGAATATGTAGATATGTACTTGATTTAAATGCATTTTCATTGTCTACCGCAACCAGCTGGCAAGGAGTTGCTTCTCATTGTCTCTGCTCTTAACAAGGATATTTCTATGGCACTAGCTGTCTGACGAAACACATTCAGACCAGCAATAACTCACATGAGACAAATATAAAGTGGCCTAACTCGTTTGGCATGTGGCTTTATGGCTCTGAGGTTGCACCACACATTTACGGGGTAGACAGCCCATTCCAGGACACTGTCACATTTGGTAGTACGCTTATTCATCATATGAGTTGCCGGAATTTCTACTGGAGTACTTATGATGCAGGCTCAGCAAGTATCGCGAATGCAAGAGTATCCATACGATCCGACATTTGCCGAATACGGCACTGAGGACCCGTCAAAATACAACAAGGGCGGCTTCCATCCAGTCCACCTCGGAGACATTCTGGATGGCCGGTTTGAAGTTGTTCACAAGCTGGGGAACGGAGGCTATGGCAGCGTATGGCTATGTTGGGATCAAAAGCTCTCCAGATGGAGTGCCGTAAAAGTCCTCGCAGCGCTGCCATCAACCAGTGGCGGTGACACGAAGGTCTTGATTCATCTAAGGAAGACTTCTTCTCTTAAGGAGATAGAAGCGAATCACATAGCATTACCATTGGAAGATTTCTGGATTGATGGTCCCAACGGCATACATCTATGTTTTATTATGCCTGTTCTCGGACCGTCAGTAGACATCTGGCGTGGTTCACTCAATCGACTAGCCCCAGAGACCGGTACAAGGTCCAGGGTCGTTTGCAAACAGATCGCAGAAGCTATTCGCTTCCTCCACGAGAAAGGCATATGCCATAATGACCTCAAACCGGCCAACATCTTGATGAAGCTTAATCAGGAAGTGTTGAATAAACTTAGCAAAAATGAGGTACTTGAGATATTGGGAGAGCCCGACAAAATCGAAGTTGAGACCGTGTCTGGTGTCGATCCTCGACCTATAGCTCCAGAGTACTGCGTAGCGCCCAGTTCTTTCCACGGACGAAACAATCTAATTACAGATGACATAGCGCTTATCGATTTCGGGGAATCCTTTTTAATTGATACATTGAAGGAAGGAAGTGGTATACCTCTTGCCTATGCCGCCCCTGAGATATTATTCAACCAAAACCCAGGCCTAAGCACCGACATCTGGTCGTTGGCGTGCACTATATACCAGGTGAGGAGTGACGAGGTATTGCTCGGCAACAGTTATATCTCTGGGGCACTCTTCACACAAATCGTCCATTCAATCGAGCTGTTACTGGGCCCATTGCCTGAGGTATATCGAGGCGTGTGGAATAGGCTGCCTAGTAGTCGCCGCAGGGATAGCTCCCCTGAAGACGACAATGGACCTGCGACATGTTCTGCAAAGACGCTAAGAATTCACCAAGAAGAAATCAAATCAGAAAAGGGTTATCCCCAGATGTTCTCGGCCACTGTAGGGCAGCAAAGAGCGACCGTAGTTGGAAAGACAGATGATACTGAGGAGATCACATCAGAATGGACATATTCACGAGGAGAGTCACTGAGTCTGGGAGATCTTCTACAGAAGATGCTCAAGTATTCACCAGATGAGAGATTGAGTGTGGTTGCGGTTTGTTTGCATCCGTGGATCACGGGCGAGGCATATTTTGAAGAGACTATGGGAAGCGCGCCATTGGATATTCCGAGAAGTCAAAGAATTCATCGGCTAATTAAAGGTCTTCTGAGGTCGATGCACAAAACACATAGCATACTGGTTAGCGACGTTATAACGCTATTCGCCTTGATAGTGGTCCTACCAGTTTTAACAGGTATTGGGTTGCACTTAGTTTCGAAATCACTATGTGCTTGTTCTATAACTTCATAATCACGAGATTTGAAAAAATAAAACATACATGAATCTGTTCTCATTTTGTTACTTCATATTTCCATTTGAAATATATAATCCGTCAAAAAATGTCACGTATTAATAAGCTAGATACGACGGCTAGGGTCAAGAGCTAGACTAGTGAAGATCGACCACGGGGCGGGGGAAGGATACGTGGTCGCGGATCTTTGCGTATTCCACGATAAAGCCTCCTCATTCTTTAGCTTCCTTATTTTTCGCAACACAGGGGGTAAACAGCAAGCAAAGTCTTCGTGTTCTCGTGACCGTGACATTGTGGTGCGAAAAGTGCGGGAGGGACCTGGTTAGGCAGCCGCCTACTAAATTGCCCCATAAACTCCCCAGATCAGGCTCCTATTGGACAGCTCGCAAACGCCCCGCCGTACCCCTGGGCTAGGCTTTGTTGGTCCTAGCTCTGTAGGACGTTCTATAATCATGGCATCCGACATGGCCGTTACGTGACTGATGGGGCCGAGCTCAACACCTTGCTGCTGCACGTTGGCGACCTCTGATTGTTCCTTTTTGGTGTCTTTGGTGGCGGAGACCGTATCCCATATTCCAATCCGCAGTTCTGACAGTGATGGCACGGAAGGGTATTCAGAAAGTCAAGACAGGGTGTACCACTTGCAAGTAAGCTTGTCTTTACTCTAAGCAGCAACCATGGCATAACTGACTGAAATGGGTACGGTCAGAATCCGCAAGGTCAAATGTGATGAACGACGTCCACAGTGCTTGCGCTGCTCAAGTACGGGCCGCAAGTGCGACGGTTACGTCCCACCGCCTCTTGGCACATACTCCTGGTCGCATTTGATACAACCAAGCTTGGATGCCATACAAACAACAACAAGTGCCGAGTCACATATCCTGTCCTATTTCCGACAGGTGGTTGCCCCTTCCCTTGCCGGTCCGCTGGATACTTATTTGTGGGCCAACATCGTCGTTCAGGTGTCTTCCCGAGAAGCAGCGGCGAAGCACGCCGTGCTAGCAATCAGTTCCTTGTACCAATCCTTCCACAAAGATTGGGCAGGATTTCCTCACGTAACGCAGGAGGAAGCCTTTGTTATGCGGCACTATAACGAGGCTATCATACACTTACGAGCAGCCAGCGATCAGCATACAATTCTGGTGGTGTGTATGCTGTTCGTCTGCATTGAGTTTATGCGCGGAGATCATAAGCGTGCCATTGACCACTGTCGACATGGGATACACATGCTCAACCGCGCGCCCACCGAAACAGAATTTGTACGAGAATATATGAGACCATTATTCTGTCGTTTGAGCGTCTTCCCCTACTTCTTTGGCGCTAGTCCCGACACGTTTCCTTCTCTGGAATACCCGTCGATGGATGCAAAGACGTCCTTCAGCACTCTTGCAGATGCACACATGGCGTTGAATCCATTAATTGCACGGACTGTTCGGTTTGTGCGCTCTGCAGACACATACCGCCTGGGTTTGCTACCGTTACCAACACAAAACTTCGGCATTATGAAGGACCGGCAAGTCATCGATTCGTCTCTAGACAGCTGGTTTGTGGCATTTCATTTCTACAAGACACACAAAGCCTCAACACTGCGCGATAACAAATTTATGCGCATGCTGGAGATTCGCTGGCTCACCTGCAAAATTTGGCTGGACACGTGCTTTTCGAAGGAAGAGTCAATATACGACACGCATTTGGACAAATTCCGCACTATTGTAGACCTTGCAAATGACGCCACAGTTCTCATAGACGCAGCCAACAAGCACCGACAACCCAGAGTCGCATTTGAAATAGGATTCGGCCCGTTTCTGGCGTTTGTTGTAATCAAGTGCCGGTGCTTAAAGCTTCGGATCACTGCTCTGACATTGATGAAGGAAATTTCACCACCGAGGGAGCATTGCTGGGACACGTCTGTCTTGTTTGCGTTGGGGCAACGCACGATTGAGATTGAACATGATCTGAAACTGGACTTGCATATGCAACTGGACAAAATCCAGCATGATGTGAGCTTGCCTCCAGAAGAAAAACGTATCAGAGACTCAATCATGCACCTGGAGTCTGGACCATTGTCTGGCGTGGAGGGTATCGATATGGAGCGCCAAATGATCTGCTTCTTAATGAAAGACCCTAGCGGTGATGGTATCGTGAACAGGGATGAGCCGCTCACGGCTAGTTGACCCCGACTAACAAATAAAGGAAAGAAAATAATTTGAAAGGAAAATTAAAAAGCTAAGCCAGCGAGTTATCGGTGCTGTTTGAAGCCCTCACGGCACGCACGTTCCTGTCAGTGTTATGATACCAGCGTGAGAAATCTGGGTTGGAAAAACAAGTATCTTGAATCTTTGGAATACGATACTACTATACTCGCATAATCTTTTAGCGTGGCTAACGAATGGACAAGTCATTGACATGGCAACCTCCAGCACTTTGTTGTGATGTACCGGATGATATGATGGCAAGTATATTGATTCATACGTTCTGCGCTAAGCCCGAGATGATAAGTGGGACTACTGCAGCAGCTTTACGGTTTGTTGTGATTGGTGTGCTCGGAACCTCAGACAGGCAGTGCATTTCTACCATAACCGCCCACTCAGGTTCTAGATTTTGTATTTAAGATCGAGAGCAGGAACTCGAATCATAACCTTAAAAGCGATTCATCATACTCATCCCCAAAAGTCAACAGTTATACCCGCTTTCGATTCCACAATGTTGGTTCACTGGACTACCTTACCCATATGTGGTGGCCTGGTGCTCGCTGCTCCAACTACTCATGCCCCTGATCCCACTGCACTGCTTCCACGAGTAGCTACAGCCGCAACCGTAACCACTACATCTGCGATGCCGACTGGCACCTTCATGACTACGCTGCGGAACATCGAGCCAGGCGTAACCAACGACCATGTGACTATCCCAGCCAACACCATCGACATTGTAATTCCAACTTGCATACAGACCATCATACCGGATGCCAACGGTTACGTACCTCCTGGAACATGCGGGGCATTATGGGAATATTATCCCTCTTTCATTGCTGCGGTGGTTTTTGCAGCCCTCTTCACAGCCTTGACTATTGTGCATATTTGGCAGGCTGTACACTACAAAAAGGTCAGTACGTCCTCCATGTTCATGCACCCAGAATGGCTTGAGCTCAGGCTGATGCTCTACAGGGGTGGTGTTGGGTCATTATCATGGCTAGCATCTGGGAGCTGATCGCCTTTACGTTCCGTGCGATTAGCGCAAAGTTTCAGCAGAGTGACGGGGTCTACTTGGTTTTCCAGATCTTTATTTTGTTGGCGCCACTTTGTAAGCAACTGCCCAGCATTGATGGAGGTACAAACACGAGTGGAGCTCTAATCTCTGCCTAGGGGTAAATGCCTTCGCCTATATAACTCTCGGCCGCATGGTCCACTTTTTTCTGCTCCCGACTCGCTCCCTGTTTCGCATACCGGCATATGTATTAGCAGCCGCCTTTGTCGCCTTGGATTTTGTGTCCTTTGTCGTCCAACTCGTGGGAGGGAGTATGTCCGGTCCAACATCCTCCGCTGAAGTCCAGCTCAGGGCTATCCATATCTATATGGGCGGTATTGGGATGCAGGAGATATTCATCGTTGGGTTTCTCTGCCTTGCAATAAAATTCCAGCTAGAGATCAACAAAACCAAAAAAACCGTGGTAGATCGCATAGCCGCGTTGAGAGTACTATTTGCATTGTATTTCTCACTGTCTATGATAACTGTGCGCATCATCTACCGTTTGGTCGAGTTCTCTTCCGGAAGTACGGATAATTCTATAACGAGACAGGAAGCATATTTTTATGTCCTCGAGGCTACACCCATGGTACTTGCCATCGCAGTGTATAATATTGCACATCCTGCCGCTATCATCGACGGACCGGGATCAGACATGCCTGGGTTAATATCTGTAGCCGTGGCTGCCGGGAGGGATCTGCTAGCACGACGGACTGAAACGAAAGGCGAAAGGCTTATGGACGAAAGTCAAGGGGAAGAATTATCTCAGCGGTATAACCGCATTGGATAGAATCGAAAGCGTGTTTACCTCCGAAGCAGGGCATTGCAAGAGCCAACCAAGCTCACTTGCACCCGTAGGTTAACAGTTTATGAGCTTATTTTGACTAATCTCATGTTCTCCAAGCTTTCGGTGACGGGATAGATTTTATTGCATAACTGTTGCTAGCTTTACAAACACTGCAGCTAACAGCGTACTCCGACAACTTCGGTTACATGCAGTCGTTGTGTTTGATTTTGTACCGGCGAAGACTCATTGTCTAACCGCGATTAGAGGGAAACCCGATAAAATAGCGATTGCGTGCTCTACCAGACTACTGGCTGAAACGTTAGATGGCATTTCCTCGATACTTAGACAGCAAGCACATCTGTTTGCACGGAAATCGTCTAACATACACTGTCTGTGACTGTATGTACATGGTCGTATTGGAGCAGCAATTTTGGTATCAATCACACGTTCCTGGTGATTCCGGAGGAAGTTCTGCGTTTGATGAGGTCCCAGAAATGAGTGATGGTTCAGGGGACAATGGACTCAGTCTTGACAGGAGTTCCAGTGTTTCCGCTCGAGTGTGCCTTCAGGTGCTGTTTTTCATACTGAATTGCAGCTTCGTCCTGGTGGGGCTCCATGGGTTTGGCGCCGAGGTCGCCAAGTGCCTCAAGGCCACCAGTAATAGTCTTAAACGAAAGTTCAAAATCTTCCCACTGCCTCCCGGCCTCCTTGAACCAGGGCGAGAATAGTCACACCGCCATCGCCATCGGCAGACCTATTCATTATGTTTTGCTAATGAACTTTCTTCTTTTGGTGTTAGCTGCTGAGAAAGCATGCAAAATTACAAGTAATGTAAAGTGTTGTTGTGAGAATATCGTTGCCTTCTATACGATTGATCACTAAATCAAGCCTGAATGCGGTAGCTTGTATGGTGACGTGCTTGCCAACGATTGCTTCACCAAAATTCAATCTTCGTGCTACAACCGCCACAAGATTCCATCCGGTGCCTTATACGGCCACCAACTTGGTGTACGATGAATGCGTTGTGGCCGATCGAGGACACGACTAGCATGTACACTAGCAACGTATCCAGGAGGACCAGGAGGATATGAATCACGACGCTGAAATGTGCTGCCCCTGAGCAGAAGAAGGTACTCTTAGAGCACTCGCCCAGCAGTGAACCTTCGTCACGGACCAAACCTCTATCGTTACAGAATGTGTCGTTGAATGTGGTGAGAGTCATGATGACTTAACGAGATCTGTCGCAAGCGTTTCGGATGAGAGATTATAGAAGCAAAGCCAAAATCAGGAGATAGAGTCTTTACTATCTGCCATTGTAGGGTGCATGCTACATAAGTGGCGTAAGCCTGATAAGCTGGCAAGCAGAAGACGCTAATGCTATTCGTCACGACAATAGTAGTTTAAATAACTATGCCAATCCAAATACACTGATAATTATGACATCATGCCAATCGAAATGCATGATTAAATAATCGAAGAATGTTCAGATTCGGTGCGTCTAGATGATCCCACTTCGAACTACGTCAATGAAGTTGTTGCCTCCTGCTTTATATAACGCTTCAGCCCGATATACGTTGTTCATCACTGACGCCATATTGATAGTGGCCCTGGTCGCATTCGCTTAAAGACCTGTTTTGGGTCTAGTTGATTATTGGCTTGTTCAGCGCAACAAATCATATCTGCAGCGTCACACTATGGCATCTCACCAAGCCGCCAAGCATTATGCGACACAGTGGCTGCGGGAATAAGCGATTGCGAGTGCGAGATCCTGGCGAGGCGTAGTCGAAACATACCTGTGTTATTGGGTTCTTAGGTGTAACAGATCATAATTTGTTCCGTGGATCATACCATAATTTCCTGCGAAACGTGATGGTGAGTTTACTACGAACCACCGCAGCTCAGCCTCATGGCTGAGATTGGATTTGCCTGCATGTTTGGGAGCTTGGCCGTCGTATATATATCTGGCATCGAAAAGATCTGAGGAGCGACACGACTAATGAGATTTATTGAGCATAGGGCACGGACTTACCAGCTTATGTCACGCATTACAACCTCAACATCCTCTGCATAAACTACTACATTCTCATCTGCTTCGAACTACGTGGTATTCAAGCAACCTCACCATAATATAATGTCGGCAACAACGAATGGCCTACCGCCTTATATCAAGGTTTTCGGACCTGGTTCCAACTGCACACTTGATATATGTCCGGTAGAGATAAGTGTGTATGGCTACCGACCGAGCTTAGCCGCCAATGGCACCTTTCTAGGTCTCTACGTTATATCAGCCATCGTACACGGTTATTTGGGTATGAGATGGAAGACTCAAGTTTTCATGTATTCCATGCTCATAGGCGCCGCGAATGCTGTCCTGGGCTACGCCGGCCGAATTGCCATGTACTACAATCCCTTCAATTTCGCGGCCTTTATGATCCAAATCAGTGAGTTGAATCGAATTCGTGGGACTGCCTGGATGTGTTGTTGATGGTCGTGGCAGTATGCGTAACGAGTGGCCCGGTATATTACTCCGCTGCCATCTATGTCACACTCGCCTCGTCGTAAGCCCCCCCCCGCCCCCCCTCCCCAGGAAACCTTTATGGATTCGAAGTCATGTCTAACACGTCTTATTGCAGAATAAAGTACTTTGCGCCATCGCTCTCACGATTTCCACCAAACCTCTTCTACTGGATATTCATCCCTACCGACCTGGTGTGTTTGGTCCTCCAAGCAGCAGGTGGTGCACTATCGACCGCATCGGCTGGCACGAGTGACACGGGAGTCTATATGGCGCTTGTCGGCCTCAGTCTGCAAGTTTTCGCCATGGTAGCGTTCTGCGGACTGTTTGCCGATTATTTGATCCGATATTACCGTTCCGATATCTACCGTTCTGGCGAAGGCATCAAGCTAGGACGACGTCCGAAACTGTTCTTCGCGTTTCTTGCGCTAGCTATACTGCTCATTCTGGCTCGCTGCTCATATCGACTAGCAGAGCTGCGTGATGGGTATAGTGGCGATCTTATACGCGATGAACCGATGTTTATCGGATTGGAAGGAATGTGAGTTTAGTCTTCACTTCATTGCCTTCTCTCTCTCTCTCTCTCTCTCTCTGACACTGTGCTGATGACGTCTTGCACGCAGTATGGTGATTGCAGCAGTCTTTTGCTTGACAATTGGGCATCCTGGATTTGTGTTCAAAGACAGTGAAAAGGTCCTGGTCGGCCATCAAGTTGACTCGGACAGCCGTGACAAGGTCTAGGTTTGAGGGCGGTTTTCGCGGAGCTGTTGTGTTTTGACAAATGACTGCGAAGCTCCCTCGAACATGACGTGGGTAGAGTCCTGGCAGGGCTCTTGGAAACAACTTTAATCTCGGCCAAGCGCCGCGGGAGATCGCCGGAGCCACTGTTAGCATGATTCAGGAGACCCTTAACGTTTCTACATTATTGGTACGGAGTATGAATCGGGAGAACGTCAACGTCTTTACCGCACTCTCAATGCCGCGTCATGTCTTTTTACACATAAGCCTTCAATGCCGAACTCCCCCATTAAAAAGATGCATAAGCAGTCAATAAGCTCTACCAAGCTGCCAAGAGCGTTGACAGTGGATGCCATGCGGCAATGGCGCATGTATCCGTTGCTGCGGCTCAAAAAGTACGATTCGTTAGCCTGCCATCACTGCCGACGTCCCGCTGAAAATAGGGCGCTCAGGCACTCGAAGGCACGTCGAAGGGTCCCGAGATCGTTCTAAGCCCACTGTATAGTCTTGGCGGCCCGCAACAAAGAGGAAACCGTCGTGTCCGTCTCCGGGATGTGGGAGGCATCTGCCCGTTTGTTTCCATTTTGTCCACAATCAATTACGACGCATGGCGCATCATTTCAATTGCCAGTCTTCTGATTGGCTTTTCGTTGCCAAACATGGATTGCCCAGTATGATAGGATCGACGTGTAGAATTCCTATCGTGGTTGAAGTAGCCTTGGGAGACGCGTAGCTCCAGGGAACACCGTGCAGGAACAAATCCCCGAGACGAATGAATGAGTCTGTAATTGATTATGCCATGGTAGAAGCGTGCCGATCCGGGTTGAGCCGCATCGAGCCCCGAGAAACATAAATACTCTGGCATTGGGCGACAGTCGTCTGAACGTTCCTTGAGTAGCTTGTCTGTCAGTGGTTTCCTCTAACATTGCCTGCTCCGCCGTCTCTCAACCCGTATCACAACCTCGGCCATGCATACTACCACGGTTCTCGCCGCTGGTGCGGTTCTCCTTGCTGGAGTTATGGCACATCCTCATCATGAGGTGTCCGGTCACGAAGTCATCCGCCGCGCCGGTCTCTCCAGGCGGTGCGAGTCTTCCGTCGCCGCCTTGAACAAGAAGCGATGGGCCAAGCGTCAGCAGCAGAAGCGTGCAACCTCAGGCAATGTCACTTGGAACATCGTCACCGAAGCTCCCTACTACGAGACGCTCCAGAATGACACGTGTATTCTGACTGAGGAGGTTACCACCGGTCCCTACATTTGGCCTCAGAGTCAGACTCTGCGCCAGGACATCCGTGAAGGCCAGGCCGGCATCCCTTTCATCCTTGACATTGGTGTACTTGATGTCGAGACCTGCGAGCCACTTCCTGATGTGCTTGTCGATATCTGGCACTGCAATGCCACTGGCTCTTACAGCTCTTTCGAGGGACTGGACCCCAACACACCTTTCGAGACGCTGCTCGAGGAGCTGAATGTGACCATTGGCCCCGATTTGGACCTACACACCGACTCAACCACCTGGCTCCGAGGAATCGTAAGTCTTCTCGTTATTTCAAACGGAAATGTAGCCATGACTAACTCCTCGTCTTCAAGTGGCCCACTGACAGCGAGGGTATGACTGAGTTCACCACCATCGTGCCCGGTTTCTATGTGGAGCGCACCATCCACATCCACGCACAAGTCCACGAGGACTACGTGATCCGCGGCAACGGCACCGTCGCCTCATCCACCACTATCTCGACCGGACAGCTGTTCCTGGCTGAGGATCTCAGTGCTCAGCTTATGGCGATTGAGCCCTACGCCAGCCACACCCAGATCAACCGTACCACCAACGACATCGACTCGATCTATTCACAGCAATCGGAGAACGGCTGGGATCCTACCATCTCGGTTGTACCTTTGGACGGCGAGAACATGGAGAACGGAATTGTTGGATATATCACTATTGGTGTTGATACGGCTACGAAGGCCAAAGTCAAGAGGAACTTGAAGCACTAAACATGGAAGGCCCACGATTCTGCAAGAGGTTAGACATAGAACAATAGACGGAATTGCCAAACGCATCATTGCCAGAGTCATGCATTTCTCGGAAGGAATAGTAACTCTACCAAAGCTTGTGCTTTATCTTTCCACGAATGATTGCGTGCGTTGTGTTGCTATTATCTCGAGTCTTCGCGGACCACAAAGTCTGGAGGTTGAATTCCAGATAAGTTGAACACCGCGGACAGCTCTATCGTTGAAAAATAGCAGCTGTGGCCAGTATTATAGGATAGATAAAGTGGCCTACAGTATAACAGTAGGACGGGATTTATATGCTCCCAAAGTCAGCTTTGAAATCTTAGCTTTCATACCTCTGAAAGTCAATACTCATACCCAAATGGCAACGCCACAAGATTGCCCCGCAAAATGCCCGTCTGGGAGTGAGCAAGCATTTAGGCTAATGACATCACCTTTACATTGATTCATATTTGGTTGCGCCTGCTTACTGCTAGGCAACGGCTTAAGCGATGACTCTTGTCGGCAAGCGCCTGCTTGTATGAGCAATATATCCTCTTATGTCTCGAACTGCACTGCTAATTTTCAAGCCAAATGCTCGTGACTTTTTCGCAATCTCAATACGCGTTTTGCGTAGGTCGAAACTAGCGTTCAGCCCCGTACCACCATACTGCAAGAGAACATTTGGTACACAAATTACCGCCGAAATGGGACAAGCAAAAACGGACGTGGAAGAGTTTAGGAAAATCTTGAAGGGGTCCAAAAGGATCATGGCGCTTTGTGGCGCCGGACTCTCAGTCGCGTCTGGTTTGCCCACGTTTCGTGGAGCAGGAGGTCTGTGGCGCGAGTTCAACGCCACCGATCTTGCGACACCAGACGCGTTCGAGGAAGACCCAGCTTTGGTGTGGCTGTTCTACGCTTGGCGACGACATATGGCGCTGAAAGCCGAGCCGAACGCAGGCCATTACGCCCTGGCCGAATTGGCCAAAAAGAAGGGGCATGACTTCCTTTGCCTTACCCAGAATGTCGATGGCCTGTCAATTCGCGCTGGGCATCCCACCGAGGGCATTCGCATGCTGCATGGGAACTTGCTGGATATCAAGTGTTTCGAAGGATGCGGCTATATCGAACGTAATATCACGCGTGATCCAGTCTGCCCTGCTCTCGCCGCCGCAGCTGAAGACTACGCGCCCGGCGAGATTTCACCTTTACTCAACCCTGCTATCCCAACACCCCAAATTGACGTCAAAGATCTACCTCATTGCCCTGACTGTAAGCGACGGGGCAAAGACTCTCTGCTTCGTCCAGGCGTCGTGTGGTTTGGGGAGGCCTTGCCCGATGGCATGTTGCAGGAAGCAGACAACTGGCTTTACCCAACAGTGGATGTGATGTTGGTCATCGGCACATCCGCAGCCGTTTACCCTGCTGCAGGATACACAAGGAAGGCCAAGAATCGAGGCGCTATTGTGGCAGTCATCAATCCGGACAGCAGTGCTGGGGCCGGCTTGGACAAGAAAGATTTCTTTTTCCAAGGTGGTGCAGACGAATTCCTGCCTAAATTGTTTGAGGATGTCATCGGTATATTGCCAGTGAAGGAAAAACAACCTGCTGCTAAGAGTAAGGAGGCGTGAAGGAATGGAATGGAAAGGAATTAGAAATTGGGATCGTGAGGAACGCTAAGCGTGTGGAAGTCGTGTCTCGCCAATGAACTTTAGAGGTAGAGCAGCACCGGACCGTATTCCGTATGGCTTGGAGGATCCATGTTTGCACGTTATCGACATGACGAATTTGGAATACTTTTGCATTGTGGGCTCCATTCTAACTGGGCAAATATTCATTTGGTCACTAGGTTAGAGGATGATGGGAATGTTACTGGCAAGTCGGCTCGGCAATAGATCAAGACTCGGAGCCGAGAACGGCTTCATGATCCAACGGTCACAAAATAGCTTCGCAAGGACGTGCATTAGTATTGAATGGGCAAACCTCAATGCGGCATTTCATCAGCCACGCGTCCACATAGACCTACAAATGACGCTAACTGACATCTTTCTCGACCTCAAATCCAACCTTGGCCTCTCGCGTTTCCCCGCTTAGAATTGAGGTGAAAGTGAATCAGCCCGCGAATCTATACTCAAAATGGCCACTGAAGACGCTTGCGCAAAGCTTCCACCGGCGAGCTCAAACTACAGCCCTGAAGGCTCCTGGGATACCGTCGCGCATCTGAACACCTACGTGACTGGCCCCTCTAACCCGACTCGTGCGATTGTCTTCATCTACGACATCTTTGGATTGGCACCGCAGACCCTGCAAGGCGCGGATCGACTTGCCAACTCAATCAATGGGCTGGTAATCGTGCCAGACTTCTTCAAGGGCGTCTATGCTCAACCTAACTGGACGCCGCCCGATACAGAGGAGAAGAAGGCGGCCTTTGCGAAATTTAGATCGGAACAAGCTGGCATCCCGCAGAATGTAGGTAAGTTGATTGAGTTTAGGAAGGAAGCCGGCGAGAAGTGGAGCAGCGTCGGCGAGGAGGGCTGGGGTGTTTTTGGGTTGTGCTGGGGTGGGAAATTAGGTATACTGGTATCGGGAGCTGGTAATGAGGGCAGAGGAAGAAAGTTCGCCGCGAGTGGTACGGCGCATCCTTCGTAAGTCCAGTCCGCCAGAAGGTTTGATTATCTCGCACCAAGACGCACTAAATGGAGACTGCTAACAATGACAGGCGGCTTGATGTGCAAGATGCAGAGGCTTTGTCTGTACCGTACCTCTGTCTGGCTTCGCCGGGAGAGCCAGCGGAAATTGTGGCGCAATATAAGGAGGTTCTTTCGAAGCCTGGTAAGGTCGGTGTGGTCGAAACTTATGACTCTATGTTCCACGGTTGGATGGGCGCAAGAGCGAAACTTGATGATGAGAAAAACCGTGCTGAATATGAACGCGGCTACAACCAGACTGCAGAGTTCTTCAGGCAACACCTATCTAGTCAACGCCCTTAATCGGGACGACCAAGGACAAAATGCGAACACTTTTTGTTACATGATTGAGGAAATCAGTAGCGCCGTTCTGTGATTGGGGTCATTGCGCGCAGCGTGACTTGTGAAGCGTTGTGTGAATCCATGATACATGGCAGTATAATAGAACACTCACCCAAGACTTCAGCTCAAATAAGCGTTTTCGAAGTCTAATTTATCAATTCCCATGAGACCTGAAATCTATCGTATAAGTCTTATCGAAGCGAGCAACTCCACACCACGATTAAGACGCACCAGCTGTTTCTTCACCAAATCACAAGGCAACTACTCCTCTTTGGTGAGTGAACTCATCACCATACACAATTGATTATGTTTCCTAGAATGCTTTACTTGAAAGTCATCAATCGCCGTCGTCACCAAGGTCCACCATCACATAACAGTAAGATGGGTGCACATCAGCAAGGCCCTGTTTCAGGCGGTCTCATTCCATTCGGTATTGGAGATATCATATTGGTACCAGACTGGACTCGATTCCTCATTAAACATGTTAACATATGCGTCAACCTATGCGTCAGCCTATGTTAAATTAGAGAACGAATAATATGCTACAGAACGAGGTAGGTAGAACCCCTCGGATGCCGTTCATTCGAATGATATGCGCCTGATATTTGTACCATAAATTGAATTGAACGATCCGAAGAATATGTCGGCTTCAATCTCCAGACTTTCTGAGATCAGTTGCCATCTGTAGCGGTATTATGTAGGGACTCGTGGCGTAGGACGTGTGGCGCAGCGACCTTCTAAATTCGGCCTAGCGTATATTCTGTGAGGAAGTAGTGGGGTCGTGAACTATGCCACCCTAAATCAAGACTAGCGTTACCTCCCGAAGGAGGTGGAATCGCGGTCCAAAGAGCTAAGAGTGGGTTGACTTTTATAATACACACACTTTGGCCATGGGCCCTAAGATGTCTTTTCCATGTAACTTCAAAATAAACTAGCACAAAATGCTTCCCTCAAACCGGCGATCAGCCTCTGCCAGTAAATGCGTAAACTCTTTTAGCATCCCGCTGCTTGGTCGCACATATATTCAACATGTTCGTATCAGTTTACAACAATAGTGCTCTTTCAATTTAGTCTCACATTCGCAGGACGTAGGAACGTGTCGACTATTCGCAAACTCGTGGCTAGTCTGTACTTCTCAGAGGCGAGGACGGAGGACCGAAAGAAACCTTGACGCAGAAATATCAGAGCCGGAGTAAAAGACCCGTCATAAGAGGAAAGTCCCGTAGCAATGATATGCTGAGGCTCGTAGTGGATGTACTACATAAATGAGACCCTATCATGGCCCATGGGAAACTCTGCACGTTCCGGTCCTTACTCAAATATGGTTGCATTGATATATTGAACAACGAGGTTGAATTTAGTAAAATACTTTATCATGATCTTTGAACTTTAGGATACTATACGGGCGGGACTCAATCTTACAGGACCTAGGTAAATGGGAAAGTGTCAGTTGAAAAAGCTTGCGAGAGTACGAGAAGTTGTCACTGCTCGTCTCGTATACCTTATCAGCTTATCAGCGGATGATATGGATACTGGAAAGCCGTTTGCGCGTTATAGTGTGGACTTTCTAGTAGCAAATATCGAGGGACTTGATCAAGGGTTGGATCAAGACTCGTGGCAGAACCTAGTGCTTGGCAGAGGAATGGCAAATTTTGATTTTGTTACTGATTCGCAAACTTGAATAATAATGAGTACGTTTTGGTGAAAAGCTTTTTTTTTTTTTTTTTTTTTTGGAAAAGGTTTTCACTTGAAGTAAAATAAAACAGAAGGCAAGATGAAGGCCACGTTATGGAATCACATCAACGCCCAAGCCAAATCCCGTCCAGCTTTTGAATTCTGCGATAAACTTCTCGGCCGCTTTCATGAAGTGTCGGTGCTTTGAGCCCCAAGTCTCCTCAGCCACTTTGAGTGCGCGAACAACTTTCGGGAAATGAATATCTACGGACGGCTCATTATTCACGGCGTCTTCGGAGATTTTGGACCAGTTCGACGCCTTGAGCTCCCAGGATTCAATGTTCTGAGCGTCAAATGCCGGTCGCAGCTGCGCGATATATACGAGGATAGTAAAAAGACCGTACTGCTTCATAACCGGAATGTGCCATACAACCGGCATCAGAGGAAGTAGGATGCGGAGAGCATGACCCACTGTCAGCACGTGAGCCAAATAGAAATCGAACTCGCCTTTCGAGTTTGAGGTTTCGATCGCTAGACGCGACGCGGTAAACATGCAATCATCTAGTTGTTCATAAGGATCAGTTACGATCCAGCCATTCCAGTGTTCCAAGACGATCGTTTCTCGTTGTTCCAGTGTCGTGAAGACATTGGCGAATCCAGGTTGATCAAACATATCGTCGAATCGCCGGTCGTCTCTGACCATATTTAACACTTTCTCTAGGCTTGCTGTTTGGTATGTTGAGTTATCGTCGGGATAGCGATCGATGAAACGATGTATGTCATCGTACTCGGTGCACCCCATACTGAGGGCCTCAGTGGCGACCACACTGCTGTTGAACTCGTAGGCATAGGCAAGATGAATGAACGGGTGTCCGACTGTACAAAATCATCAGTCTCTTGCCATGGATCGCGTGTCCAGTGAAATTAAAGCGTGAGGGGGCTCTGCTTACGACCACCGGAGAACCCATTGATCAATGGTTTTGAACCGGCGAAAAGGTAGGTGTCCACTACGGCTTTCCAGTCGCCAGCGTAGTTCTGAACCTCAATATCGAAGAAATTGGTGTAAGCGACAGTATACCTGCGGTAGCTCGGTCAATGTTGTGCAGCCTGGTACGTAACATGATGCGAAGAAACGTACTGTTTCTGACCAAGAAAGTCTCGCCAATTATCACGCGTAATGCCTCCTTGTATGAAGACATCGTGGACTTGTTTCAACTCTTCCGCTTCTGCGTTGTATATCTGCTTCAACTTTTGTGTACCCGCGCCGAGAAGATACGATGACCCTAGAGCCTGCACCACTGGGTCAGTGTGTTGGAATTGAAGCATACATGGTCCAACTTAGACAAGAAGTAGACCTACATGAGGTAGGTGATTATGAAATAGAAGCCTTGGGTCGCGGAGAACAGCAAATGACGCATGGTTGCTTAACAAGAGTTCAGAAAGAGTTTGCGACTTTCCGTCTTGGAGGTTTGACAAATGCCAAACCGGGACTGGGGCCAGGGACTTCCTTTGAAAATTATTTAAAGTCTCCATACTTATGGATTCAAGGAGTTTCCTGGATGTTTTTATTACATCTTGATCGCAAAAATCTTATAGAAAACGAACCTAGTGTTTTAAGTACTGGATGCTACCGGGTGACAGTGCAACGTGAAGTGACCGGAGCCACTTACACCGAAACGGACATCGCACTTCTCGTGAAATGCCGACATATAGCGGATAATGGAACCCTGGATGGACTGTACGCTTACAAATTGCCGATCTTACACAGCTAGAGGGTGCTACACAGCTGCAGGATGTTACATAGCGCTAATGAGGTCGGACAGTATATGAGCCGGTGATGTATATCTCGGCTTGCTCAGTGCTAATTTACATCAACAGTATCCCAGTTTCTAGTAACTTTTACTTCTGGTACTAGAGTTTACTCCCTATTCGCTTCATCTTTCGCCATGGCTGTTGTAAAACCTCCCACGAGGATTGCAATTCTAGGAGCTACGGGAGGAACGGGCCGAGCCACACTGCAGTCTCTTCTTTCCAAGAGCGACTTGTCTATTGAGCTCCGAGTCTTTGTCCGATCGAAGGAAAAGTTTTATCGACTCTTCCCCACGTTGAGGTCGAATGCCAACTGTGAGGTCTGGGAAGGAGAATTGACCAGCGTCGACAAGATCACGGCATGTTTGTCGGGAGCAAATATCATCATCTGCACGCTCGGAGAAAATCAAAACATTCCCGGCATTAATGTGTTGCGGGTAGCCGCCGCATCGATTGTTTCGGCATTGCGCACACTGAAAGCTCAGACTGGCAACGATTGGCATCAGCCACGCTTGCTATTGCTGTCTTCCGCGACCTGGAACCCACGCCTCTCTGGCCCTTCCGGATTTGTACTGTGGCTCATCAAGACGGCATTTCATTATCCTTACGTTGATTTGCTCGGGGCACACGCTACCCTGGCCGAGGCGGACGATTTGTTGTCGTTGCTCCTAGTGCAACCCCCAGCAATAATCGATGAGGCACCCACTGGCTTCGAGATTAGCACCGAAAAGTCGAGGGTCGCTGTGTCTTATGCAGATCTCGGTGCAGGGTTTGCAGAATTGGCCACAGAGGATGCATATAGGCAGCTCAGAGCAGTTGGGGTCACAAGCCTCGGAGGAGACCAATTTGGAAAGTACGCGTCAGAGATACTATCTAGGGTCTTCTTCGGACTTGTGTCAGGCTACCTGCCCGGGTACTGGTTTACAAAGAGGTTGATTGTGCGAATCATGGGTTGAGTTGAGAGTTTCGACTAGCGTTGGAGCTATATAATTAGCTAGAGACTGGAGTGCAGCCGACGAAGCACATGCGATACACAGTACATATACCTAGCACATGGACGTCACCACTATCAAATCTAACCGTTCGTCCGATTTTGTGACCTTAGAGCCTCCAAAGATAGACAACGTTACTTGTAATACTTGCTATCTGTGTCACAGATCGACTCATTGCGGGGACAGACAATACCCCGGACAACTCGGACAATTCGGACTAGTCGGACAACATGAGAAAGCCATTTACCCCATAGACCAAACTTCGATCGGACTCCTTGGCACGGAGCTCGAGCGGGCCAGTCTCACAGCCATTCGAGAACCTACCTCTTTGAGTCATGTAGTACTTTGGCTATATGTCGCCGCGGACACATCGACCTGATCCTTCGTTGCGGTATTGACATAGGAAATCATCGAAACTGATTCGAAATTCTCTCATAACAACCTGTCAAAATGAGCAGTCATTTTCAAACCACGGTGGGGTTCACAAGCATCGCGGCGTCCAGCTGGCTAGCTGGTATGTAGCTCGATATCCATACACGGCGTTTATGATAGCTGAGCATCGGCACTGGGCAGGCAGTATTGCCAGCATTTCGATCATATCAGTACCGGCCCTGATATCTGCGGCGAACGATAGCTCTACATCACCAGTTCTCGCCACTCGACTGTGGCGCATCATCTACGAGCGCGGGAAAGCCTCCATGCCCATTGTTGCTGCCACCGCTGCCATTGGTTACGGCACTCTAGCATATAATCGTTACTCGACCCAGCGCCCATGGCTCCCCTTTGCCTTTTCATCGTTTATGGCTGTTGCAATCGTGCCTTTTACTGTTGTTACGATGAGCAGCACGAACTCTTCTTTGATCCAGATATCTGAAAGCAAGACCGCCCCAGGAACGGCCGAAGGAGTCGTCGCTCTGTTGGCGAGATGGGGTAGCTTGAATCTGACGAGGTCACTACTACCGTTTGTTGGAGCCCTGACGGCTATATGGTATATTTAGGATTGTCCTATCATCGATCCCAAATCCTAGCCCAACCCATCTTGTTACATTACAAGCTATTGCCAAATAATGAACTATTAATATACATCCTATCTCTCGTTCCCTCCATCGACTGCAATCTATCTATCTAGACTAGTGATGAATTACACAGGCTTTCGACATTCGTATTCTGACTTGTTTGGCGCCGTTTACTAAGACCAAGTCAAACCACTGCCTGAAAGCAGTTGGCGATTGCTTATCTTCAGGATCACTGAAATTTATGGATTGGCCGGTATAGTCTCACCGTTAGTTGGTATCTTGGTACGCAATAATGATAATATACACACCAGGCCAATTGCGAAGTTGGATACCTGGTAGCGATTCGTAGACGGACTTATACTTGGTTGTATGATCCTCGATCATCTTGAGCGCAATAGGGTCTGATTCTTCGATCAGCCTACCGAGAAAGTCTTCGGTGGTATGGGTGATGGGTGTTGAAGGGAGTACCGTAATCTGGGAGAACATCTTCATAGCCTGTGGCCTTCCTCTTCAAATCGAGGAAGATCTGCCGGACGATGGGATACGGGAATTTGCCGTTAGTGGCACGACTTTTGTTTTGGGGAGGGGGGAAAGGAGTTCGGCAGAAGAGAGACTGCGTGTGGTTAACGACGTGATGGTAGAAGGCGAAAGTGCGAATTTTCTCTAATCAAGAGATCTTCGATAATATAGATCCCGATTGTATCCTACTCTTCGGACCGCCTTTAAAGAGCGCCGGTCATTGTTCGACTAGTTAGATATAATAAGAGATGGCCCGCTCTCTATCGCTGTCTCCAGAAGGTTGTTATCAGGAAACTTTCATCCATTAAGCGCTTATTGTCGATGTGTTTTTTTCTTTCTTTCTTTCTTTCTTTCTTTCTTCTTGTACACTGAGCAAACCCTGTTAGGGCTGTGCAAAACTGGTCCTAGAGTATTACTATGATGGCGTACTCGGTATTTTCGTAAAGACATCATTTTCTCCAAAGAACAATACGATTTATCCCGAAGAAAATGCGTAATTATTCAAGAAGCATGCTTAATTCTCTTGAAGAGACGGGTTCCTCGTAAAAAGGAGGTAAACTTCCCTCTAGTAAGAGCTGAGTTTCTCCCAAAGAACCAAATTGGGATTTATTATTATTATTGGATAATCATCTCCGCCTTGAAACGCTTCGTTTGCAAGTCGAATGTGTTCTACCGTCACTGGCTAGGCGCGACAGTATGATCGGCGTAACGAATTAGTAGGCAAGTGCGTTAGTATTATTCGGTCTCATGTTCTTTTGCACCTTCCCGAGCAGATAGACTTGTACTCGATGTCCAGTAAGTTGTAACGCCCTTGAATTTGGGCCCATATACTTCCACAACACTTTACCGCGGTTTCGGCCTTAGCCCTGGCAATGTCGTCAAGGACATGATAATCCATTCAGACTCTTTGGGTGCAGGTGAGAAAGGTGGCCAGATTCTCCATCCTTGAATCCTCCCTACCGTCTAGGTTGAAGCTACTAGTGGGGTTGCGTTCGGGGTTTGGATGCTCCTTCAACTTTTCCAGTATGCGTCGGCGTTATGCATGGCCGCGAAAGCCTCAACGCTTTCTATCTGGTTGAAGAGGTGGAAGATCTATGTCAGATCCATCGGATCATCTTTTAGGTTCGTCACTGGGAATTGGTCGGACGTTGTGCTTAGTGAAAGCATGATAAATATCTTCTATCGGGATTATGTATATCCTTCGTTGAAAAAGTTCGTGAGTTTGAGAAAGAGACAGGGATCGTCGGTCTCAATCTCGCGCAGCTCCACATGTTTAGTGCAAGTAGTCGTTGCATTGCGTACACTGTTGCAGAATTAATTCGACTTCATTTGCAAGTCCTGCTCAGGGTAGCTTCTGATAGTTGCCACACTATCTCCGAATGTGCCTAAACTAGTCGTCCGCTTGTGTATTTCCTGCTCGCTGGTTAGCATATGACATCGGCAGCCAGCGTCCCATCTTGGCAGTACTTTTTTGTATGACTTGGGATGCGCGTCTTTGTCGCTCTTGCCCATTATCACACGGTAGAGTTGAAAGCTAGCGGTGGAGTCCTGCTGTTGTCAGACAGATCCTGCAAATCCCACTCTGCTTCGGCATCTTGTAGGGTGTCTGGTCAAGGCTTTTAGGTTGAAGCTGGTGTTTGATCTTATGATGGAACAAACACTTGAAGATCGTAAGCCTAATCGAGAAAGCAACTCAACGCGTGCCATGGCCCCCGGGCCGAGCAGTCGATTACCAGCCAGTATCCCGTACACAATACGTTGCTCGATGCCCTTTGAGCGTTAGACTGCCACGATTCATCGTCTAGTTGGGCCTAGTCTTGTGCTTTTGAAGCTCTGCCGTCTGCTTCATCTTGATGTCTGACTGCATTGTCTTTGCAGCCTTCTTTGCAGCGCGTTGTCGGCGAGATCAGTAGCAAGAAGCGTGATTTAGCAGTCTGGTTTGGAAAGAATTTGTGCTGGATGCGCAGTAATGCCAGAAACAATCTGACGTTGTTAAGTGTTTGTTCGCCTTCATGAATTTGTGGTAGCTGCAATACATTTGACTGACCGTACCGTAAAAATCGCCGCTGCGGTGCCCGAGAAATCGTTGAAGGTGGATGGTGTTGGGTCAGCCTGCAAGGGATGCAAGAAGATGTTACATGGCGCGGGCGGGCTGCAGTATCAATATCCTTCTCCGAGAACTTGATGCTAGACTAGGCTGGATAAGAGCTGAAGTCGTTCGTTTATGGCTAAGTCGAGGCTATTGTCGAGAGGGTTGATTATTGTTCTAGAGCCTGAATGTTCCTACCGGCCGTTTCCTCGCCTTCCAATACGGGGTCTTGTCTGTGGAGAGGACTGTTCCGAAGCGAATTGCATGCAGTACAGTTTTCGGTAAAAATGAGACTGACAGTATGGGAAGCCAAATATTCTAATACGTGAAAGTGGCGTGATTTGTGGATCGCTTCAGCACGGTTGCCCGTTATGCTTGTCTTAGAGAAGGGAACCTGGATTTGGAAGAAGGGTAATTTGCGGTGTGGGAATTACTGTTGGTGAGAGAGCTGCGTTGAAAATGATGTTCAACACAGAAGCAATAGAGATATCCAAGAAAACAGCAAAAAGAATTCTCACGAGAAAGGCGGCCCAAGCTCTCCAGTGAGGGCTTGGGCATGGTGATGGCTTGTGGTGTTCTGAGGGCAGCGGGGAATGGGGGTTTGGTGTGAGAAGGGTTGATTGGAAGGGAAATTTTTAAAAGCTTCCTTAAGATAGCAGCCTTTTTGTCAAACCAATGTTATCAGAATGTGTGAATGTTTTTCGCGTGATAGCAAAATGATCCTGTTTATGTAATCCTGTTACTCGGTGTCAGCTTGGGTAGGATGAATGAAAACGTGGCTGCTTTCAATGAGGACGTCTTGTGAGGCTGGCATGGGTATTGTTGGTTCAATATCGTCTCAATTCTCAAAGTTTTGGATATATACACGTCTACTGCTCTCCAAGTCATCAAACAAGGTCTATTGCCTGGGTACAGCCACAGGCTCCCAGGAAGTGTGCTTCGGCTTGACGCTGTTGGATTGTTAGCCGCATTCTCCTCACAACCCATTTTGTGTCATGGGGGAAATTGGAGAGAATAATAAGTCTCTTTCTTACGTGTTGTAGGGCTTGTAGGCGCCTCTGGTCATGGTGAGATTGGGAATGGTCTTGGCGTCTGTGTCCTCCCATGCTCGGCGCTTGTATGCGAGAGTGGGATCTTTCGAGGGCGGGTTGTCGACGACATGTGACATCCAGGCGTGCCAGCCGGGCTCAATCTGAGCAGCATCGAAGTCCTTGGAAGCGTAGTCTACCCATCGTGTTCGCACTAGCATGGCCCGTCAGTGGTCCTGGCTCTTAGGTCTCGGTATGCTGTGTATTTCCAGCATGTTGGGCGCATGACCTACGCGGTAGTTCCTCCTCATTCTGATAGTACTTGTTGCCGAACCTGTCGGAGCCGACGAGAAGGCCGGCCTTTGTGTCACCGATGTTCTGGGAGTCGCGTTAGAGTTAGAGGGTCAATTGATGGTGATGGGCTGTCGAGCGGAAGAGCGAGCGTACGTTCATCTGGTGGAAGTAGTCCTGTGGCGCATTGTCAGCGATGGGCTCAGCATGTGCCTGATGGGTCGAATACCTTGACGCCAACCTTCCACAGGTTGCGGACAGTTCGTGAGATTGTCGACATGTTGGGCGACGCTTCAATTGCTGTTGCAACTTGCTCTGTGATTGCATTCGAGGCCGTGATGATTGGGTCAAGGTTGACGGAGACTCTGGGAGCTTCCGGCCCGGCTATTCTTCGGCGAAGAGGTCGAAGAGGGTACAGAGGTACGTACACAGAAACTTAGTAGTTGCAGAGAGGTACAAAGGTACGAAGCCCGACGCTACTACTGCAGCTATCCGTCATTGTCATTTGCCATTGGGAAAAAGGCACCGGCATGCGCACATACAGTAGCTGAGCAGTAGTACTGGAGGATGGCCCAAGCTCAAACAAAAAAGGAAAGATAAAAAAAGAAAAAAAGGAAAAGAAGGCCGCGGTTTCCTCGCAATATGTATGTAATCAAATAGCTGTCAAGTTTTCAGGTCTACGTCGTATGTGTTGCACAGTTGATAGATCGCGGTGGTGATTTTCTTCCAATCGGCGTTCGGTGTCGGGGGCCTCTGAGAAGTTCACAATGTTTTCAAGAACTGCAGCTCCTTGTTTACGGTCCATCCGACCATCACTAAACCGAGCGCATGTACAATGCGGCAGCAAGATCCAGCGCCGTCGCTATTCTATGCCCTCCAGTGCTGCTCCAGCCGGTAGCTCCCCAAGCTCAGTTGGCATGCTGGCCCCCTTCGCCAACGAGCTCGACAAGATCGCTCCCTCATTCCAAGTCCACGGATCGCAAATCCAGGTCATCAAGACGCCCACGGATTTCTACGAAACATTAAAGTCCAAGATACGCGGCGCAAAGAGGCGAATCTTCTTGTCCACGCTCTACATTGGCAAGACCGAGAAAGAGCTGATCGCCACTTTACACCAAGCACTCAGAGCGAACCCGGAGCTCACGTTGAGCATTCTCACCGATGCACTGCGAGGAACACGAGAAGCACCTAATCCATCATGCGCTTCACTGCTTGCGCCGCTCGTTACAGAGTTTGGCCCCGAGCGAGTCGAGATTCGCATGTATCACACACCAAATCTGACCGGCCTGCGCAAGCAGCACATACCTAAGCGAATCAACGAGGGATGGGGCCTTCAACACATGAAACTATACGGCATTGACGACGAGATTATACTGTCCGGCGCCAACCTGTCTTCCGACTATTTCAGCAATCGCCAAGACCGATACCACCTCTTCTCTTCGGCAGAAATCACCGAGTACTTTGGCCGCCTATACCAAGGTGTCACATCGCTTAGCTTTTTAGTTGAACCTAGTAAAGAGCCATCCGGCTTCAACCTCGTCTGGCCCGCCACGAACGCCTCGCCTTCCCCTCTAGATAATCCCAAGCAATACGTCTCCAAGTCGACTGCGATTCTCAGCGCGCTTATAGACCCGCGACAAGCCCTCCCTGCCGCTCGATCCAAGGGGGACGCACCCGATACGACGATCTATATGCTTGCGCAACTATCACAGCTACTGAAGCCAAACACGTCGACAGAGTTGCCAGCCGTAACTCACGTTCTCAAAACACTGGCTGCACCCCAATATGATGGCTCTTCTTGGACATTCACGGCTGGTTACTTCAACCCGGCGCCTTCTTTGACCAACCTACTGATGGCTACTGCATCATCCAACTGTACCGTCATCACAGCGTCACCACAAGCGAATGGTTTCTATGGCTCCAAAGGTGTCTCTGGTATGCTGCCAGATGCATACACCCTCCTTGCACGCCGTTTCCTGGACGCCGCCCACAAGCAGAAGCGTGAGGCTGCTATTGTGCTTAAGGAGTGGCGAAAGGGCACTGTTGGCGAGCCAGAGGGATGGACATACCACGCAAAGGGTTTATGGATTACCCTACCGAAAGAGGAGAACCCTGCCATCAGCATTATTGGAAGCTCAAACTACACGAAACGTAGTTACACGCACGACCTGGAAGCTGGTGCCCTTATTGTCACGGAGAATGCTGAGCTCAAGAAGCGGCTTGGAGAGGAGAAGAACTGGCTGCAAGACTACGCAAAACCAGTCACTCTTGATGATTTCGCAAGGACCGAAAGGAGAGTCGGTCTTCATGTCCGAATAGCCATGTGGATCGTCAAAGCTGTTGGTGGTGCGCTGTAACTGTGTCGTGGTATCTCATTCGAATTGTCGAGAAAGACGCATCGTCCATGCGATCACCATCTCGCTTATCCAGATTCAGGTTGGCCCCCGAACTTGTGCTGCTCTACCCCGGAACTGGCGGCGACCGGCAACGAGACTTGGGGTTATGTCCGGATATGGCCTGGAGCCACGCCCTCCGCATCTAATTTACTCGAGCATGATACCCCTAATAAATATAGTTTTAATTCCGTGTCGATTGTTATTCGTCCTTTGACTCAGGTACGCAAACGAAACCGCGCATCGTAATTAATTCGCCGCTTCGCCTCGGACGAGTTTGCCGGATGCCGGTCCGGAGTCACGGTGCCGCATGCTTCCAACGGCACTTACAATGCAGATCCCATGTCGCGTTCACCTGATTGGAGGTGCGATGCAGACTTGTGAGCATTTCACTCTATACGCGGAAGATGATCATGCTCTAATGCTCTTACGATCACGGAGTCCGTCTCATGCATTCTCCCGCAGCTACAAATAGTCTCGGCCGCCTGGTGTTGAACCAGTAGATGACGTTAGTTGCTGTCACATTGCCCTTTCATTTTCTCCTGTGCCGTCAAGATGAAAATTCCAACGACTACCCTGGCAACACTGCTTTCGGGCGCATCGGCCACTATCTATTACGCTGGTGTCGCAGAGTCCAGTGGTGAATTTGGTGTATGGTCTGCCACGGCTACACCTGGAACGGGCCTGCCTGGACGCTTTGGTGTCGATTATGCCTTCATCAACGAGGCGGCAGTCGACGTTGAAGTAGACCAAAACCATCTTAATCTTTTCCGTATCGCCTTCTTGCTGGAGCGTATGTGTCCGCCAGCGACAGGACTAGGAGCTGTGTTCAACGAGACGCACTTCGACTACTTCAAGCAAGCAGTTGATTACGTCACGACCACCAAGGGCGCGTACGCAATTCTCGACCCGCACAACTATATGCGCTACAACGATCCGAGCTCTCAACCTTTCTCAGGAAGCGTTATCGGTAACACGACGGACCCAACCGCTGCAACAACAGCGCAGTTTGGTGAGTTCTGGGGCGAGCTTGCCTCCCGATTTGCCGACAATGAGCGCGTCATCTTCGGACTCATGAACGAGCCACATGACATGGCTACATCGCTTGTTTTGGCGAACAATCAAGCAGCAATCGATGCCATTCGTGCTGCAAACGCCAGCAACCTGATCATCATGCCTGGTAACAGCTGGACAGGTGGACATGCGTGGACCGAAGGTAGCGACCCTAGTTCGGCCCTCCTGAACCAGTTCAAGGATCCTCTGAATAACACGGCCATTGATATCCACCAGTATCTCGACTACGACTTCTCAGGTGGCCACTTGGAATGTGTTTCTGATCCGGCGACCAACTTGGATGATCTGACTGCTTGGCTAAAGGTGAGTCACTGAAATGCTCGCATCGCTTTGGAAGCATTTGTTGGGCCGGTTTTTGAACTCCGCTAACTGGAGGTTGCAGGAAAACAACCTGAAGGCCTTCATTACTGAGTTTGGTGGTTCCAATTCGACTTCCTGCCAGGAGATGATTCCTGAGATGATCAAATACATGGCCGACAACGCCGAGTACATTGGCTGGACAGCATGGGCAGCCGGCCCGTTCTGGGGGCCCAACAGCCCCTGCTGCACCAACTCGACGCAGCTCGGTTCCCTAGAACCTGGTAGCACATCTGCCGACGGCAGCCCAGGACTCTACGACACTGTTTGGTTGAAGCTGATCCAGCCTCTTGTCCCGACGGCGCTGCAGTGGAGCGGTCCCGCAAGTGTCTTCGGTGGCGAGGTGACCACCAAGTTGTAAAAGCAGGTTACTCAGACCTTCCGGTCTGAATTATGTAAATAGGTCTTTTAGATAAAAATATATTTTCTCAAGTCCACGAACTTGTTCTCGTATTGGGTATTATGTTTCTCAAAAATTCCACACCAGGAAAAAAAAAAACGCCGATCATACCACACCTCATCGTGCATGTTATCTTCTCCATGGACCTCCATCATGGTCTACTGCTGCTGCTTGTTCCCACCGCCGAGCCCCAAACCACCAGCCACGCTACCCAGACCGCTGGACACGGTGTTGGTGACCGGGTTGTTGGTGACGCCGCTAGGGAGGTATCCCCCGGTGTCGTCTTTGCCCTGGCGCTCGGCCCGGTTGACACCCTCCTTCGACGCGAAGTCGCCGATGGGCTGCAGCAGGCCCCCTTGCCCGACCTGCCCCGCCACCAGGCCGTGCACACCGTCCTGCAGCGTGTCGACCTGTTCTATGCCCGTGACTTTGGTCTTGTCTAGTTGTTCTGTTCGGGGGAGATGGAGAGAATTAGTGCTTGCTCGTGTTTCAAGGAATGCGAATCGTTTTGTTTGGGGGCGGGGGGAGGATCTGGTGATGGAAGAATATGGAGAGGCACTGGGAGGGAAAACTCACGCTTGGTAGCATAGCTGGCCTTGTTGTCATTGGTGAAGTACTTGAGGAAGTGGTCCTCGATCCACGGCATCCACGACTCGTACTGCTCGTTGTACTTGTCCTTCGCCCACTCCAGGTACGTCTGCTTCTGCTCCTGCTCGCTCATGGAGCCGAAGTTGGCCGGCGGCTTGAAGTCCGAAGTAGAGATCCGGGGGTTGTTCTCGGCCATTTTTGATGGATCCGTTTGCTGGGTCTGGGAGTGTATGGTGTGGTTTTATTGTTGAGAGAAGATGAACATGTATCAACCTGGATCTGATTGAGAGGTGCCTAGTGGATGATCAAAGAATCTGGGTTGTAGGGGGTAGTCATAGAGCAGAGGAAATCAAAGAAGGAAAGAGATTGTCCATTTTCAAGCCACTCTTATACCATCCCAACACTCAGCCTGGGGGGGAGCTAGTATGTCATTGTTGCATCTGCGCAACCTGGCGTGGCTTCTTGCATACATTACATACAGGTTTGCGCCATGCTGGGAATAGGTGGTGTGGCTGCCTCTCGCGACGTCATTTGCCGCCATGCAGGGGTCTTGATTGGCCCGCCGCCTTGGTTCCTCCTCGAACAGGGAATTCAAAGATCTCGACCACCGTTGACATCAGCCACACCCACTCTATTTACTTTCTTACCTTCTCTACTGTAGTTCTTAGGGGTCTTGGGGGCCTCGTGGAGGAGGGGCCATCACGTACGTGCAGGTTTAGACGAGCGAGCTATCGGTCCATCTAGAGATTCACGAAGTCGCATGAATCCGAGTTGCTCGGGCATTCATCTGTCCCCATGCAATTACCCATCTGATGCTATCTGATCCTACTAGCTTTCCACAAGAAGAGTGCATGGAATTTGGTGGTTCTGGAGGTTATTTCGTAGTATATCAGCGGAAGCCTGCTGGGAACCAACTGAAGCCAGAGCCTGGGTAAATTGGTATATGCTCCGCTTTGGACGAGGTCGTTTCCCCGATGATGATGATCGGGTCAGCCAGATGTCGTGCATCAGATGTAAGCGATGCGGGGCCCTTTTTTTTCCCTTTTGTGTTTCATGCGGAGCGTGAACTGGTGGTCCCGCTTTTCTAGCCGAGACCGCGGAAGCAAAGCCTTCTTGGAAATTCACCAGTTGCTAGATGTCGCGCAAGCCTATGTCAACTTGACGAAGGAATGATGAGGACTGAATGTTGCGCAGTTTTTGAATCGTGTACCTTTTAACAACGTTGCTTTCTTTTCTCGTTCGTGCCTCGCCAATGTATCTATGAGATATCCAAGCAGGTACTGATAGTCTATTCCAAATAAACCTATTTCCAAACGCAGTTCCTGATTAAGGGTATTGTGAAGCGAGCGAGGCTTTTTGGTTGCGGATGTCGATATAGCAGTCGCCTAAGGTTAGATCCTTTCGCAAAAGTTTTCCTGCACGCATGCAAGATCATCATCTATCAGTCTGAGAACTAATGCCGGTCCATACCCATGACTGCGGTCCACGCCTGGACATCGCTTTTGGCGCCTATGAGGGCTCTCGCACCTGGTGTAGCCAATAATAGGATCTATCAACATCAAAGTGATAACCACTATGCATCCCAGATCGAGGCTGTCTTCGTACTGACAGGGGTCTCGATATCCTTGTACCTCGTCTCCCGATCTGTGACTTTGCTCGCCCACTTCTTCGTCGACCCCCAGTTCTCGAAATTCTCTGGCTTCTCTTGTAGGCGCTCCATGTTCGCAGCCTCCTCACTGTCCGGTCCCTCGCTGATCACCCGGACCTTCCTCGCGCTCTCGGCGAACACGCTCGCCCTGGCGGCATCCGAATGCGCCGCGCAGATCTGGAAAGCATCATAGTACAGCCTCGGCAGCCGGGTATCCCTGATACCCTCCGCCTCGTAGATCCGAAGCAGCTCCTTGCAGTCCTTCAGCGCATCCGCGGGCTGCAGCTGCACGCGCTTGCCGTTGCCGATCATCTCGTCGAGCTGGGCGGCGTCCCGGAGCCGCTTGTCGCTCTTGCGACGCTGCTCCCGGGGCAAGGAGCAGAGCTCGCAGGCGCAGTCGAAGTTGAAGAACTGGCTGAGCGCGGCCCGGCGATCGGCCGAGGGCCCGCCGTTGTGGTACGAAAGCGTCAACTCTTCGCCGGCGGCCACGTCGCGCAGCGCGTGGACCGTCTGCGCCCCCAGCTTGCTGTTCCATGAGTGCTGCGCGTTGGGCCGGCACGAGTGGTTCAGCCGCGCGATCAGCGGGAACACGCCCCCGACCTCGCTGTTGGGCCCCAAGGGGTATCCATTGGATCGGATGATGTTGGAGAAGGGGTTGGGCTGGCCGGGGAAGTTGTTGTGTAGCGACAGGAAGGCCCGTTGGCGGTCCTTGGGCAGGCCGCGGATGATGACGCCGAGGTCTTTTTCTATGGTGTCGGCGTTGGTCAGGGAGGCGGTTGTGAAGAGAGGTGACTCGCTGATTAGAAGCGTGCCTGCAGGTATGGGCTTGGCAGCTATGAGACCCTTCCCTTTCGAGGGTATCGATTCTATTGTGAAGAGGTTAGCTTGAGGTAGGACAGTAGGCACAGGCTTGTCTGTTGACGCCATGATGTAGTGCCTGGTCAGTCAAGTTGGGCCGGAAATAGAAGCTTTTCGCACTCAACGATGATTGACGGTACTGTCAACTCCAGCAAGAGAGCGAGTGAGAAGGTTGTCTGGTGAAAGTGAATGTCGGTTGCGACTGAGATGGGACTAGCGCTTCAGTAAAATGGATTTATAGTCGACGTACTCCGTACTGCAACCAGTATCCGTATGGAAGAATGGGATGGTAAAAATTGTGTCGTAGCGACCTCCGACAACTTTTTACTCGCTTGTCCAATAGCGTTTTTAGCTTTTATGGGGCGTTTATCAGATAAGTATCATGGATGGTAGGGAGGGTAATTAACCGTAACAGGGAAAGTACCAGTTCGTTTCCAAGATGCTTCCTTGCACAAGAATACATGTACTTGACTGTACCTGTACGGAGTGCCGCCCCCCTGGGAGAGCACCTGTCCACTATGGTCTTTACGGCCAGCTACCATGTATAGGATCCTATACTATTGCGCACAGTCAACAAGGGCCGTTGCCAGACATAGAGTCGTTGTGCAGCTACGCTAATTATAAACATCGACGTCCTTTGCAAGTATATCTTTACCTTCTAATTATTACCCGAGTCTGCTTGCTCCCTCCCACCATGAATATGCTAAGGTTAGGTTAGTCTAGCCTGGAATAAACTATAAACAACTTGCGGGGCAGATTCAGTGGAAGGAATTAACGTTAGTGTCCCGCAGTGATGGATCTCCAATCATCAGAGCTGGATATTTCTTATCAATGGCACCGACCATCCTGTACGAACACCGAAATCATCATCCTCAACGGTTTGCACTCCTACAAGTCATGCCATACCCATTAAAACCAATTTTGCAATGATATCATCCAGTGTCCCAACCATATGGTGATATGCTGCTAGAGTCCATGAATTGCTGGGAACTTGAGGCAACATTTACAGACAATGATCGCTCCCTGGGGCACTTACCGGAGAAGATATACTATGCTGTCCACAGGCGCACGCTCCGTGGTCAAATTATGCCGGTAGGCCAGGCAACACGGCCCCGAATGCGGAAAAGTCATTCTTTGACACTGTAGACGACGATCACTGTGAAACATCCGAGAAGCTCGTCACCGGAGCCGGTGATGCAAGCATCTTTAGCTTGCGCGTCCATGTCGATTGCACTGCACAAAGCCTGGTTACCCACAGATTATAGGAACGACACGCACTATGAGATCAAAGAAGTCGGTCGGTATAGTGACGTGCCAACAATTTTGATCGGCTCTGCCATTGGCAAATGTGTGAGTGTACAGCCATCGAATGCGACTAGCATTTGCTGACGGCCAGTCAACGACACCACCACATCCGATATATCACTACCCGTACTACGGCGACATAGCATTGATCAGCATGCCTATCGACTCCTGCTTGACTGCCTGGGTGGCTGTGATACAAGCTCTCATACCCATTGCTGACCTCAATAATGCCGCGGGTTTCATTATCGTTGATATGCCTACACAAACGGGCATTCTCTGGTTAATCAACTTCTAACACCGTTACAAGGCCAAGTATTCAGCAGAATTTTCTCACGTCGAGGAGTATTTCTTCAATAATTAGTACCCTCAAGAAAAGCTGAAAGTCATAGGGGTGACCCTGAATTGGATAATAATTTAATGCGGATTTGAGACTACGGTATCGAAGGAGGCAAAGAAAATGATATTCCGATTCTACTGCCTGTTTTGAGAGCGAAAACAATCAAGCAACCTAAAGTTCATCGTATCTAGCGAGAGCGCCTTCCCACTATTAACCGGCACGTTTGGTATGATAATTCTGTCGGTATTATCGACTGATAGGCACTCCGACCTGAGTTGTCACAATAGGGACTTCCTTTCTGTTGGAACCTGCCGTAGGCTCACCTTCAAAGTCTTCGTTCGAGAGAACTGATGGTGATGGCCAGGACGCCCTGCGTGAGGTTGGTGCTATCGAAATACCAGAGTTAGTTTTTGAGTTCGTTCAGTGCACTAATGATATGACCGTCCATTAAAAGATGTACACTTTGCTCTCATGGAGATTCATATCATCCTCGGGATGGGTTTATAAATTTTGCTATGAATACTGTATTACTAAAGCATTAGCCCATTGCACATTAAATTCCTATATTGGCCTTGAATTAACGCAGCCACATTCCGTTTTGCTATACTTGTCTCAAGGTGCACACTTAACCGCCTTCCCCTTCGCAATGCTCTCGCCCTTCCTCGACCTCAACACGGGCGTCCTGACACCCACAAAGCCCCCAACGACCTCACTCAGGCTCCAAGGCAATCCACCGGTCACGTCCCGAGTACAGCCTTCCACCCGCCTCGGCCAACACTCGGCGCTCCCGACTAGTAGAGGCGGCTCCGGGTCCCACAGCTCTGTCTTGTAGCCCAGCACGCCAAGATCTGGCTCATCGCGGAGCGGCGTGCTCCATAGCCTGCCCAGGCGCCTCGACCGCACCTCGTCGCACAGCCATGGCTCCGGCTCCTCCCCGAGCCGCCAGTTCCCCGCGGCGCCGATGCAGCACTCTTCCTCCGCGCGGCGGGATGCCAGGTATGCGTCTCGCGCTTCCTGACGCCGGCCAAGACCCCGGAGGCAGTCGCCTTTGTACCGGAACAATGTCACGAGGCGCGCGTCGGATTCCGGGAGCAGGGCATGCATGTCCACCGCCAGCATGAAGGCGTCGCGGACGAGGCGTAAAGCCTCGGACCAGTCGTAGACGGACAGGGGAGATGGTCGTTCGTTGAGGATGCGGTGAATGCTGGAGAGAAGGTCTTGCAGGTCTGTCTCGAAGGAGAGGATTTCTTCTGGGGTTAGTGTGAAGGCGGAGAATGTTGACATTTTCGAGGGCTTTTATTGCACTTATAATTTCGGGTATATTGTACTCTGGTGAATGTTTTATTTACAGGAACTTAAAATGAATGATATAAGGATTTAAAACGAATGCCGCACAGCGCTATAGGAATTGATGCTCTGATGCGCGACAGGGTATACCCTTCTGCACCGCATTTTGTAGGTTGGGTTTTCTTTGTTCAGGACCTCTATCGCCTCGACCGCTTGTTACAAAAGGCTGCAGGGCAGTGCTGTTTGAGCCGTTGATATTTTGACGTAGAACAAGACATGTGAGAACAATGTCACAATGAACTTGCTTGTCCCTATAGGAAAAAGCCTCGCATAGGTTCCCCACCAATGAGCATAGCCATTGAAGAAGCAACACCATGAATTGCCGGACTACTCCGCATATTCTCAAGCAAAGAAAGACTTTAATTTCTCGTCCAGCCATTTCGCGTCTTCCTTACTGGTACCAGGTCCGCCAGCCCTATCAATGAGTTAGGATTAGAATATGAGCATGGTGCAGGATGAGACTTACCAGTGGCCCCAAATCGACGGGATTACAATACACATGCCGACATTTGGATTCATGGCCTGGACTTCGATGTAGGAATCCTCAGGTGGGAAGTAAAGATCCGTTTCACCGGGCAGTACCAAAGTCTTTGCTTTAATGCCTTTCATCGCAGCATCGAAATCTGCTGCTAGTTAGTCTTATGCCCAAGAAAGCCTATGATTCATGTGGAAGGGCGGGCTTCACCTTTATTATACGGCTCCTGGTCGGAAACATCTGCAGCTTGCCAGGTATGGAGCATTGCCAGCATATTCTCCGGATCCTTGCTCAACGCCCAAGCCTCCCAGAAGTTGACCATGAAGTCCTCGAGATCTTTGAATCCCAGGTACGTTTCGTAAACTTTCTCCCTGTAGAAGGCTTGACTGAAGCCCCAGCCTGCATAGACTCTGCCCAGTGCCTTCAACCCAATCTCGCGTTCGGTATCGCTCCATCCGCGATAAGAGGATCCGGGTGTGGCCTCACCCTTCACGACGCCCCCTGAAGATGTGCCTTTGGCGGCCAGGACAGCCGCCTTGACGCCCTCGAGGAAGACTTGGTTATGTGGACTTGTCTTCGCGCTACCCAAGAATGGCACAGCAAGGTCCGTGAAATCAGGGTACTGGGTGATCCATTGGTATGTCTGTCCGGCGGCCATACTCCAACCCAGCACACATTTGGCATGTTTCACACCGAGTTCTTCAGTCACTAGGCGATATTGCGCTTTCACGTTGTCGTAGAAGGTCACATCGGGCCATGGGCGAAGATCTGGTTTGTTGGAGGGACTTACGGACTCTCCATTACCGATAAGGGCCGGGATGATGATGTAGTACTTCTGGGGGCTCAGGGTCTTGGAATCCCCAATTAGCCATTCGTTGGTTGATATGGTGCCACTATACCATGTTGGGTAGATGATAGCTGGATTGGAAGCGTCACCAAAGGTCTTGTATGCTATGAAGGCGTTGGGGATCGAGCCGCCAGATTTGAGCTTGAAGTCGCCAAGTTGGAATATCTTGATTTCAGACATTGTGAGATGGCGGGACGAGAGGGTTTGGTTGGATTGTACTCTTAACAAAGCGGGGGATCTTGATCCTCCGCTTATATAGAGCTATTGCGGGAGATTATTAAACCGCGCACAGGGGCACATCAACGGGGACGATGATGAAGCAGAAGTAATTGACAAAGCAAGGAAACCAATATATCTTTCATTGCGATTGCTGATTACGTGGGTATGGCGCCCCGTCACACCGTTTAGTACCATGATATTCACAACGCTGCATCTTCGACGTCTACCCCGCATACACACATTGGCAATGCTGGCTACAACGGACAATCATGTGCCCGACTTTGAATTTTGAGGAATCGTAAACCTCATGGCCTCAAGCCAGGAAACAGACAACATACATGGCTGTTAGTTTCCACCGTGTAAGAGTCTGAGTCAGGCCACGACTTTCGAGCACTTGAACTTCAAGCTATATCAAAGTTGTCTAACCATACTGAATTGAGGCACAAAAGACGACCCACCAAGACAAACGTTGCCGACCAACCGCCGTCAAGTCAGTGCCATGACAAAGCATCGTTTGAGAAAATTCGGTCCCTGAAAGTAGTCACCACGCCATTGAGCAACGAGCCAGCATTGGTTAGCATCGGGTCAGTGTCAACTTGGTGTGGGTTGGTGTTGGTTGGTGCTGGATTGCATCCGATGACCATCACTTTTACGACCAACGCGTCAGCTATCGCAGTCATTTGCATCGAATTCCAATGGAGACCGCGGACGTGGATGTGCAGTTCCGATCTCGCCTTGCGCGCTAGAAAGGCGCTATGGCATCGCCCTAAAGCCGCTGTGGGGAATCGCGGCAGCTCCTAAGCGCTTTGGGGAAAGGATAAATTCAAATTTTTGGCGACCAACATCCTTCTCTGCATCTAACCTCTACTTGTTTCTTCCAGAAGTTTCAGGGAAGGAAATCACCGTCCTCAGTAGGACCGGACGACGAGGCTACACACTTAACGGCAATACAACATCGCCCAGCTCAGTAAGACACACTCCGGCTACGTTCAGGGCGTCTTTTATGAGCCCTGAACTTAACCATGCAGATGACAGCTGCCAGGTAAATAAAACTGTCCAGCCCTCTGGGCTGTTGACTACTTCTGAAAATGATCATCGCACTGATCGCGATGTTTCCACACAAGCAGCTTCTGAGTCCTTGAGGGACGATCAGGATGAAGAGGACACGTTTCCAGAGGGCGGCCTAACAGGCTGGCTTACGGTATTTGGCTCATTCTGTGCGATGCTCTCCGTCTACGGTTTGATCAATAGTTCTGGAGTCTTCGAGTCGTACTTCGCAACCAACCAGCTCGCCGAGTACGATTCCTCGACTATCGGATGGATCTTCAGCGTGTACCTGTTTGTCGTCTTCTTTGCCGGTATTCAGGCTGGACCTATATTTGACCGCCACGGGCCTCGACTGCTCGTTGCTGTCGGAAGTGTACTGGTTGTTGCCAGCCAGATGATCCTAGGACTGTGCACACGTATGTGAGCCCTTACTCTATGTGACGCGTCGGAGCATGCTGACCTCTATGCAGAGTATTATCAGATCCTTCTGACCTATTCCGTGCTTGGAGGCATTGGGGGGGCCTTACTCAATGTGCCCGCATATGGCATCATCGCACATTACTTCAAGAGGCGCCGTGGTCTTGCCACTGGCATTGCCTCAACGGCCGGTTCTGTCGGAGGCATAATGTTTCCTCTTCTATTGCGGGGCCTCTTACCCAAGCTTGGGTTTGCTTGGACCACCCGTATCATCGGCTTCATTCTGCTGGCATTGGCAATTCCAGCGAACCTCCTCCTTCGAACTCGATTACCTCCAAGCAAAAAGGTGGCTTCAGTCATACCAGACTGGTCGTTGTTCCGCGACCTGAGATTCACACTTACTTGCGCCGGAGTCTGGTTTTTGGAGTGGGGCCTCTTCGTCCCATTGACATTCGTGATCTCTTACGCAGCAGACCATGGCCAGGATGCGACTTCTGCATATATCCTCCTCGTTTATCTCAATGTCGGCTCTTTCTTCGGCCGGTTCTTGCCTGGTTTCATTGCCGACAAGATTGGTCGGTTCAACGTTATCATACTTACGATCACGCTTTGCGTCATCACCGAACTGGTGTTTTGGTTGCCTGCCGGTAATAACAAGGCCTTACTCATTGCGTTCGTCGTGACCTTCGGCTTCGCGAGTGGTAGTAACCTCGGTCTTTACCCAGTCTGCCTGGGCCAGCTTTGCGATTCTCGAGACTATGGCCGTGTGTACTCGACGTCGCTCATGGTTGGAAGCTTTGGAACCTTGACGAGTTTGCCCATCGGGGGAGCTTTGCGCGATGTTGGTGATTTTGATCAAGGCTGGCTAGCTCTTATATTGTTCTCGGCTCTGTCGTATGCTGTTGCTATGAGCTGTTTCCTTGGAGTCAGAGTTCTTGCTGTCAGCTGGGGTGTGAAGAAAGTCTTCTAGGTCGCTACGTCTAGTCGAACTGCCAAGTAGTAGACGTGGCTGATCTTCGTATGTTAGCTGAGTAAGAGCAGGAGGCGGTTTGGTGCCGCAGAAGCTTCCGCCTCCCCTAAACATCTGGTATTTAGTTTGGTATGTAGTCTGCAACCAGACCTACTTAACTGCCTTTAGGAAGGATTTCGCGTATCTGAGTGAGGACCTGCAATGCCGGATCGCGGAAAGTCATCGGCGTTTCGCATTTTTATCTAAGTGAGCACCTTTATTCTGTTAACTTAGCTTTTCTCGTCGCCTGGCTATGTGGCGAACACGAATATTCACGGATGAACTGGTTCAAGCTCTTTGGAGTTTTCTTGGACAAAGTGGATTCAACTTGAAGGTGCTTGGACTGGGGAAGCAATTTGAATAAGCAAGCGGTCATGTGATGTTAACAAGAAAAGTATTTCAGCCACACTGACAGATATTGCATTTCATGTGACAAGGTCTGTTTCTGTGCCTGCAGCTTGGTAGTGAACATTTAGGATTTCTCCTTGATCACTGAACCATTGAGCTTTCTGGGTAACTTGTGAGATTGTTTTGATAAATCTAGTCTCCCAGTCATCCAGTCCACTTCATCAATCATTATGCAGTTCATAAAAACTTCACGTCTCGTTGTCGTAGCAACCACTGCCATCATGATTTCCAATGATGAATCACAGCAAGGCGGCTTCGCCACTGTGAATACGTCCAAGAGCTCTTGTGTGAGATCGTGCGTAATGGGGCCTGTGACATGAAAGGTTCCATGACTGTTGCGGGAGAACTGACTGCAGAGGACACGATCAAGTACGGCGACAAGTGCTGGTTCCCATTGTCGTTGGAATTTCTTGAGACATACAATTGATGAGGAAGGTGAATCCAACTGAGGGATGACTTGAAGACTGCTTACTATGATAATTGCATCAAGTTTGGCCATAGTGACTTCACTGGAGATAGGCAACGAACCACGATCCGTCGTATTGCGGCAAAGGATTGAGCTGGCATGATTGACAAATGGCACATCAACGTTCCCATCGTCGTGGTGGTGGTGGTCGTAGCAGTAGTAGTAGTGGTCGTAGCAGTAGTAGTAGTAGTAGTAGTAGTAGTAGTAGTAGTAGTAGTAGTAGTAGTAGTAGTAGTAGTAGTAGTAGTAGTAGTAGTAGTAGTAGTAGTAGTAGTAGTAGTAGTAGTAGTAGTAGTAGTAGTAGTAGTAGTAGTAGTAGTAGTAGTAGTAGTAGTAGTAGTAGTAGTAGTAGTAGTAGTAGTAGTAGTAGTAGTAGTAGTAGTAGTAGTAGTAGTAGTAGAAGAGGAAAATGGGGAATGTTGAGTATCAGTAACAATATGGGCTTCGATTATGGGCATGGTTGTGCAAAAGTCTGTAGAAAGCTATGTTCGACGAGTTTGCTACCGTTTGAATTCGCCACTTCATACGGTAGCGATGCAATTGTCCGTCACGATACGTTGATTGCTTCGTGCCTGACACTACGGTGATAATTAAACCTCGGCCATTGACGACGCAGATACTCGTAGAATATTGAAGCTTGGGTGTTAAAGCTGATTGACTGACGTCGGTATCAGGTGACGTACTCGCACCAAGCGCAAATTCTCTGACGAGCCTACATACAGCTGAGTCTACGGGGGTTATTACCTGGTGAATGGTTTTCCTTGCATTTATTGCGACCGATTCATTGAACCCACTGTTTTATAAAAAGCACTCACAAGACGGAAATCCCTATGAAAACCAATATCCGAAATACCTCAACTTACCCACCTGAGAATTCCTCTACGGAAACTAGAAGATCAACTAGGCACTTCACTACGACGCACTTCTTCTTCAGAACTCTGCCGCAACAATGATTCTGGATAATGCTCCCATGCCCAACGCAGAAATGATTCCTGCCCAAATGGTCCAGGATCCTGAATTCCCTGAGCTGACGGTTCGGCCGGTTTCACGCCTCGACTGCACTACTCCATGTCTAATCGACCCTAGGGGCCTTTATATAGAAGACGATTTCTCACCATTCACCGTCTTCACTGGCGCCGATGGCATTGTAACCTTCCTTCGAATGCATAATCCGGCCACACTACGCGCCTTCCTAGACCTTGTTAACGTCAGTTTTTTTGAGTTCACCTGGTTCAACACAAAGTTCGTGAAGGGCGAGATGCTCCCTTTCATCATAAAGCGAGACAACCATCGGGTGCAGGTACGAAATCCTTCAGCCCTAAATTATCAATGTTGCTAATGCAAAGCACAGGCTGGCTATAAGAGAGGTTATAAGGGAAGTACGATGGGCAAGGAATGGGACATGGCTATATTTTACGACATGTGGAGTAATGGTATTTGGCAGCTCAAGAATTCAACAGCCGTGGGTTTAGGCCACCCGCTACTTTTAAACGCCAGCGAGACAGCCGAGCTCGGCTTGCAAGGTGACATTGGTCTTGCTGTGATGAGGTCTGCTATTATCAATGGACTGTGGAAGCCCCAGGCCGTAACCCCTTATCGAGCTAAGGTTATGTATATTCGAAATGGCACCGATGGAAACAAAGAGTTGTGTTATGTTTGAGGATGCTGGTATTGCTATGAATTGAGACCAGAAGTTCTCAAGGTCTCTTCTCACAGGTACATTTATCAGGTATCAATCCGTGTTTCTCACTGACAAATGGAGATCGCCCTTCGACGTTCCCAGGAATCGCAAACAGTAATAAAATCTATATTGATATTACCATTGCGCCAGGGTTTTTGCACAACCAATTTATGTTCTTCTTTTACGCGTTCACGTCATGTGAGTGCGATCACTGTCAAACAACTTCACCAGCATACTTTTTTCCGCTATAGTTGATTACCCCCACTTCAACCATCGATCAAGAGCTTGAACGATGCTACTAAACACCCTAAGCTATATTTAAGGCACGTTGCCACCCAAGTCTCAATCCCTCATCATTCACCAGTCAAACCCAGAGACCCTACGCTAGCTCCTTGGCGACAATCGTGCCACCGCGGTCGAGTATATTCATTTCCACGTCAATATGAAGCAATGTAAAAAGTTGCAATCAGCAATCGGCGCGATGGCAAGAATGTCATCGTTTGCTACCGCTTGCTATATTACTACCACATCTTTATAATACTAAATATCTATAGATGGTTCTTCGAGGCCGTTTGAGAACGTTGAAATCTTGTGTTTCTGCTCCATTCTTGTAATATACGACATCTTCCCCTAAGCTTGATCGTACAATAATCATGTATAGTCGAATCAAGTGGCAGTTACAAATCAGTCAACGTAGTTTTCAATATTAGCGGAACGTTGATAGGCTGTGTTGATCCGGCTCTCAACCCTTCATCACAATTTCGCTCATATCCTCTAGCTACAAACAACAATCTGAACTTGAAGTACAACGGTGCAATATGTGCTAATCACATAGGTTGTGGCTTCGATTTCAATGTCTAATTTATTTCGCATTGCCACCTCCAGTAACTCCTTTGGTTACTTCCTGCTGCCGTCTCGCTCCTACATGCATTTGCGCTCTCCGCTCGAAACAACTGTTATGATCCTACTACTCACAAATAATATCCAGTCGAATGCACTAGGCCCTGAAGCCTTTCCAAATGGATAGAATACCAGGCCGGTGTCATTTAAGGTCAAACAACTATAGTCCTTTTGGCTACTTACCACTGGTCACAAACAAGGCAAGATGGCTAAATCATTCCTATGGATGTAGGCTCCGGCAGGGAGCTGACCCCGTGGCCGGAAGGCGCATAGTAGATCCAGATGTTCGGCCAGGTGCAAAATGACAGTCCTGATGCAGCACCACTGTTCATGAAGCGAACATACGTAACAACTATTATTGGTCAACGAGACGGCGCCTTCTCGGTGCTTTCCCCGCTTTGGCTTACCTTTTTAATATCTCATCAGCTTTTACCGAGGCGCTATATCAACAACAACGGGACATCCGCCAAGGCCTTCAATACGCTCATGGCGGTTCAGATGACAACGGTCAGGAATGTGACCACATCTATACCTTCCAATGGCGTCTACATGCGTGAGTACCTACTCGTTTCTCTATGTCTAATGGCTCCAACAGGTCTATAGTGTACACAAGTTTTCAGTGCTCTCGGCGCTCTAGTCTATCCGGCCGGCACCGATGTGTATGCCTCCATCGAAGCAAGTTATTGGTCGACTGAGGAAGCAAGCCTGGAGCCTGCATGCTTCTTCCGACCTCATACGAGCACTGAAGTATCACGTTTCATATCTTTGATATCGACGGTGACAAATTGCGATTTTGCGATCAAATCACAAGGACATGCACCGGCAGCTGGCTCGGCTAACATAGACAGAGGCGTGACGATTGACCTGTCATGGCTGAATGAAACCACAATTACCGAAGATCGATCTGTCGCGAGTGTAGGAACTGGTTCAAGTTGGGCCGACGTGTATACGACCTTGAATCCTTTCAACAAGACTGTAGCCGGTGGTCGGAATGGAGCGGTCGGAGTTGGTGGCTTGACGCTGGGAGGTGGTATATCTTACTATTCGCCTGAGGTGGGGTGGACTTGCGACACCGTATTGAACTTCGAGGTGCTTGTGTTCTACTTTCAGTAGCGTTTCCGCAACTGGTCTAACTTTTTTCAAAGGTAGTTCTCGCTTCCGGTGAAATCGTCAACGCAAACTCGAGTCACAATCCCGACTTATACCGAGCCCTGAAAGGGGGCGGTAATAACTTTGGTGTGGTCACAAGGATTGACTATTCCACTATTGATACTGTACCGCTACGAGCTGGCCATCTATTTCAAGAGCAGCAATATCTTGACCGAGTCCTTGCTGCATTTGCGAACATCGCGTCATCCATTTCGTACGACATCCACGCCTCCATCGTTATGAGTTTAAGTTTCAATGCGACTACTCAAGTTTGGACAATCATCAGCGTTCCGATATACACTCTTCCCAATCTTAACCCAGATGTGTATCAGGATCTCGTCGCGATCCCTCGAATAGAAGAGTTGAGCACTGTGTCCATAGAGAACATCAGCACATTAGCTGTCGAAGCTCCATACCCACAAAAGTGAGTGACGGCGTTTCGTATTCTTCTTGATGTCCTGAACTTACAAATGGTGCAAGATACCAGGCTTTTTTTACAAGCACGTATGCCGCTTCAAGTCAATTACTTATCAAAGTTTTTGATGTCGCAAACAAGACCTTGCAATTGGCTCTGCTCCCACTCGACGTTGGTGTCAGCTTAACGTTTGAACCACTCCCAATCGCATTGATTCAGCACGGCGCAAGGGCCAATTCGCTTGGGATCTCGCCATCTGATGGAAATGGCGTGATTCTACTAATATCCGTATCCTGGAGCAACGCGACATCGTCAGGACCGGCAAACCATATCGGATCGAAACTACTCGATGCAATGGATGCAAGAGCCCGCGTCCTACTTGGCTTGCATAAGTTCAAATATCTGAATTATGCGAATCCTACCCAGCGCCCACTAGAAAATTATGGGAAGGAGAACCTAGCATTCCTGAAAAACGTTAGCACGCGTTACGATCCTGGGAAAATCTTCCAAAAGAAAGTCCCGGGAGGCTTCAAATTGTGGTCAAAAGCCGAGCTTGAGGTAAAGGCTGCGACTGAGTCTTTGTAGGATAACTGGGGAGGCGGAACCGCGCTCTATAGTAAGAGATTCGGCGGACTGCCACAAAGGCTTAGATATGAGGTGCTGCAAATGATCGGAGCTTGCTCACCGTGACAAGTAAGCCCGTAGCTAAACTGAGGGACTCAACATTAACTCCTCAGGCAACAATATCTTCACGCAGCCTATCACATATTGTACACTTCCAAGTTCGCCAAATCATACATTAACGACAGTCACTACAAGTATAGATGAAATATGAATAATGCGCACTTTTAACAATCAAAACGCATCAGTCATGGCCTTCTTAGGTCGATTTACTGAGCTCTTTATGCCTGCTTGGGAAAAGATTTGCTTGGTATATCGCAAGGACACGACCTCGGTGTTCCGCCCCCTAGCGCATATAATTGGATATAGGCTTGACCTTTGTTCTTAAGCTTTTCTGCCTTTGTTTATAAATTAATTTAATCGTTTTAACCACACAAGCTTTCTGAAATGGTATTAGGTGGAACATTTACCTAACCCTCTAGGTCGATTCAATAGAAAACTAACAGGACAAATTATATTATTAAGTCTCTAGAGTAGAGAGGGTCGGAACATTTTCTATTTGAAGGGTGTTAGCTGGAATCAAATTACTAGGTTAATACATACCAACCTAATAGCATGAACATATGAAATCGAAATTATGCCTTTTATATGCCGTATATAAAACAAACGAAAGCTTTACGACTATGAAATAACGGCTTCATAAATAATAACCTATATACTCACTAGGTCTTTTTGTTAAGACACGGTAGCAATTACAAAAACAATAAAGGCGACCTGGAAACCCTATTGAAAGCCAATGCGCCACCACGGCATCCCTATTTAAGCAGTTTGCCATAAACAACCCACAATTCAACAAAAGAATAACCTGGATCTATTGTCGCATCCGCCTATGGTTGATATGCCTAAGAACACTCATGTTAATCAAATATAGATACAGAATACATCTAAATGAGGTAATACAAATAAACAGGAAGACTTGTCAGCTTCGCCACTATGTAGCGGTTGACTTACCGCTGCGGTCACTTGAGCTAGAAGTCCAGACGCGGTCTTCGTCTATCGGGCTGAACCAGGCAGATGTGTAATTTTGAAGGGAATGCAATATACACAGGTGCTTAGTGGGAGCTAGCTGATAGCTGTCACAAAGCACTTTTGACACAACTACACAAAGTGTAAAAGTTAAGTCAAGTAATTTCGATATATACTACAGTAGCGCCATGCTGACAGTAGAAGACGCTCCGGGCATCTATCATCAAAATTCCCACGTTACTACCGGTCACTTGAAATATTCCAATCTACGGACTCCTCTGGGCCTTGCTACCGGCATTGACATCATTTTTTTTTTAAATACCTCATAATCAAGCCCGTCTGGCTTTTGCTAGAGTCGCAGTCTACCACTAATATATAGAATAAGATATCTGTGCCGTTCAATGGAATCATGAGATTGTCCATGTCGTTGACGCTCAAGACTAGCCCTTGATCACGAGCAGCTCCATCATTAGGAGATCAGTCACTGCTTGCGTCGTTTGAGGGTTACACAACGAGTAGCCTAGCTCATGGTAGAATGTCCTAGCACGCGGAAGATTAGCTCTGCAGGCGTGATTGTCTCCGCTAGGCCAATCCTTTTACAACAGGAAGGTTTTGGATGTATCATGGCCGTCGTAGATCCGAAACAGAAATGAAGGCGGCACTACTAGAAAAGCCATATTTGATTGAATGGGAATAAGAGTGTCGTTTTAATTCCTTTAGATCGCTCAATACACTATAGATTCGTTGGCAGCGATAGCTTGGCATTTGAAGCCGGGTGCTGTCATTCTGACTCCGTGGTCTGACAAACTCGAAGACTATATGTCGATGCTAGCTCAGGATGAACGAGACATTATTTTGCGCACCTGATGCCAGCAGTGCAGCTTCTGCTCGTGATCACACTCGCTAGTCTACCAAAGCGTCAACATGATCCACGATCTGGACTTTGATACTGCCCTTGGTCACATCTGAACAGAGATGCATGGCGTCTAAGGCTTGTTCTAGTGGGTACTCATGCGTGACCAGCTTCTTGAGATCCAAGATTCCACCACTCAGGCAATTGATTCCAGCCGGCCATGTGTCTCTGTATCGGTTAATGAACCGCAGATCGATCTGTCAGGGTATTAGTAATAGCGCTTTCAAAGACTACATGCGCATCGCAACGGCGACGTACCTCTGCTAAAGAAAGGTGCATGAAGGGCAAGTTATTCATGATCTCCCTGCCGACACCGATGACACAAACAACACCACCGCGCCGCACCGCGTATGTTGCCAGTACTACACTACTTTCGACGCCAGTACACTCGAGGACAGTCGAAGGGGCAGAGTACTCATTGTTACCGTAAAGCCCCCTAACATTCTTTGCATTTTCCTCCGACGACAACGCACGATCGACTTGATACGTGATACAGCCGGGCATGAAGTCTCGTGCGAATGCTAGTCGCTTGGGCTCAAGATCCGTGATGACTATTGGGTGCGCCCCGGAGGCGCGTGCGGACGCGAGTGCTATCAGACCTATAGGTCCCGCGCCGCAGATTAGAGCGGGCTTTCCCAGGCTCAGACCTCCGGTGTTGACACCGTGGAGTACTACGCTTAGTGGTTCTAGTAGAGCAGCTTCGGCCCAAGAAATATTATCAGGAATCCTGTGCTCAGGTCAGTTATCGTGCCTGGAGTTTCCCATTTCTCAATTGATCGTAATTGTGAACATCAAAATTTGAACCAACATACCTGTACAGCCACTTGGCAGGATGCACTTTGTATCTTTGGATTGTGCCGGCATATGGATATACACCAGCGAACGCGACGTCTTCACAGAGGTTGTATCGGCCTTCACGGCAGAGGAAGCATTTCTCGCATGGTACACCAGGCTCGACCGCGACCCTGTCACCTACACTCAAATGTCAACCACTACCCAGTATAGTTCTGCCGGGCATACTTTGTGTACCTGGCTTCAAATCTGTCACGCCTTCGCCACACCTGAGCACAACGCCTGCGCCTTCATGACCGAGGATGCAGTCGCCCTGGACGACTAAAGACCCTATTCGGCCGGCTTTCCAGAAGTGGATGTCTGATCTGAGATTCTGTGATTAGCTAGATAATCACTAAAAGTCACTCCTATTTGGAAAAGCTTACCCGCAGATTCCGGTCGCCTTGATATGTAGTAGAACATCGCCTGGTCCTGGCTGCTCTATAGGTGCTTCGACTATTTTCACTTGGTGGTCGGCCGTTACTACAAGTGACGGATTAGGATGGGAGGCTTTGATTTGGTGGACACTATTGACGCCGTTCGCCTCATTAGCATTCTCGGGCAAGGTATTCGATGCTGTCATGTTGGCGCGGGGATCTGGCTGTTCTGTTCTATTCTCGGTATGTGACTGCTTTACCTGTTCGAGTGCGAGGTGCGTGCTGCTAATTGACTCCAACGAAACGCTATTGACAGGAAGATAAAAGAAATCTTGGACGCTATCTTTTTGGGGAGACGCGTTTCGGACTGCCATCACTAACCACTTAACTAGCCCTATGTAATTTCCAGGTGCGTACAACCGCGTATCAAAAACGGTCACGTACGTTACAATGTCATTGTCATCCAAGAACGGAAGGGTGTGCCATTCAAATATTGCCCGCAGGAGTGCTTCTGATTGCCTATTTGGGAAACCCGCCGCTAAGTCATCCGCTATAGTGCGTTTTACCCCGCCACCTGGGGCAACTATCGTCGATGCGAACCGCTGAGAAGGTTCCGCTAGCGCTTCCGCAGCACACTTTACAGACATCTTGGCCATGAAATCAACATGCTGAGAACCAGTGATTTGCGCCGAATGAAATAATTCAAATCCGGTGGTCCGGATGCAGGTACGGGAATAAGAGACCTCATAGTTTAAATTCGAAATATCAAATACGATTGACAAAAGGTTCGGATTTCAGAAAGTCTGCTTGAATTGAGTCCGCGGTTGAACACCAATCTTCACCTGAGAGCAACTTACAGAACATTGTCACAATGGTACCCGGCCTGGTAAACGAGACGCAAAACCCTTCCGGTATTCCGATATCAAAAAAAGTGGTCCTCAGCACAAGGGATCTGGTTGAGAAGGAGAAGAGTTCACACGACAAGGTGTTGAAGTCATACAGGCTGCTTATAGCTGACTTATGCCAACAATTCGGTGGTGGGCACCCAGGGTGAGAGACACTTGCTCCTCACGTTGAACATCTCCAACAGCTGACAGGATATTAGAGGTGCCATTGGTATGGCCGCGATTGGTATCGCACTTTGGAAATATGTGATGCGATATGCGCCGCACTCCCCGAAATACTTCAATCGTGATAGATTTGTTCTCTCCAACGGTATGTGATCTCTGAACTCAACAAACCAACAGGACACTCACACAAGGCAGGACATACCTGTCTCTTCCAGTACATATTCCTCCACCTTACAGGATACAAGGCGATGAGCTTCGATCAATTGAAGTCATACCACTCCGAACGATATGATGCCTTTTGCCCGGGGCACCCCGAGATCGAGCATGAAGGAATTGAGGTGACAACAGGGCCGCTCGGTCAAGGTATTGCAAACGCTGTGGGTCTTGCTATGGCTACCAAGCACCTCGCTGCACAGTTCAATAGACCTGGATACGATGTGGTGTCGAACCACACATGGTGCATGATCGGCGACGCTTGTCTCCAAGAGGGTGTTGGCCTGGAGGCGATTTCCCTTGCCGGGCACCTGCAGCTCAACAACTTGACCGTAATATACGACAACAACCAGATCACCTGCGATGGTTCCGTTGATGTAAGTTAGAATCCGGCATATGGTGTGGTGCAGAAACTAATGATGTGCAGTTGACCAACACGGAGGATATCAACGCCAAGATGAGAGCTACCGGCTGGAGTGTAATAGATATCGAAGATGGTTGCTATGACATTGCCGGTATTGCAGACGCCATGGAGAGATCCAAAAAGTCAGATAAGCCCACTTTTATTAACGTCAGGACCATCATCGGGCTTGGCTCGAAGGTTCAGGGTATGGCTGATGCTCATGGTGCTGCTTTCGGAGTAGAGGACGTTGCGCAGATGAAGCGCATCTGGGGGTTCAGTCCCGAGGAGCATTTCAACATCGGCGAGGACGTGCGTGATTTCTTCAAAGGTCTTCCGGCAAGAGGAGAGCAATATGTGCAAGCATGGAACAAGTTAGTTGATGATTACACGAAAGACCATCCTGATTTGGCGGCGCGTTTCAGAAAGAGAATGAATGGCGAACTGATTGGTTGGGAGGAGCTCGTTCCCAAACAATTTCCTGACAAGGACACCGCATCGCGTGCTGCATCTGGTTTGGTGTTTAACCCTGTAGCAGAGAAGATTGACAGCTTCATGGTTGGAACGGCAGATCTATCACCGTCTGTCAACATGATCTGGCCAGGTAAAGAAGACTTCCAAAATGTGAGTTTGTTTCAACTACCAGCTTGGCTGGCTACTGATCTGATTCTAGCCAAACATCGAGACAGCCTGCGGCATCAACGGTTCGTACGCGGGTCGATACATTCACTTCGGTGTCCGTGAGCATGTCATGTGCGCAGTCTCGAATGGTCTGGCCGCATTCAGCCCTGGAACGATCATTCCGGTGACTTCGTCTTTTTTTATGTTCTACTTGTACGCAGCGCCAGCCGTAAGAATGGGCGCGCTCCAGCACCTACAAGTTATCCACCACGCTACACATGACTCAATCGGCATGGGTGAAGATGGTCCTACACACCAGCCTATTGAGAATGCTGCGTACTTCAGAGCCATGCCGAACCTTTTGTACATTCGGCCGGGTGACAGCGAAGAGACTGCTGGCGCATGGATCGCAGCTATCAAGGCAAACGGAACGCCATCGATCATCTCCACGAGCCGACACAAGCTGCCCCAGCTCAAGCAGACCAGGCGTGAGGGTGTCTTGAAGGGCGCATACGTGTTAGAGGAAAATGAAAACGCGAATATCACTCTAATTGGTGTCGGTGCTGAGTTGTCGCACGCTCTTGGTGTTGCGAAGAAGCTTAAGGAGCAAGGTGTAGAAGCGAGAGTCGTCAGCTTTCCCAGCTGGAGACTTTTCGAGAAACAGTCGCGTGAGTACAAGAGAGATGTTCTGAGGAGGCACCGTGTGCCTTCAGTCGTCATCGAGCCATACGCCCCCAATGGTTGGGAAAGGTACGCCGACGCTGCGGCATGCATGACAACATTCGGTCATAGTTTGCCGGGTACATCGGCGTACAAGTACTTTGGTTTTGATAATGACTCTTTGACAAAGAAGGTATTGGGATACTTGGACCAGGTCAAAACTGATGATTTGTTGCGGCACGAGTTCGTTGAGATTTAACGCGCGCCGATTTACGGAATGTTATCGTTAAAGACCACGAAAATCGATATATAGTAACGCACCAATATAAACTTCTAGTCATCGTAGGGAAATATATAGGCCTGATATACTCACTCAGCGACATCAGTGTTACATTGGTATCTCATTCTCCTTCGCGACAGAGGAAACAAGTATGTAAGTTTGAGGTTTCCACCTCAAGGTTGCGTTCGTTGTTTACAAAACGATGCCTCCAATTAGACTAACCTTAGGGGAAAGCCCGCCGCCCTAGTCTAGTGGCCTAAGGTTAGGTTACTAAGTTAGACTAACTAGAGTGCAAGGACCCCAACCGTGATCCCCCGCAGTTATGGACATCTGAATCACCCACGGATTCAAAAACTCCCCAACTCTATGTTCTTTGTGCTGATTAATCTAGTCTGTTCCATCTATCTCTGCAAAAGAATAAGGCCATGCGGCCTGGAGATGACCGTTTGTGTATCAAGGACCATGAGTTTGTGTCGGTCTATCGGTTATGGCTACTCCAGGCAATGCTTCTGATGAAGCGCCGACGTTCCATGAAATGGAATTCATGCAGGTCGATGGCGATAGTCGGTGGGTAGCGACTGCCTCAGGAGTTCTCCCGGATTCAATAGATCCCAGCTTCTCTCCATTTTTGTCTGGCGCCAATATCAACTCGACGTTGACATCCGGAATTTCCCCAGGCGAATCCTCGCCATCCATGACTTGGCGGCCAGACGAGTTTATTCTGAGTCAGGACTACCAAACTTACAAAGAGGAGCTTCGGTCACTGATTTTCAATACCGCTCAATCGGTAGCACCGACTCGTGAGGGTAGTCCAGTTGATGAATTCAACCTCACTGATGAACGCCACCTTGGCAACCTGCAGAGTCGCAAGGAGACTGTCAAGATCTTGGCTGTTGGGAAAAGGATGGCATATTTGAAGAATTATGTTGAACAAGTCGCCCCATGGGTAAGAATATACACTGATCATTTCAGCTTCGAGCCTGCTGACGATCAGTAGCTTGACATGTTTGACGGCGATCGCGTCTTTGGAATGCAGATCTCCTCACTGGCCCAGACGTCTCCGCCACTCCTGTACGCGATCCTAGCCCTATCTGCGAGGCAGATTGAGTGCAAAGAGAAACGGAAGAACTCCTTCGACAGTCTCGAACTGTATCAGGAAGCCATCAAGTCACTTGCTCCATTGCTGACTGATCGCGATGTCAAGATCATTCCAATATGCGTCATATTATGCTGTCTGGAGATGATGTCGGCTAGTGCTCAAGATTGGCGGCGTCATCTGGAGGGCTGTGCTGCGCTGTTCACTACGTTCGGTGTACACGGCTTTAGTGGTGGGATGCTCCAAGCCGTCTTCTGGTGTTACACGAGAATGGACGTTTGCGGCGCATTGATTTCAGACGGCACACAAAGTACGTTGCTCGATCCTGCAAAATGGCTTCCGGCTGGCACAGAAGCTTACGAGGCGCGTGCACAATTCAGAGCATCTCAAAGCCTCGATATGCACGCCAACTATGCAGTCTGGCTCTGCGCTAAGACTTGCGAGCTGATTGCAGATCGGACTCGGTACGTTGAGCTAGGCGAACCAAACGGTTGCGACGGAGAGAAATACTCAAACAGGTGGGCCGCTCTTTGGGATGAGCTCCAGAGCTGGCTTAGCAGCAGTCCGAGAGAGTTCAATCCTGTCAAGACGGTAGACACGAAACCTTTCCCCCATATCCTCTTCGTCCACTGGGCTGCTATATCATCTACTCAGTTGCACCATACTGCTTGCATTTTGATGCTGAGCTCAATGCCGAAACCGCTGAAGCTTAGTATGAACCTGGGCACAACTGGTTCCACACTGTGGCACGCTAAGCGTATATGCGGTATCACACTTGCAAACCCTCATCAAGGTTGCATCAATAACGCGATACAGCCGCTTTGGCTTGCTGGCAGACTGCTAAGCCACAGATCAGAGCACGAGATTGTCGTCAAGCTTATATGGAATATCGAGGCGACGACCGGTTGGGCTTCGTGCTGGCGAATTCCAGATCTAGAGTCAGCTTGGGGATATAAGGTCAAGAGAAACGGCGTGGCAAGAGTACCAGGTTGAGGTCATGGCATGCTGCCTAAACATTTGTAGATGTCTTGACATTTTGAGTTACAAAAATGACGCATGATTATTTCGAAGTTTGCAATCTCGGTCCCAGGTTTGACCCCTGGCTGAGGTCATACTTGCAGACAACCTATAGGAGATCTCAGAAACATGATATCCTCCCCAAGTTCTTCCAGCTCACCGTTTGAGAATTGTAATTTTGGTTTGTCTAGCCAGCGAGCTATGGCATCTCCAGGGAGCTTCCTCTCCCCATTCGCATATTTGGTTATCGCGAAGACTTTCGTCACTAAAATCACTTCGTGGCCAGCATCAAGGCCAACGGCGATATCAAGCGTCGTAATTGGGATAAGTGTACGTTGGTAGGCCAGGTTCGTGTTTGCGTCCGGCTTCAGAGCATAGGAATCCTGTCCCGAATTTTCCCGTCGGTGAGGACGAGACACAATTCCGCTCAGACCTGATGGTGACATAATAAGTACCGAGGTGCTGTCCTGGATGATGCCCTCGGTCATATCATCCACCGCATGTCCTAATATCTGAAGGCTGGTGCCATCCCTCGCATGCCGCCCCGAAACGGCGAATCCCCCTTCGACCGCGTGGAGGGTATTGATGTGGCTCTTGACGCGTATGCGATGGACGCGTATGTGCCAATCCGGCCACCTGTCCGTTGGTGGGATGAGCGTTGTCTGTACCTCAACTTGACGGTCGCTCCAGGGAGACCATTTCACAGACGCTACGGTGATTTTCTCCGGCTTAGATGTATTCTTGAAATCGATCGTTGAAAAAGTTGCTTCGCTGCACTTCCACTTCACCGCCCAAGTCTCGGCGCCGTCTCTGCTCAGAGCCAGAGTATTGTCGGGGGCTATCTGCTGAATGAGTGGACCAGTAGGCACAGAGAATGCGAGTGACGAGGAATAGGCAAATTTGCAGTACTTTGCTTGTGTAGCCTTCATTGGCCACTGCACAAACTGCCCAGGCGACAACATGAAATGGTGATTACCTTCTGGGTGGTTGACTAGAATCTGTTTTGGAGCCGACACCAAAGTGTGCCTAAATAGCTCCCTCGGGTACGCCTCTTCTTCAGATGCCCAAAACTGATCGTCCGAGGCGACTGCTATCAGTGTTTTGAGGCACCAATACACTGATTGAGGCGAGTTATAATCTTCAGACATATACATGTTACTATATGTCATCAGTGCCCAATCAAATCCGTTCAGCGCAGATATATGGTCTCAACTCACGGATAGAGCCATCCAATGTTCATAGTTCCGTCTGGGTAGAATATGTCCTCTGAATGCTTTGCCCACCAGCGCAAGTGACGCAAGAGGAATCCTTTCACCGACCCACGTAGTGAGAGGGTTTCCATCATGTCGGGAATATTAGCCATTGCTAAAGCTCCAAAGAAGCCACCGCATGCAAACCTGTAAGTTAGTGATCGACCAAACGGAATGGCTGCACCTAAGGTATTATCTTAATATCAGCCGAGTTAGATTACTTCGAGGATTCGCACCATCAGAGTCAAAGTAACGCCAGAACGAAGTCCCAAATTCCCGAGCCTGTTGTTCATACCTGCGCGCTCGTTCAGGTTCAAGATGTTTTCCGAATTTAGTGTAGAGCAGCTGGCTAAACTGTATGGCGAAACTTCCCGAGTAGTAATCGGCATGTCTTCCGGGCCCTGTTTGGTCCCGTCTTCCTGTCCTGTCAAAGAGATTCTCACTAGCGGTTTCTTCGTCAGAGCTTAACCATGAGCCGTCAGCTGACCAACCGTCATGGAGATAGAAAGAGTCGAGAATTGCGAAATCCGACTCCATTTCACCATGGACCTCTTGGATCGGAACACCACATACTTCTATAAGAGCGAGATTGGCAAATACCCGGAACCATCGCCAGTTATTATCTGGCATAGGCTTGCCATTCATACCACGCAACCAGTCCGTAATATTTGACCTCACACGTTCATTCTGGCCATGAAACATCACCTCTGGGGCCGAAAGCAGAGCGAAAGCTATGATCTCCGCTTCGACCATCCGCTGATCGATCGGTCCAATATCACCCCAATACTCGACACTGTCTGGGTCTGTGCCAGCTACGATGCCCTCGACCCAGTGTTTAGTAATGTCCTCGATCTCAGAGACCAGCGTAGAGTTCTGAGCTCTCAGACCAGGCAGGCAGGCAAGTAATGCACCAATCGCCCAGAGCGGCCTGGCGAAACCTTCCAGTTGCGCGGCCGACTCGTCGAAGTGAGTCCCAGTCGCAACAGGCAAACGGATCCGCGCCTTTTGCGGTGAGAAATACGGTATGAGAGGTCGCACAAGTGCGAAGATCGCAGTGATCACATCTTCACGAGTTTGGAACCGGTTGCCAGAGAAGCCTATCAGTGGCGGCATGTTGAACGTCGAGTTATGCCGCAGAGAGCAGTTCGAGAGGCCTACGGAGAGCCTGTGAGGTCTCCCTGTGAGTTAGCAGGCAAATCGTTGCGCAATATGTTATAGCACGCCTTGCTTACTGCTCAGGTCACAACTTTGAAAGGCTCTCGGCCGATCGCTCAATCATTCTCCACTTATCTGCAGCATTGTAGAGCTAGGGGAGCATAGCGACTAATTGTACTCATTCACGAAGGAATCGGCGCGCATCACCATGCTGCATCGGTTAAATATTCATGTCCATATTCATTGTTTTGTTAGTACATGTGTCCGCTTTGGAGTTTTGCCCGCTAAACGCCCCAATGGTTGTAGCGCTGGTTAGTGCATATTTGGTGGGGGCCGGGCATCGGGCGATTGTGCGGAGTCTTGGCTTGTTACGTTTCCGATGCATCGATTAATTGACATAACCCCCCAATCGCAACATCAATTTCCCGTGATGATGAAGAGAGCATCGCCTGGAGACTGCTCGCCCGGGACGTGCATGTCTAATCCAGCCCCATTGGATAGAAATCCGTCTGAGCGGACTTGTACTTGAAAGGACAGACATACGTACAATCGGAGGATGTACGCCACTTGGAAGACTATCAAATGCCAGGTCTGCGATATTTGCATACTATCACAATGGAACACCCTAATGATGCTTTCGAAGGAAGTGTTGATAGCAAAAAAGACAATGCCTTTTCTACGAATCCATCGAGCATACGCTCTCCGAACATGACGAGCCCCAAACCTTCACATATTCGAGCTCACTCGTCTCCGTCCCTGAAGGTCAAACTAGGCGAGTTGTACAGCGAGAACATTACGGCCAAGATACTGCGAAGTGCTGTTAACTGTCTCGAGAATAATGTGAGGATCCGTACGAGACTATTGCTGCCGTATGCTAACATTATCGATTCGCGTAGGTAAACTCCTCTCTTACAGCATATCCGGAGTATGTTCCTCAGGTTGGAACTGATGCTGGAAAGTACCTCTGCCGTGAGGCATCCTTCTGGACGTGTGGCTTCTTCCCAGGCAGCATATATGCTTTGTTGGAACGTCATATCAAGTATCCACAGGTCGCTGCCGGTGGGACTAGCAAGGCAGTGGTGGCTGAGAAACTCAAGAAGTTCGGCGCAATCTGGTCCGGTCCTCTGCATGCAATGTCGTTTCGAACCGATACACATGATATGGCGTTCATGATCCAGCCGTCGATGAGACGCCGATGGGAGCTGTATGGAGACACCTCTGCATTCGACTCAATTATCACTGCGGCCAGAAGTCTCTTCGTTCGATATGACCCGACGGTCGGCGCTATTAGGTCTTGGGATGCGTTGACACAAGATAACGTACACATCGTAACGATGAATAATGACTTTCTCGTCATCATCGACTCGATGTGTAATCTCGACCTCCTGTACTATGCAGCGGCTCAGACTGGTCAAGAAAAGCTAGCCAACGCTGCCACGCAGCATGCTCGTGTTTTATTGCACAATCATCTACGACACGAGAAGGGACAATACGCGCAACGTAAAGGTTACGATGGGCCACTATTTAGCACCTACCACGTAGCAAACTTCTCTCCCATCACAGGGGAACTGAAAGAGCTGCGCACAGCTCAAGGTCATGACAGAGACTCAACATGGGCCCGAGGGCAAGCCTGGAGTATTCTTGGATATTCTCAATCCTTTGTCTGGAGTGGTGAGATTGAGTTCTTAGAGGCCGCGTGTGGCTTAGCAGAGTATTTCCTGCTGCGACTAGAAATGTCTCCAGCTTGCGTCGAAAGAAAACGCACTACCGTCGATGGTTCAATCCATGGCAGTCAAGCCAACCAATGCGGTCGTTATGTACCGCTATGGGATTTCGATGCACCAGTGGATGAAGCTGCTCCACTGCGCGACTCTTCGGCAGGTATCATTGCTGCTAACGGCTTGTTGATTCTGTCACAGGCTTTAGCAGGTCGAGGACAGCATGAACTTAGCCAACGATACTTGGAAGCAGCTGTAACCATTGTGGACGATACTTTGATCTTCTCCTTGGCAGAGGAGAAAGCGACGTTGAAAGTGAATGGCGACGAGGTCATAGTTTCGGATACACATAAGGGCAACAGATTCGACGCTGTCTTGAAAAACGCTACCGCCAACCATAATGCCCGTGATCATTGCAGATATTGGGACCATGGTTTAGTGTATGGTGACTACTATCTTATTGAGTTTGGAAATCGATTGCTTCAGATGGGCCTTGCGTAGGGATAGTGACTTAGAGCTTCTAGTATCAAATTTACTTGGGGCTTTCCAAGTACACGCGATCTGTGAAGCACTTCAATATACAGATGATACTTCTTTCTTCTTTCTTTTTAGTTTTTATTTTTACGGTAATTGCTCGGTGTAGATTCTCCTCGTCGTCTCACATCATCCACGATACATCACGCTCGGAATTATTCACATTTTCTCGTAGTCAAGCTAACTGATGCTTATACTGGCCTGCTTGCTAGCCAGAACCGATTGCCCTTGATTGTCGGGCAACTACATAAGAACGTTTGACGGAAACTTGGCAAACACCTGCGAACAACCAACCACGTGACAAGCGAGGATCGCAACCATAAAGAGATCACTTGGAGCGCAAGGTGACCACAAGTAATCCAAAGTGATACAGATACGTCAGTGAGGGAATGAATGGATATATTAAGGATTGGATTTCCTAGCTACATATCGATATTCACTGTCTCAATGATCAATTTAAGCATCTATATGAATGGTAGGTAAAGCCTATCAAGCTTTGACTACACTTGTGAATCATCTTTGCTCAACATACTTGAAGGTCTTTCTTTATAGGCTTGTCTTTGAGGCTAGCATATCTTGGTAGAATAAGCCCAGTCTGTTTTGTTATTTGTGGTTTTGCAACCCGATGGCAGAATCGTCATACCCAAGCGCATGCGAATGAAGACCGCGCTGATAAAGAATGTGTGACAATTGTGTGATGACGTAAAAATTGCCAATTAAAGCAATACAGCGTGGCATTTTCGGGGTTATTCCCACCGTGTGATAGTCGAATGAGGTTTTCTGGTGCTCATGTAAGGCTTTGTAACTGTCTTAGTATGCAATGCGAAGATGCGATAAAAAAGACTCAAGTGTGGAGAAGTTAAAGCATCAAAATAGCCTCGAAAGCGAATGTTGAAAGATCTGTTTCGAAGAATGGAAATAGAAGAGATTGTATTGGAAAAATGCAGTTGAAAAAAGAGGTCGAATTACGTTAGGAAAAGCGAAGAATTTTCATAATATACATGGTGCCACCGCAAAAGAAAACAGTCATTGGTTAATTTCATTTATAAATATTTTGAGGCATGCACAACATAAACAAAAGAAGGTCACCTTGCATTCTCTGAATAGATCGACTACAAGTTTAGATCATGGTCATATTAACGAATGCCTGTATAGTCCCGCTCAGTTTTAAATAATTAGCCTTGTATCAATCGTCTTATAATGTCATCAACTCTGCGCTTCACAATATCGGGTGTCCGTCAATAGATATCTCGCATTCCATCATTATGCCACGTTGTGAACATCAACCTCGTTGCTTATAATATTGTTCACCTTTTTGAACATTTCTGTGTCTGATTACCCTCACAACCAAACAGTAATATCACCAAAGAGCCTTGGATTATTCGTAGACACAGATTTGTCTAACAGGAGCCAGCCTCGGTAGTAGGATGAATAAAGCCCAGATTCAAAAAGTACTCAAAATCCCAATAGTCAGATTGTGTTCCTTCGCCGCTGACAGCCGCGTAGCCATACATGCGAGTCGTCCAAGGAGCACTGCCCTGTGTATACTTAGCCCACGCGTATAGGCCTTTGTTCAAATTGACTTCCCGGCTCATCAAGGTGTTGTTGCTCGCAGCTTGGATGGACCATTCACCAATAAAGACCGGGAACTTGCCATCGCTAGCTGAGGTTTTGGCATCCGAGCAGATATAGCTCCCGATATTGGCCGATGTGGTCGGTCTACCGGCGAAGTAGTAATTATGCGTGTCGAATACGAGATTAGATCCAGCGGTAAAGTACGAAGACCATGATGACTCTGGTCTAAACGAGCCCTGGAACATCACAGGTATGGAGGGATTGACTTTGCTCACTCGAGACAGAACGTTGTTGATATAAGCAGCTGTGTAATTCGCACCCTCGTCAGAGAGGGCCGAAGGGGTGCCAAATGCAGTAAGATCGGGGTTGTCCACAGGTTCGTTGATGGGAGAGAAAGTGAACGACTGAGGACTATCAGATGACTGAATGAAGCTGATCACTGTATCAACAGCCTGATACGAGTAGAACAAGGCTGTGGCATTATTGAACCATCCAAAGTTCCCGTCCTTCTCACCAATACCCATTCCATTCACGCCCCCTGGAAGAGAGTGCAAGCCAAGGATAATGTGCATGCCGTACTTATTGATGGCATAAGTTGAAATTGACTTCAAGTTTTCCACCTGCCTACCGCTATACAGCTGCGAGCCGGGGACTTTGATCCAAGCAGCGTAGTGGGTAGGAATGCGGAGAACATTGACATTGATCCTAGCGAGCTCGTCGATCGTGGATGTATTGATAAATGTCGTGTATCTCTGCTCCAATACTGGCCCGCAGCTCGCACCAAGTTTGATGCAGAGACCCCATTCATCAGAGGCGTCTCCACCATATCGATTCCAAAATGGGGTGTCGAGTGATCTCTCTTGTACAAGCCATGCGCCAAGATTGGCACCAGTTGCATTAAAGGTTTTCCAGTTCACATAAGCTGCAGATACCTGCGAAGCGGCCAAGAATAAGCAAGCGAGTGTTTTGGAAGACCGCATGATGAATCTATCCACGTTGAACGGGTCGTGGAAGTAGCTTGGGGAATTATCTGAGATGAACCAAGACGTAGTGCATGTCACAGACTCAATTCTACCCCAAGGACAGCTTTATATACTTGAACTGGTTTAATTTTTGATAGGTAAGGCAGCTCGATTCTAGACAAGCCAACATTGGACCATTTTCCAAATCCAGGTTGTCTTGGTGATCTCGATGCAAGTTTGCAGCGTTGTACTTGGCAGAGGCCTGGGCGCTGGTGGAGCCGATGCCTACACTGGGGGTAATCCGGGGTCCCCGCAAGAGCTTCCCCATCATTTGTAGCACAAGGACATTGGAAGACGGGGAAACACTGCTTGCTGTCCAGGCCTCACAGAAGATTCGGTGGCATGTAGTTGCGACAATTGGGGTGAGGGCGGTGGGGCCGCTTCAGACTCGGCCCCGTTTACTTTTCGCCACATTCCGATGAGCGAAGTCGAGATTTCAACGTCCGGCTCGATGAATTGATATGAGACTTACGAAGGGCCTCATTCAAAGCACGTAGAACCGTATCCAGGAATGAACACGCTATTTGTCTCGACATGGATAGTGTCGATTAATCCTCATTTATTGCCAAATTGTGTTCTCATCCTAGTATTGTTGTGTGCCTTACCGTAGTGAACTTCATATGCGTCGATTTGTTAACTATCGTGTTAAAATCGGAGTGTATGACTGCCTACGCTTGATACAAACTAGTCTTGGAAGTCCTCAGACGGCTCTTTCTTACTTATTCCACGTTCTAATATTGAGATACTGTGTATTTCCACCTGCGCAGAGGAAAGGAAACACTCTTTGGTTTATCTGATATAAAGCGGATGAGAGACCGCGTTTTCTGAAAGCTATACCGTATGTAATAATAAAGAATATTAAGTTATATGTGACAGTAATGAGAGCACCCCTGAACATAGAAGCCGATCACACAAGAAAGTCGAGCATGGAAAGGCAAAAGGACTGCTTGAACACAAGCAATCTTGTGATAATTGTATATGTGTAACAAAGAGAAGAAAGAGCGGATGGGAGGATCTTGGTAAGAGGCCGAGACTAAATTTTGTTTGAAGAATTGCTAAGAATATTGATACGGATTAAAAGGTTTTTCCACATTCATAATCTCAGGCACCGCTTGCCGTTGAGAATTTGGAAAATACTGTCCTCGTATGGGCCAGTGGTTTGGTACTACATTTACTTGGTGTCGGTAACCGGCACGTTGAGACGAAATTCACCTGCCAAACTTGAGCAGATAAAAGTGTGCATTTGTGTAGTTTATATTTTGGATACTAGTTGAACATTTCCCAGCACTACTGTGTACATTTCTTCTAATGATGACCGGCCACGAAAGCACTCGGAACAATAGTCAAAGAGTGTGACGAGATTGTGCCTGCCACAGTTATTCCAAAATATATCACGTGGTGTGGATTGGTTGTTTGCATGCTGGTGGTGTTCCAGATTGCTTAAGTTACTGTGGCTAGTCAAACGTCGAACCTGCATAGCCTCGATTTATTGCCAACCTTGCTCAATCGCCCTTTTTACTTTCCAGTCCCTTTTAGAAACTCTGATAATCTAGTTTATACATGTTCCACACAATCACATATACCACGGATACCAACAAGCGTCTTGAATTCGTTCATGAGCTGAAAACATTTAAGTGGGTCAGGAAATTGAAAGAGGCGCATAAGACACGCATCCTGCGCCGCTGGGCATTATACTTCTACCCTCACCAACTTGCTTGTAGACTGTATGGCGGTTTCTGTAATAATGCATACAATGTGGGCAACAAATTGATTTTCAGTGACGGAACCGCCTGGCTTGTCCGATTTCTATTTGTCGGGAACATCTGCGACTATTACGCAGACGAAAAGGTCGCCATAGAAGTCGACACACTGTGTCTTATCCACAAGAAAACCACCGTACCTGTGCTCAGAACTCGCGCCTGGGGTGTTGCTACTAGTGATCCGCTCGCTCTGGGTCCTTTCAGCATTTTGGACGTTATCGAAGGCGTCAGCTTCAGTGCCACTTTTCTTTTCCAATAAACTGTCCTCGAAACTGATCAGGGAAGCTGTCAGCAATGATAACATGACAGCCATCTACAGACAGCTTCCAGGATAGAGCTAGAATTGTTCCAGCTTGACTTCGACCAAATGAGCAATCTACCATCAGTGACGACAGGGTTTCTTGCATATGATCGTCCCCTAACATACAAGGGATCTGATATCATGCAGACAGGAGGAGTGGACATTTTTGGTACATCTTACACTACGCCAAACGCAGAAAGGATAGCCCTATTTCTGGACTATACTTAGGTTACCGGAATCGTCCATTCTCCACAACACTAGAGTATTTCTGATTTATAGTGGGCCAAGACTGGAAGTGACTTCGACAACAACTCAACTCAGTATTCGCCCCGAACGACACCAGAGCCAAGTATGCATCTCTTAGTATCCTGGCCGCCAGGATACCGTATTTTCTCAAGGATGAATACGACAAATGGCTATTCAAGCCGATTTGCGACGATCTTGGTCCGGCTGACCTTATTGTCCGAGGAGATGATGATCTAACTATCGTCGGGGTAGTAGATCTTGAGTGGTTGTACATTGGACCAACACAGATGTTCACCACGCCCTGGTGACTCCTCCAAGCTCAATTGAATCTATGGTCGTCCGAATTTGACGAGGAAGCGTCTAGATTTGCCAAGTACCTGAAAATATATACGCATGCTCTAGAGGATGAGGAGAAGAAGATGCCGCCTCGCCACCAAAGACTTTCAGGTCTTCTAAAATGGTCTCAACGCTCAGGTACGGTATGGCTTCATATGGTGCTCTCCAGTGGCTTCAAGTTTGATGAAATCATCCCATTCACGCGGCTACGAGAACATAATGGGTACGATGAAGAGAAACAGCAAGGAAAGAAATTCTGCAACACCAGCGACATCGAATCATTTGTTACTCGAGAGGTTGTCCAGTTGAAGCAGGACGATGAAGACTATGATAATTCGCAAGAGGACCTGATCAAAGTAAATTGCCGCGGAAATGATCTCCGTCAAACGGAACGCGACCGTCTTTGCCTCTCTCCCCATTTCGACACAATCCTATGTAATTGCAACGAACTAAATCCTCAGTTTCCCTGCGCTGTACATCTCCATTTTGATGATTTCAAGCATTTGCGACGTTGTTTTGACCGTAACTAATACTTTGGTCATGGCCGTATCGAGCGCATTGTGGAATGAAAGATGTCAGTATGGTTTCTTTATGGGAGGAAAGGACTGGGACCTAGCACTGATGAACGTTATTCGTAGGGGTTTAACTAGATGGGTGTTGAGCTTTGACATCCTACCTGGACAGGAACTTTGTGAACGCTCCTTAGTTTATCTAACCTAGGGCAGACCGGACGGGATGCTAAGTCTTCCAAGAGCTATGCTGGTATATAATGGAAACTTATTAGGTAATATCTATGACGCAAAGCCATACATGGCGGTTGCGATATAATGACACAGCCATGTGAATGCACAGGTTTATGTACAAGGTCTACACAGCATTGACCCTCGCATCATGGTCATAGAACATCCTTCTCGAGGGATTCTGCATCGGTAGAGATAACAGTCGCCTTCTTTTCCTGCCGATGGACCAAGTAGAAGCCAGTAAGGAATGTGAAAGTGCACCCGAGGATGAAGAAAAAGTTGACGATGTAACCGGTCTTCCAACGAGGAGCGTCGACAACAGGGAATACCGTGATGGGATAGAAAGAATTAAATGCAAAACCGAAAGTCTGCTATAGTGTTAGTAAGATCGCCCCGTTGATATATGTTTTGCTACCCACCAGCATACTGCCTGTAGTGAAGGCTCTAGCCTCAGTATCGTCTTTGAACCAGTAGTTAACCGTCGGAATCAGAATCGGGGTCACGGCAGCCTGGACACCAAAAATGTAGAATACAGCGACTGCGATATAAAGTTAGCAGATATATCTATGTATGCCGATATACGGGAAAGACTTACATTTGAGCCCAACTGGGATATCCCAGACCATCATGCAAATATTGCAGAAAAGGTAAATTGCTTGTACAATGAGGAAAATAATCCACGTTGGATAGACCATGCATAAAGATGTGGCAAAAATGGCCGTAACCACAGAGACAGCGGAGTTTCCTGTAGGGTAGGTGTTGATCTGCTGAACAGTGTATGTTCCATACTTGGTGGCTTGATCTTTGAGCCATAGCGCCATTTGACCCTGTGGATATGTGGACGAAAGGAAGAAGACGTAGGCCAGGATAGCCACGTACCAATGCCACCTACCAAAGACACGCTTCAGCACGCCAAATGACAGCTTTTTGGGGGTTTCGACACCAACGTCGCTCATTCGGCGTCGAGCCAGTTCGTGTTGTGCTTCTGTCATCCACCATGGTTTGCTGCTGGATGGCATACCTGGGAAAATGAAGAATCCCAAAACAGCAATGGGTAGACTGATACATCCATCGATGATGAAGAGCCATCTCCAGCCTGCCATGCCGCTGACACCGTTCAGATTGGTATATGCTGCTGCTTGCAGGTAACCGCCGAACATGACGCCAATGTTGTTAGACACATACCACAAGCCCGCGCGCTTGAACAACTCTTCAGGCTTGTACCATGACGACAGGATGAAAAGTGAGCCGGAAGCTACAGGTGTCTCGAGGATTCCCAAAAGCAGGCGGGTTCCATAGATATCGGCTGCGCTATTGACCTTTGCTTGGGCGAACGTTAGAACACTCCAGGCTATCTCCATCCCGGGCAAAAACCATCGTGAGTACTTTGGACGAGATAGCAGCAGCATTGCGGGAACTTGTGTGACGATGTAACCAATATTGTAGAATGTGCCGAAGAGTGAATACCTGTGGAACGTGATGCATCAGTACTTGGCCAAGCTTGATGTTTTGCTCAATCGAAGTGGATCGGCTCACTGATTACCATCAAGGTGAAGCTCCTCCTTCATACCCGAGACATAAGCATTGTTGATGTTGGCTAGTTATAGAAATATCAGCTCCTCTGTTCGATAATCCACGGTTGAAACATCATGATGCTGGTCTGAGATTAGGGCAGATTGCATTCTCTTACATTGATCAAGCCATTTCAGAAAGAACGCCAACGATGTGAAAGTCAGAATGAACCAATCGAGCTTCTTTAGTAACTGTATTTCCTCCCTGGGATAGTGTGATGGATACCACGCGAACATATACATCCATGCGGTCCATGGTGATCGCTTTGGCAGGCGGTTCTCCACCTCGCCGGTCACTGCAACAGGTTCAGTGGCCGTCTCAGCAGCAACTTTGGTATGAGCCAGATTGTTGCCAGCCATTGGATCACGATTATCTGCGACTGACGACATTCTTGCGTTTCTGCTACAAAAGGATTAGCAACACGGAATTCGTAACTGCCTTTCACACGAGACAGCACTTGTCATCAGCGTAGCGTGCAACGTCTTAGACCTTGCTGCAGAACACACAACCACTCAGTCGCTGGCTTATGCATCTTCAGGATCCAGGTTCACTCATATATTTTGAGCGGTTGCGCTAGACGTGAGATGATTATGACCCGAGCGCTTGGGCAATCTTCCCCAGGGCCTTCCCCAGACTGGGGTAGAGGTGTCGCTAGCGAAAGGTGCAGCGGGCATCGGGCGAATGGTCGGGCGCTCCCAGTACAAGCTACAATATCTAACCTAGTTGGCACTGCTCGAACCGCAGCCATGAGCCTCCGAGCATCCCCGAGTAGCAATTCGATGCCCTGTCATGGCGGGGTATGTAGGTGAGAAGGACCTTGTTTCAGCATGGACAACTTGGCAAAGGCTTGGTGCGAAAGTGTTGATTGGTGGCACGTATGTCGAGGTTCTGGCCCGCGTTCTGCGAGTACCTCTTCAATTTTGGGGTTGCACGTATGACCTGTGATTTCGATGTCTCTGATCAAGTGAAGTCTCGCCGACGCATGTCTACAGATTCATAGCGACGAATCCAACAATACCTTAAAGTTGCATTCGCTTGCAGTGTTTTTCCAACCGGCGACTTTGCGAGCCAGGCTGTCGCACTGCACTTGTGGGGTTGGAAGTCCCCTGAGCGTCTGACCCCGGTGCAGAGAACCAGAGAACTAACCTAGGGTACCGAGGCAGTCAACCACGCATGGTGGATGCGTGGTCGACGCATCGTGCGAAGTCACCACCGACAATTAGATCGAATTTCCTGTGTATCTCGTTCATGCCCACGGTTCGTTTTCTAGTCGAACGTTGGCCAAGATGCAAAACGAGTCGTCCAACATTGACCACGAAATCCACCCTGTCGTGAATGAGTCTTGCCAAGGATGTCGCAAGCGAAAATTGAAATGTTCACGTGATGTTCCCATATGTCTGCATTGTCAGCGATTAGGTACGATGTTAGATCTTGCCCTGATTATTCGTGTCATAACTCACATTAGAGGCAGGTGCGCTGTGTGTTTACGATGGCAAGAAGAATAAACCAGGGCTTAAAACAGGCGCTGTCGAAAGTCTTAACCGGAGGATAGGTTAGTGCATTGCCAGATCGCATCGGCGGGTCGTAGGTCTAACCTTCTGCCTCGACAGAAGTCCTCGAAGATATTGTCCTACGCAACGCATCGGGAGCGTACGGCCCCGGACCTACGGGAGCTCAGGATACCACTCCAAGCCAGATTGTACCCTCGGAGATCGTTAGCACTCTGGCTTCATTATGTGCGGAGCTTTGCAACATGAACTCAAGAGCTGCACTGGCCAATGCATCGTCAGCGTCGCCGATTCCCCCCAACTTGTTGCCTCCACCATCACCAAGCACCCTGTCTTCCTCCAGCTACAACCAAGAGTCAAGGGACCGTGCGCGAAAGAGGCGACGCGTTGATAGCTGCGGAAACCCCAATATCCGCTTAGAGCATCCGCTCGAAGACATAACGGATTCCTTCGCAGCACTTCCTCCTCCACAACTAGTGGAACACGTTGTTGATGCGTACTTCACCACATTTCAGCCATGGATCCCCATTATTCACGAAACGCATTTCAGGAGACGCCTCCAGGACCGACAGAAAGCTACCAGATTGGTTATTATTCTACATGCCATGATCGTTGCAGCCATGCGCTTTGTGGATCCTAATGTCCTAATAATGCCTCGGAATGAGATTGAAGCATGGGTTCGACGATCTCGAAACGTTGTCGTGGTTGAAGGAATGGAACTCTTGTCGTTAGAAAGCCTTCAGGCTTTAATTATTATAGCTTTTAACGATGTGAGATGGTTTCGTTGTGTGTGTTGTTGATTGGGACTAACATTACTCAGATAGGTAATGGCGACGAGGCGAAAGCTTGGTCAGTAATAGGCTCATTGACAAGGACTGTGGAGTACCTTCAACTTAGTGTCGAGAATGATCAAACCGAGGAGCAGCCTGTTTTCAAACCCCGTGTATCTCTTGCGCCTGCTGCGGGGTGGGTAGAAGAAGAGGAGCGAAGGCGAGTATTCTGGAATATCTTCAATCTCGACAGATTCTGTTCCGTTCTTACCGGGTAAGTAGGTACTCCTCACTTCACATGAATTCTCATTCACACCCCCAATCGTAGGTGGAACACGAGCTTGACAGCAGAAGATGTACATAGAAGGTTGCCTGCTGACGGTGGGTACTGGCATAATTCTGAACCAGTCGTCACACCATTCTTTGGTATTTGGACGCGTTTTGAGGCCAAGATGGGCAACTCTGTTGCCTTCTTGCCTGCTCATTATACTAGTCCTGGGCAAAACATGGAGGCTGTAGCACACGGAGAGTCACCCATATCTAATCCTCACACAGCCAGAGCCTCCATTCAGGTGGACATGTCCACTGTCGGTGCTTTCGCATATTGTATCGAGGCCACAGAGTCGTTGAGCCAAGTCACTTCTTACTTTCTTCAACAAAAGGTCAACTTCAGTGACAGAAGGCAAGTTAGCATATGGCTAACAAGATTCAAGGAGCTTGATCTTCGCTTAGTACAGTAAGTCATTCAACCAATTTTGTCAGATCAGTAACGAAAGCTAAGCTTCATGGCAGCTGGAAGATGTTCCTGCCAGAGAAATGGAAAGACTCCAATATATCGCGTCAGCCAACCATCGTCAACATGGACCCTAACTTAACGCTAGCTCATCTCAGCCATAATACTTCAATGATTCTTCTGCATCAGCGCATCGCATATCCGCAATCTGAGTGGAAGAACCTGGTCAAGTTGCCAAGTGCCTGCAGCGCGGAGACCTGCCAGAATGCCGCTATCGAAACGCAAAACATTGCGGACAAATATCTCAGACATAGCAATGGCCCTGTGAACAACCAGTTCACATTCTGCGTATTTGTCGCTGCGATCGTGTTGCTTGGTAGGTCTCGCATCTTGTACGTAGCACAGAAAGCTCAGACTGACTTATAAGTGCACTGGCGATATTACGAGAGTGAACTCATCCATGAGTTCTGGCAACTAATCGATTGTTTAGATGAGATGGCGAAAAGATGGGTACAGAGATCTGCAAGTGAGGCTGACAGGCGATCCTCACTCGCTGGGTCATTCGCAGAACATTTGAGAGAGCTACACCAAAGGTGTACTGTCGAACCTGAACTACACATCGACCTTTTGAGTTACTCTTCTGGGTTCAACCGGAAAGCTTGCAGTGTTTCGTCTGGGAATAACGACGATCAAACATCCATGACACATCATTATCAGACAGCATCGACATCACTGCCGAACCATATGCCCAATATGCAGCGTGAGGGAAATAGTCAGCCTTGGCATGGGAATGTGTATACGCCCAGAGAGGACACAGTACAGCAAAATGAAGATGCGACCCACGACATGGGTTTCTTCTCCCATGGATTGGCCCACGGCGCTGTTGGTGACTCAGGGGAGTCACAAATGTCATTGCCGCAAGCACCTAAAGGGAACATGCTGTCGGACGAGCTATCCAATATTTCTTATATGCTTCTCGACCGAAGCTTTATGGACCTTGACCGAATCATAACACTCGAGAATATGACATTTAGTGCACCGATGGCATCGTCCACTAATATGGGCATGACGGTAGATGAATCAATTATGGGCAATGGAATTTGATGTTGTATAGAGAGACAAGCAACAAGTCCGGTGCTGTGCATTATCTGCAGTTGAGTCCGATTGTAGTTCGTTTGACTGTAACGATAGTGCTGAGTGGATCCAGAAGATCACATACATATGTGATTGATGTCGAATTCCAATAGTCTGTCCACTTTTCTCCAGAGAGACTATGTGACGTTGAGGATAACCACTGTACGACAACGGTCATGAAATCTAACCTATTTGCTTGATGTGACGTCTCATACTCTCAATAATTTTATGCAGTAAGCGCTAGTATAGATTTCCTTTCCCTGTCGCATTGATCGACAGAAATGACTCTTCAAGGTGTAGCCCGTCTATCGTGTTGACCTGCGAGGTGGTCAGTGTCTGGTGATCGTCAAAGGTTTTAGACTAATCTGAAGGCCCCCCTGAAACTCGCTCTCGACTCAGCTCTAAAATCTTGAGGACAGCATTGTCTATGTTATCAAAGCGGGTATCTGTCCGCCCTGCATCCTATCAGGCGAGTGCTTTGTAGGTGTTAAGCGCAATATTATAGGCGGTTTTGACTTGAGAATCGGTAGCCTCCGGAACATGTGTGTGCGCCCTGACCACGTCTAATAAGTGAAGTTGCCCTTCACGGTTGATCTAGCGAAGTCGATCTCGAACGGATCATTTATTCTGTCCATTATCATTTCCTCTGTGAGTCACGTCCACTCGAGGCCACAAATGACTCGACTGAGCGATCCTGTCCTTAGATTGGAAAATGCTATCTCTCGGCCAGCTTTGAGTGATTCTGCCAAGATACCCTGACTGTGAAATTGAGGTTTAAGTCTCTTCACTAACCTAAGGCTATGGGCATGATAGAGCTCTAAGGTATGGATGAGACCATTTGAGATATCGGGATGATTTAAAGGACGGGGAAAGTGTCTTTATCGCTCAAACAATGCCTATATGGAAATATGTTCCTTCGGAATCAACTCCAAAGACTTTCCCATGACAACTCGAGAATTTTGGTCCATGTCCTGATCAAACTGCATGTCTGATAATCGCGCCGCTTCGCCGCCTCTCTTCAGCATCTCTATTTGGTACTCTCTCAGAAGAGCTTGAACGTGGTTGAAATTGTCTGCTCGGAGCTTTTCCAGCACCCTAGCAAGGTTGAGCGCATCTTTCATCGCATGACAAGCCCCTTCGCCCCGAAATGGGGTCATGCAATCTGTAGCGTTGACCAGAAGAAGTCAGTCACAAGTCCTCGAAGCACAAACTACAAAAAAAGCATGGGGGCTAGCGGCTTACGTGCAGCATCACCGAGTAATGTAATCCTTCCAGTCGGCAACTCGTCGATCTCCAGTGTATAGAAGCGAATCGCTGGCAGCGAGATTCCTTCGGGTGGTGTCATCTCGACCACGCGACGGAAATGCGGCGGTGCATCTTTGAGGATCTTCATAGCAAAATCCCGAAGTTGCTCAGCGGTGCCCTCACGAGCCCAGTGATCACTACGGTCGGCGCCGATATCATGCCACATGAGATGGTAGTAGAAATCTCCAGACTTGCTGTCGGGTGATACTTTATCCAAGCCTACGAACAAGTGGTAGGTAGTACCTTCGGACTTTATATCAAGGATGTAAGATGAGTGTCCAAGCTCAAGTTGTTCGGCCATTTCGCGACCGTGCAGTCGGAGTTCGCCAGTAATAACAGCCGTTTCGTGTGGTTTGAGAATATCAGCTCCATTCAGGAGGTGCTGTCTTGCTATATTGCAGCAATAAGCTTCCGGAGAACTACACTCAGTCTTATACATCTGGGATGTATTGGGGCTTACTGATGCTGTGCGCGCCTTCTGCGCCAATAACCATGTCACCAGTTGCGGATGAGCCGTCTTTGAAATTGACAACTACAAAGTCTCCTTTGTTTTCAACTCCTACAGCATGCTTGTTGTATTGGATAGGAATCTTGGTCGCCAGCCAGTCACGGAGGCGAGTCCTGTTCGCTCGGACGAATTGACCACTGCCGTCATCCCTTCGGCCTATCTTCACGGGACTGTCCGTGGTGTAGAAAGCTATCTCTGGAGCGAGTTTGAGAGGGTTGAGATGGTTCACCTGGCTAAATGGCGGCATATCGTCAGGCATAGAGTCGAACAAGTCTTCCAGCATGCTAAAATCAAGGTGTCGTTGTATCAGCTACCGGCCCACGAGCTGGTGTGAACCACAACCAGATAAACAGAGGACGACGGAATTACCTGTGAAGGGCGACGGCCCAGCCCGATGGTTCAGTATTGGCATCTTCTCGGTCAAAAATCTCGAAGTCAACTTTCTTTTTTCGCAACGCTTGCGCGAGCGTTAGGCCGCCAAGGCCGGCCCCAAGAATCAAAACTTTTGGTGAAGTCGACATCGAAAGAGCTATGATAACTAAATTTTACCAAATATTTGTAGAAAGTCCAGGTATCACTTCATCTTTTTATTAAAATTCAGCGCTTTTTCTACAACGTCTTCTGTCTTATATATACTAACGGCCGATCTATTGACGGGCAGACTTCTAGGTACATAGTAGATGATCTACACCGATAATCTATGACGAGTTCATATATTTTTGAGGGCAATAATTTAATCTGAATACTGGTAACTGTCAGGGGGGTTAAGGTGTAGAGTCTGCCTCTCGTTCTAAGCGATGATCCAGGCGGACAATTCGGACAATTTAGAAGGTCCAGAGAACTGCGGGTGGATACACGTGACATAGTGCATCGCGATTTTCAAGCAAAACGGGAGTCGATCTAACCTACTATATTACAACTCTACTTATCACAGCTCATTAACAATAGAATTATGGTAAGATCGGATATGGCGTTCGATTGGCGTACATGTCGGCGTGGCGAAATAATTGTTGAATTGAGCAGTTAAAGGATCAACTTCTCATATCACTTGAACTTCTCTGGGAATATTTATTAGTTTTGTCTTTCGACCGAAAGCCATGTGACTATCTAGGTAATAAATTGAGGAACGATATAAAATGTCCAGTCTAGCAGCACTGGTGAGTCTATTCGGGACCACTGCTTTTGCTAGCTGTTTGGGATACATTGATGCCTGTCCACGACCAGCGCTGGTGAAGTCGCAAAAGTCCTGACCTTGGTTCTGCTGGAGTATCTACGTGCCGCCCCATGTACGGCCGACTCGAGGTGGTTGTTGATTGCATGGGCGAAACGCTGATTAGTGCATATGTATCACCAAACACAATTGTGGGCACGAAAGCTATTGGCTGGTTGCATAACCAGGCGCGTCCTATTTCTGATATCTTCAAGACTTATGAGTAAATCCCATGTGGCATACTTTAAAGCTTCCTGCAATTTATGTCTGTGCTGCATGACTCTGCAAGCTTAACTAAACGTTGACAGAAGACTAAATCAAAACTACAGAATCCAGAGCCTGCAGAATGTATGCAGTGCATAGCATCAAGCCGCAGTCGCGAACTCAGCGTTGCTGAATGGCCATCGCGAGGAAAGCCGCAAGACATATCGGGGCGGTCAATTTCCCCATTCTGCCTTGAGAGTGCTCCTGATTGTGTCCAAACTCCATCCAGTCAGTCGCTCGACCTTATCTATGCCGGCAAGCAAAACTTGATGCTGCGTCTCATGAGTCATTATCCTAGCAGCAACGAGCAGTGACGCGACAAGACTCGTGTCCCAGCATTCCCGGTTTTCATTATTCAGTGCGATGCCGCAGATGCGCCTGGCATGCCAAAGGGTGGACATGGTTGATGAACGATGCTTGCTAGGTAGCACGACTGTGCGCGGTTTGTGCCGCAAGAGAAGAAGTATGGCCGTGTGGTACAGCTGATTGCTGAAGACGGCGGCGCCACTGGTGAAGAGAATCATAGGATACCCATCATTTGCCGTCTCGATCTCGACCATGGAAATAAATTCTTGAGGCCGCTGATGATACCATGAATTCAGTTCGTCGAGAAGGTTTCGCCAAGTTGTGACCATGTCTCCCGTCAGCCCCACACGATCGGAGGCTTCGCCCCAACAGAAATTCACTGCACGGATGCAGAGAAATAAGGGTATGTGAGCAGAATAAAAGATCTGTCTTGCTAAGTCTGTACAGTACCATGGAGATGGATGAGTCTCGGGAATATGGAGTGGCACAGATATTGGTAGCTCGTGCATCAGAGCTTTGCCCAACTCTATGGCACTTGTTAGTCGTACAAGCAATACGTAGGTATAACAAATAGTAGACCCACCTAACCTCACAACGAGATGATAAGATGCCATGGATACTGATGTAGGTGCCGCAAGTAACAACTCGTGCGCGCCGTGAAGAAGACCTGCGGAGGGGCCTTTCCGCTCCAAGCAATCAGGATTACGAAAAGTTTGTTGAGCTTGAGAGAGGCTATCAATGAGCAGCTGCTCTTCCGCGCTGTGGCTATCCGCCCTGCTAACGACGAGGAATCCCGAATAATCAGACACCGAGGAATAGTGCAGAGTTGAAGCGGCGCTGAGTGCCTGTGTACAAAGACTAAGCACGCCCCGTAGTATCACAACTGACTCGCTTGCCAGGCACGGTACTGCCATTCCGAAGGTCTGTCCAAGGTCACAGAGATCGAGCTGCCTTGTGTCAGGTTCGACTGTAGGAAAGGCTCAACAGGAATTACGCTTACCCATGGTGCTATTGCGTACCGATAATGCTTAAGAAGGTTAAACTCCGACTCCTCGGGAATGCCGAGGCCGGATTTTGGTGACAGTGTTGACGAGAAAGGGATGTCCTGAGCAGGTCCTTCATGTCCATCTACTGTATCATGATAGATGACAGAACCTTGTGGATCCTCTAATGCCACAGAGCTGATCGGTGTTCGGAGCAAATTCCTGTCAATAAAAACCGTTGCATGTTCGCTACCAAGCGACAAAAGTGCATCGAGTGCAATCTGGTCACCGCCGCTGCTGCTAAGTGAGCCTATACCACGAGGACTCCAATTAGTGGCGGAAGTATCGGCTTGTTGGGGACCGGTAGCTGAAAGAACATCCGTGCCAGCGTGCGTTTGTTGCCCAGGATACGCAGTGTCGCTATCCACTGTGGATTGTGTTTGCGCCTGAAGCGGCTGTTGTTCTTCACCCGACGGGCTGCCTGAAACGTCTTCCACAAACTGGCTGCCGTGATGAGCGGCGATGATGACCTAGGGGCTCTAAACTCATACCTGAACTTTGCGATAGCTTGGAGTTGACACCGTCTCCTGAGCCGGCGTCCCCGGCTCCGCCACCGTAAAGGCATTCTTTTCTAAGAACGACAAGCGGGTTCCGTAAACACACTCAAAGTTTCCCGTAACACATCTCTGACACCGGGGCTTTCCTTCGTCACCTGCTCATCGGTCAGGACATGGTTGTTTTACACTGCCAACACCGCTTCCACTCACATTTCCTCCGCCGAACGCGACATTTCAGACAGCCAGTACGGACCCTCTTGGGCGGCTGTGAAGCCATCTACGGTCCTGCAATCGCATATCGTGGCCGAGCAACTGAATTGCCCAATGCCATAGATACTGTTTTGCGGTACTGAAATGACGACCTGGGAAGGTTGAAGCGACAGCGGGAGTCGGCCGAACGCTTTGCAGTCCCCGCACAAATCACAAAACGGCGGATGATCCTGGGGAGTCTTTGCGGGGAACAACAGGGGACATGCTAAATTCCTGCTACACTTAAAGTGGAAGGATTAAGCGCATCGTACATTCGTTTACTTGATGATAGCCGAGAGATCTTGGTCAAAACAACGGCGATGCAATCGATATTGATATAGCGACTGCTTATTAATATGCTGACCATCGGCTGCGCTGTTTTCACTATAATCAATCAATATTCCTAGACTAGACCGTCACTCAGTCAATGCTCTGTGTTAGGCGACACTTCCAATCAAACCTGTTTTGCTACAGCCTAATCCACGACGCAATACCGGCATGTGACGCAGACCGAACTTGCACCTTCTCGCCGTAGCTTAGGAGTTCGGCAAGACTGGTCAGCAATCCCCGCCATTTCCTCCGAGTACATAATTCACCTCTCCAGGCAGCGCAGTTCAGAATCAAAACGAACTTTTCATGGGGTGTTCTTGGTCATCTCTAAATCTTGACCGCCAAAATCTAACCTTGGGATATCGTCCCGCGAAAAACAGTGAACACAAACGCGTTTGCCAGTGCGTCAAAGCGAAACGGGTATCTTGGACTCTAAAGTCCGTGCTTAAACTCCAACCCAACCAAAAACAGTAGAATGCGCCTCGGGTATCGTTGGAAATGTTCCTAACTCGAAGATGGACATATTGCGGGCACGAGTGGCTCTACGAATGCGGCTGCGTACTGCCAACCATGGAGACCAGTCCATGTCTGCGGCGTGGCGAAAGGTTCCAGGAACGCGGAGACAGAACCTGTCACCGACACGGGCTGGTAAGGTGCTGCGGTGAGCGACGTGTTGTAGAGCAACTGATAGTGGTCGCAGACCGTGGAGTTGGCGAAGGTGACCTGGTTCGTAATGCTCTCAATGAACTCGAACGGATAGGGACTCGCCGTGTACCCCGCTGGGGGCTGAGTTGACATGGTCAGAAATCGTGTGGCCGATCCGTCCTGCGCGCTAGCCGCGCTGAAGTAGGTCCCACCGAGACCATCCGAACGATATGCGTCGTTAGTTGGATCAAACTCAGCCGGAAACACGTTGAGGCCCAAACCGCGCGCTCCATCGACAGCTACTTGGTTCGACGCGGTAATCAGAACGTTGTTCTGCAGACGGTACGGAGTGGCGCCGTCTCCACTGAGATCGATGAACGGGAACTCAAACGAGGCGCGCTGGAACAGAACGGAATTAGTCATCCAGAAATGACATCACATCCTAACAGAAGGTGCTTACAGAAAAGTCTGGTGACGACAGGTTGTAAGCAGCCACCTGCAAGTCGTGATCGTGCTTGGCCGATACCATCAAGGGATACATGCCCACAGGGAAGGTAGGCAAGAGGGACCGATAGGCTGATTCTAGTATGGGGTATTGAGGTATCAAGCTTTGTGCAAGGGCTATCTCAATAGGCACGATCAGAGTTGTGCCATTCAGATTGCCGGTCACATCGCCCGGGTACTGCGCTGCGATGGGGTTGGGTTGATCGATGCTGGTGCCGACATCCTGGGCTGAGGATATGGTGAAGACCGTCGACGCAAGCAGCAGAGCAGCTAGTGCTGAGACTTGGAACAATCTCGACACGGTTGACTTGGACATTTGGATTGGCGATGATGCAGACGATTTAGGACGGACCTTGGTGTTTTCTTGGGGGTGACAACGAGTTCTTGTAGACTCGTCTAGCTGCTGATGTCGATTCATATTCTGGAGAACGGGCTATCGAGCAGCCTACGAATGTTGGCTTGTTCTCACCGCCCGAAGTAAATGAGCCCGGCAGGTATAGTGGTATCGTGAGTGGAGAAAGTGCATGTAAACAGATGTTTGACGTTACACATACCATACGAATCCTTCTAGAAGAGAAGGGAGATTTCTAGTTCTTGAAACAGGCAATATTGATTTTGGTCGTGACCAGCTACGCCTGAGATCCTGTTGGAGTGTCCCTTGCAGATCAGCGGGCCAATGAAACGAATCGCACGGCCCGGTGAGACCGTCTTGCATCCGGTCCGCGTCTAGTCTAGTCAAGGTAGGTCAATTGACACGGGCAATACATAGTATTCCAAACCCTACCAAGCCTACGCTGTTGAGCAGCTATCTAGTTGTCACACCCTGACCCTTCAAAGACCCTAGTCCTAGACTGATGGGCATCTGGCTAACGGGCACATGCGCCATGTTATAGTTCAACCCTTGACACCTAGACACGCGTTTGTGGCAGAATGGTTTGGCCGGAAGTCCTTCACACGAGAAAGTATACGCGACTCACCCATGCGGTGTGGTAGTCATCCGAAATTGAAGCATATCAAACAGCCACGATCCTTCCAGATGTCGTTAGTTTGGCGGTCCCGACTCGATGGATCAGCTGGACTTTGAAACGGAACACGGTAGATCCGGCTGACTACCTTGCGCTTGCGGTTATTCCTGCTGAGGTTCCACAACATGTCAACAGAAAAGATCGCATGTCGCGTCGGACTGCCAGCAGATATCCTCCTCTTCGATACCCATAATAGGCCGAGTGGGGGTGATGCTCGTTCGCATCTTACTGCATTGTCACTGAGTGCTAATGAAGTAATGTGATCTGCCGCCCCGGATACTGGAGTTTCCGGGTTATGGTACCCCACATTTCTGTTCGGATTGACAGCTATCCGCCACCACCCAAGCACGTCGGGTTCTTGTTACCATGCAACGATACCTTGCTATGATTCGCGTGCCCTGTTGATCTTTGCTGATACTCTCATGCCAGTTGAAGGATTCAACGCTCGCAACGCTACGATGCATGTCACCCTCGTCAACCACCATACGATATTATCTCCCTACACTGATAGGAAATCGATAGAAGCTATGTAGGGCTTGTGGATAGCAAGCCAGCGGCCGCTGTCACCAGTACTGGTCGAAGTAATGTTAAATGTGTATGGTCAATGACATGAAACAAAGATGGCTTCTCATTAGGACCGTATGATTCTGGTAGATGATGCATCTTTCTCTGCATTCGAAAGCTGTGAACGACAATCCTGCGCTCTTTCGTCATTTGTGCATGTTTAGGCCATCCTATGGTACGTAGATGGTGGATTTACAAGGCAGGGCATGTTGGAGGTTTAACGTTGCATCCCCAATCAAGAATATGTGCTGGGGGCGATGAAGACACAACTCATTATGCTGGCACGATATTCTTTTTATTTCGTTCGTTCCATCAGGCGTGAGCGACCGTCAATGGCCAGTCACTGCATCCGACCCGTCATAAACCCTTGGGCGTAATCCCTAGATGCACGCAGTTCTACATAGGCTTGCATGTTCGGGACTCCGAATAGGTCACCGGTATGTCATGTCATTTCACAGTGGCGCAATTTAACACCAGCGGGTCACTGTGCACATCTTGATCCATGGAACCTTGTTGCCGGCGTCGGCCAATTCGGTAAAGAAACTTCTAGTCTAGTCTAAATTAAAGCTTTTGGTCTATGTAATAATCTTTTATCTGTGAGATTTCGTATAAATCTAGTTCAATATCTAGCTCTTGGAGAGCAAGCAACCTATAACGCGCTTGAGAAGCCGGCATCAAGCAGGCTATACCTGGAATGTCAAATTGGAAACAATTGCCGGAGAAATCGACACGGGCCATGCCAACGATGGCATTTTCACTCACGAGGCAGTCTTGGTTGCCTTGGCTCTGAGCTTCATCATAAGGAATACGAAAGCATAGGATGAAATGCAGAAAAGCGCCGTGATCCCGACCTGGGATGTTTGTTAGCGACTAGTCTAGTACGAAGTCGTTCCTTGAAGGGCTTGAGAACTCACATCTCTCCAACCATAGTATTTCGCGTTTATGTTCATCGTCTTCAAGTAGTCGGCGCCGGTGGTGTATGGACAGTAATCGCAGCTAGTGGTACTGGTCGAATCCGCCACGTACCCTGCAGCCTGGCTCAGAAATTCTGACATGTAATCTCCACAAGTGGTGTTGGACGGAAGCGGGATGTGAGTAAGCTCGCCAGATTCACATACTACCTTTGCATCCCATGCGACCGGAGTCAGGAGTGCACCAATGAGATATGTAAACGGATCAATGTAATATAGCCAATAACGCCAAAATGCCTGGATTTCGCCGTACGGCACGATGACGCCGCAGAACATGATCAAGCCTGCACCGATGAGAAGAGGGTTGAGTAGCGCTGCAAAGTAGGCATTCGGACTGTATGCCGCGATGGCCTGGCCTATGGACGTGTAGAGGAACTCATAGACTGGATTTTGGGGTCAGCAGCGACTTCAAAGTAGTCGCGCAGAAAGTACTTACAAAGCATCTCAAGGTAGACTTGCCCAGACTTGCTGGCCGTGACGGGAAAGCCGCAAGTGAAATACCAGCAGACGAAATAGATGGTACCGCACAATATAAGGACAGGGATTTCGGAGATAAGCTGACCGGCGATGAAGGCTAACCAGCTGTAGGTCTTGGACTTCTTTTCCCGGGTATCAAAAATATCGCGGTTTTGGAGGAACAGCGGCTGGAGCTGATTGATACAACCTGGAGCAACGAAGACGAAGTTGAAAACGGACATTAAGCGGAGCTGCAGATCAAATGTTCCGTCGCCAATCATCCAAAACGTGAAACCTCCAAAAAGCGCATTGGTGACGTGAAGGCCAATCTTGTTCCAGACATAATCAGGATTGCGCCACAGAGACACCAACTGGCGTTGGGTGACCAAGGCAAGCTGGTAGGGCAGCGGGGCAGCAAAGCTCATCATGTCATCATCAGTCTCCTCATGCTGATCCTGTACAACTTGTAGTCGCTCAAGCTCGGCCATTCTTTGTTGTCTCTCTGCCGACTCGGTCCACTGTTGAGCCCAGTCGACATTTGGATCCAGCCTGCCCTGTACAACGTCCACGATGTGCTCAGCCGGATTGGCGCCCTCTGGGCAAGGCGCATTTCGCTGATTGAAGTAGTCGAGAACAACAGACGAGCCCTTGCCAGTAGGTCCGAAGTATGTTGTCTTTCCACCACGTGTCAGCAGGAGAAGGTCGTCAAATGCCTCAAAAAGTGCCGCGGATGGCTGATGAATAGTGGCAATAATCGTCTGACCAGTTGCGGCGAGCTTTCTCATATACCTGCAGATTTCATAAGCTGATTGGCCATCTAGACCGGAAGTCGGCTCGTCAAGGAATAGCAAGGATGGTTTGGCGACCAGTTCAGTCGCGATAGTCAAACGCTTGCGCTGTTCGATAGATAAACCAGAGCCAGGAGCTGGAGAAGACGGTCAGTATAGCAAGTGAGCACCTGGGAGAACAAAGGGGTCTTACTTCCAATGATAGCATGCTGCAACGGTCTGAGTTCAAGCAAATCCATGACCTTCTCAACATAAGCCACCTTCTCATCGTCGGGAATATTATGCTTTTGACGAAGTCGAGCAGAAAAGAGGAGAGCCTCCCTAACAGTCGAGGTGGGTTCATGAACGTCGTTCTGTTCACAGTACCCAGTCGTACGCTGGAAACTGATCCCTTGAGGCTTACCGTTGACCAAGATACTGCCAGTTAGCCGACCGTAATCCTTTCGTTGGGCTAATGCATCCATGAGAGTTGTCTTTCCAGCGCCACTGCTGCCCATGAGGGCTACCAGCTTTCCCGGTGTGACAAATCCAGAGACATTCTGAAGTAGTTGCTTCTCTTTTCCTGCGACGTGCACGTAGTAGTTGATGTCCCGAAATGTGAACACTGTCGAAGCGGAGCTCATGATTCCATTGGACGCGTTTCCCGAATTGGCAGAGCTAGAATCCGATATCATTCCCTTTTCGGTATCTCCGCCGAGCATTGTCTCGCGCTCTTTGTTTCGTTTATCAAAAAGAACTTGAGAACCGGCGTCGGCGTGCAGGTTCAACTCGAAACCAATCGCGCTCATGGTGGCGAAGAAGACCCAGAAGGCAATGACGATGCCGGCGTTCCTCCAAACATGTTGTGTTGGGTCTCCGTATTGCGACTGGAGGTATGACTCGCCGTAAACTGTAGAGGAACCGGTTGTCGATCCCGCAAGAGTACAGCTGCGATAGGTCGAATTGTCATAGCTCGCTCCGTACGGGACGTATTGTGGTTCAACACACTCCATGACGAGGCCGCTTATCTCGCTGCCCATAACAGCACTGAATGCATAGTTGACCGGGTTGATGTAACTAATCCATCTAAACCAGACATGCATAGCAGGCACAGGGATGAGATAACCTTTGCGCTTGTCAGTAAACTTGAGTGATAATCATGATCGGTAGAAACACACCAGCGTAGACCATCATGACCATAGTACACCATCCAGCAATCTGTGATGCGAAACCAAAGTGCTTGCACCAGGCTCCCACCATGCGGTAGAACGACGTCAGACACAAAGTGCATACAATGAAGATGAACCATTGCGTGAAGAACTTCCCGGCGTCTTGTTCGAATTGTACCATAAAATAGTAGACGATCTCATAGATGCTAAACATTGCCACGACAAATGGAACATCGGCGATTGTACAGGCCAGGGCTTGCGCTGCTGGGCGGGAAAAAGCAAGACGCTTATGCCGAGAAGTGATGGGCCGCCCCATGAACGCGGCAGTGGTCTCAGACATGGCCAGCAGACCGAAATGGAGGATAGGCCAGAAGAGAGCACCAGCACGAGAAAATATAGACGCCGTGGTGTGAGGAAGATTATAAAACAAACTGCCAGTGACGATAGCAATGACAAGTGCTGATCCGACCTTTAAACAGTTGGACCAACGGTCACCCCATAGCACTTGAAATTGCCTGTTGCTTCGTGAGTACTTTGATTTAGAAAAGGCGAGGTGTTGGGCTTGTTGACTTACCTACGGGTACAGGCAACTACTTGCTGCCCAAAAGACACATGATAGGGGCTTTTCTGCCGAGAAAGTAAGCCCACTGTACGGTTCTTCTCGGATTGCCACATTTCTTTGAGGTCTTCCACCTCGGCACTGAGCGACTCCCGACTTTGAGAATTGATCTGGCGCGCCATCTCGGCATAGATATCGCTTGCCTTGTAAGCCGTCTCGAACTCTTCTACTGTGTTTGGAACGCGGTTCTCATAACCCGGAAGGATTTCTCGCTCGGTGTGAACTGCTACTGATGTGAGGAAATCGGCGATGTTCGCACCAGGGGCGCATTCAAATCCCATCTCCTCGAAGTACCGTTTCGCTGTTTGGGCCGGCCCGTAGAAGAGCTCCCTCCCCTCGGCGAGAACAAGCACTTTATCGAACTGCGAATAGATGCCGTTTCCTGCTTGGTAGAGAGTCGCGATGACCGACTTGCGCTCCTCATCCGCTGCCCGTCGTAGGACCCGCGCAAAGTCCAACGCATTGCTGGCGTCCAGACCGCGTGTTGAGTTGTCCCAGCACTGGATCAATGCCCCCGTGGCGATGACTTCGGCGAGGGATACCCGCTTCCTTTCACCGCCAGAAACTCCTCTGATGAACTCATCGCCAACCATGGTGTCTGCTGTGTGCGCAATCCCTAGCGAAGAGAGGACTTTTTCTGTTTGTTCATCGGTGTAAGATAGATCGCTAGTTGATCCACTTGCTCTTGACCTGGAAAGCTTAGTAGAAGCAGCGAAGTTGATCGTTTCAGATACCTTCAAGGTGGGATAGTGTAGATCGTCCTCGGTGTTCATGGTGATCTGGTGGCGGAATTGCTCGGCCTGCTTGGAGCTCAAATTGCCGTACGTAACCTGTCCTGTCACCCTGTGATACTCCCCTCTCATGTTCGCGATGATCTTGAGCAATGTTGTACACCCGGACCCTGGACGACCGAGCACCAAAAGTGTTTCTCCAGGTCTGACCTGGCCAGTAACACCCTGGAGAATACGCCTTGTAGATTTTGCGCTGGACCTAAGAGATGGGATCAAGTCCTTCACTACTGACAGACATGTCGAACCATAATCTTCGCCCAGGCCGTGTACTTCCACGGCTACATCTTGAAATGTGACAGTTAGCCCTCTGTCGGAGGCTGTAGCAATATCGTGGCCGTTATTCATTGGTGGCGTCGGTTGCGCTTCTGAGGGTGTTGTTGCGGACATGGCGAAATTGATTGACTGCGGTACGACGTTCCAGCATACACAAGAGCCTCAATCATCCAATCCGCACTCTGGGTACCCTGTGTGGGCTTATATAAATGACCGAGGTCACTGACAAGGACTGGTCGCTGGGGACCTTGAAAAGCCTACGACATGATTGCCGTTGTCCGCTAGGACAGAGATACCGAACCCGTACCCATTGTCTCGGGATAGTGGGTTCGACAATCTCGATAGACAAGCTAGCTATATCTTGGTGTTGATTAGGAAGCAAAATTACTTGTCATTCTTAAGTAAATCCGTGTTCTATGTATAAGCATTCCGCTCTAGTTAGAAAACAATTCCATAGATGTCACCTTAGTGGGGAATCTGCTTGCGTTCATGGCCGCGCACCGGCCAACTTGCGTCTGATTAGCGGATGATACGGAGTAAATCCAGGTGACCGGACTTACGGAAATACGGAAGGTCCGGATGTCATTCATCACATTGCGTTTCTGTCGAACCTAGACTAGTTGCCCAGATCATCATTGATGGGAGAGCCTCAGGGGAAACCAGTCTCTTCAATATCGGACCGTCTTCAAAGTTATCTTGATCTTATTTTTCTATTCCCGAGCCGGAGGCTTCTATCCTGTCTGCACGTATCGCAGTGGCTAAATCCATAAATCCGTGCGTGTGCGCATCCGAAGCGCATCCTGAGAGGGCATCAAGGCTGCCAGCACCTGTGTACCACCAGGAATCGTTGCGCTACAATGGAGAGTGCTGTGGAGAAGATCCCAAAGGCTTGTGAACCGTGTCGGAAAAAGAAGGTCCGCTGCGACGGCAAGCAGCCTTGCCAGCGATGTCAACGGCGACCATCTGAGTGTTCGTATCGTCAACGCATAAGAATTCGAAAGTCAGCGCGCCACACCCTGAGCCCTATCATAGGGCCTAGTCATGCTCGTTCGACGACCAATGAGTCTCAAAGCGAGTCCCAGATCCCGGACGCAAGTGGCAATCCGCCGGAGCCTAAAAAACAAGCCGATCACGCCAGAGACCAGCTCTACCAGAGTGTTGCTGCTACCCATGGCAATAAAGCTGACTCCGTTGAAAGTTCGCGCCTTTTCTATGGACCATCGTCGCAATTTGCCTTCCTCCAGCAATTGCATAGAGAGATATTGTGCTTTAGCTCACATCACCAACCCGGCGATCGTGAAGTCCAAGAGGGAGGACCGGGGTTGGACCTTTTTGTTCAGAGGTCAATATTCTTTGGGATTGCGCAGCGTACCCGTTCAAATCCATTGCCATCACACATGTCTCTAATATCATCACTGCCGGTCCAGCAGGCTGTCGAATTCCTGGCCGGATTTAAGGCTGCAGCATCACCTATAGTCCCACTATTTGCTGATCAGGAGCTTGATGACTTACTCCACCACTTCTATAGCGATGAATCAGATTCGTCGCTTTCACCTCAGAGACGAGCACTCACATTAGCCATTTTGGCTATCGGTGGTCTTACAACCGCCCATACGGACGTGGCTGAGCTGTTGTTTATCAAGGCGAAACAAGAAGCAGTCGTTTGCGATGATGTGGTTAGTTTGTCAATGATACAGCTCTCAATCCTACTCGCAGAGTATCAAACAAACATGGGGCGTCCAAACTCTGCATACCTCAATCTAGGTGTTGCATGTCGAAAAGCTCTGGCAATGGGTCTACATAAGGAGAGCGATATCTCCTTGGTCCCAGCAGACATTTTACAGAAGCGGCGTATCACTCTATGGTGTCTGTATTTCCATGAGAGGTAAGCCATTCCTTTGTAGATCATTCATGCGTGGAGACTTCTAAGCTAATAGCATATAGCTGGCAAGCACTGGCGCTCGGCAGGGAAAGCGCACTGAAAATGTCAGATATATCAGCTTCGTTCCCAGATGATCAGCCTGTGTTGGTGGGACTTTGTAGGCTTGCACAAATAGCAGAAGATGGCGCCCGTGTAATTTATGGTCGACGATATGAGTCTTTGGGTCAATTGTATGTCGCAGCGGAGAAGATCGGTGCCCGACTCCGTGAATTTGCGGACCAATATGGGATTGGTTCAGCAAGTCTGGCGCACAAACACAAATCGCGGGGAGCTGTGGCGTCGCTTCAACTACACAGTGGTAAGTTCGTTTCCTCGTCCATCGGAATGTACATCTAACAGCTGCAAGTGTACTACCACGTCATATTACTCACGTATCGGCCGTTCCTGATCGCCGACTCCGCACTCAAGCCAGCCGGTGGCCCCAAAGAACCTGACACAATGTGGCTCCGGCAGGCCTGCAGGTATGCAATCGATGCAGCTCAAGACTCTATCGTGTATGCTGCCTCGTCGTTCCGTAAGGACGAGGCGTGTAAGGTAAGTAGTTTTCCTTTTGTTGTAGTCAAAGTACGATTGTGGCTGACGCTTCTATAAAGACGACAAGATACTATGCGTTCTTTCTCGATGCAAATTGTGTAGTGTTAATGTATGATATGCTTCGTCATCCGGCAAAACGCAACTACAATGTGGATTACATCAACATGGCTCTCCAAATGCTTAGCAGTATGGTCCAGGACGAGCCTGTCACTGTGTCGCAGAACTCTATGAAGCAGATGTTGCGTCTTGTGGAAGACATCATCTTAAATGGTAATCGTGTCACGGGACCATCGACTGAATTGGCATCTTTAGCTTCTAGCAACACAACAGCAGTCGAAGTGCTAAGCGATACTCAACAAGGGCCACCTCATCCAAACTTCCAGTTCCCCTCGCTGAATGCAGGGTCTACACAGTCGCAGCAGTTTATCCACTTTAGCAACCTACCTGCTGTATCAGGTCAAGGCAACTTCGACAACGCTCTGAACATAGATGGATCCGCCGTGGCTTATGCCAACCCCCTGCCATATTTTCAGAACGATGTCATCACTACAGATCTGTTCAACTTCTTCCCCGTGGATTTGCTGTCGCCTTACAACACTTCGAGTCTTGAAGGAGCTGACAATCACAACACTTGATCGGAGTATGTCGTGGTACTATCGGGAACGACTTGCAAATGTACAGCGAAGTAGATTCATCGTGTTCTGAAACTTACAGGCTGCACCTTTCAGAGACTATAGGCTATTTTGCTTTTTGTCGAGAGTCGTGGAAACTTTCTTTGCAAAATCGTGCTTTCCCATACAAGACCACCACCCAAATCAACAGAGCAGAATCCTGCCTTATCAATCATAGCCAACCTGTGCATACACTTCGCAAATTCTGGGGGAAGGAGGCGGGGGTTCTAGTAAAAGCATGCCACCTGCGTACAGCTCAACCAAGTACAACTGAAGCGAAGCCATGTTGTCATTCCGATCTTTGCTGATATTGACATTTGATGCTACGTCGATCGTGCGGTGTCGCTTGTCGCTCAAAGTCTCGTCAGTTCGATCTCCATGCTTCGAAACAGGCCTTGGAGGAAAAATGCGAAGCGAGTGGGCATAACCAGAGAATGAAGGCTGCGGGTCAACAGAATTGGTCAGAAGATGTTGGTTGCATAGGCTTGGCCAATCGGCAGTACTCCACTCAAGTATCACCAAGCGCATGACCGACAGCCGTAATCCACGATCGTTTGGTGCTGGACTGATCTTCTTCGAGAGTAGTTTCGCATGTCGGTTGATCTTGGGACAGATCGATGAGTTGACAAGGACCAGCTGAATGCGAATGCTGGTTAATGGGGTCCCGTTGGGAATCTGCGACGTACCATGCGTTGGCTGAGGTCTTCGTCTGATCCGGAGTTTCAGCAGTCCCGGGATTGCGGCAGCGTCAAGATCGGACCAGCAATGATCGTCGCTCAGTCACGCCGACATCAGATCGCTGACAGAACAAGACCTCAACTATATATCGCTGCTAACTCTAGCTTTCGTTGATCGATATATCTTCAATCCTCATCAACACACTCTCTTGCACAGTCACATTCTGTCTCTAAGGCCCGGCGCCCTTCATTTCTTGCAACTACATAATTAATTACATTCATTACACGAATCTGGACATTCGCTTCAATCAGACAAAATGGTTCGCATCAGCATCATCGCAACTTTTGCTTGTAAGTTGGAATCTCCTCAAGCTCGGGTCTTTTCTGCAGCAGACAGCTAACCCGCCGTGCCCCCCAGTCGCCCTTGGCGCTATTGCTTTGACACCCAACAACGCCGGTGCCCGTGACGTAGGCAATGGCCAGGGCCAGCAGTTCACCACTGGAGGATGTGTTGCGGACGATGACTGCGCAGAGGGCTGCTGTGCCGGTGGTGCTACAGATGCAGAAGGCAACGCAGTGGGTATCTGCTCTGGAATTGGTGCCGAGTTCCAGAACGGCAAGACAGGATGCGGTTTCGTGGATCCCAACGCGGCTCAGTCGATCGCCAATGCCGAGAAGATTGTTGCGAAGCAGGGTTTCTAGAGGGCTCCAAATGCATGTTGAGCGCTGAGTTCCGTGCAATGCTAACATCGCGTGGGGAGTAAGGATGGCTACTTGAGCGACAGCTAGCAATTGAACTCATGATCCTGACCCTCAAATTCGTTGAACTCTCAATACCTGCCAAGTTTTTCCTAAAGTCCTGCCTGAAGGTACGCGGCCACCTCATCTATTCCTCAAACCCAATGAATTATGCTGCCTTCAAGACACCATATTCGGCGTTGCCGTACAACAATTTTTGAGTGCTTCTCGACGTAGACATTGAACACTGAGCAAAACGAAGAAGCATAAGCCAAAAGACAAATAATGTCAAACATACTATAAGAGGTAGAGATAGTTTTTATCAGAGCGACTAGCGAGTCGGAGGTAGACCAGAAACGACAGACTCGCTTTGACATACGGATTGCAGCTGGGGCTGTACGTACATACGTAATACGTGTATTCGTGCACCCGTGGGAAGGACGGTTTTTGGGGCACATTGCACTAAAAATAAGAGGAATCCTTCAGCCTCTAGCGCGTTTACATAGCGGATAAAGATCTCCCTGTCTAGCCGTAGCGCGATGGGCTAAGCCGGCCAACGCTGTACCAGGAAATACGTGTATTCTCTACAATACACGTATTGACATTGACTGCGCCTATAGTCTGCAGCACATACCCAGGAAATGCTAGGGTCGAATGGAGGATCTTATCTATTTACGTGTAAGGGTTTGGATAGTGAATATTTCGCTTCGTTAGTTCTGACATCCTCTGGTTTCGCACACTCATTATCTTCGCACTGCCGGCTGGCTGGGCCACAATAGCAAAATGGCACAGTCGCAATGGGTTATTTTGATGCCGGAGACTAGATGTATACGCGCATTTATGGAGTTCGATGAACCCCCTCTGGAAACCCGATTTAGACGTTCGAGCGTATATATAGCCATATAGCCTTGGCTTCTGCGGGATCGAGGAAACCATTGTCAGACTCATCGTCACGAATAGCACTTATATATCACGCCACAACATGTCTTCTGATCACTCATTCCCGGCCGCCGTTCTGGCCATCGACATCGTCCTTGCCTTACCAGTTGTCTACATCACACTCAAACATGGCATCCGGCATGCCGCCATCATCGGATGGGCATACCTCTTCGTTTTCCTCACACTACGCATCGTTTCTAGCGCCATGCAGCTGAAAGATTCGACTAACCCATCGGCGTCGCTCGTCGCCAGCATTGGGCTCTCACCATTGCTGCTCTCCGCCGTCGGCATACTCCACGAATCGTGAGTCTCGCTCAATCCAGCTCGGATCGAGTTGGTACATCCTTACTAATTCCGTTCCTGCAGCCGCGGATACAGCATCGAGAACCGACGTCGAAGTGTTGACACGATTTGGGTGCTCCTCCTTCATGTCGTCATCAGTACCGCAGTGGCGTTGACAGGCGTTGGTGCTTCAGGCATGAGCAAAGCCGACATTACTGAGGATGTCCGGAATAAGGACAAGAAGCTGGTTATCGTCGGCATGGTCCTGCTTTTACTAAGCTGGGTCTGCATCTCCATGGTGACTGCTGCCTCATTCCTCGCGCGACCGCGCACGACCTCATCTGGTTCCACGGATCAAAAGCAGGGCAAATGGCTGCTGTATGCCGTCGCGCTCGCGATTCCATTTCTTGGCATCCGGATCATAACCAGTTTGGTGTACTTCAGCACTCAGAACCAGTCTTTGAGCCCAGTGACCGGAGACATTGGGTATAAGGTTGGACTCGGTTTCATCGAGGAGCTCATCGTCACCGTCGCATTTGTCTTTGCCGGTGTGGCTACCAGAAACGTTGGCCGCGATCGGTCGAACACTAGAGTTAGGTCGGAGGAGAGACGATGGACAAAATGAATGCCTGGGCTATTGACCGTAGTCGTCACCGCGTGTGACTTCGACAGTGCTTAGAGTTAGTCTTTGTGTTCTATATCGAGTTATTGAAAAGTTTGTACAGACTCTTGTCGTGTGTAACCTTATCGGGACTGGTACTTTATCGCCGTCGCTTCGAACAGCCCATTGCCATGCGAGCCGAACTTGACTGCTGCCTGCAATAATCGCCGCGCCAATAATGAACCCTGCTAACCTGATCCAGCATATACGGTTGGCCAGAGTTTTGCTGTTACTTAGAGTAGTGACCATGACTTTGAGCGTCGGTCCTTAAGCGAATCTCTTTCCAGATTCGTGTTCACGCCGCCAACCCTCAATGAGGCCCTCAATGAGGCACTCCCTTTATGAATAATTGTAACGGGAAAAGGGAGTCAGTCTAGCCTCTACTGTGGCACACCTAGAAAAACACAGTGGGGTATGTATTTTAGCAGGTGCGGGACGGGTCCGTACGATTGAACAAATATAAGCTTATTAACGCGGAAAGGCACCCATAGTAACTGCCCTGCCGTAGTGGTTTCTTGCCCTCCCAAGCTCCCTACTAGAGCAGGTTAGCGTTTTTGACCACCTTGATCAGCGTACACAACATGTGGTCGCTATGGGCCAAACACTTACACTACCTATAGAAACCGGCAGAAGTAAGGGTGGTGATGAAATTCAATCTTCGATGTTTCCATCGAATCGCGACGGCGACAACGCTGGGTCAGTCCGAGTAGCTCTAACATTACTACGGATCCGTAGACTAGGTTACTAGCCTGCTGCAATTTCGGATTGACCCAGCAATGCTCGCATGAACCACCAATCAAGCTTCGCTATTCCCTATGCCAAGGTCGTGTAGACAATCGCCAAGCCGATCAGGACAGCGTCATGCTCTGTGGGATCCTTTCTGTCATCTTGCAGACAAGAAGAATAGAAGGGCCTAACTATTAGTCCACTGCGATAAGAAGTGACTCTTCATCAACCTTGCTGATTATTACAGTATGTATTAGGCTCCAACGTTTATCATTTCAAAAGTTGAGCCTCTTGAAAACGCCCGACTTCAGCGAAAGACACAGGTAGCCGCCGGAAATGTCTCACGATGCCAGATACCAAGAGGAGGCAGAGCCGTTGATCGGCGACTGCGAGTTGGCGCAGGCCGACATAGGCGACGACGAAAAAGAGTGTGAGCTGCTTTTTGATATAGTCGAGGAGAAGGTGACACCAATTGAAGGAATTGCTATGCTTGAAGCCATGCGACCCAAATGACACGGTTCAAACGGTTTCGGAGGAAACCTGCCGAGAGTCGACGAAAGAAGATCTTTGGTACGTAGATGGCGCAAAGGCTTAGCATGGTCGGCTGTCTGCTTCCTTCTCGTTGTAGCCGTCGCGTTGCACGGCGACCCTGCCAAGCAATCCCTGGGAGCACTGTAAGTTGTTCATGAACAGAAAGGCCATGAGCATTATAACCGACTGGCTTTTTTATTTAGCTTCACAACTTCGTCGCCTGTATCTGAGGACCCAGGACTACACTCGGCTTCGGCGGCCTCTGGGTTCACATCGAGTTCCAGCACCCCAAGACCCAATCCTTCGACTGTGCCCATAAATGGAACTGCGCCCATCACCGCGCTTAGAGGGGGCCCGGAACACGGCCTGAGTGTCATGTCTGTCGATCTCGGCTTCGGGAAATATCAAGCCTGGTTATGGTCTCTAAGCAGCAACGGCACGCTTTCAAGGAGGGAAATAGAATCCCAGACCCAGTGGAAGATATTCGAGTCTCCCAAATTTCTCACGACACCGGTCATCGCGACGGCCGATACATCTGGCAGTATGTTGCATGTTGCATTCGCCATAGAGGCATCCACCGGCCATCTGATGTATAGTATATACAAAAGGAGTCTACAAGAGGGCACATGGGTAGGCATGTGGGAGGACGAACAGGGCTGGCGAAGCTTGGGTGGCAGATTCGTCTACCAGCCTACAGTAAGCGTCAGTGTGAGCAGCGCCATCGATGTCTACGTCGTCAACGAAGGTGGCGAGCTCTGGCGAACCTCCTTAGCGGGGCTCGTCCCATCGCCTATCTGGGATGAGTGGGTAGTCATTGGTAGTGGTTTCACAGGAGAGGTTTCTGTGGACAACGCTGTTGCCTACAACAGTTTGAGACCGATCCATGTTGCTGCCCTCAAAGACGGACAGTATCAATACGCCTCTTCATTCCACGGTTCATACCACCGGCCTCAAAAGTGGGAGAGCCTCGGTGTTCCGCGGACGTGCCTCGGAAAAGAGCTTGGCTATCCTAACATCATGGCCACCGGTGTTGACTTGGCCGAAGTCTTAGTCGTGTGCAACGGGCAGGTTTGGCAAAAGATGTACAACGGCAGTTGGTCGGAGGAGTGGGTTTCAATTGACGAAAGATCGGGACTTGAGCACGTTACACATGGTCATTCTCTCTCTTCGGGGAGCCTCTTCTCTCGAATCGCCGACGGATGCATTGCTCAAATTGACCGTGAGCTGACCAAAGAGTCTGGCTGGGACTGGAGTTCATGGTGGATATCGATGTGCCCTAACCAGCGGCAGAGAATGACTCGAGAGGAGGCATCGAGCTCGTCAATGGCGATACACGATGTCCATGGGAACAGATTCGATATGTTCTACGACGAAGTTGATGGTAGTCTGTGGTACTCCACATGGTATGGGTCGGCTAAGCAGGGCAAGAGACCAAATCGGAAAATAATCAGTTCGCCTCTGTAAAAACATCACGGCAGCTGTCACCCCGAGCTGCTCCAAGGTAGATTTGCGTCAGCATGTATCAGGTGTCTTCGTTGTCTCATCCGTATGCGTCAAGATCTGAGATCGTCCAATGGCATTGGATGGGCCGTGATCGAGCGTTTGATGAACTGAGAACCTAAATCCGGATGACGCTTCGAAGGCTGGATTGAACACCTTTCTGTTCCATGCTGTGGAGTTCCAACAGTCAGAATATGCCGATTCCAAATTAAAGTTGTCTAGTCTAGTCTACTCTGGACCCGAGGCGCTAGGCAACTAGTGCATCAGCATCCTCAGGTTGTTGACCTCAAGCATCACTGTGAAATATTGATGGATTCTCCGATGGACGTCTCCAATTTCTGGAAGTGACTTTTCCACATGGCGACTGCGACATGACCTATGTACCTCACCTGACTTAGAAGCTTGGACACAAGCGCACAGGATGAACCGGAAGCGTTTCAGCAGGGGGGCTTTTTATCAGATGCTGGTCTTTGGTAAGGAGTTGAAAACCCATTGGTGCCCGCCAAATCCACTTCTCCGCACTTTATAGCAGTCTCCGCTCGAAAGGAGACGCTTGACAGACGCTGGACGCGGGCCGTCTGCCCCACAGCCTCTTTGTTCTCGACTTCACCAAGGGCAGCAAGCAGGGCAGAGAACATGCGCTTGCATGCCATCGAAAGATGGCGTGGTGTGGGTGGCCATTGTTTGCCAATACTCGGCCGTGACCTTCCCGAACCAATCAGTAATACGCCTGGGAAGACCATAGCATGATCTAATTCGTGGTTGAATAAGGACAGCCAAATCTGTGACACGGGCTTCCGCGTCTTGTCGTTAATATCCCTTACAGGCGCCAAGGGGAAGGAGGGGAATCGCGCACGTAAGTTCAGGGTCCCTCCATCCCGTTGAAGGCGAGGGCGATTCGTACTTTCCCCGCCTGGTGTCGACTTCCCGATGTTTTCTCCCGTCCACATTACATGAGTTTATGTTGGCTTTCTGTCTTGTCGGCTGGGAACTGGGTTGCAAATGACGGATTACTTCGATGATCGGATTTGTCGTCTAAGTTAGACAGAGAGCTCGTGTCCTTCTCCAAACATGATATGCCGGCCAATCTTGCGGCCAGCCTTGGCTGCTAATGGCGGCTGCTCGCGAACAGGCGACCAGCTCGCACGAGCTGCACTGTCGCGCATTTTAGGTTTGTCACCGCGCTTTCTTTTTGAGCTGGCTTCATTTCCTGCGCGCGCCGTATCTCATGCTAAAGCACGCCTCCAGCTTCACAGCCAATCGCGGGACCTGTCATCGCCTGCCAAAAGCAATGGCACAGCACTACCATTAAGAAATCGGTTGTGTTACCTGCAGCGAGAAAGCGTGGAAGCGGTCAGCCTGCATCACCGGTATCCCGCATAATCCCTACCACCGCCTACTCGACGGTTGTAGAGCCGCCAACCACGCCCTATACCGAACTCACTATTGGTGTGCCCCGCGAGACGTACGCCAATGAGCGTCGGGTTGCGCTGACGCCTCAAAATGTTGCTCTTCTGAGGAAGAAGGGTTTTGGCAACGTCGTCGTTGAGCGTGGTGCTGGTGCACAGGCCGACTTCCTTGACGAGGCATACGAAAGTGCCGGCGCCACCTTGGTGGAGGCTGGCGGTGTGTGGACTGCTGCTGATATCGTGTTGAAAGTGCGTGGTCCAAACATCACCGAGATCGATCGTCTAAAGGAGGGCGCGACAGTCATCTCCTTCCTGCAGCCTGCTCAGAACAAGGATTTGGTTGACCGCCTGGCTGCTCGTAAGGTCACGGCGTTCGCCATGGACATGATTCCTCGCATCTCACGAGCACAGGTCTTTGACGCCTTGAGCTCAATGGCGAATATTGCCGGATACAAAGCTGTGTTAGAAGCTTCCAACGTCTTTGGCCGTTTCTTGACCGGTCAGGTTACCGCAGCAGGCAAGATCCCTCCTTGCAAGGTTCTCGTGATTGGTGCCGGCGTCGCTGGCTTGAGCGCGATTGCCACGGCCCGGCGAATGGGGGCGATTGTCCGTGGTTTTGACACGAGGTCTGCTGCTCGTGAACAGGTTCAGTCTCTCGGAGCCGAATTCATCGAGGTCTCACTCGAGGAAGATGGTTCTGGAGCCGGAGGCTACGCGAAAGAGATGTCCCCAGAGTTCATCGCCGCTGAAATGAAGTTGTTTACTGAACAGGCTCGAGAAGTTGACATCATCATCACCACTGCTCTCATTCCAGGAAAGCCTGCGCCGAAGCTCATCACAAAGTCTATGGTTGAGATCATGAAGCCTGGTTCTGTCATCGTAGATCTGGCGGCCGAAGCTGGAGGCAACGTAGAGAAGACCGTGCCGGGTAAATTGGTTACATATAAGGATGTCAGAATCATTGGTAGGGCGCCAAACGCTGGAACAGTCGGAACGTTGCTAACAGCTGCTCAGGTTACACTGATCTACCTTCGAGGCTCCCAACTCAATCTTCAACGCTCTATTCGAACAACATAGTGAAGTTCCTGTTATCCATGGCACCAAAGGACAAGTCGTACGGAGTTGACCTGTCAGACGAGGTCGTTCGTGGTGCAATTGTAACTCTTCGTGGCGAAGCCTTACCGCCAGCTCCAAGGCCTGCCCCTCCCCCTCCCCCAGCAGCCAAACCTACGGCGAAGGTGGCAGAAGTGGTTGCCTTGACTCCTTTGCAAAAGACCACGCGCGAAGTTACAGGCGTCACGCTCGGTATGGGAACGGCATTGGCTCTGGGGAAAGCAACCGGGCCGCTTTTCATGACAAATGCGTTCACCTTTGCTCTGGCTTCGTTGATCGGTTATCGTGTAGTGTGGGGAGTGTCACCCGCTCTTCATTCTCCTCTGATGAGTGTTACTAATGCCATATCTGGTACGGCATTTCTTTCTCCTCTCTGGCGCTGATGTGCTAACTACGAATAGGAATGGTCGGCGTTGGCGGACTCTTCGTGATGGGGGGAGGCTATGTACCCGAAACATTTCCCCAGGTACTTGGTGCGGCATCTGTCTTGCTGGCCTTTGTCAATGTTTCCGGTGGATTCGTCCTGACCAAGCGCATGCTGGACATGTTCAAACGTGTGTCTCCTTCAAGTTTGCCCATACTCACAAAAGCTGACAGCAACCAGGTCCTACCGACCCACCTGAGTACCCGTGGCTTTATGCGATCCCGGCCGCACTCTTCGGCGGTGGTTTTCTGGCTGCTGCGTCCACTGGTGCTGCAGGGTTGGTTCAGGCCGGCTACCTTGTCAGCTCTGTGCTTTGCATCAGCTCTATCTCCGGTCTAGCATCTCAAGCCACGGCTCGGATGGGCAACTTGCTTGGCATACTAGGTGTTGGCTCCGGCATACTTGCGTCACTACTAGCAGTTGGCTTTACCCCAGAAGTTCTGACACAATTTGGTGCTCTTGCCACGATTGGATCAGTGATTGGATTTGTGATTGGTAGGCGAATCATACCGACGGATCTACCGCAGACAGTTGCCGCGCTGCATTCCGTGGTTGGCCTGGCTGCAGTGCTCACTAGTATCGGCAGCGTTATGGCTGATTTGTCTCATGTCACCACTCTACATCTTGTCACCGCATATCTAGGTGTACTCATCGGCGGTATCACCTTTACAGGTTCCATCGTCGCCTTCATGAAGCTTGCGGGGAAGATGTCTTCTCGGCCTCTTCGTCTGCCAGGGCGGCACATTTTGAATTCTGGAATGTTGGCAACCAACGTAGCGACCATGGGGGCGTTCGTTACCATGGCCCCAGGATCTCCGATGATTGCTGCCATAGCGCTCAGTGCGAACACCATCCTATCATTCGCGAAGGGCTTCACAACCACGGCAGGCATCGGTGGTGCGGACATGCCAGTTGTCATCACCGTCCTGAATGCCTATAGCGGTTTCGCCCTTGTCGCAGAAGGCTTTATGCTGGACAATCCTCTGCTCACGTCAGTAGGTGCGTTGATCGGCGTATCTGGTTCCATCCTTTCGTACATCATGTGCGTCGCCATGAATCGATCCTTGACAAACGTTTTGTTTGGAGGCATATCAGCGCCTGCAGAGACCGAATTCAAGGTCGAAGGCGTGGTCACGCAGACGAATGTCGAAGATACTGCGGAAGCCTTGACAAACGCGGAGAGCGTCATCATAGTCGTCGGCTACGGCATGGCGGTGGCGAAAGCCCAATACCCCTTAAGCGAGATAGTCAACACATTACGAGCAAAGAACATCAACGTTCGGTTCGCCATCCATCCTGTTGCAGGTCGCATGCCTGGCCAATGTAACGTTCTGCTGGCTGAAGCGAGCGTACCATATGACATCGTCCTGGAAATGGATGAGATCAATGACGACTTTCCCGACACGGATCTTGTGCTGGTGATTGGCGCCAACGATACGGTCAATCCCATAGCACTTGAGCCGGGTAGTCCAATTGCCGGCATGCCAGTGCTGCACGCTTGGAAAGCGAAGCAGGTCATTGTGATGAAGCGGGGTATGGCTTCTGGCTATGGTGAGCCAACCACTTCAATTATACATCCACGTCATTTACTAACCAATGTGACCAGCCGACGTGCCCAACCCAATGTTCTATATGCCCGGAACCAAGATGTTGTTCGGAGACGCCAAGATGACATGCGACGGTGAGTTTCTCTTGCAGTTGCTAGCCAGCATGGTACTAATTACTCGAATAGCCATCAAAGCCGCTATCGAATCTCGAAACTAGAACTAGAACTAGAGCTGCATGCGTACATTCCAGCATATCCCGTGCATAGCCTGCATTCTAGAAATGCATTTGACTGCACGTAAACTTCATCTGACCAGCATTATGCGATTGTAGCCTGTGTACGATTGGTTTGTAGATGCTTGCTGTTTATAGTAGCACCAACGCAGGTCAAGCTAAAGAGCGAGCCAGCTGGCAGTGGCGTGTTTCGGTGTTTTTGACTTTAGTTGTGGCTATGATCTATTGTCCTCTTGGTGCACTATTGATTGAGCATTTAGTTGCGTCATTTCTGATTTCCTTGCATCTGCATACTAATTTACAATATCGCGGAGGTGCATTTTTCATTTCAGTTTCTGTCATGGCGGATGGGATTATTTGTTGTGAGGCTCATCCTGCATATAGGTTAATTGGCTACGTCGGCCGTAAATAGCAAACCGCCAAAAGCAATCACGCTGGTCGGTTACATTTATTGAGTCATGCTCTCACTTCTCCTCTGCAGTGCTGCGAAACCACGAAGCGCTTAATTGGGCGGTGCTGAATCATACTGTTCAGCCACGATCGTGGGTTGAACCTGGCCTACATACGTAATGCCGAGCGTAGATGCACATGTAAAGTCGCTAGCCAAACATGCGGCAAATGTAGTTACAAGGCGAAGATAAATAGCTTAAATCAAGCAGCGACTCAATTGATACGGCGACGATACGACCCGTATAGTTGGTCGCAAAGGCTTGTTTCATGGCAGAGATTTCATCGCGTCCTATTAATTAATGCAGGGGGTAAAGTCAATTGCTTCCCTAAGTTAACGAGTTGCGATGCCAAGGCTTCTGCAGATGCCACCTGTGCCGAGTTGCTCAACCGAGCTTCTGCAAGCTTTCTTTTCCTTCTGATAGCAGCACATAAACAGAGTTCCGAGTGTAACAGGTTTTTGTCGGATCGAAGTGCGCTTTCCCCCGGTGACGATTTCAACCCTCCAAAAAGCTCATGCATGTATGTCATGTTGTTACGCCGTGGCTGGTTGGCTTGCCAGTCGCTTGGGTAATGCCAAGATTTTCCGACATTTCTATTTATGTGGTCATGATCAACATTCGCGCTCCTGCAGCTGCAAAGTCTCATCCTCTTAGTCGCTCGGTTCATGACTCAAAAGGTCCCCGCCGCGACCAGTTACCGCCAGTTGCCCGAACGCCTCTGATGTACCAAGCATGCATGCTTCGAAACACATTGGAGGGGTGAACACAAATGAATTGCATGAGTTGCTGCATCATGGTCAAAAGTCATATTACACGCACGTTTTGGGGCACGCTGGCATTCTGTCGGTCCTGCCGTTCCGCCGTCTTTCATTTTGACATGTCTCAGCATGGCGGATCTCGTGGGCCCAACACTCAACCTTAAAACATTGCTACGTGCGACAAGAATTGAAGATCATCTTAACGCTCAACTCCAAATACGAAACATGCAATTCACCTGTTGCGAACATGCCAAACTCTTTATCTGTATTCCGTATTGCTTAAATGACAAGGTCACTGGCGAACCCGCAATCCCACAGTGGTATGCCGCACACACAGCCCACAAACGCTCGTTGTTCGGCTTTGTTTAGCCTCTGGCCTGTAGCATGCGGCAGTCTCGGGGGTGGGTAATTGAACAGAGGAGCAAGTCATCGTATTTGGCAGCTCGTTTTAAAACTACCCTTGTCCAACAGCCTAGGATCCACGTACAGCTACACCTTTCTCTCTCAGCTACCAGCCCCATTTGGTATTTAGTATTACTCCCTAGCACCTTGTCTGACTTTTGATTGGCCGCCGTCTGTGTAACCTTACTTCCAAATGCGGTGCCTGCCAGGATCTCGAAGATGAGGAAGGACTGCCGATCGACCTGCTTGCAGCTTAGTCAGGGACCACACCTTGCGCATCCTCCCCACGTTCTCCTTGTCTCTTCACGCTGGGAATAAGCCATACGAGGCGTCAAGGCGTGCACTCAACTTCGCTGAGATCACCTGCCACGATCTACTGCATGGCGCCTGCAGGGCTTGACCAGGTCAAGCCAAGTCTTGGAGCCAAGCAACTTGGATAGATGACAATCGTCGCTTTATGTGGACCAAATCGTCAACGCTAGGACGAACAGTTTCAACGCTCCCCCAAGGCGCCCTGTTCAAGCGAACCCCTGGCCCATGTTCGTGGCCAAGCACCTTTATATAGCAAAATTCCGCGCGCATAGGTAACCATGTCTTCTTCAACGAAAGTTCCGTGTTGATCTTCATAATCTTCGTTGTCGCTCGTTTTAGTCCACCTCGAACACTCTGTCGTCATTCCAGTGTTCCCGGAGCGCCTTCACAGATCGTCGGATTTCCTTGACGCTTTACACATCATGAAGTTCACAAAAGTGTCATCGTACGCCCTCTGCGGTGCTGCGGCGGTTTCTGCGCTCCCGCAGACCGTTGCCAAGCGGGACACTAAGGATCCTCTTTCGCTCGACAACTTTGGATGGTTCAGCACGATCTCGTTGGATGATGCAAAATCGGGGTTTCTCAAGTCGCACAACGGCACCATCTCTAAGATCATCGAGGATCTGTCAGACGACCTGAAGGAGGTCGCTGGTGCCATTGCCGACTCTTTGACAGTCGGCGGGTCATCGTCTTCGTCGTCCCCCGGCGAGTCTAAGATCTCTTCGGTTGACGATTCGGCCGACACCGTATCTGCGGCGGCGGTCAGTTGTGACAACCCTAACCAACGATTTGAGTGGAGGAGTTACTCGGACACTGATAGACATGCCTTTGCCGCCGCATTGAAATGTCTGGTCGATGCGCCATCGTCTGGCAACTTCCCTCCATCTCAAAACCGCTATGAGGACCTGGTCCGCGTGCATCAGATGATGACAGACACCATTCACGGCAACAACATTTTCCTTTTCTGGCACAGATACTATGTCTGGACTTTGGAGCAAATTATGAGGGAGGAGTGTGGTTTCGACAGAGCCTTCCCTTGGTGGGATGAGACTCTCGACGCCGGCAACTTTGCCGCCTCTTCCATCTTCACGGCCGACTTTTTCGGAACTCTGCCTACGGCCACCAACGGTCAGGGTACTTGCATCACCGATGGCTACTTCGCCAACACCGTCGCCCACATTGGACCCGGCACGGGCTCCCAGGACCACTGTCTCTCCCGCGCTGTCGACGAGTCCCTGACCTCCCAGTGCAACGAGGACTTTGTCAACACCTGCAACTCGCGCACCAACTATCCCGACATGGAAAACTGCGCCGAGCTCGGCCCTCACGCCTATGGCCACAACGGTATCGGATCCGTCATGGCCGACGTGTCCGCCTCGCCAGAGGACCCTACCTTCTTCCTGCACCACCTCTTCATCGACCGCAACTTCTGGTTATGGCAGAACGGTGATGCTTCCCGCAAGACGCAGATCAACGGCTGCATCGACAACAACAGCCCCTGCACCGCATTGACCCTCGACACCGTCATCAGCGTCCAGGGTCTGCGACCTGACGTCACCGTCGCCGACATTATTGATACCCAGAACGGCGCCATGTGCTATCTCTACACATACTAAGTCCATACGACAGATGTTTCATTTGCAGTTTTTCTTTCCTTCGAGGCATTGGGAGGCGCGGCTTGAACTTGCTTTGTTTTGACTGGGCGCCCAGAAAAGAGGCGGTCTAGGTCATGTCACATAAGGTTTCAATATCTTGTACATACAGATGACTTGATCGAAAAGGCATAGACACCCCCCGGAGCGTTGGCCGACGCCATTGAATGTAATTAATTTAATTCTAATACCCTCAACATTTGCTAGATGCACGTATTTGTCTTGATATATGCAGAGAACATATTAGCTGCCGACGCCACGCGTGCTAGACTTTCATGATCATGTCGTGTACCCGGGTCGTTGTGCTAGTTCATGTCGTGGCACCATGCCACGTCGGTGTCTCACAGGGCGGATGCTGTCTCATCGAAAATCTGGGTTGACTTGGTCGGGCGTCTCGTCACATGATCTAGCATCGATATGCGCGTTGTGCTGATAATGGTAGCTCGCATCTGAAACGGGAATGATTGCTTGAAGCAATTACTCATACCATATGCGTAGGTTCGACCTGTTGATGCTGTTGATCAGGATAGGGTCTTGAGCAATTGTTTTTCGTTCACGCTCTTGGCAGTACTACCGGGGGCAAGTGGCGCATATTAAAATTCGCAATGGCCAAAATAAGATACCAACAGGCTTCCACTAATGCAATACAGAATAGCTGTTCAAACAAGAAGTAATGGTTCTGCTTAGATTCAATCCAACAGAAGGACTACCAATAGTGCATGCTTCGTGACAGTTTCATCCTGCTTGGTCGATTGTGACCGAACAACTATTGCATTGCGGTGATAAACAAACAGGATCTGTCACTCCTCTCGGCCATTTTACTCTTTGTCGTATTCATCTGCGGAACGTGACGGTTGTGCTGCGACATTTGTTGAGGCTTCTTTATTCGACATTATTTTAGGCAGGTCAAGAATTGACAAGTCGACTCATGAAGAAACATCAAGTAGAACTTTTATGGCACGCAGAGCTTTGCCACTGTACCTCGACGCTTACGTATGAGATGGTCGCGATGGCTGGACTGGACTTCCGAACGTTCCCGGTCCCAAAATGCCACCATTTGATACCGGTGATCATCCGTTACATGTCGAAGTCCTGAACGGGCTCGGTAGAGGCTTGCATTCGTTTGTCTAGAAAGCAAGCATTCAAGGTGCGATTTACGCTTCATAGATAAAAAGGATTTCCCGCGCATATGCCTTCGTAGAATTGACAAGTCGTAGTGTTGACGCTCGTGTTATTTTTTTCCTTCCAAAGAATATATATATTTCTTTCAAAAATCGTCAGCATGTCGATTTGTCGAGACTAATAAGGGACGAATCACACGAGCGCTCCATTGTGGCATAAAATATTACCTTATTCAACATATGTACAAATGCCAAGAGGCTAGGTTCAAATGAATGTACTGGAGATGATTCTAGCGACAGCATCGAAATAGACTCTATCAGACTACCAAAGCCTTTTCCGCAAGCTGTATTCGTCCCTGACACAAGGATTCTCGTTGAGATCATCGTGATTCCAAGTCTTATTATGAACCAGCGGCTCCAGCGGCGCACACCTGGACTCGAGTTTGACCGGCACGCACCCATGTGGAATATTCTCTGTCAATGTCTCGTTCAGCACGGTATAAGCAAAACGGACTGCTAATACATCCTGCAGTCGAAACTTGCGCTGACACACGAGCCAAGTCCCGGGTGCGGGACCCCAGACCGACGGTACGGGCTGCGTGGGGGCCGGAGCGCCGAGCGCCAGATCTCCGTCATGGTTCACGAACACATTGTGCTCCTTGGTATAAACCGGGTCGAACTCGTCAAGGTACTGCGCCTTGAACGACAGCCGGAACCATCGCTCGTGGTCCGTGTAGGCCTGCCAGGTGGCGCTGCCGCCTGGAAAATGTATATTCTGCTCGTAAAAGATGGGCCTCATCTCCCGCGTGGCGACCGCTATGTTCTTGTAAGGAACTCCAGCCGACTTGTACCCAAACCACCAAGTCGACTTTTGTGACAATGAGTCCGGTAGACCCGGCAGGATACGTGAGTATTCATTGTCGTAAACACCATCGTAGTCAGCGTTCTTGGCGATGCGGATCCGGTATGCCTTGTCGTAGACGAAACCAGAGGCGCTCCGCTGTGCATGTTCCGTCGTGTCGGGCGAGATTGCGACGGCACTGGCAAGTGCACAGAGGCCGAGCGCGACAAAGCTTCCAAGATGCATGACAAAGTCCTTGATATGGCAACTCGAAGCCGTCGCGTCCACAAGTGCTTGACTTATACGACGATGGGAGACGGTACAATGCAGATATACCAGCGTGGGCGCATGCGGCGCACTACACTGAGCTTAAATACCTAACAAATCTCACCACTAACTGCGTGAACTTTTGCTCAATACTACCTTGTTGTAGCATGAGTGAGGACACTGCACAGTCGAAATTGATTGCCTTGGCGTGCATACTCGTATCTGCAACTGCTGGATCGGAGAATAATTGTATTGGCTGATCCAAATGTTGTGTTGAATCCTTAGACAAGGTCTAATCGGTGAATTAGGTGTGTAGCGGGCGCAGGTGGTTGAAAAGTACCCAGACACTTACTAACCTACCCCAGTCTGCCTGGTTCCGCGAGACCGCAAGCTGGAGGCAGAAGAGGTCGGGGACTTCGACCATCTACAAATTAATTGAGTATTGTCGAGACTTTCTTGAGGTTTCACAAAGTGAGATGTGCCAATGTGCGAAAAACGGAGACTTTCCTCGTGTTGATGACAGTCCACATCTATACGTCGGGGGGGGGGGGCAGCATCAACAATCATGGCCACGGCGCAAACGCTCACAGATAGTGTGCGCTGGAGAGGTCTTCCCCCTATAGAGCAACAACAATGACCATTTCAGGAAGAAGAGACAGAATGAGATTTCATGGTCCTCTTGATGGGCAAATCAAGGGCTGGGGAAAAATCATCGATTATGTAGCTGTCTCTATCTGTCATCTGAGCCTTTTATCCCATTGTAACAGGTAGTCGCGGCACGTTCCACGCTTGAATCGTAAGATTGTAATTTGGTTTGACAGATAACGATGTAACCTAGGGATCTCAGCATCAGACGGATGGCCTTAGCGCAATACCATATGGGAAGGGTCATTGGCATTGAGACGAAGGCAGAAATCGTTCATTTGTATGAGTCCACCGCAGAATTGATCGTGGTTGCTCGGCGGTGTTGGGGTCTGCTTGAATTCATCTTTGTCCATCAGTCCGATGATTATCAGAATATAGTAGGTCTTCCTTTCGAAATCGTACTATTAGATCGTTATAATACAGTGGTTGTAGGCCACCGAAAGCTAGCAATGGTCCCGCCCCCGCTTTCCTTTCCCTGCCTTTGGAGCCAATCAGAGCAAAAACCTGATGGGTGCCTCAGATACCCATCTGCGGCAACCACTTTGGGTAGGTAGCCTTCAGCCGAACAGAGGATAGCTCTCAGGGCCCTGTTCCGTACCCTTAATAAACCTACCTTTGATCACTATCCACGTCACGTGTCCATCAAAACCAATTACAGAGCGCCTAATAGTAATACTATTGCTTCACACATCATACCATACCAGCACATAGCACAAAGCCATATTCAGATGGGTCTGCGCTCATTGCCATTCGCCCAGAACCCGGAAGAAGGTTCAGGAAGTGACAGATGACAAAAAGGATCAAGTCACAAGTTCCCAGGCCACTCACAAGTTCGTAAGCATTGCGGGATATCGGAAAACAAATGCTTTTGAGTAAAAGTAAATTAGACTACGCATTGCAGTACTCCTGCATTAACGACAATAGAGTTATAAGCCATGCTTTACTTTAGTAGCGCGGATTTCAGTGGGAGAGGGTTGCAAATCTAGATCCCTGGCCGTGAATAAACTGAAAAGTTTATGTAATCATATAATCAAGACACATGGATCGCAAGCACTCACCTAAAAAGACTCCTGGGGTCGCTGACGTGCCTTCCTACAGGACATGACAATGCTTGTTAGTTATCCGCCCTAAACCGCTGAGTTAGCAGACCCCGATGCCGCCCATGGACACAGACATGAAGCCCAAATGAAGGTCTACACTGAGAACTTGTTGTGATGCAAAAGAAAAGAAGAAAAAGCCACGAAGGCAAACCCAGGGGAGCGGACTACATCGTGAGCTACAGTTATTGTAAACAGACATGTAATAGGATGGTCTTGGTGGCAGATTAAATTTAATTCATTAGTTCGTGGTACTCATCGTCGCTGTAACAAGTTCTGCCGCTCAGATCGTGGAAACAATAGATCCCGTGACCATAGCTTCATATATTGATCTATATGTTGTGTAGTACGTACCCAAATGTTACTTGAAAGCACAGTCTCCTACTGCTATATGTTCATTCAAGATATGCTCATGGCTTTGTTTTTACTACTTAGTAACGATGGACTGCCGATGGGAGTCTGGAAGCAGTGTATTTCAGGCTACAATACAGGCATTTGACTTTGAATTCACTACAGTATCTATGAGATCTGACAATCCAGGCTTTGGTATAGAGATTCTGGAAAGACATACGCTTCAATAGAGCCAGCCATGTTAGCGAAAAAGCCAGAAAGGAAATAGGAAAAGGAGTGAGAAGATGGGAACTTACACGTGCGGTTTCGAATCTCGCGTCGGAACTTCGAGCAGCAATGGTCTTGAGTTAAACCAGCGCGAGTTTGTACCTTGGTTTCAATACTGCCATAGTGTCTTCCCCGATGTGGGGGTTTCATGTTCATTGTTGAGTCCCGCTGTTGCCATATGTACAATATATATGCCACTGATATTTTCTTTTCTTTTTCAAATGTCATCATGAAGGCGTCGACACATGTGTAAGAGATCTTGCACTTTTCCCCGATAGTACACACACCAATATGTTTCTACTCGAGGCGTGTTTCCGTGCTACGTGTCAATCATCACTCAGGACGAATGGCTCGACCCAGACTGGGCAAGCTGGGAAGGAACGAATTGACCAAATGTTTGACTTGGCCCCAATCCAGAGTGGGGCACTTGACTGCTCTTGCGCACGGCACAAATTGCACCTTTTGCTAGATAAGAAAATTTAAGCTATACCCGCGTCGATGTTGTTTTGGCCTGGGCGCATGAACTTTTGAAGCACACCCATACTATTCATTCAACGACGCTCCCCTCATTTATTTGCCAAAATGGCCAAACCGAACACAAAAAGCACCCTTACCAAGGATGAGAGACAATTGATTCACTATCAAAGGCACACTGACGCCAGAGACAAGCGGCTCGTGATTGATGCTGCAGATCCGGTGGTGTTTTTCGGTCCATATCCTGGAATCGTCGTACCAGCAGGACACCAGGAGCCATACGACAGAAGTAGGCTGCTGGAGAATATGCGAGGGAAGCAGGAGACTAGGCAGCAATCGGGCGTCGGCAAGACCTCAATCGGACACCGAGTACTTGTGGCCGAGAAGGACGCGTTCAAGGCCCACGTCGCTGTGTACGACCAAACCGTACACAACAAGCGCGACGAGGACTGGTACGACGAGTTGGGGGTAGATGACAGAGTCACGGAGGTAGTTGGCAACAGTTTCATCCGCCCGAACTACCAGTACAACCCCGGACTGGAAAGCCGCAAGGAGATCAATTGGTGGAGATGGCCGCGCTAAGACATCGAGTTAGTTGACTGGAGCTGAGCAGTACGACCACCAGTTAATTTCAGACCCAAGCAAGGTCTTGAAATGTCCAAGAATAAACACAGAGATGGCGCTAGAGAAAGAGCACGTGTGATAATGGCAGCATTCGAGGCTACGGGACAACTGCCAGCAGATAAGCCATTGAACTCTCGCGCCAAGAGAGCCCTCAAGCGAAAAGGGCTGTTTCCGAACCCACCGGCGGAGACATCATTGTTGGCCTTAGGAAGTGCAAATCGAGACCCTCGAGTTGAAGACCAAGAGGAGCACGATGGCTGGAAGTCAGCAGAACACCTTCGAGCCCTCAACCGTAACCGACAGGCAAGATTGGACGTCAACAAGCAATACCCAGACCGTCCATATGTCATGAACGCCTGGAACTTCAATGAAACAGACGAAGGCTTGAAGAAGTTGAGCCTAGACTGGCCAGACAATCGCACAGACGAGTCGCCGGCTGACATATTTGTCATTGGTTTCGCTTTCCTGAAGAAGATGGGATGGGTCGACGGCACAGCACTCGGAGATTGCCCATATGAGCCGACGGTTATGAAGTCGCACGTTGGGTATATCCCGCCTTATATCCGCGATCGCAAGGCTGCACTTGGCGGTGATGCTCTTGATACAATCTGGGGCGAAGTGCAGATTGGAAACATCAACGCCACCGTTCCCGATACCTTCAAGCCACCAACGGCCGGATTTGAGAACAATCCGGATTATACGATCAACTTTCGGCCGGCGGGCTTTGAACGCCGCGACTCCCTTGGAAATCTGTCAAGCCAAGGCACCCTGGGATGCATCTTCAAAGTCTATAGCAAAGAAAGGCTGCCGCAGAACTTAAGACAGCAGCTGGAAGATATCGGTGCACGCCTTGGCCCTGCTTACGAGCCACTACGCGAGCAACAGGCGTCATTTGCTGTAGAACAAAGAGGTGCAGATGACTCGCCCGCTTCCAGCATTGAAGCGGATGGCATGGGCTCATCTGACGAAGATCAAGCCAAGCCTGCGGGGGATATGGACCTTGGTGAAGGTAATTCAGTGGCCCTGAAAAAGGGCAATGGACGATTGTGAAGACATTGTTAAGAAATGCCAGCAAATTCTACTGCGATATCGGTATTGTATCCGGGACAAATCCAACCTTGGAAGAAACAACGAGCATGAGTTAAAAAATATGGTGCTGCGTATGATGACTCTATTGTGATCTTATTGAATAGACATTCTATCTCATCAATCGGGCCTCGCCATCCAGACTCCGGGCTTTGACCTTTGATGGTCCATCAGCCATCTGCGTCCATGATCCGTCGGCATTCCAAACACCGGCTTTTGTATAATCCATTGTCGAACTTCCCTGCATCCAGGCAAATCTAAAGTACTCGTTCAAAGCCAGTGTACCGCTCCGCTTCCAAGTAAAGCTGTCCTCGCCATCAACGTCGGCGAAGTAGGTCCTCAAACGCTCAACATCATTGACGAGGACGCTGATGCCGTCAAACTGCGGTGCTGGTGGCGAGTGCCAGTTGAACGTGATGGTGGAAATGGCTGCAGCAATTGTGGCATTAGTAGCCGACGATGCATTGGAAGCCAAGCTGACTATCGGCTCGATGAGTGTTGGAAGCGGCGAGCCGAGTTGCGCATCGCCCTGCAGCGCATATGACGTCTGCAATACCGAATCGAAGCCCCATCTTGCAATCCCATTGATGAAAAAACCAACCAGGATGCCTTGATAGAGCAGGGACGGGCGGGTCTGCATGCTGGTGCCTGGCAGAAGCAGAAGAGCCAAGATATAATGGTGGATACGGAGGCTGAGATCTGGCAGAACCAAAGCAATTATGATGGTAAGGATGAACAAGGCATATAGCCTCAGGTACTTCAACAGCCGTCCTTCCTGCCGAAAGAACCAAACCTGCGATATCACGACGACAGCAAGAACAATGATGATCATGGCAAGAGCAGCCTTAGCGCCGGGCTGTTGATCTAGGTCGTGTCCCGTCAGACGCTGAATTGGTATAAAATCGAAAGTGTAATTGGTGAGCGCGCCCACCCAGCAACCCCCAAGCCACAGAACGGTCTTTTCAACCTGAGCAGTTAGGCCCTTCAATGTTCTTCTGACGCCCATCTTGTCGTATATCACCCAGGCGCAGAACATGGCTGGCAGAAACTTGCCAAGAATGTTGGAGAACAAACCTGCGGTTGTAGTGTGCGAGGGGGCATCCGAGGCCATGCCAACCTGCCAGAAGATGCCGACAAAGACAGAAAAGAAGAAGACGGGAGCTGACGAGGTGAACAGTGCGAGGACTGCTGTGAAAGTCACCGACACGGCAAGCAATGGCCATCTAACATCTTTGGAGTCGCACTCAATACCATTCTCAAATGTGTACGAGAGTGGGAAGTACGAGGTGAAGCCGGTGCTCGTGATGCCATTCCTCGTGGAACTGGCGAAATCAGACTGCTGTCCAATCAGCTTGACGACACCACACCCTCCTTTGCTGTTGCTGATGACACCTGCGTGGATTCCCGCGCCGCATATGAAAGAGTCGCCGCGGTAGATGGCATTCGTGGTATTGCTCGAGCTGCCAGGGCCGCCGACGATGAGCTGTGTGTAGACGACTTCCTGGTCACCTACGGCCCTGGGGTTCAGAACCTTGTAGCTGGCGCAATTGGCGGGACATTTGAAGGCGAAGCCTCCATCTGAAAACGGTCTGCAGTCATTTCCGTCCGTGCCGCACTGGTTGCCAGAGACCCAATACGTAGTTCCACAGCTAACATCACTGGGGGTGCCGAAGCTCTCGATTTCCGAGGCCTTCAGTCCCTGGCGCATGACCAGACAGAAGGTCAGGAGCCAAATGGCAACATAGCCCATGAACAACCATATACGATGCCGGCGGTTGGGCAAATACTTGTCGAGCAGCACCAGAGGGGCTTCTTGTACGACGGGGAACAGGGGCTTGATCTTGTAATCCGTTGGCTCTTTCGGACCGCTGGACCATTTGGCAACAGCGATGCCGAATCGCCTCACGGGATATGGCACCCACTTCCATCTCTTCCAAGCGCCCTCATCCTGCATGAAGCGCGGTGTTACCGTTCCGTCCTCCTCGACTTCCAAATGTCCGACTTGGTCTATGGGGGCGTCCGGGTGCAGGGACTCGGTGCGAGATTCGGAACTACTGGCTTCGGGTCGCTCTGTCTCGAGAACAATAGCAGGTGACTTCTTTGCTTGCCGGTCGCTCATGTTGGTGAGACCCTTAGGTTTCCAGGGTACAATTGTGGGAAATCAATGTGATGAATGCCTAGTCTACTCGACTTGTCGATGTGAAACAGACCGAGAAGATGATGTGGTTCTGGTGTTTTGGCCGTCGCTGGGTCGAGGCCGGGAGGATCGGACGAGTCGCAGATGCGATGGCAAATCAATGCTCCCGTAGCAATGCGCTGCGTTGCGTGGCGATTGTAGCAAAAAGAGTCGAAACCTAAGTGAGCATGTCGAGAAGTTCAAACAAGACCAAGAGCCTGCACTGCAGTCTGCTTGTCAGGGCTACTGGATCGATCAACGGCAAGGTGTTGGGATGGATGGAGCGTGTCAGTTGTGTTGTCCTGCGCCGTCACCGGGGGACGAGACGAGACATTCAGAACGTCTCAAACGGACATGTCGGGTAAGCAACCGGGCAGGCAGGCAAGCTACTGTAACAAAAGACATAGTTAAGCGGCGTGGTTGAAATCATCATGACATGAACTGATTGGCTCTCGTAAATCGAGTCCCCACCATCATTCATTCTCAGCTGTCTTCCATGTCTGCTGCAAGTTCATCCGCACACTGGGTGTGAAGATGATAATACTTTGTACCTGGCCCGCTCGTTCCCCAATTAGATTACGGATCTCATCATGCACTCTGTATGACATGGAGTCCAAGCCGCTACCAACCGTACCTGTGGATTCAAGGTGTGCGAGTGTCGATAATGTTATGGAATATTGATGTATAAAAGTTCATTTGGATGTTCCAAGGACCCCCGAGGAGCCCCGGCATGATAATAAGAGTCATGATTACCGAGTCTCAGGCAGCTTTGGGGCAGACGCGACCGAGGAATCGCGAGGGTGCCCCGCCGTTCAGCCTGCTAAATAAACATTTGAACCCCACCAAAGACCACGCAGGGACCAAAGTAAATTAATTCTGTGGTTCCTTTCCGCCAGCTCGCACTGCCTGCTGATCCCACGCCGTGAGGACATCGAAGCTGATCTACTTCGTGCTGAAATACCTGAAGTCGTTCGGGACTTCCTTACCGATCGCTGGACGCCTATATAACATATCATTCATTATTTCCCCAATTCGTTTTAACCCCTCTGTCCTGTTGGGTAGGGGCTATCACAACTCCGCACCTCATCCCAAGGCCACCATGAGTTCTGCGGATGACAAAGATGACATGGCCTTTAAGATCTTGAAAGCCGCCAACGGAGCGGGTGCGAGATTGGGAACGCTGACACTGCCCCATCGGAAGCAGATCAAGACGCCCAACTTTGTGGATATCTCGTCCAGAGGCGCAATACCTCATCTGACTATCGATGTCCTGAACAAATATACCAATGTGCACGGCGCTTATATGGCCCTCGAGGACTGTATGTATCGCATGGGTCTTGACGAGAGCTTCCGCTGACCAATCAGTCATAGAAAGGTCCATCAAGAGGGATTCGCCAGCAATCTATGCAACCCCAGAAGACGGCGGTAGGCGCCTTCACTCATACACAGCTCTGCCCACCGAGATCATCACCATTTTAGGTGCTCGTAGATATCCAGCTGTCGCGGCCCCAATGGGAAACGGAGCCAAGCATCTTTCCGTCTTTACTTCTACTGGCTTTCAGAGTTTAGAAATTGAGCGGTATTGCAAGGCTGTTCTCACACTCAAGCCAGATATAGTCATTCCCATGGCAGATCTAACATTCGACAAGGGGACGCGCAGCCACAAACGTTTGCGTAGAATGCTGGAACGAACCGACGAATGGGTTGAAGGTTTCTTCCAGATACTTGATTGTGACAACGCCTTGAAGCCATTGGGCATTGAGATCTTTGCTCCGACACTTCCCGTTGAGTATGCGATGCAATGGGAATACCTAAATCGCCTGTCCGAAGACCATGCTCCAAAGCTTTCCGGTCTTGCAGTCTACGATGTCAATATCTTACCCGACCTGCAGCGACATGCTCCATTAGCATCTCTAGCACGGCTATCAATGGACTCGCCATCGTCTCCCCATCAAATTCTGCGACAGATCCAGCTAGGCATAGACATTTTTGCCCTTCCTGTTCTGAACGGAATATCGGATGAGGGCACTGCATTGACTTTCTGCTTCCCTCCATCGCCGGCGCAAGCTGGCAATGTCAAACCGCTTGGGATAAACTTGTGGTCAAAGGAGCACCAGACGTCCGTGACGCCGCTGGTGGAAGGCTGCGACTGTTACACATGCACTAAACATCATCGTGCGTTTATCTGCCATCTTCTGGATGCTAGAGAAATGTTGTCGTGGACATTGCTTCAGATTCACAACCACCGCGTAATGACCAAGTTTTTCGACGGTGTCCGCTCTGCCCTTGCCGATGAATCATTCGACCAGAAAGTCCAAGACTTTGCTCGTGCTTACGACCCAGAGCTCCCACATAGCACAGGAGAGCGCCCACGGACCCGAGGGTATCACTTTAAGTCCGAAGCTGCACAGCCCAAATACAACGAAGCCCCATGGCGAGCATATAAAGGCGACACAGGTGGTGATCAGGCGCTGGCAGGTGAGGCTGCTGGCCTAGCCGTGACAGGGGCCGCATCGCTGGGAGCCGAAACTCCGCTGATCCCCGAAGCAACTGCTGAAGAGTTGAATGAGAAAGGTTTTGCCGAAATAGAAAAGAGCGCTTGATGCCCGACCATGGACTCGGCCAATTCTTCCTCATGATGGGTTTTGAACTTCCCGGCCACGGCCACGAGCACAATTACAACGCTGGTGGTCTCCGCCGCCCTTACACGGCCCGTGTAAGGTCGAGTTCTGTCGTGAGGTTTAGCTCATCAAGTGACGCACCAAAGTCCCAAAGAACTATGCACGTGCTGGTCAATACTATGTACGTCGTCCGCAGTACGCAGTTCACAGCTACTGCACTGGAACCGTGCTGTTCGGGTTGCGGATGCCTGCAGCGGATCCAGACTATCGGGACGTGCTCGCCTTCTTGTCACCCAGCTAGGCTAGATTCTGATGAGCGAGCACGTGGGTTTATGACTACGCTTTTTGAAGTTTGTAGAGTACTGACCCATCTCTCGTTCTATGCGATACTTGAGTGTGTTCGTTTCTAAGAAGTGTCGAGGCTCCAGACAAACTATGCGACGAGAGCTTCTTCGAGACCATCATCGGAAATGAGATACCTCATATGTCCATCAAGTTTCTGCCACGCATACGCATCTTGCTTGTCCTCTTCTGTGATGTGAGTGTTGGTGATCAGATCCAGGTCTCCAGCCTGCATGTGTATATGCCAAGCAAACCCAGCCACACGACGTTTGCCCCGCTCGGGCAGGTCCTTTGAGCTGGAGCAAGACAATAACAGAACCAAATTGGCCAATCATAAGTAGAACTCGGCGCACGTTGTTGTCGCTTAACACTCTCAACCCCCGCAATGCGAACGTTATTTAGACCTCCCGAAGTCAATCGACTTGGCAAACGTTGGCGAACGCCAAGGCCCAACTTTGGCTTCATCACTTGCTGTCTTGCTCCATCAGAATGTTGAGTAACGTCCTCTCGCGAACATGTAGCAAGATACGATATATCCCTAGCCGTACTCTCTTTCCAGTATCCCTCCAACCACAACCACCGTGAGTGTGAATCGAGGCCTCAATGACGCGAAATGTGAAAGCCAATGGACATGCATACTGGTCGAATGCCACTCATTCCATTACAAGGTTGTCGGCCTCTTTGATTCCAATGCTTGGCTGCATGTAGGGCGACTTGGCATTCAGGACGCCTTTCCCTCTCATATTGGAGGCGTAATTTCGCGTCAACACGTGCGCTCGAAAAGTGCACTGATTCCTGCGGTATGAAGCCGAAAGCATATCTATTGCCTGCTTGCAGGCTTCTATCTGGGCAATATTCCATGCATGAGCTGAGCTATGAGCCCGCCGCTGTGCTTCTCTGTACTATCGGTACGGAACACGATTGGTTCCAGCACAATCGAGTGGCTCGATTTAGAAATGATTCCGCGCAGCCAGAAGTTTTTCACATCGTACTGCATGTAGATCTCCCCCTTGCTATATAATGAGCACACTGACCTGCATAAAAAACCGAACCTGCCCTCAAGGTCCTTTCTCTTCGTCCAGCTCGATCTATCTCTGATCTTACGACCAATTGGAGCTCAATTGGTCATATATAGTCAAGATGTTCAGCCGACTAGCCTCAGCTGCCGTGCTAGCAGCTTCACTAAGTGCTGTTTCGGCTCAGTACTACCAACGCCTCGGTACCTGCCCCACGCTTGGCTGCGTGCTCCCTCCCGACCAGCAGGATTTTCTTCCCGGCCAGTATTTCGACCTGCGTCTCGAGGTTCACGCCCCTGTCAATGGCTCTGAAGCATTCAACGGTGGCGTGCCCGATGAAGAGTTCACCGTAAGCATCACGAAGGAGGGCGGCGAGGCGAAGAGCATCACCGAGTTCTTCAGCGTTGAGGAACCCAAGATCGAGAAGTGGACCTTCAAGTGGTTTGAGGACTTGTACGCAGAGGACCTCAAGACTCCCTCCGTCGTGAATGTCGCATCCAAGATCTACAGACGATTGGCCTTGTACGAGCCTGGTACTTACACGGTTACCCTGCACTACTATGGCGGCGAGACTACTACTGCTGAATGGGTGGTCCGCCCACTGGCGACATCAAAGAAGGCCAAGAACGTCATTCTATTTATCGGTATGTCTACACATTCCCAATGACTGGATATATCGCTAAATGTTCGTAGGTGATGGCATGACGACGAATATGATCACTGCCGCTCGTCTGCTAGGCCACAAGAGCATCAATGGAAAATACCAGTCGACCCTGCAGTTGGACAAGTTTCCCGTCGTTGGTCACCAGATGGTACCGTGAAGCGCGCTACCTGTTGAAACTAACGAGCTAACATGATCTGCAGACTCACTCTATTGACAGTTTCATTACTGACAGTGCTAACTCCGCCTCGGCTCTCTACTCTGGTCACAAGTCTACAGTCAATGCTATGGGGTGAGTCATACCTAACACAGCATTGAAATTGTGGTACTAATCATGTTTAGTGTCTACGCGGACTCCTCGCCTGACTTGTATGATGATCCCAAAGTTGAGACCATCATCGAGCTTCTGAAGCGAATTTGGGGATCCTCTTGGGGCGCTGTCTCAACCGCCTTCCTGGCTGATGCTACGCCGATCGCCCTCACTGCTCACACCCGTTCCCGATATGCCTACGGTCCCTTGATCGACCAGGCTCTCAACTCGGTGACCAACTATACATGGACTGACCACGGCGGTCCGGACGTCTACTTCGGAGGTGGCGCTGAGCAGTTCCTTCCCGGCTCTGGATCTTACCAGGGCAAGGATTATTACGCCGCTTTCGCCGAGGCCAACTACACAATTGCCCAGAACAAGACCAGTCTCGCCAGCCTGTCCAACACTGAAAAGGCTCTCGGTGTCTTCTGTAAATCCAACCTGCCAGTCTGGCTGGACCGCAACGTCCTGACAGACAACCTTAAGAGCTTTAGCAACGACCCGAATGGTGCAAAGGCCCCCGCCCTGGACCTTCCAGGCCTGAAGGAGATGACTCTCAAGGCTATTGACATTCTACACGAGCGTAGCGGCGACAAGGGGTTCTTCCTCATGTCCGAGGCTGCTTCCATTGACAAGCAGATGCACACATTGGATTACGACCGTGCTCTTGGTGATCTGCTTGAGCTTGACGACACGGTCCGTGCCACAGTTGACCACCTGAGGGAGATTGGCGAGCTCGAGAGCACTCTCATCATTGTCACTGCCGATCACGGTCACGGTTTCGATGTCTTCGGTGGCGTAGACACCAAGTACCTATCCGAGCAGGACACGGCCCGCGAGAAGCGCCGCGCCGTCGGTGTCTACCAGAACTCGGGCTTGTCTCAGTACACCGTCGAGAAGCCCGGCATCAGCTACAACACGGGCCCCAATTTCCCCGTCAACTGGGACCCCAGATACGCCATCGCCGCCGGTTTCGGTGCGAACCCTGACCACCGCGAGAACTACCGTGTCAGCAACTCTACTCCTCGCACGCCGGCGACGAACGTCACTGGTTTCGCATCCAACGACTACTTCGTCAACCCCAAGGACAACCCCGACGGCTTCGTCGTCAACGGTACTCTGCCTACCAACGAGGCCCAGGGTGTGCACTCACTGACCGACGTCGCGCTCTTCGCCATGGGTCCTTGCCAGGAGACTTTCGGCGGCGTGTATGGTAACATCGACATATTCTACAAGATGGCCAACTGCCTGGGTCTTGCGCGGCCGGACGCTAACGAGGGTGGATCTTGCCAGAAATAGACCACGGAGGCGACGAAACGACAAGTAACGGGTTTAATAGAAATTATATGTACATACTTAATACCACACGATTTGTAGAAAGCAGTGTAGAGAAGAATTAATGTTACCACCGACCTAACAGGTATTTCACACTAACTAAACTACACGCAAACGCTCCGCCGCCTTTTTCTCGTGAACCATTGGCTTCATTTCTCGGGCACCTGGACCCCAACATAAACCTCGCTCGTCCTGACCTCGGGGACCCTGAAGCACTTCCTGCCCCACGCAAAGTAGTAGGCGGTCCCGAACGCCATCCAGCCCGCCATGACCACGGACGAATAATTCATGGTCTGGGCCGTGACGGGCATCGCCGAGGGGAACGTGGAGAACAAGATGCTGACCACCAGCCAGACGACAGAAACCAGGTTCAGCACCACGCCCAGCGGCCGGCCCAGCCGGAACGGCCCGTAGTCGGCGCGCGCGAGCCGCGACCGCCCGTGAAGCAGCATGTAGCAGATGGGCAGCACGTACGAGAGGTACATGCCGATGACGGCCATGGCGAGGATGGCGTTGAAGGCGGTGGAGTTGCCGAGATAGATAAACCCCAGCAGCATCTGCAGCACCGTGATCACCAGGATGGCCACGGTGGGGACCTCGTTGCGGCCGTCGACGGCGCTGATGCTCGCGTGGAACGGCGTCGCGGCGTCCCGCGCGAACGCCCACAGCGTCCGCGACGTCGAGGCGATCCCCGCCACCGTCGCCGCCACCGCCGTCAGCGTCACCGACAGCGACAGCAGCGTCGCGCCCGCGCTGGAATCCGTCGCGTACAGGAAGATCTGCATGAAGGGGAACCCCGTCGGCGTCGTGAAGAGGTCCTCGACCGGGCCCGTGCAGTACAGCAGCATGATGCAGTAGGCGAAGCCGATCAGGCCGTTGACCACCGACGAACCGACCATGGCGATGGGAACGTTGCGGCTCGCGTTGGGGATCTCTTCGGCCATGTGGCAGGCGGCGTCGTATCTATATGGAAGGAAAAAAAAAAGCGACGTGTTAGTTTTATCAAGTCGATCGGAACAGCAGACAAACGCTGGGCTGTGTAGACACAGGGAAACTAGTCGAGGAAAACGTACCCTAAGAAAGGATAGACAGCACTCAGCAGACCGACAAGCCACGAAACACCGTCATTGGACCACCCGCTCGAGTTGGCGACCTCGACAAACACGAAGCTCGAATCATTCTTGGGCGCCATGATCGCAAGGGTGATAAAGATGGCAAGAAAGCCCAAGACGTGCAGGACGGCCGAGGCCAGGTTGACGGTTGGGAGCAGCTTGTGGCCGTAGACGTTCATGACGGCGCCGTAGACCAGGATGAGCCAGAAGATGAGCATGGCCTGGTACCGCTCCGGCACGTAGGTGTCGCCGTTGTTCAGAACGGCCAGGCCCTGGATCTGCAGCGCCGCCGCAAAAGCCGCCGAGGCCGTGAGCACGACCTGCCCTCCGATGGAGATCCATCCTGTGAACCAGGCCGCCGCGGACCGCGTCGACGATGGCGCGAGCGCAGCCACCCAGTGATATTGACCGCCGGCCGTGGGGTATATAGAGGCGATCTCTCCCAGTGAACATGTGATGGCGATGGTGCAGATGAAAGAGAGTACACTGTAGAGTTACAGACTCCGTGTAAGTAAATGCCATATGGTAAGTTTGGAACAGAACGACGAGGTAGCGCTAGTACGTACTAGTTGTAAAATAGACACGGGGCACCTCCATTCACTATGGCGGACCCCAGCACCGACGACAGAGCCTCCCATGTCGCCATCAGACACATGCACAGCGCCATCATGGACCACATGGAGAACTCCCTCGGTAGCTCCTGCGTGTAACCGAGCTGTTCGAGGCGGGCCGCCTCTGAGATCTGTGTACCATGGCCATGCTCGGCAACGTTGGAATCTTGGCGCTTGAGGTCAATACTATGCTTCATGTCTGTAACCTGGGACATGGTGGAGGATTCACTTGCTCCAGTGGTCTGACCATCGTAAGACGAGACCAAACGAGGCAGGGTGAATGTATTTATGATTTCGTAAAACGAACCGTTTATTTGGTAATAGTCTGCGATATGGATGTCACAAGCTTTCTGTTTAGATAAGAAGATACGGCCCGACCAGTACAATCATTGTTGTTGGTGATACTGTGGGGGACATCCAGGCCCTTCAGCCATGTCTGGATTGCCATATCATAGTTTCAGGGGTTACATCTGCCGGGACCCAATGGGACTTTCAGCACAGGATAATGTTGCTTATCCTCGAGATAGATAAGCACTTCTTCCACATCTTGCAAGTGTCATGCTAGTAAGGATCTAAGAATAATTATTCGATTGCGTCGATTGTCCCATGTTACGCAACTCTTACGCTCGGAACGTTCCGAGCTCTGTACGGTTATTGTTCCGAGCTACAGTATGGGTAGTCCTTCCGAGGTTTCCGAGCCATCTCCAACCCGAAGCTCGGAACTAGACGCCACCATATGAGACTGTTTAGCGACTATCTCGAAAGTTTGTTCATCGAATAAGCTCATGCCGCTGTTCCGAGCTTTGAGACCTCAGTCAGAAGACTTCCGCGATCTCGGACTGATAGGCGTACTTATTACATCCAGGCCTGCGCAGATTCCGGCCTCTGAAACTGAAGGAGCTCATTTCCCTATACCGCACCAATTCGCCAATTGAGAACTAGCTTCATTCATCAAGATGGCCCTTGCACTTCCCCACCCGCTGAAGCAGCTAAGCATCGAGGAGACAAACCTCGCTCGGGATGTTACCTTGACCTTGCACAAGGGTGCTGTGATCGAGTTTCGTGAGATCTTCCTGAACGAGCCACCGAAGGCTGAACTCATCAAGTACTTGGATTTGGAGCATTCCGGGCAACTAACCGACAACTCGCCACGGCCACCGCGTCTGGCGAAGGTCCAATATGATGTTATTGGAGAAGGCAACAAAGCGCCCGTGTTCCACGAATCAGTTATCGACCTTCGCAAGAAGGACAGAATATCACATGAGACGATCAGCTCAGATTACCAAGCTGCTTTGACGATGTAAGAATGACACATCTCGAGCACAGAGACGCGATACTAACGGGAATCTAAGACATGAGTTTATGACATTCGTGGAAGTCTGTCAGAAGTCGGAGCTTTACCAATCGAAGATCGCAGAGCTCAAGCTGCCCGAAGGTTTCGAAGTAGTTATTGAGCCATGGCCTTACGGTGGTATGGATGCGACCGAGGAGAGGCGACGATTTTTCCAAGGACTACTTTTCGGAAAGGACACGAGAAACGGCAACCCGGACTCCAACTTCTACGCGTTCCCCCTCCCGCTAATTCCCATCATGGATTGGGCCGACAAGAAGATCGTGAAGGTGCTTGAGCTGGCGACCGGCGGAAAGGGCGACAGCTTGACTGCCAGGACAGAAAAGCCTAATGTACTCGATCACTGCAAGGGCAGCGAATACGTACCAGAGCTCCTGCCTGAGGGAACACGACAAGATCTGAAGGCTCTGCATGTCGTACAGCCTGACGGCCCCAGCTTCACTGTCTCTGACGACAACCTTATCGAATGGCAGAACTGGAGGATGCGTCTCAGCTTTAACACAAGAGAGGGTGCTGTCCTCCACGACGTCACATACCAAGGGCGCAATGTCATGCACAGACTCAGTATGAGTGAGATGACAGTGCCATATGCCGACCCGAGAGAACCTTACCACAGGAAACAGGCATTCGATTTCGGCGACGGTGGTGCTGGCAACTGCGCCAACAACCTTACTCTTGGCTGCGACTGTCTCGGTGTTATCAAGTACTTTGACGGCATCATCACTGGCCCTGATGGAACCGGTGAGGTCGCCAAGAATGTCGTGTGCTTGCACGAGCAGGATAATGGTATCGGCTGGAAGCACACCAACTGGAGGACAGGCCGTGCCGTAGTGACGCGCCGTCGTGAGCTCGTCTTCCAGTTCATCATCACTCTGGCCAACTACGAATACGCCTTCTACTACATCCTCGACCAAGCTGGTGCCATCAACATCCAAGTTCGAGCCACTGGTATTGTTTCTGTTGTCAACATCGACGAGGGCAAGAAGAGCGACTACGGAAAGATCGTCAGTCCTGGTGCTCTAGCCCAAAACCATCAACACATATTCTGTGTGCGCATGGACCCCGCCATCGATGGACACAAGAACACGGTGGTTCAAGAGGAGAGTTTGCCCGTGCCCATGAACCCAAAGACCAACCCCCATGGTAACTACTACGAGGTTGTGCAAACACCCATTACAAAATCGGGCGGCATCGATGCCGATCCATCAAGGCATCGTATCTTCAAGATTCAAAACCGAAACAAGTTGAACCCTATCAGCGGAACACCCGTCGGATACAAAATCGTGCCCCCAGCGACTCAGCTGCTCCTCGCCGACCCCAACTGTGTTCAATCCAAGCGCGCCGAGTTTGCGAAGCACCATCTTTGGGTCACTAAACACAAAGACGACGAGTTCTATGCCGGCGGTCGTTTCACACTCCAAAGCACAAAGGAGGTGGAAGGACTTGGCGATGCGGCAGCCAGAGGTGATAACGTAGAAGACGATGACATTGTTGTTTGGAGCTCTTTCGGCCTTACCCACAACCCTCGTGTGGAAGATTGGCCTGTGATGTGAGTATCTCCTATGAGATTGAGATTGACAAGCATTTGCTAACGAACAAATCCATAGGCCTGTAGAGATTTTGGAGCTTCACATAACTCCTTCCGACTTCTTCACGAAGAATCCCGCGATCGACGTCCCTTCGAACAAGGATCTGATATCTAAGCTCGCCAACGGCTGTTGTGAGAAGAGAGAACTTCCCATGAGATCGTCTTTGTAAGAGATTGACATCCGAGGAGAGGCCGGTAGGAATTCGAAAGTCGCGGTGCCAAGACGCCGCCATGTTAATATACCATGAGCAGCATGGAGGAAAGAGTCATCTGTAGTGGCGCACAATAAATTCGTAAAATATTGCTATCAGTTATTTCAGATCAAACCCATGAAATATTCTGAAAAGTCGTCCACGTCCCCGTTGAGAAATGAGAGGCTATCGTCAAACCGGGTTTCTGCCGCTGGTACAACAGGATTCAAGCTGCTATCCATGTAGGCACGACCGAAAGTATCAAAGACGCCCACAAGATCATCGCCCATGAGGTTCATGTCTGGTGTGCTTGCGTCAAAATATCCCGGGCCAGTCCCTTGCTGTTGGACATCGGGACTGTTCTCTGTCACAACACTGGGTATGTTGAGCTCAGCACCCCGTGATGTACGTTGTGACGAAACACCGTCCAACAGTGTGTGGTCGTGCACATCAGGACGTGAGCCCCTTATTCTTCGCTTATGACCTCGGGATGATCCACTGTTCATGATACCGAGTTGTCTGAGTCGGGCGACTAGACCACGTAGGCTACTCCATAATCGGCGTCCCTGCAAGCTCAAACGCGAGAATCCACGCACAAGATCAATGGCCACAAAGAAATCCTTACGACAGGTTTGGGCAAACTCTGCTGGAGCATGGCAAACAGCCAACAGCATGATTGAGATTGCGCTAATCAGAAAAAAGTTGTACGCAACCTGATGGCGAGAGTATATATCGCTAGTGTTGTCAAGGTTGACTAGGATACGAATGGTGTCTTGGGCGATGCTCACTACCAAGCGCGCACTGACCGGGCTGTGAGCTATGGCGGCCGCTGAGACGACGTGATGACGATGGATTAGGCACCGGATGTAATTGCCGCGGAGGTAGAGCAGAGTTTGCAGATGCTGAAACAAGCTCCGGTCATGCCGAGTCACCTCCGCACTTGGTATAGTTTCTGTCGTTGTCAGCTGCAAGATATCTGGTATAGTTGAGAACCACCCCTGAATCTCGCTTTCCAGCATAGACTCCATGCTCGTCGGCATGCTCTCGGATGAAGAACCATAATGTGGTATTGCATCCCACACCTTCGAACATAGCTTGCCATAAGCTACCAAAGACTGGAAGTAAGGCATATCAAGTGACTGTGGTCGTGTTGAATCAGTAGATGGCACGGTAGAGTGCACAACAAATACTCACAGGCTGGGGTAATTGTGGATCGATATCACGATCAATTAATGCGAAAGACAGACCAGTACCGAAGCTCCAGCGGCGATCAAGCGCATATATGCACCAAAAGACGCGGATCGCTAAAGATCTATGTGCAGGTTCAGGGTAGTTCTCGAAGAGACTGCGACGACGATGTAGTCCTAGTTCGAGGACCATGCGTGTTGAGATTCCAATACTTCTATAAGCAAGCAGTTCTTCGTCGCAATGGAAATGATAGACACTCTGCATTACTTAGCACGGCGCTATCTGTGCGAAATGAAGTTGTACATACCATGATTGCGAAAACTTGAACTTCCTGCAAGTCCACGTCGGAGGGCGACGTTATTCTAAGTGCATCATCCTCGAATGAAGCGATGAGCTGAGAGCTCAGTTCTGTCTTTTGTTGATTTTCAAATACAAGGGCTGTTGCCAAGACTATTTTAAGCAGATGTATGTCTTTCTGCGAAAGCCTGCCGTCGAATTTGAGATAGTACTCTTCTTGGAACTGCTTGATCATCTCGGCCGCCCGAGAGCGTAGATTTGCGGTGTCAAGCAAGGGATACATGGGCTCAATTTCCCCTTGAAAGATATCCAATAGGCGATAGACGGCGGAAATTGGCATGCCCAAAAGAGGGTCCTGTGTCGAGCCGTGTGACACCTCTGGGCTCGGGGTCGCGGCCACTGGGGGAGCTTCTGGTTCTGTGCCCGAATCGTCTGAAGCATCCGAAGGTTCGTCGACCACTGACAATGCGGCCTTGGAGACGTTGAGGGCAAATGCAGGACGTGTGGTACCTACGAACTGTACCTCCTTACGTTCCTTAACTCCTGCCGCCGTCAATGACGTCTGACTGGGCGTGCATACACTCTCCGCAGCATGAATTTCAGACCGTGGGGTTTGGCCTTTTTCAATCACGCAGGCCAGGTGAGTGACCTGGCGACGAAGTGCGGCCAGTTCTCTTTCCAACTTCTCAATGCGTGACCTGCATGGCGACTTAGTTCTCTACGCTGAAGCTCAGACTTGGATCGAGGACAATCAACCTATTGTCGTCGGATGCAGCTGGGGCAGCTACGAAAGGCTCGAGAGCATCCTGGCCGTCTGCGAAGCTGCAGACTACCTCACCAGCCATGCATCGATCGCATTCCCGTTTGCCTAGGTCTCGAATGCATTTCAGCTTCCGTCGCTTGCACGCATCGCTTGTAAGACTTTTAGCAACACACTCTGTCTGCCGATCGCTAGATGGGTGAACTTACCAAGCCGCAGCAGTATATTTGGCCCTTTTGGAGCGTGAACCAGCGGCGCGACTGGAGTGAGTGATGGTCGGGGGATTGCTTTTCTCGCCATAAATGACCGGACTGCCCGAGCCAAGACTCCTTTTTGACCTTGCACTGCGCGCACCCATGAAGCCTTCGGAGCGTCAAACAGCCGCTGAGGATTGAGCAACCTGCGAATGTCGCTTGATTTTGGGTGGAGGATGCCCGAAAAGGAGCGGGTGTCCGATGAGCTTTATTTGCCCCAGTTCAGTCAGTGTGCTTTGCTTCCAGTGAGCACTAACTTAGCTAACCTAGACAAGCCACTGTCATTAGATGCGATTGTGTAGCAGGGAACTGCCGAGTTGCGACGTGGTGTCCACTGTCCAGCCGCACTGCCAGTGGCACCACGGGCACTCAGCACTCATTTGCCACGGCAGGGGACTGCACATGCCTGGAGGAGCAAACGCTAAAAACGTAGTCCGCTGAAACCAGCAACCAAACTCGACTCTATTCTCCCGTCACACCATGAACGAAACATGCAGTCATAGTCTCAGTCGTCCCAATGGTTTCGGCAATATGCCCAACCTTGTAACAGACTCGACGAACGTCCTCGAATACCATGCGACCAGCGTCCGGGAGATTTAGAGATGCAGGAATGACAGACCATATGCTGTCTTAAGCACTAACCTAAGTAAATTGGTCTTGGCGTAGATGGTCGCCGCCCCCAGCTTTCCACCCAAAAGTGCTTGAATTGCTGCTGGTTCATTCTGCATTCTGACTCTGACATTAGACAGCCCACCGTGATGCAAGTATCAGTATCATATGACAGCGGCGGGAAGCAAACTTATAGTACCTTGGGTTTGCCGCAATTTGCCAACACTGGTTCGATCTCAAAGCAACTGTGGCACCCCCTCTGTTCAATTCTACTCGGCAAGTCTGATGACTATTGGTGTAGCTACCTGTAACTGCCACAACGCCTTCGTTGCCTAAATCTTCGGGCGCCACCCCGAATCACCTTCACCCTCATCTTCAGCAAATTGCGGGATCAGGTATGATTAAGGGAACCGAACATGTTCCAAAACTACAAGTGCACAGAAACAAATGCTCTAACTATCCCAGTATCGACAAGACCGAAGCCGGTGCCAGTTTGCAGTCACATTGTCTCGTGCTCGATTTACAAGGAGAAAAGGGGTGTGGCCCAACACGTCTACATTACCGTTGGTTCATACGCACAGCGTCCTGAGCATGTAAAACAGAGCCCATCGGTCTGCCCGCCGATGGTTGTATGTGTAAGCTATCATATGTCAGGGACCCGTATGCGTAGCATCTGGATAAAAGACTCTATCATAACCTTTGGGTAGATGCCTCACACAAATATACACGATGTAAGGAGCCCAACAGTTTTGCTGCAAACGGTGATTTGGACTTTGCCCCCGAATTTGCGGAGACCCTCATAAGACAATATTTCAATAAACGTTTTTCAGGACATTCTGATTAGCAGCTGTGTTCAAAATCGCCTGGAGAAATGTTTGAAACTACTATAGACATGATTTCTGCAACCCGGCTGAGCCTACCTAGTTCCTCGTTCATGCCCTCCGACATGATGTACATGGAAAGGAAGAACAGAAATACAGACGAGCTGCTTGTAATAGATTCCCGCCTTTGACTAGACATACTTCCAACGTTGCGAAATTCAAGAGACTGCTTTAGAGCAAAACAGTATGTATACCTACAAGACCGATATTCGTGGAGTGTGCTTTCTATGCAGTATCACGGGGGTCGTTTTCTATGACTGCGAATAGCACCTACAGACCATAGCAACCTGAAGATTACATTTAGATGTCAGGGATTATTTTGCGGCTTCTTCGAGACCAGTGCTGCTTGGAATTATTTTCATGTTGGCGGCGGTTGGACAGAAGAGTAAATCGATGTTTCCGGTAACACGAGCGCTTTCCCCTCCCCCGGTCATCCGGTTTGTTGAGCTCGTCATGTGCATGTCTAGTACTAAAGCTTTAGCAGTAGACCCAATAGCTATATTAGTAGGGAAGGGGTGTCGAAATGACTGATTGAAAACCTGACAGATAATATGTTATGTAGAGCAATTATTGAATTTCTTGGTCGTGGTGGTCTTCCTTAATGGATACTGTAACTTAATGGCTAATAATTCCTTTTCTATAGTCAATGTACTTTGCATACTTGCCAATGAAGTGCGTCTCACATCCAAGACGAATGACGGATGGGATAGATTGCTAACACTACTATTTTTTCACAACGTAGTGGTATTGAAAGTGGTCATGGCATCTATTCCCTCACATGCCGGCCAAAATGTTGTACCACAAGGATAACAAGAATATATTGCGTGTTCCGCGAAATCTTTATCCTCGTAAGAACTTTATGATGTCTAGGTAGGCACGTGGTGCTTCATGTGCTTCACCCACCTTGTGTCTACATGAAGCCTCGCCAAAGAAAGTTTGCGAGTAAGTAGATGGTAAAACAATTCTCGTATGAACAGGCACACATATTAAACCTTACGTCACCTTGTCTGGTTGGCGAAGAGACAACATTAAAATCACGACACCTTCCATCGTCCACGAGGGAGATATACTGATTTCAAAGTCAATTCTTTTCCTTCTCACTGTCTGTGAAATTACGTGCGAGCTGAAAACATCCTCTCTAAGACTACTCATCCCATTATTTTCTTTCTAATTTCAATCCTACCGATTGATGTCATGAAGTTTCCATTAGTATCCCACAGGTTGCTTTGACCTTACATATGTGAATTTTCGTGTCCTTATATCAGGCCATTGAAAGTCGAAGGTTGCATTTTCAATGTGAATGTCGGTTTCCTGAATTATATAACCACTGAACTCCTCAAGCTGATGAGACACGTTTACCGGCCTCCAAATTTGAAATCTCCTTATAGAGGTTGTCGGTTGTACTTATAGTACCAGCATAATCCTCCGTGCCCCGTGAGATGAGATCGGGACGGAGCGCATCGGTACTCGAGCGCCTGAGGGGACTGCGGCCATTATGAGTGGCTGTCTGCTGTTGGCCACTATTGTGGAACATGGACTTATGAGCAAGGCCATCAGTATCTTGCTCGGGATTGACGGTCTCGTATTCGAGCGCTTTCACCAACAAATAAAAGCCAGTGGCAACGAGAGATCCGAGGATAGGTCCGACCCAATAGATCCAATCGTAACCATGAAAAGACCCAAGAACGACAGATGGCCCGAATGATCGAGCAGGGTTAACGCCAGCGCCGGTGTAATAAACGCCTCTGCCATGAAGACGGTTAGTAACAACGTGAATATACGAATAATGTACCACTTACACTAAGTGGCAGATGAATAAAGCCAGACCGATACCGACAGGAGCAATAAAGGTGGCTCTATGCTTCTCAGCTGCCAACATAAAGATTGTAAACACCAACATGGTCGTTAAGAACATCTCGATAAACAACCCCTGGACAACACTTGTACCGCCGGATAAAGAGGTTCCAACTTTGAGCGGGCCCGGAAACAATCCTAACACTACTGCTGACGCTGCAATAGCGCCTACAATTTGGCTGGCAAAAATCAAGATACCACGAGTATAAGTGATAGCCCCGACAAGCGCCATACCCAACGTGACAGCCGGATTGAACAGGCCACCGCTGATACGGAAGAAGACCCACTAAAGTCTATTAGTTCTGTTTTACTTCATTTCTTCCTCAAAGTAAACTTACTGCATTTACGGCCAGACTCATACCGAAACACAACGAGATATACAGCAATTTAGCTGGATTATCATTCAGTGTGTCGCCACTTTCAGTGGATGCGTTGTTGACGGCATTCGTCCCTCCGAATGCGAATAACAAGAACAGGAAGGTTCCCACAAATTCGCTCAATGCGGCTACGAAGTGGTTCTTGGAGGACGGCGACATGTGTTTAATAACTGGAATGCGTCGAGAGAACAGTTTTTTGTCCGCCGCGCTGCGAGGGGCGACTTCAGATCGTGCCTCCCATGGGAAACGAATCCGCCGACCGGGACGATCAACATTCATTGCTGTGGTATTGTCTTGAGTTCGTGCTTATGTGAAACCGAATGATGGGGTGAAGAATAGCAAGCCGTAAGATGTTGGACTACAATGCAATACTTATACCTCGAGAACGGCAGTAACGACGTATATCGTGTACCATTGGACTGAAACTTCGACTAAAGAAACACAAGGAGCATGTAACTGGAAGAGAAAACGCCACAACCATGCTAACTCTGCATAAGTGCTATATCAGACTTTGAATCTACTGGAAATTATAAATCTAGATATTTCCGATCGTCGTGAGATGGTGCCATTGCGCACGATCGCAATTGTACCACAGTATACATGAGCAATTTTTAATATAGATACGTCAATAATGTTTCGGCGCCTTGGCGAGTTAATGATTCTCTTCCGCTGAATTATGCTCTTGGCAGATAATAGTTGACTTCTACTTAAGAGCCGTATTGACAAAGTTTAGACAAGCAATGACGACATTTTGAGCCAACCTGAAGGACAGATTATATTACAGATATGATGATAACGGTTATGGCGTCCTCTGAATACTCCATCGCCAAAGAATTTCATGGTTGAAAATGGCATAGTAGAACTACTGACATGTTTCACAATGTAAAAACTTATGTATTTTGTTGATGAGGCTGACTTGAAATTCTGTCAACGAATATGAGTCAGTTCAAAGTGCTTGTACTATATTAATTGATCTATCAAATGAAGGCAATACCGTAATAGTGACGAATCTCTGACATTTAACTTTATACTGACGGGTACACTAACGGCCCTTCCTTTAGAGTGCTCTTGACGAATATCTTCTAGGTTATGTTTAGTCATGCCACCAATCAAAGAACATCTAACTTTGAACTGCTAAACGTTAGGATCTTAGAATGGAGCACACAGTACTATTAACGTTCTCAGTTAACGTTTAGTCGAACTGCACGACGGAAATAAATTCTGGTCTATGGTGGAAATCAACTAATCAAGTGAATTACTATAATTACTGTGGTAGACCCCGGACGCCATAAAGTCATTGACCAATTCTCAAACGTCACCTCGCGTGCCTCATGTGGGCTATCCTTGTTACAATGATGAAGCTTTGGCATACTATAATTCCCCGCATTGCACAAACATTTACAACCGCCCATTCATAGGGTCTACAGAGTGTGGCAAGTGACCGTAACCATGGAAATCGACGCTATTTGTGCTCGAAATTCCAAAGCTCGAGCCCTTCGATAAGTTATGTGAACTTCAAGAGTCCTAGAAGACCAATAACACAACTCTCTTATCATACATCTCTTATTCAGTGTCTGAAATCGATACGATGCAACGATCCTTTCAAGCAACGCTCTGAAGTGATGCCTTGATATCATGTCTGCTCTATTATAGTACACTCCAGCTCACACACACTCTCGATGCTGCTCTCTACTAATCTCCTGCGCTACTTTCATGCGTACGACTTATCGAGCTACTAACTAAGCGGCTACAGGGATCCGTGACGAGATCCACGCTACGGTAAAGCTGCATGATCTACTGTGTACGCAGCTCTAGCCATCGCCCCCATCTCGTCGCATGCGATCGTACTGGTATTCCTCGTTCCCATCATATACTTAGTACGATCGAGGTCTACTGCACAGTACATAGTGCTCAACCAAACGGCAATGGGGTCGATTCCCCAGCGTCGATTAGAGGCTGAATTATATATGGGGTCAAAACTTAAATTGCGGAACCACGACGATCTGCACCTAGATACGCCTTGTCAGGCGCCGGGTACCGTTACAAGCGCTAAGCTGGGACAAAAACGCTTCATGACAAGATATAGGCTCGGGTAGCAGAGCTTGTCAAAAAGAAACAGTATCCTAGACTAAACCGAGTTCATATTAGTCTAGACAAACTCATGCGTAGTTAATGCATGAGATTGGTATGCTAGACTAAGCCGCCGGTAGGAAGAAAAAAAAACACGAGGATGTGAAATAAAACTTGGGATTATTTGAAAACCCTGGCTACGTATTCTATGGCTGTCTGATCGGAAGGGCGAAAACGCCGCCGAGGAATATGATTTGGCTCCAATTGCATCAGAACGACCTAGAGTAGCTGAGAATCTATCTGCTAGGTATATCTCGACAGAAAAATCGCCATTGAAGGCTGATATTGTGAATGCAAGTTCGAAATTTGAAATTCAATGACTTATAAAATCTTTGAAAAACTTGTGAAAGCGAGCAGTTCGGAGTGGAGAACCGACCAGTGATCACAGTGCATCATAAGCTCATAGCCTCATCCATCGCTATTGCGCACCCCGGACGCCTCAATTTCGAGCCTCCTCACAATAAAAAGAGCTACTCAATGCGCGAGAGCTTTTGAGTACACGATTGATATGATTTGGCATGTACAAAATTTTCATAACCACAATTGTTGGCTAATCTACGTAGATGTCATTAATTGACAACGATGTCGATCCGATGATTCGAAAATCGAAATAATTGAATATTTAGGTTTATGTATAAGCGCTGATAAATTCTCCTCAGACACAAGTACCGTTACACAAGCCATGAGAGATCTTCCCCGCCACAGCAAGTGCGCTGTCTGGGATGACGACACCTCACTAAGCCACTACACCACTTGGCAGCGGAAAGCTAGATTTACCGCCCACGATGCATTAGCCTCAAGTCCTTACGCACGAGCAGCTTGCCTTAGCCTTGGGCCCTTCTTATCGTGTGAATGTGATTTGACGCTGTTCCAGTCCAGTCATAGTGCGAATGAGATATGCTAGACTTATTTGTACGTTATGATCCTTGATGTTTCCCACCACTTCACAAGCGTCTTCGTTATTATATCTTGGCGGACAAGCCGTCAGAATGACGCTTCGACCGCATTATATCGATGAGCTCGGTACTACCGTTTTTCTTATGGTAGTTAGGGGCATGGATGAGGATGAGGATGCGCATAAAAGTCCCTTGACCGAGATCATTCTCTTCGAAAAGTGGAAATCCTACCCAAAGCTATGTCGGCGACATTTTGAAGATCATTGAGGATTTGGTAATATCGGCCAAGCACGTTTATGAAGTTGTTGAATGTTGAGATCTCGGTTCTTCGCTGCCTCTGCTTGCATCATTCTAGATGTTATTCGGGAAAGACTGTATGTTTCTATCATACAAGTTAGCGCATTGCTGGTGGTTACGATTTGCTTAAGGATGGTCGGCGTGGCGCAATGATACTCCTGTAGGCACTCATGTGTGTTGCCAGTATAAAAGATCTGTAACTTTAATCTGGGTGTCGTCAGTACTGTGTTGTGCTATCCTGAATTAGGTCTCTCTACCGAGCTGTGAGTGGTAAGCTGTTTCACTGAGATTCGATGCTAGCTCCATAGTTATTGTATACGCGCCTTTGCCGTACTGACGGTGTGGACGGTTCCTAATATAATATGCATCTGAACGGAGCCTCGTCATTTAATATCGTTGCCCAGAACATCATCAATCCTGTGGAAGCAAAACGAAATATCAGCCAAATTTCACATAGATTAGACATTTTGAACTGGTAGAAGAGTAGTCTTGTCCATAGTAAGGACAATAGCACAAATAGTATCAAATTGAGTATCTAAAACGTGAACCACCTGTGGAGACCATCGACTAGCTTCGAGAAATAATTAGCCTAGTCTTATTCCACTAATTTATGTCATATTTCAACAATTTGCTATAAAAATAAAACCATCCAGACAAAATTAATATCAGCATACTATAACTTACCAAGAAGATAATATTTGGGTTTGACTGTGAAAGGTATGCTTAATTCAACAATTATCGCCAAGGCATGGCTGGTATTGGTTGGAATACCTGCGAGACCGCTTGCCACAAACCGATATCGATGACTACAACAACGCAATCAAAAAGCCGTCCAAACTGTCCACGAGTGGACATGCGCGAATCCAAAACGTACTTGTGGATGAATAATTTGCCTATAGAAAAGGTATAGGATAATCGAGAAGAGACAGAGAAGTGTTCGAAGTACAGGAAGATCAAAGACGAAGAGCTGTTAGAAGACAAGTGTCGATTGAAGAGTCAAATTTGCCTGTGGGCAGCACGTTTTCCTATAAAGTGGAAGGATATGTACCAACTTTCAATAAATACGGTGATTTGGAACTCCCACCACCATTTGGTCTCTCAGCGAGAAACTATGCCCGTTTCACACATCGGGAAGATAATGGCAACGACTGGTTCATAGCCATAACCTACCTCGCTGCTGACGATTCAAGTGGTGGCGGAAATTTCTACAATACCTCTTATGGCACCATGATGGAAGCCGCAAGCAACACCATGCAAGCATTCATGTTGAATGACTACCACAGTACGACGTTGTATGAGATTATCGTATCTGATTGCAAGTGGAGCAGAGGTAATAAAGCGTGGGAAGGTTTGAGTTACCGTGGCAATAGACCGGACTGGGGCGAGAACATTGGATTTTCCTCTGAGGCGTCCAAGGGTCTGGCGAATGCCACGAGAAAACATGACGAGCTAGAGGCAAATAGACCAGGCAGGGTATCGGACGATGAAAATGATAGTGATTATACTCATTAGGTCGTGAAGACTATGTCTAAAGGTCAGCGACAATTCAGTGAAGGATTTGTTAAAATTGACTTCACTAGTAATGTATACCCGACAATGCATGTAATCTATAGAGTAAATTGTTTAGATGATTGCATAGCGCATTGTTATTGTCGTCGAAGCTTTGATGTGATTGCGGCTAAACAAAAACAAAACGTTAACAGATAAACGATACAATTTCAGTGCTTATTGTCAGACTTAGCGAAAGAGTTGATATATTGTATATTGGAAACACTGGCGTTGCAATTCGTTTTACCTTGCAACAATCAAAATTACCCATATCATTCCAGATAACTCTTGCATTCAAGCCCAGAGCTGGTTTCCCTTACTTATCCGTGGTCCACGTTTTGAAGTTGTGTACAATATATGAACTACAAAGCAACAACCGGTCCGTGAAAACCCTTCATGTGAACGTTGACAAGACATCATAGAAGTACTCTAACTGAATTTATTTGCTTATAATGTGGTAAATCAATGTCATACCTGTGCGTTTGCTTTGCGTGAGACTATAACACACATGTTCGTGAAACATCAAGCTAATAGAACGTGTGGCATCTATAATGAACCAGATGAACAACATATCATTGGAAATAAGAGCTAATTAGAAGAATAAGAGAAAATTGTATCAAAACTGATTGAACATATATTCCATAGTGTAGGGCAGGAAAAAAAAACCGCTATTCGTTGCTAACTAATCGAGCCAAGGCAAGTTCCGAAATTAGCCGAGAAGGGTAATCCTCCGCTAGCGTTTGCGATCTGATCTTGATCACCTGTTCTAGTAATGCCACTGCCTCTTTTACTTGTCCGTTGGCTTGATATGCTACTGCGAGTATGTGTTGTGATACGAATCTAGAAGGGCCATCTTCCGCCATTGCCGATTCGATCTTGACCACTTGTTTTAGTAGCCATACTGCCTCTTTTACTTGTCCGTTGGCTTTATATGCTATTGCGAGTTCGTGTTGTGATGCGAGTCGTGAGAGGTCATTTTCAGGCAGATGTAGCTTCCTCCATCGATATGTCTCCTCTAACCTTGCAACAGAGTCTGCGATTCTTCCGTCAGCCTGTAAGCAAAGTCCAACACGTCTACTTAGGTCATATCGCCCCTCGAGGCTAACCGTCCTTTCATCTTGCAACAATCGAAGAGCATGTGGCATGTATTCCCTCCAAACGTTTTGGTTCAAGTAGTTGTCGCTTGGAGATTGAGATATCATTTCGGTCCAGATAGACTGCTGCTTGAGCAATAGCTAGAGGCAGGTAGGCGAGTTCTTCCAGCAACTCCATTGCGTGTTCTCTATCACAAAGGAGCTCTTCTGAATCCCAAAGTTCGCCCAAAAGCAGTATCGCTTCATTAGCTTGCATTTCGGCTATTCTGATAATGTGAACACGATGCCCTGTTCTTGCCACCTCTCTAGAACGAGTTGTGAAAAGGGTGCGCCCATTGGCGCTTTGTGGAAGGTACTAATAAAGTCCACCTGGCTGGTCAGAGGCACCATAGAATATGTCGGTATCATCTGCGTTATCCACGATGAGCAGCCAGTTTCCTGCCCTATCTGAGCTGAGATATCAGCAAAAAAACTCCTTGGGATCTTCAACGTTTGTAAGTTTCCGATCCGTAATTGGTTTGTTATTTTGGTACAAGACTGGTCGAAACTTTCGTTACTTAACGCCGATACCTAGAAATAGAGTAGTGAGGCCTATTCTTCTTCACTCTATGTCCAAATTGTAAAGCAATCTGTGATTTACCGATTCCCCCAAGCCCAAATAGTGCAACTTCTTTGCGCTTTTGTTCAAGAATATATCTTCAAGTGTTATTAGCACTGTGTTACGTCCAACAAAATGTACGTTTTCCTGAAAGGGGAGATAGTGGTTAATGCCTGGTGCCGAATCAATTTGGTCGATGCTTGCCCCAAGCGCATGATTCCGGGCAAGGTTGAACTGGTCTGCATGAAGTTCCCTTCTGAGCCTTTCAAACGCTGCTTCTTGTCCTTCACCATATATCACCGGCATGGAGATCCCGAGCATGCCCAGCAAGGAGTAAGCTCTATCTTCCTCTTTCGATTTTACTCGCTTGGTCGACCAGGATATTCGCGTCTCCACATCAAACTTAGTGAGTGAATCGCCCTGGAGCACGGGGATTGGAATGCTAGTGATCTCGTGGGTAAGCCTTCTAACGAATGCTTGTCTCCAAGATACCGGTTATCTGCGGAGAAGAACTCCACCACCACTAGTGCGATAAGTTCCTGTAATGTCCATCCTCGAGTGAACCACATGCTTTTTCGGAATTCTGACTTCCAAGTCGGTCGCAGCGGATCGCTCTCTTGGGCGGAGCCATAGAACACGTCTGGAAGGGATACATGGCATCTTTGAGCATTTTGGTACCAGCGAAACATCGAGTTGATTGATTCGGTAAGTTCGGCGGCGTTTGTCTTATCGATGCAACAAGTATCGATCCAGAAGTGCTCTACACTATCAGCTCTTGTTTGGTCTGCGCAGAATTGGATTTTCCGATATCCGAGCTTTCGAGCTCTTCACTGCTTTTCGAAGTCTCTGTAGGCGACTTCATTATTGTGGTCGGGTTCCCACGTGTGCGACAAAATTGTGTAGGGAGGTATAACATATTTACCGTGAATAAGGTCACTAGTGAAAGTCAACTCACCCTGTGCCCCAATTTAGAGAAGGCGCATGCTGTTCTCGAACTACTGAGAAAGGAAGTTTGATCAGATTTGGAAACGTCAGGCAACTACAAGATCGAGTAGAGCCTGATCACTGGGATGGCGATGCGGCTGAACCGATCTGCACCGAGCGCCAATCATGTTCGTGTGGGGTCTTGACGAGCAATGCATGAAATGCGGGATCTGCTGACAGAAAATAGATTTCGGCTACGAATGTATTTCAAGGAGTATTCGACAGGACCAAATTGTTCCGAATTTCTGAAGAAACGGTGATTGAAAGAAAATAGCAACCATCGTAGTAGTAATGTGATGGATACGTCATGCGTTTGAGATCGATAATAGGTCTAGTGATGGTGTTGTGATACATTCGAGGAATGAAGCTATCATCTGTTCCTGGTGAGGCTACCTAAATAGGTTGGCCCAGATTAGTGTGGGTGGATTCCTACGTATCCATTTTGTATTGACCAGTCTAGATCATGTCGTGATGGCTACGCTGCTGACACGGTCGTACTATACTCAGTATTCAATACAATATATTATAACTTAATGGCAAGCAGCGGAGTATCAGCAAAGACATAGACTTGTTAATAAATGGATTCACTTTTGGCTGGCTACGCTGGACCCTTGTAATTACTGTGCAGGATGCCGCCAGCATATTGTGGAAATTGCAAGCAGTAAGTACATAGTAAATCAGCTAACAAGGATACTGTATTAATGCTAAAAACGGACGTCTAACAGGTTAGGATAAGCTAATTGTAAGATATTCCAAATGATGGATGCTCTCAAGGTCCTGGTTGTTCCTGCAGTGTCCGTCATCGGTGAATTTTCCGAGTCCGACAAGGCATCAAATGAAAACCTAATATACGTACCTGTAGCCGTCTTAAAGCTGCAACAGCTGACAACTGGTCGAAAACAGTTTGGCGCAATTCTTCTAGGGTAAAAGATAGTCTTAACCGCGGTGGAACACAATATTGTGGATCAAGGCAATCCAGAGATTACATGGTTGTTTTCCGTGTTAAATTGGACATCGAGTTGTGGAGCAGCAACAACAGCACTCGGTGTCACTTTGAGATCGAGGGTGACTTGCGAGTGCTACACGGTAAGCCCTCAGGCCGCCGGTTGATGTCGCTAAAAAAGAAGTATTACGCGGTCGTTGGATACAAATAGGTAGAATATTTCACGCGAATTTTCCGTCTATTCTCCGGGCTAATTTTCCGTCTTTTCCCCGAGTCCGAGGCTTACCAATTCGATTTTCAAAGGAGATCCGAATGGTCTGATCGTAGTTTTTCTATTTATTTTGACAATATAAGATACTCTTTATTTAAGCTTAGTAGGCTGTCAATATATTCTGCAGCATGCAAGCGTCTTACACTGTGTACAGCTACAGGTCACCTACAAATTCATCAAGATGTCAGCGAGCACCGAAATGGCTAATCTAACCCCCGAGAAGAAGACGGGGCAGGTACCCAGTGATCAATTCTTAACCGCGAACGAAGGCGATGCCGAAACTACGGTTCCTAAACTTGCAGCTTTTGACCCGGCGCCAGACGGAGGTGCCCAAGCCTGGCTTGTGGTTGCAGGAGGCGGTACCGTCTTCTTTTGCTGCTTGGGATTCACCAATACATTTGGAGCTTTCGAGTCATACTATCTGACACATCAGCTGTCGGATAAGACTGCAGATGAAGTTGCATGGATTGGGTCCTTGGCTGGCTTTTTGATGTTTGCTGTCGGTTTGATTGCAGGTCCACTGTTCGATCGGATCGGGCATACGGTTGGTCGTCTGTCAACTGCCACATAAACATGGGGTCGCTGACATCTCCATAGATAATTTTGCCCTCTGCAATAGCCTACATATTTTCCATGATGATTTTGAGCCTTTGCAAGACATACTGGCAGACCATGCTCGTTCATGGATTATTATTAGGCATTCTCATGGGTCTTTTACAGATCCCCGTGATTGCCGCAATCGCACATTGGTTTCATAAGAGACGAGGGCTCGCTCTGGGGCTGGTCGTCGCCGGCTCGTCTATCGGAGGTGTCATCATGCCCATCGCTGTTTCCAAGATGCTGAATGGCACGTCCCTTGGATTTGGGTGGACGGTACGGATCATCGGATTCATCATGATGCCGTTGCTCGGCTTCTCGTGCATCACTATCAAAGCTCGTATTCCGCCACGACGGTCTAGCATCTGGACGCCAGCCATCTTCAAGGACGTGGAATTCCTGATTCTGGTTGCCTCTATATTCTTCGCGTTTGCGGGCTTGTACACTCCGATATTCTACATTCCAACCTATGCGGAAGCAATTGGCATGGATGCGACAATGTCCGGCTATCTGCTCGCAATTCTCAACGCTGCCTCCTCATTCGGTCGTGTTTTTCCCGGCATTGCTGCCGACAAGTTCGGCCGCATCAACATCTTTGCAATTGCTTGCCTAGCGACGAGTCTCGTCATCTTCTGCTGGGACTCGGCAAAGAGTACTGCAGCACTTGTAGTCTACGTTATCTTCTTTGGCTTCTGGTCCGGCACAATTATCTCCGGGGCCTCAACAGTTCTCTCAGCCTGCACACATGATCTCCAGAAGATTGGAACTTACATGGGCTGGGGCTTGTTTATGGCTAGTTTTGGAACACTCATCGGTCCTCCCATCAATGGCATCATGATCAGCAAATACGGAAACTACTTCCCGTCGGCTATGTTTAGTGGTGCCATAACGGCGTTGGGTGGTTTACTTGCAGTTTTCGCCAAGTCCCTCACGTCTGAGGGACTTTTCGGCAGAATATAGAAGAAATACAGCTGCCAATGCGTCCTATGCGTCCTATGCGCATGCGCTCGCATTTGATTTAGATAAATATCAAGAAAGCGCAGATAATAGATGAAGATAGATCCTTAGTAATTAATGACGGTTGCCACCACAAGTTGGATTTTCCTCCGGAGGCGTGTATCCGAACGGCTGTAACACTGGATCCAATAGAGGGACCAAGCGTCACTGCTTAATGGCATGGAAGTCGCAACTAAATCATAGAGCTTATGCCTGCGTCATGATAGTCTCGGCCAACTTCGCGGTGATAGAAGACAGGGATCATGGCCACCGTGTTGCGAAAAGAGGTCGTTGGAGAACCACCTTCTTCATGCTTCTTCCCGCGATTTTATACTCTCAACGCAATCTTGCCACTTCAACCACTTCATATATATGCAGTTGATTGAGACCGTGACTAATAGACCCAGTCCAAGTCCAATCCATGTTCCGTGCAACTTAAGGTCTGGCGAGCCAAGCTCCAGCCATATTGCCAGCGGGACAGCGAATAGGTAGTTAACTGGGAAGACAACGACGCCCGCAAAGGACTGTCTACCTAGTCCTCGCAGGATTCCCCCAGTTCCTACATTAAGGGCATCAACAATTTGGAATGCGGCTACGGTCGTCATAGCCTGAGCTGCAATGCCACGAACATACTCATCATTGGAAATGATCTTCGGCAGCTCATGTCGCAGTAAGAAGAACACAACCGCATCTAAGCAGCCGATTCCTGCGAACACGACACTGTAGAGAGCTGCCGCATGCCGCGCATTCGCCACTAACCCAGCACCGATGAGATGTCCTATGCGTATGCTCACAGCCACGCTAATGGAGAAAGGAATGTGCCACGTAATGACAGAGAGCTGGGTCAGAATAGTCATAGCAGCGAGGTGCTCTGTACTTATATAGGAGGTACTAAAGGTGACGGCCTCAAAAGCAAGCCACTCTCCAAGATTCACTGCGGATCCGGCAGCAGATAGTCGAAGCATCGGCCCCCAATTCTTGAACGCTTCTCTGGACAAACCACCCCAACAGCAATGGGACCACTTTGCGATGAGGGCGATGTACAGTACAAGCATGATAGCACGAATGTTGTTGGTCAACGCTGCGCCGAGAGCGGCCCCTTCAAGGCCCATGCCTAGCTTAAAGGCGAAGAACCAACTGAGGGCAGCATTGAGCGGCGCACATACGAGTAGTATCACGAGCGCGGCATTGCAATCGCCTTGGGTCTGTAAAAAGCGTTTGAGGGCTTCAAAAGACGCATAACCAGGCATCCCGATCAGACTGACTCGCAGGAAAGATGCCGCTTTGGCTGCCAGATAATCCTGCTTGACGAAAACGGGAAGAATCCAATGCGAGCAAAGCCAAACAGCCGCTATGGGTATGAGAGATATAGCCATCAAAAGCATCATACGTTGAACATGGAGACCGACACCATGATAGTTCCCCGAACCGTAGGCTTGCGAACAAAGAGTGTCGAGAGCCGTGGCCATACCCTCAAAAGTAGCAAGCCCGATCAGGTTTAACGTCGTCAATCCAATGCTGGTAGCGGCCAAGTCATCTGAGCTCAAGTGCCCGGCGACCAGCGTGGTGATGATGGTAAACGAATACTGGAGAAAATACGTGCCGATTAACGGCAACGAGTATTCAGCAAGTAGCCATAGTTCAGACTTATCCGTCAAAGGCTGAGCGAGCAGTTCGTCAGGATCGCCCAGGAGGGGCGTGATCTCGTCCCCATCTACAGAGCCCGGTGGCTGCTCTCGAGTCCTTCCTTGAGGTTGCATTATAAGGCGGCTCGAATGAAATGGGTAAATAGTTTAGCGGTGTCTGTCGGTTGAGATGCGGCGCTCTGTTTTTAAAAAGAAATCTTAGTGGGTGCTTAGGCCTGCAGTGAGCTTATGAGCTAGCTAAGACCGGTATAGGCCGTCAGCAACGGTGCGGAGAGAACAGTGGTGCCAAGAACGCAACTCAACCAAACATACCTGCAGAGCGCAGGGTTAGAAGATCGATGCATAGCTTCGGATAACGACTCCAGGCGTTTGGCTGCTGATTTGGAATTGCTTAACTGAGTCGTTGCCATATGAAACTCTCTTCGGTGCTCCTTTGTCAACATCCCAATGGTTGTTCAGGTCAGAAAAGAGGCACCCATATGAAATGATGCAGAATATCTGGTGCTTAAGTGCGGCCTAATTAGGCGGGCATGTGTAACCACACCCAAGCTTATGCGACAATCGATATGCGGTGTCTCTCTGTCATATGGTACACATCATCTTTGGGACATGCGACTGAGATTCCTCATCTAATGACTCTTGCAGACTGGATGCCCTCCCGTCCTCGTACTGTACCTCACACTGGCCACTCTAGACAATTGCGCTTGCTGTGGGATTCCATGTACTATCATTCCTGACTGGTCTTTTCATCAATTCTATATTATTCGAGTAAAACTTCGCGCGAGCACTGCCAGACGTGACTTTATAGTGTGACTTGAAGATACCTATGCCCCCGCACCGCTGTTGGTGCACCCGTTTCTTCGTTCTCAGGCTCACTGCACTACTGATCTGAAACGGAATTAGCACGAAAAAAGGTAACTTTCTGTCGCGAGAGTCGTAACCATTGTAATCGTTACGCTAGAGAACTCATTAGCTACTATATACTGACGGTGAGAGTCCTCTTACACAATCCGTGTGCCGAACAAAATGATGACCTAAATTTTGCGGTACAAAGTGGTGTGAGCTTTCCATACCATTGCCACGGGGATGGGTCATAGCTATAGGTCTGTCATAATGTTAGTTACTCCCTTCCTGGGCATTCTCAGAGGCCAGTGTGAAGCCACCATGTAGGCAACGAGGACTGGAACAAGATTGCCTCTTCTTGAAGAACTCGGTATACTTATGGTGGGAGAACAAGTACATTTCGTGGAGCGTAGGCATGCTCAGCATGGTATGGAATTCTGCACTTTCGATAGTGCTATCCATATGTCGGAAGAAACTAAAGCAGCAAAGTTGACAGTTCATAGGGCAATGTTCTGGTCTATCTTCTTGAACGGTATGCTTGCGATCGGTATGGTCCTTGCTATCCTCCATAGGCTCAATCGAAGATGCACTAGTCTCTACGATTCCCATCGTCTCGATTTTGCTGATGATAAATGGTTCTGTCCCGGCAATAACTGCCATCCTATGTGGAATCTTCATCATTTACATTAAATCATTGTGAGCTTTTATAGCATCAGTCTTGCGTTTTCTCTGAGCACCGGCAAGAGATAGCGGGTTACGCCATTACTTCGCCTGTGTAAGTCTCGCATCAATATGAAACTTGGATCTTTTTAGCACTTTTTAGCACTTTTTAGCATGATGTATGCTCGCCTTTCGGAAGGTGGTGTGCAGTTTGGTGAGTGAAATCTCGGCCGCCGGGTATTTATATAAACAGCTTATGCGATAGTGCGCACCATGTACATTCTAAATTTCCTGCCCGTCCTATCACTAGTGTCTGTCACTGCTGACCACTTGAACTATGGTGGACTAATCATGGGTTTTTTGGTGATTTGAGAGCGCACAAGCTCCTCAAAGCACCAAACTTGGCTGCTCCTGATATTGTAATGGCCAAGTCATGGAACCATTGCTAGCGTCAGCGTTTTCAAGATGGCAGCTTTCCGTCTCTTCGGAGGTTGCTGGTGCTGCCTCCCTTCCTTGGCCAGGACGCCAAGGGTTGAGAAGGTCAGCGGCCCAGCCCATTGTTGTTCATTGGGTGTACCCCATGATTACTTCTACCTGAACTTGGATCTGACCAAACCATTCCTCCGGAAACGAGAAACCTACACAATAGTCGCTCGTTTCCACCGTTATGCCCACTTGCCCAGAACACTCATCAACACCATACCAGCGATGAGTGCGAGGCCGCCGCTTGCGGTGACACCAATACTGGTATACATCATCTCACCACCCAGTATCCAATCTCGAGCCCACATTTCCACCAGGCCGACCCAGATTAGAATACCTGCCGAAAGGGCATCAAGGGTTCCAAGAGCGATCAACGTCGAAGGATCGTTGCCATTGAAATGCTTCAGAACTCCAATTCCAATCGCCATGCCGATAGGGGTAATCGCTGCAAAGGCAGAGGCCATGATCAACATGTGAAGCATCGACAAGGGCTTCGAACCCTGTAGACTACCTGAGAATGGAGCATGATGCAAAATGCTAGGCCCTGTGGCTTTGTCCGGTGAGTTTGTTCTGCTTGTTCCAGTTGCAGTCGCTTCTGCTGGGATCGCATGGCCAACGGAGGCAATGCGAGTGCCCAATGCGATGCCCTCGAACATTTGGTGAAACAGGATGACAATGAACAGAGTGATAAAAAAGCTGTCGCCGGCAACGATGAGAGTGATACCGATTACTGTTGCCATGTTAGTGGCAGGTACTATGATGACTGCATATTGCCGTTTCGAACTCACAGATAGAATGGAAGATAATGCCAGCCTCCAGTACCATCACATTAATGAGTCCGTCCTCTCTAATCGATCCGGCTTCAAGCTTGCTCTTCTTGCCCATACCATGCGCGACACGATGAGTGATGTAGTCAATCAAGAAGGACAGAAATATGCCCGCCATCACAATCGCTGACGTAGTCGCTTCGTAGTCAATACCCGTCAGACACTCGTTCGTAAACATTAGTGTAGCATGCGTGTACAGCTATTGGCCGAGGTCAGTACTTTTTGTGTTACAGCAACCCGAAACACTACTTACATGGACAAACGCAGTCGAAATGATGATACCGGTGCCGAACTGTTTGAGAACGACGAATATAACATGAAACTTTGCGGGCAGGACAGGTTTTAGAAAGATTGGTCCGGCGACCCCTGGATCACGTAGTCAGCTTGAACGAAGTGATGGTCACTTAAATGATGAGCTTACCAATAAAGCTTGTGGCTAGGATGGCAAATAATAATCCAATTCTTAACGGAATATTATAGTCGCGTGACGTTCGCTCGCATGATGCAGCTTCGGCGCCCGGGCAATGTCTATTTTGCAAAATTAATTTCGACAATGAACCAGGAGAGACAGGTTGCCTACTCGACACCAGCATGGAAATGACATCCAGAACTTTCTTCGGAGTTAGATGATTTCTCCTCCGAACTGGCCGATTCTCCGCTGGACGAAGTGACTTCTTCTGTAATGACCTGGACGTCGTCGCCATTTTCATCCATACAGTATCTATAGAGATCAGCATGGGCTCGGTAGGGTACCGTTTGTGGCCACTTACAGTCCTGAGCCATGGCTATGACAGCCTGTATAAGATGCAGGTAGGTCCGAGGTTGCCGTAGCTGCGACAGAGACTTGGTATTCAGTCGTACCAGCCATGCACCAGCTACAGGCATTCTCAATCAGCGCAGCTCGAAGCATAGACTGTCTTCTTCAACCTACACTTGTGTGCTGTGTACATGACAACTAGAAATAACTGATATGCTTTGGGTTTGTCTGGCAACCAAAGTTGCACGCCGCTCCGGTAGGTTCGTCGTTGTTGGTATTGATTGCGTCCTCCGAGCTAGAGAAATAGTCCTGGCAGACGTGGCGCAAAACAGCGAAGCTACAACTGCAGTGGTAGTCGTCGTTTTCATCTTCAAAATGTCTAGTACGTGCAGCGCGAGTGTTTAGATGCGCCGGAAGTGATGAATAAGGACGATGTTGCGTATGAAAGCTCACAAGAGTGGTCGCAGACACCTTAATTATCGACTCCAGAGCAATGATAATTCCAAAGCAAAGCTTCGTTTACTTGAGACTCAGTCTGTTTCAATGACAAAGTCGAATCCAGGCGAACTGAATGCTTTATTCGTTGTTGGATAATGAGAATCGGGATGCTCAAATAGGTGAATTTTGACTATAGACCGCAGTGTTGGCCAGCTGCGAGAATCTCCGCTCACCCATCAAGGTCGAAACTTTTTAGAGCTGGTAATGGCCATCAAGGTCATTATAGATTATGCGCCGAGAAATATAAATTGGCTCACTTCTCCTTGGCGATTGTTCGCCAAGTCACTTCAATCCACCCTGCCAGCCCCATGGCCCCCCTCTCCTTGGCGATGACTAAAATTCTCGAGAGCGGAGAAATTCGTACTGACAACATCTATTCGAGCATGTAGAAACCCAGAAGCGTGACTGATGAGAACCTCGCATAATGCCATTGCGGTCACGTTTGTCAATTGCTCTTAATCTCAAGCGCATGTTTATGGGATGAGAGCGACTCTTACAACCTACGAAGCAGGAGCCTCACTTGTAGCATGACGAAGCAGCAGTGAAAGTTGTGGTAATTGTAATAGATATCAAATTGCAACCCATGTCGTCGCAACTCAAGAATGATCTAAGGTTACTCATAAGTAGTTCCTACTGCGTACTTATGGCAAGCCAACATATTTTCATGACTAGCCAGTTTTCGGTTTTTCAATATCCGGGCCCCTAGTTAAACGAGTTATATAGAGTTCTAAACAGGTACTCTTAAGATGTCTTTATAACCCAAGCGCCAACAGAAGGCTTCCAACCAAAATTGCACCGCTCAAAGACTGCCCAGGTGCACCAGCTGTAGCAGCGGCTGAAACAGACGCAGCGCTTGATGACCCAGCGGTCGTCGCCGCGGATCCAGAAGTGGTAATCACAGCTGAGTTTGACCCCGAAGTCGATGCAGGGCTATCGCAGTGCCTCCACAGAATTAGTTCCCATACTTCGTCGTAGCCTCGCGTAACTTACCAATGATCTCCATGAGACTCGCATCCAACGGATTCGGTCGGGCTAGGAGCTAGACTTCCAGTTCCGGCCGAATGCTCCTCTTCATCATGGTGTTCCGAAGAAGTAGAAGTCGCAGTAGTAATGGTAGCGGCAGAACCGGACACAGTTGTGGTGAAGGTGGCAGATGAGGTAGAGACGGGTCCATCACAGTGCCAGTGGTCCTCATGAGGTTCGCAGCCCACAGACTCCGTCGGAGAAGGGGCAAGTGTTTGGGCAACCGCGCCAGATAGGAGTGCAGCAATGAATATAGAAGTGATTGACTTCATGATGAAAATTGAAAGACTAGACCGTGAGAAACGTGTAGATTGCTAATGAGAACAAATGAAACAATGCATCGTGCTTCGTACAACAACTACCATTCAATATAAGCAGTTGTTCAAGCTTTCATCTTTTGCCTGCGGTCCGGTCTAATGCGTTTTAAGCGCGTCGATATTCCCGCTGTCGCCAAGCTCTAATTTCTTACTGGCTACTTGGCGCGGCTGCTTGGCGGCTCAAAATCCTCGTAGTATGGACTCTGCTCCATTGTATAGTGCCTTGGCAGTCACATATGGCCATCAAGGTCCTTCTATGCGGCAATTGTCCTAGAGTGACTAAGCAGCGATAGCGAGCCGCCCATACTCAGATACCATATAATTACATTCACATAACACCAAAGAAGTCTGGTCATCCGCTCTACAAGAATAACTTTACTACAGAATCATGCGGTGGAAATGTTGTTCCATATCACCGATCATGACACCATGTGGTATCACGCAGTTCTCAGCTGCGAAAATGTTGTCTTGAGCCATCGAAAAGCTGCATTCAATCTCAATCCCAATGCAAGCAAATGTAAGTTGCTAAATTCTCCGGTCGTAAGTCTTGAAGATCAGGCTGGTATAACCCATATCCGCTTTTCGGCTTAATTATACTGCGCACTTCCCGGAATGTGTACCTTGATGGACATCTAGTGACCGCATACTTTCTTGGCTTATAAGCCATATTTTTCTTTTCCCATCCCGACCAGCTGGAATAGACCGCGCCAGTCAGCTTGGCAAGATCATGGCCCGCACTCGCCTCGTTCGATAAGCCTGGTTAAATTTTTCATTTAGGGCTTCGCCAAGTGTCTTGGTATATCGGTTTCCTCACTCGACCTTGTTGTGCATGAACTAGTCTGCGAGAACTTTCCCCAAAGGCAAGGGGACAATGAATCTAGATGATTCGACACCCACAACGCAGCGATGGCCAGAAGGGTTGCTATGAAAGTTAGGTATCGCGGATATTGTGAAGCCCAGCTTGAAACTAGAGTGACGACTTATGGCGGGAACATTATAAAGAGCTGAGTGATGCGCCATCTGCAGAAGTATGAAGCGCACCATTGCAATGCGAGGTCATCTGCTAAGCACCAACAAACATCATGAAGTCCTTCATTACTTACCCTGTTCTTGGTGCATTGGTTCTAGCTGGCGATATCGTTGCAGCTTCGAGGTTGCAAAGACGACAAGAAGCCGTCACAGTCACCCACACCGTCCCCGCACCACAGGCTTCGACGACAGCCTGGTCTTGGAATGCAGGTGGCTCAAATATCTGGCCCATCCACGAGTCCTGCAATGCGACCGAGAAGGCACTCCTGAAGCGAGGACTTGACGAGGCGGCGACTCTTGCGGGCCATGCTAAGGACCACGTCCTTCGCTTCGGTAACTCGTCTGATTTCTACCAGAAGTACTTCGGCTCTGCATCTACAGGCGAGGTCATTGGATGGTATGTTTCGCTGTACGAGACTCGTAGTACATATCTAATGTGATGTACAGGTTTGACAAAATTGCCAATGGTGACCGCTCCAGATACAAGTTTCGATGCGACAACCCTGATGGAAATTGTGTCCTTCCTGGTAGGTTTAAGCCATTGTAAATCTAGGGAAAAGGGAGGCTAAATTTAATATAGCTTGGGGAGGACATTGGCGAGGAGAGAACGCTACCGAGGAAACAGTCATCTGCCCTCTATCCTACGAAACTCGTAAGCCTCTGGACGGTTTGTGTGGCTACGGTTACACTGTCGCATCTGGCGCTCTGAACGTTTACTTCGCTTCCGATTTGATCCACCGCTTGTTCCACATGCCCAGCGTTGGAGAAGGCGTCGTTGAGCACTACGCAGATACATATACCGATTGTTTAGAGCTGGCTACAAGCAGCCCCGAGCAAGCAGTCAGAAACACTCACACCCTGCAGTACTTTGCACTAGATGTGTACGCTTTCGATATTGCCTTGCCAAACGATGGATGCACTGGCAAAGCCCCCGAGGAGTCGAGCTCAAGTGCTGTTACCTCTGCTCTAGCCAGCCCCACAGAGGCAACTAGCACAAATGCGGCGGTTACCGCAACTACGGCCGATGATGTTACCACAACAGCTTCAGCTGGTGCAGTAAGTTCACTTGTACCTTGTCCATTTACACGCTGCTAATTCCCATAGGAATGCCATACACACTCCAACGGCGATGTTCATTGCTCATAAGTGCGGGGATAGGGACAATGTTCACACCACATCACGAAAAAGACAAAGCGTTATTTATTTCACGGACGTTGGTGGAAAATGATTACAGGAATGGGATGGACTGTGCCAGTTTTTAAATATGATGTCAATGAACTCAAGACTGACTATCAATATACCCAACTCCTATGGACCCGTGCTGCTATGAAAATCAATGAATCAAACAGGAACTAACACAAGAAAAGTGCCATCTCAAACACCGGAATCATCTTGTTCGACCGAGTAGGTGTCCTCATATGTGGTCCAAGCATCACACGTGTCAGAAAGAGAGTCATAGTCAATAAGGGCAGTAATCTCGTCCTGTCGCTCGACGAATTGCAGAGCGAAACCTTCACTAGTGTGCCAGCCGATGTGGCAGTGCATGAGCCACGCACCAGGGTTGTCGGTCTTGAAAGCAATGACGAGATAGCCGGCGGAAGGCAGCATGGCTGTGTCTCGGCGAGGAGGGTTGTCCATATTGAGAGTGACAGAGTCGCTGCTGTAGGTGCCGGAACCTTGGGCAAGGATCAGGAAGTCGTGACCGTGCAAGTGGATAGGGTGGGGTACGGTGAAGGTGGTCGCAATGACTAGGTAGACCCATACATCGGCATCAGGGAGCTCGATCACAGCGTTGGAGGTATCGAAGCTGGTCGTGTTGTCGTAGACCTGCAGCAGGGTAGGGTCGCTCCACTCAACAACCATGGTGGTCGAATTCAGGTACCACTTGAACAAATTGTCCGAGTTAAAGGCGACCTTAGCAGTCTCTTCTCCCTCGCTTGTGGCGGATGAGATAGTCTGTGAAATGTATGGTACGAGGTCGCTGGCATCCATGTCCACGCAGTCTTGGCCACTAGTGTAGCTAGATGGCTTAGATGTGGATGGTGTGGTTGTTGAGCTGCCATAGTACAGTATACCCTTGATGTTGTCTGTGCTGTCATTCTCACTGCAAGCCGACTGGGGAATGGCACGGATCCAGAAGCTGTCGGCAACTGCAGCTTGATCGGCCGTGATGATGACGTCGTACCGTTGACCTAGGCAGTGTTAGTAGGTAAATGCAAATATGGGTGATACAAGTGAGTGCTTACCCATTCCCATGTAGATAACATCAGTGGTGAATGGCTCGATAGGCACCAGGTCCATGGCAATCACAGTCATGGTGTGGTTATCAATCATAAATGCGAAGTGCGAGTCAACGGCGGCATTGACGAGTCTCAACCGGTAGGAACTATCCTCTGTAACAGAAACGTTGAATCGAGTACCAGTCTGGTCGTCATCGTCATCATCACCATAAACGTTAGTCCCGTTGATAAGACCATTGTCGAGGGTTGGAGGACCGCTGGTCTCAGCATCGAGGTAGAGCGCATCGACGGTTTCGTGGCTCCAATCGTTCAGGAAGAGATGACCAAGGTCTTCATCATAGTCGGACGTAGCGGGACCATTGATGATGATGCCACCGAAGACGCCCTGCCAGGCTTGGAGAGCGAAGTGAGAGTGGTACCACGTCGACCCGTACTGCTCTGCCTTCCAAGTATAGGTGATAGAAGAGCCCGGTGGGGTAGGACACTGGGTGATGGATGAGACACCATCGTTCTGATTGGTGTAGTTCTGGCGGATACCATGAAAGTGAAGGCTGGTACCGTTTGTCGACGAAGAGAGCGAGTTGGTCAAATGGACAACAACGGTGTCACCTAACCCGGTCAGTAAGCTTCACTGCTGTAAAAATAGCTTTAAATTTCACTCACCCCAATCAGCAATAATAGTAGGACCGGGAATACTGCCATTGATGGTTTGAACATATCGTTCGTAGCCATCGGGCGAAGCAGTTGTTTCCGTCAACTCAAAATAATACTCACGAGTAACACCAGTGTCTGGGGACTCGGAAGTATAGTCTGTGTCGATTGAATAGTCGCACCATTCAGATCTTGTGGTGGCAGTATTGCCGGAACATGTGGAACGAGGTGATAGCCCGGGACCAGAGAAAGAAGGAAAGGCGGCTGAAAAACCCAGCAGGGAGGCCGTAAGGAGTGACTTGAACATATTGAAGCACTGAATGGCAGCAGATGCAGAGCGATAGTGATGAGAGACTGTGTTTGCCTGTCTAAATCATGTCTTGTAGTGGGAGCTGCCACGCTTCTTTAATAAGAAATGAATAGCACATGTAACGTTTGGAGCTCGTCCATTTTCGTAATCCAGAACGAAGCTTACTTCTCAAAAAAGCTTGTTGCGTTGGAGCCACCCTATCGGTACCCACCAGAAGCTTTCGCGTCCTATGCATACCGGCGTGCATCCGGTGGGTTCAAGATGATGCCAAGGTGACGAATAATAGTCATGGTAGGCGCGTGATAGACTGGTGGATATCGACTAATGGAGCGAGCGAAAGCCGCACCGAAAGACCGACGCTATAAGCCGAAGCTGCTATATGTGATAGTGGATCATATAGGTTCATCTCAATAGAGTGCCGGAGTGACCAATACGAAAGGTCCCAAACGACAAGCTGAGGAGCAGCCCATTACTTGCATATAATGGTACGTGCACATATACGTAAGACAAGGGATCCCAAAGAATGGTTTCAGCTTCAATAATTGGCAATACTATAGCCTCAAGATCTCCGCACAGCCCAATTGGCACTAATCGCGTGGGCTGGGCATGCAGGGGTGCGCCTACCGCATAAAGCATGACACGCGGCTATTTGCATGCGCCACAGCGGGATCATCCTGGAGATAATTCAGAATAGTGATTAGTCAAACTCTAAACCCATTAACAAGGGTACTCGTGCTGGCAGCTAAGCCCCATTTCTTTGTGTTTCATCGAATCTGTGCAGGTGGATTATAATACAAATTGAGTTGTGATGTGGGGAACAGCTACATACGTTCGGACTGTCCCATTGGCCCTTGTGGAAGTAAAGAATGGCGTGGCTCATGACTTTTACGAACGCGTAAGCTATTGGATGAAGCCTCCCCTTATTGTGCAAGTTCAACTGTGCCGCGCAACCTCAGACTTATGCTGTAGGCTTGTAAGACTATACTATCGTTCTCATAAATCAACCATTGCCTGGATCATCGGGCCCCAACAATCTTTGTGTTGTCGTTCTGTCTCGTATAACCTACATTCATTCCTGTCCGATTCACAAACATTCTTTTTGAGTTACTCACCAATCTTCAACATGATGTTCTGCAAGCTTCTCTCCGCTTTGCCCTTTGTGGCCAGTGCTCTCAGCAAGCCGTTAGAGCCTCGAGCTTTGTCCGATTTCAGCATGTATGCTTATGGCTCAGACGGCATCAATGGTTTCCCGGTCATCTCCATCAACAGTAAGCATATTGATTCCGAGAATCAGGTTAGACACTTCGCTCACAGCTACCCCAGACACGGTTTATATTACTTCGCACTCGGTTGACGACATTGGATCACAGGCTCATAATGTAACATGTAGGTTACCCTTTCACCAACTATTCTTACCAAACTCGCTAAATCTACTACAGTCGATGCTCCTGAGACTAGAGGAAACTTCACCGCCTCTGTTGACGGTCAGGGTCAAAGCCTCTTCTATGTGCCATCTTCTTCCGGCCCCGTCGGTTTTACCAACACTACCAATGACGACTCTTTCATCACGTCCGGTTTTGGATTTTATGGCCATGTCATCTTTGTACAAATCGGATCGGTTATTCAGACAGAGTGGATTGCCGTTCCAACAAACGACAGCGCCGTCTGGCTGCTCAGCTGGAATGTGGAGGATCAGGGCGTACCCGTGGCTCTCCGCAACATTGCGCCTACCGCGTAAGCATCTAGGACCAAGAACACGATGGCTCGGGATCTTATTTCTTCTATTCGTTCGCTACTTAGAATTTGATCAGTTTAGCTAGCGCACAAAATATATTTCTTGGACCGTCCTCGTTTTAATTCTTTCACTTTACCGTAAACTCGTATTGATCTGGTTTAAATTGTTACTAGCCAAGCAAAACTCTAATAGTCACGTTCATAATTGTGCTAACCTCACTAACTTAACTGAGAGTGCTTTGCCTCTCCCGAGACCCATTGTGTCTACACTAAACTGTTGCACCACATATAGATTTATGTTTGTCTCAAGTATACTCAACTGTGGTTACCACTGATACTTCCCATCCCAGTAATTTGGTAAGCTTCCACCGCTTTACATTTCTATCTTTATTGAATGGCATTGCAGGAGCGTGTCCTGCTCTCTGGGTAGATTCAGGAATTTTCCACGAAACTCCCAGCACATCTACGGGGCCATCTGAGGTACAACTCTCCGAGAAACATCGCCAGTCACTCTGTTTGCTTTTCCACGCTAACACTGATACGGGAATTCAATTGGAAAGACGCTGGACTGCTGGCCCTGAGTCCTGTGAGGTGTTAGCACTTTCGTTCTCCACACGTCCCTTCAATAGTTAAAAGGCTCTAGGTCCCAGTTCCAACCATCCATGTTGTTCAGGGTAGTCGCTGTCAAGTGAATAAGCGGTTTGACATATGTGTGTCAGGGGTGACCGTTCGATCCGCACCTGGATACCTGTTCAGCTGAATACCAATTTTAGAGCCCTACCCATGCAGCCCATTCTGACAGCTCTACCCATGGCCGCGTAGTCCATCAGGGGTATCTCGGGAACGAAGATCATCATCATGATCTTAGCATATTGTAGAGTGCTGGGTTCACCGCCCACGTTTTCACAGTGGCATGTGTCTTGTTCCGTAAGATGTGAAGCTCCGCAACCTCGTGCAAGTGACGCGTATAGCATGGCGACGAATAGGCGGCTAGCTCACGGGCAGCGGCTGCTGAGAGAATCAATAATGTAGTTATTGTTACTGGACGGCCGCTCATTGGCAGCCATCGACAACCTCATCACGCTACCGAAAAAAGATCGTGTGTGGCCTAGTTCAGACGTCCCGTACTAACCTTAGTGAGGAAGTCCCGTTCGGTACTTTCTTCTATTTGGCCAAAGTCAAACTCGGAAGTCCCCTACTTTTTAAGCGGGTCGGGAACGTAACCTAGTGAGGAGGCTAACAGATGCACCGGCGTCAGGGGCACGTTTTTGAGAGAAACTGTTTTTTCTCCCTGACGTCAATATGTCCCAATGCCGCCAATCATCGTAGAATTGATGAAAATAGATATTTCAAAGAGTGCCTTACTTCTTCGCTACGGGATTTGACCCCGACGCATCCGTGCTGCTTCCACAGTATAGTGGATGACGCGTCAAGGATCGTGATGATTGAGCTCACCTGAAATATCTGCGCAATTAGGAAGGGAATCAACGAAGCGCTTGGGCTAGTCTAATTCCGGGTTTCATGACCACCTCGCTTCATTGCCGGTCGTACTTGTGAGTATAGTCTGGTGAGCAATGCCATTTTGGCTCCCATGAAAGTGATGTTGTCAAGTACTGTAGCGTAGGGACAATACGGATCCGTACGTTTGTGGCACGAAACACTAGGTTAGGACCTTTTTTTTTAGTATTCGCGTACCCCCGCAAAACCACACGCGTCAGCGCTTTATACCACCGGCAGTCGATTGAGTTATCCATATGGGGCAGATGTTTCGAAACGCTCGTACGAACGCCAAGAATAGGGTTACGGCTCGTGTCAGATGAGATCTGGACTTAATATCGGCAAGGCAGACAAATTTGTCAAGGCAGATAGATTTGACAAAGTGCTCAACTCATGTTGAGTGTCTCCAATATTCCTGAAACTTGCCCGTTAACTGCCAGTGGCGCCATCATTCTCAGCCACCCCAAGCCTTACGTCTCGACAGGGAACCACAGAACTTGCTGCTTCACACAAAACATCGGCATATGGATAAGCAGTAGGTAGAAGTTATTCCAGTACTCGGTGCAACTGTTGCTCGCATTATCGGAATTCATTCTCGTTGCACCAACGTATTTTGGCATTGATCATCGTTCTAGAACATACCTGACGATCTTGGGCACGTGTCACTACAACAGATACGTACTAGCTTATTCGGACCGCTCAGACGGCCCCCGAGGCACTAATATCCAATTTACTAAGAAAATATACGTAGATATGCCAGGGGTATTCCACCTCCAGATACACATTGACGCGTCCTCGACCCATCACGAGATCCACTGAACTCACTTCCACCCCCGGGTAGCCGGCTGGTATCCCAAGTTAGAAGGTCGAAAAGAAGCTTGACATCAAGCAAGTCCCTAGATCTGTACGCGGTCCTGACCTTGGGCGCAGGAATAATCGCTTCGCCACGTTCTGATCTATTTTTTACCGAGTGGTCAGTCGAAGGGGAATTTCTGACACGGAGCCGACCCTGCACTCATGGACCGTGACCGCAATTTGCTCAAGCTCAATTGATATCTTCCTGATCGCAAGACCCACTCATGGCCGGCACTTTCGTGAGCTGAACTGCTTTGCGATTCCACGAGCCTTGGCATTGATGAAGGAGGGCCTCTTGTCGCGGCAACCCCTGAGCAGTTAGACTTGTGTCGAGATCAGCTACAGGTTCGTACTTTCTGCATAATGAGCCCTGAAGCGTAGCTTTCAGGGCTTGGCATCCACTTGGCTACTTGCTCTGCGGCATCAAAGAAGTACTTTTTGCATAGTCAAGCCGACATCATACTGGCCCTCTCCGCTCTAGAGCCGACAAGCCATGCAACGGTATTCAGGCCGAGGAGAATCTGCAGCGTGGCTCTCATCTCTTCAAGAACTTATGTCAATCGCAAGGACATGAAGGCTCCAGGACATGAAGGCGTGCAAAGGTCAGAATCGAGCAATTAGGATTACTATTATGTTGTGCGGACTGAGACTAGGCTAATTTGAAAATTTAGTACACCAAGCCTGTTCCATCTACTAAAGCAAGAACGTTCCAACTCCCACGATTAGGCCTGCAATGCCCGTCAACATGGCCTTCTCCACTGGCGCACTATTGGCAGTGGGCGATGGTGTCGAGCCGCCCGTACCAGTCTGGCTGCTGGAAGATGACAACCCCGAGCTGCTCGAGGATGTAGCTGCGGTGGTGTCTGCAGCCGAAGCCACAGAAGACGTAGTGGAAACAGTGGAAGATGGGCTATCACTTGTGACTGTGACAGTAACTGCGGCCGGGGCAGAGGAGGTGGAGGAGGTAGTCAGCTTGATGCCGCAGACTGCTTCAGCATCAAATGTGAACGGCAGGTTTCTAGCTTCACATTCCGAAGTCTGTCGCGTGATGGAATCTGAAGTTTTCACGAAAAACACCTCATGAGCCTGCGTTCTTGGATGCGATTGCCGCGAGCTTTGACTTACCGGGCATGACCGAGGCAGCGCACTTCTCCGCCATACAGCAGAAGTATTTCTCGCGGTACTTCTGCTGCGTGCACATACATGCTGCATCGTTGGTGCAGGACCCACCCGGAAAACTACCAAAGAAGCAGTTGTTCTGGCAAGGAGGCGCATCAGTAATTAAGCCTTCGGTTCCAGTGCTCCTGGGACGAGCAGTACTCACATCGCAGGTCGCGTCACGCTCTTGCTGCTCCTGGTCATAGACGGGCGATGCAGCGGCCAGGTTAGCGCCTAGCATGCTGAAGAGCACTAACACAGCAGACAATCGCGCCATGACGATCGGACTGAAAGCAGAAAACAAATGATGCAAACGAGTGACTGGCGAACTGTACAGGGCGGGCAATTCCTCAGATATGATTCTACGGCAAAGCCGCATCATCGTGAGAAAAGTACCCGAAAATATTTTCTACATTTCAGGCAGTGCTGCGCCGCTGAAAATCGCCAAAGAATTAGGGGGTAAAAGCGCGCAATGCCAAGGATGCTTATCTGTGCTTGTCTGAGTTCAGGGAGCCGGTTTAGGTTTGGATCTGGAGCTCGAGTTTGCAGGGTCGTCGTGCTAGTGCTAGCGAACGAATGATGAGGCCGCTTTGCCGATCCAGACCCCTGGCAATTACAGAGATTCAGTACCTGTTTCCAGCAGCTTTATGCATACCAACAGGTAGGGTAAGTTGCTGACCGTTTCGGGGCAGAAACCGTCGCGATCCCGATGATTTGCACATGAGGTAAAGTTCAACTCTGGCCAAAAGGTCCATGGCTTACAAGTGCATCATAGACATGATCTCACGGTCGTGATAGCTCACTATCTCTAGCAACTTCTGAAAGCATCATCACGAACCCTTCGGACGGATCATTTATGGCTCGCTATCGTCCAGGCAAGCAAGACAGTAGTCCTACTCTGAAGATGCACCGTCGACCAGCTCCCTTTTGGCTGTTGTTACATATGCATTTTAGTAACCGTTATATATTCAACGTCGAATTGCCTCGAGATACGCCGAGCTAGTAAGTAGTTTAGTTGTAGATCCAACAGTATACCAGAGGACAGCTGGGTTATTCTGGATAGACAAGTGGATGTTCGAGTTCATGCTACAATGCCTAGTGATGCATTCTACCATAAAAGACACCCCGCAATGCAGTTGCAGCTGAGAATCGGCTGCATACTGCAATACTCTCATCGATAAAATCTGCCGCGACACCCGATGCAAGTAGTCTTGGCAGGGTCTGGCTCTGGGCAGTGTCTTGTCACACAAGGCTGTACGGAATCTTATCTTTGTGTTCGGGAGTTTCAATCTGGTGTACTAATCTCTTGGCTAGAACCAAATGTATTATTTTTGCCATGTTTAGCTCGCTAGTGTCATGACCGTAACACCATAATCAGTTGACGATGAGGAAGCTTGTTTGGTGTCTTCTTCTTTTTCTTTTCGTAGCCGGACCATATGTGGTGGGTGTGTAGGAAGGTGTCATCCCTTCTATAAACTGTGAATCAGTCGCCATTCAATGAGATGACTGTAACAATTGTAGAGGTTGCATCCAAGCTTTCCTATGTTATGGTGCTACAAACCACACAAGGCTGCAATTGCTGTAAATACACGTGCAATATAAGCAAAGTTCCGCCCAATGATGTTTGTCTCAAGTCGATGCGTAGAATCACATGCATACCAATCTACCATAGGATAATCATGCCGACCAGTAGTGCGGCTGGTAGGTCAGATACACTCGTATATTAACCTGTGGTCCAGTCTTTCTGACTCAGCTTATGTTGTGTGTTTAGTTAAGCAACCAGCCTATCAGGGATCATAAGCGGCCGCATCGCGGCCGCGAGCCGTTACAATGGTAACGACTCGAATAAGCGCCACAGTCCAGCCATAGGTTGATACAGGGATAACCGCAAGGATGTCTCCAAGTCAGCCCGTAACTGTACACATGACCTCGGAGTTATATTCCTTCACATTACACACCTGAAGTTCACCATTCACATCAAGATTACATAATTATTTTGCGATCGAGGCGGACCCCAAAATCTGTGTCAGACGTGCTTTGGGTTGTATAAAGCCCTCAGGATCTCGTAAGGCCGCAGGTGATCCAGTTTCTCTTATTTCGTCAGACCTTCGGCGTGTCTCTTTTTACTGGATCCAGCCATGAAACTAGCTATTATCACTTTGTCTAACTTTGCGTTGTCGTACGCCTGGCAGTGGAACGAAGGGCCATTCCAGAACCGACTTGTGGGCTCCTCGTTTGGTATCCCCAACCAAGACGCCACGTACGATTATGTTGTGAGTATGATTGATCCTGAGTGGCCAGTAGCTTGACTCGCGTGGATTTGAAAGCTAACCTGCCACGTAAAAGGTCATTGGTGGCGGGACGGCTGGCAGTGCCATCGCAGCTCGTCTAGCGGAAGATGGCACCGCATCCGTCGCCCTCATCGAGGCCGGCGGATTTCCTTGGGAGGACCTTGGAAACCAGACCGAAGTCCCAGGTTACACATGGCGATTCGAAGCGTTTGCTAACCTTAGCGACACAAACCCCACCGTGGACTGGGATCTTGAGACGGCGCCTCAGCAAGTGTGTTCTTCCCCATATTGGTCTTGCCCACCTGCGGAACTTTCTAATCAACGATGAAAGAATCTTGGCGGACGGTCTATCCATTATACAGCGGCCAAAACATTCGGTGGCGGGTCTAGTCTTAACGACATGGGATATCACAGGTCAACCATTCAACTGGCTTCGGTATTATTCATTGCTAACGCGTTACAGGGTCACGAAAGGCACAATGAATCTATGGGCTGATTTGGTGGGAGATGATAGCTACACATGGTCAAAGTTTCTCCCTTTCTACAAGAAGAGCACTACGTATACACCTATAGACAGCGTGCCGGATGAGAGCGTTAATTTTGATTACCACAAGCCGGGACCCTTGCAGGTGTCGTACCCTCCGCATCGTCAGCCGACTAATCCTTTTCTATCAAGAGCCTTTGAGAAACTCGGCTTTGGGAAGATGCTGGGCAATAACGGCGGCCTGCTCAACGGCTACGCATACTGGACGTATTACCAAGACCCAGAGGCCCATACCCGTAGCTCGGCCGCCACAGCGTACCTCGGACAGGCTTTAAAGCACAACCACGGCCAGGGGCTTCACCTATACCCTCGTACGCAGGCTCAGAAAATCGTGATCGAGGGAGGCAAAACTCGTGCTGTCATTGCTCAGACAGCGGGATCCAACTACACTATCACGGCCAGTAGAGAAATCATTCTATCTGCCGGATTTATACATTCCCCTCAGATTCTCATGCTGTCTGGTATTGGTCCAGCATCAACTCTGCGGAAACAGGGCATTGAGGTTGTTGTAGATCTTCCCGGCGTTGGCAGCAACTGGCAGGACCAGCCTTACGTGTTTACCCTCCTCGAGACCGATGCCGAAACCGATTCTGCTATAATTACAGATCCCGCGCGTCTGGAGAGAGCTCGTAGGCAATACATCGAGTCCCGATCCGGCCCTTTAACCAGCCCAGGCTTTGACCTTGTTGGTGAGTGCATTTAAGCTCTCTTGACCGGCCGCGTTGGCATTAGATCAGAACTGAGAGGACGTCATGCTGACCTTTCCAATTGTCGAAGGCTGGGAGAAGTTTCCCCCTTCGTACCGCTCTCGACTCAGCCCGCAAGCACTTGCCCTGCTCGACTCCTTTCCGTCCGATTGGCCCGACGTCGAGTTCATTGGTGCCGGTCTGGCGGCTGGCAACCCGGCAGATCCGACGAACAACCGTCTTTTCGCTCTCGTGGCGGGCCTGCTGGTGCACGACTCCGTCGGAAACATAAGCCTCACAAGCGGGGACATCCGTGACCCTCCGGTGCTGAACATGAATCTTCTCACCACAACGACCGACAGGGAACTGGCGGTGGCAGCCGTTCGGCGCGTTCTACAGTTGGCAGACTCTACTGGCATCGTGACCAACAAGCTTAACCCCACGGATGCTCTCATCGGATCCGATATCCAGCTTCTCGAGTGGATCAACGAAAATGTCGTGTTCGGGTACCATGGAAGCTCTACTTGTAAAATGGGAAAACAAGGTGATCGCTCAGCTGTGGTAGACAGTAAGGCTCGAGTGTATGGCCTCGAAGGCCTCCGTGTTGTCGATGCTAGTGTTCTGCCGTTTTGTGTACCGGGGCATCCGAGTGCCACTATATGTGAGTATTGGCCATCCCTCGCTTAAAAGCTTGTCCAATCCGGTCGTTATGGGCCAGCTGACATGTATAATAGTTGCTTTGGCCGAAAAGATTGCGCGCGATATCCATTGCTCGTACCAGATATGCTCAGTGACGGGTGGCGGTGATCATGATGAACTATAAGAAGACATGAAGCAGTTACGTCATGGGAACAAGTGCTGCACATATCCCTGAACATTAGCGTGAATATCAATAATTCAGTGTTCATTATACTACAGAAATAATATGCATTTGTCATACGCGCGTGCCGCTTAAAATTTTTCCCAAACCATAATATTTTATTACTTGCACTGTGAGGCGATACGAAACTGTAAGCTTGAAAGAACAGTGACGACTTCAATGTACATGTCTAAGCGATAATATACTAACAAGTCAGGTAAAGTGCTATCAAGCAGCTAAAGTGGTAGTGCTAAGCACGCAGTGCACAATACAATCGAACGTATTCACAAAATTGAGACTGTCCTCGTTACTGCCACTAATTGCGGTGGTCGCCATAATGCAATTGCTGCTCTGGATGCTGGCCGGGCAGCACATTGTCTGGAATTCGGTCAGGCACCAATGTTTGAATCATGAATTAAAACTGAAGAACACGGTGCATGATTTCAATCTGTGACGTCCCAATGACGGCAAAACTTGTCCAGATAAAGTCGGAGTTGGTCCTTCGAGGCTTCTGACCAAGGTATAGTTCCGTCAAAGGGCCGAGTATGCATATGCTGTATCGCAGCACGAACCATGTAACTATGACTAGGAGGCGTAATATGGATCAAGTCTGGCGGGACGCGCACGTGGTGACATTCTGCGATATCAATGGCCATGATCGTAGAAGTGTCAAGTGCCGCTAGTGAGCTCTTTTTCCACTCCTCTAGAGATCGAAACCCGCTAGAGATGGCTTGTTGTGGTATGTCCAGAACATGCCCATGTAGTGTGAATAACCCTCTACCTTGAGTCAGGACGTTGTAATTTTACCCAAGGTGGCTCAAAAAAAGGATCCAAGTGTTGGGGAATCTCACCTGACCGCTAGGGCTATTGCTGCGCAATAGACGCCCGGTTTGCCTTGGCATTGAGGCAGAATCAAGGCCAGAAAGGCCTGAATGGCACCATCTAGGTCTTGGAGTAGACGTAGTCTGCTATCGAGGTCAGGTATGCTCAACCCTTTTATGACCTGGTCCACGAGACAAGTTGCCTGGGCTGTGCGGCCAAAACAGCCGATTTTTGGCCAATCAAGACAAGAAGCTGGTATATCAGGCATGGAATTCGGACTGATGAGGTCGGCACGGTCTAGAATATCCCACTCGATAGGTAGTTTGGCATCTTTGGGAGGTAAAGTGGTAACTAGTGGTTGCTCAAAGACGCTCACCTCGCAGAAAAGGGCTCTGGCACGCGTGGTTTAATGTTAGCTGGCTAGTGATTCCCTCAAGAAGACCGAGATGCCTTGCCTTTCATAAATGACAATACCCCACCACGTATTGTCGGCTTCTTGGGCTTCTATCTGGATGCCCGTATCCACATGATGGCGGGTCCTGTCGTGGAGGCGAGCAGCATACGCCATCCGTGCACAGCCCGTAATGGTTAAAAATGCAGCTTCGGGCCTCCCATCTGCATATTCGTAAACAGCAAGTAGGATATTGGCTTGAATCAGATGTACCGAAGGCGGTAAGCATCCCTGGACCTGTGCAATAATTGCCTTTGTGACGAGATATAGAGACTTTCGACTGATCGCAGGCGTTTCTTCGTCGGCAGAACTATGCCCTGGGTTCGGAAGGCTTGCAATCAGGCAGATGCTCAGTAGTAAGACAGACGAATCAGTGCTAGGACCTAGTGGCGACGCGATGAGGCTTTTCTGAAAGCGCGTACGAAGGATGATAGGAAGATGCCGATGGAAGGTTTGGAAATAGCGAGCAGTAATGTCGTCCACAAATTGACCAGTCGAGCGGATTATATCTTGGATCTCAATGTGGAGTTGATTCCTGGTTTAGACTTGTCAGAAATGAGCACACGGTTGAGGCAAGATTTGCTCTGACTGGGTTAGATACTGACGAGCGCTCCCAAACTGGACGATACAAACTAGTCTTTGTAGTAGTGGTTACAGACTCAAACAACGTCGTGTCGGACGGCGTGGGAATGGAAACTAATTCTGTGCTCGGCATCTCCCGGCGAATTGATGATGCATTGGATGAGCCACCGTTAGTAGACACGACGTGATTGCGTCGTCGAGGAGCCGAAATGTACTTGCAATCCAGATCTTTCCTACGTGTGAGGCAGAAATAAGCGTTGGCCACCCAAGGCATCTGGCCGACTCACTGTATGCAATAGCTACAGCTAGGAAAAGCTTTATTGCACTTCTTTTTGCGAGTCTTGCAACTAATGCAAGCCTCCCTGGCGCGAGCCATAGCGAATTGTGCGGACCCGTAGATTTACGCGGCGTAGATAGGAATTACAGTTACTTGGGATAACCGACGCTGCGTAGGCTAGATGCGCAGGACGGTAGGGGAAAATGAAGAGATCAATAGAGTAGGGGAGCACTTGTCGGAAAGGTGTCGGACTTGTTGTCGGGAAAATGGCGGGTTTTGTCGGACCTGAGAATAAAAATGGGGCCGACGTTGTGATTGGGTAGCAAGGCCCAGTCTTTAATTTACTTGCTTACAGATAGCATCTATGGGGGACCGACCTGCTGGATAAGTGACAACACCCCTCTCAGGGATTTTATATATCTTCAGCATGGAAAAACTTTATTTGCAGCTATTTCTCTCATGCTCAGAATCAACCAGTCTTTATTGCTAAATGTTAGTGCGACTAACAATTCCTTCATGACCAACTATTCGAGCTGAAAGCTCCCAGCAACTTGGAAAAGCTTGTTACATTGAACAACGCCGCAGTTAAGAAGGGAATACTCCTATGAGGCAACATACTTGTACAAACTTTATATTAAGGGAGAGTAGAGCAAATAAGATGCCCAATAACGACAAGCCAGTAGTCAACACGCCTGTCGTGGCTCCCGCCGGGCCCCCAACAGACCTTACCGCAGAAGAGGGCCTACGAGGTTGGTTATGTGTCCTCGGTGCCAGCATCTGCATCTTCTGCTCCCTTGGATTTCTGAACGCGTACGTGTCCCTTGATCTCAACAACTAATCTCAAACATTCAAGAAGCAGGGCGCCTTATGGTAACATGATTTACAGAATTGGCGTCTTCCAGACGGTATACCAGGAGACATATCTTCGTGACTATACGCCGTCCAGCATATCATGGATATTCGCTCTCCAGTTGGCACTCATGTACGCGGCCGGGCCCCTCTATGGCCGGTTAGTTGACACCTACGGTCCAATGCCTGTGCTTTACCCGTGCAGCTTCCTTTGTGTTTTCGGACTTTGCATGACGAGCTTGGCTACAGAGTACTACCAGATCCTGCTCGCTCAGGGACTTGTCTTCGGTATTGGGTGCGGCGGCGTTTTTACGGCGGCGACGGTCTGCGTAGGACAGTGGTTCATTCGACGCCGAGGCTTGGGCATCGGCCTTGCTACGACGGGCAGCAGTCTCGGTGGTGTTATATTTCCGATTTTCCTGGATCAGTTGATTGGAAAGGTCGGTTTTGGAGGTGCCTTGCGCTATACGGCACTCCTAATTGGGATTCTTCTCTGTTGCTCATTTTTCTTGGTTCGGGCACGTCTGCCCCGTAAAAAATGGAACCCCGACGCGAAATGGTTTGACTTGTCATTATTCAAGCAGAAGCGGTTTGCCTATTATACAATGGGTGCGTTTTTGGTCAAGTAAGTGCTTTTCTACCAGTTTCCAACCTTTTGTTTCTGGCTGACTAAACTCTGCCAAGTTGGGGCTTGTTCGCACCATTCGACTTCTTACCAAGCATGGCATTGAACTCGGGGTTCCCGCCTACTCTTGCGTTCTACCTCGTTTCTATCATGAAGTAGGTTCCCCGGATCCTGATCTCTATTGCGAATGCTCAAGAAGACTTACAAAGATCGTGCTTAGTGCAAGCTCGATACCTGGCCGCATTCTGCCTCCTTATCTTGGAGATGGAATCGGGCATTTCAACGTCCTAACGGTCTCTGCCCTGATGGTAGGAGCTTCCATGCTTGCGTTATGGCTGCCTTTCGGATATCATCCTTCGCAAGCAGGTATCATCATCTTCGCGCTAGTTTATGGAGTCGCTAGCGGGGCCTTCGTTTCTTTGATGATGCCATGTGTGTTCAAGCTGGGCGATATACAAACCATCGGCCAGCGGTTTGGCACATTTCAGATGGTTCAAGGTTTAAGGTCAGTACGAACCTTTGATCCTCGTCCGTTGCGGCGTTGAATCGCAGCCTGTGTCACCATACTAATAATCGACAGTTTCTTGACGGGTCTACCAATCATGGGCGCTATTCTGAACAGTCAAAACAATACCGACTATTCAGGGCTCCAACTCTTTGCTTCTGTGAGCTGCATCCTCGGTACGAGCCTGCTACTAGTAGCAACCTACTTTGTGTCCCAGTCGCACAAAACATGGAAGGTCTAAGAGGTCAGGATGAAGAAGTGTTGAATCACTTTATCTGGGAACTCTGAGCGTCAAACTCGATCGAATGTAGGATTGGAGGCATATGAGCATGCTATATCCTTTTACCACAGTAGGAGCCTAGTAATGTATCATTTCAATGCCAACCCCAACTCATTAAACAAACTCACAATATTGATCGAGCCTCAAGACGTGTTCACGTGGAGCATTTGAAGTGCGATGGACTAACAATTTGAAAATACAGAACTAGACATCGGGAATCGGGGGTTATGTATGGTACTGATCATTAAATTATCTGTAGAAGCTTCTCATAATTTCTTAGATGTATTTGTCCTGTGCCTCATCAACATTGAGCTCGTTAGCTGTGGCTGATTGTATCTCTATCTCTAGCTACACAGACTACTCAATAAACTGCTCCCAGTGCAATCAGTAGTTGGCACCTAATGTTGATGGCCCAGGACTTGACGCTCCCACTTTGCCTGACGGTAACCGGGAACATTCACCATGGTATCAATGTTGACTGGACCAGCGAGCAGCACAGGTGTACCAACTGGACGATAATGTATGAGACTACCGTCGCTTGGACCGATGATTTCTTCATATAGCGTCTGGTGAAGTCTATGGATGTAAACTTGCAATGAGAGGATATGTTACGCGGTGTAGTATCTTATAAACTTCCACAGTTGTAGTTTAGGGGGGAGCTGTACACAATATCGTGACGTTGTAGATATGACGCTTTCCGAAGAACAGCAAATAAATGTACCGTGATTAGTTACTTCTTGTAACCAGGCGCATACCGTACCATGCTACAATTTAGTATCGGAAAACTATCGGTACATGGTCACGTGTGCAAGCTTTGCCGCGCGCTCAGTGTTGCAGAGAGGCTTTTATTTCTTTATGCCTACACTTCCGTTATTGGATATCTCTATGCTAGAAAAGCGAAATTTACATGCAAAACACAACTTTCCAATGCTCATCGCATTGGCGTTTAGTACTCCTTGGCCAACTTGCTGCGAGCGCGGAGCTGATGGCCATACTTGAACATGACGAACGGGATCATACTCAAAAAGGTACCAAACAGCGCCAAAATCAGACCGGCATACTGACTACCGACATTATGGAAGAAAGCACTGGCGAACAGCGGGGTGACGGCACCAAGCGTGTTTCGCATCAGACCCTGACCGGCGATAGCCGACGAGGCGCTCTCGCCATAGCAGTCCGCCGTGTAGCTGTAGGTGCTCTCGAAGACGAAGTAGATACCGAAAGAGATGGGCGCGAGGCCGATGACGGGACCGACCCAGGACAGGTATCCGTACTGAGTGAAGGAGTAGATGAACAGGCCGATGGGGAGCCATACGGCGCCGTACATGGCACCGTATAGACGGTCTTCGGGGACGACCTTTCTGTTCTCGTCCTCCTGGAGCTTATTGTACTTGTTCATCTGGAGGTGGTGTGCCAACCAACCTAGAGTAGTACCAACAGCGAGCGAGATGTAGGGGAGACCACTAACACCCTCAGACCAGCCACGCTTCTCGGAGAAAGTGATGGGGATGACCGACAGGAACAAGAAGACGACAGCCCAGCAGAAGGCAATCCACAGACCGAACGCAAATACGACAGGCTCGGTGGCAAGCATCTTGATGGCCTTGACGGAAGAAGCCTTCAACATGGACTTGATGTCAGGAGTATAAATGTCGTCCTCAGCAACGTAGCGCTCGTCGCCGGTGGCCTTGCGGAGCTGCTTGGCTCGCTTGTGCAGCCTAGCTCCACCTCTGGTCTCGGGGAAGACGAAAACGATGGCAATGAGGAGGGGAACGTTTGCCAACCCCTGGATACCCTCAATCCATCTCCAGCCAATAGCCTGGTCGATGAAGCCGGCATAGATGGGAGCGGCGACAGTGCCGAAAATGGCAACCCAACTGAAAAGGGCCATAGGTCGGCCGCGCTTATGGGGCTCGTACATATCGTCGAAAGTTCCTCCGACTAGAATCGTGCCAACGCAGCCGAAGAGACCAAGCAGGAGGCGGAGACCGATGATAGTGTTGATGTCCTTTGCCAGAGCCAATCCGATGAACAGGAGGTCAAAGCATAGGAAAGCACCTGCGTAGACGATCTTTCGGCCGACAAGCTCACAGAAGGGAGCCAGAATCATGGGTGCGACAGCGCAAGCAATGTTGAAAGTGAATAAACCAAGCTGTCCCATGATGGTAGGAACTCCGAATTCCGCGCACATGCTGTTGATACCAGAGCTGTAAGCTGTCGTTGCAAGACCGATGAACAGTGTCATCAAGTTGAGCATGGTCGTGATGCTTCGTTTATACCACGGATTCCAGTTGAAGGGGTTCTCCTTGTCGCCTGTCGCGAAAGTGAGGACGATATACTCCTTATCGTTATGCTTGACCAACTCAGTCAACGTCAAGGGCATGTCGACCTCGACGGTCTTTATGGGACCGCAGTCTGCATCGATGTCTTCGTTCTCTGCGTCTACATGTTTTCCGCCCACAATCCTTCCGATCATGGGTTCACCCTTTTCATTGCGGACGACTTCCGAGCTGAGATCGGTTTCTGGGGTGTCGACTTGATCCTCGTCCTCTTCGCTTACTTTACTGTTTTGCCTTGTCAGGTTGACCGGCGTTGTGGGAGCGGTCGAGATACCACGTGGGGTGACGGGTCTGCTGTTTGGTCGACTACGAGCATAATAAGAATTGGCTCTTGAAGCTGCCAACGAGCCCGGCCTTGAGGGCGGTGCTGAAAAGGAAGGAAGATAAAATGACATGTTGGCGGGTGCTTAAACCAGATGCTTGTGACGATGAACGAAAACTCGCAATCATAGATGTTTACCTCGACGTGTAGAAAGGGCGACGTTCATCCGTTTTGTTTATCAGCCTTTATCAACACTGTCGATAGACTCGGAGCCGTCGGCCTTATTCTCGTTGAGGTCAGTGTGGAACGAGTGTTTTCGGTCCACCTTATCACCGTGAAGCCGCCGACAGGCGAGGACGAAACTCGACTAAACAGTGGAAAGTGGTCCAAATGGGCCATTTCCATATTTGACGTCATCGCAACGGCGGCCAATGTTCAGTTGATGGTTTCGTGGCAACGGGATGCTTAGCGGAATTGAAATTTCTCAATTCGACGATATAGTACGTCTCGAGGCGATTTAGAGTTGAGGCTCAGATGATCTGCCTAGGCCAAATTTGAGTATGGCGAAACTACCGGGTCTCCACTCACGGACCGTCCGCTCGGCTTCTTGAATCGTGTAAGGCTAGAGATAGCTAGGAGATATGACGTCGACTGTGGACTTCGTCGTCTGATATAGCGCCATAGCTAGTTTGACCGAGATTTTTTTTTAAACAAATCTTTTCACTGAGTATCGAAATTTGGAATGGCATGATGTGATGCCTAGCGACTGCTAAGGCGGTCAGTTCCAGCTATTTCCGCAGTCGCGGTATCTCACCTTGCAATGCGCCGACTCAGTCTAGTAGAACCTACCCCTGCCAGCGCCTCATCCGGCTTTAAATTAAGCAGCCGCCCTGTATTTTCAATGGACATATGAGGTGCAGTAGCAAGCTGGTTTGAAAAAAAAAAAATCCTTATTTTTATTTAATTTTTTCTTTCTTTTGGCCAGTGAACGTCCACAAACATCGGAAGTCTGGGTAGACATTGGAAGCACTTTGCGACCTAGGCCACCAAGTGATCTGGGCCAGAAATGAATACTAATGATTTGTTCCTGACAACGTCGTGTGTTATCCTGGAATTGTAACCGCATCCCTGCTTAGCAAGTCCATACACATTGATATGGTCAACACGTGTGACAACGCATTCGTATAGTTGGTCAAAAGTGATCAGAATGGATTGATCACGAACCGCTTCCTCTCATTACAACCTGGAACCGAGGCATGGGTCAGCATAGTGGAACGACCGTGGAGAGACAGCGGAGAGTGACGTCTCCTAGTTGTTGTATGTGCGGAGGTCGATGAAAGTCCCCAGCTCAGTCACCGTCTGCCCACTTGAGACCCATATGGGGTTGTTGCTGATGTTAATCTCGAGAAAAAACCGGGAAGTAATTTGCATAATGGTGTTAGATCTATCCCGCATTCCGATGCGTGGAGGTCAAGTGAACGTCTGGCCCCCTCCTCACACTTGGTTAGTATCACCGGTTTCTTCGATATTGCTTTTATTGTTCGCACTCTCTTGGTGTGTTTGCTCATGCTAGTTATGAGAACGTCGATGGAGTGTGTGGATTTCAAGACTCTTCCATTTTCGACCCATTGATCCGTTCCGAAACTCCGAAGTCACGGTACGTGATTAAACAGGTGCCGTATGAGCTCAATGGTTGCCCTAGAGGTTCTTCGACTTGGTGACACTTGTCCTCCACCTCGTTCAGCTCTTTGCTACATCGTTGGTATGCAGTGGTGTTTCGTGCTTTGAGCGTCGAAGGCGACGCTCTTTCTGACCAGGTACTCGTTGCTGAGGAGACGGTGTTGGCTCTGCCTGGTCAGGGGTTTGGCACGGTCCCTAACCACACGTTAGAGCCAGATGGTCAAAGTCACATATGGACCCTTCAGATGAACGGGCCGAACAATGCCCCGTGTCCGCATTATGTATCAAATATCTTGTAGTTCTATTTTATGGTCTGTCTGGTGCATGTAACTTGACGGTCTCAGGATGATTGAAAAGTCAATCTCGCTGCATTGTCTCTGTAATTCGCCATGCCAAACGCGAATGGCGACGATTCACTCTGACTAGACCACAACTCCTGGAGCTTGATCCGGAGTGGGCCCTCTGAAGTCTCACAGACCACGTTGCTCTTTAGGCTCTCGTTGTCCATCCGTTCCTGGACTGATACCATCCTGGTCGTCGTTGTACTATAGTAGGAACTGGCTCATGAAGTAAAATATAGCCACAGCAAACTTGCCAGCACTCCTATGGTCATCACCAGGACCGCCATGATTTCGGCGAATGAATCCAATGATTCTAACCATATCTCTAGCTGAATCGGTACCAGTCTGTACCCAATCTGGTTCGGGAAAGCGTGCCGGCGTTGCTGTATTCTTCGAGCGACGTGCACTTTCAGATCACGAACCTCCACTACTATTTTGTGGTGCAGGGTACCTCCTCGTTGAACCACATACAGTGTCTGGGTATCCGCAGTGTAGGTCCAGTCCAGGCCGTAGGTGGCAGTCACATGGATCTGGCGTCCACGATAATGGTAGGCCGGCATGTATATCTCCGTTGTTAGAGACTCCTCCTCAGCTGACTTGGATTTCTTGTGGGCACGATAGCGCCACTGAAACTCGAAACGCAGTGTCCGTTCATTCCAGTTTGAGCTTATAGGAGTCCCAGCAATCTTGACAGCGTATGGTCTGATGACAGCATCAAGTACCCTACCACCCCGATAGAGCTCGTGCTTCTCGTGGGCACTGTTCCTATAGTCAGGTCGAGCTTTTACGATATGCCCGTGACCATCTCCGACCATGACCTGCTCATCACTATTGACGACTGAGAAGTCTTCTTTGTTCCAGCCATCGCCGTACTCAGCACGATTATCGGGATTGTAATTCCAGAGCGTAAAACCATCCAAAAGGTTGTCTTCCATAGCGCTGACAAGAGCACCCATCAGCTCTCTTTGCTTGTCATAATCTCCCGTCAAGAAGGCATGCCCATTGTTTATATCGTAAGGAAACCCAACTTCGCCTATAAGAGTGGGCACCTTGCCCAAAGACATATGGCCGTATTTGACGATATTGCCAATTTGCTTGCGATAGTTCTTTCTCAGGCCTCCAGCACCGAAGTAAAGCGCATTCAGAACGAACATTCCCCTTGAAAGTCCTTGCACGTTGACATTCATCCACGAATGGAGCTTACTGAACACAACGTTCAAGTCGTAGAAATGGGGAGCATAGACAAAGTTCTGAGGACGTTCTTTCGGTGACAGCATGGTTTGGACGGCATAACTCTGCTTGCGACGAATCTTGCTGTCCGACTGCGAGGGCCATTGAGGCATAAACTCGTTGGGTATAGGCTCAACGAAAGACAGCTGGCTGCTGACCTTACGCGACATGCGTTCGGAGAAACGTTGCAAGAAAGGCGCGTAACAGTCTCGATACCATTCCAGATCTCTCCCCTCTCGGCCTGGCCGATGGTCCTTTTCGAAATAGTCTGGGCGGATAACTATCGGGACCTCTCGTTTTGCATCCCAATCCCAGACACCATAGGATCGCCAAATGCACTTTCCCACTCCCCTTGGCCTGTCTACAGTGGCACCGGAGGTATCACTTAACCAAGCAGATCGCCCCTTCGGGTCCACGACGGTGCGATGAGAGATGCGTGTTGGCCACGGCCAAGATTTGACATAGTACGGCACTGTCTGAGCGTAGCCACTGCCGAGCGCCAATGCCTGAGTAAAAGAGGGATAGTACCCTATGTGTAGGTCGGTTTCGTAGTTCCAGCCTTCAAAACCATGCAGGTTCACCAACCCACGATGGGGCTCGTTGATCGGTTCGAAGCCGATGCATGCCTCCAGGTCTCCAATCTCGTCAGCTAGACGACCGAAGGCCTCGATAAGGGCGTCTTGTAAGAAGGACTGCACCGATACGGTCTCGGGCTTGCCTTTGCCGCTCAAGGGTGTGCGTTGACATTTCAATTCAGGGGCAAGCATGTCCCCTGCCCAGAATAGCGTGGCCATTGTCGAGGCGGCCAACTTCTGGTAGCCCGATGGCCAAACAAAGGGCCCACTGGGCTCCTTTTCGTTGACTGGCGCCTGTGCCCGCCTCAATTCGTCCTGTCCATGTACATATGCAGCGCCCGTTTCGGTGAATGCCTCGATATCCAGGCCGGCTGCTTCAAAAGTCCAGCCTGGAGCCCCACTGCCACCGCTAAACCGACTCCAGACATCCTGATGTGCGCAGACAAAACATTTAATACCGTACTTTGGCATCAATTCGAAGAGTTGCCGTAGGTATGCGATATACTCTAGGTCTAGATCTGTGTTCGGATTCGGTCCTGCATGCCCAATTGACTCCCACGTGACAAGCAACCGAATGAACGGCATGCCCCAGGCCTGGAGACGTCGAAAGTGAAGCGGTGCCTCCTCGAGCGGAAATGGGCGCCCCACGAACGTCACGGTGCGGTGCTCATAGAACCCTTCCGTGAGGTGGGAGAGGCCATTTGGCTCCGTTGGCAGCTTGGATGCGCCGGACACATTCCAGCCACGCAGCATCAGAACGCGCCCATATCCATCGACAAAATGGCCATCCTCGATGCGAATTGGCCCTCCTAGAGCAGCCTCAGAGAGGTCAGCCGCTGCGTATGTTTGCATTTCGTGGAGGAGATGAGTGGCATAAACGATGCAATGGCAGGCAAGAGGAAATGCTATGTGATGAGATGGTGATGACACGCAAGCGTGGGGTGCGATCTCCACTTCCCGCCCAGACCCCTGATAATCTGCACGCCTAGGCTGTCAAAGACCAACGATACTGTTGCATTTCTCAATCGTGACGAAAATTTAGGGATGTGAATCTTGACCAACTACGTAGCAAACATCAGCCTTCGAATTGACACAACGCCCTTGTTGGTGGGATCATCTCCGACGCAAGACACTTGTCACGATGATTATTCATCCTTTCATGCACACCGGAAATGCTGGCTTAAGGGCACCACGTGTCAGCCTTCGAATGACCAAATAAAGCATGCGATCAAGATGCTGACACTTTGGATTGCAAACCGCTTCCGTAGCCAAGCCGATATTTCTGCACATGGAGTTCCCACTCAGTGCGTACCGACGGTGTCGTCTCACTTCTTTCCGGAGCATACTTCACCTTTGTGGCTTCGAGGAGTAAGGCAGGTCGCCGAACCAATGTGTATCCGACACCTCCCAGTCCTCTCATCCCTGGTCGAAAACCCAATTGCCGTTCTGCACTGGTGTCTTCGAGTGTCAAGTGCTCGTCATGATGAACCATGGGCAAGGTGGTTTTGACACGTATTAATCTTAGAAGTCAGCCGCCAAATCGACAGAATAGCCACCTCTTAGTCAATCCGTTCGGTAATTTTCGATAGCACACCAGCCGTGGTATCTTGAGCAGTATTTAGTACTGACAAGCCGCAGTAGTAAATTCTCGTATGCATATCAGGGACCTTTGCAGTTGGTGGACGACTTGTTGATTGGCAGAATAATGCATTTTTGTTCAGCCATTTGGTCCACTGTTGCATATGAGCTCCAAGAATCTAAGGGCACTCCTTTACCGAAAGCCCATGACTTGAAGAAATGGGTATGGTTTATTAGTGTGGAGAACAATTTCTGAGTAAAAGACAGGCGTGGCCAAGCCTTCCAACGCAAATTGTATGATCACCAAAACCTGTCCGTAATCGAAATGCCGTAAACACTTGGTGTCGTCGACCGCCAAAGCAATAAAAACTCTAATCGCGTAGGTATAACTAAGAAAAGGCCGTCCGATCAATCACTGGTCTTGAGGTAGAGCTACTGTGAATTTATTGATTCATGGTTGTACGCATCGAATCACATCCTATCAAATGCGTCTGGAGCTCCAATCGCCATCTCAGCCGCCGCCAACTGACTCCAGGCTCAACTTCAATCAGAAGCATAACAATCCCAATGTCTTCAATACCTCCATAGACCACAAATATTATTCCTAAAGTCTACATCACTGTTCTAGTGTGGCGCAATACCGGCTTGTCGGCGACACAGCTGACTTCCAAGGCAAACTTGTCGTCCCCATCATTTTTCGCAACAAGTTATTGGATACAGGTCAGCTGCGCAAGGTGGTCGCAGTGTATCAGTCCCTCTACAGAACCATGGTCGCTGAGCCGGGTACTTGTATCGGACGTCTCGAAATCGCAACGATCTCAGAGTATCCCGTGAATAACACACGTCCCGAAACTAGATGCTGATGTTGTCGCGTCACAGGCACTGGAATAAGGAGTACTCGAATAGGAGGGCTAACTACATCATCATCACTGACCAACCAACCAACATCGTTTTCGCCCACAGCAGTAACGTGATTACAAGCCCGACGATATCAACCTTTACACGATCCGCAACCGCTGATGCCAAACAGGCTCTGCGAATCACCAACGCGCGTCGAAGATGATTCAGTGAAACGACTTGGCTTTAAGTATAAAAGCTGGCCCGGCTTTCTCCTGGGGAGATGTTGTCCTGCTTAATGAATGCATCTTCTTTTTGATATATCTTTGTATCTCATCACTTCCGTCAACCGAGCAGCTGTATCTAAAGTAGTAATAATCGAAGCATCGACAATCAAAGCATCACGCCCCTCATGAAAGTCGAGCGGCTCATGGAGAAGGCGGCTGGGAGGCCCGAGGAACGCCCCAAGAAGCCGCGCAAGAAGATCCAGAAGAAAGACAAGGTTGAAAAAGGGGGGGGCAAGGGGCTCCAGGAGAAGATTAAGACGGTCAAGGGCAAGGGCAAGGGCAAGGAGCCGGCCGTGGCTGAGAGCAGCACCGGCGCCAGCCCAATAACTCATGGAGTCGCCCGGCTGGATCCAGATCCGCTCCGCATGCATCCGCCTGAGGTGTAGCAACTCCCCGCGGGCCACGAAGCAAGCTTTTGCCGAATCCGCCTCGCAGGATGCTCATGGAGGCGACTCAAAAGGGGTTAGGAAGTGAGATGTGCCGCCCACCGCGTACGGCCAGGGACACACGTTGACGAGTTTCCACAGCAGCATAGCACGCTACACGTCGTGGCAGAGACATGATGGGGGGAAAGGAGAGAATGCACCCGGGCCTTTGAGTTAACAGGAGAGACATTCAGCCAACGGGCCCGGAGGCTTATGTGAGGCAGGCAGCAATAGACACAACGACCGCCGACACACACTCATCGCAAATTGCGGCCTGTTTGATCAAAGTCCCACATAGACCTGACCAAGAGTGATTGATACGTCGTGTTCAACACCCACACTGATGTTGCCCACCCTGCCAAACAGGACATGACATGACATCGTCGCCCACCCAAGTCGTTTCGGTCATACAACATAGGCTGTAATAACGGGCAAAATCTCAACAAGGCAACGTGCCAGAGTGGTTAATGGGTTAGCCTCGAAAGCTAATGACCTCGGTCGCGCAGGTTCGAATCCTGCCGTTGTCGCATATCTTTTTGAGTTTTGGTGATCTTTCATCTCCACCTTGTCATCTGTATGTGATGCGTCGTGAACAGCGAACGATTTTTTTTCCCTCGTGGTTTGGGTTAGTAGCGCCGGGTTTACACGTCGGGAATAGTGGGTTTTAGATCGTGACGGCGGAAACACCACATATAAAACAATATTTGTACATATCGAGCTCTACGATTTACGTCTTATACAGTCATAAATCCACAGGAGGGGGGATCAATGAGCTGCCAGTGACTGTTACTAAACCTCTCTTCATAATTGGCTAACACGGCTTGCGGATGAATCCAAGACGGGTGTAAGTACATGTGTGTGAAAATGTGTATTGTGCTGACTTTAGAGTGTCATGCGGGTATCGTGGTTCTGTTTGAACTCGTCAACTCCTTGCCTCCCTTTCTAAACAACATCGTAGCATAACCTGAACTCGCGAACTCATGCAGAGAACATCGAGCCATATGCCCCCATCGCGAGACCCTCAATTAACCATGCTCTTTGTACCATTCCGATTAAAGACCACATCCTTGCGCTCAAACACCAGATAACCATGCCCCTATTGTGCCATGCTCATTACGCCGCTGATGACCCCAAACCATTATGAAATGCTTCGGACTCTCTGATGAATTCCAGTCCGTTGCCGCACGACAGCAGCGTACAACATTGCCCAGTCGAGGTCCTGATCGTCGAGTATCAGGGAAAATAGCAAGAATTATCTGAAGACTCTTCGACCGCCGGCGCGAGCAGCAAACCTCTCGGTGCCATTCTTTGTCTGCTGACTCCAAGCTAGGGTGTTGCCGCCAGAGCCTCCAGTCGCACCAGAGGCTTTCCATCTTCGATAGGCCTCGGCAAGATGCTCGGGCCGCAGGGGCGCCTGACGACGGTGCTTCGATTGGTTGCTGATACCTTCCTCGTTCTCCTTTTCGTCTGGAAGGTCGGTCTGCTTGACGCCTGCTCGGATCTCCTCCTCGTGTACTCGTCTTGCCTCTTCGATCATATCGCCGAGGAACAACTTGCAGACGACTTGCATGGCTTGGGGTATATTGGCTGCAACCGACTGAGATGTGACCGAGTTGATGTACTGGAACGTGTTAGTGCAAGTCAAGTCTCGTACAAGGACCCCGTCGTGGCTGCCGCCCTACCTTTCTAATATTGCCAATTTGAATCTTGGACTGATGCCAGACCTCGTAACGATGAAACTGGTTGTCGTCCATCTTCTGCTTCAGTAAGGCGCGAATCCGCTCCTCCTCCTTGATCTCATCCTTGGTTCGCGCAGCTGCTCGACTGGCCAGATTATCAGGATCCTCGTAGTCTCCGGGTCCACCCCCGCCGTCGGCATCATCGTCGTCGGCCGCTTTCTTCGCGCCACTGGCGTTGCTGATGATACTGGGAGCAGCGCCGTTGGCGGCGCTTGGGGTGCCACCTCTTGCAGCTTCCTCGGCGGCTTCTCGTGCCCTCTCCGCCTTTGATTTGCGGCCGCGCTTCTTCTTGGCAGGCGCGGCGCTCACCTGGCTCCCACTAACGAGACTCATGTTGTCGGCGCTGGGTGAGCGCTGGTATGTTGGAGAGTATCGGCCGCCCGACTCTTCTGGTGGGAAGGATGTCTGGCGCAAAGGGTGGGCTGAGACGGCGGATGTTGCGGACATGACTGACGTCTTTCGGCGCTTGATAGATGAAGTGTCGACGGAGGTGGAGTTTCGCTTCTTGGAGGCTGGGAGCGAGGCGGAGGAGTATGGGGGAGAGCCCGCAGGCGAGTAGGCAGGTGGTGAAGCCATGTTGATACGTCTGATGGGACTTGTGCGCCCAAGAGTTTGATGCTCAGCTCAAAGTCGAAGCACCCGTTGCGACAGGCATGTAGGGAGTCGCTCAGCTAGTGGTATGTGTCATGAACGAAGACGTGAGGAGGTGAGAATTCGGAAGGATGGGTCGTCGCTCGCATGCGGGGGGTTTCTTGGGGATTGCGGTTGTTGTTTGCAGTCAAAAGATGCAGTCGCGATGGTGGAATGAAGCGATGCAATGAACGAAATGAAATGAAATGAGATGCGAGTAACCGAATGAACGGAGACGATTGACGAGCTTCAGCGGCCTGACGTCTAAGGTTAACCCAAGGTTGGTTAGTCTACGTGTCCCAGCGCTCGCCAGGGAGCTTCTGGGATTCTGCCGGTTCAGCGCTAAACTTCACAGAGCTCACAGAGCTTACAGAGCAAACAGAGGCCCCCGAAATGCTTTGACCGCCCCAAGGAAGGGATCCCACCCCCCCCAAGCCCGCTCAGGTGAGCGGCGTTGTCGGCTTCCTGTGGCTTAATGTACGTGGGGTAGCGGCTCTTTGGTGGGGCATCTGCATGTCTCCAAAAGGCTGGAATGGACCCTAGACCTTACGTCAAAATTTCGACTTGGCCATGGTAGGCAAGTAGGGATCCGACAGCGGGGGGGGCACTCGACTCGGTTGATTGATTCAATTGAGAAGCGCCATTGGGGAATTTTTGCCTGTCCGGTCCAGCAAAAGTCAAAAAGCTGAAGAGGGCCTGGAAAATTGCCTCGGCGTACCAGTTACTTTCAAGACTTTAAACATACTTGAGCTACTGTAGACCGACCAAACGAGACTTCGGGTTTGCTTCTCCATCACCTCATTCGATTCGACTTCCTATCTTAGCCGTGCTACGGAATACCCCTACTACCTGTCATATCATCCACCCGCCGCCGGCATGAGCGAATAATCAGAGAACCAAGGAGGAAAAATAAAAGTAAAATAAAATAAAAACAAAAACCACACCCCCGTAGAAGGAGTGTTGGTCTCCCTCGTCACCGCATTGTAGTGGCGCATCTGTCTGCTGTGTCGTCACCCAATCACGCATTAGTCCATCAGATTCACCCACTCACTCCCTCCCACCTGTCGCGACAATGGTCGAGTTTGCGACAACCACCAAGTCGAGAAAGTCCGACTCGTCGGGCTCCTCGAGTACCGGCGTGTCAGACATCGACGACGCCGCCGGGGCCAGCCCTCAGATCCCCCGCGACCACGACAAGAAATCCAACAAGAGGAAGGCGAAGCACCGAGCTCGGGACGGCGGCGCAGATGAGGTGGATGGTGGTCACTCCAAATCCAAGAGGAGAAACAGTCTGCACAAAGCTGCCAGAGACCCCCGCGACGAACCCAATGGAAAGAAGGTCAAGAAGGTCAAGACCGAGGGCGTCATCACGAGGTCGCCCAGTCCCGTCATCGACTTTGACGGGCTGAGCCGTCCAAGTATGCTTGCCCCCTCCAACGCCGCGCCGCTGTTGTACTGACTCATCCAGGCCGTGGAACTCGCGAGCGCCTCGAGGAGAGCAGCGAGCAAGCAGCCCAGCGACTCGAGAAGATGCGCCAGGCTGTCCGAACCATGCTCGAATGCATAGGCGAAGACCCTGACCGAGAGGGTGTCTTGGACACCCCATCACGATACGCCAAGGCCATGCTCTTCTTTACCAAAGGCTACCAGCAGAACGTCAAGGACATTGTCAATGATGCCATCTTCCACGAGGGGCACAATGAAATGGTCATCGTCAAGGACATCGAGATCTTCAGTCTCTGCGAGCATCATCTGGTTCCCTTTACCGGAAAGGTAGGGCCGGACCGCCCATCGTTAATGACTACATGCTGACAAAAGCGCAGATGCACATTGGCTACATCCCCAGGGACAATGTGATCGGCATCTCCAAGCTGCCACGCATCGCCGAACTGTTTGCGCGACGCCTCCAGGTCCAGGAGCGCTTGACAAGGGAAGTCGCAAATGCGATCATGGAGATCCTGAAGCCACAAGGTGTCGCCGTTGTCATGGAGTCGAGCCATCTCTGCATGGTTATGAGAGGAGTCGAGAAGACCACAGCGACCACCATAACAAGCTGCGTGCTGGGCTGTTTCGAGAAGAAGGAGAAGACGAGAAGCGAGTTCTTCAGTCTGATCGGGCTCAATCGGAGAGTATAGTCATATGATGTCAGTGTCATTCGTATATACAGAGCATTTGGTCTGGAGTTTTTAGGAGTTCGATTTGGGACCTCAACGATTCCCCTCAACTTTGCCGGTGGCAGGGTGTGTGCATTTACTCGAAAGCATTTATATGGTCTCAACGCCGACCAAAAAAGAGGCAACTCAACGGAATGATATGGGAAACACAGTCCCATTCAACATGTAGTCATAGACACAAAAGACATGAGAGCATTGCGACTTCAAATCCTGATCTATGAGCCCTTAAAACACCTTCGGCGGACCTATGGTTCACGATATTAAACCACAATCCGCACCCTACCGTCAAGCACGATTGTACCAATTCAATGACTTGAATCGGGCTGATCACTTTATATTTGTACTTCATGTCAACGTTCGCCGGGCACGAAGTTGTCTCCGCTGTACGGTCGACTCTACATGTAAGTGCCAGTTCATCAAGCAGCCACCGGTCCTGTATCGCCTCATCAATCACTTCCGTGATTCTCCTTCTCTCCACGTCTCGAGCATTGCCTTCTTCGTCGGTGAGCCTGATCTTCTGCGGCCAATATCTCATTAACTTTGCGCCGGGCCGCCTTCGTACTTGCCGCCTCGACCTTCGGGTCTGCCTCCTCCGGCTTCTCGTTCGAGGTGGGCTTCTGGTAGAACCGGAGAAGCAAGGGAGCTGCGCCCATAGTTTCCACCTCAATTCTCACAAACCTGTCGACCCATTCCCAGGGCGGCCATGTCACGGGGTCCTAATGTCTACCACGAATCGCCCTATCCGTAGCCCACGACGCCGCATCGACAGGTCTTGATGCCCGCTTACGTCCACCCACTTCCGGTTGACCAGGTCGAGAGCGGCATCCAGTTTCTCGCCGGTCATTTCACTCATCGCGAGGTAGTGCCCCTCTTCTTCCGCGGTCCACTCCAATCCACCTTGGTTCCGAGATTGACGAAGTCCCTGTTCTAGGTATCTTCGCCGTATTCTATGTTTGGCATGGTGCTGCTTCGCCCTCCAAGGGACCAAAAAGTACAGCAAAATGTAGTCGTGGATCCCTTTTGTATAGCTCGAATCAAAATGGTTTCTGGCCGTGTCCTTGAGGATCTCTCTAGAGGGGAATATCCAGTGGAATAGCGAACAGCTACCGTGTTGCCTCATCTTATACAACATCTAGAGAGTGACGATGCCTATGTTGTGGCACACGCCACTCTTACTGCAGCCAGTGTTGCTATGAACCAGCAGCGCATATCAAGATCACACCTGAGATTCTGGTTTTCAGTTGAACCCAATTGAAGGACTCACGGGATCTTGGTGCCAACTGCTCCCGCAAACTATGATCTCAAGGTGATCTGCCAAAGGCTGGGTGTCAGTGACACTCGACTAGGCTGGAATCATTCATGAGATGCTTGCAGCCTTCGGACGAGGCAGGTTAGTGTTCTACTAAATTTTCATAGTTCATAGGCGACATTACATCGTCAAAAAACCCTCAGGTCCGCAATGATCCCGCCATGGCATGCTCATTGAACGTAGCGCACGTGCAGCACATTGACGACTCATACCAGAATCAGTCCAGACCATTATAGTCACCATCATTCTTATGACTATCTATTGAGCAGAACAAATGTAGAACCGCGTGTGCTTCTCAACTACTACTGTCCACAGCTGGGCAAATTTCTCAAGCGCTAATATCATAATTATAAAGGAGATCCATACGCTAAGAAAAAGCTGATCCGTGCCACGTGAAGAAAGTTCCTATAATCCCGTATGCCGGAGGAGGAGGGGGAATAAACTGGTTGCCACGCAAAGAAAAAGTCTCTTGGGACCTTCATAAACAATCAAGGTCCGAACAAGATCGACGGCTACATCAATCGTTCCCTGGGTAAGACCGGCTCACTTCTGTTCTGCTAGAGCCGTCGTCGAAGTTATACGTAGAAGGCACCGAGCCAGAGCCAGAGCCAGAACGAGAGGCGCGGCTATCAGTACTGCTACCTTCGACGTTACTACCCCACTTGGAAAAGTCGACGCCCATGTGCGGCGAGGGAATCCAAGGACGAAGGAACGAAGAATCATGACGGTCAAGCGTTGTACCCTCCAGAGTAGCCATAGTATTCAGGAGGCTATTCTGGACTTTCTGCCACCATGACTTGTTCTTCTGCACTGGTGACTCAGCCTGTGCGTGACCTTGCTGGGCTCCGTTTAGGTGTATCGCCTCTCTGTCCTTCTCGCGATCCTTTGTGCTCTGCTTTCTGCTAACCCAAAGCGAGCGGAACGAGATTATACAGGCGATCACAAACGCTAATGAGGAAAGGTCATTACCCGATGCTCGGCGCGACACGAAGCGAAGAAACTTACAAACAACGTATTCCATAAAGAACCAAAATAACGCCCACGCTGTGTCGAGCACTTTGTGGTTGGCCTCCTGCACAGCCCCATACACGTTGCCGAAGATGCTGCCACGGACGATGGTGACAGCGATGTTGAAGGCGACCAGGAGGAAGATGCTCGTGAGGACGAGCTTCTGGCGCAGGTTGATCTTGGTCTGCCAGACTATGACAACGGGGAAGCAGATGACTATTTTGTGCCACGACGGTCAGCGTCAAAGATCAGATGATAAGGGCCACCAAAGTGACCGACGTAGCTTCGGGGGCGCAGAGGAGACTTACTGATGACATCGGACAGGACATCGATGGATATTGATACCTTGTACGCCGTGTATATGTAGTTTAGGCTAGACTCACTCGCACACTGAACGACGATATGTTCAAGGCTGCCGAACGAGCAGCTGTAAGGGATGACACCGAGAAGCACCGCCAAGCAGCCAATGACCAAGGTGAAGGCAATCCACCAAAAGATCAAATACGACTGGATCTGGTGGCCTAAGCGGTAGAAAAAGACCAAGAAGTTGAGCTTGATGAGCCAGATGCCCACCGTGTCCAAGATCAACACGGCGCCGTCCGCTCGCAGGCCAGCAGACATGCGGCTCGGAAAGTCCGGTCCAGGAGTGGCTTGGAGATTTTGGACGTGCATCATCAGGTAGATGTCTGCTAGGAAGCGTTGGAGGACTGCAGCGATACTGACGAGGATCGCCATGGATCCCAGAACCAGGTAGTCCTCGATAAGGAGTCGGCGAAAGCAGACGAGTCTAATCAAGAAGCGGAGGATGCAGACTGCCAGGCAGAGGCCAGTGCCCACCCAGAGGACAATCTGAGGCGGCGAGGCGTGGAATTAGTTGAAGTTCAGCATTGTATTTTTTTTTTCTTTCAAAACAGAGCAGTTCTCTTGTCTTGACCTGGTGTGGAATAGCGAGACGTACTTTGAAAGCCTGCTCGGATATCAGCTCCGTCGTCGTTTCGTAAAGCGCGTTGTCCCCGAGTGAAGCCATTTTCAAGAATGCCAAATATCTAGGCTAAGACTAAGGACGGTTGTTCTTTGAAAGAACCGACAAAATAATGATAAGGTCAAATCGAGTCTTGCTCAGCTCTCTCACAGACAGAAAGCAAGCTTGCGTATCCGCTCCAGTTCTGGTCAGACTCGGATACGCAAACGTGGTGGGGAAAGTTATATAATCCGATCTGACTGTGCATCATCCTGCTATGTGCTATAATGGTCGTTTGTTCAAAGAAAGACCCCCATCGTCATGATGTGACACGGGTGTGGACGCCACAAGCCAACTGCATTGGCTGTTATGCAGTTCCTAAGGATGAAGGATCTTATTTTGACTTACAGAAAAAGGTTGCAGGGTCGGAAAGTATGATTTACACGTCAGGTATCGCGAAGGAAGGAGTACATGAAGTAAGCGAGGCCGAGGGAGGGTAGATTTCGTGTAGCTACCCCGGGGGTGATGGCATCAGCAGCAGGCTATTCTGGTCCTCCGCCTCAGCGATTGGACATGGCTCCATGATATTCCGACCGCTAGGTAGAGCGGCACGAGGCTGCCACACGTCCTTTACTGCGCTGTGCCGGACAGGGAGATAGAAGCGTGTGATGCTGCATGGGGGCGTCAGCTTTGTGTAACGTTTTGGAGCTTGGAAGTGCCCCCTGGGCTAACAAAGGCGTGCGATGCAACTTAATAAAGACGGCCAAATTTCCATGGACCCGATCTGGGTGACAGTCGGCAGCAGAATAACATCCTACGTACCGGTACTTCTACGCGTGTTTGCTTCATGAGTAGTTTACCGTGGCTCAGCCCCGCTCGCCGCACGTTGCCCACTAAAATTGACAACAGCCAGATTGTGTTGGCTGGCTCTCCCTTCTTCCCTTCATAGGCCCGACCTACACACAAACAACCATCAAAACGCCGACTGTATGCACCTTAATCCACCAAACGACCCTGCTTTTAATTACCGCTGCACACCTCCATAGCTATTTGACCCCTCCTGTCCAATCGCGCCGCGAGTGTTGCCTGTTGCTCAAGCTTGAGCTTCGGAGGCCACGCATCGTTGACCTCGAATTCCAGAGAGCTTCGATCGCACCAGCACACCATGCTCTTCACCATCATAATTAGTACTGCAGTTATCGTCATTCTAGCCGTCGCCATGACTGATATTCGGGAGATGTTCCGCGTGGTCCTGTTCGGGTCGCGCAATGATGCATCGCGCAGTGCCGCCGCCTTTGACCCTGCCCGAGACATCCCGTCTCTGGCAGGCAAGGTAATCATGATCACGGGAGCTGCGGGCTTCCTCGGTCGGCAGACGGCTATTGAATTGGCTCGCTACGGCCGGCCTGCGCGCATCTACATCGCAGACCTGCCCCGTGACGCAGAGGCCAAGATAGCTTTGGCCAAGCAGATCACCAGTGAGGCCTATGGAGGTTCTACGTCTCCAGAGGAAGCTGCTAAAGCACCTACCGAGATTCGATTTGTCGACTTGGATCTTGCGTCTTTAGATGCCGTCCGAGATTGCGCCGCGAACTTTATCGCCCAAGAAGAGCGGCTAGACATCCTCTTCTTGAACGCAGGCATTATACGCGTCTCAGCTGCAACAACGAAGGAAGGTTACGAGGCTCACTTCGGCATCAATTATCTCGGCCACGCGCTTCTATCTAAGTTGTTGTTACCAATACTGCGGCATACTGCGGAGGAACCCGGCGCCGACGTACGTGTGGTCGTTGTCTCAAGCGAGGGCCATTTGATGGCACCGACAAATGGCATTGACTTCGATTCAGTGAGGAGTGACTGCGCAGGCATGGTAAGCTCTGATAATATTCCTTATATACTACGAAAGGCTGCTCACGCTAAACCCTACTCTAGCATTATGCAAAACGCTACGGGCAGAGCAAAGTAGCCCTCATCGGCCTGACAAAAGAGCTCTCTCATGATTATCCTCAATTCAAAGTAGTTGCGGTACATCCTGGGAGAATCTTGACGGGTATGGCAGAGTCGCTGCGAAAAGAGAGTCTCCTGACTCGTCTAACTTTGCCTATTGCACCATTATTCTGTGTTCCGGTAACAGTGGGGATCAGGAACCACTTATGGGCCGCAACGAGCTCAGATGTTCTCACCGGCATGTACTATGAGCCCGTGGGTGTACCCGGAAAACAGTCAGCTGCAGCAAAGGATGAGAACTTTTCCAAGAGGCTCCGGACGTGGACGGACGATGCCTTGAGTGCAATCACGCCGCTTGAGTAGCCATCTAATACATTGATGGGGGTACATGATTGACGCTTCCATCTGCTGCGTGCCCCTGTAGCATCCGAGAAGCTTTTGTATCATCTTAGGTGGCTCTGCCTAATTTTAATAGTGGTAAACATAGCAGGAAGATCATCCTAGCGGCGAAAGATGTACATTATGAGGTAGAATGCAGGTCTATATATGAGCAGCAGAAGACCATCCATTTGATTTTAGCCAGTAGTTGGTGCAGTAAGCATACAATCAACCGTGTCCAGATGAATGCTTGCAAGAAATGCATGGCTATGTCGGGAGTAACCCCTGTGTATTGTTCGAGGTTGACTGATCATGCAGGTGGAGAGCTGTCTTTTGTACTTACCCCCTATAGAAAACGGCGATGTACTACTACCCAAATCCTTCGCCTCTCTCCCAATCATGCACCAGAGACGGAATGCAAGACATTGCCACCCGAATTTTGGAGAGATACAACTTCCCACCCCATCTTACCTCATCTTACCCCAAACAAAGGCGCATTTTTCATCGAGAAGTTTCATCTTGGTGCGATCGGACCCGAGAAACGTTATTACTCTCCACGTAATGGACGAACCGTCTCCCATGCTTCGACACTTTTACCCACCCTTATCTCCGAGCAATCACAGCGAAATGTGTTTTATGATTTGACCATTCCTCTACTCAGTGGTATTGCTACCATTCTACGAATCTGCGGATATCTTCCAGTCTTGTTGTTATAATGCAGCTAGATCAGAACAGCAAGGACAGGCTTGCCACGGCCATCGTGTGCACCGTTCTCGTTATATCGTCCATTCTACTGCGTTTGTGGTGCAAAATATCGTTTCGTGCTGGCCTTCATTTAGAGGATTGGTTGATGCTCATGGTAATGTTTGCATACGTAGGTGCTAGCGCTGTTGACATCTGGGGTACGATAATCTCACTGCTCCTGATCACCACAACCATCGCTAACTCTCCGCAGGGCTTTTCAAAGGGGCAAGTGGCAAGGAGATTACTGAGATCGCAGCTGCGTTGCTCTTGAATCCATCTCCTGAGAATGCTGCTACTCTGGAAAACTATTTGAAGGTAACAATTTCAAGTCGCCTCTTATCACACTACCACCTAAGAGCTACTAAGGAAGTCAAGGCATTGTTTATCGGCGCTTTCATTTCACCTATAGGACTCACCTGCATCAGGATTTCAATTTGCCTCTTCTACATGAGGATCTTCTCAACCAAGGCGTTCCGTACCAGGTCTATGATAGTGATCTGTGTGAGTATTGCGTGGTTGATTTCAGCATTTGTTGTGAGCCTTTGCTTCTGCTTTCCGCTTGAGAAATTCTGGAATCCAATCAAGCCTGGGCGCTGCATTGATATAAATCTGTACTTTCTCCTCATCGGTGTTTTCGAGACCGTGCTCGACACTGCTGTCCTTGCGCTCCCAGTAAGAGCCATCTTCAAGGTCCAACTGCCCTTGAAAACGCGACTCCTCGTATCCGGTATCTTTCTGCTAGGAATCTTGTAAGTGGAGACCTTCACTGGGCACCGTTCAACTGCTTAGGCTTACATAAACAGCGCTGTCATCACTAATGCATTGCGCATATCTCGTATTTATACACCGCACAGTATAAATGGTAAGACTCAATGCAGCACTACCTTTACCGGTACTGACCGTTGCCTATCTAGTATCGTTGGGCCAGGCGACAATATGGACTCATATTCACTCTGCGACGGCGGTAGTCTGTGCCAACCTACCGATCTACCGACCGCTTACCAGAAGGCTCGGCGAGCTCATTGGCGAGGTACGATCTTGGCTTGGCTCTTCAATCACATCAATGCGCAGCAAACAACGACACACAATTGAGGAGTCTGAGGGCAATTTTGAATCGTCTTTCCAGCTGGCGAGTATGAGCCCTCGTGCTGGGACTGACAAGAAGGAGCCGCTGTTCCAAGGTCCAGTAGAGTCTACGCCTTCACGCACTGCACTGAATCCTCACGAGGGCATGAATACAACTACAGCCTGGCGAAGTGACGCGTCCATGGACTACCAAGCCGCTCCTCCGCAGAGCATCATGCATACCAGGGCATACGAAGTTGTATGAGTTATGCAGTGGCTTAATTGCTCTATTCTCTGTTGGTAATATTATAAATATTGATCAGGAAGATGGCAGCACCTAGACTCAGCAGTATGTCGATTGAGGAATAATTGGACTCTACACGGTCGTGCCGTCGAGCAAAATGTACTTTCAATTGTTTGCTTTGGTGGGGGCAAGGGGGGGGGGGGCTGGACAGGTAAAGGAGAAACAGGGAAAATAATACCCGAGCAAGGGAGCTGCCGCCTCAGGCGGGGTCCCAGGCAATATTTCGGAGTACCAGTACAAAGTGGACAAATGCAGCCACATCAGTGGCCTGCCGCATATCTCGTGTCATCCCTCCGCCACATACTCGCAGATTTAGGTATCACAGACAGCCGCATTTAATCTTATAATATTCAGTACCTCAGAACTAAGCCGCCAGGTACCGTGCACAGCTGGACACCTTGGCATGATTCCGAGATATTTGTGGAGCTTTTCAACTTTCATCTCCTTCGAATGAGTTCCATAATTCTTAAGTTTTCGAGTTGGATGTTTTGATCATTGCAGGCCATTCTCTTGCTATTCGGCAGTCCCGTTGGTCAGGTTCCGGAACACCCATGGACCAGCCGGTACCATTCCGTGCTGTCATTGTCGGTGGCGGCTTGGTCGGCCTCACTGCAGCACACATATTCTCAAAAGTTGGTATCGATTTTGTGGTCCTGGAAAAGCATGACACTGTTCTTGCCTCTCGTGGAACAAGTTTGGCACTTTGGCCGCAAACCTTCCGCTTATTCGACCAATTAGGCCTACTCGAGGCTGTGAAGCCAATTCTGGACCATATCAACGAGGGAGTTGTTCTTTCCGCGGAAAATGGTCGCATCAGAAGAAAGGATAACACAACCGAGCTTGTAGAGAGAAAGTAAGATGTCCATGTCCAGGGGAGTCCATTCTGATTGCTGACTAGTCAGTCATGGCTATGGCATCAGATTCATGGACCGTCCACAAATGATTGAGTTCCTCTATGACAGCTTGCCGAACACCGCGAAAAGTTGTATACTGTTAACGAAGAAAGTCGTGGACATTGAAATCCTTGAGGAGAAAGTAAATGTCATTTGCGACGATGGGAGCTCACATGGCGGGTCTATCGTCATAGGAGCCGACGGGGTGCGTAGTCATATCCGATTGCTTTCGCAAGCTCTCAGGGCTTGCTGTGAGCCTAAAGAATTACCACAAGCTCAGCTCACACCATATACAACAACATACCGACTGTACTTTGCAGATATACCCCTCTTGCCTGGCCTGGCTCCAAACACCAGGTATGACTCAATCCATCAGGGTGTTTGCACTCAAATCATCAATGGAACAAGTAAAGGCTGCTTTGGCATTTACGAAAAGCTGGATACTCCGACTTCGACGTCGGCAAGATATACACAGGCACACAAAGCGGCTATGCTGAAGCGATGGGGTCATCTATACGTGGCGCCTGAGTGGACCGTATCCGAGGTTAATGACAATTGCACCGGCGATTCTGGGCTGATCGATCTTGAAGAAGGATTGATAGAGCAATGGTCCTACAAGCGCATAGTGCTGGTCGGCGACGCTATTCGAAAACTTGAACCCCATGCCGGCTTGGGATATAATTCCGGCGTGACGGATCTAGTTGTCCTGATGAACAGTCTGCGTAGGCTGCTACTGAAAGATAAATATCCTGGGACGCCAGCTCTTGAGGAGCTATTCAAGTCATATCAAGATGCCAGGATGAAGGATACATTGCAGATGATAGAGATCTCGATGGAGAGTGCAAGATTGCTGGCATGGCTTGATTGGAAGCATATGGTCATAGGGAAATATGCGTTGACCCTCCTCCCCTTGACTGGGTTAATCATCAAGAAAACTATTTCGCCTCTGATCAGTCAGACACCAGTCCTTGAGTGGCTGGAGGAGAGAAGTCTGCCGAAATCATTGGTTAAATGGAAGTACCACCCGGTTCAGCAGGGTGATTAGCCTATATATACGCCCCTGTTTCGACCGTTCTAATTTACATACGATAGATCTCTGTAGAAAATAAAGTATCGTCCAGCGTGAACCACGATGATTTTTGTAGGTGATGGTGAGGCTCCTGTTCTCGCGACACTGCCTTGCAGTTGACCATGTAGTCAAAGTATGAGGCTGGGGTAATATTCTCCCCCACTCACAGCATCAATGGATGATGAACTGCAACTATGATGTTTGGATCACCCTAGTTGTGCCAAAACTTCATTTCTATGAGCCTACGAGTTAAACGGACGAACCACTTACTGATGCTGGAGTTACAGCTTAGCTGGGGTCCCTGGCGCCAACTCTCATGAAACAGAACAGACATAGCCACACCTCGACATCAGTGGCAGGTAGTATTTCCTTATCGAAGGATTCGGTCAGAAAAAGAGAAAATGCGACACAAGAAGAATGAGGCCGGCTCACTGTATTCCAGACATGCACGACGCAAAGGGAACTGCAGTGTAACCAGGTAGCAATGCTGAGAGATCGATCAATGTACATGATGTGACCAAGCCGAAGTGACAGGCCAGTTATATGGCGTAAAAAGCCGCACTAGCCGTCTCGCATTCGCGTATAATAAATTAATCTGGTAAAGTCCTGGGAAGCGCGAAGCATGCATACCAGACGCCCCGGTAAGCCAAAGGATATATTAAACAGGGGCCAACATAAATGACGAAACCCGGATGAAGTTTCTACCTATGACTGGTCTGGGAACATGGGGTGGCATTTGATGGTGGCTGCGACATAAATTGTCACTCAATCACCACTCAATGCGGCAAGGGATACAACTCTGTATGGGTACACCTGGAGGATCTTCTTTTGCCCCGGCTGAATGTGTGAATGTGGAGCATACGTAATTTTAGCGTACATCGTTTCGTTTCGTTTCGCCGGCGGGAACGATCCTTGTGGGAGTAAAATGCCAAGCATGTATTGAATACGTAATCCGCGGACTACTACCTTTCGAAGATTATTATTGGTCTATCATACATAACAGAGTTGTTGTAGGATTCGTGCCTAGTAACAACGTTGTGCCACAGTAACATCGTTGCGAGTGAACGGAACGATAAGGCTGCGAAGCAAGCATTTGATTGGCTCGCTAGCATCAAGTCGTACATAACGTCAGCCGAAATAACGTGCGTCGATCTTGAAGAGGGGAAACTATATTGTGCTCTGATTTGCTGATGGGGCGCAATAGGGCAGAAATAGGTCATGTATACAGGGGTCACACCAGACTAAGACTACAGATCCGTAAGGTCAGTGGCAACCTTGTTAGTCTAGCGGAATCCTACGGTACTTGGTACTAGTCTAGACTAACCTTTGACTACATGGCTTGGCTCCCGCCCATTCGCCCGCTAATGCACACCGAAATCATGCCTTGTTGTGTTGCAATGCCGCCCCCAAACGCGGGTCACCAGCATGCAAACGGTACAATTCGTATGTGGGGGATCAGATCATAGTGGCCTATTTGGCTTCAACGCGACGTTTGGTGTCATCCTACGAATCCTGCAAATCCCGGCCGACGGGAGTGAGATCCCCATGAAATGGTCTTTTCGGGTTTCTGGCTTTCTCCAAATCCACCCTCCACACGCCAGATGTTCTCTCGCTCTGGAGGGCCCAGCCTGTTCCTGCTGCGAGGCGGGTGAAGCGCTCGTAGTCGCCTTGGAGTGATTTGAACAGCAGCGGTGTCCATGAGGTACCCGTTCGACCCTCCTCAACCCTCATCCTTCGCTGGGCTTTCTCAATTTTCGCTTTTTCGGCTGAGCCTACTGCGATATCCCCAGCTTTTAGTGCCGAAGTGACGTGTTGCCATGCCCGCCTTGACTCCCATACATCCTGGTCCTGAAGGGGTGGTAGAGAGACAGGCGTTGGGTTGTTGAACGCTACGTTGGTGTCGTACTCTTCGATAATTTTAGAAGTTCTGCCGTCACGTACAGTGAATGAATCAGACCATCGCCCAGAAACAACGTAGAGTGCCTCTTTATTCGCATCGTCGCGGCGATACATGGTTGCATCGAAATGATTGCTCTCACCACGGCCGAAGAGGCTGGTTCCGGAAAACCGGATCTCAGAAATGAAGCCAGACGAGGATATCACGTACTTTTTCCCAGTGAGCTCCGGATACAGCCGGCCCGAGAGGAAACCCTTGACGTGCGCGTCAGGAAACCCGATCAGGTGGTCCTCGTCAAAACCGTCAATGTGAACGATGGCATGGCCGATCTGACGGATGTTGATGTTCCCCGTAAAGGTCATCTCAGCGCGTGCATAACCTTCTGCATGAATGCCATGAGCTTCGTCCCACAGGCAACAGGCTGTGATGGGCGGGTGATGCGAAACTTGTTCGGTGGTTAGATTGACAGTCGCCGTGTCATCGGTCCACTTGGCGGCATAGACTTCCCCCAAGAAAGCATTCAGTGGCTTCTTCAGGCTAGTCGTCGTTGACCCCCCGAGGTAATACTGCGATCGCAGGCTGGCCAAGTACCATTTCAGGACGAGCAGGGCCCGCTTCTCAGCGTCGCTTTCGACCGCCGGGGCCGCAAAAAGGGAAGGCCGCTCACTCCAGCAGCTTCCAACCTCAGTAACTGAGGATGGTGCGAGAAAGTGAGGCGGAGCCGTGATATTAGCAAAGTCGCCGTTGACGGAAGAAAGGAACTGTACATTGCCGTAAGTTGTGTGAGCCACTTTTAAAAGAATGATCTTTTAGTAAGCTATCAAGTAAATTGGCATTACCTTGAGGAATCCACTTAAGCTGGATACGTGACTCATTGTGTCGCTTCGCTTTCTAACAGCTTCACATCCGAAAAGAATAAAGGTTGTTTGTCTAGAAAAGAGTGTTTGCGATTAATAAAATGTCCGAATTTAATGATCTGCAGCTTAAATTAAATGTGGGCCCAGTCCACCAAATACTGATTAGTCTAGCGTTATACTTGGTATTTTATTTCCTAATAGCAACATAAAAATACATTGCGTGGAATAATATCTATGTATGATAGAAAGAACAAACAAATAGCATTTAAATTACAGTTATAAGAACTTATGTATATTTGATACAGTTGTTAATACTGGTTACAAGATTTTAATTTTCGCAAATGGCATCTGCGGGTGGCGGAACAACTTCTCAGACGCTCGCATTGTTTGGAGTTCTTTTGGCAACGCTAGAAACTCAAAGTTTAAAATAAGAAGCACTACAATAATGCGAAATTCCATCACCGCCAACTTACGTCCTATAGGGATGAGTATAGATTAGTAGCCACAACGTAGTGAACGAGATAATGATCGCTGACCATCGAAGCCTTCAAACACAAAGACCAGTGTGAGACTTACCAAAACATCCACGATAGCCACCCCCAAAAGCGAGGGATGGTATTGCATACGCATCAAACTTATCTCTACCGGTTGCTTCATCTTTGATGAGCCACCTCCTTGGTTCGAAGTTACCGAGATCTCGGCCTGCAGCGCCAGAGAAGCAGTCTCCGTGCTTTTGTATGGCGGCCTGGCTGCTCACACTCCTCTGGGAACTATCAACGGGTGGAGTAGTACGATTAATGTGCAAGTTTACAAGTACCTCGGCACCCTTAGGTATCCTGCAACCTAGAATCTCGGTATCGACAACAGCTTGCCGAAGGTTGCCTTTGGAGGTACCGGCCAGGCGTAGGCTCTCCTCACACGCACCGTCGAGATAGGGGACTTCCGTGTCAAGGATTTCAGCGTACGTTGGCAATTGCGGACCAGGGAACGTAGCCTTGAGTACTGTGCGCAATTCCTTTTGGACAGCCGGATAGGCCTCCATGAACTTAACAAACCAGGAGAGAGCGTTGGCTGTAGAATCGTGGCCCTGATTTGAGTATGCGTTAGTGATCATGTACAGCATTGGAAACAGCCCACCTACCCCCACGAGCAAGATAAACATTTCATCTAACATGTTCTGGTCCTTCGCCGGATCTGTTGGTAGCTCTCCGGCCTTTCTGGTCTCGAGTATCCGTCGGCGTAGCACTACATCAACCATGCAGGTATCCGAGTTATCAGCCTCCAACTTTCCCATCTCGATACGTCTAAAGCGGTCTGCAGCCTTTCCCATTGCCAGACTAATCTCGCCTATGACCGTGCTGCGAAATTTCCGATGGCGTGGAGTCCACGTCTCCAGCTTCTGGGCCCATGTTGGCATTGGGGTCTTGGAGTTCCGTGAGATTGCCTCGCTGATATACGTCACCTCAGCTTTGATAAAAGCGCCGCGCGGTGCTTGCCAATGAATCTTGTCGCCAGCCGCCTGTGCCTGCAGTTTTTCGATCTCGATCCTTGTGGCCCCGGGGCTCTGGCCGACCATGGCAGCCCAAATAGCGTCCAAGGTGGCGTTCTTGAAGTCATCATGAACGTTGAAGGGATCATCTCTATACACACCCGAGGCCTTGAGCTTCCAAAGGTCCAGTAGTTCGACTGTCGCCTGATAGATTCTGGGCGCGGCCGCCCTGCGGAGGAAATCGACGCGCATCACCTCAGCCCACAGGCGCTTCTGCGCTTTCAACTGGGGTGTGGTATATTGGCTGAGTGTTGCACGGGGAAACATCGGTGCGAAAATATCGACCGTCATGGGCGATTTGTCAAACTGCTTTTGGCGGCGGACCATGATGTCTTCGACTTCTAAAGGGTCCTCTAGAACGATGAGAGGCCGGCGAAAACGGGGAAATAGAACCTGCGCAATAGGCGTTCCGAGCTTCCGTGTGGAGATAGCGAACATGGAGTCGGTGATCTCGTCGCTCCCCCGGATCACTGACATCAGCTCGGGCATGTCGCCGCTGATACGTTTTGCCGATGCTTCCACATAGGGAATACCCGGGTACGGCTTCGGGTAGAGCTTGCGCCAAACTACGCAGAGCACGATGCCCGAAAAGCCAAGAAGAAAATATGTCAACATCGCTTGATAGAGTAGGTGGCGTGGCAGACCTTGGTTCTGACAGTGTATGCGAACTTTGGGTTTACAAGGGCTTGGAGTTGCTGCCCTGTCTCAGCTCTGACCGAGACCGGGCTTGTGGTGCAATGGGTTCGCGTCAATCGGACTTTATTTTTGAAGCATTTACAGTGCGAGCTAATTGGCTGTGGCCAAGTCTGGTGTGCAAGTCTTGAGAGGTAATGAAGCCAACGCGGAAATCTCATGCAGACGCCCTGCGCTGAGATAAGGAAGGCATTCAACCTTGACCTACAAGAATGATTACAGATAGATTCCAATAATATCTCACGCATGTAAGCTCAATTAATATCAATAAGCCAAAAACATCTCGGCGAAACTACTAGTTCCAGGTTCTGTGAACGTGCATCATATGTAGGCTAGCTTATGTGCAGCCCAACCGGCAAACAAAACTGGGCTGTGGGGGCTGGAGAAAATATGAGGGTGCACTTTGGCGAGCGGAGACGGCTTGGCTTGTAACCGATGCAGCTTACCTGATCTCACTCTCGAGCACAAGGTCGTGCCCGCACGCAAGTACATTGCCCAGGATATTTTGGGAGCTCGGTAAGAAGTAAAAATTCCAGTCCAGCCTTGTTGATGGTGGCTGCATGGCGTATGCATACTACCAACATGTAGATCGGCTCTAATGATCATTCATGTTCTTGCATGCTTGCAGCGGCAAGGGAGACAGGCAGAACAGGGTAAAGTGCCATTCTTGTCACGAAGTACGGAGTAAATAACTTTTATCTCGCAAGAAGCAAGAATGACACACCACAAGCTGCGCGATCCTTCAAGGCGCTGCGGGGTTTGTACACGGATTCATCCACCAATACATTCCGCGTAAGGGTTACACCACCTCGTACATAAACAATCACGTGTTCAACTTCGTTGAGAGCTTGCTATGTAGGTCAATTGTCTAGAGTACGTATGATTGAGGCTACACAAGGTTTTCCATTGATCCTTCAACACAGAAGTGCCATGCATCAGCTCTTCTCACCCAGAAATGGGGCTCGCTTTAGTGTAACGGCACGGCTCGCCAAGTCCTAAACCCCCCTGACTAGTTCTACGGAGTCAAAGTCCATGACGTCGGTGTTCATTCGAGAAGCAGTTGACTGAATTATTTGCTTTGCTGCGTCTGAACGGGCCAAAATTTGAACACTGTATGGGTTAGGCTTGGTCAACAGACCGGCTGCATTGAGAAGAGTATGGTCAGTCACCTGGAACATGATACATCCGCGTCACGAATGAATGAGACTTACGTGTCTTATCACCCATATCTAGCGGCGTCGCACCAGGTTGAGGCGTGACATCAAATGCCCATATTATACGGGAAATAGTAATGTACAATGAGGCTTCAGCCACGAAAATACCTTGACAAATACGGCGACCAAACCCGTAGTGGAAATGATCCCGCTGGCGGAAGTCAGATTGGTTTGCACTGGCGGCGGCGTGTAAGTCGTCCTCTAGGAATCGCTCTGGGCAGAACTCGTAAGGGTCCTTATAGACTTCCGGGTCACGATTGAGCACGGTAAGATTAGGGAAAACGATGGTGCCCTGTGGGATTCGGGTTCCATGATACGAGTCCTCTTCCGAGGTTGCGTGAGGCACGCCAAGACTCCCGATCGGCGCCCATCGATGCACCTCTTTGATGAGAGCTCGAACGTAAGGTAGGTTTGGTTGGTCTTCCCAAGTGGGTAGTCGCGATGGACCTACAACACGATCAAGCTCTACGATAACAAAATCAGTCTTCGGCCACCCAATTCAAACCTTACAAGACAGGGAACGCTTACCTTCTTGGGCAGCACGGAAGGCTCCGGGATTCATAGCCATGATTTTGAAGAATGTCTGAAGAATACTGCTGGTGGCATCAGCTCCAGCACCGATGAGCATGCCCAGAATGCCAATGGCCTGGTCGTCGTTGATATTTTCATTCTTCTGAATCTTCGTCAGCTCGGCACCGAAACAGTTTGGTGCCGTGCCTGCTTCTATCTGCATGTGAAGAGTTCTCAAGAAGGCCCTGTGCAGGACCGACTCCCTCTTTTGCAGGTTAGAAGCGATCTTGACCCAGGGTTGGAATTTCTCGGGTAGCTTCTCTAGGATCGGGAAATAGTCAATCAAAAGAGTGCCTGGTTGAAAATCTAGACAGCTCCGTTAGTAATCATACCCCGAAATCTTCTTGAAGTCCACTCACAATGTAGCATTTCAGCCCACACATTGTAGAAATCAACCATGATAGGATGATCAAGTTGGGCGAGGCGAACTCCGTATATGGTACAGAACATGACGCTGAGTGAGAAACGCTCAGAATGCGCCAGAAATTTCTGGGGAGCCTCCAAAAGGTCCTTGAGCATCACCGTAGATTCATAGTCCTGGTAGTCTCGAAACTTGATGGATTGTTGCTCCCCGAGTAGTCTGTGGTAGACGTTTCGAAGCAAGCGGAATTGCGGACCAACCCCTACCCCTAGTAGCCTATACGGCCATGCACGTTGGCGAAAGTTGTTTTGTGACGGCCTGTCAGAGTAGATTACACCTCTCTGAAACCAAATTAGCCGTTGCATTCCACTTGTTCTCGCCCTTGACAAGCAAATTGGTGGGTATCATTACGTTGTCCAACAGCTCTTTAGCATCCCTCGCGCTATTAATGATGAGAACGGGTTGAGAGCCAAGCCACATCATCGCAGTGGCCCCGTACTTCATCGCCAACTTTAGCAGCTCTCTATCTGGGTTGTTCAAGATTTTCGAAAAGGAAACGAAGTTTCCCAACAACGGCCATCGTTTAGGCCCCCCGAGAGGTCGATGTTCATCCTCTTTCAATTGTTTGGTCGATGCAGGGGTCTCAGGGAAACTGGCGAGGAGCCACGAGAGAAAGAACGCAGAAAGCACTGCAACAAGAGAAAGGTACTGAACGTTCTCCATTCTCAAGTTCTTTGGAGTTGGAGACAGAGACAAAAAAGTCAAGACGCATGGATAGTATATGCCGAGTATCTAGTGAAGACCGTAAGGGACAAGGCATCAGCGCTGCATTTAAATATCACGACATAATACCACAAGGCGTAAAACTTCGAATGATAACACTAGGCTTACGATCCTGCCGTCTTGAGGGTGGCGAGAGCGTTGCAATCTAGATATGCCACGCCTCATCAGGTGTCCACCAAAACACCAATTTTTTTTTTCCAATCGGGCCACTGGTATACATGCAGCCCTCCTAGTCACAAACTGGGCGGAATCCTTGGTATTGACTGAGTGCCTCTTAAGTTGCTGATTCGTTCTCCATACAAGGGGAAGAGAGTTGGGGGCTGTAGGCTGACCAACTGTCCATGATCCGGAAGGATTTTGCTTGAAGCCATAATTAGGAGTCGTGCCGTGGTCTAACATGAAACTATAGAAAAGGGGGACAAAATGATAGGCAGAATACTGAAGGGAGTACTTTGTATCGACGACTCCATGGTACATCTGGTGGTGAATTCGGTCTTGGCAGTACCGCTGGCGCACGCCCGAGGGGTGGACACCGATTCCGCTAACCGTTTCGGTCTATGCCGCGAGTTCGGCTTGCAGGTGCGGTGAGTAAAAGCCGGATTCTTCCAAATCGTCGCCGTCTTTCGCTGTTTAACTTTTATTCCTAACACATTGACTAGTGGCCGTTGTGACTCGGAAATCCCACAGCCCAGCTCTCGCTGAAGTTGCACTCATCAGTGCTTGGGTTGCCTTTGATGTCATCACCAGATTCGCCATGTTTGAGCGGAGCCGAACCATTGCCACTTTCCCAAGAGAATATCTGCAATCCTGGATTCTTCTGTGAGTGATTGAATCCAATGCCACATATTCAATCTCATCAAAGGCCTGGGTTATTCTTTCTCTCAGCGAGGTATTATTGACGAAGGAGATCTACACGTCGCTAATAGCTAGTTTGCAGGCCCGAACAATACCGAATCGTCCCCTGCACAATACTGTCCACCTACTCCGGACTGTCTCCTCACTCGGTTGCAACTTGTGAGAAATATATGCGATGGTCCTCAGGGCATATATGAGCCGGTAGCGTGTCCACGAGGATACTTTTGTGCTCCCGGGGGCAAGGAGGTGAGGCTGTGCCCCCAAGGGCACTTTTGCCCTTTAGGGACTGTGGTGCCATTTCCGTGTGGCCCTACTTCAGTATGTCCACAAGGCTCGGACAGAGAGTTCATTTTGGATGGCTTCATAGCCATTCTTATAATCGACCTCCTTTTCCTAGCTATTGTACTCAAGCCTTACTTCAAAGCTCGCTTTCGCAGTTGGTCAACTACACCTGATGGTAAAAGAAGTAAGGAGGAAAGCGATTGTAATCTCGATCTTGAATCATCCCGGCTCGACAAAAGTGCCATTCGCCATCGAATGCAGCGCGTTGGTCTAACGAACGAAGACTTTAACTGGGCACCCGACATGATGCCGAAGTTCGTGGCCTTAGTAAAAAGTTGTGTTGGTTCAAGTGAGATAGGATTCTCCTTCGGCTTCGAACAGCTTTCCTTGACCCTTGCGAATGGGAAGAGACTTATCGCTCCCCAATCCGGCTCAATTTCCCAGGGCAGTGTATGGTGTGTCATGGGTCCATCGGGTGCGGGCAAGAGTGAGTTATTCTCTCCTGCCAATATGTTATACACGCACCGGTTGACTCGTCTCAAGCCAGTTTTGTCAACTTGTTGATGGGAAAAACTTCACGGACGACCGGTCGCCTTTACGTCAATGGTGTGCCGTCACAAATTACGAAGTAAGTCACATCCTACAAGCTTGATTCCATGACCTCTCCGGAGGCGACTACTTACGGTAACTTATGGGTAAATCAAGGTTTAAGAAATTAATAGGATACGTTCCACAAGATGACGTGATTGTACCGGAATGCACAGTACGCGAAAACATAATGCATTCAGCGATGATCCGACTGCCTCGTACCTGGACCGATACGCAGCGCATCGAACTTGTTGACACTCTGCTGTCTTGTCTCAATCTTGTCGAAGTTCAGCACAACATCGTGGGCGACGAAATCTCTTCATATATTTCAGGCGGCCAACGAAAAAGGGTAAGCATAGGTATCGAGCTAGCCGCTGCCCCTATGGCTCTCTTCTTAGACGAACCGACATCTGGACTGGATGCAACAACTTCGTTGTCTATCATGAGATTGCTCCAGAACTTATCCAAACAAGGCGTCACCGTAATTTGCATCCTACATCAACCGCGACCGGAGATCCTCGATCACATCGACGGAATTACTCTTCTTGGAAATGGCCACCAGATCTACCATGACCAAATGAGTGGCCTCGCTGACTATTTCCGCACGCTTGGTTTTGATATCTCCAGCCGAACCAATATCGCTGATGCAGCCTTGGATATCATATCTGGTGGTTCAGCCATGTACCATAAGTCCGGCCAAAGCTTCACAGCCGAGTCGCTGGCCAATGTATGGGAGAGCTACCCTGCAAGATCGCCGCAGAGTCTTTCCAGCTACGGACAGGACATTTCGTCTAGAGAACAACTAGAATCCATGAATCGCTCAATCTACGGCAGGGGACTCCCAAGGCATCGGCAAGTTTACCTTTGTTTTCTGCGTTCCCTGAAGCAACAACTAGTGCGATGGAACAGCTTCGGCCTCGAGGTTGTGGTCGGTGCAGTTGCTGGACTACTCATTGGGTTGTCGTTATATCAACTGCGGGGCCAGCACTTCCAGGGCGCTTACTATTCGCCATTTCAAATCCTTTCCAGCGCCTTGAACTACACTACTGTTCCAGAAATAGGACTCTTGTGCAATACGGCAATAGGTATGTTATATATATCTGTCTACATTGTTGATCAACTACTGCTAACTATTTATCCACTTATAGGTCTAGCTTCCGCTGCCCCGGGCGTGAAGATATTCGGGGAGGAAAGTATGGCAACCCCATAAGTCCTTTTGAGTTCACCTGGCCGCCCATGACTATATCTGCACAAACGGCTGACCTTATTGAAGAGCAGGTATACCAGCGTGAGGCGAGTGCGGGCCACTCTCGCTTGGCGTACTACCTAGGCAAGACGATTTCGGCCATTCCACGTATTGCCATATCCGCTATGCACTTTACCGCATTCTACTGCATCTTAGCGACGCCCTGGATGTCTTTTTGGAAGATATATCTGACGAACTTGTTGTATTTCTACTGTAAGATTTCAATCTCATTTTACTACAGTATGATGCCTTGCCGTGAGTCTTTCACTGACGATGCGAATCTCCAAGGCATATACGGACTTGCTTCGGCCGTGTCCATGATGGTTCGCAGAGAGGATGGGCCTCTACTGGCCATGATCGTAAGCTTGATCATCGGCGTCTTTGGTGGGTATGGCCCACCGCTTTACAACGTGAAAGAATGGCACCTAGAATGGTTCTGGCGTCTATGTCCAGGAGTGAGTCTAACGCTTTCCACTCCTAATCGCTACAGTGCGGTATAATTATGAACTCGAATGTCGCGCTGAACAAGGGGTATCCTAGATTTGGTTCACTGAGGCGTATTTCGACCAACATCTAGCTAGAGTGGTTCATCTTTACGATTTAGATGCGGCGGCGAACTGGACTGGCTACGTCAGGGGACGCTTTAGCATTGATATAACGTGAGTTCCACATCGAAACGCTAGCTTGAGGCTTTTGAGCGCTCACATATGATTCTAGCCTCCTTTTCATTATTGGCACCGTTTATCGCATGGCCGCTTATGGAGGTCTTATCTTCTTCAATCGTTAAAAAAAGGTTTGTGGTAAACGCCGATGAGTCAAAAAGAGAGCCATTGTATAATGTTAGCTTATTGTGTATCGAAGTATATGCCTTTGCCATTCTTAACTGAATGAGACATGGCTAGTATAAAGCGTTTATTGACCATTGTTGATATCACGGCAGGTCGAATTAATATCACTTTTATGCTGTGTCTAGACTATTTCTCTAAAAACATAAATACGGTGTTCGCAGGACGTTTGCTACTTTTATGTTTGCTATTGTTTATTAGAAAATACATATCATGACTGAGAAACATACCCGTTCGGGGAATGGCGTGAACGTGTAACGCTCTCCATTGACAACCAAGGTGCCGTCATACGTGCAAAGTTTCACATGACCATGGATAACATACATATATATCACTTCGATACGAGGATGCCACGTTAGGAGTTCAGCAACCATCTGACAGTTTTGATGTTTATGCACAACCCTTCCAAAAGAACAAGGATTTGTAGCGGAAAGGTGCGCGTGACTCGGATATAAAGTAGGAGTACCAACAATGTTAACTCACCTGGTTTAAAATGGCACCGAGAAGGGAAAAGCATATGGAAGGTTATGGTCACACGGCTGCCGGATCATTGAACTTTCACACCGGTTGGTGTGGCCAGTTTTCATATCTGTCTCTTTGTTTCAAGCCTCCCGTCAGCGCAATGTCTCCTTGTCTGCCCCGGAGGGTTCATCTTTTCTACTACCGATTCATCTGGATCGATCCGGTATCAGAAAACACCCTAATGTAGATACTTAACCTAGTATATCTATCTGCATTCAAATATAACACCAAAATCTAGTCTGTATATTTTGCGAGATGTTGATTAACAGCTTCAAAGCCTTGGTATATTCTCTATCTTAAGAATTGAGACGTCTCTGAATTCGGTATGTTCAGAGAGCTTGGATAATGTATAAACACCGTTGAGGCATCGCCTTCTCCTGCGAGCAACAGCATTCGTCGTGAAAGGCACGTGAAGATTGTGCCGATTCTACTTGATGTGAAAGATGTTGTATATCAGAATATGGGGGTGCATGGATCACTCTTCGTACCCTTATACTCTTACTTATATATAGATCTCGACGTGCCCATAAAAGAATAAACACACAAGCAACCTAACTCATAGCATACCTAATTTATCTTTTCTTTGTAATTGGGGCAATCTCATCATCTCAAAACAGCATCCGGATGTAAATAATATTAGTGCTTTTATTAAATCAGCGTAGGCCGCTTAAAAAGCCAATGTGAAGTGTTGACTTACTTATAATATTATATTATATAGAGTAATTAAATATTCTCTTTTTCTCCTCCTTCTTTTATAGCCTCGAATTTTACGAAAACTTGGGAAACTTGTGCTATTCTGATAATCTGATTAACAGCTTAATATATTTCGAGCACTTTTGGAGTTGCTTCTATATTATTAGTGCTTTGTTCAACCATAAGAAACACGAACTGTAACTGACTAGACCCTGTTATAATACCATATTCTATACATATAGTCAGCTCTATAGTACAAGTTAACATCTTCTTTCCATTTTTACCCCGCTTTTACGGAGGTCGCTACCAAAAGTCATTGCTAGACTAGCGTCATTTTTGGAGATTGTCTCACGGCCGGCAACACTGGTAGCATGTAAGTCAAAATAGCGTGTAAGTCAAAAGCTGTGTATTAGTTATCTACGGGTATTAGCAATACAAGCTCCTCGTCCATCTAATCAAACGTTGCGTTCCTATAACATACTTCCCGCCTTTTAATTTCGGGACACTATTCTCGTTATCTCTAGCACCCCGTTGGGTACTAGGCCTTCCCGGGACCGGAGCCCGGCCTGCTCTATACTTGTTGCCACCCTCTAGCATGATGATCTATTATATGTGATAAGATATTCCTTCGATCCATTGCCGAACCACGTCTATAAGTAGTTGCTTCCACGCTAATTTCCATCCTTTGATAGCTTTTAGCCTTTTGTGGGAGACTTGTCAACCGCTTTTAGTAATCGTGGGTACGGGTTGTTATACGTTTTAGAAGGAAAAGAAAGGCTATATAACAACTAAAGTAAAGAACTTGTTATAATAGCCAATTTAGTATTTAATATTTAGATATAATTTAATACCTATCTACCGATCAAGATGGTAATGAACTCTAAATAGGTGGTTGTGGAATGGCTTCTCCATTCATTTCTTTCCGTACAGTTTGGGCGACAAATAGATCTATTCAGCGCTGTCGTACGAAAGGAAGAAGGGATTCTTCCCATCGTACGCGATCTACAGATAGGGGTTTGGCCTATACGGCTGCAAGCTGCCGACAGCCACGGTGTGGCTGTAGTGGCTTGCCGTCAGTACGCCGGTAACCAGCTAACCTTAGACTATATAGTCGTGCGAGACCGCGGATAACCATACTTCCAACAGTGGTAATATATTCTATATAAATCACACTTATATGCGTATAGTAATTGGTAACCAATAATGGGCTGATCCACCGGCTGATGTAGGTTTTATGGGTTCGAAAACAACTGATCAACAGCTGCATCAGTTAAGCAGAAAAGAATGGCGCTAGCAATGACTTTTGGTAGCGACCTCCGTAGTGGTTTTCGCGTCCATCAATCAGGTGGCCCTAGTCTGCTCACCTGCTTGTCAAATAGGAACACGTGCCGGAATTTAAGTGGGCCATCCCATCACATGTCCAGCCTCGCTGATCATTGACTCTTAGAAGTTGGCCAGCCGTGCTTGAATCAGGCTGAAACCACGAGAAAAGCTGCTGGCCTGGTTTCATATCTGACATTATGTCCTCCGACTCCACCACACGATCTCCCGGCATCACACGCCAAGACGCTGGACTCTAGGCTACTTCCTTGAGTATAACAGTATCCACCCAGTCTTCTACTGCTGATTGAAACAATCTTCAAATGCCGCAGGTTCGCCTCGATCGGCCGCCATTGAAATTTGCAACGGCCTGGAAATCTCGGCTTCGCGCCGTCATTGGCACTCTTTGCCAGGTCTGTCATCGCAATCTATCAGAGCTATTCTCTGCAAGAGCCCCGTTCCCGGCAACCGAGGACGGGGTTGGAAATTTATCCTCTCACCATGAAAGCTTAGCCAAACTCGACCTGTCAGCATCAAATGGTTGCGATCTATGCTGTCACATATGGCAACGAATTGTTTACAGTTTTCCTCGCGGGGCAGCCACGCCTGGTCGTGTCGCATTGGGCCGTGTGTATGGCTATAGTCCGGGGGACTCCACCCTCCAGCTAGCTATCTCCGTCGGTAGCGAATGCACGACTGCGAACAGTTCGTTGATATTGATGATACAGGGCACCAAAGCCACAAACTTGGCGGACTTACCACGTGAGTACCATGTTTCATTGCCTAGATTGACTCCACACACTGCCAATAAATGTACGCAGCAAGCTTTACGCATCTGCACGGCTGAAGCTGAAATACCTGCGCTAGCGGCAGTGGGCACCGACCTTGACGACATGGTAGCGTGCACAAGAAACTGGATGTATGAGTGTAATCAACACAAATTGCAGCATGTGGATGACCGAGACTGCTTCCAATGCCCCACGCGCCTAGTATACGTGGGATCCGAAGCCAGCAATGATACCCAAGTACGTCTCGTAAGCCCACCAGCTGGCTTTACAGCCAGCTACCTTACGCTAAGCTACTGCTGGGGTACTGTGTCACACAACCTACGTACAACAGCTGTAAATGTTCGCGAGTTTCATCGATCCATCCCTTGGGAATCTCTTCCAAGAACTGTTCGAGAGGCTATCGTCTTTACCAGGAAATTCGGTGTTCAGTACATCTGGATTGATGCACTGTGTATTATCCAGGCATCTAGTTCTGAGGAAACATCGGCCGACTGGATCAGAGAGTCTGGAAGAATTGGTCTCTATTACCAGAACGCAAAGTTGACTCTCGCCGCCTCGGCCGCAACGGACTGCAACCAGGGCTTAGTACTCTCCAGACCAGCAGTAAAGCATAGGCCGGGCTTCTTGGTGATTGATATTGGTGGTGGAGGCTTCATCAAGGTCTGTATATCTAGTAAGCAGTACCCAAGCCGGGAAGAAACAATTACGTCGAGCCGCCTTTTGTCCCGTGGCTGGGTAACGCAAGAACTCATGTTCTCACGCAGGATCGTCACATTCTCTCAACACGGCTTATACTGGAACTGTGCGACTTCGTCTGCAGATGAATTCGGCAATCATACGCACGGATCACGCCTCGATATTAGGGGATTCCTTTTACAATCCCGAAATGTACTTCTGGGCCGTACGTGGAACATTTTTGTCGGAGATTACTCTCGAACTTCATTCACGTTCGAATCCGACAGGCTCGTTGCGATAACCTCAATTATGGCCCGGATTGCAGAAACGACAGGCGCTACACCCGTTTATGGACTGTGGAAGCAAACGCTCGCATACGGGCTTGCCTGGTATAATTACAGTAACAAATATCAGGAGCGAACTCGTCCAGCTTTAGCACCATCTTGGTCCTGGGCGTCTGTCAATTGTGGAATTACCTATGATTATACGGCCCATAAACCTTCGATTAAAGCAGAGATTTACTGGCCAAGTACAGTTCGACACAATGATTTCCGTCTGCTGGTCCAAGGAAGAACATTCCAATGGAGAGCCAAAAATATGGTCAAAATATTTCCAAAAGATTGGAGAGTTCAATTGTCTGTAGATCTTACCATCGGTACCTGTGAGATTTGGCTTGACTCTATGCGAGAAGTCAACTTTATACCAGAAGCGTTCACATACCTTGTGTTGCTGTCTAAGGCAATTTCTACGTACTGTCTTATACTACAAGACACAGGGATAGACCAGTCACAAAATATCAGAAGGTACCGTCGGGTGGGGATGGCCGATTTTAAGTGCGCAGGCTGGGACATAGGAGATGCCATGGGCGCTAGAAGACAGAAGGTGCAACTTATATAACTTTGGCGTTTCGAGTTTTCCTAGGGCTCCTTATACCAAGGTTATGTAAAATGCTAACAACATTATCTCTAATCCATAAAAGGTAGAGGCCTTAGATGCAAGTTGAGGCCAATATTCAGATCTACATGTTTAAGGTGTTAAAGAAAGTGCCTAAAAAGTAAATACGGATGTGTTCTGAAATTTCGGTTTGAAACAGGCGAAGCATTATTTTCTGCACGCGCGGTTTGGAAAGAGAGCTATGCGGCCGCCACTACGTGGTCAGACCAATTTGGAGTTCAATCTAGCAGTAATCCCAAAAGCTCTAGTTTTGGGCATCGCCATGCCGAAAACCATCATTTATATGCACTACCGGTGGAATCGAAGATGGCAGCCGATTCAATTTGAGAAGAGGATCCGTGCTGTAGACATCATTAGAAGTAAAGTCTGTTCTGTGACGAAAGACTATTCCGTCTTGGTGAGCTAATATATGTTTACCATTATCTGTGGGAGCAAAAGCACTTCGAAAAGGTATTCTTAGTGATTAAGTAATACATTTATCACCGTACCAACTAAAGGTATGAATGATCTAACGATATGAAACATATTCCATTCCGAAAGTAAAACCTTCGCGTCCTCAACTCCTATCACATATGGGTCTACCTTGATGGCCTCCTCCAGCATGAATAACTTTCCGTTCACCGGCGCCATCACTATCAGCGTGAATGGGATTATGCACACAGTCGCAAGGCCTGCCAAACCAATAAGCGCCCAGGACCCCTCCTTACTGTTTCTTCTCTGGAGGGCCGCGTAGATGTACAGAGCGCATGTGCTCAGAGCAATGGCCGGCATTATGCGATGTCCGTAGTGGTAGATGCGTCTCCACTGATGGAGTATTGTCGTAGCTTGTGTGCTGGTGTCGAGAACGGCCGGAACTCCTATCATGGATATCGACATCATTGCTCCTATTAGGCAGATTCAACACCATAAAATTGCACTGTGGGGCTATAATTACCTGAAAGAAATGATCCACTAATCATTGCTGTGTACTCATATGTTCTGGTAGACATAATGTCAGTTTTTGTATGCTTGTTCAATTATTGCTATGTATATTTGTCCACACAATGTTTCAAATATCCTTTTTGGGGAGAAGAAAAATAAAGGCTGCTTATTTGGAGGAGCCGAACCCATCCTTCTCGGCGAAGGCTGCTCTCGGGGTTTGGTCTGACGGATTCCGACATTTGCGATCCGCTGAGGTGAGATACCCGGAGAAATTAGCTGCAGCATATTTGCCTTATTTCGGACCCAGCCACGTTATTGAGGTTACCTCAAATCCGAGATTCGGCATTGAGCCATCGCTTTCCGCCACAACTATTTCCCTGGTCATACTTGGCGAGTAGACGCGAATAAGGGGACGACATTTTATATACAGGCGCTCGGTAGCGAATATTCTTTAAGGTCTTTAAACCAATAACACTCTTCTCACCGTTTCTAGATATCGAAGCTTTACCTTTTACATCATGTCTGCTGCTGCAACCACACCCGTTCCGGAAAAATGCCGTGTCCTTGTGATAGGCGGTGGGCCTGGCGGGTCATACGCAGCAACTGTTTTAGCTCGTGAAAATATCGACACTGTCGTTCTTGAGGCCGAGCATCATCCCCGGTTGGTTAACCTTTTTGCAAATATGACGCCTCCTCAGTAATCTCTAAATTACTTGCACTGCTTGGTCGTCATCAATTTTCTGAAATGCTTGGACTCACGAACAAATCTTTAGCTATCACATCGGCGAAAGTACTCTTGTTTCATTTCGCCACTATCTTAAATTCATTGATCTTCATGAAGAATTTGATAAACATGGCTTCACGACCAAGGTTGGAGCTGCATTCAAGATGGTGCCTAACGGCCGTGAGGGATGTAAGTCCAGTCATGGTAGTTAATTATGTAAATAATCTTTTTCTGCTAAGACACCTTCCTAGTCACCGACTTTCGCGCGGGCGGACCAGACAACATAGCTTGGAATCTCATTCGCTCCGAAGCGGATGAGAAGATGTTTCGACACGCTGAAAAGTCCGGGGCTAACACCTATGAGGGAGTCAAGGTGCAGTCGATCAATTTTGAGGATACCAAAGATGCCAATGGGATCAATGGAGACGCGCAGCTGAATGTTGGTCGCCCCGTCTCTGCTCAGTGGAAGAGAGATGATGGCACAACTGGCAAAATCGCATTTGACTATGTCGTGGACGCTAGCGGGCGCGCGGGCCTTCTGAGCACCAAGTACCTAAAGAATCGGTCATACAGCAAAGCTCTCAAGAACGTTGCGAACTGGGCATATTTCACAGGTGGCAAGAGATACCAGGAGGGCACAGATCGCGGAAACTCGCCCTTGTTTGAGGCCTTGCATGGAAAGTAGTACTCGCCTCATCGTTGGTTTTGATCCGACTAATAAGGATAACAGACGAGAGCGGCTGGGTGTGGTATATTCCCTTGCACAACGGCACACACTCGGTTGGGGTTGTCAGGAACCAGAACGTTGCTGCTGAGAAAAAGAAGGAAGCCGACTCAGTACAGCACTACTTCACTGAGAGCCTCAAGCTCTCCCCGATGATCAGCAAGCTGCTGGGTACAGACAGCGAGCAGGTCACATCAATACATTCGGCCTCGGATTTCTCGTACCATGCGAAAAGCTACGCTATCCCACATGCTCGTATCGTGGGTGACGCCGGATGTTTCATCGACCCGTTCTTCTCTTCGGGTCTTCACCTCGCGCTCACTGCTGCCCTCTCGGCAGCTACCACCATTGCAGCCAGCATTCGTGGCGACGTAGATGAAGCTGTTGGTACGAAGTGGCATACGGACAAAATTCGCGAGGCCTATGCCCGTTTCTTGTTGGTTGTGCTAGGCACTTATCAACAAATGCGCAATCAGGAAGCCCCGGTGCTGTCCGAGGTGGGCGAAGATAACTTTGACAGAGCTTTCAAGTTCTTCCAACCTGGTACTATGACCCTCAAATTTCTTTTTCTTTGAACTGCTTTCTGAGATATTGGTCATTACCCACGCTAACATTTGCCTAGTCATTCAGGGAACTTCCGACTCAACAGACAAGTTCACTCAGGCTGACCTCACCAAGACAGTCTCCTTCTTGACCGCAGCTCTTACACCCGTAATGCGCCCAGACGGTCCAGATGCATCGCAGAAACCTCTGCTGGGCAAAAATGAATTGGTGGGGGCAGAGGATGAAGAGGCTCTAAAAGCCCTTGTCATGCATCACCAGTCTGACACTGCCCATGGACTCGACAAGTTCACCACAGATGTTATCGATGGGCGGATCCCGAGATTGGAGAGGGGAAATTTGACACTCACTCTTGTTGAGAACAAAGCATAATGGCACAACAGATGGTTATATTCACAGCACAAATGCGATGGGTAGCGTTCCTCTTCCTAGAAAGATATCTATGCCACAGTACCCTCATAAGCATGGACATTTGGCACCAGGTTGGTTCCCGGACGCGATACGTGTTATTGTAAATATGAGACATTTCAAAAAGTAACGGAAACAAGATTGGCATTGTGATTAGAAGTTCCCATGAACCTCCTCAAAGACTTCTCCATGGTATCATATCCCACGGGACACGTGGTGACTGGGTTGGTCAACGAGCAACACTGTTCAAATCTCACTACATTTGTACTTACCCAGCCTTTGCTCGTCGTCGACAGAAATTCGACTGTGAAGACAATTTTCATTGGAAAAGCCCCAGGGACCATAAAATGCTTCCCTCACGAGTCCATTACTGGTGGGCGTGTCCACTCTGGTTGGATATCCACATCGGCGAAAGCAAATTCACCACCAATTTGATACTAAATTGGAAGCACGCGAATTTCAAGTCAGATGGCAATGCTCCATATGTCGACATAGTCAACCAGTAAATCAGCCAATCAGTCAATAAAGCAACTTAGAGGTAGGCAGCAAGGTTCAGAGAACCAGAAAGACGACAATAGGAATATTCAATGAATTAAACCGTGCCAACATGACTGTTATCAAACTATGGTATCTTTCAGGAACCCAGCCTGGGTTTTTGTAGCAAAATATCATCCAAAATATCATCCAGCAGATCATCCAACAGATCATCCCTAAAGATCCGCACCATTATCCTAGACCATCTACAGCTCCCTAGATTGGTCCGGAATAAGAAATTTGAAAAAGGAGCAAAAGACTCAAACAGAAAAGTAATGACATGAGACGATGAAGCTGCTGGCCTTTATAGGTTAGCAGATATCCCTGGTACGATCTTTTCCAGCTTCTCAATGAGCTCGTTGAATAAGCGCTTCTGCCTCTCTGCGCCGCCAGGGCCAACAACAACAGTTGCAGGCGTTTTCACCTTTCCCACATCCAAGTATTGACCGTGTGTATCTATTCCGCCGCTTGCCCCAGCGATCAGATTCCGAGAGCCTTCTTCTGATGTCCTTGCAAGCAAGAACTTCAGAATCCGGATTTGCATGCCATCCAACTCACGCGACAGCTCGCTGTGGCACATGCCGGGGTTTGTGCAATTGATGATGACAGGAGTCGTTTCCTTTGGCAAACGAGCGGCCAATTCCCGAACAATGAACACCTGCATCAGTTTGGTGGTTGGGTAACGCTCGCTCTGGGTCTTCAGCGACTTGGCTTTGTCGTTTAGCCTGTTGAAGATTCCCTCGGGCGCGTCCCCCTCCTTGAAGTCGACCAAGAAGTGCGTGTCGCTTGTCACGATCGTTAAATGCGGCTTCGTGTTGAACTTGGCGGCTGTAGCTTTGAGCTTAGGTAGCATGAGGAAGGCTAGAAGGAAGGTCGAGACGACGTTCACCGTCACCATCCGCTCATTATCTACAACCCAATTCCACTCCACCGAGGCGACTCCTGCGTTTTCTAGGAGAACGTCGAGGCGCTCTAGCTCTCGGTCCGCGCGTTCGGCAAAAGCCTTCACACTGTCGTAGCTAGTAAGATCGATGGGCCATACCTCGATGATACTTGCATCGCATCGAGTTGATTCTATGAGAGAGCGCCTAGCAGTTTCGCCCTTCTCCACTGAGCGCACCGCTATGATAAGCTTGGTGCATCCCAAGTTGAGGACGTGTTTAGCGCCTTCGTACCCTAGCCCCGTGTTTGACCCGGTAATGATGATGGTCTGCCCTGCGAAGCTTGTTGTAGGCTTCGGGGCATTGCTAAACAATTGAGCCCCGATAAATTTGGCCATATGGCCTGGTGTTCCGTCACCCCCAGGCATATTTATGGTAGTGCAATGCGACTTTCGCGGGGTGGGGTGAAGAGATGCGGAACGAGGTTACTACAAGCGAAGAACAGTGTATGTTTACAAGTCCAAGGTGACCTAAATCAATTCTTAAGTGGTTGCGGAGGCACGTCTTACGGATGGGTAAATTTCCGAATTCCAGTGCATGCGAATGCTTGATCCAAAGGAAGTCCAATTGCTTGAGATGCTCATTGCTACACAACACTTATTTCAGACCCATCGGCATTTTCGAAAAGTGCGAGCAAATATGTGGCAGGGGTTGTCACACCTCGGAGATCGGAGGTTGTAGGACTGGTCCAATCAACATCAACTCAGAGCGCCTTTCTTCAGGCATAAGGACGGGTGGTGGTTCTTAGGTCCGTGAAACAAATGTTTGTCGATATGTAAAAGTACCCCTCCGGCGCCCGACGAGCCCGTTACCCGACCGGTATTGGGTGCACCATTGTTATTGCATGTACTGTTCCATCGTAATTACTACAATAAGCTATGAAGGTCTCTGGTCAGACCCCTGTGTCATGTGGTGAGACAATGTAAGACAAAAGCAAAGCCAAGCTGTTTCGTCAAGCCCAGAGTTACATGACGCCACCTACTGCGAACCAAGGTCAAGTAGTTTAGGTGAAAAACATGCAGGGACGTAGGCTTATTGGATTGTGCCTCCTATTTTTAAAGTTGGTGTCATAACGAGTGCATGAGCTAAGCCAAGTTGCTGGGAAATCATTTTCACCGAGTATAGACATGAACTGCTATTTTTCGACATATAGGTGGCATTGCACTTAGTACGCGTATTATACGTCTATCCGAAATAAGGCATATAAGGATGGAGCCAGGGGAAGAAACACCTCAGCAACCCACTTAATGCCAGGAGCGGCAATGTTGGTGGGAATCTCGCACTGCCTGATAAATTGTTGACGGAAACATCTTTCATATCATAACGGCCATCCGGATCACTCCCAGCCTCTATCATGGCACCCGCCAAGTCCTTATAAGATACAAAGGTATCCTGTTCGTAAAGATTGAGCTTATAGCCTCGCGCCTCGTCAACTGATAGACCGCCTGGTTTGATGAAGATGCTTGAGACCCAGTCGCCTTCCGCACGCAGTGCACGCTCCGCACGCCGAAGATCCTCGTAGACATGCGAGTTGGCGTGGGTGACGATCCAGTGGAAGATGCGCGGCAGATTTTGGCACATGCTTGGCTCGAGACTTGCCGAGGAGAGCACCACAAGCTTGGGCACGACCAGTTGGCTGTCTGCGCGAATGTTCTGCTGGAGCGCAGTGATTATGGTACGCGCAGTATCTTCGGCTACGTGTACGTAGGGGATGTTATCATTCATGGTGACCGAGAGAAAAGCTGTACCACAGCCCCGAACGCACTCAGCAAACAGCTTGACATCGTGAATATTGCCCTCGAAGACGACGATGCGCTTGGAATTGACAGCTTCGGGGAAAAGGTTGGTGAGTTTTGCAGCGTTCCGGCAGTAGGCGTGGATGATATTGTCTGGTGAAGATGCAAGCAGCACCTCAATGAGGGCACTGCCACTCTTGCCTGTAGCGCCGAAGATTGCGTATTTGTTGTTGGCCATTGTTTTGGTCATTTTGGAACGTTCTTCCTGCGTCTATCTCGCAAGTTAGGTACCCGTCTCGTAAGATCCGAGGACAAAGACAGTTTGGATACTATTCACGACTTATTTCACAAGCTAAGAATGAGATTCGAAGCGTTCGCACTAATAACGGGTTTCGGGATTGCTATAGGCTGACATATAATCCGAAACCTTGTGCGCACCGGTTGTCTATCGGCATCCGAATGGAGTGTCCAACCCACATCCGAGGAGCTTACTGCAGGATGGGCTACTCATCTGTTCGCCTCACTTGTCATATAAGTTGATCTGTTAATAATGGCAAATATACGATAGCAAGTAAATAGCATCAACGCAGCAGGATCTTTACCATAGTGTCTCTCTACGCAAACTTCACCATGTCCAACCCTTCTGAGCCCAGACCCGCACCCACACTTGTTGAAACAAGCTATGGTCGGGTGGCATACCGCTCCTTTGGGTCCGGTAGCCTTCCCCCGGTATTCTGCATTCACGGAAACTCTTCTAGCAGACATATCTTCAAGCCAGTTTTGCTCAACCAGAACATTACTTCAACCCGCCGAGTGATAGCCGTTGATCTACCGGGGCACGGCGAATCTGATGATGCGAAAGATCCAGCCCACACTTACACAATGCCCGCCTACGCCAAGGCTTGCGTGGAGGTGCTGAACAAGCTCGACATCAGTGAGGTCGTTTTAGTTGGCTGGTCTCTCGGAGGCCATATTGCAGTCGAGATACTGCCCCTGTTCAGCGGCGTCAAGGGTATCGTCATTGTTGGTTCGCTGCTGGTGCCGATTTGGGGCAAGCCTCTGGACGACGAACGTACGAGGTGGAACATGCGTGAGGACTTGTCCGACGAGGAACTCACCGCATTCTCAAAAAGGGCCACAGGGGGGCCTTGGGAGCAGTGGATGGCCGAGTCTGCCATCCGAACCGACTCCAAAGCTCGTCGTGTTCTATTTACTAATCTCGGGTGTGGCGATTGTTCCGATCAGCAAAAGCTGGCAGCCGAGACGAACGTCCCCCTGGCAGTTGTTGTAGGCACGGACGAGCCTCATCTGGACAACAACAAAATCAAGGGCTTGAAGTACGGTAATCTGTGGTCTGGCAAGGTCATCGAAATCCAGAATGGGAAGCACTGCCCAGTATGGGAGAAGCCAGCTGATTTCAACCCCGTGCTGGAAAAATTCTTGGGAGATGTTGCCGCTTGAGCAAATTGATATCATGAACTGCTACATTAACGAATCTCATCGTTTAAAAAAAAGAAGCATTTAAAATTTGATATCCTTGCTGTTCAACAGCCGTTGTCTGTTCGTGCCGTATGCATCCCCTCTCACCACATTACTTTGAAGGACTCATCATGGAAATTCCGTTCTCAATCGTTGCGATAATCTGCCTTCCTTCATGCTCTGAAACAAAGAACAATTTTGCATATACTATGGGCTTACCTGCAATAAAGCGTTTGTTTAAGCAGTCTTTGCGCGAGGTGGCTATTTTCTGATCATGCCAAGCAGATGAATATTTTGCTTTGGCACCACCTATGTAGCGTGTTTCAGTCAGTGGAAACCTTACCCACTATGGACTTAATGTAATTCAAGACGTGGAGACATCTATGACAACGCTATACAAATTTCAAACACATTTCCTAGCGCCCGCGAATGCGTCTTTGTTTCGCAAATGAAATGTAGCTGAAAAATAACCCAACCCTGTCTTTAGCATCTTCAAGTGACACTCTGACCTCTCATTCAAGGAGTTTGAATCTATCGATCATTCTAGTGGAAACCATATGTGCAGTACCCAAAGCAATCTTATCGGGCTCGGGTAAAGCGACAACGGCTACAAAAGCACAAGGCTGCTTTGGGCCTAGCTGCTTTTGGCAATACAATGGGTATGTCGATGCATTTTGGACCCTTCGGACCCCGCTGGTCTTCATTACCGTGGCACAGGAGCGCCTACGGTCGCTGTAATTCCTTCCATACTTGAAGTCTTCCCGACACTACCCTTGTGTTTACTGCAGAAGTATGATGCGACTGAGCTTACGGGTCCGCAGCCACCTCCACACTCGGGGCATACAGTGGAGACATTCGGTAAAGGGCGCCCATCAATCGGAATCCGAGTATCGTTGTTCCCACAGCAAGCTATTGGAACCTAGACAGGGTATTGAATGAGCACCAATGGAACGTACATGCATCCATTAGCCTCATTAGTCCAGCAATAAAGTCCAGGATCGGGAATCAAGGTGCGCTAGCACGACTCCAGTAATCGGCGATCCGACTGTCTTTGTATCAGAATGCAAGCTCCTGTGCTATAGCAAAGTTGATGTTGTTCCAAGGGTGGATTATTTTTGAGTTCTGTTACGCAGATGTTATTGAAATTTTATCATGGGCGGACCCACTGCTCGAAATGGTTTGCCTCAATGCCATGGAACCTAGTTGGAAGTGCCATAATGTCAGACAACGCAGTCACACTGACCTCAGTACTACCAAATACGTGAGAACCTATGTAGTTTATTGACGACATAAGTTGCTGGGTACTATCCTTTACAACTGAGATAAGTCTGGGACTGTATCAAAATATCACTATTCGCCTTCGTTGACGGCTTGTCCATTCCTCACGAACTCTTGGTACCAGCCGATTGTCATGCTTTGAAAATGTAAGCCGCTATGTGTCTGCACCAAGGCAAACTATGTGCTTAAGATTTCATTGTGACATACCGACTCCTTTTGGTGTCCGCGAAATTCTCGTGGTCGCCCATGAGATGTTCCTTGTACCATGGGTCCTGTTTCATCCTTTTGTAATCTTCGACGCTCTTGAAAACGGCTTGACTGAAGCAGTCATAATCTGCCACATTGGCGAATTGAGGGTCAAAAAGCTCGGCCATTTGTGCGCGTGTGGCAGATGTATTGTGGATCTATAAGCGGCATGTCAATATCTGCTGGTTGTGCGCAGCAGAATATTCGATAAGCGCAGAAGGTGAGCAGCAATGAAAGTGGAAGACGATAGGTGGTGCAAAACAGACCTGGGTCCATCGCACAATTCCATATTGCGCCATCAAGTCCTTGGTCATCGGCGCCGAGATGTTCGTCATATGGTGTCGATAGGCTTCCTCACTCATGCCGGGTTTGCGATAACCGCAAATAGTAAGACAGAGGAGTTTATTCTGATCGTTAGGAATTCGTGTGGTTTCTGGCGAGTTGGTATTGGTTGCCATTTTCAATATCCAGAATTCGACTTGTGGTATGTGCGCAATGAGTTCGGAGATTGAAAAAAGACGAGTAAATAAATAGAGATTCGACAGCACAAGAACTGTTGGACAAAGAAAGTGGATATCCACGATATAAGTATACTTTTTTGTGAACCGGTAGCTAGAAGGCCGATTTTGTGGGCCAACTCTTTCTTCGTACCGTAAAGCCGGGGAATTTGGATAAGCGACACAGTCATCTCTTACACTATAGCCCACTCTCTTGGCTGCATGTAGAATGCGTTCGAGGCAAAATGTTTCTTATATAGTCACCGACAGGTAAGCCTGAGGAATGGAAGGTTTCTGGGGAAAGCTGAAGCACATCCACACATAGATGTCACAGAATAACGAAGAACCAGACTGTGCGGCCACGCTTAAGTTATAGGAAAATACCCAGTCTATTAGAAAGTCTCAAATTCGCTTCCATCGCAGCGTACTAGCTATAGTACTCCTTCAGCCAGGTTTTCAAATCCCCAACCAATGGATATTCAAGAAACAAACCTCCGCTGGCGGTTATACCAAGCTCCTCACGGAACTTCTCGGCGACAACGAGACTGAGCAAGCTGTCCAATCCCAAATCACTAAACATGGCGTCATCCTGCAAGTCTGAAACTAAGATACCTGCCTCCCTGGCAATGAGCGCCATAGCTTTAGAAATAGTGTTATCGTCCTCATCAGAGGTGTCTTGCTCAGTCGCAATGTCTGGAACAGTTGGGAGTACAATTTCTGCCATATGGGGGGCCATCTTCTCGGATGATGAAGTCTTAGGGGCAACTACCACGGGGTTGGAAGTCAGGGGTGCTGACTTTTTGGGTCCCTGAGCATGTGCAGGCTCAGGATTTTGCAGCTGCTTTGGTACTTTTGCGAGTGTCGCAGAGTGATCTTCAGGTGCAGAGAAGAATTTGTTGAGAAGGATGCGTGGGTATCGGCGAAATTTCATTCCCCCTACCATACCCATGATAGAATCATCCTGCATGACGTAGAGGTCTCCCAAGTAAATTGAAGGGTCTTCTGCAGTTGGGATCATCTTGACATAGGACCTGTACTTGCCCCCGGCAACCAAAGGACGGGCGAATCTCATAGACCGCCACCCCGGAGTTACACAGAAATTAGCCTTTTGATCGATGGCGTCGGAAGTGTTCATAATGCATCCCGCAAGATGAGCGACACTGTCGATGAAATGCGGTGGCATGGTCCACGTACCAGTACCTTCGCTCTTCAGGGTTACATCAGCGAAGGCTTCGAGTTCGTGCATAGTGACCGACTGCATGCCCCTGTATTTCTCGGCATAATCGACGAGGTTATGTTTAAACAGCGCGTAAGCCATCTTGTGAGATAATTGGTTTGCTGTTCCATCGCTAGCCATCCTCTTCAGAGTATCAACCCGACTCTGAACCAAGTGACCAATTGGAGACCATGAACTTAGCCATTCCTCAGCATCTTCATAATAGAGGTCCGCGGTAGCGAAAGGTTCATCCTCAGGCATTCCATTATCCTGAACATTGTGCCATTGCAGTTCGGCATGATTCGTGTTTATGTCCGTAGTCTTGATAGAGACGCGGAGAAACTGCGTCGTATCATGCTTCTTCTTTGCTACGAGACCTTTCACCACCACAAGGTTGGCAACGTTCATGTTCACACTAACTTTCGTTGCACTGGAATAGAACTTTCGGTATAAGTAATTACCGAGTGTGAAGGCGATATCAGCATGAATAGACTGATTGAATATTAGCCACGATTCATGTAGTCACAACGCACTCTTTCCAAAAAGTAAACTTACCGACGTAACCACACCACACCCATTCATCTGATGACCATGGACAGCCGCGAGCATATCGTGTTGCAACAGATCTGACTGCATTACAACCATTCCGGCAGCACCTTCAATGGTTTCCTCGATGATGTGCTGGACCGTAGAAGTATGCAGTCCGGAATCAGAGCCCCGAAGACTTGCTGGTGAGTCACTGAGATAAAATGTATTCCCCTTGGTGAGTGCCCAGTTTCCATTGTACTGCAACCAGTAGTTTCTGTCGTTCCATTTGTACGTGGGAAGGTTAAGGACCATATGGGCTCCCTCGAATGGGCGGTGGAACTCGTTCCAGTCAATTTCGATACCACGGCAATGCAACTCTCCAAGACTGCGTGCCATTGTAGTCCAGCTATCTTCACCTCTGCGAAGTGTAGGAACGGTTGTAATTGTTCCGGGGATGCTAGATTTGACGAAGTTCACGCACACTGGGTGAGGGCCAAGTTCGACCCAAACCGTCTTCTCATCGACGAGGTTCAATTTCTGGGCAGTTTGAAGTGCACTGACGAAGTCGACTGTTTCTCGAGTGGAGCGACTGAGGTAATTGGCGTTGATAGATTTTGCGCCAAATACTACCTTGCGGAGGAGAGGCGAGATTACCGGCAGGTTTGGTGCTTTGAAGACGACCGATTGCTTGGCTGTAGTCTCAAAGTCTTCCAGTATCGGATCAGTCTGTGACGAGTGGAATGCAAACGAGACATCAAGGATGATACAGCGGTGGCCAGCCGCTTTCAAGGCGTTACCCACTGCTTCAATCTCGGTGCTGGGCCCGCTGAGTACAATCTCAATTGGTCCATTGATACAAGCAACCTCATACTGCAACTTTGTGCCCTCCAAACTTTTCTCGATGTTAGAAAGTGAGGCTTTGACTGCCATCATCTTGTGGCTGCCAACTTGACATCTCTGTTCAAGCAATTTTGCTCTGTGGCCAACAAGGAATATTGCATCACTGGCAGATAGTACACCAGCAACACACAAGGCTGCATACTCGCCCAGGCTATGGCCAATCACCAGATTCGGCTTTATACCGAGCGAGCTCCAGTACTTGGCCAGTGCTATTTGAGTACAAGTAAGAGCTAGTTGTGTGACAAGAGGGCTGTGGGTGTGGTCTTCAGGAAAGCTTCCATCAATAGCGGAAATGAAGGATGGGAAACCACATCGTAGCGCTAGCGCATCCAGATGTAATATATGAGTTCGGAAAGCGTTTGAGTAGTGGAAAAACTGCACATTGGCTGACTTGTGCGATGCGCCTTGGCCAGTAAAAGCAAAAACCACCGACGGTGCACTGAGTGCCGAAATGGGCTTCGTTTGTTCCACGGTGGCATACGCGGCTGAAAGTACTTGTTTCGCGGTGTTGATATCAGAAGCAGACAGAACAACACGATATTTATGATGATATCTTCGGGCGGTCGTGGTATATGACAGGTCAGATAGATGAACATCCCGATTTGCCTCCAGATAGGCGATCAGCTGTTCCACGTTACCCTTTAGGGAGACCGAGCTCTTAGCAGAAACAGCGATGACGTGAGTTGTGCGGGGGTCTTTATGCGTTCGTTCCCGAATAGGTGCTTCTTCAACAGCGAGAGATGAATTGCCTCCAGCAGCGCTGAAGTTGTTCACTATAGCCACCCGCTTCTTCCCGAGGACATGGGGCCATGGTTGCTCCTCGAACGGAATGTAAACTTTGCGCTTCTCCAGGTCTTTTGGGAATCCGGGGTTGACAACGCCGGTTTTGACGCCAATATGGCGTGGAATCTTATTCTTCTCAAACATCAGAAGAACTTTGAGTAAAGCAGTAACTCCAGCTGCTGCCTCGGAATGTCCAATGTTAGACTTCACCGCACCGATATACAACGGCTGATTCCGATGACGGTTGGACGGGGCGAATACATCGGTCACGGATTTGATCTCGACTAAGTCGCCAGCTTGGGTGCCCGTTCCATGCATTTCGACGTAGCTGACATCGAGAGGATTGAGCCCCGCACGATTGGATATCTGTCGCATCAGCATAGATTGAGCTCCTGCGTGAGGATGTGTGATTGAAATGGCTTCAGCTGAGTGATTAGTCCCGGCGCTGAGGATGACCCCGAGAATAGGATCGTTGTCGGCTTCAGCATCTTCTAGTCTTTTCAGGACTACAGATCCTACCCCGTCTGCACGGCAATACCCGTCGGCTTCAGCATCCCATGTCTTACAGGCGTTGGGCCCCTTGGTTAGGAAATGCCCCTTACTAAGGCCTGCAAAGCCATCGGAGTTGGTAAGCACGTTCATTCCACCAGCTACCGCTGTATCACAATCCGCAGCCCACAGGGAGGTACAAGCAGTCTATATGATATCCTATTAGTATTCAGAGTGTCGTTGATTGATACGTCGAAGCTATGCACGTACCTGGATAGTGGCAAGGCTTGATGAACAAGCCGTGTCAATGCTGAAACTAGGCCCGCAAAACTTGAAGAAGTAGTTGATACGACCGGGGCCGAAAGCCCGACAACCACCTGGAATGTAATACGTATCGACCTCCTGACCCGCATTGACTTCGCGATAATCGTCAGCGGCCTGGCCATAAAAGGTGCCAACACGGTGGAGATTGGTTGATCTTGTACGATTTGGGACAAAGCCCGACCGCTCGAGAGCTTCATAAGCTGTCACCAGTGCTAGTCTTTGCATTGGATCCGTCTGCTCACACTCTCGGGGAGACATGTTAAAAAATGCGCCGTCGAATAAGCCTGGATGATCAATGAAGCAGCCATATCTAGTATGGCTCGTGTTCATCTTTTTGCCCGTCTCATCACAATGCGTGCTCACGTCAAAACGATCAGCGGGAATTTCTCTGTGAACGTCGAGCCCTTGTTCCAAAATGTTCCAAAATCCTTCGGTGTCGGTTGCACCGCCCGGTAACCTACACGACATCCCCACAATAGCAATCTTCGATTGCATCGGCCCTCTTGGGGTTTCAGATTGCCCAGACGAGCTGCTGATCCATGGCGTAATGGCCCGTGTTGTAGTGCTGAGCTCTGGCAACTTTTCCAGTGATTCCGTGAGCTCGAGTACTGGGCGGGACATTTGAAACATGAAGACCTCACATTCAGTTGCTCTACAATCCCCAGCTATGTAAGTTATGGCGTTGACGACGTTGCTCCACTCGATGGCTTTGGTCAATATCTCGTAGACGACCTGCTCCAAAAGTTCCAACGCGCTCTTAGTAGAGTAAGGATTACCTGTTCCTGTTGAAAGAACCATTATGGTTGGAACGAATTTCGAATCCAACTGTTCCAATTGCGGCGTGTGGACAATGCTTCGAACGTTTTCATGACCATAAATATGGGCTGCATGGCATAGTCCCGAGAATACAGGTAGGTATATATACTTGTTGTTGCGAAAGAAATCGTGGTCACGGAAGAGGGCTGTGAGACTTGAAGGACGGCCACTAATCGTCACCGATGTTGGGCTCCGTGCGCTGATGAAGATTTTGCTAAGCTCAGCCGTTCCCTATGCTTTAGGTTAGCAATCTTATTTTAGGAGTTCGGTCGCGTATGAGATAGATACGACTTACTTCGTTTTTGTGGACAATGTCGAGTTCTCGCTGGACGTCGCTTGGTAATACATCAGGGATCACACACGCCCACGAGTCAGGCTGGCGAGATGTATCGCGAGGCTCTAGGTTCTCCGACACCTCGGTGACGTGAATGCCTAAGCGGAAAGCAATGCGCACAACTTCAGCGCCAGTGGTCGCGATATCTGCTAACGTCGAAGCAAGCGAAATGGCTGCTGACGCTAAGAGGCCTATACCCAACCCTGAGAGGCATGTCGTCTGAGGGTCAAAGTCGAATTCGGCTTGTTTCTCAAAGTACCTATTTTCGTCGGTCAACTGGCTGAGATTTGCGTATGCGGCAGGAAGATAACAGACCCTATGAAGGCACCAAGCTCGACTAAACATAGCAGAATGCCATCTATAGACCCGCCAAGGGGCCCCTTGCGCAGGTCAGGGTAGTCTCCAAATTCCAGGACACTCTCAAATGTCGGTATCAACGCTTTCAAAGAGGCAGGAATTAGTCGTAATTCTTCCCGGACGACACGTGTGGCTCCTTCAAAGAACCTGGCTAGGATATGATGTTGCCTATCTTTGCTGTGGCGGTGAAGTCGACGAAGAAGGTCCTGAAGGTCTTCATTGGGGAATTCATTGCTGAAATAAACGACTTCCATCTTGCTCTGTTCTCCACATGCGACAGAAGGGGGCGTTTCGATGGCCATGGTCGACGAGGTGTTGGAGCTTGGGTACGGAGACCCAAGACTGGCTGCGATATCCAGTTTAGAAACAGAAATTGAAAATGAATGAGGCCAATGAAACTTTTCATGAATATTGTTGCCTAACTTTACAGCCAAACTAATAGCTTAATGCACTTGGGTAAAATTGCAAAGACGCATTGAACAATAAGCAGATTGATCTTTGAAGCTGGCATGGGCCACGGACTCAGATGCCGCAGACAATATCAGTGTATTCCGATGCCAAGTGGAGTAGAAGGATTCCCAAGAGGACAAGTACTTCTGCCGATTTTCAGCCTGGTCATTTTCCGACGAATATACCATCATAAGCTTCGCTGTGCTTTGAGCTTACTCTGGCCGTTGACACAAAACCCGATGGGCGGAGTTCCGCGTATGTTTTGAAGAATTGACAACAAACATTTCCCGAAGACCGAACGGAGAACCACCGATTTACATCCTTGCAACCAGTGCCAAAAGCCGACAGACTTCGACGCTCACATGAGGAGTTGACAATCCTATGAATATTATACTGATAACTCTGTGCATCCCAATCTCCACTACATTACTCTAGACTAGTCTACGTGAGACCACCGTATTGTTTCATGCGACAAAGCAAATTGCGCATTCTCTCTAGTGAACCTGTATCAAGAAGAATTATGTACATGTCCATTTGTTCTCGCGCAAGTACAGCCAAAAGTGTTGGAGAAATATCTCCTGAGTAACAGTAAACTCTAAAGTGGCTGAAGGGACTAGCGAGACATCGAATCTGCCTCCTTTCACCTCGCTATGTTATAGTCTGAAGCTTGTGATTTTGTCCAATCAGTACAAAAAAGCTCCCTGATGCATTGTGTATTCTATGTTACATATTCACAACGCTTTCTAGAGACTCTTCTCCAATTCTCGCAGTGTATATGTTTATTCTTTCTCCATTGTTCAACTTTCTTTGATTGTTCCTCAAACATGGAATTCCCCATAGGTTCACCTCTTTTCGTCGCTTGATGTCCTTGACACCTTTTCGGAGCGTCATATTTTACAAGAGCGATATGAATTTTCAGTGTATATAGAGAATTCAACCACGTTGGCTGTGCTGCAATCAAGACTTGGTAGATGGAGAATATGGGGCTCGAACGATACCGATAATGACAGTAGAAGAAACTCATTTCATAAAGCTCTCAACCCTAAGTAGTCAAAGCACACATGATGAGTCTTTGTCCACAACAAGCATCGTAATTTCCCTCAGAATCCCAAGTGCTGTCAATTTCAACACTGCTGCTTGGTAGCATAGGGATTCAATCAAGATTAGGGTCATTGGTAGCCAACCGGTGAGAGGTTGAGATATCCGCTTGGGCCCGGGGACTCTAGACAATTTGCTATTTGTATCTAGATCGGGCGTATATGAAGCACTACACTATCTGATCTGTGGGATGAACCCAACAGAGAATCTCATCGAAGTCGGCGATGTTCCTGGGCCCACAACCAATTGCGCACTGGTCCATACTAGCACGGGTTTTGTTCCAGTATCTTTGTTGCAGGAAATTTAGTACTGTCGACCGCTGTTATAGGATCTATTTAATTCAATCGCTGAGTGCCTGGTGCTCTTTGAGATCAGGAACCCTTCCCCAAGGCTGGTCGAAGCCTACAAAGGGGAGCCACTTTTCGTCATCCGGAAGCCCAACCGTTGTTTCATAAGCCATGTGGGCAAGCTTGAGCCACATGTCCCCTTTGACAGGAAAGGTTTCGTCCTCAAATTCCTTGGAAACTTCCTCGCCATTCTTGACTGCCCGTACAAACTTGGCTACGTGACCATCATCGCGAAGACCTTTAGAAACGCGGAACATTTCATCCCAACCCCAATCAGCACTAGCCCCTGTCGTGAAATTCTCGATATCTTCGATGTGAAGTTCGGGCGCGCCGCAAGTTGCGTACCAGACCAAATCAAAGCGCGCTTTGTGCTCAAGCAAACGCACTTTGTCCTCGACACGGATCCATGACTGGCGGTTGAAGACGGTGTTGAAAATGGAGCTGGTGACATCGTGCATGTAGAAAAAGTCAATCTTGCGAGCTTTGCCGGGCTTCTGAGCAGCACCAGCGAAATAGGAGCAGCAGCTGATCATCTCAGCCGTCTGCCGTTCTAACGTGTCGGGTTTTACACGATACTGGGCGGCCAGCGCCGCTATGTCTTCCATCCCACGACCCAGAACGCCATTCTTCATCTTCCACTGGAAATCATCCCAGCGTGCCGCGGTACGAGTCTTCTCATTGATCCTCACTTCGTGGATCAAATCGACCAATAGACGACTCTCGGTCCCGTCAGGGATCTGGAGAGCCCTGGCTTCCGCATTCCGCATAAAGGGGTCGGCTCCAAAGGCATGGTCGCTGGCCGCTTGTGAGAGAGCCTCCGCAATTATGCTTGGCTGTTCAAACTCGACACCCAACCCAAGGTGAATGATGGGATGGAAAGCACCCTCAAACAAGCGGGCAAGAAGTGTATCAGAGTTACGCGTGCGGCCGAAACAGTACTCTTGGATGACCTCTCGCCAGCCCTTCTGATCTATCTCGCGCTCGAAGAAGACGAGGAAGTTGGTGTAATGGTTGACTTCCCCGAGCAGCTTGTAGAACCCACCATCGGTGCCGAGCTCACGAACGACTTGCTCATCCACAGGTGGCCGAGGACGCTGATCTGTTTTGTTGTCAACGAAACCGTTCTCCAGATCTGTCTCGTCGGCGCCCAAAGCAAGTCGTGTCAGCACATTATGCGCCGTGTGATTGTGGCCGGCGAAGTCACGCCAGAAGATATGGAATTCGTCGTGGTTCTTTTGAAGGAGACGATTTGCAACTTTGACTACATCAGGCGAACTATTTTGGATCCCAGGGCAGATTCCCACCTGTGCAGGGGCTAAGTTCACCACGTGTAAGGATTCAGGCGCAGACATGTTAGTGGGAGGTGGTTAAAGATGATATGTGAACAAATCGAACCTGATGATCATTCTACGGTAAAACATTGGCTCGAATTCTGTGGATTCTTTTTGAGACTACTGATTATATTACGACTTACGAACATTGTACAGAATATGGCCCGGGAGATCAATTGAAAAGTGCGTGTCTCTGTAGACGTGACGCGGTATCCGAATCAGTATTCTCATGGGAGTCGGCGTCCGACTGCTGAGATCAGATACTTCGGTACCCGATACAATCGTGATGGATGTATCGCTCGTACAAAGTACATTTTATATGCAAGTGACATGCAGACATGCAGCGTGAAGGCGCCAAGGAGTCAGCTTACGGTGGCATTTCTCCTGGTCTCCACACACTTTGCTTTTAACTTTGTCGTTGGAACCGATGTTCCTCAGATTACAGGACAATGACAAGGCGACGCAGTACTATATAGATAGCTAGTACATGAAGCGTGCCGTGGGGCTTCAACCTTTGACAAACGCTTACTAACCCTTGAGTACGGATTTTGCATGGGCATTGTGGAAAGCAATATTCTTATGATGACCAGTATGAATCAATTCGAGACATATATTGACAACCTCGCAAATACTGCCAAGGTGTATTCAGACCAGTGTCGAACTGGCTCTGCAGAGACATCCCGCACGCGGCGGGACCTCCTCACAATCGTATTTCACTTACAGACCTTGCTATTCCAGCCGACAGACTTTCTTCAACATCTTGCCTTACAGGTAGCTTAACCCACCTTCGATACCTTTTCCCTGATCCTGAGTTGATTACATAGGCTCAAGTTCTCGCATGCCTTCAATGGCTGGGACATTTCCAGATCCTCGCGTGCGTACCTCTCCATGGTAGCGTTCGCGTTCAGGACATTGCGGACCTGACAGGTGTTTCAGAGCTACAGCTTCACCGTGTTTTGCGTATGATGGCCATGGTAGGGTTTCTTCGAGAACCCAACTCTGGCGAGATGGCTCATACGGAACTATCAGCGAGCTTTGTTAGCAGGCCTTCTCATCTGGATGCAGCCATGTTCTTGGCCGAGATTGCCTGCCCTGCTGCGTTGCACATGGCTTCAACTACGGAGCGTCACGGGCAGTCGGATGACCCGCGCGAGAGTGCTTATGCCGTGGCATCCAACACATCACAGTCGTTCCAGTTGCATTGTCAACAACGCCCGAAATTGCAGCTCCAATGGGCTGCCTTCCTCCGTGATGTGACCAATGTGGTGGACGATGGGGCTTCGATAGAGCCACTGGACAGTCTTGACTGGGGCAGCTTAGGCGATGCTTGCATAGTAGATGTCAGTTTCGTTGTTTCTCATCAGGCTTGTCGCACCTTTCATGCTTATATCCTTGCAGGTAACATCCCAGTCAGTAGCTCACGTTTTAGCCTTGGCGGACCTTTACCCTGCCCTTCACTTTGTGGTGCAGACGCCGGATCCAGACGCAGTAGCCTACACGGTCGATAAGTCTCAACACAGTAAACGCATTATGGTGCATGAGCGAGGTGACGGAGAGCCCCAGATAATCAAGGACGCAGCTGTATACCTGCTCCGCTTCACGTCACCCACACAAACCATGTCGATTCCCAGGCTTCGAGCCCACATAAGCAGGGAATTACGTGCGCATTTTGGCATTCTTAGCGCTAACCCCTCGGCTAGCTTGATCCTTGAGATAACATTGCTGCCGGAGCCGGGTTCTGCATCCCCCAGTGTGGAGAGGTCCGCCCGCGTTTTAGATATGTCTTTACTGCACCTCACAAACGAGCATTGTATGGAGTTGGCAGATATCGTGGAATTGATAGAAAATGTACGAGGTGGCAACGGCCGACTGATCGTTGACAAAAAGATCTTTTCACGCAGTAAAGCGGTTGGTGCTCTGGAAATATTGTATCAGGTCAAGCCTAATAGATAGAGGCTACCTACATCTGCTTTTAATGCCAGATACATGACGACTTTTTTCTGTCAAGCCTTCGGAAAGGCATCATTGCTGACCTGTTGGCAACGTGGGGTTAGACGACGAGCCCTGTCTAACAGGAAGATGATAGAGACACGATATTAACAATCCGGAATTGCACGCTGGCTTGACCTTCACTTGCCAATGGTGCAGTATAGGAGCAGTGTGTAAGCCTCCAGTTTTGCGTCTCAGTCTTTTGTACCACATTTCTCAGATGCCCTCGATGTTCCCTGTTAACATGATCGCGAGATATCGGTCAACCTCCAATGCAGTTGCTTTTGGCAGACTCTACAAGGAGATTGGTTGAAAGTGGCCTGCAGTCCTGCTAAAGGCGAGGATTGAAACTGATTGAACATTCATGGCGCTGGTGGAGAATTCAGCTGCAACATTAATGCGCCACATAAGTACAGTAAGCGCTACGCGTACAGAGTACCGCGCTACTGAGAGAACCGCCCAGTTACTACTAGGTTAACTGAGTTGCGTGCATCTTTGCCATGCGAAGTTTCGCTCTATTGAAAACAGTTTCGCAAGGAATAACTTTGGTCGGTGTAAATGAACGATCAAATGTTGCCTAAAGAACATGGTGCACAGTATTAAGGCATGAAATGGTGATTAGCACCTGGCACGTAACTACACCCCGGAATTTCTGGCGTATGTAAGATTCTAGACCTTGCCATGACGCGTGGCTTATTAACTTGGCATACTGGTGATAAGAACATTAACAGTTTTTATGAGCCTCGTTTCGGGGCCATGACATTATGCTTGATCTAGATCTCACATATTGCGACTTTGGAACTACAGATTTGCTCCGATGGCACGGTGGCACCAGGGATCATGATCCGAGCCAATGAAGGTGAAAATGCAGCACGGCAAACCGGCCAGGTGGTAAACAACGTTTCATTCTATGGCAGCCTATAGGCCTTCCGGCACATCATTTCCGTACACAGTATAGAGCATTTCAGATGTGGTTGACCATATTGCATTAGGGAGCAAGTAGCTATATAAAAGCTATCAAGTTCTCAACCGTAGTCAGGAACTCAACGTCAACTAGCCAGTGGCTAAACCCCGTGGATCTAGGGTTCTTATCTAAGCGACCAATGCCTCATGAAAATCGTGTGCAAGCTGGATAGTGACACGGCATAATCCGGGGCGGCTTACCTGAGACTCGCGTTTGGGGAAACTTTTGCCTGTACGGACTCCGAGGAACATCACTCGGGAATGTTGCCAGGGTCTTGGAGGTAGCATTCACACACCGAATGGAAAATCATGCAGTGTTTGGTCTCTGTAGGATTTGTAGGATCTGCAGGATTGCAGGTCGTGTAAGACGTGCAAGGTTGACAGGAGCCAACAGGACTGACGCTGCCGTTACCTATCACAACGTGCGGAATAAGAGATGCGTGTATGCCAGAAGAACCCTCTCGCTAAGCTTAGTTCATAGCTTTCGGTTGAAAGACCAATAGAAAGCAGCCAAAGAACGCCTGGAAATGCGGTCATGTGGCATTCCATACAGCATCCAGCATTATGACATGGTTCTTCCGGCTATGATCATTCATATCCTCACAAAGCTGAACCGACACGATTGTCTTATTTGGGGGGGGGGGGGGGGGGGGGGGTCAGAAAAGGCAACGGGCAGGTACCGGGTCGATTGCATGGGTGTCTTCCCGCGATTTTGAGCTCCGAACCATTTGCCCCTCCCCCACTATGGTCTTCGAGGCCGGATGCCAACGACCTACCCAATGTTGATACTAGGCATGTGGCTGCGTGAAGTTGGTGACAATAATTTTGCTCCTGGTCGAATACATTATACCTTATGAGCTTTAACCTGTTTGTATGGGACTTAGAACACCAAGTCAAAGCATCCAGTCCAAAGCCACTTGGTAGCTCGTGCTGATCGACGGTATAACATGACATTAGCGTGAATGAATATCCATGTCAAATTGTGGAGAGACATATTGCCGTAGAGACAATCTGACCGAACGAACATTAGTACTAGACTAGTGAATATCCATGATAAATCAAGTATGTGTAAGCGCGGCCTCTTATAGCTCCATTTCTTCATCTTGCCGCAACTTCAGACGACGGCTGTTGACAGTTTTGCATTGTCCCTACACTAGGCCCTGTAGACAAGTTCAAGAGCTCTTTAGCTGCTTACATAGCTCTAGTGTGAAGACATACAACTCCAACCGCTCGCATGTCTCCGCAATGGTTTGTTGATCAATTGTAACGCTACTGTGCATAATGCCTCCTTTATACTCTAGCACAAACCTACCTACACCATCGTCTTCAGAACCTGTCGAGCACAGCCCTGCACCCCAGACTGCGGGACCTAAATTGCGTGACAGCTGCGAAGCCTGCGCGACCTCGAAGTTGAAGTGTCCCAGACAAAAGCCGACTTGTTCTCGGTGCTTAAAAAGAGGTATACAATGCACATATGTTGCCACACGCCGCGGGGGTCGGAGGAGCGTGTCATGGGCAAGGTCCAGCACTAGGACCGAAAATGAACCTAGCACACCTTCTATAACAGCTCCGAGCATGATGAGCGAGAAGCCAGTTGAGGAATTGGTGTGTTTGGATGAATGGTTCCAAGCAAACCAGGAGGACTTCATGGGCCACGTCTCAGGCTCTTCGTCAGTCGAGGTATTTTCACCGATGAGATCGGTGGTCGAGGGAAGTCATTTCGACGACTATCTAGCATCACCTCAGGCGATGCTCACGCTCTGTGATCGCCCCGGTCAAATGCAATCTCCCTTTGGCAGCCTGGACAATGGGAAAGACGACCTGGCATTCCTTGGGGATTTACCCTTTCTTGACAATGCCATGGCCCATACCGAGACAAACTCAGACACAGGGACAGTGGTCAGCACAAACACGAATACGCCGCAGTCGCGTCCCATTGAGTCAGGAGCATCATGTATGGACAGAGCCATGGACCTTCTGAAGGAGTTATCTCCAAACACGATGAGCTTGTGCTCAAGCTCGAGGGATCTGGATAGTCCCAGCGCCGGCCGGACAACCCGAGACATCATTGCCACCAACAAAAGAATCATCGATGCTGTGATATCGATCCTAGGTTGCTCCTGCTCACGGGACGGCTATCTATTGTCTATCTTATTGATGATAGTGCTCCGAACCCTCGACGGCTACACTGCAGCAGCTCGAATGGGCGTAACAGCTGCTGGTAGATACTCTGCGGTGCGGAGCCGTTCATCTTTGCCGTACCAAGCTTCTCCCGGGTCTGCTACGACGAAAGGCTCCAGCGTTGACAGGGACGAAGACCCGCGGCACATGGCTGCACAGCATGTGCTCTCCGAGCTGCATCACATGCAACGACTTGCGAAGCAGCTATCAGAGAAGATGGATGAGCAGATACAACAGCGCGGTGCAGCGGGCAGAGTGCAAGGGCTCTCAGCCGGTGAGAGTGCTCTAAGTGAAGATGAAACGCATTTTTCGTCAAACACATGGAACCAACTCGATGCGGAATTAAAGCAAAAGCTGAAATCGCTGTCAGGTGGGATTATCTCCATGTTGAGAGGGGAATAGACTACATATACAATAGCTGCTATGAATACAGAGGTTCGGACAACTACTTTCCGCAATATGCTCTATTGTGGTCTTCCTAAGATCATATACCATATCATTGACTATCTTAATGCAACTTATTCTATGGAAAACCATCGCTTCTGCCCATCGAGGAACTGGAATGCCACTCTGCTGTCATCCGTTAACTTGCGCAGAACCTCCTCAATAAACGGCTCCAGTGCCATGGCTTTGACTTCCTCATCTAGATGCTCCCCATGGATTGCTGTGACGAGCTCCTTTACGGTCATACTCACTGGTCCCCGTCCGAGGGGCTGGCTTCGGGGCTTTGGATCCTGCAACGCTTGTACGACTTGCGTCTCTCGTTTCAGCTTCAGAGCAAGCTCTCCGGATATCTTGGCCACGAGGTCCTTAATCACAACGCCATGGGCTGGATATCCAATAGCGCACTGTTGTGACTGCATCCTTTTCAGAGTTTCCATGTAGGTGCTCAAGTCCTCGACCGCACTGCTCCCATTTCCGAGTATGTTATCACCAGTAAACATGGCATTCTCTTCTTCCAGAACAAAACACATATGATCTTCTGAGTGGCCAGGGGCGTGGACGGCGCGGACTGTTGCTCCTTCCACCTTGAAGACTTGGCCTGGGAAGATCGGCTCCTGACCATTTCCGGGATCGTTCTTATAGATGGATTGGGATAAATCTGGGTAGAGGCGCAAGAGCTGGGGGACTCCAAGAGTATGGTCACCATGCCAGTGGGTGAGCAAGACATGAGATAGCGAGAAGGACTGGTCTTTCAAGGTCGACGAGATGAGGTCCGCCCACTCAGGGATACCTTGGCCGGTATCAATAATCAATCGCTTGGACCCGGTTCCGACGATCCAAGTGTTGGTTCCTTGGAGAGTAAACTGAACTACTTGTTAGTAGCAATCTCCAATTAGGAAGGCCGTTAGATATATGATGATACCTTTCCTGGGTTTTGACCAAGTATACGGAGCACACGAGGGCTGACTTGTTCCACATCAGGTATTTTGGGTAATCGCGCTTGTTGAGTCGTTAGATAGTCCTCAAAAGCACAAATGTTGAGGCTTTTGTTGATTTGACGATAACCACCCTCCCCCATTCTGGCGGCTTCCGTATCCTTTGAACAAGACCACTCGTGTCGACAGATTCACAGGGTTGCTATCAGACAGGACCGGAAAGATCTAGAATGATGCAATCACTGTGATCATACAAAATTTATAGACGATATACTACTTAATTCAAGTACATAAGAGCGGAGTATCCGCAATTCAGTTCACGCCCACTTTGAATTGCTCGACGATAGCTTTTAGGAAAGGTGGGCACTTTTTGACCTCGCAAAGCAGAGGCTATGCTCTGCAGGGACCATGCAACTTGAGGTATTACCCATCGAGTCACCCCCTAGTCTCACCTATTTGGGGTTCTCCGATGCCTGCCTAAGCCGTTGGCATACCCAGCCTAGAGATTATCAGCTAAAGTACAAGTGGGATCCAATCGGGAGTGGACACTCACTTTGAATATCACCATCGACCGAAAAGTTCGGGAAACGGGCTGAGACTGGTCGCAGAACAAGTGGTTGGTGCAGTCGGCCCCCGGTATGTACTCTGACCGAACCCGCAACTTCGGAATTCGCGACTGCTGACAGCTGAATGTCCCTCACGACAACTCAATGCACCTCATGAAGTACATTGAATGGTCAGACGACACTGAATATAGTTACAAATCCCAGTCAGCATAATTGGCCTCCAAGATTTATTCGACGGCCTCCATTCATTTTATTTTTCCTATGGACTTTTTAGTTTTCCATTTCAAATCGTGATACGGTTGCCTTCGCAAGAAAAAGGTCGCGCACAAATTAATATTGTGGAAACAGGATATCCCTTGTTCAGTAAAATACAGTAAAGCCGGTTTTAAGAGTTCATCATGTCGTTCGGAACGTTGTACATCCACCAAAATGTGAAGTTTTAAATCCAAACAAGTGCGAGAAGACCGGCGCTGACTTTATCACTAGCCCAATCCACGGACAACGGCCATAATGGCCATAGCAGAGGCACATGGCATTCAGCTTGATATCGTGAACGCCACTCGGGCGGAAGAGAAGAATTTCAAGAAACTTCTGGAGATCAACCCTTTAGGCCAAATACCTACTTTTGTTGGCAAAGATGGTTGGGTTCTTAGTGAATGCATACCTATTGCCCTCTACAGTACGTACTTGTTCTCTGCTAACATGCATCAAACATGTACACACGGTACATGTGGATTGATAATAACCTACCTAGTCACTTCCCAGAGTGATTCAACCACACTTATGGGCTCGAATCGTCGCGAATACTACGAGATCATCCAATGGATGTCCTTCGCCAATGGTGACATGCTGCCATGCATCGGTGGCTGCATACTACCCCTGATTGGCCGCCCCCAGGTCATTCGCTCAAATGTGCAAGACTGCCTGCGCTCAAGTAAGCAGTCCCTAAGTCCTGTCTGCATGTTGTGGTGATTTCCAGGGATGAACATATATTTTGTTTGCCGACTCCCTAGAGACAGAATTTATATAAGAAATCGCTTTCTAACTTTGAACGCTTCAGTGCATCGCCACTTCAAGATATTCAACGAACACTTGGCCACAAGGAAGTATCTTGTAGGAACGGAGTTGACTACGGCAGACCTATTCATTGTAGCAATGCTCGTTGACGCTTACCGGGTCTTTCACCCAATGATGGATTCCGATTATTCCAATCTGATGCGGTGGTTCCATGAGATATATGAGTTACCCATATACAAAAGTATGGCGGGCGAGCTTAAGCTTCTCAACCTGGATTATCCGAAGCTAGTACCAGACAAGATCAACGGGGTCACACCGAAAAGCTCATAGTTTTGTCCAAGTAGTGTTCTATGATAAATATCTACTTCTTGACCCAAAGACCCTTCCCCCAAAGCGCGTTTATAGTGACTTCCACCACCTGACATTGAACCTTAGAACCGTAAACTCGCCCGATTTAGCTATGCATATCATATTCTGCCCTCTGATCGCCGCTATTTAAGCAAAGATTTTGCCTAAATACTGCTATTAACTTACGGAAGCTAGGGTTGACCGTCACGTGATGGAGTTTGTTTGCGGACAAACGTCAATGTCGTGCCTGGGTGCAGGGATTCTATGATACAATTTCATCTTGGCGGTCCGCAATACAAGATACCATAATGATATATCTTTCTTGCTTTCACCTTTGAACGTATTTATTTGGGCAAGACCCACGACGTACTAACATGAGTTACCTATGTAAACTTTCCATACAATTGCGCGTAGCAGCTATTTATACTATTAGCGTAGAAGTCACCACACGGCCAGGGTAGTCGAACTACCCATCTTATCCAAGTATTCAAGTAGGAATGGCATGTGAAGTCCAGTAAATTGATATTATGCATATAATATGCTACACAGCACCATACATGGCCCTCCAAGCACTAGGAGACTTAATCACACAACCCTTTCATGACACATTTTACGATCCATAACAGTGAGTTTTAAATATCTAAAATAAAATAAAATAAAAAGATATCAATCATTAGTTGAGGGCCAATAAGAAGGCAGAAAGGGGACATTAAAAGAAAGGCAAGGAATGAAATAAAGAGAACCGAGAACTATTAATTGCAATATGAGCTTCAAATCTTGTCGTCAGCTATGATGTCCAATGCAGCGCGATGTGCAAAGGCATATACCGAGGCCTGAATGTGGCACGTGGGTAGCGTTGGCATAGCGCTAGAATCGACAACACGGAGGCCTTTCACGCCATTGATTCTCCAATTCTTTTTGAGGACCTTTCCTAGGGGCACAGTTCCCACGGGATGGTGGAACGACGTGCTGCCGGCCTGAATGGCCTTCCATATGTCTTCATCAGAAGTCACACTTGAGCCAGGGTAGACTTCGCTGAGCACATACGGCGAAAGTGACTCGGCCTCAAGCAGCACACGGGCCTGTTTGAGGCCATATATGATAGCAGCTTTGTCCGCAGCAGAGCCATAGAAGTTGGAGTATATAAGTGGAGGAGCTGTGTAGTCGGAAGAGTTGATGGTGAGGTACCCAGGCGCCTCTGGTTGGACGAGGGTTGGTGCTAAAGACACGATGCTCACATTTGGGGAGCCGGGATAAAATGCAACTGCAGCATAATGCCAAAGAACATGAGGCCGGTCTGCGGCAAGCGATGTGTAGTGTTTGGCATTTACACCAGAGAAGGCCGAGTTCGGCAGGCGGGCTGCTCCATACATTTCGCCAAGTGGCCCGGTTAAGGGGCCGGAGTAGTCGGCTTCATATTGCTCGACGGCGATGCTCGACGCAGTTGAGTTGAATAGAAGCTGCCAGATGGTATCAATGCCAGCAGTGACCTCCGCCTCGACGTAGGTCGCGTGATGATCCCACAGCTTAGCCCCAATGCCAGGGACATCTGCAACAACATTGATGCCCAAGGCCGTCAAGTTGCGCTTGGGACCAACTCCAGATTGAAACAGAAGCTTGGGAGTGTTGAGTGCACCTGCAGCAAGAATGATTTCCTTGGCCTCAAGGACAGTCACTTCATTTGTCTGGGTGTTAATGTACGTAACGTTGGTAGCGGTCCGTCCTCGGAAACCGATACGCTGAACCCAGGCGTTGGTGATGATGCGCACATTGGGGCGGTTACCCATTAGCCAAGTGTATGTGTTGCCGGCGTAGGAACGTGTTCGGTTGGAGGCACGGATCGACGATAGGCCCAAGTCAACACCAATACCCGTGCCGTCGTTCATATCGACCTCGGGAAGCTGGAAGAATGACTCCATTTCTTCACTCAGCGGTATTTCTAGCCCCGTCAAACTTTTAACACGGGTAACCTCCACCGGACCATCGCCATAGGCGCCTGGCTCCACCACCTGTTCATAGTCTAATTCTTGATCGGTATAATGTGACGTCTCCTTGAAGTCATCGAGCAAGGAATCCCACGCAAGTCCTGGATTGCCAGAGATGGTGGCCCATTCGTCAAAAACAGAAGACGACCCACGGCAGTAGGTCATAGAGTTTATAGCAGTGGCGCCACCAAGAACCTTAGCTTGCCATAGCTCAGGCGTATTGCCATTGAGATTTGGTTCTGGTTCCGAAAAGTAGTTCCATAGTCTATCAGCAATATGATTCGTAACTTCGATCAACCTCCCCGGTGCTGTATCGCATTGTCAGTCAAATAACTCTTGGGGACCATGGTAGACTCTTACTCTCAACCGCCGGGTCAGTTTGAACATCTGGACCAGCTTCCAGAACGACTACCGTGACATTTGCCCTGCTAGATAGCCGCTCTGCGACTACGAGACCGGCGGGGCCGCCTCCAACAATCACATAATCCACAACATTGGCTACGACATACGTCGCATAGAGCGCCCAAACGGCTATCAAGGTTTTCAAGGAGAATACGTCTCGCGCCATAATGAGTTGAGGGCCAAATTTGATAGAGAAATGTTTCAGATGTCACCAATCTAATCTAGCGACCTGGAATATTTATTCTATGTTGAGGACACAGATATGGTTTCACGCGGGAATACTACTTCCCCTTACATCGGAAACCGAAGCCATGGCAGACTGCTACAATCTATCAGAACAGGACGACGACGCAAGGGATGACTCGGGATAGAATCCTTGAGGATCCCCGGAAACCGATACCAATTACGCAACACATCGCAGCTGAAATGATATGCCAATGTCATGGATATGGTGCTCAGTTCCATGTTCATGTGGGATCTAAAGAACGCCATTGGGCATAATGACACCAAAGCAAAATTTACTCTCAAGCACAACTGGGAAGCCTCAGATGATGCAGGGGAGAGAAGAGAATCCTTCATCTGCTCCTCCAATCGAAGTGGATGATACAATCCGGTACCCACGTGGCGCCCACCACGTGAGAATAGTGATTGCATAAGCTGCAGCCCAAAAACGTGCAGCGCCCCGACTAGACGGATTTATCAGATTGACCCTGTCGATCATGCACACACGCCTCGCATGTCTAAATCCCTGTCGTCGTGCCCACGGCACCAGCTGATTGCAGGATCACGTTTCTATTGGACCCACCGTGGGAGCGCTGACAATAATTGCTCCTGGGCACTCAGCGACTCAGCCACTTGATTTCAGCCCACATCAGCTTGGGTTCTCTTCATCCTCGTATCTCTGTACTATTTTAAAATGAGTGTTTATGCTATAGCATAAAAACAGAACAGGTACTTTGTATTCATCTACATTATATTCATTGTGTGTAGACCTTATCGCATTATTAGGTCTCTGATCTTGATACTTCTGGGAAGATGAATCAGATTTTCATTCACCGGAAGAGTCTCATTGCCGCTTCAATTTAATTCAGATTAGCTAGTTATCTAGTACTAGGCAGTGTTTTTATAGGTAACGAATTATCTGGCAACGTTTGCCCAGGCCATAGCCACCAAAGCTAAACAGATCACCAACACTTCTCATTCACGAAAGTATCGACGATTTCATGTGCTCAGGGTGTTTCTAGGTTGATTGAACAAAAAAGAAATAGACTAGTAAATACTCCATGACTAGGTAGGAAAGAGCGAAAATGTAGTCTTTCCTTTTTTCATTTCCCTACCACTACTCATCTCGCCTCAAACCAGGTCTTCCTTTGCGAGACGTTCTACCCGGATGAAATGCCTCCGCCCCCAAGTATGAAGTCACATCAATCTCGCCCTTCTTGAATGCACAGCTCACAAAGGTGTGCAAGGTCTTATCGTCTTCCAGCCTCCTATGCTCGGCAAGTCTCTGCAGAGCAGTCAAGTAGGCCTCGCAGTATGAACCCCTTTCTTGTGCATCCATCCATGCTATAAGAGCGCGCGCTATACTAAGGTCATCAGGTCCATAGCTCTGCGTTGGGATGTAGAGTTTGATCTCCGGAAGTTCTTTCCCTGGGCAGACATCAAAGTAATAGAGGTAGCCTGACAGCGCCTCCGCCACGCAGCTATATTTCTTACTGCCCACTGGGTCGAGTTCAGAACCTGAAGGTACCTCCTTATCATCAGGGAAGCTAGCCGGTACCCCATTAATGCTGGTAATGAGGGTGCGAAGCTGGTCGAAGAGATTATCCATGTTGGGTATGGCAATCTTCCCCCCAAGTGTCATGATTTCTCGAACAGAATTGAAGCTCGTGTGCGGAGTGTGGAAGTACCACTTTATCCGCGCCTTCTCTGGCACTATGTTGTCAATGCCGATACCGAAAGGTACGAGAGTCTTGCCCTCGGCATTTATCGCAATAAAGTCCAGGACAGCATCCCTAGAGGGGCTGTCAGGATGCAATGTGCGCAGGGGACCCAGCCACTGCTCAATCGGCACTGGTCCCTTCTGACCAAGCCTTTGCGGTAGGAAATATGTCTTGATGATTGGACCGTTCTTCACCAGTTCCACAGCCATGTTGGTAGTGGCACGTCGCTTCGGGCCTTGAGCCGCCTCTTTGACGTACTGGATATTGTCATGGTCGAACATGGACGCAAAGAAGTGACTAGACCAGGTGTTTTCAAGTCCCGGCAGCAGGCCGTGAAGATCATGCAGCATCTGGCGTGTCGCATGTTGGTTTAAGGGGTCCAGCTCGGTCCCTGCCCATTGTCCGGTGGGCTCAATGGTGTATCTCACCTCTGGGGGGCTTTTGAGGGAGTTCCACTTCCACGAGTATTCAATCGACGAGCCGTCGAGGGCAAGGCTGGCCTTGCCCTTCGAAGGCGTTGTATGGTTCAGGGGAGGTGCTTCGCCCATGTAGGGAATCGTCCAGTGGTAGTGGAACAGAAGGGCTGCGTACTGCCTCTCAAGGGAGTACTCAGCCGCCTCGAGGAGTATCGCTAGATGCTTGCCGGTGAGGTTCCACCACTGATCGTTGTCTTTGTCACGACGGGGTAGGCATCCTGATAGTGTTTTGCGAACATCGAATTGTCCGACCTCCTGCTCGGCGCCCATGATTCTCAGGTGACTTTGTTAAGATGAACAGAAGCAATGACAACGAATGTCGTAGAATCGAGTTCCAGGGAGCAAGTCACAGGAGGAATGTAATCTCGCATCAGTTTCGCCAAATGATCATATGGCTTACAAACTATCTTGGAATTATGATCACAGAGCCATCAAATCTAAAATAAAATCCACAACTATAAAAAGGTTGCCTGTAAATACCTGAAATACTCGTTGGACAATCTTCACCACTATCGGCGGCCTTCCCCGTGTCTGTGGTACTGCCGTGTGGAGCACAGAGCTCTTTCGGCATTCGACAAATCTGGGGTATCCGCAAGCAGCACATCGGCATCCGACAGATCTGGTACACGTAATCAGCGCATCGGTGTCCGATCAGTGCTTTACACATCCATGATATGCATCAACCATGCCATGACGAGCTTTTTTGCATTCCTTTTTCTCCCCTTTTTCTTTCTTTTTTTCTCTCTTTTCTTTATTTCAACATTTTTACTTCTTCTTCATGACAGTCCGCTCTGACAATTGATCATGGATAAACATACTCTGTCTTCGCTTCAAGAAGCAGCTGGGGAGGTGGCAAAAAGTGTTCACAGTCTATCTACAGAGTCCAGGGAAGGTAGTAAAGACAATGGCAAGTCTGAGGCTACTAGGCAGGAGCTCCTGGATAGTGTATCACGGCTTCAGCAACTCGCACTGCGGCCTGATGAGGCTCTGACGCAGATGGTGGTGCAGCACCAGCAATTTGCTTCTATACATTGGCTTTGTCATTTCCGCATTCCCGCCCACGTGCCCTCTCGACTACAGTCCATTGGGTACGCGGATGTTGCCGCTATAGCAAAAGTCTCGGAAAAGACGCTTCGGTCCATCGCTCGCATGGCTATGACGGCCAACTTCTTGGGCGAAACCAAGGAGGGGCAGTTGGTGCACACCGAGCTGTCGGAGTGCTTCATTCAAGAGGATGGCCACTTCCAGAACTGGATAACTTTTATAGCCCGACGTATCGTTCCTACGATGCATAAGATGGTTGATGCTACTGAAAGGTGGGGTGAGACAAAAACCGGTAACGAGACAGCTTACAGTCTCGCCATGGGCACTGAAAAGTCTTTCTTTGAACACATCAACTCCACTCCCGATCTGGCAAAGGAAATTGGCGGATATATGAGAAGTCGCGCAGTCATTACTCCGCAGAGTGGTGTTGACGATTTGATCCAATACTTTGACTGGGAAGGGCTTGGAAGCGGCCTGGTCGTGGATGTGAGAGCTCCTAAATTCATCCCAAAGAATATCCCCACCCGGGATCAATGCAGCTGTGAACACTAATTCTTCTAGGTTGGAGGCGGAGATGGCGAAATAGCCATTGGCCTTGCGAACGCATTTCCACAACTATCTTTCGTCGTCCAAGACTTGCCGCGTTTCATCGACCAAGGCAAAGAGATCGCAAAGAAGCTATCGCCGGCAGTCTCTAGCCGAGTTGAGCTGCAAGTTCATGACTTCTTCAATGACCAGCCGGTCAAAGAAGCCAGCGTATATCTCATGCGAGGCGTATTTCACAACTGGGGCGAAGAGGACGCTGCCAAGCTTCTCGAAAAAACCATAGCCGCCATGAAAGCAGACACCAAGATCATCATCGTAGACATGGTACTCCTTGCTCCGGGTTCCCTTCCTGCTTACGTTGAGGGCATGCAACGGGAGAAGGATCTGACTATGATGCAACTGTTAAACGCAGGGGAGAGACAGTGGGAGGACTGGCACAGCCTACTGCAGAACGCAGGGCTGAAGATTGAGAGCATCACCAGACCCAGCGGTAAACGGGAGTCAGTGATGGTGGCTGTTTTAGCTAATAACACCAACGGAAGCAGTTAAAGATTATGTGTTGCGGAGAGAAACTCAATTTTTTTACAATCGGAGGCTGATCACAGGCAATGACTACTTGTGCATCCACTAATATGTTGCGATCGTCCATAGAAAACAACGACGGATTGTACATCTCAATGTATGATATATCGGATATTGTCATTGCTCTGCCAAATTTCCTGTAGTTATCTACGTTTAGCCCAGGACTTGGACTGTAGTCTTTTAACTTCTCGGCCTATATGTTCCAAGCCTTACAGGATTTCTAAATCTGGCCGGGCTATCAAACTCACATTGGGAGTTAAGTTGGCTCTCCAGGAGCCTCTTCGAGTGCTGACAATTCTGGTCTGCTACCAGACAAGTTTGATCTGTACTACTACACCTCGAGACAAAAACGCCTGTGGCATCACCTTTTCTTACTCGCACGCAACATAAACGTAAACTTATGTCGCACGGGTCCAGGTCGAAACAGGCGGCATGCCTGCCAGATTTGGAAGATGAAACTGAATTCTCCGCCATTGGCATCCGCTAGTCCTCCCGTGCTCGCATCAAAGTCGACGCCTGAACTACCGGTATCGAAGGGGCGGTATCGTAGAGTTTTTAAGGACGAGTCTTCGGAGTATTACTATTGTCCCTAGCAGTGGTTTGCCTACGGTCTTCTTCAACGTGGCTGGCCAAATCCGGAGCGTGGAGAGCAGCCATACAATGTCCGCCGATGGGTTGAAGAGGGAGAAAATAGCGAATGAAGGGATTTCTGCGTCGTGGTGCGGGAGCTAGCCAATGCTGAGCAGTATCATAGGGTTACAGAGCTCGATCTAGACGTGCATTCCCTAAATGCTAGGCTTAACTGCCACGATTTTGATGAACGGAACGAGGGCTACAACAACATAGTGAAAAATAGCCCGCCGGCTGCTTTCAGTCGCATCGACCATATCCTTCTTGCCGAGGGCCAACAAAACCAGGACAGTGTATCATTCCGCAAGAGGTACCTGAAGCGCGCGATCTACAGCACGTCAGCTTTCAGAACCAGATCGTCCAAGGTTAGTTTTACGAAAACTTGGAACTACATTTCGTACCTTTGACTTCAGTACGGATTCGTATTTACCGTGTGAAAATGGCTCAAGCTCCGATACCCTGGGCTGTCCAACTTCCTCGTAAGGCACAACGACGTGCTCTCTGTGCTATTTTCCAAAGCCGAAACTAATGAGGTTGGTTGAATTTGGCTTCTGGTAAATTCTATTTCCCCTGACAATGGCAATTATAAAAGCTCGTTAGATGCGATGCGCGAGATTCTAGGTTGACATGATCGTCCTGCAGATGAGAGACTCGTGTGTACGATGCTCTGTGTGCACTACGCAAACGAGTTACCATGATGGTAGATGTGGATTAGGGCCGCGCTGAACGGTTTTCTCTACAGCGACGCGATCAACCTGTTTAGCCAGATAAACGGGGGCCGTAAGCAGCCGGATCTGGGTAGAGGAGTGATCGTGCGAGACCCATTTCCTTCTGCCCTCGACAGGTCTCTCGAATGAGACCAATAGAGAGAATAAGTCGGTGCCTTGCCCGTATTAATGTCCAAAATCTTGCCTTGCTAATTTTGCAGAGACGAAATACAGCCTATATAACGTGGCTGGCGAAGTCTCAGTATGAATTTCAATCTGGAGGACACATGGCATGAACTCTGGACCTTCCTCGACACAGAAGCACTGTATCTACCTCTAAGGACTTGTGGAAGCCCACAAGGAAATGTGGTGGAGTAAAGAAGATTCCGAAGTAGCGACGCGGGGAGATGGCAATGGCGTCGATATGGGCATAGTTAGCCTTGCAAAGATAGAACTGGAGGTAGATAACAACAGGGGCATCCAAAAATCAGAACGGAATTGCAAGTAACTACTCTATTCCAGCGATATGAGGCAATCAGAGAAAGAGCGCACCACACATCTCCCAACTTTGTTGCATCGTTCGCAATCTTTACTGGCGCCCGCCCCAGCGGCAGTTTAGTAACCCCGCATCAGTATGTACATGAGTTTTGAGGGGTAAGGTTCATTATACATTACAGGAATTCTTCAGCGATCGTAATTGGAAAGGTATTAGATAGTATGCTCAGCAATTGCGTTTCAATGCGAATACGAACTTATCTGTGATGCTTACGCTCCTCCAGAGAGGTTACATGCAAGCTTCGTTTGTCGTCACTCCATATCTAGCCCTCCGATTTGACTATAGTTAGAACATTACGTCCACGGGTTCACCCGCTTGAGTACACATCGGCCATGATATCAATAGCGACTATGTTCGTTTACCCGCTTCTCGCGGTAACAAGTCTGCTGCTATTCATGTCAATCAAAGACCGTCGGTTGTGGCAAGGTATGCCACCAGGTCCAAAGCCGCTCCCTTTCTTCGGAAATCAGCATCAACTCGCCAAGTCGAAACCGTGGATCCAATTCGAACGCTGGTCTGAGAGCTTTGGGCCTATATTCACCATCTGGATTGGCCGGCGACCAACGCTGGTTCTCTCGGATCCCCACATTGCACAGGAACTTTTGGAAAAGAGAAGCACAAAGTACTCATCCCGTCCTCGAATGGTTGCTATGGGTGAATTGTTGTGGAAAGGTGCTAGCATCCTAGTACAGCCTTACTCGAAGGCATGGAGTGTTCGAAGGAAGCTGCTTCATCAAACCTTGATGCCTAAGGCTTTGCAGGAATATATTCCAATCCAGGAGGCTGAAGCAACTCGCCTTTGTTGCCAACTCGTTCAAGACTCGAAGAGCTGGGAAAAGCAGTTTGAGCGGTTCACTAGCAGCGTTGTTTTCGCCATTGCGTACGGGCACCGAATTGATTCCCTGAAATCAAACGTCATCAAGCAGCGTTTCGACTTTATGAAGTATTCCGCTAGTCTGAATGTTCCTGGGAAATATTTAGTCGAGTCCATACCAGCTCTGAAGCACCTACCAAATTTGATAGCGCCATGGAAACGGGAGATCGAGGAGCACGGCAAAAAGGAAGCTGATGCAAATCTGGCGCTAGTAAACGCTGTCCGGTCAGATATCGAGCACGCGAAAGCATCTGGAAATCTGGCTACACTACCAAAGTCGTTATGCCGAATGCTACTAGAAATACGTGAGAGGGAGGCTGATGAATTTGCTCTCTCTGACCGTGACTTTTCTTTTATTCCAGCGTCTCTGTTTGGCGCCGGCGCCGACACCACTGCTTCAACACTCTGCAGTGCCGTTCTTGCATTTGTTACCCACCCAGATGCTGTCTATCGTGCACAAAAGGAGCTAGACGCAGCTGTTGGTCCTGACAGAATTCCGACATTCGCGGATCAGTCCAAACTTCCATACATCTCCGCCGTTGTGAAAGAGGTTCTACGGTGGCGGCCAGTGGCTGTTCTTGGGGGTACGCCTCACGCGAGCACAGAGGATGATACGTATAACGGTTTCTTTATTCCTAAGGGTACCACGGTACTGAGCAACTCATGGGCAATCAGCATGAACCCCAAATACTATCCGAACCCACATGTTTTCGAACCCCGACGTTTTCTCGGTCTAGAAGCTGGTGGCTCCGCTGAGTTCCAAGGTCTATCGTCACACCCTTCAAAGTCAGGACACTCTTCCTTTGGTTGGGGTCGCCGGATTTGCCCTGGTGCGGACTTGGCGTCAAATTCACTTTTCATAGCTTTGGCGAAGCTTCTTTGGGCGTTTAACATTTCTCCAATGCACGGTGTCCAGTACGATATTTTCAATTACACTGACGGCTTCAACATACGACCGCGAAGCTTCCAATGCAATATAGAGGTCAGAGATGAGGCTCGAGAACATGTGGTCACGAAAGAGCTTAGAGGAGCAAATGACTTTCTCGAAAGGTTTCCTGCTTTTGATTGATCGATTTGTCGCACCTATTGCAACAACAATGATTACAGGCTCCAGGGGTTGCATCTACCTGCAGTAGATCTCACTGCTATGTAGAAAGGACTCATCATGACTATCGAGCTTTGATGTCCCGTTTTGAAGGTGATATATTCGATTCTAGATACCACGCAGCGATGTGACTTTTGGGATCTGGATAACAGTGTTTTGGTGGACACCTCCGCTGACAATTAAGCTTGGGCCATGGCTAAATAAAAGTCTGGCTCTGTGACGCGCCTTCAAATATTCAGTGCCTCAATCACAAGAACCATATGCGCTACAAAGCCGTTTGGAACATCTGTTTGTAGATTGGGTCGGCAAGTTGCCAATTTCGGCGGCTGCTTTGAAATCGGTGATACATTAGTGTCGGCTCCGATAGGTTGTTGCGGGTGCTATTATCCTTACCGAGGTATCTGGCAACAAGACTCCAACATCTCATGTCGGCAATTATGCCTTCTTGATGTTCCGCCTTCAGGAAAGGAGGAGTGATCGCGTTTGGCTTAGGAACCTCTGGTATCGTCCGGGGTACCTGCGGGGTAGGTTATATTCACAATGCTTGCCGATACGAATACCTCTCAAATATATGCTGAATCATATTTCTGTCAGCAGTCTCAAAGGTGTATTCTTTCAGTAGTTGCCAAGTCGATTTGAGCGGAGAGGTTATGCTGTTCCTGATCACCTGACCTCAATCTTGTCGCATAATGACTAGCACGATTACCACAGAGAAAAATGCCCCGAGAAGCCCCATCAAAGTCATAATTGTAGGTGCTGGGTTCGGGGGCCTCACTGCGGCTGTGGAGTGCCACCGACTAGGCCTTGATGTCGAGATTTACGAGGCATTTGCAGAGCTGAAGGTGGTAGGGGATATCATTTCATTTGGTGCTAATGCAGGGCGAATCTTCTATCGGTGGTCAGAAGGCGAAATCGCTACCAGAATTAAGAAAAAATGCATCGACTTGAGTCGATATGGGTTTAGGATCCATAATTTGACACCGGCGAGGTTGTGGCGACACAACCCGCAACCAAGGGACTGGAAGATGCCCCTGTATTGAATGGCCACCGAGGAGAACTGCACGAAATCGTGTTCAAGTATGTAAGGGATGAGCTTCGGATTCCTATTCATCTAGGGAAGCGGATCACGCAGTATTTCGAGAACAAAGATGAGGCTGGCATTGAGCTGGAAACAAAAGAAAAGGTTGGGTTGATCCATGCTCAAAGATCAGGACTATTAACATGTTGGCAAGATTTTCTGCGATTGTGTTATTGGGGCCGATGGTGTCCGCTCAAAAAAGCTCGTGAGCTTGTGATAGGATACGAGGATAAACCTAAAAGCAGCGGCTATGCTATATGGAGAGCCTGGTATGATACTTTTCCGTCGTTCTTAGTGACGATAGATCGACATTGGAGGACTGCTAAACTATTCCAGGTTTCCAAGTATCGAATTAGCCCGTGATCATCGCACAGCCCAGTTCTGTGTTGATGGAGACACGTTCAACGGATGGATCGGACCCGATGTACATTTTCTATTCTCTACACTCAAGGGAGGCGAATATTGCAGTTGGGTTCTCACCCATAAAGACACGTACGATATTGAAGAGTCTTGGTCGCTTCCGGGTAGAGTCGAAGATGTTCTCGAAGTGCTTGCTGATTGGGACCCGGTCTGTAGGGCCATCGTGGAGAAAACACCTTCAGTCGTTGACTGGAAGCTCGTTTATCGGGAGCCCCTGCCACATTGGGTGAGCGATGGTGGCAGAATTGCATTGATTGGAGATGCAGCTCATCCTTTCCTTCCTACCAGTATACAAGGTGCCTCGCAGGCTATGGAAGATGGGGTAATTATTGCTGTGTGTCTTGAAAAGGCTGGGAAGGACAGAGTGAAGCAATCTATCCGCGCCTATCAGGATATCCGGTACGTTCCACCCATGCTCATGTCTTTCCATTTTCATTGAACTGATTATGGACAGATATGAACGAGTCAAAGAGGTACAGAAGACGGGAGTCAACACGGGAACGGTGGCATAAAGCTGATTGGAGGAATGTCAAGCAAAATCCGGACAGTATCAAACTACCTCGTGAGGACTGGATACTGCAGTTCGATGCCCACAAACATGCTTTGGAGGTTCTGGAGGCTTCAATTGTCGAACCTTGACCTAACAAAGTCCATCTATTGCGAATGAACGACTGGTAGTTTGTCCTAACCATATCACATTCAACAATACGGATGGCAGGCACTGATATATGGATCGGTGTCTTCAGTCTGGGGTGTACCTATAATTCCGGACTCTAGCTTCTTAGACGCCAAGTGTGAAATAAAATTCCTAAAACAACTCTCAAAGTGTTTGATAAATCATTATCAGTCCATTAGAATAATTAGAAAGTATCCAGAGTGCCATTTCGTGATCCAGTTCCTCAAATATTTCACACCTGACTCTCATTGATTTGCGTCAACTCCCCAAAAGATTTCACGGGCTCACATCGAAGCCATTTAAAAGAAAATAGTCAGATCCATGAAAAAGGGCGCTTGGCGGTTGTTTGCCATAATATCCTTACCTCAATTGCCGTAATATACCCTGTATATAGATATAAGGCCTGTGCAGATGTGTTACCCTCCGATCCCTGCTACCCCTCCGTGTGGTTACACCACTTTTCCGATCTGCTGCTTCATCTACAGAACAGCATGTGTTGAGTGGAGTAATATTCCCCAAATCACCTTCGGCATCAGGTAGATATATTGATTGGGCAGAAGTACTTCTTATCAAGAGGATAGTAGAGCGGTAAAGTCAACGCCATCCTTTCTTTCATCCCACCGGCACCGTGGAAGCTTTTGTTCTCATAATCTGAGAGATTCTCCACACGGTGTCAGAATATACTAAACTCAGCCACTTCGCTCGACGACGATGCCTCTTGGAATTCTCGAGCCGGTCAGCGCCGACAAAGTTGTCGGCACTGTCTTCTTAAATGATGCATCAGAAGTTTCGGCGATCCATGAGCACTGGTCAAGACTCAAACACGGAACGGGCAAATATGAGCACATAATTCTCGCGCCTCAGCCTTCGAGTGATCCAAATGACCCCTTAAATTGGCCTCGGAGCGAAAGGATTCTCATTGCAGGGAGCCTTCTTCTTGGGACTATCCTTCACGGGTCATGCTCTGTGCGTCCATGTTACATCGACTGTGTGCACTGGCTTCAGCGCTGAATATTGACAGGGCCCTTTGCTCGCGGCAGGAACTTATCAAATTTCTCTAGATTTGAAGGCTCCCGTAGAGGATGTTGCACTCCTGGCGGGCTACAATCTCCTTTCAACAGGAGCCGCCGCTCCACTTGTTTCGGTGTTGTCGAGAAAGTATGGCAAGCGGCCGCAGTACCTTGCGGCATCAAGCTTAGCAATCGTGGCTGTGGTGGTGGCGGAGACAGCGAGAACATACCCCCAGTTGCTCGCCTCCCGTATTGTCCATGGATTTTCAACTGCAGCCTATGAGTCTATCGTAATGGCGTCCATCGGTGACCTATTCTTCGTTCATGAGGTATATCATTCCAAGCTCTGTCCTTCATTCTACTTCCTTTTAATACTTAATAGCGTGGTCAAATAATTTCGGTGGCCCAATTTCTACTTGCCGCCGTTTCAAATGGCTGCAGCATCATTGCCGGAGTCATCACGGCACGGCTTGGCTGGCCCTACAACTACCACATCTTGCTGCCATTCATAATTGTGCAGTTACTTCTGGTTGTGCTTTTCTGTCCAGAGACGTCGTATGAAAGACAAATTCCATCTGATTTCAATGTGGATAGCCGCACCGGAGAGGCAGGTCAATCAACGAAGTATCACAAATCCCATGCCAAAGAGGTTAACTTTGCAAATCTTAAGGAGCTTCATATGCCAAGAATGGTTGTGGTAGCACCTGTCAATCGGGATTCATTCTTCAAACGCATGAGGCCATTCAGCTTCAAAGCGAAAGGTTTTAGGGTACTTCGAGACTTTCTAGCGCTGTGCGTCATCCTGCTCAACCTAGGAGCACTTTTCAACATTGTGGTATCAGGTTTGATCATTGCCTGGTATGTTGCTCTGAAAATCCCCAATTGCCCACCCCAGCCACTTCTCTGCTGTCTTCGGAGGCAGCTTGAGACAACCTTTTTCCCCGTCCAAATACAGCCACACTGACCTTTAATTGTCGCATAGGTACGTAGGCATCACCGTTCTTGTTTCAGTCCTCCTTGCGGCTCCACCGTACGCCTACACGTCGGCGGAAATAGGCTATGCGTCGACGGGTCCATTCATCGGCGGTGTTATGGGCTTCTTGTTCATGGCCATGGTCGCCGAGCCTCTGAACAACTATCTGATCAAAAGAAATCGAGGCGTATATGAACCCGAGTTTCGTCTTCCTCTCATGTCAGTCGGCACCGCTTTCGCGGTCGGCGGCCTGATTGGCGTTGGGCGAAGCCTGCAAACCTGCCAGTCAATCTATGTCCTCGTCACTCTTTGGGGAGTAACTCTCTTTGGTATAACCATCATTACGATCGCTTGCGGCCAGTATGCTCTGGATGCCTGGCGTCCCCATAGCACCGAGATATTCATCATGAACGCTGCTTTCAAAAATTTCTTTTTCTACGGGTAGGATACCCAAGGCTCTTGAACATCTCCGAAACCGCCTGCTTTCCGATCTCCCTTTCTTGCATGATCCCTAGGTCCTAGCTAACAACAGGGTTTAGATTGATCAGAATTATTTTCAGGTGGCTAGATCATCAAGGGCCTGAAAGAATGCTAGAAACAATGGCCGGCTTGACTGCTGCATTGTGTGCGACCGCTATTCCTCTCTATGTATTTGGCAAAAGATACAGGGCTTGGTGGGGTTGCAGCAACCTGGCCAAGATATAGATCCGTACCACATAGTGCTAGCATATGACAGCAAGTAAGAACCATTCCTACTATCGCGTAATATGTCACATATGTCTGGGCTCAAACACGCCTATGTAAGTGGTTACGTCGTTCTTCAATTAGAAGAAATGATATCATGATGGTTAACATTGAAATTTGGTGATCCTTTGTCAATTAATTGTTCATGATCAAGTTGTAACTATCTTTGATTCACTCTGATGTGTGATTGAGAAGGTATAAACTTTTACAAAAAGCAAGAAGATGTAATGCACGACAAGCAGAATTTTATTTCAGAGATAGCTATCTGATGAAAAAAAGACAAACAATCTTATATTTATGCCATTCGGAGTTTTTGGGCTCCCCATTCAACTTTTGGTATCATCTTCAAAGATTACATAAATAATATACCACTCCACCACTCCACCACTTTCATTTTAAGAAGTTCAAGGTTCAGGCAGCATCAGTTCTCGATCAATATGATGGATTGTAATGTATGTATTGAATCGTGTTATCGAAAATTGGCCGCTCAATTACGGGGTGATGACAGCGCGGCCACGGATCTGGCCACTCAGCATTTTGTCTAAGGCATCATTAGCATTGGGCTCATATTTCCAGATGTCTGTCATGCGGTTCACATATGCTGAGAGAGCAACATACCGTATGCTTCCTGAGCTTTGTCCAGCGGGAATTTCTCGATTATGACGTCGATGCCTTGCGCTTTGGTGAACTGGATGGTCTCCTCCGAATCGCCATTGTGACCACCAGGCCAAGACTGAACCGACAAGCCCTTGCCAAGCTGGTTACAGAGTTAGTACTTGTGTCACATACAAATAACATAAAGAGTCACAGTAACTCACCATAACCGCAGTGTTGATCTTGATCTCACCAGGTACGGAAAGGACCAAGAGTTTGCCTAAGAGGTTCAGGCCACCGAGAAGATCACCCATACCATCGGCAGTAGGGGCCGTAGCGACGACCAGGCGAGCGCCGCCCAGTTTCTGCAATTGTACACCGACGTCACCCTTGCTAGCGTCTATGTACTCGTGTGCACCGAGCTGCCGGGCGAATTCTTCCTTGCTGCCATCGCGAGAGATGGCAATAACACGATAACCGAATTTGTTGGCATACTGAACGGCCATGTGGCCAACGCCACCCAAACCCTGCACGGCAACTGTCTCACCAGCCGGAATGTTCATGTTGCGGATAGCGTTGAAAGAAGTCATCCCAGCACATAAGACGGGAGCATATTTGGCGGCGTCTACGTCCTTGGGGATGCGGACGCCAGAATTGGCCCGAATGAGAACATACTCGGAGTAACCGCCCTGCTTGTTCTCGCCGTTGATCACAGGCTTCTCACACATCTGGAGCCAACCCTTTTTGCAAGCAGCACAAGTTCCTGTTGGATGCATATTAGATTCTTAGCCATAGAGTGCAGGTCATTTGTTCCAAGCTCACCGTCGTGGCCACCGTGCCAGCCTGCTCCGATACGATCACCCTCTTTCCAGGTAGTCTCAGCATCTCCTACCGCAGCGACACTTCCAATGATCTCATGACCGGGAACAATTGGGCTGTTAAAAATGGAGTTAAAACATTGGGCAAATGTGATTGAATGGTTCGCCCAGGTCTGACTTACAAGCCGCCGCCCATTCCGTTGTGCTGAGCGTACATGTCAGAGTAGCAAACTCCGCAAGCTTCAACCTTGACCAGAACTTCACCCGGACCTGGTAGCTTCAGTTCAGCCTCTTCAATGGTCAGGGGCTGTCCCTGGCTCTTGAAAACTGCATGCTTGTAGGTGTTCGGGAGAGAAGGCATCTTGTCTGGCTTTTCGCTTGAGTGTGAAATTGCTGATTGTTTGTGTCTACGAGATGTGAAAAGTTTTCGTAATGAGAGGCAGCTCATCTGAATATTCGGTTGCTAACACGAGTCGCTACGACAGGAATGAGGTTGGCTGGAGTGGTCTTAAGTATATGATGTCTATGAACGACTTGTTCACGAGGCTGGACATCGCGACAAGGAATGCAGGTGCTTTCAAATCCTACCCCAAATGATTGGTTTCCAAGCTTAACACCGATCTTTTTACCAAGGAAGCTTAATGTCCATTGTGCCGAACCTGCAAAGCAAACAGAGACATACTTGTCTCTTAACCCCGACTTGCTGAGGTAATGAAGCTAGTGCCGCCAGATCAACAGGCAAGGTTCCGACGACGAATTTTGTTCCAAAGGGGCCATGATTATGCAGGTGAATGCAATCAGATGGTTCCCGTCTCAGCCCTGGCCAGGATGTCAGCTTAAACGAAATTGGCAGAATGTCTCTGCAAAGGGATCGTGGTGATGCTACTACACAACACCGTCCTGCATAATTAATTCCACCAAAAGGTCCTTACACATGTAACCATTAGATAACTGACGCGCACTGACTGATTATAAATATATGCCATTAGCTGGAACAGCAAGGGAGTGTGCCTACGCATCAAAGAATTGCGCAAAAACTCCTAAATACGTGTTCCTTGAAAGAGCATGTAGCCGTCACTGGAAAGGGACAGGTACAGGTGGGATACCATTGTGGCGTAGAATTACCGGTTCGGGTTAACAAGGGGTGCGACCTCCACAATTCATAAACACACACCATCCCGATGATTGCTCACAAGAAATTACCCAAAACGGCAATGGCTTGGTAATCACTCCAAATCATCCACACAAAGCATACGAACATTGCTGTACTGCCTAGAGCTGAGTTTGATCACCTTTCTTGACAGCAAGAATTTACCATATCTAAGCCTTCTTGATGCATTAAAAGGCTGACTTTCATCTCAAACCAGTCCTCCTACAATACTGACTTTCCGACACCTGCTAATTATAGAATAGGTATCTATGTACATTTGATTTGTGTCAAGATCATCATGGTTGGCATGGCTCTACTCTGATGCTTCGCAGGACAGGTTGGTATGAGCTGTGTTGCGGTTCAGAATATCAAGCTGTCATTAAAGAAGGCAATAACTTGCCTTTTGAATTTCGCCATGTCATGATTACATATAGTGCCATGAGCCATGCTCCTTGGAAACGGGTCATACAATGTCTACTAGGCAGTCATTAAAGCAGAACGCGATCCATAGTCGCGTCCTCTCCACAATATAAGGTTTCCCAGAGTATTCCTCTCTTAGACAAAAACACATACGAGTTGCATGTTTTTCAATGGAAAACTTCACCGTCAATCATGGGGCGTCATTTAGAAGGAACATTCCGTTTGAGGAAAAGTAGCCGTGTTTTTCGACATGTTTCTATACATGATTGATGAGGCCCGTGTCTAAGGCCTGTATTCCTACAGTGTTACCTACTACAGGTGATTACATGCTCCAATGCTTCGGTGGTCTTTCCATTGTAGCACAACCCGTAAGCTATGTGAAGCCGAGCTTTAGATCCCTGGAAATATCAAGACAGAACCACACCTTCAAGCTCATCTATTGCCACAAGAGCTGCCCCTTGGTGTCGATTTGATCAATTGCTTAGCTTGTCATGAACCCACCTGTCAGATCTTGGACGGCTTTTTTTTTTAACCGCATAGACAATTTGATCAAAGAAGCGCCGTCGTCACTAACTACTCAAAACCATTTGGTGCGGCACTCTAGTCTGTCGGGGCACTGCATGTGTCATATCTAACACAGTTAAGAAGGAGTCACTACTACCGCAGCCTCATAAATCACAAACATGGAGCTAGTGAGCACTCTCATATAGAGTGACCTCCGCGAAGATATGTCTTTCGCAAGACCGTGCGCAGTAGTGTGGGAAATATGCTGCACCGAATGAGACTTAAGAATCATGTAGTATCTCATTTGGGGCTTCGAAATGACCTTTCGTAGCGATGCGGCTGACAACAAACCACTAAACCCAGGCTGTCGGGACATGCACCCTGTGAGAAAGTTGTACGGAGGACTGGTAAGACTGTGAAGGTTTCCGACTCCGGCCACATTCTGTGTCTATGCTGTGGAGTGGCAGGGGATCATGGAAGATATATTTAGCGCTATTTGGTCAGATTCGCTAAGCGATCGTACCTTGCGCCCACGTGGTCACCGGCAAGCACGACATCCTTGACTTGCAACGAAGTTAAGCTGTGTTATCTGAGCCTCCTCATTCGAACCAGGTACGGTAAGATGCGCGCAGATGATCAAAGGTCCAGGCGCTGAATTAAGAAGCTCCCGCGAAACTGAGGCGCCCAACCTCATTTCCATAACATCGCCACGACGCCACAAAATGGCGTCGTGTAAGATTATAGCTGTTGGCGTGTCATGAGATGGAAAACCTTCGCGAAATACCATTATTTTTGTGAGTAAGGAATCCCATCTAATTCTCCACACCTCAAAACTAATAGTTTACTTGCCTGTTTGGATCATGGGATGACGGATTTCGCGTGGGCGAGACCAGGGTTTTGGCCTGAGAGTGCCTAGAAGGATTTGTGTCATCAGCCTTCCGAACGAGACGGGCTAAGAAGCTGAGAGAGGCAGTGTTTTCTGATCTTCCATGGCCATTGTAAACTTATGTTAGGATGGGGCGAACTACAAAAACAGGGCACAATATCGACTTTCTCGACGATCTAGCATCTAGCCAGGAAACTAACACAGCTCCGCCGATCCAAACTACTTATTCAGAGCACATTAACACGTCGCTAAACTGACGCTCAAGCGTTGTTTCAAAATACTGCCGAGAATGAGGTCTCTCATTCCCTTGCTGGCTTCTTTAGCCGCCGCTAATTGTAGCAAGCTACTTCCATACCCAACTAAAGATAATTCTACCAGCCATGCGGACTATGAGTACATCGTCGTTGGCTCGGGTCCTGGCGGTGGACCACTCGCAGCAAATTTGGCAAGACGAGGCCATAAGGTTCTCTTGATAGAGGCTGGTGATGACCAGGGAACAAACCCGAACGAGACAGTGCCTGCCTTTGCGACGAGATCATCAGAAGATGACACCATGAGTTGGGGCTTCTTCGTCGAACACTACTCTGACCCCGAAGAAGCTGCCAAGGATCCTAAAATGGCTTGGGACACGCCCAACGGAACGTTGTATGTTGGGCTCGACCCGCCCGCCGGGTCCGCTCAGAAGGGTATATTCTACCCCCGCGCTGGTACGCTTGGAGGTTGTGGATCCCACAATGCACTGATCGCGATTCTCCCTCACGATTCGGATTGGAACGACATTGCGAAGATCACGAAGGATAAATCGTGGTCGGCCAAGAACATGCAGAAGTACTTCGAACGCCTCGAGCGTTGCCGTTACCTTCCCGAGGGGACTCCGGGTCATGGATTCCACGGCTGGTTGGAGATTGAGCTTCCCGACCCCGTGTGGGAAACTTCCAACGAGGCTATGATGAAACCAGTCCTCAACTTCACCGGTCAAAAAGGCTTCAATCATGACATCAATGCCCCGAAAGCACAGAACAAGAATCAACTTTTTGACCTGCCCTTGATCATGAACAAGAAAGGGCGCCGAAATGGACCTCGAAGCTTTGTCGTTGCTACTGCCAACGCAAGAAATCGCAACGGGAGCAAGAAATATCCGCTCTACGTAAGAACTCAATCTTTTGTCACAAAGGTCCTGTTCGATGAAACTCGCAGCAGCCACAGAAAGCCCAAGGCCGTTGGTGTGGAATATGTAGAGGGGCAAGGCCTGTATAAGGCTGACCCTCGTGCAGCAACCGGCAACACAAGTCCAAGCGCAGCCAAAAGCGTTTATGCGTCTCGGGAGATCATCATTGCAGGCGGCGCTTTCAACACCCCTCAGATATTAAAGCTTAGCGGGATTGGGCCCAAGGAAGAGTTGCAGCAATTCGATATACCCGTGCGGGTCGATCTCCCTGGAGTTGGCACCAATTTGCAGGATAACTACGAGTACTCCATCGTGGCGCAGAGCAAGGAAGTAGTTTCGCTCTTTGCAAATAGTACTGTTGATGGTCGCGATGTTTACTTTTCGCAGTGGGACAACGAGGGATCTGGACCATATAAGGGTGATGGTATTGAGGCGGCCGTCTTGGCTAAAAGTAGCATTTCGAAGACCGGGGAAGTCGACATGTTTCTCTACGGAACTCCACTCCTGTTCACCGGCTTCTATCCGGGTTATTCTACGAAGGGTTTCGGTACCTTCCACGAGTACACCTGGGTCGTTCTCAAGTTCCGCCAAGAGGACAAATCAGGCACGGTAACATTGAGGTCGAGCAACCCCTTCGACGTGCCCAAGATCAGCTACGAGTTCTACGCTACCCCAGACAAGAACCCAAAGAACGACGGAGAGCACGACTTGAATGTCATGGTGGAGGGCGTTCGCCTCTCACGTCAGTTCCACGACGGCGTAGCTGCACCCTCCGGTCCGCTCAACGAGATCATTCCTGGCAGGCAGGTCCAGAGCGACGAGCAGCTGAAGGAGGAGATCAAGCACAACTCATTCTCCCACCACGCATCGGCGTCTTGCCCCATAGGCTCCGAAGACGATCCTATGGCCTGCCTCGACTCGCGCTTTCGCGTCAGGGGCGTCGACTCACTTCGCGTCGTCGATGCTTCGGTGTTTCCGCAAGTCCCTGGCACCTTTCCCCAACTACCTGTCTACATGATTAGCGAGAAGGCCTGCGATGTATTGTTAGAAGATGCCGGCTTCAAGCCTAGAACAGTCAACTTCGACGACGCGACCTTGGAAAGCCTTTCTGAAGATGAAATACTCATTGACGACTTCGCGTAGGGTATCTGGCTGTTTTTTTCCCTTGTCGACTGTATATCCATTTTCCTCTCTTGTTCATTCCGGTTCTGGCACATTTAGATGGGGCGCAATTATCCATAGAGTATGCTTTAATAAATCTGTACAGGTCGTGTTTCGAGTTTCGGCAATAATACTACGTTTTTGAAAATTTGCAACTGAAACGTTTCTCTATCATTGAAGCGTAATGTATGCGTCAGGCACTCGGTTCGATATGTCTCCGTAGGTGGAACGGGACGCACTCATAGAGAAGTGGAAGTTCTGAAATGACCGAATTGAGAGAAGACATTCCGAACACAACCACAGCAACGATTCCAGTTGACATTGCACAGGCATACAGCATCTTGCGCCTGTATATCTGGAATCGATAGAAGTGTTGCTGCCATTTACGCCTTATTCTTATTCAGCCAAACACTGTTCATATGAGTTAGTACCCGACGCAGCCGACGTGTAGGGGCACTGACTTTCATTGTATGACGAATCTGGTAACATAGTAGATGCGAACTTCAATCTGCTTTAGGCTAGCGTGGTTCTCTACGTAGTACATTGGGGGGGGGCTGCGGCTTGTGGCACGGCTGAAGTATACAGTTAGATCACAGGTGGTCTCGCCCTTGTCATTTGGTTCTCCTCAATTTGGGGAAATATGTAATCCGTGGGACCACAATAAAGAAAGATCTGACATGCATCATCCTGGGGGATACAACGAATGCATTACACTAGGTATACTCCGTATGAACACCGCTTATCAATCAACGAGGCGGTGCTTATTAATTCATAATCATGCCAATGTCCGCTTTTGTGCAGTAAGCATGTAATCCTAGATCACCCATTGAGCGTGGCCATACTGAGCATGCATATCATCCCGACAAGACGGAACAATAAGCCTGGGGCTAGATCCTGCAGAATGAAACACCAAGCCATCAATCCGACGGCGCGTTTGCGCGTGTCGCGTATCTTGAAGGGCACCTTACTTGGAGGTAGTCCTGTAGATTGCTGATGCTGCAGATCACGCCCGAGCCGTCGCATTGGCGCATCCCCTTGAAGGGGCTCTCATTCCACTAAGTGGTTATCTAATTCATCCATACTTCGTCGATTAATTATATGTACGTGTACGAGGCCAAGTCGACTGTTGATTTTATGATGAAGAGGTGAGAGTGTTTGGAGATAAATGCCCGCCTTTCCTCACGAAACATTTGCTGCAATGCTGGTTCCGTCACTCGTTACTTTCACATCAACAACTGTGGCAGATCATCCAAATACAATCACTTCATCTTGAGTAGCGCTTATACAATGACTTCTCTTTACGGCATTAGCATTTCTGTGCTGTCCGAGATCATCGAAACTCAAAGGCATGTTCTGGACAAGAGCGTGGCCTGGGCTGAGGAACACGAGATCTCCGAAGCTCAATTCCTCGCTGAGCGTATTTACCCGAACATGCTTGATCTCAGATTGCAAGTCCTCATCCCTCTCGTCCTCTCTCGAATCACGATCCAGAAATTGAGCGGCAAGGCGATACCGGCAATCACACCTGGGAGCCAAACGCTTGCAGAACTATACGAGTTGAACGAGGAGACGCAACGATATTTGAAGGACGTGAAAAGGGAAGAAGTGGACGGAAAGGAAGATGAGGAGGTGACAGTTGAGTTTTTTGGAGAGGAGCTGCGCACTTCTGCCAGAGATCTGGTGCAGAAGTATACCGTGCCAGTTTCCTACTTCCATTTGAGTACGCTATATGCCAAGTTTAGAAGCATGGGTGTGCCTTTGGGAAAGAAAGATTATACCTGTGTTACGATGAAAGACTTCAAGTTGGTCAATCCCTGAAAGCCGTCACCCGTAGCATAGCTGCAGGATGAAGAATTCGGATGCATGGCGTCTCTTTCACCGATCGATATCTCAAGTTCGCATGCGGTAGCACTATAATGACTGCTGTGGTAGACTGTCTGATTGGCAGGGTGCTTGAACCCGTGAAATAAAAGACCAATGCCATCAAAGTAGTGAGAAGTTGATCTTTCAAACTTAATCAGCAATCTATTTTGGTCATTTTGTAGACTGCAAAACAGAAGCGTTGATCGAAGCCGTTCCTTTTTCGTAGAACGCAGCGCGTCATGTATAACAACTGTACTCCAATGGCGCTATATCTGAGGCACACAGCGCCTGAATCGTTCCAAATTCAGCGGCTGCCCCACCGGGCTTCCGGGAAAATTCCACTGAGCATTCAACATTTTTCACAACATCCTGTGCAATGTTTCTCATACATCAATCACAACAGCACGTGCAAGTTTTAGTGGACGCCTTGTGTGAATCATCAAGAGCAAGTTCGTCTCTGATTACTTGAGACGGAAATAGAATATGGAAGCAAGCTCTATCCACGATCTCAACTGTGAGCAGGCGTCGCTAATGATTCTACTTCCCATTGCAAAGACACGGAAACATGTAAGCACAAAAAATGAAAAGACTTCTAATTGAATTTGGCATGCAACGCGCTCTATCTAATTTAAACACCAAGACAGTAGTGAGAACGAGTAATAGATACACTTAAGCCTATTACATAGTGCTAACCCAGCAACAAAACGAAAAACCCTGAGAAGGAATCTACTTTATACAATAAAGAACAGAGGTGCTACATGCATAGTCGGTCCAGGTTAGTAGCCGGAGCATTTGCCGGAAATATTACATGCGATCTTCTCGGCCAGAGCATCTGTGGTTGTTAGCATCAGTCACCGGGACGACATGAGCAGCGTGGACTTACAAATTGTGGCCTGAGGATGTCCTGGTGGTAGAAATGGGAATGCAGACGCATCTACAACTCGGAGTCCCTGCACGCCAATAACCTTGGCTTGACTATCAACAACGGCCATGTTGTCGTTGGGCTTGCCCATCCTGCAGGTGACCGCGCCGTGGAAGATTGTGTTGTAGCTCTTGCGAATAATGGCTCGTATGTCGTCGTCTGTCTGTACCGTGTTTCCCGGGTAGACCTCGCTTCCGATCTTGAACTTGGACATGGCCTTGGACTCCCAGAACTGTCGAGCGCGCTTGAAGCCCGCCAAAGCCACCTCCACGTCGGTCTGATCCAGGAGGAAGTTAGGGTTGACAGCAGGGTGGTCATACGAGTTCGCGGATTTGATATTGACCGATCCGCGCGACCTGGGAGTATTGAGAACGACAGCCAACGAAGCATAGTTCTTGCCATCGAACGGCGCCCCCGAAGACTTAGTGTTCTCTTGGGTCCCGACATACGCTGCAGAAGTGATGTATTCGATCTCTGGCCAGTCGGCAGGATACTTGTTTAGAGCGCTCTGGCTGCCATTGGACATGGCAGATCGTAGAGGCTGGGGTACCTTCTCCCACCCCAGCACCTCAGTGATCGGGTTGGAGTACATGCCGGCACCCTTATCGTTGAATGAGGCTGCCTGTTTGGCGGCAAACGCTGGATCTTGGAGAGATGATACTGTGGGGGCATTGACTTGATACGTGACGGCGAAGATAATGTGGTCCTCCATGTTCTGGCCGACACCTGGCCGATCAGCAACAACCGGAATCCCGTTTTGGGACAGCAGTTGAGCGGGTCCGACACCGGATACTTGAAGTAGTTGGGGCGATCCGATGAAACCGCCGGAGACGATGACCTCTTTTCTTGCGGAGAGGGTATATTCGAGACCAGAGTTGTCCACCACGACACCAGTTGCACGCTTCTTGTTGTCGAAAAGGATCTTCTTTGCCATAGCCAGATGATAGACAGTGTAATCGGGATATGCCAGAGCAGGTTGGAGGAAGGCCGTCTCGGCGGACTCACGGACGCCGTTGGGCTGGATAGTGGTCATGACGTATGACTGCCCGAGCAAAGACCCATCAAGGAAACCCGGGACTGTCTTTAGTCCAATTGCCTTCAACCCCTCAACAGCCCATGTAGTGAACGCGTGAACATAATTGGGGAAGGTGAGGGACACTGCTGTTGTTTCGGCGTCTTTCGCCTTGACGGAATTTTTGTTGTATGAAGGGGTTGAATTGGACGACCGCAAATCAGACCTGGGACCGGTGAACTTGACACTCTTCTCGTAATAGGTCAGGAACCTGTCGAAGGTGTAGCTTTGGTCGCCGACTGCGTCCGCCCACATCTTCAGTGCACCTTTGGTCGGGCGCTGGTAGGCCATGTAGTGTCTGGCAGAACTGCCACCTAGTGTTTTGCCACGTGCATAATGCATTGAGGCATTGTTCGCGCCCTATGTTGATCATCATTTAGCCTCTCCTTGTATACTCTTAACTGAAAAGTATGACATACCTTTTGAGGTTCTGATATGTAACCCCAGTCGATATCCGGTTGCCAGTCGGATTTGTCTTTGCCTGTGAAGAGGTAATCATTAGAGGGGAGTTGGCTTAGGTTCCCGTTGGTTATCTCGTAGAAGGTTCCTGCTTCAATCACAGCAACGCTGCCTGCTTTCTGCTCCACTAGCCTGGTAGCTATTGTGAGACCTCCAATTCCTCCTCCTACCACAATGTAATCAAAGGTACGATTGTTGCCTGGTACGCCAAAGGAAGATCCCAAAAGCTTCTGGGCTTGGAGGTTGCGGCCTACGGGGGTTGAAGTAACCGCCGAGGCTATAGTAAGGAGACTGAGTGACAGCTTCATCGCGTACAATGGTCTTCAGGCGAACCAAAGAATTCGACCAGAGTTGAGAGAGAGATGTAGATGACGTAGATATGTTTCAAAGCTGCGTAGTAAATGTTTTACACACCCACTGCTGACTACTGACGTGCAAAGGAACTCCATCTCGAGAGAGTCGAGTCGCTTCGTTTATATACATGAAACTCCTTAATCCCACGATCGTGTTTTCCCCCCTTCCACGGTGCAGTGCGGCACAAGCTGAGTCCTCCATAGCCATCATCTCGCTGAAAATCAAATTTCATGGTGCCCCGTCCTAGGATTCAATGCCTGGATGGAGGATTGCGTATTTCTTTTCGGTATCTCACATGGCCTGTCCGGTGGCTTTGCTAGATCCTCAGCTGGTGCGTGAAAATTATATCAGATAGGCAGCGGAACGAGTTGGGGCGCTTCCTTCGTGGTGTTTAGCTTCATGATAGTGTGTGTAAACCTGGCTAGGAATTAAGAATCAGCAGATCCAGGGCGAAGTCTGCCTGGTCCATCTAGTAATCACAGACATCAAGTTTGAGAGCCATCTTCAGGGGCTGAGAGTCATGACCCAGCCCATCGGGTCCGACCCAACGGTCTGGTGACCTATGATATGACAGTTGCGGTGGAGAGAACCCATGTTCCTGCTTTCTACTAACTACAAGCTATTTTTGCTCCCTGTGAAAAGCTCTAGCGGCCATTATAGAGCCATTGAGTATGCTTCGCTTACCCCCAAGCCACCACTGCCTCATCCGCCACGTGGTTCCTAGGCTTCTGTGGGCTGGGCATTACAGGTGACCTACAGCCACGAACAGAAAACCTCTCAGCTATGGACAGGGCTGAGCGAAGCTTAATAAGTTTTATTAATAACGAGGTATCATGCACTCCGTACCGTTGATCTAAAGTAATGCTTCAGTTTGACTGCCAACCACACTCCTCAGCGGAAGCAATCTACATGGGATATTTCAGTGCAAGTTTGACACTAGGAACTAGTCTAGTAATACGAGTATGATCATATGCACAACATCCATGATCTACAAAGCTTGATAGCAATGCCAAGACTACGGGCTCTCCAGTTGTGCATAGCTAAGGTCTTGCATGTAATCTTAAACACGTGTCTGTGGATCCTATCCGAGCGACAGGGACTGATGTTGGGATATCCGGACTTGGTTCGCGAAAGTATGGCCCAGAAGCCCGTACTGGCTAAGCGTTGGTTGGTCTTGACCGAGGCGAGAAACACTAGGATCCTGCCATGAGGGCTCTATGAGGATTCAGTGGTGGCTTTGATCGAGCCCGAGTTCTGAGCTTTACGATCCAACATTATCATGTCGGGCCAGACACCGGTCAGCGTGCTCTGGCACGCCGAAATGGGTTCCAGGCAGAATACAAAGAAGGATGAATTCCAGCCATGGCGTTGATTTTGTTGTGGATGGCGCCACGCTGCTAACCTGTCATAATAATTTACTAATACCACTTCTGGACGACTTGCTTATAGCGCCAGGAGAATCTCTCACGTGGCTTACACGGGGGTCATGCAGCTCATTTTGCCGGTTCTGGCAATGCGAAGTTGCCAATCATGGTTAGTGAACAGTCCAAAGCACAAACACCTGAACTTGATTATGCATCAAGCTGACTGGGGCGAAAGGATCATTATCCTTTTGTACCAAAATATCTAGGCATGGGATTCTTGAACATTTCTCGGCTAGGCCCTGCCGAGAAAAGGGGTAACTTCGAAAGCTGACTGTGTTTCGCTGGCAGGAAAATGACGTAAGCGTGATTTCATTGTCTGATATAGTTTGAAGACGCTGTGATAGGACTTTGTTACGGCTCCTTGTAGCATTCCACGGTTAGCAAATTGTTTTGTGTGTCACCCCAAAACCGCGACTATCCAACGGCTAGAGACGACGGACAGAGGCGACAGGGATGCTGCGTTGCCTAGCTAATCAAGAGAAGATGGGCTTCTGCAAGTTCACCTGCAGTCAGATGCTGATGAGGCTCTGACTGGTCATGTCTCCACCGCTGCGAAAAGGTGGTCATGGACAGACACGCATGCAGGGTCTCGATCGTTCGCTTGGCATCACCGGGATGGTTAACCGCGCTGGCGCATCGTTTTCAATAGACCCCGTAAAATCAAGCACGATCTACATATGCGGGCCAGTGATCCTTCGGTCCGGTGGGGCTATCTGTCAGATGGAGATGGTGCGCAGCAAAATGGGTCTGGGGTGCGCCGGCTGGAAAACGTCGCCCTGTGATGCAACACAAGATCTCCCAACTGTAGCTCTGCCCGGCCTGAGAAGCAGCGCCGAAGGGGAAGGGGAAGGGGAAAGACAAGAAGAGGAGACGAAAGAAAACAATACTCGGACAAGCAGGTCTGATGCGGCTTATGTGGTCGGCCTTTGCGAACGGACAGACGCTGATCGGAGGAGCGTAGAACGCTCCCCTCCAATACAAATAAACACGGGTGCATTTCGACATCTCAGCTGTTGTTGAGATGGCGGGATGGTGGATGGGTGCGGACGCAAGCCCCACCGCCAATTTGGCACGCGAAAAGTGCCTTGCCTTACAGTAACCTTAGTGCCTCAGTACGCTGTGGCCAACGCCCACTGCCTACGGGTTAATGCCTAAGGGCAGTCTAGACCGACCTTGACCTTGCATGACCTAGGCTTAGACTAAACCTATGACTAAGTCGAGTTACAGTGCTGCCGCTGGTTGCAACAGTGCTGGGGCCACTGGTTAGGTTAGTTAATTAACCTTAGGTTAGTAGACCCTCGGCCCCGGGCCCTCCCATGGTAAAATGCAGGCGGCCGCAGACGCTCCCCCATCATCCCTGCGCCTGGAAACATCTCGATCCCCGCTTGTCGCAAGTGGACTTTGTCGCAAGTGGACGGGCATGCCGCCGGATAAGATCGATTGATTGCAGTCACCAACGTCCCGGGTTTGGGCTGATGCCATGCTATGCTATGCCATGACATGCTGCTAGTCTCAACAGGTATCCATTCGTCGACTTACTCACCATGTTCATCACCTTCAAGAACGCCGGCAAGGAGAAGCCCCAGCAGGGCATGGAGCAGGTCGCGTCGAGGAACGCAGGACCTGGCGGCGACAGAGGCAGTTCACGTCGCGTCCGTCCCACATTCAGGCCGCCTTGTTTGGCATGCCAGTCCAAGAAGGTACGCAGATCAAAACCCGCCCTGTTCTACGCTATACAGCCGGCGGAGGGAGCCACGGGGCGACGGGGGAGCTCCTAACTGACAAGTCGAACTCTAGCTGCGCTGCACCGGACGCCTGCACGACTGTGACAGGTGTGTATCCAGGTCACAGGCCTGCATTTTCCCCGTTCGACGCTCAAGCGAACGCTCGTCCGACCCCCCAAGCAACGACTTACAGTCGCCCACGAGCCGTGGCACGCCCGGCTCCGTGTCTTCGGCATCGTCAAGAGCTGAACGGACGAATCGTCTCGCTCACGGCCCGGACGGCCTCGTGGATAATAACCCCCACCATGGTAAGTCTCACATCGCACGCAGGGGTTTTTAGGTATCGAACGCACCCTTACAGGTAGACAGCAGCGCCAGACCCGGAAGTCGAGGACATGCCAGATGCTACAGAGATGCCTCAAGACACTGCCGACTATGCTCGGGACCATTCCGATTTTGCTCAATATGGCCCGCAATACCTTGCCAACGGGACCATGACCGCCATGGCCACGACTCAGAACATATTTGCTACTGATCTCGCAACCATGCCTCCGTTGGACCTGCACAAAAGCCACGATGCACTCGCGTCGGCCGCCACCACACGTGCACAACCCTCGACGGCTCTGGATTGGGCTCTCGAACAGCGAGGCGGCGAGGAGCCGCCCTCTGGACTAGATAACACCATGGAGCAGATGCATGTCTCCAAGTGCTCGTGTTTGCAGAGTTTAATCCAGATTGTACAGCAGCTCGACGATGATCACTACCGCATCACCACCTTGTCTCTGGATCAGGTGCTGCAGCTCCAAAAAGGCCTGGTTGCACAATGCGACAAGCCCTTCGCGTGTCTCGCTTGCGACGATGTCCCCGCCATCTATACCTTTCTTGTTATAATCTGTGATCGTCTTACCGAGATGTTTGAGTGTATCCATAAGAGAATCAAGAGGATGAACCAGCGCCTCACAAACGATGATAGTCCCGGCTCCTTCTCGGGAACAAATAGCTCTTCCGAGGCCGGGGAATCCATTTCAGGCCAGCTGTTCTGCAGCACAACGGGGGAAATGGCCACGAGAGCATCATGCAACCCTGCGCTCTTCTCGCCCCATTTCCAGGACTCATTCTCCAACGAAGAACAATTACACATGGTTGGCGCACTGTTAAAACTACAGATGGGCAGCTTTCAGAGTCTGCTTGCCCGCGTGAGGAATTCCGCCTCTGCAGCGGGCAGCCAGGCTCGTCAATCTAGGGTTGACTTTCTGAAGCAGAGATTGGGGAGGGCGGCAGGTAACATCAGTGAAGAGTTGCGTCGCACGGCGCAAATGTTGTCTGTTTCGTGAGGGTACTTGCTTTCTGGTGGTGCCTTCGCCTCCTACGGCTACCTATATATGGTGGCGGCGAGACCTGACCGCTGTGTACAAGGCGCCAACAACCACCTCTGCACAAAAACACTTGGAAGCCCCTCGATACTTCAACATCCTTCTCTTGTCAAGCCGGAGCTACAAGACCCTTTCAGGGCGGTCCACCATTCTACTTTGGCGACCCACTACAATGTGGCCAGCACGGAGATACGACGACGATAGTGTCCCTCATGAATACTCTCGATGCGCCCTGTCCTAGGCTGTCAACGCATCGCCCGGCTTCCGGCTCTTGGGCTTCATTGTCACCTCGATGCCACTTGGGGTCGTGAACCATCGCCCGCTGACGGTCCATTCTTTGTCTTTGGCTAGGGCAATGTCAAAAGTCCGATAGAGCTCAAAAACCACTTTCCACATCTCGAGAATGGAAATGTTCTTGCCAATGCAACTGCGTGGTCCGGCTCCGAACTGTATTGGGTGACATTTGATGTCAGCACGCGGATCTTTTATGAGCGTGCTTCAACACGGGACGGTGCTTACCGCAAACATATTTCTCTTCATTTCTTTGATGGCCTCTTCGTCCCCCTCGATCCAGCGCTCAGGGCGGAATGCATGTACGTCATGGCCAAACACGTCTTTATTGTAGTGCAAAGCCCACGCGTTTACACCAACTATTGTGTTCTCGGGCAGGTATACACCATGAAGTGTAATACCGTTCTCGGGGACGCGTCGCTCAAGGATGAAACCAGTAGCAGGGTGGATACGCATAGCCTCGTTGATCACAGCCGATCTCATCAACCTTGTTAGCCAATTTCACCGGCTCGCCAAATACGGAGGACCAGGAATGACGAAAATGATTTGGAAAAGGTTCATAGACGATAACCTGAAAAAGGAAAAAAGGAAAAATTGGAAAGAAAAACATAGGAATTATTGACCTACAGATATGGGAGTTTCACTGCTTCAGCATATGAAATGGGATTGGAGGCCTGGCCTCCCCGCACAGCGTCGTCGATCTCTTGCTCTAATCTGCTGCGTGCTGCCGGGTACTTGCTTAAATGATATAGAACAGATGCAAGCGAAGCAGCTGTGGTATCAGAACCGGCGATGCTGCATAGCGTCGATTAGCACAATCAATCTTGTTTGTTCCCGCGGCGCTCCCGTGGGAGCGAACAAGGTGTCAACGTACACATTTGTGGTGGTGATGGCGACAATCTCGTCGAGAGAGAGGCTCTGTGGATCTTGTTGGTGTGTTGCCAAAAGGGTGCTCAGGATATCCTTCCGCGGGATGGGGTTCCGGATGCGATCTTCAACTTGCTTGACAGAAAACTGCAATACTTGATTTGTCTTTTCGATGGACGGCAGAAGCTTGGGGAGCAGAGGGTTTCCGAGGAGGAATTTGTGGACGAGCGGGACTTGTCCGATCTAGTAGGTATCGTCAACGGCGTAACGGGCAGAATAATATAGCCAGCTTACCAGAGACACGTATCCCAAAATGCCACCGATGGCACCGATGATATTGTCCACGTCAGTTCCTTGCTCCATGAATCCCAAGTCCTTAGAAAAGTTGATCTCGCCAAGGACGTCGAAGGCAAAGTACTGCATCCAGTCGACCGGGTTGATCGGCTTCCGGCCGTCATCTGTGACTTGGCGCAGTCGTTCCAGGAGCAGGCCAATGCACTTGTCTGCATACTGTTCGAGGCCCACAACGACATCCATCGAGAAGGCCTTCATGGCCCCTCTCTTAAGCTTTATGTGATATTGATTGCTCTCCGTCGTGAAGAGCGTGGGAAGGAACTTGCCGCGATAGATAGCCTCGGCTAGGGGATAGAACGCCGACTGCAATCTGTCAGCACCCAGGACATGGCACGGCCAGACCGCGTGCGCCAGCGTACCTTGGGGAAAACATTCTGCACCCCGTAGATGGCCCTCACGCTTTCAGGGTCGGACACCGAGACGTGGTTGGGTCCGATTCTGACGATGGGTCCATAGTCCTCGTGCACTCGCACGTTCTCCCTGTGCATGTTCGCGTTCCATACTGCCCGCAACTTCCAGAAATTGGAGAAGCTAGCCGTGAAAGGCCCCGGTATTCGGCGAAGTCCTGAGCGATATCTCGTGAGGACAAGATTCGTGATAGTCACGGCGATGATCGCGAGCCAAGGGTTGAACTTGACCCATTGCCAACTCTCCTGCAGAATGCTGGAGCTCAAGGTGGTGGTGGTGGTGTTGGCCATGATACCGTGTCTTATGACAGTTCGACGAGTGCAATCTACTTGTGTCACCGAAAAATGGTTCTGGGCCGGCGAGTAGTTCTACGAATATCACTTCGAGGGCGCGCGCATGTGTATGTGATATATTCAGTCATCAAGGTTGCTCCTCGTTTGATAAGCATGTTATAGGATGCTGCTCTATCTGCCATACTTTCCGTGCGCATCAAGCTTGTGTAGCCCATCCCCGTCCCACGAGATTGGTTACCCGTTGCAGTCATCGGGTGTGTCTTGTTGGGTTGTGCACACGACCGGTCCGTTTCTCGTTCTTGGCAAGAGTTGGGATAGGTTTCCGCGTGGCACCAACGTGAATTGTATCGAGACATGCCACTGATAATGCACGTGAGAAAATGCAGTTAGCGCCTCCCACGGTTTCTTGCCTGAAAACGGATAGGCTCATTTTCAATCGACAATGAGTCTAGTCTTTGTAGACCTTGATGACCGAGCCGTGCCGTCGGCACTTTTGGACCTAGACTAGGTGGGAAATTTTGGGATGATGGGGCAACAAGTGTCTTTGGTAAGATTGACAGGGTATGTAATCAGGTAATCAACAAGTGGGCACGTACCTTAAGCTTAGTCTAAGCCAAGCTTTCCGAACTATCTGTTAGCGTACTCTGATCCGGGGAAAAGACTACACTAAAAATACCCCCCCCCCCCCCCTCCCCGCCCAAATTGCTTTTTTTATTTTTTATGGGCTCTTTGCCGAATGAGGAATTACCGTTTGCGGTAATGGTCAGATACCTCGATTAGGAAATCTGCTTACCAACACGCAGACTTAACATAAGCTTCTTGAATAAGGTGCAAGGAAGAGTCTAAGCCCGCAGCCCAGAAACCGCATTCTGACCTGCTCGCAATTCAAGCCAAGTGGTCAAGATGCGAGCTATGTAAGATTCGGGCCCCACCGTTTCAGTCAGAGGGTGAGAGATGAGGCATTGCAGACGCGCACGCGATTAACGATGTGTGGGAATTTCGTGCAGAAGATAAGGCCTCGGTTTAGTTCTAGTCTAATACAATTTTACAATGCCTCGAACGGATTCATGGCCTTGCTCTCAGGAGCTAAAAAAACCATGCGTGCCTGAATTAGTAGCACTCCGGTTGACTGAGGTGCGATGAGATCCACAGGATCGCGTGGGAAGCAATTTCTGGTTTACGTACAAAAAGACATGGAAGAGATGCCTTTGAAATGCCCTGGATCCTGCCCACCTTCATCTCACGAGCCTTCTTGTATCACCCTCCATAAACATTTGAACACGATGAGCAAAACACAGAACTGTTTGGTGCCTTACATTGAGCTCGAGGATGCACCTCCCGAGGTCGCAGCGGCGATAACTCATTTGCCTTACCGTCGCAACATATTCCACCTACTCGGACACTCCCATGGCGCCTTCCCTCGCCTGATGAGTGTGTATGCCTCGTTCTTCGATGGCAAACGACGCATCTTGCCACTTCTAGACTGGCAGCTAGTCGTGCTACGCATCTCTGCGGTGCTAGACGCTGAGTACGAGTGGGATGTCAACGCGCCAGTCGCACGTATCAATGGCATGCCGGAGGCGGTGCTCGAAGCCTTGAAAGGCACTGTGAAGGCGGGCCCCGAGGCTGTCATGGCAGAAAGATCTTTCTCCGACCGCCAAAAGGCCATATTGAACCTTGTCGACGAGCAGCTGGCCACCTACAACAATGAGGAGCGCACGGTCAACCAAGCCAGGGAGCTGTTAAGTGTCGAGGAGTTGGTGGAGGTCTACATCGTTCTGGGAGTTTATGTTCTTATTGCTCGTATCACAAAAGGATTGCGCATCGACCTTGATGGTGAAATCCCCGGCTTAGAAGATCATCTCAAGGCTGTAGTCACTGGTAATTGAGATTCTGGTGTTCACAATGCACATGAGTGTTCCAGAAGTCACCAAAGTAGATTATCGTTGAAGCTTATGCTGCATGGTTTAAATTATCAATGCTGGCGGCCTTGATTTGTAAGTTTCGAAGGGGAGCTCCTGGCCCCAGATTGCAGCTGCTTGCCGTTTTGGGGGCTTATTTTTAATCACCTTTTCCGTCGGCTCCACCACATGCTTGCACCCTTTAGGCCAATATTGTAGCCGCACCTGCATGCCAAACATTTTGTTTATCACCCCACGCTTTCAGTTCGCAAGACTAAAACCTCTCGACTGCAAACTTCAGGTTTCAGTTTGCGATTGAGCCTTTTCAGGGATCAACAATATCTTCAAACTCGAAGAAGACTTCCACTACTTCTGTTCTGCACCATAGTTGCGTCCCACGGCGTCCACTGTCTTTCCATCGTCCACGCTGTCACTCTCTGCAACGAATATTCGCCATGTCGGAAAGAACCTCTGAGAAACTCACAGACGTGGAGGCGGTTCGAGATGGACTGGAACCGCATCCGGGAAGCGACACGACCCAGGAGGCGGAGGCTAATCCCTCCCCGAGAAAGGTTCATGGCATTCTCGTAAGTCGGCGAAGCAGCATATACAAAATTTCAATGACCGCTGATGATATTCATAGTGGGCGCTTGTTGTCATCTCGATCCTGTCCAGTATTTTTCTGTACGCCATGGACAACACCGTCGTTGCGGATATCACACCGGTCAGTACAACCCAATGCCAAACCGATTGTATAACATGGTCTCATGGCTATCTCAGGCTGCAGCAAACCAGTTTGGTGATGTCGTTAAACTTCCTTGGCTCGCCGTAGGGTAAGTACAGTCGGCTGGTCCTCTGCATGATGGTTTTCTGGCTGACCCAGCATCGAAAGTTTTCTGGTAGGCGGTACCGCTGTGGTACTTCCATTCGGCAAGCTCTACAGTCTGTTCGACGCGAAATGGCTCTACATCATCTCCTTGGTGATATTCAACGCTGGGTCCGCTCTGTGCGGTGCAGCACCCTCCATCGACGCCTTCATCGTCGGTCGTGTGCTTGCAGGTTTGGGCGGCAATGGCATGTATCTTGGTGTCATGACGCTTCTGTCGGTGCTGACATCTGACCGGGAAAGGCCAGGATATCTGAGCTTCGTGTACGTTTCATGGGCTATGATCGGTATGAGCTCGAGCTGACAGTTCTTAGCGGATTGGTGTGGGGAATTGGTATCATCCTTGGTCCTGTGGTCGGTGGCGCGTTTACAGAGTCTTCCGCAACATGGAGATGGGCCTTCTATATCAATCTTTGCATCGCAGGACTCTTCGCGCCTGTTTATCTCTTCGTAATTCCTTCCTGGAAGCCTCGGCCGGGTGAGAAGCCACTCAAACTCATCCGCGAATTCGATTTTGTCGGGGCTGTTCTGGTAATAGCCGCCATCATCACCGTTATCATGGCGATACAGTTTGGTGGTAGCTTGTACGCATGGAACAGCGGCACGACCATCGCCCTGTTCGTCGTTTCCGGAGTACTTTTCGTCCTCTTCGCGCTGCAGCAAACTTTCACCATCTTCACGAGTACTGCAAATCGCATGTGGCCCGTTCATTTCATGCGAAACTGGAACGCGCTGCTCTTGTTCATGACGGCTGCCGCGGTTAACACTGCTGGGTTCATCCCCATCTACTACATTCCTTTATACTTCCAGTTCACCCGAGGAGACAGTGCCATCGAGGCCGCTGTCCGACTTCTTCCGCTCATCTTTGTCCTGAGCGCAGCCATCCTTGCAAATGGTCACTTGAGTAGGCAAACTTTCTCTTAGTACCGAGAGATGGTGGAGATGCTAACATTCCTGCTACGAAAGTGGGGCGATTCAGTTATTTCCAGCCTTGGTATATTTTTGGCAGTGTTCTCACGCTGATCGGTGGTGTTCTGCTATGTACGTATAGGCCCACCCTTTCTTTTCGGCCGATTGGCTCACATTGACATGTCTACTAGCCCGCGTCACTTCCGACACTCCCACCGGTCAGATCTACGGTTTTGAGGTTCTTATTGGTATTGGTACAGGGTGCTTCATCCAAGCTGGATATGCCGTGATCCAGGGCATGGTCCCAGCGTCAGACATGTCATATGGAATCAGTTTCATGATGATTGGTGAGTGATCTCTGCTTGTTGTGATATACCATGAACCAAAGCTGATGTCATGTCAGCGCAACTCGGTGGTATTGGTCTGGGTCTGTCGATTGGAGGCGCCGTGTTTATCAACGAGTCCCTTGACAACCTGTCTGTTCTTCTGCCCGACATCTCCCGCGACAACCTGCAACTGGTCATCACAGGTACGAGTAGCGCGGCTTTGCGGGGCTTGACACCCGAAGTTCGCCAGCAGGTCATTGATGTCATTGTACAAGCAATGGGCGATGTCTTTATACTGACCTACGTGGCCGGAGCCTTTTGTCTCGTCGCCTCAATGTTGTTCACAGTAAGTGGTTCTTTTAAACACAGATAGCGCCGAGACTAACGCAGTATTATAGAAGCGCAAGATGTTTGGTGACGCCGTCGCAATGGCAGGCTAAAATTTGGTGTTCGCCGCGTGCCAGCACCCAAATCAACGGATGCAACTCAAAAGTAAAATATGGTGTCGGACTGTGTACGATGATTTTAGTATACTCATTCAACCGGCGTTTTGTTGCATAGTGGTTCGTTTCCGCATTTCTAGCGGCGTTCTTGGTTATGCGGAGGCAAGCTCATGGATAATAGACAATTTTTCTTGCTAGTTATGAAACCCAAACTTTTCGATGTTTCTGAAATCTATGTGACATCTTAGTGTTAGTAATGTTTCAACCTGTTCTCATGTGTGAAAAGACCACATACGAATTGATCTTAGTACTAATGTTCGTACCATCAAATTGCCTTCCGGGCAAGAATTCCTCCACCATTTGATACTGGAATTTGCATTTTCTTCTCACAATGACGGTTAATCATAAGTAAAGCTGCGGCAAACTGAAGTACCGAAAATTTGTGTCGGAGGCGTCACAGCTCGGTGCCTACTTTTAAGTATGTCCACATAAATTCAGAGCATTGAACAAGTCATAGTGAATCTCTACCGTGGCTATTATAAATTGCTTTGAACCAAATAAGAATAGCCGAGAACAACAACCCGAGAGGCTGCCACTTTTAAATATGTGTTGCGGGGAGCTTCACCGTCGTTTTCAAGTACCATAGGGTACCCGGGTTCAGGAGAATATCCATACCGTCTTCTTTGTACCGATTTCTCCCTCTTTACTATTTTCAAGCGCCTGCTGTAACCGCTCATTGAGAACGTGTGGATTTGCCTCTTGCCACGATACCAATGTCAATTCAGGAATCTTCAGGTCCCCCTTGCCGAAAAGTCCGGCGACATGACAAATTAACTCCTCCGATTTCGTCTCCCCCATCTTCTTCAAGATCTCGGACCCGCGGAAAGGGACGAAGGATAGCTGTCTGGCAAAAAGATGCCCTGTGCTAACGCTGATGCTAGATCCTGGTCCTGATAGCAAGCCTACTAGTGCAAAAGTCCCTTGGGGGGCTAGAGTATCTGCTAGAAGCTGTCCTACATGACCATACACACAATCCAACGCCAATACGGGCCTGCTGGGAAGCAAAACGGTGCCGTCTGCCAGCTCCGATTCTGTCAGCACGGAAGCGGCCCCGAGATGAGACAGGGTTGTCTTTACGAGCTCAGCAGCTTCAGGTGCGCGGTCCCGAATGACCACTATCACGGCGACGCCCTTCAGGCGCGCCAGTTGCACGAGGAAGTATGCAACACTGCTTGTTCCTGCGGAAATGATGATGGTATCGCCGCTCCTGAGCGACTTGATCTCCTCCAGCAGGAGCCACGCTACCAGAGCCCCGGACCTGAGGAGAGCGCCGGCCAGCACGGGTGTCGATGCGGGTAGTTTCAGCAGTGAGGATTCGGGGAAGACCGCATCACTGCGCCATGTGCCAGCGCCGAGGCTCCTGGGGATGACGATGTCACCTTTGGAGATGGTGGCAGACGTGGATTCTGTCACTACACCGCAGCCGTCGAAACCGGGGATGGGGTAAGAGTCGTGCGTGTTGTGAGGCTTGACTGGGTATTGGCCAGAGAGGACCATCAGGTCTACCCGGTTAACCGGCGAAGCGAGGAATTTGACGTGAACATTTCCAATTGAATCGGTTCGGAGACCGGGTGTTTCATGAGCAATCAATCGCACTGGTGTCGAGGGGGACGACGTATCTAGGACTAGAGTGCACGCCATGTATTCAAAGCTCGTACCTGTCATATTGGGAACCAATTGAGTTGCGCATGGTATTCCACGCGGGTATTCTGGTTGTACGCGCAGCTAGTGTTCTCATATAAGCTAAGTGTACATAATAACGACCGCTTAACGCCGAGTCTTAGGTAAGACGGCATTCAATTTGTCCAGCATATTTCTCACGAAGACGATTCTTGCCAACTTTTCTTCTGGGGTGACAAATAAGTGCGGCTGAGGGTGTATGGCGCGATGGAGCGATGGTACTACGCAAGTTAAGGAGCGCACACCTAGACGTAGGAAGCTGAGCATGCAGGTAAGAACTTTATGCATTGTCCCCATAGGGGTAAATGAAAGCTTATGAGTATGATCGTTAAGGGACTTCTCGCCTCAAGGACAATCTGACCGAAAGAACCCTGAGGTGGGAAGCACCAAGAGCAGAACCTTGCAGCGTGCATACGCGCGGGTTAACCCGTTGAGAAACTAGTACTAGTGCCCCAATGACACGCATGGCAGCAATATCTCAGTCAGCATGAGATCTGATATGCATCCTCAAATCTGCGCGTCAGATCTCCATTTGATTTGTGTGACACCGTCGAAAACGGGCATGATCAAAACGTCCACTCGGGGGTCTTCGACGAGACGGGTGTTGAATTCGTCCAATGCCTGGCCACAGCCTAGCCAATACGGCCGCACGTGGTCGTTGAGCCACGGTGCAGCATCAGCGCCGATTGTGAGACCTCGCGCAAAGACTTTCAGACGTGGTTAGCATACCCGGAATGTTACACGGGACAGGAAAATGCGGGGTGCACATGAAGAGGGAAGGTTGGGTGGTGCTGCAGCTTACCATTATCGCACAAGATTATGCCATTCTGAGACAACAGCTTCTGGTCCAGAATGGTCTGAACGTACGTGGCATAGCCGTCCTTGTTGGCGTCGACAAAGATGATATCGAAGTCGCCCTTTAGAGTTTTGAGGCTGTACAGGGAGGAGTCAGTCAAGCAAACTATCAGACGCCATCAACGAGGGAGGTAATCGGGTCAACTGACGTCTGATCCGCAGGGCCTTCAATCAGCTTGACGCGATCTTCCACGCCGTAGTCCTTGAAGGTCTTGCGGGAAGCAGCGATCATCTTTGGGCTCAACTCCAAGGTGACGATTTCAGCCTTGGTATCTTTGGTCCCCTCGTACCATGCGAGAGCGCTATACCCGCTATAGGCACCGATTTCTAGGACTGTGTGCATGTTAGTGATTTCCATCAATTTCGGGCTTGGGTATAGCCGAAAAGCTCGAGTTACACCGGAGCAAAGGAGGATGAATTCGCCTAAGTTGGAGATATACGTACCCCGCTTAGGCTTGCGATCCTTGGCGGTAAAGATCATCCATGCACCTTGGAGGCGCGAAGACATCTTGTCAGCATCGGAAAAATGCGTACGAGTGTACTCCCAATGCTTTTGAAGGACATCGGGAATCACGGTTGACCGCTTCTCGCAGTACTCGCTGACGCGGTCTGCCGTCTCCTCGTTGAATGGAAGAACGCTGCCTAACATCTTGAAGGATGAATTTGTCGGTCTGGAAATTTTACGAGACGATAAGATGATTGGGCGAGACTCGAGTCAAAGCGTAGAGTTGTGGCTGAGATTGAATCCTATCGAGAAGTTTGTAAGATATTGTGTATAAACCCAATGATGAGAGGTCATTTATACTTAGAACATAGGCTCGTGCTAATTCTAGACTCTCATGGAGAGACTCTGCATGCATGTATGCTTCGTGCTTGGCAACTCCGCCATTTCCCCTCCAGATGCGTTTGCCATCACTGGGCTGTCAGGCGGTGAGAAGCATTTCCCATATGAGGAGGATGCCGTTTTTCGGCCGCCCAGGAGCGAGGAGCAATCTAAGCTTCTGCAGCAGTCAGCTCTGCATGTGCATGCTTATTCCTATACCAATCCGGCAGTCGAACCGACTTGCGGGTACTATAGGTGAAGTAGAAAGCATCTAGCCCGTGTACAAATCGGGAGTGTTTTCCATCGCAAGGGAGCAAAACAATTTCAAAGGGTATGCATGTCAGATATGAGCACCCGTGGATTGGTAATCTATGCCAGAAATTCCCAGATTGAGTACGCATACTACTACACTAATACGGCGCGGAGCCTGATGTTTATGGTATGCCTGGCAGATATATACACTTCCAGATTGGTAATCGATGCTCCAAACTTCCGGATTAAGCATCCTGACGAGATATACAACGCCACAACCGGATGATCTTAAGTCCGAGGAATTCGACACGGCTCACTATACTCAAGGAACATCGTTCACGTAAGGGATTTGTAAGGGACTGAGAATGAGGAATCCCACGCCAGACTCCATTCCGTTTCAGCATTATACGTGCATGCATGTCTCCATCTGACATTCTCCGGGGGAGAGCTTACGAGACCTTACTACGCAGCCGGGTGCGGTCACGACCTCAAACCTCGGTTTGACGTTGTGAATTCTGGAGCTGGTCTTGGGGCGTAGGGACCTTTTGGTTTGCATGGATCTCGACTTGGTCTGGGTGGGTGCAAAAGGCCAGAGGTTAGCCTGACGATGGATTGAATCATCAGCCCCCTTTGCCGATAAATCTCACTAGAACATACTGTAGAAGCCCGATTAGAATCCTTCTGACTCCCTGCATATCGTGACTGGTCGAACTCAGTATTAGTCTCATCAGATGAGTTTTCAGCGCGGCAAGAAAATCAAGTCTGGATCACCTCATCTCGCCACTTTGGCGATAAGTACCCTGTTTGGGGGAGTTGAGGCAGAAAAGGAGCAAGAGGGCTTTCATGCAGCTACTTTAAAGCAGAGCTATAGTCAATGGATGAGAAATTAGGATATTGCATAAAAACCCCTTATTGTGCCATTGAAACCTTTGGAAATTGTGTTGAACCAACCTCGACACACCACCTTAGTTTCCTCGCTGAGATTCAACATCGCCTCTAATGAACCATGGCTGAAATCGAGTTTTTATCACTTACTCCGCCGCCTGTCTACCAGGACGGCCGACCATCCCCGATTGGGCTCGAAAGTCTGAAAGCTAAAACGGTTGATCCGGTACAAATTTCCGTTACCGAGCTCACGGAAAGTCTCGATAAGCCCTTAGCTCAAGCAGACCAAGATGTTGAGCTTGATGTGGACTGTATCCCATTCCAAACAGCTTTTCTTGAGCGAAACTATCTCGCCCTCTCGACAGCTATAATCCCACTGAAACTGCCTTCCGATCTTGTCAGAGACTATGATCGTCTTTCTCATGCCTGGCACATACTAGCTCGACATAATCATGTCGTCCGGACGATCATAGTCAAAGAAGTCGATGTCCTAGGGGGTGTCATGTTCAGACAACGTATCTTGAAAAGCCCTCGGCCCATCACAATGGGGCATTTAGACGATGCAAAGCTACCGCCTGTCTCTCACGAACCGGCTTCGCTCGTAGTGGATTGGTACAAAGACCCAACGGCAGTCTTTCTCCGCATACAAGCCGCACTCGTTGACCGAACCTCCCTAACATATCTGTGGAAAGACTTTGTGTCTATCCTGACCGGTGGTATCCCTATCAGCCGCCTAGCCTACCCGAAATATGCCGCTACTTTGAACCGACGTGAAACCAAAGCAGCCAAAGAGTTTTGGTCTGAGAGTCTTCAGGACGTACCCGCTCTTGTCCTCCATTCGATACCCATAGCTCGCCAAGGATCATTGACCACCACGCCCTTGATCACATCAGCTGCAGTCAGCAGTGTTGCATTGAAGCGATTCTGTGGTGACCTCGACGTCTCTCAGGAGTCGTTGTTATACACAGCTCTCGGCATTGTACTCAACCGACACTGCCAAACCAGTAGCGATACCGCGATCTTCGTGGTCGAGGGCAGGGATGCAACTGTGGATGGTTACGACACGGTTGTTGGCTGTGTAGATCAACAATACCCCCTGAAACTCCAACTCTCTCCCGGCCTTTCGGTGGCACAAGGCGTTCGTTACACAGAGCAGGTGAACATTTCCTCGTCCTCGAATGCGTACATCGGATACGATAGTATCACATCTGAATATCCTGCCGCACGCTCCGACTTCAGGATCATCTTTTCTGAGCTCGATGAGGCTCTCGAACCCGTCGGTGACCATTTTCCCGTGACAATATATATCCGCACAGCGGAGACTGTTTCCATATCGGCAAGACATGATACAGGGATACCGAAAGAAAAAGCGGAGATTATTTTGGATCATTTGATGACCGCAATCGCCAACATGTTAGCACATCCCACCGCTCTGCTGAGTGAGATCTCAATCATATCCTCGAGAGAGAAGGCGTTGATTCACAAGATGGGCATGCCGAAAACAAAGCCTGCTCCAGGGAGTGTTCACCAAATTTTCGAGAAGCAGGTTGAGCTCACTCCCAATGTCCCAGCTGCGCAATTCGAAAGAGATGCACCCATTTCTTACGTGGAACTCAATCGCATGGCCAACCGAGTCGCGCGGCAGCTTCCGGCAGCTAGGGGCTCGTTTGTACCTGTCTGTGTCGAGAGGTCCGTCAATCTCATCGTCGCTCTCGTCAGTATTCTCAAGACGGGGGCAGCATATGTGACTCTAGACCCAGAAACCCCCCAGGATAGAAACATGTTCATCATAAGTGATGTTAATGCAGACTTCGTCATTGTTGACAGATCAGTGGCCGGTCGTTTTCCGAACGAGATCATCATCGAGGATCTTCTTGAGAGCTCCCGTCGTGTAAAGGATACCAACTTGACCCGTTTCTGTGAGCCTTCTGACCCTGTGTATGTGATATACACGTCTGGCTCTACTGGCAAGCCGAAAGGCGTTCTTCATGTGAGTTGTCGTTTCATGTACGGTTGTAGAGTCGCTCGGAACTGACTTAGTTGCCAGCTGCACTCTTCTGCCACGTCAGGACTTGACGCCTTTCCGATGCTTCCGCACCTGCGACAGCTTCTCTTCCACAATCCGGTATTCTCGGCCGCGCAGAGGTCCGTGTGGTCTACACTCAAGCAAGGAGGATGTTTGTGTTTGGCAAGTAAGGACAACTTGACATTGCACATTGGTCAGACCATAAACCAAATGCGCATCAATGTGATCGATGTAACGCCTTCGACCGCCCTCTTAATCAAGCCCGGTACAGTCCCATGCCTGCGCCGCATGACAGTGGCGGGCGAGCTGATCAACCCGGCGCTGATTCCGATGTGGGTTGATCACCTGGAGCTTCTCAACGCATATGGACTAAGTGAGAACACTCAAGTCAACTGGCGCCGGGAGATGGTCCTGGGACAGAATCCTCAGAACATTGGGCGCCCAAGCGACACGACAACCTCCTTCGTGCTCGTTCCGGGTAGCACAGAACTGACTCCTTTGTTGGTACCAGGGGAGCTCTGTTTGGGTGGTGACCAACTTGCAGTTTATTACATCAATCGACCTGAGAAGACTGCGGAAGCATTTATTACTAATCCTTTCGGACCGGGTCGGCTGTATAGAACCGGCGATATGGTTGTTGCGCACGAGGACGGGTCTATCGAAATGCTAGGCCGAATCGATTTTCAGGTCAAGATCAATGGACAGCGTGTCGAGCCTGGCGACTCGAATTCTGTGATCCAGACACACCCAGACGTCTACACTTCAAGTGTGGTCTCAGCTGACATAGACGGGCGAAAAGTCCTCGTCGCGGTGGTGGTTCCAAAAGGAGATACTGAGTGGTCACAGCTCCGCTCCGAGCTCCGGGATCTGTTGAAACTCCATATTCCAAGCTACATGATGCCCACCTACTGGCTTCCAGAGGCCGAGCTCCCGTTGAACATCAATGGAAAGGTTGATGTTCCCGTCCTGTCCAGATATGTGGAAGGTCTTGGCAAGGACCATCTCCTAGAATTTTCGGCCAAGACCAAGCGGGGCGGAGACGGGGCAGACATGTTCTCTCCGGTTGCGCGTGAACTGCGAAATATCTGGGCTCAAGTCCTTAACCTACCAGTTGACAGAATCTCCAGCGCCGACTTCTTCCAAGAACTTGGTGGCTCCTCACTGGACGCTATCAGAGTTGCATCCCAAGCTCATGAAGCTGGACTCGATATTGCCGTCACCGACATCTTGCGCCTACCATTACGAGAAGTAGCCAAGCATGGCAAACATGAAGAACATACAAACGAGGTTGTTGCATTCTCATTGCTACCTGAGAAGATCAAACTCAAACTTCAGGATCTTGAAGATGCATTCCCAACGACGCCACTTCAGGATGCATTTCTCGCGGATTCTCTAATTGGGAACTCGACGTATGTTTATCGGAGATACTACCGCATGGCTGGTCGTACGTCCGAGGAAATTCATGCCGCCCTTCAGAAAATGGTCAAGACACATCCAGTTCTTCGTACCAGCTTTCTGCAGAACAAGACTTCATTTTTACAAATCATCCGGAAGGCAGCCGAATTATCTTGGGAAAAACTGGACGTCACTGCAGAGGAATTTTCGGCACTTGAGAAACATTCCATGCAGCTAGGTGAAAACTTTGTGCATTTTGCAACCCTTCGAGGTGGCGTTCTTGCCGTTAGCATGCACCACGCTCTCTTTGACTATTGGTCCAACAACTATTTGATTGAGGATCTTGAGGCTGGTCTCCAGAGCCGGTCACTGGTAAAGCGCCCGAGTCCTGCCAGATTTATAGAGTACATGCAAGAACAAGACCATGCGCAAATGGAGGAGTTCTGGAAGTCTAGGTTGCAGCATGCTGTGCCTTCGTTGTTAGGTCATCAAAGCACCAAGAACACGGTGGTGGAAGGGGACGTCTCAGAGGACCTTCAAACCTTTGCAGCATTGCACAGAGTTTCCCTTGGCTCTTTGGTTTACGCTGCCTGGGCGATCGTTCTCTCCTTGCACACCTCGCAGAGCGAAGTGATCTTCGGAGCAACTTTGTCTGGTCGCGATGCACCGGTGTCAGGAATTCTCGATATGGCCAGTCCCACCATCAACACCGTTCCCTTCCGTGTGCAGGTCGACCCAGATTTAACGGCGCTCGAGTTTTCTAAGAGGATCCAAGAGGACCTGTGGCAGCACTCGGCCCCAGCGCTCTTGGGGCTGCGGAACATCCTACGTACTTCCGGAACCAAAGCTGGCCTGTACGATACCCTAGTCAACATCTTGATCAAAGATAGCACCAAGTCCGGCGACGAGCTTTTTGAGAAAGTACTAAATCCTTGCTCTCCCGAGGAGCCGAACTATGTTGATAGTACTATGCTCGAAGCGGAGTCGTTGCCGACCGGTGTCCGGCTACGCCTGCTCTCGTCCTTGCCGGAGGAGAAGGCTTCTCTGATACTTGGCAATGTTATTGAGACACTCAAGGCTTCTTTCCACGTCCCTGAGGGTCTCATTTCGCAGATCAACCCAATCACATTACAAGAAGAAGTGTTCGTGGATTCCTTGTCACAGGAACAGCCTACCACCAAGGGCTTGTTGGCGCACACCCTCTTTGAGCAGATGGCCACGCGCTTCCCTACTAAAACGGCACTCCGTGACTTGTCATCAAATACCTTAACATATCAGCAGTTTGATGAGGTCACCAGTAACTTGGCGCAATTCCTCACAGGAAAAGGCGTTCAGAGTGGAGACATCGTTCCCATCTGCATGCAAAAGTCACTCAACACTCTCATCGCAGTCTTTGGCATCCTGAAGGCGGGTGCGGCTTTCACCCCTTTGGACCCCAAGAATCCTAGGGATCGAAATGATTTCATTATCGGAGACGTTGGCGCTCGGCTGGCCATCACGGACAGGGTTCATGAGGCCTTATTCGACAGTTTCGCCGGGCAAGTCATCAACATGGACGGCATTGGTACTTTGAAAGCGAGCAACGACAGCGTTGCTGCTTCCACCGCCACACCCAGCGCCCTAGCATATGTTATCTACACCAGCGGCTCGACAGGTTTGCCGAAAGGAGTACAGGTCTCACATGGCGCTGTAGCGGCATCGACAGAGGGTATGATCGAGGCATGCAAAGTCGACCATGATTGGCACGCCCTCTGGTTCTTGAACTATGTGTTCGACGCGTCATACTTTGACGTGTTCACCGTGCTTGGTTGCGGCGGAACCATCTGCGTCGCACCCCAGGACACCTTGATCAACGATCTTGCCGGATGCGTCCGGACTTTCGAAGCCAAGCAGCTGATGATCACACCCAGTATTTCTAAGCTCATATCACCAGATGAGGTACCCAGTCTCAAGGCCCTTCTGGTTTGCGGTGAGCCCATCACGCCCGAACTAGGGACCACCTGGGCATCAAGAATGGACGTCTACAATGGATATGGTATATAACGTCTTACCCCTGTTTCTTCTAGAGTGATCAAACTAACAGTTTCTACAGGTCCAACGGAGGCGACTATCCTGATGACAGTATCCAAGGTGTTGCCTGAAGGCAATTTGAAGTCCATCGGCTATCCACTGAGAGCTATCAAAGCTTCGATTTTGCATACTGATCGGCTCGAGCCCGTGCCTTATGGGACAGTGGGCGAGCTCTGTGTAAGTGGAGGTCAAGTCGCAATGGGGTACCTGAACCGACCCGATATCACGGCTACATCCTTCATCAAGACCAGTGACGGTTCTGTTCTGTACAGAACTGGTGACTATGCGCGCTGGCTTGCTAATGGCGAGATTGAGTGTTTGGGCCGTAAGGACAACCAGATCAAGCTGAACGGATACCGCATCGAGCTCGGCGAAATCGAGAACACCATTCTCGCCCATGCAAGTGACGTCGTCAAGAGCTGTGTTGTGAGTCTCGTGACGGTTCAGCGCAAGCCGGCTATCGTCGCGTATTATGTACCCCAGGACACCCCAGAGCTGCTGGCAAAGAAGGACGAGCATTATGAAGAAGATGACAAACATATGTTTCCTACGGCTGTCATTGATCCAGCCATTATCCGCACAAGAATCACGTCACTTGCTCACTACATGGAACCCAAGTTGTTCTTGCCATTCAGGTCCTTCCCCTCGCTCCCATCTGGTAAGATCAACAGAAAGGTCCTGAAGTCGATAGCCGGGAGCCTGAATGCAGGCGACATTGCAAAGTATTCAGGAATTTCGAGTCCTCGTGCTACCAACGAGTCCGAATCAACGGAGCTCACCGAAACGGAAACAATACTTCGCAATGCATGGTCTGAACTGTTTGACATAGAGGCTGCTGATATTAGTGCATCCGATTTATTCTCGAGCCACGGCGGTGACTCGATTGGCGCCATCAACCTCGTCAGCATATTGCGGCGGCAAAGCTGGTCCCTATCTGTCAATGACGCCCTTTCCTATCCCTCCTTGCGAGAACAAGCACGATATGTCAAAGCTTCCAAGTCTACCACTGGTCACAATCCTCTGGCAGACTTTGTTGTCGACCCAGCGGTCCACCAAAAGCTTGAGGCCGCGGGTCTCGCATCAGAGGATATCGAGGAGATCTATCCTTGTGCACCCGGACAGGTCGAGTTCCTTACTCAAGGACACACCAATGACCAGTTCTGGCAGCTCATGACTGTACGACGGCTTCCACCGAGCTTTGACTTCGACCTGTGGATTGATCTTACCAGAAAGTTGACCGCAGCCAATCAGATCTTGCGCGCCATGTACATGAAGCAGGTCGATGCTGATCAACTCAGCTGGGTACAAGTCATACTCAAGGAGCCGGTCCTCGACCTGGAGATCGTTGAATGCAGCTCAGAAAACGAGAAGGATAATCTCGTTCGCCGCCACTGGGATCAACACTTCGAGATCGGTAAGCCGTTTGTCCGTTACCTGGTCTTGCGCTACGAAGATGGAACCATTGATCTGTGCACGAAACTCGACCACGCCATGTATGATGGCACACTACTGCGAGTCTTTGACGACCAGTTCACAGCATTGCGCCAAGGTACAGAACTGCCGAAATCGGTCCCGTTCAAAGCTTTTATTGAATACAACAGCCAAAAGGACGAGCGAGGGCGTATGCTCTCCTTCTGGCGCGATCACCTGGCAAACAACACTTTCAATTATCCATCCCACATTGAAGGCCCGAAGGTTGGCGGTGCGCTCGTGAAGAAACTCAACCTTGATGTTGCTACTTACGCCCAGACAGCAGGAGTCACACCATCGATCGTATTTCAGACTGCCTATACACTCTTGCTGAGCCGACTCAGCGGCGAAACGGACATCACGTATGATTACCTCCTGACGGGGCGCAACGTCGACATGGACGACCCCCAGCTCATCAACGGCACCTGTGCCAACTTCTTGCCTTTCCGATCGCGCTTTGACAGATCGACCACAGAGATGAATACTCTGCTGCGTGAGACACAGAACGGGTTCTGGCAAATGACGGAAAATGGCCTGGTCAGCTTGGGAGATATCTACAAAGCCTTGGGGGTGGATCGGAGACGAACAGCCGCCAAGACACTCTTCCTATACCAGCCTTTCGAGCCGGCACAAGGCGAACAAGACCACATGAGATGGATCGTCATGGCCATGAGCAAGGTGACCATGTTTGTCAACTATTCTATCATGTTTGAAGTGTTCAAGGATGTTCAGGGCAATAAACTAAAGCTACAGTATGACGCTCGACTCTTCAGTGAACAGGCGGCTGGAACGGTCATGGATACTTATATGGAGATTGTGACAAGGCTTGTAAAGGAAAACCCGGTAACAGCTGGGCAACTGTTATAAACAGCTAGATACAGGAGTTCTCGTATATTGTATAAATCTAAACGAAAAGTTTTAAAGATATATCTGATATAAATATGTTCAAATCTAAGTGTTATATAAAGTCACTGCTATCAATTACTTTAAGGTTGTAGTTGATCAGGTGATAATATCTGAACAGATTGAAAGTCATGTGGAAATACAAAGTTTTGATACTCAGGTTTATCTCCTCAAGAAGGGCCGAGTCTCTAAACCATCTAGTGCGATAACTCCCGTAACGACGAACGGATAATCCAAGCGGCATTGCCTGAGCTAGAGCAAGCAAAGGACGATCAATTCGCCACTCATAATTCCCACACACTTCTGCTGTTGATCAATGACCGAGGTAATGCTGAAGTGCGTGCATGGTCTCTTGATACGGTGAAACGGGGTGAAATCACCTACGCTGAGGTGAAGAAAATCGTGCCAAATTTTTACAAAACCCTTGCCGGCGACGATCTGTTCCCCCGCGTGTCATAGATAGACGTGGCTGTCAATGTGAGCTTCAAGCATCTCTTTTTAAGGTGTTATTCATCCATATCAGCTAGTCAGCGGCGCAAGCGCCATGTGGCGCTCACGGGCCCAGCATGTATCCACATTGAACAGAGAGACAACTGGAAACAACAATATCTGACCACCGATTACTTAGCACCTTGCATTAGCCACAATATTCATTTTGTGTACGTGCAGTTGAGTGAGTATGCACTTTGGGGGAAAAGGGGCAGTTAGAAAGAGGAAGCTCAGATCCACATCACAACCAAATGGTCATGATTCCCAGAGGGGAGGTAAAGTCCAAAAGCATAAGAGAACCTGCTCTATGTATCCAGACAGTTCCACCGCAGGAGGCTGTGCTGGATTACCCTTCTCTCGAAGACGACGTGCATTTCAAGCTCCAGACTTTGCAGGACATGTTCTCCAGCACACGACCTGTTGGCATATTACATCTTCGCGGCGAAGAATCTGATGATCCAGACTTGTATCCCGTGACACTCGCAGGCGAACCGGCCATATTTCCAAGGTGAAGTTGAAGAACGGTTCATGGAGGAGTGGCCGGAACTGAGTGGCTGATCAGTCTTTGGTATCGCCATCTCTAAGTTTCATGTCACTACAATCGCAGTCTTCTGTCACAGCACCCAAGCCACAGTCGACTGCCTTCCAAGGCGCTGGGGAGCCTGCAACCTCATCTGAACAACCCCAGAAACTAAACAAGATCAACGAGTCTGGCAATCTTAGGTGTTTTCTTTTTGTTACCGCCTAGCCAATCTGCAAGCACACCCTACCTCCCCAGGGTTAGGATTCGTTTATCTATAGTGGCTAGGGTATGTAGTAAAAGAGAAACGACCGGCACGACCGCATAATAGAAATAAACATTTATTTTATCATCCGTCATTTGCTTTTCTAATTTAATGTTAAAAGAATAATTGGTCTGTGCCCAACAAGTGCTTCAGCCAATCTCCATCTGAGAATTCTACAAAAGGGTCCAGCAGCTCAAAGTTCTCATGGTAAGTCGATCCAACGATTGAACTTGCTAGAGAGGTAGTGGCTGCGTTCCATGACAACTTGATGAGGTGTATTCTGGAAGCCATGATAGTGAAAGTGTCCACGTCATCGGGGTCAACGTAGAGACCCGCCGCTGCCTTAACTTGTCCAAAGTTCTCCTCTCCTGCCTCCAGGAAGGATAGGACGTCTAGGTCGTCCACGCAAAGAGCCCGGTCCCAGTCAACATGCTCAAATGTTGACAGCCGATACACGCTCAAAAAGCAGTGAGTCATGTTGGAATATTCCAATGCTGAGAAGCCAACATACTGTGCTGGCTTGATACCGAGGAAGACGCCCATCCAAGTCTTGACGGCGTGGACACAGGCCACAAGGTACTCGACCCGGCGATTTGATTGACCACTAAACAGACCGGGAGCCTGCGAGAGCCCTATCTCGTAGATGCTGACCTCAGTTATGTGCAGCTCTAGAAGAAGAGTTTCTGGTGAGGAAATCAGCCTAGCTGTACGATCTGAACCCACGCAGCGCCCCGGGCATAAATACTTTGAAAAGTGACTTACTGTTATTCGCCTGGCTGGGAGGAATCTTTGCCTTGAAATCTTTGAGCTGTGCTTCGAGCGACTGCACATAAAATGAGGCAGGTATAGTTGTGGCACTTTCTATCTTGGTGATTGGGCTCGACCAAGGCAGGTCCTTCACTCTCTCTGAAATCAGGCGCAGCTTGACCAATTGCACAAGGAGGGCGTCAGACTCGAACTCTTTTTCAGTTTCCAATCTCTCGAGGCACTCATCCGCATATACTGTCCAGCGTAAAGTGCTGCCCTTCCGCAAGGTGAAACAAGATCTGCGGCCGTTAGCTTGAGCTTGTACCCACGTGGAACATACCTACACTGAACTTATCAAGAAACAACCGAGAAGAGCTCTTCTTTCCTCATTACTCGGAGTCCTCGAAGACCTTAATGGCAGCTCAGAGCCCTTCAGACGATGTGCTAGCAAAAGCACCGGATCTTCAGAGGGTGGCTTGTCTAATCCGAGGTCGTAGAGCATTGCGATTGCAAGATGCACGAGGCTGATGAGGAAAGGTCGGCCGAAATGATAGTGCCGGTCCCTATGACATGACGCACTATCAGCTTCGCCAAGTTTCCATGTCTGACACCGTCGTGAGGAGAAGCGAAATAGTGTTACATATGTTCTACGCACCAAGTAGTGTACACAAGGACTGCCAAGAATAAATCCATGTTCCGTGTCCCTTCCACGAAAGCTTCTCGCGCAAGAACAGCTCTGGCCTCGTTTGACAAAGCCCTCTGTTGTGTAGAATTGCTTGACGCCACGGCCATGATCGAGATCCAGAGAATAGGGCGCTCCTGCCGGAGCTCTCGAGCTGTCACAGAGGCTGGTATGATGATGAAAGGAAGATACTCCACGAAATGGTTTCGAAACCTATCCAAATACGTTTCTGCATCTTCTAAATCTGGCTCCGAGTCCACAGAGAGAGCGGGTCGCGCTGAGGCGCACGGCGTTGCTGATGTGCAGTTGGTCTCATGGCGGACCCGGGGGACCCGGTTGTATTCGCACTGTCCGTGGCCGATGCTTGTAGCAGCTGTTGAACTGAGGGATGCCCCACGGCCAAGACCGAATTCTAGTGGCAATGAGCCGGGAACCACGGGGTTAAAACTTCCTGTTGCACCCCGCTTGGTCGACTTTGAAAGTGTGCCAAGGCCATCCAATTTCTCCTCCAACCTAGAAGTCTCGGGCCGCAAGGCTTTCTCCGATTTACATCGCTTACGCACTGGGGGTGATGGCTGACATGTTTTGCTCATGCGATGGCATCTGCCCACAGATCGTCATTAAGTGATTCGTGAACTCGATTTCTGCGCTGATAGTACCGGTGACAAATAGCCATACCTTTCACACCTGCCTTCACCGTCAGCTCCAGGGGAACACCTGGCCTTAGCACGAACACAATTGGTGCAAGCTCGGACACGTGGCGGCCGTGCCATGTTCGTGTTCGCGAGGCTGCTTTGCCCAGATTGGCCAGTAAAAGTCGCAGCCATATCGCTCCGATTGTAGCATGCCACCTAAAGTGCGATTGTCGGAGGTTCGGACCTTGGTCTGTATAGCGCCGTCGACCAGACTTCTTGACATTAAAATAGAATCCCCCGGGTTCTTGGTTGAGAGTAGGAGAAGAAGCATGCGAGGAGAGAACGGAGGCAACGAAATAGGAGTAGGAGGGTTGGTAGGGATCGGAGTCGGAGGAAATGTGGATCGGAGTAGGAGGAAATGCGAATCGGAGTCGGAACGGGGTGGCTCTCCACGTCCCGACATGCTTTGACACCCAGTTTACGAGCGCACCATGGTCGTTTTGCTAGGCTTTAAATTATGGTGTCGTCCGCTGAGAGGCGGCAGAGCAGCACTTTTCATTTCTAAATTTTGCCAATAACCCATCGAAGCAGAAGGAGTTGGCGCAGTCATGAAGCTTATAGTTGCAGGAGCCACAGGATTTGTCGGAAGCGAGGTCATTCGGCTAAGCTTGGAACGACCAGACATCACATCAGTCATCGCATTATCTAGGACACCTATTTCCCTGCTGCAGCTGTCCAAGGATGGCGCCGACGTATCGAAGCTGGAAAACGTGATTGTCAAAGACTATAGGGACTATCCAGACAGTGTCAGGAAAGCGTTTGCAGGAGCCAATGCGTGCATCTGGTGAGGGCGCATGTGCCTCGATAAAGTCGCCTAGACTAGTTGTTAAACTGACAGTTGAGCAGGACAATCGCCGTTACTCCCGCCCGAACTGGGGGTGTCAGCTTTGAAGAAATCAAGCAAGTTTGCCAGGACTACCCACTTATAGGGCTAAGAACAATGCGAGACAGTGGGGTCAATCGCCCGTTCCGCTTCATATACCTCAGCGGTAGTGCAGCCCCGCGTGATTCGACCAAGCCACCCCCCTTCTTATCCGAATACCTGGTGATGAGGGTAAGTACAATGATAACGCTGCATTGTAACGATGCACTGATATAGATGCCAAATACAGGGTGAGACGGAGAATCGACTACTTGCGATTGCTAGCGAGAGTAAGGGAGCTTTGGAGGTGTGCGCGGCAAAGCCCGGATGGATAACTGACACAACGTTCACGAGAAGATCGATCATGGCCTTTGTGATGAGATTGGCTGTCTCCATGCCCAGCGTGTCCGTTGCCGAGTGCTCTGCTGCGATGCTCGATCAGATTGTGCATGGATTTGACACGGAGCCTCTGCTGAACGAGGCTATGGTCACAATTGGGCGGCGGGTGCTCAGTGCATCCACAAGAACCAGAACGGTTGACTTGACCAAAGATTGATCAGATCCATCACGGCCCTTGGCCTACATCTTGGATGGAGAAAACAGCTTGGTACGTAAAGCGGCACAAGTCTAAAGAAAACGCAGAGGCTAAATTGAAAACAGTACCATGGACTTGACTATGCTTGCCTTTGTTTTTTTTTTACTCTAGGCTTCGGTCCTCTGTTCGCTAGAAGCAAGGTTGGAGTTTTATTCAGCACGATGCCGTGCCCGTAATCCATGTGCGCAAGGATAACAGTAAAGTGTCGATACGTACGGCGCCGCAGGTGTTGATTATTGACCTAGGCGGAAATTATGTACTCTGTACTACATGTTAGCGGTAAGGTAATTGCCTGCCACAACTATTGAGTCACCCTTGTAACCACACTTCTATTGCGGTACTGCTTTCATACCGGTGGGCGCCACTGGTGAGCTTCAGACACAACTACCAAAATTGAAATTTCCATGGGGAATCTACCAAGCACAAGCCCTTGCGAGTGATTCAAATGCAGCGCATTCCTTCAAATCCTCGTTAGGTACAAATCAGCCTGACCGGTTGCTAGATCTGTCTAACGAGAAATGTCCGATTTGGTGCCAAACTCGATCCAAGTGTGTAGATGGTTGAATAGCCAAGTTGGAGGACTTAATGCTGAGGAATTTGGTTGATTCTTTCTTGCATGCTAAGCCCCTAGCTCCCTGCTGCAATCAGAGAGAGACTGTGTTCACATACCCATATTGGAGCCCGTCAGCTCGTTCGGCTGGTATTTAGTTACGAATAAGTTATGGCTAGAAAACTCGGTGCGGCGGTAGTTGAAGCTCTCTTGCTGTGCGACTATCTTCTGAAAGTCGGGTGCCATGATCTTGTAAGCGACTGCCTTCTTGTTGACAGGGTTGATGGAGGAAAGGTTCTTGATCTTGTAGACCCTGTTCTTGGTCATGTCGAGGTTGTAGCCGCCGGACTTTTTAACAATTGTCTCTTGGCTGATGTAACCGGTGCCGTGAGGGTTTAGAACTTTGGACCATTCCAAAGGTTCGACCTCATCATATGTTACGGTATTCATGGGGCCGTCCATTATATGGTCGGCTCGGAGACAGAAAATATGCTGGTGATACGCAGCCAAGACACCGGGGTGGACAACAGTGCCCTAGGGGACTTCTGTGTCCGTGTCGATTGGCTGGGTTGATAGGATACCTGTTGCACGGACTTCATACGTGATCTCACCCGCCTGGTTGAAAATAAAAGCAAGGATGTATTCATAGTTCGCCACTATAAGGATAGATTGCAGTACGAGCTCACGTTGACGGGTGACTACTGCTCTACTAGTACGGTAATTAGTGTGCTTCTAACCAATGCTAGCGTCCTGTCACGCCCCGCGAATTAGCTAGTTTGCATGAAAATTGCAACCATTGACTTCATACCTGCTCATGAATATAAACACAGTTCTCCATTGCGATCGCATCACCTCTAGGGCTACTTAATGTAGCGGAAACGTAGTGTATAGAGCCTAAACAATCATATCCAAGCTTAAGGTTGTTGGCGGTGTAGCCAGCTCTAGCGTCACCGAGATCGAATGCAGACTTCTTGTAGTAAGGATGGCGAGGATCGGCGTATGGAATGTTCATGTCGGATAGCGCTAGTCTGTAGAATAGAGGTCGACCATCGTAACAAATCTAATCGTCTCAGTCAGTCTCCCATCTAGCCTCTGCTGTGAAAAGGCCGAGACAGTACTCACATTATAGAGGACCATGCCCTCACGTCCATTAAATGCAAGTCTGAAACTCCATTTCTGCCAACTAATTACGCTAGTCTCATGAAAATCCTGACTTATTGTAAAGCTTGCGCCTTCCGGCTATACTACGTGGAGTGGCTTAAGATTAGTTCGAAGCTCTTAACTTTCGGGGACATATTTATTTAGCGGCGGAACTTTGTATATACTCGTTTCCCTTAAAGCGTGGTCGACACCTAGTGGTAGTATATTTATACGGATAACCTTTATCGTCACGACGTCGATTACGGGGGAAATCGGTAGCGGCCTTGTATAGTGATTAAAGTCCATGTTCTTAGGGTTTTCTAGGTCTCTTAAAAACATGAAGCATTAGTATATTCTCCGATCGTCGTTAATCCTATCGCTACCTATGTTGTTCGGTCAGTATCTTAGGACCTTTCTAGGACCGAGCACGAGCGCGAAACTTGCTTACCATAACTCCACGGCTCGTAAACGATAAGGGAATTGTCCTCCAGATTTAGCTCAGCGATTTTAGCCTAAACGGCAGGATTTTTATAGACTAAGTCTTCGACAGCCTGCACTTCTTCGAAGTTTGCGGGCCCGTATAGGCTTTTCTCTTGTTAGATCGTAGATATTACCATACCCCGACTTAGGCTAATGATAGCTTTATAAAGGACATCCTATTATATATTAGCATGAAACATGAGATGCCACATTTTAAACACGTATCCTTATACGGCCTCTCTTATAATAAGCGACGAAACTTCTTCTCTTTATAAAAGGTCTAGTGGGAGATTTAGCCTGTTCTATAGCGAGGTATTCTAGTATAAGGGCCTTATCCAGCTCGTAGAGCGTAATGGTCTTGAAGACGAATTTAACATCCTTTGGATAATACTCTCGTATGAGACGTGCCGATTCTTTTATCTCGTCCGGTGTTAGCTGCGACAGTGGGTGCAAGATCGCACGTATAGTAGCGCTTAAGGTAGCCATTGTGTTAAAGTCGAAGGGCTATAACGAAACTTGCTCTGATTGTACGGTATTAGTTCAAAAGGAGAGAAAGGGCCGCGACGGCCTTAAGTAGTTCGAGCCGAGTCGTGTCTTGAGTGTCGAGTCTCGATTAAAAATCTGGACTAACACCTCTTGAGGTCGCTACTTGATGAATCTACTCTGGTCGCCGGTCCAAGGCCGCTTGTGCAATACTTTATTATAACGGTTCATGTACTATTCGTTATTCGTTCTATAGATAGCCTGATTAATAGGTCTTATACAAATTTCCCCGTCGTACCTTCTTATATCTGGAATGAGACAGCGAGTCTCATCGGGAGACGGAGTAAGTGATGGGTTGGGGGTATAGCTTAATACGATGTGTGTAGGGATAAAGGCGTGAAAATAACGGGCTACTTAATGACACGCTAGCGATAGAGCTAATATACACCAGGTAAGTAAATAGAAGGTAATAAGCGACGTAAGGTTCCGTATTAATGCCTCCCCTTTAATTCGCTGTTAGTTACCCGATTCGTGGCTAGTTCGATGCTTTTCTTTACCATGCGCCTATAGGACTACGGCCGCTAACTATATCCAGTCTAGTGGAAACCATGGATCTAAAGACGTTGAACAGAATCGGAGTGTGGGTTGTACACAGTACTGTTAAGACTTTACAATCTACATGGCGCCCTAGACTGTGAATAATACAAGCCCCCTCTCTCACAATGTTTGCTATCGATTGTCTCTATTGTAAAATGTACAGCCATTTGTTCGCTTTATTCCTAACTAGGGCTATGAAGAAGTCGTCCATGTTTCCATGTTTAAGTCGGATTGGCTCATGTCTTATCGGAGCTAAATCGGATATTCTAACTGTATACGGCGGTAATATAATGGACCTACTACTGCTAGTAGGAGTTGTCTTCGCTCATGTCGGTGCTTCTAATTGACCGGAACTGTAATTAAGTTAAGGTATATATTTAATTGTTATCGCTTAAGAGTCGTAAATAGGATGCGCTTCTTACTATCAAATCCGCTCTCCTTTAATTAATTACCTGATATTATACCTATCTGATATTGGGGTATTTAGACCTGTACTCAACCTACCTCTCTCTCATTCAACACACACAGCGGAGTTTATGAGAAAAGTAACCGAAACCTTCTACTTCTAAATTCCATCCTCTCAAAACTTTATCCTTGAAATACCTCTTCCATCTTTAGCCATGTAGATCTCGTCGACCGAAGAAAAGCCGGCATTTGACGACGATACTACTCCGGCTAGTGTTAACCTAATAGCGCTTACTAGTGGGAGCGTACGTGACGATGAAGTTGTAAATGCCCCGGGGGTGTAAATATAGCATTTCAGCCTTGCTATTATAGTAGGTGTTAACTATTCCTTGATCGGCATACCGCTAGCGATTAGCACTTATCTAGCTTTTAACATCGGTATTAGAGGAGGACCGGTGTTCATTTTTGGTTATATCCTTACCTTGGTCTTCTAGTTGACCGTTTGCGTGTACTTAGCGGAAGTCGTTACTTATTATCCTAACTCTTCTAGTATGTTAGGTCCTATACGACGTTTATCGGCTGAAAATTTGTTACTAACGCGCTTCTTAATAGGTCAGGTTTTTTGGACCGTTATGTTTACTCCTCGACGATAGTCACGAAGTCTTAGCTATTAGGCTAGTGCGTTTACATTAACCGGCTAGGTTCTATGGATAGTTACCTTGCTCCTATTCACTTCCTAGTTACTCTTCGCACTAGTTTCCATCTGCTACGATGCATTCTCCGAAGAGGCTTACTAGGTATATCTTGGTTACCTTGCGGCAGCCTTTACGGGCTTGCTTCTAAACACTATCTTCTTCAAATTTTATAGCGTCTTTATCCGGTCCATAGTCCTCCTCATTAATGGAGGCGCAATTGTTATATTGGTATCTCTCCTCGTTCGCGTAGTGCCTAAGCAGTCCGCAGATTTTGTTTTTACGGAGTTTTTTAATTTTACCGGGTAGGAAAACAACGGTCTGGTCTTCCTCCTTGGACTTTTACCAGGTCTTACTTCTATTAACGGTTTCGACGCGGCAGCCCATCTCACCGATGAGATTCCTATGCCGGGTAGACGGGTTCCTTAAGTAATGTGGTGGACGGCGGTCGTGGCTGGACTCGCGGGACTACCAATGACTTTCGTCTTCTATTTTTGTGTGGTGGACACCAACGCTCTGCTGGATCCTATTGGAGAACAACCGATTGCTCAACTTTTTCTAGGTTCTTTAAATCTGCTCCCCCTGACTATCTTTATCATGATCATATATTTATTTATATTCTTCATCGCCGGCGCCGTCATCATCACCATTACTAGCAGAGTAATTTGGAGCCTGGCTAGGGAGTCCCACCTTCCCGGCACGCTCGGGGTTGTGCTATACCACAGTCAACAAGCCGAACTCGCTCACGTACTGCCGACCGCGAAACCAGCGAGGAGAGAGCTAAGCCGTTTCGCTATCGATCTACGATATCATACCCGACGATGACGGAGACACTGTTATCGTTCACGATCCATCTTCTGCTGCAGGCCGGCAAGCGCACCCGGGCCCCTCTTCAGACTCTGGTAAGCACTTCCAACAATTTAATCGAGGTAGAGCGATGATGCAATACTGACCATGGCCCAATAGACGCCATAGGAAGCCCAGACAGCGAATATCAACGCCATTTACTCATGACAGGATCGAGTGCGATGATTCGGGATAGTACAGATGATGGTTTACTGTGTTACCAAGTCGGGCAGAATAGCCCTTCAACACGCAAAGGCGAGATAAGACATAGGACGGGACAGGCCATACAGTCTCAGTATCAGCCAGGGCGAGTCATCAAGCAGCCAATGAGAGGCGGTGCATGGCCTCAAGCATTGGAGACACATACATTGGCTGAGGGTCCAAGTGTGCACCGTGCTCAAGCGGAGAGACAATGTAGGGTTAGTAGAGTCTTGCGTCTGTTGGGAGAGCTTGCAGGAAAGACACGTGGCAACGTGCTAGAGAAAAGTCGATGCATTTGAAGGATTCAGAGATATCTAGGTCCGTATACGAACGATGTCCGGCAAAACACCCCCGCCCCCACGAACTTACAATCTGACACCTCCTAGACCATTCTCGATCTGTTCCAGCCGATCGTACTTGACTCTTTCCACGGCCTCTTTCAGTGCCTCGAGTGCTTCCTGAATCTTGTCCAGCGCTGCAACGACATATGCTAAACTTCCAAGTGGCTCGTACTTCTTATCACCCACCGCGGAAAGAGAGCCTCTCTGGCTCCCACCAGATGATGTTACGCTGTCATCCTGGCTGTTGCCGTCAAAGTCAGGATCACTGTCCTGCGATAAAGAAGCGATAAACTTCCTCAAGCTTCTTAGGCTATCCGAACCGTCCGTCGAGGGTTCTGATCGCACGAATTCCGCATTTTGATCGCTATCACCAGCGTCGTCGGACGCTTGCCGTTATCATCAGCATAATGAAGATGACCGGCTATTTTCAACAATACTCACCATCAAAGTCATATGGTTCTGGTGAAGGTGATCGAACTTGTCGCATTCGGGTTCTTCCTGGTGTAATCATTGCTCTTACTGCAGCTTTTATTGACCTATATACAACCCAGTATGATGGGGATGGAGTCTATAGAGTCTGTCATATATATATATATCGGTCCCGTACGAGCCTCCATCTTAGGACTTCGGGTATTCGTGTCATCCGCCGCCGTTTCTGGAGCTAGAAGTGTCTGATAGGCTTGATTCAACATAGGATTCAAATGATCCTGTGCTGGACGTCCCAGTTGGAAATACTTAATTGTCAAGATTTGGAGCAAGGGGCAAACTAAATCCTCTTTCTGAATCGAAAAGTATCATAAGAAGACTGTCTCGAATGTGCCCGATGCTGGCATGAAACTCTACTACGGTCAACCAAAACAGCCTGCCGACCTATATGATGCTGAGTAACAAACTTGATATCCTCAACACGACTCTGTGTCTCCTCTATCCCCTTCTTGCCACATACAAGGCATTGAAAACATCGAATACGGAGAAACTGAGAGAGTGGTTGATGTACTGATCCATCCTTTCTGCCGTGATGTTCATCGAGTCGCTTTCACATTCCGTCTTAGAGCTGATTCCGGTATATGCGTTGACGAGACTCGTCTTTATCCTTTACCTTCTCCTTCCCAACGCGAGGGGCCATCGTCGGCTATTTGAGTCATTCCTACGGCCCCTGCTCGATTCTCAAGAGAAGCCGATCGAGATCATGCTTCGATTTGCCGATGATGGAATCCAGACAGTGGGGTCATTTTGCTTGCAACAAGTTTGGAAGTTGTTAGATACTCAGTGACATAACAAGCAGGACGACAAGACTCGATAACATGGACAAAGAAGCGACGTTACTATATGGTAGCCGCAGTCCCGGCTAGCCTCATCACATTCTTACAGGAATCCGTTATTGGTCCTACAACTGTCGGTGTTGCAACTGGATACGCTTCATCTAATCAGCGTAGAGGTTATTTGTGCTGATTGTGCTAATTAGCAAAAAATGGCTGACAGGCTAGGAGTACGATTAGCTGGCAGTAATCGCGCGCTCTCCAAGCGATATCTTCGAGTGATGTGACGCCACTAACTAATCGGCAACACGCCTCGCCAACACGTACAATTGTTGACTGAAGCTCTAACATCGCCATTTGGCGCCGTAACTGAAGGCGACAAGACTTACCATTGCTCGTCGTCCGCTCCCGACTACCATGACTTTACGACATCAAACTTTCGATAATGGGACAACCATTAAGAATAGACAATATTCATGCACCGACCATTTCTTCGGACCTTCCCTGGCGCCTGATCACGACGGCAACGCGAACAGCTCTCATTTGCCGAGCTATCTCGGAGAAGGTTGCCATGAAGGTTGCGCTCAAGGCTCTGAATGTGTAGTAGACACGTGGATTGTGTATTTCATACCTTGTCAACAGGGTTTCTGATGCAGAAGCTGTTTGACTATTTCGCTGCTCTGTCTGTTAGTGAATCCAGGGACATTGAATAGTTAATGCGCGAGTCAGGAGGCTAAGATTGTTAGTGCTATACTGATAACTTGCATATAGATCAAGCGGAAAGGCCGTTCGATTCGATCGATTCGCGCGCTGGAGTGACTCCTGATAAACAGCCTGAGAGTGTGTAAAAAGCGGAAGTGGGCGATGAATCAATAGAGGCTCTTCCAAGCTGCGTAAGGAGCAAACTACGCATGAGTAAGTCAAGAATGGGTCTGCTTATTTTCTACAGCGTGATGGCGTGGACTCGGTTTCGAGTCAAATGTGAGATAGGCGAAGTGCATGGTTATTAACCATGGCTAGGAACTACTTTGCCCCGCGGTCGAACCAATAACGAACAATCGTACGAATATCCTCTCTACCACTGGTATTACTATCCTATGCACTACATATGAGGCACTAGATAAGAGACGAAGGGGGAAAGAGAGAACAGTTCATAACACCGAGACATCTCGGTGTTATTATAATCAATATAATTCAACAGATATCCATTCTATTCTATAGCATTGACTTTTCGTGATGTTTGCTTGTTCCATAACATCCTGTGATAATCAAATCTTCTCTTCCGAGACGGAATCCCATGTCGTTCCATGAGGCTATATTGACCTTGCTACGCTACGCAGAATGACTTGGCTCCAATAGGCGCCGCTTGAAGGAAAATGACCTATCGTATGGAATGAGTTGACGTGATCTTTGTGTTTCGATTGATCATGGCAGGCCGTGTTCAGCTCTTCCTTTTGCCATGAGCTCCAAGACTCCTTTAACTGCTTTACGACTTTCCAAGACTTTGATCCATGCCGTGTACTTAGTATACTTCTTTTCGAGTCCTTCTGCTTTGTTCAACTGCTTCAAGATACCCTGACCGACGGCGGCCCACGTGACAAAGGCTATGTCAGCGTAAGTGCACTTGTCGCCGACGAGCCAACCAGTATCATTTCTCCCAAGGGCTTCATCCAGGACTCCAATGACTCGAACGATCTCGTTCACATAGCGGTCAATAGCCGAGGGGATTTCCTCTGAGTGGAAGCGGGCGAACCATGCTGCTTGGCCGTAGTAAGGGCCTTGGCCTTTCAACTCGTCAGACTCGAACAAGATCTTTCAAAGCGGGCAACGAGATCACACTTACCCGAGATTTGAAAATCAAGCCACTGCTGCACCAAGTATTTCTCGGGAGCATTCTTGAAAGAGATCTCGCCGTTCTTGTCGTACTGATCAACCAGATAACTGATGATAGCGCCCGACTATTGATATCTGTAAGCTTCATTCCCGGTGGCGAGAAGTGGCATTAATGCCACCGGGGAGATATACCTCCCAAAGAGTGATGCCAGTGTTAGGGTCTACGATTGTGGGCAGACGTCCATTAGGATTGAGTTTCAAGTAAGGTTGTGACTTGACCTCAGAGAGCTCCAGCTTCATAATGTGATACGGTAACTTCAGTTCTTCAAGAACCATAGCGACTTTCCTTTGAGAAGTAAGCTCTCTACTCAAGCTGCTTTGGCACGGGCTAGGATACTTACCATGGGTTCGGTGCTCCCCAATGGCCCCAGAGTTCTATTGATTTGAGAGTCATGATTGTTGCGAGAACTGTAGTACAGCTATGGGACGAAACGAGAGGACAGGGTCTACACATATGTGAGAATGAAGTGCGGCATAACCAAAGAGAGGGAGGATATATATATATATATGCTGTATAGCGAGAGTTCCAATTTACAGTGTCTATTGTCTGGATCTACGTACAAATATCAAGCATCGAATGCCACAAACTCCCTATACCGCCCAACAGATGACACTTTACCGATCGACGAGACCGGATTATTCAGCCTAGCAGCATGGTGTTGCAGATACTAGTGCTGCGAAGACGTTAGCGTTGCGAAAACGCTAGCGTTGAAAGGGTGGAGCCATGTGTACTGCAAAACTTGCGTGTCCATAAGAGCCGTGTGGGTCCTTTAAATGTCAGCTTTTACCCCAAAATTGATCAAGCATGCCGTGCACGCTGCAGTACAGTAGTTTCGCGAGATCGCTAGCGCCAAGTCCCTATCTACTGTACCATGAAGTGGATTAGATTGCTTCCCTCCTTGGATTACATTGCACTTCTTCCCATCCTTCCCGTTGGCGGCGCTCCCGCCCTGATGACAAGAATCGGAAATCAACACTGTAGGAGGATGACGAACACCCCCTTTCTACCTTTACTTTTTGTCTTCATGCAGTCAAAACTACGCCCATTAGAGTTATGGTCAATATTGGTTACGCTAGCAAAGGCTGCACTACTTGCAGGCTGAGACGAATTCGATGCGACACAACCCGACCGACCTGCCAACGGTGCGCGAAATCAAACAGAATCTGTCTCGGCTATGATGTATCGAAGGGACGAGCAAGTCTCGCCGAAATCTGCAGCGTACCTGCTAATAAAGATGGTTCATCGCCTGTCTCTGGGATATCAGTGGTTCCATCTGTGTTACAACCACAGGACCTTCATCAAACCTGGGCATCGGTGGACGCTACACTCATTCTTAGTAACTCGACGATGATCCGTGCAATTTCTCATCCTACGAATTCAACTAGGTATCCCTTTGACAATAGACATACTGTAGATGGTCCTAGGAAGGCAGCACTCCTCGTGCAAAATGTGATCAGCAGCGGCTTTTCCACCCTCCGCAACCCGATACAGACTATCGAGGCGCGGCGGACACAGCTGGCCAAGTACTACTTAGCTACTCGAGAGTTGAGGGAGGCTCTTGCAGTCTGGCCGGCCTCACCAGCGCTTTTCACCCCAGTGCTCTTCTTTGCAATATACGAGGTACATTTCATCTTACCTTGTGTTATCACGGTTGGGCTAAAACTGGAGACAGATGACCGTTAATCTTGACCAAGGGGACAAAACATGGCAGATTCATCTCGATGGACTGCTGAATCTGCTTTCGCAAATGTCCTACCGGAGCAAAACAGCGCCTTTGCCCAGGGCGATGATGATCCTGGATTCGGGCGATGATCTCAGGAAAGCGTTGGCATCGTCGGCGACTGGCGGTCCAGATATAGCCTCTTTACTCCTAGACGTCACAAAGCTCCGTCTACGAAAGCTCATCCCCGAGATGGATGTTCTTTTCAGGGATGCTTCGAAACATAAACGAAAACTAGACGTCCAAAAGCTCCGGGTACTTGTCAGACAGATTTACAGGGACCTCGGGACATTTCCTGCCATAATTTCAAAGCAATTCCGTCATATCACTGTGGTAGACATCGGAATTGGTCTTTCTGACATCCATCATACTATCGAGCACACCGCAAGTGACGGTAAGATTTGAGACAATCGAGAGACCGGGACAGTTCACACTTTGCTGAATCTCTTCATGTACAGGTATTCTCGCGATGCGCATAAATGAATACAGGGCCCTCCTGATTATGACTGCTAGCTTTTTGCTATGGAGTAGCAATTTTCTCCAGCCGGATGACCAATATCAAGACACCAAGGAGTTTATGGTGTTATATCGCACCATTCTGAATGCAGCCAACGGCGTTCGTTCATCAGCCGCAAGCCATATTGCGGGACTTTCAACTGCCACGGCGCAGCCTTGCCCAAATCCGATGATCAAGACCGTACAGGCTGCAACGCTACTATTTCCGTTATACTCTGCTTATAATGCACCAGGCCTGCCAGGGAATCAGCGCGATTGGTTCAAAAGGGCGCTTTGGTTAATAGGGGAGCGAGCCTTCATTCCTAAAGCCATGGCATTGGTGAGACGACTTGTGATCTCCTTACCCCGACCCTATCATCGTTCGTTCACCCTAACTGAGCTGCAGGCAAACCAAGACGCAGAATGCAAAATTCCTTTTCGGAATCGTACATGGATGTTTGCATACGATTGTTGGTCAGATATTGTAGCCGGCTTACTTCTGCTGAACCTAGCATTCATACCTTTCGCTTTAGGGGACCTCCCATTGCCGTTTGTGAGACCTGGGCTGTAGAGCGGCGTCACAATCAGGTTCCGAAATGTGGTGAGAAGCGATGTTGTCTAGTTACGCCTGGAATATAGTTGTTCATGAGGCGATTAGATGATACCAGCATGGTTCCAGGCAGCGCAGGCCGCATGATTGTTATAGAATTGAGAATGTTCAGACCATTAATTACTTGATGAGTTCGGCTTGACAGCAATCAACATCAGGACAAACGCCTGGTATGACGGCTTCTTAGTCGAATGCTTGAACGTCGGCCCAGAGTACTGTGCACTTGTAGAGACAAGACATCGTGGAATATTCACCCTCATTGGGTTGTAAACCCGGATGAAGCCGTTGCACCTCCATTAGCATGACCAGCTACTGCCAAGAGACGAGAATCGAGTACGCAGCATGTACTGGTGCGTGTAAACCACTGATCTGGTTGGCGTTGAGTCAGTGTGTTCGTACCATGGACTAAAAGTGCATTGGTTTGTGCATTATCGCCGTAGTCAGAATCCTTAGCCTCCCGATTGGGAGACCCAATCCAGAGGCTAAGCCAAATGTATGAAAGGACAGCTGACGAAGGATTGGTGAAATGTGACTACCACGACTCTCCTCCTGCTGAGTTGAGGCGCTTATATTAATATTTAGATGCACATCTCTAGGGTGTTTAACGAAGCGCCCAAAAAGTAGTTACGGATGTGCTTTAAAAATCCGTTTTAAAACGGACAGAAAGATGTGGGGCCGCTGTCATGCGCTAAGACTAATTTGGCGTTCAATTTAGCATAAGGTCTGCCATTTTCTGATCCCAAAACCTCCAGTTTTGGACATCGCCATGCCGAAAACCATCATCTATATGCAATACCTCCGTAATGACGAATGGATATTCCAAGCAGTACTGCCTGAGTAAAAACAATCAAAAAACAATCAACATAAGCCCATCGAAAGGCGAAAACCAAGAATGTAATCCTTTCCAAACCATAGGATACAGATACGTGACGCGCAATAACCACGAAAACGCCAGTGTGGCAACGGTTGTCGCTTGAACATAGTCCGACTAGGCTCAAAGGTCCGGGTCCAAAAGCGGGCGAGTGTAGCTATCTCCAGACTAACGGCCTCTGGCTTACATGTTTCAACGACAAATCTAATATTACAGTAGCTTAACATTTAGTGCTCTCTGCCATTCAATTCGTATGCATTTATGTCGTTGATCTTTGGCTGATCTATAAACGGGTGGATGCGACTGCGACAAGGCGTTTGAACCGTAGCCTCAATCTACTCTGTCCTCTTCCTTAAAGATATTGTTATAGAAGCCCAACTTCCCATTCTGATAAGACGTGATGGAGTAGGCGAAAGCCAAATATTTTTCATTGACGAGACACTTCGAGAGCAAATCATCCTTCTGTTCGAGCGCTTGCACCATCTGCACATAGTCTTGTCGCTCATAACATCGGTGCCTTTCTTCCTCGTCTGCGGGGAGGCCGTCTTCTTTGTAACTCTCGGGTGAGCCAAAGTGGATGGGCACGACATTGAGGAAAGCCGGGAACGATACAAGCTCCCAAGGTAACGTACATGCACCTTCCCAGTCGATAATCGCAATGACCTCAAAATATTCATTGACGACCATGTTGTTGTGGAGGAAATCGGCATGACAGAGTGGGAATGGCCCACGACCATGTCGCGACAGATAACTAGCCATGGCTTTGACTTGAGACGGGAACTGATTGATAGCCCCAAGAACTTGTTCAGCTGGTCCTCCTTTCATCAGCTGTAAGATTTCATCTTTTCCACGCGGAAAACTGGCATGTTCCGCCCAAGCCTTGAGGAAGTCTGTTGTTGTGTTGAATGGTCCGCCAATATCTGGGAATGGACCAATATCGTATTCGCCATTTTCAGTTCTGAAAATGGTTCCGATCTTAGAAAATCGCAAATCGGTCATTCGTACCTGTTTTGACATTAGTAAATCTACGATGTATTGAGATGAGCGCCTACTGACATGACACTCAGCGACCGAGCGGTAGAAGCTCTGGCGATGGGCCAAGGGGATCTGGCCTTTATGATTCTCATATCCACCTGCGGCATCCATAGCGGTACTCCCTGGAATGAATTCCATCAGGATGAAGGGGACACCGATAGCATTGTTCTCGTCAACTTCATATGCGAAAATCTCAGGCACTGGAAGGTCAGATCGGTCTTTGATGAATTGCATCACAGCTATCTCACTGCGCAGCTTCATCGATTCTGCAACAGATTTATACAGACTGATCCGGGCAACCCATCGAGTCTGGTTCGAAAACTCGAGCAATCGAACAAGGTTGTGTAACCCATTAGTGATTTTGTCGAGCGGTACGCATGACAGCCCGTTATTTTGTTGCGAGGCTAGCTCGCAGAGCTTAGCCCAGTCCGTTTTCTGGATGGCTTCATGCACAAGATCCCCGTCAAACTCAGTTGTGCTCCAGTTGAGGGAATTAATTTGTGGCGACATTGACGACATGGCGGCGAAGGTGATGAGATGTTGAGATGGCCATGGAGAGCAATGCCAGAAACCATGTATTTGTAGGCAAGCGGGAGACGCTATGACCAGCACTCAGGCACCAGTTACATTGAGCACACGCTGTTTTCATCCAGGCGAGAAGTGAACTTCTATGGCCTTTCATACAAAGCTGGTTCGTAATGGCAAAATGTCACTTTTTTGCTGTGCTAATTTGCTAAAAGAGCGGATAGTACATATGGACAAATAGCACCAACAGATAATCTCAAAAATAGCTTATAGAACCGTCCAAATCTCCAAAAACAAAATGCAAATTAGGTGGCAGCATTAAAATGAATGTGAGCGACTACATCATCATCAAGCTCTCAAGAGGGTTTTCAATGAATCAGAGTATCTTTTACGATACAGGGCAACCTAGATCGAGTTAAGATCAATTCTGCGTGCCACTTTCACACCTTTCACTCGCTTGACCTGTTTGTTGCGCGAGAAATGCCACGCAGGTAGTGCATGCGTTTCAAATAGCGATCTGCCGGAAATTTTAGCTAGTTCTAGGAGGCGTCTTATCGCGTATAAATCAAGATCATTCCGTCTCAAGGCGACTTGAAATTTATGTTGTAACATCTACCAAAGTATGTACTTCTCTCTACAATGGGAAACCAGCTTAACGTCATTAGCTACAGACAGCTGTAGAGAGAGTTACAGTTGAGGAATGGGTCCGGCAACAAGAATCATTTTTGAAAACGCCGCAGCGGGCATAGAAGTTTCTTTTTTGTTTAGAGCCCATTACACAATACGTAATGGATCCCATGGCGCAAACATGGAGCAATTTTTGGTTCCCACTCACATATCATGTTTGGTATGTTGTCGTACAGTCATATAGCATACTCTATCGTATCGAACCAACTTTGGGGGCTGGAAAATTTGGGGTGGAGGGATAAACAATCATGGCCAACCCACCTCGGGTGGCCCACACCCTGATGATGGATAGAAGCATCCATCACCAAATGTACATACTCATTGTGTAATGTGGGATACCCAAAACTGCTTGCCTGAATCAAGGCTTACTACTCATGCTTAGATGATCGCAGGGAATCTGCCACCTCGATCCGTCATCTTCATCCGCATTCTTACCAGGAGCCCATCGAGGATATGTCATACGAGGCCATCCTCATACGTTGAATACAGTCATAGAGAAAGCTCTCTCGATCAGATCCAAGCTGCCGACCTGCCAAACTTATATAGTTGCTTGCGGCCGTCTAATCCGGCGTCATCGATTGCGCACCACCAGATTGTACCGCTCAATATACAGACCTTGTAGCCGCCTTGTCTTCCCAATTTCTGCGATTCTCATGCAAATACAACCGATACTGTGAAGAAAAGTTGACGCATGACGAATCTGCCATTCGTCCATAGTTCCGATTGTCATGGGGGATGATCCGCCACTTCACAGGCCGGGGATGCTGGATTATAGTGAAGTTGGTAAGACTACACTAGCCATACGAATGGGTATGAGCTGTTTCGTGAAATACGTTAGATTTTCTGATCTGAACTGTTAAACGTACATTAACATAGTTGTACTATGACCCGAGCATTTAAGACTCATAGAGAACAGAAATAGACATATATGGTGGACCATGTTTGGCAGAAATACTAGATACGGCAGGTCGAGAGGAATTCACAGCATTGCTGAACAAATGGGTCGAGGAGAGTGGTGAATCGGTCTTTTGTGTATAGCATCGTGTCACAATGGTCATTTCTCATAATCAGCCAAGTTTGAGACTGATTCAAGAAGAGAGACATTGATCAAGTGTGCTGCCATTCCAGAAATAGCTGCAAGTACAGTGTTGGTGCTCGTGGGAAACAAGGACAATTCAGGGGATATAGCAGCGTCAAAATCTGAAGCGCAAAGCCCTCGCGGAAGAATTTAGTCGTAAATTCTGGGAGGTATTGGCTTGGAGTGGCATCGGTGTGAAATTCTTTTTCGCAGAAGTCGTCAGAACACCACGCCGCCTACCTCAGCCTTCTAGCTAAAGACAACAGTTTGTCGTCAATTATGGTCAAACCCATCGGGATACGCCTGTGTTCATGCTCGGTCTCTTTCATGGTCTACTTACAACATGCATGTATCGGTACTGTAATTTCCATCAACCTCAATTGAGCACATCGCCAATCCATTTGATAAGTTCTTGAGAAGGTTGTGTGAAACCTGACAATGCGGTGCAGTTCCATCGATTTTACTGCTCCAGCATGAGTCTAGTACCTTCGTAAAGTCCGTCACGGGTATTGAATTAACCTCGTAGCCTACAATTATCAAAAACTACCCACTATTTCTTTTCTCTCTTCTCTAATCAAATGTTCACCCCGTAACCGGATGGATCGGCGCCAACACCGCTATAGACCCACAAGTTGGTTAACTAGCGCGCATTAGATTGCCATTGTACGAATTAGAGTTGGTACTATAAGAGGTGTGGGTATCTTGGGCCTGATATAATAATACGTGCCGTACTATGTACGGGATGTCACATTGCCAGACACCAGAATCAAAAGATGTTACAGGTATCACACAGAATGTCGTTCACAGCTTATAATGTCTTTTCTCAGCGAATGCAACCCTCTTTACTTGCAACATCTTGTTACGTGATGCGCCGCGGATGCTCGCGCGTGTCTCTTGCCACCGTAATGTACTCTTATCAGTTGCACAAGGTCGTGATGCTGTGTTGTTTCGGCTGAGTGCGCCAGCAAGTTTAATTCGCCGCCTTCACGGTCAAGCAGTGTCTCGCAAACTATCGCCGCTCCTACCCCATATTTGCTCATGGTGCGCACATGCATAAAACGTGCGAGCACAGACTGTAACTTAGACAGCAGGTATGCATCGCTCGCATAAGGGGCTGGACTCCACCTCTCAACCCCTGCCAGTGCTGCCTGACTTTCAGAGGTTGCACCCAAGGCCTGTGGGCTAGGGGCGTTACTTTTCAAAGGCGAGGGCGGCGCAATCAAGATAACATGGTCTCTTTTGCGTGAGAGCCATGATCACGGGCAAGCAGTGAGTCTGTTTGAATGAATCGGGCGTGGTTGAAAGTTGGCCATGATGCAAACACCCAGGAAAAGTCTTGGCGTGAGTGAAGGTTTTTACTGCCAGCAACCACGTAGCATGGCTCCCCTGAATCAACTCCGGTCGCTTGGTAGTTAACGCACAGCGATTAAGTTTATGTGCGCATATTCGATCACTGCTTCGCATTCACTTTGATTTCTGATAACCTGACCTGGACATCGGTTTGAAATGGCTACAAAACTCTACGATTACGGACATGAGCACTTAGATGGGACAAGAATGAACACATAACATAAATACGCAGTCATTAGATCTACTAGCATAAGATCGGGAACGAATCTAACTTGTTGTTCTCGATATTTTGCGGCGGAAATGCGGTAGATTTGTAAGACGTCCTTCAAGGGAAGCCCTGACCGTTGTGTTCGATATAAGCGTTAGGAATTCGGTATGGACAGGTATAGACTGATTACTGAGTCTATATCTCGACCGCCTCGTCGGTTTAAGCTTGTTACTAGCGGAGTTCGGAGATGGTTGAAAGAATCGAAGGCGCGCACGAGGCGGCTGCTTTGCCAAAGTTGAAACTGTAGATACAGGGAGAGGTATGACAGAGAATGACCGGTTGTTTCCGGAGAAGCTAACTGTATATGGAGCATCAGCGATACCGGGGAAATGTCAAATCGTATCACACTTTGGGTCTTGCAATTACGTTTCAGGCGACGTATACGGATCCGTAGGTTGATCCATCTCATACTTACTTGATGTCGAATCTCTTGAGACCATGGTGGTAATACAACTTTGTTTGTGGGGTTAGAAATAGGGCGAACTACTATTCAGTTTTCCCAGAGGCAGCGGAATACCGGGTTGCTCAAAGCGTGGGTTGGTCACAGGCGTGGAAAGCCGGCACACGAGTCCCTCCCAGTTGCGCTTTTTGGATCCATCTCCTTGCAATGCGCCAGTTTGGACGTTCGCTTCGGAAGACAAGTTGCTCATCGTCAGAGAAGTTTTACCGAGGAGGCCATTCAGGCTGTCAGAAGGTCAGGTGGCAATCTAAGGTCGTCGGTAGGGGAAGGTGTGGAACTCCTGTGTCGTAGACGGCATTCACAAGAGGTTTTAGCATTGCGCACAGGAAGAGGAGCGTCCAGTGCTCTGTCGTAGGTGGAGATCGAAATACCCGGTGGAGTTTTGCTGTCGCCCGCACAGCTACTTGGGGCACTTACCAGCCAGCCTAAGCGTGGGTAGACGGGCCGGTGAAGAGAAGGCAGTAAGATTTTGACCATGGTGCCTGTCACACGGGGACCAGTATCGCAAGTTTTGACGAGAAACGTTGCCAGCAGAATGCCGCCAAGCCTGGTTCAAGAGTCCTGACAAGAACAGGTCAATGGGAAAATGTGTCCTGCAGCTACCGTATGGATTTGTGACGACGATACGCTGGCGGACAGGTTGGATCATTGTAACATATGTATATGTCGTCATGTATTCTCAAAGGATTGTTTTTAGCCTTGGAAAATGGTTGCGAGAAGGAGCGAAGGAGCATCTGCGCCGGGTGGCTTGGATATGATGTGATTCTGTTCTGCTGCGGACGGATGGTAATTATCGCATTTGAGTCAGATTCAAGCGTTCAATACCGAAAGGATTTGTGGGGTGGGCTCGCTGTTCAGAGGTGGTCATGCTTTCTTCTTCTTCTTCCTCTTTTTTTTTTTTTAGATGGTCGCTGAATTTGGACCACTCAAAACGTGTCTGCCTTCTTGGCAGACGCAGCTCGTGGTTCAATCCGGGAGCGCCATGATGTATGTAACTCCTTCCCGTTCTTGGTTCCCTGTTGGGCCGTTTGTCTCCAAATGGCTTGGTCGCGTGACCACCTGAAGTGCAGCGAGTGAGACTGGCTGGGTGAGATCTGACCTAAGACCAAGAAGGAGGATTGCGACCGCATGCGTATGTACTCGCTGGGTAGGCACCAGCCAAGAAAAAGAAGGACCAGCATTGTGATAGGGCGCCCTGCTGGGGAAATTTCCAGCCGCAAGGGTGTGGATCAAATATGCTTAAGATTGACAGGGCGGTCCACAGCGCCGGGATCACCTAGTGCCGAAACCGTCTCGAAATGATGCCGCCTGGTCAACGCTATTGGGCAGGCCAAGTATGTGGATATTTCTCATTTCAGAAGATATGACAGCCATACGAGCTATAAATTGATTTTCTGGGGCGCAAGTCCCCGCTGTGACAAAAATATGTCACCCAGAAGGAGCCTGCACACGATGGCGTTGCACGCTAAGCTTCTTTTTAAGGTTAGTTTGCTCGTATCCCGAGACGCTTCCATGCCTCTGGATCAAACTATTACGAGATAGGAGCGTGAGCACGCGAGTGATTATGAGCTCGATAGTACAATTATCTTCCTAGATGGCAAGCATGGCGGCATGGACTACATACACCCTAGATTTCATATTTCACAATGACTGCAGAACACCACAGGAGGCTGCAAATGCCTTTTGATGGTAGGAATTTCGTCTTCGCCATAATTGCTACCTCCATTCTCGCCGCCAAGACATTCCGCATCTATTCGCATTCGAGTGCCATCTCGACTTTCGAGACCATCATCTGGAGCGCTTCATTTTATGCGCAAGACTTGCTGTTTCTTCTATCCCTCCGCTTCCTATTTTCCAAGATCAACCCCTCCTCACAGCGCCTTCGTTATGGCGTTACCGCAGTTGCCTTCCTCGCCGCATCGGCCCTCCTGCTGATGGCCGCTGCTACAATTTCCGTCTTCCTGGTTACCGGCTCGGAGATCCACTGGCAGCACATCGGCGTTCTCAATGACTCTTCCGGCTCTAAAATGATGTTTTCAGCAGGATTTAAAACCTTCGCAGTGGTATTGGTCAGCCTGCTCCTGCCGAGCTGGTTTGCACGCAGGATCTATTTCGACGTAGCAGGAGCGGCCGTCGATGTGGTCACCGAGCTCTTTAATCTCGTGCTCGAACTCGCAAAGCATCGCTCTTGTAACAGGTACGAGAAGATCATCTCGTTGGAAGACGGAGATGAGTTCATCGACCGAGACGGATCAAATTTCAGCGGAACCACAATTTTCCGCATTGCAATCGGGCTCGTACTGCTACTACAGATGGCCTTGGCTTTTGTCCACTCCGACGACCAGAGGCTGAGCTCGCTGAGCTGGACGCTACCGTTGACGCCGTTCACGGAACCCTCACACTCGTCGGCGCAGTTGAACGATCTCCCAGGGTCCCATGCCAACAGCTTCGAAAGCTTGGCGAGCGATGGAGGGTTCCTCAACTCTACTGCCCTGACCGACCCAGTACAGCTCTCCTGGCTGCCCAAGGAAGTCCAGGTTCCGGGCTTTGAGGACTGGTACACCGAGGGCGGTCAGCACTACAATTCAAGCGCCGATCCACTCAAAGTCTCCAACTTGGATAACGAACTGTACCCTGCACTACAGAAGCAGATTGCAGACATCAAGATCCGACATGTGGTCCTTCTCGTTCTTGAGAGCACGAGGAGCGACGTCTTCCCTATCCTGAATGCCACTAGCATCCGGAACCGCTTGGCGGAAGCACACTCTGACAAAAAATTGACGACCGAGGAGGTTGAGAAGTTGGCAAACCTGACAAACACTGCAAGATTCCTTGCGGGCATCCCAACTAATACTACCCAACAACCCCGAACGACCGGCGGCAGTATTCGAGCCCACAACGCCTTCACGACTGCATCATATACGCTGAAGAGTCTGGTCGGGACTCTTTGTGGCATTGCTCCAATGACTGTCGATTTTGACTCGGAGGTGTCACATCATGTCTACCAGCCGTGTCTGGCGCAGATCTTTGAGGCCTTCAACCTGCTCGATCACGGCAATCGTACCGACGGCACGGATTTCACATCCTTCAACTGGAAGTCCTTGTTTATGCAGTCTGTCACCGGGGAGTACGACAAGCAGAGCGCCCTCATGCCCAAGACCGGATATACCAACGAGACGTTCATCACAAAGGAGTACCTCAAGAGCCCCGACGCCAAGTTCGGTCCCGAGGATGCTCCCGACATCAATTACTACGGCATGCCGGAGGTGGTCCTGGAGGAATACGTGCGGGACGCGTTCTCCACGGCAAACAAGAACGACGAGCGACTGTTCCTGACGCATCTCACAAGCACGAGTCACCACCCGTTCAAGACACCCGCCGCCGCCGCAGCCGATGCTGCCAAGGCCAGCAGTAGCAAGAGAAGCCTCGACGACCTTTCGGCATACCTGGATGCGATAGGGTACGTGGACCGATGGATCAGCAAGATAATGGACATCATGGACGAGCAAGGCGTCACCGACGAGACCCTGCTCGTTCTCGTCGGCGACCACGGGATATCCCTGCCGGAGGACGACGCCATCACGCCCTACGAGAACCCAAATGTGGGCAACTTCCGCGTGCCGCTGCTGTTCCACCACCCGAAACTCCCGCATATCGACATAACCGACGCCGTCATCTCGTCCCAGATCCTCCCCACGGTGCTGGATCTCCTCCTGGAAACCAAGTCGCTGTCCGAGCCCGAGGGCCGCGCAGCACAGGACCTGGTGCGGAACTACGAGGGCCAGTCGCTGCTGAGACCGATGAACAAGGTTTCACAGAGCGGACAGGGCGACTGGCAGTTCACCGTGTCGAACCCCGGCGGCACCATGGTGTCGGTCCGGGACGCTCGTCAGCCCCGCTGGCGGTTGGTTGTGCCGATCGCGGCGGACGCCGCCTGGCGGTTCACAGACCTGGACATGGATCCCTACGAGAAGAAGCCCCTGGAGGCGCACAGCTACAAGAAGCTGCTGACGGGCGTGAAAGTCATGCACGGGGCCGAGAGGGCCGAGTGGGTCGAGGAGGCCGCGTTGGTGACGAGGTGGTGGGTTGAAGAAAACCGGCGGCGGTGGCAATATGATCCGTAACTTGTATAAATAAAAACTTGAATAATTATCCTAAGAAATACTGGCAAGGGTTTGGCTCGCTGCAACTCGACGACGTTGAAAACGCTCACAATGTAGCTGCCAACGGAACCGATCATAGTCTATTGGTACCCCACTTTTTCAATTGGCTGTCCCTGTTTTGACCCATGCTCAGCTATAAACCACCATGATGGTCTATAGCTATGACTGTTCAACTCTCGGAGCTATGCCGCATTGGCCAATGCGCTGCTAGACACCGACCCTGGAGAAAACGTCACATCTAACATTCCAAGCTGCAAGATTTCAATCCCGACAACTCTCAACCAACACTTCTCAACAATAAGAAACGACACAGTCACCTGTCCTAGGCGACCGATCTGGCAGGTCAGAGCACCAAGCCCAAGCCCACATGCCTTTGAGCAACAAAGGGGGAGACCAGCCCCGAGCCCGAAGACCACTGAGCCACCGACGCCGACGGCATCCGGTTCACCCGGCAGGACGGCTTCTCGGCCGAGCAGCGTGCGCACGGCTGAAGTCGCACCACACCCCGTGACGAGGGCGACCCGGCGCCACGCAAAAGGAGGTAAGAGGATATTTGTCTCTCGTGCTGCAGCACCAGCCTAGTCCGTCCCGATCTGATGCGTCGCAAACCCCGAGTGGGAGTTCGAGTCTAACGTCTGGAAGGCCGACGAGGAGACGCACGAGGCGGTGCGTCGTCTCTTCGACGTTGAGAGGAGGGAGCCGAGGGACGAATTTCTGAGCTGGGGAATTTGAGGATTCCGAACGTGCGGGTGCCTAGACCCTCGAGAGGTTCCTCCTCATAGGGCTTGCTAGGAGGCGGTGTTGGGGCCTCCGGATGTTTGCTAGACTACAATTATGGACGAGGTTCTGCGGATAGCTAGAGAGGCAGGGTGTCCGGTCCTGGTCTTGGTCATTCCTCCTACACCTTGGAAGGAGACCTGAGCCAAGATGGCGGGTAAGCCTCCGGACGAGAAGAGGCAGATTCAACAAGACATCTTGAAAGGAGCGAGGGTTTTCTGCAAATCCTTGTGGTTCGTGCGCATGGGATAGACTTTGTTCTTCGGGAGGGCTACAGGATTGGGGCTCGCGCTAGTTACGCTTGTCCCAGTGCGGACCGAACATCTAATAGGAGATGAGACCGCCGATCAGCGACGAGGACGCATATTCCGTCTCATACTGTAATATAAAGAGTTGCAAACTTGAACGCTTCTGTTACTACGACGAAAGTGTAATTACTACCACATGGTGCTACCATGACTGGTAGGGCGAGTCGCCCCATTGTCACCCAAACACAGTGACATGACTGTCCGAGGAGTCTTACCACTTCTCAACAAATGGCCTGATATCGACTTCCCAAGTGAGCCCAGACCTGTGCTGCGTGTGTAAATTCCAATACGTCTCTGCAATCTGCAAATATGTCAGCGCTGCGACCATCAGGTTGATGAGAGGATTAAACTCACGGAATCAGGAGCAATCTTCCCGTCCTCGACTCCGCCATTGACCTCGTAAGACTTGGTCCTGGCAATGTCGATGACACCGTCAATGACGGCATGCGCTACATGGACGCCCTTCGGCTGGTACTCGCGGGCAATCGACTGCGTGAGGGCCCGCTTGGCCCATTTGCCTGCTGCAAACGCCGAGAACCGGGGAGAGCCCCTGACCGATGCGGTCGCGCCCGTCACGATCAGGGTAGGAGGGTACTTGGACGTGGGAACAGCCTCCTCAAGGAGCGGCAGAGTCTTCTGGGCGAAGTTGAAGAATCCTCGACTATCGACCGGTCAGCACCAAACGTTCGAGGAGAGATTTCAAAGGTTCACCATACATGTTGGCATCGATGCTAGACTCGAGCTCCTCTGGCTGAACCTCTGCGAAGGGCTTCGGCGCTGGCCGGGCAGATGGGTTGAAAACAGCTGCAGCCAGTTTGTAGTCCGGCAAATCCTTTTTGATGGTCTCAAATGCAGCTTTAAGCGACTCGATACTACTTGCATCTGCATCAATGCCGATAGCTTTGCCACCAGCGTCGTTGATCTCCTTGACTGTTGCTTCGTAGCTCTTTGACGACCTAGAGAGCAGGACCACTGGATACGCCTTGGAGAAGCGAATCGCTGCTGCACGGCCTAGCAAATGATTAGAAGATTCTCAAAAGCCGTATCGTATTAGACTTACCTGTTCCGGGGCCAGCACCAATCACAACGGCATAGAATTTTGATGCCATGATGGATTCGAAAGGTCAACGTTGGTTTATGAGATAAGTTTCTTGGGCCCGGACGAATCAATTATTTGAAAAAGCCGAGGAATGATAAAGAACTGATTTGAACAGTCTCAGCAGTTTCAAGCATTAATATAGGCAGGAGGATATGACCTGGACACAATGCGAATTGGTGATGTGAAGTCAGGACAGCCAATCGGGTCGGCTGGGCTGGATTATTAATTCCCCCGCAATGACGCGAGGTAGAGTTAGCCAACCACTTAAGCTTCCTGATCACACAATCCAACCACTTCTGGCGCAACTCTTTGACTGACAAATCAGTTCTTTATCATTCCTCACCGGACAACGAAATGGCATGGCACTAAACATGCGATTGTGGGAGGATTGATTTCCCATCTCTTCCCTCTGGCATGAATTCAACACCAAAACAAATCCCCCGCCCCGCCCCCGGTTGTTGTGGTAGTTCAATTGCTCATGCGTACGACGAACTCGAGTGTTAATCCACCACCGCCGCAAGATGCATACATGCCTCAGTGTAGGGACTCAGGAACTTGCGTACAACGCATCGAACACGATCTTGACCTGGACGTCGCTTTGGCAGTACCATTTAATGATGTCTTTCGTGTAATTCTCTTCTGGTTCCAGCAATTGTGATCGTGATGGCCAACCAAATGGGGAAGGGTAGTTTGTCACAGCTGCTGAGTCGACAAACCCAAACTGGTCAACGTCAGGCCACTCCGCTCTGAATCTTGCATGGTCGCAACGGTTGATTATGAAGACCGCTTTCAGAGATTGCATTTTGCTGAGGACTCCGTGATCAAGTTCATCTCATTGATCACCTCCCGTATAAAATGCCAACTTTTCAATCGACATGTCCAGTGCTCAATGTTGAGCTCCTTCGGCAGGCGGGCACCGATTTGACGGTGTGAGAAGCGTGTGCGTCCGGGATATCTGTGGTTGATGTTGTCAACAAAGAACACATGGTTCTTGAAATTGACCCTGGCATAAGCCGGGTTCAACCTCACGTGTGTGGCGTAACCGCAGTGCTTCCACAGCTCGCCGAGAGCGGGCATCGTCGGGAGACGAAAGCCCTGCCAATCAGATAGGTCAAGAGATCTGGCTTCAAATTTGGAATGTCTTGTTGTCGTATGACGCTTTCGTACCATCAGTAGGCACAGTTCCAATTGCATTCTTGAACCGAATCTTGTACTCCGCAAGGTCGATGGGGACATCCTCGTCATCAGCATGCGAGTTGGTCTAGGGCGACATAGAACCGTCCAGCATTCTCCAAGAAGAAATAGTGTCGTATGGGCAGAGTATCACATCGCCATTCATCCCATATCATGAGCTGGATCTCCTTGGGGAGTTTGAAAAAAACAATGGAACTCGAAGGGGGCGGTGAGTGTCTCGTTTTGGCGAGTGGGTGAGGCTGTTTCGTTGTCGCTGTTTAAGGACAGCTCATTGTTCGTGGCGGCCGCTGATGACGCGCCTTCGTTGGAAGAGTCTGCCAGCGGAGCTTCACTCATTGCTGATAAAGTGCAGCTGATGATGCGGTCACTGTTATGTGGTGACTACCACTGAGTGTTGGATTGAATATGAAGTCCAAGCCACTTTGACTTGATGGTGATGTGAGCTGATGGGTAGATATGAGCAGTCAACTTGACGCGCAAAATGGACCGAGGAGTACAAATGAGAAGGACTGCTTCTTCGGCCTTGGATAGCACGGGGACGGTGAATTTTTGCCTATGGCAGGAAAGCTCTCAGAGGTCGAATAGTCGTGGTAGCTTGATATCGACTTGCTGTAACAATGAAGGCGTGAGCTATTCAGCATGCCTACCTTGGGCCTGAAGAGACAATTCGGTAGGGCGTACCACAGGTGCCTTAGCAGAGCTATGGCCGCGATATTGCTGCACGTAATTATGCAGAGCCTCTTACCGAGCGGCCGCCGGGTTACTCTGGGTCTACTCCTCCGGACCGTTCTGTCACATTAATGGTCATTGAGGAAGATGGTGTCCATGCTGGGTGTTGTGATTGAAAGTGCCAGAACCCCAAAATATGTTAAATTCAAGCTGAGTACTACAGGGCTGATTTACCCCGCCAAGTGCGTTGTGGTGGTCGATTACAGCGCCAGGCTGCGGGGCAACGCCAGCTGGGTTAGGAAGGTGAGTTACATCTGTCCTCCCTCATTCATCTGGTTGTGGCAGCGAAGTGATCAGACGGTTGGTGTGCCCCAAAACGACCCAACTCTTGCACGCAACATCCGGTAGACCAATCTTTAAGGGCCAGCCTCTCCAAGGTTAATTCTTACTCACTCTGCGCAATGGGCCCCCACACGGAAAAGCCGGTCCATGCCGGGCCTCAAGACTCCTGGCACGGCGTTGTCGGACCCGAGTCACGCTTCACCCCGGAAGCGGGGCGCTATCACCTGTACATTGGGCTCTTCTGCCCCTTCGCCCACCGTGCAAATCTGGTCCGACACCTCAAGGGCTTACAAGATGCCATTCCCATTTCAGTCGTCAAGCCTTACCCCAAAGGCGACGACAAGGGCTGGCCCGGCTGGCAATTCCCGGGCGCCCAGGGACCCAACGACGTGTACGAGGGCGCGACGGAGGACAAGCTGTTCGGCTCAGGGTACCTGCACGAGGTGTATTTCAAAGCTGACAAGGACTACAAGGGTCGATACAGCGTCCCGCTTCTCTGGGATACCAAGGAGCACACCATCGTGAATAACGAGAGTGCAGAGTTGCTGCGATGGATGCAGACAGGCTTCGACGAGCTGCTACCAGAAGGAAGTGCCGGGAGGACGCTTACGCTCTACCCAGAACCCCTGAGATCCAAGATCGACGAGGTTGGCGAGTGGATGCAGCGCGACCTCAACTCGGGGGTGTATAAAGCTGGGTTTGCGACGGACCAGGAGACATACGACGAGAATGTCCCCGTGGTCTTTGCTGCGCTCAACAAGCTGGAACGTATCATCCACGAGAACGGCGGGCCATATGTGCTCGGGACGGAGCTGACGGAGCTGGACATCCGCGCGTATGCAACAGTCATTCGCTTCGATACTGTCTATGTGCAGCACTTCAAGTGCGACTTGGGGACGATACGCGGAAACTATCCAGTCATCCATGAGTGGCTTAAGAACTTGTACTGGAACGTCAAGGGCTTCAAGGAAACAACCGATTTCAAACACATCAAGGAAAATGTGAGTAATGTGCGCTGAGGGGCCTCGTGTATTGACCGATGCTGATACGTTGCAGTATACCAAGAGTCACGACAAAATTAATCCTTTGGCCATTACTCCGATGGGGCCATATCCCAATGTCGAAGAGCGGGTAAGCTTGGACTTCAACAGTTTAAAGCCGGGAAGCATCAAGCACCCGGCAGTGTTGGCGAAAGAGAAGGAGTTGTACGGGCAATAAGTCCCGAAATTACATTAATTTGGCTATGCTATCCTATAAGTAAAGCTCGCTGCGTCATGCGCCCATCATTCCCAGATTGAACGTTCCGTCGTGCGTCGAATGTCATGAAATGCAATTAATAGGTGATCTGCTCCAGAGTCAAGTCGACTGGTACGCACGAGGGGTTGTGCGGCGGCTGCGTGGTGACCCAGGCGATGGATTGGTAGTAGTAACCTCCAGTGTACTGGTAGCAGAGGTGCCAATTGGTCAAGTTCCCCAGGTAGGTAGTAGGGTTGGGGTATGTCGAGTTGAAGCTGCTGTCATCGACACCTCCCGAGATGAAGAGAGTACCGTCGTCGGCCTTTTGCAAGCTGGTATACTCGTCGATGCCGGGGTAGAAGAGCGCCGTGTTGACATTGGAACCCAGGTTCAGGAAGATCTGTAGCGCCGAGGGCGCTGTGCCGATCTCGCCGTTCTCGCCGCTAGTGAACTGCAGTTCCCACTCGAGCCAACCGTAAGAGGACGGGGCTCCAGTCTCGAAGTCGTAGCCGGATGCGTTGAAGTAGAATTGCTGGTAGGTCTCATTTCCGTTCAGTGCACCATCGATGAAACAGAGCCCCTCGATCGCGGCACCTGCATGACAAGCACCAGCATATCCTAACATCCGTCAGTATCGATCATGACTGAGTCTCGCAGGAGCAAAACAAAACAACTCACCATCGACTGCCGAGTCTTCTTTTCCAGTGATGTGTACTCCATAGGGCCCAGTGGCGTTGTAGGCTGACACCGCCGCAGCGGACGCTAACAGCAACGCGGAGAGCATTATTATGTGATGTGAGATGATACTACTGGTGGAAGATGGCTGCAGATGATGTTTCACAGATCAAGTCACGCTAGGAAGCAGCGGTTGGAATGGGCGACTGTGAAAATATGAGGTTGGAAGATGGGATACGGAGCTCAGGAGAGAACTCAATTGTAAACCTTGAGGGAGCTGAAGATACTTATGTCATTCATGGAGGTTTTCCTTGGAGGTTGGAAAGGGCGCTACGTTAAAAGCACGGCTATGACGGGTGGCTTTTGGTGGGCTGCCGGTGGCGATCTTGCCAAATCTGCTGAGGGAGCAGCACCTCCAGGCCACTAAAGGCAACAAAAGTGTCACCTCATGCGGGGAGCCGAGATCAAAAGGACCTTGGGTCTCAGGAGCCCCCGCATAAAAAGTACCGACCGCATTGTTTCTGCAGCGCCTATACTCTCTCCACCCACCTCGAGAAGATATACCATGGCGTCCCCGAGGATAGATCCTGCACCGGTCCAGAAGCCCGGCTCGCGGTTTTGCTGTCGTGCGAGGCCGCTGGGTTTATCGCGTCAGGTCCTCCTCGTCATGTACGTACTAGTCAGCAACCAGTAACGCTAGCGACCAAAGCTGCAGCGGTCTATACCTTAAGTGCGGCATTTGCGATGTTCTTGGGTCACGTTGCTTCGTATATGCAGTGACACAGATGGAGTGGAATGTGGGAGACGATTTGCCATAGGTTGCAAACGGGCAATTCGCCGTGGGATCGCATGGAAAACCTCGTATTTAGACATCACATGTGTAAGGGTCTTTCTGAAACCAAATCAATGCTTATTTTGACATCCTATTTGAGCCGCTTGTCGCGGTGAGAAAGGCTGAGATCAGCAGTGCGCTTGGCGGTCCGCTTGACGCGGTTATGGCAGATACGAGGCATTTCCCCATCCCGGGGCTTACTGTGACCGCATCCCCTAGCGTTAGGTGTTAAACATATGCCGTCATGACAGGTCGGTCCGAGACCTTCGTCATTTTCATTCCACATCGTCAGTTGCGTTGCCTCCTCGAATGCGTATCGTGATGTGACGTATGCGTCGCCGAGAATTGGCTGCACGGTGTCGGCAGCATTGTTGTATCTGTGGTTTTGCTCGTCACCAATCACCATCGCGTCCGCCTTTTCAACACCACTGCCAGAACCAACAAGCGCCGTCCTCGAACTAGGCACCAAAGTTTGCCTCGGGGGAAAACGCTAAACTCAATACAACATATACCGTCGCCGCTATGAAGGTTGAAGTCAGCCAGCTCCCTTAAACAGAATTTGGAGTTCTAAGTTAGAAGTTGACGCTGACGGTTATGCCGGTATTGATCGCGTGCACCGATCCAGGAAGGTTTACGGGAACAGCGACCACGAGTGTAGCCGGTGCTCGCCACTCCAAATCCAATCATTCATGATATTGATATTGCCCATTGCCCTCATGCAATGCAGCATCAAGCGTCCGACGACGAAGGACGTAATAGTTCGCTACCATGATAGCAACTAACGGCGCCAGTACGGAGCACAGTCACGTATCCAGATAGGAAGGTGGTCACTGGCTGCGCTCGCTTGTGTTTTCCAAGGACATGTAGCCCAACGACCCACGAGGGTCGTGATCGCGGCACCTCTCATCAGGTTGAGCCAGTTCCGCACGAGAGAAGCCCAGTCATTCCTCGTTGCAATTGCGTCTCTGCTGATGTTGGTCTCCATTGTCGCTGACCCGAAATCGAACGCACGAAGGAAGCCCGTACCGCAGCTTGTCCAAAGCGCGATTATGGCAGCTCAGGAAAACGCGTCATAAATGTCTTGTCCTGCTGATGCGATCATGATGCCGATGAATGAAAAGTCCCAGTACCTTAATTGTCACGTCGCACATCTGGTCAGATCAGACATGTTGATAGCCAGTGTCATCTTACCGGAGATGGCAACATTTTTTCCTGCCGTGGTAGGCTCAGCTTTTTGAGTCTCCTCCCAGTCTTGTGGCCTGACCGAATGCTGGTCTGGAGCCACCTGTCTGCACAGCCCATCCGAGCATGGCGAAAGAAGCTGCGACGGCACAGATGAACTTTGTCAGAAAAAGCAAACAATTCTTACGAGGAGGTATCAGTAGCAGCGGAAATTGCCAATCCCAGAACACCAAGTACGCCGTCAACTTATTGCTTGTTTGGGTCGCAACACCACAGCGAAGTATGAAGAGTCAAAGCTCATTGAAACCCGAGACGCGATTGCGAATGGGATGTGATGTCTTGAGCCTATCCTCCATTGCTCGTAACAACCATGGCGATGGTAATGTCGCCGACGGAACTTTGTAGATTAGTCTTTTCTGTTTCCCAAATTGTGGATTTTGAAAGACGGTGGCTTTCCGCCAGCTCAATCTCATGGCGATGACGCTCCCTGCTTGCTGCATATTTTCAACATTGGTCTCGTCAAAGAGCCAGAGCCAAAGATCATCAACAGCCCTCCACGTCCATTTGCCGTCGGGTACAGCGTCAATATCCTCATTCAATCTTTACTCCTGGTTTTCCTTCGACAGGAGACAGTTTCCAGTTCTCCATCGACAACCACGGCCGGGGCTTTGTGATAAGGGGCATCGCGGGCTGACTCAACCGGTATGACAGCGACAGTCCCTGTCATGGTCGAAGAGCATGACGACGACGCTTCACAGATTTTATTCTCCCGATCACAACTCATCAATAAATGCATCAAGGAGCGCTAATCTACGCCGTTACTTCAACTAAGTCTGGTGACAGTACCCCAACAGTTACCTATCTTCTCACTGGACCTAACACTACTTAACGCACGAGGGGTCGGCGCGCCTTGCTGTTCACAGCCATTAACAAGAAATCAACAGCTGACAAAGGAAGCTTCCACTGCCTACCTTCGCGCGCTCTTCTCGGTCACTGCTGCATTATTCCAGATCGTGGTTTACCATCCGAGATTATGTCCATTACCATACCATCTCTCTCCGTAGACTTTGATTCGCTTGGCATGGTAGTGATAGATGAGGTTCGGCTGCCCGATGGGGAGGTCATACAGGACTGCCCAGGAGGCTCAGGAGTATATAGCACTATGGGCGCACGCATCGTATCAGAGGATCGAACTGACAGCATTGGTGCAATCCTTCTTGCTGGCAATGACTTTCCGTGGGTAGTGGTCGACGTGTTTCATGGTTGGGGGGAGGGGGGATGAATTATCACCTCTGTCCAAGGGAAGATAAACAATCAACAAGGGGCCTTCTGGTTTATCACGACCGAGAGTTCAATCACAAGTCATTTCGCTGTCTGTCTGCGCCTCTACAACCAACCCCTATGATGCTGTCACGACGGCTACTTCACGCGCCCTCGTGCCACGTGCTGCATCCTCCGATTGAAGCAATAGAGGATGTCAAAGAGCTGCTAGGAAGACGCCAGAGTGAGAGACCAATCGTGGGTTGGAAACCGCTTCCATCAATGTGCCGGCCAGGAAACTTAGGTATAAGTGCAGTTGTTCTGGGAACTCGACTGCACATTCAAATGAACGGGAAAATATGGGAGAATACTAATCTCTGTGATTTAGGCGCACATCAAAGCTCTAGATCAAAATAAGCATATTTTAATCTGCACTCATTAAGCATCACGTTGAAACCAAGCTAGAACAGTGAGTCCGCATATCATTGCGCCTAGGTTTTGGGCCGGTATAATTATAAGCTAAACTGGCCGATTTGTTCGTCAATATTTCTTGTCCTTCTGAATCAAGCCGGAATCAGGAAGATTCAATCGTATGTAAGAGAGTAGTGGCTGAATCGCGACGTCTCGACTGTCGTGTGCCCGTCAAAAACTTGGTCAAAACGTTGTACACAAGCAAAATGCTCAGCCGCATCTACTTGGGTTCCGGCGTTGCCCTCCTCCTACGATCACACCGTTACGTCCACTGGTGTCTACCAGCATACTTTGCACGACGATGGATGAATTCTCGCCGTCTTTCCTTGCAGCTTCTGAATGCAAGATGTCGCCGGTGCTGATACACTCTGGCTTCCAGATTTCAGGCAGCAGCTTACATTCTGCGGTTTTTTTATTTTGGCTCCTGGTCCACCATGGGGAGTTTCTCGTCCAACATTCTCATACATACTTTGCGCAAGTGGTTCTACCTGGCCACAATCACATTTACAATAGCCTAAAATTTGAGTGTGTTGTCACAATTCAAACTCAATTTCACTTCTATTTCATGCTTCAACGCTAAAATACCTGCCGACGATATGCATGCGGCCGAAATCCTGCCATGAACAGCTTACCTATCCCAACTAAAGGGGTATTGTTTAGTAAATCTCCTTGGAGTCGTAATTGGAGCCATCCTCGCGCGAGCCGCGTCGTGGGCCGCGGTGTAACGGGTAAAAAGGATAGGAGAACCGTCGCCATAAAAGCCGATCACGTCGCCGAAAGCCGCGGGACCGCCGTCCACATTCACGTATTTTCCCTGGCCAGACGGACGTGGTGGATCATTGCTGACCGTGGATCTCGTCTGGTCAGAAGGACCGGAAGTACCGTCGATGGTCGTAGATCTCCTCCGGCTAGCAGGCTGATCAGAGCCAATTTTATTCTGGGAACTCCCCTCCGCGCTTTCGGACTGGTCAGACAAAAGAATTTCTTCAATCTCCTTGTGTATGGTGGTCTCACTTTTTGGTTTCCGCGTCGGTTTTTCTCTGTGCTCGGAAAACCCGTCAATATGACCGAAACCTTCCAGCCTTTCTGGCGTTCTTTGCTCTGATAGCCCTGTGCTTACCTCATCGCTACCCGCTTCCGTTTCCCAAGTTGTGGAGTCGTAACACTGCCACCTTTCTTCTTGTTCGGCTTCGTTCGGCATATTCCCATGTCCTCCCCAGAGTGAACATTCATCGGCGCATCCCGATGTAGGCGTCGATATCCCGGATGATTCGGCGTCAGTACTTCCAGGCGACCTGCTGTGGCCTGGGCTGGAAAAACTCACCAGTGTCGGATCTGCCCTACGCAGTGCTGCACCTAGATGATCCAACCTTTCCTGTCTCGCCATGTTGTCTTCCGCTCGCTCTGACCGGCGTATTTTGTTCCAAGTTGCTTTGTAATGTTCTTCCTTACCGTCCCCTGCGACACAAAGGCTTCTGATCTTACATAGGCGCTTATCGGTAATAGTGAGTAGTCTTGGTTTCCTGTTGTCGGACCTGCGCTGGTACCACGGGACGTCTACGGTCTGCGACAGGGGCTCTAACTGGTCGTGTATGTTCCTGGTTGACCATGCGCGCTTCCACAGGTACAGAAACAGCCCATCTCCAGCCTTCTCGCAGTCTTCCGATCCGGTAAACCCTATGACGCCTATCGGGGTCGGCCGATGCTCCGTGTTCAACACGTGGTCGAGAACCCTCTGCCAGAGGAACTTGAAGTGCAATGCCTTGCTGTGGGGGCCAAAGCATCCAGGATATAGCTCGTCAATCACACTTGCAATACTCTTGGCCAGCTTGACTGCGCCTCCTAGATGTTCAAAATCAATGTTGAACTTATTGAAGTCGGCGCAATATTTGAGAGTGTTTCCCATATCAACTCGCACGTGGCCACAGCCCGACTTGCCATGACAGAAGAGAAAGTAGGGACCATGGGAGTCTTGAAGGATGTCGGTGTTGTCCATCTCGAGCGCCGAACAATCCACGAGCAGGATTGCCTCGCAGCCGGTCTTCTCACCGGTACCCGAAAGGCATAACCACGAGGGGTGCTCCTCGCGGTTAAGGGCGAGCTCTTCGATCTGTTTATGAGTCCGCCATATTTCGCCATTGCTGTGTTCCATCTTAGTAAGCGTGAGTGGCTGTGACATTTCTTTGTGTTTGTTCTTGCCAAATCCTTTGAATTCCGTTCTCGATGGTTTGCGGCATAATTTGCAATGTCACAGGGGCCAGAGCGTCTTAAAACATTCGCGGAATCCATTACAATTGCCGACGGCCACATGTCCGCCGCTTCTTTGATGTAAACATTAGTTTTGTTAGTTAATAAACAGCGAGGCCTCTCTCACCCAGACAACGTACTTGGTCTGAACAATCGAAAGGTAGACTGACATGCTCTTTGTCACCAAACATTGTCCTGAACCGCCATTTTTCCTACCCTAAGCGAGTCTGAAGAAAACAAGTCCTTTTTCTAGTTGTGAAAGCCTTGATCGGGTCATCTTTAAAATTTAGATCTCATCCTCGCTCTGCATTAATAGGAGAGTTCGCCGCCCAACACATCAGTCCGCACTCGTATCCAAAGCCTCGATTCATCTATAACGTGATATTGCGTCTGGATTAGAAATCAGAGGTTATGGGCGTGAACTTGATGTGCAGGTTGGTCGGAATGACCGGACAAGTCTTTCTTGGGCACGTCGTCAATGTACTTCTCGCCGACTAGCGATCCGCCGGGCAATTGAAACCTTGGAAAAATCGAACAAGCACTGACACACGGGGTTGCCAAGACATGCCGCGCGTTGTATAGTATGAATTTAAACAACCAAGCCTGCCTGAGCGGTACCTGGACAGTTCAGCAGGATCAATCGATGTGCAAAAGTACTCTGTACTTAGGCCAGAGCCGCCGGTGAGACCCACTAAGAATACATATCAATGAACCAGGGAACCAATGAAAGGACCAACTATCCAAGCAGGATTGAAATGTCTGGGAGTAATTGGTTGCGAAGAGAATGCAAAGGGGTCCAGAGACTTCACTGAAACTAGATTCGGCCCCACGTCCTTCCCGCTGCCCGCGGGCGCGGTCCACTGTTCTGCAGTGATGTCATCTCATAGCTCATCAGAGAATCTCTGTTGGAACGCACAGGAGGCACGCCAAGATGCGTCGGGAACAATGTTCCTTTTTAAAAAAAATTTGCCGGGAAGACCAGCCACTCATTTTATTACAACTAGATACCTACTGTAGGATGCAAGCAGACTACGTGGATATCATTTCAGAGATCGATGCTGACTGGTCTCCCGTTAACCGCAGAACGGTTATGCTTACTTTCTTCAATAATAATTAGTCCCGTGCGACGATCTGGCCGGACCATGATGGATTTATGTGGAGACGCACGGTAAGCTAATCCGCTAAGAAACACTGCTTACATATAGATCAGGTGGCGTTGGACTACAGCAGCGTGAACACGGCGCTTCCAGTTGATTCTCCAGCCGCAGTCACTGCAAAATGCGCAAACAGATGAGACTCTAAACGCTTAAGTAATGTATGGTGTCGTACACCCTGTCTCCCGTCTCCGGTGTTCCATGCGGCGGACCCGCGGAACCGGAGCCAAGCATTTTGCGGGGACGAACACCGGCAGTGACGACGCCTCCCGCCATGTTTACTTGTCACCTTTCTGGGGTGATCTACACGAATTCGTAATCAGCCTCTCTCTATTGGAGATGGGTTTTGGTTGTATATTCATAGGCTCCATAATAGCGCTGGGCCCTGAAACCTGGTGAGGAACTTTCGTCGAACGGAAGCCTCACTGCCACTGATGCGGTTTATGGGTCCTCATGGGTCCTCACGGGGCATGATGGAGACGCCTTGCTGAACGCGTATGCTCATGATGTGTATAGGGATAGTGGTAGTATCGAGACGGGGCACCGTTGCTAATACACAGGATGGAGTTTACTCTCGATCGTGACTATATATGGTAGGGCAGCTTGCGTGACGATGAGGATTTTCCAAACCAGCCAACAAACTCCTTCACTACAATCGGACTTCACATTCATTCGCTACTACATATTCCAAAGCCTCACACGACGTCCCAAAATGATCTTCAACACCATCGCCACGGCTGCACTGGCCGCCACCGTTGTCTCTGCTCATGGAGACATCGAGCGTGAGATCGCCATGCGATCGGCTCTGCTTCAGCACACTAGCCGTGATCTTGGCCACTGTGCTGCCAAGCTCAAGGCTCGCGGATTTGAGCAGCGTGCCGTCGAGAGACGGGCTGCCACTCATGCTGAGCTGATGAAGAAGCGCAACATCAAGGGTGAGCCTCATCGCGACCACGATCCACGATTACTGTCCACGGCGTACTAACATATCTTCCAGCCCGCGACGCTGCCGCTGTTCTGGCCACTGACCACAACAACACCGCTCTCGCCTACACCTTGGATACCGAGGAGAGCGTTATCTTCGCTTCCAACGGGTCTTGTACTCTTACCCCTGAGGGCGAGAGCGGTCCTTACTACGTCGCCGGCGAATACGTCCGCACCGACCTGGCCGAGGATGTTCAGGGTGTCCCTGTCCACTACGAGTTCCAGATCCTCGATGCCGACACTTGTGAGCCCCTTGTCGGAGCTTACTTTGAGATCTTCAACTGCAACGCCACTGGTGTCTACTCCGGTACTACCAACACCGGCAACGGCAACACCGCCGACGTGACCGTCCTCGACGAGACCTGGCTCCGCGGACTGCAGCCCACTGACGACGAGGGTGTTGCCAACTTCGACACCATCTTCCCTGGTCACTACACCGGCCGCGCCACCCACATCCACACCCTCCTCCACCGCAACGCCACCGTCCGAGAGAACGGCACCGTGTTCGACACTTCTCTGTCCCACATCGGCCAGACCTTCTGGGACCAGAGCACCCGTGACCAGGTCGAGCTGCTCGCTCCCTACAACACCAACACCCAGACCAATACCCTCAACTCCGAGGACAGGGTCTTTGAGACCGAGTCCGAGAACGGCAGTGATCCCGTCTTCAAGTACGTCCAGCTCGGCGACAGCATCGAGGACGGTTTCCTGGCTTGGATCGTCCTCGCCGTCAACACCACCTTGTCCAACACCGTGAGCCCCGCTGCCGTCCTCTACGAATCCGGTGGTGTCGAGGTGGCCTCCGGCTTCTAAAGTCCATGCTTTAAAGAGTCTTAAGCCTCACGCGAGGATCGAGTTACCGTCTCTGTATATATATTTCATTTCTTTATCTCGGGCCCAGATAGTTATACAATCATAGAATTTTGTCAACTTCTCCCTCATACCAGTGAACCGCCGTTTTTAGAACTAAATACAGAGACCTGACTGCCAAACACATCACCCACAGGAAGCGTGCACCACAAATACGCTACCACGCCTTGCAGACTTCATGATGCATGCATAAATATGTTTCCCACTACACTAGTGTGGTTCAAGGTTGATTTCAATTGACTAGTTATATTTCGACATGGCCACTTTCTAGTCCACGTATGCTCGGCAGCGATCGACGCCGCAAGTTCCGCGTTGAGCTCTCGGTCGATCGCATTCTCATCGCCTCCCAGCAGCATAGACTTTAGCAACGAACGAGCCATGAACTCGTGGTCGCTGCGTGCTCCTTTCTCAGCGTCAATGCGGCGGACAAGCTTGGCTGGGCTACCAGCCGCAAAACTGTAAGCTGGAACATCCTTTTTCACGACGCTTTTTGCCCGGATAATAGCCCCTCTGCCGATGGTAACACCTGCCCTATCCATATGTTGGTCATCTCGCCAAAGACAGGAATGGAGAGAGAGTAGATTATGCCGAAGCAACTTATGCAACACAGTGGGTGGAAGGTTGTCCACGAATGAGGATGAAGTGTATGAGGGTTAGAAACGGAATTTGTAAAATGGCATACAGATTAGGGCAGCCGATATGAGCAAGAAAGGAGTGACTTACAAGATAATGCAATGACCACTAATCCAAACATCATCCTCGATTGTGATCGGGCCACCATAGGTGCCGCGATGTCCATCGGTCGTAGCAGGAAGAGCATGTCTGGCGCCATTAAGACTCACGCCCGGTCCTAGCATGCAATTCGCACCGATCGTGATGCAGCTGACAGGGGTGTCGAGAATCTTACATCCGTAGTTAAGGAACGCACTCGGGTGTATGCGGACACGGAGGCCATACTCCAAGACGAGAGGGGGTTGAATATTGGGGATTACGGGGTTCCAGCCCCTCGGCACGTCGCAACCAGTAGCAGCACTCAGCAATGCCTGGTCATACGTGCGAATATCTCGGGGCGGACGCGGGATTGGCTCAACGGAACCGCCGGTAGCGATTGGGTGCCGGGTTCGAGCAGGGTCTACCACGTCAAGCCAAAGAGTAATCTGGTCAACCGGGTCTATGTCGGCGGGCTGGAAATTAAATCTCAGCATGGCGCCGGCACATCTCTCTCTGGCTTGAGCGAAGTCGAATTTCTGTGAGTCGAATCCGATACGGTTGGGATTAACTGAAGTGGCGTGGCGGCTCGCCTCCGCATCATTAGGAGTCTTGGGATCGGCTGGGATGGCCATGTTGACGAGGTGATGGAGCTGGAGCCTGTCCGTATGACAACTGAGATGAATGTTTGAGAATTTATACCAGATATTTGAGTAGATAATCTGATTGAAGACTCGCGAAGAAGTAGGTGTGGCGGGTATGTTGAATTGGCAAGTACGTCTGGTGGCCGTGTATCTGGCTTTATATATCATTGAGCCTTCAGTCCGAAAGTGTATTATATTGTGATATGGTAATGATGTCAAACCGCAAAGGGTGGTTACATAGGGTGATTGAAGGCGCCTGTCAGAATTACTGAATGATTACAAGAGCGATTGGTTTGTGTGATTCATGGTACGGGATATGTGCGGAGACATCTCGTAGCAGAAAGAAAAGATTGTAATTGCCATGCTCTAATGCACTTTTTTCGATGTTTTAATTCTCTTTCCCGTCCCACGCTGAATAACAGTACCAGGGTTTTTAGGAAACTGGAATCGTCAATTAGTGGCAGGTGATACCTAATGTGAATAGTTCTATTGCCCCGTTACAGCTGTACCACACTCATCTTTGGCCAGTGCAGGAGATGTGAGGTGCTCAATCATGGTTCAAGTAAAGTCCAAGAGGTCGAGGTCGAAAACTGATTTGACATAGAGACCCGTGAAGATACATATTCTATCGTGATTGGCCTAGTATCAGCGTCAAGGCCTGGGCGGACCTAGGAAACGTTAAATGGGAGTGGAAGGGACTGGTTTCTTATTCATATACTCTCATATCTACATCCACTCTACTTGATCTCGCTCAGAGCGGCCTCGTGGTCTTCCGCCAAGAATAAGACCTAGTCTAGTCTAGTGACATAATGCCCATGCGACTCCGCATCTAGATCAACTTCCCGGAATTCACAGCTCACGCACATACTCAGCGTTCTTTTTATCTTGTTATCCCCTTCGATGACACCAGACTCTCGTCTTTCTTTGCTCTTTTCTCTTCGTTCTCTTTCATCTTGACCTAGATCATTGCTATTGGCCTTTGTATTCATGAAAACTCAATCCGGATTTGATGCCCAGTTTGCAGAGCAAAGAACTCGTGTTAAAAACGAAAGAACAGAAAAGCCTTATACAACACCCGCAGAGCTTGAAATGGCCACTTGGATAGCTGCCCTACCGTTGACATCGTAGGCTTGTAAGCTACCTCGATTCGGGAGTTTCCGATGTTTCATGCATCTTGGCCCGTATCAACCGTTCTAGGAGTTCAAAGATATGTACAAAAGTACGCGATGCATAGGTGGACCGACGAAGCACCCGAGACTGTTGCCTGTGAAGAGTATTGAACGGTTACGTGATTGGCTTTGGATAGACAAGGATGGAGATGGGGGCCGTGCACGTACCACACGCTAGTTCTGACTGCAAATTGTTCCGCAGTCGCGATTCTATGTCCCAAGCCTGAAAAGGTGCACTTCGTTAATGACGGCAGGCTGCAGCATGAGCCTTCGTCATGTCAATCCAGTCAGGACACTCTCAGCAGACCATGATACCTTTTCTCGCAGCGACATGATATCCCAATTCAATTAATGAGATCTATCCTGCAAGAACGCATGTTTCGCGTCTTTCGCGAGGGCTGGCGGAGCCTCTCAGCCGCTAAGCCTCATTTCAGCCCAACAGCAACAACGCGGTACCGCATATCTCAGCGGCTTCTCAAGCAGCGGGTGCAGTCGTCCTTTTCTCGACAACCACGGGGGCCTGCAAGTCAGTATACAGTGCTCAGGTCTGGATTCTATGGCACCATCTATTTGTCCATCGCCCTCCTGGTCACGGATGAGACGCTGGACTGGACCACGCGGCAGAATGTGGGCATCGAGGCTGTCCAGGAGATCACGCGGGCCGAAACCCATGAGGAGCAGCTCAAGCGTTTCTGGGCACTCGGGCCTGCCCTGCTCAAGGCCCACACCGGAACCGATGTGCAGCACCATGATCCCATACAACCCACCGAGGACTCCGGGCTGGAAGAGGACCTGGAGGTCCGTACCATGACCGCACCAGACCCGGAATCGCCAGGCACGGACTTGCTGCTCTGTCAAGCTGCTTTCGTGCATGAGGAGGAGCCCGAGTTCTACGTTTCCACCCATCATAATCGTATGGCTGATGCGGCGCACTCACTCTCTCCTGGATTCGAGGAGTTCGCCAGGAGTCAGAACGTGAAGAAGGGCGCTTTGCTGCTCATTCACCCTGATGGTAATTGGTATTGCCTTTATTACGACGGAAGAAGATGGCTCAACATGATATTCCTGGAATGGCAAACCGCCGAGTCGATGGGCTTGCCATGAGCACTGACAGGCCTGGGGTGGGCTGCGGAGCGATATCGCCATCATCCAGCTTTTGGTACCGAAAGTCGGGTTGACCGAAATTGTGACGGTGGTTTTGCACAGAAGGATCGCGCTCCGAGGATTTCACAGCTTTTTGAGTAGTCGGCATGTCTGGTGCCTGGTGGGCGGGTGTTGTGCTCGAACCGCCTATTGATAGTGTGACAGTGGAATTTAGAGGATATGGAGAGGACAAAACAAATTGTCATAAAAAATATTGATCAAATTCTTCCAGCAAATTATTGGCCCTGATTGTCTCGCTGAAGTGCAACGAAGGTGAGATCCCCGTCTAGTTGGAAAGCAATTCAGTACTCTGGCCCATGTGTATATATATATATATGTATGTTAACATGACTCGATATTCCACAGGCCCCTAATAACTCTCGCTTGGTGCTTGGTAGTGAGGAAAATATTCGCAAATACTTATATCATCATACTCGTGCAAGTGCCGTATATACCTCATCTTGGGACAATTAAATCCATGATGTGGGACTGGCGATGAAGAATCACTGTATCATCCCTCCAGTACTTGCTCCAGGGTGCCACAGCGGCATCAGGGCAGAAAACCGCAAGCCCTCGCAAAGGCAGGAGTTTAGCGGTTTTCTTTGCCGTCAACTCCGTGTAAGACAGTTCGGGCACTCGTGTCTATTTAATATGTCGTATAATTATGCATATGTCTTTTTTGGCCGTCCAACTATCGATTAAGAGAGATCTGTGGTTGTTGATTCCTTCCATTCAGTCTGTCCTGTTGTGGTTCCCTCTTGGAGCAGTCGTCCTGTTGCCACAGGACGCATGGTGTCGATACTTGAGTGCTTAACAAACCAGTCATGTGAACCGAAAATTGCTCAGTCCTAAGATATTATTTCCGCGAAGTGCATACACTTAGCCAGACTCATGGCGGTTGTGGGAGTAAACAGATCGGCTACTCGTGGCGTATTCTATCAGCTGAGTCCGACCATACACTAGCAGTGCGACAGCCTAGATATGTAATAGAGCTGCGTGCCGAACTATACGTCATTTGAGTGCTCGTTACGAGTGCAGAGTACAAGGACCGCAGGAGCGGTGGAACCTCTGCGATCATTTAGACCGTATCATCTTCTTCCTCTCAATATCTGCCACGACGTCCTCGAATACCGCATCCATCCGCTCCCTTATCTGATTCTCATCAACGCCCAAGACCTTCCTGTTTCTGACGATAACGTTCCCGTCGACAATGACAGTCTCCACAGCCGTCCCGTTGCAGCCAAACACCAAGTGGCTCTCCAGCTGCCTCCGCCTCGCATCGAGCGGTGCCTTCAGCAGGGGCGTAAACATCATATCCTTCCTGAGATCCAGAAGCACGACATCCGCCTTCCTCCCCGCTTCCAGAGTGCCCGCATCGACGCCTAGCGCCCGGGCGCCATTCCGCGTCGCCATACGCAGGACCTGGCCGGGCTTTCCGAGGGCCGGGTCTTCGTGCAGCGCGCGCTGCACGTAGCTCGTGATCTTCATCTCCTCGAACAGGTCGAAGCTGTTGTGGCACTCGCACGCGTCGACGCCCAGCCCGCAGTTGACGCCCGCGGCGGCCAGGGGCTCCAGCCTCGCCACACCGCTGCCGAGCTTGGCGTTGCTGCCCGAGTTCACGCTGACGTGCGTCCCCGTGCGCGCCAGCAGCGCCACGTCCGCGTCCGTCAGGTGCACGCAGTGCGCCGCCACGGTGTCCGGGCCCAGCAGCCCGGCCTCGTGGGCGGCCTGCACGGGGCTCCTGCCACCGTACCGCCGCGCGCAGTCGGCGATCTCGCTCCGCGACTCGCACAGGTGCATGTGCAGCCCGGTCTTCAGCTCCCTCTTCGCCGCCGCGACCTGCCGCAGCAGGCCCATGTCGGCCAGCGGCAGCCACTCGATGCCCATCCAGACCTTGACCCTGCCGCCGGCGGCGCCGTCGACCTGGTGGAACGCGCTGATGTTGTCCTCGATGGTGTCGAGGCGGTGCTCCGGCAGGGCGACGTCGTTGGACAGGACTGCGCGGAGTCCGATCTGCTCGGCGGCCGCGGCCAGGGACGGCACATGGCGATACATGTCGTTCACGGTCGTCGTGCCGGACTTGACGGCCTGGGTGTAGGAGTACAACGCCGCGAGCTTGGTCGTCTCTGGCGTCATTGCCCGCACGGCCGGATACCAGACCTCGTCCAGGTATTCCCACAGTGGCAGGTCGTCGTTGAACCCCTGGTGAGTTTAGCAAGCTGCCCGACCGCAGCTTGTGCGTCATGTGAGGGCGGAAACCTACCTTGGCGATGCTGGTGTGAAAGTGCAAGTCGACCAATCCCGGCATCACGAGTTTATCTTTCCCGTCGATGAACTCTGTTTCGCCATCGTACTCATCCAACGCATCGTCTTCGGCCCATTGTCCCAGCTTGCAGATCCGATCATCTATGATCTCCACATATCCGGGATAGTAGAACGAGTCCTGATCGTCCAGCGTCAGGACTGTCGCGTTCGTGATAACGATGCGGCCCATCGCGGTTGTGTCGTTATGTAGGATATGCAAATTTCTGATCGCGGCGTTCAATTCGGCTTCGATACTATGCTCGGGTACTTCAATACCAAGTAGCGCTCCATTTTTGTTGTTATCGTCGGCTCGGCCGCCTATCTTCGGAAGCGCCCGCTCATGTGCGTACCCGATGCGGCTGTTCCCGCGAGTGGGCACCCGGTCTTGCCGCCGGCAAATGACTGCCATGACGCAGCGGTCGGTGCAGGGTCGAAGTAAATTGACAGCCATGAACGATTCGCCGGTGAGAGTTCGCGGGGAACGAACGCGCATACCCGCCGATTTGTTGTTAAGCCACCCGACTCTTGTCTCCGCTGGAGCTTGGCTCACAAGGCAAGGACCAGATTTCACTGCAAATTTCACCTCCACGAGGACCATACCGTGTATTGAGCGGCGCATTGCCTCGATCTCATAATTCCTAGAAACGGACTTTTGCTCTTTATACGTATTGCGTGTTAAATGTTTACTGGGGCCCATTACCGGCAGTATCAGAGTGCCTATCGTATGCTGAGAATAAGCAGTGACAGCCTGGATGCTTGGGTATCCTCAAAGTCATACGCAGCTCTTCATCGCACAACACGAACCTTTTCGCCCACCTCACCCCTTTCCACTTGCTCCAACCTTGGCAGCACATGTTCCCAGACCCTCTCGCTCAGCTCCTCGACGCCCAGATCCGCATCCACAATCTGCAGGTCTTCCTCCTCCTGCCTGAATGCGCCTTTCTCACCATGGGGCCTTAATCCTCCGCCCTCGCCGTCACCTTCGGCAGCACTCCCGTTCTCGACCCTCTTGCCCTTGCCCTGCCCTGCTGCACCGGACACATCACCCATGCTCAAGCCCCAGAATAGCTCGCGGACTCTGCGCTGCATCTCACCCCTCTCGTAGACCTCGCCACCCCATCCTCCGCGCTCGCGGGCGACCTTCTCCTCGAGGTCGAGGAACAAGACCAGGTCCGGACGCGGAAGTCCCACCTCGGGGGCCTTTGCCCAGGAGAGATGAAGCGACGGGTTTTGCTTTGCGGCGCTGTATACAATGCCACTGTGATAGTAGCGGTCACAAATGATCGTCTGTCCGCTAGCCAAGGCGGCGTGGATAGATTTGCTAGATAGAGTCACGTCAGCAACGAGGCCTCGGGAATTATGCGCAGGCACAAATTCGGCCGAGGCAAAACTTACAGAGCCTCCCACCGGTTCGCGCTGAACAGCAAGTGGATAACGTGATCCTCGATTTCCGTCTGGCCCTTGAGGTACGCGTCGATCATCTGGCCGATAGGCGTCGTCCTATCCGGGAATCTCATGAACCGTACGTCCTTGCCCTCCTCGATGCACCGCTGCTGCAGTAGCTTGGCCTGTGTCGTCTTGCCGGCGCGGTCCATGCCCTCAAACACAATGAAAGCACCTCTCACCGGCTTCCTTTTCTGCTCCGGCACCGGCGCCGCAGGAGCCGCTTGACTTTCAGATGCAGCATCAGGCCTTGCCGGTTCCGGTTCGCCGGCAGGCTGCGCAGGCGGTGATACAGCAGGCGGGATCTGAGCTTGTTGCGGTTCAGGGGGCGATGTCTGTGGTGCCGCCAGGACCGAGGAGGAAGCAGCAGTAGCAGGCGGTGATGTCTGCGGCGGCGCTGACACCGGTGTGGGCGCTGCGGCGGGACTTGCAGACGAGGCGACCTGCGTGGGTGGGCTGAGGGGAGGCGGTGAGGGTCGCTCTGAAGCAGCCGCGGGTTGGGCTGCTTGCTGCTGTGGTGAAGACTGCAGGGCCACGGCAGACGATGCTATCGTGGCCGCGGTAGCCAAGTCGTTGATCGACGACATGACGACGCTGCAGGTCCGAGATGCTCCGATGTGTCCTGGTCCGTTGTGTGGTATTTTCAAATGAGATTGTTCCTAGGGATCAAAGTTGACTTTGTGAGTTGAGAGACAGTAGCTGCTGGATTGCGATCAATTAGTTCAATGCCGGCGATATCCACTTTCCTCCAATCCAGTCATCGACCGATATAATGTATGAATGTGTGCGCCTAATGCTCGGGGGGTTGCAACACAATATGACGTGAAGTGCTGTGGTCCCACTATCAGCTGTCGCGCCTGGCCTTGAGGTTAGTCTAGCTGAGCTCCCCGCGACGCGTTTATTAGAGGTGGGTAGGTGGAACCCCGCATTAGAGGATCAACCCGTACATAACAAAGCATCCGCTGTATAATCCTAAACAGTATTATCTCTCGAAGACGTGTAGCGTTGTTTGAATGGCCAGTTCACGCCTGATATATATAGTCAGATTGCTCTAGTACAGCAGAAATGTCATGGCTCAATACGGCTGTAGATCGAAGTAGGCCGAGAGCAATGTTGGTCATTGTCGTGAACTACTGTAAGCACAAAGCTCACCACATATTCGGGTAGCGTGGCAATCAAAATTCAAACCGGCCGTGACTTTGACCCAGAGTAGTCTGAGCCTCCGGCTCTCCACGGCACCCACTGTGTAGCACATAATTAAAACGATCTTTATAACATCATCCCTGTTCCCAGTGTGAGGCATAGGCGAGCATTATATCTTACCGTAGCAGGTACATGACTGGATTGTTGTTTAGATTCATAGTCTCCGGCGTCGTAAACTGATTAGCACGGGCTGATGGGGGAGAGGCTTAGGGCTTTGGGCTTTTATATGATGAAAAAAAGCTAGGCAAGCATCCAATAAACACATCCTAGCAAGAACATGCTCGCTTGTCTTGATCGCCTGGTTTATCTTGCAGCATTCGAGCTCGATGTTATTTGTAAGCACTATCGTGCCTGGTCCCGAGAACACGGTGAGCTGTATTGAGCGTACCTCTGCAAGGGTCTGTTATGCCACGAGCAGCCATTCTATGAGCTGTGCTTCTATGAGCTGTGCTCCAGGATCACACATCGCACCCATCAAAAGGGCAGGGCATGAAGGGGCGAATCTGCTAGACACAAAAACGACTTCATTTGTATTCAACAGGCTCAAACATCCAGACAACCCATACGGGTATATAAAATACTCGAAAAACCAATATCAGCAACGCCAAACCCTTGCCAAACCAATCGCCATGCCTCTGAAGGAAAAATGGATAAACAAATAGTAATTAAAAACAATTGACGCCTTTTCGCTCGCTCGAACTCGTGACCCGCATTAGTGATAGTATTAGGTCAGCCACATTCCGTCGTCATCATATCCATCATGATTCTCATTTCCACATGTCAGCAAGCGACAACTGCCTCCGTCTCATCTTGGGCACTGCCGCTTTCCCAGACCTCGAAGCTCTCGCCAGTGCCCTCAATTGGTTGCAGGACGGCGGCCGTCGGAGCCGACTCTTCTGTCTTCAGCATCAACTCGTCGAGAGTCTTGGTACCATCTTCTGCTACTACCAGGGACGGCTCTCCCGACACGGGCATTGCTATCGCAGGCTCCTCAGCGGGAGCGTCCGGCGCGAACTCGTACTCGGTCTTGGCTTCCTCGTCGTCGTCACCGGGGACGATGATGATGCTTGACTCGTCGCAACCCTCGGCGTAGAAGTCCCTGACATTCATCTCACCCAGAGGATTGCGCTCCTTCTCGAAGATCATTTCGTCGGCGTCCACCGCCCGGGCTGTCCTCGGCCGCGACGTTTGGGAGACGTCATCGACAGGAGGCACGTTTTCCTTGCCCTCGGCGCGCTCCCTCAGAAGGCGGGTTTCGCTCTCCTCGTCTGAGCTGATGTCCAAGACGCAGGTGCTGTGCTGGAGCAAGTTGGTCATCTCCTGTTCGGGAGTGTCTTCATGGATGTCAAAGAACCAGTCTGACTTGTTGCTCGAACCATGAAGATCGTCGAGGCCAGAGGACCGACTAGAGGATTCTTTGGGGGATGCATTGCGACCTGTGTAGCTGGGAATGGTACCCTTCAGGGCGGCATCCAAGGAGAACGGCGCGGCCGAGGAGCTGGACAAGGAGCCGAGGCTGAATCTAGGGGGGTCGACGCGTGTGTAGGGCCCAGCCGTACGCCGGCGAGAGGAGAGAAGACCAGCGCGCTTGCCACGAGTAGGCGAGCGACCTGCAGGGGCGGAAAGAGGAGAAGACTTGACAATGCCTGTGTTTAGCCTCGCAGCGGGCGACTTGGGATTGAGCAGGGTTCGCGGTCGAGGCGTCGCGACTTTAGGAGAGGTGGTGACGGTGATGGTGCTGAGAGATGCAGACTTGGTGAGGATAAAGCTGGCAGGCTTGATGAAGTCCTTGGCAGGGTAAAAGCCGTCGGAGCTCGAGCCCTTGGATCGCTTAGAGAAGAGCACCGGATCAACGTTCTCCGAGTCGTCTGTGTCAATGTCGGAAGCCTTTCGCTTGACTGGTGATGCTATCGCGACGGCTGCAAAACGTTTAGCGACGGCGCAAACCAACCAGACTAATTTGGACTGCGGCGAGTAGGGAGAGTGTTTCGCGCAACTAATCGCGTACCGCAGAGATGCACAGGAGTGGGACGCGTTCACTGGATTTCACGTCTGAACTAGACTAGAGACAAGATTGACGGAGGGGGGGTGTAGTAGTACGATATGGGCTGTTCCCGTATCGCATGGGAAGGAGATGCGCTTGGGAGGTCATCAACTTCTGTCAGAGCAACATACCATTCTGTCTGTTCTTGAGGCTCGTCAAATTCTGTAGGCGAGGTCCCTCGATGGGAGCAAATGGTTGACGTGTAACAGCTGCCATGGTGGAATGTTGTGTTGTTGACGTGGTGGTGGTAAACAAGGTCCCAAATACCAGTCCCAGTACCGTACCCAATTAAGCTGACGCTACTGTAGAAGCTCGACAGCTTAATGTTGATCGTCCGCACAATTGTATGCCGACCAAGCTCCACCGCTACTGTAAAGTGGTCGAGTCAAGACCAACGACACACGAAATATGAATGTTTGTCTGCCGTCACGGACGATAATACTCCGACACAGATGTTGACGTTCACAGATCCAAGGGATGTCTGAAGTCTGAATATGGGGTACTCAAGATAGGCCCAGAAAGTGGAGAGGAGGGAGCGAGAGAAAGTGGCGAAGATGGGGTGTCAAGAGGGAATGACAACGTCTTATTGCGACCTTTGGCTGCTTCTGGCAAGCTGAGAGCTGCAGGTGTGTGATTGCGTCGGAATTGGCGTCTGTGGGGAAAGGTGGCCGCGATAGACGAGACGAGACGGGACTTATTCGTCGACTGACAGACCTGGTAATACTAGTCCAAGGGTAAGGCAGAGAATCCTTTGAGAGCCAACTCGGTCAATTGGTTTGTGTGTGTGTGTGTGTGAGGTAACTTGTGTGTATGGAAAGCTGCACGCCGAGTTTAGCAAGTTCCGACGGATTCAGCAAGCGCCCGTTGTTATGTGTGTGTAGGCTTGTATGTATGTAGGTGCTCCAATTCGGGTTTGGCTGCTGACGAGACGGATCTGATTGACCAGAACAAGAAAGATGAGCGATGCAGAGGGTATACAGAGGGTATATGAGAAGGCAAGAGAGATTGGCAATCGCGCGCTCAGACTCAGACCCCAGACGACCTCTGACCGTGACCGCCAGCTGAATTATCCGGAAAGACAGAGGAATGAGATGTCGGCAGCGGGATGGGCACGAGCAAGACAAGAGGATCGGATTGGGCAGTCTCTTCAAAATTGGGGGGATGCGGATCGTGTCCAGCGTGTGTCGGACGCGTGGTGTTGGTGTATTCGTCGTGTTGCACCAATCAGAACTCACCACGGCGCCTAGCGCGCTGAATTCGGATAGCTTCAGTGGGGTCCATGTCTCTCTCTCTTTCTTGGTCGTAAATTGGATTCTGAGTTCGGCCGCTTCCCTGTCTGCCCTGTCTGTCTGCCCTGTCTGCCCGCCGTCTGGCCCCCTGTGCTTCCCTGTGCTTCCCTGTGTTTTGCCGTTGGATTAACGCTTTATGAATCTGATGGCGGCGTCTCTAGTGCTTGGTGCAAGGGGCCTAGCTGCAGCCCAATGCAGCGTAAATCTTGAAAGCACATCATGCGAATCCCCATACAAGATGCTGATTTGCTAATCCAGCGTCAAGAGAGTCTCACCAGGCACTGCCCAAGCCTGCAGGTCTCACGGTCTGCAAGTATAGCTTCCAATCGTCGCGTCCCCAGCTGCTTCAGGAGGTGGAGAGCCGAAACAATCCACCCGCATTAAGCCAATTTCGACCCTTAAGTGCAAAACCATCGCTCATCCCGTGTCGGCACGCTTCTCGTTTCCACGCGTAAATGGCTGCAGGGGTGGAGACCTCGTCGCGTCGATAAAGAACCGTCGCCATCCTCCTCCTCCTCATTTTGATTGTGCTCGACTGTGGCTGCCCAGCCGAGCTATCACGGCATTGACATCAAAACGCCGGCCAAAACTCTGACCCCAGATGCTGAACATGCAGAGCCTTCCAGTGGAGGCGGTGAAGGCTCGTGTCTACCAACCGGCGAGTGTTCGCTCCACAAAGTTCTGCCCTCGCGAGACTACAAACAGTGTCGAAACAGACTCACTGGCAGGCGCTGTTTTGCATCTCGAAGCATAAACGAATTCGTGGGGGTATGGACCCTCAGGTCTTCTTGTGGGAACTCCTGGAGAGGTAGATTCTTAGCAATGGAAGCTTCTGTCCGCCGTGTCAGCCAATTCCCACTTGACGACCACCAAGGGAACGTGCACAATATTCCCCCTGGTGGTGAGAAGGATCAACGCTCTCTTGATGACGGCGGCGTGCTGCCGGACGTCTCTCGGGGTGTGCCTCAGGTGACTCGGGAACCAATGAACAAGTAACGCATGGCAGCTGGCCTGGGACATAGGACGCGATGCCCGGGCCGCATACGTCACGACCTCCTTTGAGACCCCAGAGGGGCTTACAGGTATGCCCTCCAGTAAGACTGGGTTGTGGCGATGAAGAAGTCTTCGGCCTCTAGGCTGCCTATTCTAGACGACTAGGTTAGCAGAAGCGCCTACCGAAGTAGTTGACCACGGGAACCTGCAACACCCTTTATGCGGTATTCAGTTTTGATTTGTTCAATTCGATATGAGCCCCGGCCAACGTGCAGAGAGGAATCATTGGAGTTTAGAGAACCATGGGGAGATGGCACTGATGCGTCGCAATCAATCATTCCAGGCAATGAGCTGGGCTTCAATTGGCCTATCGCGTTTTGCTTGATTCCCTATCGGTCCGCATCCCAGTCTGGTTCCTTTCGTATCATATTCATAAGTCAGCAGATGGGCCTGTGAGGATAGGAGTTATTGCTCACATTATATGCAGCACTCTTCTGATAACAAAAAAACTTAGGTGAAGTGGTGATGTGTTGCGTTTGCAAGCCGCCAGTTTGAAGCATAGGACCCACAACCGTTATCTCGTGCGCCCGTCGCAGCTTCTACTCTCATTCGCAATTCTTTCAGTGGCCATTGTGTCTCAAGCTACACATGTGGGTATTGAGCGACAACCGAAGCTCATTGTCGACCAGCAGCTTCAGGTTGCCGGATATGTTACTTTCCTCAGTGGAAGCACCTGCGAGCCCCGAGGTATGCACCAAGGCGAGAAGAGAAAAGGAGAATACCCATCCAACGTTTATCAGTACACGAGATGATAAGGTAGAAAAGATGTCAAAGGTGGATCGATTGGCCTTGAAAATTTCTAGGCATGCCGGCCCCCATCTGCATAGCATTGCTGAAGACCCTACTAATCTTAAATTCCTTATCCCATGTCTCGAGGCTCTGTCCCACGGACGGCTTTCAAGAGAGCTGTGGGTGATCAATTGTTCTCGATCTCTGCCGAGTTTAGACTCGTGTACACATTCTTTGCGCCTAAAAGCTGTCCTCACAACAATCACTCACGTTACATTGGCCACACGCTGCCTGTATCGACAGCTACAAGCTGCACATCTGTACTCGTTGACTCAAGTGAGCACATGGCTGAACGGGATAATCACTTTGATTTATACAATCGCACTGCAACATTTCTCCACTACAGAGATGAATTGGCATGCTACCCACTCTAAGGCGTCAAGCTGTATCCGCTCAAACCACCGTACTTCCCTAGCTTGTATTCAAAGACATTCCCTCGCTCAACCGTCTCAACAACATCCCCAGCAACCACAACAAGTCTTGGGCGTATCTCGTGCTACAATCGCACTGTCGGCGCAGCAGCTTGAGTTCTCAAAGTCAGCAACCTGGACGTGGTGTACAATTGACGGTAATGGAAACGCGCTCACGTTGGTATCACTTGACAATAGTTTGGTCCTCGACCATCTAGAGCAGTGGTGGGCGTGGGGCTGCCAAGCGCGAGGCTGGCGAGGCCCGTGACTGCGATGAGATATGGAGTGCTGATTTGCATGTCGTTATTCACAACACCATACAGATTGGCGAAAGTTTTGAGGTTCTGTATATGGAGGTAACGGTGGGATGAGGTCCGTATACTCCGGGGCAAACGTGTGCATTATATCATACGAGTCTGACCATACTGTATGCGTCGAGATACACACATGAAGCTAATCTAGTCGCCCATTCTTCATGTCCAAGTCCTTCTCAGACCACGGGGCTCGAAAACTCTGAATCCAAGTGACCTTTTTTTTGGTCGCCGAGGTTGATCTCACTCCAACACCCCTGATGCTCGATGTTGTGATATGAACATGGACTCAGCTGATATACAAATGGAGCTCAAGTCAGTCTTACCACGCAAGGCATCTGGACTTGATTGGTTATCCACCACGTAGAGGGTAATGCTTATGACCACGGCGCTGATAGGCGGCTGACACTCTCAGCCGGATGCCTAGAATGGGGGCATAAAAGCGATCCCACAGCGCTGGCATACCGAAGCACCGCGAGATCGCTTTCACTATTTACCAGAAACATGTGATCCCTCATCAAGATCATTCATAGATGTTTCGACTCTTGTGTTGAAGTTTGGAAGTCTCGCGATGTAATACGCCCGATGATGACCCGACTCGTTGAGCGCCATTTCGCATACACTGCTGACCGGGAAGAAACCGTACTCGGACACCGCCCCCATCCTATCACAGCTCCTCACTCGTTCAGTCGTGGTTCTGCAGCATGACAATATCTATGTTATGTCGTCCCTGTTCGAAGCTCAGCCCCATCTCTATCGCCCGGGGAGAGAAACCATGGTGCTGCAATCATCACAAGAAGTACTGCAGGACGCAATGGCTTCTGCTCCATGTCTGAAATCTACTGATACGCCCCTGTCGTTCCTTACAATTAAGCGAGATCGCTCCCCAGGCTTATTATGCGCAGATATCATGCAAGCAGACAGATCCTGTCCCATGGGCGCTGTGCTAAGGGCAAAGCGTGTTAGAACATTTCCATGCCATGACTAACAATTCAATTAGTCGTGCCTGGGTTGCAGACTTTATAAGAGACGTTCTACGACGAGACTTGGGAAACGTGACTTCTGGATGAAGCCATGGACATATTGACTCCTCGGCCATTGATATGGTCGCCATCTTCTCAAGCGATGGATACCGATGATGCAATTCGTGGTCGTAAAGGGGGCTAGAAGCATGATGAGGGGTTAGCAGGCTCTATGACGGGCTTGCAAAGAATGCTCTCGGTCGCGTTGCAGTCATGGGAACATGTCATTCATTCGTGGTAGCATAGAACGCATCGCATTGACGGAATGAGCTAACTCAGCTACATAAACATTAGTGCTCACATTTGACCTAAAACCCCCTACTAAAGCTTGGTCCGGATGGTGGTTCTGATATGGAAGATCCCAAGGTTAGGCAGGACGACTCTGACGAGCTTGCGAGAAGCTAAATACTGCTACCGGGACATCAGCGCTTCGAAGTTCTCTGGACGCTGGCAAAAGCCCGGGCCGTCTCCCGCGTGCTCTGAACAAGCAGGATCAAGGGGATAACAATCCAGAACGCGTTCAAGAACACGTAGTAGCCGTAAAAGTAAGCGGGTTCCGGGCGGGAATGAGCGATTCCCGAGACCAATGAATCAAAGGTGCAAGTTGCATAGTACAGCACATCGCCGTACAGCTGTCCCAGGCTGATGATGGACTGCAGCGGGTGGCGTAGCGGGTGGTCGTTGACGATGCACCAGGCGCACACGAAAGAGAGCGGCCCCCAGAAGGCGGCGGTGATGGTCTCCATGCACACCACGAAGCTGTCGGCCGTCAGGTACCGCGCGTCTGACATCGAGTACTCCTTCCAGAGCTGTGCGAGGACGGTCGATCGGCTCGCCAGGTCATGCGCGCGCAGAGCGAAATAACCTTTACGTGCCATGTCATGAGCCTTTTTGTCATCCATAGCACTCCGCGAGTAGGGAATGCGTACCTTCCAAGCCCAGGTGAATAGACCCGCAGAGAACAAACCATAACGCGATCGAACGATCCCCCAGAGAAAGATGAGGTCGGTAGCGGCGTATGTAAGCCCATGTCGGGACTAGAATGCTCAAGCACGTAGCGGTGAAGATGCTCAGGATCTCAACCGTAGAGAGCGTCTTGGCAACGAAGCCAGTAATGACAACCCCCAGAGGATAGTAGGGGTGGAGGGGTGCGTCAGAGACGGCTTCCAATGTGGAATTCATGATGAATGAACGAGTTTCCTTAATTCAGTGTCAACGGCAGATTTGATGATATCAAGTGAACGAATAGTTTAATCGTGGTTGAGCGCGCTGGGTATGTGAGATGTGTGTGCTGCTTGTGCTGCAGGCTGGACGGGAAAGGTTCCAGCAGGTAGCCATGTCCAGTAACGTAATACGTATGGGCTGATCTTTTAAGCCTGATACTACGCCGCGCCCCTGCGTCAGTGCTATAACTTGGCGTCTTGGCTCATATGTACCCCCGCGGAGACCGAAATAAACTGACGTATACAGGCCACTTCATCTTCTCTCAAGACGCTCTGGTTTTGGCTTACACAAAACCACATATAACAATTTCAGAAGTTCATAAAATCAGAGCAGTGTCATGGCGACTAATAGATCAACATATTCAGACCTTTAGTGGCTCTAAAGGTTATTATTGTGCTATTCTGTTGTATAAAAGACGAAAGAGCATTGCGAAACTATGTCCGGCCTATTTCGCCCTCCGCGGGGCTCCGCGCTGGAGAAGGAAGCAACTAACCTAGCGGCCGTTAGTGCTGGTGGTCAATAGAATAGAGTATGCCCCATTACCGTACTCTCTGGAAACCCATTTTCTATGTTCCGAGGACTCTCAGGAACGTTGACGGATCTGCCATCGAGGAAAGGCAGGTCGAAGTTTCTTTACATTGCTAATGCCAAACCCCTGCTTCAGCGTTGATGCGTATTCTGATGTTTCAGATATCTGATATTTGAATCAACATTCAAGTAACAGTATTCCGAGCGCTACTGGTAGACGCCTCTGCACACCCCGCTGGTTTCCACTGGTCATAATTACGACACATAGTGAGCCACTATAAATCTTACCACCACCACATGAGCGCAAATCAACCGACCCCCTTTTCAACTTGTTGCTGGCAAGTCTTGGCAGGACTGCCTAAAGGATCTTGTCGACCGCGGGTTCTGTATACCACCGCGGGTCAATCTTATCGCCTCCGGGTAACGGTTGGAACTGAACCTTCGGCCCCCCACAAACGCAAGAAGACGATGGAGAGAGGCAATGAAAGGTATAGGGTTGTCAGTGTTAGGCGCGGTAGCCGAAGTTGTGTGGATGTCTACCTCCACGATGTAGAACGATTTTGCTTTTTGCCGACTTTCGTGAACTGTTTGAAGTAATGGACTAAGCCAACTTTTGGCTAAAATTATATATATGCGGTATTGAACAAGCGATACGAAGACGACTGAATATTAAAGCTTGACCTCTTCCGGAAACTATCAGTCCCAGACAGACCAGATATCGCAGTTCTGTTGGTGATTCGGGTTGGCCTTTAGGCATATGTTGAGAAATATTATCATGTTGTAGATGGTGCCTCAGGAGCAATATCACCAAGAAACAAACTGTCCAGGATTCAAGATTCCGCACAATTTACTTCAAGAAGACGACGAATCGACCGTTGACTTTTCTCAGAGATAGCTGGATCCGTTTCGGTCGAGTCGATATCGATGTCTTTAATCTTCAACCCGCTCCACAGGTCGTTCAACATCTCACATAATTATACATACTCAAGGGTGTCGTAAACACGCTTTGCAAGTGCTTCCTGCAACTATTTCTTTTGAAGCGCACCCGGCTATAGGAAGCTTGTACGTCTCGAGAGGCTCTTATGCTTGATATCCGCTTTATTCGAAATTCTAGCTCGTAGAGAACACGAGCTCTTCTCCGAAAGGTTACCTCAAGCCTTACCCCTTTAAAATCTTGCCCGTAGTGACAAGCCCTCACCGACTGGAGTTGACGGTTCCACGCCGTACCTACGGCGGACTGGTAGCATTGGGACTAGTTTCACACTGAATCACAGTGTTCACCTCTAATGCTCAGAAATCGTAAGCTCATGGCGAAGATCCACCAGTGCGATTACGCAGCAAACGGTACGGTAGTTCATCGGGTATATGCGTAGAGTAGTTGGTGCTACACTTGATCTTACACGGCAATTTAAAATACGCGAGATTCAGTCCAATTGCGTAATACTATGACACAAATGCTGACGGATCCCTATTAAATACCACGCTGCCAGCAAAGCTATACTTGATTTATTGGTGAACCATATTGACAAGTTCTACCAGGTTACTAACGACCACTAGAAACCCAGCCGCGCACAACACGGTCTGAAAGCAATGTTCCCCGACAATTCCAGGCTTCCATACATTTTGAATTGTGATTGAGACAGAGCGCAGAGAATTAATTTATTACTTGCAGGCAGGCAGATGTGTATTCCAAGAGCTTAGTGGACAAGTAAGCACTTATGTAGGTCCCGTCAAGTCTTACTTGACGAAATGGGCCAAATGGTCCAAAAGTGTTTCTTGCATGTTCCCAAAGCGGTCGTGATGTCTTATCGTTAGTAACACCCACCGCAGATCTTCACCATCTCACGTAATTCGTGACGTCGAGTAATACTTCCATTATACGCCAAGCAGTGGTTTGTTTTGCAGCATTATGGATGCGTTCGGAATTAGGAACGATCATGTACGATCAGCGGACCTGGGAGCGTCACGATAGCCAAAGAGCAGTTGCGGAGTGCCTGAAAGAGGAAAGCGAGCGTTGTGATGTAAGGAAGACTTTACGGCAGCGTGTACAAAAGTCCCATCCGATGAGCACGGAGTCCATGGGGACTGATGGCAAAGAAGAAAAATATATATAGGGGCGAAGGCGTTGTCTTTCAGTAGTATCAGCTAGCTACCACACAAGCACTTCAGCTTTCGAGAGACGTTCTAAGAGACCAAGGAAAGAAGACCACGCCAGAATGGGATACGTTGATCAAGAAGCTAATACCTTCATGTGCAGGCACCCTAGATCCGTCGACCATATCACTGTTCCTATACCATTCCATAGAAATGCAGCCTACGTTGTTTCTCGCTACCCTCGGCCTAGCCACAAGCACCCTTGGCCTGGGCATCAACTGCAGAGGCAACAGCAACTGCGGCGGGACTCTCTGCTCGCTGACCGACATCCTGCGACAGGTCAGAAGCCTGCCGCAGGGGAACCAATACAGGCCGGGCGACCACATCTCCTGCTGCGGCGACAATGCCGTGGCGTCAGGCCTCTGCGCCTTCGTCCAGGGCAACTTCCACGACGGCACTATCACGGCCGCGAGGGCCGGCGACCTCCTGCAGGACCTTGTCAACCATGGATGCGGAAAGTGTGGCAGCATTCCTATTGGGCCGAACAATGATCCCGACGCTAATGGCATCTTGACTGTCAACTGGGTCAGCCAGCGATAGAAGATTGTCTGTAGGAGGTGGTGGTAGGCAGGCAGGCAGGCAGGCAGAGAGGCACCTTGCTTTCTCAGGGGATTGTGGCCTGGTGATTTGCTTCAGAAAGCTACCTACTAAATTCACTCGCTATTCAATATATCCTATACGACGGTCTCCGCAGAACTATGGTTAGTGAGGGCTTGACCGATAGTATGGCGACCAACTCGCTGCTTGCCTCAGCTCATGAATTAACACACCAGCAGACGCGCACCACTTATACCCTCTCGACTGTAGAGAAAGCAGAGAATCCTATGGCCATCGATCGTTCTATCTATAATCTATGTTCTGTGATTCTGACTCTGACGGTTTCAGCTGCGTCAACAAGTCGCTATTGGGCTGCTCATCTTCCCATCGCGGCCGAGGCAGGTCAAAGGTCGACGTTATACGTCCGTAGGCCATTCCGCCAAGTTGTGCGACGGGCCGCAGTTTATTGAGATCGATGTGACTGAAATCCGCATTGGCTGCGTCTTCACGAACCCAGAAGCGCGTTGCCTGGATGAGCACCATACCTGCAACACTCTTGCCTCCTTTCCCATGATGCTTGAACTCCTTGACGTCCACCACCTTGCCCTCGATAGAGAATACAGATTCCCGCACCCGTTTAGGCTTCACCGTCGAAGTCGGCGCCTTGCGTAGTCCTGACACATCCCACTCTGACACTCCTTCTGGAGCGTCGATGGATGTGGCGTTGACAGCCTCGATCATGTTCTCGGAGACGGTGTTAATCACGCACTCGCCGGTATCTTTCAGGTTCCGGTACGTGTCCTTCATCCTCCCGGGCCGCGAAGAGAAGCTCACGATGAACATGGGCGGATCGTGCTCCACGACCTGGAAATAACTGAAGGGGGCCAGGTTCTCGGTCTTCCCATCCGCAGACACCGTGCTGACGAAGCCGACGGGGCGCGGCGCTATGCCAGACACCAAGAGGCGGTAGTTGTTGACCATTGCTCGGTCCGGGGCGTATGGGTCAATCTCCTCGTGACGAAGAGTCCCCGATGCAGCGTCGATTGCCACGCCATCCCCATACTTCCAGTTGGTGTTTGGCGACTTGGTGACCGGGATGGGCTTGTCACTGTGGTCAAAGCTTGGCCGTTTGGCCTCGGTCTCTTTGAAGTTGGCGACTTTGAGTATTATCGGATTCTCGGCCGGGCCTGAAGCTGTCGCCCTGGGAGCAGCTGTTGACATTTGTTTCCAGCCCAGTTGCGACCCGCAAAATAGCCCGTCCTGAGATTTAAGCGGCAATCTTGTGCAACTGGTGAGGCTGTCCTTTTGTTAGCAAATGTTCGAATGTTGTTTGGACAGGCCAACTCACCCAGTTCGTAGGGCACGCGCGACGGCCCCTGTTCTGGTTATCATGACGCCGAACAAACACTATGATCCGAGTTTTGATTTAATTCTTGACAACTGGCTAACTTAGGAGTTGTTTTTTGATAGTCTATAAATGTTGGAGTTTCCTGTTAACTAGTCTAGTCTACAAGAGATCACTGGGTGGATGAGTCGGAATGCTGAACCGACGCGGCTACTTCCGTTCCAGGTGGGTGGGGGGGGCCAATTCGGCTTAGGTATCCAACAGTACCCAGCCTGGATTATATTTTTAGTGCACCAAAGTGCTGTAACAATCGTCGGATGCCCATCCCGACTGCAACCTGCGGTTTGCTCAAGCACAAAGCAACACAATAGCAGCACCTGACGAACGCAGGTCATCGTTGTTCAATGCCGACTCAAGCGCGTGCCGGTGTGTCGAAGAAAGTATTGAAAGCGTTCGTGATGACAATTATTCCGCATCAAATAACAACGGCTAACTGAGTTGAAGATGCAACCGATGCCGGTCGATGAAGGTGAGGTGCTCTGGGTCTCAACCTTGTAATCGATGCACCCGGAGCAACGAGCAGTGTGTCTTTGCCGTTGAAGAAAAACGAGTCGCAATCTCGGAAAGGTGATTGGCAGTCACCCACAGAAAGACCCCCCACGTACGTGCTCACGCATAACGTTAGGTACCTCAGGGAACTTGAGCGTCGCAGCAACTTCGGTGACCACGGTATAGTAACACCGGGTTCCGAGCAAGCCCACGTATCGGGGGTTCAGGGCGGACGTGCAAGAGCGAGAGCGGCGGCGTCCACACCTGGTCCAGTTCGCCCCCTTGCCAGCCGTCTCACCACTCCGCACGATTATGCGAACCATGAGAGTGTTGCTGACCGTCCTACCGACGATGCTGCCCAAACATCTTCAAGTTCGGGGTCGCCGTTTCGGCAAAACCCGCTGGTCGATTACGATCTCACATTCGCTAAAGCTGCCGGTCGATATTGGTATATGGGGCCCTCATCGTCGTGGTCCTTTTGTCGGCGAATCTTTGCCTTGATACAACAGCGAATACCCGAGGCTAACTGTCCCCCAGACCCGTGGAATCTGGACGGGTCCGCCTTCGACATGCATTGGGTTCCTATTGCACGAAACGAACGTCCAGATGTCACAAACATCCCGCCCCTGGATTATGCCTTGTTTCTGTTCAACACAGCCAAGTTCTATCTGGGAGGCCATTTCATGTGTCTTATCGACGAAAGCAGCTACATGAAAAATCTGCACGAATTTTACAAAGACCCTGCCTCGAAAGCAAGTGACTGCCGGCATTGGTTTGCCCAGTACCTTTTGATACTGGCTTTTGGAAAGGCATTTTCGAGTACTTGCAAGTGCCCGAGCGGTCCACCCGGACATCAGTACGCCTTGCGAGCGATGCGACTACTTCCCGGAATGGCTGGTCTACCCCCGGATACGACTCTGGCAGTCCAAGTGCTGGCGTTGGCCGCAGTGTATCTGCAGTCAGTTGATATGAGAGTTGGAGCATTGCAATATGTGAGCAACCAATTCTATCCGCGCATCACGGCTCCTGATTCTTGACGCCTCTAGATCGGACAAGCCTTAAGGACGTGTATTGTTGAAGGCTGGCATAGACACATGCCAGCCGATGCTGTTGGGGATCAACACTCGCGTCTTTGCAACAACACGTTCTGGGTGGTGTACATCCTGGAGAGGGAGCTCTCGGCCCTGTTTGGTTCGCCAAACTCCATTCGCGACGAAGACATCACGGCTAAACTTCCCTCGGAGTTGGACAATTCTGCCAATGCCTCGGAAATGGACCTTCACATACGACTGTCCGGACTGAGAGCCGAGATAATGAACAGTTAGTGCTCGGTGCTCAACTCAAGACCCTGCGAGGGAAGCTGGTCATTAATCTTCTGGTCTAGCTGTGTATGGAGCCGGGGCGGAGCTCCAAGGGTCGCTGGTCGTCAATACGCACGCGATACTGCGAGGCCTCGCGAAGCTGCTGGGGGATATGAATACTTTGCTACTCACTCGCCAGCCCGTTTCCGTAAACAAGGCCTCCCGGACTGCCTTGCGACTTATACTGGGCCACCACCATGTACGTGTCAGCATATATCTACAATGACGGGCCATTTACGCTGACAGAGTCCAGTGCGTCGTCCTGTCGACTCGACCAACCGTCATGTGCGCGCTCTACATTCGGCTCGATCGACGGCAAACACAAACTTCCCACGCCGTGTCATTATCTCCAGCAGTAACGTCGCTGATCCAGACTTGTGTCGACTCTGCTCAAGCCACACTCCGTACCTTGCGGGTGTTGAGTGACGAGGACCTACTAGGTATGTCAGGAACAAAGGACCTACAGGTCATGATCAGTTAACATCGTCGCAGAGGGGTTTCTACCCTTTCAGATTGAGGATGCGTTCTCGTCTGCATTCATTCTTCACCTCATTCGGTTCATTGATTCCACGCTTATTTCAGACGATGCATGGAGTGAGAATGCCAACATTGCATTTGACAGGATGATATCTAAGGGAAGCATGGTAGCACCATTACGACTGCAAGAACTTCGGCAGCTTGAGCGGACACTGTCGTCTCTGTCGACGGATCTCGATTCCACCTCACCGATGGAAAAGACTGTCGGACATGGCCTCCTACCTGTCAGCAATGTTCTCCCTCATGAGACAACCATCGACGATGCCGGCTGGAATTTCTTTGTGCGCGACTGTTTGGGCGTGTTGTCCCCACGGGAAATGATGGACTTGGCAGACCAACTCGAGATGGATGGCGCAGGGCCGATGCTGTTCGAGCCGACCTTGTAAGATGGACAAGGCACCAGGGATGCTGGCCAATGCGTGACACATGGGAGCGCTGCTCGGAGGTCTTCGTCAGACCTTGTCCTTGCCGCCCATCACATGCTGCCGGTCGTGTTGTGCAGCTGCTGAGATATTCGGACTGAACTTCCGGTCTCCACTAAAGCACCGGGGCAATCGTCCGATCTTAGACGTGGGTCTTGGAAGTGGATCAGTAGCAACACCAACTTACAAGTTCTTCGGCGGGAATAACGAGATAATTGGCCACTTTCTTTTGGTTCAGCCCATCTACCTCATCATCATTGTTATGGTCGTGTTGATCTTTCTCTCGAGACCATGCGGCCACACGTACGTTTCATAGTTCCCGCTCCCGAAGGCTACCATGCAGCAGAGGGTGAGGGTCCCGCAATCAACGGAAGCGCCATGGCCATCAGGGCTGGAAACGAAGAAGAGGCATTCAAGTATCTATGAAAGACGATGTTTATACAAACGGCGGTACTTGGGGATGTTGCGCGTGCGACCATCTGGCCGCTTGAGAGTAGTGGACGATCAGAATGTCGAGCCTCTGGGCCATGAATCTTCCAATCACTTTTCGGAGCAAGTTCGTATTATACGCCATTGTGACTTTTATTGTAAATGCCCAACATATTATGCATATACCCTGATATCCTTATTTGCATGTTTGTTCTATATCGTCAAAGTCGTGAAAGTCCCCCCATTTTCATTGGTCCAGTCCATGACCCATTATCGGTCCAGAAATGAGAACAGAGCAGCTCTTGACCGCCGCCCAAAACTCCAGAAACGCCACGCCGAAAAGCAAAAACAGCCTATGACGGAGAAGCGACGGTGATGCATATCTTACGCAGACGGCGAAGATAAGATCATGAGTAGTTTGAAGCACGGCCAGAACTCCTCCCGTCCAGCTCAAAATCATCCCTCTGCCGCACGGCGGGGCTGTACTCCAGAGCGCGCTGCTTCTCCTGTCTGTCGCGACTATTACGCCTCGGCGGCGGCGGCGCGGGCAGCGCAAGCGGCAGTGTCCTCGACTGCTGGTCGAAGTCGACCTCCTGCTCCAGCTCCCTGATGTCGTGGAACTTGCCGACGTGGTTGATGAGCGACTTGACGGTCGGGCAGATGGCGTCGCGCTCGCGGTGGCGGCTGCAGAGCACGCAGGCGTACTCGCCGTCCGGGGTGTGGCACTTGACGACGAAGCGCTGGCCGAGGTGGAACTCGCGCTCCTCGAGGACCTCGCGCTCGTACCGCCCGTCCATGACCACGCGGGGCGCCCGCTTGTCGATCTCCCAGAAGTCGTCCGACTCCACGTCCAGCCTCACCCCGCACCCGGGGCACCGGCAGCTGCCGCCCGGCGCGAACGCCGCCGCCAGCGGCTTGTTGCGCACGTACTGCAGGTCGAGCGCGTACCTGCAGTAGAGCGGCTCCGCGTCCATGATGGTCGACGCCCGCTTCGGGGGGCCGATGGGGGCCGCAGGCTCGTCCAGCGCGAGCATCTGGCGCCGGCGCTGGCCCCTCAGGGCGTCCAGGGACCCGTCGCGGGCGGCGTTGGAGGCCGCGATCAGCCTGGACATGTCGTGCGCGTCCAGGGGCCGGCCGCTGTACAGGGCGTCCTGCAGGACGTTGATGACGGTCTGCTGCAGGGCGATGACCTGCGCCTGCAGCCTGTTCTCCGTGACGGGGTCGCCGACGGCGAACCGCCGCCCGAGCTGCGCGTAGCCTTCGTCGAACTCGCGGCTGATGGCGGCGCCCGATCGCTGCAGAGCGTACCCCACATCGTCGCGGTCTCCTCCTCCTCCTCCTCCTCCTCCTCCTCCCCCTCGGCTGCCGCCGTGGGTGCTCAGCCGCTCCAGCTGCCCGTCCTTGTCCTTGTTACGTCTCTCGGACTCGTCGAGCTGCGCCTGGATGGAGGCGATCTTGTCGTCCTGCTTCGTGTCGCGCTTCCTCTGCTTGCGGCGGTCCTGCACCCGATCCCAGAGGCCGATGGAGGAGCTGAAGGTGCCGACGAGCGTGGAACAGAGGGTCGCTATGATGAATGTTTTCTGTGTAGTTTTTACTCGGTTATTCTGCGAACTTTCTGAAGAGGTAGCGCAAGGAGTATCCTCTCGCCCCGGGCAGGTGGCATACCTTGAGGTTCTTCTCCTCAATCATACTGGAGTAGTTCATACTGGCGGGCACGTTTTGTCCTAGCTGGGCCGCTAGAAACCTTAAGCTTTTAATGCACTGCTTGCTGCGACCAGCGGGTGAAGGAAAAAGCAAGCGGGAATAGGAGAACGGCGAGTATGTTCTGAAGGGGACAAGTAGAGAGGTGTTAAAACAGTAAAATAAAATTAAAAAAAAAGGGTAAAAACAAGTCACACTAGCTATCGACCCGATGGAGAAAGAAAAAAAAGATAAGAAACAACAGAAAGAATCCTCTGGTTTTTGCTTATGTGTCAGGAACGAGAATATCGCAACAGGATGAAGGATCACGAGCCCCCGTGGTGCGATCACAGTTATCGAGACATGGGGTCTGCACCACACTGCTGCATGATGATGCTGGATGATCCCTCCCAACCCTTTCGGAGGATCAGCGCAATACCGCACTAATAAACCCCCTGACCGCAACTTTCACTGCGATTGTGGTTTCAATGCTAAGATGGTATCCAATGACAGTCCCGGGCCCAAAGACGACAGAAATCTATCATGTAATTCCCGCAAGCCTGGGTTCATGGAGCTGAGAATCGGAGTTTAAGGTGTGAGACCGGCATGTGACGTCACTTGGAACAGACGCGGAGCTGACTGGAGCAGAGCGAAAGGATTGGGATCCCCTGTCCATGTCGGGAGTTGAGATCTCTGGGGATCCACACACATCATCGGAAACTAATTTTATCGGCTGGACGTGGTCGGAACAATCTGTCTCACGGCGCCTGAGGGGGGTGGCATCGGTAAGCTGTCAAAATCGGACTTCTGCCGCTATTAGCTTGACGAACATCTATATCGACCAAATCATATGCACAATGCCGTCAGAATGGTGAGCGAAGAGGGTCTCTGCAAACGGCATACGGTCATGCAAGCTCGGGAGGGCCTTTTGGTTCATGCCGGGGAACGAAGACAGAACCCCCCACGACCCCTGCGCGGAACATACGATTGTTTTGTTACGACTAGTAGGTCTGTCTTGGTGGCTACTTGGATTTTGTGCGTCGCTTGGGAAGGTTATCGCATGCTCCCTGAGCTGTTTCAAGACGAGACTGTGGTTCAAAGTCTTCGAGCTCAAAGGTTCCATGGTGGGACTCCAGTCTTGCTCTCTGGCAAGCTGCTCAATGTGGCATGCTCTCCTCCTCAGGCCTTACCGAGGACAAAGGTCGTAAATATCCTGTGGGTTGCCTATTGCGCCCAGAGCAGCGTGGTGCCGAGTTTCGTGGAAGCTTGCGACAAGCTCAACGCAGTGAATGCGAAGATGTGCGAGAAAAGGTTTCCCCGGATGCTGACGCACGTTCCGTAAGTGAACAGGCTGGCTACATGCACCAATAACATGTTAAAGATTAGCACTCCAAGTTGCTAATTGATCAAGCGCCCGAACGTGTGTACCGTAATGCTGCCCAACCTGTGCAGCGAGTATGACCCCCGGCGGGACCCATCCCATGTGCGTACATGTGTATGCACACACATGTGTGTACAAGTTGTACGGACATGATGGTCTTGCACATCCGATGTATCGGTTTGCGGGTACAGTGTTTTCGTGCCTCTGCTAAACTGATTGATCTCTCCAACGACTTCTGCGTGCTCCCTTTCCCGCCAAACGCCTTCTGGTCGCCGCTTTCCGGTTCAGCTCGGGAATCTGATATTCACTCTTCCGCTCCAACCGCACCGTCTCCCAGAAATCGTAGCCCCTTTCTCTCCGCCGCCTACGTAGCTGGTCCCGCTCCTGTTCTACCCGCCTGTTGACTAGTTTTGATTCTTTATGTTTGTCCGACCTCATCCTTTCGACCCTGTCTTTGGTACCATTCCACCCGGACATCAGTGCTCTGAAAGTAGACTTCACCAGACCCTGAACACGGCTACTGAACGCCCCGACCAGCGCCAATGCTATGAGAGCGAAAGAGCTCGGCAGAGATATGGCCCCGATACTGTGTAGGGTTATGTAGTTGTTGTCATCCTCACCGGCCCAGTCAGCGGTGTTCATGCCGAACAGACTGGTGAAGAAGCTAAGGGGCAGGAAGATGACGGTGAACGTGGTGAAGATGATTACGCTCAGGTTCTGCGTGCTTGCAAGCTCCGTCTGCAGACGACTCCACCGCACCTCGTCCACCTGCGCCTTGCGCTGTACCATCTCGAGCATTTTCTCGTAGTCCGTGCGGGTGGCCGCGATCCGAACCACCATGTCTTCGGCTTGCTTCTCATAATCTGCCAGCCGAGAAAGTGCTTCGTCGAGATAGCGCCGTCCGTTCTGCGTGTGTTCCCGCAGGTCGTCTTTGCCGTACAAGTCGCGCATCTTTTCCACGACAACCGTCTGTTCTCTAAAGAGGTTGCACAGGGTCTTGAGCTCGTCGTCCATATCACGGAGCTCGAGCAGCGCCGACGTATTTTCCCGGTTCTCGCGCTCGGCCTGTTCGATCTCGCGCTTATGTCGCTGCTTGATGGACTGGGAGCGGTTGTCTTCGTACTCGGTGTCGTCCGAATCGTCCGAGTCGTGGATACGGTCGCGAAATGTCTGCATCCGAAACCGCTTGAGCGATGAGGTCATGCGCTCTGTGAGGATGCCGATGGCTTCTTCGAATATGCGGAATATTTCTAGATCGGGGTGGGAGGTGCGATCAAGCAGCACGGTGATGGCATGCAGCGTGATGAAGGCTGCTAGATCCAACGCATTCTCGCAGCGACCTGTCAAATCACCATTCAACTCGTTATAGACGCTGTTCCTAAGGTCGGCCTGCTGAAACATCGGCCCCTCCGTAGGGTGTGATTCTCTCTTCGGAAAGAATGTGGTAAGCGTAGTCATGTCGACCGCCCAGAGCCATAATTGGTCGACCATGAGAATATTGCCATCGAGAATGTCGTCCTCGACCTCGGCAGCTGTTTCACGGTGGTCCTTTATGAGCAGGTCGGCTTTGACGGTACCGACAATAGACGCGAATCGGTCTGCGGGGGAAACGGGCGACTGCTCCTTCAGAGCCCGCGTGCCCAACATGTCGGTCCTTTTCCTATCAAAAGGCTCGGCGACCCTCTCCTTGGTGAGCTTATACAGCATCTGGTCGTCGTCCCGGGCGTATGTATCACGAAGTGATGGATATCCGTACTGATCCAAGGTTCGTCTAGTGTTCAGCGGTGGATCGTGGCCAATAAACTCCCAGATGACACGCATATCCAACGACAACTCAGAGACGTCCTCCGGTACAGGCCTAGCCCTACCATGATCTAGTCGACGAAGCAGAACACTACGCCGCCGAATGAGATTCGCATAAGTATCGAAGTGCAGATAGGGAAGATACAAGTACAAGTGGTTTGGGCTGTTGAGTGCGGGACTGCTTCGTCCGCTTGAACGTGGCGATGGAGGGCGCGGGGAGTCTAACCAGGTCAGCGAGGTCCCGAGCGAGTGTTCATCACGCACTTACGTGCTTCCGCTGGTATGAAACCGCAACCAGGTCTAACATATGATGCATGAGCTTGTCCGTGCCGCCCTTGTACATGCCTGTCAGTCCAATACTCGTTCCTCATCAGATTGGTGTAATTGCGTTGTTGGGTCTCGGAAAGCTTGTCAAAAATCTTCTGCTCCTGAGTCAGCGCGAATTGGCCCCGTCTCTGGTCCGCGATACGTACTTTCACCCAATGTGGATTGGTGTACGGCAAGTGAATCCACATGAACTTCCTCCTTGTCGGATCAGGTCTCGAGAAACCAGCGGTCAGATCTTGCATTGCCGATGCGTGGCTAATCCTACCGTCTCGGCTTCTAGTCCTCCGGTCAAAATCTTGCTCATCAAGGCCAGGGACAGCTTCCCGAGCGAGCTTCGCGTCGAGTGGCGCCGAGCTTTCGTTGGTGCGAGGCGAAACTTGGGAGTCTGCACGGCCTGACGTGGGTCGCAAGATTGTAGCATTGCCTGCCTCGCTGTCCAGAGTAGTACTCCGACTGCTCGGCCCGTGGAATCCGGGCGTAGCGAGGGCCGGAACCGTGAGACCACGACCGCGACGCGGCATCATGACTGGTTCAGAGGCCGACGATCGCATGTCTGTGATCGATGGGCGCTTAACTACAATTTCCGGCCCTTCGGCTTGCTCTTGTGTGTCGGGTGTGCCATCGGGACGATGACGCCCTCCACCAATGATTTGCTGCCCAAAGCCCTGCACGTTGCTCCAGATACCAAGAGCGCTGACTCCTAGATGACCGAATCCGCCGGAGCTCAACGGCCTGCCAGGCGCTGCATTACTCGCAGTGCTTCCGCGGCGCGGCCTTGTGGAGACCGTGTTGAGCCGTTCACTCAAACACTTCTCGGGGCCCTTCTCCAGGAATTCGTTCAGGGGATGTTTCGAGACGTACAGCCTCACGTCAGAAATAGTTTCCGGGTCAGGATCATCATAGAAGCCAATAAGCTCCAGCTTGACATGTTCAGCAAGTCTTAGAGGAGTGTGTACGTAGGCCGCGCTCAGATTTTGTGCCTTCTGAACTGCTTGGCTGAGATCTTCCAGGTACGAGTCCATGATTCGACTGTTCCTGGTCCCAAAGGATGCACATTTGGCGTGTTCGCTCTCGAGAGAGAATGCTTGTTCGCGCCGACTTCCTACCAGCGAGGACTTGATTGAGGCGAGCGGGGCGCTGAAGTGCACCTCGTCCATACCTGAGACGCCGAGACCAGAGAGCTGTGAATCTATGGTCTCGTAGAACGTCCATATGTGCATCTCGCTCGCGATATCCATGAACTCTTCATGCAGTTTAATCAAAGGTCGATGATTCAGGCGAAGCTCATCACTCATTGATCTAGGCAAAGGTTGTGATAGATATAGTAGGTGCTGTATGCTATCACGAAGATTGGGCATGGACATGTAGCTGGACCCTCTATGAGGCGTAGCTGTCCGACATGAGCCGTGGTAAATGTAAAGGTGCATTGGAAGGACATACCGAAGAATGTGACCCCATGGGAGTCATAGATGATCCATCGTAGGCTTTCCGATCTCTTTGCCTTTGCGAGTGCATGTTTAACCACCAGGCCGCCAATGCTGTGGCATATGAAAAACATCGGGCGGGCACCATGATGTCCTTCGCGCATTCGACAAAGATGATCAAGCAGATCATCGGCTAATTGTTCGAAGGTGAGATCGTCACTCAGTTCGCGATGCGTGTAAAGCAAGACCCGTGCGGTGTTGATCTCGGTGCGTATGCCTTGTCGAACCCACAAGTCCGTGGCTCTGGGCAAGAGCCGATCAATGGCCGGAGAAAGAATACTGCTGCCCGGCAACTGTTTCGCTGTCGGGTACCTCTCAGGATGGTTCGGCGGCGAAGTAAAATAGCCGTCATCTAAGGCGTCCCTCGTCCAGGTCTCGACAGCCGAGGCCCCGGGACAAGGCACCGTGATGATGTCGACAAAAGTATCATTGTAACCGGTCCCCCTGACATCTCCATCGATCCAAGCAAAACCTGCCTCGGACTTTTCATGTACATAAGATGTACCGTCTGATGCATTGTTGGCTTCAGCGTTGCTAGCTCTAGAATTATCGCCAGAGGTTGACTGGCCTGACTCATGCCGAGCAGAAACCAGATCCGGACCGGTCATCGCGCCTCTAGGGTGAAATATGTTCATCTTCGAACCCAGCAGCTATCCTGTGTGTGACCTTTGAGGGGCGCAGCTTGCATAGCGACGACCACTGCGACGCGGACACAAGAGCGATTGAGGGGATCGCAAGCCCATCTCAAGCTCGCTATCGTGTAATACGTGTTGCGTTGTGCGTCGAACAATATTTCGAGTTGCGAAGAAAAAGAAAGGAGATGTGTCAAATTACATACATACAATTGAGCACGGCAGTTCGCGACCAAATAGGCTGTCTCACCTTACACCCTCAACCTACACAGCCTTACCATGTGCATTGTTGTGGCTGACTGCTAGACTAGTTAGACGACATGTCAGCACTCCTAATTAGTTACCTGGCAGGATCTACAGCCATGGTCCTGGAGGGCGCGTGCGGTATTTGATTGGACACCATGTGGCGGAAGATCGGCATGCTTACCCCAGCTTTTGTCTACATAAGGTGGAATTGATGCACATGGTAGCCTTATCCTTCTTCGGCGACATCATCGAGGTGAATTCAGACACGAAAATACTAAGAGAGAGAGAGAGAGAGAGAGAGGGAGAAAAACCCATTCCAAGGGACGTCGAAGCTAGCTTTCGTAATGAGCGAGTGCACTAGGTTAAGTTGCCGTTCAGCTTCGGCGGCGTCAGGGATTCAGTACGCTAAACTCCGACTTTGGTTACTCGACCAGCTCGGCATGATTCTCCTTTCGACGGCCGAAGCTCGAGTCATTCACAGTGAGGGTGAGGGTGAGGGTTCGGACCGCAAGTCTATATTTAATGGCCGACTGTTAGTGTGGTACAGCTTTGGACTGGTACGATCGAAAGTTTGCCTTGCTTTGTAGTACATCGATGAATCGGGCACGCCAGAGATCCTGCAGACACAAGGTCCGTTTGCACAGACATCAAGCGGTGGAACCACTTCCCAGGCGATCCAACACACCCGTTAACCCTCCGGCTCGCTCTCGAATCTGCTGATGGTCTCATCAAACAGGCCTTGGCCATACATTCATAAATACACGAATCCACTCATCTCCGAAAGCATTGCCAACCCCGCTTTAGCGATGCCCTAGTTGCCCCGCTCAGTAAATCCCGCGCATTCTCACGATAATCTCCGCATCCCATCAGCACAGCACAACCAATCTATATGATTATGAACACAATCGTGATTTTCGCACAAGCGATTAATAAGCTTTTCGGGGGTGTGGTCTAGGGGTAGTAAGTTTCTCAATCACGCCGGAAACCACCGCACAGCTGTCTAACAACCTTCTAGTGGCGTCTCTTTCGCATCATCTTCATGAGTATAGAGAAGATCCAGGGTTCGATTCCCTGCTCCTCCAAAATCTTAATTTTTTGGCATTCTGGAGCGATGAGTTGGTCTTCTTTTGCTTGAAAATTCCCGGCGCAAGTGTCTCTGTTTGTTGTAAAACTGCGATGCTCAAACACGAATCACCTATCTAGGGAAAGGTCGGGTTTAGGAGACCCGCGTTTGTCTTCAGCATCATCATATCCGATTTGCATAGTCTTCGCAGCAGTGCTGCCCGGTCACTTGTTCCGACATGCGCTCATAATCCTTTACGAGCTTGAGAGTCCCTGCCACCGTATATTGCAACGCATGCGGCGTAGTGTGCCTGCGACGACGGCGTCAAAGGACAGGGGAAATTTAGCAAGTGCCTGGGGTTCCTAGCGGAACCAATAATCAGAGCTGTGTCAGATCCTATCACGCGTGTCGATGGACTGTGTCGCCGAGCGCGGAATGTTTGACTTTCAACTATACTGATCCTTCGATACGGCTTGGCTACCCGTCGAACAAGCCTTATGCTTGGCGTTCCTCATTCGGCGAGTTTCGTTCTCTCTTACGAGACCACTGAGCCTTGCGAGACCGTTGAGCCAGCAATCGTTCTCGCCTGTCGCAAGAATCTCCTTCATATCGCCGAGTCGAGTTGTTTCTTTGCTTTTTTAAGCGCTAAAATTCCTCTTATTAGTATGTAGTTCCTTTTGCTCAAAGTGGACTATATTAAAATAAATCTGTTAGTCTAGGGCATAAGTTATGCTGATCATAAAGCTTAAATAGACACGTCTTTATGATTGGCCACATTTGATCTCCATATAATATTATTGAACAATTCTTAAACACTGAGCCTATTTATCGACTACATACCTCGAATCAACAAGAATTTAAAAGACAACGCGTACATTATTACGATAGTAATCTATTATCACAGCCGAGCATATTATGCTCACTTTGGTTCTATCTATGCTCTTGTACAATGAGGAAAGAATTTTGTACACATACCAAAGAAATCCTTATTACCCACCACACTTAACCTCCGAGCACCACGATATGGATGGTGATCAAATCGGTTTGGCTCAAGTTCTCCACCTGAGTAACAGTCCCAGCCAGCACCTTGAACATCCCACCAGTGCCCATAGTAAGGCTCCCATCCCCGCCGCCCATGACTAATCGCACCGTTCCACTATGAACGAAGCAAAGGTATACATGGCCGTTGGCCTCCAAATTCAACCTCTCATTCGGCGGTATAGTTATCAGACGGGCGTCTACATCGTGGTGGACCGGAATGGCAGAGTCGTCGTCGCTAAGATAGGCAACCGAAAATGCGACTGGCTGGTTTCCATGACGAATGCGATGGATACCGGGTGCAGCCTCCCAATCCATGGGTGCCTGTTGTGGTGCAGGTGTGCCAAAGTCTGGAGAAGACCCAATAGATGCTTTATTACTGGGAATGTCACTAGTCTCTGAGAGGTTCTCTTCGGGTTCCTCCTTAATGACGACCAGTTCCTCATGCTCTGATAGCTCTTCTATTCTCTCCTGCTCTAGAAAAGAATCGAAATAGCGGTCTATCTGGGCTAGACGATCTCGGTCGAGCTCTTGTCGGCGAGATGTGTCGTCAGAGGCTGAGCTGTTAGCTACTGAATCGTCGTCGTCGTCGTCGTTGGCAATAGGGGCACGGAGTCGAGTCGGCTTCGTGTGGGAGGTTGCCGGCATTGGCCCAGCGGAGGGCAGGGGAGGTGCAAAATGCTGTACGTTCAGCCTGGCGACCATGTTGCTATTGGCGCCATTGTCGAATGCGTATCTGGCCTGTGAAATATTGTCAAGCCGAGGTGCGGCGATGTTGACCTGTCGTTGAGGAAAATTGACCCTGGGAGCATGCGCATGTAGATGTGGTCCATGGGCAGGTAGAGGAGGTCTATGAGCATGCACCTGAGGTGCAGGGACGTGCAGTTGAGGCGCAGTGACATGACGATGAAGTGCAACACCATTTCTCGCATAAAGCGTGCACCTCGTTCCCTGCCAATTGTAGCGACAGTTAGCACAAGCGATGCTACTGATCAAACCCCCAACCGAAGCCTTGGGCAGCACACAGCCAACAAAGGGTCCTGATCGGGTCTCGCATCGGTGGCATGGCCTCGGAGCTTCGTCTCCCGTAAGGTAGACAGCAAGGGCCAGTGTGTTCGAGGACCATCTGGGGTTGAACTTGCGGGCGCCTCTGAAGAGGGGATTGAGCTCGATGTTGCGCACGCGTGGTAGCTGGGCATGGGCATAGAACTCTTTGGTGAAGTTCTCAAGGTCAGCTGGCCGTCGAGCCTCAATCTGGGGGAGAGACTTCATGTGGCGCCAGATGTCATTCACGTTACCAGGAACCGATGTGTGCAGCCGCTTCGGGCGCAGGTAGCCTGTATATCCAGGGCCAAGATTGTTAGTAGGACGTGAGTCCGCAAAGTAAGTCTCGTCCATGTACTAATCACTGATTAGTAAATTGTATACATAAAATCGCCGACTTGGCAGTGATCATATTTGCCGCCCCCTTGGAAGCGGTCATCTTAAAGGACCAAATTAATCGCCGACTTGGCAGGAACGATAACGATCACCGCCTTTGGCATGGACGATTTTATATTGATCGCCGATTTTGGCAGGAGCAATATAACTTGCTACAATTCGACCTACCTCTTGCATTTTGTGAAATGTCTCACTGAGATGGCCTCAAGTCACCGATTAGGACAGTATATAAATATATCGATAGTTTTGGAGTTGTTGTGTTATCGTGCGGAACTTTAGCAACGGTACATCTTTTGTTTATTCGGTGTCGTTCGCATCGGGTATCGAAGTGAGGCTCAGGGTAGAAGTGTTGAAGTGACGTGAAAAATAAAACCAAGTCTTGATGCTGCCCAAAATCGGTGCCACTGCTCCCGTTAAAAGCAGACGTGAATGTAGTTGTTCGATACGTTCAGGAATTATCCTGGGATGATGGGCAATTCTGAAAAGGGAATTCTGTTTCTCGTTCAGGGATGTTGATCGCATCAGATTTGGAAGTGATGTTGAGGTTCGAAAGGACTTGAAGGGTGTTCCTCACATCAAGTCAAGTATGAGAGTGATAATGAAGGTGAAAGGAGGCGAGGGGCGAAGCTAAGCTTTTATAATGCTCAACGCCTGGTTCACTGCTCCTGCTCAAGGCAGTTGCCTATGGGTACACAGACTAGAGCAAGCACCCAAGACATTCGATGAAAGGTTGGCGGAAGTAGTCGAGCCCCCACCTTTTATGAGGTTAATGAGGCAGTCAGAAGTCTTGTGGCCGATGGCGTGTTTTACCGTAAAGTAAGTTTAGGTCAATCGCGTTGTGTTGTGGGTGTGATGTCGCGATATCGTGCAGTACGTGGAGCAAAAGGTTGGTGTTGACGACCGGGATGATCCGCCGTGATCGTAGCCCCCCTTTCAGCTTGGCTGGACAAAATGCAATGAATATGGAATAATATTGGGAATGGATCGCGATGAGGCAAACGCCATGCCTCGCCTTCAAGATGGACTAATTAGGACTTCCACGCAACATACGACGCCGGAATGATAAGTACAATCTGGTACTCACTCCTCAACCCAAATCTGATGCCGCCCAGCTTATGCCATATAGCTTCAGCTATCTGTAGAAATCTTTAAGGCTACGAAATACCGTTATATATTCCATAACCAATAGTGTCGAATGGAAACAATAGCAACCGCCAGAAAAAGCAAACAAGCAAACAAGTGTGTGCGTTACGTATATCACGATTGGCCTAGAGATCGCAGTATTCTTGGTGTTTTATCTTGTGTAACTTGGCATTGAAGTGGTGTAGTGTGGTTGCCTAGGTATGGCTTGTGGATAATAATGGCGTTGCCCTGAGCCGTGGCTAGCTTCTGACAGAGTATGGCCTTGATTACGATCATATATAGTGTTGCGTCGTTATATTTTTAGTTTTGGCGAACAAGCAAGCATTTTATTATGTAGTTCAGTACAAATGTTTTCACACCCATGGTTAGCCGACGTAACTGCCAGCGTGCAGTATGATGAACTTGCTAGACAGTCGCGGATCTATAGTTCAGTGTACACTACGTCTTCATCAAACTCGGGGTGTAAGCAGACCTGGGATTGTATACGCATTAATGGTGGTCATATGTTCAGTTAAGGTTCCCTGTCTTCAGGCACAAAGTGGTTGCAATTATCTAAGCAAAGGTGGAAGAAGCTGGAAAAGTATCATAGATGGTTCCTGTCATTGAAACGAATTGGCGAGAATAGAACAATCCTGCAAAGGAGTTCTTGAATATCATAGCTACTTAGCCTAGCTGATAATTGTTATTTCGACGTTGAACTCGATAACTATGTAGTTACGCTAGCCTGAGGAACTCACATGCTTTGAAGGATCCCACAGCGGCTACGGGAATGCCGGACAATAAGGTCTACGTCTGTGAGCGAACCATTTGGTATCGAGTTTAGATACTGCTTCGGTATTGTGATTTTGGTTTCAATATTTTGATTTCTGATATCCACCGTTCACGTCCTGCCCCTTGTAGGACTTATATCGCAAATCAGGGTCGAACCCAACGACTACCTCCTCAGTATTCCATTGACCGAGAGCCAGGGGCGCCGGAGTCAAAGAGATCCACACATGAAGATTTTACTTTCACACTATTGAGATATTACATGATTAGATGTACAAATACATAAGTCCCTTCATGTTACAAGGTGTCGAGCTGAAATCCCACCTGCCAACAATTTCATGAGTTTCGCGGTAGCTGCGCAAGTTGCTTGTCAACCTGTTCCCAGTGACCCTTGTTCATATAGCCAGACAACCAGTAATTACCATCGTTGTCCTTGCCAATGATGGGAAATCCGTTCGGAAGGCACAATCCGAACTGGCAATTCTGGATATAAGATGGCCTGGCAGGCTTTCGTTTCTCATCGGCAGGCCCGGGGTTGGCGAGGGCCGCGGAGAAGTCCGTTTCAAACAGCCGAGCCTTGCTCCAGTTTGAGAAGGTTACCATGTGCATGCCACTGTCGCCAAAGAAAGGCGGCAGCTTGGCAGACGACTCGCGCCACATGGCGGTGAAGGCTTCGACCTGATTCCGAGTACCCAGCTCCTTGATCGCCTGCCGGATCGTGGACGCTACGTGGCCGAGCGACTTGCTCACGATGTCATCCAGGGGCAGCAACACGTTGACGAAGGCGACGGCGTTGGAGATGTATGGCCTTCCGCTCGGCAGCAGGTCGTCGGCAAGCGCCGAACGCAATGAATATGCATTGTTGAGACATATCGTCCGCCGCGAGCTGGCCGGCAGATGTGAGACCGCAAGCTTTGTCCACCAGGCACAGAGGACATCGCCGTCGCTCAAAAAGGGCTGATCGTCAAGCGAGCCCACCGATGAAGGCTTCGTGTCATCGGAGCTCGCAGACGACGCGAGCGAGAGGCTTCCATCTGATGAGCTTACGGATGGCGATAAAGCCTCGTCGACGGAGCTGATCGACGGTGATACCTGACCGTCTATCGAACTTATCGACGATATTTCAGCATTGTCGTCGACGAGGTCGGCGTAGGCCTCGCTGCGCAGTTGCTTGACAAAGGCTGCTGGTACGCAGACCATGCGATTCTCTTTGGTGTTGAAGAAGTTGGAAATCGTGCTCAGCCCGTACCCGACCAGGTTGAGCATTGACATGCGATGTGCCAAAAGCTTATGAGGCTCATTTGGATGTATTCCAAGCTTGGAGAGAGGGTCTGAGTGGGCCGATACCGGTAAGGCAACCTCGTCAGCACGGTCTTGGAGCACCAACACCCAGGCTTTGAGAAAAGCTTGCTTGGCCAAGGCGTCCATCAACGTGTGTGGCCAGTACAGAGTGACGAGGGTCTTGTCTTTGAACGATACGATGTGAAGTCCGATCTGGGGTATATCCTCATCCAAGTAATGGTTCAACTCGGTTGGAGCGCCCTCACGCTGGAAGAGACTGCGAAACTCATCAGGGTCGCAGACTATTGCCGGTCCTGTGGTTGATGTGGGTAATCGCGACGCAATTGGATGTTCCGCAGCGGGTAAGTCATGTGTAACATGAGTGTAGGTGATGGCTGGACGTTCTTGGCTAAACGCCGCGGGCACGTGATATTCCAGCTCTCCTTTTACCTATGCACGACGTCAGTATTTTGGCTCACCGGACGGCCGTGATATCTTACATTACGACGAAGCCGGGCCCCGATTTTCTGCCAGCCGTCGCGTCTCGCTAGCCTTTCGAGGCCGTCCCTAAGCCGTTTGGGATCAAGCACGTCGTCAAAAGCAAACATGGAATATAGTATAAAAGATCGCCATAACGGGGTATCGTCAAAGTAACGGAAGGGAACGACGGTGTCCGTCGGGACTCTAGCTGGGGCAGCTGTGTTCCAAAACATCTTGGATATGCTTTTTCTTGTGGGCTCTATCAACCTTCCTGAGAACTTCGGAATATCTGAGAGGAGGACGGTTGCATTAACTACAGGAGAAGTCGGTTCTGCAGGAAGCCGATGCTGCAAAGCATGGCGATATGAACCCATGGCTCCACCATTGCGCGCAATTTGACACCCCTTGGGAACTGGGCCATCTTTTCACTTTGGAATCCAGACGATCTGATAGATGAGGGACCAATGAAACCCCACTTATGCGTACTTGCTTGACAGTAGTCGACGAGGTCGAGGATGCAAACCTCGTCTGATGCGACGTACCATTTCATTAGTTTTCCCAAACGAGAAGACGTGCCGGGATGCGCTACACCAGGGTGAGATTGCATGCCAGCATGCCAGCATGCTAACTGATCAGTTCCTAAATCTCTCAATTGCCGTAGCACGCATCTTCTCTTGTCCATCTGCTCGTTCGACGTGGATCGAGCAACGATTGACAAGTCAGCGAGTCATGAGGGGTCAAAATCGTACACTTGCAATGGCTGACGAACCGTTGATATCTGCCGCTCTTCAACAGTATGCCATAATGCGACAGGGCATACGCGAGATCGAGGCACCCTACGTGGGCTTTCAGGGCTATGTCTCGACGCTAGTATCATTAGAGACGACGACCCTATCCAGCCTCGGAGGCTCACCTTGACAGGTAACGGTACAGTCCCCGTCGGTTCCAATTGGGTGCCTATCTGACTCGAAAAAAGGTCGCAGGACATGGGGCCTTGCTCTGAGACGCCAAATGAGGGGAGCGTCAACCACTTTCACAGAGTGCGGCCCCCACCATTGAAGTCGCTAAACGGTCCCCACAGCCGGAGGCGTTCATGGTCCTCCCATGGGATAACGCGAGTAAATACCATCAGACATCCAGGCTGCCTGGAATTGAGTTTTGCGAAAACGCGATGTAGGCATATTCGCGTCGACAACTGAGTCGTTTGATCCTGGGCTACGTTGGTCCACACTGATGCTGTTCAGAATTTTCCATGGTAGGCGCCGTACCAGGGCTGATGCGAAGTCGCATGTTTAGTACCTTGGATTCCCCACTTGATAATATGCTACTGCAAGTCAACAAGGAAACAGTTCCATCATTTCCACGTTGAAAAGTCGTTATTGTTAGCACATAAGATGAGGCTCTTTCATCTGCTCGCTTTGAGCTGCAAAAGGCCCGAGCAGGAAGCTCGGTCGATCTACATTGACACTTCTGAGCTCAGTGGCCCCGGAGGCTCAGAACTAGACTACCCTAGACCAAACAGAATCAGAAACATATGGTATACTCCAGAGTATGCAGACAATTGGATGTGCCGTGGGCTTTCGCCTTCACCTTCACCCCGTCTCTGCGCGTTCTGCTGTGGTTTGCATGTGCCGGGTAGTTGCCCGGCTTGTCATTTACGGGTGTGGAGCAGCCTACCAAGTTTCCAGCTTGAATGGCCTGACTGGGAGTAAGTGAGTTCCAAGGGCATAACTTATCACATTGTCACAGTCGTATTTTCAGGGGAGAGGTGCCTCATGCCAAAGACATCCTGGGGCGCTATACTTGGCAGAGGTAAGGACGGTCATGTTCCTTGCAGCATCGTATTGCGACATGCATCGCTTCTAGGTCCTTTCCGCAACAAATATCGTACAACAGCAGATGACTGGCCGACTGGATTGCGGAAGAATGGATCGTCCCCCGGATCACCAGCGGGCCGCTCATGGGCACGTCGTCTGCTAATTAAACTAAAGGTTAGGCCACGGCTAGGCGGGCAGACCCGCGGTACCCGCCGAGCCCGCAACTTCATGGTCATCGAAGAATAGCTGCTTTCGTTCGCGTGGGACTAATTACCAGGTGGACCGGTACCGCTGGCTGCAATACAGTATCTCTTCAATTGGCCGATCGTCGTGGTCAAAGAGATTGGCCATGCTGAGGGACACCGCTGCAATCATCTGGAGCTCGAATTTACGAAGAGGTGGAGAAAGCGTGCTTTCAGCGGCAGCTAGCTTAGTCTAGGGTTAGTAGCCATCGGGGGCGGGGATGTGCATCCGGAGCGGTCTAATCTCTAACATTATTGTGTGTTGTAATCCCTACCCGAACATCAACTTATCTCATGGGACCGACCTGCAGTAACTACTCTCCTACTGGATGAGTACCACGACGCTAGATCATGTAATGTCTGGTGGGTCTGCCGATCGCAGCGCTTCGAGCTGTCGGTAAATCGAGACATAAGCAGGCCTACTTGTCAGGAAAAGTCGAGGGCAAAGGGAAATGGAGACTCCCGTACTTAATACCAAGTCCTTAGACTCCTGACTTGATGGCTCAGAAACACCCTCTAGTTGCGAAATCTTAACTCGGGCACTTCCTTTCAGACTCTCGTGGGCTTTCTTCAGATGCTTTCTCGAGGCTTTGGTTTTATTGTCCCCCCGAGTCACCAGTATGGCTTCGGGCGAGCTCTCTCCGTTGGAGCAAGGCGAGCTTCTTCAGACCGCCGCCTACAATGAGCCGCCTCTCACGCCAAAGAACCTCGCATTAAGCCTCATCGTTGTCGTCTTGGTCACAGCTACCGTCGCCACCATAGTTGTTGGATTGAGGGTCTATGTCCGGGCGTGGATGGGAAGGAAAACAAAAAATTGGGGCTGGGAAGATGTCTTCGCCGTCGGAGGTTACGTAAGTCACACTTCCACGGATATACTGCCATTGCCGTCCAGAAACGATTCGGAAAGCAGCTGTCCTTGCTTGGAAAGAACGCGCACTCAACTGCTTGGGGCTTTCGGTCGACTTTGTTACTTCCACTGACCTGTTGTGCTGTCAGCTCGCTTTCCTTTGCAGTAGTATCTTCGCCATCAAAGCTGCCTACTATGGGTTGGGCACCCCAGACGCCGACCTCAACCCCTATCTCATGGTGAGGTGCGCCGAGTACATGCTCTATTCGCAGGTACTTTATGGCGTGTCGATGCCGCTCATCAAAGCCTCGATCGTGTTTACACTTGTGCGCATCACAATCAAGCCCGGGTATCGCTATGCACTGTACAGTATGCAGTTTCTGGCCACCATCATGGCCATGGTGGGAATCCTGGCTTCCCTGCTGTATTGCAGGCCCGTGAACGCGTACTGGAACCCTCTTCTAGGGAAGTGTGGTAACTTCATGGTTGTCGTCAACATCGGCTACGCCTGGACGGCAGTGGGAATCGTGACTGACTGGATGTGCGCTATCATCCCATACTTCATTGTCCGAAATCTTCAGATGTCGAGAAGGTCAAAGACCACGGTCATGGTTGTCTTGGGACTAGGTGCTATCGCCAGTACAGCCACCATTATTCGGGCACCTTATCTGCAATACTATCTTGTCGAGACCGACCGACTCTGTAAGTGTATTTTTCGTCGGCGCTGTCCTGCCAAGTCCCATCAAACTAACACTCTCCAGACTGGAACGGTCACATTTCTATCTGGTGTCAGGTCGAGAGTGGTCTAGGTCTCATTGCAGCTTCGCTTCCTGCTCTTCGTCAAATGGTACGCAAGTATCTCGAGTCCTCTCGGTACGGATCTGGGGGCGGCAGCAAACCCGTCGGCTACGACTCTCATGCAGACACCCACAATAAGACTGGCGATGGGAATGTGGCGTTGGGTGCCCTTCCTCCACGTGCAAGGACTTCTGCTACCGCAGGCAAATGGGCACGACTCTCCGACGACAACTCTAGCGCGAGACACATCATTCAGGAGCGAACGATTTCCATCGAGACAGAGAGCCTGAGTTCGAGCGATAAGCACAGCTCTAGGGTATAGCGCGATCGCTTTTCTGTCTTACGCCCGAGGGGAGGCACTCGAAAGGATGCGACATCTCTCCTTGCTTCAGGGTTGTAACGGTACTAATGGAATAGTCTGCCGCCGGTATGCACTATAGAAGTACGTATCGCATACTTGAGATAACATAATTTAGAAAGAATATTCTATAATCATGTACGTAGAAACTAGATACCCTTTGGGGAAAGTCCCAAGAAACGCCAGTCCCTGTCATTATGACATCCAAGCCCTTGCGGGCACCCTTTGCAGGAATCTTCTCTACCCAAATATCGCTCGCGGACGATACAAATCAGCTCCGCCATGTGGTTCATCTTTCTCCCGGGCCGGATCCGCTCCAGCCTTCACGATGATATGTCGTCAACGACGACCGGACCGATCTCGGCCTGTGCCTTTTGCCCCTGTGGTAGGAGCTGGAGCATACGCGTCTTCTTGACCTCGAGGCCGCGTGTGCCAAAGTATCTCTCGCTCTCGAAACTCCACTGGACGTTGGCAACAACCCATTGGCCAATACCGTCCACATACGTCTGGACGTCCAAGTCGACGGGACCACCCCATCGGGGCACAATCCGCACTACATAGTTGAACTGCTGTACCAAGTCGGCGTGGATTCTCGCGGCCCAGTCGACGGCGCCCTGTACATCAGTGTCGAACTCCTTCATGGCGATGGTGACGAGGTTGTGCTCGTCGTCGCTGGAGGCTTGCTCTTTGTCATATGACAGCAGATCCTGTGGCATCGGTCAGCGTGAGGACCCCGGCATGGTCTGCGAAAGTCTTCTCCGTGCTATACCAACAGAGCGACGCATCACCTACGTTGGCAATGATGGTTAGGTCCACCGCAAGCATCTCCAATGTCTTGATGGTACGGTGCGCCAACACCTCGTCGGGCAAGTCCATGTCAATCTGAAAGAAGACCAAGGACGGCATCACGCCGATGGTCTGCCGCCGGACCTCGAGATAACTGGCGACAGTACGGATGTGTGAGCGCGATCTATCTTCGGCCTGCTGTGCGGTTCCCTTGAGGTAATCCTCCCAGCTCGCGAGGAAGCGTCTCCGGAAAGACTTGGTCGAGATCTTGGTCGCTTGGATCCAGAACCTATTTCGTGTCTTCGGTGAGCTGCGTCGGCCTCATGACTACGGTGTCATATCCTGCAAGGGGCTGACTTACGCTCGGGCAATTTCGCCGCCTATCCACTCTCCGGCCGGTCGGGGTGTTTCGGGGTTGAGAAGAGCATCCATTAGGATGTGGACCTGGTCCCATACGTCGGCCGGTTGGGACTTATCGGAGTGCTCGTCGAAGATGAAGAAGAGGTTCATGACGTCGCACGCGCATCTCAGATGCTCTCTCGAAAGCCGCGGGTACATGAGGCCCGTCAACAGATCTTCGCAGGCCCAAGTCAGCACAAACAGGGGTACGCTCTCAGCCATGTATGCGCCACAGGACTTACTGAAGTCACACTTGTCGAAAGCCTTCTGTGCCCGTGGTGTGAAGGCTCCGAAGCTGGCAGCCCAGTCGAGACACTCCTGCCTTATGTCGGGCGTGTGGATGTTGAGTCGACGAGGCCATAGCCACCCAGCCTCCAGGTCTGGTAGATAGATGGTCCCGGCCATGATACTCGGTGCAGAGTGTCTCGGTTATGATGCCAAAGGCGTCGGCTCGATGATTATTTATGCAGACAGGATAGTGGCTAGGATATTTGGTGGCCGCGGGTCTACACAAGTGTCGATTGTAGACCGCAGCAGGGTGGACTTTGCCATGACTATATAGTGGTGACAGCTTCGACACCGGCCCCGTGTGTTCTCATCCCATCCCCAGTCCTCGCCTCATCCTTTGCTACACTAGATACGGGGGAAGGAAATACACGTGGAGACTACCAGCTGCCGCACAGTTCACGATTGGGTAGCCAGAACTCTGGTTGGCTTTTCTCACTGGCCAACGTCTGGGCGGAAGGATGCGGATTTTTCGTTTGTTGGACATGGTCACAGTTGGTCACAGGTTTGGAGTGAAAGAACAAAATTCAGAGGACGTGGGCGCAGAAGCAAGATTGGGTCGAGTCATCGTCACCGGAGCATTGGGCAGGATTCGGCACACGTGAGCTTGTAGAGCACAAGCTAAGCGACAGGGATCTTTTTCTCACCTATGTATTGAGATTCACCTCTGCATTTAGACAATAGGCTTTTCTACAACGGCCTAAAACACGTTCAAGATACAAACTGACACCACTAGAATTGCCAGGTAATTGTCGCAATACCGCCATGGATTTATGTCGTTTCTGTGGGTGTCCTGAATGTCGCGCTCTCATGGCAGCCCAGAAAGGACACTGAGGAAAGAAATAAAAAATTTAATTTTGTTATCTCCTTTCGGATACAAGGTTCAAAATGCCAGGGTCTAACTGGGGATCCCTATCATAATCACACCGCCAAATATGGGTTTACGGAAGCTATCACGCTGCCCTGAGCACTCTGAGATCTGATGAGCCGTTACCATGGCTTTGGTACCTCCAGCCTCAAAATACGGCGCCATGGCTTGTCTGACCGCAACAGGGCTTCTCGCGGCGATCATGGTCAGCGGGGCGGAAAACATCACTTGAACAATCCTCCCCAACGCAGTCCACCGTCAGCTCTAATTTGGGCCTCGTTCGATCGGAACAAAGGTTATCGGCAGCAGCGGTTTGGGATGAAGTGACCGCATGGTGCGAACTCCGTATCGTTGGCATGTGAAGTGGAATGATGGCAACGATTGCACCTATCCAACAAGACGTCAAGACGAACACGTTCTGTGCAGCGCTTTGTGTGTGACGAGTGCACGGCTAGCCAACCTATCACATAGTCTATACTCGCTCGCTAGAATGTTTGCTCCATACACGAGATTCCAAGAATTTCTGCAGCAGAGACTCCGTTGGTGGTGGAGGTTCTACTAACCAAGGTGAGGTAGTTCGCGCGCGAAGAAGAATTCCAAGCGGGCCGCAGCCGCGCTCGCCGCGTAGCCCACTCAGGCGACTGCCTCTTATTTAGTACGCTAACGGTTGCAGCCCCCGGCAGTTAATAAAGGAAAACACCAATCTTTCCTGGGCCTCGAGGGAAAAAAGCAAGAAGAGGCGGCATGATCAGAGGCTCCCTGCAGACAGAGAGTATGATCAATACCGCTACATGTTTTACAACTCAATTCTTCTACCACCATAGCATTCTCTCTTCGGTTTCCCTTGAATTGGCGACCGGCGATTGATCAAATTTACCATGAACCTTTCGGTCCCGTTTACCGGTTCATCCACTCAAACATGCGCTAAGCCCCCCTCATCAGCACAAGCTAAAAAGGTGCCAGTCACCCCCAGGAATCCGTTGGGCGTTGACCCCTGACTTTGCCCTGAGCGCGCGGTCTCTGTTCAGGAAAACCTTTCATCACACGTCTTGGCTTTTCAGCTCTCATCGAATGGGCACCACGGTTTCTTTCTCCGTGTCCACTTTGCTGAAGAAAAAATAAACAGTTTTCCTACTCTCAATGCTTGTTCTGCCCCCAGCGCCTCTCCCCCTCGACTCACCGGTCTGCTGGCCTCCCAGTCGGAGTCTCCGATTTAACTATAACTACTTGGGAGGGACGTGCGAGTACGAGGGCTGGTTTGATCTTCATAAACTACACCGGCAGCTCTGCACTCTGACAATTCTTGTTTTCTTGCACGCTATCTGGATCTTGTCGCTAGGACGACCGCAATAAAATACATTTCCGCCACATATTTAAACCTGGCACTTTCCACCAAAGTCTGCAAACGTTCATCGGGTAGGATGGGGGTATCCAGAATTCTCTGGTGGGCAGTAAAAGTGGTTGTTGTATGAAGTTCCCAACACCACGGACGCAAATCAACGACCTTTCCCCGGCAATGTCGCAAGCCAGCGGCTTATAGAATCCCGGGCAACCTGACGAGTGAGGTTTGTGTCACGGACTCGACCTAGTGGTCAGGGCTGCCGTTGAGTGAACAGAGCCTCGTACGTGTTGGCGGTGGAGGACGATGCGGCGATGTGGTTACCTGTGTGCTGCGTGAAGATCGATGCCAACTTCATGTCCATGGTGGCCCTCACGGATGCGCCGCTACTGCTTTGCAACATGAAGTAGGGGGGTGTCCCGCCAGTCGCTGGTGTCGCTTAGCTATGAGAGCTGGAGACCATGGTAGGAGATGGTCAGGCCCGCTCGCACGATGGTGGCGATACGCGACTGTTTGAGCGTCAATCGTCCCGCTCGTGGCGATAAATGAGGCGATCGCATATTTTCGTAGTCGCTTCGGTAACTGGCACGGCGATGGTGCTGATGGCCATCGGGGAGATGGACTCTGTTGCAGCAGAAATGACGACAATGAAAGTCGTCAACCATCGACGCCGCCGCAGCGGCTCCATTGTGGCCCCATACGATAACATGTTAGGCGAACTCTGTGCATTCGAAAGTGTACCAAGGAAGATCCGGCAGACTCGGATTTTTATCTTTAAAATTTTTAAATATGGGGTCCTCCCCAATCTGTCGTCAGGTATGTTGTCATTGGTGCGACTGGGAAACGGTTCTTGATTGAAAATTGTTGTCACGTCGATGGCAGAGGTCTGCGGCATAGTAAGTGTTTCATCCACCGTGGTGGTTACGGTTTTGGTGTCGGTGAATGTCTGGAGATAAATCCAAGCTCTAAACTCTCCGGGACCATCTGGACCAACTTAGTAGATGCTGTGACAGGCACGCTTGGTTTCTGGGTCGACTCGACCTACACACATGGAGTGATCTGGCTGTTTCAACATTTGTTCTATTTAATTGCAGGAGAAGACTCCCCGAATTTATCATTAGAACGAAGCGAGCCTTGCATCAGTACCTTGGAAGTTCGATGGTGCAAGAGAAGCTCTCTACCCAACGGCGACGTGCGCACTTGATCCGGTGTCCTGGTTTCTGTTCAGACATCGAGGTCCATACACATCGTGTCTATGTGGCAAGCACTGAGTGACTCGTGGAGCAGACGGCTGAGACGGCCAAGATATAAAAGACAGTATAGCTGGTAGTTACAATTGTCACCATAGTGGCGTACCGATGGTTCTGTGCAGCGCAAATGCAGCACCTAAAGTAAAACACGCTCAAATCAACAAAATATCCTGTTGCGTTGTCGGCGAGTAGCCCACGCTACCTCCCAAGTCGTGAAAGTAAGCGTTGCCGATCAGCCTGTATATTTTCATACCAAGCTCGGACCCCTCGTCTTTTGATCCGTGGACATCGCTGCGCAACACGAGTGTATTGCCACTCCCCTCGAAGATAGCAACACAATCACCCATTTCTGCTCTCTCGGGTACCAGGCCAATACGCCGCTCTTTGGTGATACAGAAGCGTCGGTGTACGGTGGTGCCCATAGCGCGCTTTTGGAAAGCATGAAAATCCTCCGGCGAGTTGACGAGCGTGGTTAACAGCTCACTTTCTTTGACCGTTGATATCGTTCCCGCTAGTGAGACGATCCAGGAGAGCCATGAACTGAATCCGCTACGTAGTTGCTGCATATCCTCATCTCCGGTTTCGCTACCTTCTTGGCGCGGTGTTTTACGAGTGCTTTTATTGGTTGTCAGAGAAGAAGCTTCAGACGCTTCTACTTCCACTTTGACCGGGACTTTCTTTTCGGCGTCAGTCCCTGCATCGGACACAGGAACACGGTCTTGGGCACTGGGCGTCGGCTGAGCGAGGATGTTGAAGAGACTCTCAAAAATATCATCCACAGACCAGGACTCTTGTCCAAGAGCGCTGAAAATCATCAAAAACCCTCTGACCATTCCTCGTACGAACTTGGTGATGCTGACCCCGTCTTCTGTCAAAGTCAACGACCCGAGCGGCAGGGTGCTGACCTGTTCTATCTGGTCAACGACCGCACCACGAATGAGAAGCGTGCGATCGTCCGCGAGGACCTGCATATGACCATGTTGGGGCTTATTCATACGGAGGCTGACGTTGCCGACTGACACACCAGGATTTGCCCAGTCCTGCCATAGATTCAGTATTCACACACGAGACTTGGCTTTTTCTCTCCCTTGATTATCAAGCAGTGTGACTTACCGGAACCCATGATGGTAACTGCTGATCATGCTCAAGTCCAGCTTGCAATAAAAGCTCATGGCCCTCGCCTTTTTCAATGAACAGCCTGGCGAATCTAGTGAACGTCTTCGCTGGAGTCTCCTCGGGTGCATAACTGACATGCTGTGCAAAATATGCGCCATCAAGAGCCAACCCCAACAAGGCGTATATTTTATCCCTTTGGTCTGTAGCTTGGAAACCTAAAGTGGTACTCAGGATATCTATTAGCCTCCTGTGGATAGATCCATCTTGAGTAAATACTCTTTCCGTGAACATTTTCCCGGCATTGTTAGAGCCTTCGCCAGCACGACGCGCCAGTTCTGTGAAGTCATCTTCGTCCCGACGAGATCCTGCGCTCATGTATTCGGAGCTCTGGGTTCCGCCGTAAGCTGCGAGAAAATGCTTCGCGAGCATCACAAGCTCGGCTCTCTCGCCTCTGGATCCAAACCAGAAATGGAGATTCTTGCCCAGCGCAAATTCCTGTAAGATCCAGATGCGACGAAAGTATGACGACGCAAAGAGACGTTGCCACGACACCCACAAAGGGCTGTCTAGGGGTGGAATACCGAAGTCCTCGAGGAAGTTGCCGCCGCCGCGTCGTGATTGCTGTTCTTGCAGGATGCTGGTGATCCCTCTCTGCTCTTCTGCAGCCACGGGAATTCTAATCGTCTCTAAGGCGGTGACGGAATTCAGACTGGCCATGTCGCCAGGCTGCGAAGTCATACCTGTTTCTCTCTCCTTCCGCTTCTGTTCGTATTCTTCACGGGCCCTCCAAACCTTGGGGACAAGCTCTAGTATATTACCCGCGTCCTGCTCCGAAAGCGGGAGAAACGCGATCACCTTGCTCGCCTGCTGATATACCCTGTCCATCAGCCCAATCTGGGCCCCTTTCTCTTCATGGTCAGCCTGGTTAATACAAATCGCATCAATCCACAGTCTGCGGCCTTGTTGTGGCAAGCGTAATGAGCGCAATGCGGCGTACAGATTTTGAGTCACCGGAAAAAGTTCCTCCCCATTGCAGAAGATGTACCGAGGCTTACTGTTATCACCCCAGACGTACGATAGCGCCTCGTATCGCTGGAAAGGGTGCATTCGCGACTCGTGGCTTGCCTGCGCACTTGGCTGGTCGAAGCCGAAATCCACGTCAAAGGGGATGAGAAATGTACGATCCTCGCCACTGGAGGTCTTGCCGGTAGCGATCGAGATGGATTCCGTGGGCCGTGGCGTTGAGTCTGGAAATTTTTCATGGTCCTGATCCAGGTCCGACGGAAGCAACCAACAGAATATGTCTTCGTCATCTGTCTCGCCGGGCCCTAAGACCAGGACCCTGATTGAGGTCGCACTCGGCAAAGCTTCGTAAAGACTCGAGGCTCCAGACATGATGAGCCGGGGTCCCCACGGTATTCCAAAGACAGGGTAGGTGTGAATTTTCCACGGGGCTCGGAATGTAGAATTATATCCGGAAGTCACCAATGAGGGGTTTGCAGTCTGGACTGATCTGCTAATATGAACGTCTCATGCAAATGCTCGTCAGCTTTCGGCCCCCAATCTGTGCCGCTTGGCTAAAGTGGCTGCCTCCGATGCACCGCCATTTTTAGACAAGCCCCCAGTTTCACAGCACCGCCGCCTTTCAAATAGTTAAGCACGGCTTAAGGAGGATACTGCCACTTGATATAAAACGTGCAACATAGCTGAGATCGACGCATTGGAGATCAGACTGATATAGCATATGATCGGCCAACTTGCCGGGATCCCCTAGTAATTACGCACTCGCCGAGCAGGCAGGAGACTAGGAATCTGATGAATTCTGTCTTCTACTCATGGCAGGTGGCGGAAGATGGGTGCCCTGATTTAGTACGCGGTATACGCAGAGTTTCGGGATGCAACATGTATAGGGGAGCCAGAATCTGTAAAAGAAAGAAACAAATAAAAACTGTTGAGCTGATTGTTCGGGTGAGGGACTCGATGTCTACATCAGACTCGAACGCCTCATGCACCTTGTCTGCTGGGTCTCACATCAGGGCACAATCAACTGCCGACCAATGACAGTCAGGCTGGTTGGCATTGCCCACTAATTGGCGTCAATGAACCACGGAAGATGCGAATTGGGTTGGCTACCGCTGTGCTGGTCACTCCAACTCAAGTAGGGTTCATGTTGATTTTGAAATAGAGATCTTCCGCAGAATACATCTTGAGAGTATCCCGATCGGACTCGAAGTCTCTCTAACGTTACGCACGGTCCAATTCGCATCGTACAACCTTGTTTAGACGTTAGGCTGTTTCTTTTGTTTCTTTTTGTTTATCGTCGAACGTATGTACCCGCCCCTCATTATTCCGTGGGGACAAACCACGTTTCCCCAAATCATACACTGCAGGATTGTGAAGATAATAATGACATGTGATTCTCTATACACGTACTGACGCGGGGTAGCGGCCCCACCCATGGTCCGGGTCTAAGCATGGGGTATCTCATATATTAAGAGACTAACCTGGCCAGGGACAACACTATGTACAGACTTTATTATGATCCATGGGAACTGGCGTGGATTCTTCCGGTTTTGTTGGGTGCACCGCCAGACCACGCCACAACATTCTTGTTGCGTAGCATTTTTCAGAGGAATTCAACCAACTTCTCCGAGACCTTTTCGAACGCATAAATTTCTCGTGTCACCCGATATCTCGTTGAGTTGATACCTGGCAGTTCCGAGAGTTGAGTACAAGGCGTGCCTCGGATGCACGGTTCAATACATCTTGAGCCGCCTGCGTGCCGATCTACGGTATTACAGGACCATGCTGGCGCTGACTCCGCCGATTTCTTTCAATCAGTACTTAACCACGATTTCGTCAGAGAAGCCTCAACGTCTGTTGCCATCTGAACCAACGATTCCGTAGCCCCCATGCATGCACATTGTTCCAATAGCCGTTCAATGTGTTTGAATCCTAGGACAGATGTGATGCTAATTTTTGTTAGGGTTTTAACAATGTTGATAATAAATAAACTAATTTTTTTTCAAACTAGGGGCCGGGACGGGACGGGTCGAGACGGGACGGGGGCGATGGACCTCCGGAGGATAACCCATACAAACGTTTATTAACTAGACTAGTTAGTCGATGGAACATCGTTACAAGTAAATATAACCGTTACGATAAGGGTGTCTCTGGAGATATAATTATCAATAGCGACACATCTGTCAATCTTCGTGCAGCGAGCAACGACCCAACCGATTCATTATTTCATTCAATATAACACGTTACAAACTGCGCAAGATGGCTCCTTATCTAGATCCGTCTGGTTCTCCTTCCCCCGTATGTCCCTGTTCTCGCCTCAAGTAAGAGGTAAAATGCTGGTGTATAAAGCTGACTATGACTTATGAAGATATCAAGCCCGCCGAGCAATGGCGAGGAGCGGCGCGCTGGTGCTGCTCCGGCAATCGCCATTTGCGGCATGGCTCTTCGTCTCCCTGGTGGCATCTCAACTCCCGGGGAATTCTGGGACCTTCTTGTCAACAAGCAGGATGCCCGAGGTCTTGTACCCGAGTCGAGGTACAAGGCTTCCAGCTTCTACTCCAAGTCCGGCAAACCGGGTCATATTGCCACTGAGTATGGCTACTTTCTTGACCCCTCCGTCGACATAGGGGCCCTTGACACAAGCTTCTTCAGCATGCCCAAGGTTGAAGTGGAAAGGGCGGATCCTCAACAGCGTCTTCTACTTGAGCTTACGAGAGAGTGTCTGGAAAGCGCTGGGGAGGTTGACTACCGTGGCAAGACCATCGGCACCTTCGTGGGATCCTTTGGCGAGGACTGGCTCGAGCTGTTCGGCAAGGATCCTCAATTGTATGGCACGTACAAAATCACCGGCTATGGCGACTTTGTGCTGCCCAATCGGATCTCCTACGAGTATGATCTCAGGGGCCCTAGTATTCTTATCCGCACGGGATGCTCTTCGGCTTTGATCGGTCTCCATGAAGCGTGCATGTCAATCCAGCTTGGCGAGTGCAATTCTGCTCTCGTAGCAGGCACTAATCTTATCTTGGCTCCGGGACTTACCATCTGCATGTCGGACCAGGGTGTCTTGTCTCCGAACGGCTCAAGCAGATCATTCGACGCCGACGCAGACGGATATGCTCGCGGAGAAGCTATCAATATGATTTACGTCAAGCGGCTCGACCATGCAATCCGTGACGGCAACCCTATCCGTGCGGTCATTAGGGGCACGTCCAGCAACGCGGACGGCAAGACGCCTGGGATGAGCGTTCCGAGCTCCGAGTGCCACGAGGCAATGATTCGCAGGGCCTACGAGAAAGCTGGAATCTCTGACTTCGGACAGACGGCCTTCGTAGAGTGCCACGGCACTGGAACAGCAGCCGGCGACCCCATCGAAGCCGCCGCGGTTGCCAGTGTCTTTGGCCATAGTGGAGTGTACATGGGTTCGGTCAAGCCCAACGTGGGTCATTCCGAAGGCGCATCTGGCCTCACGTCGCTTATCAAGTCGGTTCTGGCGCTCGAACACCAGATCATCCCTCCGAACATCAAATTTAATAAGCCAAACCCCAAGATCCCATTTGCAGAGAAGAAACTGACGGTTCCCGTTGACCCTGTTCCCTGGCCAAAGGACAAACACGAACGAGCCTCTGTCAATTCCTTTGGTATTGGCGGTGCCAATGCTCATGTCATTATCGACTCGGCCAGAACGTACATTAACAACTATGAAACGTTGAATCTGGGGGCTCCGTCCAGTGAAGTGCAGCTGCTGGTCTTTTCCGCAAACACTTCCGACTCGTTGCGGCGTCAAATCGTTCGAAATCAGAAGTACCTTGAACAGTCACCAGCAGCAGCGTGCGACATTGCCTACACTCTTGGCTCGAGGCGTACGCATCTTAATCACCGGGCTTTCTCGGTCGCCAATAACGGCATCATATCCTATTCGTCGCCTTTGGGCAAAGCCCCACAATCATCCACCGATATCATCATGGTCTTTACTGGCCAGAGCGCGCAATGGCCACAGATGGGTCTCGAACTTCTGCGGTCAAACGCCATTTTCGAAAAGTCAATTCGGCGCATGGACAAAATTCTACAGAACCTGCCTGACGGCCCCGATTGGTCTATTGCCGCGGAGCTGGCCAAACCAGCGGGAGAAAGCAACTTGGATCAGGCTTACATTTCGCAGCCCCTCTGCACCGCGGTGCAAGTTGCTTTGGTAGACGTGCTTGCTGAGCTCGATGTCAGGCCCTGGGGCGTTGTGGGCCATTCGTCTGGAGAGATGGCGGCGGCATACGCTGCTGGGAGGCTTACTCTCGAAGGGGCCATCGCTGCGGCATACTATCGCGGTATCGTGTCCGCCAAGATCCGGAGGGCCGGTGCTATGGCTGCCGTCGGTCTAGGGCGGGACGACGTGGCGCGCTTCTTAATTCCAGGCGTTGTCATTGCCTGCGAGAACTCGCCATCGAGCGTCACAATATCTGGGGACAAAGAGAAAGTCGAATCGGTTCTACAAGTGATTCGCACGGAGAAGCCTGAAGCGCTTGCCCGCGCCCTCAAGGTGGATAAGGCCTACCATTCCCATCACATGAAGGAAGTCGGCGAGCTCTACCATATCCTGACCTCTCGACGCGTCCACCGTGACCTGTACGACCCGGCCTCTGAAAAGGTCGGGCAGAAGCCTGTCTTCTTCTCCACCGTCACTGGCAAACAGTTACTCGAGACAGATTTCTTGGATTCCAGGTATTGGCAGTCAAACCTCGAGTCGCCTGTCCTTTTCAGCACCGGAGTAGCCGGTCTTGTCGAACAGCACAACGCCATCAGTAAGGCCGGCCTCCTGTTCCTGGAGGTAGGGCCTCATTCAGCGTTAGGCGGGCCCCTCCGCCAGATCCTGGCGGGATACTCAACCAAATACCCGTATGCATCTTGCCTTGTCCGTGCTAAAGATGGAAATGAGACGTTTCTTGCCGCCGTTGGTCAGCTTTGGCTGCAGAATGCCTACGTCAACTTCAGCCGTTTGACCAACCCCAACGGAACTGCCCGCGTCCTCCCGGATCTTCCTACCTACCCTTGGCAACACGACGACTCCCACATGCTCGAAAATCGTATCGCCGATGAGTGGCGTTTTCGAAGATTTCCAAAACACGAGCTTCTCGGCATCCGGGTATTGGAGAGCACCGACAGTGAGCCTGTCTTTAGAAACGTCCTATCCCTCACCCATGTGCCCTGGATCCAGGACCACAACATCAAAGGTGACGTGGTGTTTCCATGCGCAGGCTATATCAGCATGGCCGGTGAGGCGGCTCGCCAGTTGCACGGCAAAGGGTTTACGGGTTTCGGTCTGCGTCAGGTCGTCATCGACACGGCATTGATTCTCACTGATTCCAAACCGACCGAGATCATCACCAGCGTGCGCCGGTTGTCGCTGACCGACGCCCTGGATAGCGACTGGTGGGACTTTTCCGTCAGCTCATACAACGGTACCTCATGGGCAAAGCATTGCTCCGGGCAGTTCTCTGCCTTGGCCAGCCAGCCGTCCAATGGTGGGAAGGACGTTACATCAAGACTTCCGCGCCTGGTTGAGCCTGCTAAGTGGTACCAGGCACTGCGAAACGTTGGGGCAAACTATGGAGACTATTTCCAAGGTTTGGCCAACTTGTCATGCTCGACTATGCAACACATCTCCAAGGGGACAGCGACACATACCGACGACGGTGATGAGGCATTCTACTGTGTCCACCCGACCAAGGTCGACTTCTTCCTCCAGCTGTTCAGCGTTGCTGCCACCAACGGCCTGGCACACAAACTGAACAAGATGAATGTTCCAACGTTCATCAAGCATATGGAAGTGTACGGCTGCACCTCGGAGATCCACATGGCCATCCAGGCGACGGAGAGTCGACGTGGGGTAATCCAGGGCGGAGGTGACGGGCTCAGCGCCGATGGCAACGTCGTTCTTAGGATGGAAGGTGTGAAGTTGAGCCCCATCGAAGGAGGCGAGGGGGCCGAGGATCTCGACCCTCACGCTGGGGCAAGAATGTTCTGGCGGCCAGATATAGATTTCGTCGATTCCACGTCGATGGTCGCCCCTGTGCCCGGACAGCTCAAGTATCTACCTCTTTGCGAGGAGCTATACCGGCTCAGCGCCCACGAGGCGCTCTCCCGGATCGAAGGCATCTCAATCGATTCCCCCCATCTACGCAAGTTCAAGGCATGGATGGAGAAGCAACCTGCCCCCAAGCCTGAGAGCTCCCTGGACCAGCTGAGAAACGCTCTGGCTCCCACCTCGCTGAAATGTCTGGCGGATGGCATCACCAAAGTTCTCGACAATATCATCCCTCTATTCAAGGGTCAGGTCGATCCCATTGCAGTCATGTCGGAAGACAATACCCTCGGAAAAATCTACAACTACTTCGATCTCTGCGACCGGCACGAACTCTTTCAGACCATTGCGCACGCGAAGCCAAATCTGCGTATACTCGAAGTGGGCGCTGGAACGGGCGGTACTACCGGCAGCCTGCTTCGGAGCCTTACAAACCCGTCAAGTGGCACCCTCATGTACTCCCACTACGCATACACCGATATCTCGGCGGCATTTTTCAGCGCTGCCAAAGAGCGCTTCAGGGACTATCCCAACATGACATTCCAAGCACTGGACGTCAGCAAGGACCCATCAGCGCAAGGCTTTGAGGAGGGTTCTTACGACCTCGTCGTCGCCGCCAACGTCCTGCACGCTACTCCCAGCCTCCGCGAGACGCTGGCCAATGTGCGTAGACTTCTCCACCCCGAGGGCCGCCTTTACATGGAAGAGTTATGCCCGGACAACAAAGCCGTCAATTTTGTTATGGGTGTTTTTCAGGGCTGGTGGTACGGTGTCAATGATCAACGCGTGGATGAGCCGTATGTTCCACCCGGGGTATGGGATAAAGCTCTGCGGGAGGCCGGCTTCGCAGGTCTGGAGCACGTCAACCTCGACAATATCCGTCCTGCGCAGCTGAATGCTTTCATGACAACCAAGCCAGCCGTCCAACCACAAATGCGCCGAGCCGTGACCATTCTATACAGTGATGCGGCCATGGAAGTGGCTACACTGCTCAAGAGTAAGCTAGAGCTGGGCGGCTATAGGGCCGAGTTGCATGATTTTGGTGGGCCTGGCATACCCAAGGAGAACGACCTGATCTCGGTGGTCGACCTCGAGACGCCCTTCTTTGAGAATATCACCCAGGAATCCTTCGTGGTGTTCCGCGACTTTGTCTCCGAGCTCTCCACACGTGGAAACGGCCTGTTCTGGCTTACGCGCTCATCGCAGGTTGCGGCCCGGGACCCTCGCTGGGCGCAGACCATCGGCACAATGAGGTCGATCCGTTCCGAATTAAACGTGGATCTTACCACCTGCGAGATAGATGAGACAGATGGCAAAAGCCTTTCCGCAGCCTTGAAAGTATTTCAGAAGTTTCAGAATCGCAGATCAGATCCGAACTTGCTCCCAGACTATGAGTACGCCATCGCAGATGGAGTGGTGCACATCCCTAGACTATACCCTGCCACGATCAACAAAGAGCTCAGAGGATATGCGCAACTTGAAGGACCGGAAGTGGGATCTGATGTAACGATCGGACAGTTCGGACGACTGAACACCTTGGGCTGGACGGCAACTCCGGTGAGAGACCTCGGCCCAGATGATGTCCTAGTTGAGACGAAGGCCCTCGGCATGAACTTCAAGGTTAGTGCGCTACTTCCATGGACGATAGAAAGGTGATGAGAACACGTTCCCAAGTATGCTGACACATTTTTGCAGGATGTACTGATCGCCATGGGCATTATCGAAGGCCGTGACACGGCGACGCTCGGCCTTGAAGCCAGCGGAGTCGTGCGCAAGATTGGCCCTGGCGTTCGAGACCTCTCCCCGGGCGACAGAGTCTTCCTGATCGGGGAAGGCTGTTTCTCAACAGAGCTGGTGCTGCCGCGAAAGCTATGCGCCAAGATACCGGACTCTCTGAGTTTCGAGGATGCCGCAACCATGCCTTGCGTCTTCACCACTGTCATCCACGGCCTTCTTGAGCTCGGGCGTCTCAAGGAAAAGGATACGGTACTGATCCACTCGGCTTGTGGCGGCGTCGGCATCGCGGCCATTCAGGTGGCGAAAATGGTCGGAGCTGAGATCTACTGCACTGTGGGCAACGACGAGAAGGTCCAATATCTGATGTCCACATTCGGAATACCACGGAACTGCATCTTCAATTCGCGAGATGAATCCTTCCTGAAAGATGTCATGACCGAGACAGACGGGCGGGGAGTCGACATCGTCCTGAATTCCTTGTCGGGCGAACTTCTCCATACATCCTGGAAATGTGTCGCCGAGTTCGGAAAGATGATCGAAATCGGAAAGCGCGACCTCGTCGGCAACGGGAAGCTGGCTCTGAACGTTTTCGAGCTGAACAGGAGTTATCACGGTCTCTGCCTCGGTCACATCATGGCACTGAGAATGGACGAAGCCAACAGGTAAGTCAGAGGAGAGCTTGATCACTCGAAAATACTAACAGTTGCCACCAGCCTGCTCAACCGAGTAATCGAATACTATGAGCAGAATTACATCCGTCCCATTCGACCCGTCAAAGTCTTCCCGGCCGACGCGGTCGAAAGCTGCTTTCGGTACATGCAAAAGGGCCAGCACATGGGGAAGATTATCATCTCGCTGGAGCAACCAGAAGCTCAGGCGCTGACACAGAAGCAACCAACCCAGACAATCCGACTCCGTGGTGATGCTTCTTACCTGCTCGTCGGCGGCCTGGGCGGTCTCGGGCGCGTCGTGTCCAACTGGATGGTCGAACACGGCGCCGGCCATTTGATCTTCCTTTCGCGCCGCTCTGGCGAGAGGGCCGAGGACCAGGCCCTCTTCGACGAGCTGCGTAGCCAAGGCTGCACAGTGACTGCCATAAAAGGCAGCGTCACATCCCCTGCCGACGTGGAGCGCGCCATCTCGGCCGGTGGGGCCTCCCTCAAGGGCGTACTCAACATTTCCATGGTCCTACGAGACCAAAGCTTCACAAAGATGTCCTACGACGACTGGGTCCAGAGTGTGGGTCCCAAAGTCCAGGGCACCTGGAACCTCCACCGTGCTACCGTCGACCGTGGGCTTCATCTCGATTTCTTCGTCCTCTTCAGTTCTATTTCGGGCATCGTAGGGCAGCGGGGCCAGTCCAACTACGCCGGAGCCAACACGTTCCTGGACAGCTTCGTGCAATACCGCCAGTCTCTCGGACTCAACGCCTCTGCTGTCGATATTGGTGTTATGCTCGACCATGGCTACGTCGCCGACAATCCCATGGTGCGCGAGCGTTTCTTGTCGCAGGGTTTCTACGGTGTCCGCATCGCCGAGATGCTCGACGCCATCACCGCCGTCATCAGCGCCTCACGCTCCGACGTGGGGGTCGACAACAGCACGAATACCCAGCTGTTCGTTTGTCGCAGCCAGCTCGTCATCGGACTGCGCAGCACCACTCCCATGACCGACCCTTCCAATCGTGTCCCCTGGAAGAACGATCGGCGCATAGGTATCTACTTGAACAGCAGCTCCCAAGCATCGGCGGCTGGCTCGGCCGCCGCGTCGAGCGAGCTGGCTTCCTTCATATCATCGGCGATCGGCAATCCGGCCATTCTCGCCCGGTCGGACGCACCAGTCTTCGTGGCGGTGCAGATTGCGAAGCAGCTTCTTAGGCTCCTGATGAAGCCGGTCGAAGACGACACTGAAATTGATGTTAGCCGATCCCTGCAGGAAATGGAGTTTGACAGCCTTGTGGCAGTCGAGATGCGGAGCTGGTGGAAATCTACCTTTGGTTTTGACATCAGCGTTTTGGAAATGCTGGGGGCGGGCAGCATGAGAGCCTTGGGCGATAAGGCGGTGGAAGGGCTCAAGAAGCGGTTTGGTGAGCCTGACGCTGTGAACGACTCCGGCGCGGACCAGGCCATGTGGAAAGAGGCTCTTTTGACGAAAATGCCGTAACTTCTTGGAGAGTTAACTTCCGCTACAGAGCAAACAAGAGCGGCCACAGCTTGTTTGCAAGGCAGGTGTATAGACTGGGTCCTTCTTCCAAGCGTTGCTCGTCGCGGACCTGTTTGGAGCACTGCATCCTCAGATTACCCTTGCTTACGAAGCTAGTACCCAGCGCGGCGGGAGAGTGAAGTTCTAACTGATCCTCTTGGATCTGTTCTGACTGCAGACAGTGCTCGCCGATTAGACCTTTCACCGGTGGAATACGCGTTACCTGTATCTCCAAAGCGTATTCGGCCTCAGGATGATGTAGGGATGCCGGGAGCCAATCATGATCTCTGCACGGGGCCATGACATACAACTCCGACTTGTGGCTGCCGCCCGTTGCAAGAGCGCTCAAACGGGTGACCTATAACCACGTACGTCCGGAAACAGGAGGATCGCTGTCGTCGTAACTCGGGGCTCAGTGTTTTATCGGACAGATTGTGTACTTAAAAACGTTGTGCTGCTGCTGCTGCTGCTGCTGCTGCATAGCTGCTCGTATGCAACAACTCAGGGGTGCAGAAGGTTTGAGAGGTAAGAGGCATAATTAACATATTTCGATCTATAAGCTTTATTTATATGTCGACCGTTTTTGACCAAGTCCTCCGACACGTTTACAATTATAAAGACTACCATAAACTTATTTTAATATTGTGTATCATTCATTATCGAAGCGCGCGCTGACTCCTTTAATACTAACAGTGTGGATGCACCGAGGAAAGCCATTGTATAATCATCACGGACATTGAGGCAGCTAATCGAAAAGCAACCAAGAGGCGTGGCAGTTAGGTATCCGTTGGTTCAAAAAGTATCGTCACCAGACCGGCGGGATCTGGCGACGATATATTACTCGTGTTCGTTTCGTCAGATTGCCTGCACGGTAACAGATATTCAACAAAGTCATGTCTAAAGACATCAACCGTGTGAGATAAGTCTTGCCTCTTAGAACAGATTGAACAGCTTCAAGTCTTACCACCTTCCATGCTCAATTGTCCATCGACACTGTTACGGCTCAGAAGCATCCTTGGACTACAATCTTCAAGAATATGGCCGCTCTTCTTTCTCCACTGGTGCATCAATAAGATTGTTGAATTCCTTGCTAGGATCGAACATGAAGAGAGACACTGGCGATTGTTAACCTTTATCATCCAGCCTCAAACAATTCTTAAAGTAGGCGGCTTACCGATTGCAGCAATCCCTACGAAGGTAATAGCAGTGACCCATACGCTTTTGAACGAGGCTGCATATGTGTCGAATAACGCCGCTGCTCCTGCCCCTATTATATTAGGAGTTACTCCGGGGACTGTCAGGAGCGCAGTCGAGTCTTGCCCGACCAGGTCCGTGACAAAATCTAAAACAGAGCTTGCGGGCAGTCCTATAATATTTGAGTCATTCCTCAGCGGGATTTGAAGGTCAGGGTGGCTCACCTGCAGTAATCGCAGCCTCTGCAATATTGTCTCCCAGATGACTCATGCCCAACCTAAAGACGGCTTGATAAATGGCAATCCCGACTGTGCCACCCAGAGAGCGAACACTAATGAGAAGACAGCTCGCAGTCGTAATAAGCGCGTGGGGCACGCAGAGCTGAGCAGCAGTGACTATCGCGACCATCGTCATTCCAAGACCCCAACCCATCAAGATAGGGAGCCCCCAAGCTGCTGTGTTGCTATGTCTTGTGGTGCTCGCCATGCCGGCGAAGAATGCCACAAAGATAAGGAATGCAACGAAGGCAGCCAGACGGACTTTCCTGGTTGTCGCGCAGTACAGGCCAGTTATAAGAGATGCAAACAGAGTCGCCAAGAACCCGATCGCAAAGCGGACCGTTACCAAAAGGAAGTCTTCCTCGTAGAGAACGTTCGTCTGGAAAGGAAAGTACGTAATGGCAGCGAAAAAGGCAACGCCCTCGCAGAAAACACAAAAGAGGCAGATGGCGAACATGCGATTCTGGAAGAGGCCGTGATGGAATAGTCCGTCGGCCTTGAACTTCCATTCGTAGGTGATGAGAGCGACGGCCAAAACGATACTGACGGCAAAGGGAGCCGAAACGTGAGCATCGCTCCATGGATATGGGTTGAGAGACCAGGTCAGCGATGTGCAGAAGAGGACCAGGCTCCCCACTAGTAAGGCATATGCAACCCAATCTAGGCGTGCGAGTTTCTCTGGTAGACTTCCGATCTCAAGCTGCTGCTTCGTTGGTGGAGGGTGGTACGCGACACCACACAATATTGCAGCGAGGACGAAAAGTCCCGCATTGATATAGTAGTAGTTCCGGAATCCGTTGGCGCTACCGGACCGGTTGACAGCTCCGGCCGCAATCAATCCGAGGACAAGCCCCAGCGATGTTGAAGTCATGGCTGCAGCTTGGCCCCAAGGCCTCCAACGTCGGGGCAGAACCTGGCCTGGAGTATGAGCATACAGTAAAAGATTGGAGGTGAAGAGGAAGGGTACGGGACGTGTACCTCACTTGTCACAGCGTGGACAAGCCCCTGTGGTCCGAACGCGATACCTAGAACCGTGAAGCCGGCGATTGCCATCGGCATGTCAGAAGCCTGACCGATAATCATGCACCCCACGACTCCAAATATGCTCGGGATGATCAGAAACCATTTTCGGCCCCAATAATCGGCTCCCTGAGACACAATAGGTCCTAGCACGACAGTGAAGATTGCCAAAGTTGCTGTTATCCAAGCTGTGTCTGAACTCCCTAGAATATTGCCGATGATCTGTGATTGCTAACGAAACCGATTCAGCCCAGCTGAACTTCGTCTAGATCGATGTCAGGGTCGACTTACTGCCCCAGCTCCGACGATGGCAAAGTTCTGCGCAACGTACACCAAACAAACAGCAAAGATGGCGAGATAGGTTCTCAGATGAACATGAAGTTGAGGCTCATTTTCAATAACAGAATCCTCCGCACCAGTGGCCACGAGGGCGATTTCTTTGGTTGTATCATGTGGATATGAGGGTGCTGACATCTCGATTCCCAGGTGCAAAGCGTTGCAAAACGAGGAGAAAAGATGAGAAATGTTTATCATCAGGTTGAACGTCAAATTTTGACGAGGAAGTGCCAAAGCTAATTGCATGCATGCGCCTGTGGGTGTACAAGGACAGCTTCACGGGCGAAGCGTTTCGGAGGTCTTATCTTGTTTGGGTCGTGCTTGATGCATTCTCAGAATTTGTTTGATGGCCTAGATCATGCAGGTGGTACAAGTAAGCTTTCTGGCCAGCCCCCGCAGCATCGGTCAATGATGTTAAAGAATACACAGCGACGCAAGCCACTCTCGTCACCCCAGTTACTACACGATAGATGGAAGCTCATGTAATTTATTGTCCATGCTATAATAATCGGCGTATGTTACTAAGATATATGGTAACTTGCCTTCTAAGTCATGTCTTTTTGAGGCGTTGTTGCTAATAGAAAACTCGAGACCGCCGCAAAACCGTGTGTGTGTTCCAATCGATACCCTGGGGTAAGAAAGATCTTTGACTTTCCAGCTGCACATAACAGGGTTTGCAATGGGTTTTTTTCAAAATCCATGCATAGCTTACGTCTCATCGGGCAAGGATCACAGAGTCATATCTTGTCCACTGTCCAATAAAATGAAGTATTGCTTCGGCAAGTCATCACCACATTGGTCTTGGCGGCCTTTTTCGACGGCGGTGGGGTAATCTCCTCGACTGGATGCCCGGTATCCAGGGCGATATAATTCCACAAATATTATTCGCAACACAAGACTTTCTGATTTCCGGAAGGGTTCATGGTGTTCATTGATATTTCGAAGAAGGATGTCAAGATAGAGTCCTATCAGACTACAGAGCCTAAAACCAGAAATTCATCGTTACGCACATGTCTCAAAGATCCAGTCCGCATTTCTTCTCTTACTCACTTGCCGGTTCGTCGTAGAGCGAAAACAACTCAAAGAAACTGACCGAGAACACGCAAATACTAGAAAGCTGTTCGTCTCGTATCATGTCGAATCTCGATCAAACCATTGGAGTGAGAAAAGAACTAGATCTTCGTGTCTAGGCCGTATCCAATATTCATGAGATCTAAGTCCTTGTCCTGAGAGCTCTCTTACCAGTAAGTACTGGAAAACTTGTTGGTCTGGAACTTTGGGACATGCCCTCAGCTCCAGTTACGTTCAAATGATGCTGGTGCCAGGTCAGACCATGTACGAGTTGAGCGACTGTTGTGACCGTCGACCCGAAATTGACGTTTGGTGGTATTACAAAGTGTGGCCATTTTTGACGTGGCTTCTGGATTCTGAGACCACCTCGGCAGCTGTTAGTCCTCCTCCTCCTCAGATTCCTCCGCTGCCGGGTCCTCTGTAGCCTCCTCGGCTTCTTCTCCCTCGCCGGCCTTGACGGCGGTTGTTGGAACAAACACAGCCCATTCACCGTTCATATCAGCGACCTTCAGAGCGATTTCACTCTCCTCTGCTTCGAATTCAAGCTCCCCAAGACCTTCAGTCACGAACTGGTTCGTGGCTGTGTCCAGCTTTCCAAGCACAGACTGGGAGATGTCGACAGCATTGCTCGAGGCTTCTCCAAAGATGTAGTCAACCTGGTGCTGGTCTCCAGTCTCGGGTGGCGTGGCCGTCGAGATAGTGAAGGTGAGCGGGTCGACATACATCAATCCTGCCGGAGGTGCGATGGTTGCCATCTTGGGGGCCACGGTGATGGTGTTCGCGGCTGTACCGTTGTATTCGGCTTCGATTGCTCCAGCGGTCTACACGGCCCATCAGCATTGGTGGCGCGCGATGGCGCTTTGTCCAAACTCACATTTGCTGGCAGCTTCATCTTGGTGAAGAGATTGCCACCTTGCACTGGGTTCGCCGAACCGAATACTCCAACAGTTCTGACGGTACCTTCTTCAAATTCCTCCGCTACTGCTAGGACTTCAGCGGTAGTCAATGTGGTCTGATTGGTCACCGCTACCGTCTCCTTTGCAGCTTCTCCCTTGGCCTGCCCCGCCTCTGATACATTATTCGATCTCGGCACTTTGAGTCTGAGGACAGGAACAGCCTCATAGCGCCGCAGGGCTGAAAGCCCGACATTTCTAGTAGGAAAGCCCAACACGGGTATGGCCTCCAGGACCAACAGTGATACGAATGAAAGACGCATTGTATTGAATCGAGACAATATCGCTGCGTATTATGGCAAGAGAGATATTACTCTCAATATGATAAAGCGGAGGGATAGCAGAAAGATCTATGGAACAACGGCTCGACCGTGCCCGTAAGTTGCTTAGATAGGAATAAAAAAAAGAAACGGAAGAAGTTAAAAGTCAATGTCGGGTTCTTCGTATGATGTAGACCGGTGCCAGTGGAGGTATATTTATGGTCTGTCGACTTAACAATTGGCGAAGGCCACAATCGACCACCACTTGTGTTCAAGCATGCGATGCGCCCTCTGATACCCAAAGGTCGTCTTTTCTGATACTCGACTTCATCTCCAAGGCTGCCAAGCGGTGTTAGATGTCTAGCAAGCCTGTCATCCAAAGGCGCCTATGGGGCGGGTCGAACAGCATGCCATCCCAATGAACAACCTCCAACTATTCTCTCAAACAGCCAAGTTGTATCCGATATCCCACGCACGTGCAAGTTTGCGCAAGCATTCGGCTGAACGACCACACGTGTCATCCAGTCGCCGCGCGAGGCCAAGGTTACAGGTGACATAGCCCGGCTTGGTATCGAGGACAGTTGAGTTTTGAGACGTCAAATTTGTGGTGGCAGGCGCATTGCTAAGGCTTGGTATAGTTCCAGTGATGCCAGCGGGTAGATACCGACACGCGGCTCCACGTGGGTGTGAAACATGCTAGTTAGACTAGTGGAAACTCAGGGGCTTTGTTCCGGGCAAAAGTGGGACTTGGAATTATAATAGACGACTTACACCGGATTGCCCAGAAGCACTTCTACATCGGTAGCATACTCTACGCAAATGAACGGTGTCTGGCCCTGTAATTCGATTTTAAGAACTGTCCAAATTCTCAATTTTATCATTAGAAGCACTACGTGAACGAGAACGCCGATTCAAATTCAGTAGGCGCACTACAGCTTATAGAGCCTGGGATCTGCGAACCGCTCTCCACAACAAAATATTATAGTGCAGCAGCCGTCGCGCAAAACATCGATCTTTCAACCATCCGACCATGGGAATTCTAACATAAAGCTCAAACCCCGGGCCTTGGAGGTAATTATAATGGCTCTAGCGAACATGAAACCCAATTGTTATTAGTCCTTTGGGGAGTCATTGTTCAATACGTGGTCGCCAACCTTTTTTTCTTGGTGCTAATATGTAACATCTGCTGCTCTGCCAGATTGTCTAAGGTCAGAGCATATCGCATTGTCTATGTTTCGCGAGAGCACTCCTTGGGACCATAGCAGCTGCCGGTTCTAGATGCAACCCATCACCTAGGCTAGTCTAGCCACAAAGCTGTGCGGGCATCACATCATATCTTCAATGCCGATTGCCAACTTGCATACTGCAGTACCTTGCGGCACAGTTTTTCCCCGCATATCCGAGAACTCCAAACAGTTATTGCCGGCTCACATGTAGCTCTCGCTCCTCAGAATTAACACAACTCCGCTTTCCCGGAGAACACCATAGAGTCATTCCAGGGTGCAGCCCAGGTCGGCCCCCGTAGGATTTCATAATCTCTGACGGATAAGGGATACTGCATGATGGAATCAACGATGTCAGGCTATGAGTATCTTCAGTGGCTTTAAGAACGCCACAGATCCGCATGCAAATTTTGGGTGTATTCTCATTCTGCTGCAAGAATCTCACATTCGCCCACGTCGTACACAGAATACCGGCATGCGTGACAAACGCTTGCCTGTGGAACAGTCACAATGAGTCGGCCACCGACCGTATTGTTGAGCTGAGACCAGTCGCCATTGGAAGGCGATTCGTTGTCACCGGGAATGTACCTGCAAGACGATCCGATATCCGAGGCGGCAAGTATTAAGGGGAAAAGTATCACCAACGAGATACGAGGACCCGATCGACCAACCATTTCAGCAAGTATAGAACTCTGACCTCGAAACAAATGACAGTGAAGTCTATAGGGACAAGAATCACTATATTGATGCAGCTATTAGTCCTAAATACGCCCGAGAATCTTCAGGATATTTCTGAATCTAATTCATTGCGCTCGTTTTAGCGGGCAGTCTGTTTATTTCTCGCCCCCATTACAACTTTGTATGTTGTCCGGACGTCTGGTCGAGGTGCAACTCGCCAGGTTCACGATCCTTTCTCTTTCAGCGGCCCGTGCACTTGCTGCGCCGATACTCGGTATAGTGAATATGTTTGTTCAAGTAACCAATGAGAATCTCAGTCGGAACTACGGCGTTTGGCCCCTGTGCTTCCCCAAATGTGGCGGTTCCTTCGCTGACGTTTCCTTCGCTAACGTTCTCAGAAGCAGTCATGCGGCGAAGCATTGGAAGGGCTGCTGGCTTGTCTGGCACATTATGGTCTCAAATGCAGGAAAAAGAATGTATCCAGGTTCAGACCCCAGCTGCAGTGCTTGCTGGAGAACTAAAATCTCCTGCAGAAGGCAAACACTACCCCGATACCATAGAGAGGCGCGACAATCAGGCAGCCAGCGTCTACCGGACAATGCTACCACACCACCGTCTTTTGACAAGGCAGGTATCAATCGATGCTTAGTTCCTATGTGTCCCATCACATCTTGGTCCCGGCGTTCCGTCAGACCCAAGTATCCCTGACTCTTATCTACCTCCAGCATGCAATTCACCGGTATCTTTCCTTCCTACTACACACCTCAACACGAGTGCGACGAAATCCCCTACTAGCCTTCCTTCATGGCTCCTAATAAGCAGTTCTCATGGACGCAGTTCTTTCCGCCCAAGGCACAGTACACCGACCAGGACATACCCAGTAGCCTGGAGGGAAAGGTCTATGTTGTCACGGGCTGCAACAGCGGAATGGGCAAGGAGCTCGCGAGAGTCCTGTACGCCAAAGGTGCCAAGGTCTACGCGGCTTGCCGTTCGCAGGAGAAGGGGAGCCGAGCCGTCGCCGACATCAAGAAAGCCGAGCCTCGATCCAAGGGCGAGCTGATCAGCCTGGAGCTGGACCTTGCCGACCTGGCAAACGTGCAAGCCGGGGCCAAGGCATTCCTGGATCGCGAGCCCAAGCTGCACACACTCTTCAACAACGCCGGAGTCATGGTGGGTCCCAACACCTCCCCCCTGAAGACGGCACAGGGCCACGAGCTCGCCCTCGGGGTCAACTGCGTCGGAACTTTCCTCCTCACCAGGCTGCTTACCCCTGCCTTGATCGCCGCCGCTAAAGACGCACCCGGAAATAGCGTCCGTGTCATCTGGCTATCCTCGTTCGGGCTAGAGCAGTTTGCCCCGGAAGGCCGGGGCATCGATATGGACAACCTCGACTATCACCAACCGAAGCCTGGCATTGAGCGCTACGGGATCAGCAAGGCCGCCACCTGGCTTCTGGCCGCCGAGTATGCCCGACGCCATGAGCCCGACGGCATCGTGAGCGTTGCCGTCAACCCAGGCAACCTCCACACGGAGCTGGCCAGGGATCAGGGCATCGCACTCAAGCTCATCGCCGCCGCAGTTGTCTATCCCGCCATAAACGGCGTCTATACCCAGCTGTATGCAGGTTTCTCCCCCGATGTCACCAACGACAAGCACGACTGGAGCAAGAATTGGAGCAAGTCCCTCCCGTGTGTTTTCTGATCCTGCAGAGCCCTGGATGCTAACTGGTCGGCTCTAGTCATCCCATTTGGACGGGTCGCGCCGATTCGCCCGGACCTGACCAAGGCAACCATTTCAGCGGAGCAGGGAGGGAATGGAAACGCGCAGGAGTTCTGGGAGTGGAGCGAGCAACAAGTCAAAGGATACCTGTAGTCACAGTCCACGAGCGTCAGATGGTATAACCATGTCATGCGTACACCGGGACGGAAAATACACGTTTGGCTGCGACAAATATTATTGCATCTTTGATTCAAGTTTGCTGTTGACTAAGAAACTGCATGATCTCAGCCCGACCTCACGAAGCGCATCTGCCCGTGCGAGTTCGCGTCAATATACATGGGCATGCCTTGCGCCCGCCGTTCCAGCATCTCCCCGTTGTCTGTCACTCCCGCTCGGATGTCTTCGGGCCGCCAGCCATAAAGCCCGTACATCATGGCCGCGACGATACTCGTTTTGACCAGCGGCGAGCGCCTCGTCTTCACCATGGTAGTTATCAGTAATGCTATGGTGGCAATCGTCTCGAGTAGCGGCAGGACTAGCCATTCGTAGCGCACGTAGATATACGTCTCGGGCCTGAAAGCGGATCCCGCAACCAGCGTCAAGTTCGTGTTATCTCCGGGGTTGTTGCTCTGCATTTGTGCGCTCAAGGTAGTAGCTAGGTTCTTCGTCACGTTGCGCAGGTCGGTGCTATTTAGAAAGTATCCCATCTGGATTAGGTTATTATTTCCGAGCGTCACGCCGGTGACCTGGGCCGAGTTTGGATCGCTCCTCCCGGGATGAACCGAAAAGTCTACGTCGAAGATGCCGCTAACGTACCCAAAGGTCTGACCTAGGGCCTGTTTGCCAATTGTATATTCACGGCCGGTAGCGTTGGAGCGATAGATCAACACGGTGTAGTTGTCTTCACCCTCGTGCTCTGAGTCCGTCGTTCGGTTCCCGACGGGATTGAGGGGCTCGTTCTTAACCTTTCCGGTGGTGATGACTCCGGAGCTCGCTGTGACGTTTTCGAACGTCTGTTCGCAGAGATACCAGCGTGAGTACAGTAACTCCACTATGTCGGGCTCGGCGCGGGTCTGTCTCGCCGAGGTCAAAGAGAGCTCGGCCCCTCCGATCTGATCCAAATGGTATGCCGGCGATGCTGTGAAGAATGTCCAATCGAGTATGTTACGAACATTGCCATCCGGTTCAACAGACACTATCCAAGTCATGTTCATTTTAGGGTCTACCGGATTGCGTCCGTCATAATCGTAAATGCACGTGTAGTTCAACCTGAAAGCTCGAGTCAACACTTGTCCCCTTCCGCTCAGAAACATTCGTTCCTTACATGGTAGAGTTTCGATTCTGGTCACATTCCCTGCTCATGGTCGATGTCAGGTTACGAAAATCGTGGCAGTATCCTAAGCTCGAGTAGCTATCCCAAGTGCACTGGCTGGCTGGCTCGGGACAGCTCAAACTAGGCGTAGAAACAGCACCTACGATTCCGTTGATGAGAGCCGCCTCGTACCGAATAGTGGCCTCGTGGAAAGCGACGTTTAAGAGATTTGCTGCGATCATGTCAGTCATTTTCTGGCCTGAAACGTGGGTAGATGCTCACTGCTGGTTGCATTTTTGTCAAGCAGGCCATATGCGCTCGACTGGTGGGATAGCGCTTGGCCGATATGAGCCGTCACGTTGTCGATCCTCGCAATCCTGGACGGGAACTCGAGGATCTGCTGCGAGCTCGGTTCGAAACCGAGGGCGAGTATCGTAACCAATGCCAAACCACTTGCAACCAGCGCAGAGCGAGTCCTGACACCGCCGAGGAAGATCAAAGATCCCCAGGGACCCCGGCTGGCCTCATCAAAAGCTTGCAAGTGGCTCAAAGGGTGGGATTGGGTTTGAAAATAGCGCCACTTGAGTTGACTGATGCACGACGTGATTACCACCACCATGGCAGACTTCCCGACCGTAGTGAGCACGGATATCAGCGAGTTGGGCTGGATGGCGAGAGGCCAAGACTCGAGCGGCTTGTTCCCGGCCGAAACCAGGATGGCGATGACGAGTGATATACAGACTAGCGAGAGCAGTGCACTTCCGAGCTCCCACCACCACCATGCTGAGGCTCCAACATTGCCGTCTTTCTGAGGTGTAGTTCGTGGGAAGGAAAAATACGACTTCGCCTTGTGCGCTGAGGTATGTGTTGGTGATTCAAACATCTCAGCACGCAGCTGCTCGCCGTAACCCTGGAAGAGTTCATCCTGTTTGTCGCACTCAGAGCTTGAAACAGAAGAGACAGGAATTCAACGTCCATACTGACCTGTGCATGTTTGTGATACTCTTCTCGGTGGCTATCTGATGACATCATGGGCTCCGGCGGAGGCTTGGCAAAGGTATACACTTATGAGGAGGTGTACTTGCTAGTTGCGAATGGGCTCTGACAGCAACAAGTAAGGGTGTAATAAGTAAAAGCGAGCGTATCGGTCTCATTTAAATGCACTAGCACTCGATCCCAGGACATTCCATGTCGACATCGTTATATGCGCGCTATGCCATGCACGATGAATTGGATATGGGAGAATAACAACAAGGCCAGGGTGGATGCAGATGGCATCCTCGATTGGAGGCCAAGAGACGTTGCGCTCTTAGCGAACGAAGTGTCTGCCTATAGAATGCAGGCGTTCCTGGTGATGGTCTAAAAACGGGTTTGGAATTCATTGCAACGTCTCAGGCATCAGGGTAAGGCTGAACTATCCCGACTTGCAATAGGGCGGCAGACCGGGTGCCAGGGGCTGCGATGGATTCTGCAGCACTGTTGTCACAGCCCCCAATCTCTGCCATAAATATACCATAGTCCCCATAGGCCTACATATCGCATACCAATCATGTCGAATAGTGTAGTGCTCTGGGTGAAGCAGTCGAGCTGCGAAAAGTACAAACTACTTTTGTGTGCTTTGAGTTTATAGCAATTGAAGAAGGAAAAGTAGAAAGAGAATTGGAAAAAACTTCCACCATCCTCGGCGTGGCGACTCTCTGAGATCTAAATAATTGATCAAGAACTCGACAGTCCAAACTCCGCATCGCAAGTCAGTGCTCATTAGATGGATGGTGCGTCCACGATGTTGATTTTGTCGCTGACAAATGCCTATCGAACGGTTTTCTACATCCCGGCCTCTGTTATATAGATCCGAGTGTTGCTTCAGAAGTGGAAAGATCATTTGTTGGTTTGTTAGCACAGCCTCGCTCAAGTCGCAACGCACCTCATGCACCCTCCGAAAAACCATCAAGTCAGTGAATCAGCCCCGCACTTCCACGGCAGCGAGTCGCCATGATTTTGATCTCCGAGTGTGAAATCTGTACAGTCGCGGCTTCTTGGGAGATTATTAGTGGGCGTTGAGTTGTATTGTTTTAGCGTTTTTCGGACTATAAAGTTTGAAAGCTGTAATATAATACTAGTCCAGGGTACTAGACTGCTGGTTGGTTGGTTTCCCACAATTTAGCTACCACTTCATTGACAAAACTATACCACAATGCGCAACATTCTTCCTCGGGTGACGCTCTGGGCAGGTAATTCGGATCCGTCATCTGGACCGGGCAACACGCACCATCTGCGCAACCAGCCTGGCGACTTCCGCTTGGCGTAGCTGGACCGAGATTCTGACTCCATCCAGTGTTTCTGGGGATTATCATCTGTTTTCACAGGGTCACCCTACCACGTAACTCGCCTTGGTAGGGGAAACGAAAACTAGAGGCGGCCTAACACACCCCCTCATGAGCACATGGCGGGACTCTCTGCTCGACTAGCTACACACAGTTAATTTCGTAGGAAAGGTGCTTTCGCCAATCTCCAGTGCCATCATTCATCAACGTGTATTGGATATATTAAACTAGGCATCCAAGGCTGGTTCTCGAACACGACCCCAAGGGCCACAGGCATTGGTCCGATCGCCGATCGGAATGTTACGAAAACGTGCGTGCACATCATAATCGAACGTATGGTATTGCCTTTCGTATACGTGAATGCGCGTTGGCTCCAAGAGAGCTACGCGGGGACAGACAACGGGGGCCATCTACAAGGCCCCAGATCCAGCACGACTCAGTATCAGTTGGTGCTTCTTGAGATGGCGTTGAAGAGATAGTACATATGTTACATGTTTAGCTATAGTCTGTACATTTGGTTTCACACGACCGACCGGCGTAGTGGCGCCTATCGTGGTTGTACAGTTGGCGACCTGGACGAGCCCGAAGATGAAGCATGTCCACCGCAGAAACCGGTTGGAGATATCCACACAGGGCTCTGGGTCATCATGCCTGGGCCCTCGGGGCGGGATTCACGGGCGGCACGACCTCGCCACCGGGCATCTGGGGATGCGCCTCGGCCTCGGCCCTCTGGCGAGCATAATAATCCTTGAACTTCTTCTGCTTGGCGGCCCTCTGCTCGTCGAGTGCCTCCTTGCGGCGGGCGATCTTGTCCTCGCGGTCCCTGCGCATCTCGGCGAGGATGGCCTCGCTCCTTCTCCTCCTGTGCTTCATGGCGACCCTGCGGGAGCCCATCTTGCGCTTCTCGGTCCTGACGAGGGATCCGAGCCTCCAGTTCTCCTCACGGTACGAGTAGTTGCTATCCTGCAGCTTGTAGATGCGCTCGTCTCTGGGGTGGGGCTTGCGGCTGTTCTGGCCGGGGCGGACGACCTGGTTGGGGATGCCGCTGGGGGAGATCTCGGGGACGGGGGCGCGCTCGGGGATGACGGAGGCGTTCATGTTGAGCTTGCGGCGGCGCATGGCGTGGGGAGGGGTGGGCAGCTTGTCCTCCTTGTTGAAGACGACGCCGATGTACTGGCGGTCCGGGTGCTTGGCCGGGTCCTTGTAGTACTTGACGTAGCCGGTGACCTGGGCGAAGAGGGTGTGGTCGCGCCCCATGCCGACGTTCTCGCCGGGGTGCCACTTGGTGCCGCGCTGCTTGAAGAGGATGTTGCCGGGGATCACGTAGCTGTCTGTTCAAGGGGTGGACGGCGCACAGATTAGCCTCTGGCCACGAGAGGCGGGATGTGGGAAACGGGGGAGTGTGCATCTGATAGACTCTCGAAACCTACCTCCAGTCTTCTTGGCACCCAGCTTCTTGGGGATGGTGCTCGAGTCCCGGATCACGTAGGCGCCCTGGCTCTTGACGGAGGCATATCTGCGTCCCTCGACGCCCTGGCTCGCAGCTCCCATGCTGAGGCCGGTCAAAGCATCCTGCAACTGACGAAGGGCGAGGCCGCTCCTCGCGGCGGAACAGGTGGCCACCACGGGCCGGTGTAATCGTGCCAGCCTCATGTTGTGTGGGTCGTCGGATGGGGGCTCTCAGGCGACGTGAAGCTGCTCCTAACTGACTGACGATATCGACGAGCTAGAGTGGGAAGAGCTCGGGGGTGTCGAGAGTCGCGAAAATTGATTCTCGCTTAGCTAAGAAAGGCGCAAGGTGCCCAGCAGCCAAACGAAAACGGGGGTAGTTTTCGTTTTACTCCACTGCCAGGTCTGCCAGGTCTGCCAGGAGTCAGCGAGTGCGTACGGGCAGGACAGGGGGCAGGGGGGGTCGGCATCCGCCAAGAGGCCGCTAGAGCAGGCTAAAGATCCGATAACGATAAGCTGTCGGCCCCCCCCCCCCCGGCACGTCGGAGGGAAAGTTGACAGCTAGACTAATACTAATAACTACTAACGTTGGTACTGATGCTAGTCGTATACGTATATACATAATCCGTACACGGAGTATTGTCAATTGGCAATTAGTTGTCAACAATTAACTAGGATAGCTTATTTTTCTTCATCCGCCGACGCCTACTGCGCATCCCGCATCCCACATCCCACTCGCGACGCCCTCCACTGATACACCCCCCTGCGATCCCCAGCCAGTATGAGGTCCTTCACCACCCTCCTCCTCGTCCTCGCGGCCTTCCTGTCCACCGCCGCCGCGCAGTTCGGCTTCTTCGACCAGATGTTCGGCGGCGGTGGCGGGGGCGGTCAGCAGCAGCGCCAACAGCCACAGAACGTCCCCAGCGACTCGAGCATATACCGACAGAACTACGACTCGTTCACCTGCGACAACTATCTGTGTCCCGATACCCTGGGTAGGTTCAAACCAGTCTTCATTCCCGAGCTGACGCCACGACACTTGGGCCAAGGGCCTGGTAGGGAAGAGAAGGGAACAGCCAAGGCAAGGCACAGACAAGGAAGGAAGGAAAGCAATCTGGCTGGCCGCTGAACGTCACCTATGATGGAACGGCGCGACGGCGCAAGTGGTCCTCGCGTCCAGCTCTCTCAACACATGGAAGAGAAGAAAAAAAAATGAAATAATTACTCCTGCTAACCTACTACCCCTGCGAAATCAGCGTGCGTACACTTCCCACACCACTGCCCGTGTCCCTTCCCGGCCACCGAGGACAAGGTCGAGACGGGCGACGGACACCGGCTGTGCGTGTCCAAGGGCGGGTTCAAGCAGGGCGAGGCGGCGCGCAAGGTCGAGTTGGCCAGGAAGGGCATGCTATAGGGGGCGGGCCTGTGAGGTTTGGTAGTCGGACACGGCAAAGAGGACCCGGGGGTTTTTGCCGAGAACGAAGAGCGAAGAGCGAAGCCGGTTTGGGAGAAAGAAAGAAGGACCACGCTGAAGGTTATCGTGGCACAGTCTCTCTGCGTGCATGACAACTTGGCACTGGCGCTTTGGCGTCCAGAAACAAAGGCAAGGCGTTGAAATAAATTCACCAGTTTGGGAATCCCTACATGCTGTCGCTAGAACACGTTGATCCAATGATGCGCCAACCCCCAAGTACAAGTACGGGGATACCCTAGGGGCACAACCTGCTCCCCCGTACATGACAGTCCTCGGTAGAGGTCAAAAAGGGGGGAACCGAGAAGAAGCCCGTGGTAGACATGATGAATACTCTGCTCAGTGAATAACGGAGCGAACCTCGTGACAGGTGATGTGAGATAACCATGACACAATGACTTGGGACAAGTATGGAAGAACTCGAACATGTCGGGTCACTGTACATTGGGCCAGAGCGAAAGAAACTTGATCGGAACAGACATGACAATGTAACTGAAATCATCCCCCCACAGAATGTGTGTCGAGGGATTTTACCTTCTCATGTATAAAGAATTCCAATCCGATACAGTATTACCTATCCCAGGATAGACGGATATCGAACGAACGTGTGAGACAAATGCGGAACATGGGATGCTTCAACCACAACCATTTTACGACTTTGCAGGAAATACTAGAATACGACTGCCGCCGCATTGCAAAATCTAATGACAACGCAAGTAACAAGGAAAAGAAAAAAAACCTGGACTATCGAGTGTACTCTTCGTGTCCATCTTACCGAATGCTGCACGAACCATGAACTCCTATTCCATATGCTAATGTTCCCCGGTCTCCCTGCCTCCCTGCCTCTCTCGTGTTTCTCATCATGTCACGTTGAATCCCTGCAATTATGCCCGGTAGATACTTGCCGCCCCTGGTCGCTTGAAACTATGCCGCCGGGAGCTTGGGGACAGGCGGCACCTTGCTCTTCTTGCCCTGGTTTTCCTCATCATCATCATCTTCTTCTTCATCCTCATCTTCCATCTCCTCATCCACTGCCTCCGGGTGCCCCAGCAAGCCCACAGCCTCGCTCATCTCGTAGTGCTTCTTCCTGAGCTCCTCGAACTTGCGGTGCTTCTCGCGCTCCTCGGGGGTCATGCCAAACACATCAGCATCGGCGTCATGGAGGGGGGTGGCGTCCTCGTCGCTGACATGGACCTTGCTCTGCTTGCGAGGCGTGCCGGTGTCGAGGTTGTCGTTCTCGGGGATCTCCTCCTCGGGCTCGCCGAGGCTCAGGCCGGGGATCTCCGAGTGGTTGCCGTCCATGTCGACCTCGTCGTCGTCGAGCCCGTCCTCCGAGGGCGAGTAGTGCTTGGCGTAGGGCGTCTTGGGCTCCGTGATCTTCATGGTCGAGGTCCGCTCCTGCTCCGTCAGGTACAGGTTCGCCTCGTCCCACTTGAGGCGGGGCTGGTCCGAGTCGAGCTCTCCATCGGCAGCCGAGGGCGTTCGTGAGGACTGGCGCCGCGAGCCGGCTGGCCTAGAGGCGGTTGAGGAGGAGCGGCGGTGGCCCGCGTTGGCTTGGGTGTTTTGGACCACGAGCTCCTTCTCTGGCAGCTCGTGCTCCTTGGTCGGCGAGGCGGGTGGGGATTTCTGGTATGACTTCTTCAGAATACCTGGGTTGCAAGTCAGACGAATGCAAGCCATGGACATATCGGGGTTGGGAGAACAGGGTATATACCTCTTGGACGCTTAGCCGTGACTGGCGGGGGTGAGTGAAGCTCAGCGGGGGGAGCAGTGTGAACTTCCATCTTTGCAAAATGGGAGCAACTACTACTACAGTCTGTAGTTTCTGGTTTGACGTTGTTGTGTGAAGAAAAACACAAACAAAACGAAAAGTGTGATTGCGGATTGGACCGGGCGCAAAATATGCTTGTTTTGCAGGTTGAAGTTTGTCTGAATGTGTGCAGGTGATGGGTTGCGATCTGCAATAAACCGGTGCGACTTTCGACTTGCGGTTCGGCTGGGTACAACACGACGAGTGTATTGTAGGCGTAGGGGCCCCAACGATCGATGAGATCACAGGAACGTTCGACGCTACTTAACTTGGAGTTCAAAGCTCCCTCGTTTCGTTTTCGTTGCGCTGTGATCCGCCCAATCTTTAACCAGAAGTGCTTGGGCTGCGGGGCGCAATCAACGGGCGTCTGCGTGAGTTGCTAACCTAGCCGAGTTAGTGGTTCTGTTCGCATGGACAGAGCGTGGTTCTCTGGAGCTGAAAGCAGTCGGCTGTTGCTGTCGTTGTTTCCAGAAAGTCCTTGATGGCTGCTGTTGACTTGTGATTGTGTCGCTATCACCCGAGTGAGCTCTGTGATCAGGACCTGTGGTAGCCTGTAGCTGCAGCTGGGCCGTGTTGTGATTGTGGTGTGGTGTAACAGATGATCGATGACACTTGACCAGGTGGGATGTGGTCGCTCTTTATTTGACCTGCTTGTGACAGTCGGCGGGTCCGAGAAACCTGAATAACTGCCACCTGGATGAGATGTAACTATTGGATGTGTTTGCCGAGATCATCATTCAAGAAGACGGGGCAGCATTTACCAATGATCGATAGATCAGGTCGGTTCGCAACTGCAGCTGCACGTAACTTACATGCTGTTCAGCCTGTGACTGACATTTTTGGAGGGGTTGGGGGCAGGGGGGAAGAGTGATCGGCCCCCCGCCTTTTGCTGCACGTCAAAGTCCCGCAACAAACTGTACAAGATGTAGCAAGTTGGTGCCATGTGGTGGTAGGCATATGTCACGATGGCCGCTCTCCTGTCACGAGCATTTCCCTTTCTTTGTTTATCGCTGCGAGTTCATGCAAGCTAACGCATATACCCGCCACCTCGCACCCCCAGAGCTGGGAAGGCTCCCATTTCCCCAGCACCGTTTATGGACAAGCAAATGCGCCTGGTCTACCCCAGCTCGCCAAATGGTGGTAGATTCAAAACACGGTGCAAATCTGTAATTCTCGATGCTGTAAGGAGTACGGAATGTGGTTGACATTCGTCAACAACAGCAACAATAATAGCCTTGAACAAGTATGCAGGGTAGTTGTGTCTTTCATCGCTTGGTGTCACATAGGAGCCGCAGATCCACAACTCGCTATTCGCCATGCAGAATCCCATGTAATCATCTGCTATATATCATTTTACCATGTCTTTTGGGCGAACGGATGAATGCGGTAATGACCTCTCGTCCCTACTAGGCTTGTTAGGCTTCAATACAGTACCTGTCGCTTGTCATCCCAACCCGCATGCCACAAACAAAAAAAGCCTCGCATCATAACTTATGCATCCCGCTTCTTTGGTCGGGCGTGGATTGACATCATCGCTCTCCCCCATCGAAACAAAAACTCCTCCGCATTCGACTAACTTGACCGAACTACCCCATATGCATGCCACACGAGCTAACGCGGCATTTGGTATGGCTTCCTTGCTCCTTCTGTTCGACCCCACGTTTGTTGCATCTCATGCAACCTGGCTGACTTTTGGTTGTATTCTTCTGTCGCCTACAAGAGGGGGGGGGGGAGATGACCTCATCGTACACGGAAATGTTGAAATGAGATTTCAGGCGCGCGGTTCAGAACCTCGGCCGGAAGATGCATCGACAGTCTGCGATATCTGCATGGATGAGGAGGCACCCAGGCTCGTAGGGTGCAGATGATCTCGGGGGGAAGCATTTGTGAATGACTTATCACTCAGCTCGATTGCTCGTGGTTGGGTGAACTATGGATTACATGGTCGGAGAAGAGTGATTAAATATACAAACTGTCATCACTTAGGAGATTATCAGGATCAGATCACGCTGCAATGATTGTAACACGAGGCCGTGCCAATAGGGAGTCTCGGCATGGAATAATCAGATTCGCTGTCTAATAAAACACTGCCCACTTTTTGCTGTATGTACAGGAGTAACAGATATGTATACATTGGAAATTGTTCACTTGTTCGGTAGGAGGCACTGCCACGTTGAGCAAAGCCAAATCGTGCAGTCGTGCTCAGGTTCATAGTCCCCCAAGAAGATCGGGCCAGAGGGCAGACGGCATGTACGACGAAGCATTCGTCAATACTGTACGTTCTCTTCAGACGGTTAGCTGTCATCCGCCACCTCTTTGAAATCCTCCTTTTCCTCGCCCTTGTTGGGTCTCTTCTTGGTCTCTCTCTTCTTCGGTCGCAGCCACTCCTCCATGCCGACTGGCCAATACACGCGGTTCTCCGGTCCGCCCATGCCGACTTCCTCGGCTGGTATTTCCCGTGGCACCTGAGGCTCGGGCTCTGCCATCTCGACATCTCCGTCGTCATCGGTGCCCTTCTTGCCCTTGCGCTTCTTCTTCGGCGTGGCCTTGGGCTTCGGCGGTGGTTTGTTCTCGTCGTCGCGCTCGTACGGTACAACGTCGTTGAAGGAATCCCACCCGGGCAGCCTGTAGGTTCGCATGAGCTCAAACACGGCCTGTTCCTTGTCCTTGGCCTCGATCATGAGATCCATGTCGGGTACGCACGGCGGCAATGTCGTGACCCTCGGCCGGTGTTTTCGTCGCTGTCGTCCGGTAATGGCGTCGGGGCAAGGTTCGCTGTAATGCATCTTCTGGGTGATGCCTTTCCTGTCCCACGTCGCCTTGATGCGGGGATATAGGTCCATGACATCTTTTGTTCCCTCTCGTATCTTGTCCTTGTCAAACAGGATGTTGTGATGGTGAAAGTCCAACACCATCGGGATATTCAGCTCCTCGCAGATCGGCAAGAGGTCATGGACGGTGTAGCACACATCGTCATTCTCGAGGACCAATCTCGCCTTGATACTGTCGGAGAGCCGGGCGTAGTTCTCCCGAAACCGTTGCAGCGTTGCTTCCTTGTCTCCAAACACGCCACCCATGTGAAGGATCATGACGGCGTCCTTGTTCTGCTGCTCCGGCAGCTTGAGTAGCGTGAGCAGCTCGTCGTGATATTCGAGATCGCGCACCGCATTCGTGACGACTTCCTTTCTCGGGGATCCAAGCTGGGTGAACTGGCCAGGATGTGTCGTCAGACGGTGGCCCAGCTCACCAGCGACTCGGCCTGCCTCGGCCAATGCTTCGGACGCGAAAGGCGCCAGTTTGTAGCCGTATTCCTCGTGACTTGCAAAGGGGAACATCTCTGAGCTGAGACGCATGAACTTGATGTGATACTTGTCGTTCCAGCGCAGCATCTTCACGATATCGCGAGCATTAGCAAGACCAAGCTCTTCGACATATCTTTGCCCGCGAGCAACATCTGCCGGCTGGTCTTTGTCCGGCCGGTTTTTTATCGCGTGTTCTGGCTGGCTCGGGTCCTTGAGGGGATGTCGGTGCTCAACTATGGAGGCAATCCTACACGTCCTGGAACTGAACACCTGCGGGTTAGATATTCGAAGGTATGTGTTGAGACACGCCTACCCAACGTTAGCTGATAGTGCCCCCAACGGAAGCTATTTGGCACAAAGGACTAACATAGCCTAACCTGCCCTTCCATGGCAGCGGCAGGTAGTCACTATTTACTGGTGGCGGCCGCCCGCCTTCGGTCTTCAGGGCGTTGATGTCTTCTGCCTCAACGCCATTCCCGTCTGCTTCTTCGCCTTCGCCGACCGCGGCGTCGCTGGCCATCTGGGCAATTTCTGCATTGGCTTGTTTCTCTTCCCCTTGCTTCTTCGGCTTGATGTCCTTTGTAGTCCGATCGTCGCCCAGTACGTTCCTATATATCTTGGCGGTGGGCCGAAACACGGCGCTTTCCAGTGCATGGTCGTGTCCACCATCCATGGCCATGCTAGATCTGGCTGCCAACTTCTGTCGCTTGGTGGTCTGCCGGAGTTTATCCTCCATCGTGTGGAGATCATGGATGGCATTGTCAACAGCAGCACGTTGCTCAGGTTTCTTGCCCCGCTTGAGATGCCTCTGGAGGCCAGCCGAGCTCGAGTTCGAATTCGGGTTTGAGCTGGAGGTTGATGTCGAGGTTGGGTTCTCTTTTTCGTCCGTGTCGCTCTCTGGATATGAGTACATTCCAGTCTGGTTGGCGTTCCTCCCGGACCTCCGCCGGGGCACGACAGCTGCGGAGAGCGAAGGGCCAGCGGCCAAGTGGTCCGAAGTCTTGAGATCTTCTTGCAACAACGCCATGTTAGACTTCTTGCGCTTTGGTGCCATGATAATAGAAGTCGAGCGCGAACACGCCCGTCCGGGGGAGGCGGATATAAGGTGCCTCCTGCCTACCGGAGCAAAAGTCGCGAGGCGGAGACCGGGTACGAAGGCGCACGAGCGAATGAGAGAGAATCTAAAGTTCGGCATGCAACGTGAATGGTGGGCTTGGGAGCCAAAAGGAGTGAACCGTTGCTGGGACGGATGGAGGGCTTGCTGCCACGTGGGGGACGCAGGCTGCGCGATGATACAAGATGAGAGAGTCCCGGAGCGAACTGTCCTAAGGGTGAAGTCACAGGCGGAATAGGTCACTGACTTTACCATACAACATCTGGTCTGCTGCGGAATGGGATGCGCTCGAACCAGCAATGACGGCGAACGTCACGTCATGGATGCAGTTATCCACTAGAATAGGCGGGCAATTTTGCTTCGGCTTTCTCTGACATATTGGAGACATCCATTGGTGGCGTCCATTTGGTCCCGGACTGTCGCAACTTACCGTTCGAGGGGCGAGGATCGGTCAAGGCTATCAGAAAGGCGCCCATGTAGCACGTCACTAACGTGAAATGTAATCGATCGTGGTGTCGAACAAAGATTCCTAGAAGAGACCAAGAGACGCGACCCGATAATTAGTTATGTCATAGGTGCTCGTTAAGTGGGTGGGTCTGAACCGGCAACATCCGGGGTCTCTCCCCCTTGTTACGGCTTGGTCCTGGGTTGGGGCTTGAGCTTGAGCAATCGATCTTGCACGGCAGCACGGGAGTTTGCGAAAGTCTCTGATTCTGCATAGCTGCAGCCATCTGTGGCGAAGATGCATACGGATCCGTTTAGTAGTATGTACATGAAGCTTTTATGCAGCTACAATTGGGAGCTCCCCAGGCTTGCATTATCGCATCAGGCGGCACCACTCTTCAAACGTTTCTATAGTAGGTTGGTAGGCAGGGTAGGCTCGTTGGCTCATACGATAACGACATGTAAGAACAGTTACCCACTTGTCATGCTGACCTTGTACGGCACAAGGACACCGCGCCACCAGCCAGGACGTTATTGCACTCGTCAATCAACTACCTGCATCTCCGCATCAAGATTAGCTATTTAAGATCATGACCTAGAAGAACGGTGCGATAGCTATACTCGGCTGATACGTCAGTTCTCGACCACGGTCTTCCATCGCTTTTGTTCCCGATTCCTGGTAATACGATGTCCTGCACACCGGGCAGTCGTATCTCTTCCTCAGAAACCAACTTGCCAAACATCGAGCATGAAACAAATGCTGGCACCGCTTCAACTTCACCACATCATCGTTGATAGGCTGCGGCCTCCAAGGTTTGACATCTGTCTCGGCCTCCTTCAAGTATACGTGTGTCGATTTCACACTGCTTTTCGTAGGCGGCGAGCCGCTAGTTGTCAATCCTCTGCTCGGGCCGACCTCCAGGTCGATGCCCCCATCCACGATGCTTCCGGTTTCAGTGCACGAATATAGCGATGCTAGGCATATCGGACTTGCGCTTGTCAGCCCTGATGCGCGCGAGTGTTTTCGCCTCCGCCAGACTCACCATTCTTGTCCATCGCAGTCCCAGCGCTCATCTCGATGTCCGCGATATTCCGTGACTTGTTGAAGCTCCGCCATCGCTCTCTGTAGAGACTTGGGCAGCTGTGTTCCTTTTTCCCTGCTGAAGGCTCGGTTATACTGTCGGCGCAGTGCCCGTCGAAAGAAGCTTCTCGCCGTCATCAACAAGATGTGGACAGAGCTTCTCAGTTGGGTGACTCACATGGCCAGCAGCACAAGCAAAGCCAACGCGCAGAAGAATGCGACTGCGGCAGTGTCCCATGGGTATTGCATCCTGTAGCCGTGGTGTACATCGACAGTAGCCGCCAGGCCCAGGTGCACTCGTGGCTGTAGGTGAATGGCTGCCGCGGTGTGGCGCGAGTGGCCTCGTTTACATTCCCCAGAATATCAAAAGACACATGAGTCTTGAAGTAAAAGTTGCGTCTCTGAAATGTAAATGACAGGTTTGATCAGAATCAGCAGGCAAGGAGCACGCTCATAATCACATGTTCCGGCGGATTCCCCCACAGATACGATACAGATAGGGAGCGGAATACACGCTACATGGAGGGACCAAAACGCTCGGCAAGCTAAGCCAACCAGGTGTGCATCGAAACCAGTCAGCAACCACTAAGCTGTAATGCACGCTGCGGTAAGCACCAAGGGGTGGAACAATGCCCGCCATGAAAGAGATATCAAGCCCAATAAGCACGCGGGAAGTCAAACAGCTGAGTGTCACCAAGCTTGGTAGTTTCAATCGTGTTTGGTCACCTGTGATTGACCATGGCCGCTTGAGGTGGCATGTATTTGGATGCCCGGGTCGGTCCAAATCTAGGTTGCCCATTTGCTCTAGCCAGCACCTTATTTAATTCGCTCTAGCAAACGGCGGCGCTGGCAGCATCTTGGCCTGTCGATCGAGCCGAGTAAAACGTTGGCACCGAAAGGGTTGCGAAGGAATGCAGCGCGATTGGTTTGGGTTGATGATTTCTGGATGGCGCAGATGATATCTGCGATAATGCTGCATGCCTGTGTTCCTGCATCTATCTATTTTCCCCAGCCCTGCGGCCACGAACTCTAAGCGCATCTAACACTCAGAAGACCACATACGCCAAACGCCTATTTTTTAAAACATTGATCCATGTCTGAGTTCGACACCTATCGCCTCTGTCGCTTTGCTGATGGCTCGGCCGCGTTGGCGAGACTGTCCAGCTCGCTCAGCTTCCTCGCGCTGAGTTCTATAGCCTGCTGGAGCAGGTCCTTCTCACCCCATCGCACAATTGCTGCCATCCTCGTTCTGTTGGCAGCCCGGCTCGTGGCTATATCAGCCGCCGCGTTGAGCTTTCCTGATTCCCTCGCAATCACCTCGAGATCCTGCGCTGCTCGTGTCTGGTACTGCGAAAGTCGGATCTGCAACGCACGGTTGATGGTAAGTAGCATGAGCTCCTTGGCCTTCTGCTTGTCCGGGATCGAATTTGGGTTGGCAGCCTTTCGGACAGCTCTCAAAAATGCCATGACTTGCTCAACGAGATCCTCGGGCAGCGCTTTCAACTCCCTGTCCTCGGGAACGTTTCCTTTCTCGTCAGGACCGTCCAGGTCCCTGTCGAGCACGAAGACGTCCTCAATCTCTTCGTCTTCCAAGTCGTTAATCTGCAATCGATCAATTTCGAGTCCATCTGGCCGCGCTGGTACATATGCTTCGTGGAATGTCTTACCGCTTTTCCCCATGTGGTATCATCTAGCTTGATCTGCTCCTTAAGCACGTCCTTCAGCACCGATGAGACGAGGTCCCATGGTAGCTCAACTACGTCGTACCGCGAATGGGTCTCTGTAACGTAGCCGTATCGCCTAAGAAGATCTCCGTTTGAGAGCGGTCCATAGTAGTTCAGGATCTCCTGCCCGGCCTGTATAGGCTTTATTGACGTGACCGTCAGACTGTGATCCTCGTGATTGACGTGCGCCTTGAAATGTAGTTAGAACCGTTACAAAGCATGCATTTGACAGACTCACATTGAATGCTGCATCTGCGTTCAAAATGTCGGCCATCGGGACCATTCCCATCATCAGCTTGCCTTCCTTATCCTCCATCCATTCGTCCTCTCCGTCCTCTGGGTCCTCTTCTTCGTTCTCAAGGTCAAACGCGTAAGCCATAATAGTACTTCCCATCCGATGAGCTAGCGCCATCAGCCGGTCCTCGCCCAACCTCTGGGCGCCCGGGGGGTAGAACACGTCCGCATGCTCCTGGACCGTGGGCAGGACCTTGGCGCGGAACATGTTGTCGGCCTCGTCCTTGCCGACCTTGGAGGAGATGGCGCTCGCCTGCAGCTCCGCGAGCTCCTGGTTCGACCAGAACATGGGGGTGTCGAACTCCTCCGGCAGGACGTCGAAGTACGGCCTCCACCGCGACTGGTCGCCCTGGAGGAACTCGTAGATCATGACCAGGATGAGTGACACCCACGAGTCGGGCGGCCCCGTGATCTCGCCCTCCTCGTCGGCCTCGTTGTCGTCGTCCTGGAGACCGGCGGTGGAGTCCTCGAAGATCTGCGGTATCCTCTTGGGCAGATCCGAGGTCAAGGTGTTGAGGATGGCATCCCGGGGAATGGTGAAGAGCAGAGTGTCTTCTGGGATGTCCGCCGTGGCAACTGCAGTGGTTATTAGCCACGGGAGTTTTGGTTTTCTTCTTCTTCTCGTACTGTTGTACCATCGTGGCGGGACATGAGATGAGATGCACTATCAAGGGCGGAGCTTACCGATGCCTCTGCCGGCATGCGACCTGCGGTAATCATGAATCTTAATGTCAGGATGAAAATTCGCGCCGGGCAGGGCTCTGAACCAGTTCAAGAATGACGATGTCCTCGTTTCCCATGATTGCGCCATGACCAGGGATTGCGATGCGACCAAACCGTGATTATAAAGAGCGTTTACGATGTCGGAAATTTTGCATCAAGACAATTCAACGCTTCGGAGTTGAATCGGCAAGATGCTGCTGCAAGGCGGGCTGAAAATTGTGACCCACCGGAGCTGAGAACATGTATCGGTACTTCAATAAAGAGCGCGCACTCGCTGTCAGCTGCGGAACCAGCTAGTGCCAGCTGTCGACGAGCGGCCAGCGGCCTCCAAGTCAGCGTAAGTCGTAGCAATATGTCATTATGCATATATTTCTGTTAACTTTGCAGGCACAATACTCTCGTTTCACATATCTACACGTCGTCGTGCTGTATGACGTGTGGTAAAATCTACATGGCTCTGTGTTGACAGCTTGAGTTCTCCGAGGGCATAGCAATATATTATGTTATGTTATGTTGGCCTCCTAGACTTGAACGGGAGTTTTTTATGAATTGAATCTTATTCAACCAGCTCCTGACGCATTTGTCGTTCTTAGATAGACCAGGCAGCATCAGGATCCCCAAGGCTAATATCTGCTCGTCCTTCACGAACATGGCATCAGCCGGGATTGGCAACATGGAGAACGCTCCGTATCTACCTATTTATATAAGAATGCTACGGTGTCACATTTATGCTTGAGGTCTTTCTTAAATTTATAACACCAACGCTAAAACGGACACTGGCATAATGAAATCTGCGTCGTGGAGGTCCGACTGGATTGTTGTTCACATATCTCGACCTTAATATAGTATGGCAATGGGATTAGCCAAAGGTAAGGTCGACCATATACTAGGTGAGCTCCTGCACAAGCATTGATTATCTGTCTAAATAGTTCGAGCTGCACCCTCATGGCAGGCGCTCGCCTTTCCTGGTGGCCTGTCCAACTTGCGACATTGTTCTGTCTTCGGCATATCTTTGGTATGCCTTGATATAGTATTCTTCTTCACTCCAAGTATCCTTCACACTCTGTCTCTCAGATATAGCATTGTACCACTCCGTCCAGCGGCCCCAAAGCGCCTCATCGCCACCTTCCTTATCTGCTGGAATGTTCACACCACCGGGCTTGTAATGGTCAATTAGAAACAACCTCTTTGCCCAAGGCGCCAGCATTACGTCGACCATGCTGAATCTGTCGCCCAGGAACCATGGACCGCTATCATCCATTTCCTTTGCCAGTGTTTTGATATGTTCCGATAGGTTTGACCGTGCTTCTTCGACAGAGTATTCCTTCTCAGGTGTGTGCTGGATGAACTTGTAGAAGCCAGGCACGATCTTGGTGCTGATGTGGTCAATCCAAAGCTTGCATCGCGCTTTCTGATATGTGCTCGACGGATACAGGCCCAGTCCGTTGGTCGCCTCATCTGCGAACTCTTCGTTCAGATAGTCACAGATGACTGAGCTCTCATACAGGGGCTTCTGAGCCTTGCCGACCCCATCTACTGGCACCGCCAAGGTTGGCACCAAGCCCCGTGGATTGAGGTCGAGGAACTCCTTGGCTTTCTTGTATGGGTTGATCTCCACATATTGGTAAGGGATGTTCTTTTCCTCCAGAACCATCCAGCTGCGTTGTACGAACGGGCAGAACCAGCCTGCGTACAGCTTTAGTGGGTGTTCCTGGGCGTGGGCTGCGACCGTCTTGGCGGCGACCCCGCTGGCGTGGGCGTGGAGACCAGTGTCTACTTCTGCCATCTTTGCTAAAGCTTAAAACATGAGAGAAATAAAAATAAAATAAAATAAAAACCACACGGTCTGGCTCAGATTGGCGGAAAACAATGATCTGAATCGACGAACGTGATCGTCCTCTGACGGATGGTGCTGGAGTGCCGCCACAACTCGGTGGCGATGACATCATTGCGATGGCTCCCGGCGGTTGCTGCCGGATGCTACCAACACACTGCTGCACCGCGAGACCTTCGACGTTCAGTGCAGTGCGTCGGAAGAAACTATGTAGTGATTCGCGATTTATCTCAACATTCTTCATTATCTCATGAATCTTATGGTACAGCAACTATGGGTATCAATTATTTGTACAAGTAACACGTTACGCTGAAGCTAAAACCCGATCAACGCGCTTGCTTTACCGCGAATTTCGAGCTCAACCTCTCCACAGCCATTTGAGACCATGTGTCACGACCCAAAGTGTTCCACGTATCGCGGGAATAGTTCGACTCCAGGTCATGCGACGCTATTCTGTGTAGGTAGAGACTCGTACAGCTTGCCAGCACGTTTGGGTCGGTTGGCGAATCGGGCTGCTCGCTCCAGCGTTTGTGAACCGATTCCGGCAGCGCCACGGCCGAGTCCTGGAATTTCGAGGTCGGAACCGGGAGCGGCGATTCTGGTATCATCTTCCAGTGATCGCTTGACCTCAATGAGTTTATTGCGGACATGGCATACGAAGATGTGCTCTTTTTGTGGTTGCTGTAACGTGGCGGCTTCGGAGGTTGGTTGTAGAATGCCGTGCTCTCAGACGCATCGTGGCTAGATTTCGTATTCATCGATTCCTTGTCGACACTCCCGCCTTGATCGGCCGGCGGGAACCTGCTGCCAGACTTGTTGGTACTTGTCTTGTTCCAGCTCATGTGAACTCTGGGGACCAGTTTGACAATCCAGGGCCTCAAAGGCGGCAAGCTGCCCAAGAACACCGCTGTGAGAAGCTCAATCAAGGACCAAATGATAACATCGACGTTGTCCCCTGCAGCTATCAGCGGAGGTCTCGTGTTCGAAAAACGAGAAGCTTACATGTCGAGTCAAATGTGTTGGCAAACATCACCATGTATTTCAGCCGGATCATACTCGTTACAGCCGCACTGCCGCCAGTCAGTCTAGCATCTCGTTAACACCTCAGGATCACTTACAAAGAGCCAATGGCAAACATCGCAGATAAGAGAACCCGCTGTCGTTGCGTGACCTGAAGCTTGCGGAGTTCCGTGATTGGTAACAGCATCAGGAAGAGATCTTCGCCTATGCTCAGCCCGGCGCCGACGTATCCTACCACGGTAACGTCAACACATCGGCCCGTAATTGTCTTGTCCCATATTGAGTGTACCGGCCAGCACTGAAAGGCAATAACCATGATGAAGATCAGGCCGTGGCCTAACATGAAGGCGATGAATATCTGCAGGGTCAGACGAATCCATCTTGCTGGAAACAGGCGGATAAACAGCAACGAAATAGACACCTTGGCCAGAAGCTGGATGGCGATGTAGAGGATCTGGGCGACGTAGAAAAGCTGTAGCAGTATCGGCCCATCACTAGCACTGATGTTCCAGTAGTGGTTTCCGAATCCCATCTTCGAGCTGATGTATTCCATGGCCGCCAGTCCGGCGAGTAAGATCATTCCCAGCAGCGCTGTCCAATCGTCGAGCCACAGCTTCTTGGTGAACTGCAGACGCGCAGCACACCGCGCTAGCACAATAGGGACGGCCAGGGCCATGGTTACTATAGAGGCGATCTGGACATCGCGTGTTCTCGACTCTTTTGGATAGGCTGCGCATAGTGAACTCGCCGAGCTACTTGCGAGTACTTGGTCCCTGTAGGAACACGATGTCTGGATGCAATTCGACAGCCTGGTGAGCAATGTCGTGTTCCGGCAGACACAATCACTCAACGATGACACATCTGTCATGGAGCATTTCGCCGTGCTCAAGTCCTCGATGACGCAAGGAAGCTATTCACACAAAGTCAGGCCCACCCGAATTAGAGACCGGAGTCTGAACACTTACGGCGCACCTTGGTATGGACGCTATGACCTCTGATGCTGTCGTTGCTCTTACCACCTGGGCACAAGTCACCACCCACAGCATCACCGCGAAGCCGACTAGGCGCACCTGTCGCGTCATTTCGATTACTGGTCAGACGGTGCAGATATATGTGTGGCTCAGGAGTGTAACAAGGCGAAGAAGTCGAAGTTTCTAACGAATGACAGAGATGCGAGCCTGCGACTTGGTAAATGGCCACCAGGACATCATTTCATAACCCATCCTTCCTTCTCGCTTGCTGATCCATCAGTGGGAAACCTTCGTCCCTTATATCGGACGGACGATGCCTTGGACAAGCACACTGGCACCTTCACTACTTTCGTCCAAGGCACTTCCATAGTCGTTAGTTAGCGCACGCCATAGGTCTGTGCAGCACCCAAAGGGTCTTGGTCGGCCTATGCGGTAGAGGGCGATCATGGCCATCCGTGCGCTGTGATAACAAGAAGGTGCTGGCGTGTGCGCCGCTACTACCTAACGCCATGGAATGCATCCTGTAGGTCGAGAGGCAAAACAGCCCATACATATATTCAGCTTTGCCCCATGCTCTCAGCTGTGCTGAGTATTATCCACAGTCACTGCCGGTACAAATACCTTTCCAGATGATGCGGCTCGTAGGGTCGAGACACTCGACGATTAACAGCAGTATTGACACGCACACGGCAAGCTATAGATCGGCGGGTTCGAACCTACATTATGTATGCGGTGCTCAGTTCCATTGCCAAAGCCGGCAGGCGACATGGGGGATTGGGACGAGGAAACATAACTGTTCGGAGGGTGCAGGACCTGTACGAGTCGACTGTCGAGTCGAAGGTGAATTTGTTATAATCTGACGATCCAGGCGAACTCTATCTTAATCGGTCGCCCTGTACTATACATGCAGGGTTTAGACTCGTGCGTTTCAGGAACATCCCGACTTTACCTCAAATGTCCGGAACCGGCATTAGTGTACAAGATTTCGCTAGAGCGTTCTGGATACGGATCCGTACTTGACACGATGGTCCTCTCATCAATCGCGGTCGAGGAAGGAGTACATGAGTCTCGAGTAAGGTTATACCGTGCGCTGCCAGAGTATTTCGCATCCCGGCAGTGCACATTCAAATACCGAACGTAACCGCAAGGAAAGGCAGCAACAATGTCACCTTGTGGACCGTTCCTGGTGTTGCGTGACGCTGGGGTGGTGTGCTCGTTCTTGGCATCTAGACTAATCACGAAAATGTCAAAGCGTTTCAGGTCCGCAAGATATGTGTCTCGGACACCATACATAACTTTAACCCACAAGGCTTTGCGGATCAGGGTTGCAGATCAGCTCGATAGGCTCAGTTGCCGATACGCCCAGGCCGCACGTGTCGATCACTAACCTGTGGCTTGCAGCTCAAGTTATCGTCTAAGTTAAATCAGTAATTTGCATTTACACGTTGTCGACCGGCCATTGCTGCGTCTAGGCGGCAGCGATTGTGAGACATACAGCTCTGACATTTATGGCACTTAGGCACACTGGGAGACGATGCTAGCAGGTCTAGCTCACAGCCACTATTCCTGACAGGCAAAGCGTTGCGAGTAGAGTTTTGCGCCAGCCCGTGACAAACTCCATGTCAGTTACGGTATGAATCATTTTATTCGTGTCCCTCCAGTGGCAGTTATCAGCGCTATGATACCGTACTTTAATTGAGCAATGGAGGCTTCTCTTCTGCCCAATAAGAACGTTATTTATTCTGCAGTAGAGTCTTGCTGTGATCACCGAGTCATCCGCAGTTCGCTGCACACCTTAACCAAGTTTGCTTCTACCGACAAATCGTGTCCCAGGTTTTCGGGTCTTCCTCGTCTCTGTCGTGGCACGCACGCGCCGGCATCGTCCCAAAGTTCCGGCCAGCAAAACCATCATCTGACTGTACCATGTGCCGTATTAAGCACGATCTTATAGGCCTGCTTGAATGTTATCTTGATCGTACCAACATGCAGCCATGAGCTTGTACTCGAGCAACTCGCTTTACTTACCTGGCGACGTCTAACCGATGGTAGCCACCGTCGACGATATCTACCTGTGCGCACCAGCGAACCATTGCCGGATTGGTGGCCAGATTTCCTAACCGTCGCCTGCTGTTCGCATGTCTAAATCCTTCTACGCCAGGTATGGACGTAGAAGCCTTTCGTGCTAGCTATCGGAGTACAGGCGCTCTCGTTTCACCAGCAGCATCATCGGCGACCCGGTACCTGCGCGAGACACTTTCCCACCACAACACAAGACGGCGTAAGCTCTTCCGCAGACATCGCGGGCCATTGGACTGTGTTTGTGTTGCGAGTCCGGATTGACTGTGTCTTACATGTGTAGGTGTGTACCCCGGATGGGGGGCGCCGTTGGTCGCTGAACACTCCTAAATGAGGGGCTCTGACCCGCTGTGGTCTTCATCTTGAGGCAGCCGACGCCATCAGCCCTTGTCCCGCCTTGGATGCACCCTCGTTTGAGCTAAAGAAGCGATTAGCTGACTGAACATACTAAGATGGTTATATTGTACGTATGGAACCCAGTTCTACACAGCCGCAGAGGAATTGCTATGCGATGTTGAATATCAAATATCGGCGATCTTGCCCACTCGTCCCGGAGACGCCCCTATGAATTTCTGGTGACACGTAAAGTTAGCGTCTTCGGGGACCACTTAATTACTTAGTAGAACGTCACGACTACAGTGTGTGGACAAGCGCATAGGTTCTGCAAGCCAACATCTCGTATTCGCCCAGCACCAACTGTAACGAGGTGTGATCAACTTTACGGAATAACTGGACATGCCTATCATTTCCCCAGAGTCAATTGTACGCCGCAATGAGTTTAGACGGTATCGCTCTTTTTGTAGCAAATGGTCAGATTGGCCAAAAGATACGGAGCGCACTGCCTGACCACAAAGAATGCTCAGGTTCGCTACTTATTCTGCCTGGATCAGAGCGAGGGCTCTCATTTCATGGAGGAAATTTTGCAGATCGGGTATCTGTGGTGACCTTCGACATCGATGATCCCCAGAAGGAACAGATGACCGCGGAACGAAGAGGCAGTGGGGCATCTAGCAACCGAGGAGGGATAAGATAAGCTTCACGATGAAAAGGCCACGGAAGACTTTTACGACCATGATCAGAAACCAGCAAAGTGTCGTGGACGCAAGAAGGAGGTTCGAAATACGTTCTTCACATGATCGAAAACTCGGAAGCTCAGGCAGACTTCACACTCGTTGGAGACTTCGCTGCATGTTTCGTGACTACACTCTAGGAGCCTGAGAAGTCTGAAAACAAGTACTTGAACATTGCAAGCGACACTATTTCTCACAACCAGACTAACAAACTGTTGGAGAGGTGCGCCGATAATCCAGCGGAGAAAGGTGTCCTCCCGCCTGACGAGTTGCACCGCGTAGTGGCAGACCCCTCTCAGGCGCCACCACATCTCGCCGAAGCTCAATCATCATTCCCGATGGACTTCTGGTTCCCGTCGAAGGGCATGCAGGAGCAAGGGAGGTTCAGAAATCACCAAGTCGGCATCGCGATAACATCTTCCCAGCTGTCAAGCGGACGAGATTCGAGGATTATTTTATCTCCAAGTTTGGTGATTGCCGGAAGCGGAAAGCAAGCTCGGCTTAACGATCTTGAGCCGGAGCAGACACCGGTGCACGCTGACAGGGACAATAACCATTGGACGGAAATGTATGGAAATGTCAATAATTAGACCCCCTCGGATCCCGGAGGATGAACGTCAGGTCAGTAATGCCGAAGCATCAGTAGGGGACCGTATCCCAGAATGGACCATCGATCAGTCAGCGCCAGGATCATCAGTAACGCGCGAGATGTGACTTGTGTTACAAGCATGGGATTTAATCGACGCTATCGACGGAATGGTGCAAAATCAATTGAGGAATACGAAGAGGCAGTGCAGTCCCCGCCGAGACCAAGTAATCCTCCCGTCTGCAGCCCTATGGGATCACGGCTGAAACCGTCTGACTCATCCACGTTTCGCACAGCCCAGCGCTGAATATAGTCAATTCAGACTTCATCCAACCAGCAAATTATGTACCGCCAAGTAAGCCATCTGTCATCGTGCCCTGTGTACGCTCACCCGCAGCTTGGACTTTCCCATGATCGTGTGTCAGACGAAGTGGAGAAGTGGTTATGCAGCATAATCACCCCGTTCGAGTTCCACTCGACCCGACGATCGTTAGCGATTCATCTTTCTCATCGTTCGCATCATCAATGCCGTTCTGCGTAGCACTCAACGTACCAGCAACAGGGGTCAGGCTGGGCGTCGCGAGGTGACACGCGCCGATGTATGCAAGAACGGCACCACCAACGAAGTAGAACGCAAAGATGGCCCCAGAAAAAGCAGCGTATGAGATCTTCGCAGCATCAACGCCGAAGCATATTGCCTCCCCAGCGGCCAGGAATCCTCGCTGGACGCCCATGTAGTGGCCGATCGTGCCTCGCGGAATATCCAGGTTCCCGATGAACCATGGCACGAGATATTGCCACATGATTGAGGCTGTCCAGTTCATGACAAACAGCACCATGGCCGGTCCAAATTCACGCTCAGTCCAGTCGACGGGCTGGCCATGCGCGTTGCCACGATCGAGGCTTCCCGTTCGGACAATCTCCCAGAGCCACGCCGCCGACAATGGAATGGCAACGAATGCCAGGCCACTCAGCGCGCGCCTTCGCTTCGACCATCCTGCATTGTCGAGGATCAGGTGCAGGGCGTGGCCAAAGGGGATCTGGACCACCAGTGCGATGAAGGACAATAGAGACCGCGCCCGGAGGTTGTTCTCAAAAGCATTGACCGAACCGAGATAGACCAAGAAGGATCCGGCAGGAAGAAAGGCGGGAAGCATGAGGAGGAGCTTCCAGTCTTTGAAGACGCTCAAGTTGGCTCTGATCTCGGCTGCAAAGTCACGCCTCTCTTGTACCGCAACATCCTTGCCTGTCGCGTCCCTCACCTCGGTCGGTCGCCGGAGGGTGACAAGTGAGAGCAGAGCCACGATCAGCATCAAGGCTATGTAGGTCACATACACCGCAGTGGAGACACCGGCCCGGGTATCGTTATCTCGGTTGAGTACGACAGGAAGGATGCTGCATACGATAGACCCGGCGGCCTGTAACGTGTTCTGGATGGCGATGAACTTTCCCTTGTTCTTATCGTTAGAGTAAGCCACTTGGATGTAGCCTGATGTGACGAAAACAGCTCCTGCACCAACGCCGATGACCGCTCCACCTACCAGAGGAAATACTTGGTGTCCGGTAACTTCATAGTGCCAGAGAGACCCCACGTACAGGGCATACGTGCATATTCCAAAGCACATGGTCACGCCCGGACCCAGGATGTTGAGGTACGTGCCGCCTACACATGCCGACAAGAACCATACCGATGAGAGTATCGCATTGGCAGTCTGTATGACGTGGGAGGACTCAGGGCGACCACCACCCGCGCCAAGCAGGTTGAGCGAAACAAAAACTCCCGCGGAGAAGGCGATACTGATACCCGCGACTGCATTCTGCACGGCAGGGCTGCTGACGTGGGCACGAAGATGCTGCAGGTGCGAGGTTTGACTCATCTTTCGAGCGAGGGACTCAGAGAGTCAGATTTTGGCGCCTGAGCGAAATTCACCGTGTCACAAGCTGTGGCGTACTGCGTATGTAGTGACAGATATTCGCTTTCGAAGCAATGTCGGTCAAGCGGTTCTGGTATGGATCGACATGAACATGGGATCGAGTCCCGAGAAACAGACGAGAAACAGAGGACATGCGCTCATTAATCACAGTTCACCCGACTTTCAAGCTCAATCAATCGCCTACGCCGAGTGCATAGCTAATAGACAAAAGTCCTTTGCAGGCTGTTCGAGGTGGATAGTAACCTCTGATGAGACGTAACGTCTCGTCTCGGTTACAAATTTTATCAGCAGGGCCATCTACGTTACAAAGCATAACATGATGTAAATCGTAGACGGAATGAACTAAAGTGAACGTTCCGAAGCGGCAGGGATTGGCTCGGGTCGGGCTTAGGCCACTGTATAGAAATACTGATCGTGCATATGGCCGAGGCTCCACATAATCAACGCGCTGTGCCGCTCGCTTGCCGCTCAAAGAGACGGACCGCTCGGCCCTACCATTGTGAATTATATCCAGCACAAAACCCAAGCTAAATGTAGCACAGGAAGCCGTGCGACGAGGGCACCTCTTGATCGCTGCCACGTTCTATCGACAATCCGGACGAATTACATTGAAAAGTGTTGTAATTGGCATTCCAGCGGCAGTTCCGCGTGGTTTTCATATGGCCACACATGGAACCAGACCGGTCAGCCAACCATGTAGGAAAACTCAGTAGACTGAGGTGCATGGGCAGTAAGCACGAAAAGGAAGCCCCTGCAGCAAACCCACAACCCTGGGTGTATTTCTCAACCAGGCTGCTGGCATATGTGGCGTTAGTCATCAGAGCTGGTGTGTCAGCAGCCATGTGAAATGAAGCATAATTAGCTCAGCACTACCCACGTGCAAGTGGACACTAGATATAATTATGTAGTGTAATCACGACCGACAAGGCTGAGGCGCAGCGAAAACGTTTCTGACATATTGCAGCACGTAAGTGACACTGTGAGGGGGTTCGTTCAATGATATGAAAACACCACGATATTCCCCTTGGTAAGAAACCAAGGACGGGACACCCGACGGTCCAACTCAGTCATAGCTTCGCTAACCCGGACGCTCAGGAATATGTCTGCGCCACACACCTTCGGCCCGTAGGCTCTAACTATGGAAATATCTAGACTCATGATATCACTAAGGGGAAGAGCAGCGAGACCCGTAGCCCTATACTTGGTAATGTGAGGGATTCTACGATCCACCATGTCAGATACCAGCACCGGAACATCGCGCTGCCATGCAGGGCCCTCCTGCCACCAGGTCGCCGACCTCACAAGGCATAAACTTCATCGTTATATAACGATGAAACAACCGCCGGCTTGGTGGCAAGTCCTTGAACAAACCAAAAGCATTCAGAGCGGCAAGATCCATAACTGCTCCGAGAACTCTCCACAAAAACAGCCCATACTATCTGTTGATTTCTTTCACATCGATCAAACCCAACCCCGGAGGCCATGGAGCAAACCCTAGCCCCTGGCATCGTTGTGCTCAACAAAAAATACTTCCCTAGGGACGCCCTAAGTGCGGCTCAAGTCGGTGCAAGCGCCTTTACTTTCTCCGTCTTACGTATCCTCCTCGAGGCTAAGATCCTATCCCGTGTAGTCCTCTACTCCCGGAACGAGAACATTACCACTCCCTACTACCAAGTCGAGCAAGATTGGCAGGGTGTCCCGGTCGTGACTGTCTATTTCCACTTCCGCATGACGAAGTCAACCGTCGCTCAGGTACTGAGCGGAGCATTTGAGTACATGTCCTCTCGGGGAAGAAATATCTCCCCGCCGATTGTCTATTACCAGACGGACACGCTGCTCCAATACCACCCCCAGGGCTATCAGTTCTGTGTTACCCACCACGGACCGTTTGTATCCCACTTCACGGAGCAGTTCTCGTCAGAACTCGCCAGGCTTGCGTTTGGAGGCGATGCAAACAAGGTTGACGTTCTTGAACAACAGCAGAGGACCGGGATCCGACGTCTGTTGCAAGACAACCTCGGCACCGTTCTGGCCCACTCGGGGCTCCAGCAACGGGTACTCAAGGATGAAGGGCTGGCAGCGGGCCGCTTCAAGCGTCTCCGCCCCCCGATCGGCGTACCTCCCCTCCAGGATCCGGCCATCCTACCCCAACGGATACAAAAGTTCGTCGCATCGTCCGAGATCTTGCTCTACACCGCCGTCGCACGACTCGATTACTTCAAGAACGTCGAGCTACTGGTAGAATCAGGTCTCGAGCTCCTGCGCAGGGGTCTGCCGGTCAAGGTGCTGATCGTGGGAGACCCCGAGGGCGACGACGGCCGTCGGCAAGCTCTGCTGTGCTCCGTACCGGCAGATTTGCGAAGCCACTTCCTGATCCTGCCACGTCTCTCCAAAGATCATCTCTACGCTCTGTTCGCCGCAACGCGCCACAACGGCGTCTTCCTGTGCCCGTCGCGCTATGAGACGCTAGGCATCACGCCGCTCGAGGCAGCAGCCGCCGGCGTGACGACCCTCATGACGGAGACACCCAACGTCGAGGCCCTGGCGTTCATGCCTTCGCTGTGCCGCGTAGCTCAGGATTCTAGAAGCATAGCCGCCAGGGTCGAGAGGATCCACTACGACGGCGTTCCGATCTGGGCCGAGATCGTCGAGTCCTACGTGCGTCCCCGGACCTCGCTCGACGGCTTCAGGGAAGACCTGCTCAGAGCCTGGGCGGACATGTCCAAGTCCGGTGTGCGCGCTGGTGTCGCAACACGCCGGGGCGCCGTGTCGGGCTCGACGCGCATAAGGCGGCCGATCCTGACCACCATGGTACCGGGGAATAGCCTTTGGGGCATGCTGGTACATTCACCCTTGTCGCCCATCTCGATGGGCATCGCGATCTAGCGCCGTCCTGCACTGCGACACTGGGTTTTTTTTTTCTCCCCCTGCATCACGTCTTCACTCATCACATCACATCATACCATACCATATCATCGGTGTCGGTTTTTGGGCATAGAGACCTTTTATTCTCATGTTACGTCGCATCATGGTCGGAGGGCGTTCGGAGTCTCTGCTTTGGGAAAAGCCGTTGACGGCGGAAGCGATTGGATCGGGGTTTGCCTTTGCATGGGGCACATCGGGAATGGGCATCACTGGCGTTAACCAGCAGCATTGAATTGTTAATTTACATTCTAGTTCGTTTTAAGCTCCATGATTTTACAAGTGAAGTTTGCCGATCTGAAAGGATTGTTTGATCCAGCTGCACGATGAACAGGGTCCAAGTTGGTAGCAAGTGTACGTACGCAAGCTTTGTTGCGAGTGGTGGTCATGCCCCCAAGCAGGACTCATACCTACCCTGCTGTGTCCTCAACGCCGCCGTGGAGCAGGTGCCAATCCGTGGTTGTTGTGCTAAAGCACTAAAATCTTACACTTGTAGGGGACTCCGGGCGGTCTTTGGTCGAATTTAGCGAGCGAGGTTACTGCAGGACTGGTGCTCACCTTTTATATTTGATTCAGAAAACCACCAACTTCCAAGATGCCCAGCAAAAAGTCTTCTACCAAGTTTTGACTCAAGGGGAAAACGCGCCCGTGTAGTACCCAGTCATGGTCTCCCGTTCGGCATCGTAATACGACGGCGCACTCATGGCCTACCTTGTCGAAACCCACGATTGGGCGAGCGTGGATGATGGGAACCAAGGGAGAAAGCACCTCCAAGCCGAGATTTGTCAGCTCGCCCGATTGTATCTACACCCGCTGCCGTGTTATCAGGTCTTTGACGAGTCTTCAACCGGATCTCGGAATGACAAGATCATCATCACGGCTCGAGAAGATGGAACCCTGAGGGGCTTCACATCAGCATTATACCTATCGGTGGCCGGTATGGAAAGCCCAATACTGCATACGGGCATAACTGTCATCCACGAACAACATCGAAGGGCCTCGGTGAAAAAGCTTCTTTTCGCGAGACTATTCACACATGTTTTGCAGAGTTTTCCCCGAGGGATCTGGCTTTCAAGCCTAGCCGAGGTCATCACCTCACTCGTGCATGTTGGCAAGTACGTAGGGGATGTGTATCCATCTCCTTCCTGGGAGGCAGCACACGGCAAGCATAGCCCGTCTGATCAACACCTACGTATTGCAAGAGCTATTGATAGGAATTACCGTCCGATAATGAACATCTCCCCAGCAGCTGGGTTCGATGAGCACGAGTTCGTATTTCGAGGCTCCAACGATTGGTGTGGTGGCCGGGCTTTCATGAAAGATGTCGCTGATGTCACAAATAAGCACCAAGATCACCAGGCCACTCTGTTCTTCGAGCGACTCTTTCGGCCCAATGCTGGCGACGAGGTACTGCAGATCGGGTTTCTCACCGTCGGCATGCTGATGGCGGCGGCTGGTGCGGAGGAAGCCGCCGTCCAGAAAATTGCCACTACTCGGCTATCCAAGTTGTAACGTCAAACCCTTGCCCAACATGGTGCCCGGCACGTGTGGCTGGATCGGCCGTATCTGGAATATCAAGAGCGAATCGTAGCAGGCTTTGCGGATTAATTAACTATAAAGGTCGGAAGATATAATCGTTGGATGTGGAGATGTGCATGAGGAGTATGTGAGAAAAAACCGACACTCGTCCGTCCATCGGCGATCGGACCAGCAAGCCAGACATCGATGGTTTCTGCGACGTACTTTGTAATAATTATGTATTTTAAAAGCTTCGATTTACATGTCTACTCAATTGACCAAAACAAGAGCAAGGAAACCGTCTAGCTTCCGCGGTTGGGCCCCTTCGTTCCAAAAACACATGGACGTTTAATACCTCGACAACGTTAAATGTTAACTCGCGAGCTTATAGAACATTTATTTTCATTGTCGTCTGCTCATCCGGGCCCTTGCACTACATCACAAACCCTGAATGAGCCATTTCCACGTTTTAACTCACATAGCATGCCTCAATGCCTCACTGCCGGTGAGTCACGGCCGACCAGCTGTCTGTGAGTCACTGCCACCCTTCTGAAAGCGTCGGATATGCATCTGCGCACGAGGCAAAAATAAGTAGACCATTTCCAAATATATATGAGGCGAGGTCTTCAACACAATCCAGGCTGACAGAAGGTATCGGTTTGCTTTTAGTAAATCCAGCATGGCCGCTGCAGTTGACGGCAACACAAGTGCCACAGAAGAACCCGCATCGCAACCAGCCGAATTCCCGGACGCGAGAGACGACAGCGACTTGGGCGACCCCCAAGACCCCGACGATTCAGATTACTATGACAGCACTCACGTTTTCCACTACCAGGGTCTATACAGCTTGATCGAGTCGCACAACAGACCATATGTCTCGGACACTCGAGATGCAGCCCCGTACAACGACATCCCGACGCGATCCCAGCACAATGCCATGCAGAGGGCGGCATGGCGCGAGCTGGAAAACCAGGCGCTGGTGGATCCCTCAATACCGGAGGCATTATTCAACCCACCAAGAACTTCCGTGAGGGTTCTGGTGGCCGCATGGCCGCGACGTCAACACTTTTGCTGTGCATGCGACCTGCCGGAGGATTTGCCCACCGTCGTCGTGAGAGCACCAGCAGGCTCGGAGACTGGCGTCACCAAGGGTCTACTATTGCAGAAGCTCGGCGAAGCTCTGTACGGGCGGGATGCTGCCACGGCACAATTAGGAGGAGAACAAGAAAACACTGATGATGGTCATGTCATTGGCCAGGAGACGGATCGCCCCGTCGTTCAACATTTCACACATATGGAGCGGGACTCTTATCTTCTTGGTCACATATTTGCTTTGACCAAAGGGATACAGGAGCTGGACGATATGGAGTGATTGGAATACCTGTACAATCGTGCCGATCAAAGGTCAATCCTATAGTGTAGACAGATGGCTGCTCTGCAGCTAATTATCAAGTAGATCGACAACGGCCACAGTTATACTCGGATCCTTCGACATACTGATGTCCTATCATGTCCATACATTGATACGATGTGCAATAGCTCTCACACCTCATTGAGTCGATGCCATACCTCCCAAAACCGCCCAGACTCTCCCGAATAGCCTCGTAGCTGCTCCGAAATGGCTTCGTAGCTGCTTAGCTAGCGATGAATGAATTGAGCTTGAGGATCGCAATGCGGGAATGCAGGCATACAAGGGAGCCACAATGTACACTACTTTGTCGCCTTGTGATATGTGTAAGTCCGGTTCGAAACGAACAAACGGGTGATTTTGTGAACCAGATTCTTATCAAAGTTCTTCAGGTACCGGCGCGTGCCTTCTCTTCGGTATTCCACGCGTGGTTGTCGGCGAGAACAAGAGTTGGCTTGGTGGCGAGGAATACCTGAAGAAAAGGGGAGTCGAAGTTGTCGTCATGGATGATAAGAATTGCATCGAGCTGATGGAAAAGTTCATACGAGAGAAGCCCGATATTTGGTAAGTCGAAAGATGAGAGACAAAAACATCTAAGAAATGCCTCTGCCGGATGACACAAGACAGATGGAGGAGCATCCATTGAAACATGTTCAGCAGAACCTAGAGCGTGATTTGCTACCAAAGTCATATGGACTTCCTGGTCGGAGCGTGTGTTCGCGACCAGGCCGTGATTACCAGCCAGGCATCATCTACCACACCAGGATAGAACACGCTGTCCGTGCTATCAACAGGTTGGGCGTTAGAAACGGGCGCGTTACGGTTTTTATTCTTCTCCTCGTCCTTCGCGCTCGTCGTCAAGACTCTCGGGATCGTCAAACCCGAGAGAAGCCAAACCGTGCTCGGCGAGGCAGTCTGGATTGTAAATGTGGCTAGATAGGAAGAGAGAGTTGACAGGATGACAGTCATACAAGTTGTGGCAAGCATGGCATATTAACACACGGTCCTTGCCTTCCATGGTGGACTTGACGCGAGAATGCAGCGAGTTGGAGGATAAAATTGTGAGCTGTTGACCTGTATCGAAGGTAATAGTAGAAAAACGTGAATATACATGGTCTTCTGCGAAGAGCCCTGCATGAAAACATTCCGCGGAGAAAGCCCTCCCTTACGAATGAATGCGCATATTGAGCCAAATGACCTTAGCGACTGGTCACGCAGGAGGTATAGCCTCGAGATATCTCTCAATCCACAAAGTGCTCCTAGTCTTGGAGTAGTGTTGTGGTGTGGAGGGACCACCATGCGCAAAGACAGTCTGACAGGGTAATCTCACAAACATATATCATGTATAGACGTTTGAGGTTGTGCTGTCACCTATGTTAAATCCCTCGGTAACGGTAAAAGAGAAAGAAAAAAAAAATAAAAGAAAAATAGCACCACTTATTTCTCCTCTCTTGCGCAGGACGAGATTTCTGCGACATCCTGCATTGGTGAACTCCAGATTCTATAGAGTTGGGTATACTTTTCACGGCTCTGACAGCGCCGATGCTCGTGACTGGCCTCGCCTGCTCATACGGATCTGTATCATTGGGGAGAACACCGTCGGGGTCGATACCCTCACTTGATAGATCTCTCGTTATGGAGACGCCATGAGCCGAAATACTTATACCATCACAGAGAGGCAACCGACTGCGCCGGTAGGCTCTTTGGCGCTCAAACACTTATTTGACTGGGAACCGCCTGGAACCCGTTGAAGATGGCCGCGGCCCTACGGTCTCTCGTTCAGGATCCACTCGTTCTACAAAGTAGGCGCTAGGATCCGTCCCACTTGGCTTCACGCGCTAAGCCCCCGGAATTTTAATTCTGTTTCAGTGGCATTACGGGCTCATTTAGAAGCGACAAGCTTTTCTGTTACAGCTCAGAAGAAAGCTTGACTCGTACGAGTCCTTGGCTCCCCAGAATCGTGGTCTTGCATTCGGCTTGGCGATGCCTGTCATCCAAAAGTCCTCAGCTGTAATCTTATTGGTGGACCTGGTGTTTGCGCATATATGAGACCTCCGCCGCCCCGTTTCCGTGAACAGGCATAGCACACCACCATATCGCCTGGAGCGACCCGTAATCGTGTTGTCGAGATTAGTGTATTGTTAAATTACTTGACGTACAGAATGTGCCGCCACCAACGGGAGTTGACGGCGATGAGGTTCTGGCCCTGGTGCAGCTACCATCTCTAATCCCATTCCGCGCTGGACGTGGTCCCATAGCCGTTGGTGGAGGCACATGGTCTCCACAGTTATCCAGTACCATGGCATCTAGCACCGAGCCCCTTGGTTCTATTCAATCCGGAACAATGGGCCAGGGTTGAGCAACGCCATACGGCAATCGCGTGGATATCCAACATTAAACCTTACGTATTCGTACATGGTAGAAGGGATGGGGATGGATTCTCAAGGATGTAGGCTGTGGCATCAAGAAAGGATGGCAAGGGATATATATAATCCCAAACCCACGATCTCAAGTGGACGTCGGAGGCTACTCGACAACTGCACCGGTTTGCAACTATTTCAATATATTCATACTCTCTTTTATAGCAGGCCTATTGATTCGTTCACTCGCTCAAGCCGTTCTAACAGACCTCACAATGAAGCTCTCAGTCGCAGTACTCAACGCTCTGTTCGTCGCGGCACTGGCTGCGCCGGCGCCCGGTTCAGCACCACGCTCCAACACCAAGGCGCGTCTTGATGCTCGTAGGGCCGCTGCTCGTGGCCACCAGAAAAGCCACCATCACGACTCGGGGTCTTCTTCGTCCCGGTTGCCCTCCGCTTTCCCATCCGCCCTCCCTTCCGGATCCCCATCACCAGTCCGCTCGTCCGCTGCCGTCTCAGCACCATCCTCCACTGCTGCACCCACTTCCTCTTCGAGCGCCACCGCCTCTCATTCCACGTCCAAGCAAGCGTCTTCGGATGTCGACTACAACGAAAGCTGGGCCGGCTCGGTCGTGACCGGTACTGGTATGACCGGTGTTTCTGCTACATTCGAGGTCCCAACACCCAAGATCCCTACCGACGGCCAGACCTCGGCCACTGAGCACACTGCTTCCGTGTGGATCGGCATGGACGGCTACGTAAGTCGTTCTGAGGTATAAAAACACCGCCTTCTCGTGCGCTGACGTTGAAACGTGACAGAACTGCGACGGCGGTCTCTGGCAGGCCGGCGTCGATGCCACCATCGACGCGCAGGGCACCTCGTACTACGCCTGGTACGAGTGGTACCCCGAGAACACCGTGGTGGTCGACCTCGGCGACCTGGCGGCCGGTGACTCCATCTCCGTGAACCTGACTTCGTCCGGCGAGTACACGTCCGGCTACATCATCATGGAGAACCAGTCGACGGGCAAGACGTTCACCAAGACCGTCACCGACTCCGACGCCCTGTGCGGCTCTGCCGTCGAGTGGATCATGGAGGACCTGGTTGTTGACGGAAGCGAGAACGGCTTGGCCAACTTTGGCACCGTGACCTTTACCGATGCTGTGGGGACGAGCAAGACCGGCAGCGTCTCGCCCTCGAGTGGCCAGTTGTTGGACATCCAGGACTCTGCTGGAAGTGCCCTGACTGCTTCGTCCACTACCAGCGACACCGTCGTCATCGTCTACCAGTAAGGATGATGGTCGCGCCTGACACCGAGGTCGAGTCTGATTTGTCGAGTCTGATTTGGTGGTTGTAAGATGGGTCCGTTAGGGCCGGTTCTGTTCTCTTGTATATAGTTTCTATCCACATATTCAGAGTTGGAAATTTCTTAATCCAAACCTTTCCGGAAGTATACCCGCTCGTAGGGGCCCTCTGCTCTGCGATCTGTCTCGACGAACCCCAGCTTGGTGTAAAACCCGATGTTCTCGTACATCTTGACATTCGTGAAAAGTGTCAACGCCCCGAGACCCTCTGACCGTGCGACATGCTCAGCATGATCCATGAGCACGCGCCCGAGGCCGCGGCCCTGCGCGGACGGATCGACAACCAGGTTGTTGATCTTGATCGATTGTCCATCATCGGCCACGGCCAAGATGACGGAGCCAAGAAGCGCTTCGCCACCGGCCGAACGGATAACGTACACGTCTTGCGACTCCAGAAGTCCGGCGTAGTCTGCCAGCATGGGTGCTGGCGGATGGCCGATGCGCTCAATGTATTTGGAGTACGCCTCCTTCACGATAGCCTCTATACCTAGGACATCGCCGAGTTTTGCCGGAGCAATTACGACCTCATGTTGCGACGCCATATTTGCCATTGACCTGTCCGTTCGGCTCAACCGAAAGAGGTTCCAGTCAGTAGATACAGATCAACATGGAGAGTGCGTGTGAGTCAGCGAGCAGAAGCGAAGTCGCACTAACGGCTCGGTTAGGTGGGTGGGCACCCCTATTTGAAGAACAAATAAGGTTCATGAACGGCGGCCACTAACGGCCGCGGCCGCTTCTATCTTAGCGTCTATTGGATATCAATTGAGCTGGCAGGATTGTAATTGTTCTTGAATATGGCATATGCCACTATCGCCGCCACCGCTTACGCGTTTTATCATGCTCTACGTGAGCGTACGAATGTCGCTTGCTTTTCCTTCACTGACGGAGTATTTTCATGGTCATTAACTCGGACAGACCCTGGTAGCACACCATTGGTTCATTTGAGCTGCCATTGAAGCCGCATATCTCAATGAGATGGCCCTGTTTTCAACGTGTCTACCAAACGCGCGACGATACGGACGGCGTAGCGTAGCCAAGCTTTTCGGTAGTAGAAAAAGGCACGGGTACACCGATTCTGGGGGCACCTTTCATCGCTGCCATGTGATAATGTCCACAGTACTCGTTATCTTCGACTTCGTGGGGGGTGTTGCCAATGCGGAGTTCCGACAGACGAGGTGGACGAATGATCCATGCTAAGGCTAGTGCAGTGGATGGCAGCGGGGTGAAATGGTTCGATGTTCGCTCTGGAATGGCATACTATGTATACGCAGAACCCAAGTTTTCAACGCCACGGCGAGGGACTTCGGGCTACCATTTAGTGGCTTCTAGAGAATCGATAGGTCTAAGCCGAGGAAACGACATGCCCTGGATCTTGTTCCGGTCGAAGTAACGATCGCAAATCCCCGCGTGTGCTCGACGACGAACTGCCGAACCGGCAAACGAGGTCCACGGGATGGACCCAGAGGATTTTAGTGGGTGTTCCCACCTCGCCGAGACGAGGGTAGAGATGGTATGACATGCAGATTCAAACTCCGCAGTTTCCTTGCGCAAGGGTTTTGCGTGTCTTATCACACCACCACCACCATCAAGATGGGCAGTCTCCCAGAAACAAAACAGATCCGCGTAGGCATCATGGGCGCCGGCATCGCCGGTTGCTGCCTCGCCATAGGTCTTCTCCAGAACCCCTTGTTGGACGTCCAGGTTTACGAGGGATATTCCACCATCCGGGTTCGTGGCTCTGGCCTCGCCCTCCACGGAAATGCCATCAGAGCCATGGACCTGATCTCACCCGAGATCAAGAAAACCTACTTCGAAAAGTCCCATTACATGTCGAACGAAGAGGACATCGAGATGGTGACGCAGTTCATACTCGCGAGTGGCGAGCACGCCGGTACAGTCGTGGCGGAGCTCGGTCGGGCGAAGGGCAGAAGGACCGTCCACCGTGCACATTTCATCCAGGGGCTGCTGGACGATGCCATACCCACGGATCGCGCGCATTTCAGCAAGCGGGTCGAGAGCATCGCAGAGTGCTCGGGCGCGGGCTTGGTCCACGTGCGCTTCGAGGATGGCTCCCGCGAGACCTTCGACGTCGTCTTTGGGGCCGAAGGCGTGTACAGCCCAACGAGGAGGTTCATCGTCGGCCCCGGGCACCCGGCCGCGAACCCCGTGAACCATGATCAGTGGCGACAATTTCATGTCCTGGTACCTATGGAAGAGGCCAAGAAGGTCGTACCGAAGGAATCCATTGAAACGGTCAGGTCTTTCTGCACGCCCGTCGGCTTTGTCAACGGCATACCCGTCGATCTGGGGAGGACCTACAGCATTGGCTGCTACCAGCGAGACAACAAGTGCCGGGCAGAGGGGGCAGCGTTCGATGCGGAGCTCTGGAAAGGATACATGCCAGAGGTGGACGGTCTCATATCAGTAGGTTATCAGCAGCTGCTTCGCTTCGCAGTCAGAACGTGACGGCAAGTAACCGGCTGCTTGCTGACCTCTTGCTTAGTTCCTCGAGGAGAATCACACAGAAGACTGGCTGCTTCAGGATCATGACCACGCGCCTACTTACTACAGAGGACATGTTGCCATGGTTGGCGACGCGGCTCATGCGACTTATCCACATGCCGGTAATGGCGCAGCACAGGCCATAGAGGACTGCTCCATCCTCACGGGCGTGTTCTCTCGCTTGACGTCGGCTGCCGAGATCGGGCCGGCACTGAAGGCTTTTGATGAGGTCCGCAGACCACGAAGCCAAGCGGTCGTAGACATCACGAGGCGGTTTGGCAGGCTTTACAGCCAAGACCCGGAGGAGATTGACCTCGACTCGATGAGGTCGGAGATGAAGGAGGGCGGGACGTACACCAACGGGGTGGACATGGACGCTCAGGTGAGGAGCGCCGTTGACGCATTTGGGAGATACAAGCAAGCATAGTTCCAGGGCGAGAGTAACGTCACTGGTCTCCTTCTCAGCAAAGGCGGTGCTCAGTGCGATGTCTGGCCGTGAGGCGGCACATGAACATATCATGCGCCTAATTACATCGAATTGGCCTGTCATGGCTTTCTGCCGACTTAGAGTGTCCACCTACACATCTGATGGTCCTCGTCGTATCAGCCTCGGCATTCCGGCTCGACTTGTAGATGGGACATTGCGGGCTCGACGCTCGACTTACGGTGGCTAATTGGGAGTCGAACAAAGCCGTTGCATGCCCATATAAACATAGCCATATCTTTTATTAAAAAACTTTTGTTCCTTTATGTTCTTTTACAAACCTCGCATCGGAAGACGGATTTGTTGTTGCGATCCCGGAGCTTGATGCTGTCAACGCTCGTTCGCATCCCGATAAACCGAGCAGTCGATGCTTGCGCCAACCTCGCTTGCGCTCTTTCTCTCCATGTTAGCCAGCAGACACTGCTTCAAATTGCATCCAGTACCGCAAATCATGATCGAGGGAGTCCTGTTCCAGAGTCACATCCAACCTTTGAATACTGAGAGTCATGAGGTTGGCCGCCATGGTGTCCGAGAGAACGGCACAGATTGCTTGAGTAGTATGAACCTTGGGTGCCGGTCAAGGCGGCGCCATTATGCGACCTCGCGCCCTGCGATGCGCTCGTGAGAGGAGAACCAGAGTCTCTTGTTGAGTTTTGGAGTGCTAAACAGTCTGTAGCGGCCCACAGTGCTCAAGACGCGTTCGGTTATGCTGTGGGTATTTTTCGAAGAGCAAGTGCTAAACAGTCTGTAGCGGCCCACAGTGCTCAAGACGCGTTCGGTTATGCTGTGGGTATTTTTCGAAGAGCATGCCAGCAAGATTAGTATAGGAACTTCAAAAGCACCCACCAATTGTGTGGGTGCTTTGGGATTTGCACCCAAAAGTAGTATGGGTGCTTTGCGAAAAGCATGCTAACAAAATTAATATGGGAATTTCCAAAGCACCCACCAATTGTATGGGTGCTTTGGGATTTGCACCCAAAAGTAGTATGGGTGCTTTGCGAAAAGCATGCCAACAAAATTAATATGGGAATTTTCAAAGCACCCACCAATTGTATGGGTGCTTTGGGATTTGCACCCAAAAGTAGTACGGGTGCTTTGCGAAAAGCATGCTAACAAAATTAATATGGGAATTTTCAAAGCACCCACCAATTGTATGGGTGCTTTGGGATTTGCACCCAAAAGTAGTATGGGTGCTTTTCGAAAAGCACCTATACTAATACTTGTACACAACATTTGATTTGGGCCTGGTAGCGAACGCTTCGCTCAATGGCATTTGAGATGACCCCTCTGGATGATTCTCATGACAGGCAGCCCGAACCACCGCATACTCGAGCCTTCAGCTTGTAAGTTTGTCTTTATGCTTGCCCGACGGCCGACAAACGCACCCGTGTCCGCCCTATAAATGCATTTCTAGACAACTCACTCACTTCGCCTGCATGGCCAATCAAATACAACCCGGGCCTTGAACACACGAAAAGCGAGCGGACCGACGATATGCTCGTTGATAAGCTCGCACAACATGCCGGCGAGCGACGGCGATGGAGTTGGCGAGGCCAACATCACGGTAGAGGGAGACCAGGAAGTCCTCGCTGCTCTCAGGGTGGCCGCAGGGGGCTTCGGACGCCCAAGCTCGCTGTGGTCCGGCCAAGAAATTCCACACTCTGCCGAGTATGTACGCACCACCCGATCCGGAATTTGCAAGAAGACATGTGCAAATGGTTTCTCTATTTCACCTGAGCACTTGCGCAATGAATTCTACCACATCTATTCATAATGTGGCTATAGATTGCCGTGCTATCGACGTCATATAATGCATTCCGCCCAGGGACAGTTCAGGGGTACACTCCACTGACAGCGCCAGAATCACCCAACCACGATGTACTCCTGCTTCTAACCTCGTGCGCATCCGCGGCAGTGCTCGGAGCCAAGTAAAACCCATGTCCCGAAGATTTTATTAGTGTAAATGTGTCTTGGTGATATGGTTCATCATGTAAAATGGTTGTGTGCTGGTGCAGGCGCTTGGCTGCGACGTGCATATCGCTATCTGGTAGCAGAGCCCTGAGGTTAGGGACTCGGGGGATCAGGCCTCAGGGGGTTATAACCTTTAGGTGATTGGGGTTCGCCGTTTGGGGGGGGTTCTGCTGTCCAGGGGCGCGCGGTTCAGGGTTTCATCCACTGATACCGCTGAAGACTGCAGCGGAGAGATGAACTGTTCGCACCGCACATCTTCCCGCTACGGGGGAGGATTGGGCGCAGGCCTGGGCAGCTGAGCACTTGGTCTCTGCGAGTGGCAGCCAGAGAGAGCTTTGGCGCATGGTCCTGCTGGGGATGCGGAACCATGGCCTTTCGTACAATTAGTCGCGGTATCCGGCATGAGGGTTCTGGATGCGCTTACAGCTCGGGATCCGGGGTAGTCGCGCTGCTGGTCGTATAGGACGTGCCAATGGTGGTCGGACACACCCTCTTGTTCAGAACGGATATCGCGCGGGCGTTCAACGTGCCTATAACTCTCTGCTGGTTCAGGGGCGCCAACGCCACTAGAGACCCTCTATCAAAAAGCCGCGATGGCTGCTCCGGCAACGCACGGGCGACCTCGTCCCAGAAAGACAAAGCATGTAGAGGAAGGAAGGAGAAAATCTGATGCATACCGACTTGAAGCGCTCTGATGAGCTATCACGCTATGGTTGCATCTAAATAAGAGTCACCGGCCATGTTTTGCCGAGACGAGAGTCCAGCAAGCACCGGCGCCAAGGCATCCACACACAAATGAGGTGGGTGCTTCTCGCGCATGTCTCGTAATGGGGCAAAGCACCCTCACAAATCCCGATGCGGCCATGTACAACAACCCACACCGGCATGCAAGGATGCAGACGATGCAGTCGTTGTCTGGTGACGGTCGCAAACGTTCCATCAGTGTCTCGAGCATAGTTTGTTGAATGAGAACGTCCGGGCTGCAATTATAGCCCGGCCCTCGTGCCCGAGTCCGAGAGCAGCTTACACGATGGAGGTTTTGCAGGGCATCTTTGCCCCAGAAGCAACACGAATGGGGTGGGGAGTAGTAGGGTGCTTTTGCGGCCAGGCGCACACGACATTCCACCTTGGTCAATGCCGCTCAGTACGGTGATGCACGGTAGGTTGGATAATTATCATGTCGAAATCATATCTGCATACTTCCTGAAACGATACACAACGACGGGGGAGGTTTGTCTCGGTATCAAGGACGCCGCCTGGCAACCTGCAAAGACACCCCTATAGCACCAAGGCGGTTTTGCAGCGTGCTTTTCGGCGACGCACCCCAGACCAGCTCGGCAGGCAGCACGGGTGTTTGCACGATTGTCCAAGACATGAAAATTTCAAACCGCCACAACCTGATAGGAGAGCCGATACGGTATAGGCATGCGGGCCTGCCCATTGATTGGCTACGCTCTCGAGAGCATATCTGACACGATCCCGAGCTGCAAATGGCCGCGCGCGACCGAGAGGGTCGGGCCGTAGCCTGGTAGGGTTGCTTTTGGCCAGCTTCTCGCCCGCAGCGGCAGGCCTTGTACAAGCCGATGCACTTTGTAACTATCGGTAGACACATGTCTCTGCTACTACAAGTAGGCTCGACAAAGATTTACGCACGCGGCGACGGATTGTTGTTGCTACTCGCGAGCGCACACATGGCCCAAGTAGGACTGTGGAAAGCACCCATACTGCCATACTAAATTGGCCGGGTGCTTTCGTGGAGAGCACCCCCACACACAGATATGCCTGCTGCTATGAGCGCCCTACTAAGACGTTGTATAGCCCTACCATAGCGCAACGTCAGAGAGATGACAAGTATGTCGCGGGCAGTTGGTTGAAAGACCTCCGTGTCTCTGATTTCTAAGGCCCTCTTGACTTGACGCGTCTCATCGCGCGAATTGTCGCGCTTGACGATGCAGCCTGTGTGTCAAACCCAAAAGCACCCATACTATCATACAAGTCGGCCGAGTGCTTTTGACGAAAAGTACCCACACAAAAAGTCCGGTGGGGTGGGTGCTGTTAGCTTGGATGCTTTTCGGATCTGGTGAGGAATCCGGGCCGCGTGCAGGTTCCGCAGCCGACGGGCTGAGTGCGCAGGATGATGCACTCTCCAAAGCGACTGGAAAGGAGGCCAGGACGTTACCTGGACGAGTGTAGCCACCCCGCTCGCATCTCGACGGCCAAGAATAGGTAATTCGCATCGATGTGGTAAGCCAATTCGAGATGCCTATAGCGAGTGCTCTGCATTGAAAGCGTCTTCCGTTATGTACCCTCGCGGTCTCGTGGGCAAACATGAGCGCAACATCGACAGGCTAGCCTGCGCAGTGCGATGCGCCCCCTAACCTTAGGTGGCTGCGAGCTCATTCAGGTTGACACGCAACCAGCGTTGGCCATGTTAGCTACAGGCTCATCATCAGATTGGTGTCTCCTCGAACAGATCACGAGACTCACTGCTGCGTCCAACGGCATCGGGCGACCTGGACTACGGGCTGTTGTGAAAATTACTCAACCCCTGACACTGACTGTGCGGGTGCTTTGCGCCAAAAGCACCCATACAAATTCAGCGGCAGTACGGGTGCTTTTAGCGCAAAGCACCCATACAAATTTAGCGGTAGTGCGGGTGCTTTTTGAAAAGCACCTGCATCACCACATAGACTATGCGGGTGCTTTGCGCCAAAAGCACCCATACAAATTCAGCGGCAGTACGGGTGCTTTTGGCGCAAAGCCCCTATACAAATTCAGCGGTAGTGCGGGTGCTTTTTGAAAAGCACCTGCATCACCACATGGACTGTACGGGTGCTTTTGGCGCAAAGCACCCATACAAATTCAGCGGCAGTACGGGTGCTTTTGGCGCAAAGCCCCTATACAAATTCAGCGGTAGTGCGGGTGCTTTTTGAAAAGCACCTGCATCACCACATGGACTGTACGGGTGCTTTGCGCCAAAAGCACCCATACAAATTCAGCGGTAGTGCGGGTGCTTTGCGCCAAAAGCACCCATACAAATTCAGCGGCAGTGCGGGTGCTTTTGGCGCAAAGCCCCTATACAAATTCAGCGGCAGTACGGGTGCTTTTGGGAAAGCACCTGCATCACCACATGGACTGTACGGGTGCTTTTGGCGCAAAGCACCCATACAAATTCAGCGGTAGTGCGGGTGCTTTTTGAAAAGCACCTGCATCACCACATGGACTGTACGGGTGCTTTGCGCCAAAAGCACCCATACAAATTCAGCGGTAGTGCGGGTGCTTTTTGAAAAGCACCTGCATCACCACATAGACTATGCGGGTGCTTTGCATCACCACATGGACTGTACGGGTGCTTTTGGCGCAAAGCACCCATACAAATTCAGCGGCAGTACGGGTGCTTTTGGCGCAAAGCCCCTATACAAATTCAGCGGCAGTGCGGGTGCTTTTGGCGCAAAGCCCCTATACAAATTCAGCGGCAGTACGGGTGCTTTTGGCGCAAAGCACCCATACAAATTCAGCGGCAGTGCTGGTGCTTTTGGGAAAGCACCTGCATCACCACATGGACTGTACGGGTGCTTTGCGCCAAAAGCACCCATACAAATTCAGCGGTAGTGCGGGTGCTTTGCGCCAAAAGCACCCATACAAATTCAGCGGCAGTGCTGGTGCTTTTGGGAAAGCACCTACACTACCATGGTAAATTTGCAGGATGCGTTTGCGGCAAAACACTCACCAGACTTGTCGTGACACAAATTGCATCTCCAAGCCTCTAGAGAGTCTGACATGCATCAGGCCTGTATTTCATCTCTGCGATAATGCTATGTTCTACAGAGGCATTGGGAGCTGGTTGTACTCGTCAGACGAATGACGGTGGGTATGGATGCAACTGTGGCGAGCTGATGCACGGCAGAGCGGAACCGGGCGCTCGCCATCCTCTTGCGATGTTGAAACCGCTCGTGGGAGAGTGGTCACGTTCGTTTCTAGGCGGTGGCGGTGACTCAGTCGACGTGCAGGTCGCGGCTGAAGCTGCTCATGCTGCGTCGACGAAATGCACCGCCGAAGGGGGGGACGTTCTTTCGTGTCTCGTACACGTCCTCGCGCTGGTTCCTGTCGCTCTTGTCTCCGCAATCTTTCCGGTGTCCCTCGCGGGGAGAATAGGGGCAGGCCGAGAACAAAGAAGCATCGCCGAGTCTCTCTTTGACACTTGGCGGACGGCAGCGACAGGGAAGCTCGTGTCGGCCGACGCTGGTGGAGCCGACACGCACCAGATGGGCCAACTGCCGCTGGAGTTCAGTACCAACATGAAGGCCATCGCCGTGGCATGTGTCCTCAGGTTTGAAGGTGGAAGTGTGGCATCTGACTCTTGGCCAATCGCCCGCGGTCGCAACTCTCAACTGGGCTCGGGGCTCGACAGTCTGGCCAGATTCGACGCTGAACTTGTCAGGATGCATATTCATGCCTCCCTTCATGGTACGGTGTACTCGTGTAGACAACTGGCGCTTGGCTTGTATCACTGCGCACCCCGGGAGCCGTCCACCCCCCCCCCCAGACAAGCAAGGCGGTGCGAGGTGACGCAAGGCAGGGACCAAACATGAGAACACGACGAAACTCGCTACACCATGGGCGAGATCAAATGATGAAATAGATTTATGGGGGTCGTGCACTCAGTCATGTTGGACCGGCAAGACTGAAGTCACATGGTGGGATGGGAAGTGTATCGTGTATATCGTAGGAGAATGGTGCAGTCTTAGCTTCATGCGCCCAACATGTTCGCAGGCTCGCAGACTTATACTAACGGATCCACAGACTCTCAAATGCGCGTTCGCGGATTCATAGACTCACAGGCTCGCGGGTTCGCAGACTTTTATATTCGTAGCCTTACCAGCTTGCATATGAATAGACTCGCATGCAGATTCGTAGTTTCGCAGACTCGGACATTCACAGACTTACAGATTTGTTTGCACATTCGCACATTGGCAGACTCGCAGACCTCACACATTCACCGACTCAATCTCCTGGGCCAACAGCTCGCAAACTCCTAGCAGAATGGCATTTACATGACGGGATGATAGTAAGGCCTTAGATACAGAATTCGATTGACGCAAGTTCCAAGCACTGCGCAGCAACTCCGTAGGTCTTCTCAACCGATCTGAAGTGTGACGTGACAGACCAAGAACATTAGGAAGTAAATGCACTTATACTATAAAAGTGTTTTTTTGGTGGGTGCTTTTGAGGCCCCGCCTATTTGGTAGGGTGCTTTCGGGAAAAGCACCCATACAAATTTTGCGGCTAGTGTGGGTGCTTTTGAGGCCACGCCTATTTGGTAGGGTGCTTTCGGGAAAAGCACCCATACAAATTTTGCGGCTAGTGTGGGTGCTTTTGAGGCCCCGCCTATTTGGTAGGGTGCTTTCGGGAAAAGCACCCATACAAATTTTGCGGCTAGTGTGGGTGCTTTTGAGGCCACGCCTATTTGGTAGGGTGCTTTCGGGAAAAGCACCCATACAAATTTTGCGGCTAGTGTGGGTGCTTTTGAGGCCCCGCCTATTTGGTAGGGTGCCTTTGGGAACAGCACCCATACAAATGTGGCGCGTAGTTAACATGGGTGCTTTATGAGTATAACCGCCAAGCCGTAGCGACGGCTCATCGCAACATGGGGTTTTTTAACTTTTGCGCTCGAACGGTGTCGATCTCACCAAATTTCTTGATTCGATAGAGGCATCCAACTTATCTAAATGGGTATTGTTCATCTGGCTCAGCGAAGTTGCAGGCATTTTGGTGTGCCATCTACGTCCTAGCCGATGGCCTCGCTCAGGAGTTCAGAGCTCAAAGGGCTCAGGGGCTCAAGGGCTCGAAGGGCACATTGCACGCATCAAAGCTGGAGCTCAACGCAACGCTCAAATCTTACATTACGCGGTTGTATCTTGCATGTCTCCCGTCGAGAAATCAGTTGGAGCAGTTTTGTTCGGATTGTTCCCGTCTTGCATGATCAGATGCGACCGCGTCGACCGATCGAGATTTGCAGCCTGCATGCTGCGGATGGACCGTCACTGGCATGAGAGGCATGGCACTACAAGTGACCAGCACAAGCGTAACCTGCGGCCCTGAACATTTATGTCGCATGAAAGATGGATTATCATTGCTCCTGTTGGTCCTTCCAGCACATCAGCCGTGCGTTCATCCGATTGGAAGCGTGTGTCCGTGGACGTGACGGTCGTGACTGGCGGCAACCATGGTCTGGCAATTCATAGCGGCGTTGGTGACTCGGCGCTGACTCTGGGTTGTCATCCTGCGCAGCCCCCCCTACGCGGGAGCTGGATGTATATCTCCAAATACGTGATCGACAGAACAGGACCCAGAGCACCCATTCCTTCCAAGAAATTTGAAAGTCCTATCTCTCTTGCGGAAACGCGACCGTGGCAAGCAAGCGGCATACACTGACCGGCGCTCGAGGTGCTGGATCATCTCGATCTATGGTCCCGACATCGACGCGACCACAACCACGCCGCAGATTGCGAAATCAAAGTGATCCATGGTTGTTCATGGTGGAAACAGACCGGAAACGAAGGTTGCAGTCGTTTTCAGAAAGATCGAATCGGTTGTCACGAAATGCGACCGCCGCGAGCTGTGCTGCAGCGCTGGACCTTAGTGGACGATCCCTTGAAGCCACACTTGAGGCCGGCGCGCACCGCACCGTTGCGCGCACTCTCCAGACTCACGACGACATCAATTTTGTCCTGGGAGACAAGAAAAACAGGCGCAATGCCACTTTTCTCATCCCGCGCACGGAGGCGCAAGTGCATTGCCTGCGATTTACATGCTCCGATCCAGACGTTGCACAATAGTTTTGTACACATCACTCCCCCATACTGACCAGGCAGCTGCAAAGCCACCCTCGCATCTATATGGGTGCTTTTCCCATATTGGCGGAATGCCGTAAAAGAACCCACACAAACTGGCCGGCATGGTATAGGAACCGTCAATGCATCCTTCGCGCCTGCATTTAAACGTCCACAATGAGGTCTGATCAACGCACCGTATTGATAACTACCATTCGACTGAACCTGTACGAGATCCTCCGTTTGATGCGCTGTTGGTTACCGGTTTTGGTCGTTGTGTCCTATGAAAAGCACCATCGCGTTTTGGCGGGTGTGGTTTTTTTTTTTTTTTTTTTTTTTTTTCCATACAACAGGATTGGCGGCAAAAGCACCCATACAAAGTGGCCGGCCTGGCATGTAAACTCGCATGTATCATTGCAGCTTACATTTGGGCAAGAAAAGTACTATTTAACTGATGCGCCGTCTCGAGACTGACTGCTCAGCTCAACTACAGGAGATTCTCTCTGTAATGCGCTGCTCGTTGCTGGTTCTGTTTGCAATGTCCTCTTCACGAGGGTGCATTTACACCAACGCGACAATATAGGAAAAGCACCCATACAAACTGGCCAGCCTGGCATGTAAACTCGCATGCATCATGACAACCTACATCTGAGCAAGAAAATTATTGTACAGTTGATGGGCCGTCTCGATATATATACCAATTGACATGGCTGATACAGAATTTACTCGACGATGCGCTGCTCATTGCCAGTTTTGGTTGGTGTCTCTCGTCTTTGTGAGGGTTGTTTCCACAGCCAACTCTCCAGCATGCGAAAAGCACCCACCAGATCGAGGGTGCTTTTCCCGTACTGGCGGATTGGTGCAAAAGCCACGAATGCCGCATCGCATCGTGCGCTTTTTGGCCTAGTCTAGCATATTGAGCTTTCCTTCTTCAGCTCGACCTTGCTCACTGCTGAGCGCCTCCTCGTGTTGGTCTCTTTTGGAGGTGCTTTTGACTGAGTGCTACTGCACCACAAGACTTAGGATGTCAGATGTCTGATGCATCAACACCGAAGTCACTGCAGAATGGCAGATGTGAATCGTCTCGCAAGTTCTCGTAGTAGCGTCACCATCTCGCGCAACGTCAACCTGTCCGGCGTGCGGTCGGCCAACCCCGTCATACATACTTGCGAGCCATTCGCCCTGCATGCCGCTTGTCCAGCTCGATGCGCCAGTAATCCGATGTGTCGCAACGACTTGTAGGATAGTGCGTTCAATTCGCCTTGAGAATCTCTACATTGCAGAATGATCGCACCCATACTTGACTGGCAAACATGCTCGCACCATGGCCGAGCCTTCACCCCCGTCCAGCTCGACGCACCAAAACCCCTACGTTGGGATGAGTTCGTGGGACGGCGCATTCGACTCTCATTACGAATCTACTCGCCACGGGAGGTTCAGGTGCGTGCTTCAATCGAACCCGACGTAGATGTACCATTTGAAGTATGTGCGTGCCTAGGTTCAGTATGGGTGCTTTGCCTACTACCCCGCATACAAGTTTTATACAGGTGCCAGACCAAAAGCACCCACACAATTTACTATGGCGGTTCAAAAGCACCCCCATGTTAAGTAGGTGCTCCACACAACATGCGTTGGGTGCTTTTGCGAAAAGCACCCAACCAAATTTGGCCGGTAGCATGGGTGCTTTTGGGATTTGGTGAGGAATCCCAGCAAGGGGACTACGCTGCACTTGTTGCGGAGCACCCAATTCGGCATTGCGGCATGTCAGCGCCGATGCACGCATGGAGAACGATATGAACCAAGATTCCTGAATCGAGAGTCCGATTGCCAAGTCTGCTTCCTGGAGGCGTTGAAGTGTTGAGAACCATGGTCGCCATATCTTGTCTCGCGCCATGTCCTGGGAACACCGTGGTCAAGGCGCCGTGGGGGGTGAGTCGCTCAGAGCCAGTCCCGCCGCCTGGAAACGACCGATGCAAAACTCATCGCTACATGCTGTTGGCTCCCCTGCGCGGCTCTCAGCCTGCCATCCAGTACCGGACTGCATTCATTGGTGGCGCACACTTCGCGGTTGTCTTCCCGAAGCATTTTCGAGGCAGTCTTGGTTGGGTACAGGCAACCCAAAAGCACCCATACAATTGGCGTGGGCGCTATACTAAATCCTTGGCGGGTGCTTTTCCGAATGCACCCGTGCTAAATTAGTATGTGATCTCCAAAAGCACCCTAACGGTCGGTGGGTGCGGTATACAAAGCTTCTATGGGTGCTTTTCGCAAAAGTACCCTAACAATTTTGGGTGGTAGGGTGGGTGCTTTCCGAATCATAGGCAATTGCACCGACACGATTTCACCGCCGCAGTGAGAGCGCAGACCTTCGCATGTCGCAGATGAGTAGATAAACCACTCGGCGCAGCGGCTAGAAGGAACCGCAACCGTTCTGCCCGTCCAAGTTCTAGACGTGTCATGCACGAATGTTTTGCGTGCTTGATCCCGTTCACCTCGGACCGACGTCGACCTCGTGGCTCTTGGGGACTTTGGGATCGCTGCAAACCGTTTCTGTAGGCAGGTCGGCTGGTCGTCCACAAGACTTGGTGATCGGCCTGGTGGTATCATGGGGGCAATTGGGGGCTGCCGAGAACGGGGAGCGAGGAGCATGTGTCTATAAGTAATGGTCAGACGAATCGCATCGCAATCTCCTAGACTAGGTTGGACCACGACAAGAGCCATGCCGTCTCTCGGCGTCCTTCTCCACGAACGCGCGGGTAACAGGAATCCGTCAATGCATCCCGTGACACACGTGGCGGCATAGAGCAGTTGGCACCGCCGAGAACAGAGACAAGGAGCACGGGTCTGTAAGTGCTCGTTGGACGATCGCATCGCACATTCGTTGACCTCGACCAGAACCACGCTGCCCACTTGGTATGCTTCTCGGCGCATGCGCGGCCCTCCAAGTTGAACGCTGGAGCAACGACAATGGCGCGAGGCGCAGCAAAAAAAAAAAAAAAAGAAGGGAGAGAAAGAAAACGCAAGAACATCCCATCATCGTCGACATGCTAAATGCATACCGAGATACTCCGCCGACCCTCTTTCGGGTGTCCTGGCAACACCATGCGCTGGTTTGAGGGCTATTCCCAGCAGACTAATCTGTACACGCCGCGACATGGTGCTCATCCTTCAGGTCAGCTGGCACGCCCCTTCCGCTTTGTTGTTGCTATCCATAGCTGGAGGTTCGATGGTTGGCTTTCAGGCGACCGATCCAACAGATCCAACCAAGACCACGATTGTCAGAGCATGAAGCGCGACGTCCCGTCCCCAGAGTCGCGGCCAGGCGAGCTGAGCATGCCGCATTTCAAATCCGAGCCAACAGGAACTTTCGCAAACAAGTCGGCAATCACGGCGTTTGGCTTCGACGTCTGTTGTGATCATGTCGGACATGATGCCTTGCCATGATCTCCATCTGGTCAATCATCACGCAGCCCTGTCGGCCATGGTCGCTACGACGCTTCCTCGGTATGATAACGGAACAAGTCGAGAACCAGATGAGCCAGTTGGGCGTTCTTCTGTCCGACCTTGCACTGGCGATGTTTGCGACAAAACATCGTTTGGTAAGAAGGGAGACTGTATGCGCACGAAACTTTGTATGGGTGCTTTCGCAGCATGTGCACTAAGCATGGCGGAAACCCCCCCCCCCCCCCCCCCCCACCACACTACACCACACCATATCCTTCACCACTCACCACTCACCACTCACCACTCACCACTCATCACTTACTGTGGCACCAATTGAACAGCATATCAGTGGAAAACATCATAACACGCCGACCAAGTCGGCGATCAAGGCTACTAGAACGTTTTTAGACGACGAGGGCAAATAATATTCGAATCGCCGGCTATTTAAATATTACGGAGTTCCGGAATGTAGTGGCCGCCGTATACTAAACGATGACCTACGGACTCTTTACTATGGCAACTTTGTCGGCGAGCCTCGTGACCGTCCAAAACTGCTCTTGAGCGACGACGTTGATAAAATTGAAAAGCTCCTTTACGATACGGGTTTCGAAGCCCGGAAGCTCCCGTGGATTAACCTCCCTACTACCGCCGGGGTTGATTTCAATGGTTCTTGGCGTACGGTATAACGAGCTTTAGGCGACAAAGATTAGAGGAAGTGTATAGCGTGTGTATATGAAGCTTACGCTACAGCCTGTATACGCGCTGTTATAAAAGACTTGTAACGGCGACCTGAACCAGAGCATCAGGAAGATATCCGGTTTAGCGACGAAGCTCACTTGTCTTTCGGGCCAGAGGGCAAACATAAGGTTATTCGTAAAACCGGGTAAACGCCAATGGCCTGATTATAACCAACGCCGTGCTATACTAACGATAGAGGACCAGTTCCGATGCCACGCTTGGGGAGCCAACGTTATTTACCCCTTAGTGGACCACACCCATTAATAGGCCACCCTCCATCTTCATATAAAAGCTTTGAATTTCGAAGGCTTATATCCAGACCAAAACTGGTCGGAAAATATTAAAAAAAGATTCTGCGTATATTGAAGTAGTGAGTGTTGGCTGTACTATTACAGCAAGGGGGGGGGGGCTGAGTGGGTCGTACGACATTTGTCGGAGTTGTTCGCGGTCTGATCATTACAAGGTCTAAAGGATGGAACTTGCAGATAGTCTCCTGGGTCATGCTTTTCACTTCTTGCACAGTTAAGTTGTTGGTTTTTGCAGCAGTGCATTCGGAAGACAACGAGAATGGCTCGTTGTCGCTGATTAATACTATTTCTCAGTGATCAGTCCGCGGGTGAACCAGCGAGTTCGTCGCGAGGCTTATAACCAAGGGGACAAGACAGTGGTCCTGGTTCGATATATTCGATAATATGCTATACGCAGAGATCTCAAAATGTCCAAGGTTTGAATTATATCGAATATATGTAAGGATATAGCATTTAAGCATTTTAATGGTTAATTCAGACTACTTACAAGGTATTAGGCCTACTAAAACGCGATCTCTCCAGCAAGGGTGGTGTTGGAATATATTATTCGCGGTCTCGTACGACGGTTGACTACGTAGTATAGGTAGTCACCGGCGTGCTGGCAGTAAGCCACCACAGCCACACGATGTGCCTGTCGGCAGCCAGCAGCCGTACGGGTGAACCCCAGACCCTTATCTATAGACCACGTACGAAAGGGAAGAATCCCTTCTTCTCCTTCGTACGATAGCGCTGAATAGATCTATTTGTCGCCCACGCTGTACGGAAAGAATTGAATGGAGAAGCCATTCCACAGGTGGCCCATTTATAGGTGTGGCACACTAATGGGTAAAATACGATATAAGATACAACTTTAAAAGTGAATTGATTTAGCACGACGCTAACAATAATTACTATAAAAGCTCATATCGACCAAATACTTAACCCCGTTGTTAAGCCTTAGCTAAAGCGTGGTGATCAATTTATTATAAAAGAAGACGGCGCCCCCGGTTACGGTAAAAGCAGAAAATAAAAATATAGTACGGCAATGGAAAGAGAACAATAGGTTAGAATATTATTTTAATACAGTTTCTAGCCCATCTAGGACAGCCCATCCAGGCAGCCTTCACCAAGGATAGAGGATGTCCATAACATAAAAACCCTCGATAGGCCATCCGCGTCACGTATCTATCAGCGGTTGCGATTTAGAGGTGCGACACTGGACCGAGAGATACTCCACGGATCTCTGCAAACATCATGGTATAGTTTTTTGGCAGGTTGACCTTTATCGACAATCACAAGGAAACATATGACAGCAAAGGCGGTAACCCCCCGAGGCCGCACAATTTTGGGCCTATCGCTTGCGGCAAGCTTGCCAGAACACTGCCGACGAGCTTCGTCTTGGTATGGTGGCTGGCTGGTTGGACGTGTCGAACCACAAGTTCTCCAGCTCTCCGACGGTCAAGTCCCGTTGTTAGTGCACATCGTTGACATGGCCCTAGTGTGCAGTGCTGTGAGGTTCGACACGAAGTTTACTATGGTATCAGGCCTCGAGAAAGGCAGTGGGACTATTTCTTCCGAAGGGAAGGTACAAGCGGCTCGGAGCTTTACGTCGCGGAAAAACACCCATGCAATCGATCTGGTACCTGTCCCGTTGCCCCTCTCTGACCCTCCATACCATATTACACCCCACTAGTCTTCGGTTGCCACCAGTGAGCTCGGGCGGAAAAGAGGCAGCTGGCAGGCTTCACTCGGAGTAACTTTCCAAAGTTCAAGTCGGGATCGAGTTCGGGGTGAAGTTGACGGACGGGCCCCGACGCCTGACCGGGGCGTGATGTACCCCTATTCCTTGACATATCAGTCAGAACAAGTCCAGCCCCCAACACAAAATGATGGTCACAGCCGCCTAGCTTTGCACCAGAACTGGACTTATGGCCGAATTCTCCGCGAATGCTAGGCATCCCATCGAATGTCCATGCAGAGCTGTGTGATCAAGCCACGCTCCAGGCCGACCTCGCCACAGACCCAGCTAGGACGCAAGTGCTGACGCAGGTGCCACACGGCACCGATCAATGTGGCGTAACGCTCTGTTGGACATGTAGCACAGTTGGAGATCAAAAGATAGGTATGCCGATCGAGTGTATACCAACAGACCACCTAAAGTGATTGCCCCAGGTGGATACTTACCTGGGGCATCCGATGCCTGTCTAGGAGCATGTAGTAAGCAGCACGTCCCGTGGGGCCGATACTGCCTAGTGGGCCTGGCGCAGCGCAGGCTGGCGACCACGCGGACTGGCAAGACTGCTTCACTTTGATCATTGATGTCGAAGCTCGGGGTCAAGAATCATAGCCGAAACGAGTGTGTTTGATAGAGATTGTCTTGCTATTCTCCTCAAAGTTGGTCGCGAGCGTGCAATGGACAATATATTCTGAGAAACGTAACGTGAAAACTCCACACAGGGACTGCCGGGTCGTTGCTGGCGGTTCGCGACAGGGGTAGGCGAGTATGACCGTCGACAGGCGAGTCTCCCCTTGCGACTCTTTTGGATTCTGGCCATTTGCAACGAAGCAGATCAAAGCCAGTTTTGTGTCATCCTCCGACCAACTTCACAAGAGGGGTGAAGATGCCGCTAAGATCTCGATGAGAACAGTTCAAACATTTCATAGACGCCCGCAAGCCATGATTTGATCACAGGCCGTAAGTCTGGCATGGCACGGGGCCCGTCTTGGGCACGACCCATGGTGGATCGACCCTCCAGATCTGATGATATCAGAGCTGAGGTATTGGTATAGGACGACGATTCTTGCGTCGCTTGATGGCTATGCTCTTGTCAAAAGCGGTCGTGCTCTCGCCCGGGACGTTGGTGCCGCCACGGGGCTCGTTCTTGGCGTGGTGCTCCTTGCTTTGTCTTTTGACTGGGAACGCTTGCATGTGTCGTCCTGTTTGCCGACCACCTGCCAAGACGGAAAAGGTCACTTCTCCGCGGTGTGCCGGCGCTCCGAGCTTACCGGGAGCATCGCGCACCAGAACGTTCATCTCACTGGTAGACGAATCTTCAATGACGGTGACGAGATGATAAGGACCGCCGAAATTGCGAACCTGCTCGACCACCTCTTACGCACGTCTCGAGTGTCTCCTTCAAGTAAACCCGGATATTCTGGCCGTCATGGTCTTGTTTGTCAATGGCGACGCATTCGCTCGTCGAAGACGATGTATTCTCAACCCCGAGGCCAAAGATTTTGTGCGCGTCTCCTGTAGTTCCGAGTGTCAGGCGTGCGCAACGTGCACGATCTCAGGCTCAAGTGTGAATGCCTATCGACGCCGTCGTGTAGTTGCAGTCGATGCAGAATCCATGGCATTTCGTCTAAATTGTGTTGGAGCGGCCTCGTACAGGAGATCAAGGCGAACATGGCCCCGGGAACTCCCATTCGTACACAGTCGTTTGCCTGCAAGCCTCGACGTGGAATAAGACAAATGGTAAAACAACAATCTTGAAGACCGTATCGCCAATACTTCTATCGCCCAGCTTAGCCTTCACAAGCCCATACAGATAAGCTTTCCGAGGACCTCATTTCTACAACGCTGTCTGCCTGGGAGAGCATTCATATCTACTCTCTCGGTGTGGGTGGCGACAGTCGGTTTGGAGGGTCATACTTTCCGGGCGCTGAAAAGCTTGACAGCACATTCGGTGTGGATGATCCGACGTGCACTGTCTTCTTAGGCTCTGGAATCAGACGGACATCGCATGGGGATAGTTTCGACACCAACCACACCATCTACGGCAGTGCAAATAAAAACCGAGCGTAGATGTACCGAAGATTCTCGGGTTGTTCACATACATAGATGCCGGGGATGTTCTAGCTGGCCGTGTGGAGCCGGCATGATGTCTCGCGAGACCCCCGAAAGATGCGTGACGACACAATGTTGGGCGTTGCGAGTTCCCTTGAGTATTGGTACGAGATTGAGCATCAGATTCACATGTTCGGGCGGTTATGAGAACACGCCGAACGTGGAAGCGGATCACGGCGGAAGATGCTCACGGTGGGTGATGAGACACGGTATAGATGGATCGTTGTTCAAATGCAAGTGTGTGGCGATGATGTAATCTGAAGAGCGAGGGGACAGAGAATGAATTGGAGCATCGCCCCTCACTCATCCAGATCGTACAGCTCGTCCATAGCCACTATGGCTGCGGCATCGTCCCCGGGACACGGATACCATGATAGTCTGCCACACATGTCGACCGAGGTGTCTATGTCCGCTCTGCTGGACAGTTGGATTAGTATAGTATTACCGCTAGGCTATCTCGGACCGGTAACCTGATGTAACTGCACGTGTTATTAACCCTGCGTAGCAATAAGTTAACACTCTCGTCTTGGAAACCAGTGTTCATCCTCGGCCCCAGGCGTTATATGGTCGTCTTCTCGCTACGACGCAATCCATGCGTCGACTTGGCTGGAGTCACACGCTCCTCCGCACGCTAGCCACACACCCCTGCACCAAGGCGACATGGCAGTGAGCTCCGAAGAAGCGCTCTGTACGAGAGAGCTTGTTCTGGGCACTTCTGGGCACTTACTGGCCACGATATGCAGCTATATCGGGTCCGCAGACAGAGTCGGCGGGTAGCTACAGTCGGTGAGTGGCCATAGTCGACGTGCGCAGATACAGCCAGGGCCACACAGTACCCAGGCTTCGCCATTTGCTGCCCCAAACACCTTACACGTCATCTTGGTGAGGTTTTGCGCCAAAGGAAACGATGACTAAAGCCTTGCAGCAGGCTATCATAGGTGCCATGGCCACCGGCGGTGTGGGCACGATCCCTCAGAGCGAGCTTCGATTGAGCCGCGGAAAACCGAAGGGTGCTGTGGGAGACTTTACTTGGTCACCTGCGATTGTACTAGCTACTTATGACGAGGAAGAGGCCTTTGGAAGCGCCAGACAGGCGGTGTGATCAGTTCCGTAGGATACCTCTTGTCACTTCAAGACGGCTGCCTTGGTTGTGCTGCGGGCTGTCGTCTCCGCGCGGCATTGGTATGATTTCAGTCTGCCGACTTGAGGCTGGCATGAGCCCGTCGCAGGACCGGTCTGTCATGGTAGAAGGATGCCGTCCGCCATCTACGCGCGGGCCACGGTTCGGGTGACACTCACAGACGACGCTCTGCAGATCAGAAACGTCTGGGATGCTGCCTGCGCAAAGACAACCGCCGGCGAGATGCCGCGCCGTCTTGATGTTCCCTCCGTCTGGGCCCCGTGGACGTTTCAGCTCCACCGGCAAGCGCAGACATATCCATTACGCTGCTGCCGGACGAGAGGTCGCTGCGAAAAGAGCGTTGGAACTTGAATGGCGACGAGGCCCGACTTCGATGTGGGGCGCTGCAGCCCTGGACCTCGCATCAGGGCTCGCTCTAGCCGAAGATGGGCAAGCTGTCGAGACGAATAAGAAAAAGGGAAAATATGCTATCGAGACTGGCATCCTCGGAAAATGTCGCCGTTTGCCGCCGGGTGAAGGGAGGAGGAAGGGGTCTGATATTTTTTGAGACTTCACAAATGCGTGAGGTTGTTTGTCTCCGCAGGTGTGGTGGTGGGTCAAGATGTGGGATTTGGGGGGGGCGGATCACTTGGTGGTGTACAACGATAGGGAGTGTGGCGGTGGCAGTGAGGTTGCAATGGAGGTGATGATATGTTCTGCGAGCACGGAGAGTAGGAGAGGCACGTCGAAGAACACCGCGTCGAGGGCATATACATGGCCTAGCGAAGAGACGTCACACGTGCCAGAAAACCCAGGCCACAAGAAGACACGCATTGGACGGCAACAGGTCATATTGCTATCTGTTCCACGATCGGCTCTTCGTCGTCGACGTCGGGTTCATCATCTCTGCCCAATAGCAGATCAAGAACTTTCTTGGTGGTTCCCAGTATCTCCACCGCCTCATACTCGTGATCGACGATGCGTTCGAGCTCCGATCTGAGCTCGCCCGCCTGTCGACACTTGTCAGACAGCTTATACATGTCCAGCTTGAGCTTCTGGGCCTCAAGGGATAGCTCGTGCATGGGGTTGACGAAGACTTCCTGTTCAGGGAACTTGGCGACGGTGCGAGCATCGGCGACGTACTGAGCCCTGCGATTGAGCTCCCGGACGACGGCGGCGCAGTTGTCCAGGAGGAAACTGTTGGTGTGGCAAACTTCCTTCTTGGAAGCCGACAGACAAGGATCGTCTGCGTCCTTGGTGAACTGCTGACCACCACCAGCGATGATATTGAACCCGTCCTGGAAGCAGTACGAGCTGGCGAGGGCCGATCCCAAGACCTCCGAGGCAGGCAGGTCGTCGGGCTCCCAGATATGTATCATGGGGACCACGACGACCTCTGGGACGAGGTTGAGCCCGACCTTGATAAGGCAGAGCAGCAGCGCCCATGTGGGCGTGGTGGAGCCCAGACGACTGGAGCTCTCCGGGTCGTGCTCGGGCATCCTCTCGGAGAGGCCGTTGGAGCATCCCACCATCAGGGGGCTCTGCTTCTGGTATATATACGCAGACCTCTTGTCCTTGCGGTGCGGGTCGCACCGGGATTTGAAGCTCTTGATGAGGCATTTGGTGGAGCTGTAGCCATGGTCGGACTTGATGAAGCGTGTCTTTTCCGGCTCCTTGCTGGGTCTTCTGCCCCATGCGTGGTCGACCGTGCGGGCCCAGGCATGATCGACCTTGTCACTCGCCGAAACGGGGGACCCGCCGTGGGCTTTGTATCTGTCGTAGCACTGGCAGTACCGGAGGAGCAGCTCGACGATCTTCTCGATCTCCTCGATGTTGAGGAACATCCCACCGCGACCTCGGACGGCGATGCCGGCCACATATGTGCCGGCACCTGTGTCGGAATAATGCTCCGGCGATGGCTCGTTGGAGGCCAAAAAGTCGTAGGCGACCGTGCCTCGGATGACGCTCCCCACGAGCGTCCTGGGGATGCTGCACAGCAGGATCGCCATGCGACGACGGCAGCTTCGGTCGCGCCTGATGATGCGACCGGCGGGCCTGGTGCCGCTTATGAACCTCGAGCTGTCCTCCAGGACAGTTGCGTGCTGGTTGATCGCGAGCAGCAGCTCGTAGTAGTTGTCGTTCTGCTCGAGGGCCTCCCACATTTGCAGTCGGGCGCCTGTCATGAGGGGGAACTCCGACGGATCAAGCGGTGTCGGCATAGTCTTCGGCTGTGCCATGTTTGCCAGCCCCGGTATGGTCGCGTTTGAGAAGATAACAAAGGGCCTTTTTTTTTTTTTTTTTTTTCTCTTGCCAGGGCCAGGGCCGGATGTGCCAAAAAGCGTCGGGGCTTCGAGGTGTCGTCACGCCATGTGACGCATGCGTGTTTTCGACACGCCTGCAGGAAGGCGCGATGTCGTAGTTGCCCGCCCCGGAGGCCCCAGCATGTGCGTCCGACGCATGGGCCCCGGCTCGACATGTCGCGGAGGCGCCGTCGCGCGGCACGAATTGAGCCTTGAAGCTGCGGAATGGCGTCGGGCTTGGGGATGGGCTACAACAGTCGAGAAATGGGCTGCCTGGGGCTAGACTAGTCACAGGGCGTCACGGTGGCATAGGAAAGACGTGGCGAGGGGGGGGGGGACCCAGACAGGAGCTGGGATTAGACTATACGAAGCTATGCTACCAGGCGGCCGTTCTTAATCCACCAGAGAAGATCCTTTCCGGACGTGATGGGGATCAGGATGTTCTCGTGGCCCTCTGGCCCAACTATGCGCCCGGTCCCATCCCAGAACTCGCAGCGCCGCCTGCTTACGAGGCGGATGGTGCGCCGCGCGAGGTCGATAGCGACTACGTCGTCCGACACTCGGAGCAGGCCGAGCAGGGCTTTTTCGTCCATCAGCCCGTTGTCTCGGACGAGCTTCTGGAGAGATGTCAAGTCGTCGGCAACGGTGGGGCTGCCGATATGGTGCCACGGCGAGCGGTGCCGGAGGAACTCTTGATACTTCTCAACCTCTGGGAAGGAACGTGCCCAGTTCTTCTGGACGAGGTGGCCAAGATGCAGGAGGCCGATGAGGAACAGCTCGTGGGGAAGATGGCCAGTTTCCGTGGGGAACCGCGTTCTCGCGGTCTGGAGGATCAGGCAGAGAGCGCCGGCGGAGATGGACTGCGCAACCTTGTTGCACTCCGCCATCGCCAGCTCGAGGATATGAAAGGTACTTACTTCGAGGTGTCCGGCAGCGACGCGATGGTACAGTTGCGTCAGTAGGTTCAACGCTCCTGGCTGCGAACTGGTGGCGCATCTGCGCGTTTCTGCTGGAGCTAGCCATGGCACTGCGACGACCCAGACCTGAGGCACGTCTCTCGACGATTGAATCAATGGCGAGGCTGTTATAGACTCTAAGAACCTCGAGGATATGTGATCTTCACAGACCTGCGGCGGGTCGCTGGTGACGGATAAGTACCGAGCCATGGCAGCCTTGGCTACGTCGAGGCTCGTGCGAGACTCGCGACACTTCTGCTCCAGTCTCTGGGCCGTGGCTATGTTGACTAATTCTTGATCCTGCATCTTCTGGTGCAGACCGTCTATCGTGGCTTGTTCTGCGAGCTTTTGGCCCTGCATCTGTTTGTCGAGGCCCTGCAAGCGCTTCTCGAGCGCCCCAATTGCTGCCTGGTCAGTAGTCATCTGTTCCTGCGACCGCTTCTTGAGGTCTTCCATTGCCGCTTGGCTAGTGGCCGTCTGGTCATGCAGGCGCTTCTCGAGTTCTTCCAGTGCTGCTTTGTCAGCATTCATCTGTTCCCACAAGCGCTGCTTGAGGCCTTCCATAGCTGCTTGGCTAGTGGCTATCTGTGCATGCATCTGTTTCTTTAGCTCCTCGACTGTGGTTCGGGCGGTGTCTATTCCGCCTCGTATTCTGTCCTCGAGGGAGGCGATACTAGCCTGGTCCGCATTGCGTTGGTTGCATTGGGTTTGTTGGTCCATGGTGAGCTGATCAACACCCATCTGCAGAGCCGAGATGCGATGAGCATTGGCCTGCTGGAGGGCGGTGGTGGATTGGTCGAGATGTTCGTAGGCCTCCCCGAGCCCTGCAACCGCTTGCAGAAGCTTCTCGTTCTCGTCCGACAGATCCAAATGTTCTCCTTCGTGATAGATGAGTTGGGTCAAATGATCGTGACATCGTCGCTGCCACGTATCGCGGTCGGTGGTCATGCCCCGGAGGCAGGCGATTTTCTCGTCGCGTTCGAGTTCGACATCGGTGATGATGCCAAAGCGACGGGCCGAGACATCCCTGAGCGTGCTGGCAGCCGCTCGTTCGGCCGCGAGCTGCTTCCTGACGGCGAGGATGTGGCGGCCCAACAGATTACACCTTGACCTGAGCATCAGAGTGTTGAGGACCAGCTCTGAGGATGTGTCTGAGATGCTGCGGCATTCTCTGCGGGATTTCACATTCTCGCGGAGGAGCGAGGCTCGTTCCTCCTCAAAGGCGTTGATGTCCACTTGGAGCGCCTTGTTCGCACTCGCGAGAGCATCCCGTGCCCCCTCGACTTCGGAGAGCTCGTTCCTTACGCTGCCGATCTGTGTCTGCAGTCGGTCTCTCTGGGCCCTCGAGATGTCACGCTCGCCAGCAGCCCGGACGAGATCGAGCTCCCCGCAGATGCGGGCTTGGTTAGCAGCGTCCCTCTCGCTTGCCAGTTCACCGTGTCTGCGCTCAAGGATGGTCAGGGACACCTTGATAACCGCGCTGGAGTTTTTCAACTCTTGGTGGGTGGTGTGGAGGTTATTGAACTCGGCGACGGCCTCGTTCTTGGCCGCCGTAGCGTCGATGGCCTTTCTTCGCTCGTGCTGTAGCTGGATGTTCAGTTGTTCGATTTCCGACAGCCAGTCCCTTTCGCGCGCAGTCGCCTCTGCCAACATCCTGCTGGCCTCGTATTGTGCCTTCTCCGACTCTTCGCGCTGTTTGTCGAACTCCTCCGCGTCCCTGTGGAACCGCTCGAGCTCTGCATCCCTCGCCATGATATCGGATTCGGCCGCCGAGGCCTGCTCCTTGAGGGCGTCGTAATCTGACCTGAGCGCCGCGAGGTCTGCCTCGCAGTTCTGGCCCAGTCGGGAGGCAGTCTCCTTCAGGGAGCGGATGGACCTGTCTCTCCGCTGAAGCTTTCTCGTCAAGCTCGTCTGTTGCTCGACGAGCTCCCTGACCGTCTGTTCGTGGAGCTCCTCGTTGTCCTTGTCTGACTTGCCCATCGCCTCCAACGTGTGGCTCAAGTCGTCGATCATCCGCTCCTTGGTGTCGAGTGCACCGTCGAAGTCCTGACGCTGCTGGTTCAGATCCCTCTCGAACTTGTCTGCCTTCTCCTTGTAGAGGGCCAGCTGGCCTCTGAGCTTGCGCGTGGCAGCTTGGGCCGTCTGCTCCCGCTTGTCGCGAGCGGATTCGTCGTCGCGCATCTGCTGCTTGAGGGACTCGACATGGCTCTCGTGGGTTGAGCATCGGCTCAGTAGCTCGTCGTGTATCTCTCTCGACATGACGTCCTGAGAGGCTTGTCGCAGGCCGTTGTCGATCTGCAGCTTCAGCTTGTCTCGCTCCCCCTTGAGCAGCTCAACCTCGACATGGAACAAGCCCTGCTTGTGCGTGTCCGAGAGATCTCGGACCAGGTCTAGCGTGTGGAAGACCTCCAGGAAGTGGTGTAGGAGTTCGGCAACCTTGCTTGCCTTCAGCCTCTGAAGACTGTCCCGGAGAAAGGTGGGCTGGGCGTCGATGACCGAGCTCAGCTCGTCGAAGCGGCTCTTGACGTCGTGGCTCAATCTTTCCCTGTCCTTCTGCAGGTCGTCGAGCGTGGTCTTCATGCTCCGGATGTCCAACGCATTGTTTGTGATGGCGCCATCGTCGGCATGGTAGGCCAGTTTCGTCGCTGTGTCCTTGATATCCTCCTGGTTGTCGTCCAAGGCCTTTTTGACCTCTTTGATCTTGCTATCGGCAGCGGCTATCCATGTGGGGTAGGTGTTTGTCCTGGGCAGGTTCCGTTGCAGGAATGCAAATGCTGCCGCCATGATGTTCTCTGATGATTCCTTGTAAGCATTATTCGACTTCCTGCCATGTCTAAATAATTATAAGTAGTACGAGTTAAGGGACATCGTTGCATGAAGATCAAACAGGCCGGTTATATCATATCAAAAATATGGCAAAGCGCTAGTGCAGAGCAATTCAGAATACAGTGGGCCGCATTTTCAGTGGGCCGTGTTCACAGTGGGTCTCGCAGCTGTGTGTGAGAGCCATTGAGAATACAGTGGGCCGTGTTTATAGTGGGTCTTGCAGCTGTGTGTGAGAGCCATTGAGAATACAGTGGGCCGTGTTTACAGTGGGTCTTGCAGATGTGTGTTGAGAGCCATTGAGAATACAGTGGGCCGCGTTTTCAGTGGGCCGTTTTCACAGTGGGTCTTGCAGCTTTGTGTGAGAGCATTGAGAATACAGTGGGCCGTGTTTATAGTGGGTCTTGCAGCTGTGTATGAGAGCCATTGAGAATACAGTGGGCCGTGTTTACAGTGGGTCTTGCAGATGTGTGTTAGAAGCCATTGAGAATACAGTGGGCCGTGTTTATAGTGGGTCTTGCAGCTTCGTGTGAGAGCCATTGAGAATACAGTGGGCCGCATATATAATGGGCCGCGCAGTTGAAAAATGCAATTGGGCGTCGTAGATAAGAGTGTAGGATAAAAAAAGAAAATACGAAAAACTTTAAAGTTAATTCGTACTCTGGTGGGATGCGCGCAAATATCCTATGCGGGCGTCTTACATGACAGCGATTGAGAAGCAAATTCAGGGAGTCTAGAGTGTACGTCGATTAAAGTGCAGCAGCTATGGTGGAGCGTTGTAGTGCGTAGCATGTAGTGGGTTATTCTGTCCAATCGCTGCGATGAGTACTCGAGCAAGCAAGTTCGTTGTATCACGTCGAATCTGTAAGACAAGGTCATGGATAGGAAAGTACTAATGTATTACAAGACTATTTTCTCACGCGACGCCCTGCGACTACGACCCGTGTCCGGGTATAGGTGATCTTCAAGCATATCAGCAATATCTTCGTCGACACCTGGTTTGAAAGTATCCAGGACTAGTGCTGTTTGAGCAGCCATGGACGCTTTGAATATGGGAGGCTGTGGGACAGAAAATGAATTTTCGCCTTGCACTCTTAGCCCAACAGGCGGGTTGGTCTTTGTACCGACCTTTGACGCCTTGGTCATGAACGGATGTGCTGCTAGACCGGTTGCTGTCCCGGGTGTTCCTTGTACATGTGCTGCGGAGTGTTGCGGTACTACGAACTGCGCCTGTGGGAACTGCTGTGTTGAAACAGGGCTGGCTGACAATTGGTCGCGAGGAAGAGGGCAAAGTAATTGCGAGGCAGACAGGGCTGGGACTTGGGAACGAGAAAGAGGACTCGGGTCAGCGAACAAGCCAGCAGATTTCTGGGCTTTGATCTCTGACCTCTTGATGTCCAGCAATACCGAGCGACGACAACTCGCTAGGTCGTTGCGCACTGGTGTCTCGTTCTGTCCCCTGACGCCCTTCAGCACACTGCTATGAAACTGCACAGGCAGGAATATCGCGTAGCCAAGGCTGCTAACCCTATCGAGGGCAGTGGCTAGATTTTTGAGATCAGCAATGCGAACCTTGTATGGGCCGGTCGCCTCATCCTCCGTGAGTACCTGGCCCTTGTATGCAAGACGCTCGATCTCGAGGAACAGCCTGGACATGACGGAGGGCACATCACCACTTCGCTGTCTTGTTACAGCGTGGAGATCAACGATGGAACGACTGCCATCCTGCTGTTGGGAGGTGACAGACATGAATGTATCCAAGAATTTGGAGTCAGTGGCATTCCACTGCGGCCACTGGTCCTTGCGCTGATCCCCGGTACGACATATGACGGCATATTGGATGCTTAATGTCAGGGTTTCAAGACTTTCCAGCCAGAGTGGGTGACCGAGGAGGTCCGACAGCGCATCACAAAACTGGCCGCTCCAGTTTGGATGAGGCACTTCTTGGCCGTTGACCTTTATCTTATGCCCCGGTTCTGGTTCAAAGGCCAGGTAGTAGCGATCGCTGATGATGTTGTCGGCGAAGGTTCCCGGCCAGAGTCGTTGTGGTATCTTCCACAGATTCGTCATCTGTTTTAAACCCCAAGTTAGCTTACCAAGCCTTTCGAGATTGAAGAGGGAAATATGGTACGAGATCGGGGAACCAGGAACAAGCGAGGAATAGAACGAGGAACCAGAAGAGAACGGGGTGCGGAACGGGGAACATGTCCAAAACGCTTACCTTTGCATCTAAGCTCTGGCCGAGTCGGTATGGTGTGAGTGGATCATTTTTCCATTCTTCTTGAAGCCTCGCTTCATCCTCGGCGCTATACTCCTCACCAAACTCTGTAGGATCCTTAGGAAGCATGTTTAAAAGCTGACCAAGGTCGACAGGAGGTCGGTTATTTCGCATCCATTCTTTGTGGGCGGAGACTGAGCTTTTATATGATTCTAGCAGCTTTTCCACTTGCGTTATCGTGATTGGATCTCCTGCGTACTGGATAGCACTCTGGCATTTTCGATCGCGCTCGAAAACTAGGCTGTCATCGTTGTCAGTTGCCTGGAGGGACCTGCTGACCAGGTCGTCCTGGGTCCGTTGGCGTTTGCCAGCTTGCGCAGAGCCTGCGGAATACGAAGACTCCGCGGGGCGCTTGTTGGAATGCCTGTTGGGTTGCATTGCGATGTTAGGCAATAACGCCAGTAATAATGAAATCGGACGTAATTTTGTTCGTGGTGGCGTTAGAAAAATATGAGACAGCTTTGCATTGGTGTGAGGTTGTTTGTCAAGCTAGCTATGGGCAAACTTTGGAAGACCTTTAATTCGATTGTTATTAGCTATGAATTATAGGAATTTGACGTTATACTGGTGTAGATATGGAATACTATGGTTCTTTTGGTGGTTCTATCAAGAATCTGGCGAAATTAGAGCCCAGATGCTTTTGAACTCTAGGGCTCAATTTTTCCTTTTTTCAATCTTTTAACACCATTTGTTTTACATCACAACACATTCATCACCAGCAAACAACAAATTGCCTGCAATCATGCAACCATCATCACATCGACCATCCGATCATTCACGGGGTCCCTCCTCATCACCTAATCCCATCGGAATGAATCCGAACCCAGAACCCAGTACCCATCACACCTCTGGTTATCACCACGCTTATCCCGAGCCCGATATGCATCAGGTTTCGGGTCGTGACCAACCTCACCCGAAGCGGGTTCGCACATGCTCAGGGCGATCGATCTTCTCAGCCCCCAACTTCACATCATCCCTCGTTCCTCAAATCAAGAACGAGTTCGATAACAAGGCCAAAAATGGCTTTCACGTTCTTCATGTTGTATCCCCATCTGGCACATGCAAAAGCACTCAGTTCGTCCCGCGGCTCTGGGCAACGCTCAAGAGCAATTGGCCCCAGGCACGTGGTGCATACGTCCAGCGTATTTTATATCAAGCGCGAGAGCTGCAGCGTGTCTTTGAGAAATCGGTAGACTATCGAAGCGAACAAAAGGAGTTTGCATTCCACCAAGATTCTGATGACATGAGCAATACACTCAAGCTCACTTACTACGAGGAATTTGAGCTGGGCCTTATCGATGCGTTGACGGGCAATAACACGACGTTCCCCTCGGTCCCGTTGGTATTCTTCATTGACTTGGAGACAGTCCCCACTGCCAGCGGCGAAATCCTGGTAGGCCTGTTCATCAAATATCTTGCTACGCTTAACAAGCATCTCAGTCGACAACTGTCCGCGCCCGATATTACAATCGTCACCCTAGCATCCCACGAGGCGACGGACACTTACGAAACCTTCGAGCATTTCCTTTCCGTGGCTGCCGTGCTGGCTATTGCGGATATACCCGCATATACTGCACCTAAGATAGAGCTGCCAGGTGAAACCCCAGAAGAGTTCCTGAGGGCCCTGGTAGATGCCCTCGAGCCCGACTTCCGCGGGTGGGCTGAGTCTAGAGACGCGGGAGCGGTGGCCAGAACTGCCGTAGAGCAGACACCAGCTCCCTGCGTACTCGTGTTCCTGAACCAAGAGTTTGTGGCGAGATGGTTGCAAGAACCCTTGTCCAGAATTATATGGCCCAATGGCTCAATTCCGAACGGCATGCGTGGCCTGGTCCCCATGGCTTTGGATAGGTGTTCGCCTCCCGACGAGGTGGACAAGGTTCTCCAAGCCGAACACTATCCCAAGGTCATCTGCGTCGACCACTCCTTTCCCGTTGTCCTGAGTGCGCGCGTTACACATATAGCATCCCCCGGTGCCAAGGTCGCATTGGCCTTCCACCAAGACTCCACGCACTGCATCGATTCGTTGATCCTTCTATCAAAGTCAGAGCTTCAGTGGGAGGACGCTTGGGCAGATGTCTCTGGCACCCCAGGTATCAAGTACTTTGTGCCAGACTCTAGCCACGTAGCTGTACCAGATCTACCAAAGAGACCCGTCGAGGGGGAGCTAATGTATTTCGCATACAGGCTTGTGCAGCACTGGAGCTCCTGCCCCCTGACATTAGTCCCAGTTCCATATCTGACTCAAGTCTGTCCTCTTTGGCTCAACGAGATGTTTCGTCGCATGAAGGCTCTTGGCTGCGTCAAAAGGGCTCTAAACCGGCAGTGGACCCGAACGCCACTCGGGAGGGTTGTACAGATGTTCATGGACAACAAGTTCCACGACGGTTGGCTCTTTAATCCGGGTCGGAGCTTTCAGCTCGCATGCCTCTGCGCGATCATATTCTTGGACCGTCAAGACCTCACCGTCAAGGCAAAACGCATCCTGATCCGCATGGCATCGATCATCCGCGCCAACATCTCCACAACTCTCCAGATAAATGAAGACCGGCTTGAAGAGCTCGGTCTCTTGAAGTCGCCCGATTGTTATAGAACGGTCCGGGGACTTATCCACGACTGCACCGGAGGCGTCGCGCGACAGCAGATTGGCAACGGGCTGATATGGGTGGTACTGGGGCTATGGCAGACAGAATGGGTCCACCATGGCACTTGGAAAGGACAAAACGAGCACATAAGCTGTCAAACAAAACACTTACCCTCTGTAGGCGGAACTGTGAGGAAATCAGAAAAGGTATCGTCGCCTTGGAACAATGTGTCCAGCTGGAACCTCTCGACCACGACGAGGAGGTCTTCCATACCCAACTCGACGAGTCTGAGCTAGAGGCCGTCAACACGGTGCTCCTCCGTGCCTATATGCACCAACAGGTGCTCTTCCCCGACGAATTCATGCTGAATCCGGTCGACCTCATATCAAATCAGCCGGTTTGTCTCACGGGCAACCCTGCTGGTCTGTTTGATTCCAGTGCGCTGCAAGAACAAGGTGTCAAGCTCGGCCTTGGCGCGTTCACCGCCATCTACACAAGTGCTGGAATGGAATCATCCCCCGACGAGGGCAGCGAGTGGAGAGAGACGCTCCGACCTGAAGATCTGACATTCATTCCCCGCAAAGCACAGGCAGCGTTGGCGACCAGGCTAAGGGTGCCGATGCATATGGCACTGAGAACAAGCTGTCCAGTACCTACATACCAGAAGGCTTAATATTCGGTGGTGGCTAATAGCATCGGGTAGTTAACGAACTACGTCATAGCGACTTATTCGCGATCCCGACGACGTGTTTAAGTGATGTGACGCTTCAGCAGTTGGTGTGGCACGTCTAAGGCAACGCGCAAACCGTGACAGATCCTCCGGAGGCAATTCGATCCACCATTACGAGATCGTGTACTGATATCGTGCTCTCTGGCATAGTGCACCTAAGAACCAATTATATTTCCAATATGTATAGCTTCTGGATCATTTACTTCTGTAATGTAGTTTTAGTTACCAAGGCCAAGCAATTGCCATTTACTATTTCCTAATTAAAACCAAGGCGTTTTTTCTCACTTCATCTATAATATCCGAGCTAATCAGATGTACAGGGACCTGTTAAATTCTTTCTTCGAAATGATTGCACAATGAATAGCTCTGGCGTTCTTGTCTTATGTTACCGTAACTCCATGTAACCGGCTGTGTACCAAATCAAACCATAGTCCCTGATACCCGGTCCCTCGTGCAGCAGTAGCGAAGTCGATGAAATCCAAGATCTCATCGGAGTGCTGCCGTCGAAACCTAAGTGGCTCAAAGGCCCTGTAGATATCCGACCCGGGGCCCGGCAGCTCCAGCGTGGCCACCAAGAGCGGGAAGTCTAAGCCGAGCCCCGTCGCTGCGTCGGGCGGCCATGTGTTCAGGATGGAAAGCTCCCGCAATATGTCGTCCGCGTGGTGTTGGGCTACGAAATCCTCGATACCTAACGGGAAGCGCAGGCGGTGGATCACAAGCACGGCCGCGATGCGATAGGATCGGGCCTGCGCCAGCATGGCACTGACCTCCAGTGCCGAATACCTTGTGAAGAAGCACGAGGGCAGTTCCGGGGTCCATTCACGTATCTTGCCTTCAATCTCGGAGTAAACGTTGTCCTCGACAGAATCCCAAGGAGACACATGGTCCACGAGGCTGTTCATCTTAGCGTGGTAGCTCCGCTCGCATAGCTCATAGAGAAGCGGAAGCAGTGATGAACATACGCCTAAGAATCTGTCGACAACGCAGCCATCCAGGACTGGGAGTCGAATTACTGGTATCTCCCTCCGGATCAGGCAGTCGACCGTGTCCATGAGGACGGGCGCCAGAGTCACGGCATTCAGATAGGGCCGCTTCATCAGGGCCGGATACCATGGCTTGGCGCTTAGCAACGTACCACGCGTGATGACCTGCGTGGCCGGCGACGGTATCAAGGTATTATAGACGAGCACGGCCTGCCCCATCAAGAGGATCGCCGCAGCATCCTCCGGGTGCGTAATGGACGAAGAGCCGTCTGTCAATCTCTGGAGGCAGTGGGCCCCGATCGCCAAATCACAATCGTCAATGTTCGGGGATGCTGCATGGCGGGAACCCATCAGTTTCAGGGCTATGGAATAGGCATCGGTAAGGACCTGTGGGGAGCGGGCGAACAATCGTCGCACCGCGGCCCGGAATTCGCCCACGAAACTAGGACCGAGCAGAAAGGTGCGGTGAGCCTCGAAAAAGCCTTCCGGGGTTTCAAGCACTTGGCTGACTTGCCAGGAGCTCCGGATCGGCGGCTGGAGAGTGCGGAAGCATGGAGGGTTGCAGAGGTCGAAACGGACCGGAGCATTTGGGCGCGGGAACTGTGGGTCTGGTCTGCCTGGACGGCTGCGGAGACGTTTGGCAGGGTTGGCATACTTCACGCCATTACAGATAGCCCGGGCTCCAGCGGCAGGATGCACCGTGTCCTCGTGGTCCCCCTTGACCAAGGCTAGATGCATGACAGAGGTGGCACCGTAGGGGAGCTGCTGGGCCACAGGCCGGCGTCCCATGCGTTTCCTTAGCCGCGGGCGGCATTGTTCACCTAACGCGATGCACCTGGAGCATGTTCTCTGCGCCATCCCGAAGTTGCATTTCTCCTTGTATTTGTGACATCGCTCACAAGCTCCTGGGGATGCTTTCGGCTGTTGTCCAAGAGGTGGGGTGACGAGTGAAGGCTCCAACAGGCTGATATCAATCAAAGAGCAATCAGACATGGTCAACAAGCATGTTGCACTTACTAGAGACACGCAAGCTGAAGCTCAAAGAGGCAATACGCTGCTGTTACACGGCCAATGTCATCGATGAGTTATGCACAATCATGATTGACAGGACAGGGGTGTTCAGAGAGGCGGGCTAGCGCCGAGGAATGCGACGCGCCGGGTACAAACACGCCGGGGTCGGCATTTAGTCAGCCTCTTACCCTACGAAGTGCATGTTTACAGTACCTTGCCAGAGGCCCATGTGCGTGTATATCTCTCGTCGCCCATAAGCCCATCGGTAATAGGTGTCCATCTCGACACGGTAACACATCCCGGCGACAGCAGCATTCATCTCAGAGTTTACAAGGCGCGAAAGTACCATTACTCCGCTTTACTAGGCAGCGACACTCGTGAGTTGAAAGATGCAGGTGTCCTTGGAGATAGTCCAGTCTCACTCACTCCGCAAGGTATTTTTGGTGACATCGCACCGCTCTCTTTCGATCATTAAACGACACGTTGTTTCCGATCAATGATCAATCCATACTCTATGTAGGCAGGTCTCGCTACAGTTATGGTCCTAATCAAGTATCGGAACCCACTTGTGTGTGGGTTTGATTCCAAAAACAAGCTAACACAGCGCCCACTTTACCAGAAAAAGAAATATGTCGCCGGTCGCCAACATGGATTGGAGCCAGCTTGGTCTAATACGTGATTGGCCAATTGGAACACGGCTGAAGTATCGAAGGTTCATGTCGAGTGGAAATTCTGGACAGCTTCTGATGAATCCTTACTTAACATGGGGTGTGTCCAACTATTTACGTGTTTCTATGCCCCGATCAATGTTTGAATGCAAGTTGTTTCGAAATCTTGTGTGTTCCGTTTGAGTCTTGGCACGATCGGCATATGGAACTCAGTGGCTAAGATGAGACTTGCAAGTAGGTGATCACTCATGCAAGCTTGCCTCGATAGTTGACAAGCAACAGGCCCAAACGAGCAGCGCGCGATCAGTCGGGAGTACTGCGGCTTTTACAACGCGGTCGTCATCGGAGCCGTCTATGAGTTTTCCGGGTCGGACGTTGATGTCTGCTCGAGCGTATCCTTCTATGGCGCCACCAAGAGATGCATCGACAACCATCCGACGTTGAGCGTTGTCGTGCGAGACATGCACACTGATGCCGCGTTCTTCGAACGAGTGCCGACAGTAAACCTGGAAGACCATATCTCCATCGTGGGGGAGAGTGATACCTGCGCGTTGGCACCCGAAGAGGGCGGTGGCGGCGGCGGCGACGAGATGGTGAAGATAGAGAGATTGCTTCCCTCCATCCTGGACCGGCCTTGGCCGGGATTGCCACCACCTTGGAGGATCGTTGTGCTGCCCTTGTTACCTTCAAAACAGCTAGGCAGAGAGCAAACGCGCTGCTTCGTCGCCTTTTCCTTCTCACATGCCCTAGGAGATGGCATAATTGGGCATGCATTCCACAGCACGTTTAGAGCCGGGATCTTTGACCAAGTCGAAGCGGATTGCTCAGCCCTTCCCACCCCTGTCGCCGATTTTCCGGCTCCTTTCGACACGGCGAAAAACCTTCCCATCTCCTGGGGATTTCTTCTCCGTCCACTTTTAGCAGTTCTCCTGCCCAAGTTTGTTGCGGACCTGACGGGACTCCGCGCGACCACCAGCGCCATCGATCACGGCACATGGACGGGCGCCAGCATGTTTTTCGAACCAGAGTCCTTCCGCAGTCGACCCTTACTAATTGAGTTGCAAGCCGCAGAGGTTGCTAACGTGCTGCGGGTATCAAGGAACAATGGGGCCAGATTCACGGCGACGATGCACCAGTCTATTGTACGAGCGTTGAGCAGAGCGCTTCCGCCTGGCGACGCCGCAAACTTCGTTTCGGGCACAGCAGTCAACATGAGACGTGCTGTCGGTAAATCTAATGATGAGATGGGCTTCTTCGTCAACGCCTGCTACGAATTCCATGATCGCGACGAAGCCTGCGAGTCTGCCTGGTCCGAGAAAGCCTGGGAACCTGCGCGATCCTTGACCAAGAAGCTCGCGGAATGCGCCGTGACGCTCAAAGACCAGCCGCTAGGTCTCTTGAGATACGTACCAAGCATCAGCAAGTGGACTGCGGCAAAAATTGGTAAAGAGCGAGACAGCTCCTACGACCTCAGTAACCTTGGGGCATTCGAAGCCACCGTCCCTGAGGATCCGGAAACCGGCGGTCAGTGTAACATCACCAAGATGATCTTCTCACGGCCTGTCAATGCCACTTCTGCGCCCATCACACTCAGCGTTGCCAGCGTCAAGAGCAGTAGCATGGTGATTGCGGTTGTGTGGCAGCCTGGAGCCTTGGGGGTTCCCCTTGAGTCGGAGTCGACATTTATTGATGGGCTGTGTACCTTTTTGAAGGAGGACTTGAAGAATCTCAGATAGCCTGAGCAGAAGAGCGGATTCCTACATCGCAAGGTACTCTACGCTAGTATGTAATACGATCTCGATTGTCTGCCGATTCTTGAAACCTTGAATGACTGTGCAAAACAGTATTATTCAGGACCTTGGCAACGATTACCCACAAAACGACTTAATCTATCACTTAATTGATATATAGTCACACCTCAGTCTGTGGGAACCCAGTGACTCCTGTATAGGATCCTCTAAATTACTTGCACTACTGTGATCGTGTTGCAAAGGTCTATCTACTTCAGCCAGCTCCCGTTACCCTACCATTTGGCCGTCTGTCGACTTCGGCGTCCAGTCACTACGATTCGACCTTAATTGTAACACGGAACTAGGATTGAGGCTGAAAACACCGAACGTGATTGATGGATATCATACTGAGGCACGTTACACAAGTGCCACACTAATGGGAATGACCAGTGAGATGCAGAGCACCTTCTAGAGGACCACGATCCGGTCCAATTCGACATTCCGGGTTTATCAGTAAGCTGAATGATTAAGTAAATACGTCTTTATTCCTCTAGGAACTTTTGCATTGTCGCAGAGCAGGCTTTGGTAGACTGTGATTAGGTTTGATTCGGCAACTCGGATTCATGGTTTAGCGGCGTGCACCCCCATCCAAGGAAAAGCACAACGACCGAAACATCACCACTAATCATCGAGACAGGTAGGAGACATAAGATATGAAACTAGAAATATCTCGGCACGTCTTTAAGATCTACAAATATCTAAATTCACCCTGTATCTGATTAGTGGTCACAATTATAGCTGTTCCCAAAATTGATCGACGCCGTGAAGGCGCATGCACAGTTCCCGCAACTGGAAGTCGATCCCATTCCTACACTAGACACACTAAAATCCATCCCAAAGACGAACGAACAGGATTGGCTCTGGCCTGTAAGCAGCCTCACGTGGAACTTTTATATCATTGCTAAAATAGTGGACAGCGTCTCTCATCATTTCTCAAACCAGGAGATCTCATCGTTCATCTTGAACCGCCACGGGGTTCCCCCTGTCGTGTTTGTCCTGAACAACGAAGGGTAGGTGGAAAAGCCCCCGAGGATCGTTACGACGCGCCTCATCGCGAGGAAACAAAGCTGATCAGCCACAAGTTATACGGTTGAGCGCTCCTTTTGTGGCTGGGAGTCGGGCTACAACGATGTGCCAGATTGGAAATATACGGAGCTCTTCAAGGCATTCTCTCCGAAGGCAAAGACCAAGGCGTTCAGGGTTACGACTGGTTCGGAAGTAGATCAACTGCTCTCGAATCATGGGGTTCAATCACCCACATATCCCCTGGTGAGTTAATGCGTCGTCTCTTGAATCTATTGTTCACCGGGCTGACAGTGGTTGGCTATGAGTGCATTGACATGGTTATTGGCAAATATGACACGCCTAAGGGATCACGAGACGTTTTTGCATCCAAGAAGCCGAGAAAATCTTGACTCTCCTATTGTGAGAGCCGCTCGGGAAAAACCATGTTGGTGCGAGGAATCTGTTCCATATTTTGAGCGGTAGACGACGAGTCGCTGCTAAATTGTGCTACTTTGGATTGTCCAGCCACGAGCCAGCTGTTTGAACATTGACCGAAAGAACGGCTTGATTCTTCACTATACCTACGAAATCATACGAAATTGCTTCCATTGGCAGGGTATTCTTATCTCTGAACCATATGGTGTATACGGGAAGGGACTTGGTAAACTAATGACTAATATGCTGCGCTTTCATCTATAGTAAAATTGGCTCTAGTTATGTGCATTGATTATTGAGGTAAGAGCACAGAGAAGTTATCTGGTAGGCAAAATTAAGATTGTTTACGCCATTGCTGTGATGACTCCCTGCACAGGCACAAGTGCAGTAGGACCCCCGAGAGGCATGAGGGCTTATCCACATTACTGGTCTTCCGTAGCACTTCCATCCTTTCCGACTCTATAGCTGGATTTGTCGGCGCTGCTTGTGGGGTCAAAGGTGTCTGTTTTAGATACAGATGCTCAGCCACGCCATGATGAGCGCTGTGCTTATCGCGAGAGGCACAGGCTGTAAAAAGGGTGCAGCATTTGCAGAGGTCTGCGCAGCTCCGGTTGACTCGGTCTGAGATGCACCGCCTATGCCCGACGCTACGCCTGTGCTGGTAGGCGTGGGAGTACTTGTAGTTACGCTTTGGGTACTTTGCCCGTCTGCACCAAGTACCACAATGTCTGATGATCCGGACGCATCGTGCTTCAATTTTGCTATGCTCACCTCCCGTTGGTCGAGATCGAAAACCACGTACGCCGATCTCAAGAATGTATCGCCCGTAGAGTGTTTCGAGGTCTTTGTGCTCTCACGAACACCCAGTATACACAGAGACCTTCCCTCGGAATCCTGCTTATATTCTCCATTCGTATACATGTAGGGCACGGCTAGGTCGGAAAGAGGAATCTGGATCTCGGTGTTGATGGTACTGTTGCCAAAGACATAGTTGAGTGATATTGTTTGGCCAAAGTCGCAGTCCACGTACCCCGAGCCGTCAATGGCACTTCCCAGGCTGTCAATGAGGGCATTGTACGTATCGGTTGGAAGCTTCATTAAAGCCGCACCGGTATCGATGAGCGCCGACGTTGGGAATTCTCTAGATTCATCTCCACTCTCGCCGCTCGCACTAAGCGGAAAAGTGCCCGAGCTGTTAGTCATGCTGATGGAATGCAGGTTGACCACAAAGTCATCATTGCCAGGGATGATTGGTAGTGTTGTGAGGTTGCCGTCGAACTTTGCCCTGTCGTAACCGCCAAACAATATCTCACCCGTCTCGGCGTCCTTACTGTCCATATAGAGACCGTATGCGCGCCTACCGATCTTCCCTTGCGATAACATCTCGTCGATTACGGTGGGGTACCACTGGCCGGCTTGGGCCAGCTTTGAGTCATTGCTGAAGCCGATTCCCATGATTGCCCTGGACAGCGCTTGAGTCTGGGTAGCTTCTATCATGGTGATGTTGTCCACGGTCAAGTCATCGCCGATACGTAATGTATCACGGAAGTAGGTACCGTTGACCTCAGTGTCTGAAGGGCTCACATATTCGATGTGGAAGCGGGGGTAATCGAGCGCGGTGAGGGTAGAGGATGCGCTCGCATCGAACTCACCGCCCAGACAGGTGACACGGCTCCGGCGACAGGATCCCGGGCCGAAAAACCATGAGTCCGCCGTAGCCGTGTCGATTTTCACGGTGACGGGCTGCGCTGGAGTTCCGACCGAAACGTTCACCAAAAGCTCGCCATATCCCACCCACGAGTTTTCCAGGTCCACGTCAGTGGCTGTATCGCGCGCTTCCAGCCCAGGATTTGTGGCATACCGGACCGTGAACGGAAGCGAAACAACGCCCCCTGATTGGCTGTAGCTACCAGACACAACACCAACTAGCAGGAGAGTAGTCGCGAAGAGCCGCGCAGCAACAGTAAGCATGGTGGTGTTGTGTGGTTTGAGTCGTGAAATAGCGATGAGAACCTTGAGTTTACATGGCAAGAAGGATTCAAGGCGAACATCATTTCAGTGAATGGAGAGGCTCCTGCCAGGCCTGCCTAGCAGCCTGGCAGGCATCCGGTACAAGCGGCGCAGCAAAACGCTTCGGTACTTCGCTGAGTGAAGAGGATCGCCAAGGATTAGCGGACTCCTGATGGATGGGGCGACCACTCCGAGCGGAAGGATCTTCGAGCAGGGTAAAGCCGAAATTGAGCCGAATGGTAATGCTGTGATGACTACTGTGGAGACTGGAGACAGCGAAGTGGATTGCGGTCTATTCTATTCTCCAGATGTGACATTCAAAAACAGTGGGCCTACCATCAATAGAAGGATGGTAATCTCAGGGTATATATTCGTTGCCACACCAGATGATCCAGGTTACACTGGTTTCCACCGAATCGTGATGTGATGTGGTAATACCCGTCCCAACTCCCAATCAAGCTGGTCGAATACCTGGTAATCGGGCGCCTTGATTTACTGTAGGGGCGCCGGGGCTATAAGGGCATGAAGGAGAGATATCAACGAGCTGGGGCAACGATGGGAATGCTGTCAGCAGCTCAAAGATATACAGGCCAATCGCTATGTTCATCTTCACTTCCGCCATTGACCATTTACACTTGGTATATACATCTCTCCTTCCGCCAGTGACCTTCAGCTTTTGATAAATCTTTGACTGGTCACTGCACTCAATGATTATAGCAGTACCGAGACCGTCTAGGAGGTTCGATTGTGGTGGTCCCCGATACTCATGAAACCCTGTCAGGCTCCATTACTGAGCGGCCTGTTCAAACAATTCGCGCCAATTCGAACGAGGGTACGGACAGCCATTAACTGCGCAGTGTCCCCCCGTAGCATGGACTGGTTCGAGTTGTAGGTGCTTACATATCAGTTGTGCAGAACGCATCGAGATACGCGAGAGACGATTGATCTCTCACGTCCGTCACACCTTTCAGAATTTTGCCCTCCACTACAAACCCATACCGCCAGAACAAGCCCGCCATCCTCGCACTTCGGATGAGCTGCATGTCGCCCTCCGACGCATTGTGAGCCCGGTCCGAAAAGCCCGCCAGAGACGGTCCTCAAGTTCACGGCGGTTATCGTAGTAATGCCATCCCGTAGAATCCATGCAGCCAAGAATATTCTCAAGGCCCCACAGGGCAAAGCCGAACGGAAGGATCCTTGCCTCGGCCCAGTCGACGATCCCCGTGATATTTCCCGTTTCACGGCCTATCAGGATGTTCATCTCACATAGATCCCCATGGTTAAGAACGAAAGGAAACGTCTCGGAGAAGAGTGACGGTGGACTTTGGCGAACCCCGTGTAGGTTCGACGTAAATCGAGGCGGCAGTGATCGGGTAAGAACGTCACACTTGGACTCAAACTCCGCCTGTAGAGTAGCCATGTTGTCTAAATCTAATCGTCGCCTGCTATTCCACGATTGGGCGAAGAAACTGCACGCATGATCAGCTCCTGCTTGAAACGTAGACATCATCGTATGGTATACACGCACTTCGCTAGGTCTTTCACAGTGTTGCGCTGCCGGGGACACGGCGTCGGCGGATTGTATGGTGGAGATGCTGCGCGCTATGATATAAGCTGCCCCAGGAAGATTCTCCATCTCGTAAATATGGACAGGCCGGGATCGGCCGATAGTTCCATGATACTTGCAGCTGGCCACGAATTGCGGATGAACTGCCTTGGCCAGACTCATGACATGCATGTCCAAGCTGGGATCAAGGACTCGAAACTGCAGGATTTTGGTAGCCCCCACGGCCACGGTGTAGCTGAATGTTCCCTGTATCTGTACAGGACTGGGTTGCCCACCCGTATGACCTAGTGCGAAATCATCACATTGCTGCCTTGTTGCGCTGGTCATTGATTCGAAGAAGGAGCTGATTGCGTTGTCGAGGCTGTAATGAGTAACCATTGCACTTGAGGGCGGTGGAGAGCAGTGAGAAAGATGCTTGTTGCTGGTCTCAAAATGTGGAAAGTGCCCAGGGAGAGTCTTAGACTTCAGGCACATAATGAAGTGATGCGGGTGCCGAAGAGAACTCGACAGAAGTAAGGGCACGCAAATGTCAGAATGGTGTGAGATTTGGCTGCAGTAAAGGTTCAGTGTTGGAGCGATGGAGTGGTAAGTTGGTTGATGGCGGCCACACCGCAGACTTCGTGGGGCAGTGAAAGACCAGCATTTCACCGCCAAAGAGCGCAAGACGCAAAGCTATTCTTTTTATCCATACAAAATCCCTTGAATAATCTCAGTGAGAATTTTATCTCGGGATTCTATATTCTTCAGGCCGACGTTTTTCATTCCTCTGCTATTCAAATAGGTCGATCTACGTCCCTCTCCGATAGGAGCTCGTGGGGGAGATGTCCGCAGCCGCTTTTCGGAGAGTGTGACAGTAGAAGGGAGGGCAATATACATACATGTATATACATACATGTAATTCTACTTGTTGTGTACGTGGGATATGTTGATTGTTCCACATGGCCATTGATCGCTTCTGTTGGCAAATAATCAATCAGCTAGACAGGCAGCCGATAATGTGGAGCTCTAGACAGCGAGGGTCAAGGAGCAAAAGAAGGGGTGGTAAAGAACGAAGTTTGATGTTCTTGTGAGATTTAATTGGCTGTCGTCGCGGGTAACATCTTCGAATCCCGTTCAAAGGACGTACGGCAGATTGAAAGCATAAACTCAATTGAACTGGATTAGGTCGTGCTTACGAGTTGTGTTTTCTTCTTTTCATTTTCTATTCCTTGGTGTTTGTGCAGCTCTTTGCTGCGCATCATGGCTGAGCGATTGGAAGAAAAACTCGCCTTCAACTATAGTAGGCCGAAGTTAGACGACTGACGTCGATTCAGGCATTAAATTTAACATCAAGCAACCAGCTCGTAACATTGCCAATCAATCCTTTCGCTTGGAGTTGGAAGTTGGCGTTGCCTGTACAAGTGGTTCTCATAACAGGTGGAGGTTCCAATGCTGAAAGCAACCTGACGTTCTGCGCAGTTCAGCTTGTATATGCATGAAGGACGACAACAAACGGGCTTTCTCAATGTTAACTCGGAATTCACAATGGCATAAGCGGTCCAACAATCTGAGCTTCTTGAGATTCTATATGATACTTTGCTGACTTGTGCGGCACGCAGCTCAACCGGGTGGGTTTTATACTTTCGACTTCTGTGGTCTCAACTTCCGCGGTCCCAACTTCCGTGGTCTCCATTTCCGTGGCCTAAGTAAACTCTATAAATCCTTCTAGGGTTCATCGTGTGGTGAGTATTTGGTGCAGTTGAATATCGCTTGCAATCTCGTCTCCGGGTAGAATTCATCGTTGTAATATGTGGATGGACAGTGAACTGTGGGGACATCACTGATAGCATATACGCAGTTGCCCTTCTTACGGTTGTCCCTGTCGTAAATGTCATTGTTGCGATCCTTGTAGATAGCTAGCTAATCATCAGCGGCAAGACACACACACAAAGTCAAAAGCATAAGAGATGCGACGGACAGGCATGCTCGACAGTTTGGGATCTGGGACAGGTATACATACTGTGATGGCCGAAGTACTTGTCACTTCTATCGACGTGCTCGCCGCGATACTTTGCCCCCTGCACGTTGAACTCGAGGATGTCCGGCTGCGTCCAGTCACTGCCGACGATCCGCACGCCTTCCTTGTCGCGGCTCACGTCGCTCCTCTCGTCGAGGAACATGCCGGTAAAGTAGAAATGGTAGCAGTCGGAAGGCTGGGAGGTCGGCAGCAGGTGGACGTCGAAATACTTCGGCAGTGTGTACCCGACATACGGCGAAATGTAGTGGCGGTACCAGATCGTAAAGTTGGTCGTCCTTAGATTTGGTTCTTTGTACGAGGTCTCCAAACCCAGGGCAGCGCCGGCGAGGGATATGACGGCCGCGATGGTGGAGGCGAGGATGGGAGATGACCTCATCGTGATGATTATTTTACTCTTTTGAGCTGGTCTTGCCAAGTTCCTCGGATTTGCTCGTGTTTGCAGTTGTAGCTGTGATTCGAGACAAGCACAGGCGTAAGATGCCGGTAGAATGGCTATTAATACCATAGCCATTGCTCTCCTTGCCATACGGACTTTTTCAGCCAGTCTCATAAGTCTCCTTTGATAATAATACGAAAATTAGTCTCAGCTTTCTCTGATCGACCAGAAATGCGAATTTGCTGGATGCGGAGTACAACCCAACAAATCAATCAAATGTTTTGCACTATGCTCTAGATCCTTGGAATATATAAACGCACAGCAATACTTAGGGAATCTTTGATCAGGCCACACAGCAAGCAGGCACGAAGCGACATTGACATTTGTCAAGAGGTTGTATTTGTGACTGTGTGATAAAGTATGACACGTTGCGTCCCCTTTACTGGAACTGGCTATGTGTGAATCTGTAGACATGCCATTTACCACGGTTTAGTATGCGCAGGCGCCACTGCTTATATAACGTTCATGGATCTGTGGAAAAGACGATATCCACCATTAACCAACTTTAATCAAGAGCTGTACCTGAGTTCTGTTTCCAGCGGTAGGTCAAGGCCGGACTTTCGACGACCATGGCCCGGTGGGAAAGTCTGAAATGTAAGTTCCAATGAGATAGTAAAGGGAATGAAGGTTTACCTTAGTTGAATGTGTCTCAATCGCAGAGGACGGACAGGAAATCAAGGCCGCCACATTTGACTGCGAATCGCCAAGCGAAACGCCATTGTGAAGGTTGAAATAAAAGAAAAGTAACGACCAAGTTTCCAAAGACCACCTCCGAATCAAAGTGCATGATCTGTCGATCTTCCTCGTTCTATCTCAGCTTTCTCCGTCTAGCAGAAGGCGGATTGGAACACTACGACCTCTTGCCTCCCAGGAGCGGTACCGATACACTCAACCTGAGCATAGCACCTGGCCGATGGGTCAGATAACTTCACCGTCTACAATAGAGTTGATCGTACTGTGACTAAGTTGTCGTCTAGGTTTTCATAGGGACAGTTTACTCCGCTGCTATCTATTTGGGTCGTGTGGATGCCCATTATAGTCAATGCTTACTGTAACTATAATACTTCACATCAAACGCCACAAACTTCGACAAAGCGTATCGCCTATAGATCCCGACATGCGCCGGTAGCATCAGTCATGATAATTCTGAATATCGGGGCCGCGGTTGTCGGTGTCGGAATCTCGTTACCATGGATGATCATGAGGTGATTTTCTTTGTGTAAGGCTAAGAAACATATTGTTTTGTTTATGTTCCATTCCTCCTCCTCCTCCTCCTCCTCCTCCTCCTCCTCCTCCTCCTCCTCCTCATCATCATCATCATCATCACCCAGGTTATAATTGCAAGGACACGATAGGTATATTACCTCTGAGGACCCACCAGGAGGACCTACCAGGAAGCCCTGTTACCAACTACCCGAAGAACCAAACCTGAGGTAACATGAAAGGCGTAGGCCCTAGATCTGGAGGATCAAAATTTAGTGACCACACAAGTTGGAATGGCAAGCTTTTCAGGCAAAAATTGGTGTCACGTTTGAAAGACGTAGCTTCCCACATCCCACACACACCTATAAGGAGGTTGCGTCGACTGTTACACAGCCTTCGCCCGACGTGAAACAATACAAACAAGCGACGAAGCAAACAAAAAAGCAAACATTAACATAATCCCTGACACAATCTAACTCGAGGAGCAAGCAAGACACTCAAAGTTAATGAACTTTTCAAACCTCACCCCGTCAACTCGCATTACCGTCACATAGGCCCATGTAAGGCCGTCACGATGCTCGCTCAGAGTGACAGCAGCGCCACCGAGTGGGAGGGTTACGTCGAGAAAGTATGTCGAGGTTGGTGACGCCTGCGACGTTGATGTTAAAAAGGTGTCCAATGATGCTGCGAGTATCGCGGAAGACTGTATCGCCAATGCTGGCGGTGCCTGGGTTTCATGAGTTTAGAAGGAGAATTTGAATAGTAGGAGAGCTGCTTGGGATGGTATTAGGATAAAAGTAATGCCAAAGGCGGTTCGCATTGCATCTTACAGTTTGTATTAGGAATCAAGAATATAATGACATTCAATCCGTTAAATAAAGAGATATATAACCTTCCAGACGAGAAAGATCGCCCAAGGCAAGAGGGAAAACTCTATTCAGCCCGAGGCGGCCAGCGTCTCCCGAGGACGATCCGAGACAGCAACACAGAAGGGAATCAGCAAAAGAGCCGCTCCAAGCAGTCGTCGTCGCCATCGGCCCAGATTTCCCATGCGGGGAGTCCACGCTCCCATGTGAAGGCCTCGATCTCACGATCAAGATCGCGGATCGCATCGTGCAGAGCAAGGACGTCCTCCTCGTTGAATTCGACATATACATCCCTCGTCATCCAGCAGCCGGCCCGCTCGCACTCCCTGAGCGCGCGGTAGTGGTACTCCTTGAGCCTGTCCAGCTCTGCCATGCTGTCGTCGAGCTGCGCCAGCCGCGCCTCGTGGGCGCGGGCGCCCGCACCGGCCGTGTCGAGGCGGCGCCCTAAGCCGACGGAGTATAGAGACTCGAGGCGGTCCTCCTGCTGCCTGAGGCAGACGAGGGCCTCGATCCTGAGCTCAACATAATGATTCACCAGCGACGCGTACGAGACGGTTGATTCCCCATCCCAGTCATCGGGCCAGGAGGACGAACTCTGGGCATCTTCTTCTGTGCTACTCAGAACTTCTTCTTCTGCGCTGCTCCAGGCTTTTTCTTCTTCACCTTCAGGGATGCTCGGCGCCTCCGGTTTCGAATCACCGGACACGTCCCATGGATCCGGAGAAATGTGGCAGGCGGCCAATTCCGCGTCCATCACCACGAGCTTCTGCTCTAGACCTCGCATGGTATCAGCCGTCCCGAGGGCAATATTGGTGGCGCTGATCAGTCTCTGGGCCTGTGCCTCTATACTGCGCAAGAGGCCGCGGATCCTCTCGTCGTCGTCATCGTTGTCGCTGTCGGTGCCGTCATCGCCGACGTGCTCCTTTCCACGGGGTAGAGCGGCGCTCGAAACTGACAGCGCCGCGTGCGCACCATCGTGCTCTCCCAGGTGTGCAGAGTCGTGCTCGACGTGGGAGAGCCACCGGAGGAACAAAACGTCTTCATGAAAAACCGGCATGGCGTGTGATTCGGGTTTGACAATCTGTAGTTTAGTAAAAAGAAAAGGAAAAAGAAAGGACTTTTGCTCTCAATGCAGCGGAGGGTGTGGCCACTGCAACATGGAAAATGTAAGGTAGAAGGAGATGGGTATATATATTGATCGTCCTGTAGATGTCTCAAAGAAGATGTACTATCTCAAAATACAAAAGCCAAGTCTACAGCGGGGTTATCTTCGTTCTGGCTTTGTCCTCGTAATTACTATAACACTATGTCCTGACGACAAAGAACAATTTACCAGCTGCCCGCAGGTGGACCCATGAAGCTTACACCATCAGCAGGCAAAAACTTGGTACGGGCCGTCCTCATGGCGTCAGAAGTCGAGCTGGAGATGGTTGTTCCCCACCATTCAGGGAAGGAACTGGCAGAAAGACCGAGACCCAATGCGAAGAGGACAATGCAGATTGCGTTGCCTACATCGAGCGCACCAGCCATGACGTAAGTGTACTGAGACCACCAGCCCTTGTACTTCTTCATGATCCAGATGTTGAATATGGCGCCGACAAGGAGCCAGTTGGTCAGGTTCCAGAGTGTGGCGGGAGGAATCATACCACCAATGCTGAAGATGGCGGGGAAGTAAACGTACCGCTTGACAGGTGTTAGCTTTTCAATACACCCACTGACATACGGCTTTTTGAACTCATGAACTTACAGCGATGCTACGAGGATATCTCCTGGCGACAAAGTAATGGATGGTTGTGCAAGCAGCTCCGATCAGCCAGAAGTAGTTAATCCACGAGAACAGGGCGCCGGGGCCGAACATTCTCTTGGGGCCAACGACTCCCCAGATGACACTGGCGTTGTAGAACGTCGTGGCACCAGGACACGTGAAGCCCTGGGGCTGGTCCTCGGAGCAGAACTCAGGGATGTTACCGACGAGGAAGTTGAAGGTAGCGATCTGGACGAGAGACAACCAGACGACAGCGAAGAGCTGTGCACGGAACATGGAGCGGGGAGGCACTTTCATCTGCGGGCGGGGGTTAGCATTGACACTTTCATACAGGCCCGGGCTGGGGGTGTCATGGGCTATGTGAGTAGTAAAAGGCACGCCAAGCTGAGTGAGGGACTCATCCTCACATCGAGACAGGACAAAGGGGGCAAGAGGATATGAAAAGGGCGGGGTAGGTGCTTACGTAGTGGCCGACCTTCATATCCTGAACGAAAGTGAGACTGTTTGACATGAGCATGTAGCCCCAGCTCTTGAACAACATCATAGCGATAGGCCTGCCGGGCAACATATAACCAACGATGAACTCGGTGATGATGTTCAGACCGGTCTGCTGACTGGTGATGGCTTGGATGATTCCGACCGGTAGTGTGAGGGCCACTCCGATCAGAATGCAGAGGATGAATCCCCACCAAGTAAGCTTGGTATCCCAGACCTGAGAGGCAACCATTGCGAAAACAAAGAAGATGACAAAGACGCTCAAAAACCACCATTCGGGGGCCTCGGGGTACTTTCTCATCAGCTTCAAGTGGATATCCGGCTCCTCGTACCTTGCGTTCTTGGTACGCCTGTAGATATCCTTGCCGTAAAAGAGACCGACGTGGCACACGGTCGACATGAGAGCAGCAAATCCGAGGGCGTAAGCCATGGTGAAGACTGGACCGATCAGCAGAGGAGAGTAGGCCTCATATGCCTCGATGTTCAGGGTCAGGTCTTCGTTCAGGATCCTCGAGGTGTTGTATGGCTTGGCGAAGTGGTCGAAGTTCTTGTTGGCACTCAACGGGAGATACTTGTAGAAGTCCGCACCGGCAAACGCAGTGATGTAGCCACAGACGAGAATAAGCACGGCGCCGAACAGCGAGTTCCAGATGGCGAACGAGGGGAATTGCAGAGGGTTCATGAAGAAACCCGAGACACCGCTCCAATCTAGGGTGCCGGGGATGAAGCCTAGGCCATTTGTACCGCCAAAGACCTTGAAGAAAGATTAGCGACATGCAGCAGGCTTGAATGTAGAATAGGCACTCACCTGGTTGACCACCACGTTGTTCGGGGCAATCCACGTGGGGAATTGGCCGAGGTTGGAAACAAATGGCGCGATGACATTGGGAATCCATTGCCAGAAGAAGGTAGCCCCGGCCACGACGAGGAAGAAATGGTAACGACCAATCTTCCAGCCATTGGTGGCAGCAGGGTCTGCCCTGCCGTGACTATGCAGACCTATCAACCAAGGGGGGTCAGTAGACTGCGTCGTGCCATGGTGGGGAGTAGGAAAAGGAGCAAGAGGGGCTTACTGTCCATGACCGAGGTAGTGATAAGGGTGGCAGGCCACACCATGGCGGCGGGCCAGATCAAGAAGCGGCGCAGAATTCCGGCAATACCAAATCCCATGGCCTGGGTGGACATGATCAGCAGGATCTGGAAACCCCAGCCCCATACCTGACCGTAGAAGATTTGCTGTGCGATCAGGATCGAAATGGCGTAACTGATGGTGGTACCGGCGGCTGCCATCATGGTGACGATGGTGTGCTCCTTCTTGTTGAAGGGGCCCGGGTTGAGGCGGATTGAGCGACCAAAGAGCGTAAAGCCGACGTCGGGGACGAACTTCGCCCAGCCAGCACCCATGGGGTACGAGATCAACTGGACGACAGGGCTGGTGATGGCGACTTGGAGGTAGTGCTCATAGAGCAGGACGTTCATGGCGCCAACGACGGTGCAGACGATGAAACCAATAGTCCAGGCACGAACAGTATCGACGTAGTCGTCCGGGTTGTCAGTGGGTGCGACCTAAGATGACTCAGCACTACCGCGGCGGGAGAAAAAAGTAAAGAAAAAAGAAAAAAAAGACAGTCGGATGCACTTACCGCAGCGCGCACTTCCATGTAGGGGGAGTCTTCCTGGAGGAGGGTCACTTCGACTGCAGCTCCCTTCTCGGCGTCGCCACTGGCAAGGGCAGCGTCGACGGCGTCGATCTTGTCGTAGTCCATGAAGGGATCCCATTTGTGCTGTTCCTTGACGCGCTTGAGGTGCACGTTGGCGTTGGCGACATCATGAGCGACATCGTCGCCGAGGTCGTTGGAGTCGGTGGGGTGGGCTTCGAAGCCAGTCGTCTGGACTTCAGTTGCGCTAGCGCCCTTGGACTTGCGAAATGAGAAACCCATCTTGCTTGTTCTTGATCCTGATCTTGATCTTGATCTCAATCGTGATGGCCGATCAATTGGCTACGACCCGATTGAACTTACGACGAGGCGCAAGGTTGACAAGAGAAAAAGAAGGCAAGGCAGGGAAGGATCAGTGCACTCAAGGCCCGAGGGTGTCCATGGTAGTTATACCAGATCCAACACAATCGCGATTCGCAGTGCATGAATGCAACCATTCACTTTTGGGTGGTTTTTCTCTGGTTCAGCTCCAATCAGCTCTAACCGACAGAGTGGCTGCAAGGGTGACTTGTAGATTGGCTGTATTTCGTGCAGGGTCTCGAAAACGACATAACCCCTTCAAGAGCTAGCCCGGATGCCAAGATCTCGCCGCTATCTCCAGGGGGGCAGGCCCTCGAAGCCCTTCAGGTAGGTCGGGTCTCCTCCCCCTCGGGGGGTCTCGTGCGGATTCGCGCTGTAGTTAGCCTCTAGCAGTCGCAGACAGTGAATTACCACAAACCTGCAGAGCTTCATCAACTCTATCTAGTATTGCGCACACCTTGCGTAGTTCTTGTCCTTTCTCGGTCTGTCGGCTCTATAGCCATTGAGTGGTAAGATTTTAAGCATATTTCACCATACCAATAACAACCGTTTGATTAGATGCGTCTGGACAATTTAGCTTCTTCAACAGGCACAGGCAAAGGCGTAAAGGCGCAAAGGCCCGTTACTGCTAACCTACAGGAGCCATTTGATCGCGTGTCGGCAACGGTCAGATTAGCCTCTTCGCCACTGGCGGCTTGGCTGCCCACTGGGAAAGGTAAAGCGCAGCTGAGGGGCTGAGGTTGGCAGGTTTGCCCCGGCCCCCGGAGGAGGGCTCAGGGTTTATGGGGGTTGCTACACGAGACAACTCGCACGAAATGTATGGTACCACTCTACGTAGGGAATCGTGCGACCGGGCTAGAATATTGGCTCACATTTCGCTGTGGCCAAGCCGTCAGCAAGCATCAGCAAGCATCAGCAAGCATTAGCCAAGTGCGGGTCAAGGCCGGTGGCGTCTGGCCTTCAACCGCGCAACCGCAGTCGATGCGATATGCTTTATTGAAATAGGCCGTCAGGGTCGTGTGATTTGCGGGCTTGCTTTCTGTGCCGCGAGGGTGCTTCTCGAACATGTGGCCAAGGCGCTTGGCACCGGAGGGATTGGCCGAGACTGGAAACTCGTTTTATTAGTGCCCCTTCAGCTATCGTCGAAGAGGAAGGAGGGTGAGTAAGAATTGTCAAGGAAGCTTATTGAAGCTTATCTATCGCGGCATGCGTCCTGGCGCACAATTTCGCTCGGCCATACTAGCCACTACAATGTTAAGTATGGTCTGCTCGTCAACCTTCTTGCGTGCCAACTCGGTTTCAAAGGATCAGCTCGGTCGGTTCTGGTGCTGTCCACTAATCATAATAAGAGGTCCAGCGATCCGGTTGCGGGGAAAGCCCTAGGCGGCCAGAGCTAGCTCAACCGTAACCTCGGGCATCAGCATGGGGTCCAGACCAACTCGAGTTAACCCGTAATCACACCTGTTCTTGGCGAACCGCGCGCTTCGTTTCTGGCCTCGGCTTCTCCCAGCCTTTATCCGCTGCGTTTGATCCCGGCTGATCGCTTGAGAGCGAGAGAGCTGGGTATACGATCAGACAGGTCATCCAGCAACGATGGGATTGGATGGCTTAACGTGGCACCCCGTACTGATCCGTACAGATAAGTAGCCGATGCGATGGATTACACGATCGCCAATTGGTAAACGGTGAGAGACCTACCTGTACGGCTTACCGACAATGGTCATATCCGTGCTTATCTTTTTGCTTACTCGGTCTGGACCGGATAGATTCATCCCAGCTATCTCGATCCTTTCCAAAGTGGTTGCATCCAGCCACCTAGCCCACCGTACGAGCTCTCACCCATCGAAGGCGGTTTGCTGGATTGAGCGTGTTCTACAATCTGCGCATCGCCTGTTCAACAGCTATCTGCACGATCGCGACTCTGCGTCCAACGCAGACAACCCGCGTGTTTCCGACCATCTTCAATCTGAGCGGTAGATGCCTATGTCAACCTCACAACTGATCGCAGTCTTCCAAATCTGTCGAGAACCAGCTTCTTTGACCTGGTTTGTCGTGTTTCTGAGCTGCACCCTCGCTGGAGGTGACGCCGAATGAGCATGTGGGTAGGAATAAACTTCTGTTCCAGGTGCAGGCGATCAATTGTCCCAGTTGCATGGGTCTTTCCGAGTCAGAAGGTGTAATGAAAGTGCTAACTAGTATCTTGAAGGACCCCGAGGAGGTTTGAACAAGCCGGAGTTGCAACCGCCCCACGGGGATGAAAGCACCCCTGGACGGAGGTCCCATAGTGTGCTTGAGAACTAGCAAGACTAGTAACGGTTGAGAGGAAAGTTCCTCAAACTCAGGTACCCAGAAAGGTTTAGTGAACCAGCATTGCTGTTTTTGACCACTAGGAAAGATGGAATATGTTCATGCAACCGACCGATCCTATTTTTGGAGACGAGTATCTTCGACCAAACAGAAGGTGGGCCATCCAAGTCATACTGAGCAAAAAGCAAACAGCCTGACCCGTCAATGCATGACAACTAGACCAGGTCCGGTGATGCCTGAAATGTTGTGTGGTCGTTCCACGACCTAAGTTCTGTACTTCCATACGCAACCCTCTTCTAGTGCCTAGTACGTTTAGAACATCATCGGAGCTATGCCGCAAGGAAAAGCAATGCAACAGTCACCGGACTCTGGGATGTGCCGTCCCAGAGCTCCTAGGCAATCGCAAATGCATTCCCTGTCCCTATGAGCATCCCAATCGCCAATCTTGCGGTGCCGGAGTATACTCAAGGAGCTGCAAGCCGGCGAATGCACCACCGCTCCACCTATAGATGCTTCCAAGGTCAAACTTAATCATACGATAACAAAGAAAAGAAATATCGAAAAATTCTCTAAATTTCGAGTTCATGTAGATACGCCAAAGCTAAGCTAAACTTGATGTACCAAACTTGAATTTTTGCTGTGTGATGGTATGAAAAGAGTTCGTGATAATCGTCTCGTTTGGAGGGAAAAACTGGAGACGTGTGCATTCTCCTATTTGCAGCTCCCGGCTGATATCTGTATCTTTGGCACCCATCTGTGTTTCACGCGGTGGCCCCGATCCCGGTCTCAACGTCCCAGACCTGAGACCTATCCAATCGATCGCTTGACAGCCGATCCGTCTTCTTTCTCCGTCCTCAGGTACCCGCCCCGCTCTTACAATCCCCTCCGCTATGCGTGACGAATTTGGCATGAAACTGGTCGCACCTGCCCCCTCTTTCGGATATGCACGTTATACATCCCTGTCGCCTATGCAATGTCCAGACGCGGTGGTCCTGCCGACACAGGCGGTGCCGGGGGATACCGCTGCCGATCCTAAAGAGGTGCGTGCTCGCCACGACGTCGCCCGTAAAGATCGCCGTGATTATCACACTGGGCATCGTCACCACCGTTGGTGTAGTGGCGGTGTTGATCTCGCTACGGTCTACACCCACGGAACTTCTCGGGGAATCTCTTACCGCCTATTGGCTTGGTGTTCATTGTGTAGGTCCTGTCGCCTTAGTACGCGCAACGGTGAATATTCCTAGATAGATTTTCCCTCTGAAGTCGCCATAGCGCGTTTAAACTAAGCTGTCGCATATACTCATCCAACATCGGTCACGCGAAGCCTCCTCTTGGTACCGTGAAACCCTGAGCTTTAAAATTCGTTCGTATTCGTTTAGCAAGTTCACAAACCCTTCCCATCTGGCCTTATTTTCTCCGCAATGAATGCAGATCTTCTCACCAAGCACAGCCTCTTGAACAATCCAAACCTTATGCCAATAGGGTCGTCCACAGAGCTGGCGAAGTGCACTCCACCTGGTGATTTGATCATCAAGGACTTGTAGAGGAGTTGAACCAGTCAAGCGTCCAAGGACCCCCACGGAACTCCGATAGCGTGAGGCTGATTGCTCAATCCAATCCATCGCCAGCGGACTCGTCTTCGACGCTCTGTCGAGCCATATCAGGACTGCTTCCGCATAGCTGTATATGGCGTGCATTTGAGCGACCTGGGGATTACGCTCAAATAAATTGGACTGGTCAATACAGATGGCATCAATCCACAGAATCCGTTGGCAGTAACGGCTCAAAGCTTGAAGGGCATCCCACAAGTTGCGGCGAATGGTGATATTATTATTGTTAATGTAACACTCACACAAATCCTCTTAGTTACCCCACGCATAGCTGAGAGCTTCGTAGGATGGGCGAGCCGAGTGCGTTGTGGTAAACATACGACACCTCAAATCTTCACCTTTTGCTCCTGGCTCAAGAACAAGAATCGGAGTGCATCTGTCGCGACTAATGGCTCATACATTGCCGCGGAAGTATTGCACTGCTAGATGTTGCAACGGAATTGAGACAGGTAGGAACAATCAGAAGCGGTGATGCACATTGATATGGCCGAGCTTTGAATGTGGCTATGCTGTGGCCCATCCACCACTCGGCACAGCAATAAGCTCTATACCACACCAAGAACTCCCCAGATTCAGTGTACCACAACTCCATCAATTCTTGAGTTAGTCAAAAGCTATACTTACCAATAGATAGAGGTTTCCTTGGAGTCTGGAATGGTTTTAGTTATCAACCGCTATATTTAGCAAGGGGCCGAGCCACGCGGCCCGATCGGGATACTATTGTAGTGGTATTTACTCAATTTCATCCACTTCTTTATCAACCTCCTCCTCAACCATCGGTTGACCTTCTGCGTCAATTAGCTGAATAGCCGTGATATTCACACCGGCAGATAAGATTTCACTAATTTGAATGAAATGCTGGTTTGGATTGGGGACCTTGCGCGTTTTAGGCTGTGCGTGTTGAATCCTGGCTTGAAGCGGTTCAACCTCGTGAGCTTGCAGCACTAGACGGACTGTTTGCCATTTGAATGCTCTGGCAACCTTACACAATAATTGGCGTGTACTGGGGCTTTTATCAGCAGCCAGATTCTCAATCCGGCGGCCTGTAGTTGGTGTTTTATCCACATCAGATTCAGCGTTTCTCCGATCTGGAGTTTTGGCCCGATCCAGCTGAATTTCAGGATGGGTAAGCGCTTTGCGGCATGATGTTGGCCAGTTGCCTGTATGCCTCCCGCTGACCTTATATGGTTCTCAGTAACAGTTTGCTTGGCTGCAAGATAACAGCGTAGGAAGCTGATTTTATCGATTGGGACAGCATTGTATAAGTGGGTCAATCTTTAATAGCTCTTTGTAGTAGGCACGCTCCGGCACACTGAATAGTCTGTTTTCAAGTGGCTGTAATCCATGGGACCTGTGTGCTGGCAGGATGCATAAATATACGTGGTTCCTGAAGCATGAAACCATGGACTCACCTAACGAGGAGGCTAGTTTTATCACACACAATATTCAGAATCTACTTACAGACTAGTGACTGCTGTGGCTATCAAGGATAATCAGCCTGGAATCTGATGGATCCTTGGGTGTGGTCTGGGGCAGATACACGTCTACTAGCCACCGTACCGCAATATCGTTGTCGATCCACCCATTTGGGCTACGGCCTTGTGGCGACTTCAAATAGGCGTTCTTGGTGGCAGCTGAACCCAATACTAGTGGGTCCAGTCCTATGCCAGATCAGCCCAGATCAACATAGAACACACCGAAATGCTTACCGAATCCAACCATAATACCACGTTCGTCCACGTTGGCAGTATTTTCAGGCAATACGACTCCGTATTCAGACTCTCTGATATTGAAATACCAGTGCTGTGAATCCGTTGAATCCGTTGAATCTGGCAGCTTCTTCGCGCTTTCCTACTCTGGTCTCGATCTGGGGATTCCTACGGATAGATCCAGCTACCCAATTCTTCCCCAGAGGCCGTGGCTGTTGGTAGGATCGGGATGTCTTGCTTAATAATTGATACCTTAGCGGCCACGTGATCAATCTTGCTGGCGTCAGTCCAATCGTCTTATAAATAGACTGAAATGTGACCCAAGGGAAACCACAATGTCCAGCTGTATTGCCAAAGACCACCAAACATGAATACGAGTCAAGCTTTACCTTCCCTAGTCAGGCTTACTGATACAGACCTGAAGCTCAACTTCGAGGCAAGCTTCAGCGAAGATGTGAAAGAGTTTCACGTAAACGTCCACGAAGAATTCTTGGCTGCTTCAAAGCTGAAGGCTTCGCTGACACGTTTCGTCGATGATATTGACCAGCCTGACTTTGCAGACGGTCCACCTCGACGCGTGGTCGAAGAAGTTGCGAAATACTGGTCTAACGAGTACGATTGGCGCAAGGTGGAGGCTCAGATCAACGAGACCTTCGAGCAATATACCACTATAGTGCAAACACTCACCCCTGACTTTCCACATCCTTTGCCGTTGCACTTTGTTCACCACCGTTCTCCACGCGCAGATGCAATCCCGCTGTTATTCATCCACGGCTGGCCCGGCTCATTCCTCGAGGTCGAGAACCTCTTGGGGCCTCTCACCAATCCAACCAACAACAATCTGCCCGCTTTCCACCTTGTCGCGCCATCGATTCCAGGCTACGGGTTTTCACCCTCTCCTCGCCACCCAGGGATGGGCTATCGGGCAGCAGCGCACGCCTTCCACGCTCTCATGCAGAAGCTCGGCTATTCCCGATACGTGTATCAAGGCGGCGACGCAGGCGATTTTATCGGCCACTTTGCGGCCCTTGACTTTCCAGACGCCGTCGTCTCAGGACACTCGAATTTCTGGATATCTCCGCCATCTCCATCTGACTTGGCGCGGTACGACGCCGGCGAGGCGACCGAAGATGAGAAATACATCATTGAGAAGCTCGGAAAATTCAGCAACGAGTTCTGGTCATACGGTATAATCCACCAGACTCGCCCCTTGAAGCTATCTATTGGGCTTACGGATAGCCCTGTTGGCTTAGCCATGTGGATATACGATGTCTCAAGTTTCGAAGACCCCGAAATTTTCACAACTGAGCGATTGATAACTTGGACGATGATGCACTGGATTAACGGACCGTATGCAGCACTTAGTATTTATAAGCACGGACAGAAGGTGAGTTTCGGTATCAAAGAGCATAGAATGACGCCATGCGCATTCTACTTGCGCTGGATGGTACGCCCGCTAATCATTAACCGATGAACAGGATGGCGTCATTTCTGTCCGGGGCATCAACACGATGCCATACATATCTCAGCCGATTGCTCTTTCTCAATTCCCGCGAGATATATGGTACCGCACGCCCCTAGAATGGGCTAAGAGGACCGGAAACGTGGTTTATTTTGCGAAACATGAGCGGGGCGGACATTTTGCAGCCACAGACGCACCCGATCTCTTGATTCAAGACATTAGAAAGTTCTTTGGCAATGCGCAGCTTTCGGGCACTCATATTTTCTACAAAGGGCTGTCGGGATAGCAATTCGCGCAAATTAGCTTCGCTAGTCTACCATCAGAGACCAAGTGAGGCATCGTAGGATCTATTGAATTTAACGGTAAATGACGATGCTTATCTTTTTAATGTACTTTGAAACTATCCATTGTTATTGAGAGGAGTTCAGTAAAATATAATCATACTTAAAAATTAAAAATTATAACCGTCCATAAAGAAACTGCGTAGGTTTCTATTATTTAACCTTGAAAGAGAAACAACGTAGGCTAAAAACAAATCACTGGATTAGCTGCTAACGCCCTGTTGCTACGTACGTGTCCGACGAAAACTGACTGCTACCCGTAGATCTGCCTTCTTCTAACACTATGTCAGTACCACGTCTGCTCTCAGGCCTGCCACAATCTCGTTCATCTACAACAGCCGCCGTGTACATCTGCTTAATCAGAGCCCAGAGAAATCACAGAGCCTGGATGCCCCACTTGATTCTAGACATTCCGCTCTTCATGCCGTCGAAAAAAAGTGTAGACCAGAAGAGGACCGACGACACCAGCCGACGTGCAAACTGTGAAATTTAGTCAGCGCTCTTGTCGATGTTGGGAAAAAAAGGCTTAAAAGTCACTACTCATAGAAAATTTGATATATCTGGTTCGGTTCATATTCTAGCTCTCCTTCGGCATTGTGCCGTGATGTTATAGTACTCAAGGCGAGAAACGATGCTAGGAAGGATAATGGTGACCGTAAATGATGCATCAGTCCCGAAGTAGCGGTTATTGCGATGGAACCCCTTACGAAAACGACCACGACGTGGAAATTATGCTGCACCGGTAAGAGATACAAGCTTATACAGCCTCGTAAGCACGAAATTAGATAAGTTGTTAATGCATTATCCGTTGTCTACGAGTCCCCTCGTTTCATGTTGGTTCGCATCCACCACAAGCAATGGGATGTCAGACCAGCATGATACTGGGAGTGGATGGGTCACTCAAAAAAATGTCCCATTGCATTTCTTCCTGGCCGATAACCTTTCTTTGTTCCCATAGGGAAATAATAAGGGGTTTAGCCTTTTGCCACAAGGAGATAGTGGAGTGTTCCATGATGAAATCAAGCCAGGCTATTGCTCTCGTGCGTAGATGGGCATCTTGTGTTTCGAAGAACACGATTGCAATGGGCCACAAGACTGGAGAAAAGGGATGGCCAGTGAACTTTGCCAGGGCCTCGATGTGATGAAAAGCCTCCTTTACTAAGGACTGAACATTTTTCAGAGGCAAACCCCTCAAACATCGTTTACAGTAGATGATTGAACCATAATAGAATATCTGTGAGTAATGATGAATCATAGTGTTCTGCTCGGGGGTTGCTCTTGGGGTGTGGACATCCGGAGGCATAGATAAGTACAGCTCCATCTCCACTCGGTCCAGGTCGGGACTCAGCAGCGGGACGCCTCGGCCGTCGTTGGGGGACTGGTGACGAAAGCTGACAACCATTGAGATCATTTTATTGATCATCTCTAGTGACCTTTTCGGAAGCCCGAAGATGTGTAGAAGATGATAGGGTCCTGACAACGCTGTGATATCAAAATGGAAGTTTTCATCCTGTGAGATTTTCTCCGATAGAAGTTGTGAACGTAAAAATACCGCCGTGCCGACAAGCATTTGATAGAGAATGGCAGCAGACTCGCCATGTGCCCAATCATGGATTTTGGTTATTTGAAGCCACCGGGACACCCCCTGTAGGTGAACGAGCCAAAAGTTTCTTTCGACGGTAGCTGGTTCATACGTCAGACACATGAGTAGTGATGCCAAGACAGGCTCTGTTTGACTCGGATCGTCTACCAACAAACTATGTTGGAGGTGGCGAAGCCCTTCATTTTGGTGACTAAGTGCTAATTTCATGAACTCGGACTTTTCCATATCATCTTCCATGTGAGCTGATATGTGGAAAGCGGAAGCCGAGCACACGAGGTAGAATAAAGCCACCGATCCAGTCGATGTCGACGCCGGAGACATAGCACCCTCATAAGCAATGGGGACGAAGATGCGTTTCAACGGATTTATTGAGCCAGGAATTGGTGACAGGGCGTCGCTCAGATGAAGGACCCAATGTTCTATAAGTCTTCGGTGAATGCCCATGCTGGACAATCTGTCCATGTGACGCCGAGTTGTGTTTGTCTCCTGAAAGATTTCATTGGGACCTGAATCAGCGGCTAATATTGGGGGCTCAGTAGATGAGCAGCGGCGAATGTCCCTGCGCCCTGGGCCGCCCCAAGAGAAATCAACGGACTCCGATGGGCACTGCACTAAGGCATCTGATCTCGGTGGTGAGGGGAGGTGTTGTGAGTTACGGTTATGGGATCTTCTGTTTGGTTCGCTGATCAGATTGCAAGTATCAATAATCGTGCTTGCCGTCTCGTTTTGATATGATCCGGACTCTGGTGAAGATACATGTGGCTGGTATGGCGAACAAGATGCTGGAGTGCTGGTAGGTGCTGCAATATTTAACAAAACTTCCGCTTCTCTACTGGTCAATGAGGGCCTGAGGGCATCCAGCCTTTCAGTCTCCGAGGATTGTGGCTCAAGTGCAACGATCCCAAAGTCGGAGGGGCCTTTCACAGGCTTCCAGCGCACCTTCGATCGATAACCAGGGTATCCAGGACATTCGAGCTGGGCCCGTGAACATCGTCGACAAGCAGGCCGCACCTCGTCGCATTTCAAATGCCGAGACCTGCATCTCATGCATCCTGAGAAAGATTTCATGCTCCGTGAGCGCCGAGCTGTTGGGTGAGCGCGAATGTTTCTCGGCATACTTTCCATGAATTAGGCAAAGCCTTGGTAGATCCAGCCCGCTTCAGATTTATGATATTGCGGTGTGGGGAATGCACTTGTGGGCGCAATTTGAACAAACTAAACACTTTTGGGGCATTGATCCCGAGCGCGCTCGAAGTACATTGCCCCATCGAGTCAGACGCACTTGGTCTACATGACTAGACTGCATCAGACAAGATTGAAAAGGCAACCGCTTTTGCGAGCATTCATTCTGATTATCTTCCGATATTCCGAAATAAACCGCAGGGCGTAAGATAAAAACGTGATCGAGTACTCCCGTCAAACATTTTCGTAGTTATCGTAAAGTGTGTGCTTGCCTCTAACCCAGCGCGGGAATATGCTGGTCTTAGACATCTGTTGCGGGCTCAGAGATAATTGCCTCATTGAACTTAACTGGACGGGGCGGTTACTGCGCCCCAGTTTATCCGAACCAATCAAAACACAGCGCTCTGGCCTGATATGGTTAATACTGGGTTAGGCGGTTAGTTTTCGGGTGTCATCCGTCTTCGGAGGTGTTATATAAAGGTAAGAGGTTCATAGGGTAGCCGAGGCACCACTGGGATGGTCTTTTCGATGACTTTTAGATTAATCTGATAAGATCATCCCCTTTGTCTAGCAGAATGAGCAGCAAATACAATGTGGTGGTTGTGGGAGGTGGCGACGTTGGCGCGGTCGTGGCGCTGAATATGCAGTCTGGCTCCACGGCAAAGGTGACCATTGCTATGCGGTCGAATTTCACGATTATACAAAGAAAGGTTTTCAAATCATTTCTTGTGCCGCCGGTTCCCAACAAGAAGTAAGCTGTGTCGCAGTCTACCTTGAAGCATCAATGATTGAGTTCTAATGTTGCCTCGAGCGTCTAGCAGCGGAGAGGTTCGCTGCCACTGAGCTTCTCCAGCCAGAGCCTCAGGTTATGAATGTCCGCAAGACAATATTTAGGTCACATTGAACGTCGATCCTATCGAAAATTACTCCGCACCAAACATGCTCCAGGACAGAGAAGGGTAACGAAGATGCTCTGCGCGTAAACCGACCGCTAATGTGTCTGACCCAGGACAATCTGATAGAATTGGAATATCTTCTGGGCGAGCGTTACGCTTAGGTCAAGAACTCAGTATCGTGATGCCGCTCATCTCAACATTGTATGAGTTGTGCGCAGCTGTTCAGTGGCGTATCCAGGAAAAGTAGAAGGATGATGTGCAATAAAGAAGATTTTAATTTGACGCATATCACATTGCTACGCATGTTGGTCGCGATTCGTTATTATCAAATGGCATTTTGCTATTTTACGCGTTATAGAACTCCTCCAAAAGAGCCTTTCGAAATCTTCTGATTGCCTCTACCAACTGTTGAAGTGTGGCAGTGGCAAACGTCGCACGGAAGAATAACTCGCGGCATTGTTCGTTATCCGCCCGAAATGCGCTGCCTTTACAAAACATCACACCATGTTTCAGAGCTGTACGGTAGATGCAATCTTCAACAGCCATGAACACTTCCAACTCCGATTCATTAGTCCCCTTGGCAGCCGGATGGGCCCGCCAATCAATCCGGATCCAGTAAAACATGCCGGCATCCGGAACCTGCCACGAACAGATTTCTTTAGGAAGAAGATCCTGACATGCTCCCTGCACAACATCTCTACGCTGTAGATATTCCGTGCGCAGATAGTCGAGCCAACTAATGAAGCCTTCGTGTCCCCAAACTTCGTCCAACAGGGTATGAATTGCCAACTGAGATAAGCCACTAGGAGACACAATGCTTAGGTCGTGGTGGTAGAGGAATCGGGAGATGATGTCAGAAGCGCCCGTCATCCACGAGCATCTCAGACCAGGTGCAAGCATTTTGGATGTTGAGTCAAGACGAAGTACGCGCCCGGACACATCCAGAGACAGATAGGACGGTGCGAGTCTGCTTAAGAATTCGGCCACGCGTTCATTTGGCAGGCCATCAGATCTCTGCTCGGGCCTGACTATGGGGCTTTGTTCGCCATTGAAATGAATATAGTAATATGGATCATCTTCAATGATATACAAATCATGCCGCTCAGCAACAGCATATATCTCCTTCCTACGTTGCGCGCTTTGCGTGGCACCTGTAGGATTTTGACCCGTGGGAATAACGTAAAGCAGAAATGGCTTCTCAGCTCCACGCTCGACCGGATCCCAGTCTGAAAGTACGACATCGAGATCGCTAGCAGATAAGCCCTGCTCGTCCATTTTTACAGGTGCCAAACGTAGCCCGAGAGGTCGCGCCGCCTCAATGGCACCAGAGTAAGTAAATTCCTCCGTCAGAATATAGTCTCCACGGGAACAAAACATGCGGTATGCTGCATCAAGTGCAGAGGTGCTTCCAATGGTCAAAGAGCATTGCCAATCAGAGTATGGTGGGTCATGTACAACTTCGACGTGTTCAGTGACGAATCTCAGAAGCTGCTCTGATCCTGCACTGTAGCCATAGTTGAGGCAAGTCGCAAGATCAAAAGACGCTGACCCGTCACGTAAATCATACTTCCCAATCGTCTTAGAAGTAGATAGACAAGAAGCCGTGCCGAAAGGCGGACCTTTCGGCAGCTGCATTGCCAACCGAAGGAAAGGAAAATATTCTGCAGCAGGCCGCCCCGTGCTCAAACTAATGACGCCCTTTTCGAGATCAGCTGCTCCATCTTTGAGCGTTGCAGCGCAGCGAGCTCTGCTCTCGATGTTCAATCGATGAGTAAATGATTTTGCAGCTGGTTTTTGAAGACAACGTGGACTCTTGAAATTTTCAGAGGTGACTGCGGGTGCAACAGTTCCAATCAATGGCCGAGTATTATTTCGGAGGGCAGGAACGTCCGAGAAAGAAAACGGTGGAAGCATCGTGCTTTGGATGAGCCGACCGCCAACCTGGGGAGCGTTGATTTTTGTAGAAGCGTTTCTTGTTGGTAAGTCTCTATGGAATCTTGTGCAAAGGCGGACGGGAGGAAAGAATATATATGCACAATACAAGGTGGCCTGTTGGGATATAATAGCACTTCACATCCCCACCCATCTCGTTGTATTTGTTGCGTTTAATAGCTACAGTTCGCCGGGGCTGCAACAGAAAATTACCGATTTCGGTTAGCTCGGTGACCAGAAATATACCCCTGTTCCTTAGGCTAAAACTCGAGATTTTTTAATTACTTTGTTGAGCCTGATGCGTCACGCTAGCGCAATGATAGATCTAACCTAGTCTGGCTTGCAACTACGCAAAGCCAGGTATCGTTATGTTAGTACTTCCACGTCTGCGGCTCCCACTCATAAAGTCCGTCTGAACCTCCTTGGCCTTTATTGGAGTCTTTCGTACAGTGAAGACAAACCGCTGATCACTGGAATCGTATTTTCGCGCTGGCAACCAGTTTATCAAAGTATTACGGGCGAATCGATTGCCGTCGCGGCTGCGCGCGTGCAGAGGGATCTGGCGGATATGGCCACCACTGCTGGAGGGAACGGGTCCGCATCATCGGCTGCTGGGCTATGGGAAATTGGGCCTGGACGGGGGTGAAGGTGGACTGGTTTGTGAACTTTTTTAGCTTGCTGGCTGGCCACGAGGAGGAGGGCATTGGAGGGGAGGAGACGTCCGGTGTCGTTCGTCTGCGTTATGAGAATACCACCGGTGATGATCTCGTGCAGGAGACGAGAGCCAGTGAGTTCGATGGCATAGCGAGGACAATTGATGGATGGCTTGAGGATAACCGCGGTAGAGGATCATATGTAGTAAGTCTTTGTTGTTTTTCATCTATGAAGAATTCTACGTCTTGGTAATTTTACACGATAAATATGTGTGAAATCAACAACACAAACTGAACCGCTAGTAGAAAGCTCGAAAGAGCGTGTGAAGGACCCCAACCCTACATGCATAAGAGATCTATCACGTGACACCCTTTTAGATCATACCACCTCTAGCCTATATACCATTCTGCTGCGACATATGGTGCAAGAGAAGTACAAGGCACACACAAGGCTACCAGTTATATCCTAAATAGTTATGTGACTAAGAACGTCAGTAGAAGCCCCCGCCTCAGCTCGCACACGTCCCGTCCATGCCACAATCGCCCGCTCCGCAGACTTCTGCAACAGGGCAGTTGTCACACTGATCAGTACTAAAAACAGCCTCCCATATGATACATCAGATCGTGTGCTCCGTCCCGGCCGGCCCCTCGAAACTGCCGCAGTCCTCCTTGTCGCGATTCCCATCGGTGCGGGAAATAGCCGAGTTCCACCCGTCGCCGCTGGTGTACTCGAGATAGCGGCCGCTGTCGTTGACGCGGAGCTTGGCCCCCTTGTCGCAGTCGTAGTCCCAGTTGGTGGTGTCCGAGGCAAACTTCTTGTTCTCTGTGCCGCTGCAAATGAGCTCGCCGTTCTCCCACACCTGGTAGTGCAGGACGGTGCCTCCGAAGTAGGCGTTGACGTAGACAAAGGTGTGGGCCGTGATGCAGCGCGGCTTGGGCGTCGGCGTAGGCGTCGCCTGTGGCGTGCAGTTCGCCAGGCTCGTGCATACGTTGTTGTTCTGGCCCACCACGGAGCATACCTTGCACTCTGCCGTGTTGGTCGTCTGGGGCAGGCCGCTTGGCCCCGGGATGGTGGCGGAGGGCTTGGTAGTGTATCCGCAGCTGTTGTATGGTGTCACATACGTCGCTACCGATTCGGAAAAGGTCGACCCGGAACATACGCAGTAGGCATCGTTGATGCCTTGGCCAGGATCTTGGTTCTGGTGCCTGCAGTCGATGAAATTGGTATTTGTCGGCGCAGGAGGTGAAGTTGTAGGAGGAGGCGAAGTAATCGTAGGCGAGAAAATGGAGTTGTACTTTGACGTGTCAATAGCGATACCCGTGGGAATTTCGTTGTAGTCGGTGATTCCATCATCTTCCATGGGAGGCGCCGTGGCCGTCCTGGTGGTTTGCGAGGACGAATCCGTCACACTGCAGCCCATGTTGGTCCGGCACTGACTTGAGCTCCAGGTGCTCCACGTCATCACAACCGGGAAGAATATGGGGCTAGCAGTCGTTGTGGTGCACGTGGAAACTGTCGTCGTCTGGGTACAGCGTGCGGGCGGATCGCCGCGGGAAACACAACCGCTGCCTCCGCAAGCGCCGCCGAGGTCTTCGAGCTGGTTCGAGCAGTTCGGTCCAACGCATACCCCGTCTACACAATCCGGTCCCGTACACGAGTGTCGATTGCATGCGGGCCCCCGGCCTTGTTTAACAAGTCAGCACCTAACGCGACAACAAAGCTTTGTAGGGTGTCACAGCACTCACATTTACCCTCGCCGTCGCAGTCACCACCGCAGCCGGTGCTGATACAGCATTATACTTTGCACCTGTTGGTGCTCGAGTCGCAATCCGGGCCCACGCAACCCTTGGTTTTGCAATCGGCTCCAATGCAGACGCCATCAGTGCAGCCAGGACCTGGTAGTTGACAGTGTCGGCAGCGTCATGAGAGTGGTCAGTTGGTAGTTCGACCAAGACTTACCAATGCAACCGAGCGGTATGCATAATGATGGAATGCTGCACTTGCCACCTGAGCATCCTGGTCCAGAGCAGCCGCCAGACACACACAGAGGACCAACACAGTGGCCTCCAACACAGTCGGGGCCTTCGCAAAAGCCTACAAGTACGATAGGATAATCACCATTGTCTCCGCCATCTCCTGGAACAGAGCCACCACCAGTCACTTGTAGGCCGGGATCCGTTTTGTTTACTCACACCGTGTCAGTTAAAGCAGCCATATAGGACAAAGTCACTGGTGTGTCTCTTACATATTGTTTCATCATCTCCGCCACTGTTGCCGCACTTCTTGAAGTATGTCCAGGCCTGCGAAGAGAAAAGTCACACATTGTTAGTCGAGCGAGTCAAGACGTCATGGTCGTTCAAGACGTAACTTACCTTGTTAGTCACAGGGTCAACATGTACCAGGTCAGCTCGATATAGGCCACCTTGGTTTATAAAGATCTAGCCGCCCGATTGTCAGCAATATTCAGACCAAGACGATAGAAGCCGACTTACCATGGTTTCTCCATGATTGATGGGATTGTACAGCTTTCCGCGGTTCGTCCATGAAAACGAACTGCTTCCACTCGAGGAACGCCCGTTATTCTTAAATACCGTGACGGCTCCGGTGTACTTGTCGACATGCAGGAGATCAGCACGTCCGGACGCTTCGACATCAGCGAGTCGCATGTTGGCCCGGTCCCTGATGAGCCGGTCAGATTGAAAGCACAACCTTTGTGGTGGTTACGTGAAGCTTACCATCCCTCTGAAAATTTGACTTGGCCAATATTGACCAAGCCACTGGCTAAATTAAGCCAGGCAGTGACACACCCGTTCGTTTCGATGCACAGGACGTCCGCTCGTCCGTCGCCGCTATAAACAGATTTTAGACACGAACATAGCCTGAAGAACAGCTAGACTTACTCGATATCGGCGACCCTCATCTCACGATCGTCTGTCCCGACGCCCCAGCCCTGGTCGCATGTAGCTGCCGTGACAATAATAGGGGCTCCAAATGTAATCGTAGCGGCTCCCGGGCTATAATTGTTTTGGTATAGTGTCAAGGCGCCGGTCGCCTTGTTCTGCACCAGGACGTCGCACTTTCCGTCACCGTTCCAGTCAGCTAGATGGATTCCGACACGAGGTCCCGGTACAGTTAGAATTATATTGAGATCGCGGCCCCAGAGTGGTGGCAATCGGAGGTTGACGTTGATTTCGGCGACATGGCCGTCTTGGTAAATCCATACGTAGTCGTCCGCACCCGAGTTGAGCATGTCGCAGTAGAAGTTTCCATCGGCTTTGAGCTTGGTTCCTCCACTACCCGTGTTCTCCCAGACCATAACGTAATAATAATCATCTTGCTCTTTCAGGAAGATGTAGTCGCGGCGACCAGACCCGAAAATACGTCCAAACTTGACGCGCTCCTGTATGCCAGTCTCTTGCTGGCCCTCGTGCGTCAGGCCGGCAGACTTCCATGCGGGAATCTAGTCAACGAGTTTTACTAGTCAGTGTCTCAGCATTTTGCACGCAGAATATGACGTACTATGCCACTGCCCACACCTCTCTGGTTGATCTAAATGTGGACATTTCCAAAATCATTAATGTACATGTAGTCACTCCTGAAGCTACAAGCGATTCTAAGTTAGCATCTTATCTTAAAATGACCACTTTCGGTTTGCCCACTTACTCTCCGTTGAGGACCGCCGTTCGAGTTCTTAGCTTCCAAATTCTAGAATAAGGAGGGATCTACTTACCGAGTACAATACCACTCTTGTCTGCTTTATTCTGGGTGAAGACGGTGCCGCGTGTGCCAGACAGGGTGCTGAAGCCTTGCCACTGAGGACTGTTACTTTGACCACTGTTGCGCGAGCAGCTACAAGTAGTTATGGTCAGATTTTGAACCAACAAGTCTTGAAATGCGGCGTCATTCGCTTACATGAATGTGCCGTCAGTTTGGAGAAGGCAGAAATCAGCCCTTCCATCGCCGTCGATATCTGACCGCGTGATCAGTACTGCCAAGCCTTAAAGAAGGGGGAACATTGCCCGAACGGCGACGAACCTGCAATACGAACGTCGAATGCGGTATACCCATCGAGGTCTCCAACAACCTAATGCTTTCGAATCAGCCGTAATTACATCGCCGACTCGTCAGTACTAGAGACTCATCTGGCCGATGCTCTCGAATTTCGGAGGGGTCCCTCCTCGGTTGAGCGATACCCACACAGAAGATCCTTTGAGACAAAAGAAATCATCTGTATTATCACAGGTCAGTAGGGCTCATATTGAGAACATTGCAGGAACTATACGAAACTAAACCATCATTGTTCTATCCGATTTCGGCGTCAGAAGCAGAGTCAGTGTAACTAGTTTGTCAAAAAAAAAGCAACAAGGTTGGAAACACGCACGAAATTAGCAAATGCATAGCCTATAATCACGTGTTAGAGGGAACAGCCAAGTATGAAGATAGAAGATGGTTTCCGCGATGTACTTACGAGGTCCCAGATCGCAGGTCATGTCAACATCAAACTTGACCGAATCGCCGAAACTACCACCGTCCAGATTCTGGCGGAAGTAGTAGGTATTCTTGTCGTTGGTATCATGACATATGCGAACCTAATCATCGAGCGCAGCCTTACGGTCGGCGTTCGGATCGCCCACGACCAGGTTCGCGAAGAAGATGTGCCAGGGATAGGCGTCTGTTAGAGACTTCGGGTCGTTGCCTTTGTTGATGCGCGCCGACGTGAGGACGCCATGTTCGATGCTTGAATGAACATAGTTGCCATCGTCGTGGCCGCTGCCCAGCTGGGACTGCACAGGTGGGCCAGAGTTGCCGGCGACCTTCTTGCACTTGTTGGACGAACTGGCCCCGTCGTCGACGCCGGGCACGGCAACAGGGGGCAGGATTTTATCCTCCAGCTTGCTCATGGCATCCCAACAGACGCCGGCAAACACCTTATAGCCTCCATCGTCGGGGTGCGTGCCATCAACTAGATCGGTCAACGACAAAAGGGGGCGGATATCGGCCAGTCCAATGCGCGATCCTCGATAGCTTTCCACGAGCTGGCGTATCTGCTGGCTGATTCTATCGGTACAAGGATTTTGATCCTTGTTCGGCAGGAGTGTCGATAGAATGACTGTCACTCCCGGGATACTGTTGAAGATGTCGTCCGTCATGTTCTTGAGCCGTTCTGCCGCGCCGTCCTCCATGTTGTTGTTGTAATCGTTTCTGGTCAATTATCAGTGTTGGACGGCTGCCATTCACTCAGTCATGACAAATGGAAACAATTCCCTTACAAGCCAGCATTAATGAGTACCAGGTTTGGCATCATCGATTTGGACTCTGTAAAAGCGCCATGAACCGTACCAACGGTCCAACCTGGGTGACCTTCATTATTCTCTAGGGAAAAAGGTTTCGTTGTTAGTGGGGTCCTTCATAGGGGCTTTTGATTCAAGTTACATCATCTGCCATGGTGCCATGGTGCTTTGAGCCCACCATGTTGGCTTTCCAACCCTTCCATCGAAGCTGCGAACGAAGCCACTTGCGGTAGCCATTCCCGTCAGAGGACTCTTGGCCCTGGGTGATGGAAGCGCCAAGCGACATGATTCGCAAGTAGAAGTCCTGCGCAGCTCTGCGGTCGAGGCCTGGCACCTGACCATTCGGGAAGGTAGCGTTATCTAGATTGTTCAGATCTGGATCGAGATTACCACTATATGATGGATATTAGTCGTTACCAAAGTCAATGGAGACGACATCGGGTGCGAATCCGCTGCCATAAGGCGAGACGCCGTCTGAATGATCAAAAGCTGTGATGGTTTGAGGTGTGACAAAGAGAGGAAGGCATGCTACAGCCAAGATGGCAAGAGCAGCTCGGGTTTGGTGAGAAGACTCCATCCTTGTCACTTAAACTCAAACAAGAGCTGGGCATCTAACTCTTGAATGCGTGGGGGGTCATTGGTCAGTTGAACAACCAAGAGTCCAGAGAACTATATATCTACTTCTACAGCATCCACTCAGGCATGGATTCTCTCAGGAGATATACTGGTAATGCATAGGGCATGTAAGATCGCGCAGAATAGCGAGCTGGTGGAGCAAAACAAATATAGTAACTAAGAGCGAAATCCATGCGGGCGATTTCTCATCGTATCATCCGAGTTGGGCGGTTTATTTACGGGCCTTATGTACGGCCAAATCGCTAAATCCGGGATCAACATGCGTTCAAGGTTAGTCTTGGCCCCTGAAGTGGAATTCCGCACAACAGGTCCTGAACAGGCCAACGAGGTGCATCGGGGCATTCTCGTGGCCAATAACACATGCAATAATGTCCTTTTTGCTCCCATCGGCACGCTGAATGTAACATGAATTCTGCGCTTGCAGCTCCCTGGGAGGCTCTTACGGCTCCCTAGGCGCGCCCAGCCGCTGACTGGCGGTGCCTCGCTGCACACCATTTATGGTCATATTCTTCTTTTAAATCTTTAGTTGTTGCCAGGCGAGGAAAGTTGGATTTCGTCGTTGTACTCTTTTCTTCTCCGTTGAAGTTATCCAATCAAAGCTTCGAAAAGCTTGGTTATTTGACGAGAACGCTTGAAAGGACCGAAGGTAAGCAACACCCCCGTGGTGTTGCTTACGTTCAAATCCGCCCTTACGCAACAAAACAAAAGTCAATACCTCGACGTAAAATTCCCTTTTTAGAAAGTCACGACAAGGGGCCGTAAGAGGGGGGTTGTAAGGAGAACATTTTGCCCGCCGATCGGAGCCTTTGTTCGCGAGCGAGTGTCTTTAATTTAGCCCTCGAAGGATTCCGCTGAGGCAACCGAACAGCGAGGCTTACACAAAATCAGCCGCATTCATACAAAAACCCATCAACATCTATGGCATAGTCTAAGGGAAATACGTATCTAGCGCCCGTGGATGCTAAAAAGGTCCGAAACGTGCCGCATGCTGAATGTATGGATGATATATCACCCGGGCCTCCTCAATCACTACCTGGTCTAACAACGCAGGAAACAAGGCGCGATCGCTTCTGCACTGCTCTTTCTCCTCTCTCCCTCTCATTTGATCCATTTGTTCTAGGTCATCATGTTGCTATTCTCACTCGGCAGATCAATCTTGACAGGCTTCGCTCTCACAACGGTTGTTGTACAAGGGGCGAATCCCAAGTCAACCATGTTATGGACTATCGTCGGCTGTGGCGGCGTTCCTCTCGATAATCTGGTCAATAATGTGGCTGTGATGGCGAACGCTGCTGCTACTGAGCTCCGCTGGCTCGCAAATCCCAACACGAGGTTCGGCATCGACGACGGTACTCACGACTCGTACGCCTTTAGGAGTGCTAGTCTTCTATGGGGTGTACAAGAGACGGACATTATTCAACACATGGTCGGCATGTCGGGAACGCTGAGAGATGAGGACAGACCCATCTTGGCTAAGGTGGCAAGTAAGTGAGCCAACATCGATCAGTTTCTAACAAAGGGAGCAGACTGTTCATTGCTAACATGACTGACTTGTCAAAAGCCAAATATGAAAGTCTAGTCTAGTCACTCACTGGTGTTGATAACTACTGGCAGGCAAGATACAACTGGGTCTTTTGCAAGCCCGATGAAGAACCGTATCCCTTTGTGCAAGCAACGCGGTCCAGAGAGCTCAGGAATAAATGGAGGATAAAACGCTAAGCGAATGTGAGTCGAGTCCAGCTGACGGGTCATCCTGGCTAACAAATGGAAGATTCTGGTATCACGCCCAGAATATACTATCCTGGTTCTGACTTTAATGGCGACGGTATCAGAAGGGTCACCAAAGATGCATCAACTCCCGACGTCTGCGCTGCTATGGATGGAAACCAACCCGGCCGCACCGCTGTATTCGTAAGCCGCCGTGCTGTGGTTTCAGACACGGGGTGGACGGCAATCTGCAAATCCTTTTACCAATATCCCAAGACCATCGGCCCCGATATCCCTCTAGATTCTAACGGTCTTAATGCACTCCGGAGTCAAGGTACCAGTCTGTTACATGAATGTAAGAGATCAAAAGTACATTCAACCGGTAACCTATCCACGCTAACAAGACAAAGTGATGCACCTACGATATCCGGATGGTATGGACAGTCCAATACGTCATAATGTCATTCCAGAGCATAAATTTGAACTAACATAATTAGTAGTGAGAGACAAACTGATTACAATCGAGGAAGAAATACAAGGAAAGGCCTATGACATGAAGGCTTGCGCATACATTGCTGGCTTAGCACCAGACGGAAGCGGAAGCAATGATCGTGCTCAGAGGAACGCGGCTAATTACAGCCTCTACGCTAGAGCAGCCTACCTCTCTCACCGTCGTTGGATTCTCTAGACACAAGACTGGTATGAGTGGGAAGGAAGGGTTTCTAGTTTCAGTGCGATAACTAAGCATGAGTTCCAGCATCGAGAAGGGCTACGACGATTTCAACTCGGCCAAAACGAGCGGCTAGCGCAAGAGGGCACGACTGTGGATCTTGGAGTGGCAGTGACATAGCAGTCCCCACCGAGATCAAGTACCGGATGGTAGAAGTATATTCGGTACGACGGTTGATAAACCAGTACACCATTTCGTCGGATTGTTCCGTGACACAAGCCGAATACTTGCTGCTCGATGATATAATGCACCTGCGTCATGAATTAAACTTTCAATAGGCCCACTCCCGCTGTGTTTCATGTTGCCGTTGACATTTGCGCCAAGTTGGACCAAGACGCGAGCCTCAGCGGCAAATTAGAGCCATGCCCTATTATCAGAAAGCTACCGAAAAATCCAGTTCGTGATCTACTGTTCAGTATAGGTAATGACTTACTATGTCGCCATTGGTTGCGTAATGGATTGGGGCTTTTTCCCATACCGTCCAAAGAATCAATATTGGCTCCTTCTTGTCTCAAGGCTTTAGCAAGACAAGTGTTGCCACGGAAGGCGCAGATATGTATCAGACTGTAATGGCCATTCTTGAGGTAATAATAGGGTACCATCCAGCATGGAGAGTCATATGGTACATCATCTCTCTTGGCGGTAAAGAGTTGCAACTTGTTGTTGTTGAAGAATCTGTTAACCAGTTGCTGCACGTCTCGTTTTGTACTTCTTACCGCAGCTATAGACATTTCGTACGTTTTCCGAACGCTGTACCAGCAGCTGACTTGCAGTACAAACGGTACGCCATATCCACGAGTGTCATTGATGTAGGGCCGAGGTAAGAGATTTTTCGACATCGTGCGACAAGTAGTAGCCCATGTTGGGCCATCACTAGATGATAAGCTGTCAAAAATACAACACAGTAGCCCATTTGGCAGTTCTATAAACTGTCATAAGTCCCGGATCGGTGCATTTGAACGAAGACACAACAGAACTTTAATTGCAGATATCGGCAACTATGGTGCTGAACAGCTGATGGATAGGTTCTTACTACTTGCCTTGTGACCAACACCTTCCGGCGTAGCATGTCAGGCGGTCTCGAGGTTGTTAAGTTCACCTCAACATGCCTTAGGCCAGCGTAGGTGATTTGATAAAGAAACAGTGCCATACCGCTCTGTTATCGCAAAAGACAACACTGGAATCCATCTAAGCCTGATCGTCGGTAAATGGGGGGTACTAGATGGTTTGTAGACACTGAGATATTGTCCATTATTTTTGATAATTACTCTTGGGGCAGCGCTCTCGTATCCCAACGTCACAAATATACTTCAAACTAAGCATTGAGGAAAAAAATGTAGAGACTTAAAAAACGTGTGTCCGTGGCAGATGTACATCGTCATTTTAAGCGCTATCGGTGGCTTTTGGTCCATTTCAGTTGGCATTGTAGAAGAGGCTCTCGAGTTAACTGGAGAAAGCGCAGGCTGGAGCCAGCAGGAAAATACCTGGTATACAATCTGTATCTACAGTACAAAGAGCTAGACATCGACCTGAACGAGAATTTGGAAGCTTCAATTCTGACATTTGTAAATCTCGCACGAGCCAGGATGGGAGCCAGACCATGCTTCTGTTACAGTGAATAGATGTCTCTCACAGGCTTCTTCGATAACTGATGTGACGTGTGAAAACAGGGTACGTCGCGTCATGTTGTTGGTATCTACTCGAATAGCATAGGAAACAAGCGCAGGATCCAAGTCAAGATACATGCATCAAGATGCTGAGACGCAACTATCACAAATAATGGACGGGAATCAACTAGTACTGTCCGGTATGGGACCTGGTACTTGGGTTGGTGCCAATAGCTTGCCCAGTGGCAGGGAACGAGGTAATTTCACAGATTATATGAATGCAGGGGCTTTATATCTGTTGATCAAAAAGCCAGTAAACCCGCTATTAAAAGATTTATATAAATTTATACGCAGGGCTATTATGCTGTATTTTCGTTGTTCAGACAACTGGTATTATTCATCTCAGAGTTCTTTGTTGATCGACAAGCAAATGACCTTGGAGCTCTTTCTGCGAGAATTGCAGAATATCTAAAACTTTGCTACTGACTGCCGAATGGCTAGAAGCATTCAGTGGGCGGTTCTGGACGACGGTGATGCTCTGGTGAAATACCAGAGTGAAGAGCGTGCTGCCGATCAGGATCGCAACGTCTCAGTCTCTCTAAGTTAGGGAGAAACGGCGTTCAGTCCTAGAGCCCTGGCCGAGGATGAGGATTTCCTTAAGAAGCTAGCATGCATACACATCATGGGAATCAACGATGACAGCGCCCGTACAGATAACGAGGCATAGGCAACCGATCAGCCAGAGAGTTCTGCCTGGGCTACCTTGCGTCAACCACAAAGAAGACACAGGCAGCAGTGCGATGGCTGCAGAGAGTCAAAGCATTTCGCCCAGCTTGCTACGGCTCCATGTCGACACGAATACTGTCGGAAATGCCTTACACACCTGTTTCAAGACGCCATAGTCGATGAATCTCTCTTTCCGCCTTGATGCTGTAAACAGCCCAAACCTTTGGAGAAAACCCAACTTTTCCTCGACGCGGTCGTGGCCCAGCAATTCCGCGACAAAACCTTTGAGTTTTCCACACCTGTGCCGCGTTCCTCTGGATAATACATTTGTATTCTCTAATCAGTCAGAAGCCCCGACAGGGGATGTCAACTTGATGAGTCTAACTGGGGAAGAAGACTTTACCGATTTGTTGCCGCATTTCTAGGTCATATGTTCCATTTGTATACATATCCAACGGTCCCATTCAAGAAATAATAAAAACAAAACCTGAGTAGAATGTGGTATTTTCGAGGTTCATATTTACATATAGGCATTCTTGGGCTGGATTGCGTCAGAGTATGAGTAGTTTGTCAAGATAGGATTTCGGACGCTAGTCGACATGTGATGCTGTTAGAATCGCACAGGGATAGCTGGATAACTTTTGTAGTACACAGTCCGCATGTTGCACGTCTGCAATGATCTAGCGCACTGGTAGAACCATGTGTTTGGCTTTCATCTGCAATATTGAAAACCCAGGTGTTTATCTAAACCACCGGCGTGATTTACCTCAGGCTCTGGGCTAGCCGTCGTGTCGAGAATGCGATTCATCCCGTGCGTGTCTCCACCATGGAGGTACTGCGTGATGCTCCGATGTGGTCGATTTGTCTCACCCGCAACCGGGGATTGATCACCAACATGCCGCTCACTCAGGATTCCGGTGCGGCGTAAAAGGATGCAAATACCATGTATATGCGGAAACCTGCAGTATCACTTAGCGTAGTAGCCATCCCTGGCTTGGCGTTCGCCTTGCAGCCTCGGCTCGTTATTGTGCAGCCTAGCACCGCGGATTCTATGTACTCCCGTGAAGCTCTCGACCTTGCAGTGGATTAACAATTACAAACTGTAGAAGGTATGAGGCTGATATGCAATGTGGCCTGGGAGAGGCTGAGGGTGAGGTTTTATCGAGCAGGAAGTACTGTCGACTCTCCGTTGTACCCTCCAGTCCATGGTCACTGATGTCTGGGCTACGGGGGATGTTGTAAAACTTGTCGACAAGGTCGCGTACTATCTTGGTAGCCGACTCGGGATATCTGGCGTCTTTGAAGATGATATCGAAGATATACCTGGGCTGGTACACCATGGCGAAGTTTTCCGCGCTTCGAGAGAGACGCTGCTTATGGGCAGGGTTAGCACGGCAATGAAAGCCTCAGTGTTGTCAAAATTCATGCACCACTTTTGGTGCGAGATATCGTGAGGTGTCTTGGTCGGCCCACCGTTGGGGGTCCCGTTGTCGAAGGCGCTTGAGAAAAGACCAGAATAGGACATGATACTCATCGACGCTACGCTCACTAGCTGGAGGTGGGCACATAACTACCAGTGAAGTGTTGCGGCGCCGGCTCGACAGGACCTTGTGATATTCCAAGATTGCGTCCACACCAATCTTGGCAATGTTGATGTCGTTGAGATCTTCCGAGGGAAGGAATACGAAATCAAGCTCATTGGCTTTGAACCCCTTCGTACTATAGATGCATGGGAAAATTCTGTCCTTGGCCACCAGAATCCCTGTAAAATCATCGAAAGCCAGTCGCTGCCATGTTCCACGGGGATAATTCCTTTCAACTTCATATCTAGTATCCGTGTAAATATCCTCTTGGTTTCAAGGTGAGAGTCTCACTGAGTTGATTTACCTATCGAGGGAGGTCAGCCTTAACGTCCTTCAAGGTTTCCAATGCTTCGCGAATGCGTGACCCTTCAGAGTGCAGTGGACTGAAACACCAATACGCAATAAGCTTCACAGTGGAATGTACTCGCTGTGCACCTGGGTGTTTGACAGAATCGGGGAGACATAACCCCAGGAAGAAGGCCAACACATGGCTAATATAGAGAAGTAAAATGACTTTGATTCTGTTCTTGAGTTTGCTATTGCGTTGGGAAAGGTGAGAATCAGGCTCTCATAAGGTCTGCATTCATGGTGGTTAACTTATATTTTGAAATTTATGTACCTCGATATGATAAAATAATAAATTAATTGAACCAAACATAAACGACAAAGAAAAGACTTTAAAGCTAATTAATATAATTACCCGAAAACAGCGGAGCTGGCTGAGGGAGTGGTAGATCACATTGAAGGAGGTGTTGATGCACATGACACGGGCTGCTTCTCTGCGGACACAAGGCAGTCTGGTTTCAACTGCAGAGGAAATTTGGCGGAATGGAGTAAGCTTCAGTTGCTTCGTTTCTATGTAGACAAGAATGAGACTTTTCGACGTTTTTGTCGGCTCTGCCGTAGGAATTTCAGAGCACCACAAATACTAAGCTCGTTCTCAGCTAACGCGTGTTCGACCGAGCTAAAGCTTGAAGGTATTGTCTCCTCCTAATGCGCACTCTCTGCTCTTAGATACACCAGTTTCTTGAGCATGTCTTGCTGTTCGACTAACTTTGCCAATATGGCATCGGTCATGTATAAACCAGAATCTTGTTATGCAATCGTTCGTGCTCGGACAATATCCCCAGATCATTTCGATAATATGACCGTTGTACCATCCGACGATGTCCCGCCGACTTTATGCCTACGCAGATTCCTTTCTTTCTAGACGCTCTTGCATCTGTAGCCTCTCCATCCTCCATGTCGGGCCGTAGAACCAGTTCACCACGGCAATCGGTATAAAGATGACTACAATGAACGCAAGCAGGAGGAACGATACGGCAGGACCCAGCGCTCCAAGCATGGTTTCGGCGAAAGCTACCCCGACGGCGGCCAAGCTACACCGCACCAGGTTATTGATAGCAGTGCTGCTCGCACCCTTACCAGGACACAAGTCCGAGACAAGGGTCTGGTTCATCGCGAACACCGCATTGCTTGTAGCTGCAATCAGGAACTGTAACAGAAGCGGTACTATGATCCAGCCGGGTAAGGACGTCAAGGTCACGTTTTGGACGGTTAAACCGTATACACCTGTGGAAGCAACGAACAGCAATGTGACCCAAGACAGATTGTTGAGTCGCGCGTGCTCGATCTTAAAATCGGCAGGCAGTGCCTTTGCAGGGAGCTTAAACTCAGCCGGCAGGTTGTGCTCCACTTTGTAGGCTCCTTCGGCTGTTCTGAAGTCTCTGTTCATAAGGTTTCCTATAATTGCAGAGCCAACGATGGTTCCCACTCCTATATTGGCAAGTTAGCAGTTATACTTCGGCGCAAAGGGCGGTGTACCTTTATGGTAGACCGACCATTAGGCAAAAAAGAAAGACCAATAAGCAGCTCATTTAAACCGAACGCCGATTTGAAAAGACTAGTTGTCGTCGATGTGACCATACTCCAAATCGTGTAGATGACGCCCCCAAAGATTAAGTTTAGCAGAACGTCTTTTTGTAGAAAAAGCCGAAGCGGATCCGTAAACGCTGAGACGGTTATCCCCTTTCGCACAATTGCCTCTTCGGGGTCCTGCATGTAGTTCGGCTCTTTTGTGATAAGGCGGATCAGGGGGTTGTAGATTCCTTTTAGCCTGATAGAACCATTACCAGCAATGCTTCTCATCGTTTCGGGCAGAAATATAACGATGACGGTTAAAACAATGGAAGATATGACGAAGAGAAAGACGAAAATAGACCGGAAACCGAACGAGTTCGACAAAGCGCCCCCAAGGACGGGCCCTACGGCAATACTAAAGTTTCGGACTGTTATTTGACTCCCATTAGCTTCGACACAATTATGGGAAAGTCTGACAGAATCATCAGCAGTATCGACTTACTAGCTTGGTAGAAGCTGATATACGACCCTCTCTTAGCCGGCGGGGCTATGTCTTGTATGACACCGTTGCCTTCCGGCATAAGTCAGCTCTGCTTCTCAAGGTTTACAGGTAAGCCATCAATAGTAATATTACATACCTATACTAACCGTGGATGCGCTACCAGCTGCCTGCAGACCTCTAAAAACAATCAAAACGATAAAGTTGGGAGAGAAGCTCAGCGCGATATTCGCCAGTATATAGACCGAAAAGGACGCAATGTAGATTGGACGACGTCCAAGAGCATCAGCAAAAGATCCCCAAATCACCGGAGAGATACCCTGGATGATGAGGTAGGAGGTTATGGTCAATGATACAAGTTGTAGGCTGACGTTAAGATCCTATCACTGCGTTAGATTATCACAATGTTGAATAGGGTAGCCGGGAGACATGCCTGGGCAATCAAATCCAAAGCGGGAAAATAAATGTTGGATGACAATCCAGAGAATAAACCTGCAGCGCCAATGGTGATAACAACCTGCCACCTCTGTCTTGGGGGGAAGATGTGGTAGGGCTCTTCCACCACGACTGCTTCCAGCTTCTCTTCGGAGTTAACCGATTTGTTTGTATCCTTAATGGCATTGATGTCTGAAAAGGGATTTTCTTCCTCTTTGTGTTCCCGATTTGGTGCCTCTGGGTCCGCAAAGGGACTCTCCGACTCTGTCTGGTCCTGAGAAAATACGCCATACAGACCGTCGTTACGTTTAGCGAGTGAGGATATTCGTCGTGTATGGACGGCTTTGCGGGTTATGATATCTTTGTCGTCATCTAAGAGGTCTGCATCGATGTTGATCAAGCCCTGTCCGGCAATGTAGTATAGGTTATTGGCTACCTCCCGCCATCCTTCCATAGTGGTGAATCGACGGGTGTCCCCGCGTCTGGAGGCAGCTTCTCTCTCAGATTGGTCCATGACTGGCAGCCTTTGGTACTATGTACTACCAAAAGACAATGTTGAAAACAGTTATCAAGAGGATCAAGAGAAAATGGAACGCCTAATTTAGAAAATTTGAGATTGACAAAATTAGTTGAGAACTGGGTGACAAGCGGCCAGGGCATGGTACGGTATGGAAAGGGATTCAGAAGCTATGTATGGCGATCCCATTTAGTTGCATTGGGTTGATGATCTTGTTCTCATACGGTCGTGCGACAACAATTGTTGTGGGCCGTGCGCACCTAACTGGAGATATTCCCAGACAAGCAACTCTGATTGGAATTGGAGTGATCACGGAATCGAACATGACAGGCGGTACGCAGTGTCCAGTCACCTTGCAACCACTTTTTTGAAGTATAGCATTGTAATAAGACAAATGTAAGAGGGCCGAGCTTATGAGCTTGATCTGTTACATGCAGTGTCTTAGGTCAGCTGCTTCCGTTGCCGGCCGTGCGGCGCGTGTCGTATTGTTGGGTGAATACCATTGATAACATTACGTTGTCAGCCTTCTGTTTAAGAACGAGCCGGTTTGCACTATACAATATTGCCCCAGATAGGGGGAGATGGCCGCACAACATAAAACAGCGCAGCGAAAAGAGGAATCCTCTAAGCCTTATTGTAGTTACATACCTGAATGGTTAGCGGCAACTGAGGCCTGCTTGGAACGTAAATTATTGTTGACTATGGTTAGGTACAAAGAAAATTAGCATACTTCTAGGCACAACGATAGTCAGCTTTCGAAGACCATTATGACGACTTAGAACTATTGCCTTTCTCAACTTGTCTAGACTATACCTATTGTGTGCAAGCTGTTTATCGGCCAGTCTCTAGAAATGTCTGCCAATCCCGTGGCAACATCCTCACACGTGAAGCCCATGTGCAGGCAGCAGTATTCCAAACATCCCCACCCGCGACTATGAGAGCTTGTTTCCTTGCTAAAAAGCGGCAGGGCCAAAGAAGGCTATGCAAAACATCGACGTTTCAGGGGCCGCTTGATGGGCTCAGATAAGCTTACATTAGCGCCGGAAGCACGACTCGTATTATTATCGTTCCTGAACTGCTGTACCTGCATCTCCGTAGTACCAGAGGAATGTAGGAAGATTGGCGATCAGTGTATAATGGATATAGTCCAGCCGTTGTCAAACCGTCCGTCGTCGTAAGCGAGTACGGCAATCTTTAAGTTCTTTCCCGTGTTACGAAGGCACTCGGCAGTAGGAAAGCTTAATCATGGGCTTGGCTGCATCTAATCTCTCGGCTGCAGATCCACTTTCGCTCAGAATGTCTGGTGTGCAGTGATTAGGCACTAGTATTCAAACTCATCTGAAAGTTCTATAGGTCTCGTCAGTCGGGCTACTCTTGGCCCTCAGTCGTTAGCCGCCTACTAAGGCAAATCTATAGATGGCACATGAGTAAGGTATGTGACTTAGCAGATAATCACTTTCTATGACGACTAACTTTGGAAAATAGCACATGTCGTTTGACCCCACGAGCCCCCTTTTTTTGGGTGGGGGGGGGGGGGTCTCTCGTTGGCGGATCGGATTTCCTTCCTGTGGCGACTTTGCTCCACAACTTTTAATACGGGTTTTCCAAACGTCGTAGCTGCTGACTCGTTTGACACCTTGGCGCACAAACTTGCAGCTGGAATGGGCAAATATTTCAGCGCTAGCAGTAACAATGTTTGAGCTGAAGCAACGGTTTTGTCTTAGCAGCACTTACGGGCATGCATTGGCTGTGAAAGCTCTCCTTCGCACGGTTTGGGACTGTGTCGAAGAATTAGCCACGTCCCTGATTGGCAAGAGGGTAGTGACAGTTGTTGTGATGGTTTTCTCGAGTCCAACCGTTGCGTTCTACGAGGTATTGTTCTTATCAAAGTCTGAGGTCATGCGAGATTCCAGCCTGATACGTTCAGTCACATTGCGCTGCAAATACTCAGCTGACGATCGAGTAGTAGAGATGAATAAACGAAAGCAAGTCCTTATCCGAACCAAGCTCCAAAGGCTCGATGCCGTCTGTCTGGTTTTCTGTTACTGCATCTGTGTGAGAAGAAGATAGTAGCGCATGTAAAGATCCTATGGGGTTATTAATCTACTACTAAATGTTACCTACAGCACGAGGCGAATGCACGAGAATTATATATTCTCCATCTATTGCAGACATTTGACGAATCGTGATCTTGTCCTCGGGAAGTTCATTCACGACCTGCTCACCTATGCCACATGCGACCGCGAATTGCATTTCAGAATTCAAGGATCGCTTGGCAACGGTAAGCATAGTGGAGGGCGAAGACCCCGCCGGGAACAGGCTTGTGAGGACTTGGCGGTTGACTAGTCGCGGGGTTGTGAATTAGCCTCTCTCTCTCTCTCTCGATGAGATCAAGTGGATTGTGGGGTTTATTCTTACATGGAAACTTTATCGAAGCTGATATGTTGGCCGTCGGTGTGGTGGTGTTGACAATCCATGAGTATGAGTTCAGGGATTGCGTACCCTCTGGCAAACTCGCTGGCTCCACTCCGTCCTTGAGATCAATGTTGATCTTCATGTTCTGCTGGGCGACTACAGAAAGTCGTAATCCATCAACGAATTCGACTTCTTGACGCCCACCTGCAGTGACGTTGGCAGTCCTTGTCGCGCCTTGACCGTACTGTACGAAAATATTGGTCGTATCAACGCTTTTTCGGCCCAGGAGGATGTACTCTCCATCAATTCTGGTCATCTTGATGATCCGAGTGTTGTTTTCGGATCTGTGGACGTTGCGAATTGTCTCATCAACGACCCAACTCATCTTATCGTCTGCCAGCTTGCCAACGTAGGTGTTGCTTTCCTGTATTCCCATCTGCCTCAACATATCAAGATCATATGGGACCTCGATCTTAGCGATGAGGTCCTGCGCGTTGTCGCTGGTCTGAATAGTATATGAATAGTTTTGCAGCGCAGTAAAGCCTTCGCCTGTGGATCCGGTCACGAACTGACCCCCAAGCGGCTGCAGGTTCTGATTGACCACGATGGTCCTGTTCTTGGGCGAGAATAAGTCGAGAGCTAGCCCATCCGCGAAGTCTTGATCAAATCTTTCCATCTATGATGCCGGTTAGCCACGAATACAGTCTAATATGTTTTCCAAGATCGTCTTGTACTTGCCCCCCCAGAAATCGGTATAATATCACCGAACGTCGGCAGTCGCTCTCTAACATTCTGAGCCGCAGCCACGACCGCCAAGAATGCAAGGGCGAAGAAAATCATTGTCTCGGACCTCGTCTCTCTCTCTCTCTCTCTTTTACTTTCTCTTACTCTTTATTCATGAAATGATAGAAAGTGGGCAAAGAAATATCTGTTGTACGGTGTATTCGTAGATTCTAACGGTCTGCCACCGGGGGGAGGGTTATTGGAACTACGTTACAAGATATAATATAGGTTAGGCCGTACATATCACAGAACAGCGGCTACTGGCTTGTGATGAGAAGGCATGGGCATGTGTTTCAATCTAGGTATCACTTCAAGGAACATGAAAGCTAGGAGGAGGCAGATTCTAGACAGATCTGTATACGTACCAGCTTTACTAGTATGCAAATGTAAGCCACCGGCCGTCACATTTGTTTCTAATGCAATCCTGCGTAAAAGATTGTATGAAAAACAACTTTAGAGCTGATATTATGGGCAGCATTTCTGAAACAGGCAGCCGTGAATAAAAACCCAGACAGGTACGCCCGGAAGTTACACTCACAGTATAGTTAGTCTAGGGGCGCAGTGTTTAAATCTTTTGAGAAAAGTAGGATTCGAGCGGTTTCGATTCACAGTTCCCGTCGACTTTGACTCGTTCATGCCAAATAAGAGAATTTCGAAACCCTCTAAGAGGCTCTAGGAGGGAAAGTGAAACCGGAGGTGGTCTGCTTCCTATCCGATGCATCTGGCGCGCTAATATCTTGAGAGTTTGTTTTAGCACGACAATTCGGTTCCACAAAAATAGCCAGTCAACTAATCTTAATGAAGATAGCTTTAGAGAATTTCGTCTGCTTAACCAGGACCGGTCTCTATCTCAAAAGTAGTCTAGGAAGTCTGGTCTATCGTTGGCAGTACCTGAGGAGTATTCGAACATATTGCCAGGTAATGTAATAGGACACTCCTTATACATATTCTTTTAGGTGGCCGACGTCTGACTTCATCTGACAAGCCAGCTTGATGCAACCAAGCCCTGTGATGAACGCCTAAAAGATCTCATGTTGACCTCGATCTCAATAATGATGGGATCGGTCTGTTAACCAATCGTGCAACACTGGTCCCCTCCGGGGGTGTGGGGGTTTCTTCCTTGCCAAAAAGGGTTGGGGACAGAAACGGAAAGAAACAGTAAATGGACGAATCACAAACGTCTGCTGTCGACCCAGCCCAGGTGTCTCAAAATGTGGAGGCTGTGCTGCGGTAAATTACCAGCATGGGGGTCCACTTATTTCTGCCATACCGCATATTTCGAACGACAAGCGGTACATCCGAAGTGAAAATAAATCTCGAGATCTGAAGTTTCGGTCATTAGCCTTCAACTGCGCTAGTAGTGAAAATAAGCTATGTTTGGTTTCGGCCAAGATAACACTTCTCGCCATAACTCCACAAAACCCTTGGCACCAGTTTCATATCAGAAACGTAAGTGGATCCGAAATTCTGTGCAAATATGCCCTTACCCATACGACCATACCGCTCATGTTTGGCCATTTGGGGTGCGTTCAAATCAGTGAATTACAGCTGAGGGCGGCATCAGACAGTTTAGGTAAGTAAGTTTGGAATGTATTAGCTACTTCCTTTGATAGCCTCGTCTATATTCGATACGGATGTGGCAGAAGCAGTATGGAAATGCGGACGCCCGAACCTTAAAGCACAGCCGTCCCGGTTAGAGTTTTGACTGTCCAGGGAAACGTTTGCTTTATCAGCCGTTCGGAATAGAGTTACTACCATCGGGTCCCTGAATATCTCAAGCCTCTATAATTGGTTGATGCTCATGGTCCTTTCTGTTTTGTTTCATCCTAAAGGGTTATTGAGGATAGTTATAAAACCTCAGGTTACCACTTTCTTTCATTTCTTCACTACCACGGCTGATGTTTCAGTATCCGCTACGAGAAATATGAATTCCAGCAAGAGAAGATCACCGCCACCCCCAAGGCTGGACTTCAGCTGTGTTTCAAAAGATTCTGAAGATTGCGACAAAGATGACACAAGCCTGACGACGGCCCCAACACCAACATCTCGTACCACCAGTTTGTCCATACCAACCGCAACGAGTGTTCGAATTATTAGGACAACACTGAATTCTAATACCTAGGAACATCTGAAAGTCCACGAACACGGACACCTACCACAACTACGCGACCACCGACACCTACTGTAGCTGTAACACCTATACGGCCGCCAACACCTACCGTGACCCTTACAACTGAGCGACCACCGACACCTACTGTAACTGTTACACCTACGCGACCATTAACACCCACAATAACCTTCACACAATCCCTTCCTCAGACGACAAGCTTTCTAGGTGCAAGTTCATCCGTATTGTCTACCAATACGCCACCTATAGACCAGGCGAATGTAAACACGAACGGGGTTTCAGACTCGGGCACGGTTGTCATTGGCGCCGCCGGGGGCTTAGGTAAGACCAGGGTTCTGCTCCGTGCAATGCACCGCTAATTACGCATCGACAGCTGGAATTTCAATACTTGTGACTGGAGCATTTGTCTTCTTGCGCCGAAGAAAGAAGAAGCGAATTCAAAAAGGTAATACACTTTTCCTTGTTTCAATCCCAATAAGTACTGAATGTCTAAGCAAAACGCCGCCAGACGGAGTGAGATTGGCCTGTTGCAAAACACAAGATACCATGGGATAACTGGGCTCCAAGTGGGACTTGGCACTAACACCAGGAGAGCTGCGGAGTTCGGAGTTTCGAAGATTTGTTCTCGAGGGGCCGTATGAGGAGTACTGCTATGAGACTCATGGCATAATACCAATTAGAAGAAAGAGTGGTAGGAGGGCGGATATGGTGAGAAGCCTTCTGATGCAGATTAATTTCACAGTGCAAAAGAGACTTAAATTTGGCTGGGGAAAAGGAAATCTGTGAGATGCAGCAAATAGGCGTAATAATTTGGTGGATTCTATGAGAGCAACCTGCCATCGCGCTGCTTGTAATTTTAAAGTGGTGAATGTCAATCGCAATGTATACCCAAGCTTCTGAACACTTGCTCATCACAAAGTATGCAATTCATTTACTTGCAGAAGCTTAATGGTTTTGCATCGGCCCTGTCGCCAAGTCATAGCTCGGGATGATCAGACTCCATTGGCCCTTGTAAACGTAAGCGCCTCACTGCCACCCCCCTCTAGAAGAGACAGGTCTACCCACGTGCGCGCACCGCGAGTCATACGGATCTGCTAGACACATGAGAGAACTCGATTTGCCGGAAGTTTCTTCATTTTAAACCCGTTTTCCAAGCGCAATTGCGGAGAAAGAGGCCTCTTCAACCCCCCCCCCCCCGGGGAAAATTGGAAACAAATAGGTGCACGTTAGTGAACGACCACTATTATACAGAGCACAAGCTTGTGATGGGTTAACATTGGACGCAACTAAGGCCCTATATCGCATCTCTAAGTTATAATCGCTGACCCATATGTTTGTTGATGAGAAATTCGTTTCAAAAGGAAAGCTTGATCGCTCTGGGATAGAATGCGTTATCAACTCGTTTGTTTCTGCTATGTAACTTACTCTGAGGGAATCTGTCTCGTGAAGTTTCCAAATGCAGTTCTTCGCAAGGCATCTTCAAAGATGGTAGTATATACACGAAATGAAATTAGGAATATTGTCCCATGTCACGAACAAAGCTATCAGTCCCCTCCTCCCATTGAGAGCCTGTAGAAGACCGGCAGTCTTAAAGTTGGTTTTAAACCAATAATACTGCCTCCCCTTGCCGCATTCTCTGATCCCAATGATTATCGTGATAGATTCAGAAATATGCTGCGCATATTGATTGACACCTCACAAGTTGGTAAGTTAGGCCCCGTTCCTTATCGCCTATACCAACTGTTCATCACACAGCACAGGCAGGTCCCGATCTCTAGCATAGCTATTGCTGCCGAGTCCAGCCCAAAATGCTTTATCCTTGCTACGGGGAGACCAAGCCCACCCAGCGCCGCGTCCTAAAGGAAGGTGGTAGTATCGAAAAGCTAAAAGTGGGGTAATAAGACCGATAGTAAAGCCAAACAGGATATCGAAACCATGATGCTGGTAATCGTACCACCTAGATGAGCTTATATACACTGCGGCGAAGAATGGAATTACCGTCGCGATAAGCAGATACAAGGGGGGAGCAGCAGCCTCTTTCCTAGCGCTGGGAATGTCCTTCGTGGGTGACACTGCCGTATGCTGGTCGCTCTCCTGTGACTCTAAGGGTATAGGCGAAGTGGACTGCCGGTAGCCTAAACGCGAAGGAAAGGCGGAGTGCGTAGTCTCATCTTTGGGGTAAGTGATAGGGTGAAGGAAAGGGACGAAAGCGCCAAGCTTAGAAGCCAAAAAGAGGGATAGGTATATCAAACCAGCAGCAGAAAATGAGCTGTGCCCCGATGGAAAACTGCGGAAGCCTTCATCAATAACGGATGAGTCGCTGTTCTGACAAATAGCAGCTGTTACAAGCCTCCCGTCGCTTGTAGGAGTCAAAACGCCACCAACGACGTAGTTGGCAATGTTCTCCAGATCGGGTTGGCATCGGGCCAGGAGGTTCGGGCGTGGTTTGCCGAAAAGGTTTTTCATGCTGCTGACGATAAACCAGGCAGAAACAAGTGACAACGCGAGGCCGAGCCAGCCCGCATGAAGCTCCCAGAGCCGTCTCTTCCATATCAAGCTTTGTGGCGTCCCTTTGGGTACCGTCGGTCCAGGAACAAAGAGGAAAGTCACAACGAAGATGATGACAATAGGTACTATAGCACTAACAATAGCGAGTACAGCCACGGATACAGTGTCGGGGTAAAGCGGAAAGCTGATGTTGCGGTCGTCTAGGCTGAATGCATGCTTGTTCGGAGTAATGTTGTTGATCGCGTACCCAACGAGCGCGACTGCGATCAACAAAAGCCAATCGACGATATATGAAGAAACCACTTTGATTGAAACCATTGCTGCCGTGTATATCGCTGATCGAGTGTTATTCAGGGTTTCGTCTTCATATTGATTAAATGACAGTGAGCGTCAAAAGAACCCCTGGTAGAACTTTTTGTAAAGGAGTTCGCCACCGGTCTAAACTCCTGACGTGGTAAAAAATGTGATTGCTTGTTAAGGTCAATTTGCTTTGGGAGGGGGGGGGGGGATTATTGTCTACTCAATTAAAAGAGAAGATCAAACGCTAAAAAGACGCCGCAGCTGAAAAAGCTTGTTTAGAATCGTCATCAGCCTAGCGTCCAGTGCTTTGCTTAAGTTGTCTTGGCATCATCTTGGGGGTGGGGTCCCGCGATCCTTGGAGACATTGGTAGGGGTGCCATGGGTTTGCAACAGGTACGGTGAACAAAGCTGGTAGTTCAGACAATCATTCATCTTAGAATTCCGAAAGAATCAATAATACTATGGCAGAAGCTGCGCGACAATGACGAGCTAGTCTGATGCGTTATAGTCGGGTTAAGCTAGGTCGTCTTTAGAAAGGTTGGTGGCGGCTTGCTTTCACTAGCCTTCCCAACCTGGATAGCGACCCGGCTTTGCTGTTCAAGTTCTTCTCGTCGCCGCCATCCTGCTGAGCTCGGTGCTCTCTCATACTCACGTCTTGGGTTGGCTCATTGATGTTGCCGTATTGTAGACTTCCATTTTGATGCTCTCTTCGGCCAGCGCTGTGGCGTATGCCGCGACTCTTTGCCTTTTGCTATGCTGAGTGTGTTGTGAGTGATGCCGAGGTCGGGTGCAATTTGAATCGTGTTGAAGGCTAGGGCGCCGATAGTTTGATCTTGCCGATTCTGATGGAACGGCCTAGTCTTCGTGCACTTGGTGCAGAGCAGTGCGTTCCATGGGATATCTGCTCACTTGTCTGGCTTCCTAGCGGAATCTGGCAGGCGAGGCGACTTGTGAGGGCCACGAGGCCGCCACGGTGTTTGTGTCGCAGGGGGGCATACGGCCAACATTAGAGCTATTCAATTATCCCTAAACATCAATACCAACGTTTTTCCAATACTGCTCAACCCGAGGTATTCCACCATCATAGCACACCTGCTTTGATAACGGATGACGTCTCAATAGACCTTCTTCTTGTTGTCCTGCTCCTTCTTGCTGTTCTGCTCGTTCTTGTCCTCTGATTCAAATCTGTTAGCATTTCACTTTTCTCCTAAATGAACGCAAGCCTCTTCAGGATGTCCTGACATATCCAGTCCCCTAACTTGCCGAGACAAGATGCTTAGGATCCAGTGTCTTATAGAACACCCAGAGAAAAATTCATAACTTGATCTTAGCACTTGCCCTGCTTCTTCTTTTTCTCCTCTGATTCCTTCGTCTTCTCCTTCTTAGCCTCTTCGGCCTTGGACTCGCTAGCCCTCAGAGTCAAGACATTCCTAGCAGCTAGCTCTCTAGCAGAGAGCCCAGTGCGCTTAACAATGTCACCGTAGTAGTACTGGACAGGTCAGTTCACACGATCGCCAAAGCTGATTGGAAAAAAGGGAAGCTTACACCTTCAATATCGTGTCTTTCGCTGTGGGCAATGACCTTGGCGCCACCATTATTGATAGGTGTTGCGATGATGTTATTTCCGAGGAAGATAGCGGTGAGGATGAGCTTGGAAATCATGGTAATGATTGGAAAACGAGCTGATAAGTCAGATTCTTGGACATTGGAGCGAATGTTGAAGAATGTGCTGGTGATTGATAATATTGAGCTGTTGAGTCCAATTTGTAGGTTTCCCCAGGAGGTGAATGGGGTTATATAGACACCGTAAAGTTCCGACTGCTTAAAAGTAAAGTTTCGTGATCCCGGGACAACCTTATCCGGCATTGGGACGAACACTTGATGGTTGGCCGCCTTGCCGAACAAATCCACTTTCGAAGTCTTATTCAAATATATTTGACTTTGGATGGTAGCTTGGCGATGGAGTGGAAGATGCAGGAGGAATATACAATTGCTTAGGCCGTTGCTGGGGCTGCTACGCGGTCAATCGACGACGAGTCCTCCGAATTACGACTCTTGAACTTAGTCATTTAATGCCAAAACCACCCATGCTCAATGCATTTCCTCGAGAGTGGATGAGCCAGAATAGCGTGTCGGCGACATAGACATAGAATGACATCCGACGGTTGGGTTACCCTCATGGGTTTAAGTCGTAACTGCACAAGGGGGGTGTAAGTATCGGTAGGCATGCAGGTCTGGGTAATCAAGGATTAGGCGGTACCAGGCTGTTGGTACGCCACAATGACCAATCACCACTCTTGTCGAATCAGCCAGTTTTAACCCCAATGATTGATATAATGAGTAAGACCCCAGGCGTTTGCTTCGGTCCATAGCACCGGGTAGCTGGGTCGTTCTCCGGGGTTTAAGCTTGGGGTTGAAGTTGCTGGAGGGCATATTTGATGAGCGCATAAGGTGCTTATATTGACTTGTTGTGTATCCACTTAAACTACGGAGCTTTAACACCCTAATATCTGGCCCCATATCCCGCAGTGGCTTTAAGGTGTAACCTATACACACAGTGACTAACCCCCGTTTATTTTAATAAAGAGAATAGACTTTCCTCGGGTCAATTCAATGGGGAAGCCCCAGCACTAGCGGAGACCTAATTCCACGCTCTCACATGCATGCCTTAGGCAAGCCAGAAGGAGCCCTCCTGCATGAAACTTGCCAAAGCTCTACTGAAATGGGCCCAGGTCATTTTAGCTCAGCAGTATAGTGAATTACTAGTAGCCCAACTCACCTTGTCGGTAAGGATCATTGAATTCTTACAGTATCAAGCGGATCGCTGTGGTAAATAATGTGCTTGCTCAAATTTGCTAAAACCGTGTGGTGCATCCTCACCAATCTAGAGGATGTCCGTGCCCAGTGATGGTATGAAAACTGAGGGGGTTGCGCGCAGTTATTGTACGCTCGTCCGATTAGTTGTATGCGCTTCTTCTCGTCCGGTCACAAATGGATTGTCGCGATTCATTTGGGCGCCTGGCCAGTTGGTCTAGGAGCTATTTGTCCATGATCTCGTGATGTAGCCATTGAGGTTCAACACCACCCTCCGTCCATCCCGTAATGGCTCAACTTGCCTTTTAAACATTCCTTTATACACCTCCTAAATCCGCCTTGTCTCTCTCGGTGCCCTCGGCTCATATCAGTAGGCTGACCGACAAGTGTGACCCCTGGCCTTCGGATCCTCCTTTTTACTGCGGAACAGATCTCGGGCTCATCCCTAGATACTCTTAAATTTGATACTTCCCACATGCGGTGGTGCGACTACAGCTTATCAAAAGTATGTCACGAAAGGCGTCGTCTGGCTAGATTATCAGAAGCAAGTCGTGTCGCTGCACTTGGAAGGCCATTTGCAGTTGATCCATTGACAAGCGGAGAGCGACTAAAGCACACAAGAGCAGAACGATTGACTACGAACAGACACTCTGTAGGCATCATTCTTTGACTTTATCTTTCTTACGTATTCAGACGCCAAACGCCTCCAGTGATAAAGTAGTAAACTCGATTTCAATTAATCTCATTAGTAGGACATTCAAAAACGAACCATATAATTTTCAACATCAACACTGTATATACTTTCAAACCTCTCCTATTCGTTACGTGCAGTGCTATTACATATGGCCCTGCCATTAGAGGATATCTGCCTTCGACTAGGAATCTCCCTTTCAGTACCCGTAACGACGATTGGCGCTGGATAATGATGTTGATAGTCGAGAAGGAGGAAGCAGTCTTTGACACCAGACCGGCGCCTCCGACTTTGGGAAGAACTCTTGAGCCTTGGTCGGCAGCAGTCTTGGTCAGCGGCAGCTTTGGTTGTATGCGATGAGGCGGTAATATTTCGATCGGATCGTACCGAAAGATCGCTACTTCCACCAATCGAGAAGCTAATTTATTTTTCACTTGACTATCGCCTGTTTTCCACGATTCGAACAGTTTGTAGGATCGTTTATGTCAATACGTGTCCATATCAAATGATCACAGCTCCCTCCATCCGAGTATGCAAAACATTCTCCATTCCCTCCTATACACTGATACTATTGAGAACCCCTGTACTCTCGTCTGAACATTCAAGCAAGTTTCTCGATCAGTCTCTCATTTGGTCTATGCGGCTTCACCGCTTAATTCGTCGAAGGACCGTGCACAAACATCGTGAGAACTTTTTCCAACTCTGGGGAATCATGACAAGTGCTGCAAACTGCAAGTAAGTTTGAGAATTGACCAAAAACGTCAAACTGCCTTCCAGTCAAGCTCTGTCACGAGAAACGGCATTCGAGCGCATCATGGCACCAAAATACATGGAGAGGCCGCGGCTTTGCAGGTGTTGATTGAAGGTAGGTAGACATTCACATGTTTGAGACCCAGGCACTGATTTGTTGGCTAATATACGACAATTATACCAGCATGTGCATCCACATATTATCACAGCCAAGTGCCAGGATGGACAGGTGTATGCTAGCGTCGTGCAGGTCTGTGAGGTTGATGGCAAAAAACAGCACCAAATTTTGCCACAGGGTGAGCCGGGTCATCCATATTGGGGTTTCAGGAGTTCGCTCCAAAGCATCTCCCACAAATCTCAAGCGCTTTTAGGGGAAAAACTCGACCTTAGAGCCTTTGAAGAATCTGATAGCAAACGTTGATAAACATGTTCTTTACGAGATTCACCTCTAGCGGGATTGGTTGAAAATTGGCCGGCCTTGAAGAGGTAAAGAAATGTTCTTTCAATATCTACATACTATATGCTGTCATGCCACCAGGCAAAGGCTTTACTGTTCACGTATGATAGCGAGGTGTGTTAATCCGTTATAGAGTCGTTGCCACTTTTCTCGTCAATCATTATACACGCCTTAAAGTCATCCAACCCTTGTGGTACTGATGCGGAGAAGAGTCCCTCGGCAGATGTCTTTGTCTTCCGCGTGATTGGGCTTTCGTCTCCCTCAATCAGAAGTGAGGCCGCGTGTATTCTTCCTGCACAAACTCGAGTCCTCGATTCTTCTTCATTTTCAATTATTGTGTGCGGGAGCTGGAGCGCCTTGACTACCTCTAGATTCCAAAAATTAAGGAAGTGGATATCGACGTCAAAGGACGATGATGGTCGGATCCCGCCATCATAAAATCAGCTAGAAACTGTCACGTATTCACCACCACTGGAGTTTCCTCTAAGTTGAGTACTATAAAGGTACTGTATGAGCCACAAGTGGCCTGGCTAAACCCAGAATTCGTTCGTTCATGTTGAGGAAGTGAGCCAGCTGTAGAGCTCCGGTCCTAAATAAGCTGTTACACCCCTTTTATCGATAAACAATGCCCACCTAATCCTAGTAATGAAGTGAACCATGAAGCTAAGTAACCAAAGAGTGGTAGCTGAGTCTGAGGATCCCCGATCGTTCTCTAGCTCTACCTACTGAGAGTAGAGCGCATCGGGAGCTTGCTTTATGAATGGGGTGTCCATAATTGCGAATGATGACATGTCGATGCACACGGTTTGCTAGTGCAGTGCTTACCGGTTTGGTAGGAGAGGTTGAGCAGGAGCGCTTGCCAGGCGGCATAGGGGCGCCAGTCTGACTAGATGATCGCTTCACGCCGGCGATACTACTGCTCCGACCCTGTCGTACAGCTGAACTTGGTGACACCACTGACCGCTCTGGTCGGTAGTTTTTAGCTCGTCTGATGTCCAGATCTTTCCGAACATTGACTTCAATATCGTCGACCTCGTCGCCAACGCGAAAAGTCTCGTGATGATAATATCTGGCGACATTGATCACATGCTTCTGATTCGCCTCACGGAGCAGCTCACCTTCTTCATCACGTTCCTCGTATTGCCAGGAGTCCTTGACAACTAGCGGTGTCTGTGGCTCTCCTTCGCGATGGGCTTTCCAGCAAGTCGTCGCACGACCCGCAATACAACGTGCGCGGTTCATCACCTTATCGATGATAAGTGGTTCCATCGAATCGTTTCGTTCAATCTCGATGAACCGCTGCCCATTTTCTGTCTTGGCTGTCGGATCGAACCCGAGTTCCTCTTCATTCATCTAAAGAAAGCCGAGAATCGTGGATACGAACCGCAGTCCGTCGTTGTTGATGTCGAATTGCTCTGATGCATTCGTCGTTCCCTTGAAGTTCTTGAAGTAGATCTGGTCAAGTATGGCTTTGCTCGGGTTGGCAGCACAGCCAGCCGCATCGGTGCCGTAGCAGCTCTGAATCTGGACGCCGTAGTCACAGCCATCTACCGTCGCTCCATCCCATGTGACGTTTGTCACTGATGAAGTTCCACGGCCGCCCTCGTAAACTTTGATTCCTGCTGCCTTGCCGCAATTGATCATCGTTACATCTTTGACGTAAATGTCTTTGTCAAGTGAGCCGACGACAAGCTGATATCGATATTTCCACTTTCCAATTCCCAGTTTTGACGTCACACGTACAGTGCTGTCACACATACACAAGTGGTGCCACTCCTTCTACGCTTTCAAGTATGTCTTGATTAAGTGTGGAGGCTGCTTAAACAAGTAAATTTAAACAGTGCGTCCACGGTCTGCCTTCTTTGCCACTGCTTGCCGTGAAGATTTCAAGGTTGTTAACTCTGGAGTTCGTAAATAAGTGTTTTCATCGCCTGGAAACCCAAGGAACCAGGCATGCCAAGGCTTGCACCTACGTTAGCGTGCTTGCTGCCGCCAAACTGCAAGTGAGTGGATATGCTCGCGAGAATTGATATCCGTGCATGGCATCTGGCTATCTGTGCATGGCGTCGGCTGAGATCAGCTGACGTGCAGCTGCCACCTGAAAATTCCACTGCAAATGGCGCTGCAAATGGCGGTTGTTCATCAGCTGGTTTAGCTGCAGTCAATGGTCGAAATGGATCCTCTTGAAATGACCTAATCTAGCACCCATTTATCGTAGATGTTCTTGGTAAACCGATATGCTGCCCACTTCTCCCTGCCATCCAACTACGTACATCGTCCAATTCTGTACATCAAATGCCAAGACTCAAAGATGGTAAGCGATGACATGCTTTAAGAGATACTTGGTTAATCTTGGCGCTGTCCGAAAGTGGCCGGCCCATGTCAAAAAGCGGCCATTATTCTCAGCCAATAAAACAGCTTAGGTCATGGACCTGATCTTTTCTTCAAGCGACCTCGTGGATCGCGACTCACGACTCAGCTGTGGCGTAGACTATGGCTGACGTGATCCCCAAGCCAACTCAAGAAACAACCCACCATCATGTTGAGCAAAGCAGTCGGGGCACCGCTGCACCTGAGGGCACAAATAGTGTCGTGAACATGACATCCACCAAACTAAAAGCCACCGTCAAGAAGAAGATTACCGGCACCGGTCTGCCTGCCCTAATCAACTAGTGCAATTTCTGTACGTACTGGATCGGGCCGGACCACAGTATCAACAAGCCGACACTATAACTGAACAACATGATTGAACTTCTCCATCTGTGTCAAAATCTCTTCGCATTGCTGCTTGAAAGGCTGCAGCATAGGGCCAACTTCGTCCAGATACCTCTGAAGATCAATTCTTTCCTTGAAGTTCAGATACCTACACACAACGACCAACTCCTCCATGAGATATTGTACGTCATCGGCATTATAAGCGTTGAGTCGACCGATCATGATAATCCACAGCAAGACACTCAAGTGAGAGCGTGTTGATGTCTCAGCATGCCTAGAGGGAGAAATTGACTTGAGAGCGCCGATCAGTCTGATCACCAGACCCTTGATGTTTAACGGAGGCATTAACTTCAGGACCTGATCGATATACAGGAACACTGCCAGGCGAAAGGCTTCTTGAAGGCCGGTAGAATTGAGCAATTCGGGTTCGAGGCATGGCTGAGGTGAAAGCAGTTGATACTCCAGCAGGTAAATGGCGTCGCTGAGTGCCAGTTGATTGACAACTCCATAAGGATCCGAGAATCTCACTGCTGTAAGAATCCTCAGAACGTGAAGCATTCCGTGCATTGACCACTTTGAATATGAATTATTGTATGCCTTGAGGAAGCAGAAGTCATTTTGGGATAACGATGGAAACGCTTCGAGGGTGATGGAGAAATCCACATGTGGCCGTACGAGTGGAAATCGAGGTGAGCAGCCCCAAGTGGTGGCGTGAAATAGATCTATCCTGGAGAATAATTAGGCTCATTATCTTTCGTGGGAATGTTTTGTGATTTGAGTGCCGACATACATGCTCAGTGTCCTTCTCAGTCGGGGTGGGAGCTTATCCAACCCGCCACGAGCGTGAACTATTTGCTGGAGCCCGTTCATATGCAAAGTGGAATGCTTACTCGTTCCTGCTAGGATCTATCTTATGTAAGCATCTAGTTCGGAGGTGGTTGGATAGACGAACATTGTGGACCACAAGAAGCCCAACTGCCGCAATAGTTTCATCAGTCGACCGTAGAGTACAGTTGCTCAATCGTCGGGACACAAGGCTCAAGGTTTGTTGGCAATGAAAGAGGTCCTTCGCTCCAGTATCATAATACACAGAGGTAATAGATGAGCTCGCGTGGAAAATAACGTCGTCATTTCCGGCAAGACCCACGAGGTCGTAGAACAGGTGCTGCATATCTACAGCTTGACCGATAACTGGATTCAGGTTAGCAGTGACGGTATCAGTTGACTCGTCAGAGATGAAGAAAGGTGACTACCTACAGTGCTGGGCCGTAGTCTGGATCTTCAACTTTGTTATCACGGGTGAGGAAGCAGGGGAATACTGGGGTTGGCACCGCATACTCCTGGAATATCTATGAGAGGCGTGATAGGCGTCATCAGGAACATTGAAGTTGGCGACGGAATTTACAGTCGTCTCAGGAACCACACTTGTAGTATTAAACTCCAGATATTCGTCGTTGGACTTGCATCCAGAATATGAAGCAGCTTGGCGACGGACTCTTTTCAGTGGTTTCCGAGACGAAAGAGCGAATCGTGACTTCCCAGCCACCAAGCCACTGTTTAATGTAGGTACAGAAGACGAATCTGTTTGATTGGGAGTCGCTTGAATTCCTGCCAGTGCTTTCCGAGATCGGTATGCATTGGACTTGACAAGCTTCCGGATCGCATCGTCGTTAGCTGCACGAGACGGGTCACCGTCAAGGGTGATGAACCTCAAGAGGGGGCCTTCAATGCTTGCTTCTGTGCTCCAATCAGCTGCTTATACTACGTCTATGGTGGAGAGGGCTCAGTCAAATGCATCGGAAGACTGATAGTCCCGTCTGGCCCACACGTAAAGCATCAGGCAACTTACTTGGCTTCTCCATTCGAAGCGTTAGTTTCTGCTGAATGATCTATAGTTGATGTCTCCCATCAACATCAAAAGCTTGCCGTATCTCGTTGGGGATCTTAGTGTGAAAATTGGTTCGGCGTGAAAATGCAATATATCCGAGGCTGAGTCATGCCGGGATTGAGTTTGAGCCTCCGCTTAGCTGCCTAGCGCCTCTAATAAGAATTACCCAATTCGGACAGTCACTAATTCCCTGACATTCCATTTCTAGAGATTCTTAATTATACTTTCTGTAGTGACATAAACAGCCGATAGATATCTTGAGAACAGCAGTGGCACCGTCGTCTATCAAGCACTAGCGATGCAATCCTTGTTCGTCCATATGTGGCACAAGTGCTCGATCCACCTCCGACGTCTGGTCTTTTCTGCTTTCTCTCTTTTTGATATTTCTCTGGACCTTCTAAATACCAATCGACCTTTTTTTAATAATTGAAAGAGATTCATTGATTGAATTGGACCGCTCCATTTTACAATGAACAGTCTGGTCAAATGGCGACCTCGCTACTTGGAGGCTCGCTTTATATGCCGCACTCCGATATCTCGAACGATGAGAATTGCAAGCCAGAATTGGGTTCATTATCTTCCAAATTCTAACACGACGAGACTCAGTGCCGCAGGCAAGGAGAGACGAGAGGTGGCACTCGCTAGTGAAGACAAACCTGGAGGAGCTTTGCAATACGTATTGTAAGAAGCGTGCTCATTCCTCTGCTTGTCAGTGAAGGCGATGTATCAACTAATATGTATCTGACCAGATCGAAGGCTGATGCTCTCGCCGCCTGGGCCCGGAATGGTTCCATGCATCCCATGACTTTTGGACTCGCCTGCTGTGCTGTTGAAATGATGCATTGTTCCACACCTCGATACGATCAAGACCGACTCGGTATCATCTTCCGTGCCTCTCCCCGACAATCGGATGTCATGATCGTGGCTGGGACTGTGACAAACAAGATGGCTCCAGCACTACGGCAGGTGTATGACCAAATGCCTGAGCCGAGATGGGTGATCAGTATGGGAAGTTGTGCCAATGGAGGTGGATACTATCATTACAGTTACTCGGTTGTGAGGGGATGCGATAGAATTGTTCCTGTGGATATATATGTTCCTGGTTGTAAGTTATTGCTGTCTTGTGGACCACAGAATGAAATGCTGACTGGTGACAGGCCCACCAACATCTGAGGCATTGCTGTATGGAATATTTCAGCTCCAAAAGAAGGTCCGGCGGACAAAAATCACTCGAATGTGGTACCGCAAATAGTGGTCAATATTTTTGCTCTCGCAAGTTTTGACCGCCTGGCCCTGCATCCCCTTTGTATATTCTATAGAGTAGTACGGTCCTTCATGGTAGTGATCGTGCTTGCCGCCATGTTTTCTCCTCCACAGCGAGTTACGGAGGTCTGATTGTCATACAGCTTCTAATCCCCAAACGACTAATTGGGGAAGGGAGATAAGCTTGGCTCTATGAGCTCGGAGCATGGCTCGGCACTTTTCAACTAGCGCAATGCCAAAATGCCACAAGTGATGCTTGTAGCGTTTACGATGCAGCAGGAATTATGTACTCACCTAGAGGGAACAACCTGTTTCAGTTGCAATCTGCTCCCATACAAGGCATACTTCCTCTATTACAACATATGCTTCGTCTACTTATATTGTGTGCTTCCGCCGGCAATGCCGTTAGAATTGTTCCGCCCGGCTTCCCTTTGGCCGGGCTGCGCAAGATCGAATACGGCTGCACGAGAGAAGAAGCAAGTTCTGGTGCGAGATCCAAGCTAGTCCCGTGTCTGTAGCCGGACTATCGGGTATCCATCCCATGGACTAGCAGCCCTCCTAATCAGTGCCGAGTTTTGCTTATTTCACTCAGAAAGGGTGTTTCTTTACCTTCGAACAGGGGTCCCCAGACGCCCTGAACGGCCCGAGCGCTGACTGTGAATCCCTCCCACTCCTCTACCACGGCCCCACCTCGGCTCCGAGAGCTTGTTCTGGACCGCCAGCTGAGGAACACCCTGCATCTAATCCGCAACCTCTGACATTCGCAACAGCTATAGATAGAGGATGCGGCTTTGAGTAGTGCATTGGCGCTCTTTAGCCGCCAAGACCTGCCCCAGTGTTGAGAACTGGTGGTTTCGGTCTGGCAGGTGGAGCTCGCCCAGCAAGCCTAATATAAGTAGCACTCCCGTTGACCGAGCTATCCTTCGGGCAAGACTGTGGCATCCATCCAGTGCTCGTCAAAGCTGAATAGTGTGCGAGTCCGCCATCGTCTTGTTCGTCCCGACATTTACGTCCGACCACCCCATGTTTACAAGTTGCAGGTAAGTCACCTTCAGTTTCATCTGAAATTTTCTGACGGCATCGCAATGGGCATCCGTCATGTTAAGCTGAATCAGCCTCAGAACCACGAGGGTTAGAATGCGAAAAGCAAAACTCGTAAGCCACATGGCATTATTTCTCAAAGTGGCGCATGATATCGGATCATAAGCGCCCAAGATCTGCTCAGCTGGCCTAGGTTTTGGAGGAGCTTAGGTCCTCCAGAGTGCATGGGGTGCTCTCCGTACACTGTGGACATCTATAGTCATCCATATTGCCACATTATAACAATCTACTCTTCTTTCTTATAACGTATATTGAAAATATAAAACTTAAGGATAAGAAATTACACAGGGTGTTTCTCGGCGTGAGAAATCCTAGTAAGGCGACAGGCACAGTCAGTCAAGTTTCGAGATTCAATTTGCCCAGAAAGTGCGAGTTTCAATTAGGTGACCCGGAACACCATCCTAAAATTCGAGCCAATCATGTGATTTCGAAAGTGTAGACCACATAGGAAGATTTTAGCTACGATAGACAACATGCATCAGTCATCATGATTAACGTGTTCGGTCAGATAATAGTTAAGATCCCCCATTCCAAGTTTGCTCCCAATTCTTCTCGACGACACAGGTTTTTCAGTGGCTGGTCTGGTGCCCTTGTCCCATAGTGCGTCGCCAAAACAATTTCCAAGGACGGGCAGCGGCATAACCCGACGCTAACTACCACTACCGAAACTGGCAATATTGCTACGATAGGGAATGCTTCTCCACGAAGGTGCCGATTCCCAATCGGCACGGCGGGCTATACTAGACGGCTTGCAAATGCATTCCCTTTTCAATTTAACATAATCGATGTATCACTAATGAATATATTTAGAAAGAATAAAGGTCCAGGAAGTAGCATGTCTCATAACAATGTCCCACGCTCCGAAATTCTAGAAGATCGAATGTTTGCGATTTTCTCGACGAAACACTCTAATATGCGGGAACCTGCGTTTGGCAACATTTTGAAATTTGCAAATCCTCTGGAAATGTCTGAGAATAAGGATGACCTGGCTGGTTCGATAGCACAAGAATGCATAGACGGTGCATCACTACTCGTTAGGCACGACAAGGGGTGCGATCAATCGGGGAAGCAATCAGAAAAAGCACGGTTATATTGTTTAATTTTGCGCTTGCTATCGTATTAGAGGCGCTATCGTTTTGTTTTCTTTCCGGGAATGTCAGCCAGCATAATCAGCAACTTTTGTAGGTGGTAAGCTTATACCAATGTTAGAAGATATTATTTAGTACTGAATTCTACCAGAACGCATAAATCAAATTAGGTCATACCTAGTACGCTCGGCATTATAATATCGCTTCATAATACTAATGTACTAGGCTTTATTACTTAGCTAACTTCGGACCCGTGGTAGTTAAGTTCAACCTGTAATTTCTAAAGCTGTTATAGGGTCAGGGATATACTATACCGTTTAGTAAGACTATCTAACATACAGGAGATATCCCATAGCTTACGAGCATAACATGACAAGTTAAGCACCAAACATTAAGAAATATGTAACGATCACCTACCTCGTAAATGTACGGGAAAGCCATTTATAATCCTAGCACACAAAAATTCAGTATCCATGAACGTGCATTATCCAAGCGTTAGATTTTTGTTCATTGTTAACGAGATCAATTTGAACCTAGATCTTCCGCCGACCGCGGATCGATAGGGAAATCTCCTCCCTCCTCTAACTTCGCGCGGTTTTAAGCAAGAGACCGTGGGACAAGTGTTTACATACCGCAACGGAACGGTGACTACTACGAACGGATACTATTGGTTCCGCCAGAGGCTTGAATTGCCAGGGACCATTAGCAGGTATAGTGCTAGGTACGATGCCTTTGGCAATGTCGTGTCGGATAAAATGGGATTTACCATCCAGGACTTTTATAAGCTGGACGAATACTCCACGACAACATTTTTCAATTATGGACCGTTCTTGCCATGTGTTCTCAGTCATGGGGATCCATCCGTAGGGGCTTCCAAGACTTTAGCGGATAGAACGCTCTTCATTTCACTTATAAGGAAGGAATAAGCCAGGCGAGCTCAAGTAGCAGTCACAAGATTGTTCCTAGACAAAGCGCGAGCTTTGTCGGTGCGCTACTTCCCAGAGTATGCCAAGATAATAACCATAACACGCCTAGGTTAAGAGGGCTCGGAGGGGAAATAAGACTATCAATCGGGCTTATAGCGTTGTCACAAGGTGTTGGATCAATCGATACCGCATTCCATAACAATAATTGGGACGGAAATTGTTGGACTGGTCAACACCACGTATCCGCTTGTAGGTCTTCCGTAGCGCTTCACTGAAACCAACTAATACTCCTCTAGGGCCTGCGGCCGATGAAGATCCGCGTGGCGTTATTGTCCATATCGCCTTGGATCTTGAAGCTGGATGGAATTCTTTAATCGAAACTATTTCCAACTTTGAATAGGACGGTATTTCAATAAGAGGCTAATGAATGGGTCTTCTAACCGATCTGCTCTGTCAAGTTTAATGCGCGGCAGACCTATCTGGTGGTCCCCGCTTTAAGTGATGAAGCTGTACACTTCTTGTTAGAGGACTATCTTTTATTTTACGATTAGGTCTTTTAAAAAGCTGTGTGATATCATGATGATATATTTTTCATCGCAATCGTTTGGAGAGCCTTATGCTTCGGAATGTGCTCTGCTTGCTACACCTAGCTTTTTAGACATCCTAGTTTGGTGCCAATACCGACCAGGTAAAGTGATGGCAAATAAACATATTGCTTAGCGTCTCATCCGTGTTAGCCGCTCTAAGCCGCATATAGCGCTGTCCACTGCGTTGGTGCATTGTAAGCGATATGCGGGCGGCGTACTCCAGGGAATTCTCAGCAAATCGGAAATGCCGCTAACTTATGCCCGTATTGCAGCGGCCTACCCGATGTGATTTACAACTCGTGGTATCAGATTCAATAGGCGTTGCGATCGCTAAACATCTCGAGGAATGATCTTCAATCTCACTTGCTACAACATCACATGAGACCTCGTTTTGATTAAGGCAATTACGGAAAGTGGAAAAACTGGGTGAAGCACTTCTGTACGGGCTGCAGGAGTTCATGGAAACACCGAACGAAGTGGATTATGTAAGATAGACTAGGGCCCTTTAGCTTTAAACCCCGGGCGCATAGCTTCATCATCATGTGGAAACGTAAACTCTGGATAAGAAGGCTTCGAGAATCATGGCTCATGCTGCGGAATGATTGATTGGGTAGGCAAGCTAGCTCCAAACTATGCTGATCCTAACGAGCTGCAGCACATTGAAAACTGTGTTATATAGCATTGGCTGGCCATTGGGGCTTGGTTTTCATGCACCCCTGTAGCCCCTCTCAGCCTACAACCAATAACACTTGTTCTCAACAAATCCTTGCTCCTCGAGGTCAGACTGAGATGAACAAATTTTGGAACACGGTGGATTGATACTCGTGATGTTCTCAAGAAGTGGCGATGGTAGGATCCTATAAAGGGGGTCCTTCAGTCCGAACTGCTTCTCATTCAATAATCTCAACAACCAGTTTCGATCTTCCTCAGAGTCATGTCAGAACCCATATCAACGGAATCAAGTCTCGCAAGCCGCGCGAGGGCCTCAGTAGCTTTTCGTCGTATGTACGATGATGAAGCAATGGCCGGTGCTGAAAGCACTTTATGGCGCACAATGGTGGATACCATCCAAGGGGCAATGTTCCGCTATACCAAGTCTGTAAATGATATCAAGCTCTTCGAATGGGATGCCCATGATATTTGGTATCAATATATCCAACTAGCAAAGAATATTGATGCTGAGCACCCTGCACAGGACCGATTGGTCCGAGTGGTCCTATGGACCCGCGAACTCGGTGTACTGTCAAGAACTAAAAAGCGCTCGCAGCTTTGGCCTGTCACCGAATGGGATAACCACAAGATCGTGGTGCAGGAAGCTGTTACTGAAGATGGAAGACTTTGGATCGATCTTCCATATTTGGTTAGAGACGTATGCTCAGCTTGGGCTGATGTCATGAATTCTACCACCAGCCCACCCCATCATTACAACCTCGCATCGGCCATTGCACGTCTTGCTGGCTTAGGCATCCGAGATAACGCCCTCAGCGGGTGTGGGCTTGCAGTTATGCGTGAAGGTCTCGAGGTTCCCCGAGCCATCTACCATGAATCATCCCCTACTGGACCAGCTCTAGAGGAGTCCGCTAGGTCCATGACCACAATGTCAATCATGGACTTTCACCCCATGCTTATGTCCTGGATGGTATACGCTGGGCACAAGCTTCTACATCTCAGCCATACTTCGTATGATGCAGCTTCCTGGGACACTGCGCAAACGCACCTTGGTGAGTTGGCAATTAGCGCTGGAGTCGGATCTGCTGGCTTTAGTCGCGCAAGGTTTGGGTTTTGGGTAAATAGGATGGAAGAACTTAAGCAGAATGACAAGAAGGAAGTGAAAGAAGCCTTTCAGAAGTGCTATTTCCTTGCTAGTAGGATTCTTCACGAGTTGGATGATCATGGACTTGAAGAAGTTTGAAATAGGGCAACAGAGTACCGAAAGGTCATAAGCTTTTGCAAAATCTGTGGGACATCTTTTCTTCTGTTGTTTCATCAGCTCGTCACAATAAATGTACTGCAACTTGCAAGTAATATTGCACGTTTAAATCTTTATACACAACCATTAAGTCTCGATCTGCTTCAGATCTCTTGTAGATAGCATTCTCAAAATTCTCGAGATCTGAACTAGTGGTATTAAGTAGTGAAGATGGTTATTTGAACAAACAGAAGGCTCCGAGCATTTGTCAACATATTCTAAACGCTAGGTTTAATCATGTTGATTTCACAACTGGCGGCGAAATTTGTTCTATAGTGACAGATACATCCCCTACTTGGCACGCTCTTCACCCAGTACTTCGTCCTCGCGCCCCTCCTTCCCTCTTCGACACCAATTTCTCTCTAGGGGCATGCAACCACTTTACCGGAGGTTGGGTTGCAGCCAGTGGTTGGGTTATTAAAGTAACATTGTCCTGGCAAACCATTAGATTAGTATCTTTACTAGTGTTATAAATTTTCATGGCGGGAATAAAGGAAACTATAGCAGAGCCGGGACATACCATCCCCTTCACAGTAACAGTAGTTCCCAATGCCTTGGTCGGGGTCTGCTCTAGTAAGCTGTCAGATGTATGCTACATATTGAAGGTATTAGATAGGAACAAACTGGTTGTAGCATGGTCCCTGGGCCAATGCCGTGCACAGAAAAGTGACCATGACAGAAAACGTGAAGAACTTCATTTTGTTGAATGTTTGCTTGATAGATTAATTTAGGTTGTGAGATGGAGGGGTGAATTGAAGTCTACTTAGTTGGTGGATAGACTTATTTAATCTCCTCCTTGAGACTTGACAGAAGTATGATGTTGCCCAAATCCGGTGGTAACATTATTCCCGTGAAGGTATGAAAGTCCTGTTTCCTTTAGGAAGGTGATTGACTGCTAGACTGGTCGTAAATGCAGGTCGTTTTCGAAAATGACTAACGAGCCTTGTGCTTCAGAATTATGAACCGTCGATCTTTCATTTATCTCTGGTGTTTTGCTAGAGGGCAAGGAGTCTAATCCATCCTAGGGTAAATACGGCAAGATCATGCTGATCCTCCGTCATGTCTAAAGGGTACCTTTTTACAGTATATGGTATGTCAAATTCCTTTAGATGACTGGACAACGCATGCACACTCAAAACACAGAAGAATGCGACAAGCGGTACCTTAGATACGTCTAGTGACGGATAATCCGCGAAGCTCCCTATGACAAATTAAGCACTAAATCGTGAACCACCACTTAGATAGCTCAATTTTTAATAGTGCTGGTCTCCATAAGGCTTTTAGCAACTCGATGACCGTTTCCTCTTTTAGGTGCGTAAGCTTCCTCCACTTTTAACTGCTTATTACTACACTTATTTCTAACTGCATAATCCTACCCACATTCCCAACCACGTAGTCCTGTTTTTATTTCCGAGATTATGACCGTTTCCTCTTTTAGGTGCATATGCTTCTGTCAGGGCGAAGACGTTGGCTTGGCGAAATGACACTGATATTGTTATCCTATGCACTACATATGAGGTACAAGACAAGAGATGAAGGAGAAAAGAGAGAACAGTTCATAACACCCAGACGATCTCGGTGTTATTAAAATCGAAAATACAATTCCACCGCTTTCCATTCTATTCTATCACATTGGCTTTTCGTAATGTCTGCTTGCTCCATAACAGCTTCCTCCACCTTTAACTGATTGTTACTATATTCATTTCTGACTGCATAACCTTACATATATTCCTAAATAAGTAATCCTGTTTTCATATCCGAGACTGCATGGTACTGCTTATGTCAAATAGTTAATACAAAGCATACCAGAGCGATGTCCTCAGTGGGCGAAAAACATCCGTCAGATAAATGCTTGATTCAAAAGGATGTTCTATGAAGAACGATCTCATCCATATACGGAAGATTGTAAGATCTCAAGACGTACAAGTCGGACGTCTGCATGCAAAGATCTTATGATTTAGACCATCTAGAAGCTCAGCACTTCAAATCATGCAACAATTTTTACTTCCATTACGTGTGCTTAGTAGACCTAGCGATATGTGCGATCTAACGTAATTTGTCACTAGCCTCGACTGCCCCGTTTCTTTAGAGCCAGTTTTATCTCCGCCTTCTCAGAAACGCTTCTCTATCCATATATAGACTCCGATTTTTACAGTAACTGTGCAGGGAAGGTTGCAATGCAATGGTGCAGTATGAGACCCATGATTCTGTGCCGTACGATGCTAAACGTCTGCCCAGGGTAGCATCCTGAAGTATCTACCTCACACTCAATTAACCATGTATTTGGCAAAATTACAGGCATTAATAACCCTAGGCCAATCTGAGAATCTTATTTCCGGGTCTCACATAATATATTTCAACACAAATCAACTAAGAAAACCTCACTACAACCATATTAGTATACTCACTCGGCATGGTCTTGAGGCTGGTAATATGAGAAGATCAACATTGTTACTACTCTCCTTTTTCGTTAAGTTTCCAAGTCAAGACTATCTGGTGAATAGTTAGGGCGCTCTAGTCCCGTCTGTTACACAGCTTGTAACGCTTGAATCTACATATTACATCCCTTTCCTACCTCATAAAACCTAGAAATCCTCTATCATTCATCAAATCCATTAAGTCGACCTTCCTTGACTAGTTGTTAACATGCAGTTTCTTAGGAGCTGGGTTCTTTTCTCTGCTGCCGCAGTGGCACTTCCTTATCCCGCTTCCGATACTTTCGCCACTAGCCTGGTAGAGCGAGAGTTATACGAGGGAGTAAGGCAACCTGAAAATACTGTTGTAAACTTATTAATACAAGACTCAGTACTGCACACCAGCAACGCAAATCTGCCACATCTCATCGGGAGGCTTAACAACTGATAAGCCTTGCAACGATCAATCCAATAACCCTGTATGTTCAAGAATCCAGCCACTAATGCAAAACATACACATATTTTCAAGCACTCACAGCTTTGTTTCTTAGTGCCGTACCAACGATGGTTTGTGGAACTGGAGTTCCACTTCTGGAATTGCTGTATCCTCTTGAAGCATCACTGGGAAGCAGATAGGATACAGAAGAAGACATGGCAATGTCGAAGACAAGTAGTTTGTCCGTCCGTCACTCGCTTAAGCTTAGGAGTAGGGTTTATTCTTAAATGGAGCATTCAGAGTCTGAAAAGCATTTTGCTTGCATTCTATGCTTCTAATGGTGAATAACTTAAGAGAGAAGTAAGCCTTTATTATTTAATAAGATTAGGGAAATAAGATAATTTATAACCGTGATTTAAAGTTAACTAACGTAGTTTACAAGCGAGCTGGCCACCTAAGGAAGCTGGCCACGCTAATTAGCATAACATACAATTTAACCTTTTACCTCCATTTTTATCACTACTTCTAAATGACTTTAATTAATAAAGAAGCTTAATTGATCTTTGCCATTCAGGCTATTGAAAAAGATCTAATATTAAGCGTACGGCGCGTCGTAGCGATATATATAGTCCCTCGTTTAACGCTTATAACGCGAATACGCGGTATTTAACCTCGACGCGATATCCGACCTAAAAATCAAATTCTTATAAAACTAGAAGAGAGTACGATTATTAAAAGGATAATTAAGCTAGATTCCCAAGCATTCCCTCCCCGGTTAAGCGTTATGGAAGATATAGCGAATCGATTACTACGCGACCGCGACGCGTTACGCGTCGGGAAGAACTAGGCCTCTAACTTCGTTAAGCGACAACCACAACTCAAAACAGTATTTAGTCGTAAGTACGACTATTCTAGGGCTTTATACGAAAATCCAGAACTTATCCAAGGTTGGTTCGACCTCGTACGTAACATAATCGCGAAATACGGGGTCGTAAATACGGATATTTACAACTTCGATAAGACCGGGTTTATAATAGGACAAATTACCCTATCGATAATCGTTACTAGCTCCGAAAGGAAAGGCAAACCTAAGCTAGCCTAGCCTAGTAATCGGGAATAGGCTACGGTTATCGAAGGCGTTAATTCGTAAGGCTAGACGGTCCTACCATATATTATCGTTAAAGGCAAATACCACTTGTTATCTTAGTACGAAAATAGCTTAATGCCAAAGAATTAAAGGGTTATTATTAGCCCGAATGGTTAGATTATTAATAAACTAACTATAAATTGGCTAAAACACTTCGACGTGTATATAAAAAGCTAGAAATTAGGTATATACCGGCTTTTAATCCTTAACGGCCACGAGAGCTACCATTCGGATACTTTCGAGTAATATTATAAAGAGAATAACATTCTTATACTTTATATGCTTGCCCATTTATCCTATATCCTTTAGCCGTTAAATATAATATGTTTTACACCTTTTAAAAAAGCGTATAGCGCGTAAATTAAATGTTTTATCCGAGCCCGGATTTCCTATATTACGAAAGAGGACTTCCTCCCGGCGTTTTGCGAAGCATTCGAGAAGAGTATAACCGAAAGTAATATCCGCGTAGGCTTCGAGGGAGCTAGACTTGTCCCTCTAAGCCCGGAAGTAGTGATATCGAAGCTAGATATGAAATTACAAACGCTAACGTCCTCTCGGCCCCTTACGCGAGAAACCCGACCTTAGGCTTCGAGGATACCGAACAACCTAATCGAGGCCACTTTATAATCTGAATTTATCAAATCTCGGATCGCTAACCATTAAAATAGCTCTCCAACCTCAATTTACGAAGCCATCGACCAATTCGCGAAAGGAGCGCATAGGATTATATACCGGATGGCCCTCCTCTAAGCCGAAGTGACTAAACTACGAGAGGCAAATACGGTTATTAGTAAGCGACATAAGGCTAAAAAAACACGTATTCGGCTTGGAGGATTACTTAATATACAAGATGTAAAAGATCTATAAGACCAAAAAGACGTTATACAACAAGTATAACAAGAAATACGTGAAAACGGTAGTGGTTCGGGTCGGGGACCGGCGCGCTAACGATGCTATGAAGTATACGGGAAGCCCGGGCATAACGCAAGAACCTGTCAGGTTGAAATAAAATCATCCGGGCAAGAGTATTCAGAGTAGTTTAAATTGATTTACGGCGTTATGGTTGCGAAATTCAGTTGAATTGCGTATTGTGCTGATTAGCGTGGCCAGCTTCCTTGGGTGGCCAGCTCGCTTGTGAACTACGTTATACATAAGAGATTAAATAGTCATATCTTCCCGCCCCGCTTTTGTTGCATAGCTGCTCTTAGTACCTGCTCCTGACTCCAAGGCTTCCGAGACGTGGCACATCTTCTTTTGGCAGGTTTATCCGGCATTTGTCTATCTACGTATTCTTGATCACTGCTGGGTCCAAACAGATTGTCGTTCTCCAGGGGGCAGAACCATCATCAGAGGCGTGATCCAAATGGCTTCGTGGAGTGGTGCAGGCGGTCCTTCGGGATCTATCACTTGAGGCGACTGTGGGTGGCTCAAAAGATTTGAAGCCACTGGTGCTTCTTTCCTTAGCACATCCATCAAATCGTGTTCTCATAGCCGTGGCATAATCTCGGATCTTCCAGAGACTACTCCTCAGCATGGCTGCATTCTTTTGTTGCGAAGATCCCACAGGGCTATCATTAAGTAACGTGTCCCAGGCAATCTTGTCGTGTCGATGGAACTGCAAGGCTTTCTCACAGAGCTGTAGTAGTTCATCGGTGCAAAAGCCGCACGTCGCGCAGCATTTTGGTGCGATCCGTTTTCCGATGCTCGTGAACGGAGTGTTGCTCAAGCAGGCTGGGATATCCGTCCCACGATTCATAATCATAGCTTGACCCGCAGTGCCACGAGGATGCAGTCGACCTAGAACATCATATCAGTGTCTCTCTCTCTGTCTGATCGAAGATCGCGGGCCTGAGTCTTCTTACTTCCCTCGCTTGACTATCTTCCATCATACTGTGTCATTCGTGGTGCTATCATGCCGTATCAATGGTAGTCGTTTTGGGTCATGATGGCCAATCTGTTGTTGAGAAAGATGGGACGAGATGTTCTTGTGTCCATTCTCAGCTTGGCGACGGTCTGATACTCCTCAGGTTAGAATGTTGACTGCAGCCAATTTTCCGGCATCACCTACTAGAATTCTTGACCTCTGGCGGGTTGGACAAGGTTGGGACGCGAAGGAGGAGACTGTTCGCACGTCTACTGAGCCGTCATGCTGGACACTACGCTCTTCTCCATCTCCATGCATCGTTCGTGTCCTGTCTCTGTACAAAGATCGAAATGCTTGGCGGTCATTGCGCTTGAAGACAAGCTGCGCCATCTTAATCATACAGAAACGTAATATTATGAAGAATGACGAGTCAAGTGTGAATGAGAGCGAAGTAAACTTTTTATTATGTTTATATTTCTTGTTTGACAGAAAAGTAAATTGGCATACTTATATATACAGGTACATATTGGCTGGTCTTTTTCGATACGTAACAGCCTTTCACGAGACCTACGCAACAAATAAGTCAAGAATCCTGGCTATGATGCTTATGATGGGTGAATTAATTGCAATCGATGGGCCAGGGAAAATTGGAATTATTGTGTTAATTGACTCCTTCCACCCCTTATAAATGAGCTGGGCAGAACTTCTCCTTTCAAGTCGTTAGTCCGCAGAGATCTTGGCGATGCCGAGAACTATATAGCCGCAAGCGCTCTCAGATTACTGTGGATACCGCAATCATGAAGGCAGCAACGTTTATGACGGAGGGGAATTGGAATCGGTATTCGGGATAATTAAACCGTCGTTTATAGACGAGTAAGAGCACGACGTCCTTACGGCGGCAATATCTCTTAGAGTAGTCTTTGGAAAGGAGAGTAGATCTCACCCCGCAGTGTGATTCTCGGCGAAGATGAACAGAGTTTTCCCTAAATGTCGGCGTGCCCTATAATGTTAGCGGACAGACGGGCTCACCGTTATAGAACCACCAGAGTTCAAGGGTAAAATATCGAATAACATATCCACTAGTATAGTACCCTAAATTCTGACAACTCAAATCAGATAATTAGCCAAGGACGAGCCTTCAATTTATTTGCGGCAACATGCATGTACTTTTGACAAACTGCTCTATATACTTCTATCACCGCTGCCTTCAATAACTTCATGGCTCCCAGGAACGGCTCATTCGTTCCTCGTACAGGGTCAAGAGTTAGTTTGATTTGGGCATGAAAATACAAGCATTGTCCTCATGTGTGCCCGTCCTCCAGCCAGGTGGTCTCTTCCCTTGACTCCGATAGCTGTCCGATTGGTTTATCCCTAACTTTGTGGCGGGAATCATTTGCTTAGCTTTACCGGCTCTACGCTTTTGGGATGTTCCCTTCGGGACGAGCAACCCCTTTATCGTGCATGGGCTTGATGGCCTGCTGCTAGCCCGAATCAGTATTACAGGATACTTCTGCTATTGGCATAGTCAAAAGCCGTATATAATTCCGATATACAGGAGTCATGGAACCAGAAGAATTATAAGTTACAGGGTTTCGCGAATGAATGCCTACGAATATGCGTCAAGGGGCGGGAATGAACGGAATATTACTTTTTATCCTCGTTATAATTTGTCCTGACTTGGATATAAGTCCAGAGGTCGGAACCAGGTTTCCCACCAAGTTGTATAGCACTAGATATAATTAAATTCAAGATAGTTTGAAGTTGTGCCGACGCGAGACCACAACCGAGATGTGGCTTTCAGACAAGGCTCCGAACAACCAAAAGGCATACGATGACCCTAAATGCCTACCTCAGATCCTTGACAAGCCCGAATTTGCCAAGCAGTATGCAGTATAAAGCCTAATGAAATACGTGCAATCATCCTCTGATCATCATTTCCAAAGCTATTCATCCCTCCACTATCATATCAACAAAGGCATTGCTAAATACTTCCCTCGACGAGGCAACAGAACAGTCAGCGAAGTATGTTACGTTAGGCAGGTATTTGGTCGACGCATATACCCAGCAAGGATCTCCTTCATTTTGACACTACCAGTTCATCTCCTGTTAACTTCCGTCTCTGAATTGAGAAGGATTGATGTTAGGCGAATGGCCTACTCACTGCATATTGTGAGGGTGATTGGCAGACTTGAAAAGTACTGGTATACTCTTGGAAGTCGCAGTCTGTCGAGTAATCACCGGCATTGCATATGCCATCCGTTTGAGTACAAGTCTGCTCCGCGCGTAGTTTGTCAGCGGAGGACCCATAAAGTCTGCTTGAGGTATTTCAACTTACTCCTTGCGCAACAGCCCCTGGATATATGCCTGCGTATTCGCAAGCCCGAGCCAGGTGCTGCGCGAGGGTATCGGCAGGTAGAGCAGTTGAGGCAGCAAATAAGGCTGCAGCGGACGCAAAGGTGTGGTAGTGCATATAGATGACGGTTTTCGGCATGGCGATGTCCAAGACTGGAGGTTTTGGGATCAGAAAATGGCAGACCTCATGCTGAATTGGGCGCCAAAATAGTCTTAGCGCATAATAATAGCCCCACATCTGCCTGTCCAAAACGGCGCGTACCGGAAATAACCCTTTACCCGTTTACAAACGGATTTCTAAAGTATATCCGCAACTCCGTTTTGTTCATTTTGTTCAACACCCCAACGGTGTGCATCTAGACATTAACGTGCCCGTCAAAAGACACATCCGAAGACCCCACTCAATGTACGTGAAAGCCAATGAAATTAGCTCTCTACACCATCACTCATTGTAATCCCCTAATGCTACGAAGCGTATGCTATTCCACGAAGCATATATCACTTCGCATCCTAAAAGTAAAAGGAAATGTCTGAAATCCGACTCTACATAACATCGAGTTCTTAGCCAAGTAAGGGTCAAGTTCTATTAAACTAGCTCTTAGGTGTTCACGGTAGGCGTATATTCTTTTTGACGTCGCTACCCTAGTCAAGCAATGATGAACAATTTGGAATTCAAATAACGTATTTGTTCAACTAGAATCGGCCTCTCCGAAATTGCTAAAGCATCTCTTCGTTCTAAATACGCAGCATATAGGGGAACAGAAGGCACACCGTGTAACATGTTAGTATTGAAATGCTTTAGGCATCTAATTTGCTACGTAGTTTGTGGCTTGGCTTGTTTGAGAAATTTCATACCACCGAGTTCAAGGATACGAATACAATCTATTTCGAACATCTCAGCCAATCGTTCAAGGACAGCTCTTCGGGCACGCCGACTCGCGCTTTTCGAATATTCCTGATCATCTGTCACACCTGATTGTAGGATCAACTTAAGGTAGACACCAGCGTGCTCTATAAGCAAGTCAACAATATTTACATGGCTCTTCTTGACAGACCACGCTCAAGGATAGTATCCCAGCACTCAGAAGCCAGTGGAAAGTCTTTGGGTCAGAAAGAACCCTAGTTAATCTGATAAGCTTGACTTTCACCGAACACAGGTAACATAAAACGTACAGTCACGTTGGCACTGGCAGGGGTGGATCGAGCCAGCCGAGTAGACAAGATGCAGCATGTTATAACTTTTAGCCTTAGACGCTGCAATGTGCATGGCTGCGTCAGCATATCCCACAGAAGCCTTTCCTGAGTGGTTGCCTACGGCTGCGGATATTCGATAGCAAGTAAGAACGCGCGAGAGAGAAGCACAAGTCCGAGCAGGACCTCCTGCCTTGAAAACAGCCACGACCGAATCCTCTATGGCTGTTGGATTACGATGGCTCCACTATGTATAACATCAAACCCGCTTTTAGTGACCAATCAGCCCCCAGCCAAATTTGCTAAGTCCCTTTTTGTACGCCATTGCCTCGCGATTGTGATTTCGTAACGTGAAGGGTATGTAGCATGCGCATCAACGTGTGGCTGCAGCTAGAACGGGGACAAAGCTGTAATGTGGGTCTGACATATGTACTATCACTCAATCAAATCAAGTATATCCAATCCTAGGGGCCACTTTTGAGTGACCCCCGAAAATGGCTTAGTCCGATGCTAGATGCAACCGGCGAAGTGGTTTCCTCACTGACGACATCGCTACTATTCAGGGCTATACCTTTAATTTGCTCATTATCTAAGTGGATACTCGGAGGGATCAGTCTACAATGAACCACCAGCTGTGCTGATCATGCATAAGCTTATGTCCAGGATTGGGGCTCGTATATCCTGGATACATCATGTATGTTGTCATGCGTACTGAGGTGCTGGTTTGCAGACTTAAGACCTCATTTAACTACACTCGTAACAGCCTGTGCTATCAATCAGAGCACAATGGATTGCAACCTGCCACCTCTTTCTGAAGCCGCAAGAAGGCCTTGTCACCCTCTCCTTGATTTGAGCAAGGAGCTGATATGGGAACGTCGGCGTGCGAATTCAACAATGAATGCGGCACTCGAATGGCGTAGAAAGCGTAAGACGACAGAGCATAGGATTGTGGAGGATACGATTTCGGAAGGTCTACTACAATTGTGAGACCTGGTTGTTGTCCCTGCAGAGTCGCCCGGTTTATGGGAAAACTTCGTAGCCTCATTTCACGATATGCGTGTAGATTTGCGAGCCATAGTTATCGGGCGTCTAAAATACGTATCTCGACTCCCACATCTCCGTTACAAAGGGCTGACTAATAGAGAAAGAGAGATACGTGTTCACATTAAGGCGCGTAGAAAAGAAAAGCCTGCTTCCAGGGATTGAGGTATTTCCACTTAGCTTTTTATGGTCAGCCAGTCATGATGTCTCTCGGCCTGACCGGTCTAGGTGAGAGTGCTGTGGCTTTATCCAGTCAGACATCATCAATGGACAATACTTGTAGAGGTTTCTACTGTCATTACAGTTTCGGAAACTGATCATTAGCTTATTCCAGGTTTCCAATGCCGGATCTTGGTGTGCATTAGCGTAATATGGGTGGCATTTAGCCATCAGGGGGCACAGATGGTGCTGGTTGCCACTGTAACAATAAGCTCACAGCTTATGCAGCGACATTTAGAAGCACAAGTAGTACTACTTAGAATGCTTTAATCACAAGTCGAAGCGAGAGCTATAATTGATCCCCTACATAAAGACATTTTATGGTCTAACGATCTCATCGGCCTCAAGTGGATATCGTTATGTACGCTCTGTAAAAGGGCGAATGCACTCGGCGAGGCGACGTTCACGAGAGCACTATGCCAAAATACTGCGAGAGAGTCTATATGGACGAAGTAAAAATATATTAGAGGCACATTCACTCGTAATTAGTGCGAGAAGTCGACATAAGAGCTGTGACCGTAACACGTACTTGTAATGATGATGCCCGTAGAACCGAAACCAGCTATCGTGAGGGCTAGTCTCCTCAAAGCCACATCAATTGCAGCCCCAACAGCTATTGATACCCTGCCAATAGCATTCCCCATTTCTGAATGAACAATTCAAAAGTGTAATCAAGGTCTTCGCAATCGTTGGCACACAATAGAAGTTGCCTAGCTAAGCTTGGCGATGATCTAGCACTGGCTGGGTTTCCGGCCCGGGCCTGGACCGGCGCCGGGGCAGCCAGTAATGGTCTGCAGTTCACACGCCCCCTTTCCATTTTAATGTTTGTACGAAGCCGTCCCTGATTCTTGATGGGCGGGCCGACTCAGGGGACACGGGGCAACCTCCGCTGTCGATGATTTTGGTAGACTCTAGGTTATGAAGAAGCGGGGATGCGAAGGCCTCGCCGAATTGATTCTCTCGATACCTGGGTTTGATTGGCCATCCGGCGATATTAACGAGCGGATGTGATTGGCCGGCGCTGTAGACAGCCCACGGGAAGCAAAAGGAGCAAGCTTCACTTCAAGTCAATGCACCGCTCCTTAGGCCGCGACACTTTGAACTTCATGAGCTAGCCTGATCATTCTAGAGACGTGGACTAAAAGAGACACATTCCGTTCAAGAAAGAGCCCTATCGCAAATAAGGTCCATGGCGAGCTCAAAAGCAGAGACCCCGTTGAAGATTTGCCAGCAGAACGGCAGGTCGCCTAGATCGGGGCAAAAGGTTCGGCAACTCCGAGAGTTGTACAGAGCAACGCCATAATCAGAACATTGGGCAGTGATATCACCCTGGCAAATAATGGTCGCGCCGCCAAGCGTAGCTCCGCAAAGATCGGCAGTGGAGTGCCCTATCCCGGTCAGGTAGCCTGAGACCTGAGTGCCAGCATTCATGTTCCTAGCCACAAGTTCGAATCTGTGGGTGCAGCCGCCAAAGCCACAGTCGTCGTCTTCAGAGAGACCAACACAGTACCATGGGTTCTGGAGTGGCGGCTGCGTCGGCGGAGGTGGTACGTATGGCGGCAGAGTTGGCGGTCGCGGTATCCAGATGGGATTGGGAATGCAAGGGCAGCCGTAGAAGTTTGTCATGCAGACGGCGTTGCCTTGATCATTAAAGCCGCCGTTGCAGCCGTTCAAGGAACAACTCTGCTTCCTGCCACAGGTAGACTATCGGCGAGTCAGCTATTGTATGACACTTGCAGAGTTACTTTGTTGGGTTGAAGCATCAGGAGGGCTTCGAGTCAGACTTACTGTCACAGGGTTGCACACGCAGCCGGGGAAGTTGCCTCGACAGCGCGCCGTGTTGGAGCCGCTGTCAAAAGACCCATTGCATCCGCCACGATCACAATTTTGGACAACACCGCACGTATTCTGTGGAAATAGGCAGGTCAGCTACGTGAAACGTTCCACAATTTGTAAGATCGACCACTCACCGGCGTTGCGTTGCACGGGCATCCTTGAAAGTTCCCCTGGCACCGGGCCTCCCCGCTCGTGTGGCGCGCCGCAAGGCTGTGATAAAGGCAACTGTGCCGGGGCGTTTGTTGGAAACGTGCCGATGCCGCAGTGCACAAACTTCTTCAAGGGCTGCCAGTGCTCGAGAACGCCCAACACCTGCGGCACCAGACAGAGCTGTGACCTCAATAGCTGTTCGAAATGGCCCACCGCAATGTTGAGCAGTGTTATGCACGCGCAATGGATGCTTGGCGTCATTATCCCGCGTATAGCTGAAGTGCCAGACATATTTCGACCCCTGCTCCGCGGCCTGCTTCGCAGACAGCCCCACAAAAGGTGGTCCGCGCTGAAATGTCTAGCATGGCTCGGCAGTAACATTCAGGCTGTTAGCGACTCGCAGAACTTTAATTCGGATGCACACGCTAGTCCAAGTAATGAGTCCGCCACCGATCGAGAGACCATCCTCCTTGCGGGTGGAACAATAGCTTCACCCGTGGAGAGCTCCAAGAGGAGGAAGCGGCCAGCTTCTGCGTCACTCAGTGAGGCAAACTACGGGCTTGGGATTCGTTCCGGTGGTAGACCTGCAGAGCTCCGGTCATTGCGGTTTAGCGAGGACTCACATGATTCGCCTGAGCAAGTGCTGCCAGCCCCATCGTTGGTGTTACGACAGTCTTCGCGTGATCTGCCATCCACGCCGACTCCGAGGGCCAGATTTGTTACTCCGCCCATACCGCAGTCGCCAGGGTTTCGGGGTTCTCCGAGTGAGATCCCATCCACTCTAGCTCCGGAAGTCCCATTTGTTACACCGCCGCCACCATCGCCACGGCCGGGCAGAGTACCACATCACGGCGCGTTAGTCTACTCACCGACTTCAAAGAGCTACAACGGAGCCTCATTCGGTGGACCACTAGTATCACCATCGTGGGCCCCAACACCAGATCGCGACGAAGGCGAGTTCCCAACCTCAGGCGAAGATGATGAGTATTCTATGGAGACAAGTGACTCTGAACTTCTGAATGAATGGAATGACAGCGATAGCGAGGACGAGGACGAGGACGATGACTAATCTTGACGTGTCTGCATTCATACTGGCAGAGGAAGCGCGAGGAAGAGATCGTCGGATCGAGGATGCACGGTCGGAAGAAAGGTTATTAGAAAGTCAGTGTCGTATCAATGTATGATTGGCATATCAATTCATCACACTTATACAACCATTTCCAAAACACCGTAAAGACCAGACCTATAAGGAAACATATCCCCTGCTGATGAAGACGTGACAAGAATGGAAGCGGTGACGGCCTCGAAGCCTCTTTATGATACGCTTTATCGCTGAACCAGCCTAGACTAAGATGACGACGTCAATAACGACAAGCACATGGTCTTTAGGTAATAGTTACATTGTGACCTATTCGGAGCAGGCCATAATGTCATCGCAACTCAGTATTACCTGATTAGTTCATAATATGTGTTTATGCACGTGGTGAATAGTATCCAGATTAAACTCATGGTGACTTTAACGCCGGTTTCAGCTCCACATGTAACGTCTATCCCTACGTAGCGAGCCACCCTGTGTGGCGAGCCAAAATGCAGATACTTCGTCTTCAACACAACCTACACCTCGGCCCCACGAATGCAATGGCTTAAATTTGCAATTCAAAGGACTGGCTTCTAAGAGATCTCAGCGACCGAGCCAGAAAGATACAGGCCGCCATAGAACAAGTGTGAAGGAAAAGTCTGCCGGTATTAGTCTCTGTCATATCTGGAACCAACGAAGCTTCTGGCCAAGCACCTGACCATATGGGTTTACTAACTTACGATGGGCGGTTGCCGCCGGAGATCTCAGACGCAATCGGGCACGCGAACGTGGTATATCTCCAGGTGGGAGCTACAAGTGGAATATTCGTGTTTAAAGAGAATAGAAGAGAGAGACGAAAAGAGGAAGCCATTTCTGATTATGTCTGTACCTTACTCCGCGAAGTATTTTCAGAATTCAAGTCTCCACAATCAATTGCTTCTTTGTTTCTTGTGTCGCTGCTTTCCCGGCTCGTCTGCTTTCCCATCTTCTCCCGCTTTCTCCTTGTTCTTCCCCTCTTCCCGTTGTTACTTCTTTTACCTTCCTTCTTTGCTCGCTGTTTACTTTCTTACTTCTCCTCTTTGCTACCTTCTCATCGCTTCCATCTTCTTATCCACTCTTGCACACATCTGGGAACCGAAAGGGTACTTTGGTGAGTTTACACTCCGATCATTGACGTTTGACAGGCGGCAGCCAATCACTGACTTTGGCCGAGTCGCAACGACGAAACCGGCGGCGGCAGAGAAACAATTTTCAGAGAGAACTCAATTACTGTGCAACGCGGGTGGATGATCTACTAGAAGGGTGAGTCACCACCTCAGATCAGCAGATGGTACACCCATGACTGACCTGCCCTACTTTATCAGAACCGAGTACCTGTGAGTCCGCCCTGTTCCATTCAACAGTTTTCCAGCTAACGTCTAGCTCACCCTCCAGGATGTAACAAGTACAAGAGTAAATGCTCACCGGAAGACTCGATGACATGAACTAGTCAGTGGCTAGTAGTCACTGACTCCCGTGTTGCAGATTGAGACGTATGTAAGTGTTTGGGCTGTATATATATGGCGACCAACTTTCTCTGACATGTATACGCTTTATTAGGATCAGTGAGGGACAAGAGAAGTAAAGCCCTCAACGGCGACCACGATCCAACATATTGACGAAGGAAGCAGATTCAGGAACGAGGCTGTGTAATTACAAGAAGCCATATCATCCCTCCACACATCACATACAATGTCGAATCTGGCAGACGCGGACCAGTTTCAGCCACAGGGTTTCGTTTCGGCAATAGGGATATACTTGGAAATAACAATAGGTCATCAGGGCATTGATGGACGCGGCATAGAACAATCGTCTATTCCAGACTCATGATGACCGATTACATCTTCGTTTTCGTCTTCTACAAGCCCCTCACGACATAGTAGAAAACTCGGCCAATGAAGCGGCCACATAGTCGGCCAGATTGAGAGTAGAAATACAACCTTATCATAATGGGTCAGAAGATCGACTAGGTAGCCAAGAGTTCTATGATGGTGTTCAATGACTAAGACGACGAATGTGCGGTGGAATAACAAAAAACAGAAGCGGTCATGGTATCGCGGAGTCAAAGAAGTACTTGTAACTATGACGCCGCCGACTTTCTTGACATTCTCTACGCCGGGGAGCCAGTATCTTTTCAATTTATTCTCTATCGCCATGTTATTCAATCGTCTGTAGCCTCCTGTGATGCATATATGATGATGACTGGACGTCGGAGCCTGCAGGTCACAGTCTCCTGATGCGGGGTTGTGTGACCTACGACTGCGCCGCCTTCAGCCGCAAGAGGCTCCCGACGTGCCCTAGACGACGACAACGACATGAACTGCCCGATTGAACGGCGCGAATTACCGAGGCCAGTATTGGTATCATTCACTCAGAGCCATCGCATACGAGACGACTCCTGATCGCGAATTTGGAGCAACACAGAGAGATTACAAAAGACGGACCGGCACCCTCGACCCGAAAGCCTGCACGGTGGCTTGCATCGCCTCTGTCGAGATCGAAGCCCAAGCGGCCCTCCATATGCTAGACGGGCGACATCCCGGCGGTTCGCCATGGGCCGAGGTGACGACTATGTGTTCCATGCAGGTAGCATGTGCGGGCACAGAATCGTCGTAGCGACGCTACCGGCAGGCCAAGAGTACGGGACAGGATCGGCGGCTGCGCTTCCCTAATCTCTGGTTTGGGCTGCCTGACCTGTCGCGAAGGCCGGCGCGCGACATCCGGCTGTGGGATATGCTGGTCGGTCTTCCGGACGGCGAGAGCGCGGGACTGGTTACATATGATCTGGGCAGGGAGACGGAAGATGTGTTCGAGCCGCTTCGACATAGACGCGCACTCGCGGTGACCGAATCAATTATCCGATCAGCTATCGGCGGCATCAAGCTTAAGTCCCCGAAAGACGCACAGATCTTTCTGCCTTACTTAGAAGCCGTCTGCGATAGTAACATGCGATTGGCACGTTTGCCGACCCGGGCTAGGATTGCAATAATCTGTAGTTGACGAAAGATGACGGGATGGATAGTGGCCGACCGCGCTCGACGACCGGATTCAAGACGCACTCGAGTATGGGATGGACCGATCGGGTCGGGTGAGAAGCTCCTGAAGAATTTGCAGAGAAGGAACGATCTAAGAGACAGGTACGGTGGAAGTGTACCGAACCGAGGCAGGCTGCACCGGGCAGAGGTCTTCGACGCAGAAGTGCACGGAGCGTTGCAGGGACAAGCAGCGGCGAGGACGATCGGGCCGAATAAACGACTGTGTGTCTGTCTGGACAACACGTCCGTGGTGGACGGGCTAAATGGATCACCACCGGAATCGTCAAGCCGCTGGGGGAATTGAGGATAAGTGAAAGCAGAACCAGTCATTGTCATCTCACGAATGATGTTCATTACAACTTCCATATACGAGGGATGTCTTTCGATGCAGGGTTGATTCCCATGAGCTTGAGGATCCGAGAGATGTTGAGTTGATTCTCATTCAGGTGAAGCGGCACTACCTTTGGCCGTCGCGAATCATTACTCAAACCCCAAAGATTTGTATAGATGTTTCATTGCCCAGATTTTTGATGGCGACACCATCACAGTGACAGGAATTTCCAAGGAGCACAGATATGCAGCTTCACACAATTAAGTCGTGCTATAACTAGTGAATTATCATAATGCATAACCATACCCGTCAAGGGACATGAGAGCTTGCCAAAAACATTATTTTTGAGTAAGGACGCATGCAATAAACCCAAACCCGAACGACCTACTTGTATGTCTCGCGCTCGCGAGCAGTCTCAGAGACATTTGCTGAGTGGGCGATGACCATCGCATCTATAGCCAGGGATATTAATGCTCAAACTGCGACAGCAACGAAATTCCTCGCGGGAGCACTAGGCAGAGGAAGGCCTTGCCGCATTATAGAAACATCGCTGAACGTTACTTTTACTTGGCGGGTGATCACTTCTCCAGCTCTTGAGCTCGCCGCTAAAAGTCCTGTCGCTGTATCTGGAAACTGATCACCCACTTCTTGGCACATTCGAACCAGGCCAATTTGTCGGAGATCTGGTCAAATATTGTCAGGCTTCATGTTCTTCGTTACTTGTCAATACTCTGCTCTACTGGGGATTTGTAAGCCTTGATGTAATAGGTATTGCAACTGTGCCCGAAAACGCTGATATTTCATCAGCAAATATACAGCGAAATCGAGAAACGTGCGAATAAATACGCGCAGCAACTCCCTACAGAGGCAGAGCGGCTTTGGGAGATTGAGAAAAGCTGTGATTCGGTACTCAACATTATGGCTGCTCAGATGCTAAGCCTAGCATATACGGGCAATGGGAAGGACCATGACGTGCTCCTCTTCCCAAATATACTCAGTTCAAATGGGCACGCAGATGGGTCTTCCGAAGTCGATGAGAAGACGGCTGCGTCAAAGCTTGCAAAAGTGCCAGAAGATATGATGCACACATATGCATTTGCGGCATAGGGCGTTTTCAATTGGGCAACGTAACGTTAAGCTTTGTTACAGCGCCACGGTTGATTGAACATAGTACTGACGACTCATCGACAACCTGGGTTGGTACACCTAACTTTCCCACCATACTAACAGTTCCTAGCGCCACTGGTAGCGACAGTCCAGCAGGCTTCAATCTCGCTCGTGCCGGCAATGCGACCGTGCCGGCAATGCGACCGTGGGGCATACGTTCCCAGCTATCTGTGCATTCTTGTGAATCATGTGGGAAGTCACGCTAGCTGATGTGACATAGCATGTGTCCATTGCTGGACCTGGGGACCTGGGATGACCTAATCTGTTGCAGTACTGCTTTATTGGCCCTGGCTGTGTCCGTACTATGTCTCTGACTCTAAGCCTGGGCGAGTTTAGTGCCCTGGAAATCCGCGGTGACGTGTATCTCTAGCTCTAGAATTGTCCCATATTGAAAATCCGAACCTGCAACTTTGAACTGGTATATAACAGCCTTCCTAATACTCGCTAGTCTTGAAATTCAGTTCTATGGATCCACGTAGTTGCATATAGTATATAATGGTATAAGCCGTCCGATTCTTTTTATAGGAAGTAAATGTGGTGTACTCCGCCAGCTTGGTAAATGTGGTCTTCACCCTGCCATCATCCCTGCGAGTGTAGCTCCCAGACAAACTCTAACGTTGTCTACAACACATTTGTACCCTATAGCTGGTTAGAATCCAAATTCAAAGGTAGCAAATGAGGTCCCTCTTTCAAGGCGTCCATAACCTTTGTGTGAGCCAGATCACCGGAAAAACAAATAACCACGAGCCACCAATGGTAGTATAAGTCCATCCATTCCCTGTAGCTTCAATCATCGGTGCACTTGCGGCTGTCATGCTAGCTCCAAGGAGGCTTTTCGCCACATTGAACGCAGCAACCACAGTCGCGGGCCGAGATGGATGCATATCCATAAGCAGCATCTGTATAGCTTTACCCATCCCCATCATGCAAAAGCATATGAAGAAAAGCAATACTAGTGGACCAGCTGGAAACACTCTTGTCTCAAGAGCCCATCCATAACCGACTACGAACAAGCTACATGCTAATAGCAGAGGAGCCGCCACCTGAAGTCGAGCTTTGTGAAAAGGGAAATTAGAGATTTCGCAGAGATGGTCTTTTTGTAAATCGATCCCCATCCTTCTTGCGTGGCGCCGGTAATTGCCATCAATTGGATCCCATTTGCCGATGACAAAGGTCACCACAAGTCCACCTGCAGCCATGGGAAGGTAACTGAGGCCAACACTAGAATCGCTGAAATGATAGATCTTGGAATATTGGGATGGAATGCTTGTCGTAATACACCAGAACCCAGCTGAGACGAACCCGGAGAGTATTAATATAAGCAATGATTTGATGTCTGAGAACACAACCCACATACCCAACAAGGTGCTCAAGGTGAATGATTTGCTTCTTGGCAGCCGAGCCTGAACATTTCCACGATGCCTCACCCGTCGATTGGCCCAGCTATCTTGGTACGATGAAGGCGCATGAGATCCATTGCCAACAACTGCACGACACGTCTCTGGAAGAAATGGTATGACCAGGACGGAAAGTACGGATCCGAATCCTGTCAAGACCCAAAAAACGACTCTCCAATCGCCATATTGAGAAAGCAGTCCGCCTAATATAGGCGACAATGATGGACCTAATATTGGACCAATCATGGTGAATCCCATGAATGAGCCACGGTCGGCAGGAACCACGCAGTCGGCGACCACGGCACCACTGATTGAGGCCAGTGCTGAGGCACCCAAGCTTTGAATGCAGCGGAGTCCAAGCAGTGCAGCATAATGAGAGTTGAGAGCAAGACCCAGACTAGATGTAGTAAAGATAATCAAGCCTAATATACAAATGACTCTCCTGCCAATCACATCAGAGATGGGAGCAATGAATATAGGGGCCACACCCTGACTAATCTTCGGCGCCGGTTAATTACGAACGTGATCAGCTTGGGAGGTTGCTTACCAGGTATACAGTAATGCTCAGATTCACTTCAGCGGTACTGATCTGCAGTTCCTGAGCTATGCTATTCAGTACGGGCGTATAGATATTGCCAGTCAGAGGGCCGATGAAAGACACGATTGAGGTAGCGAAGACAAGAATTCTCCTTTCCGACAGAGTGAAGATGGAATAAACGTTTTCCTGTTGGCTCGTCTGCTCATTCGGGTGGACTACCATATCATGAGAAAGTATCTCGTTCTCCTTCCTCAGGACCAGGGTTGTGTCAGAAGACAAGCTCCCAACAAGCATTGAAGTCATTTCTTATTAAGCAAATACGCTGTGATGGTGACGATACAAATTACAAAGATTAAGATGGATAAAGGATATATCCTGAGATCCTTTCCATCTTGTCGACTAGTGCCCTTTCTTAACACTTTCCCTTCTGCTCTTATCTCTCTCTTTCCCAGATACATCTACTTACCTAACAAAAATGCCAAGCGCGAGTATCCATGTTACAATCCCTGCTAGGACTAATATCCTAATTTATTCTTATACATCACCTCCGGATCCACTCAAGAAAGAGCGGAGATTGTCTTCGTGCATGATCGCGACATGCCCCCTAACACAAGCAGCTTCCATAAATCCTTTACGGGACAAGCCCTGCTGTGCAACTTTGACGTGAATCCGGTAAAATCAACTCGCGGATTAACGGGGGGAAGTAAAAATAAAAGATAGAATGTACAAAACTACGGTGTCAGGCTTTAAGAGAGCTGTGAGGTGGATGCTGAAGCACTGTTCTCAAAAGTTCGACGAAAACACCCCTGCCGCTTGATCTTTTTAGACTCACTACCTGGGCGCCTTTTTTACAAGGGAGGTACAGTAAGTGCCAAGAAAATCTAGCACCCATGCATAAACGAGTTCTTTAGCGGGTCACAACGATACAATACTAGACATGGGTGCAACTCTTGATCTCGATATCACAGAAGGACAAACTTGGGTTAGTCATTGAACTGGTACTCGCACCAATCTACTCTCTTACCCGTCCTAGACAGCATATAGCATGTGACACGAGCACTATCAATCGCCCAGGTATTGTGGACAGCCGATGTGTTCCGAGAGGCTCAAGTCGGAGGGCAACCTTGTCGATAGATATAAAGGTCGTCTTAGAAATCTAAATGAGTCGATGGTCATTATTTGTTCGCCCTAAACCATCAAACTATCCCACCGCGAACATGCAGAGCCGACACCATCACAAGCATGGGCTGAAAGGCGACAAGAATCACGCTCATGTAAGAGCCGTGGTTGTGAGCTCAGCTGTACCCAAGTCTCGCTTCAAAGCAGCCCACGCTTTCTTGCTTGACATTTTTCCGCAGGGAATAGGACTGGTCAGTCTGTCATGGCCGTTACATCTTATCCTTTCAATTACCAACAAGATGATTCTTTCAAGAGTAAGTCCTCAGGTTATTAATGACGCGTTAAAGCTCACTTCTTCATTAGTACCCCTTTCCCTGGATCTTAACTGCTATGCAGATGGCAGTTACTTCCATCGGCGCGACGATGATGATGCTGTCATCATCAGGCGAAAGGCTTACCGAGCATAGGAAGAGCTCAAATTTCAAAGCTTTGGCGTTCGCGTGTATTTTGACTTCCAATATCGTTTTATCTCATACATCTTTGTGAGTTGTTTTGCGTATACAAAGGTCAAATATACAGATTAGTAAGAACCCTCTAACTTTTCTATCCAATACAGGACAAGATTGTCATATCTTTCTCATCAAATTGCCCAGTCGTCAACACCAGTCTTCACCGTCGCTTTTAATCGTCTTCTAGAGGCTGGAAGCTGCTCAGTTCAAATGCTGCTTCCAGTTGGTCTGCTGGTAGGTGCGATCGCAATCATCTGCAGCGGTGACAATCAGTTTTCCATCTCAAGCTTCACTATCACTCTCGGCGGGGTCTTATGGACATCTATGAAGACCGTGATGACCCATCATTTGGTACGAGACAAGAAAGATGTGCCGATCACATATTTTCGCCATCTCCTCCGAAAAGTCTCCCTGATTGGGGCTCTCCAAGCCCTGGTATTTGCTTACGTGTTTGGCGACTTGGCCAATGTTCGTGATCTTATGATCACCAATAGTAGCTCAACGAATGCTGCTCACACATTCCCTTACCTTTTGCTCTTCCTGAACACGACCCTAGCATTTGTTGTTAATATTTGGTCCATGAGGGTAAACAGCAAGGTATCGCCGCTGGCTTTGAACGTAGCTGGCAGTCTGAAGATTTATCTACACATAGTCGTCAGTCTGGCTGTTGACACTATGATACTAGACATGTCATCTTGCGTGGGTCTGGTCATGCTTTCGATTGGTATGGTCTGCTTTATGGCATTTTGTTAGGCCGTGCCCTAATACTCCTCGCTACGCATGACCGAAATACTACTAAGTCTCTTCTTTGTTTCTGGGAGTCGTCATCTACTATAAGATGCCACTACATACAATGCGGGCACTTCGCGTACTTTCCATCTTAGCCTATACAAACTCGGGGTTTATATTTCATGGATGATTATCTTGGATTAAACAACGTTGTAGCTATATTTCGACTTCACGACAAATACAAGGTAGATAGCTACATATATCAAAATGTCAACGTCGCATTAAATGATACTGAGTGTTATAAGTTTACACTCTTGTTCAATCAATCGACAAAATACTATAGCAATTTATGCAGTTTATGTATTTATCGAGAGGTGTATATCCGCCGCACTGCTAATTGATCACCTCACCAGCATAACCTGTACAGTACTTACCACTTGTCAGGAGATCCGCCCTTTTGCCAGATAGCGATACAAACCTTGTGTTGCAGCGGTTGATTGGTGCTAGATACCCCCACAACTTCTCTTGGTCGTTCTGTACTCAATGGTAGTAACTAGCAATCCGGCAGGATATACGAGCTGCACCGGTCAGACTTAGACTAGAGTGTCACGCTAGATCTTTATGGGAAGGATTATACGATAGCCTATAAGAATTCTTACATAAAATGAATACACTATAGATGGAGAAGACTTGCCCGAAGGAATACACGATGTGTGGAGAAGACTTGCCCGAAGGAATACACGATGTGTGGAGAAGACTTGCCCGAAGGAATACACGATGTGTGGAGAAGACTTGCCCGAAGGAAGACACGATGTGTGGAGAAGACTTGCCCGAAGGAATACACGATGTGTGGAGAAGACTTGCCCGAAGGAATACACGATGTGTGGAGAAGACTTGCCCGAAGGAATACACGATGTGTGGAGAAGACTTGCCCGAAGGAAGACACGATGTGTGGAGAAGACTTGCCCGAAGGAATACACGATGTGTGGAGAAGACTTGCCCGAAGGAAGACACGATGTGTGGAGAGCCTTGTATCGTTGAAAAATGTTGCTCCACGAGTCTTTCGTGATAATTTTCAGGGGGATCACAAGTGGATACCAGAGCAGAAACAATGATTTTCGACAAGGCAAGTCAAGCTAGATTTTAACTTAGGAGACTTTCATGGACGACGCTTTTGCCGCAAATACTAGATCTCTCATGTAACAACCATGTATAATATGGAGATTATGGCGCTGGAAACACCCCGTTGAGATTACACTAAGACCTCGTCTATTATTTTCTGGTAATCACCAAATACGAACGAGATAAAAGTCGTATGCGTATATTGATCAAATTAGTCAGCGAGACTAAAATCTCGTTATGGTCTGGGATTTAGCAGTGCCGGCTGTTCACGGGCTTGGAGAACGAGGCATATCTTCTGAAGAGAATGATAAGCTTCACCTTGTCAGATGAGCTCAGAATCCAGCTTGTGATGACAAGTTCTCTTCGACTTAGGATACTAAACAAATCATGCAATGCAGTTCTCAGTCTACACAGTGGCACTGCAGCTTGCCTGTGCTTGTGCTATAGTATTCCTGAATCGTTCTTGGATTTCTCCGGGCTTAAGTCTGCATCATCACAATGTATCAACACCGACAGTCACAGAGACATCTTTCGTCAAACTCGATAGCCCTCAGATCCCTAGCATGGTGATGACCAAAGCTAGATTTCTCAAGGGCTTAGAGGGCCTCTATCCTGATGGCTTTGCTGATGTTGCTGCTCATGCTCATACACATATTGGCAAGCCATTAGTAGATTGGGTTGCCGGTGACCCTACTATTGTGATATTTCATCGAGGTTTTACACTCGCTGGCCCCGATGGTCTTCTCGTCGAACAATCGAGAACTGGAATCGAGTCTGTTTTCCAACTTGGCGGTCGCAATATCGAAATCGACACGACACCTCTTCGGGGCGCTCGAACTGTCAGCCTAGCACGGATGGATATTCTGAGAGCGGCTCGCAACGTGGGAGTCTTCCACGATTTTTATCTGCATAGGCAATTCGGTCAACCAGGAGCTTCCGAAGATTTGAACTGGGAAGCTGCCTCAGATTTGCGCATCAGTTATCAGATCTTTTCAGAGGAAGGCGAGCCTACAGATCAACGCATCTATACCAAGGAGGCACCAATTAATCTGGAAGATTACTGGGACGAAATCCACTTTTGTTACCCAAGATCCAATACTATACACGATCTGAGAGAGCAATCACCACTTGAGATCATTACGCAGATAATTGCAATCATTTCTGCTAAGGTCTATCCAGACGCTGAAGGATACATCACCGAGGGTAATTTATTTCACATTTATGCTTTTGGTTTTCCTGCAGGCGGACGGGACCTAGCTAAGCTTTTACGTGGTATACTGGGAGATATGGGCCTTGAGTATGACTTAAAAAAAATTCAAGTCATCCCAATTATATCAGCGTCTATGATGCACCTTGTCATGCGACGTGAAACGCACGGAGAGGAAGTATTCCAAAAATACCAGGGATGCGTTGACTTCCTTGAGAGCTTTTTAGAGGACTTTACCGTTCCTGCTTTCAATATTGGGGCGCGAATGCTCGACATATACGTCAATGCCACAACGCTCGAACTGAAGATGGTTAGCGTCCAGAGAGATTTCAAAGGTCAGATAACGGATCAGGTTAGAACTGTTTTCATCGACGACCACCTACTGCACCAGATCAAAGAAGATATGTACACCAAGCACAACAAACCAATAATGACAACGAACAAGGCAGCAGTGACGAGTTGGGGTGGGCAGGTATATCAGCACTGGTATAGGAGTAAGGACCTGGTATTGATGAATCCTGACACACGCATTGAGGATTTTGCGTTTCAGCAGCAATCTCTTGTGACCACAAGTATAAACAGTGGGTTCCACATCATTTTGACGGATTTTCCTCAAGAGGCGCTGGCTGTGCTAGCATTTCAGAAAGAAAACAAAATTATACCGGAGCAATTGATGCAAAAATTCACTCGGCCGCTGCTGAGTCAAGAAGAGCTTCGTGTGGTAGTCAGGAATTCCGGGAAATTTGCTTTGATGCAAAGCAGAATACCATAAGACATACGATGGATCAATTTTATGTATATTAGAGTCATGATTATTACGTCTCGAGTAGCGGCATGGGGAAAGCAAGTTGACTAAAAAGAAGAATATATTCGAAATACATTTTTGAAACGGTCTCTGATCGGTTTATTTCTATGCTCTATTAATATTATTAGATTCCCCATAGAAAGTGCGTCAACATCAATGAGGTGGTCAAAAATGTATGTAATCATGCTATTGCAAACAACGAGTTGGATAGTCTCGTCTCACTTAATTGCCCACTTGCGTCAGACAACATGATGGCGCAACCTTGGCACGAAATGTGGCCAGCAGCACCACTATCTGGACAATCATAATCTGGTAGCAAACTCAGAGCAGATGCGGATAAACAAAAATACGCAAAGGAGCTTTCAACTACAAAGGGCAGCAAGAAAAAATATCCTTCTTCACACTTGACGATTCTATGAACGAGGACATACGAATGAAGTTTTAAAGCAGCACTATCTCAAGACTTAAGTAAACCCAAAATGTAAAATAAGTGCATGTAAATTTGCATTGCAACAATGAATTAGTGTAAACCCCCCAACCCCCCCATACAAAATTGGGGATTCCATAATTGTTACCGACCTGAGTACTAATATAACACCTCATTGGATATACGCACTTACTTGGTAAGAGGGGTCAATATTCCTATAACTAAAGCGGTAACGTGGAGCCTCTTTACGACGCTAGACTACCTAGCGGGCTTTAGAAATTGGACAATGAAACCAGGAGCTTTGGTGGATACCATCGAATTGAACTACGATTCACAGGTATACGAAGGCTGCATCGAAGGCTTTGATTATTTACACTTCGGCGAATCTGGGCGTATTACCAAGACATTGCTACATAGTTACGATCCTTTTCCGATTGACATTCAATCCATGTACGAACAGCGATAACTCATAATTAGTATTTTCCCCTATTTCTTTCCTTTTTTCTATTTAACCCCCCCCCCCCCCCCCCCCCTCCAAAAAGGGCGCCTAGCTAGTTCTATTTATAACTTGGCTCCGTGTTCCGATTTTGCTTTCTAGTATCCTAGAACCACACATCTATCTTAGCACTATACGATTTACTTTTTTCAAGATATGTATGTTGGAATACCTTCAGTCGCCTAGATTGATTTCTCAAGATGAGCTACTTGGGCCCATTTCGTGCATTCGGTCAAGGTAAGAACAAGTCCTCCATCAATTTGTTTTTGGTGCTTGTCATACTAAATGAGTCTTCAGATCCGTTACGAGAACTCTTGTGTATCTGCTTAGCTGTGCCTCTCGGATTGAGCACGCATTTTTTTGCTCGCGGTAAGCCTATACAAGTATATATCACGATGTCTGTCTCCCTCTGTGCCCTTTTTCGAAGTGTATTAACCTAACTGTTTCGACTCACTAGCGTTGGGCTGGTACAGACAATCTTCTGCCCAGCACTCATTCCCAACCTTAGCAGTCTATTATTCCCAATTGTCGTCTTTTGGATCGTGAAACTTCGATTTAGCTCGGCTCGTGCCTCAGCCTGGCTGTCCGTGTTCCTTCTTGTCCACCTCGTTGCGTGTCACTGGAACAGATCTAGAGGCTCAACGGACTATTCCAGCTGGTCCGGTTCACTTGGATTGGTGAGTCACTTATAACTGTGCAACAGGACTTTGATTCACTTGAATATATACACGTTGGAATTTCTAACGACTTGCAGCTACTAGGGACTCCCTCCAAAAGTGCCTTTGTCCGCAAGGCGCACTCCAAACTTGTGTTAAAGGTGTAGTCCCCTTGACACGGATGAGCTCCAGACGATTTCTGACTGATCTGGCTCGCAGCTCGTTGATCTATGTTGGCAGTATAACCCTCGAGTACTCAATATCCAGAGTCTTAAAGATAGTAAAATCCAAAGAGGTTTGATACAGTCCAGCAGACCTGTCTTGATGAAGCCGTCTTCAATGTGGCAGTTCACGTCGTACCTTGTGAGCTACTCCTTACCCGAAACCAAACAACTTTAGTAATCTTGAACTGCGACAGCTCTTCTTCCCTACAATGTTTGCTGGATATCACATGTCTTTTACAGACTTTTGTGAATGGACCCAGCCATCTCAAGAAGCCTCAAAGCCACCCGGAGGAAACATGGCAAGGTCTCTACTCATACCAGTCATGAAATGCTTCGTCCAGGGTCTACTCTGGTTCAGCTCCCATTTGATCCTTCTCAACGTCTTTCCTCGCTCGCGCCTCCTTAATCTTTCAGAAGATGATTCATTTTGGTTCAGGTAAGTTTCGACGAATTCGAAAATACAGAAACTCTGCGTCACTAATCTCAATTGTAAAAGAACTATCATCACGTGCGCGACGTCTGTCACCTTTCGTTTCGCTTACTACGGCTTTTGGACACTTGCCGAAGCAGGTATTCTGTCGTGTGGTATCAACGCACCGAGAAGCATAGACCCTTTAGCTATTGAATTCGCACTTGAGGTAGATCAGTTTTGGCATAACTGGAACAGAACTACACAACAATGGCTTAGCAGATGCATTTACAGAAGATTGCCTTCTCGTTGCCAGGGACTGACTGGAGTGTACATAACGTTTCTAATTTGTGGAGTCTGGGTATGTTTTTATTACGACGATTATCAACGGTTGCGCGTAGTGCTAACCTCTCTTGCAGCATGATCTGAGGAGCAGATATTTAAGTGAGTCCTCCCATATCGTCGACAATAACGTATTGAAATTAAATTGATCCATCCCAAGTCTGGGGTCCTACAGCAGGGACGATCACCTGCCTGAGCCTATGTAAGCAACTTCGTATTATCGTTGACGCTGGAAACATACTAACGCATAGAAGACTTTCGTCGTCGACACAGCGGAGCGCTAAGAAAGTACATCATCAACGCCGATGGTCGTTCAAGCCTAAAGTTTATCCTGGTTACAATGCGTTGGGTTTTAGCACAATCGACGTTCGCTTTCGTAACTGCTCCTTATCTGACTTCAAACCTGGCTGAGTGTTTCCAGGTTTGGTCCAATGCCAATGTAAGAACAATCTACTAGTAAAATGCTCCCATCACTAATCGACCATATCAGTTTCTTGGATTGCTGGGCACCATACTGCTTGCTGCCTACTAGCTATGCTATTAGTACCACAACAATAATCTGTACTTCTGTTACAACACTTTTTATTTGAACACGCGATTGCTTGGAGTTACTTGGGCACCCGAGGACTCTAGGGCATCGAAAATGGTATAAATCATGCGTTGAGTATCTCGAGTGTGTATTTCAGAGGCGTAAAAAGCTCTTCTCATGATGGCTCGCTCCCATGCTGAATATGTCGATCATGGAGGGCTTTATTTCCAATTTGCAAAGATGAGAAGCTGGGCTGTAGGAATTATGTTCCGGAGTAACGTTGTCGGACAAAATACCAATAGGTGAAAGAAAAACAGCCATACCCTGAACTTCGGTCAGCTTCTCATTCGCCATCGATGCAATACGCCTTAGCTTAGATCGTCCACTGCAGGGCTCCTTGGTGTTTGTATGGACGATTTTCGTGGAAGAGACCTGAGCATGCTCTGAATCATGGTTGACAGAATCTTCCAGGCATTGCGAATGCTGCGGGAATGCAGGTACTTGCTCCTTAGAAAGAGCGGACGTAATGGCTGAGAACGGGATGCGAGCCAACATCAATAAGAGCTTCTATGTGCATCGGCGCAAATAAGGTGCGGACGGGCTGGCCTAGGATATTGAAGCACGCAGTGGCATGCATATTATGCTAGGCCGGAGCGCGCAAAATCAAAAGCCGCTATAGTCGCGACCAAGTAAGGCAGGACACAGCAATTCAATTTATTGTACAACGGCGGCGTTAGGGTCTTCTAATCACTCGGACACTGATAAAAGGTGAACAATACCGGGCTTCAACATTCAAAAGATAAGGTCCAAATGAGAGACCGAAGAGCAGCCACAGCGGGACAGCTTGAAGGTTCCGCCTTTACGGGGGCTTATTTTAAGTGGTGCAGAGTCCGCTGGTAAACAACTGATTTGACAACCTTCTCCGAATCACCCTGCAGTGCATTTGCTTTCTTAAGCTTCATTGGTATTGATTGTCAGTACGCATGGTAGTAATACAGATACTAGCACGGAATGCATTCCAACAGATCATTACCGGACTTGATATTGTTGACATACAGCCCATTGCGAGGCCAGGAACGTACCTTGCTTCTTCAAACTTCTGCTAGTGGATGCGACCGCGGGCATTGCGCCGTCCAGCCATAAGCCCCCGATTGCTCAAGTAGCCCTCTATCTTAGTACTCGGTTAACAAGGGCAAAAATAAGCGGAAGATGCTCCAACGCCTCGTGAATTTGAGATTAGCACTAGATGCTATGCGCGACAAATAGGTTTCACAATACATGGAATCCTCTGGGTGATGAAGTGGAGTGATGCACCTATTTTGGCTAGGCCAACTTATAAAACGAAAGTCCTGACGGACAAATCTTAACTCCATACCACGTCTCGCATAGTATGGAGCGGCCGTGATCCTGAAAGCGTTGCAAGGAATGCGCATGACTGTAGGAGACTTTGCTCGACGGTACTCTGCCTTGACCTTGATAACCAGACCTGGGGAGCGGTGTTTCTGCTGCACATCCTCTACAACGCTCAAAAAGACCTTTTGAAAGGCTTCATCGCTGGGAATCCCTGAAAATAAAATTATTAGTGATAGTTACCACCGTACCAAGTCGACTTACTACAGAGGTTCCCTGTTAGAAAGTGTTGAATCAAGCAGGATGTCACCAACCGGCAAGGGTCTATGCCCATCTTGTGGGCGGACTTGACATATTGTCCGATGTATGCTCGCGCCTTGAGCGGAAGACCATTGTCCCGAACAACCACGCCCGGTACATCGAACAGGGGCATGCCGTCTCCAAGGAAACGTTGGATCAGCAGCGCAAAGCATGTTTGCAAACCAAGATTGGGATGATGCGTTATTTCCAATTCCTTCGACAATCGATCATCGAGATGGAATACGGTAATCACATCAATGCTCTCGAAGAAGTTCACCCTCATTTTCACAATCTGAGCATGTGAGTAAGGTTGCTCCGGGGTTGTGATCCGAAGCAGAACGACCAGTTCTGTGTTGATACTCCGACAGAAGTCGCGACTACTTTGCACTTGTCCAGCCACCACCAGCAGGCGGAGAACACGAACACTTCTGTCATGTATTCGAGCCTCAATCCATTGTGCCAGGAGCGCCGCAGTATCTTTCAGCCCCCCTAGATCGTCTGCGAATACGACGATCAAGGTCGCAAGATGCCTTACAAAGGATGCATAGACACGATCCGGTCGCACAGATCCCAAATGATAGATTCTGGCCGCTGTCGGCACTGGAGCTTGACTAGCAAAAAAGTGTCACTTCATCAAAGTCGCAGCCGAACTTGTGCATGCATTGTTTCAGTGTGGCATTCAATCTGAACCCCACAGTGCACGGCATTACTATATTCAGATGTTCTAGAAAGTGATAATGACCAGCAAAGAGGACGCCAAAACCTTGCGGCGCGATCTTAGAAGCACAGCATTAGGCTTCGGGAAGAGAGGGGAACACAAGAGTGAGTTTCTGTATGATCATTGAACAAATCACAGACCAGGCCAGTGTCACTGTATGTGCAATTGGCTTCGATAAGGTTGAAGATGTCTCACTTCTCGGAAACTATGCCTACGCTTCATCGCGAGTGACATGAGATCCCGCCTTAATCGTCAAAACCTAGATATGACATGGGGGAGTTCATTCGACAATATCTTTGGACATTTGTCGAAAACTTCTTTCTCCTTCTTCCAGTATATAAGGAGCTTCCAGAAGTTCCAAGATTTTTTTTTTCTGCATCCCCTCGCCCCCCAAAGTACCAAACATTGAACCACACCTGGCCAGAACATTTAGTATTCCTTCTTATCACGCTATAAAGTATTACCCGTTATCATGCCCCTGAAATTAGACAACGAGAATGAGCTGCGAGAAGCCCAGGCGGCGCTCTTCAACATCAACTCCACCAGCGGCTGGTTACTGCTCAACTACGTCGGGCCCAGCACAGTCCACTTCTCGGCCGGCGGCGAAGGGGACATGTCCGAAGTGTCATCCCTTCTGGAAGACGACCGGATCCAGTACGGCCTGATCCGCCTCGGCGGCATACAGGAGAAGGGGTCCCTGAAGAGCACCATGCGGGACGTCTTCTTCACCTGGATCGGGCCCGGAGTCGGCATCATCGAGAAGGGAAAGAAGACGGCGTTCCTGGGGGACGCGCAGATGTATCTGCAGCCTTTCCACGCTGACATCACCATTCTTAACAAGAGGAATTTTGATAGGGAACAGTGAGTATTCTTTTACCCAGTGGTTTCTGACCCCTGGGGAGATAGTCACCAGGTCTTTAGGAAATCTACTAACACCAGGCACAGCGTGCTAGACCGTTCTCATCCTCTCTCGGGAAGTCACGTCATCGAATGAGCCGAAACCGCCATTTGAGATGGAAATGTGGACAGTCATAAGAGATGCGCAACTCCTCGACGCAATCTTTCTATCGCGTTTAGTAGTAAAAGTGTGTTCTCACCTTGGTTGGAAGCACGAGGTCACATATCGCGACTGTGGTTTACAACACTCAGTTACACTATCGAATCAGCTTGAGGAGATGCGCGCATCTAACAACCTTCCAAGAACAGTTAATGCAATGCAGGGCCAAAGTGATATCATCTGGACTTTTTGAGAGCAGGCAAGGCCCTGCAAGTCAGTCAGTATCCGCATTAAGCAAATCATACGTCCAGTCTTAGACCATATTCAGTCGTCTGATATGGTTAGGAATGCAATATCCTTCATAACCTTTATTTCGACAGTGCGATCTCTGGGCAATTACTTAGTCTTAGTTCGCTTAGTTTTCTGGCTGGCTAGAAGAAGTGGAGTGAAGGACGTGATGTATGCACATGACCCGAGTACATAACAGCGGATCGTCGCTTTATAAATGCCCAGGAATCAGTTTCGTCAGATTTTTGTATACAAGACCTCAGATGTTATTACCCCCTGTGTATGCATTTAAATGTCGACCGCACTTGAACGGATACCATTCGCCGCCTACAAAGCAGGCGTATCTGCGAATAAGGTGTTCATCACAGCGCCCGGATATCGTGAGCCATGCACCTCCGTCGCCTCGATTAAGTTTCTAATCTCGTTGACCTCATCCTTCGTGAGCTGAACCTCTAAGGATCCAACATTCTCTTCCAAATACTTAACCTTCTTCGTTCCAGGAATCGGAATAATATCATCTCCTTGTGCCAGCAACCAAGCTAGTGTCAATTGTCCTGCCGTACAGCCCTTCTTCTTTGCAATGGCAACCATCCTATCAACCAGCCCAAGGTTCTTCGGGAAGTTCTCCTTTGAAAATCGAGGTACAAATCTCGTTGGAGGGAGAACTACCATTTCAGCTGCCCATAAATTTATGACAGCTCCATCGAAACAACAAATCACGAAAACTGCTATGCAGTCCAGACTTTCTTCCATTGTCCAGAGGTGCAAATGTGGGATGAAGAAGCATTTTCTTCGACGGCACTCTCAATTGCAGATTTTAATTGGTGATTTCGTAGAAAATTGGTTACCATGGCAAAGACGTGCTGGAGACGCCGAGGACCCAGGGCCCTGAACGGAAGACTTTAGTTCCAGGCTTGTAGCCCACCGTCGCTTGACTGATGCAGTGGACCAGGAACAGACCGCTTGCTGCCGTCATTTTTTGGGCTTTGCAACAGCCCGCTGAGTCAGCGGTAAAATGGAAGTCACCGTCGGCCGATCCGCCCAACTCTACTTGACATTCGCAAGACTCTAACAGTCTCGAGTGCCGACGCGCTCCAATAGTTGAGGGGGCACAATAGACTATGCGGCCAATGGCAAAGTCGTGATTATCGAAACAGCCGACTCCAAGCTACAAGCTGGTTCTCGAGGACTGCCCAATCTATGTCGAGTCCGTCAAATCTCTTCGTGAGATCACGTTCGGCACGGTCTGATACGTGTACGGTAACGCTTGTTTCAGCGGCCCGATATGTTTTGTTAGATGACGGCTTAGTATCTACGATTTTCTGTAAATTATGTCGGAGTGCTCGGGGCTTGTATGCTGACGATGCGATCTTCTTCCCAAATTTGTCCATTGAGAATATAGTACGACGACGGTTGCGGGAGAAAGTTGGAGTTTCAATAAGATTAGCCCGTTAAAAGCTCTTTCGAGAAATTTAGAAAAGAGTGCGCCACTCGGAATCTAGAAGGATGCCGTGAACGACGTTGACTCTCTGAAAGATGTCGCAATTTATGGTTCATGGACTCGCAGAGGTCAGTATAGCTGACCACATTATGACTCATTACCTTGTAACCAAATATTTTTCGCTAATGGTTGTCGTCTACGTAATCTTTCAAGATTATGAGACGTTAGACGAGAGAGTGTGTTTATGTCGCAATTGTGACGTAATTCGTGAAGTTGACCGTGGGTGTATCCTGTTCGTTCTGGTCGTAGAGGTTTACTTACCGGGCAACATTTTACTTAGACTGGTGGTTTCAGCACCCGCAAGCATCCTCCGGCGAATGACTACGTCCGAACAGTTGCGTCACAAACAGTTACATCACAAATAGTTACGTCACAATCGTTGATGTTCGACGCGGCGGAAGTTAGCCGGAACTGTATTTCTAGTCGCTAAAATCGTCGGTGACGGGGTCTAATTCGGAGCCATAAGGCAGTTCTGTGTAACGTGATTGTACCCTTGAAAAAAAGAAGGGCTTCTTAGGCACTATTTTAAGGTAGGGCGGAATGGATTAAGATTTTCCGTTACGAGTAAATATTAAGAAATTTAGCCTTATAAGCAAAGTCTGTTGATAGTAGCGTGTGCTGATATTAAATCACTGTTTAACTTTTATAGCTCTTGCTAAACCCCCGAGTTTGAGTTTATCGAAAGGTAAGCTTCATGACACTCCGAGTTAAACTTTAGTATACATCATATCTTTATAGCTTGCAACTAGGTCATAGGTTTGGGGCATAGAAGAACCTTCCACACCCTCATTTTCGAGACTGTATTAAACAATAAGCTTTTATATTAAAATTTGAGCAGGTGCGGTTCCTCTACGCTGGGCCAGAAAAAATGCAAGGTAGTATTTTTTGAATAGTATGTTCTTAGGACTAACGACATATCTGATTGGAACTCAGCGGATGCAAGAACTGTCATTAGCAGGGCCGTGGAAGGAGCAAGTACTGAGACTCGACAAAGACTCGACAAAGCGAGAGACAGAGCATTGTGGGAAGCAATGCTAAGCACGACACCCATTAGTTTTTATGTCACAGAGAATTCTACGATGATCACCTGGGCTAGAGTTAATGGATCGCTGCTCGCACACATGGGGCTGTCGGCGAAGTGGTAGTGCCTTGCTGAGGGACCGGTGGATTCGAAAGGGTGAATTGTGGTAATTGAAAGATTCCTCACCAAAAGACGGGGAAATCCCAGCTCTAATCACCAAGGAAAAAAAGGTCGAACGAAGAGGCTGTATTGTTCAAACGCAATTGAATGAAAGATAGTCGGCTATCGGAAAGAATTATCCGACTACTTTATCTTGCTCCAGCTCTTTATCTATCTCTTGGCCCTTGTGCTGTGCCTGGGGCTTAGGGGGTTGTCCATCTGCCCAGAATACACCCTCTTTCCTTACCTGCTGCTGAATAAGGAGGACTGCATTAGCACTTTTAAATTTCACTGATTCATACATGCATCGTAAACAGTTCGACGCCCTTGAAAATTATGACCGGGAACGAATCCACATCGCCCGGGGAGTCTGAAGTGAATCCTTGACGTCCGCAGCAATGGGAAACAATACCGGGCCAGATGGATTCACAATTTGAAAGTAGTCAATAAATTTGAGCTAGCCAAATCAGGGAAAGCATTCAAGAGTTCACCTTCTACTCGTGTGCTTTGGAGAGGTATAATGTCGCTTTCACGTGCCCAACTCTCGATGGCTGACCGGATGTCTTGCTCGGGCCGACTCGTGACCAGAAGATGGATATTAGCGGCATAGTCTCTGATGCTCTTGCTGTACGAAAGCAAGTCGGACGTCGAACCTTATTTCCGTGCGTGACATTCGTCGAGCGCGTCCAGGACAATCCAGGTGTCGCTGTCGTGTTGGTGTTCTAGCATGTTTTGTAGGAGAGAAACAATGATTTCTGGTCTGCTGGCGACCTCCATTGTCACAAGACGAATAGAGAACATCAGCCTCTTTCCGGACCTCCTTTCGTTTGAAGTATAGCTGAGCGATGAGTGATCGAACGGTCTTGTCGAGGGACTGTTTATGGACATCATTGAAATCGAAGTAGAAGTATAGCAGAGTTTGAGCGGATCCCGTGCTTTGTTCCAGGTCCGCGACGACGGAAGAGCTCAATGCCGTCTTGCCGCATCCTGGTATGCCATAAAGCCATAGGAACGAATTTCGCTCTACCTTCCATCTCGTGGACGAGTCTCTCCGACCGGCATCCACCCATCGCTGTCACACCAGCCAGGCTCGATTGCCATACTCTGTGGCTGTCCAGCCACATCTTTCGACGCTCGACGATCTCGCCAGGCGCTTGTATACGTCTTCGCCGACCTCTACGACTTGAAGCGGCGCTGAGTACATTTCCAGGATGGAAGTCTTGTTATTCAATAACGAGTTGAGCTCCAAGTCAGCATTCGTGTAGTCGAAAAGGCCGATGTACCTCAGGGAATGCGGTATCCAATCAATCCCCATATCGTGTTTATCGTGTTCATCGTTATTCTCATCGAGGAGCTTTGTTTAGGAAGAGGGTTAGAGATTAGCGAGGTCGAGCGTCTGTTCAGGCCCAAGGTGCTTGGTCAACGTGCGCAGCATATCGATATGACTGGCATCGATGACGCTGCCAGTCATATCGATATGCTGCGAGGTTCAAATGAGCGCAGCGTGGCCGGCAAGTGAGGGAGCACGATGGCGATATCGTCCGCATTGAGACGCTGTCGAGGTATGGTGTCGACAGCAAGACTAAGAAAGACAAGTTGCTTGGCAGCAGGATGGTTGGTGAGAAAGTCAACCACTCCTTTTGCTGTCAAGAGTCTACATTTTGCTAGATTTAGATGAGAAAGTCTGGCCGTATGTGGCCGTCACGTCCTGTGTGATCCCGATTCTCACGCACGGCCTTGAAGTCTGGTACCCAGACGGGAAAGGACGAGACAGGGTAACACGACTTCGTCATGCCGTGTCAAGAAAGACCTCCAGCAGATGCAGTCCGTTCTACGAACGGCAATGAGAGCCATTCTGCCTGTGTGGAGAACGCACCCAAGCATATTCTGCATTTCGAGTCGCAGATGCCGCCGGCTGAGATACTGGCAGAGTCCATCCGCCGACGCCATGGTTTCCGGCTTGGGCGGGTCGACAAAGAGCATCCACTAGTGCGGCGGCTGCCACTACAGGCGCGAAAGGACCCCACAAGACTCCAGAGATGCCATCAGCTAGTCACATATTTCCGAGGCCAGAATTGGTCCAGCTATCTTTCAAGAAACCACCACATCGGGGAGGCAAGGATGGAGAAGCTGAGCTGTTCAAAGAATGGCTCCAGGAGAGAAATGAGGAAGAAGAGCTGATCGTGTACTCGGACGGCTCGCAGTTACAGGAAAAGGGAGACAAGCGCACAGGCTGGGGGTGCCACCCAAGAAGTGTACCGAAACCGAGGCCGGCTGCACCGGGCAGAGGTCTTCGACGCCGAAGTGCACGGAGCGTTGCAGAGACTCGCAGCGGCGGGGACGATCGGGCCGGATAAACGACTGCTTGTTTGTCTGGACAACACATCCATGGTGGAGGGACTAAATGGATCACCACCGGAATCGTCACGAAGCACATTCATCGGCATACCATTATCATTCATTGACTGTTGTCTTTGGCTTTCCGGAGGTGACGCTCAGCAAAATCCTCGCGGTCAAGCATTGCACCGACTGACGAACCTCCACTCCCTCTAGACGTCGTATCTTGGTCTATTATAATTGCGTGGAAGCAGGTCCACGCCAAGTGTTGTAGTTGCCCCCTATACATCATGAAAAAGATGCCCTAACTGATGCAACTCCGTCCACGGTTCAACATCAATGGTATATGTAGTGTTTTTCTTCTTCTTTTTACCATGGAAACACCGGTAGGGTCCATGAATGTTTGCCGCTCTTGTAGGCGATATTTGTGGATTGGAGTAAGTAGAAGTGATTAGATGAACTTCGACGTGGCGGTGCTCAAGTCGGTGAAATCGAACGGTTTCGTGACATAGTCACTGAAGTCGGCCTGGAGACATTTCTCTTGGACGTCTGACATGACGTCGGCCGTCAAGGCTATTATCGGCAGTCTGCTGTACTTGTTTTTTTTCTCCCATTGCCGGATATCTCGACAAGCTTGATAGCCATCCTTGCGAGGCATATGGAGATCACACTATACCTAATTAGCCATGAGGTTCAGGTGGATTAACGCGAAAGAGGCACATACGAATACAAGCGAGTAGAAACCAGGCCGGTGTGAGAACACCTTTTCGGTACACTCCACACCATCGTTGGCTATCTCTGCAACGATGCCAACTTTCTTCAAATATCTGACCAAGACCTTTTGGTTGATAGGGTTATCCTCGACAAGCAGCACCTTGTAGCCTTTGTTTCCAATACGCTTTTCGAGATCGATATAGCTCTGCTTTTGGAACTCCACCATCTGGGCAGCAGTTAAGCGGTTCCGGTCGATGCTAAGATCACGCAGTTTCGCGGGATCGAAAACAGCAGCAAAGCGTGAAGGCTTCACTGGCTTGCAGATGAAGGTGACCAGCTTCTGTGCTAGAAGCTTGAGGTGATCGTTATCTGAAGTAAGCTTGAGAACAGCCTGGCGTTGTACAGAGTCGGACAGAACTAGGACTGAGGTCTTCCCACCTGAAGAAGACGTCACCTGGTCAACCATGTTGGTAACCTCTTCGGCGGAAGGTAAGTTGAGGACGATGTATGTGAAAGTAACGGCCTCTAATCGACCTATCAGTTTCCAAGCTTCCTCGACGGTACCCAGAGCGGTGATCCGATGAGGCACATCCTTGGGTAATGTTAACTCAATGTGCTTAGTGGTGGCCTCCCTGCTGAAAGTCCAAGGACAAATGATGAGAATTGAGTGCATAGGGGTTATGGACTGGTCAGCCTTCAAGAAATCCGGGGTTGGGGTGTCGCATGGTGCTAAAGCTCCGAGAGGCATCTCCAACTTCATTTGCGACAAGTCCTGGCCGCTTGCCTGGGCAGCTTCGCTGAAATGGACAAACCCATTGTTAAGGGATGACATGGATGATCGCGTCGAGCGTACTGATGGGTCAGAGCTCGCAGAGGACGTAAGCGTTTGGGAGACAACGCTAGCATCTGAAGAGGGACTACTAATGGATGGGCTGTCTGCGACCTTTTGCATTGAGAACGGGCGCACCATCGACGCTGCTGCCGAGCTTTCCTCCGAAGTCGCTTGCGTCAAAGGTGCGACAGGCGGTGTAATCGGCAAACTGGGATGATCTGTCGCTGTTGGTAGACCTAACTTGACTGTGAACGTGAATATCGAGCCTTTGCCCGGTACAGCAGTCCCATCCATTTTCCCACCGTGGAGTTCTACAAGTTGTCGCGAGATTACCAGACCTAGACCACTACCACCGTGTTGGCGAGTGCTGCTTCCGTCGATTTGACTGAAAGGCTTGAAGATCAGCTCGGATTCCTCTTTCGTGAAACCGCGACCGGTGTCAACAACGGAAAATTCCAGCATGGTGTGATCACCTTGCTCTTGGCGTTGTGTAACCTTGCACCGACTGAAAACCTCGCCTTGGCTGGTAAATTTGATAGCATTGCCAATCACGTTGAGTAACACTTGACGAATGCGGGTTTTGTCACCCTTGACCCACAAAGGCACGTCTTGCTCGACAACATAGTTTAGCTCGAGTCGCTTGGTTATCGCCATCGTAAAGACAAGTTCGTTAACTTCCTCAATGAGGGAGCGAGTATGGAACCATTCGAAGTTCAGTTTCATCATCCCAGCGTCAACCTTCGAAAGATCTAGAATGTCGTTGATGATCATGAGTAAGCTGTTTGCACTGGTCTGTATCGTATTCGTGTAATCTCTCTGTTCTTCATTGAGAACCGTATCCTGCAGGAAGCTGGCCATGCCCGAAATGCCTATCAGAGGTGTCCGGATCTCATGTGACATGTTGCTGAGGAAGAGTGCTTTCGACTCCATCGCTTCTTTGAGTTGGGCCTCGAGAAGTTTGTGATCATTGATATCGGTGGCAGAGCCGAAGTAGGAGCACTCGCCGGTGCCAAAGTTGATATTATTAGTCTCCACACATCGGACTAGATGCCAGCGATATTCTCCAAGCTTAGATTTGAGCCGAAGCTCAGTCGTGTATGAAAGACGCCCGGTGCTATCAGTTACCACCTTGATAATGCCTTTCTTTACCAGCTCACTAAGGTCCGCAGAGGGCAAGGAGAAGCTGGAGCCACTGCCCGACCTCTCTGATGATATCCTGCATTTTGCCAGATCTTGGGGGTGGACAAAGTCTATGAAGCCCAACCCAAGCGAATCTTCAAAGCTTTGTCCGGTATACGAAAGCCACTGTTCATTTGTAAAAATGATTCCATGTTCCTCGGTAGCAGCAAAGATGATCTGGGGGATCAAATTGGCCAACAAGCGATGCTTAGCTTCAGATGCTTCTATCTCCTCCTGCCGAGCTGCCATCAACTCGGCGACTTTTTGATCATGGATGTCCATATAAGAGCCAATGAAGTAGACAGTGATTGCCCGTTTGTCCTTTGATGCAACAGCGCGGGTTTGATGCCATCGATAAACACCGTCGAAGCGACGAAGGCGAACGGTGTATGCGAACTGTTCGCCTGTACGGAGCGAATGAGACCACTTTTGAATATAGTCGTCTCGGTCTTTAGGATGAACAGACCCCCAAGGATCGAGAATGAGATCAGCAACAGTCTGACCTCGATATGACAGGTATCTGCCGTTGACCCACATTATTTCTCCCGTGGTTGGCCAGGCCACAAAGACATGAACCGGTAAGGAGTCCAACATGAGACCCTGCAACCTATCTGAGGGAGGCAAGATGCTGAGTTTGTCTTCCCGCGCCGGTATTTGATTTACCCAGCTACCTGACGGTAAGGACTGGAAGGTTGTGGCAAAATCAGCACCGTATGAGTGCAATTTCGTGTGTCTCTGACTGCTTTGCCCATTATTGGGTCCGAGCAGGGCTTGGCCGATCTCCTCGAGGGCGGCTTGTTCCTGTGCGGGATAAGGAAATGTTCTTTCGTGGGGAATATGCAAAGCGCTGCCGAAGTCCACGCCCGCAGGTGTACTTGGTTGAATGCTCTGTCCACTGCCTGTCTGTCCGTTTGGTGTTTTGAGCGACGGCGGAGTGTCCTCAGAGCCTCGTCCAGGGCGGTAGCCAGGGGTGCCTGGCGCGACATCTTGGCTTGCAGCTACTGACTGAGCGGCAGCGGCGAAGTAGCCGCCACCACCAACCATACCAAGACTTGTGCTCGTTGTCCGTTTTTCCACGACCAAACCGAAGGAGTTTGGGTCCCGCTCGATTGATCCTTCGGGTGAATGAGCAGCACTGCGTGTTGCACCTGATGCCTCACTGGGGCTTGTCATGCTCCCAGCAATAGATTGTTGCCATGGATGTTCTGATGGCGTGTACTTCATCTGTGCATATAAAACAGGACCCGCGAAAGGGCGCCCAGCAAGGCCAAGTGCACCGAAACCAGCTGTGGCGGGTCTTTTCCGTTGCAGCCCAGATACTTTGGTCTCTAAGTCGGAGTAGTGCTGACACAGCGAGAACGATGTTGCAAGATGGGAAGCCAGGTGCTCTACAGAATATCGTAAGTTTGACGGATAGGGTATGAGAGGACTCAAAATAGATAAGATCGCTATAGGGTAATGACGACTATCTTCGGGTAAGTCGGATCGAGACGGCGGCTCGGAGAAGCCCCATACTGCCGTCGCGTCCGCACGACCACGGGAAGCAGTCTTCTGTGCTAACGCCGCTGATTCCAGGTTGAATGTTCTAACTGGTTTCGAGAGTAATATATGTTTTAATGGGATATGAAGAACAGTCCACGAATTGTCCACGCCTATAGTTTTGGGAGGTTGACTGTTGGTGTAATCAATAGGACTGCGACCCGGGTTGAACAAGTCTTCATCCACCATCGCATCCGTGAAAAAGGGAATTTCTGAGGGGTCTACCTGGACAGTAGGTGAATGTGTCGGGAGCTGCGACCAGGGAGATGGTGGCGCTTGTTCGTACTCCTCATATCTTCGTGTTGGAGGACGAGGTTCTTCGTCATCGAGTGCTGTGAGCAAATTCGACCGCTTGGACATCCTGTCGCCACCTGTTGCCGTTGTACTCTGATTGGGTGGCCCCGCCTCTGTTGCAGTGGCCAGAAAGGAAGATAACTTCGCGCTTGATTGGATTCGTGTGGGGTTGGGCCAATTTGACTTCTTTTTGGATTTCTCGTCGAAGGCGGGATCAAGATGTGGGTAACTGCGAGTCACAGCAATGACTCTGCCGCGTTCGATGACACACTTGATACCGTTATGATCAATGAGAGGATCGGCCTCAAGTTCCAGTTCCTGCAAACACAGGAAGTACTCGGCCTCTTGCTTCAGGGCGCGAGCCAACTGGTGCCCCCCGACTTGGAATGGGTTGTTGCTGTTCAATGGCATCGTGCTCTTCGAGCGCTTGCTTATTAAGACCAGGCCGAGGTGAACTTAGCACTCGTTTCTCGCCAGCTAGGAAGTAGCTATTATTCCGTGGCATTGCAGCAGGTCTCTGCGGTGTGGTGCTTGGGCTTTCTGCAGATTGGGCTGCTCTTGACTCCTTCTTATTCTCGTAAGACGTGAAGGAATGCTGACTCTGAATTCCTGGTCGCAGCGGCATATCGCTCCGTTGGGACCCCGCCAGATTGGATGCCGTCTCCGACACATCCACACTGCTTGGAAACATGCTGCTCCTCCCCATATATCCCATGCTGTATTCGTCCTCTTCCATGGGGTTGTAAGTAGCTTTCTGGGCCCAAGGCACACTCTCAAGATCCGTCGCATCAGCCGATACTGAAAGCGTTGCCCGCTCAGCCCTGTAATGCTCCTTCATTATTTGAACCACTGTGCACCACCAAGCATCCAGTCCAGGTTCAGCGCCAAGCATTAGAGCCAACTCATATAAATTTGGTGTGGGAAAGTCGCAATCCGTCAAAGGAGCAGCGCCAGGAGGTTGAAAGGTCATGGTTGATGCAGGGGTGGAAGGGTCTGAACGAAACTGATCATGTATAGCACTGTCGCATTGAGCACTGGCGGGTCGAATATGCCACCTGGTATTCCGTGAGTGAAAGTTCCCTGCAATGCCGAAGGCCCGTGACTGGGTGTTGCCATTCGCAGAAATGAGTATGAGGGCGTCCTACCTGCCAATCCCGATGTGAAAGCTGGAGTGCTACCTCCCCGTCCAGTCTTGTCGGACTCGATGATGCCGTAGGTATGTCAGAGCTTGATGCCGAACCAGACGACGGAGAGAGGGGCAATCTCTCCTGGATAGGAGAAACTCGCTTCTTGCCAGCAGCAGACTGAGAGGATTGAATGGTGAGCTCCCAACGTGCGATATCGCGGGCCAACCGTTCCTTATACTGATTAACCACCAACCGTGAGTCTATTATTTCCGGTGAGCCTTGTCCAATGCTCACGCCCTTCCTCTCTCTATTCTCGTCTTGTGCCGCACTCAATTCAGAGCGCAAAAACATCCGGAAACCGTGCGCTCTTCTTCACTGATGGGCTATATGTACTCCCGCCTGTTTCGAAGCCGCCACCGCCGCGAACCATCAGCAACGTAACGCCGTCCACCGAGCCAGAGCCATGGCTTAACGTTGACTGTGGCCCTGAAGATTCTAAGATGCCTTCTACCGACTCATTGCAACTATTATCTCAGTATTCTTGGTGTGAGTTTTCAAATTGTGATTGGAGATCGCATGGAGGCTGGCGCTCGGGCCGAATGTTGTTGAGGCTGAGGTATTCGGAGATGAACTGACTCAAGGGCTTGTTCTGGCATTCCTTATGAATGCATTCCCTCGAGGCAAAACGGGGTGTCAGATGGCGTTGAGGATGACGATGAATGATGTGTACTGGCAATTAGTGGTTGATCGTTCTGTGCGCAAATTTTCCGCTGCGCATGCAGTGTCCTTGGTTGCGTGATGTACTTAGCGGCAGTGTCAATTCAAAGGCGCCGTTCTTGTTCGTTACGTGTGTGCAGGTATTATTCCCAGTCCTGGTCTTGTACCTTGTGATAGTCTAGGTTCTGGACTGAAGAGAGGTGGAAAGGTGATGTGTGGGTTGGTACTTGAGTTTTGGGTCGAAGGCGCTACGACGCTTGTGTCAAATGACGGAACGCGCTTAGTCGAACTCTTTTGGGGGCCCTGATCCAGCTACCTCCAGGGGCTCGATAGGGCCTGCGTCCGGACCCCGGAAACTTTTGACCGAAATTAATGACAGGAGCACTCGAGCACGATAACGGAATTTCCTTGTGCTTATCTATGGTAATGCGAAATGTTCTCAGGAGGGTGTTCCGGGCAACCAAGCACCCCCACCTAGCAACACTAAATCTCGCGCTCTGGGCTGGCCGAGATTGCGAGGGCCCTGGCCAAACGAAGTTGGAAGCACAAAACCTAGGACCACATGTTGTCTCTCGCTATGGCTGCATAACTTAATTTTTTAACATTTTTATTATCATGAACCTCAAGCATTTTTCTGGGAACTGCCGCACGCCTTACGTACTTCCTGTATCTTGCATTATGGCCGCGATGGTCATAGCCAAAACTGATAATTACATTGCTTCCGAGTTGTGCACCATGCTAATAGCTGAAGCACAAGACCGACTCACGGAAATTGTGTTGGATGAACTACACCGATTAGGACAATATCACCGTGCTGCTGTTCATCATCAACAGCGGCTAATCGACGCAACATATGGGGAATGGGCTAAGTCGGTACATTTATCAGGAAGTTCCAATCCGCGATAGAATCATTCTAATGAGGAGCAGAACAAGCATGCTAAGTTTACCTATTGCGAGAAGGAAGATTCGACATCCCATTCCATGTCCAAAGAGCATGACGTGATAGGACCGTCTTAAGTGTCTAAATCCAATGTCTTGGAAATCGATGAGTGATGACTGTCGATTCTGCTAAACTCTGCATGAAATTTTGGATGATTCTAGACCTAGTCATGTCACTTTACTTAGCAAAGGAGAGAATATCTGAGGAGTTGGTCTATCTGATTGCTGTTGTCAATCACTGCTTTGTTCATCATGTCCCACCGATCTTTTGTCGCAGAGAGACATGTACACTCAGCCCCACACTGAAATGCACATGAAGGGCTTTGGATCTGATCATACTATGATTTGTCAGGTTACCTTCTTCCTTTCACTTTCGTCGGTATGCTCAACATGAAGACCGTGTCCATGAGCCCATCCGACGACGCTGCCGCAAGCGGAATGGAGACATATTGTCTTCCGCTGATAAACCGCGCACGCTCGGTGGGGTTGTAGATGTGGGACCCTGTAGACCGGCCAGTGAAGATGTCAGACATTCGCGTGCATGTAGCCAACTGATGTTCAAAGATCGTTGCATTGCTCCTCCTCCTTTTAGGGCCGTGATGTGTTGGTTTTGTGTGTGCATTACTTGCTTTTATAACACATGTCTCGTGATACCCTTATTGATACTCCAACAGGATCCTCAGATGTGCTTCGCAAATAGCATTGCGTATCTACACCACTGTGGTTGACCCGTTCATTGACCCCACTGTATTTAACACCGCCCCTTAGGCGCCTGCCACTGTAAGTGCCAGAATACATCAGGTTGGGCTATAATTATAGGATGACGTATTTCCTAAACATGTTACTGGGGTGGGTTCAGAACTAGATTCAATTTTCATCTTAGACGGCCTGTTCAGCTTCATCATGCCGCCCAGAACAGAAACAGGACAGAAGCAGGCCTGCCGAAAAAGCTCAAATGCGAGTTCAGAATGGATGGGGACAGTTTTTAGGGTAATGTACCGTTCCGTCTTTCTTGTCCGCTTCGAGAGCCTCAAGCTGACGTCCGTCGTTGGCTCTCCCTTCTGTGGCCTATACCTCGTGCAATCAAGGGGACAATCTTTGAGCACTTGGCTGCGCCAGATCATCCTGCCCCTTCTCGTGAACAAAGGTTGGCGTGGTGCCGAGAATTGACCGAGGCAGTCGAACATATTCCCTCGAAAAGGGTAGTTCATTGCGACATTCAGCCCACGAACATTTTGGTCGATCAAAATTTAAACATCTCAAGCTAGCCGGCTTTCAAGGGCATTACCTTTCGGAAGATAGCAACGTCATCTTAGATGGCTAGAGCGGCGAGCCGTGCCGGTATTTTTGTCCACGGGGTGATGACTTCGTGGCCGACGTAAAGACCGATCTCTTTGCGCTTAAGTCTACGATTTACTTCACAATGACCGGGCATGAGGTCTTCCCAGATATTGTTAGCGGAGAGCTTGGGTGGGCTGACGAGATTAAGTCTCGATTTGTCCGAGGTGTTTTCCCCGAAGAATCTCATTTCTGCGCGATCATCTGTCAAAAATGTTGACGGCAACAATACAACTCCGCGGATGAAGTTCTTGAGGGCATCTGAGCTGTATAGCAGGACTTGATCCAGAAATATCAACGCCCAACAGGATGAGGCTCAAAGAGCATCGGCTAAGGCTCTTCAAGGGAAATGTGAGGAATAAGTATTTCATGTTTTCATACTTTAACAGCACGGGCGGCGACGCCAAGATTAATGTCAAGGCATTACGGATGCTGTATTGACTCTGTCCGGCGCTGCATGAGATTGGTTCCGCAAAATAGCATCTTGTTCAACGACAATATGGTGTACAATCTGCGTTACGCCAATCAGACCGTCACGGAGGAATACTTCATTGCGGCGTGTCAAGCTTCTCATATACATGAGCGAACTATGACATTTCACGGGACGAGTTGAACATCGACTAGCCGTACTCACCATCATATATCTCTCGCTTCTATACTTGCACAAGCCGTACAATCTCCCCCAGTATCCGCTACAGGTCTAGTGACCATCATCAAAGTTCCACTCAGGCCTCTCCTTCGCCTCACACTGTCACGCCATCGACGATGCATGGTTCTCGTGCCAACGCTTCCAGACGGGATGTGCTTCAGCATTTGGGATATATATGCCCTGGGACCCTCACCATAGTGGAGCCGGTATACACATCTTTATATTTTGTGTGCTAGCTTTCAGAGCTGGTGAAGAGTGTGATTTTTTTCAACTCATGCTTGTGAAAAGTAGTACAGTTTTGCCATTTGGTCTTTGTTATACGTCTCTCGCAACCACAGGTCATGTCGTTGTTCTTTCAGGGGACGTATCGAGTGTATCTATAGACATTTGAGATAGACCTGATGAGTTTGACCCTAGTAGGTCCGGAAGCATGAGTTACTATTGGTGCGATGTTGTGATCAAAGGAGCATAGCACCTACATGCCACCAGAGGTGTTTCAACCCTTGGTATGGGTGCGCTAAGAGGATGATTGCGATCCAAGTTAACACATCCCCTAATGACTGAACGATTTCCTCGACGAATTGCTGGACGATAGGTGAAGGGGCTTCCGCTTCAATTATTCACTTATTTACCAAGTTGAATGCTCCGGAAGGCCCACATAGTGTCTGCTTGATTTCGCGATTAAACAGACGATCTATTTCCTCCACTATAGCATCACAAGTGTCCGCAAACCACACTGAAGCCGACCATGCTGTTTCTTGCTACGCACAACTGTCAAGAGTTATTTCCCGAAGAGCCCGATGCATTGCTTCAACAATAGCTTGCGCGAACCAGTTCTGCTTCATAATCACGCCTACGTTCACAATTAAGGGCATTGGGCATGTTTCTGAAATTGAACCTATGTCCGCGTTCCACGAAAACCAAGTGCTAAAAGCTATCACATGGTGGAATTGATGTTCCCACATCTGGGCTCGGTTCGAAGAAGAGTCCAGATTCGTATAAAAGATTTACTCACATTCACGACAGAATTTTGTCTCTTTTTAGACTCGCCCATCAGTTCACTCTGATCTACTCGGCTCTTGTGGCTATCTTTTGAAAGTGTCGAACTACGGGATGATGGTGATAATGGCTGCCTAGGATGCGATATCCTTTGTTTTGTGTAAAATTAGTCAGAGGCATAGGCATAAATTGTATCGTCCATGGATGAGCCGGCAACAAGGCTTTTGGCTATCTCATCTCTTTGGCAAAAATGAATGGGCTCCATCGGAAGCATCATTAAGAGGTGTGACTCTGCTCGAAACTTTCACCATGCCAACAAAGTTGCGAAACTATGATAATTGGGTATATTTCAATGAGCTGAGCAGGACTAAGTTCCGTTCTCTCGGCAACTGGCTCAAAGACGCAACACGATGGGTTCCCGTAGCTTGCCTCGGTCGTTGTCAAAGTAGCCCAATTTATTGGAAGCCCAAAGTAGGTCTTGGGCGATATCTCGAATTATAGCACAACATTCTATTGCATGAAATACAAGCCGCCCTTGGAACAGCCATAAGTGAAACTTGTTGTAAAGTAATATCGACCGAGCTGGTTTTGCTCCCGAAGTGATAGATTACGCGACCCTTGAACAAGCCAACCGAATCGTCCTGAAACCATCTCGGGAGACAGACTGGGATTCATGAAGGATCGATATGCAAGAACCGATGGATAAAGAGTGGCATGATGCACTTACAGCATGTTAGTTCTATGTCGACACACTTGCTCATGTTTGAGTTTGTCGGCTTGTTTCTCGAACTTTTCATGCTCGCTTCAAGTGTTGAGCGGATGACAGCCCAATTGTGAGACGTGCACGCATGCACGTGGCTTAGGATCGACCATGGCACCCTCGGACTCCGTTATACTGAAGGGCGCTGGGTCCAGTTATTAAGGTTGGCGAGACACAGATCCCGTGTTTGGTTCGAGGTTCGGTTATAATTAAACATACCGTTTTTAAAGACTTTAACAATATATATTTATTAATATTTATTAAAGACGTATATAGCAATAGACATGCCGGAAAGAACGGTAGCTAAACTGGGCCGAAAGATAGAGTAACCGAGCATAGAAAAAGGCTGATTGCGGTATGTACACTAGCTCGAATAACAAGCAAGCTCAAGTATGCTGCCACAGCCAAGGCACTAGTATATGGAATGTCCGACTTGACACTGCACATATACGTTCGCCTATCTTTCTTTTTGGGGCGTCTCGTCTTGTCACGTATAGTTTCCCATTGTCACACGTCCTCACATCGCCAAAAAGATATAATCATAGTAATCTGGGTGCAAAGCCTGACGAAGACGGTTCTGTATAGGTTGTAAGTTCTACAAGTCCAGAGGGTACTTGAGATGGCAGACACACAAGATCCATCACAGGAAGACCATATCGCTCACTGCATCAACCATATTCGGCAAGCGCTCCAGTGCCATTCCGATCTAACTCCAATGGAATGGAGGCTGGAGGGCTCCAATGTGATACTGAATACAGACACTCGCCATACATGCAGGGACTGGGACAAGATCCATGCTTGGGAAAGCTTGCGTCAAACTCGATTCAAGGATATTGAGGCTTGGAAGAACGGAAGTCTGGTTCTTGTAGATTAAATCCTTCTGGACAGCAAAGGCCTCTGTCCATTTGCTCTGCAACATATATCGAAACGCAGTTATAGATTCCAGTGTCTGTCGCGCCAGTTTCCTTAAGACTTGATCGATTGACTTAGTATGCGTCTTCGTTGTTCTCGTTGGCTTCTAGTACAAGATGCTTGTTTTAAAGCACGATTGGTAATGAATGTTGATGCCCAAGAAGTTTTTCCATCTATGCTCCGAATTAGTAATACAGTTATCAGATGCTACCTTTGCACAGAGTCTCAGAATATCCGTCAATGATATGGAAGGCAAGTGAAAGTATCAGTCAATCTGTGGAAAATGAGGCTTCCGGAGCCTCGATGCTGCCTACGAACAATATCAAATAGACATCTGAAACGAGAGAATTGATTGGAATCAACTCATAGCAAGATAATAAAGTTTTTAACCGCTAAAATTGCATTGTTGGGAGCCACTTTGGAGTTAAGTGGAAAGCACCGCTGTATGACAGTGAGCTTGGAGTGCTGCGTTTCCTGTTTGTATGGCCCAGTGCCCAGGCATAAAGTGTTTGGTCTGAACCATGCTAGTCGAAACCACTTGACATCTTGCGGAAAAATTTGAAGAGGATCTCGTAGACCCTGAGAATCTAGACGATACATCAAAAGATACATCTCTGACGTGAATGACAAATGACCATTAGCAGTCGGGCATACAATAGCCGTCCTGTCTTCTTTTCGCGTCTTGTTAGTCGGAAAACACAAAAATCATGGGTCATGTCCGGTGCATGATATGATGAGAATGGGGCTCGTGCATTGCCTATTTGATACTGCAGCAAGTGAGCAATCTCTTGCACGAGACTGTTTCCTAGATGGAAACATCCGTCAAGGGGCGGCTGAAGCGTTTGGACAAGAGAACGAAACGACAGTAGCCAAGATCTCTTGGCTGAGTATGCTGCTGAGCCGTGGAACGAGCGAGTCGAGGTCATCACCGACGAGAGCGAAAGAGCCATTGAGCTAGCTAGCGGGCAACGGGCAATCCGCATCGCTACCAGCAGCTCAGCCAAGAATGACCTGGTCGAGTTTGGAGTGGCTATACGGCTTCCGGATTTTGGCTGGGCAAAGACCAAATTCATGTTACACTCTGTGACTCTCGGCACAAGAGAAGAGCAGAACCCTTACATAGCGGAATTGGCCGCAATAGTACGGGGACTGCGAAAGGTGCCACAACACGTCCGGCAATGTGTACTTATAGTGTTCACGAGCAGCAAAGGTGCTGCACTGAGTCTCAAACACCCGTGGCACCAGTCCGGCCAGAAAGAGATTGCAAACTTCTCCGCGTGTGTAAGCCAGCTTCGAAAACGGAGTAACAAGGTTGTTATTGCCTGGAGGCCACAAGAACATGATGAGAACAACGGCGACGAAGATGTTGACAATGGCGCCAGTGACACCAACAGAAATTGGAAATTTCGCTCTAGCACGCTTGGCCAAGGAAGCTGCCCGCAAAGCCACCCGCCCTGGTAGCTTACCACGGACACCACCGTTTCGAGCCAAATCGACCACATTGAACAATGCCAGAAAGATACAAAGCAGAATTCCGGTATTGCCAGGCAACGTCGGTGTATTCTCCAAGCGGCTTGACATAGCTTTACCCGGACGACACACCCGGCTACTGTACGATGCATTATCATGGAAGGAAGCCAGCATTCTAGTCCAGTTGCGGACAGGAATGGCGAGGCTCAACCACTATCTAGCTCAAATTGGAGCAATAACATCACCAGATTGCGCCTGCGGATACGGAAGAGAGACTGTAGAACACTTTGTCATGCGCTGCACGAAATGGACCACACATCGTAAAGAACTGCTTCAGTATACGGAAGACTGAAGAGGAAGTATCTCGTTCTACCTTGGTGGAAAGACCTATAGTGACGACAACAAATGGACACCAGACCTCAAAGCAGTTCGAGCAACAATTGGATTCGCAATCGCCACAGGACGATTACAACAGACAGTGAAGGAAGTCGGGAGTTAGGCTTAGGAGAAAATGATGCACAAAGGACATCCCAAACATATACTAGCCCAGCAGGTCGCGCTTCAGTCGCCGAGGATAGGACTCTGAACACTTGGAGAAGTCAACTTCAAGTTGATCTGCCATGCACTAACAACTAACAGTATCATACAGGGATGTCGAGGACAAAAAGTGGTTTTGGATGTTTGAGTATAGTCTTGCAGTACGGGCTCGAATCGGAGTCAAGACGGAAACATGAGAAGCGTTTTTGTATCATAGCGTTGGTTGCCCTCTAGGGGAATGACCCGGGCGTAATAAACATGTGTGTGTGTGTGTGTGTGTAGCCAAATAGACAGGAACAGGAACAGGATCATTCTAAAAATTCTAATAAGCGCATTAAGGGTGGTTTCAATTAGTTACTGTTACCAGTGTCGACAGAATTACACAGAATTGCAAAAACATACAACACTGATTTAGTCTTGAATACACATGAGTACTTCGAAGCATATCACACCATCAATGGGAGTGGCGTGGAAGAATAACACGAGACAATGATTGTTGATACTAGAAGTAAATGAAAAATAGAATGCTGGGAGAACAAGTCGGCTAGCCGAAATGTCGCTAGACAAGAAGGGGAAAGGGGGAGAGGGGCTCAGAAAATGACAGGCTGAAGTGTCGGAAGATACTAGGTTAGACTAATCTAGAACTGGGTGGGCAGCTATCCAGCAAGAAAGTAAGCAAAGGTGTGCTATCGCAATTCATTATGACGCTCACTAACAAGCCCAGGTAAAACAGTGACGGCTAGGAGATGTTGGCGACAGGAATATTAGCAAAAACTCGGATGTGTTTGGCAGCAAAATAGCCAGGAGCAATGCAGACTGCTTTTCTCAAGATAATGTTGATTTTGTTAATTCTAGGACGCCGAGACTAAAAACAACGCATATGCACTAAAAGAATGGGGCCACCCAGACCTTCCTACACGACGGGGGCAACAATGCAACCGATCCTATACACTCCTGCTTTACACCAACAATGTTTTTCGGGGTTGAGTCCTTTGACTTTCCCAAAACCATCCAAACGCGGAAACGATAAGTATTTAGCAGCCCGCTGGTGGGTCCTCGCCACCGAAGGCCTTCCTCAAGAAGTGAATAGCACGACCATATCCAGGGGCTTCGTTCTGACCCTTCCTGTTCACGCATTCATCAACATCGGTCTCCTTGAAGACGTAGCCCGTCCTGATGTTATTGCCCTGATTGGCATGGGCAACGACACGAGCCTGGTAGGTGTTGCCATTTCTGCGGACCTGGCAGACATAGCGACCGCCGTATTGAGACTTGTTGTCGCCGTGCAAATCGCTCCAACCTGTGGGCCAGGATGATGGTCCGCCGATGCCACGAGGTCCGGTGGTTGGGATATCGCGAAGATAATCAATGATCTCCTCCATTGCGTCGGAGAGGGTGTCACGGCTGGAGAGGGCCCCGGAGAAAGCTTCAGGGTCTGCCTCAGGATAGGCTTCTGGCTCAGCTGAGGCCTCACGGCGGCTAAGCGTATTGAAGTCGACCTCTTGAGGGACGCGCTTGGCGAGCGACTCATCTTGCACGTTTTCGACATCACGTGCAACAATGCGCGACCCGTGAGGCAATGTCAATGCGCTCACGGCGGAGGCGCAGAAGAAGAAGACGTAGGAGGCTTTGCTGAACTTCATGGTTGGTAATTTCTCGTTTTTCCTTCTAAAAAATGTTTAATTGTAGAAGATTTTCCCTAAAATGAGAATATAAAAAGTGTTGAAAGAATTCTGAGTGGTATGTGATTGATGCTGAAGTGTGATGTTGAGAAGATATTCTGGATATGTTTGTGGGTGAATCACAACGGCCTATATACTGTCGTCGTTCTCGCGATCGTCGTGGTGAGTCTATAGCTGTTGATTTGGCTGAGAGTATATGTTGCTTTAATTAGATCATGAATATAGTTGTATCAGGGTCGCGCGCAAAGATCGCTAACATCAAGCAGCAAGCATTATGACCTTCAGGAACGAACGCCCTTCAAATAATGACGTATGAGTGGAAACAACTTCTGATATTGAGGCTCTGCTAGATACTGCGTTCTATTCGCCTGTTCTGGGGCAGATGTAAGCCTTACAATCTCCTCAGGAGGGACTGGGTGATGATCACACATTTTCAGATATCCTCTCATTCGCAGGAGCCTGGCCGGGAGGAAGCAGAACCGCCATGGAACTCAATGACAAAACCCCAATTGGTGAGTTACCAGTAGTGGATGGAGAATGATGATCAACCAGAATGATGATCAGAAGATTTAAAATAGCCCACCACGCCTGAACGGGCGCTATTGGCATTCTGTTTCTTTACTTACTTTCATCCTTTTGGCGATCCAAGAGAAGATCATGTAACATCCCTTCCAATGGCACTGATTGTGGGGCGGAGGAAGAAAGCGGCTAAATAAATGGGGCCGCAGCATGGGTATTTAAAATCCATGCCATCAGCCCCAGCTAGTATTTACTGTGAGGCTCATCCTTCCCACTCTTAAGCTTGAATCCTAGATGCTAGTTATCCGTACCGATTTGAGAGTTGGCAACAAGCATGGCCCCGACTTTAAAAAGGTATTCATGCATAAGCATCCTTTGCGTCCTAACTCCTAAACTAACAATGTCTAGCCCATACGTCAAGGGGAATATCTTAACCCTCAAAATACATCACCTTGGCAAACATGCTCCACTGCAACTCAAGCATAGCAGCAGCGTGGTACGGGCACAGATTGTGGATGTGATAGAGCCGTCAACAATGTCTGTTGTTGTCATCGTCGAGCTCGAACCGCCTACGGAACGAGGAGAGCAATCTGCGTGCTCTGTCTCTCCTCTTACCGCTCCTGCTCCAAAGATGGTCTTGAAAGTCTACGAGCGTCAATTTTCCTCCGAGTTGCGGCAGTTCAAGGAGACCGGCCCGGCCACCACTGACAGCGAAGAGCAATACGCCACCTTTCTGCGCGGGGGCTCCATGCCTCAATTCCTAGTAGATCACGCAGAGAATGGACGCTTTGCATACGAGGAATGGGATGTACCGAAGCTGGAAGCATATTTCCATGTCGAATCGACGAGGATGCACGAGGTTGAAGTCGAAGTCTATGATCGCCTTCTGGATTTGCAAGGTATCCACGTCCCAAAATTCTACGCTGATGTCCGGTTGGCTCCACAGCACGCAATAGTAGGAGAGCAACTGGATGAGGGCTTGACCGAGTACACCGAAATCAGGGCCATTATGATCGAATATATTCATGGCTTCCCGCTCCTTGACCTTGTTACCGAGACGCCGGAGTCGGACTGGCCGGTCATCTGCAATCAGGCGATCGAGGCAGTCAACAAAATCATCGATTATAACTTTATCAACTTTGATCTTGCAACCAGAAACATTCTTGTCCGCCGCAGCGAGAGCGAGCACTCGTATCAGGTATTTTATATAGACTTTGCCCAGTGCCGGTTTCGCAACGCGTCCGATTCCGATGAGGTGTGGAGGGAACGCAAGCGCCAGAAGGATGAAGAGGGTGCCGTGGGCTACTTACTTGCTGGTCGCATCTCGATTGCAAAAGGGAAGAAGGGAAAGAAATATAAAGGAAACCTTCCTCTGCCTTGGACGTATACGCCTTCGGCGCGCTTCGAGGGGGAATACATTGAGCTTTACTCTGGCTAGTGTGGCGGATGACATAACTACCGAATCAACTAAGGCCAGTGATCTTAAAGGAGCATAATCATGGCCATCAAGTACTATCAGCGTGACCGTTACCTATGTTTTGTAACCCCGCTGGAAACCCTGGCCTGTGCATGAGAAGCCCCGCCGTTGCACTCAGTGCCCAGAAACTAACTTGAAATAGAAAGAGAGAAAACTTGCCGATTCTGTTCCTGATCTTCAAGGTCTCCACTAAAAGGGGATGATGTTATTGGCTTTTCCAAGAATAGTAGCGGAGTATATGGGAGTCATGCCGCACACGGGCATATGTTGAGGCAACAAATGGTGGATACTTTCGTCATTGAAGAAAGCCAAACGCACCACCATGGCAACATGGCTCAAAAATGATGAGCAATGCGAGATGAGAGGAATCCTTACCGCGGATGTTCTTGGATTCCAGCCAAGGCACGGGAAACCCGGACATCACACAGATTGTAGAACGACACAAGAGAGCAATTGCAGCTTATGATGTGGTGAAGAACAATACAAAAACATAGTTTTGCGTCGCACGGAGCAGACAAATCTGTTTAGCTCACGTGATTCCTGCGGATTGCAGCTCAGGACATCGCATTATAGCATGTTGTGTAAGCAAGGCTATGATCGCCCCTGTAGGAGCTTAGCGGCAATTGCTTGGCGTTGTAGGAACGCGATCTCTAGGTCATCTTCTGCGGCTTCCTAGCTAGTCTTATTCATTGATTGTTAATTATAATACAATATAGAGGCGGCTTATACAGGCACAGCCACTTTGGTGGAATCGTATTAAGTTGGCGTTTAAGGGGAATCAACGCCTTGATCGTCATAGTAAGATCCTTCGAAACGATCACGAAAAAGCTCGATTCGCAAGCCGCCGACGTGAGGTATAGACTGGACAGCGTTCACAATCCGCCTTGGCATGCACTGGGCGATTCCCTCGACGTGAGCAATCCTATTCCTGAGCGCCGATCACGAGCAATGCAACGGCTGAAAGCTCTATGATCAGCTTGACGCCTGTGCCTCAATTGAAAGGTAAGAACGTGAAGTAGTAGAGCGCTGGAATCGAGTATATGAAGAGGACTTACCGACCTCTCTTAGAGCAAAATTTCATCAGAACATCATCAACAATATCATCTCATCATCTCATCGCCTTATCTAAGCTCAAAATCATCAGACCAACATCATCAACACAAACACTACATTACAATTCTCAACAGTATCCAAACAAGACTACAACCGCCAAAATGGTCCAAATCGCAACTTTCGCTCTCGCCTTCACCGCTGCCCTCTCCAGCTTCGTGTCTGCCGGTCCTCTAGAGAACCGTGAGACCGCCATCAAGGGCTGCACCAACGGTGGAATCTACTGCGGCTTCGCTTTGAAGCAGAAGTCCGCCGACTATAACTACAGAATCAACGATGCCCTGAACGCCGCTGGTACTAGCACAGATATCAAGCACACCGACCAGTCCATCTTCATCTGCGGCGGTGACAACTACATCACCTTTGATCAGTTTTGCCCCAACGGCTGCGTTGGTGGTACCAAGGATGATGACTACTGCAGCGACACTGATGCCAAGCGTGGTATGAAGTTTGGGGAGCGCTCTGAGGAGTAAATGACCTGATGGAATGCCATGGGACGGCTTGGGGCGGGAAGGTCATGATTGGGGAGTTCAGGAATCACGCAGTATCTTTGTATTTTACCACGTTCTCTATGTAAGGTGTCATTAGCAAGCCATATAGTCGGAAGGAAACCTCGGAGGAGCAATGCTTATACTATTCTCTTTCATTATCCTCATGGAAATATCTTCGTCGCGGTTCGATGACCAGAGCCTGATTGTGACGCTACAGCACGAAGCCGACTATGAAGTGACTCCCTTCGACGCACATTGAAAGCTGAGAGCAAATATGGCAGACAGGTTACTGGAGATGAAGAGGAAAGCTGCCGACGATGGGTCCTTGGACCTCGCGGTCGTACAGGAGCCGTGGACGCAAGACGGTAGCCGGACAAAAAGCCACCCGGCATGGGATATGTACGCACCGGTAGACCACTGGAGCACGACACAAGACAGACCAAGGGTTCTAACCTATATCCGCCGGGGAGAAAAGCCCAAGCTACCCAGAGGAGACCGGTACAAGGCCGAGATATGCTATGGCTAGACGTCAACGGTATTACAATCCTAAACGCATATAGACAACCGGAAATGGAGGCGGTTATAGAATACGTCACCAACCTGCAACCACCGCCTAACACGCTGGTCGTGGGGGCTTTTAACGCTAAACATGCAACATTCGAACCAGGGGTGACAGGCGCAGGAGGGGGTGTCCGCCTGGCCGACTGGTCTGTGGCGGCGGGAATACCGCTTATAGGTTTCAAGAAAGCATCAACCAATGCCTAGCTGATCTCAGAGTTTCGAATCCCCAAGGCGACAAGTCACGCATTCTGTTAACGAAAGGCGGGTTACTAAAAGACTCGTTCCGATGGATTCTCGAGAACACGGACTTCAAGCAATGGCGTAGCGACAAAAACAGTTCTCTGCTCTGGATCAAGGGCGACCCTGGCAAAGGCAAGACTATGCTACTCTGCGGCATCACGGACGCATTGGAGGGTCTATCAACAAATCAGCCCATGGAGTCATACTTTTTCTGCCAAGCCACTGACAGAAACCTCAACAACGCCACAGCTGTGCTCCGCGGTCTTATATACATGCTTGTCAGGCAAAATCGTTCCTTGGCGAGACACCTACACGAAGAATGGAAAGTGGCTGGATCAAGACTGTTTGAGGATGCCAACGCATGGAATGCATTGACGCGGATCTTGACTTTGATGCTACAAGATCGCCAGTCGCACGAAGTGGTATTCGTCATTGATGCGCTTGACGAATGCTCCGATGATCTGCCCAAACTCATCAACTTCATTGCACAGCAGTCCCAAATGGGGGATGCGAAGTGGTTGGTTTCGAGTCGTAACTGGCCCCAGATCGAAGACATGCTTAGTGCGGCCAGTGAAAAAGTGCGGCTCAGCCTGGAACTCAATCAGGATTCCGTCACTGCTGCTGTTGAGGTTTATATCCGCCATAAAGCTGAGGAGCTACGAGGAGCCAAAAACCTGGACGATGAAAAGTATAGCCAGGTTGTCGACTATATGAACACCAATGCAGAATGCAACCCTAGCCAAACGCGTCAATGCCACGAGCACGAATTGTGAGAAGAACACATGTTTAGAAGGAATTGGGTGACATGTGAACACTGTTTTTACTTTTTCGCAAAGAGTTTCCGCTGGATTTCACTACAGTATAGACGAGCTCCGAGAAATCAAGCTGTCAGTTTGGCGCTAACAAGAACATTAAGTAGTAAATAAAAAGGCCTCCCCGAGGAAATTCGGCCTCAAGGTTTAGCTCAGCTATCAAGGCTTTTCCAGGTTATCATACAAAGACATTTAACAATGATCAATTGTTGTATTAATCATAACCCAGGATGCTATACCTCAATTCTCCCTCCCGTAGATCACTATACTTATGCGACCCTCCATAACGTGAAGCCTAGATTTTCATGTGCCTCAAAAGACACAACATAGCGAAAATCAAGCATGGGCCCTTATCCACAGTGCACCATCGAATAGAACACAAGAGACGGCTGGCAGTACATAGTCGTTCTGTCGATGTACCCACCCAAATAGCCTGGCAACATTGCCAAGGGCGAGACTGAGCCAGTCGGAGCAGTCAGCCAAATTGAACCACTCTCAATAGTCTCAAGAACGCCTAGTCCAATTGGCTCTCCGCATGTAAGGACATTCCCATGCAACACAAAAGGATACAGAATGATGATCGGTTTGTCGATAAAGAATAGATGCACTTCGCGATTAGCAATGTTCGTCAACAGCATGTGAAATCAGCAGGTATTTACCTTGTTGTCGAGTGTGCCAGTCCAAATACGTCTCTGGGCCATTCCGATAATATCTTTGGCGGTCCGACATCTTGAGAATTGACTGTGATGGTTCGTATAGTAGACGAGTTGCGTCGCTGAACTGCCTTGATTCTATATCACTTTGGCACCGAACAACGCTCTCTCTTATACATCTGTAAATAGCAGTAGTGAAACCTCTTCGCAATCACGAGCTTGCAACAATCAGAGCTTCATCCCTTGCTTCAACAGGCTAGCTCCCTTGCCGCAAAATATGTCTCGGGCAATGGTGTCACATCTCCGGCAACCCGCATCACTAGGTGGCATCACCTCTGTCCTTATCCGTCTTTGGCCGGCACCATTCCAATAATTTTTCCAAGTATGGTCACACAGATCAAGACAATGGATTCGTTTGTTTCGATGGTTTTGTAGAATTACTGGCTACAAGACAATAGTAGGCAAACGTAGGTTGGTTGAATTCTGAACGGCGCCACTGGAAAGATTACATACTAACCCCCCCCCCATGAGAGGTCGTGAAGCCGGTAAGTGCCATTTTGAGTGGCAAAACTATGGAAGTTGCGACTGCTTGATGCAGCTGCATCATTGTTCTCTATTGCAGTTCACGAAACACTTTGACATTGCAGCAGAAGATGGAAAGCCCAGGAAGAATCTGGGGTGGGCACTTTGCAGACCCCCAACAGCAAGGCGTCAGTAATAGTCATCCGAAGCCAAGCCGAGCCATCCCTCGTTGCTTGCACTGACCAACATGTTCCATTTGTGTGACTTGTGGTCCCTTGCTGACATTTTGTACTGCATTGGGGCCTGGTCCAGAAGCTGCTGTTTGTCGCATTTTTTGCCTTGTAGGGAACCGACAAATGACGGACACTAACAAATGGGTCCACTTTGATGACAATCGTGACCCCCACAACTCGTAAGATGGTCAACTGATTGGTACAGTGGTGTGATCTGCCGTTGTTCTGATTGTATCCCTTGGCCGACTGCTTGACTTGATGGCTGTTCGCGCTGCTGCGTGCTGGGGAGTATATCGAATGGCTCAGCAAACCGACCATTCAATGACAACAACCACGGTCTTAGCTATCGCAATCGCGCTTGAAGGTATCGCACGCTAGAGTCAGACATTGTCCGAGATACAAAATCGCCCCTTGGAACCATTTTTCGCTGGGTCAACAACTTAGGATCACCTCCATAAATACAATAAGAACGATTTGCCGTATATCGAACATTTTGTAGACTTCGCAATTGATAACCACCGCAATGACAGCTTGCGGGTAACTTCTATAGACCAGTTTTGTGGAAGCTGCTTGAGACCATGCTTCTTCTATCTTTTGGTTTTGACTCTACAAACTCGATCGAGATCAGAATAATCTCAGTCCTTTTCTTTAGGGACACATGTCTTCGCGAATTCCCGGATATCCTCGACCGAGAACCCTCTAGATTCGGCCCTTCTTTGTACGATCTCACCAGCCGCCTTTTTCATATCTTTCTGAACTCTGAAAAACTCTCTTTCCCAAGTCTCGTTGCCAGCTCATATTCTTCCGTTGTACTCAAGCTCGAATTTGACCTGTTTTCCATACATCCTCACGATCAGCCTTGACGTGAAGGTCTCTGGTGACTCCATGTGGTTGTCGAGATCACAGATCTTGAAAGGATGTTTCTCATAAAGATCTGTTATTTGTTGCCAATGCCAAACTGGAGGCATTCTAGCGCCCGCATATAAAATAACGGTATACCGGCCATATGGTTATAAGAATACTCGGTGAAAGCTCTTCACATTACTTCTGTTCCTCTGGTCGCCTCTATATATTCCCATTCAGCTGGCATGTTGCCTGAGCGCCACGGTGAAAGCATGCAAGGAGTCTCTATAGAGGACAAAGATATCTGAAGATAAACCGAAATAGCCTCCTGTCGAATCCGTTGGACATAAACGAGTTTCGGCATCTTGTTGTTATCAGTATCTTCCATTTATCCATGATCGAACGATGGATTGTAGCGTACTTACTAGTAGCTTTAGAAATACTCGACGACCTAAAGGCAAGTTGTCTCTTCATCGTTGGACTCTAGGTGTAAATTATCCCGAACCGTGATCGATGTTTCAATTAGAATCGAGGCAGTATTAGCGCTGATCAGTATATTCCGTAGCTAATCTCGACCCACGTTGAAAGAGTCTAAGCAGATCAGAGCGGTGAAGAGTAGCATACCCCTAAAGTGCATTCTTTGATCGTCATCCCGTGCGTTGTTTAATCGGTCATGGAGTCTCGACAACCAACGGTGAGCGACGTTTCTGGACCGCCCTAGGAAGTCCAGGAACCCTGTCTGACAGGTTTCTGTGCTTGATTGACACCTGGTTGCAAGAAACATAAGAATCCAAAGGCATATCCTTGACTCAAGGTTTTCCTCGATTCGTGCGATACCTTTGTGCAAAGCTTTCAACAACTGACCTGCAAAGCAATCATCAGTAAGAGCCACATGAGAAGCTCTGCATGTCTGCCCGGGAGAGCCGGTCCAGCTTGCAAACAGACTTGGGCTAGAAAAATGGCAGTTTCCGCTTTGTTCATGTCGACGTGTGGGCTTGTAAGCTCTCGAAGTACGTCTATCCACTGCAACTCGTGGCCGCAGGCAATGGATAACAGAGCTTTGCCTGCAGCCAGTTTCATATGGCTTGGGAACTGGTGTTGGCTTGCAATTAGCTCATTTGGCGGTTCCCCATCGGGCTGCGCATATGTACAAAGTAGGAATCTCTTCAGGCTTGCCGAGCGTTATAGCAGTCGGATGAGGCAACTTAATACGACCATTTCAGTTGTGATGCTATAGACCTGCTGATGATTTTGAGGCGATAAATAACAAAAGGATTGAGTGATGGTGGAATGATGACGCCGAAGTATTCATGGGTCTACCCAGACGAGAATCACGAGTCCACTTGGGCATCACATCACATACAACGAACTTGGATTGGTCTCATGTGATTCGAGTGGGAACAGAGTACAACAATGGGAAAGTGGATTATATTAAACCGCTTGTTTTCCTTACATGGCAATTATATTAGAACTATCAACAAAGTCATTTCGCATTTCCCTCCTAAAACACTATACGATAAAAGAACGTCCAGTATGTCGTTACGCCACCCTTCGATCTTTCGAATCTACCACTCCCGAGTCTTGGCTCGGCGCATCGATCGATCGGGCCGCGAATAAAAGAGATCCCCATCAGAACCAATCCTGCCAAATCAAAATGGCCGCTAAATTCGATGTTCCCTCTATGCTTCGCAATCAGAGAACAGTATAGACACGAACTACCCCAAACTCGAGATGAACCTACGCCGAGACTTGCATTAAATATGGGATAATCACTGCCCTCAAAACAATAAACACCTGATTATAATTCTGCTCTGGATGAATTGTGCCAAAAACGCACTCATGTGTCTGCGTGTATTCAAAACCAATATACTGTCCAGGCCATTTTCTAATGTCAACTTCTCATTTTAAAATAGATCATCCACAAAAGGCGGCTGTGATGGCGGGGTGCCGGTAGATCTGCCAGGTCACAATCGACTAAGATTACAGTGAAAATGCGACTGTCCGTCCTATCAGGCTTGTAGCGAAGTCACGCCAGTATGAACTCGGCAGTTTGTCGTTCTGTAATGTGATAGCCCAAAGAACTGGATGGTGACTTAAAATCTGAGGAGTCACGCTCGCGCACGACTTAAAAACCGGACGCTCAGAATACGAGTAAGAATAGGCCGAGGATTTGCTTGACCAGATACAAGAGCTGGTGACTTGGCGTGGCTTTGTACCTGGTCAGTTCAAGCTCGAATAGGCTTGTGTTCTGAGTGGCCGGTTTTTTCGGTCGCACTGAGGCTGCCGTTCCCCGTAATCTCGCTAATGCAGACCTTTGTGGATTGGGCTAGTTCTTCAAGAATAAGGAACCACGAACCCATGTTTCACCCCTCCTTCTTTCTTGAGTTCGACTAGGCCGGATTGGCAGTTCACACCATATGTCTTAAAAGAAATCTCGGCAGCCAGAAAAATCGAATGAGTTTGGTCCTTCCTCCTTGTCCCAACACCAATTTCTCAACGACAAAGAATATTTACTATGAAACCAACACTATGCAGTCTTCCGCTGGAGGTTTTTCTCATGATTTTCAACGAATTACCCGCATTGGATATTCAGACCTTCCGTTCTGTCAACAAACACCTCTCATATTTTGCGACCCAAAGCATTTTTAAGTACGTTACGGTGACCCCAAATGAGTTAAGCATATTGAGCTTGGCATTGCGTCAAGCTGTA